CGATTTCGGGCGATTTAATGGAAAGTCCATTTTCCTTGGATTTTGAATGCGATGGTTCACAGATTCGGCCTTAGGGTACTCTCCACCAACTATGAAGTCTAGCAATGGCCGATTTGGTAGGAATTTTGATCGAATTTTTCCGGAGGGCATTTTCGTAATTTTTAGGCGCTTTTTTCGAAAGGCCATTTTCCCTCGGTTTTGAAGGGTGCAGATCAAGGATTCAGCCTGAGGCTATTCTTTAGGGATGAATAAGTCTATTAAACAGGGTTTCGGGCGGAAAATTTACGGGGCAATTTTTGCCAGTTTCCAAAGGGGTACCATCACCGATTTCGGGCGATTTAATGGAAAGTCCTTTTTCCTTGGATTTTGAATGCGATGGTTCACAGATTCGGCCTTAGGGTACTCTCCACCAACGATGAAGTCTAGCAATGGCCGATTTGGTAGGAAATTTGGTCGAATTTTTCCGGAGGGCATTTTCGAAATTTTTAGGCGCTTTTTTCGAAAGGCCATTTTCCCTCGGTTTGAAGGGTGCAGATCACGGATTCAGCCTGAGGCTATTCTTTAGGGATGAATAAGTCTATTAAACAGGGTTTCGGGCGGAAAATTTACGGGACAATTTTTGCCAGTTTCCAAAGGGGTACCATCACCGATTTCGGGCGATTTAATGGAAAGTCCTTTTTCCTTGGATTTTGAATGCGATGGTTCACAGATTCGGCCTTAGGGTACTCTCCACCAACGATGAAGTCTAGCAATGGCCGATTTGGTAGGAAATTTGGTCGAATTTTTCCGGAGGGCATTTTCGTAATTTTTAGGCGCTTTTTTCGAAACGCCACTTTCCCTCGGTTTTGAAGGGTGCAGATCACGGATTCAGCCTGAGGCTATTCTTTAGGGATGAATAAGTCTATTAAACAGGGTTTCGGGCGGAAAATTTACGGGGCAATTTTTGCCAGTTTCCAAAGGGGTACCATCACCGATTTCGGGCGATTTAATGGAAAGTCCATTTTCCTTGGATTTTGAATGCGATGGTTCAAAGATTCGGCCTTAGGGTACTCTCCACCAACGATGAAGTCTAGCAATGGCCGATTTGGTCGAATTTTTCCGGAGGGCATTTTCGTAATTTTTAGGCGCTTTTTTCGAAAGGTCATTTTCCTTCGGTTTTGAAGGGTGCATATCACGGATTCAGCCTGAGGCTATTCTTTAGGGATGAATAAGTCTATTAAACAGGGTTTCGGGCGGAAAATTTACGGGGCAATTTTTACGAGCTTCCAAAGGGATTTCGGGCGATTTAATGGAAAGTCCATTTTCCTTGGATTTTGAATGCGATGGTTCACAGATTCGGCCTTAGGGTACTCTCCACCAACGATGAAGTCTAGAAATGGCTGATTTGATCGGAAATCTGGTCGAATTTTTCCGAAGGGCATTTTCGTAATTTTTAGGCGCTTTTCTCGAAAGGCCATTTTCCTTCAGTTTTGAGGGGTGCAGATCACGGATTCAGCCTAGGCTATTCTTTAGGGATGAATAATTCTATTAAACAGGGTTTCGGGCGGAAAAATTACGGGGCAATTTTTGCCAGTTTCCAAAGGGTACCCATCACCGATTTCGGGCGATTTAATGGAAAGTCCATTTTCCTTGGATTTTGAATGCGATGGTTCACAGATTCGGCCTTAGGGTACTCTCCACCAACGATGAAGTCTAGCAGTCGGAAATTTGGTCGAATTTTTCCGGAGGGCATTATCGTAATTTTTTGGCGCTTTTTTCGAAAGGCTATTTTCCTTGGATTTTGAATGCTGCAGATCACGGATTTAGCCTGAGGCTATTCTTTAGGGATGAATAAGTCTATTAAACAGGGTTTCGGGCGGAAAATTTACGGGGCAATTTTTGCCAGTTTCCAAAGGGGTACCATCACCGATTTCGGGCGATTTAATGGAAAGTCCATTTTCCTTGGATTTTGAATGCGATGGTTCAAAGATTCGGCCTTAGGGTACTCTCCACCAACGATGAAGTCTAGCAATGGCCGATTTGGTCGAATTTTTCCGGAGGGCATTTTCGTAATTTTTAGGCGCTTTTTTCGAAAGGTCATTTTCCTTCGGTTTTGAAGGGTGCATATCACGGATTCAGCCTGAGGCTATTCTTTAGGGATGAATAAGTCTATTAAACAGGGTTTCGGGCGGAAAATTTACGGGGCAATTTTTACCAGCTTCCAAAGGGATTTCGGGCGATTTAATGGAAAGTCCATTTTCCTTGGATTTTGAATGCGATGGTTCACAGATTCGGCCTTAGGGTACTCTCCACCAACGATGAAGTCTAGAAATGGCTGATTTGATCGGAAATCTGGTCGAATTTTTCCGAAGGGCATTTTCGTAATTTTTAGGCGCTTTTCTCGAAAGGCCATTTTCCTTCAGTTTTGAGGGGTGCAGATCACGGATTCAGCCTAGGCTATTCTTTAGGGATGAATAATTCTATTAAACAGGGTTTCGGGCGGAAAAATTACGGGGCAATTTTTGCCAGTTTCCAAAGGGTACCCATCACCGATTTCGGGCGATTTAATGGAAAGTCCATTTTCCTTGGATTTTGAATGCGATGGTTCACAGATTCGGCCTTAGGGTACTCTCCACCAACGATGAAGTCTAGCAGTCGGAAATTTGGTCGAATTTTTCCGGAGGGCATTATCGTAATTTTTTGGCGCTTTTTTCGAAAGGCTATTTTCCTTGGATTTTGAATGCTGCAGATCACGGATTCAGCCTGAGGCTATTCTTTAGGGATGAATAAGTCTATTAAACAGGGTTTCGGGCGGAAAATTTACGGGGCAATTTTTGCCAGTTTCCAAAGGGGTACCATCACCGATTTCGGGCGATTTAATGGAAAGTCCATTTTCCTTGGATTTTGAATGCGATGGTTCAAAGATTCGGCCTTAGGGTACTCTCCACCAACGATGAAGTCTAGCAATGGCCGATTTGGTCGAATTTTTCCGGAGGGCATTTTCGTAATTTTTAGGCGCTTTTTTCGAAAGGTCATTTTCCTTCGGTTTTGAAGGGTGCATATCACGGATTCAGCCTGAGGCTATTCTTTAGGGATGAATAAGTCTATTAAACAGGGTTTCGGGCGGAAAATTTACGGGGCAATTTTTACCAGCTTCCAAAGGGATTTCGGGCGATTTAATGGAAAGTCCATTTTCCTTGGATTTTGAATGCGATGGTTCACAGATTCGGCCTTAGGGTACTCTCCACCAACGATGAAGTCTAGAAATGGCTGATTTGATCGGAAATCTGGTCGAATTTTTCCGAAGGGCATTTTCGTAATTTTTAGGCGCTTTTCTCGAAAGGCCATTTTCCTTCAGTTTTGAGGGGTGCAGATCACGGATTCAGCCTAGGCTATTCTTTAGGGATGAATAATTCTATTAAACAGGGTTTCGGGCGGAAAAATTACGGGGCAATTTTTGCCAGTTTCCAAAGGGTACCCATCACCGATTTCGGGCGATTTAATGGAAAGTCCATTTTCCTTGGATTTTGAATGCGATGGTTCACAGATTCGGCCTTAGGGTACTCTCCACCAACGATGAAGTCTAGCAGTCGGAAATTTGGTCGAATTTTTCCGGAGGGCATTATCGTAATTTTTTGGCGCTTTTTTCGAAAGGCTATTTTCCTTGGATTTTGAATGCTGCAGATCACGGATTCAGCCTGAGGCTATTCTTTAGGGATGAATAAGTCTATTAAACAGGGTTTCGGGCGGAAAATTTACGGGGCAATTTTTGCCAGTTTCCAAAGGGGTACCATCACCGATTTCGGGCGATTTAATGGAAAGTCCATTTTCCTTGGATTTTGAATGCGATGGTTCAAAGCTTCGGCCTTAGGGTACTCTCCACCAACGATGAAGTCTAGCAATGGCCGATTTGGTCGAATTTTTCCGGAGGGCATTTTCGTAATTTTTAGGCGCTTTTTTCGAAAGGTCATTTTCCTTCGGTTTTGAAGGGTGCATATCACGGATTCAGCCTGAGGCTATTCTTTAGGGATGAATAAGTCTATTAAACAGGGTTTCGGGCGGAAAATTTACGGGGCAATTTTTACCAGCTTCCAAAGGGATTTCGGGCGATTTAATGGAAAGTCCATTTTCCTTGGATTTTGAATGCGATGGTTCACAGATTCGGCCTTAGGGTACTCTCCACCAACGATGAAGTCTAGAAATGGCTGATTTGATCGGAAATCTGGTCGAATTTTTCCGAAGGGCATTTTCGTAATTTTTAGGCGCTTTTCTCGAAAGGCCATTTTCCTTCAGTTTTGAGGGGTGCAGATCACGGATTCAGCCTAGGCTATTCTTTAGGGATGAATAATTCTATTAAACAGGGTTTCGGGCGGAAAATTTACGGGGCAATTTTTGCCAGTTTCCAAAGGGGTACCATCACCGATTTCAGGCGATTTAATGGAAAGTCCATTTTCCTTGGATTTTGAATGCGATGGTTCACAGATTCGGCCTTAGGGTACTCTCCACCAACGATAAAGTCTAGCAATGGCCGATTTGGTCGAATTTTTCCGGAGGGCATTTTCGTTATTTTTCGGCACTTTTTTCGAAAGGCCATTTTCCTTCGGTTTTGAAGGGTGCAGATAACGGATTCAGCCTGAAGCTATTCTTTAGGGATGAATAAGTCTATTAAACAGGGTTTCGGGTAGAAAATTTACGGGGGAATTTTTGCCAGTTTCCAAAGGGGTACCATCACGGATTTCGGGCGATTTAATGGAAAGTCCATTTTCCTTTGATTTTGAATGTGATGGTTCACAGATTCGGCCTTAGGGTACTCTCCACCAACGATGAAGTCTAGCAATGGCCGGTTTGGTCGGAAATTTGGTCGCATTTTTCCGGAGGGCATTTTCGTAATTTTTAGGCGCTTTTTTCGAATGGCCATTTTCCTTCGGTTTTGAAGGGTGCAGATCACGGATTCAGCCTGAGGCTATTCTTTAGGGATTAATATCTAAAGAATATATAAAGCGTTTTCTCATTTGAAGCCTCACCAATTCAAATTTCTGCATCCCTCATTCTTCCACGTCAGCAAAGACAGTTAACCAATCAGAATCATCTCCACCAGAAAAAGCAAGATAAAAACCTCACTCGCTCCTGCGAAAACTCCCATTCATTCATTCGTCCCAAGAACCCATGTGGTTTCCTGTCCCCCTCTCGGCTCTTCCTCGCCACTCGCCAGTCGCCACCATGGCCATGCACCATGGGAAATTCCCCCCTCCAACTCCTGCTTCAAAAAACCGTCTCTCTTGCCCTGGGTCACCAACCGCTGTCGTGTTCATCGTCTCCTTGCATTCCACCAGCAACGCTACTGCCATAGTGAAGCCTTTCAGCCGTTATTTGATCGTTGCTTCAGAACATCTCACTTTTGCGTATAAAAAAGGTTGCTGCCTATACCAACCTATCAATTTGCGATTGCATTCGCTTACTATATATAATACAAAATAAAGACAAAGCTTTCGTTGTCGGTTGTGCTGAGTAATTTGCGATTACAATAATTTTTTGGGTTAGTTTACTCTGCAGTTTTTCTTCCTCAAAGTCCTTCCTTCTTTTCTTCTCTTTTCCTGGATGGCAACTGCCATGCTCACCGTGCTTCCACCAATATATCACCCAGGCACAATTTAATCCAAAAACTAATGCATGTGGGATGCTATCATTTTGACAACTAATTAGAGGTGGTAAATAGATTAGATTTATGAATTGGTGTCATGGATTAGTGAATCCATGAATCGAATGGATTGGTGAATTCATGAATTGGATCAAATAGATTGGTGCGTTGGATAATGGATCCAAGGGACATCTAAACATGACACCAATATCTATATTTGAAAAATTGTAGGTACTAAATGGCATAACAAAATAAATTTGTGGTATCAAAACGTAACTTTTCAATGATGTTTTATGTCACAAATAAAGTCTATGTATTGTAAAATATATAAATTATAGGTATAATTTTTCAACAATCAATAAATCTAATCCATGAATGCATCAATTAAATTTGCATAAAATGGATTGAATTAATTAAATATTTAACTAGATGAATTGAATTGCTTAACTAAATACAAAATTGTCACAACTCATGATTAAACCTTATCTAGATAGATGTAAAGGTATGTGCTTCCCATAGTCATACCATACTCCTGCCAACAAAAACCTGTCTGGTCTTGAGAAACCACATTATGCACAATCATTACTTTCACTGTCTGATTCTTTCTAGAGTTCAAAAGAGTTGAGGTTTAGAAAGCATCGAATTCCCTCATATATATAGTATTTCATTAGTAGAAGTAGTTCCCAATGCTAAAATCTTGACTCAAGACAAACAATAAAAAGGTATCGGATACATAATAACCTCTCACCAAAAATAATCCCCGCTCAGCATCCGATCATACAAAATGGGATATGTACAGGATATGCATTTCATATAATTGGGTTAAAAGTGTGTTATTTTCTACGCATAACTCCCAAGCACATATGTGGAAATAAATAATTTATATGCTGAGCCTATTTTCTCCAATTAAGAGTAACATTGTTTACTCCTTTTGTAGTAGACAAACAAATTCACTATTGCTTTAAATTTTAATGGGTATAAAGTATTTACAAATACAAATTCACAATATGCATTGTTGTTTCCTTCTCATCTCCATTTCTTATACTTATATCTCAATTTTGTAACTAGGACAATGGAAGTATGGAACTCCTACATCAAACCAATAACTCATAATGTCACGGAACCAAAAGTTATGTATAATCCCAATTGACAATTATCTGACCCAACCACAATTGAGAAGAATGTCAGGAAACCAGATATTATGAAAACTATAATCCCAAATTCTCAATTGACACACTAATTCAAACTAATGTTACCCGGCCAAAGGACGGGATTTAAGCTAGTGTCTACTAAACAGGGTTTCGGGCGGAAAATTTACGGGGCAATTTTTGCCAGTTTCCAAAGGGGTACCATCACCCATTTCGGGTGATTTTATGGAAAGTCCATTTTCCTTGGATTTTGAATGCGATGGTTCACAGATTCGGCCTTAGGGTACTCTTCACCAACGATTAAGTCTAGCAATGGCCGATTTGGTCGGAAATTTGGTTGAATTTTTCCGCAGGGCATTTTCGTAATTTTTTGGCGCTTTTTTCGAAAGACCATTTTCCATCGATTTTGTACAAAATGAAGATATTAGTATAAGTAATGTAATTTTATCCCAAAACAAACACCAAAGATAAAAAAATTTTAGCAAATGCATATTTGATAAGTTAGAAAATTATACCCCAACGGACCATGTTAAGATTAGAACCCTCGACGGTGTGTGAGTATCTTGAACCGAGATTCTAAACAAAGATCATGAGTTGAGGGTGAGTCTAAATTAAACTTCAGGAATTAACAATTGGTACATATTGTATAAGATATTAAATTGAGTGTCTTGATCAACAAATATGATCTTACACTAAGACATTAAACTTTCAATTGGAATGACCAAATTTATCTAATATTGAAGTACCTTTATAAAAACTTCTAACTAAGTTGTCGTCATCTGAGCAACATCATTGGTTGAGAGTTCGTCCAAATTCGAGATTCATTGATTGACATATATTGTATAAGATAAAAAAAAAATTGAGTATTGTTGTGCCATGATTTATGATCAGAGAATCAAAGCATCATAAGTGAATGTGCTAAGTATTGAAAAATTTTAATTTATAGACGCACCGCATGCTCACATATGAATGCAAATGTAAAAAATTTAGAAGATCCAAAATGGTTTAAACATATAGATAAATTGATTAATGTAAATGATAAAATGAAACTCACCGGCCAATGGGCCGGGTAAAAATCTAGTTATTATATAAGATGTACAAAATTATTCAAATTGTACAAATCCTATCAAATAATTTAGGATTAAGATAAGTGTTGATGTCACGAGTATTAAAAATTATTATTGATTAAGAGTTTAGGTACTAATCTTAAGTGAACCCATTCATAATCTCATGAAAATAATTAGCATATTAAGAGGTGGCAAAGGAATTGTATTCATGGAATCATAGATTGGAGGATTGGATTTATAGATTCAAGTAAATCCAAACAAACATGGGACCATTTGTAAAATTTGAAGAGTTTAGGTACTAAAATGTCATTTTGAAAACATTATGTACAAAACATTATTTTTTAGTTTCATTAAATATTGAACTTGAGGTATCATATTGCAAATATAAAAACTATATGTACTAAACTGTTATTTTCCAAATATCTATGAATTCACCAATCTAATTGGTTTTGGATTAAATGACTAGATTGAAAGGGTGGATTGATTTCAAATTACCACCTCTAAACATTTTTTTTTTTACAAATTGGGGAAATTTTATTCCAAATCGAACAGTGAAAGTACAGTTGATTATAAAAGTGGTGGCAAGAGATCGACAATAACAATCCAATCTCGAGGGAGAGCATTTAATCTAGCATTACGAGCAACCCAGTCGGCCAGTAGATTATGACGTCTAGGAATAAACATCGCTTTCACCCACAGCCGAAACGAGAATGGTCGAGACACGAGCAAGTAAAGCCCGACATTGCCAAGGCCACTAGTCCGGAACAAGCTTAAGAGCATTCACCAAAATATGACAATCAGATTTGACACAAGCTGAGCACTGTTCCCCTAGCCGCCAAGATCACTGCATTGAGAATAGCATAAGCTTCCACCTGCATCGAATTGAAACAAAAGAGTCTCTCAACCTTGTCATCATATATACACACGTGACCATTCACCTCTAAACATACTGATTAATGAAATGAACAACTTACAAGAAAGTAACAAACCCGAAAATTTCACGCAAAGTTTAGTGTGAAAAAGCTCTAAGGAAAGTTATGGAATTCCTTTTTTTTTTTTTTTTTGTCATGAGATCATTCTTATTCCTGAGCAGAAGAAGATAACAAAAAAAAGTCAATTTAGTGATTGAATGCATACCACAAAATCAAACCACAATAAACTAGGGTTTTTAAAGGGTATTTTCCGCCTCCGAGTGTTATTAGAAAGACACAAACTAGTATTTGATTTGTTATTAGAAAGAAATATAAAACAATAATTATGGAATTGATCAGGACATCTTAACAAAATTATAATGATGTTCAGCGGTTCAGTTTTAGAAATCTAGTTTCCGAAACAAATTACACTACTACCAGAACCAAAATAACAAGGGAAAAACCAGCCCAATCAAGTGCTGAAAAACCGAATTACTTCCATAAAACAGTCAATCTTATAATTAAATAAATTGACAAAAGTTGACCGCATAGCGCAGTGGATTAGCGCGTTTGACTTCGGATCAAAAGGTCGTGGGTTCGACTCCCACTGTGGTCGATTTTTTGTTCTTTCTCGTCCTGCCTGCCTCCCACTCCACAACATTACAATTCAATATCCATATTTCACAATAATTCCTTATACATTCTTTAAGTTTAGTTTTGTTCTTGAATGACCAAAAGCATTGGAAGATCCGGCTCCCAATTGCTCTGGCCGTCGTCCCAGATCTTGTCTTGTAGAAGAAAGCAGCAGCTGCAGTGCCAGTGATCGGAATGGTAGGCAGATGAATCATATGAATGGGACGGGGGGTGGTGTCAAAACCTAGAAAAAGGATTTGTTCTAGTGATAATACGAAAAGAAGAACAAAAGTTAATTATACCAAGGGTTACTGTTGATGGGAACACAAAAGGGTCGTTTGGATGAGGAATTGTAACGGATCAATTTGACACAATTGTTTCGTTTTGAGACAATTGTACCAAATTGCCTCGTTTGCCAGCAAGAAATTTGGATGGATCAATCTGCCTGGGGTATTTTGAATTGATCCGTTTTGAGTCAATTTCAATTACCCGGGGTGGGGCAGGTAATTCGAATTGACTCGTTTTAATTGCCTCGTTTATAAAATGAGACAATTGATCAAATTGACTCGTTTTAATTAGCTTCCCCACTCCCCATCATGAACCGAGTACATGTTCAGGTGACATTTGAAAAGGAAGTCGCAATCTAGCTTTGGAAGGAAGGCCATGCAAATTTTGGGCGGGGAGTTATACTATTCTTGCTGATGAATCAATGGTGAAAGAAATTCAAAGCTTGCGCAAGAAAGTCGATTGTATAATTAAACACCTCAAATACTAAACGTGAACAGAACTTTTGCAAGTATGGGAAGTTACTTTCTGTCGATTGTACAAATTAAACACCTCAAATACTAAACTTGAATCAATTGTTGCTCTTGTGCTAGGCTTCCAGCATAGTGGTTTATGCTAGCTAGCTAGGGAGTTCAGTATTGGTTTAAGGTTGGTTCTAGAGCCCAACCAAAAACTAAAAACTGGCCTGGTTCAACCAAAATTGATTATTCATTTTGGTTTTTGATTAAACAATTATAGATGAGTTGACAATTGGTTAAATGTAGATGCTTCCTTTCTTTAAAAGGATAGTTGGTTGTGTTTTTAGTTTTATATTTATTGTCAATTTTATTCCACCAACAAAAGAGATTACGAAGCGAGGCACACACATGAAATAAATATGAAATGTGATCTAGAATAGTAATTGAGTCATTTGGAACAAAATATCTAGCTAACGAAGGAGTAACCTTGACGCATAGTAAACGACAAGTGATAAATCCTAGAGTTTATAAGGTCGCATTTAATAGAGGGTTTTCGATAGTAATTACTCAAAATTAACAGCTTATACTTGCGAAAACAATCCCTATGTTTGGCCCGGCTTTTAGAAGTGCTTTTCGAGTTCACAAGCTGAAGCAGGGCCAAACACCTCTAAAAGCTCGGCTTTTGAAAAGCCAAAAAGTGCTTTTGTCTAACATAAAGAAAAGTTGTTTTGAAAATACAAGACTATTCTTACCATATTTTAATTTTATTTCAGAAAATATAATTTTTCATCATTTACATCATTTTAAAAATAAAATAAATTATAAAATTATATTATTTAATATAAAGAAATCTAACAAGATCCATTCTGGCTACTTTTTATTGTTTAGAATTTTTGTTCATATTTTATATTATAAATCCTTTATAGTCATTTTACACAACCTCTTATATTAAAAATCACTTCTAATAGTTTTACAGCCAAACACTCAACTGTTTTTTTTAAGTACTTATCTAAAAGCTCCAGCAAGAAACTGCTTCAGCAAAAGCTACAGCCTACAGCATAGACAAACAAACTAAGCTAATAATAAAAGAACGGAAATTTAGACACAACTCCTACAGCGTTCATTTCTCTCTCACCCCATCTCTCCTTCTCCTCAATTCTCCACCCCAAGGCTTGTATTTACTATTTATTTATAGAAAATCAGCAAGATGTGACGAAATTTTGGTCACAAATAGTTCGTCGCCAATAGTATGGTCAAAGTTGGCTAGCCAACGCGGACGGGAGTATTCGTCACAAATTAGATAGTCACTGAAAGTTACTGCACTGTGATCCCGTCACTAAGTTGCTGCACACTTAACGTCAGGCCACTTGGGCGGCTGCTGGTCTGTCCCCTTTGGCGGCTGGTCAGCTCGATTGCACCGTGGTCTGTCCCCTCTTGGCCGGCCCTGCATAGAAACATTGACGGCGGAAACCTCCATTCAACAGGACTTTGCCTCTTTCTTAAGATCTGTACTCAATTATTGCGGATCCCTGTTTCGGATTAATTATCCCGACACTTCACCGACTATAAGATTAGTACTTAATCCATCTCCGAGACCGCCACAAATAATCAGATACATGGAGCTCCTCCTGCAAATAATCCCCATCTTCCTCTTAATTATCTCCATCATCATCATCGTAATTATATTTTCACCCAAAAAATGGGCGCCGCGAGGAAGAAGAAAAACCGGACGCCACCTGGCTCCGGCTCCCGGCTGGAGGCTCCCCGTGATCGGCCACCTCCACCACTTCCTAACGAGCCGCCAGCCGCCGCACCGGCTCCTCCGCGAGCTGTCGCGGAAACACGGCGACGTGATACGGCTGGAGCTGGGAGAGATCTCGCACGTGCTGATCTCGTCGGCGGAGGCCGCCATGGAGGTGATGCGGACCCACGACGTCAAGTTCGCGCAGCGGCCGCCGCACCCGCACTACGAGAAGGTGGTGTACGGCGGGATGGACCTCATCCAGGCTCCCTACGGCGACTACTGGCGCCAGCTGCGCCGCGTCGCCACGCTCGAGCTCCTCACCGCCAAGCGTGTGAGGTCGCTCGGGCGGGTCAGGGAAGCGGAGGTTAGGACCCTCGTCCGGTTGATCGCGGCGGCTTCAGCCGCGACAGCAGGGGCCACGATCGACCTGACGAGAATGTTGTTCAGCTTGATGTACAGGTAGAGGTGACAAATGAATTGAATTAGTTTGATTGTTATAAGAACCAAACCGGATCAACGGCTGGGGCAATAGAACCGCCAAATCAGTTATGATAGCGGTACAGTTCATATCTTAGAGGATTATTGATGGACCAAACGGTTTATCACGGTTTTAACATAAAACCAGATGAACCACCACGGTTTAACTGGTTCACAGGTTCATTATTTTAACCACGAAAATATTTTAAAAAAAAATACTTTAACGTAAACTAAGAACCATCAAACCATAATTATTAATTTTATTTCTGCTCCCTCTTATCATTTTCTAACCTTATTGTAGATTTTACGTGGTCCTCAGTACCGATTGGCACCATAATTTTAACTTGAATTAAAAAAAATTATGATTTATTTTTGTGAGACGGTATGAATGATTTATTAGATATTTTTTGGTGATAATATGAATTTTTAATTATTATATTCTTAAATTAGTGTAATATACAATTCTTGTATCATGTATGTTGTGTATCATGGAACGGTTCTATCAACGATTAACCAACGATTTTGTAACGGTTAACTACTGAACCCTAAATCATTAAGTTTTTCCGGTTCAGTCTCCAATCATATTTCGATAAACAAAGTCAATTAATTGAATATTTAAGTGGATGGGTTGAATTGGATTGGATGACGAATTATCTCCTCTACGTACAGGATAATATCGATGTCGACGTTCGGGGACGTGTCGAGGGGCCAGGAGGAGTTCATAAAGGTTGCGGAGGAGCTGGTGGAGTATGCGGGAGGGTTCAAGGTCGCCTACTTGTTCCCGTCAAACGCCCTGGTGCAGAGGCTGTCGGGGACGAAGGAGTTTCTGGACGGGATACAGAAGGTCGTCGACGGGCTGGCGGAGAGCATGATCGGGCAACATCAGGCCAGGAGAGCAGCGCAAGGGGGGAAGTCGAGGTCGGAGGAAGAGGATCTTCTCGATGTGCTCTTGAATCTTCAGGAAAACGGCGACACGCTTGGTTTCCACTTGTCAACCGATGCTGTCAAGGGTTTCCTCCTGGTACGCGTGTATGCAGTCAAAATCGTGATTTTATGTAGGTGTTTTGGAGATTTAGAAACGTGAACGTATAATTTTTTAACCTTTGAAGTGTGATTTTGACTACATTAATTAGAAAAAAACGTAATTATAGGTAGACGTATTTTAGTAACTTATAGGGGCAAAAGCGTAAAGTTTGAAGAGTGGACAATAACAAACTGACATGTGGATGGTTGGAACTTCTGCATCCAACCAAAGTTGGAGCTAAGAATTTTTCGTTTCCTTCTATCCGCTCTAATTTCTAAATGAAAGACATGATTCTTGACCACCTCGGGTCATGCATTACTTAATTGATTGGGTTTCCAGGATATTTTCCTAGCCGGAAGCGAGACTCCAGCTGCACTGATAGAATGGGCAATATCCGAAATGATAAAAAACCCAGAAGTGATGTACAAGGCGCAATCCGAGGTGAGAAGAGTGTTCAGTGAAAAAGGAAGGGTCGAAGAAGCTAGGATTTCCGAGCTCGCCTATTTGAAACTGGTGATCAAAGAGACGCTAAGATTGCACACTCCCGCCCCACTCGTGCTTCCCAGAGAGTGCAGAGAAGAGTGTCATATCAGCGGATACGATATTCCCTTGAAGACGAGAATACTTGTGAATGTGTGGGCCATTGCAAGGGATCCTCGTTATTGGGGCGAAGAAGCTGAGAAATTCTTGCCCGAGAGGTTCCTAAATAATAAAGTTAGTTTTAGAGGAGGTGACTTTGAGTTCCTCCCTTTTGGAGCGGGAAGAAGAATGTGTCCTGGAATGACTTTCGGATTAGCAGCTGCTGAACTTACTCTAGCAAATCTGTTGTTCCATTTTGATTGGAAACTTCCCCGTGAAGTTGAGGCAACAAGCTTCAATATGGATGAAAAGTTTGGCGTCACCCTAAGGAGGGAAAACCATTTGGAACTTATTCCTGTTGTCCGCTATAACCCTCTACCTTCCATTTAATTTCTACCTACCGTGGATTAAGTGTAAAACGTCTATAATAATCTTCAACAAGTGCTTTCATTATCCATTGTAAACAACTTGGTTTGTATACTTATACTCGTATATTAAATATGAGTTGTTATGTACTTTCAATAATGTACCACACGTCAGACTGGTCGATTTACTTGTCAAATTATCATACGAGAAACTAAAGAATACGATGATTTAACGTGGTTTTCCTTATTGTTATGATCAGTCCACGGGAGAGATAGTACTCTCCAATGCAAACTCTGTTACTCTTGTTAGGATTTACATACATACAGTTCACATAACTATATATACACAGGTAGCTGGCTCATTACATACAAGTACTCGTAGTTTAACAATTCAACACACACTCTCAAATTGATGTTAGGTGCGTAACATCAATTTGGATGAGAGAAATCAATGTCTAATCCAAGCCAGCAACTTATGTAGGATATATGTAGTCTGATCCTCTGTAGATAAATATCCAACACTACAACAATTTTTGTCTATTGTGACAACAAATTTTATCACAATAGGATCAAATATTGTCATAATAACTTTATAATAACAAAAAGTTGGCATAATGTTGGTCCAATAAAAAATAAATTTTTATTGTCTTGTCACAATATGATTTAATGACATGACATGACGACTAACTTTTGTCATTATAGAGTATTGACACTTCTCTAGTCCCCTCTACTCCATTATACATTCTTCCGAATACAAATACAAAACGGTTATTTCAAATGTATGATTGTGGGTTTGTACTGCTTCTAGATTCAATAACAGATGAATAGGAATGTGGGATTGAAGTATTTAGCACAAAGTGTCCATCTTTACCAACTCAATGACGCCAAGCACAAAGCACTTCTGTTTTGAGTTGACACATTGACGTACTTTTACATTTTATGTTAACAGCCAGGGCCTAAATTGACCCTTAAAAAACAGAGAGGGCTGATGAGCTAGCTTAGCTATATTGGGATTCAATCCCTCTCACACAAACTATTTGGATTCAACTCTTCTCACAAACTATATACCTTTGTTTTCACTTGATATATTATACCTATATATACAATTAACTAGCAGCGGCCACTGCTGCTGCTGACAAGAGAGAATTACACAAGTGTAATCATCCCTACTCAAAACTTACCATGCTGCCTGCAAGATATGACTGCACTTCTTGAAGCATAATCTGCTACAGCAGACCATCCACTGCTCCGGTCTGCAAGAGAGCTCCTGGTCTTTATTGTTTAAGCTCCGGGAAAGTTCTTTGGATAGGGCACTTACTTCAAGCTGTGAACTATTCAGATTCTCGTAAATGAAGACTCTTTTGCCCTCAAAAGTGTCAAGCGACATGAACCCGGGGTGGTCGAGACAAGGGGCTTCTGATCAGTTTCTGTAGAGCTTCTACTATGTACGAGAATGAAGGACGGTGAGAGGGGTCACTGCAGGAACAACCAGACTTGTCTTACTATAAGAAAAAGCATGGGATTGCATGTCCATGATCATATGAGATGGAAAAAGAATCATAGTCATCATCCACTTACTTGGCTAAGCAGGCTTCAATCAAAGCAGCGACACCAGGATTTATGTTATCTGGAATCTGGAGCTTTTGACCTTTGAACCCGACAGCTCCAATAACCTGAAACACGCGTAGGGACATTCAATTTTATGGTGAAGTAGGTTCCAGAACTAGCATGTTCAGGGGATTATGCGTCAGTTAGTCCTTTGTAGGTTAGGAGTTCCTTGATTTTTCTCTGTACTTTTGCCAGCAGCTTGAGTTGCAAACAAAAATTGTACTTTCCTTGAAATATTAAATGATACATGCAAGAGCCGACGTCTTCTATTTGGATGCAGAAACATGTGATATTCAACACATCGGCTATGTTGCAACAGATACCCAATCCATTTCAGTTACAGATTTACTTCATCATTCAGAACGGTAAATACTGCTAAACGAAATAGCGCAAGTATACCCTTTAATATTCATCATTTCTATATCTTGGTTCGTCATCAAAACGTCTGGTCTGTCACCTACTTTTTGCATGGCTAATTATTGATGACCAGCAGAAACCCAGTCCGTCATTGTACAGGTACAACTAAATGCGTAAATAAAATTTTAGGGAAAGCCAATAACCCACCTGGGCCTGTTTCAAATCTTTCCATGGCTGTTGAAGAGTTGCCAGTTCCCATAAGACCACCCCAAAGCTGTAAACATCTGATTTCTCGTTTGATTGCTCATTACGAAGAACTTCAGGTGCCATCCATTCAGGCTAAAAAGAGGGAATTAGATAGGGGAATTTCATGTTCTACATCAAGGATGCTTTTCTTGGTGGTGGAAATATTAGACATACAAATCCTACAGGTCATAAAATGTTAATCATCTATATGGTCTTTAGAACTTACTGTTCCCGCTGCTGTCTTGGAGGAAAGATATGTGTTAGCTTTGGGACGAGACAGACCAAAGTCACAGACCTGGATGACCAAGTATTGAAATTCCAAAAGATGAATTGTTAGCTTAACACATTATTCATGATTACTCCTCACTCACAAACTTTGATGAAAACTGCAATCATTTTCTTCTTCTAACTGGCAGTTCCAACGTAACGACAAATGACCAGATCCAAAAGGATGGTAGTTTCACCTTTACGGTGTATGTACTGTCCACTAATAGATTTGGGGACTTCAAATCTCGATGGACAATGGGTGGCCGCAGCTGATGAAGGTAGTTCATACCTTTTGCCTGCGAACAAAGAGAGCAACAACCCTTTGGTTCAGATACCTCTGGCTTCACATGTCACAGTAGTGAGGTTAGTAACTTCTTTTAGTCATAGCACAACAGTTCACGAAATTCGCCCAAGGAAAAGAAACAAACAACTCTAGATGAATTCAGAAATGCCTACTTCCATATTTCACAGAATATTTAGTGGCGCGTTCGCAAATTCAAATAGTTCTTCCACAAATATATCAGTCACTAGCTTGACAACAACAGTATTAGAACAGGACAGGAACTGACCACATCAGAAGCCATGTTCAAACGCTGCCTTTCATCAAGCATTAATCTGGCTTCCGGTTTATGCAGCAGTTTATGCAAACTGCCCCTGCAGGTTCAGAGCAGATACTTCAATATCCAAAGTTCATCCTAGAAACTCTAACCATCTGGCATGTATCAAACTGACAGACATGAATACTGGAAAAATCTGCACTTGCACATGAATGAACCTTCAATACCTCGATAAGTATTCGGTAACTATAGACAAATGAGGGGGGTGAGTAACAGCCCCCATGAAAAGAACAATGTTTGGATGCCGCAGCCGTTTCATGATCGCAACCTAACCAACAAATATAATGGATCAACTACGTTGAAACCTATGTCAATATTAATTTATAAAATAAGCTTTATTTTATATTCATTTCAGTGGCATGTAATCTGAGAGGAGGATACCTCGGCAAGAAACTCTTTCAGGTGCTCTGGATGGAAATCTTGTTCCGCCAGAATCTTCACGGCAACCTCCTGATGTTCGCAGGCTCGATATTATTGAAGGTTGAGAAAATCAGCAATATTGAGAAACACAATAACATTTGACCATCGGTAAAGGCTGACAACTACGAGGGAAGAAACCTAGAATATAAGCAAAAAGCCTTTTCCTCTAGCAAAATCATTTACAGCTAAGATATTACTGTCTGGTTCTCTAATGAAGTAACAATAGCCAGGAGCATATCAAAGAGAGAACGAAAATGCAGAACAAAGGGAAGAAGAATTTTATGAAACATAAGAAAGAAAGAAAATACTTACAGAACCACGCCATTCAGCACGATGAACAGTTCCAAATGAACCTGACAAAGTTGTACCAGCAAACTTAATGCATGATGTCTAAAATTGAATTTACAGGATACCAAAGCTGGTTTGATGACATCATACTAGAAAGGACATCCAGCAAAATGTAGAATAAAATTGGTCACAAGGACCTTGAATGTTTTAAACAACAATGCATAAGGTACCTTCACCAATCTTCTCCCTCACAACAAGTTCACTCCAACGAATGTCCAAATCTTCATCTTCGAGATGAAGATCATTGCTCGAATGTTTCATCTGTTTTGATTCCATGTACCACTTATGATCAGATGTACCAGGTATGTTATTGGAGAAGACAGAAACTGGATGCACATCTTGATGGCCAGTCACCAGCAAATGACTTGATTGAATGCCGCCTTTATCTACATTCCTTGAATTTATTACATATGGGAAAGGACTGCCGACATTTGGATCCTTGTGAAATACGGTACACTGGGAGGTAGTTTGCATTACAACTGACTGAGAAGCTTCATGGTTGTCGTTTGCAGCATGTGCAAGACTTTTGTTGGCTTTCGGGAGTCCTAAACCACCTTCAATTATCACAGTACGTGTTACTAGAAAAGATCCAGTCTATTCCATTGCCAAACTCAAATGTTCAATTCAACGATAATTCATCGTGGGCAGTTGACATGTCCAGAAAGAAAAAATGATACTTAAGGGATCACCTGAGTTAGTATTAGTGTCAAATGTAAGATTTAGAGCTTGACCATCAAAGAAATAAAGTTTTGCCATTGCCCTGACGTCTTCAACTGTTGGGACATGATTGAACCTAGGGTAAGACAATGGAGAAGCTGCGGAGATTGAGGATGTACAATTGAGTGAGGAATCGGGATGGCTTAAGGCTCCTGGCTTACTGAACAAATCAACCAAGTATTCCCTGTAAATACAAGCAAATAATTCAGACATCCGTCAGGGGCTCCAACATTCACACTACAGATATACAAATGCATAAAACAATTTGGCAACACCATCAGGGGTGATAATTGTTACTCATTATGTCATTTGTTTGCTTCACATTTCGTAAGGACTATCACAATACATATTATCCACGTTCCATTTGGCCTTCTGTATTCACAAACTCAGAGCATCACTCATTAAATTGCATAGATTTCAAACTAAACATGATAGTGAGTGGTTTTGATAAGTTAAAAAATCAGAACTAATTTGCTGGCACGTATGGACACATTACTCCACTTCATACCTCTCATTACCAACTTGAACAAGACAGCAAGAAGCAAGATCCCTCGTACAATATTTGCAACCTTTAGCAATTCTACATGGTAAGTTAATTGAATCTGCCAACACCTAGAAAAATGAAAAATAAAATAGAGGTCAACGCTTTGTCTTGCAATAACCTGATTATAGATCTCCTGTAGAACCGTGATTATAGATCTATATTCTTCTGAATACGCTAGATAAAAAAATAAAAAAATAAAAGGAAATTTAATGCCTACTTTAAACAGCAATGCCCGATGGATGCAGAGACCAACAGACAAGCTTCCGATAGGAATTATAACAGAACGTAGACGGTATCTCAGAATGTCAGCGCACTCCATCCAGTACTGGCAGAACTCTCCGTCTTCAATAAGAGCTTCACCACTGAAAAATAAGGAAAGCTCCATCAGAATCCTAGGTGAGATAGTATATATATGTCAGCTGAAAAGTAAGTGAGAAATCACCCCATGCGACTGCAGACAATATTTGCAATCTCAGACACAGCATCATTCGTAGAAAGCCGATCACTGGAAAGACTAGCAACTCGATCAAATAGCTCTCTCAGAACATGATCCTTGAATCTGTCAACCAATACCACTTTCATTGCTGATTCGGCATGAGGATCCACAGCCTTCAATGCATCTATGGATGGAATCCAACCGAGCTCGCTCTGGTCTGTACTTATGGTCCAAACATACGGATCCATGCCATAGATTGCATAGAACCCATCAGGGATTCTATCGTAGTAAGATAGGCTGCCATTTACCTGATACGATGGAACAAACCAGCATTTTAGAGCTTCAGGTAGACGGTACAAGAGACTGAATGAGTTTATACAACAGTGAGTTCCAATAATTCATTGTGAAGCAGATATTAAGGTTATCAGTTCTTCCAACTATCTACTGAGTAGTTCGACACCTGAATATGCATTCTGACGGACAGAGCTAGACGGGATTTTCAAAAAGCCTTCCACTTATTTGGCAAGGCAAGGTTGTTCAATCCCGCTGATCAACAGAGAAAACAGCTATGAATTTGTCACAAATGTGCCTAGTTTTTTGCAAAACTAAAAAAATTCCACTTGGGAAAAGCAAACCCAGGAGAAGAAGCATGCAAACAACTTGAATCTTTTAATGAAACAGGGGGAAAAGTACAAAAATAAGCGCGTCCTACTTGGTACTTGTCAACGAAATACGACAGTACGAAAGGTAAAGTTTTGGCCTTTGGGAAACCCATTTCCCTAGCACCAGAAACAAAAAAATCTGCAGAAGTAATAGCACGAAACAGAAAGAAAGAGGCGAATAAAGAAAGACCCAGAAAGGGGGGAAAGAGAAGGGAGGAGAAAACAGATACCCAGAAGCGACGGGAAATGGATTGAGCAGAATCAGGGGAGGAAGAAGAAGAAGCGACGGGGAGGCGTTTGTGGACTAGGTCGTCCCATGCCGGAGAAGTTAAGGAATTGGGATCAGTAGCTAAAGCAGCTAAGGAAGACATCCGTAGAGCCAGGGCCAACTGGAGCTGGTAGCTCTCCTCCGTCTGCTGAGCCCAACTCTTGTTAAACGACGCCGCCGTTCCTCCGCCGCTGCAATTATACTCCATTTTTCGCCTGGGCGCCTTGCCTCACCCCGACCGGCGAATGAGCAGAGTGAATGATTGAGTTGAGAACCCGGGTCTGCCCAAAAATTGATTGAGCCAGCGAGCGAGCGAGTTTCAGCTCTCCGAGCGGGATCGGTGGGAACTCGTCTAGTTCATGTGTTTAGGTGGTGCGATGGGACGAGGGAAGGAATGTGATTCGACGGAGGTGGTGTGGTGGTCCCAGCCGGGACCCGCGGGAATTTAGCAGAATCCTAGCTCCGTTCAGTGTACCAAACAGGTGGGATCCGCTGCGGGATGCCTTATGCCAGGGATCAATACAACCCCCAACGACGTCGTGGTAGTATACCTTATCGAGAGCTCTAATATTTGCAAATAAAAATTTTTTGAATTGCTATTCGTCGCCCTAAAATTCAAATTTTGTCGCCCTAAAATGCACCAATTAGACACTCTTACCCTCTTACCCCAATTTCTAGCCAAAACCCAAAACTTCCTTCTACCCTGGCAATCGGAGATTTCCTGTCGGCGGCAAACTCTTTGTTCTGTAGAAAGCAGAAAGGACTCTGCTCTAGATAACAAAATCATGGAAACACCATTTCCAAACTACCAGCCAATAAGCTCTACAACAAACTTTTCCCTGTTTGGTTTTGGGGCTGAAATAAAGTTGCGAGCTTTTCCCCTTGTGGAGATCTTTGTTTGAGAACGGAAGAAGTGGGTTTTCTGAACTTTTTATGTTCTGTTCCTCCTTCTACTTCTTCCCTGGCAGGCGCTGTTCCTTCTTCTACTTCTTCTAATTACACTTCCTTATCTGCCCAACTCGCCGATATAGGTTTTCAACCCTTCCCGCCGCTTCCAACGGCGGGTACGAAAGAAAAAAAACTAAGGATATTATAGTCATTTCAATAAAATTTAGGGCGACGAATAAGGTGTTTTAGGGCGACGAATAGCAATGCCCAAAATTTTGGGTTAATTGTAAGGTTGGTCACTGCAATTGCAAAAAACGTTCATGTTTGGTCACTGAAAATATTTAATTGCATTCGTGGTCACTATGATTACTCAAACAGTTCAAATTTGGTCACTCTCCGTTAGTCTTCATTAACACCGTAAGTTATTTGCTGACGTGGCTAACAGATTTGTCTAGTCACCTATCTTTAACCTAAAAAAATGAAATATGAACTTGCCACATCATAAAAGACACCACTCATAAAAACCTAACCATTTGACCCCATTAACCCATGATCTGATTCACTCATTCACCCCAAATTGGAGATGGGGGAGCTTCAGAAAAGGAACAACAACGACGGGGTGCATCACCTCCGACATCTCGTTCAAGTCGAGCAAGTCGATAAGTATTAAGAGGTGGCAGGCGAGCAGATTCAACGAGCTCCGGGGATTCAATTGAACGCTAGGAGATCCACCGCAGCAGCAGCCGACCTCGCAACAAGAGAAATCAGGGTGATGCCCACCGGGAAGTCAGGGCAGTTGAAATCTGGACAAGTAGGGAGAAACAATCACATCGATGAAGAGGAAGACGATCCATTGTTGGAGGAAGGAGGAGAGTCCTCTCCTGCCGCTGCCGATTTGGACCGAATGATCTGAATCATCCCGGCCACATTCCTCCCACTCTGCTGCTCTACTTCCTAGCCCTACAGATGATTCACACCGTCGTCATCTCCCTCGGCCTCCAGAAATGGGTCACCGTCAAAACCCCTCACTCCTCGTCATCCTCCAATAGGGCTCCCACTTTTCCTTCGTCAATAGCCACTGGCATCTCTGCAGTTGGAGATCTAAATTGGCGACGTAGACTCCTTAGCCAGCTGCTCTTGCCCGACACATGGTTTACTACCAAACTTTTCCTTCCCAATTCCAAAGTGGCGATTTGCTTGATTTGGTTGAACCCTTTTGTTGTCTGGCAACGAGGAAGGTGAAGCGATAAGGAAGGGATCGACGATGCTCGGAGGAATGATGTGGAGATCTACTTCCTAACCCTCCAGACGATCAACAATTGCTGAATCCAGCCCAAATGAAAAGCGGATCTGGCTTGTTCGATGAAGCCAGATCTGGATTCCTTTCACATATCATCGTTGATCACCTTGTCGCCAACCTAGACGCTCCAAGACCTCGCCTTGTCGGTACTCTTCGCCGGTTGGAACAGGAGGGAGGGAACCGCGGAGGGATCGAGCGTCACTCGCGATTTTTGTGCGACATCCTTCTGGGTAGTGAAAGAGGACCTCACCGAGATCTCCGAGTTCTCTTCCAAGGAGGCGCTCTCTCCGATGAGGCGAGCGATTTCAAGAACCCCATTGAGACACCTTCAACGTTTGGCCTGGAGGGGTTCCAGAGCCATGATTTGGCCGGCGATGTTTTCACCATCGAGAGAGAGCTTGAGATTGGAGAAGGGAAGAGGGGATTGGGTTCAAATGTTGGGTTGGGTGGGTTTGGTTTGGTTAGGTTCGGTTCAAGGGTGGGGTCAAGTGACGTGGCGAGTCAAGTGACATGGTGGGTCGGATCTCACTAGTCTCGGGTTAAATTAGGCTGACTTGGTGATTCTTTTTGCCACGTCAGCAAATAACGGACGCTTTTAACGGAGTTGGACGGAGACTAACGGAGAATGACCAAACTTGAACTGTTTGACTAATTCTAGTGACCATGAATGGAATTAAATATTTTCAGTGACCAAACATGAACGTTTTTAGTAATTACAATGACCAACCTTGCAATTAACCCTAAAAATTTTAAATTAAAAGTTAAAATTGAGAAAATATGATTTTATTTATAAAAAAAAAGAATTAATCTCAACTCTTAGATTAATCCCAAAATTAAAGTTTTCTTAACCGAAAGAATGCAGTATCTCTGTGGATTTTATTAATCCATGGATTAACCCGAGTCAATACAGATTTGTGAAAGTAGGGAAATTTGAGACATGTATTGCAAACACATCATGATCAACCCAAAGACACGCTGTAATGACCTATCACAATGTACCTAACACGTAAACGTCATAGCTAAAATGTACATACGCTACATAGTAGACACAATAATTTAACCATCTTCTTAACTGATCTTAATTACATATTAAGTAAATTATCATTGTGGTTGTGGAGACAAACTTTCTTCCCTGAGAAATGACCGTAAAAATTAGTATAATCTTTATATAAAAAATAGAAACTAGTATAATACAAGCCTCAAACCCCCTTACACCCAACAAAGCTGACCAAGTAGTCTACAAAGTCAAAAGATGCTAATATACAGAATATAGTATCAGGGCTTTATGCACCATTTTAAGGACAACCCATTTACAATTGAAGAAATTGCTCTAAAGGTCTAAACTCTAAAATGTCAAGAAATAAGGAAGATGACTGAAGAGTGAAGACAATCACGAAGAATAGGCCAACACCAAACATTTTAATGAACTCTTTGTTGAAGTTGGCAAACAACATCTTCAGAATCTCTTTCGACCTTGAGAATCTTACGATTGGACAACACTACATATATGTTATCCCAAGCATATTCAATTGTCCATGATGTTAAACTAACTTCTAATCTAGTCGGACACATGTGTCCCTCAAATCGTACTTCTAAACTCTAATGTATATGTTATGCTATTTACATCACCATACTTTAATTTGTATCCTAATTATAAACATAACATATCATGTATTGTAAAGCATATGCATAACCTATGTTCTCATATAACATATTCATATAATCATAATCATGTAATAAATCACTTAACGGGTAACACATTATAAACATACAAATCATGTAATACGAAACATTGAAAGCAAACATAATAATAAAAATAAGGGTAGTATCTATTTTTTATCTAAATCTTTTTCAAATTCTTTTATATTATCCAAACCTATTAAAATGCTATCAATTAGTCAAAACTTTCATAATGCATCAAAATATTAGTCATTTTTACGTTAATGTTAATAATTTTGTAACTATTTTCTTAGTTAAAATACTAAAATTTTGGAATGTTGACCTTCATGTGTCTTTTCCAAGTCAGTAGCATGTTGTCAAGTCAATATTATTAACAAAATTGCTAACTGAAAGTTAATATTTGACTAATTTTTAGTATTTCGATAGGTTTGGCTAATTAAAAAGAATTCGAAAAAGATTTGGTTAATAAATAGTCATTACCCTAAAAAATAAAAAGGATTTTAAGATTTAACTCTAATGTTGAGTGCGAAATTAGGCCTTAGGGGAAAAAAGTGGGTGGTTTTATGTGAATTTGAGTAGGTTTGGAATTATCTACCACATGATGGATAAGGAGAAAATCCAACTAGGGGTCGTTTGGAAGTTGCGATTGTTAAATAGATGTATTGTTGAGAATGCATGTATAATATTATACATGTATTGTCGAATTTGATGTATTGTAGAATACAACGTTTGATATGTGTGATTGTGTATGTCACATCAGCTAAAAGCTGAGACAAAACAATCTCAACTCAACTATCTCAACAATCACAACTAAAAGTTGAGATATAACAATCACTCAAAATGAGTGATAGTTTCTGTCACATCACAGAAACAATCCATGTATTGTTTCTTCTAAAAAAAAAAATAGATGCATTGTAAACAATACATGCATAATGACAATCTCAACAAAACAATCGCAACTTCCAAACGACCCCTAAGTGTCATGTGGGTGGGTTGGGTGATTGCGAATGATGGATGGTTGGCAGATTTTTTGGCTTTACAACATGCATTATAAATTATCACATAATTCAAATTATTTGAAGCTTGAAATGGAAGAAATCTTCAAACTAAATAACGTTTAATTCATAAATCATATGCATAAGTTAACTTACAATATTACAACTAGAAATTGCTCACAAATCACAAAAATATTCAACTGATAAACATGATTTGACCTTTATAATAACCAAATAAACGAACAAGTGATTTGATCTGGTGATAATATCACTAACCTTGAATCTGTAGGTACCAGGTTTGAGTTCCTTAAGTAGTACCTATACATAAACAACAAAAGCTAAAACTATAATATAACTCTTATTAAAAAAAATTAACGAAGATGAAGGTTCATCGTAAATCCAGCAAACGGACCAAGTTTTCAAGCCACAGTCACTCACTGAACACTCCTAAAACCAAACAACATAAGTCAAAGTAGTATACAATCAAGAAAAGTTATAAAAAAAAATCCAACCACGAAAACAAATAAGAGCATAAGACTTTGCATTTATCATCCATAACCATAATCCAAGAAAATATTGATTCCAACAAATCTTAGATCAAATTTGGGAGATTTTTTTTTTTTTTTTTTTAATTTGAGGATTTCATTTTAGATAAAAAAAACAACATGTGAAAGATTCTCGAGTTTGAGGTTAAACACTTGAGTGGATCGCAGGGTTAACCACGATCTATCTACACTCATTCAATTTCTAGTGGATTACATATATTATACAACTTACGCCAACTCATAAGAATCATCCATAACATATTAGATGGATCCATTACGGGTGAATTTATAGGCTTAACCACTGAATATTGACTACTAGGCTGATCTCCGAATAATGTCTAGTCAAAACAATTCACTCCTCAATCCTCATATGATGCGATTCCAGATATTGATATATACGTCCAAACTCACTGGCTTTTTGGCCTACAAACACATTTAGAGGCCCTTTAATACATTTTTGTCTTCAGTAATGACGATAGAAAATATATCGACCAGCATCATAAGAACAATAGGAAACTTTAAAAATACCGATGTTTATGAAGTGAAATTTATCCTTTCCGCCGGCATATGAACAAAATCGACAGCACTATCGGCCAGCAGTACGCCATTGTCGGTTTATCATCAACAACACTCACTACACAAGTGTATCAGCCGAAACTAACACTTTCCTCTCAAGTTCCGCTTTTTATTATTATTATTATTATTATTTTTTTCGTGTGGAAAGCATGATCCATGAAACCGTAGCGTACCAGCGGTTCAACCACGAAATACCAGTATCGAAGACTAAATCGGTAGGCAGTATTTAACTGTTAAACCACGATTTTAGCATAAAATACCCTACCTTGATTTTCCCGGTACGGTTTCATGGACCATGGTGGAAAGACGACGCCAAAAGCGTTTTAATTCATATAACTAATAAAACGTTCTTGGATGCCTTTTAGTTCTGCTCTCCTTTTTATTCTTCGTCCAATAGATATCAAGAGAAAATTAGAGATGATGGACCGAACTGATATTTGGACGGGACCGAACCGATCCAAATGGACTGAACGCAATAATGGTCTGGTCCATGATTCGAAGATGTCTTTCTCTAATGGATCACGGTTCTCATGAGTTTGGTCCGGACCGAACCATTGCACACCCCCTATAAATCATCACTCCAATAACCATCTCAATAGTGAGTCACTCTACAAAAATAAAATGAAAAACTAATTCTAAAGGAGACATTCACAGGGCTATAATGACATTTTATGGGCACTTCATATTGCGGTTCGCGAAACCTTCCTAAAGACTATACAAACAAAAGCAGAGAAGACGAGCTGGCGACATTCTTGAAGCAGGGACTACTCTAGATATCCACCACTAAACCTAGGCGAAACTGATGAATCACCACCGTCGAATCACCTTCTAGAAAACGTGAGGAAGTCTTCAGGAAACAATGACTGATAAGGCATCTCTAGCTGCAAGTAGCTCAGTGATGTAGGGATCTAAGTTCCGCTCTAACCACACCTAATAAGTTCTGTGACTTGCTGTCACAGAGGAGGGAAAATGTTCTATGGTGAAATTCTCTAAACTAGACTCTCATAGTCTTATCGAGTAAAAGGTAATACAATATTCAAAAGAGGAAGCTTGACCAAGAAAAAAAAATTAGTTTAAATTATGCTACTTTTATAGAGATTCGTCGAGAGTTCTGCAAACTACAATTGTAGTTGCTTATGCAGAGGTTTTGTGAGAGTTTTCAAACTACAAGATACGACTAAGACTACATTGAAGATAAAGGGGAAAAAAGAAAACTTGACCTAAGATATAAATTATAGACTTCACATTGTCTCTTGTTTTTCGGACAACCCCTCTTATGTATAGCCACGAGATGGATAATGTGATAGGGTAACAGTGTTGAGAAATTGTTCTCCCTTTCTTAAACATCGTTGACATGACGTGGCTTCGACATACGATAAGTAGCAGTTGCTTCCTCAACCACCTAGACACTCCCCGTACTTCGGAATCGGAATCGATACGAAAATTGGATAAAGAAGTGGATATAAGTAGAAGGACTGTTTTGCAAAGTTGTCAAGAGATTTTGCAGTATATCAGGCAAGAAATTAATAAGAGACGTCAGTTCTTAGTTCTCTTTTTGACCCTTTTTTCCCTTTTCTCCTTCATCATCCAAACCGCTTCTTTTTCATTTAGAAGTCCCAGTCGTTTGCCGGCCTCTGCCTGTCTCTCTCTCTCTCTCCTCTGTATCTTTCACGCGTTCAACGGCAAAATATAAAAAAACGGCAATTGGCATATTCTTCCCCTCAGTCCCTCCCTCCAATTCTGCTCTCAAGCTTTTTTGTTCTTCCTTTTGGCCCACACCCACGCACAAATAAGATCCTGCTCCCAGAAAATCTCTTAACTCTGCCATACCACCTAACCAATCTATAACGTTACATCCCACCGAGCTTTTCACTTTTTGTGTTTTCCCTTATACAAATTCAACAAAACCCACTGCCTTCTTTCTTCGATCGTTCTTTCCAAGCTTTCCTCTCTCTATGATCGTTCCCCACGTCCTAATTTGAAAAGGGTTGTTTCAGAATCATCAATCTCTTCTCCGCGAATAATTCTCTCTGCGCCGCAGAAAAGAAGGATCCACATCGTTGCAGTTTACTTGCCGTTTTTTTTGGGTGCTACCCAGGTTGACTTTCTTCTTTTCTGTGGGGGAAAGATCAAATTTTTGGGGCAGGGTGAGAAGAGAAAATGGTGGTGAAGATGATGAGGTGGCCACCGTGGCCGCCTGTTTCGTCGAGGAAGCTTGAGGCGAGAATCGTTGTGCAGAGGCTGGAAGGGCTGAAGCATGATGATGATGATCAATTGGAGAAGAAAACGAAGAGGTTGGTGGTTGAGGTGAAGTGGAAAGGGGAAAAGGGGATTGCTTTGAGGCCATTGAGAAGGAACAGGGCTGTGAAGAGGAATTTGACTCAGGAATGTGTGGGGTTCTGCGCTGATGATGGTGGTGTTGGTTGTTTCCAATGGAATGAGGAATTCACCAATGTTTGCAGCTTTTCAGGTCAAAAGGACGGCATGTTTCTCCCCTGGGAGGTTGCGCTTACTGTTTTCAATGTGAGTAATTTATATACTAATAATGGCAGCAAATTTCTGAGATTTCTCTTTGCTTGATCATTCATGTTCTTCATTCTATGAACTCCTTGATCATCTAGATTTGGATTTTCTTTCTTTGATTGATTCATCTTGATGAAAGAGTCAATGGGTTCTTGCCATCGTTGACCTGACATATTGAGGAAATGGTTGATCCCCATCACCACAACTAAGAGTTGACTTGCAACTACATAGCAATTTTTTGAAGATTCTTTGTTTGTTCTTCTTTTATCTTTCTGTTTTGCTTTCCCTATTTTATTGCTTTAGTTTGTTCAACTTCTGTAGGCACTTATCTCTGACATTTATGTTGGGCATGAAGCTTCCCGGTATGAGTGGCATGTCTGTCTGTCCATTTCCTGGGGGTCAACTTTCCTTTCTAAATGCAACTTTGGCCTGCATATCATGAATGAATTGCATTTATAATAGGCGGAGAACTGTACAATAAGGAGAAGAAGAAGAAAAAAGAAAGGATAAGATCAAAACAGAGAATATGAACATGGTGTGATAGGTATTCAATTCAATTGGGGCAAAATCTGGAAAAAGTTCAGAAACTTTTTGTTGTTGAATAGTAACTGTGGAGTAATAAGCTTCACAGAATGTGAGTGTTGCTGTCAGCCCAAGTTCCTGTCACCCGCTCGTTTCACAGGTGACAATTACTGGCACATATTCTTTGGGGATCCATGGAATTCCTCACTTCCTCTCTCTCTCTCTTCCATGGTCCCACAAATACAAAATTCCCTCACTCTAAAACTTTTTTTTTTTGTCTGCTCGTGGTTAGCTGAGTGAATGAGTGGTTCCACCTTTTTATTTACTGCAATAATGAGATTAACAGTTCCTTGCCTTATAACGGGGCTGTTGATTCAGGTTACCAGTGAAGAAGGATCAGAGAACAAATTGCAGGTCACTGGGACTGCTGTGATAAACCTTGCAGAATTTGTTTCAACAGCCACTGATAAAGAGCTTCAAATTCATTTGCCTCTAACACCTCCTACTGCCAGTCCTCCTCAAGGGACTAGCAGTCTTTTGCTTCATGTGAGATCTTGTTCTTCTGAAATGAGCTTGAGTTTATTTTAAAACCCAGTTTAGCATCTATTCTAGTTTCTACCCAGACTCAGGAATGATACTTACCTACGTTTCTGTTTGACTACAATGCAGACATCTCTTGGGTTGACAGAGTTAACAACCGTAGGGCCTCCATTGCAACAAGTTCAAAGCTCAATGGTGCCTCTTGAAAGGACAATCTCTTGTCTGCCATCCTTGGGACACACCAATGAGCTTACTGGTCTGAGAGCCCGCCTCAGAAATGTCAGGCTCTTGCAAGGTGGCGGTAAGAAGAGGCATTCGTTTGGGGAAGAGACAGTCAATACTGATGCAGCAGCAGTGAATAACATGTACTCCGATGGAGGAGAGTCATTCCGGAATGATGAAGCAGCTGCTGATGGTAGAGAATTGGAGACAAGGGCTGACAACGGTTCTCAGCCATCGCCGAATTATGCAGTAGCATTGGCCTACACAAATTTCGCTCAAGGGTCAGCACTGACAAACATGATGAGTGATGGAGAAGGTGAGGAATGGTCGGATTGGATATACTTCAACAACAGAAAGCTGGATTCCGGAGGTGGATCCTTCCAGTCCGAGCAATCATCAGCTGAATCAATCTTCCAAGAACAGCCTTTGAAGGAGAGGCTGAAGTCTAGACTCTTCTTGCCTTGGAGGAAAAGGAAACTTGGCTTTGGATCTTCCAAGGTCAAAGTTAAAGGAGAACCTCTTCTAAAGAAGCATTATGGGGAAGAAGGTGGCGATGACATTGATTTTGATCGCAGACAGTTGAGCTCCTCATCCTCTGATGGATCTAGTTTTGGGGTATGCCAATCTTCTTTTACTGTTGTTTTGAGTTTCATTTGAGGATGATTAAAATTCATTTAAAAGTAATGTGAGACTTCTCCTCTCTTTTTTTTTCCTTCTTATTTGGCAGGGGAGTAAATCAGAAGAATGTTCCACCACAAGCAGATCATCATTCTCTGACTTTGGAGATAATGGCTGCTTCTCTGTAGGCAGCTGGGAAGCAAAAGAAGTGGCGAGTCGAGATGGGAAAATGAAGCTCCAGGCACAGGTCTTCTTTGCATCAATTGATCAAAGACATGAACGGGCTGCAGGAGAGAGTGCTTGCACAGCTCTGGTTGCCATCATTGCCAACTGGTTACAGTCCAACCAATATGAAGAAGTCCCAATCAAGTCGGAGTTTGATGACCTGATCAGGAGCGGATCACTGCAATGGAGAAACCTCTGTGAGAATGAAGAGTACAGACAACGGTTTCCTGACAAACACTTTGATCTAGAGACCATCCTTCGGGCGAACATATGCCCGCTCTCTGTAGTGCCTGAGAAGTCCTTCGTAGGGTTTTTCCATCCAGAAGAGCTGGAAGGAGCAGCAGAGAATTTCAACTTCCTTCATGGCGCCATGTCCTTTGACAGCATCTGGGAGGAAATCAGCCGTAACAACAGCTTACCTGCTTCTGGTGAGCCTTTCGTCTACATCGTGAGCTGGAATGACCATTTCTTCATCCTAAAGGTGGATCTGGATGCATACTACATCATAGACACTCTAGGGGAGCGGCTTTTTGAAGGATGCAATCAAGCATATGTCTTGAAGTTTGATAAGGACACTACAATTGAGCTTATTCCAAAACCAACTAAAGCTTCTTTAGACGAAAAATCCACCACCAAGGACAAGGCACAATCAACAAACAGCAGCAACTCGCATGGAGAGAAAAGTGCAGCAGCTCAAGGGACCATTGCCTCGAACTTAAGTGACACAGAAAAGGCTGAGACGGACAAGAAAATTGCGTGGCGAGGAAAGGAGGCTTGCAAGGAGTATATTAAGAGCTTCCTTGCAGCCATTCCGATTAGGGAGTTGCAGGCAGATATCAAGAAAGGGTTGATGGCGTCTACCCCTCTCCATCACCGCCTGCAGGTGGAGTTCCACTACACTCAACTGACAACTACACAGGCTGCTGCGGTTGGATTTGTGTCAACTGTTGGCCCAAAGGATGTTGAGCTTCCAGCATCATTAGCTCTCGCTGTCACTGTTGCTTAGAACATACTCTGTACTCTGCGGAGCTCAAAGAGCTCTGCTAGTTTTAATCGCCTTTGTACTCTGGTTTCTTTTTTTGATGTGGTTGAGATGAATAAATCAGAAATGGTATAGCAATTTCGGATGAATGGATACTTTGTAAATAACTTCAACTTCAAGCAACAAGTGCTGCTCAATAATATCATAGGACTTGTTACTAATACTAATACCAACCTACTGATGAAAAGTGGAAAGAAAAATGAGGATCTTTCATTTCAGTCATCCACTTTTGTCATATTTGACTCTTCATCTTCAGCCATCTTCAAGCCCACTCTGCGAAGATGAACTCGGGGTAAACAAGAGCAGCTTATTTGTTGTTGGTGGAGGCACAACTTCAGTGCCATAAAAGTTTATCTGGACCAACTTCACAACTGAAAACCTCCGTCCCTAATTGTGAGTTGGCCAGAGCTGAGAAACAAGGTTGACTACTCCCCACATCGGTGCATCATTCTGAAACATGCAAATTTTGAAAGGCAATGAGCACTTCTGGAACACATTTTATTTACATCAACGGTCAGGGACAAGTCTACCGTGTTCATATCTCATTGTCAACTCACCAGGTACAGAACATCAAATGCTTTACTGTATCCGGCAATATTGTTCTCTATGTTGTCATTCCTGAAACAGAATATGAAATCAGCGAAACACACGTTCCCCATCATATAAAATGTGGTTAAATGTGAAATAAAGAGGATTCAAATACTAGTCTGCTACATAATTAATTCAAGTGAAAGCAAAACTAAGAATTAAGTGCAAAAAAAAAAAAAACAACTGCAAAGGTGACCTGTAATAACTACTCTAACGGAATATAACTCAGGTGCTGGTTTATATAGAATACTACTATACAAGTAAGAAAGGTGACTATAGTTTACAGTACTCACAGGAATCCAACAGAAATTCGAGTGCTGTAGTCCAAACCATCAGACATTCTTAGGTCTCCCAAATGATCACCAAGAAGGAGCACGTTGGTTCTATCTTTAACCGATGCACCTAGATTGTTTAAGCCATTGGAGTCCCCAAGATGCTCATGAAGAGGGCCCGCCATATCAAGAGCATGCTCGTTTTTATTTAGACTATGAATTAACTTCCCTGCAAACATGCTCTAAAATCAAAATGACTATCATGTAGTAGCCAGAGAGCATTGATGTGACCTAAATCAATAATTTTGCATGACTTCAGCATCCAAATAGGAGAAAGAGACCACCGACATGCAGATGAGAATATGACAACAGGCCGGTCTATGCAGTCAGAAAAAGAAATGAACTGCATGGAGTTAATAAACACGGAGCTATTGAATTCCTATAAGCATTTTCTGCCTCTTTGATTGACTTGTTTCTCATTTTGAATGAGAGGAAGTGTACAAACATGAATAGTTCCTCCGTATGAGTTTTTTCTGTTATGGAAGTGTACAAACAGAAGGGAGCAATTGCAATTCAGTGATAAGAGCTTGAGATCAAGCATATCACGACAATTAAATTACACAAAATTTTAGCTAATCATAATAGTCTATGAAGACATTGAAGATACACTACCAAGGACAAAGCGAATATCCTGAAAGTCTAAGCCACAGGTGTCTTGCCAACACGACTTGAAATTCCATGAGAGGCAGAAAGGACGGAGATTACACCTTTGAACGAAATGAGCCGTCCATCACTGTTGAATTCCATTCTATTAGACACAATCCTAACATTTTTGAAAGGTCGATGAATCTTCTGCCTCAGAACCTGAAACAATCAAAACAAGTATGGCAGTTAACTAAACACCGTGTCTATGATAAAAGCTGCATAACCAGTACTATTGCAAGAAAGCAATTCAACTAACCTCTTCTATGATATCTGCAAGCCCTGCTGAAAATATGAGAACTGGAATGTCCCTTTCCTATATACAAGAGAGAGTAAAAAACAGAGAAAAGTGAATAGCTTCAAGAAAAAGTCACAATCGAAGGAAGGTTCATGTCTTCGGCTCAACTTCACATGTCTACAAAATGCCTTATTCTATGCAAGCTATCATAACTCCTAAAGGCTGTCAAGGTTTGTTCTTGAGATTATTACAGTCAATCTCAATCAGTTGACAGTAATGTTCCATAATAATTCTGATTAGTGAATACTGAATAGCTTCCCCCCTAGAGAATTTATGTTGTCAATGATTCAACACTATACAGGCTACGAACAAAATTCTAACTTTGAGCATTAGGCTCTAAAGCCTGGCAAACTCTAGGAGACAAATACAAGTTTTATCATGTTTACAAAATCTCCCTACTGAGAAACTGCAATACTCTTCTATTTTCGTAACAAGGGACCAACTCCTAGAACACTGCAATACTGTATCTAAAATCATTAGCTCCCATAATCACAGAGCTTTACCTCCAGAAACTCAAACAGTTCAACTACTCCCTCCCTGAAAGCAATTTCCGAGGCAGCAACAGACTCTTTAATAGAATCATATGTAAGACCTCCCTCAATAAGAAGGTTATGCGTTTTCCCCCACCTGGATCATCGGAACAACTACTTCGTTAAAGTACTGGTAAACACAGTGGCGGTTACTGCGAGGCAACCAATTCTACTGTCCTCAATCAACGGGATCCACTTTAGCCTCCCTTCAAACTCAAGAAAGAGAAGGGAATGCATACCACTCTTCCATGAGCTTTGTCTTCTCTTCTATGGGGATAGAAGGGGAGAATTCCAAGGGGTGATAGTACTGATACAAAGCCAGCCTCTTGGCGTCATACTCGGCATTCTCTTGACGCAAAAGGCCATGACTGCCTGCTCAAAAAGAACCATCAACAACATTCTAGAAGAGGGTTCCATAAGTGAACTTATGAATTTTAAGTTAACTAACGTAACTGTCGCCTCTGCGGCCATTCACAATGTACTTGGTAAGCGTCGCGTCGAAATCTGCTATCACCTGCAGAGTCCCCAGAAAAACCGAAAATTCAGCCAATTCTTCAAACCCTATATATAGAGTAATCAGGGGAAAAGAAGAAACAAAAGGGAATGCAGTAACCTGGAGTTTAGCAGGGCCAGCTAAACGAATTGCTGCAGCTTTCTCCTCCAGCAGCGAAGGGTCGTCCACCACCGTGACTTTGGAAACGTCAGGGACGACTCCATGGGCGTTCATTCTGCGCAGAGTATTACAGGAACTAACAGCGCCAGTGCCGGACCTGCGGAAGAGATGGGGAAACAGAAACAACGCTGCGTAAGTTGGAGCGGCGTGGAGGGAAGCGCGACGGCAGCAAAAGACAGATAGAGAAATAGGAGGACCTGAAATTGGAGGAGGAGAAGCAGATGGTGGAAATGGGGGGCTTGAAGAAGGCCGGGAACCGAGTGACGGCGAAGAATTGGCTGCTCTGGCGGAGTTGGAGGATTCTGCAGCTGCTCATTTGATTGAGAGCTAATCCTGCTTACTGTTCTGTACCCGCATACCATAATCTCCCATTTTATGTTACTTTCATTCTCAGTTAGTTCGTTTTTCGATTGATGCCTCGTTTGATCCCTCAACTTCCCATACTTCCCACTTTGAGCCTCTCTCAAGTCTCTTCTCTTATTGTCAACCTGCAGGTTCAGCCCAACCCTTTGGGCCGGTCTAGTACGATTTAGTCTGAATATATGAAAAAATCATTATATTCTAAATACAATTTTAAATTATATTAAGTATCATTAACATATCAGTAGTAGCATAGCATATATAGATCATTACACCAAAATAACAATTCGTATTTGGACTCAACATATAGGAAAAATTCAAACATATATAACATCAATATTCAAATGTTCAATTTTGAATTCCAAAAATAGGATTAGGTGAAGGGAAAAACTGAAAAAGAGGCGTGAGCGTGTGGCACAAGTTTTTCTCACCGGGTCCGAGTCAACCCGCAAGTCGCCCCATAGGTTGATGACCTTGCTCCTATGTGAGTAAGGATGAACAACAGTAGATTTAGTCCAAAACCATACCGAATCAAGATAGGATCGCTCTAAAATCAAATGAAATCAAGAATCAGAATAGGACCAAAAGCATCTTTGGTTCGACAGAGTCCAATCCAAATTTAGTATCGGTTTACTTTCTTTTTTTTATTATACTTAACACTAATAAGATGGAAACCGAATCATAATATATTTAATCCGATTCGATTACTCCACCAGGGCAAACCAGAAGTTCACTGTAACCCACCTGAAAACTCCATAAACCAAGAGTGATATATGTATAGTAAGCTGGAAACCGTAACTTTTTTTTGCAGTAGCCTTCTAGTCCTATATTGACTGTTGAGATTTAAGAGTAACAATTCACTGGAAATAACTTCATTAAATATTCAGTTTAAGAACTATTATATTCAACCAAGAACAGGTATTTTGGTGACAGCCTTATGTTCGAAGTTCCATTTCGCATCATACAACTGTTCACGTGGTAGGCCTCAACGTTCATTCTGTCTACTATCAAGTTGCAACCAACTAGTCTAAAAAATGTCAAACAAACCATCTTCCTTTGCTGAAACTGGATCCTCGTTCTTACCCAGCCTGCTCATCACCGCTATACCTGATAAGAGAAACAAAACAAGGGTTTGGATCAGATATGAACTTTCAGATGCACCATTCTGCGTTCTGACCCAAATGTTGCATGAGCAGAATACAATCTGTAACCTTCAACTATTCTGTAGAGCCGACCAGCATCTTTCTATGCAGACATCAGGCTGCCGGAGAGTGTCATCTAATCACTTGGCGATGCTTACCATGAAGGCTGCAGAACTCCCTGAAGGGTTAAGACAGCATCTGCCGCTCTCCTGAGAATGCCGTTGCCATTTCCAAGAATCAAACTTTGAAGATAATTGGTGGAAGAAGTGGAAACTAACAGCTAATGCAAACTGAACAGCAGTTATCCATCTCGAGGAAGTAAACCATTTCCTCTGCCCATCAAGGTTCTTAGGTCTTTTTATTCCCCCCTTAACCTTGCTCTTTTTGGTCCGTCAAACACCAAGTTGAGCAAGTATTGAGCATTTGCTGATCCAGTACTCTGGACCATATTATAGAATGCACTTTCTTCATTTGACAGCAGCTCCTGCGGACTAGCATGCTCTTTTACCTAAAAAAATAGACAAAGTAGAAGCTCGTTATACTAATCTAGACTTCCTTACAACCTGTTTGAATACGAATCGATAAGAAACGAAAATGAAAAATCATTTGCAATTCAATATTCTGATTCTTGTATACAGAATAATTCTCACAATTATGAAAACAACTTGTATTTTTTATAATAGAACAATAATTAAATAAGGTTCTTATGTAGGGAAAAACAATGTGAGAGAAAGAAGATAACTTGAAAGATCAAAAACATTATAATTTTTAGTGGTATCTACAAATTCCATTTCCATAATCCGCAAATCCCGTAGGAACCCTAATTCCAAGTTCTTAGGCCAAACAGAATTGCATATCCCTGACTCTTCCTCATTCAAAACAGAGAAATTGAATTTGTTCTAACAACTTGGTTTGAGAGAGCTTACCCGACCATCATCAAGCACGAGAATGCGGTCACAATCTATTATCGTATTAAGTCTGTGAGCAATCACAAGCATTGTGCGAGACTTGAACTCTTCTCTGATTGTTTTCTGTATGAGAGCATCAGTTCTCACATCAACAGCAGCTGTTGCTTCATCAAGTACAAGTATCTTAGACCTTCGCAGCAATGCTCGAGCAAGACTCAATAGTTGTCTCTGTCCAACACTGAAGTTCTCCCCTCCCTCCAGAACCTTTACACAACAGATATTCTAAGGTCAGTAATCAGTATACAGTTCATTAGCTTATAGCAGAACCCAATTTTGTAAATGTTTCTGTATTTCCGGATTTAAAGATATAACCTTGTGGTTTTACTAATAACTAATATATACAATCTGACATGTTTTTAATCAATAAAGGCACATGCCCAGTTGCCGTGTTGATTTTATGTTATACATACCTCAGCATCCAGACCAAGAGGATTGCGCCTTATGACATTCCTTAGATGTGCCCTTCCCAGTGCCTCCCAGAGGTCAGCATCATTATGTTCACTAAATGGATCCAGATTGAGCCTCACAGTTCCTGTACCCAGACAAGATTTAGATCTTCGGATCCAATTATGAATCCTGGTCAAACTAGGAATGGGATTCGGCTATGGACCATTTCTTTGCGCTCCTTACAACGTATTTTTAAGTGTAACACATAAGTTTCTTCACGTTGGTTAATGACTATAAGGTCATAAAAAAATGGTTAACGTGTAGGAATAAATCTTCGCCATCCATAAAAAACACAGAAGAAAAAGCTGGAGGTTAGAACTTAAGGATCAACAAGCTTATACAAATGTGGTGCAGACTTATCAGAGAAAAGGGCAGTTTGGGCTGTCGAGGTTGCTTACCAGAAAAAAGGACAGGTGCTTGTGGTATGATAGTAAGAACTTCCCTTAGATTCATGAGTCCAATTTTCCCAACATCACACCCATCAATCATGATCTGTCCCCTCTCAACCTCCACAATTCTGAACAAAGCATTCAGCATACTGGATTTCCCTGCTCCAGTTCTTCCAACCACGCCCAGCTTCTCATTCGGAGCAACCACGAACGACAATCCATGCAACACCGGCGGAAGTTCTGGTCTGTAACGCAGGACAACATCCAAGAACTCGACTGAACCTGAAGAAGGCCAGCCAGGAGGCGGACGATTGCTTTCGATAACTGCCGGAGCCTCTGAAGGCAACTCCATGTACACGCCAACGCGCTCGACAGCATTGAAGCTACTCTCAGCTCTACTCGCCTGTCTCAGAACTCCGCTCAACACACTGCTGATGTTCAGGGTGTAGGTCAGCAATAGACCCATGGTAGAAGCGAATGCTACCCTGTTCTCAGCTTTTTGATTACCCAAGACTGCGAATGTGGCTATCAACCAGACCATGACTCCCCCAAGTATTTCCAGTCTTATGGCGAGCCAGCCATTAGAGCTGATGCTTACGAGGGTGAATCTGATATTGTTGTCCATCATTTTGTCGTTGATGGCCACGATCCGGTCGTAGGCCTTGTACGCACGAATGCTGGACAGCCCATTTAATGCTTCTCCGAATTGTGCATATACTGGCGATCTGGTGATGGAATCCAGGCGTTTCACTTCACGGGATGTGGTCTGTAATATATGCATACAGATGCAGTTATTCACATTTCTCTAGCAGGTCGTTTGGCTGGGTGTAAGTGATGTTTGTGGTAGCATGCAGAAAATACCTGGTAGTATAGACAGGCTAAACAAAACAAGATAAGTAGCGGCATTATGGCCCACAACGAGAGAGTGCTCAGGATGCCTATTAAGGCAAATGTGGAAAGGAGCTGCCAGACTTGTTTCAGAAACATGTTGGCAACACCGGCAACAAAGCGATCGATTTCCCCAAGATCCTTTGCAAACCTGTTAATCACTCTTCCTAGTGGATTGGTGTGGAAGAACAGCATTGGAGCTCGTAAGAGGCTATCTAGCATGGAATCATGGAGTCTTTTTGCTGCATGTAGGTTTGAAGTGATCACCCAATAAGAGTTTCCCAGTGTAACACTTACCTGATACCAAAAACAGAACACGAGGAACGGTCGGAATGGTAATAACAATTCTCCCTTTTTCGTTTTTACGACAAGCAAATAGATAGAATTGGACTTCTCATATGTTTGTATTGGAAAAGAAGAAAGTACGTCGTCCGACAAACCTGACCCAGTGACAGGAGCGCATAAATGGAGAGGAAGAATGGGAGATTATAACTTCCAGAACTGCTGTGATTCGTCCAAATGCTTAACCATTGACTGCTTGAAATCCGAAGAACTTCAGTCAATGTGTAGCAAGTGAACAGTACCACGATCACCAGTGTGCCTCCTAATGCATTTATGTACCTGTAAGCAAAAACAAACATCAACATACAGGACTTGACTTAATTTTTTATTCATACTTTTAAAGGTCATTTGATTTGGTTGGGTTTGCTTGGGAGAATGATATTTGCAATAACATGCAATTGGTCACACGAATAGAGTTTTTGCTGCACGTGCAATTGGAAATGCACTTTAAGAAAGGGTTATAGGTATAATATGCCCCTCTACTATGACGTTTTATCAAACATGCTCTTCTACTATCTTTTACATCAAACATGCCCCTGTACTTTGTAAAAATGATCAAACATGCCCTTTTGTTTGAAGTAGTGGGTATGTTTGTCTTCACTGATTCCAACACAAATGCACTGAACCAAACGGTATTTTGCAAATACACCTCAAATAATAATACCATGAAAATGAATAACATGCATTAAAGACATATTACAATTTACCCAAAGCATTCAACTTTTACCTGTTCAAGACTTTCCAACTGAGAATGCCTGTCTCCCTTTCCTCTTGCTTGATGAGCATGGACTCCCCTCTTTTCTTTCTCTTATTTTTATGGCCTGCTGTATTTTGTGTCAACTCGTGCACTCCATTGGTCGTGGGTTTCGACCTTCCATGCTCAGCATTGGAGCTATCCCATTCTTCTTCCTCCACCTCCTTTTCTTGCATTCCTTCCGTCTTCCCAGCATTTTCCAACAGCTTTTGGAATAACGTGCCACTTCTAGAGAGCTCCTCAAAGGTCCCTTCCTCCTTCACAGTTCCTTCGCTTACAACAATGATCTTATCCACTTGAGGAAGGAAATGTAGCTGGTTCGTCACGAGAACCCTAGTTTTGCCTTGCAACTCTTCCTTGATGCATCTGTTGAATACCTATGAAAAAATATCTCAAGAAATAAATCATCAAGCTTGAATACTATCCAACAGAATGAGAGAAATCATGATGTTAAATCCCTACCTGGTGACCAACATGAGCATCTAGGGCACTCAAAGGGTCATCAAATATGTATACATCTGAATTGGAGTAGATGGCTCTTGCCATTGATACCCTTTGCTTTTGACCACCACTGATATTCACTCCTCTTTCTCCTATCTCTGTGAGATCGTGGCCCTGAGGAACTAACAAGAGGAGGATGTTAATGTAGGCCATCCATTTTAAAGGGCATTTGCCAAATAGGAGAAAAGAAAAGGTTTACGAAATTCACTTAACAGGAAGTATGTCGAGATCATGGTGTAATGCAGTCACATCAATTGTTCTCCAGTATCGTTCAGGTTCATATGCAGATCCGAACAATATGTTGTCACGCAACTGGAACAATGAACAGATCAATGTAAGTGCATGTAACAAATAGATGATGATAAAAGAAAAATAGAGAAGAAAGGAGGGCACAACTCACAGTAGCATTGAAAATCCAAGAAACTTGAGGGACATAAGCAACAGTTCCTCTAATTGCAACACTAGTATCTGCTACAGCAGGCAGTTCTCCAATCATTGCTGAGACAAGTGAAGTCTTTCCTTCTCCAGTCCCACCAACAATCGCTACTAAGCTTCCAGCTGATACATCTAGATTGATATTCGACAATGTAGGCTTCACTGCCTGAGAGGCACAAGTTTAAGGGTGAAACCCGAAAGCCACACAGAAGCTTTGACAACAGTAAGGGCAGATTCAGAACTAACTAAAAAAATCAAAGCTACAACATTGTGCCATCTGCCACGAAATTTAATTTATGTTGTATCATTATACCATTGAAAACTGCATAAGCTACCAGATGGGAATGAATAAATAACTCAAAACTAGCTTGTATGTCACTGACAACGACCAAAATTTATCATGGTTGGTAGAAAACAAAGAGATCGACCTTTGACTCCCACGAAAAGTATCCATCTCTGATAGAGATGGCTGGAAGTCCTGGTTCAAGTGGTGGATTCAACGCCAGAGTTCTCTCCTCAGCCATAAATAGTTCCTCCAGACGTTGGATGGAAACATTTGCAGTTACAGCCTTCAAAAAGATTAGATAGTGCAAATCTGGTCATGACAGGAAACAAGCATGCTATATGGTACCCAGCAGAAGTTACATATACTTCTCATACTCACTTCCATTTAACATGCGAGAAACAACGGCTTTTAGTGAACAAGATTCTAAATGTTAATAGTAAAACATATGGCCTGGTGATTTTTATTAGCAATTCGGCTAAAAGCCACAGTGAAGAGAAAATGACCGACCTGGCTTAATAAGTTAGGAAGCATGTTCAAAGGAGACCGTAGCAATTGAAACAGAGAGAGTGATGTAAATGCCCTCGCAGGTGTCAAATCTCCACCGAGCAAAGTGAAAGTTCCAAATGAAACCAATGTCACAACAACTGGTATGCTGTTGAGCAGAAAAGTATTGAACTGCAATAGAAGGCAACGAATCAATAAACCATACAGTTTCTGTACAATATATCAGAACAGCAAATTCCAAATTCGGGTTTATGATGGAAATGCAAGCAAGCATAGAGCGGTAAGAGAGTGTGTGGGCCATACAGCAGCAAGCAACTGGGCGCCACGAAACCATAACAGCTCATCATTCCGTACGCCTTGAACTCTATTCTGAAAGCTTCTCTCCCAAGCATAACATCTGAAAAATGTTAGAGCAAGTCATCAAACTGTCTTCGAACTAATGATGCATTGACAAGATTAATTAATAACAAATTACTTCACAGTCTCCATTGCTGCAAGGATTTCATTCATGAGGCTGACTCTCCTATCTGTCCTTTGCAACCCTTCCTTGGTTAGTTTTCTCATTTTGCTGATCACAACTGTCTATTGGTATTCCCTGATAGCGTTGTTAGGCATTTCAACCGGAGAAGGTACCAATTGGGGACAAAGGGATATTTAAAGGATACATTCAAAGTTCTGGATTAGAATAAACTCACACGATTACCTGTACAGGAATCATGAGAACGAGGAGTAACGATCCAAGGAGAGAAGCAACACCCAATTGCTGGTAGAGAAGGACCATAGACAAGGTGATTGTGAATGGCGCCGACCACAGATTATGAAGTTGTTGGCATATTAGCTGAAATGTAATAATCAAAACATAGGTTCCAACCACGTTGATTGCTTGATGATTCGGCATTTCATTATTCATGTCCCTTAGTTCAAAAAAATTATCAGATTAAACATACCTGGATTGCATTGGCATCTGTAGTGATCATATTTGTGATCTTCCCGCTCGGAAAGTTCTTGCGGGCCTCGTGAGTTAGTCTCAAGGATTTACGGAATATGGCAGCCACCTGCATGACAAAGGATGAGCTCCATCAGGCAATACTTCATATCCATCAGAAAAGGAAAAACCCATACTATATGACAAAACAGAAACCTTACCAATGTTGATCTCAGGCGAAAACCAACGCGCATCACATTCTGAAAGTATTGGGATTCAAAGAGCACCCCGAACGACTGAATGAATAAACAAAAGAAAAATTAAGCAACACAAAAGACATATGGGTGAGCCACACATTCAATGCTATAATCATTTAAAAATTCCATATTAGAGAGAAACAATTACCAAACTTATATGAAGGCAACATAAACTGGATGAGCCAACGATAAAAAAAATAAAGAAAAATTATAGTAATATATAATGGTAGTATGGTACTGCAACCCTAACCAATGATACATAAGCATAATGTAGCAAACACAGAGACAGCTGATCAAATTAGACATCAAAATCTGAGTTGGCTTGGCTTAGGATGGATAGGATTAGTTGGTTTTAAGATCTCAGAGAAGCATTTATTGGTCTTTCGTGGCATGACTTAACCCACAATGAGAGCCAGCAATTCATGCAGTTATTTCAGGCTCCAAGCAGTTCAGTCTTCCTACCTGCTCCACTTATGTCGGGCTGGTTGTCATCTTACTCCTTTGCCAACGTTTTCTAAAATCAGTTGTTGAATTCATGACAAAAGGACTAGATAGATTATAACACATGAGGGTAACGTTAAAAGACTCCCCAGCAGCACAAGACGCCAACCAAATGGAGATTTATAAAGCAATGAAGATTGATATGGCAAACATAGTTTCGCCCTTCCATGTAATGTCTTTGTCAGCAAGACAGCAACAAAATGTTTCTCCTACACTTGCACTAACTATATTAAGCCAACTTATATATGTTCAATGGAAGTACGGAACATGAGATAGAATCATCCATACCACACCAACAAAAATCGAGAAAGCATATGCATAACCAATCCAAGCAGGATCCCCACGTTGCATTGACTGCAGAAAGGAACATAAGAACTTAAAAACGTGCAATAACATCAAAAGGAAGAAGATGATAGAATCAGAATGATGTCAGAGCTCAATAATTAATCAGACATTTGTACCCTAAGTCTTAAAGAAAACTTTTGTGGTCCAAAAAAGTAAAGGTCTCATCAGTTATTCCCATAACAGAAAACACCTATATTTTGCAGTTTTTTTCCATACATATTCTTTCAGTGACTTGAAACATACTAGTAGTTGGCCTGTTTTAACCACCTGATTTTGTAGGATCACCTAACAATCCACATCATAGTTATTTTCAGGAATAGCACAAACATAGAGATTCTGTATTAAAATCTAGGCTATGATAAGAGAAAGCAAACCTGTAAAAGATGGTTCATGATAACAGGACCCACAAATTGAGAAAGATCATTGCCGATCTACATTAAGTTCAGAATGGTCATAGCCACCATATCAGTTATGCAATTAGTGAAACTTCGAAGCAACTGCTCCATCAGACTTTAGTGCCGAACATCATATTCATATTTAATTATTTATACAAGTATGAGCCTATTACCTTAAAGAGTCCCGCCAGCCAAAACCTACAGAAAGAATGTGTATAGATTAAATTCATACCAAGAAGGCCCTAGTTTTAAATGACACAAGATAGTGAACTAGCTATTTGCCTCGGAAGAAAAACATGGAAAGGAGGAGATCAAAGCAGGTAACTTTATACCTTCCACCAAGGCTATTATTTAGAGCTCTTAACAACCATGGGTTCTGCTTTTTAGATTCTTCACCCCAGCACTTCAGGAACCTGTCAACGTTAGACAGGTACACAACATTATGCAAGTGGCAGACGTTTGGCACACTAAACTGGAGAGAAGCAAACAAACCACAAACTTAATAATCAGCGTTTCAGTCTGATCCCATGCATCTAACTTCCAGACATCCTTTTCATTGATGGGTTTCTTGAAGCCTTGCCGCATAAGTGGGGTCATCCATCCAAAATACATCCCTAACACACATCAGTGAAGTCAGTAGCTATCAGTGAGTAACTGTGAAGTCCATGACTTCTATTTATTTAAGAGAAAACCAGCCAAACAAGGGGACACTTACAGGAAAAGATATTCACGTGCCTCTCAGGACATATTTTCTCTTCCCCAAGGAGGGCCTCATACCCAACATTGTCATGGGGCTCGGGTTCCAACATTACATAAGCAGGATATGGATCCATTGTGGGCACATGAATGAAAAGAAGAATTCCAAATAAAACCTGATACAACAGAGCATGGTTACAAACCAAACCAAGATTGTTTACAGAGGTGAGAAAGGAATTATATGGCAGAACCATAAAGGAAAAGATTCCTGCGAAAAGAGCATAAGCCTTGTTGTGTATCAAATGGCTTGACCTAAGTCCACTGCTGCTATAACTAGGGCCCACAAAATGTTCCAAATCCGAAGAAACCGTGTTTCTGTTTACAGCCTATCTTCATCACGATTTTTCTCTGCTACCCAGTACAAGCGAACCACCAATAACAAGCTACTATATTCATGCTGCAAATGAACTATAATAACTTGTTTGGTTCACAATCAGACAGCATGAGGTCAAGTTAGTACCAAGCTGCATATAGAGGGCACAAGAATCTCGAATAGGCTACAAAAGAAAATAAAAAAGAACTAGCTGAAAGGCGACACTTGTGCAAAGGAGGGCACAAACCTTGCAGATAAATGTGCCCACATACATGTAGAAGGCCAATCTGCATGAAAATCAACAGTCATTGTGGTTCACCTTCAAATATATATATATATATATATATATATATATATATATATATATATATATAACTGTTTAAATTAGAAAAAGGAACAGAGCAGACTAACACAAAGAACAGTGTAGAAGCTTACCTGGTGATGTAATCACTCGCTGCCAGAATGAGATTGAGCACTACACATTCCGCTGTCAACACATAAATGGCTCCAAATCTCACGTACCATCGGAATTCAAAGATATATATTTTAATTTCCAAGCTGATCATAAAAAGCATGGAGCACCAGGAGAGGGCCTCAGTGACCAAAGAAAACATCTGAAGGCCACAAAGAACAAAGTCCAAAATAACAAAACATTATTTGGTAGGACATTTTAGTAAAATAGATGATATGCATGTGCTGCTCTCTTCTGCGAAGTACTGATTTCCATGTATGGTCAGCACCAACATTATCACATAACTAAAGGCAGCAAAGTACACTTTTTGAAGGGATATAGGATTGTCATTTAGAGGTGCTGGATAATCATATCTTCTCTGACCATACTCAAATGCCAACAGTTCAATGGCACATATATACATTTAAACTTGGAAAGCATACATAAAACTCAAAGAAACTTTTTTAACAAAGACAAGTCTTACCTCAAAGGGAGCCAGACCAGTCTCTCCCTCCATTTTAAAGGTTGAAATATCCATCACCAGCCTGAATATAGGTTCAGCTGTACAATAAGCAGCAAACCACCCCAGTATGTAGTTGTAGTACTTTGTCTTTAGACAGTACTTCTGAATTTTCGTATCCTTAATCAACCACATTCGGTAGATGCATAGACCGAACAGTGTCAAATATGATGTACAAATCACTAGAGAATCAATCGCACAAGGGGTGTAAGCTCCAAAGGCAGTGTCCAGTTCTTTTGCCCATAATCCATTGGCCACTGGTTTACAAAACCAAACCAGCGGCTGCCAGGAAGCCATCTTAGCAAATAACCCTACAGGAGTGAAAAATAGATGAGTACACACGACATCCAACTTCATAAGAACGATGAAAAACTGTGAACCCACTCCCCCATATTGATTTCCAAGGACAGTACACGACAATGTGATACTGATACATATATTTCAAGGATTAGAATTTCAGATACCCAAGTAACTCAAGGACACATTAATTAGTTAGCAGAACGATAAGAAAAGCACCAGAATTCTAATGCCAAAGAACGGTGGATGTTTCAGTTCACAAAATGATCCAGCAAGTACACTCCAACACCCCTCTTTAACAATCCTCAGGAACTCCAACTCGTCCAAAGTGCGATTCCACTGTTAACATAAAACTGAGGAGAAAAGCACAAGTAAAACGAGAAACAAATATGACAGGACAACAGCCATCTTGCTTACTGAAAATATCAAGTTTTTAGCATTGATCAAGATACACAGGCTACATACCACAATTAAATTCTTGGCACGACCAAACACAGGAAAATGGCTGGCAACAAGAACATTCTGCAACTAACAATAACCATGGAAGTGAAGCAAGGAGACCAAGGAAATCAATATCGAAAACTTTCCGAAATCCTGAAAAGTTTTCAGAACGCTTCAGAGGGTGTCTGAAAGCAGTGGCAGAGAGTGTGAAGTTATGCACTTCTTAGCATGATGGCTGGCTCCACAGGTATATATACGTCTTATCTTTGAAACGACTTTCAGACCTGAAATCCTGCCACATCAGCCTTCCCTTAAATCCACATCATCCACGTCAGACCTCAAAATAACCCTCTTCGACTTTTCTAAAACCCCTGGGCTTTCACTTCCCCCAACTTCCCACCATCAATCTTCTCCTGCTTTCATCAAGGAACTCTGGTGATTACGCTTCGTGGACCACACACAGTCTACTGCCAGCGATTTCCACATCTCCGCTGTCAATTTTGGCGTTCGCAGGGCCGTAAACTCCAGCGCTACAACTGCTGCTAGGAGACTACGACCGCTTCTTTCCTACGTCGATATTAATCCCCGCTAAAGGACACTGTACTGCGAGCAAGGTAGAATCAGAGCAGCTAATAAGACGAAGGATGCTATCATCTGGGCAGTAGTATTCAGAATCAGCTGTCGGCTTAGGCTTGCAAGAGTCAGCTGTGAGGTGGGTGGTTCCTATTTCCATTGCGGCTGCGCGGAATCGACAAGGGAAGAGGCAAAGAACAACAAAGGTGGAAGATAAAGTATTTCTTAACTCTGCGAAAGAGAAACACGCCATGATTGAAGTTTGTTTTGAAAGGTAAAAGGGACCGACCACCATTCACTGGTTCTAATGATCTAATCCCAGCAAGAAAGGTTGGAGAAGTGAAAAGGAGTCGTGGTTTTACAGCCTTTTTTTAATGAGTTTTATGGAATCAACGACGACGGACGGAATTGAAATTGGAATTAGGGCATGTAAAAAGAATTTGGAATTAGGAAGGTGATGAATGATAATTTTAGGTGTTTCTTGATTATTAAGTAATAAAACTCGATTCAGTTCATGAAACAAGGTTTAGGATCCATTGATGGGTAAATTGTAAAGTTGATCGGTAATAAAAAATTAATGTTTGGTTATTAACAGTATTTTTTTATGAATTAGCTTTGAGCCCGCCCGATGGGCGGGTTATTATCGTGCGGATTATTTTGTACTTTGAGCTTGTTGGTGCAAGGGAAGAAGTCTATACTTGCTCAATATGCGTTCAGAGCTGAAACATCCTTTTCTTCTAACCATTGTTTGAGGATTAGTAATTTTTTTTATTACAATTGTAAAAAAAAAGGTAAAATTACAAAAAATAGAATAATCAAATGCGATGGTCAACCTAATGTGTAACTACTCATGAAAGAGCTTGTGTTTTACCACAAATGTGCAGCCCTAATAAAATGTCTAGGAGCATGTAACAATATTACTTTTGTAACTTCAAGTAATCCACCACCCAGGCCATTAGGAGCAGGTGATCCCTGCAACAATATGACTTCTGTAACTTCAAGTAAGATCCATAAAAAAAAAAATCACTCCTACCGTCATAAAACTTAAGTGTCGTCATAGGTAGCCTAGAACCGCCCCTTCCAAAGTCTCCATGCCAAAGGAAGATGGAGTTGCAAAAAGGACTTGCCTGTAGAAACTCTATCAAGCTTTTGAATTGTTGCCCCAGGTTGATCCCATTGCACCTATAAAAAACAATATTAAAAAGATCATATAACAACTACAAAACAATAAATCGTTGTAGTTGACCTTTGGGAAAAATCTCCAATGCTAACAATAGTGCCTGCTAATCAAATATTAGTGCTCATCTTAATTAAGGGGCATGCTTATATAAAGTGCATGTTTATTGACTTTAAAATGCTTGTTTATCCTAATGAATTGAGTTGTTATGTAGATAAGAAGAAAAGAAAATAGAAAACACAAAACAGGTTAACTGCCCATTGTGTAGCATGATAGAACCAAATCAGAGCAGGTCAGTAGAGTAAGAAAAGTAACATAATAATAATGCATAAAAAAAATAGGGTAAATACAATTTAATATCCAAACCTTTTATTTTAAACAATATAATACCCAAACCTTTTCGAAAACAATCTAATATCCAAATCGTCAACTTTCTGTTTATTTGACCGTTAGTTGACATTTCAAAAAAGTTTGAAGTACGACACTTCATCAATATCCATCGATATCTTCTCTGAAAAACCACCAACATATCGTAGTTCCAAACCCGAGAAGTCCATGACTCCACCATGATGGTATAGAATATCTAAATATTCAGTCATCTGAAATGCCAAAACAAGAAACAAAGTTGTATTGTGACAATTTCCCCTAAACAAAGCTTTTATGAAGTGTCAACTAACGGTCAAACGAACGGAAAGTTGACGATTTGGATATTAGATTGTTTTCGAAAAGGTTTGGCTATTATATTGTTTAAAATGAAAGGTTTGGATATTAAATTGTATTTACCAAAAAAAATATAAGCATTTGGGGTTGGAAGAGGGTAATTACTAATTAGAAGGTGTAGCAGGATTTTTTTTGGGTAAAAACAGGGAGTGTTGGCATGCAAGGTGAATCAAAGAGGAACCACTTTTGTTTCGCGTGATGGGTTCTTTGTGGCGCTAACATTGTATCGAAGACCATTAACTTCGATCACTGCCCAGATGCATTGGGGTTGGAAGAGTACGACAACATTAATACAGAAAATGCTATGAAGTATTTGGAGAGGAGTTACCCAAGGACATATAATAAAGAGCATGATCGAAGAATAAACATGAGTTCATATAGCGGAAAATATTGAATTTAATCTAGCAAGATCGGTGGTAGCAGATTGTGGCTGGTCGAGGAAGCAAAAAGCATGGCGGAATCTGCATTGGGGACCCCGGAATTGGGACTGAACGTACGGCGGTTCCGACCGCTGTCTGATCGGAGAAGAAAACCGGTACTGGAAGAGCCCAAGATCAATGACGTTCTTCGGATGGTGTCGGTTTTTACTACTTACAGAACCCGAATCTCAGGCAAACTACTGCAGTAGGCAGGGGCTAATGCGGCGGTTGTAAGGAGGGTTTTGTGCCGGGCAGAAGGCAAATACCTCTCTTGGAATCAATTCGGAACCCTTGGGAGCATAACTTACCTTGTGAGATCGGGAAGTTAATACCTCTTCTGGAATTGATTCCGTCGATCGATTCATGGTTCAACGCTCCGACATCGGTAGCGATGAGACTGCTCTAGATTTGGCGAGAATGAAACTGTAGTGGTGGACAGTTATAATTTGGGTGACTGAGGGAGGAGGAAAAAAAGATGTAGCTTCGAGGCCAGGAGGGTGTTATTGTAAAAAAAAAGGCCAGGAGGGTGAAAAAGGAGGAATTTTTCCAGAAAGAAGAGTCTTGTTTTAAAGAGGTGACATGAATGACTATACGTTGAAAATGGCTGACGTGGATAGGGTGCAATTCTGAAAGTGCTTTAATATATTTTAAGATAAGATAACCTCAATTTTGAATTTTCCAATGTAATTGGAAATCGCAGGTTTAATTTGTTTTCACAAACGTCATCCATTATGACAACTCACTTATTACTGACATTTGCTAAAAAAATCCAATGTAATCTGTAAGAAGATCAATTTGGGAGGGAGGTAATTGTAAATGGCCAAGTCTTTTTTTTTTAAGTAGAAGTTTTTTTAGTGGTCTAAAGAATATTATAAGGGGTTTCTCAAAAAAGACTTCACGGATTTAAAATTCTCCTTCCCTCAAGCGTCCACGTAAACACAAACTCTAGTCAATCAAATAATTAATAAAAAAAATAAAAGAAATCCAAACAACAAAAGGATCAGCCCTCGGTGACACTTCCTCCATTTTTGGATTTCTTTCTTTTCCAATTTCAACGTGCTTTTGCATTTCTTTCTTTACATGTATTTTTCTTAAATAAAATATTTATTTCCAACATACACAAATTACCATCTAAAACATTGCTACCGCATATTATATATTTAAACAATATATAAAATTTTCACTGTGTTTATAATAAGAAAAAAATACAGTTATAATTTATATGCACTAGCAAGTTGTAGTGTATATATATTGCATAGCATAAATAATTTGTGTATGTTGGGTAAAATTCGGTCCAAATATTTTAAATATTAGCTGCACGTTAGTCTAAATTTTGGAAATTATGGAATGACATATATTTTGTAGATATTTATTTTGAGTGTTTCATGCAATGATATTTCATGAACTATTGTTTGGTTTTTTTTTTTTTTGTAAAACTTTATGTCCAACTGTTTCAAGATTGGATAAACGAGTCATTGTGAATGTGATGATAAACAATTGATATATTATAACATGATCATGTTATACATTCAGCCAAAATTTAATATATCTCAATTTAGAGTTAGATGTTTTCACTTATAAACTAACTTATATTGTATCAATATCGTGGGTGTCCCGGAGGGACTAAATTAGTTTTGGTATATACATGCCAAATTCTCAAACCATACATTCGGATCATACACAAAGAATAACAATATTTCTTGAACACTAAATGAATATTAATTCAAGTATGACAAAAAATCATTTAATATAAACATAGTGTATGCTTGAGATTAATGAGAGTTTCAAGATATAAACAAAATTTATCAAAATTAAATTAATAGTTAAAGGAAACTCACCGGGCCGGGGTGAAAGCTAGTATATTATAACATGCTATTCATGTTGGCATTAGATAACAAATCTACACCTAATATAATACGCCGAAGGGAAAAACGGGAGCCCCATTTCAAATTTCCTGCAACGAGAGTGAAAGTAGGAAGGACATTTTGGTCTTCACAATTACTTTTTTTTATTCATTAAAAAGACACATACTGGGATTCAAACCATGACCATTTTAAAGAAAAGCAAGGATAATAACCAATCACACTAAGCACATTTGTTGTATCTTTTTAAATTAAAAACATATAATAGCAGGGAGGAAAAAACTCTTCCCCCATTTCAAATCCCTGCTCCATGAGCGTTTGTAGGAAGGATAGAATAGGGAGTGTCAATTTTTTTTCTCTTTCCTCTGTGGAACGGGCCAACTTACCGTACACATGTGAATTTAAATGGGTCCAGGAGTGTCAAATTTTTTTTCTTTAAGCCCTTTTATTTCTCCGTGGTGACAAAATATATATGAAAAGGTAAAAAATAATACTCCTTTTTATTGTTAAAAATAAAACATTTAACAATAAACTAATGCATGATATCTAATGGGCGAACCGCCAACCATAAAATAAAAGAGTTGAATGTGCCTGACCTACATGGGATTTGGCCATCAAGTAAAATAAATGAACATCATTGGTTTGTCATTCTAAAATACGCTAATTTCTCTGACATAATATATATTATGCTATTATTTTATATCTTAGTGGCTAAAATATAATGTATTTTAAAGTTATTCAATGGTTCAACCTCGACCAACACAATTATTCCAATTTTTATCATTTCAAATATATATTTTATAATTATTTGATATCATAATGATCAAATTATAGTGTATTTTATAGGGAATCGTTTGGTATTTGTTAGTAAAAAATTAAACATAAAGATCTATTTGGTTATTTTAAACATTATAACGATCCTAAACATTTTCAGTTCCTTTTGAATTTCTATGGTTTTATTTCCGAATAAGTGATGTGCAAATGGCGAATTGTAGTCGTCTCTTTTCTTTCACTATTTTTTATTTTCAAATAGAAAGTTTAAAAGTAAAGAATAATTAGAATTTGGCATGGGTCGTCAAACAGGCTGAATTTCAAGTTTTGGCCCGTTTGTTTTATGCATTGCAAATTTATTAGCATTTTGATGGAAATGGCTTGGAAAAAAGACATATAAGTTGTACCTTTGCAGAAATGTCCTCAAATGTTTTAATGCTTTGTGAATCAGGTTCCGTGACTTTTGTGATGGTGTATGTGCTTGACAATTGCTCGATGTTGTAACTGCTTAATTTGAGAGTAAATCTTTTGATTTTCCCTATGAGTTGTGATACCAGTTCTGGTGGTTGCAGCATGTTGTCGTTGTTAGCCTGTAAAAGTTGTTCCGCCGTGGTGCTAAATACCTTTCTTTCCTTTTTAACAAATTGTGTAGTAGTGCTATGAAACAGACCACCCATGAACGCTACGCTTATTATGGTCTGTTCTTACTTCCGGTGGTGAGAAATTGTGAATTGAGAATCATATTCGCCTACCGCACTGTGTCTGGCTGGTGGCTGCTTACTGTGCTCTCTAGAGTTATGAAACAGACTACCCATGAACGTTTCCCTTAAGAGTCCATAACTTTTGCGAAAAAACAAATTTAGGCAATCAAAGGTGGTGGATGTGTGATGATTTTTTATGGCTTAATTGTTTGTGAATTGGATATTTGATCTTTGTATGATTGGAGGGGATGTTTGCTTAATAGAATAATCCATTTTAATTCATGTTTATTTTTAACATGAACTTTAGTAACTCAAAACCTTCGAGACACATATCACCTACTGCATTGTATCATTTTGCCTGGGTGCTTGCTGTGTTGTCAAACTTCTTTGTTGCTGCTGCTGCTTTTACACTAACAGGGGGGTTAAGAACCCATGAATGTTTCCGTTTGACACAAACAGGAGGACTTGCTTCTAAATCGTGCACTAAAGATGATTGGAGGAAACATCTCTATTGCAGTTGATATACTGGAGACCAGAACAAAAGCAATGTATAACATCAAAACCAACCATCTGAACTATTAGCATTGTTGCTTTACTATTTTTTCGTGGTTGAGTCTCCTTCAAAAAATTTAGTTTGATTTTAGAAAATTTTGCTTCTGCAATCCTGTCTTGCCACCAACGCGTTCAGTAGATGGAGATGGCAGAGGCGAAGGCTATTTTTGTGTTGTTGTTGCTGGTTTAGGGATCGGTTTGTGAAGAAGAGGGAGAAGAGAGGGGTAAAGGGAAATGCAGGAGAGGGGGGTAACTCTTTTCTCTGACAAAAATGGAGTGAAGAAAGGAATTATGATCAGTAAGGATATGGTTATCTTACATAACGGTCTCTATTCTGTTTGAATTGAGCTTGGGAGGCAGTGATAAGGACGAGCTGCAACCAATTCATAGTGAGAAGAGAGCTATGAACTGTGATCATGTCTTATTTCAAGTTAGAAGGTAGTTTCAGTATAAGGATTATTTAATTTGACAAGTTGTTTCGTCCATGATTCTTGGTAGTTTCAGTACCATTCTAGCCATTGTTTAGTCTGTAATTTTTGAGAATTGATGTGCGAGTAATGACTTTCACTTAGCTTCAACTATTATGTGTGTATTTATTGGCATGTGATAGAAATCTCTTTTCCTTTTCTTTGAATTCAGTTTCATACTCTAATTGTATCATTTGTACATAGGCAAATCATGCTCGAGATGACAACTCGCTGATAAGGCTGGTGCAAGGAACGGAGCCATCATTAGAATTCATATCGACAACGGGGAGGGATGCCCAGGACTAATTCAATGATGATTGATGATGGTATAATAAAAACTGCAGTCTGCATCAACACCAATTTCTAGGCCTAAGTAATGTTATTCAACCCAGAACTCTGCTTAGCGCTAAAAATTTCCCTCACCCAACCTTGATCCTGTTTGACCCACTTCTGAAGAGTCAAGATATATGAATATGACTAATCCTCTCCGTTCGTATTTTCTTATTGACTCTTTCTGACCCTTTAGGTTGGGGCGGGTCGGGAAGAATCGGATTAGTGGGTCGGTCCTAATCAAGTGGATTCCCAATCCCTTCACTCTCACTTGCTTTCTCTCCTATTCCACAAGTGGGTAACATACATTAATCCGGCCAACGGGCCGGGTAATAGGCTAGTTACAAATAATGACTCAAGATTCCAAAAATATGACTTGATTGGTCCTAGTTCTTTTATAATCCACCTTCCAACCACCAACATGCAAATTGCTAATTGACTTCACAAGTATATAGCTTAAGCTTAGGAAAAGGTTTGGTGGAGACGGAACACCTAATTCACGTTATTTGGTGATCATCCATGTTTCGGTGTATATTCATATAAGAGTTATGAGTATACATGTAAATAGAACTCCAATTTTTTTCTTTTCTTCCCCTAATAATTTGTATTTTCCATAATTTATGAAATTAAATTTTCAATTTTTATGTAAAAATGAGCTGGTTGATCATAACTTGCCTACACAATCACATCAATTTTTTAATATTTCAAAATTGATTTTACAACCGCGTGAATAAAAACCATGTTGCGTGAATAATAGGGATGACAATGGGGAGGGTAGTGATGGCAATTTGAACCCACCCCGCGGGTATTACCCAACCTGACCGACGATGGGACGAGTATTACCTGACCCGCAGTAGCGTGGGGCGGGGGCATGGGTATCTACTTCCGACCCGCCCCGTTCTAGGTCCATTTTATCTCCCTTCTTGCAATATCTATACATATTTTTCCTATCTTGACTTTTCTTCAACTAGTTAGAATCGATCTTTAACTTGTTAGACTCAATTATCCATTATATTATCACTATTTTGCATTCGTAAAGTTTTTCCACCTTCGTTTTATTGTAAAAGGGGAAATTTACGTGTATTTTTTTCAAATAACATGTAAGAGTGGGTCGACCTGCCCCGTACCCGCGCGGGTTTTACCTGCCCCGGCCCACAGTAGCGTGGAGGGGGGGGGGCATGGGTATTGAGATACCCGCCCCATTGCCATCACCAGGGGAGGGTTTGCCTAAACCATCATCATCCCCACTTTCAAATATTCAAACTCATACTCATTCCATACCTATGCGGAAAAGGTTTTGCGAGCCTAGCGCCATACCCATGGGTTTCGGATACCCATGAACCATGGGTAATACACTCCCCGTACATCAAACATTGTTATACCTTAAATTTTACATATACATATTCGATTATAACGCGAAACATACCTACTATATCATGAAGTTTACAAAGATACAATAATTCTTAATACGGTTCAAATCATATGATTCTAAAATATTAATTAACCAATAAAATAGAGTACAATATTTTCCAAATAATAATTCATCCTTTTGTACATCCAAACAACATAATTGTACACCAGAATTTAACAAATACCACTCAAATACCACAAAACTAAAAAGTGAGAACTAAAAAGTGAGTTATTGATACTTTTGGGACAGGATACGGTGACAACCCCCTTGGGGGTTGTCAGATTCACAACCAAGGGTATTTTGGGTATAAAAAATGAATATATTAATTACTTTTTTGTATTAATTATATCGGGAATTAAATACCCATATTAAATACAATTTTTTCTGAAATTTAAATCCTATACATTAATATCTCTCTCTCTCTCTCTTCCTTTCTCCAGCAGCCACTCCGCATCGACCGACAAACTTTTTCTCCGGCGAATTCTCTCCGGCAGACTCCCTCCGGCAACCTGAAAAAATGTACCAATGCGTTAAAAAGTGTACCAATCTATTAGTCTACTGGTAATTAATATACCAGTGCTAGTGGTACGCTACCAGTACGTTAAAAAATGTACCAGTACTAGCGGTACCAGTAAAAAATGTACCAGTACTAGTGGTACGCTACCAGTAGAGAATAACACAACGCTACTAGCACTGGTAGCGCTACCACTAGCATTGGTAGCGGTACCAGTAGAGAATAACACAAAAAAAAAAAAACAGATGATAGTGGTACCAGATGATAGGGGAGTCACTGGTATTGGTACCAGTGAGTAGTGGTAGCGTACCAATAGCGCTACCAGTGGTATTGGTACCAATAGTGCTACCAGTGGTATTGGCACTAATAGTGCTACCAGTGGTATTGGTACCAGTAGAGACTATCAGATCTGTAAAGAAAATAGGGATGAGGAAAGAGGGAGGCAGGGAAGAGTCTTGACCTCGCGGCGGCGGGGCAGGGGAGGACAGCGGCGCGGGGAGGACAGCGGCGCGGCGGGGCGCGGGGGGAGGACAGCGGCGCGGCGGCAGGGGAGGCAGAGGCGGCGACAGTGGTGTAAAGACGGCGACAAGTGCGGCTGGGGCGACGAGGGCAGCGGGTAAGGCGGGGACAACGTCGGCGTGAGGAGGAAGGCGGTCGCGACAACGATGATGGAGGTCTGCATGGTGATTGAGGTTGACGATGATGGAGGTCGGTGGTGGAGCTCTTGACGGCTAGGGTTTTTTTGTTAGAGATATGTGAGAGGGGAAGAGGAGGGAGACGCAGGAAATTGGGGGGAGGGTCTGTTTTTTTTTTTTTTTTGGTAATAAAGAGTATTTATATGGAAAATGGAAAGGATCTCATGTGGTAAGTTTTTCATTCCGAATTTGCTCTTGGTTTAATCTTAACCATTAATTTAAAAAAAGAAGAAAAAGACAGGAGAGAGAACGTATCCGATGGCCACAAAGGTGGTTGTGAAACTGACAACCCCCAAGGGGGTTGTCACCGTATCCTGTCCCGATACTTTTAAATAAATCATTACCAAATCACCCATACAAACACCGCTTTATTATTAGTTTCTAACTTTTATATATCTACTAAGTAATAATTAACCAACATAATTATCTTGTTAACAAAGAGAGAAAAGTGAAATAATGAAGGAGAGAATTAAATGAAAGGAATTACTTTTGGATTTGGGTAGCCACTCAATTGCATTTCTGCAATTTATTTTCATGAGTTACCTTTACTATCATTGATAGGTTACAAGTTGGTTCATTTATTCTGTATATGTGAAGAAATGTTCTTGATGGGGCGGGAATGGATATGGGACGTATATGGGAGAGGCTAAAACCATACTCATCGAAAGACTCTATCCGAGAGTTATCAATATTTATAAAAAAGATTCCTATCTAACGAAACGCTATTGGATCAGATGACAAAGACATTGTTGAAAAAAATGATCGCTTTTTCCGGGATGCAAGGAAAATTGGATTCATGAAATAGGAAAAAGATTTTTCGTTCCTTAGCCTAAAGAATATGTGATCATGAAATAGAGATTATGAAATATAATTGATTGGGTGGTAGAGTCGTGAAAATGTCCTGCTTCTTCCGTATTTTGGACATGAAATAATATGTTACTTGGAAGAATCGAAATCTTTCATCAATTGCCATATCGCTACTGAATAATTAACCACCGTGAAATGCTATGGCTCGTGCTGCCAAACCTTTTAGTACTACTACAGCTTATTTTAACAAAAGAGAATACGGCATGCTGCAGGCGTATGGTCTCAACTTGTCAGTGACATCATCGTACACGATGTAGCATGTTTATGAGCTCTCCGGCGGCCGCCTAATTTGCTCCTTCAACTTGCAATATCAAACTTATATCAATCGTCGTTGACATTGAGGCATGCAGCAGGCTGTACCGAATATGATTCACAATTGAATCTCTTACAACAATTCGAGTTATTGGAATCAATTGGTTCTTGACAGAGATACATATATATATAGAAAGAAACTAAAATGGCAAAATTCTGCAATCTCCATATAAAGTACTATATAGAAATATGAATCTGCCATACGGACTTGCAACCCAGCTGTCGGATGTTCTTGCCAACTGACTCCAGTTAAGTAGATAGATCCGCCATACGGACTTGCAACCCAACCCAAACATAAAAAATTCCCGTCGGCCGTCCCTGTCTCTGTCTCTGTCTCTCTTCTATCATTTTTATTCCTCCAATTCTATCATTTCCGAAGGTACCAGCATCAGTAGGTCAAGTACAGTACTATTAATTAAACTTCCCACCAACAGCCTCCTCCTCCGCCTGTCGATCTATTTATAATTGTTAAAAGCCTTAAAAGATCTTTTGTCTCTCTCCTAGACTCTGACGTCATTGTACACGACATGTCTAGCATTTGCTATGAGAGTTGCAGCAACGGCCCCAATTTGCTCCTTCAACTGCACCAATGGTTGACAAAAAAAGGGTACAAATTGAGGAAGGAATAGAGAGTGAAAGTAAGTAAATTCAATTCCGGGGGCTTCTATTTTTGATCTGCAACCTCCGTCCTTCTCTCTCTCTCTCTATTGTCAACCAAATAATAAACAAATCTCCCTCCGGCCGGCTCCCCATGACGGAAACAGAGCATCCGTCCTCTGCTTCTTCAGAACCCGACGGGCCCTTTAGGATTGGTTTCGGGGTCACAATCGGAGCCCTTACCCTCGTCGCCATTTTGATCGTCGTTTGGTACCTCTGCACCCGCCGTCCCCCCACAGGAAACAACTTCGCCGAAGAAGACGACGAGGAGGAGTACTCTGTTTCCGACGTTGTCGTTGACGTGGAGGGGATCGATGTCGACGCCGTCCTCAGCCGCTTCCCCAAGTTCGTCTACACGGGCGCCAACAGTACTGAGAGTTCCACGTCGGCAGTCGTGGGTTCCAGCTGCAGCTGCGCTGTCTGCCTGGCCGACTACGCCGACGGCGACGTCCTGCGCCTGCTCCCGGATTGCGGCCACACCTTCCACGCCTCGTGCGTCGATCCCTGGCTGATTAATCACTGCCGATCCACGTGTCCCATCTGCCGCCGCCATTCGGAGGCCAAGGCGGATGATGGTTCGGCGGCAGCGGGTGCGAATAAGGAGCCCAGGACCAGGGTGCCGGGTGATGTGGCCAGGCCGGTGTCGGCGGTGGCGGCAATGGAGCCGCAGGGACAGACGACGTCGTTTTGGGCCAGCTGGTTTGCGTTGCGCTAGCCGGTTGCTGCCTAAAATGTTAAGTAATTGTTTTTATTTTATTTTATTTTTTCTGTTTCTGTTTTTATTTTTATTTGTTTTTTTCTCTTTATAGTTTATATATATTGTTTTTTTAAAAAGTAGTTGTAGTACAGATTTGGTAAGCGGCGACATTTTCCGTGCCTGCCCCCTTCTACTCCAGAGTCCAGCCGCCGGTTTGGCGAACGAGTCCGTTCCCCTCCACAACCATGGCTCAACGTCTAAGCATCTCCTCTTCCTCGCGCCCATCGGTCCTTCCGACGCCGAATTCTTCCGCTGCTTATTCGAGTTCCAATCGGGTGCCCTTCAATTTCAACTTCCTCCCTCACCCTATCCATCCGATTCGTCTCTGCAACGGTTCCACCAACCACCGCCGCCTCTCCGTCAGTCGTCTGGCGGCGACGGCTCTCCCGTCTGTTGATTCCGATGACTCTGCCGGTGCTTCGGGGAAGAAACCGTTGCTCGAAGTCAAAGATTTGAAGGCCGTGATTGCGGAAACGGGGCAGGAGATCCTCAAGGGCGTAAACCTAGTGGTGAATGAGGGGGAGGTATATTGACTTGGAAGTTTAATACGGTTTTTCTATCTGTTTCTGGAAATTGGTTTACCTTGTTGCATTCAACTGATGAATTTTTCATCTTTTGCTGCGATGATTGACAGGTCCATGCTATAATGGGCAAAAATGGTTCTGGGAAAAGCACATTCTCCAAGGTTAGTAGTATGTCTTCTCACTTGATACTGTTGGCTGTTGATAACCTTGGTTTTGCCTAGGGAGTGGACCTGATGATACCCATGCTGGTTTAAATTGGCGCCGATTGTGGGTGGGAAATGGGAATGTTGGTGAAATTATATATGATTGCTGTTGGTATTGTGTTGCCTGGAATTTGTTTTTTGGATCCGATGTTCTCGAGATCGTGTGTTGGTTGGCTTGATTGATGGGTGACCGATTGGATTTGTGGGTGGTTCATGAGTCTTAATACACTTTTGCTTTTAGGTTCTTGTTGGCCATCCACACTATGAAGTTACTGGTGGAAGCGTTATCTTTAAAGGCGAGAACTTGCTTGACATGGAACCTGAGGATAGGTCTCTTGCAGGGCTTTTTATGAGCTTTCAGTCACCAGTTGAAATCCCTGGTGTCAGCAATAGTGACTTCCTAAATATGGCTTACAATGCTCGAAGAAGAAAACTTGCTCTTCCTGAACTTGGACCAATTGAGGTATCTTTCCTATTTTCATTTGCTTGCCCAAGTGTCTTCCCTTTGAATTTTGTTGTGTTCATTTTCTCCACCAGTATCTAGGGCACATGATTTTGGATGTTTTATTGTTAATATGTCATAGCTTCCAAAAACATGGAACTCCGATTGATTTGATAGAGGTGCAGACAAGCAATCCATTCAGTAACCAATTCTATTTCCCCTTTTTATGCAATGGCCCCATAGCTCCTGTTAATCTTTGCAGCCCATTAGTTTCTTTCTGCAGACTATGTCTGTGCACAAGTGAAAGCCATCTCTAGCTATACTTATTAGCTTAAACTAACTGTTGACTTGTCTTTTTTATTGGCAGTTCTATGCGTACCTGTTTCCCAAGCTTGAGCTTGTGAACATGAAGAGTGATTTTCTTAATAGAAATGTTAACGAAGGGTTCAGTGGTGGTGAAAGGAAGCGGAACGAGATTTTACAGCTTGCGGTAATGCTTCGTATCTGAATCTGTGGTCTGCTGAACTAAGTTCTATATTATGGAGTTGCTTTGATAAAAGTCCGCATGGTTAGGCTTCCTTTTCCTAATGAATCAAATGGTTAGATACTTCAGTCAGACTTTTTTTTGTTGTGAACTTGATATTTGGCATCAGAAAGCACTTTTATGCAAGGTGGTCTTGGTGCGCTGTGGTGCATGCATAAACATAGCCTAGGATATTTGTGGATTTATTAGAACTGTAGTACAATTGCATCTCCTGCGATGTTTGTTTACATGATTGAAGTATTAGCAAGCAGCGTAATTCCATGTTCATAAACATTTGGATGTCATTGTATTCGATGGGGTATGGATCTGCATTGTCACATATATTGTACACGCATGCACAGTTATATATTGGCTCTGCTTATGTTTCTCTTATTTTTCATTGAATCATATTTGTCTAGTATGCCAATGCTATTCTGCCTATTTCAGGTTTTGGAAGCAGATTTATCTGTCTTAGATGAGATTGATTCTGGTCTGGATGTTGATGCTCTCCAAGATGTCGCAAAAGCAGTAAATGGACTCTTGACGCCTAAGAAATCTGTTTTGATGGTTACACATTATCGACGGCTTTTGGAATTCATCAAGCCTGCCTTCGTCCATATCATGGTATCCCAATCATAAAACTCCATTCAGTAGTGGTTTTCTTACAATGTCACTTGCATCCTATGGACCAGTTTCTTTGTCATGTCAATGTCTTCTGTGCTTCGAGCTAATTGTGTGCCCTGGTATGGTATTTGTAGGAGGATGGAAGGATTATTAAGACTGGGGATATTGAGATAGTAAGTCTTCTTGAGAAGGAAGGTTATAAAGCAATGTCTACATCCTGAACAATTTGGTGAAGCATCTATCATCCGCTTACAAGACTGGGGATATCAAATTTTGAGTCAAACCCACCCTTTAAGAAAAGGGGGGGACTCATATTCTCCAAGATTGGGTGAAGCACGAGATATCCGTCGTCCGGTATCATTCCTTTCTGTGTGTGTATTGAGGTACAGTTCCTTCCATGTATAAGTGGCCACCCACTGTAGGCTTGTCGCTCGCTCCGCTCTCTCTTGAACTTCTCTGTTGAGCCATTGTTTTGTATAGAACGACAAAGCTTGTACTGTTTGCCCTTCTCACCTTAAAGCCATCCTTTCATAACTCCTGTGATGCAAATTATTTCACACATCCATGGTGGATGGCAATCTAAGTGAGCGAGAAGACGAAAGCCTATTCTAACTACGGCTGCTGAAACATACACTCTATAATTGTAGCACCTGGTCAGTGGAGATATAGAATACAGATAGCTCTGCAACTGTCAATGACTAACAAAAAGCTGGTCATCAATGGACAAAACAACCATTTTTTGCTTGTTCATCAGCAAAACCACGAGTCCATCACTTATTCCATTCTATACAATTTAGAAAACAAAGCTCATCGAAAAGGCATCAAATTTGCCAAGTTGAATCAACAGGAGATCACTCAAGGAATGAAACAACACTGAAACCAGGCACAGGGATTACATACTCTAAACCAAAATTTCCATAGCTGCATTTGATTTTCTCAAGGAAGAAACAACCGGTGGAGATGAAGCTGCAGGGAGCATATCAATACCACAATCATGGATTTTGGAGGCTACCATGGTGTGTCTAGTTGCCGAGAAGTATATCATTTTTTCTCTACTCTTTTTACTCGTCTGTCACACAGCCTCTAGCAGCGGACTGGACGTTCTTGATGTACTGGGAAACATGAAAAGAAAAGTGATGCATGCAGTTCTTAGTAAAAGCATGCGGATGAAAGAGCATACAGTGTTTCCTTTATTTCGGCTTTTCGGTTATTTTACCTTATAGAGCACCCCAGAGGTAGCCTTGTATGGGGGTGGAGACCAAGTTTTTCTCCTCTGTTCCATTTCCTCGTCAGCTACTTCAACATCAATTCTCCTTTCTTTCACATCTATTGTGATGACGTCTCCGTTTCTAACGAGACCAATGGGACCTCCTTCCTGTATATCATGTTGACAGAATGTGTTAGCTCCCACTGTATCATTATGTATTGGATAAGTAAATACTGGACTCAAAGTTTAAATTTTAAGATAATTCTGAATATTTTTCATGACCTATTAGACTACCCTCTTTTTAGTATCTACCAAGTGGTGTTCAGAGATGCATTCATCATGCTTCATGGTTGAGAAGAGGTGCCAAGCTCAGAAGCTCTTCATGCAAGCATTTAGCAAGAAAATTCAGGGAGAGACAGAAATTTTTTGTTGTTTGCTTAATCATGCTTGCAATTGAATTGGATTGAACAATGAATATGAAAAAATATATTGAAAAGACAAGTAATGTCAGCAATCAGAAGGAAAGAATATGAGCAGAGATTCGCAGACCTGTGCTTCGGGGCATATGTGGCCGACGACAAATCCATGTGAACCACCCGAAAATCTCCCGTCAGTCAATAATGCACATTCCTGTGTTATCCAAACAGAAATAATAGGTTAGAGTTTATCTGGAGGCTGCTAATCAAGAACAATAAAACATTTCACAGCAGCAAACCTTCCCAAGACCAGCTCCCATTATTGCACTAGTTGGTGTTAGCATTTCCGGCATGCCAGGACCGCCCTTGGGTCCCTCTCCTCTAATGACCACCACTTTGCCCTGGAAAACAATGGAGATGGCAAGTGTTAGGATCGGTTCAGCACTTCAGCTGTGGGTAGAATTTGCTATTACTTGTAACAAAACTTAAGCTCCTAAGAGAATCCCTAGTTTGACTTAGCTACTTAATTATATGATTAACGAGACAGCACCAATCATTTCCTAAAACAGTTAAGTACGGAAATCAGAAAGAGCTCTGTAGTGTACAACCTTCACATCTCAAATGTCACTGCATGAAAACCTAAAGTTAAGGGGGGAAACAAGAGTAACATACTTACCTTAAAGCTCATAGGATCCTCAGCGATAGCCTTCATCATAGATTCTTCCCCTTCAAACACGAGCGCCGGACCTGGAAAACATTTACTTCAGTATAGTCCTTGAAATGTGCCATCCAATAACAAAACATTGTAGCATGGGAGCTGAATTGAAAAATCACCAGAGAAATAAAGCCCTTCTTTTCCTGTAATTTTTGCTACAGAACCATCTGGTGCAAGGTTTCCATGTAATACTTGGAGGTGACCTGTCTTCTTGATGGGGTTGTCAAACGGTCTTATGATTTCCTACACCATTACATAAAAAAATTAAATTACATTTCACCATCTATTCAGCTGTCTCAAATAGCATAGCCACAGAAATATTAAAGGAAAGAAAACGAAAACCTCACCTGACCCTCGGATAAAGGAGGACAGGATTTCAGATTTTCAGCCAACGTCTTCCCAGTCACTGAAGGAAAAGTTCAGCATGTTACATAGCATTAGTAGAACTCCTCCATTGAATCAGTACTATTGTAGAAATCACCGCATAAACAATGTTCAACTTACCAGTCAAACAATCTGCATCTAAAAAGCCCAGTTCCAAGAGATAGCGGAGTACCGCAGGTGTTCCTCCAATCTGTCCAAGTAATATCCATTTGCACATCAAGGTGAAAAAATGGTCAGAAGATGAAGTAAAGCAACAATAGGCAATGCAATGGGACAGAACTGATATATTGGTAAAAGAATTTGATAAATGCACAATCCTATATATAGTAATACCTTGTGAAGATCCTCCATAACATATTTCCCACTGGGTTTCAGATCAGCAAGGAATGGAACCTCATCACTAACCTTCTGGAAGTCATCAAGTGTCAGGTTCAAACCAACAGACCTGCCAAGATTATGTGAGCAACCAACAGTTTCTAATAAAATAAAGTTACCAAAATTCTGATTTTGCGAGACCGAAAAAAATTTCTTACCTTGCAATAGCAATCAAGTGCAACACAGCATTGGTAGATCCACCAAGTGCCATGACGGTGACCATTGCATTTCGTAGTGATGTAGGAGTAATGATGTCTCGTGGTTTCAAGTCCATCTTTAGTAACTCCAAAAGGTATTTTCCAGCCAACCGACATTCATCCAGCTTCAAATCACTTTCGGCAGGTAGAGAGGAGCTGAACCAGGAAAAAGGAAGAGCATATAAGATACAAAAGTACTAACACCCGTGAAATAAACAATTTTAGTCTACATAGCATGAACGAACCTGTATGGAAGAGACATTCCCATGGCTTCAATAGCCGAAGCCATTGTATTGGCCGTATACATTCCACCACAGGCACCTGCCCCCGGACATGAATTACGTAGTACTTCTTTCCTTTGTTCGTCACTTATAGCTCCACTGACATATTCCCCATAAACCTACAACAGAAACAATGATAGAAATATATAAATAAATAAAAAAGAAACAGAAGACATAAGAACCTGGAACAAAATACTAATATACCAACCCATATTCTTCTTGAACGTTGCATAAATATACATTAACGAGCAAAGATCATGCGAGATTCATACCTGAAATGCAGATACTATGTCGTAGGTATGGCCATTGACATGGCCAGGCTGCAAAATACTTGCTGTTAGCAAATGTTAGTAAAAGTTCATTAACGTATGAAACTAAGACCCAGAACCCCTGACTCTGCTTTTGAGCATAAACGAATTGAACTCCATTACTAAAACTGAAAGCTTTTACAAAGGAAGTAAAATTTCATAAGGGAAAATCTATCAACTGGAAACCGAAATGGACAGAAAGAGAAAAACATGTCTAACCTTTATTGATCCACCGTACACCATTATACTAGGCCTATTAAGCCTTCCCATTGCAATAATTGTACCTGGCATCTGTCGAACATGTGCAGGATCAAAATAAGTAAGTTTTCAAGAACGGTCAAATACCATAACAGGAGCAGCAAACTTCATCCTGCATACATCACTTAATCACCTAGTGAGAGACTACCCACTAAAACAGATCACAGAAAGGAAGGCAAAGCTTCAATCCGAACAAATGCTTGATAACAAAAGCTTCTGTTCATATTTGGTTCGATTAACAGCACACAAAGCTACTGTCTACAGAAATGAGAAACAACCAGCTCGATTCAATCAAAACCCATAAAATCAACCACCAACGGAGACCCAAATTAACAAGAACAAGAAGAAAAAAAAAATCAGACTCACGTTCTTGTCACAGCCGGGAATGGAGATATTCCCATCATACCACTGAGCACTCATGACAGTCTCGATGCTATCCGCGATCAAGTCCCTGCTCTGCAAGCTGTAACACATCCCTCTCGTCCCCATAGAGATAGCATCGCTCACCCCAATAGTGTTGAACCTGAACCCAACCATTCCAGCCTCCTGAACCCCTTGCTTGACGGCCTCGGAGAGCTCCAACAAGTGCATATTACAAGTATTCCCTTCATACCAAACCGACGAGATACCCACCTGAGGCTTGGTCAAGTCTTCGTCCGAGAGCCCCACTCCGTGGAGGATGGCCTGAGACCCGCCCTGCGACTTGGGCTCCGTCACCTGGGCGCTGTACTTGTTGAGCTTCAGAGTCACGGCGGCCGGTGACTGCGGCGGCGGCGTGGCGACTGCGGGCGGGGATTGGGCAGCGACCCGGAGGGCGGCGGGACGGCGGGGCCGAGTAGCGGGCGCCGGGTGAGGGCATGGGAGGGAGACGAAGGTTGATTGCATAGTGGAAGCCTGCGAGGGGAAGCGGCGGCGGCGTGTGGCGGAGGGAGGAGAAATGTGAGGGGAAGGTTACAATCAAGTGTAAGTGTGGGAAGAAGCGGAAACGGAAGTGTTAAAAATAAACGCCAAGTAGGTGGGCTGATAAATTGCTGTGAGCTGCACGTGAAGGTAGACGAGAACAGGGTTTTTGGTTGGTGTCTCTCTCATTTCCTTTTGGTTTGTTCATTTGACTACTCATGGGTTTTTAGGGCACTATTATAAGACTCAATTAGAAGACCGATTGCAATAAGATGCGATAGTTTGTATGTAATCGAATTACTGATGAAATAGTTTGTTTGTCACAACATGCACAACTTTGTTTAAGTCCGAGGGACTAGGAACAGAAGAATACAACATGAATTCAATTTAAATATAAAAAAAAATAAGTGGATTTCCACAAGGATTGTCACTTCCAAGAGTGGGAAGCTTTTTTCGAATTAGCATGTAAGCTGAAGGGTTGAGAGTCGCTACAAAAATGAATATTTAAAAAATTATACACAATGCATTAGCCAACATAGCATAGCATCATGAAGGGCAAGATTTTCATGTGCATATGCATTTGAAATTCAATCATATAATTTACCAAAAACAAATGAACTCGATCCATCACATGCAAAGCTGACAATTCTATTTACGCCTCTTTTGTTAACACAAAGATGTCATTTCTAGTATGGGGAACATCTCGTCCACTTGTTTGAGGACCTTGGGGTATGGAAGCCTGTGCTGCAGATCTTTGTGGTACGTTAGTTCTTCGAGCTTTTTATTCCTCCGTCGTTCGTCATTTCTTTACATGAATTGGTAGTTGACGAGATAATACTCGAACTTGGAGCACATAAGAGACTAGTGGCTTTGCAATAACTTTTACATATTCTCTAATAAATTTAGCTTCACTACAACACTTGCCGAACTAAGTCGTATAACTTAAAACGTTAATATCTATAGACCAGTTAGTATTCTTTAATTGATTATCAATATATACCCGAGAAATTCATCTTTTGTATGTATCGCTTCAAATGATTATACAAAAGTTATGTAAATATAAATCTTTATTTGATTACTTCATATCATATTATTCATTTAATGGTAAGGAATATTCAATCAATACAAAAATATGATATGTTTATTTGTCTTACAAATCACAAACGAGACACATTCAGCCATAAAATCTATCTATCTCATTTGTGAATTTATCGATAAGTAGGTCACATACAATAGATCAATTGACTCACAAGCTCCTAATCAAGTCCTCTTGCGAGCACACTTTCGAGCTATCTCGTAAATTTTAAGTGAGCTAACTCAACAAATCACGAATAAAATGAAATTTGAACAAATTCACCTAATCAGTAAACACGCTAACTCATTACATAACAAACAAAACACTAGTAAATTAAAGGGCTAATACCACCGGAAATACCATCCTTTAGCGAAAGTGCCATTAATATTACATCGTTTTCGATATGCCATTTGTATACTAAAATGTTTTCTCCGTTAGTTGGGCCGTTAAACATAACTGGCGACTTTTCAACGCCCAGTCAGCGCTTAATAGGATCCTACGTAGCTCGCTGACGTGGCTTATTTAATGAAATGAAAAAATTAAAAATAAAAACAATTCTCACCTCCCAGTCCTTCCCCCTCCACTAATATCATCTTCTTCTCCAAATTTCCCCAACCCCCCTAAAAAGCCAGCACAGCTCCGCCTCTGCAGCCGGCAAATCCACCACGCCCACCGCCGCCGTCGCTCTAGCTGTCACCCCAACCTCTTCCCCGGTCATCGTCCCTCCTCCCAAGACCATCCCATCTCCTTCCACTTCCAAGACCCCTGCCCCCAGCCTTCCCCATTCTGCCACGTCGTCTCCCTCCACCTCTCCAACTGTTCCGACGACGTTTCCCTCTCCTTCATCGCCCTCAAGTCCCTCTCCACCCTCCAGTCTCTCTCCTTCGCCGACTGCCCCATTACCGCTATCCGTTTCCCTTCAGATCTCGACCTCGCCCTCTGCTCACCATCACGAATGGGAATCTCACGGGCTCGATTCCGAAGCATTTGGTCGAGAATCTCACCCGTGTGGATCTTTCGGGCAACAGGCTTAAAGGAAGGATACCCAGTTCAATTGCAATCCTCGAGAATCTAGAAACCCTCAATCAGGTAGAAAGATCTCCTTTCGGCACAGGAGCTCCATTGTTTCCAAAACCATCAGTTCCGCCCCCGCGATCAAATCAAACCAACTGTTCCGCCTCCTTCTCCTGGACAACAATCGGCTCCTTCGGCTGCGGATTCATCGGATTCGGCGGCAATTGGGGAGGAGGAATGGCAGAGTAATGCTGCGGCGGCGGCGGCCTGTGTGGAGGCTTGAGATTGGGAGTTTCGGAGGAGAGGCCTGATGCTGTAAAAAAGATAGAGGATTGTGGAAATAGCTACTTCGAGGAAGTCGGCTAGTCGTCACCATCGATGGAGAAGGAATGTGGCAACTACGGCGGTGAAAGTTTGGTCGTCGGAGGGCGAATTCACGGTGGGGCGCGGGAGGGGGGGGGGTGTTTAAAATTATTTTAATTTTGTAATATAATAATAAATAAATAATAAATAATATTTTCAAAAATTTTATTCTTTTTTTTTCCAATGTGGCATCCACTTGTCGCTTACGTGGACACAATGTTGGCCACCGTCAGGTCAACCATCAATTCTAACGGTCAACAGAAAATTGCGTAACACAAATGACGCAAACCCCTAACAGGTTGGAATATTTTTGTGTTTATTGAAAGCATGTAATATAAATAGCACTTTCGTTAAAGAATGGTATTTCTAGTGGTATTACCCCTAAATTAAAAATAAAATAAACGATATACCGACTGCACCTCTGAGTCAGACTCATCAGCCGAAGAGAACAACCGAAACGACCCAAGAGAAAAAAGAAAAGAAAAATAGTTGTTGGTTGAGAGCGTGTTTCCCCGAACCGGCACCCGCGCCCAGTCCACCATCTTTCCTCCCTTTCTCGTCATTTCGGCCCAAAACAGCACAAAGAAAAAAGCCAGAAAAAGAGCCAACCAACCTTTCAATCATAATTCCAAAAAACGCATCCTCTTCCTCCTGGATTCTCTCTGTCGCTGCTAACCTCCAGCCCCTGCTGCCAGCTTAAGCTACAGAAACAAGGAAGGAAGGAGACACAGTTCCACAACCACCAGCCAAACGCGATTGTACAGCCTATCCGTTCCAGAGAAACCATGGCAGTTGCAGCAATGGCAGGGGGAGTCGATTCGCTGAGCGACCGAGCCGCCAAGATGAAAGAAGCTCTTCTCAAGAGCCAAACCATCACCGAGAACGTCGTCTCCATTCTCGGCTCCTTCGACAGCCGCCTCTCCGTCCTCGAGACCGCCATGCGTCCCACTCAGGTGCCTACCTACCCTCCTTTTAGATCGATTGCCTTCTTTAGGAGCTGGAACTTGATGGCTGACTGGCTAGCTGGTGGACTAATCTGCTGGTGCGATTTGATTGAGGATTCGGTTTTTGATTTATCTGTTCCCCGGAGGCGGCATCTGATCCCTTCTTGATCTAGTCGGTGCTTTGACTTCTTGATGTTTTTGTTGTTGGATTGGATTGACTACATCTAGCATCGAGGAACTTGGTTTCTGAGATTTCAAAGTGAATAATCAGTTCATCCGTAGGCAGATAATGCTCACTGTAGCTTTCAGTATTGTGATTGATCTGCGAGGTTGCAGAATTCCCGCTGTATAGAACTGTTCACACCAACAAGAACCTGTAATGCATTGGAATAATTTGTTCCTTCTCTGAGTCGTTTGATTGATTTGGTTTGCGTTTTGTTCGTTTTTGTTTCTGTTATAGATTAGGACGCATGCTATACGAAAGGCTCATGAGAACATAGACAAGACTCTCAAGGCTGCTGAGATTCTATTGGCTGAATTTGACGTCTCTCGACAGGTTGGTTCCTCTGACCTATGGAAATTTCGTGTGCATTTACGGTATGTTTGTAAGGAATACTTCCCTGTTATCAACATATTTGGTGCTCTGTAATATGGAACAGTGTTCGGATCTCATTAGATTTGAGAGAACTCTTTTTTTGCTCTGTCGAAATTTGATGAATTCAGTGCATGAGTTTTGGCTTAATTTAGTCAGTTATTGTTTCTCAGAGTCACTGTTATAGCCGAAGTATGGTTGTTGCAGTCCAATGGAAGTCTGAACATGGGCACTCTAGTTAGCTTATGCAGTGTCTTGTTTTACCAAGATATTTCTGTTTTCGTATGCCCCATGCAGCTCATAGCTTCTTGTGGAGGCTTTCTGCCGTTCCCAAACGCTGAACTCTTCTTCATTCTGTTACTATTTTTGTCAAATTCTAAAGAAGACGTCTATGTTTCCTTTCAGAGTTTGGACACCAAGAATATCTTATATCATGACTGTGTAGTTTTGCATTTTTCGGCCGTTTCCTGTCCAAAAATCATATTTGAATAAGGTTTCCAACGTACTTTTGCTTATAAAATCTAGTCTCCTACTTGGCCGTTTTAACCATCAAGTTTGGTAGGCTTCACCGCACATTCTTTCTTTCGGGCCATTCTTCAAATCATTCAAAAGATTTATCTGTCATTTTTAGGCTTCAAAATGGGCGTTCAAGTTGTTGGTATATGCCATTGATATCTCTCTCTTCTCTGTGCATTTCTGTTTCCTGCTGTGGTGCTTCTAATACATTAGGCAGAGGCACAAATATTGAGGGGACCGCATGAGGACCTTGAAAGTTATCTGGAAGCTATTGAACAGCTGAGGAAAAATATTCGTTTCTTCAGCAGTAACAAAAGCTTCAAGAGTGGGGATGCAGTGCTCACTAATGCAAATAACTTACTAGCTAAGGCCATATCAAAGCTAGAGGATGAATTTAAGCAGCTACTAGCGTCTTACAGGTATGTCTTACTACAAAGTCTGGCATTGGTTATCTGGAGACTGTGTGTATATCATACCAAATTGCAAATATGAAGACTGATTTTTTCTTTTTGTTTAATTCTTGGTCATCACTGTACGAGGCAGTCTGTTTATGGTGTGATAAAGTGCTTGCTGTCATTCTCCATATTGAACATGTTTGTTCCTCTGATCCTTTCATGCTGGCTTTACTGTCTTCCATATATATCTGGAAAAGCCGTTGGTATCAATGATTACTTTCTGTTATCTCAACCTTTATTCTTAGAAACAATTCACTGATAGTTCTGATCAATGAGCATCGGTAATATGAATATTTTCCCTTTGCATCATTTGCATCATCAGAGCTTATACTTCTGTGCAATTTTACTTGAATTGTTCTCTATGATATCTATGATGTGCTCTATGCACTAATCCACCAAAAATGTTCTATTGTCTTCCTATTTCAGCAAACCCGTCGAGCCTGATCGTCTTTTTGAGTGCCTTCCAGAATCAATGCGACCTTCTGCTGGATCCCCTGCAAACCACGGCGACCCTAATGGCTTAGGTCCTCATTCCCATAACCATTCTGAGCAGCAGAACAGTAATGCGGAGGCTGCAAGTTTTAAACCTCTTGTCCTGATACCCCCAAGAACTGTTCCTTTGCTACATGATCTTGCCGTACATATGGTTCAAGCTGGACACCAGCAGCAATTGTTGAAGACTTACAGGTAAAGAGCTTATAGACAGTCTCCTAATTTATATACTTTTAGTTATGATCAATGCATGTAATTTTCTTGACTTCTGAAGGCAGTTTGATTGCTTTAGTTCATAGGACATTTGTGTGAACGTTGTATCGTGCTAATGAGTTGGGCCTTCTCCAGAAACTCTACTCTGTAGGATATCTGGGGATGAAAAAATTTCAGCTATTAAGAATAAGCTCTTTATACATGATTTATATTTTAAAGAAAGGAAAAGAATAAACTTCATGTAAGCCATAAAAGTTAACTTATCCTTTTATAAGAATGACTGAGTTAGGAATTTGAAACTTCAACATTCTCTAATGCTCCGTGATGGGTAAATTTCTGTTGGTCCCTCTATTGAAAATCATAAACCCACTTTCTAGCAAATTGAAGGGGGGTTCACTTGCTCATACTAACCATTTATGGCTGTCCCTTCCCTAGATCTCGTTATATTCATATGATGTTATTGCTTTTGTGAACTGCAGAGTGAGATTGAGCAACTTGATTTCTTCTTCCATCCATAGAGTAACGATATCTGATACTAAATTGAATTAAAATTCACTAGTGCTTTGTAAGGATGACACTTGTTAGCGTGGTGATTGTTGAAATCTATTTCTGAAATGTTAGGCAGATTCAACTTGATCTGAACACTTCGAGCCTCTTCTTTTTATCCTCCTTTTTTGGTTTTCAGGGATACACGATCCTCAGTTTTGGAAGAAAGCCTTAGGAAACTGGGAGTTGAGAGACTGAGTAAGGAAGATGTTCAAAAGATGCAATGGGAGGTCTTGGAAGCAAAGATTGGAAATTGGATTCACTTCATGCGGATAGCAGTAAGGACTGAATCCTATATACTCTCACTTCTGTTGTTTTGCTTGTTGGTTGCTTATCGTACTTTGAGCAGGTCAAGGTCTTGTTTGCTGGTGAAAGGAGACTTTGCGATCAAATCTTCGATGGCTTTGATTCTCTTCGAGATCAATGTTTTGCCGAAAGCACAGGCAATAATGTGTCAATGCTTCTCAGTTTTGGAGAAGCCATAACCAAAAGCAAGAGATCACCAGAGAAATTGTTCGTGCTTCTAGACATGTATGAGATTATGCGAGAACTTCACTCGGAGGTATGTTTGGTCACAGCAACTCACTAAGACTGTTGTTGGTTGCTCTCGTAGTTGATGCAGTATATGGCAGGGATTACATAGTCAGTGCTCATGATTCATGAGCCCATTTTCGCTGCAGTCTTATTTTGTTATTTTGTTACATAGTCAGTTCTGAAGTTACATCTCTGTTCTAACATTTTATTGTCGCTCTTACACGCTACATTTTTTTTATTGGTGATTCAGAAACATGAATTATGGTCTCACCTTTTACTAATTTGATATGTTCAAACTTCTGACTAATTTGATTTGTTCAAGCTTCTGACTAGTTGTCTGAACCGTTTGACACATATCAATTCTCTCTTTGATAGCAGGGCGTGCGTGGGTTCTTGATATTTGTTTTCTAACCATTTACTATTGTCAGCATTTTCCCCCTAGGTGTCTGTCATTCATAATGCATAAACCGATGTGGCAATTTCACAATTTCAGTAGTTGCTCTTAGAATTGGACGGTGATGCCATTAAAAACTTTATTGCCATTTCCTGTGCAGATTGAGTCAGTTTTCGGCGGTAAAGTTTGTGCTGAAATTAGGGAATCTACATTTGGTTTGACAAAGAGGCTTGCCCAGACAGCTCAAGAAACTTTTGGCGATTTTGAAGAAGCTGTTGAGAAGGATGCAACTAAAACAGCTGTACTGGATGGAACTGTTCATCCCCTGACTAGCTATGTTATTAACTATGTAAAATTCCTTTTCGAGTAAGTTCATCCGACCTTGACTTATAACCAACCAAACATCGACTATTCATATTTCCCAACCTATTGTGCTTCATAACTGGGTACTAATTGTGCATACATAAACTGGTACAGCTACCAATCGACGTTAAATCAACTCTTCCAAGAATTTGAAACTGGGGGAGAGACAGTGTCACAGTTAGCTACAGTGACCATGCGGATAATGCAGGCTCTTCAAACCAATTTGGATGGAAAGTCTAGGCAGTATAAGGATCAAGCTTTGACGCACCTGTTTCTGATGAACAATATTCACTATATGGTCAGATCTGTCCGCAGGTTTGTTATGAATGTGTTTCCTGGACATTTAACATGTTCGTTCCTTGCCTGGTAGTTTATAATGATTGATTGACTTTCAGATCCGAAGCCAAGGACTTGTTGGGAGACGATTGGGTTCAACGACACAGAAGAGTTGTTCAGCAGCATGCAAATCAATACAAAAGAACTGGTTGGGGAAAGGTGCTCTTCTCTCTTCTCCATTAAATGTCATCTGATGCTAATCAAATCTCTAACTGCAATTTTTTTTTTCTAATCTTGAAATTGTGGAAAATTTTACTTGCCAAGGTATTCAATATTTGAAAGTAATGATGCATCTCCTTAACTAAGTCTAGGTCTCGCACGAATTGCCAAACAGAAGATATCATATAGACATCGAATATGGTACCCAAATTGAAAATGATGCAAGAAAGTGAAATTACTGATCTTCAAGCTTTACTAAGACTGTTTGGCTGTATACACATATCCGATTAGTTTGTTTTGCTGTTTAATTAGTTCTATGTTTTGCTCAGTTGTTTGTTGCTATCTAGGTCATCATCTACTTCCTAGGAAAATCGAAAGGCACCTTGAATTTGTTGTTGCGTTGTAGGTTCATTCCTCTTAATGTTATCAAGTGCCTTTTCATTATAAGGATAATTAAATGCGTTGAGGAGAATCTGGCTCATGGAGTAGTGAACCTTTTCCAGATTCTTCAATGTCTCTCTGCTCAAGGCCTAACTTCATCTGGAGGAAGTTCTTCAGCACCTGGTGAGAGTGGAAGTGGCAGTGGTGCTTCAAGAGGATTGGTTAAAGAGAGGTCATATTGAGTTCCTGGATCATTCCTAAGAACGCTGACTTTTGCATATTCCGCCCTGGCCTCATTAGTTTCATGTTTACCATGTTTTCCATGTTTTCCAGGTTCAAGATCTTCAATACACAGTTTGAGGAACTCCACCAAAAACAATCTCAGTGGACGGTACCAGACACCGAGCTGCGAGAATCTCTGAGGCTTGCAGTCGCTGAAGTCTTGTTACCTGCCTACAGATCTTTTGTAAAACGTTTTGGGTATGTAGCAATTTGGATTTGTTTACGAAGCCTACTACTACTACTTCCTCTTTTTGGGTATGCAGTACTTCTAATCATATATTTATTTCCAACAATCACCTAACAGGCCACTAGTCGAGAGCGGGAAGAACCCACAGAAGTACATCAAGTACTCAGCTGAGGACCTGGAGAGAATGCTGGGTGAGTTTTTCGAGGGCAAGACGCTGAATGAGCCGCGGCGGTAGACACTCAGACCACCACACCGGTTTCCCTTTCCTATTATTATACCTTTTGCTGTTGTAAATTGATGGAAAGACACGGACTCTGGGTCCTCTAGCTGCTATAGTGTCCGCTATCTCCTCCTCGTTGGCCCTCATTCCCAAATTCGGCTGCGGATTGGGGCTGGGTCTCGGGTATGTATCCATCCTGGTTCTTGTTTGTTCTGTAAAGGTAGAGGAAAACCAGAATGTTCGTTTATTCTTTGGGTGAGGATTGTGGAAGATAAAGAGCCAGACCAGGCCCCAGGCGACAGCTCACAGCTCTGCTTGGGCTGTGAGAAATCGAGAAGCAGCACCCTAAAACTGACTTCGGATCTTACGGCGTAGGTTGCGAAGAGTATATTTTTCTTGTGTGTCCTGAACTCCTAATCGTTGTATGTACATTTTGTAAGGACATGATTTGCCTCTCGACTCGCAGGTTCCTTAACTCTCCTTATTTTTCGGGTGATAGATGAGTTGAAGTCCGCTCATGCCGACCAAAATTAGGGTTTATGTGTCGGTAATGGTCTTATAACCATTGCTTGGAGTTGCATTGGAGATCCTATCGAATAAGTTGGTCTTATAACCATTCTATCAAATATGCTTCAATATCCAAGCATTTTGGGCCGGCGGCCGGCAGTTTGACCGTTTTATCAACCAGACAAGTCTACGTTGACACTTGTAAACAAGCAGGCGGCGGGAAGTGGGAAAGGAAGGGAGAGATGATGGACAAGTTTCTGCCACGTTGCCACTAATAAAACCAGACAATAAACAACAAACTGCCGATTCCTCTCCCCTGCTGCACTATATCTGTTCGTCGTTGCAATCCGCAGCCCAGACGACTTGCCATTTGCGTCTTCTTTCTCCAGCCATTGACGAGGCTTCCAACCCAGCAGGTACCCGCATTTCCTGCGTATTCTGTATTCTTCCATCACTGCTAATTCTGCTGCCGTGTTTGTTATTGATCCTTGGTGTTAAATTTTTTTCTTTCTTGGGGGTTTTGATGGAGTAGTCAACAACAACAGTATGGCGCAGGATGAAACAGGCTGTGACAAGAAGATGGGATCCTCCGGCGACCGTGTTTCTGATACCATCATTCCCCACCTTCTTAATCTGTAACTCCTTCCTTCCTTCCCCTGGTTCATATCCAGTGAGCAAATGAAAGTTGTTTCCATCCTCATCTTGGTCAGGTTTTGATCTGTTCTTACACTACTGTTATCTGCTTATGTTTCGAGGAAGGTATGCATCGCGTGCCACTGCTGCGGACTTCGAAATCTATGCCGCAAATGCTTCCTTTGAAGATCCCCTCATGTCTGCTCAAGGGTACATACTACATACCTTAACCCTTCTCCTCTGCTCATCAATTGCAGAAGCAGATCAGCTTAAATATCGTGTCGGCATATGATTCGATCTGCGCATGTTTTTTGCAGGGTGAAGCAGATCAAATCAGCATTCTACTCTCTTCCTAAGGCAATAAGCAGTAATTATATATATATGAATCAGCAACGGACCTCGTATCACAATCCTCGATCATCCATCATCCTTGATCTCATTACTATTGCTGCAGGTGTTCAAAGAGTCTGAGATCGTGGAATACAGTGTGCACGAGAATCAGTTGGCACCTGGAAACCGAGAGGTAAAATACACTACTGCTCTCTGTCCCCTATCTGTCTGTCACCATAACATTGTTACTAAGGCAATAAGCAGTAATTATATATATATATGATTCCAGCAATGATTTCTGCTAATGGACTGTACAATCAGATATTGATTGACAACAAACAACGTTATACACTCCTGGGGAAAAGTATAGAGATGACCTCGCTTATCAGGCTCCACGTCGAGAATGGCAAAATCGTTCGACACGAGGACTGGTAAATCTTTTCTGAACGCATTGTAGTATGTTTTCGTGTATGGTGTTTTCTTCCTATGGATCGAGTAAGACATACTAGTTTCTTTGTTCTTGTTGTACTTTATACCAAACAATAATGTGTCAAATTTTAACATGGTAAATTGGTAATGTTGCTCTGATTTTTGTGGTTTTGGTTGGGTGGAAATTTAATTAGGTGGGACAAGAAGCCGATTGAGAGCAGAGAAACAGCCAAGTTACGGGTGGTTGGACGGCTCAAGGAAATTGTTCGAAGAGGTTCCATGCTTGTTACTCATGCCGCAATGGGCTTCGGGAAGGATCCATCAACACATTCCCAAGGCCCAAACCCTAGCCAGACCACCAAATAGAAGCTAGAGTACCGGGCTTGGGCCCGTTCTTTGGGCAAATGAGCATATATATGTGTAATGTGTGTGTTCTCTAATTTGTGGGTTAGAAATAAATATTTTGTTATTTTGGTATGAAATATGAATTAAGATGATTGTTATGTGTGAGAAGTGCTTATATTTTCTTTTCTTCCCCTTATCACAGGCTTTTTTAACATTAAACTTCAAACAGTTGTTTATCTAAATCAGTTGTGTGGTAACCAAATTGGAGTATCTATAAATATCATCAATTCATCAAACTTGGTCAACATTATGGTGAATAACGAGACAAGCCATCATGGCAATTCGATAATTTTTGTGTTAAACGTATAAATAATATATTTTTATTTATTAAATGTTTTGTATTATATTAGGATATTTTGATATATTTAGTAACTATACGTGTTTTAGTTGGATTAGGAGAAATGTTAGTTATTGTCTAATTTTTAGTTAAAATTTTTGTAAGGAAAGAAAAAAGAATTCCAAGATGATAAGAAGGAGAGAGTCTAAAGCCCACTGTGAGACAATGATTAATAATATGAGAAGATTGGAACTCAATTATATTTTTTGCTTCATTTTATCTGTATTAAAGATTTCGTCTTTTATCACAAGCAAACTTATGGCACTATGCTGACTGCTCCCATGTTAGTGCATGTCACGACACTTTAGGAAATGTAACTTCCATGTCATTTCACACCATATTAACCGAATATTTATATAAAAAAAATTAATTCCATAATACTTGTGTGTTCGAGCAAGTGAGATATTGTTCTATTTTGTCCCTAATTTTTAAGATTTTCTTCCAAATATGAGCTTCTTATAGAGAGTTCTCCGAAAGAGTGATCCTTAACATGGTAACAATGCTAAGATTTTTGTAGTTTTGAGAAAAAATTTATTTCACTGGGACAAGAAGACAATTGAGAACAGAGAAACGACAAAGTTAGGGGGTGGTTGGGAGGCTCAAGAAGATTGTTTGAATGATTGCTAGGCTTTGGGAAGGACCTATCAACCCGATCCCAAGGCCCAAACCCTAGCCAGGCCATTAAATAGAAATCGGAGTATTAGACTTGGGCTCGCTCTTTGTGATCTAAAATTTGTTATTGAGAAAGAAATATTCGTAGGTCGGCAATCGTATCTGGTTTTTGGGGAAAGAGATCCAGTTGGACGGCATGAAGTTTATAGCTGTCGGTAAAATATCGATGACTGTCCTTGGAGGCGCGAGCAAGGAAAAAATGATTGTTTGTTGGATATCCTGACCTTCGGTAGTTGGGGAAAGGGCAAGATACTTGCATCGTGTGGCACTGTTTCATCCTTCGCGAAGATGGAGGTGATGATCATACCGGCCCCTGCGCTTAAGAGGAGCAATTTGAAAGAAGAGATAAAGGAATTAAGGGGGTTTAGGGTTGTCGAGACGACCTATTGATTTGACAATATGGAGAATGATGGTTTCAATATCAATTTATCATCATATCTGTTGTTTGTTCGTTCGTTGGTTGATTTGTTGAGCAACTAACACTCTTTGTATCCGTAACAGCAGTTGTACTGATGAAAATGGACGAAATGTGGTTGGGGTTCCTTGTTCCAGTAATTGTGAATTCGTATTAGCAATAAAATAAAATGTAAAGTTTGTTTCGTCCATTGCAATATAGTTTTTATGATGTTTGTGTTGGAGAAGAAATACTTGCTGCACAAGGGCGAGGCTGTCAGCTGAGCATGAACCCGGGTCGATCAGTGAAGGGAAGCTTTTAAATAAGCAGTTAGTTGTTAGTTGCTGTTGTGCCGTATTGGTAAAGTTTCAGTGTGGTACCTTAGATTAGTTCTGTGTTAGTCAAAGTACTTGAGCAGAGTTAGGCTAGTTAGTTGCTGCAGAGACGTGCTGCAGAGTTGTTAGCTGAAATATAGGAATAGGACAATTAGTAGTAAATGTGCAGAGGTTTGGAGACACTAGTTCTCTATGTATTTAAACTCTTTTCATTCAATAAAAGAACTTGTCAGTTTGCAGCACATTGGCTCCTACAGTTCGTTTGCTGCAATCAATTCAATTTCTTTTTGGTTCCTGTGCGCGATGCGATACCAACCCAGCTAGCGAACTTCCATGCATTCAATTCACTTGTAAGAAGAAAGGCCAATATGCAGCAGCACTGAGTATGATTCCAAGATTGACTACTACAATTCTTAATCTTAATAAAGATTTATAGTTTCACTCACTCGTAATAAAGAATTACAGCAGGAAAACACATCGTGAAATTGATGCAACCAGCTATCCAAAATCTCTCCATCTGCTTTGGTCTACCTCCTGAGTCCTGCAGCGGCGGATCCAGGACACAATATAGCACTGGGCCGCATTTCATTAGAAAATTAGATACCGTAAAAAAAAATTACAGTTTTTTTACAATATCAATTATACACGTCGATCTTTTAAATTTTAATATAGTGAATTCATCAATAATGGAGTTTAAATCCACATCAATAGCGTGCTCTCTTTAAGATAAAATAGTTAACCAATTGGCGAGAAATTCATCGCTCATTTTGTTGCGCAAATGTCAACACAATCGACTAATCAATATATATTGTGTATCAATTCCTATTTTCAACAGCTGCTCTAATAATTTCTTAAAGGAATAAACTTCATATTTCTTTTAGTCTTTTACGTTTTAGAATTTTAGGTTTCATTGTTTGCTTTTCTTTATATGAGAATCAATGCAGCTAGAAATTTAAGGCTAAATTTAGAGTTGTAATTTGAATATGTTGATCTTATCCATTTTCCTAATTACACACAATTTTATTATAAAATAACACTGACCTAAATGACTAAAATCGATAAACTCATAAGGACTATAATAGTTCCGGATCCAGGGGAGGGCTGGGCCGTGGCCCGGGGTGGCCACCCCTGGATCCGCCACTGGAGTCCTGCCTGCTACCTTTCTTGTAGTCCCAAAAAGAAAGAAAGAAAGAAAGAAAAGGGATTATCGTATAGGAAAAGGAAGGAATTCCTGAATTTCTTTAGCTCAAACTCTCCAGTTCGATTACCAAGTTGTTCGTTGCACAGTTCCTGTTACTGGGTTTCTTTTCTACTTCAGAAGATGGAGCTTTTTTTACTTCTTCTTCTTTAATTTTGAATCGGGAATTAGCTTTGCTGTGTTGTTGTCCATATTCTTTTTCGCCTTTTAACATCTACTGCTTTTCCTCACTTTCTTTCTATTTGATTTTGATTTATAAAGAAGGTAGCTCCAAAGTTGAAGTGGTTAAAGACAAAAGGATCGAACAATCATTGGAAGCACAATGATTACAGATTTTCATAAATCAATCTCGTCGTCATATTTAAAAAAAAAAAAAAAAAACATTCGTTATCCTGTTGCCTTTGTCTCGGCAGGCTGCAGCTTCCTCTTTTTGACCGGTCTCCCCATCTACATTGCCATACCTACTTTCTTATCCTTAATCTAGTCATTAATTATCACCTAATTAATTCTTATAACAATAATAGTTGCCTTAACTTATTATCTTGAACAACTTTGAGAATCATCTTCAGAATCGTTGATTATTATTTTGCTCTACATATGGTAGTTAGTATTAAGGGAGGGTGTGTTTGGTATTTATGAGATACTAAAACGGAAAGGTTAATGTAAGAGTTATTCTCCATTCTAATATGTCTTTTTGTGGTCTAATGATTAACATTAATAAGGGAGGGTATGTTCAGAAATAGTGAGATATTAAAAAGAAAAGATTGATGCGATAGCTCTTCTCCATTTTGATTCGTCTTTCTCTCTTTTACACGAGAACATGTATGTCATCTCTCCTTCTTCTTCGATCCCAATTTAATTTTCTCCTCAGATTTCCTTTTCCTTGTTCTTCTTTCATTAGCTATCTTTATAGACTATCCTCTCTCTTCTATCTTGCTGCTTTACCGATATCTTTCTCTGACTATAGATCTGTCCACCCGATCACACACTTGAATTGCAATGGTCTTCCCGATATAGATCCGAACACTATTGCCCTTACGAAAAAATTGCACGCATATCTTGTGGCTCACCAACGAATGCCCCAAGTAACAAGAGACAACAGTCAACAATATTCACTCGCATATATTGCGATTCAACAACGACAAATCTCGTCGATAAAAGTTTTCGAACTTCGTTAACATAGAGAATCTCGTAGGTTGATTCATCCCCATCTAATAAATTCCCCGATGATTTGTTGGGGCAGAATATGGATGGTTATGGATTTGGAAGTGGATTGTAATTGACCGAGGTAGACTTGGTCGATGTTGGTATTGGTATTGGTTGATATTGGTAATTGTGTTGGTTGATGCTTGATAGTGTTGTTGTTGTTGGTATCTATTTAGATGGCCTTTGTGGTTCCCAGATTTCCCATCAAACAAAACATCTGTATATTCACAATAAAAATGCAACTAATATGGTTTATGGTCCAAGTTTTATTTTTTTTCATGATAAACACATATTTAATATGATTTTAGGGTTTCAACGTTATAGTTGTGTAATTTTCCTTCATTGTCATATCCTGTTAGATTACTAGACCGAATGAAGGATTATGATCATGGTGGTTACCCTGCCACCCCTATATGGTTCGCACTATATCGTGTTTCATGTACTTGAGTAGCCGTTATTATACTGTATTTATTATCTAGTGACAGGAAAAACTGATATCGCCATACTCATGTTATGGTTGCATACTTGCATACATATAAAGCACATAACTTGAGTATTAGCTAGCATTGAGCAAGAAGCTAAACATATATTATTACTTGGATGATGTTAAAGTTATGTTCTCATTAAAAGCAACAAAAGGACATCCCTAATCTTCCTTCCATTTTCATTTTGCGAATCTATGTAGGCGAATCTCCCTTTATATATTTTGCAACTTTTCATCATTGTGGTATGTAAAAAAAAAAAAAAACACATGCTGATCAGGATCAAAGATTACTGCCCTAAAAACTAATGATGATTAAGGACATCAATGAGGCCATTATGTAACATTTCTATTAGTCCAATTATCAAATGATGATTGAAGCATCCCAATACACTGACTTCATCTTTCTGCAGGTTGGTTGATCTATACTCAGAAGCCTCAATATTTGTTGTTTTTTTTGGTTAACTCCAGCTTGTCTTTTTTCTTTTTAATTTCAATTATGGAGTTGTTATTGGGAAGGAAATGAGTGGATTTCATCAGATCCAAGAAATCGGTTCCTTGCTTCCATGCAGAAATTTCCCAACTTTATCTGATATGATGATGGTCTTTGTTTTTCTTTTGTGATAATGTGCTTTATCTGACAATGGTTACTTGGTTAGTGCAAAGGAGATGGATAAAAAAGCACCGCTTTTCCTGAAGAAGGGAAATAATAATTCATGGGAATTTCTATTTTCCATTAATATATTGTTTTAAATGGAAAATACAAACATTTCTATTAAGAGTTTTAACATTATTATTACCATTTTATTCTTTTTTGGGAAAGAATAGGGACTACCAATATAAGTTACAGTTATGTTATCATTCTTGTAAACAAGTTTGGACGCATTTTATCGTATTGGTTTTAATATGGGTCATTATTTATTTCATAGAATTAATTTTATCCGAGCATGAATCGGGAAAGAGATTTTCAGCAATATGAAACGGTTTGATCCCAATTTCAGCTCTAAATACTCTATCAATAACTTCTCTCGGTACAACCTCCGGTACGATTTGACCCTCATACATCCGGACATGGTATTAATCCAACCTTTGAAATAATAAATAGAGAAAAAGGGAAAGTTGAGATCGATATATTAAGCACATATGATGAGTAGCAGCTGCCCAATGGCTGGCTAGCTTTGCATATTAAATATATTTGTGCTTTTCAAAGACTGCAAAAGTGTAAAGGGGAGTGGAAACTTGGTCTCCATTTCTACACAAACCTCTCTACCTTTGTAAAGAACACACTACTCCAATCTCCATATCACTCCGATCGATCCACTCACCACCAACGTAGTGGGAGGGAAGATTTTGGGTCTCTGCTTTTGGCTTTGAATTGTGTATTTGTTAGTGCGAAAGAGAAGAAGAAACCACAAAAGAAGCCCTCCTCCTGTGGTTGATGTGACTTGAATCGGACTATCAGCCGCTACGACGGGTAATCGGGAGTCTCGCTGGGCTCAATGTTATTTGGGTTCGGGTTCTGGGCCTGGTCTGTAACCGTTTCCTTTGCCAGATTGGATTAGGTTTAGACCCACATGGAGAAGTACTATAAATACTTCTCATACTCCTCTGTAATCTGTAATCTTCTCGATGTAGTGAAACTGGCTCTCTTTCGCCCGTGGACGTAGCTAACACACATCGTGTTAGTGAACCACGTAAATCGTGTGTCTGTGTTTTTCGATTCTCGCTTTTGTATTCTTGCTTTATCGATTCCGGCGATTTCCCGATCCGTAGCAGCGCGTTTATAACGCCTGCAAATAAACATATACAAGAATAATAATAAGTAAAAATAGATGCACATGTTATTATTAGCTATGAGATTTTGTGGGTGGTGGTTTTTTTGAGTACTTTTTAGCGCATTATAGTTAGTTAGTGACTCTTCCTAAAAAGAATACAGCAGCAGCTGAGGAAAAGTGGGGGTTGGGTTTCCTGCTTTTGCATCTCTTTTCCCACCCATTCCTTTTATCATTTGTTGATCAAATGTTTCCTGCTTTGATGTCTATCTATCTATCTGGATTTAGTTAGGCGGCAATACAATTTATATTAAGGCAAAATCACAAAGAGAGATAATTAATAATTATGTGACTGATCGATCCATCGATCTACTCCAATGACATAAAGCTAAGCCACAACATCACCCAGCCAGAGGGTTGTCGCTCAAAAGGAAGTGGGCTATAATGGAGAGTGATACAAATATAGGGAAAAAAAGTGTTAGATAAGATTTTTTCATTAATTTGTATGCTTTTCCATCCTAATATGATAAATGATAACTTTTCAAAGACATTTAGTCACGCCCCGGCCGGGCGTTTTAGGGTGCATAGCTCTTGTTCACGCATTTGTTATTAGATCTGGTCATTTGATTTTTGAATAGGGTCAGACTGAAGGGGTGCGATAAAAATGTCTTTTATTTTCTCTATTTTTAATTGATGTGTATCGTTGTTTCAAACTGATTTTTTTTTTTGCTAGAGATGGAACGAGTTCGTTGATCTGCAAAATTATATTTATTTATTTTATCTCTTTTTAAGAAGAAGAAAAATCTCATACCACCTTCGTTTTTAACTCAAAATACTAAAATTGTTTCGCAGAAAGAACAAATTTATCATGAGCTCTATAGACTTTGATATATTTTTGGAAAGAATATTGCTACTATCGCTTATATTGCTACTATCGTGTATACATGTATCATACACCATGATATGTTCATATCACAATGATACATTTTCATACCATTATAGTATAGTCTTATGTACAACCAAACTTCGATGGAGGAGCCATGAACTAGGGTGTTCTTTTTTTCAATATATAAATAAATATTCCATTACATATAATTTAAAATAAATAATTTATTAATAGAAAAAATAACTATTAATACAAATTTTATTTTCATAAACAATCACGTGTTTTCATATTTCGAAAAACGTTCCCTTAAAATACACATTCGTTACTATAGGGAAATACGAGTCAGAAGAAGAAGCGAGATTGATTTATGATCGTTACTCCAACCACGTAACTCCACTACTGGTTTGCAGCAGCATGCAGCGGGGCGCATTTGCTGGCCCGCAGCTAGCCGTTAATATGGACTTAACCTATATATATATGCATGATCTTCCTTCTCCCAGATCAAACATTTTCCACTATTTAAGTTATCTTAGATAGTCAAAAGAAAACTAACTTGGAAAATTAAAGGAGTATATCCTATCCTGTTGTAGGATTGGAAACCTTTTTAATATGGTCTAATCCCTTCTTTCTTTTTTTTCCCAAGCTCACTAGGACCAAAACGATACAATCGTTTACCTAATTGATAACTCATAGAGGGTCTTCTAACCACTAAATTAGTTATCATACTGTTTATTCTATCTAAAAAGTAAGCTAAACTCTTAACTCGAAATTCAGACCTCACCTGTGCTATTTCCTGAAAAATGACTCAACCCGTTCCATGCGATCTTAACCTTATCAATGATTGTTTTTATATTTATTTCAAACCTGGAAATCCTCACGAGAATAATACCATTCAACACTACCAACTTCAACACAAAACAAATCTTGAAAACCATCATAGATTTTGCCTTGGATATATAAGCTCAATCTTAATTAACAAATACTTGCATGACACCGGGTTAGACACTAAGATAATTACTAATTAGTAGTCTACATGCAGTGCAGAAAAAAACAACCAAGAAAGATATATTATGGAAAGCGAAAACGGTTTGTTTTATATGTTTATTTTGGGGAGACCAAAGTGGGATGGAAAATCAAAAATTACTGAAAGATGTTTTGCTTATAGTTCACAAAATGAAGAAAAGTAGCAAAAAGATGTCTCCTTTAATGTTTTTCTTCTTCTTTGAACTCTCTTTAATGTTTCTTTCAAGACAAGAAATTCTATCTCAAAAGGACCAAAAAAGGAAGATCCACCAAAAAAAAAAAAAAGGTTTCGTCAATTGCCTGTGGAGTGCAATATAAATCACAAGTTCATAGCATGTTATGATAACACATCTCCATATCTTGTCTGTGTATGAAGGGAATGCTTCAAAATCCATAATTATTTTAGGATCAATCAAAATAAGTATGGAGTTTAAATGACTATTTTCAGTTTACAATTTTGATTACTCCATGCATATTTTGTTCTTAATTTAAATTATAAAAAAAATTGCACTAAAAATTGATTTCAGTTGTGGATAAAACAATTTTGGTTTTTCTAAATACGTTTCTATAGTCACATATATATACCATGATGATACGAAATTATACTATAGTTGTCCACGATATATGAGCATTTTGTCCATTGAAACTCTTTAATTCCAAAATATAACAAAGCGTATATTATCTTTTGATTTACCATTAATCTGATTTTATTGTCAATGGTTACTCAAATCCAACGATCTTATAATTTAAAGTACGGTATACTTCAAAAGTACTCGTTACCCTTGTTTATTCCTCGCGTTTTAGCATATGTGGTCTATTGGAATATGCTTGTAAGTGTTTGTATATTATAAAACATCTATTGCCATTTACCAACCTTGAAAGATTTGCCCATGAACAATCACAAAAACTGAAACTTAACTCTCAGAGTCACAATTAAGCACTGTAATTATACATTATATTAGAAAAATATACAGCCACTCTCTATACTACTGCTAAGCCCTTGTATTTGCATTGTCAGTTCCCTTTCCCCACCCCAAAATGTCACCACCAATCTTCTTCTGTTTGGTTCCCCAGAGCCTAATGAACAAATTTCAGGACTTGAAACGCTACACTTGATGAAAAAACAGAGGAAATAAAAAAACAACCAAACTACAACTCTTGATCACCATGAACTTTGAAAACAACCCTGCCATCCACCAGTTGCAAAACTCCATTGCTGCCCTGCTGATCATCATCATCCCCAATTTCGCTACTGTCGTCAATGCTCATATTCAAGTCCAGCGACAGAATCAGCCCATGATGCTCATCTTCCCCATTGCTCTCACCCCCACGTTTCCTCTTTCTGCTGGGACATGGAGACGACGACTGATATTGGCCGAAGCTTTTGCAGCTGAAGATGACAATGGCGTCCTTCAGTGGCACGCTTTCTCCCCCACGGAGCGTTACCCTTCCCGTCCGTATGGCTTTCCTCATCCCCTTCTCAGCATTGCTCCAAGTTTGATCAATTTCTTCAATGAAGAACACCCTGTGAGGATTCTCATTCAGGGCCAGCCCAAGGTGTTCGACATATGTCTCACTGAGATCAAGATCATCATTACCACTGTTCTTAATCGCGACGAAACCGGCCTGGCTGCTACCGTACACGACTCGAGCTAGCTCCCTCGCCACGCTCTCTTTGCCTCTGCAATCTTCCCCTTCAAACATCAGCCAAGTTTCTTCTCTTCTCTCTGCTGCTCTGCTGCTTAGCTTCTGTCTCTTCATCCCCGACCTGCATTCCAAAACCGCGGTGGCGATCTCCGTGATGATCTCCCTCTGATGGGGGACTTTCTGCTCCAGAGCACGGCAGAGGATCTGCAAATTGACGCCATTGAACTCCTTGAAGCTCCTGTCCTCGTCTTCGCCATGGTCGCTGACCTCGCTCGACGAAGCAGAGTTGGGGCTGGAGTTTGGGTTGGATAGAAGATCTGGCTTTGTGGTAGTACAGCAATTGCTAGTACTACTATCAGGACTTTGATTCCTGCTGCTGCTCCCCCACAAATTGTTGCTGTTACGGTGAGCGAATCTCTTGTTTTTGGCCGGTTCGAAGATGTCGAAGAATGTGAACACTCTGTTTTCATCGTTCGCTGCAGCAGCAGCGGTCTCTTCCTTGCACTGCAGGAGCCAAGAAGGCAAGCTGGATGTGGGTTTGGTGGGCTCTTTACCTCCATAATCGCTTCGACATTCTTCACCGAAATTGATAGCAGCTGAAGATTCCATTGGCGGCCGATTCTCCCTTCCTTTGGGGGATTGGAGGTCGAAATTGAGGCAGAGGCTGAGCCCGCTCCCCACGGGGACAGTGAGCGAGGAAAGCTCCCAAAGATCTTCCAGACAAGGATGCCCTGCTTTGCACTTCATGTACGCCTGAAAAGAAGCAATCCCCACCACCACCAATTGCTTGCTGTAATCTCTAACCAGCTTCTTGATCTCCATGATCACATACTCCATTGAGCTGTAATACAAACTACTTCTGTTCATCATGTACCTGCTCTGCTCCCCGTAACTAGACCAGAAATCAGCCACCCATTTGACGTCACCAACATACAGAACAACAACCCCTGACGACGTCTTCGTCGTCAGGAGGTAATTACACCTCAACTCCAAAATCTTCCGATCAATCTCCGCCCTCGACAGGCTGGCCAGGGTGAATAGAGGAAGGCTAGCGAACCGCGCTGACCTCAACTCCGCAGCAGCAGCAGCAGCAGCGCCTCTGTCCATCGCGGCTCGAACCACAGCCTCGCTTGTATCCACACACTCCCCTGTCACCACAATGTTCCTCCTCGATTTCCCCGCCATCATTGCATTCAAAACAGCAGTCACATCCTCCTCCCTCACATTGTAGTGATCCACGGGAGCTGATTTTGGTACCACTAGCTGATGATGTCCGAAATTCGGAACGGACATCATCCTCATTTGGTGATGATGTGGAGGGGGCTTGTAATCGTTACTACTACGTACCACATCGAGAGCAGCAGAACTTGTAGCAGCGTTTTTATTGCTGTGTTTGTTGGTCGTAGTGTTATTGTTGTTGTTGTTATGATTGATGGTCTTCTCGACTCTGATTTTGACCTGTGGGCTGGAGAATCCGGCCTCCCTCATGACCCTGCTGACGCTGGGATCGTCGAGGATGGAGATGACGAGCTGCTCGGCCTCGATTTTGACAGCTAAGATGGGCTGCTGCTGGTTCTCGGCGGACCCGCGGCGCTGGTGGGCCTGGGCCCGCTTGAATGCGGCGACGAGGGCGTTGGAGAGGGAAGGGTAGTAGGTAGAGGAATGGTGGTGGTGGTGGTGTGGGCCGGCGGCGAGGAGGTGGGCCGTGGTGGAGGCAGGGAGGCGGTTGAGGGCGACGTTGAAGCAGAGCTCGAGGGCTTTGCACTGGAGAGGGTGGGAATGGGCCTGGAGGCAGGCCCGCCGGAAGAGCCCACCGGAGGAGGCGAGCATTGCGCTGGCGACGTGGAGGGGCGTGACCTGAGCGTGGCCGCGGCGCCTGGCGAGGCTGATGGCTTGTTTGACGGTAGCTGCTGCCTCTGGGGTCAGGCCCTGCTGTATGCTGCAGATTCCTGCTGCTCTCATGGTTTGGTTTGGCAGCTAGCTAGGTTTTGTCGCCGTAATGTAGTTGTTTTCTGTGTTTTTAGCTGTTGGGTTGCTGTTGTATTGAAGTGAGTAAGGTTCTATGGTGTGGAGAGATTGTGAATGGAGTGGGAGAGAAGGTGGAGTGGGAAGAAGGTGGATTTGTGTTGTGGGTTTTATGGAGGAGGGAAAAAGGAGGGAGTGTTGGTTTGCGGGGATTTGATGCTTTTCGTGTTAGGAAGAGAGAGTGTGAAAGTGGTTTGCATGTGAAGTGGCTTCTGTTCTGCAGGAAACCATTTTTTTTTCTTTTTCTTTGGAGAGAGGGAGAGAGGGCTTTTGCTTTTCGTTCTTTGCTCTTTTTTTTTTTTGTCTTTACTCTGTTGTGGAAAAGTTGAAGACCAAAAAGTGGCTGTGTCTCTCTCTCTATCTCTAGTGTGTGTGTGTCTACAAGGGAGAGCTATAACGACCATAATGTGGCAATTAGGATGGGAAAAAATGAGAATCTATTGAGGATGTATATACTTGTTTGTTGACCGTACAGTACTTGGTTGGAGCTTAGTTTTAAGGTACAAACTTGTGTTTGTGTAGCATTGTAAGTGTATGTAGTGATTCAATTGTCTTAAACATTTCTTTATGTCTATACAGATACAGCATGAACTCGTAGCTTTTCAAGTGTTTTCGGTTACGGGTGTGTTGTATGTTTGAAAATTGAGCGTTGTTATGCGTTTAAAGTGCATGGTACTTAATGGGCAGGTTATCATGTATAGTGTAATTGGTGTTTACAAGTACTAATGTTTGATTCAATGTGTGTTGTGAAGAAAAGTATGCTAAAAAGACAAGGAAAATCTCGCGAGTTTCAATTTGATAAGGTAGTGTGAAGTTTCAATTTTATAAGGTAGGGTGAGAAACCGTGCTAACAATAGAATTGTACTTGTCGCGGAAGCTGCCTATTTAATGATTCTCTCTATTTTTAAGAAAATTTTCTCCACCTTTTCCCTAGAGCTTTATGCTTGAGTTTAGTGCAAGGAAAAGAAGTTGTTCCAACAAATCAATCTACGAGAAAGCAGTTTTTTAAGATATCAAGATGTCTTCTATCATCGAGATCGTCTCTTCTTCTCCGTTTGTATCCTCGTGCCTTATGAACTAGTCTCCTTTGTTGTTTGGAAGAGATGAACCCTATCTATGTATTGTTGGAATGCTTGGGAGGGATAATTAAGCTTCATGGCCGAGAAGGAAACAACTTGGATTAGTGCCTGGCAGCATTGATGTTTGTTTTCCTTCAATCTATCCTTGATTTATCTTGCGATAATTCAATTGAAGTATGCATATTGTTTAGTTGTATGTTTTGTGTGTACGGTGTCATGGCGTTGAGAATATCTCATTGCATGATACAACACTTTGTGAAATAAGAGATCGATTGTGTTGCTAGAACATAGAACCATGTAAGACCCCCGGAGTAGGGCATCACGTAGGATTGAGGAGGAAGAGAGTCGAGGGTCAACCTAGGGTTAGAGAGGGGGTGGGGGATCGTTTTCGGAGAGGATTGAGAGGGGGTGTCGTCACTTTTGAGGCAGAGAACATTACTAACCTTAATCTTTCGCCACATGATTGTTATTGTTGATCGGACCAACAAGCATTAAACCCTATTTACACCAACTCGAATTTATAGTGCTCAAAATTTCAAAGGAAATGAAACGAAACAAACACAAAAGGGAGAGAAAAGGGACAGGCCCATAACATTGAATCAAGCAACCAAATAACGAGGAGGGAATAAAAGGAAGGTGGGGGAGACGACTGGACTGGCTGTCTCTTTGAATTCAAGAACAGTGAAATACATACATGTTCGTTTCCTTTTCCACTATGTATGTTTTTTACCTTCATTTTTTGCCTCTTTTTATTTTGGGGAATTGTGGATATTATATTTGTATTTCTTTTGGCCTTTACCTTTTGATTTCTTCTTTTTTTTCTGCTGCTTTGCTCTGCAATCGAGAAAGAGGAATAATCTTTTGATGATTGAGGGGAAAGATGATATCTGTGTCACCAAAAACAATTATTTTGACAAAAAGCTTTTGTTCAATAAAGAACACAACGCAAAAAGGAAAAAAAGAAAAGACAAAGTGATGAGATGAAGTGATGCTCACTCACAGACAGATCGGCCTGAAATCTATGCTACAAACTCCAAACATTCCTCCTTTTGTCTCTTTCTTGATCCATTTCCTTCACATAACAACAAAACCAACAACATGAAAAATAAACAACCCAAGAAGAAAAAAATTTGGCTTTGCTAGAAAGAATGGGATGTGATTTATGAGAGTTCAATGAGTACCAGGTTACCACATTCATAATATCATCAATGAGAATAACAAAATTATCACGGTATGCTTTTAACGGTTGCAGAGTGTTTAGATATGAATTTAATAACCGTAAACTTATGTGAATGTTCTCACAATTAATGGTTTGGCGTAACTGAGCATCTTAATTGGACTCGACAATGACTTTGCAACAACAAACAGAAATGGATAATAAATTTCGGAATACATCAATCAGAAGGAAAAATAAGTTTTCAAAGAGCCAAAAGTTCACCAATCACACACAATTCATCAGTCATCACCATTCCAAAACCCAAAAAAAAAACTCATGTTATTATTGCTCGCTGAGAACTACAAGCCTATAATAACATGATGATTATTACTTTCATTCTCTTGCAAAAAGGAAAAGATGTAACAGAAACAATGATCCTCCCCCGCAGCTCACTTCAAACTTTACGATAATCATCATTCTCGCCACCCAAATTCTCCATAACCGGGCCGCCGAAGGATCCGGGCCACCACCATCGAGAGAACAGGCCCGTGTGTCCAGCAACACCAACAACGGGCCGCTTGTGGATCACGGAAGACCGCTCATTGAGGCCCAAGAAGCTTGGGCCGTACTGCGGATGGTGATACTGGGCCTGGCTGCTGCGAAAGAAGGGCTCGCCAACAGGTGGGCCGCCGCAGAACAGCCCAAAGGGGATCATTGATCCAACATCGCCATAATAATCAGCAGGTTTGGTCCCTTTCATTTTGAGAAGGGCTCGTTCTCGCTTGTGAGCGTTCTGGTGCCCGCCCAAGGCCTGGAAACTGCTGAACTCTCTGTCGCAGAATCTGCACTTCTTTGGTTGGCGGGTTTTCATGGTTTCTTCTGGCCCAGCTTTGTTGAGCTCATCCAGGCGGCAGCCTGGTAGCAGGCTGAGCTCTAACATGGCTGGCCTCAGCTGCTGGCGGCGGTGGGCTTCTTCATCTTCTTGGCCATGATGCATCATCCTTTTCTCTTCACTGTACAGATACAGTGAAAAGTTGCTGTGATGAAATGAAACAATTGTAATATTGTACTTTGCTTGTTTTATAGTGTGATTTTGGCAGTGATATTTTTATGGAAAGATATCACAGATTGATGAATGACAATTATTATTATTTCCACTTATAATAAAAAAGTATATTTGAAGAAGAAGAATAAAGGTCTTAGGAAATAAGGGAAGTTATCTCCAGGTATTAAGTTTGACCTAACAGAAAAGGGATACAATTTATTAGGGAGCAAATGAAATGAACTGATGAATTTTGGAAACTAAATCTATTGGTACTTGGTTAGACAGTTGAATATTGACAACCTAACAGAATCCATAAACAAGAGAGTTCATTAACCACATTACATGCATTGCCTTTCCCAGAAACCGGTCAGCTAATTCTAGAGTTTTGATTGGTTCACCATCTACAGTGAAAAGCGATTCTGCCAGAGCAGTCATTTTTTTATATAAAAGATAATCAGGCCATAAAATTAAATAAATGACTCGTAGTCAGATACAATTGAAAGACCTTTCTAGCTATCAAGTGGACTATCCTATAAGAACAATCGTACTCTTATAACACCATCATCTTCTGCTTCCGCTTAAGCTTTCGTTGTCGGTTTGATAGCCTTTCCACCTCCGGTGGCCAAGTAAATATGCTAGCAACGTCATCATGAACGTTGAGTTCTTCATTCATGTCTGATTCAGAAACGGAGATGAGAGTAGAGGTGGAAAATGGATTGATTCATGGTTTGGTGGATCCATGGATCAAATGGATTGGATCCAATTAATTGGTGGATTCATGGATTGGATCAAGTGGATTGGTGGATTATCCATGAATCCAAATGACATCCTCATCCAAGGACCAATATGTAAAATGTGAAAAGTTTAGGTATTAAAATGTCATAATGAAAATTTTTAGGTACCAAAACTATCTTTGATCCGCCAAATCAAACGCGGACCTCCCTCGATCTGCCAAACCAGACTCAGATCTCAAATCCTGAGGTCACCGAATGAGGGTCCACTCTGACGTCCACCGCCCTGCACCGAATCAGGCTTTGATACCACTTGTCATAACCAGGAGCTCAATTATTACGATATTGTCCGCTTTGGGCCAAGCCCGCACGGATTTACTTTTGGGTGTCCTCCCCAAAAGGCCTCGTACTAATTGGGCTAGGTGGACACTTATATACAAGGGTTCCTTCCCTTGTATTTTCGATGTGGTACTTGGATTGTCTCATAACAATCATTCCCTCAAGACAAGGACCACGAACTTCGTGTCCACACCTCAGCGATTATCTTGATCCGCCAGATGCCTTGTATCGATGGGCTTCTCGGTACAAGGACTTTACCAGATGCAGAACTCTCTTTGATCTGCTTCCCAAATGTGGAACTCTCTTTGATCCGCCAAGCCCAAACGTGGATCTCTTCTGGATCCACCAAACCAGACGCAGAATCGCCTTTGATCCTTCATACAAACGCATATCTCAAACCCCGAGGTCACCAAATGAGGGTCCCACCAAACTGACGTCCACTGTCCTGAACCGAACCAGGTTCTGATACTACTTGTCATAACTGGGTAGCCCATTACTCATTAGTACGATATTGTCCGCTTTGGGCCAAGCCCGGTTTTACTCTTGGGTGTCCTCCCCAAAAGGCCTCGTACTAATTGAACTAGGTGGACACTAATATACAAGGGTTCATTCCCTTGTATTACTGACGTGGTACTTGGATTGTCTCATAACAATCCTCCCCACAAACCAAGGACCACGAACTTCGTGTCCTCACCTCAGCGATTATGTTGATCCGCCTGACACCTTGTATCGATGGGGTTCTCGGTACAAGGATTTTCCCAGAACAAAAACATAATTTTTCAATGATATTTTTCGTATAAAAATTAAATGTTGGGTACCAAAATGTAAAATATAAAAAGTATAGGTACCAAACCATAATTTGCCATTTGGATCCATGGATCAATCCAATTGGATTTGGATCAAATGGATTGGATTAGGTGGATATTTTTAATGAGTTGGTGGATTGGATTGAGAATTGCCACCTCTAGATGGGAGCATTGCAAATATATGCGATCACAAGTGGGGGTGGGCAAATCTACACCAGACCGAATTGTATTGAATCGATATTTAAACCGAATAAGAAAGAATATATTTTGATTTCATTTTGATCATACGAGTTATATTGTACGTATATGAAGAACAAGTGAAACCAAAATTGAATCTGGACAAAAGAGAATCGAACCATATGAACCAAACTTGCTTTTGGTCTGGTTGTGGTCATCAATTTTCTTTTGAGTTTGGTCAATTCTTATCTCGCTTTGATCCAGTACCGAATCGAACGATGCTCACCCTTAATCACAATACTTGTGTATGGTGTCCATTTGTGGAGGAAGCAAGGGGTGGTTGAGAAAGACTGATGAATAAGACGGAGAAAAGCAAAGCAAAGGGTTTAGTCCAGTGGTTCTACCAAGTATATGTATGTTGTTAGTGTGTGGTATATGATCCACGATTGAATCTCTCCCAATAACTCGAGTTATTGGGACCAACTGGTTCATGACATGGTATCAGAGCCTTCTGTGACTGAAAGGTCTTGTGTTCGATTCCTGGCGACCCCATTTGTTAAGCACATGGTATTTGGACATGTGCAAACTTCAAGCCCTTGTGAGTGACTTTCGTTTGAGGGGGTGTGTTAGTGTGTGGTATATGATCCACGATTGAACATCTCCCAACAACTCGAATTATTGGGAACAATAGGATCATGATATTTGTCACCTTTTTTTTTTTTTTTTTGCCATAGATATTCCAAACGGAACAACAAGATACGAGTTTGTACAAAAAGTGACGAAAGCCAAAAACTAAAGAACAAGTAAGGGACGCCGGTCAACCAAAAGTCGAACCCGCGATAAGAGGGCATCTTTCGCCACGATATGGGCAGCCCTATTGTACCTCCTTGGTGCGAAGTGAAACGAGACACGTTGAAATGAGGCACTAAGAACGAGCACTTCATTTAAGATGGCTCCCCCCAAACCGTGTGACGTATCCTTCGCATTAACCATCCGTATGATCACCTGCGCATCACCACAAAAGGCAACAGTAGTTAGTGAGTGATTGAGGCACCAACGTAATGCATCGCGCAAGGCCAAAAGTTCAACCAGGAAAGGATCAAAAATGGAATCATAGAACCGTCCTAATGCAAATGAGATGCCGCCTCCTGGGGCAAACCCCACGAACCCAACACCTCCACCTTCTGCAGTCCTAGTGGCCCCATCGAAATGTACTAAGGTTCCATTCTCAGGGCAAGACGGAGGAGGAGCAGCATTTGGAGCCGAACTTTGACCATGTTGAACTACCGCTCGCCGAGCCGCTGCACTATTTTGAACAGTCTCCCATTCCGCCAGCTGTGAGTCGTACTGTCGCACTAGGGTGAGAGGGAGAAAAACAATGAGATCATAGGCCGCCCAACACCGCCCTTTCCAAATCCTCCAAAACACGAACACAAAACGAGCAATCTCCTGAGCTGTCAAACCTGCATCAAAAAACAGCCTCCTCCAACCAATGGTAACATGACAACTACGAAAGTGAGTCAGACCCAGTGATTCCCAAATCGACGCGGCAAGCCTACACTCGAAAAAACAGTGGGCTAAGGATTCTGGAGTAGAGGCGCAGACGGGACACAAAGTCCCTTCCTCGTCATCTTCTGGGATAATGCCTTTGTCCCAAAGAACCATACGGACCGGTAAGAAACCAAGGACTAATCTCCACAAAAAGAAACGGAGTTTGGGGGGCAATTTCAAGGACCACAGGAAATTCCAAGCCTTGGAATCAAATATAATTGGAATGGTGGAGGGATTGGCAATGAAGTCAGTGGCGGCAAGATGATAACCAGATTTAACAGAATACTCACCTGAGGTTTCATAATGCCATATGAGTCGATCGGGGACTGGGAAGCTCGGAAGAGGAATGCTGCAAATGAGGCGTACCGTCTCTGCTTCAAATAAGGAGGATAATAACTCCAAATTCCAAGAGCTCGTACCTTGGATGATGAGGGAAGAGACGAACGGAAAGGGCAGGACAGCATTGGGAAGGAGTTGAGGGCGAGAAGGCGGCGTCGAGGGTAACCAAACATCATCGGCGAAGCGGACTGATGTCCCGGAACCAACATGGTATTTGTCACCCTTTATTAATAAAAAAAGACGTCGAAGCGAAAATGATAATATTTTGAAATCCAAAAGAAAAAAATTATATCGCCAAGATTTAAACTCTTTTAGGATTTGGTATCTCCATCATTCCCACGAAGAAATAGAGGATTGTTAGAATGTATCAAGAAATCGACAATGAAAGAAAGTAAAGAACACAAAGATTTATGTGGTTCAATAACACAATGAGCATGAGAGATCATTTTACTCTACTTAAGTAGACACATGTTACAAAAATTGAGAACTTATATAGGATGTAGCACTTTCTGTGGACAAGCAAGAACCAAATCAAAATAACTTATATTCAACAACAAATAATCTGACTTTAGCAGCAGGATTCTTGTACACAAATAACAACAAAAAGGTCACCAAATAAGTATCATTAGTATTAATTGTTATTAGCAAAAAAGTTGATCTAATTGCAGTACGAAATGGTATCATTCATCACCTTACTTATTTGAATCTTGTGGCAACCAATTTGGAATTATATGAGAAACAGTGTCTGTTTGTTTCTACAATGGCCAGTGCAAAACCAGCCGGATTCTTAAAATCAATACCAAACAATACATATATATTCTCTTTACCATGTCAAACAAAGCACTCATTACAAAAATAAAAACGACCACTCATGATCTACACCGGTTCCATTGCCATACGTAACAGAATTCATAGACCAACAAAGAAGATACAGCTGTTCCATATTAACCTGGTACAAAACAACAAGAACAATATCCAAATTCGACTCATTACTTGCCCCTCAAAACCAACCATAAATGTTAATCATTTCATATAACTTACTCGAATTATTGAGAAAATATTAATTATGTATCATATTTCTTTTTTTTTTATACACACTCAAAACGAAATCTAACTCACAGGGTTGAAATTTATACATGTTCATATACCTTGTGATTTAATCAACCATTCATATTGACAATCATAAGATTCGAACACACAATCATCTGATCAAATCAGTTTTGATACCAATTAAATACCAATTTATTTTAATAACTCGAATGATTGGTTGTGTTGATGTGACTTGAATCGGACTATCAGCCGCTACGACTAAAAGTCACGGGGGTCTCGCTACGACCCGATCCACGGTAGGTGTATGGATCGATACACGTTTGGGTTGTCAGTTTTTGGTCTGGTCTGTAACCGTTTCCTTGACCAGATTGGATTAGGTTTTAGACCCGCATGGAGAAGTATAAATACTTCTCATCTCCTCTGTAATATGTAATGTTCTCGAAGTATAGTGAAACTGACTCTCTCCATGCCCGTACGTGAACTAGCTAACATACATCGTTTTAGTTAACCACGTAAATCGTGTGTCGCGTGTCTGTTTTCGATTCTCGCTTTCGTATTCTTACTTTCTCGATTCCGACGATTTCCCAATCTGTAGCAGCATAGTTATAAACCGATTAAATATTAATTATGAATCATATATACCATAGACGTCCAAACTCTCCATGCCAGCTCCCTTGTCAATGTCATTGCCGGCCAAACACCACCACCACCATAATATATATACACCATCCTCTTACTCCTCCAAACAATACACCAACACAACATGGACCACCATCCACCTCCCGGCGACGAGAAACCACCGCCACCACCCTCCGCCGCCGTCCTCGCCGCCCTCATCGACGACAACATAGACGCCATCTCCTTCACATCCACCACCCCAACTCACCCCCCGGACAGCACCAGCAGCAGCAGCACCGCCACACCGAGCCACGCGTCCTGGTCCTCGGCCTCCTCCCGGCCCCACCGCCCGCCGCCCTGCGACGTGTGCTGGCGGCGGATGGTGGAGTACTCCTCCGCCATGACGCTGTCGGAGCTGCGGTTCGTCCACCGGCTGGGGAGCGGGGACATCGGGTGCGTGTACCTGGTTGAGGTGAAGGGCGGCGACGGCTGCCTGTTCGCCGCCAAGGTGATGGACATGAAGGAGATGGCCAGTCGCAACAAGGAGTCACGCGCCAGGGTCGAGAGGGAGATTCTGGAGGTGCTTGACCATCCTTTTTTGCCGGCGCTTTACGCTACCGTTGAGTCGCCGACGTGGTCGTGTTTGTTGACCGAGTTCTGCCCAGGCGGTGATCTCCACTCGCTGCGTCAGGACCAGCCGGAGCGTCGCTTCAACGAATTTGCCGTCCGGTGAGTTTATTTTTTTCTAATTTAATATTGTTATTTCTTTTATAATATTAATGAGATATATATGGCTTGTTATTTTCGTCCTCATATGCAAATTATGAATATTTCTCAAGGGCCAACAATGGGCCATTAGTTGAGGTTGATGCAGGGTAGATGAAGGGGTTTGAACAATGTTTTAGAAACGGTATCGACGCCCGGTTGAATAAGAAATATCGGGTACAAAATTCAAATTTACAGATAGATTTTAGCGGTATGAAAAATTTGAATCGTACTTAATTAATCATGATTTTAATACTAAATATTGTACCATCAATTTTTTTTTGGTATAACGTCTTGTATGGTTTTACAATTCTTTGTTTTAAAATTTAGGGTTAATATTTTCGTATGGCCTAAACTTTGATCAAAATAAACATCATGACCAATCTTTTCGATCTATAACATCCTGGCCCGAACTATACACCAAAATAAACAATTTGGCCAAATCCGAATTTGGACCGTTAACTTGTACGGTAAAACGCGTTGACCGTTAGTCAACGCGCCATGTCACTGCCAAGTCAGCATAAAATATTTAAAATAATTCACAATTCCACACATTCCCTAATTTTAAATTATTATAAATTAAAAAAATCATCTAATACATTAGTTAAACCAAAAATAAAAAAAAATTAAATATTTATAAGATCTTCTGACTTGGCAGTGACATGACACATTGACCATTAGTCAACGCGTTTGACCGTCCAAGTTAACGGTCAAACATCGGGTTGGCCAAATTGTTTATTTTGGTGTATAGTTCGGGCCAGGATGTTATAGATCGAAAAGATTGCCCAGAATGTTTATTTTGGTCAAAGTTCAGGCCATACGAAAATATTAACCCTAAAATTTACCATTTTAGAACTTTATTCATTCATTATTAAATTAATCTTTCTTTCGAGTATTTGAAATTTATAAATGCCATTACCGTACAGTGCCGACATTATAGTTGTGTCATATTAAACTCATTTGAACTCGTCAATACAAATTTAAAAGGTTTTTGAATTTACAAGAAAAAATTGTGCTAATATTATTGTCATATATTATAACCACTTCAATCATCCAAATAAAATTTCCTGGTGATCACGAGGAGTTAGATCACACCATTGTCTGTCATGAATATCAAAACAAAAATCCAAACAAATTTATAGGGCATGTTTTTACATTTCTTTACCCTACCTGCATAGGATCCTAATAATATGTCTCTTTCATGCCCACATTCCAAAATTTCGGAACAAATCAATTCATTATGGTAAACATCCAGAGTGCCATTGTAGTAGGGCCGTTTTTTCCCCTTTCCTTTTCTCTATTCACCAACTAATTCGAGTATATGCGGTTATCTTTGGGTAAAAACACAAGGGAGTTTATATATCATCATTCCTTCTCGATCATCTAAGGACGCGATCCAAGGACGATCATGTTCACGTTTATGGTTGAATTATGGAGTGGTGGAAACCATCAAATTATGAAGGAGAAAGAATATATATGATGAGCAATCATGGAAAAAAATGAATTATTATTATTAGGGTTTGGTCATATATTATAATGGAGTGCATATATGTGTTGTAGGGACGCATGCCGGTTTCCTTTTGCTTCATGCGCTTTCATTTCATGCATATCTACGCAAAAAAAAGAAAAGGTTGGAAACAAGAGAAGAAAAAAAAGGCACGATTGATTTGAGTGCTCCTCATCTTGCTGTTTAACTCCACTAGCTCTACCTAGTTCCTTTGGGATATTCAACCACTTGATCTAGAGAGATCTCTTTGTCCGATCTCGTGCCTTTGTGTATAATACCCTCCTCTACCATTGCACTTGCAGTGTGGCAAATCGGTGCTGTCTCGCGGTGTTGATCCAGGATCTTCTCTTGTTTGCTTGTCAATCGGTCGTTATGTTTGATGCGCTAGTTAACGTGTTTAAGTTATGTTAAAGTTGTTTTTAAAATAGAATGAACGGTCCGAGTAAAGTCACAATTATAAAAGTAGATTAGATAGTCTTTTTGTATAATATGCTTAGTCTTGTGACTGGACGAACAAGAAGTTGACGGGGTAGGTTTTTTGCATGATCATCCAAAAGCATAGTACGACACTCTTGCCGAAGCGGATATGGTATTAATTAGGCAATCAGATTCTCTTGTCGTCTTGCCGCTAGTCCAATTGGAATTTGGAAGTATAAATAGCTCCACATTTCATGGTACTAAACACAACTAATTAATCACTAATCATTGAAGTAGGAATAATATTAGGAGGCCGGCCCGGTGCAATTTAAGTATATATTCTTATAAAATTAATTACGTACCGATCCAGTCAAAACTGAAAGGATGGATAATTTTTAATTTTTTAAACGTGTATTAATTATCTTCGAATTCTTTCGTTACAGATTTTACGCGTCGGAAGTGGTGGCGGCGTTCGAGTACCTCCACATGATGGGAATAATCTACCGCGACCTGAAGCCGGAGAACGTCCTCGTCCGCTCCGACGGCCACATCATGCTCACCGACTTCGACCTCTCCCTGAAAGACGACGCAACCTCCACCGCCGCACAGATCGTCTGCTCCCTCCCCACTCCTCCCTCTCCACATCCCTCCAACGTCAAGGAATATTCCTCCTCCGCCACGTCATCATCGGGCTGCACCATCCCCAACTGCATCTCCCACGCCGCCACCGCCGCCTCCTGCTTCCACGCCAACCGGAATCCGAAAAAGAAGAAGAACAAGAACAATTACTTCCGGGCCGGCCACCACGGCGCGCCGGAGATCGTGGCGGAGCCGGTGGACGTGCGCTCGATGTCGTTCGTGGGGACGCACGAGTACCTGGCCCCCGAGGTCGTTGCCGGGGACGGGCACGGGAGCGAGGTGGACTGGTGGACGCTGGGGATCTTCGTGTACGAGATGTTCTACGGGGTGACGCCGTTTAAAGGGTGCGACCACGAGTCCACGCTGGCGAGCGTGGTGGCGCGTGCGCTGGAGTTTCCGAGAGAGCCGGCGGTTCCCGGGCCGGCGAAGGATCTGATTGCTCATCTGCTGATCAAGGATCCGGCGCGGCGGCTGGGGTCGACGCTGGGCGCGATGGCGATCAAGCACCATCCGTTTTTCGACGGGGTGAATTGGGCGCTGTTGAGGTGTAGGAAGCCGCCGTTTGTTCCCCGGCCGTTTGATTGGCGGAAGCTGGTCAACGTTGATGCGGATAAGCCCGTTGAATATTATTAGGGGAAAACGACAGGACGAGTATCGTAAATTCAATTTTCGGCATTAATGCGCTTTCAATTACGTCGTTGTTAATAGCTGGACGAGTATGGTAAATTCAATTTTAGAGCTTGTGCATTGGTGGTTAAGGTTTGGCACTTGTTAGCAAATGAATTTGAATTTATTACATTGGTTGATAATAGATTCATGAATAATAAAGTAAATGAATTGGCGGATTAAATGACTTGGATTTTTTTCGGTTGTAAGATTAAACGAATTGGATTTGTGGACTATCAAATTAATGCTTTACATTTGCTTGCTGCGCATTTCGAATGCCAAATCATAGTTAGTAAATACTTCGTTTAATACACGTATTTGTATTCGTGCGTATTTTATACATTTAAAAATTCTGTATTTGTATTATTGTCAAGTCGTTTAAGTTTTTCCGTTCATTTGATGGCTCCCATGCTGATTTCAAACACGTATAAAACCTGTAAAAGTACATTTTATATTAGTATTTAATGAATTAAATTGTTAACTTTGCTATTATTTATATATATTTTTTTTAACAATAATCAATTTTATATATTTATGATTACTATTAAACATTACATTAGTTTATAAATAAAGTAAACTATCTGTACGTATTTTATACCTAACTTTCTTGTAATCTATCTGCCCCTGAATAGATCTGTATTGGCTGCAACCACACTCTGTTTTTGGCCCATGGTGGTCCCTTATGTAACCATTTATATGTGTGGGGCTGTGGGCTGAATGCCCCAAGGCCCAAGCCCATTGTTGCCTGTCCTCGAGACCGATAAAGCTCTAATGAAATTTCGCGTGTCTCCGCCGGCCGCTAGCTAGTCTTCGGATCTCCCCAAACGCCGCCGGCTCGTTGTCGACCTCGACCCCAACAGCTAACAGGCAACAGCTACTAGTTATCCCGGCTATCCCCAAACGCCGCCGAGTACTTTCCAGGGATTTTCTTCAGCTTTCAATTGAGCGGTTCCTCCGCCTCACTGCTCTCGTCGACCCTGAATCTGCCGATTTCACTCGTCCTGACCTCTCAGGCAGATTGTCATTCGCCAGCAGGATTCACGCCGTCCAGTTACAATCCGCCAACTTTTGGCGAACTAGAGAGATTGTTTCACGCTCTAAAGCACGAGCGGCACCTGCAAGCACACGGGCTGGTTGATATTCGGGAGTCGATGGAGTTGCCTAGATGGGAGAGTCTTGGCAGCTTTGTAGAGACAGAAATTCGAAGATTAAGTTTGGTTCGCAATGGTGATAGGGTTGCTGATGTCAAGTGTGAAGCAGAGATAGGGGAGAAGCAAATACTTGGCTCTGTGGCAGTGAAGATTGAGGCAACGGGTGATGAGGCCGAGGCTTGTGATGTTGGCAGCTTGGTCAACCGTGCGAGCTCTGCCCTTGATATTGGGATTGGTGACAATGGCGGTAGAGGTGATTCCGATTCTGATGGTCAAAGTAGCTCGTCAGATTCTAGTTCATTGTCGTCATCGTCATCTGATTCTAGTAGCAGTGATGATGAGGAGGAGGAGGAGAAAAATGAAGTTGAGATTGCACAAGGTCAGATGGAAGAGGGTGAAATAAGAGATGGTGGAGATAATGTCGTAGATCGAAGTGATGATGGTGATGTTGATGAGGAGGAGGATGCCGAGACAGAGACGGAGGCGGAGGTTGAGAAGATGGTGGAATGGAGTGATGCTGATGATGAAGATGATGGAGGTGTTGGTGTTGAGAAGGGTCCTATTAGATCAAAGAATGAGCTTCAGGTAAAATGATAGTATGATGTGAAATGCCCTCTTTAGAACTTTTCCTTTGTTTTCCTGAAATGGTGAAGTCTTAATATCACAAGAGAACAAAGTCTTATTGTGTAGTAAGGTTTTGTCTGTGTTTCTTTCTGTTGCTTGATATATATAATTAGGATGAATTGGATGGTTAGTCAGTTTGTTTTTGTGTTAAAGGCTGATCATATAATTGAAACTTTTCTTCATCTGTGTTTTTCCTCTTCTCCTCAAATTCGTTGGTAATGGAGTTATTATAATCAACAATGTGGCCTTAACTTTCTGTCACAGGTTCTTCCACTTGTTCCTCCTGTCAATGCTGTGCTGCTACCGCATCATCAACCACAACCTGTTGGACTTATCTCATCTGTAAGAACTTGTCCATAGCTTTATTCTTTTAACTGCATATACTGTTGCTTTTGAGGTTTTCTGGTTCTAAGTGTAAGCCAGCGAGCCTCTGCAATTTTATTTAAAGGAAGATGATCAATTTGTGGCACCATATCAGGTTCTTGGCACACAAGTCATTGTAGAAGGGATTGAGAAGCACAACCCTCTAAATGAGGGCTCTATCCTTTGGTTAACCGAGAAACGATCTCCACTGGGGCTGATAGATGAAATATTTGGACCTGTGAAGAACCCATTCTATGCAGTGAGATTCAATTCTGAAAGTGAAGCTCCCGAGGGTATTTCGGAAGGCGCTCTGATCTCCTTTGTTCCTGAGTTTGCCGGCTTTGTTCTGAGTGACCAGAACCTGTACAAAAAAGGATATGATGCATCGGGTGAGAATGATGAGGAGCTGTCTGATGAGGTTGAGTTTTCAGATGATGAGAAAGAGGCAGAATACAGGAGGATGCAAAAAATGGCAAAGAGGGTTATCAACGGGCAAACAGTTGGGAACAATAAGAAGAGGAATAAAAAGAAGGTTGACGAGAGACAAAGGGAGGATTGGAAGAACAACAACAACAACAACAAACTTTCAGCTCAGCAAACTCGAGTGGATACTAATCAGAAACCACAGAACGGAAATCAGCATAATGGCCCTCCAACTCCAGCTAGTAATAACATAAATGATTTTGTTCCAACTTCCCCACCAATGTTGCAGCAGCTGAACCCTGGACATTTCCCTGGGAATTGGCCGAATGGGGTATTTCCTCAGCATCAACATAATCCTCCAGCGGCCATGTTTGGTGGTTTCGCTCCTCCTCTTGGTAACATTCAGAATACCTTGCATATGGTGATGCAGCATATTTTGCCATTCCAGCAGCAGTTCAACCCCGGTCAGGGGTCACTTCCTGGTAATGTAATGCTACCAGGGCCTCCGCCCAATTTCTTCCCCAGTTCTGGTTTCATGCCTTGGTCAGCTGCAGCACCAGGAGTAGGAGTTGTGAACCAAGGTTGCTTCAACCAATCTTCATTTGGGATGGGCTTTCTGCCTCAACCAACCAACCCAACCATGAACATGGGAGACCAAAGAATGATGGCTGTTAATGGCAACATGCAATCATCGACAAACATTTCTGGCAACACTGGTCAGTCTCTTCGTCAGAATTTCAACTTCGGTGGAATGGGCTTTGTGCCTCAATCAACCAACCCAGTCATGAACATGGGATACCAAGCAACGACGGCAATTAATAGCAACGTGCAGTCATCGACAAATATTCCTGGCAGCAATGTTCAGTCTCCTCAGCAATCCGGAAATATTCTCCAAGGCCAGCCACCTCATAATTTCAGCGTGGATTCCGATCCTGGAAGGAAACCAGTTCATCGCAGAGGACGTGGCCGGTTTGGAGGCAGGGGGAGGTAGATAGTCTCGCCTGACCGACTATTTTCATTGCTGTAAGATCATGGCTAGTGTTAATTGTTTAACTTTATAACTCAGTTTTGAGTGCAAACAAACTCTAATCTGTCATGTAGCAGGGTAGCAATAGAATCTGGAAGTGAACGTTGCTAGCATGTTTGCATATGTTGTACCAACATCTATAAATCATTCGCTGGAGATTTACTTCCAAAGTGTTGCTCTTGTCTGATTTATAGGGTGAGATGAATAATTTACGTGTTAGGGTGAGATGAATAATTTAACAATTCTATGAATTATCAAAATCAAACTCATATAGATCGATTTGCTCATAACTCGGTAATCGAGTAGGCTCTCTAGCCACAATGTTTGATAGTTGAGACATCTCATGAGCTCTAAACGAGCCAGCTCACGAGTTGAGCTCAACAAGCCACCGAGTCGAGCTCTGCGAGCTGCAGAAGGTCAAGTTCATTCTCGGCTCATTAGAAAACGAGCCGAGTTTCGAACGAGTTTTTTGCGAGTCGAATACTGAGCCGCTCGCGAGTCGCGCTCGGCTCATTTGCAACCCTATATTTTTAGGACCCCTTGATCCTCTACTCCAGTCTTGCACTACTCTGTTACATTCTTTTCTTTTATTACATTTGCATTTCAACGTGTACTACAGTCGCGGAAGGAAACCGTTTCATGGTAGAGAAGGTGGGCAGGTTTGGAGGTAGGTTGTTTCACTTGACCGACTATGTTCATTGCAGTAAGATTATGGCCAGTGACTGATGCATTTTTAATTTTTTTTTTTTTTTTGCGTGGTGAAAACTACAGGTGTATTGTGCAAATATCTAACTTTTTTACGTGTATGTCGGCAGCACATTTTTTTTTTTAAGAAAAACTTGTTCGAAATATATTATTTTGGTCTTGGTAGATCCAGAAAATAAATAAATTATAAAATTTGTTTAGAAATCAAAAAAAATTCCCTATCGAAATTTCGGTAACAAATAACATGAATTTCAACCTTAAACATGTAGTCAAAATCGTGTTTTGAAATTTATATAACTTGCATTTTTACGCTTTTACTTTACCAACGTGATTCTACGTAAATCACGTTTTTTTCTTCTTCTTATTAATAGTGGAAATCACGCTTAAAAATTTAACATTTTATGTTTCTAATTCATCTAAACACTTCTACGTAGTATCGTACTTTTGATTGGATTATGTGATTTTCTATTTGAAAATAAACTCAGAAATTTCTTTCTTAACCGTTATAATTTTTAAATATTATTTCATTACAAGTAAATATATTTATAATTTAATCAATTTTCACCCCAAAACAAAATGATAAACTCGGTTACGTACGAATCCTCCCTTAATTTTATATATATACTAGGCGCCTTCTTGTAAAACCCATGTCGACAAGGCAGCCAACAAGTCAACAACCACACCCATCTTCTCCATCACCACCATCAATCATTTCCCACTTTCTTCCTTGCAGCATCATCATTCATCAACCTGTTTATTACTTTAATAGCTTGGGGAAAAGTTAAAGCAGGTGATACAACACAGTTTCTTGCGTGCTTTGCTTAGCTTTACTCCATTGTTGCTTACCTTCTTTCCTAAGTCACCATTTCCATTTTCCCGGAAAATCTTCTTTCCTTTCTCTCGAACATTTGCTATAAGAAGAAAAGAGGAGTCGTCTGCGTCACTTCAATTTCACGCTCTTCTCCCTTCTTCCTTTCTTTTCCCAGAAGCCCATACTCGCATTTATATATAGAGACACACATCGATCTCGAAAATGCTGCAAGAAGTCTCGGCGGTGGTGGCGGTCGGGATCCTGACATGGATGTTCCAGGCTTGCCTCCGGCCGCCTGCTCCCAAGATTTGCGGCAAGGCCGGCGGGCCGCCGGTGACGGCTCCCCGGGTTAAGCTCCGCGACGGCCGGTACCTGGCCTACAAGGAGCACGGGGTCCCCAAAGAGATCGCAAAGTTCAAGGTCGTCTTCATCCATGGATTCACCTCCAGCCGCCTCGATCCCATGATCGTCTCCAACCTAACTCCGGTAGGAACTTCGAAATTGCTGCAATTAACTTCATAGATCTCGGTTCTCGCCCCATCCATGTGCTGGGGTTTTTTTTAATGGAAGAATTGTCGTATCTAAAGGTTGTAGCGGAATGGTATTTTAGCAAAATCGTAGTTTAATTGAGATTTAATTCGTTACTGCTAAATTTCGATTTCGGTAGGAGGTTTTCTCGATCGGACCGCTAATACGATATGGTTTTAAAATACGGATTTATTAAATTGTTTTCTGTGATTCGTTCCCCTCAGGAAGCGATAGAGGAGCTGGGAGTGTATGTGCTGACCTTTGACCGGCCGGGTTACGGGGAAAGCGACCCGGACCCGACCCGGACGCCCAAGAGCTTGGCTCTGGACATTGAAGAGCTGGCGGATCAATTGGGTGTCGGCCCGAAGTTCTATGTGATGGGCAAATCGATGGGCGGGCAGGTCGTTTGGGGCTGCCTCAAGTACATCCCTCACCGGCTGGCCGGAGCGGCGTTGGTGGCGCCGGTTATCAACCACTGGTGGCCGAGCTTCCCGGCGGAGCTGTCGAAGAAGGCGTTCAATTCGCAGCTGGCGCAGGACCAGTGGGCGCTGAGGGTGGCTCACTACGCGCCCTGGCTCACCTACTGGTGGAACACCCAGAAGCTCTTCCCTACCTCAGGCGTCATTGCCAGAAAGCGCGAGACCCTTTCTGCTCAGGATGTCGAGCTCGTCTCCAAGCACAGAGTGGAACCCGAACTCAAGGTAAAAAAAGAAAAAAAATTAGAACTCTGCAATGGCTGAATTGTATTGAGAAGTGATGAAACAGAGGAAATGCTTTAATTTGATGATGATGATGGTATGGTTTGGTGCAGAACGTGGCGACGCAGCAGGGAGTGTACGAGTCGCTGCACAGGGACCTGATGATCGGGTTCGGGAAGTGGGAATTCGACCCGATGGAGATCGAGAATCCCTTCCCGAACAATGAAGGCTCTGTTCATCTGTGGCAGGGGGATGAGGACATGAAGGTGCCAATTGAGCTGCAGCGCTACATTGCCAAGAAGCTGCCGTGGATTAAGTACCATGAGCTGCCTGGCGGAGGGCATATCCTCCATTTCGTTCCTGGGTTGATTGAAGGTGTTCTCAGAGATCTTTTTGCTGAACCCAACCAGAACTAGATTTATGTACATCGCTAGATGTATATAGCTAGCTCATATATATATATGTAGCAGCTAGTTTAAGCATGTTATGTGTTCTGTACAAGAAGAACAGGTGGAAGTGGAAATTTTCACTGATGAAAAAAAGTGGATATCTGCCATTTTGTTTATGATACAAGCAATCGAACAGGACACAAGATATTAGGTATTATGTATTTGTATGAAGGAGAATGACTTGTATTTGTAGTAATTGGTCGATTTAAGGTCTCGTATTTTGTTGGGTTAAAGGTATTTTTTATTTATTTTTGTATCGCAAAAAATTATCAGCTCACATGTAACATTCTTGTCACAGAGAAATTTTTCTATAACTAAAAAGAATCTCCAGACTGGAGTTTGAGCTCTTAACAATGAATCTTGGTGAATGATTACGTTTACAACTCTGTGTAGTTGCTCTTGGATTGGATACATAGGTAATAGTAGATTAATACGTATTAATCTTGACTCTATTACTCCTGATTTTTCTGTACACAAACATAACAATTGTATCGTAATTATTGGAAATGACAATTAATAACCTACAAAAATTCCATATCCATGTTAATGATACTCTTCTTCTTTTTCTTTTTTTTTTTTTAGAAATGTTAATTAAATACTCCCCTTTACCTTTTATGCGCAACCAAAATTATGGTTTCCTAGAAAAGTTTGAAGCCTCAATGTATCCAATTGTCTCAAAGGAAGGCTCGAGTATGATTTCCTATCAACCAGTATTAAACTTAAAATACTTAACCTGCACGGTCAATAAGAGAAAGATGTCATAATATAGTTAAGCTATACAAATGTCAATTTATGAAATCTATATAGATAACCATGCAAAAATAACATCAATGTCAAGATGGCCGAGTTGGTCTAAGGCGCCAGTTTCAGGTACTGGTCCGAAAGGGCGTGGGTTCAAATCCCACTCTTGACAAATTATTTTTTCTACCCAATTTACCCAAATGGAAGTTATTGAACGGTTCTCTTTTTTGTCATGGGTCGGAATAGGCTTGGGCCTGAGTCTTGACAACTCAGCCATGGTTCAGCCGAAGAGCGGGTTTTGGCGCCGTACAGTACAGATGGGAGAATCGGGTTTCCGGCTGCTCCTCGCAGGTCCAATGGTTTACGGATGCTTGTACTGCGCTCGCTCCTATGAACAAACCCTTTCCACCTTGAATTTCGCTGGTAAACCTCCGTATTCCTTTTCTCTTCATTCCAGATTTCCTTCACTTATGTTACGAAAGTCCAGTTTTATTGGAATGCTGCATGTTCCTGAGTTGGCTCTCTTCAATTGCGAGCTCGAAATGGGTATGGGTTATTTTTATCTCTCGGAATTGGCTTCAAGGTTGGTACTTTATGCTCATATATTTATATGCTGGTTGTTCTGTCTCATTAACTTGCAATTACATCGTTTACCGGCGTGTATCATTCATACCACAGCTAAATACCTTAACTGAAAACTGACATCCATGTCCAAGTGAGTGAGTGAGTGAGAGAGGCAGGCTACCCTGAAACTTCTTTTGCTTCACGTTCTTTGACCGAATATGTGGATATAATGAAGGGAGATATTAGTTTACGTCTCTTGCCAGTAGTTCATCGGTTTGTTCACTGGTTACAGATTCAAAGACCTTGAAGGAAGAGAAGAGGGAGGAACTGTTTGAAAGTCTCAAAGCTGACGAATCAATTAGATGGGCTGTCGATGTCATTGATCCGAGAGAGCTCTCCGCGAAAATGCTCAGGAAGTGGGAAAAGTTCTACATTAGTATTTCTTTCATGAATATTTGTTCTTCTGTTTTACAGATTTAATCATGTTTTCTATTTTTTTTTCTTTCTTTTTTTGTGAAACAGGCATAAGATAAATCTGAATGAAATATCACATGACTCTGCAAGTGGCCTTGTCAAGAGAGTACTTAACATGGGAGTCCTTTTAGCAGAGGTAAAACTGACACACCTGTATGTTGTGTTTCTTCTTCTTAGAATTTGTTCTTCTCATGAGTTGCCCTTTTGTGCATTAGGTCTATGTTGATACGGTTGGAGATCCAGAGAAATATAGAGTGAAACTGTCTGAAAGATTTCCATCCATCAAATTCGTGGTGGCGAAGAAGGCTGATAGTCTCTACCCGGTTGTGAGTGGAGCCGGCATAGTTGCCAAGGTAAGGTTATGCATGTACTACTGAGCTCTCCTCTTTTAAATCTTGTGAAATATGGTTGTGATATCTTTGGTAATAAAATAGGTCACTAGAGATAGATCCCTGAGAGAATGGGTGCTTGATGAAACATACGAAGACATTGGCAGGAAATTTGGTTCTGGGTACCCTGGAGGTCAGTCACACATATCTTCCTTGATATTTATTTTGCTTTTCTGTAACTTGTGATGTTTGAAGCTAAATGGTGATATTTTCTGTTTAAGACCCGGATACCAAGGCATGGTTGGAGCAACACAAACACAGAGTGTTTGGCTTCCCAACATTAGTTCGTTTCAGTTGGGCCACATGTAATTCCTACTTCAAAGATGGTGTAGAAGTCTTGTGGTTAGTCCTTATTCTATTGCCCTATTGCAGTTTCTGTGCATTTTGGTTTTGGTCGCTGCTTGCTGAGCCGGTAGCCTATATGGTCAAATCCTATTGCAATTTCTCATCGTTCACTGATGATAAATAGTAGCTGTTATACTTGAGCAAACTTTAGTTGACTTGGAAGGATATCATCTCTCATAACAACAAACACCTTAGTTTTTCAAGCAAGTCCAGGTCATCCTCTTCTTCTACGTAAAGAAGAATATTATTGGAAATGGAAGTCGAAGTTTTGGTGTACATTATGCAAGTTACCTTTGGAGTTTCATGCTTATTGAGGTGACGTTACAGACATGGGAAACTTAAGTTTGTGCTTTGGGGATATTTTCAAGGGTTACCCGCCCTTGAAATTGTAGTTCAGAGTAGAATAACAGACTGATGCATATAGTTACTTCTCGTCTTACACTTCATCACTGGAATTGTGATTCTTATAGTTCTAATAATCATGAAAGCAGGGAGGCTGACAGGGATGAAGATGATATTGGCAACAGCAATGGCAGACGACAATTGAAGTTGAGCAACTTTGGAGTGACAACCTCCAAAAAGAAGAAGGAAGAAGAAGTTGAATCAAGTGGTAAAGGGCGTTGCAAATTTTTCGAGACTAGGCAACTTGAACAACTTGCTGATTTCTAACGTTAGTTTCTTTACTTTACTGTCTTGAATTATAATGCTACACTTCTACATTCCGAACCCTTTGTCATTGTAAATAATATTGATGAACATCCCAATTAGACTAGACAATCTTGGTGGCTAAATACAAGACAAAATCTGGTGTGCTTTTCGATTTTTCTCTGGCAGCCTCATGCTTTGGAAATGGACACAGAATGCTTTAGAATTCGAGCCCTTTTCTATACATAATTATCAGTCGAATTACAACAAAACAAGCAGAGAATTTGTGATCCTTATATGTACAACAACAGGAACTTCGATATTACAGACAGATGGCGCTCCATTAAGAAGCAGCATATGCGGAAAACCAGGACAAAGTCAACCAACAACAGCAAGCTGTTTTTCTACAAGCACTTTCAGAGCTCACACAAAAAACTTTGAGAAATTTGTTTCCACACACATTATCTAACTGCACATGGACTGCTGCCGCAGACAGGCCAAGGTGACTGTAGTAACAAAGGTTACTAGCCCTCTCCAGTAGATGTTGATGTTGCTGATGTTGCAAGTGGAAGCTCCTCGGCGGTTGTTCTGATGGTGATTGTTGTTTGCTGCACCAGCTATTATTACAGGCATCACTGCTCCTCCTGCAGGCACGTTTCCACCGCCGCTGTTGCTGTCTGGTATACCACCTGACCCTCCACTTCCGGCTGTTCCACCGTGGCCCCTCGCAAGTTTCTCAACATCTGCTGCTGCTGTCAAGCTGTTGAACCCATTGAGATGTTCTTGCGGGTCTGTCATCGTAATATTATGTAGTCAGTCATGTTTATATCTGCAGTATGGAAGAGGGCACTGTTTTTCTGCAATTTAATCTCCATTTTGCAATAGTTAACAGGATAGCGGCCAACATGGAGACTTGTCATAGAGAATATCAGTCCTGGAGGATTCTAATTCCTCGGTTTCTTCCACTACCTACGAGGATAGCGACCAAGGAAGGAAACCAGAATCCGAAAAACAGGTAAGTAGCTTAAAGCAAGAATCTTTTCTCGGACCAATGCCAAAGGGAGTGGCGTATCAGATTCCACTCCACTTATTTTTCTCTGGAAGTAAAAACTAGAATCACTGATGCATGCTCTGAACTCTTCACTGATGCATGCAGTTCACTCAACCAGACATTAATGAACCAGAAACTGCCTATGTACGCTTTGGACGGAGGAACAGAACACATGTAGTCTTTGAACCAAAACCAAAACCAAAGCACAAGTTAATGTTCAAGGAACCGTTACCTGATGACCCGTGAGTTGGGGAGGAAGAAGAGGATGGAAGCAGAAACATGGAGGTAAAAGATATGGCGAGGAGCACTGATCTCATCTTACTAGGAATGCCCAGTTGCCTCTATCTCTCTTAACTCTGCTAATTTCTGCTACCCAGCAATTATGGAAGTTCTAGTAGTAGGGTTGCTTAGTAGTGGAGAAACATATTTAAAATGGTTTAGTATGTTTGAATAACACTCCCGCACTCAAGTCCCATCATCATCATCATCCATTCATTTTCTATAATATACTTTAGTGAGTGGAACCTCTAGGTATCCATATTATCTTGATAATTAAGAAAAGCATTCTCAAAATTTTATTAAAGTCGCACGGTTAATGACTTGAGCTTTCTCTAGATTGTAAAAAAAAAAAAAATAATTAAGCCCAAATATTCGAGCTCGATAGAATTTTTAAAGAAGTTCGAGTTTGACTTGTTTGTAAAAAACGTAGCTCGATTTTGGTCCAAATCCGATTTAGTAGATGAGTTTTAAGTTGGGTTTTACAAATGAGCGGAACAAGTTAAGTTACCATAGATTTTAATCTTTGAGTGATTAAACAACACTTAGCTAAGTTTTCTTATAAAGTAACTCATTAGTAGACGAGTTTGTTTACGAACGTACTTATTTAGTCCCGAATCATGTGCCAAATTTATTTTATTTTAATCGAATATTAAACTGTCACGAACATGTTTGGTTTATTTACATCACCATAATTTACACAGTAAGTGAAAATGTCAAAATGGTGTAGTGTGGTGTGGATACAATACAAATTAATACTTCCGTGACTAAATGTGTAAAAAGTAACAGAACGGATCCCCATTTCCCAGACGACGCCGCTGCTCGAAAGTCGAATCTGTCTTCGCGCAGTTTCCAAATTGTCGCTCTCTCTTCCTCTCTTCACTTGTCGCCTATTGCCTTCAGGGTCTCGAAAATCCATCTTTCGTTTTTCCTCTCTTCTCGTCAACCTAAGAGAAAAGGTCAGAAGCCCTCAACCTGTTCAAATCGGATGGCAACCGGATCACCGCTCGCTCGACTCGGCGTCACTCGCTCTCTCCGCCTCGGTTTAGCTCGTTCCATGGATTCAACTCGCGCCGCGACTCGGTACTTCAGCGACGGCGACGTCGGCAAGGGCGGCCGAGTCCTCAGCGAAGAGGAGCGCGCCAAAGAGACCGTCTACGTCCAGGTAGTTCATTTGTTTTGCATTCCTTGTGTCTGCTTTGCTTAGGTTATTCAGCCGTAGCGAAAAATTGGTGCGATGGAGGCAAAATCTGAAATGTTTGCCGGTGATCCGATGCTTTTCTTTTTGTTGTTCGACGGCAGAATTAAATCTTGTAGTTCTCGAAATACGAAGGCTTGATGAAATAACGCGAGCCAGATCATTTCTTGTGTATCTGATTATTGTTGCTCGTCATTGAATTGAATATGTATGTGTGTATGCTTATTGCTTTCCTGAATCTGCTAGAGCTAGAATAGTGAGCATCGAGATCATCCCGAAGTTGAGGTTCGATAACTTCGGCATTTCTCTTGTCATTTGACATTCGCGAATCGGCATCGGCTAAGTAGTAATCATTCTGTTTTTTTTTTTGGGTAGGTTCGTTTGCATTTCAGCAGTACCACGGTTGTTTGTCGACTTGACTTCTTTCTCTCTATTTGAAAGTTGTTTGAGCAATTTGAACAAAACGTTGCAGAAAATGGAGAGGGAAAAATTGGAGAAGCAGAAGCGGAAAGCTGAGAAAGAAAAGGCCGAGAAGGAGAAACAGAACACTGAAAAGGTGTGTGATTTCTGAGAATACAAATTATCTCTTGGTGAAATGATTATGGCTGTTGCTTATTTTGTTTGTCTGCTCTGCTGTGTGCGTGTGTGTTATTTTTCAGTACTTTCTCGATGTTCATGTCTTATCAGTATTTGCTACCATCTATGATTGGGTTCCTACTTCAATCACGACTCTTAATTTACTCAGAAGATTATGATAGTCATTATTTTCCTTCAAAATCATTGCAATTCTTTGGTTGTAGTTTGAACAATACAGTGCCATTGTAAAGCTGGTTCGTGTCTGGTTCCAAAGTTTTCTTCTACCGTAATAGGCTGCATATTATTAGTTTTGAATTAAGACTTTATAGAGAGAGATTTCTCATATCCCTGAGCTTGAAAGGGAAAGGCTATGGTAGTTTGCAAGCCTGTCTCTAGATTCCATCTTCACTAGTGAGCAAGTATGTGATAAGAATCTTTTTCTTGAATCTTGGAGTGCCAACTATATGGTGCTCGAATAATTCAGCTTGAACTATCTTTTCTGATTGTCTGACTGAACTCGTCGTTTCATATACTTTGTATATATATAGCAAAAGCATGATAGACTGATGCTTAATTTTGGTATACAAACGTTGGAGCACTTACATCAGTAGTACATCCTTTTCACTTTGGAAGTGCTGCTACTGTATTGTCTCCGTAGCAGGGAGACTGTTTGTGGATAAACTGAACAGTGAAACTGATTCCGTGACTGAAATGCAAATAAGAACATTTTCCCTATTACCAACATGACAGCGAGTTATTTCGTCAAATCTATGAGCAAATACAGACGTGGTTGATCTTTAGATAATGTGGGATCAGGAAGGGGTTAGGTTCTCCATGGCCATTTGCCATGCTTCAAGTTGTGAGACATCATCCTAATAAAGGAAGTATAGACTGTGTAGTGGGGATGTTCTGTATCCATCATTTTCAGAAATTTTCCAAGAGCTCCTCCAAGCTTGGAAGGTTTTCAGGTACTAACTACTCCCTCACTACAATAACTTTTGTTTGTTGCAGAAATGAAATCTGAAACTGTCAACCGGAGTTGATGAATGTCAGAGCTATGCTGCCGATGCAGAAATAAGTTGAATGGAGAATAAGAGCCGGAGCGTGCCAATCTCCGGTCTAGGGTTGTGATCTTTTTGTGTATGTAGTGCTTTGTTTTCGTCCTGTGGACCTTCTATTCTAATGTTGGTAGTCGGTTTGCAACACTAGCAGTTCCGGTCAGTCTTGAGTGCTTCGAACTTACCGATGTATCTGAGAAATATCAACCCGGTTACCTTGTTATGAACTAAGCGTGTACTTGTTGCTCGATCCCTCTAAGTTCGATATATGTCAAATGATGTTTCTCGATCACCACAAAATGAGATTATTTTAACGCGCCAACCAAATCTATGGATCACGGCGGTAACTTGTTTTATTTGTGAACAGTACAACTCATACAATAAAAGTGAAACACCAGGCAACTGAACCTTGTACTCTAACCAGTCTAAAAAACCAGGCATTTCATTACTTATAAGACCAGCTGATGACCAATCCCACATGACGTAGCAAGTGTTATCGAAAAGATTTGCAACTGCAACTTGATCTGATCCATCCACCATTAGCGATCCGGCCTTTACTTCGAGGTTTGCAACTGCAACTTGATATGATCCATCCACCATTAGCAATCTGGCCTTTGCGTTAACTGTTGCTCAAACAAGGGCGTAATCTCAATCTGCAGTTCAATTCAAACTAAATTTCTTTCAAGTACTGGTATCCAGAGACAACTTTCCAAGTGAAATGTGGTCGTGTGTTTTACAAGTTGTGTCGACAGAAAGTATATGGAATTCTCTTTGAAACAAGGCTGCTTTGGAAATAGATCTTCTTCCTCAACTGGTCGGATATGAATTTCTTCGGTTCGGGTGGGTTCGGATGTTACGCTAGCAAATCGGGATTCAAGAGGAACACCATTTACATGGTGACCCCATTCAATAGCAGTTTATACATATACGATTATGGAGATCGAAGCGTTTCGATTACCTTGTCAAGTTCCAAAATAGAAAGTTGTTCGATGCATGCGATTGTTTTACGTCTGTAGTCAGGTAGAAGCTAGTCTTGTCAATCAATTCTTTAGTTTTAACTTTTTACAGAAAATGGAAAAACTGAAGCAGAAGAGGTAAAAATGAAAGTACAGAGAAAAAACAGAGTAACATTGAAGTATCAAAGAAAGATTACAGTGAGTACATCTACAGTTTCGCTGGGTAACCACTAACATTTGAAACCACGGCAAGTGAGGAGCCACAGTATTACAACTAGGATGAGTATTCCACCCAAGATCATCAACTTCATTTGGAGATTCTGCAACCACATCTTCCGCCGCAACTGCCTTCCTTGCCTTTGGAAGCTGTCCGCCTATACATATATAACAATTCTTAGCTTTTCTTGTATCTCAAAACTAGCTCTTCTTCGCACACAACACAGCATACCTGAAACTGCAGATTCTCTGTTTTATCAACCAGGAGCTCGATCCTCTCTCCACGATCCAACACCTGCCAAGTCCACATGTTGATTGTTAGCTACATGTTTCCGATCAGTAACAGAACACTCCACATTTTTTTCCTGCTACACAAGGTCAAAATGGAGCTGTCTGCAGCTCTGAAGGACAATCTAACTACATGGACACATGACTGATACTACATATATGAATCCCATTGAACACAGAGTGGCATTTAATTCTCTTCTAGGCCTTCTCTTTCGATTCTCTCACCTATTTCGGGTTTGCCTATTCCTTCTCCAACCGCATAACAGTTGATCAAGAAAGTCAAAGCTCTTTTTAATCCTTGCTCATCACGGACCAGTAGACGTTCACGACTCACGAGAGTTCTGACCCTTGGATTGCTAGAGCATAACTACTAGCTCAATTCACAAAACTCTCATTTCCGATAACAACATGAATCTTGGTCAATGGTTTGCAAGTTTCGTCTGTTTGTGGGTTTCAAGGCATATATACAGCAACAGCATGCTCATAGTTTTCACCTAATTATCAGTCGTACGGTAACTAACAGCAAACCAGGGCCACTTCAAGCAACACGAGGTTTAAATTCTGGCAGAGGAAATCAACCGAGTTAACATATACTATTCCGAGAAGGTATGATCAATCCATAACCTTACACCTTGTCTAAACTAAGTACAAGGCATCTCATCTGCAGCAAAGAATAAGGCATATACACACACATAACAGTTCGGTCAAAAGAGTCATTAGTGAACTAAGAGACCTCCATATCTCAGGGAAAATAAGAAAATCTGAAGCAAGTAATTCAAACATGAATGATTCAAGGTCACTACCCACAGACGAGCTAGTTAGTTACCTTCTCAATGTTGTCCATCATAATTCCCTTGACCTCAGTGATTTGAGCTTTCAGTTTGGACAGCTTACTGATCTCTTCAGGATGTTCTATGCAGTACTGCATGTGCTCTTTAAGCCTTGGCCTAATAGATGAAGCAGAAAAGAAAAGGTCATAAGAACGGAGAGCATAAGTGGGAAAAAGTCGGATAAAAACAGAAGGATTCGCACCCAAAGTCTCTATCAAGATTGTAAGCAATGCTAAATCGATCTTCGAACAAGTCGTCATCATCATCATCAACAAGAGGGTGTTCCTCATTTTTTATATTTCCTGCATATCGCTGCTTGAAATCGTCCTTCACACGGTCAAGAAACACAAAGGGCACTGCCCTACCCACCGTCTCATCTGCAACCACAAGAAACACTGCATTGCCCAAAGAAAATTCTTTAGCAGCAATTCTCACTTTTATGAAAGAAGCAAAACTCACACTGACCGAGAATTTGAAAATACCAAATGCATCGTCCTTGAGGAAATTAAAAGTGTGGCCGTCACAAGAATAAGTGTACTTGCTGCTATTTGGAGGAAGTTTCTGTAAGCACTGAACAGCTATGGTGCTAAAGTTCCCGGAGTAAGATGTGTGCTCCGCCAGCACAACAGTTCCCCTGGCCACAAAGCTATAGATCAAACCCCTACCACTCATTTTCAAATCCTTCCTTCAAGAAGCATCAATCCCCTGCCAAACCAACAAAAAGAACCCAACTTCACGAAGTGAAAATTGAGCCCTGAACAAAAACTAAAGAATTAACAAAATTAGCAAGAACCCAATTCAATTCAAGGACTTCTGAGTGACGATACTTTCGAAGCTAATCAATTCTAGCAGAATCAAAATGTACGGACAAAAACAAGGTAAGGTTCCAGGTAAGTTTGTTGGCCGATCTAAACCGGGCGCAGAACTCACAAGCCTAGGACGCCGATGAAATTAAGCCGGGAAAAGGCACACCAAAATCTTGAAAACAAATCGGGAGGAGGGGCTTTGGTATGTAGCAAAGACCCACAAAAAGAAGCGTCGAATAGCGGTAGATGAGAACGAAACCAGCGTCGGAGGGTATCCGCTAAAATTCTCGCAAGTTAGGAAGTTGAAACAAGTGGATCGCACCAAAAAATTGGACTCGCGCGGAATCAAAATGAAGGAAGGAGAGAGATTGAACCTGTGAAGCTTCGTTGTTTGGTGTCTGGTGAGCTTTGGAGTGGGAAAATAATCGGACAAGGCCGCAACTGGAGGGATGGGTTAACTTAAGCCTTAAGTGACTGGAGTCTTGACGGATGATTGAAGAAGATGATAATGAATGAATGAAGAGGAAGACTGATTGTCGATTGATGATGGGAGATGAATAATTTTGATTTTTCACCCACTATTTTGTAGCTAATTTGAATTTTCCAAAAGATAAATAAATCCTTATTATACTGTTGTAGAAAACTAAAAATACAATAAAATGATGTATATCGATCAATCAATTGGTTTTTTGGTTTCTACTTTGACCACGTTAAATTACGAACGCAAACTTTTCATAATATTTATGTACTACATATCTATCTATTTGGTAACAATCTATATTATATATTATGGTCGATAAGTATGTTATGATTAGATTATCCATACAAATTTGGGGTCAAATATAAAAATCAAGCTAAATTAAAGCACCAAATGAAACTATCTAACACAGATTATATTGTTAACATTTTCCTCCTTCATATAATGACGTAGTTGCTATATGCTAATGAGTTGCTAATACTTATTCCTTTTAAAATATTACTCGTTGTTATTGAACTAAATTATTTTGTTATCCAACTCTAAACTCTCAGTTGATTGGAATGAATTACAACTAGTTACAGTAAATAGCAGTTTAGCTATTCAAAAAATGACTTTTGCACCTTCCTAGTAGAAAATTTCATTGAGCTCCTCATAAGATCATACAAGCTTGCTCAAAGTACCAAAAGATGACTTTAGTCTCCTTTATATTAACGTATGGAGTATAAATACACACTACAAAGTCATTTGAACTATCTCCAACTCATGCACGTCTCATACCATTAAAATGAGCTTTCTATCAAGTTCATCGAGTGTGTCAAACGAGCTTTTCAACTTACCAACTAAAAAACTCAAGATATTTAAAATCTTGGCCTCAAGCCAGGGGTGTTCATGTGTGAATAGGAGTTGGCGGACATTTACAGACTTAGGATATTGAGACCACGATTTAGATCGAGCTTCAAATTCAATTTTAGTGGTCTTCACTTGATTTTATTTTGGGGTAGAATCTTCACTTGGTTTTGAATATGTCTTACTTTCCAATTATTTTTTCAAAGGATAGAAAATGAAGAGGTTGTGTGGCACACACATGGCAACCCTATCAACACCGAACCTTGAATCACAGATGAAGAATATCGATACTTAACCCAACTATTAAGTTTCAAATTTATAATGATCTAAATTCACCATCAATAAGGTAATATAAAAACTAGTACAGTAAAATACGATGATAATATGATCAAGTAGTTAAATTTAGCAAAACTTGTAATATTTTATTATATCCAAGAATTTGATATGCTTCTTCATTTTTTCAAAAGACTTCTTATGATATGAACTTCATATGTTTCTTCATTTTTCAAAAGGACTTCTTATGATATGAACTTCAACGTTTGGATAACTATGACCCAAATTATAAAAAACTGACAATTATTATGAACTTTCCAATTATTAAGACGAATTTGACAAAAATTAGAAATAGTTGTCATTTTAATTTTAATTTTTCGCCGTATTATCTCTTTTCCAAATCCAACTAATAAGTGGAAGTTTTTTTTTTTTTTTTTTTGTGTTTTGCGATCGGCTCTCTCGGCTCACGCGACACGCGCATATACGACAAGCCACGCGCACCCACCTCGGCCCTCGCGTCTATACCTCTATCCTTCTCCCCCTGCTCTCAATCGACATAGCTCGCACCTTAACTTGAAACCCTAACCCTGCGAATTATCCTCCCCGGAAAGAAGAAAACCCCTACGAATCATCTCTTCCGTGTGATTTACGCCGTGGATTCCTCAGGCAAATCGCAATCTTCTACCATCCGACTCATATGACGATGGCCATCGTCAAATTGCTAGAGTCTCGCGAACCCTAGCGACCGTTGATTTGTCTTCCGGATTCTTCCTTCATCCTTTCATCGTTTCGTAACTCACAATTTCGCGCAGTCCCCCTCCCTGTTCACTGCCGTCTCGCCTTCGGTAAATTCATGGAGGGCTCTGTGGCAGATGATCTCGGAGCCCCGGAATCATGGGAGGTGGCCGATTTGGACGAGACGATGAGCCGTTTGATGCTCAAGGACTCGAAGCAGCGACCGGCTCAGCAGGAGCTCCCTGATGATTTCGCTCTGGGTCCAGGTGGCGTTGCTTCCGGCTCTACCGAGCCGGGCGGAAGCAAAGTATCGGAAGAAGCTATCAGCCAGGTCGATCAGTTCCTGAGGGATGCCTTGCAGAACCCTCGTGAGCGTCTCTCTGGTATGTAAATCCGTCATAATTCTTATGTAATGTTGGCCAGTTCAGTTTTGGGGTGGTGTACTTTTGCCAACGCCTTTCCTAGAATCAATTCCCCGCACTGTGGGTTGGGCTGCAATTTAGTTTTTCATTTAATTAGGCCGGCAAATTCCCATGCTTGACCTGTCCTGCGTCAATGTCTTCGTTCTGGGATTAGGGTTTTCCTAATCGAGTTCATTAGTACGAGTTGGATGGATGATAGTTGTTCTTGTAATGAATTGAACTCCCACGTTAGCTTTTGTGCCTCCCTCGATTTCCATAGAAAGCAGTTGGAGACTCCTAGATTTTAATTATACAGGCTCTAGGTTTGTGTTGATTTGATAAGTAGAATTTCATGCTAGGACTTATGAGGAATTCTTCATTCAGACTCAGATATAGCTGCTAAATTCTTTCCATCTGTTGACTCCACCCTGATGCCCTGTACTAGATTTAAGATAGATTTGTTGCTTGTACAAGAGTCTGCTCACTTTTCTGTACAATATGTAGTTGGTGTATTATTTTCTATTCACTACGGAAACCTCAATGTATTAATGGTTTTTTTTATCAGTTCTGAGAATGGAGCAAGACATTGAGAAGTTTATACGCGATCCATCGCAGAAGCAATTGGAATTTCAGCAGCTGCCCACCTCATACTTGAGGTTGGCTGCACACCGGGTGGCACAGCATTATTCACTTCAATCAATGGTTTTGCTGGACAACAGTTTGCCTGATGGTTCTGGTTCAAGAATTATTGTACATAAGGCTGCTGGATGGAGGCTTCCTTTGATTCGCTTAGCTGATATCCCTGTGAATTTGCCATCTGAAGATTGTACTCCTGTGAAGGTTGCAATTAAGCAGAGGCCACAGAAACACTCTCACAATGGCAACAATCCGAACTCAAATTCATTAAAATCGAATAGTTCCAAGAGCATGGAAGAAAGGAAAGAGGAATACAACAAGGCACGAGCTCGGATATTCAGTTCCCCCAATCATAGTGGTAGTTCTACTATAAAGGCAGAAACTGAACAAAGGTCACAAGATAATCTGCACCAGGGTTCTTTTGGTTCAGAGAAGGCACATGATAGATTGGCTTCAGGGATTTCTGATAGTAATTATGGAAGAGGTATAATTGAGCCTTCTACAAGCAACAGTAGATTGTCTAGACCGAGGATAGAAAAGGAGCTAATTGGTAGGCCTAGGCCAAATAATAGGGTGGCCATATTTCGGGATCGTGATATTGAAAGGAAGGATCCTGATTATGACAGGAGCTATGACAGGTTAGGTTATTCTGCAACTCCCCCTCTCCCTTTCAGAAGCATGAATGTTTTGGAATTTAGCAGATGTCTTAGCTCAATCTGTCTGAGGGGTATATTATATGTCATTGTTTAGATGTACTAGGACAAGCGAATTGCTGACTGATGTGGCTAAAATCTGTTTTCTACTGTGTGGCTTTTTTGCATCATCCTGTACAGCCATAGTACTAGAATCTCATTTGCTTGTTCATCAGTTAGCAGTTCTGTCCTTTTAATGTTTTACATCATTAAGAGTGCACATTTCTCATTCCGTGGATGATTTGCATTTTGCATTAGCGAGCGAAACATCACATTTTCCGATGAATGAATAGAGGTAGATGTACAATTGCAAGGGCATATTTAGTTATTCGGTATAGAACTATCTTATACAATTCGTACGTAGAGGCCCTCTGAATATGTGTAAGGCTGGGTTTCGTTCTAGTGTTTATTTAGAGATTAGAAAGAGATTGACGGTTAAAACTGTTTGTCAGGTACACACAGAGATTTGATACTGGATTTGGCTACAGTGGAGGGCCTTACACCATCCAACCTATGTATGCCCCTGCATTGAACTACAACACTGAATTTCCGCAACTTGGATCTGGTCATAGACCCCAGATGCCCATAGAGCACCAGCCACATCCTCTCCCACAACATATAGCTGGGCAATGGGCTGCCCCATCTGCCCCTGCTGGATTAGGGTATGGTCATCCAGACACAATGATGCCACCTTATAGTCCGCATCATGTTGGTATACAGTCCAATGGCGCTCTATATCTGCATTCTTCTCAATATCCTTGTCAGCGCCCAGGAATGCCTTTCATCGGCCATCATGACCATGTTCAACCCTTCGCACAGGTATTGGAATTCGATCTTCTCCTTACTGTAGCTACTGTGGTGGTCTTGATTTGGACATGTTATCCCTAATGAGTAACATACAGTTGAGTGAATTGATTCTCATCTTGAGTTGTCTGTTGTACTACCTATTCATCGCATCAGCGTGTTGTCATTGTGCAGTTTCATCAACAGCAATCTGATGCCAGTTTTGGTTTAGCCCGGCCCCGGTGAGGGGCTTGGGCCATGCATGCCCCCTGCCACTTGGTGCTTGAGCTTGAAATTGTAATGGGCTGATCAGACAGCCACATTTGGTGTGCCAAGTGGCGGGGGTGCAGGCAAAAACCCGAGGCCTGATCAGGACTGGACGTATCTTGTTATGAACATCCAATATTGGTCCTGTCAGTCAGCCTCGGGTTCGTGCGGGGGCTTCTTCTTGAAAGCAATGAAGGCTCCTTCTGAGTAGTAGGTGGCCTAATATTGGGCTCTCTGCGTTCTACGGATGATGATGATGACGAACAGTTCTCGGAGATGAAAACGTCTGCTTGTTCAGTTGTTTGGGTGCAGGTAGAATCTTCTACTTTGCCTTATCTGGTCCCTTTTCCCTTCACATTGAACCCCCTTTTACCGGTTTGGTCTTAGTTCTGGTATTGGATGAATATGTGGTGCTGCTGCTTCCTCATTCATACCTTCTCTTTGCTAACAGAGGCACTACAGTTGGAAATCGAAAAGGACTCCACCTTGTTTGCTTTCTTCTCCCATCTGAAATACTGGGCTGTCTGCCTTGGTGGTGGATCTCCTCCCTTGAGAATGATGGTCTCCCGCTTGCTTGCAATGCGCTTCCAAGGTTGTGCAAGTGCAGCAGTATTGAATCGCTTAAAACTGTTATCATATGAATATATCTCTGCTTTAACTGTACCTGCTGCTATATTTTCCTTGAGAACCAGGTGACGGAAAATGCTGCCTTCACCGTGTTATGATTGCCTCCTGTCCTCTTCGAATGGAGTTGATTGGCTTACATCCTTTTCTCCCTGGTTTCTGTTTTTTCTTCTTCATGCAGCAACTAATTTTTTTTCACTGCCACGAAATTCTTGCTCATAAAGAGGCAAATTTCAGATCAGCACCAGCATGGATCTATTGCTCATAAGGTGAAATAAACTCTAAAGTTAAACGTAATTGGGGGCAATGAAACGATGTCTTGCTTATTAAGAAGATACCATAATGCACTACATACATATAGAATGGCGGAATATTTTGATATTGTGAAATCGGAATCGAATTAGAGATTGTGCGAGACAAATTCGTCATGATCATGCAGTAATGGTGGTTCGACTATAAAATACCAGTATTGGAAGCTAAATCGGTTGGTTGTATTTGATGGTACTAAGGATTGTACTATAATTAAATTGTGACGTTACTACAAAATATTATACTGCTATCTTTTTCCATTATGAATTGATGGAGCATGGTCGTGATTTGCAATAAACAGTTTTTGTGATTCAACAACCCTATATCTAGGGATGACAACAAAACCTGAATCCATGCGTACCCATCCGACCCAATTCGGTCAATGCGGGTAAAACCAGTGTTGACGGATTTTGGGCTGGGTTAGGGTTTAAACCTGCTACACTATTCACCTGGTCGGGTTGGGTTTGGGTTTAGGTAAACCCGTCCCATGGGTACCCGCCCACACACATATAATTACTTTACCGGTATATTTAATATACTAAATAATATATCTTTCTTAAATAATATTCTATATGTTTGTGGGGACATGTATAATTTGTTCTTTCTAATTGTTTAGAATGAAGTTGATATTATGAAGTGGAAAGTGAAGAAACTTAGTTGACGAGGAAGAAGCTTTCAATTAATCTTATTGTTTATATATGTTTATCTTTAATTTTGAACAATTTGTATTGATCATTTGCGGCTTGCTTGTATGCTTTAGATTGGTGTTTTTTGTATGATTAATTTGTATGAGAAAATTGATGTTAAACTTTTATTTTGAAAGAAACTTGTTATTGTAAATTTTTACCACAAAAACCCACAGGTACACATGAACCCGCGGATACCCAAAATGTTGGGTTGGGTTTGAGTTTTTCAAACCCTACGGGTTTTGCCCTGGATTTTTTTGACGGATAAACCCATGAGTTTGGATTTGACAAAACTCGCCCCAACCCGACCCATTGCCATCCCTACCTATACCAACAGTAGTACAGTACCATAAACCATGGTTAGATCCATGTCAAACATTGTAGAAGCCCAATAGGCCCCAAGAAAAGCCCATTTGCGGGCTCTCTGAACACACAGGAAGAAACGAGGAAGAAGGAAGACGAAAAGGAAAGGAAAGGAGGAACACGATTTGGGCGAGGAAAAGGGGGGCCAAAAACGCAGGACAGCAAGTTTTTTTTTTTTTTTTTTTGGTGCTAGAAGTTCTTCCTTTGACGTGCACCGCTGGGCAAACCCAGGCAGGCAGGCAGCCCAGCAAAGGCAGAGTTGTGTTGCGTCTGTTGTTTTGGTAGCTAGCATGTATACCTGCTCTGCTCCTTCAGATCAGCGCGGCAGTTAAAGGAAATCCCCCTCTCTTCGTGTTTCCACCCACATGTATTGTTTCCTCCCTTTCATGCAATTTCTGCACTCAAAAGCCGCCTTTCCCACATTTCCATCATATCTATCCCCCTCCTCCTCGCCTTTTGCTGTCTCTCTCTATATAATCATATCCTCAATCCTCTTAACTCCTGAATCCATTCTACTTGCCTATCTCCACCACATCACATGCTTGCTGCTAGCTACTTAAGCAGGTAAGGATTCATATGTGTAATCAGTCAGTCATCTACGAATCACGCGACAGTCGTAGATTTGATGTTCAATCAGGTAATGAAAAGACCCATTTGCTGTTTGATTACGTGCAGGTGGTGGAGAATAATGGAGAAGATAAACTCGCAGCTGTACCTGGAGAACTGCTACATACTCCAGCAGAACGAGAAGCTAAGGAGGAAAGCCCAGCAGCTGAATCAGGAGAACCAGGCCCTGCTTAACGAGCTCCAGACCAAAATCTCCTCCAACAAGGGCCAGAATAACAATGAAGATCATGGGTCAACTTCTTCAACCTCCAAACCACCTGTAGTCAACTCCTCCAAAACCCATTGATTCTTCTATTGTCGATACCATCCATGCCTTGAGGAACATATGTATGGATTGTCAAGACCGTTTTTTGTTTGTTTGTGTGTGTTTCTGTTGGCTTTCTTGTCTGCAATTATTGCACCTGCTGCTGATCGATCTTCAAGTTGTAGATTGGAATGAAGACATCAACAGATAATTTTCCCTTGGCCTTTTTTACTCTGTTCTGGCATTTAGTCGTCCAAGACCTCGGTTTAATTGCCAACTTGCCTTGCATTGCAAGCACCCCCATGAATTGCAGTTTAGGTTCTTCTCTAATTTTATCGGATGCCATCGAAGAAGAAAGCGTATTGAAAACAAGCGCCAAGTATTAACCACAGTTTGGAGGAATTGGCGTCATAATAATTCGTGACGACGACACCTCCGCTTCGCTTAATAAAGATCAAAATTGGGAACAATAGCGGTGGTCACAAAAGTTTGCGAGTTATCAATATCTTCTGTGAAAATACTTCACCTGTTGCAAGTAATACTCGTGATCGGTTTAATAACCGTCGGTAACGTTCGACAACACTGATCATAACAAAATGCACGTTACAACAAATCATACTTTTTTCGTCGTTGGAGTTACTTCACCGCCGATTAGGATACTTGTGCATGTGACCGGCCTACATACCATCGATAGAGATAGAAATACTCATTACCAATGTCCATACTTTGTGGGATAAATTCACCTCGTCATTATCTATAACAAAATGTGTCTCTTCCGGCAGAATTGTGGGATTATTTCTTAAGCTTAGCATTAGACTTTTTTTTGTATTTTCGTAGCTTTGTAAACTAGTTTTGATAAATTCAATTGACTAGAAAGCTTCCTTGCCCTCGGGGATTCAATGAGTTAGTTCAACCCCACAATACATAATGTGTCATTTCCAGCATGATACTAGTGATGTCCCACGATACTGGAAATTCCAGGCGTCGTAGTACGGGAGGCGGTTCAATTTCTTGATTTTTCACCAACATTGAATCGGTTTGATAGGCCTATCGATTTTCCTTAACGTGTACAAACCGATAAGTCCTTTAATGGCTTCAACCGAAAAATTGTCAATAAATTGATAAAAACCATATAACAATAAGAGATTCATTTTTTATTTTTTCGGTTTATTTTGATCGAAACCGAATCTATCAAGGACCAATCAGTTTTTGGTTAAACCGTAAACCTATAAGCTCTTAAAGATTTCGGTTTCAATTTTGGGCAATTGACTAATTCAAATTTTGATTTCTAATGAGTTCCGGTTCGGTTAACCGAACCCCACCCAAATGGTAGTTGATGAATGGTCTTTTAAGCTAAACCTAATTTAGGTTGAGGGAGACCATAGTACAACATGTATAGTTTGATACCCAAATGTGGAATCCAACCTCAATTATATACAACTTTCTCACCAGTTTATCCACGTGACATGCAGCCAATGAAGTGAAGCATGAGTTGGTGTCCTAACTACTATTCATTTATATTCTTAACAACTAAATTGAAATGTACTGAGTATGGATTTTTTAGCAGATATCACATATATATATACACTTCCATAACCCACAGCAAGCAGTGAGGCAGGTCCTGCAGAAAAGGGAAAGGCATGGAAAAGTATCATCAAGCTTCTGCAACTCTACTTCTTCAATGTTTCCCCACTGTACTCTTCTGTTTCCTTGCTGCAGGTCTCTTATGCTTCCTTCCTGATGAACATCTGTTTTAATTCTTTATTATGTATCATGTATGCTTTGCTCATTAATGACTTGATCTTGTTGATCAGGTATAGCGAAAGCTGATGCTGCTACGAAGCTGTTTGTGTTCGGGGACTCGTATGCTGATACCGGCAACTGGGGGAGGTCAGCTAGCTCCTGGAAAGAGCCCTATGGGATCACATTTCCTGGCAAACCAGCAGGTCGATTCTCTGATGGCAGAATCTTCACAGATTATATGGGTAACTTATGAGCAAAAAACAATACAATGTAATCTATCTGTTACGAATTTCGTGAACTACGATGATGTTCATCACTATTCATTGTACCTTTGCAGCTTCATTTCTGGGAATAGAATCCCCAATACCCTACACGACAGCAATGGCGACTGCACAGGACTCTCGTAGTCGTCATCTTCAGTATGGGATGAACTTTGCTTATGGAGGAACAGGAGTGTTTGACACCTTCATCCCTGCACCAAATATGTCTGTCCAGATCAATCTGTTTGAGAAGACTATTGAGGAACAAAAAGTCTACACCAAACAAGACCTTCTCAACTCCTCCTTTGCCTTGCTGTCAATAGCAGGCAATGACTACTTGACCTATGCCAACAAAAAGGGCAATCCTCAGGTGAATTGTTATTGTTTTGGGTCACCCACCTGTCCCACTTCCTTCCTTCCTAATAGTAATGTTTAGTTTGTGTCCATGGAAAAAAAAAAAAAAACAGGAATTACCAGGTCTGACTCAGAGAATCATCGCTCAGCTTTCTGAAAACCTGAACCTCATCCATGGCTTAGGAGTTTCAAAAGTAGCAATCACCACTCTGCCACCAATTGGTTGCTTGCCAGTGGTGGCTGCTGCAAACTCGTACCGGGATTGCAATGAAACCTGGAACTCTGCAGCCAAGTACCACAACCAGCAGCTGCATCAAGCAGTGGAATCGTTAAACAACAGGACCAGCAGGAGTAATGTTTTCGGAATCCTGGACACATTCAGTGCATTGATGGCTGAGTTTAAGAAATCGAACGGTTCAGGTTCTGGTGACAACCCACTGAAGCCATGCTGCATCGGGGTGAGCAGTGATCACTCGTGTGGAGATGTCGACGAGAAGGGGGGCAATGGAGGAGCAAAGAAATATGTGGTTTGCAACAACCCAAGCCTGTCTATGTTCTGGGATATGCTTCATCCTGCCCAGAATGGCTGGCAAGCTGTTTATCAAACTCTCAAACCTTCTCTTCATGAGATGATGATATAGTTGAAATAGCCTAAAGCTAAATGCATACAGACAACAGAGGCAAGCAGAACAGCTAAGAAAACATACTGCACTTAGAAATAACGTAAGAAAGCCATTCTCGCTTTGCTCATTTCGAAGGAGTCTGTACATTATCTATGAATGTTCTGTCTTTTCTGTTACAACTAAGAAAATAACAACTAGGTGAGATTATCATTATGGCGTTCTCAAGCTAGCCTATAGAACAAATAGGCAACATTATTTGCAAAAGCACAAACCCAAACAAGTATATTTGAAATAGTTCACCACACATCGTTGCTTCACAACAAAAACCCAAACTTCAGACCGTAAAAAGATAGAACTGAGGCGATTATTGTCGGCCCTTACATTTCATCAACGGGTACCGCTTACATCTACCACTATAGAGCATTAGTAGTACAACACATTCATCATCAAACCGTACAGAAACCCGACTTCCATGGCAAGGTAAATAAACTCTACTGTATTATTAGTCAGACCAGCAATCTATGCAGCAGTAACAGTAGTCTCCGTCTTGGTCTCGGCAGGCTTTGTTTCTGCAGGAGCAGGAGCAGGAGCAGCAGGTGCAGCCTCGGTTGTCTCGGCGGGCTTTGTTTCTGCTTCTTCCCAGAATGCAGTCTTCTTCCCAGTTTTAGACACAGTCTGGAACACCGCATCCGGCTGCACATTTCCCTTCACGGTAACTTTCTGCTGCTCCATGTCAATGTCAAAAGACTCCACCCCTAAACGCATCATAGTTCATAGCACTGGTTAAAAGCTGAATCTAAAGTCAAGAACAGCGTAGAAAGTTTCTAACCAAAAAGCAGACCCTCGCAATTTGGCAAACATCTTAATGTCATACAAGACAAGATCATACTGCAATACTGAGCACAGCAAATAAGCCATCTTCCCAGCTCAACATTTGGATTCATTGAGTTTCACTAACGATCTGGATAAAGAGCAGTAGCTGCAGGTAAGTGAGAGGTCTAAAACCAACCTTCCATTTTGGTCAACACCCTTTTCACAGCCCCGGAGCATCCCCCGCAGGACATTCCAACCTTGAGCACAACGGTCTGCAAATGGAGAAAAATCAAACGTCAAACAAATAAAGTCGACTACTGCATCGAGCAGCAACGAGAAGACGTAAAATCAAGAACGTCATAGCTTCAGAACAGGTCAGGGTACACTAATAAGAAACCACAACTCTCAAGATCGGAACTTTATCCTTGCAACATCAAATTTCTCAAGCAGATCATGAATAAGATTGCCTGTGTGGGCAAAAATGACAGTGATGCACCAAGAACATCAAGTAAACCCACCACTGGGCTGACAACCTAACACAATGCAGTTATTTCAAACCCCCAGTCAATTTTTCCAAGAACAAACCAAAAGCTCAAGTTCAGTAAAAAACAAACAAGGTCTCGAACAACTAATCACGGTATATGTAATCAAAGTAAGAACTCCGCCCAAATGTAACTTTCACCAAGACAAGATCATGACTTGCACCAGACCCCCTGGTTATCGAATGGAGTGAGGTACCCTTTTCCCCCAACTCACGCGATCAAATTGTGGAGCAGGGGATACAAAAAGATTTATCAGGAACCCAACAACCCAGAACATAATCCCTCCAGAAGAAACTCTCAATTTCCTAGGATTACAACAAACCAACCTCTAACTAAGCGTCGCCCATCAAATATTCAGACCCAAAAACCACAACAACAACATCAACAAGCGAATCGACTACGTGATACGCAAAGATAAACAGAACAACCCAATCCAATCAGGGGCACGGTGATGGGAGTTGATACCTGAGACATGGTTTCTGTAGAAGATATTCAACGGAAAGAGGAGAAACCGATGAGACGATCGCAACGAAGACTTGGTTCTCTTCTATTTCCTTTTCCCTCTGTCGTTGATTTTCAAAGGTTGCAGTTGGGGGATTTTATAGCAACGAATTGGGGCTGGAAGGAGAACGGTATTTGTGTCCAACTCTCCTCCTCTCTCTCTCTGTATCTATTGCGTAATTGCGTTTGCCAGAACGTGACGCAAACAAGTCCCAATGGGAGAATATTAGTACGCGTTAGTACTCGCGATATTGATCAGTACATTGGTCCCTTGGTGCACAGTCAGTACAGATGCCGTCCATCGCTTGATCGACGGTCGAGCTTTTCCTCTATAAAGTATTGCCGGCGGTCACCGTCAAATATGGGCACGGAATCTTTTGCAAATTTTCGCTGTGTTTTTTTGATAAATTGTTATACTTTATGTGCCTCCAATTAGGGTGGTGGTATGTGACTATCTATCTATGTGAAACCACTATCTATGAAAAAGAAATTTTTTGGGTGATATGTGACTAAGTGTGTTGGATTAAACGTGTTTTCAATTGAAAAATATAACAAGATTCATCAACAGAAAAGAAAACTACGAGTTGGTTTGGAACTTTGGATTCGCATCATTTTCGTAATCTTAAGTTATACAATTATATTTTTCATTAAAATATAACGAATTATAACTCATTGGTTATAATTTGGGTTTCAATTTTTTTCAGAAGAAGACAATATCTAATAGATATCATTGCCCAAGAATCAAACTTTTAGCTTAGCAAGAAATAATGCGAACTGGGCGTTGCGACAGAAGATTTTATTAGTGCACGCCACATTTCAGAGATTTGCAGTAGCACAAGATCTGGCTTATTAACAGAACGAAGTTGGCTTGAGTTTTTAGCAGCTTGTCCTGCCTACTACTAACTCTATTTGAAACACAATTTACATTTTATTGCAATAATGAAACAATACTCAGAAAGACAGGCTTCTGGGCATTCCTGAAACATAAGATCGAGCCAGTGAACAGCATGTTTCCTTCTGCCTCTTGTATTCCTCGTATCGCACCGAAAAGTAGCCCAAGTAATCGAAATCGATCCGAGACATCTTCGCCTACAGTAGCCACACAAACAAGAACTGGTTCACTTGTGCCCAGAATGTTCTACGGCTCTGTGTTAAAGATATGAAAGAGGTGATTAGGTGCGTTTTACCTGGATTAGAGCCCAGAGTGCCCAGAATATGTGTGACACCAACATGAAAGTGGTGGACTCTACATAGAGTGCTTCAAGCTCCTCTATGGACACCTGCCGGTTCGAAACAATCAATGATTCATTTTTCATTGAGGAACTTTTAGAACTGTGCGTGGAGCTTTGCAAGGATCCCCAATATAGTTTTCTACAATTACCTCGTGCGGATTCCCAGGTTGTAAGTAATGCCTGAAGAAGTGATACTGTTCTTCTAAATTGGGGTATCTGCATTCAACATCATATAAAAGAATCAGAGGCGAGCGAGCTACTTGGTCACGAACGCTACAGCAAGGAAGCAGGTATAAGGAAATTGATTGATTATAGAAGACATACAAGTTGTAGTCACAATCATAGCCTGCATACTCAATGAAGTGGTTTGCAATGTCGAAGCCTCTATAACCGTATGCCCCATATTCAAAATCTATCATGTAGAGTTTCTCTGGGAGTGTATAAAACAAACAGGAACCAAAAGATCAAAAGTGATCAACTACATATTTTGCGAAATGTAAGTTAATCTGATACTGAATAGATCTTGTAGAGAGGGATCATAATTCATAACACAATAATAATACATGTCAAGAACTCTTACCTTCTTCATCATTAAACATGAGATTCCCGAATACCAAGTCGTTGTGAGCAAACACCACTGGAGAGTTCACAAGTGCTGTCAATTCCTGTTTCATTCGATTATCAGGGAAAGAAATGTCAGAAAGTGGTTCAATAGTGCTGCAGCACAAATGACAGAAAAGAGTTATCCAAAGATGGAATCTCAATTTAATAATGAGCCAAACATCTTTGTCCCAGTACTTAAATGGATTGAAGGACAACGGTATATAAAGGTGGAAGTCATGTGTAAAGAGTCCTTAAAGGACAGCAGCACTAAGAGAGAGTTACCTTGATTTCGATGATTTCACCATAGAAGTCTTTCATGGAGATCGTCTCGTAGATTCTTTGTTTCTCGGCATCAGCAAATTGCAGAATGGATGCTGGAGAATGCAAGTAGCAGTAAATAAACTAAAGAAGCAATGCAAAGTGACAACAGAGAACCAAAGTGCTGCTGCAAGTTGTGAGAAAAATAAAATGTTGCAGCTAGCCCAACAGGTTATATATTATAGTACAAACAAACCATTCTCATATAACTTGAATATGTCATTCCACAACTGAGGCTCCTTGGATCCTGGGATTTCCACTGCATGAAACCGGCGGAGTTGGTTAGCAATAGCAGCAGCCAAATTTGGCACCCTCAGGTCTGCAGAAATATTAGACTTCTTCAGACACAACAATATATAAAGTCCATGCATGCATGTCGAAGGATCATGAGAGTCACTAGATAGCAATCAATCGTGCTCATATACCTGCTGGTTTTAGAGTGCGTGCAGTGATAAAAGACTGCACCATACCATTCCCAAACACTCCAAGCAATTTCGCACCAAATCCTGCAGCTGACAGGTGTTTAGTAGCCTGTGATTTATGAACATAGGAGAATGCTGTCAGAATCAGCAGAAGAACTTATATACGGAATTCAACCTTGTGTCTAAGCGAAAGTGATTAATGAACCTGCAACTCGCGCTCACGGTCAATGACATAATCGGTGTTTGGTCCGTATAATCTAACCGTTACTCTGCTCTCGTCTCCACTGACATCCTTAACGGACACCTTTAGCACTACAGCATTACAATTCCTCATCATTAGCTACAGCATTACAAGTCTGTCAGCACGTAGCTAGGTCCAGGGGGAACGAGTACTCACATAGATTTGTTATACCGCCAGAAACTCTCTCAACAGTGAAGCAACAGTCATCAAGTTCTGACCATCCCTTGAATAGTTCTTTGCACAAGTCCCTGTCAGTCCAGACTCCAGAGTGAGTAATCACCAACACCACAAAAGGGTACTCACCCAACAAAACTGAGATATAAAAGCCAACTCTCTAGAAAATAATGAAGAAACAGAGGAAATACGGTTTTGCTCTAAAGGGAGAAACAGAGGCAAAAGAGAAGTAACAAGATAGTGGACATTATGTTTCCTTCTAATTTGGGCAAATTCTCTTCTGGAAAGCAATATGGACAGATAAGACATTAATTCTGTACTCTGTTCCCCGTGAATATGAGAATTACAGTACATCACCAAAAATAAAGGATAAGTGAATCAACTAAAACAGAGCAATCACTTAATCAGAGCAAAAATTTCTACAAAAAAAACAGAGTAAAAACAAAAACAAGTGGATAAAGTCGTACATAACACGACGAGAAATATCGGGGAGGCTGAGTTTTGGGTCGACTGTGCGAGTCGAGTGCGGAATTCCGTCCCAACTGCAGACGCCATTGATGATGGCTCCACCCCCAATTTGCTCCACTGCTTCCATGGCGTCGCACATCATTCCTGATGCCCCCATTTCTTAGTTTGTTTAAGCGGAGAAGCAAGCTTTTTCCTCCTTTCTAACTACCTTCCAGAGCTGGAATTGACTTGTTCCTTTCAGGCAACACCAACTGCTTGAGAACCTTATGGCGAGGACCAGAAAGAGAGAGGCGAAAAGACGAATCTTCAGTATAATAACGAAGAAAAACGCCCCACCATTGATCTCCTTTCGAATCCATTCCCGAAGATAAACATGTGGTCCAATTATTCGTTGCGTAAATAATGAGCGGTTGGATGCTGATTTGTTCGTCGCCAATATTCTCTGCATTAAACAAAACCAAAACCAAAACGAGTTAGGTCCCAGTGATAAAATAATTCGTGAACGTAGTAGTCAGTTTGCTTTGATTGAAGGATGAGCTGGACGTTTTCCCGCCATATTATATTATACTGAAATTATTTCATCACAAATTTGTACATGAAATTCAGGTGCGGAGAGGAAAGAGATGGTTACTTAGTTGTATCACAGAGGACAAACCGTGGGTATGTGGCAGAGGATTGAACAGTGAAATGAAGTGATGAACTTCTTATCAATCCATGTAGGAACAGAGTGGACCAAGCAAACCCAATTCAGACTCATCTTCTTCACCGATCTCCGAAGAGATGAAACCAAGAAACGGCGACGGAATTGGGGTTCTAATGTTCCCATGGCTAGCTCACGGACACATCTATCCATTCCTCGAATTAGCCAAGAAGCTAGTTTCCCGGCAGCAACAACCAAGCTTCCACGTCTATCTCTGCTCATCTCCGGTCAATCTGGCCTATATCTCAGATATCCAGCTAAAATACCCTGCCATTGAACTTGTAGAGCTCCATCTCCCATCCTTACCAGACCTTCCTCCTAACCGTCACACCACCAAGGGCCTCCAGACCAACCTCCTAACAACTCTCTACAAAGCTCTGGACATGGCCAGCTCCGAGTTCGCAGATATCCTGGCCAGATTGTCGCCGGACTTGCTCATCACCGACTTCTTCCAGCCCTGGGCTCCAGAACTCGCCCTCTCGACCCTCAAAATCCCCACCGTTCTGTTCATGACCAACGCTGCCTTCTCCACTGCTCTTCCCTTCACATCCATGAAAAATTCCGGCAGATTCGACGGGGTTTTCCCCCTCCGGTCCAATTACATGTTCGATTACGATACCCACGAGACGCCGAGCTTCAAGGACCGCGTTTTCTGGTCCCTGGAGCGGTCCTCTGGGATGCTACTGGTCAAGAGTTTCAGAGAGATCGAAGCAGAGTACATTGACCGGGTTTCGGAGTTCATCGGAAAGGACGTCGTCCCCGTCGGCCCCCTCGTGCCGGATGATTCCGACGACGACGACGATCGTGAAGAATCAGTTGATAAAGTGATGAAATGGTTGAACGAAAAAGACCCCTCAACAGCCGTGGTGTACATTTCATTCGGGAGCGAGTCGTATCTATCGGGAGCGGAAAGGGAAGAACTAGGGCAGGCGCTGCTGATTCTGGCGACGAAAGGGCTGAATTTCATATGGGTTCTCAGGTTTCCGGAAGGGGAAGAGATGGGTCCGGCAGAAGCGTTGCCGGAAGGGTTCCTGGAGGCGGTCGGGGAAAGGGGATACGTGGCGGTGGGTTGGGCTCCGCAGCGGAGGATATTGAGGCACCGGAGCGTGGCCGGGTTCGTCAGCCACTGCGGGTGGAGCTCGGTAACGGAAGGGATGAAGTACGGAGTGCCGATCGTGGCGATGCCGCTGCAGAATGACCAGGGGACGAATGCGAGGTTGGTTGAGGAAGTTGGGGTCGGGATGAAGGTTGATCGGATTGACAGGGGAGAAGTGGCGAGAGTGATTGAACAGGTTGTGATTGGGGAAAATGGTAGCCGGATTAGGGTTAAGGCAAGGCAGATTAGGGATTGCTTGGTGGAGAAAGGGGATAGAGAAATTGATGAAGCAATTGATCGGCTGGTTCATTTTTGCAATACATTCTCAGTTTGAGGGTTTAGCCATTGTCGGTCTTTTGGTCGAACTTCATTTTGAACGCAGAGACGACGGAAGATGAAGGGTGATCACACACTGATACTGTTACGATATGGGCTCAGGATTGGGCTTGGGATTGGGCCTGGGCCAATGTACTAGCCCATCATTATTATTATCCACTTCCATTTCTAAACGTAATTAAGCAGCCATGTCCGTTCTAACAAGATCGATCGAAACAAAGCTCAAGCAGCTCCTCTGCAACGCGATCCACCTCGTCGTCCCCTTTCCTCTGCATCACCTCACTCATCTCCTTCGCTTTCCTCCTCACCTTCTCTCCAGTTTCCTCCATCACCACTTCCCTAATCACCTTTGCGATTTCCCCTCTCTCGAGCATTCCGTTCCCGTCTCTCTTCACTTCCACCCCAACTCCGATTTCTTCCACCACTCTCGCATTCACCGGCTGATCCAAATGCATCGGCACCGCGACGATCGGCACTCCATGCCACATGCTCTCCATCACGGAGCTCCACCCGCAGTGGCTCACGAACCCGCCCACGCTCCGGTGGGCGAGAATCGCAGGCTGCGGCGCCCATCCTTCAACCACCATTCCCCTGCCTCCAACCCTATCGAAAAACCCTTCCGGCAGAGCGTCAGCCAAATCCACCTTCTCCCCCAACGGAAACCTGACGACCCAGATGAAATCAACCCCGCTGAGCTCCAATCCGTATGCAATTTCCCGAATTAGGTCACCGGAGGGGAAGAATTCGGAACCGAATGAGACGAATACGGCGGAGCTACTCTGTTTCTGGTCAAGCCATTCAACGATGCTGTCTCTGTTCTTCCCGTCTTGCTCTGTTTCATCTAGCAAGGGACCCAAGGGGAGGAACTTCTTTCCGGTGAGATGGTCCAAATAGTCGAGGTATTCGCCTTCAATTTCTCGAAAAGTCTTGACGAGAACTATCTTAGAGGATCGCTCGGTGCAGCGCTCGTATCGGGTTATGTCCATCGTCCCGTCGGCAGTGGCGGATTCCATCAACTCGGTGAACGCTTCTTGGTCTCGTTCCCGGAGGCGAATCGAAGAAAGTGGGATTGGCTTTCTCTCCGCATTGAATCTGTAGAAATGGGAAGCCATGGCGGCCAGCGCGGCGCTGGTGGTGATGAATTCGACGGATGGGATGTGGAGAAGGGAAGCGGCGAGGCTGGGAGCCCAGGGCTGGAGGAAGTCGTAGATGACGAGGTCTGGGGAGACGGAGACGAGGATGGTGGAGAAGGCTGAAGTGGAGTTGTCGAAGGCGGATTTGAGTAAGGGCATGAGGTGAGAAGGAAGGCCGTTGGTGGTGTGGTAATGGGGTGGGAGCTGTGGGGAGGATTGGAGATGAAGCTCCACCAGTGTGATTGGTGATGAAGAGAGTTCGGGTTTTAAAGGGTGAAGATTGACCGGCGTTGAGCACAAGTAGACGATGAAGTTGCGGGCGGCGAGGCGTTTCCCGAGTTCTAGGAAGGGGGAGATGTGGCCGTGAGCTAGCCATGGCAGGAGGAGGACTCGAGTAGTCTTATTACAACTGCTCTTCCTCTGCTGCTGTTGCTGTTCACCTTCCATAATGTTGTGATTTTTGTGTATTAGAGAGTGTAAGTACTTATAAATAGATGGATCGATGAAGGAGGAGGAGAAGAAGAAGAAGAACTGAAGAAGGGATGGGAATTGGACGTGGCTGAATTTGCAGAGAAGGGGAGGACAGCTGGAAACAGGGGAGGGAAGGGAGGTGAGTGTTTTAGATTGAAACAACAGTGATGTGTGTTCGTTGACGGACATGGGCAGCTAGCCGGACAAGTAGCCGCGTTGGATGAGCAATGCCGCCGTCGACGTATTCTTTGACTTCCCCATTTTCCGGCCGGCTGACTTCATGCTTTCTTGTATTTTTCTCGTCAAAACTATAACCTGTTTCCAACCCATCTTCGTGGTCGATCCAGTGGCTTCGGCCTTCCCATCTCTTTCTCTGGGTCAATCAAGCGGCCCAATACTGTGGCCCAGTTTTGTTCTCTTCGAAGTTTGGTTCTTGCCTCCTGGCCCCTGGGGTTGATAAACAAGGCCTTCGGCCAAAGCAACACTATCTCGTAACATTGAGGGGTCGTTTGGATTGAGTATTTGGGGTGTTATTTGAGGTCAAATAATAGATTTTGTGTTATTTGACCCCAAATAACATATTTGGCTGACAAAAAGTGGGATGCGTTATTTGGATGTAAGTGTTTTGCCAAATAACAGGTTTGAGACCAAATAAGTGAATAACACAAAAAGTGTTGTTTGCCAAATACTTGAGAGGGGCAGGTATTTGCCAAATAACAAGTTTGAGATCAAATATCACATACCAAATAATAGGTTTTATATTATGTGGTATTTGTGTGGTAATTGACCCCAAACAACAAGTTTGTCAAATACTCAATCCAAACGACCCCTAATACAATTAGGCGTAAAGCTTTCCAAAGTGTTAATACGTGATCCCGTAACAGATTTGAGGATCATGCTTAGGAGAGTGAGTGCCAAAAGAAAGTAGAGATCCCATACGAGTCAAACAATCGATTAAGGAATTGCCCCTATTTGAAAACATGGTAGAAGCGAATCTCACACTCCATTGACATGAACTACTTGAGCTGGAGTGCTAAGCTCATGTGTTGATGACACGAGTCATTCATTGCTTGCAGGATGGATAGTGTCGATGTCGAGTCCATATGTAGGGCTACCTTCCAATGTCTAAACCGCCAGATCGACTAGAGACCCTTTAATTGCCTCTCTGAACTCTGTGTGAGTGATGGAACAACTACCCAGGTGTGTGGTGTATGCTCTTAACAAGCGACATTGCCAATCAAGCGCCGCTTCGCCGATTGCTGCCTACTGAGAAGAAGGAATAGACGAATCATCTATAATCACCGTGTTCCACCCTTGTGGTGCATGCTACATTCCACATTCATGTCTCAACACGATGCCATAATACCGTTTAAAACGTCGTTCTACAATGATAGTGAGACATTATTTTTACCACTCAAACGGTAAACATTAACAAAACCATATTTTGTATATTTTTACGTGAAAATCGTTAAAAAATCACGACATCCTGAAGTAAATTTCTATATGGAAATTGACTTTGTTCTACTTGCTCTAAATCATAATGCCGTATTAAATTATCAAGGAGTTGGCGGACAGTGGAGCCTCATCATTATTCACGAACTCGTTTTTCCTGTTTAATGCAAACCAAACAAATTACGCGAAGATGATATATGGGGCCATTTGAAGGAATTAGATCAACCCTTCACCAACCAAACGCGCACGTTGTCACCCTCTAAAGGATTGGCTAATTGTAGTCTCACCCTCACCATCTCAAGCTCCACAGAAGAGTGTCAAAATTGGGATTGGGCGAACTCTGGTATTTTCCATTCCCAAATGGCAAAGAATGAACAGGCGGCCGCAGCCTGCCTCGATTCAACCTGCTGTCTGTGTCTGAACTCTGAAAGTCTCCAGCTTTGAATCTCCATTTACTAATATACAAACTTGGGCTTCTTCTTCCCTCCTTCCTTCCGCAAACTTGTTGCTGTGGATATTAAACAAATAAAAAACGACTTGTTAGTTGTTAGCACGTATTCATCACCATCAACTCATACACAGACAAGAGAGCTACGACACCCCTCCCCACAACCCACCAAAATAGTCTTGTTCCTTTCCGTTTTCTTTTAATTTATCCATCTTCCCTTCCGTTGTTCTCGTTGGCTAAACTCTCCCTTGTTTCCTCCGGATTTCTTGCTGAGCTTTATTGTGATCCTCTCTGCGATACCAAGCACTGTCTTCTCTATTCTCAACATCTCAGCTCTATCAAAAGGGTTTCCTTTTCTTTCCTTTTTTCTCGCGTCTTTGCTCTGGCTCGGGCTCTTTGCTTCTTTTCTTCATTGGTTAGCCCCCTTCCCCACTTTCCTCTTTGCATCTTACACGTTCCCCTTTATGCCTTTTGATCGTCTCTTTGGTTGTGACGATTTCCTTGATTCAGTGGACAAAAGGGTTTTCCATAACTCTCGAAGTTTCCGCTGGGTTTGTTCTTGTAGATTGCTGTCACTCGTAGGCTGGTTTTGTTCGTTCTCTTTGAGTTCGTTTTGACTTGCTCCAGTTGGGGAAGTCTCTAATCTATCAAAGTTTGGCGTATTGAATTGGTCAACTTAAGTTCACTGCACAGTGCAGGGATTTTAAGTATTTTTGCCGATCTTTGCAATACCATATGTTTTTCTTTTCTAAGGATTACTTTGTGGGGAGGTTTCAGCTTGGAATCGATATGCTTTAGTGAAAAGGTTGGATCTTGATGTTGAAATCACTTGGGATCTATTGGAGGTGATCTGAGGGTTCCAGGATTTGATTAGATGGGTAATAACTGTGTTGGGCCAAGCACTGCCAAAAATGGCTTTCTCCAGACTTTTTCTGCTGCAATGTGGAGAACCAGAGTGCCAGATGATGCAGCTCCTCAGGGAAATGGAGAAGCGATTCCGGAGGTGGTGACCAATAAAGGATCTGAAGTACCTTTCCAGGTTCAGGACAAGCCCCCAGAGCAAGTCATCATTCCTAAAGCAGAGAAAAGGGACGAACCTGTCCCTGATCAGAAGGCTGAACCAGCTGAGAAACCTAAGAAGAGGTTTCCAGCTCCAGAAATGAAGAGGGTTGGCAGTGCTGGTCTTCGGGTTAGCTCTGTGTTGCAGACTAGAACTGGCAATTTCAAGGAGTTTTATAACTTGGGAAAGAAGCTAGGACAAGGGCAGTTTGGAACCACGTTTCTGTGCGTGGAAAAAACTAGTGGGAACAAATATGCTTGTAAATCGATCGCGAAAAGAAAGTTGTTGACTGATGACGATGTGGAGGATGTGAGAAGGGAGATTCAGATCATGCATCATTTGGCTGGCCATCCAAATGTCATATCCATTAAGGGGGCTTATGAGGATGCAGTGGCCGTTCATGTTGTTATGGAGCTATGTGCTGGAGGGGAACTCTTTGATCGGATTGTTCAACGTGGGCACTATTCAGAAAGGAAAGCTGCACAGCTTACTAGGACGATAGTTGGAGTTGTTGAAGCTTGTCATTCACTTGGTGTGATGCATCGCGACCTCAAGCCAGAGAATTTTCTCTTTGTGAACCAACAAGAGGACTCATTGTTGAAAACAATTGATTTTGGGTTATCAATCTTCTTCAAGCCAGGTACACCCTTTGTTTTATAGTTGTTCTGCTGTGTAAGTTGTTCATTCATATGGTACTGGGCTGTGACTTGGCATATTGGCTCATGATCAAGTTAAATATAAAGAATCTGTGCATTTAAAGAGTACATAATGTAAAATCTCACCAAAATACTGAAGTTCATAATTCATCATTATAAAGAGTACATAATGTATTATCTTTACATGCATTTGGGTCCAAATTAAGGCGGAAAATGAAGGATACAGCAGGATATGTCCATTCTTAGAATACATTAGTCATTGCTGTTTCCATTTCAATCCACAAACTTTGTACACCAACTGTGTTAATATACTCAAAGAATCCAAGACTAAGCAGTTTGCTACACTTGCTTCTTGTTTTTCTCGAGTGAGTATGTGCATGTCTGACCTTGAGGAACAGGAAAAAATCTAAATCTTAACTGTCTCTTGACGGCTTGTACAATGTTCAGCCTAACATTTCACCCTTCAATTTTCATTTAAACAATGCAGTGTAAGAAATATCATTAGGAAAGGCTGCTGGCTCCCAGAGATTTTCTTTTGATTAACGCATAGCTGGAGTTTTTGGTTATCTGTTTTGCACTATTTATTATATGAGATTTGATATTGAGTCGCATTCCGAAAAACTGTCTCCTGCCGGCTTCTACAATGTTCAGTCTATCTTGTTCTGCATTGAGCCACTGACCTTTTGGTTTTTTGCTATTGTTTCAGGGGAAAGGTATTCTGATGTAGTTGGCAGTCCTTATTATGTTGCTCCAGAGGTTTTGAAAAAACGTTATGGTGCAGAAGCTGATGTTTGGAGTGCTGGAGTGATTCTCTATATTCTGTTAAGTGGAGTGCCACCCTTCTGGGCAGGTGTTGTTCGTGTTATATACTATTAATTTAAATGAGACATACGCAAAATTCCAATGCAATTGGACTGAACCATTTTAGTTTCCATTTTCCCTTTCTATGAATATATTCAGAGACCGAACAGGGGATATTTGAGCAGGTTCTCCAGGGTGATCTTGACTTTGACACAGAACCTTGGCCAAACATCTCCGAAAGTGCTAAGGATTTGGTTAAGAAAATGCTTGTTCGAGACCCCAGAAGGAGACTAACTGCTCATGAAGTTCTGTGTGAGTGTTCATTGTGGTCTTTCAAGTTTCAAGTTGTACAAAGTGGGAAACATAGTTGTTCGAGAATTAGAGATTCATCAATTTTACTTAATATGGGATTGGGTTGCTCTTGTTGGGGAAGTTTCCACTATACGGTTCTTCGCTTAATGCCATTATTATTGCCTTTGTACTTACCAATCTGTATCGGTAATAACCAATTTGTTCACAATCCTGGCTAACTCTCATCTTTGCAGGCCATCCATGGGTACAAGAAGATGGTGTAGCTCCTGACAAACCTCTGGATTCTGCTGTACTAAGTCGTCTGAAGCAATTCTCAGCCATGAACAAACTCAAGAAAATGGCTCTTATAGTGAGTCCTCTGCAAGAATCCAGATATGATATAAACAGAAGAACATGATTTGTAGTGTTAATACCCTTGACATTATCTGTACTTAACTTTACTTTGGAGAACAAAGCAGTGGTTTCATATGCTACATCTCTGATAAAATCCAAGACTTTAACTTAATGTTCTTCGCTGACAGATCATTGCGGAGAGCCTATCAGAAGAGGAAATTGCTGGGCTTAAGGAGATGTTCAAGATGATTGACGCCGATGGGAGTGGTCAGATCACTTTTGATGAACTTAAAGCTGGATTGAAAAGAGTTGGGGCTAACCTCAAGGAGTCAGAAATCTACGATCTAATGCAAGCAGTAAGTACTAATAAATGTACACGGATAAGAACAGCACTAGGCAGACTTCTACTACTTGTTGTACTCATCTGAAACTGAAATAGATCATGTGCAGTTTGACGCTGCAAGCTGAATGTGGGTAACTATGAAACAGCAGTGATCCATCACGTTTCTTGCTCAAGCCATCCGATTGGCACATCTAATTTTGCTACCGTCTCACCTTTTGTTGTCGTATCATCACTGCAGGCGGATATAGACAACAGCGGCACCATTGATTATGCAGAGTTTATTGCTGCAACACTGCATCTGAACAAAATCGAGAAAGAGGACCATCTCTTTGCAGCCTTCTCATACTTTGACAAGGATGGAAGTGGCTACATCACTCAAGATGAGCTTCAACAAGCTTGTGAGGAGTTTGGCTTGCAAGATGTTCGCTTGGAAGAGATGATCAATGAAGCTGATCAGGACAATGTAAGGAACCCGCTTTCTCTAGCGTCCCCTGCTACTCCTCTCTTCTCCAACTCACTACCTCTCCAACTCCACTGAAATTGAAAATCAGCTCTAACTGATGCACCAACTTTCTGTAGGATGGGCGCATAGATTACAACGAGTTCGTGGCTATGATGCAAAAGGGAAGTGTAGCTGCAACCCCAGGAAGGAAGGCACTAGAGACTAGCTTCAGCATGGCGTTCAGAGATGCGCGGAAACTCAACACCAGCCAGTAAGTGCTGTTTGCTTTTTTGTCGTGTGTTTTTGGTTTCTTTGCCACCCGTCATCTGAAGAACCAAAGGCCTGTAGTAGTGTATAGTAAGTGAGGAGGCGGCTATGCCACTCTCAACCGAGATGCCAGCGAACATTGTCAAATTACACATCGATCTGGGTTTGGACCTGCAAAAGTGGGGTGTTCTTTGTCACTTCTTTTCATTTTCAAATGTAATACTGCGCTGTGCATGGCTTCTTTATGTTGTTTGTGACAATGTCGACTAGATGAACTGTAGTTAATATTTTTTTTTTAATTATTATTTATCATCCTTATAGTTCATTTGGAACCCATGTTACAAATTCTTTCTTTGTTTTTTCTTGTAATAGTTTTTTTTTTACACATAATTTTTTTTTGAAATGATTCCTCTGTATTGCTTGGTATTATTGGGAGTGGAATTCATACAATTGTTAGTGTAAAAAGAATAAAGCGCTTGATCTATCGACATTATCACTGGTGTAATGTCTGGTTGTTCCCGAAAAGCTCAGGGCTTCGCATCATAGTTGTCAAACTATTGGTAGGTATGTCACTGGTATAATCGAGTTCAACAAATATCGGAGGAAAACCAGGTGGAAGGACCATAAATATGAAGCAAATCATTGCAAATCAGTAACTTGTAAAGAGAAAGTTGAGAATGACTAGCACAGCACTGATGATGCTGAAGATGTTGATACGAGTAGAAGGATAAACAACAGTGAAAGCATTGTCCATAATCAAATTGGTGTCTGATCAAATTCCAATTCAAGAGGTGATTTTTTTTAATGGAAGAGTTGAAAATTTCAAACTCACGAAATCCATGAATTTGAAATCAAAATTTATTTTAAATTCATGCACTAAAAAATTTCTCGCCTCCAATTTTAGGTGAACTAAAAATGATATTGGCGCTTTCAATTTCAGGGATAAAAATAAAATGCTTCATTCAAATCCCATAAGCAAACTCCAAGCCCTAAATAAGAAAAATACTACTAATCTCATAAAACGACGGTTGGGCTTGGGCCTGCAAGCAAGGAGGATCCATCATCCCATAGTTCCTTTCTAGTTTGACCGTACTGACCGACCGGATCTGCTTCAACTGTCACCATAATAAACACAACGGCCCGTTAACACTTCAACGGTGAGAGGATCGTCTCTGAAATATTATATAATTTTAATTGAAGTCTTTATTATTTATGATTTTTCCAGGAAATTTCCGGTCTTCTCTCTCCTCTTTGTTGTCGTCTGTGCCTGTTTGCTTGGTGTCACATTAAAACCCTAATTGCGCATATCGGGTTGCTTTTCCCTCCCTTTCTTTCTCTCTCTAGGGATTTATTTTCTCGCTCTTCGTCTCCTACGTCCAACGTCAGCCCTAGCCAAGCAGCGAATCCCCATGGCGGCGCCGGCGGGTCGAGACCGGAAAGAGAACCAACCGTACGATGACGGACGGGGCTACGGCAAGTTCAGGAAGCGTCCTTTCCGCAAAGGTCAGGCCACTCCATACGATCGCCCTTCGACCACAATTCGCAACTCTGGCCTCCAAACCGCCAACGGCAGCGGCAATGGCTGGCTTTCGAAACTGGTGGATCCAGCGCAGAGGCTCATTTCCTCCGGTGCTCATAGGCTTTTTGCATCTCTTCTGCGCAAGCGCCTTCCTCCTCCTCCTCCACCGACGCAGCCACCGGAGCCAGGTTAATTTCTTTGATTAGTCTTCGGGAATCTCCTGCCCTGTCCCTTCTTTTCCCGTTGTTTTGATTGGACGGTAGATTTTGCCCGCTTTTTTGTGGATTGTCTCTGGATTTGAGAGCCACGCCGTAAGAATCTGGAGCAATTGGCTTGGTCGCTATTTTCTAATTGGATTCAATCATTGTCAGCGGTCGTTTGGTCCTTGCAGCCGAGGGTTTTGAATGTAGTTGCCTTGTCCTTGTTGCCGGAGTTTCTTTTTTCCTCTGCGTGGCATTATTCGTTTCTTTTGAAAATTGACTTTTTTTTAATAGATTTTGATGGGGTGGGTCTGAACTTCGACTAAGTTTGAGTTCCTCGTCAATTGATTCTGCCTCCTTCAGGTTCTTCATGTGTTGTTGTGCTTCTTGTGAGTTGCTGGTGTTATATGTACGGAATTTGGTTTATTCATTATTCTAACTGGGACTGTTTCGTAGAAGCAGAGCGGGACTTGAAGCAGAAGCAACTGGAAGCAATATCCAAGAGCAAGCAAGTGGAAACAGTGCCCATGGTAAAAAATCAAAACCACATTAGTCTTTGTATTTTGCAGCATTTCTGCTATTGTTTTAGTTCCTTTCTCGACATGTAACCTTACCGGAAGTTATGCATTCTATTTTAGGATTGTAATTCTCGTGAAGCTGATTTTATATTTCTAGCTTAGTTGCTTAGACCTATATTGCACTAACCACTGGAGCATGCTTGGAAACCATTTTGTTGATTTGGAATTTGCCTTCTTCTATCCAGTCCTTGTAATGTAGAATTGTTCATTTTTGCCAGTTCCTTCTCCTGGGAATCACTTGATGCATCTTTAACATTTGGGAAAATATTTGACTCGATTTACTATTTTTCTTTTCACAAGCTTTCCTCGAAGGCTGCTGTATACTCGCAGGGAGAACCTAGCCATATGCATGATCGCCCTAGTAGTTCACTTGGAGGTGCGATTACTGATTTGGAGTCGATGTTGCAGCAGAAAAAATTTACCAGGTTAGTAAACTTTATCTTAGACAACTGGGTATTATAGGTTTCTTTCCATTAACTGCTCTACTGCAGTACGCGTGTCTTTGCTTTCTTCTGAATGTATGTATTAGGTCGCTGGCATTGATGGCTTTAGTAATTGACGGAGGTTGAAGTGTACTTGTATCGAGCTAGATGATAGAACTGATAATTCAGATTTCCTGTGATTACAATGTCTGTGTATGATGTGAAGTAAATGACATTTCAATCAATGCATAAACACTAACAGTTGGTGTTTATTTTCACCAGCACTGATACATGTACAGAAGGCTGGAAGTAACTTTAGGTCTATCTGGATACTGTAATCTATATATTGCAATTTCTATTGATTGAAAATGGGTGGTCTTCGTTAAAAGTACATAATCACTTCTGGATGAATGTGAAATAAGCCCGTATGAATGCATGGGGTTGTGGTTGAATGACGAAAGCATGAAAATAGATGTTTCTGTACTTTTTTGAACGCAGTCAAAGATTTTGGTCTGATTTCCTGACTCCCAAATGTGGATGGTTTATTTATAAAAGTCCCTGTCTTCTTTCATGAAAAGTTAAAACTTAAATAGATTAATTTAGCAATTGTGTGTTATACTTCCATACTGGGTCTTTGTCTTCAAATTATGCCAACCTATCTCCAGGTTCACAGTGTCTTTTTGCTGAGCTTTGGAGTAATATTGATGATTGTTCAGCTAAAATGATGTCAACCTTTCTCTAGAGCCGGGGCCTGTTTTGGTCCAGCATTGCTGGAATGCTGATGATTGTTGATCTTCTGCAGGCACGAGATTGATAGATTGACAGCTCTCTTGCAGTCAAGAGTTGTTGACTTACCTGTGGAAAATGAGAAGTCTGAATTTGTTCCTCCAAATTCATTTCAGTTGCATGACAAGGAGTTTCCTTCTACTCCAGTGAAATATAATGGGACTGGGAACCACCTCATCGCATCCCCTGATGTAAGTTTTAAGTGTGGACGTGTGGTGCTGTGATGCCTTTTTTCTTAATTTAATTGGATAAACTGTTGTTTGGCTGAAGCCTGAAGGTATAGAATGCTTGTGTCAGCAGCATGCATGTCAACCCTCTTTGCTCAGTATAATAGCATATGTTCCACTATTCTAGTATCCATAGAATATTCACAGGATGAGATTTTTGGGGAAATATCTCAGTTTATTGATTATATGTTTTTATTTATTGGCGTGATAGGTTGCAAGTTGGTACATTTATAAGCACAATTTTTTCAGCATGATCTTTCACATTTAATGGATAAAATTTCTTCAGGTTCGTGATCAAGATGTTGCTTCACCTGCAGAGCTTGCAAAAGCTTACATGGGTAGCAGGCCTTCAAAAGTATCTCCATCTATGTTAGGTTTGCCCAGTCAACCATGGAAAGATGATTCAGCTCCACAGGTCAGTAAGATCTCTCGGCCGAACGGGTCAACTACATCAGCTATTTACAAGTCTTCTGGCAAAGCTGGATTGACAGAGAATGGTTTCATGACACCAAGATCTTGGGGCAGATCTGCTGTTTACAGCATGGCAAGAACACCATATTCCAGAACACTGTCAGCTACTCTAATCCAGGTGTGCATTATATGCACTTGCTTAAATGTACCTTATCTGATAACTCAGTCCTATTTTGATAGTTTTGTTCTGCTGATCTTTTAGGGTGCCGGGACTTCATCTGATGCTTTTGGAGGACGAGTGTCTTCATATCAGAGTACATTGGAGAATGGCAGATTTTCTGGGTCCAAACAAGGGGTATAACTGCTAAAGTTAGTTTTATCAAGATATTGTACTTATTCATGATAGTATTATGATTTATCTGTTTGTCACAGACTTTGAAAAGGAGGAGTTCTGTCATGGAGAGCGATATCGGTTCTCCTAGTCCTATACGCAGAATACGTCAGAAGTCGAATCTAATGTCTGCTGGAGCTCTCGCAGTCCGTGGAACTCGTTCAAAATCAGATCCAGAGGAACACCTGGCCCTGACCTCAAAGTCTGTTACCAAGGATGAACCTTCCAAGGAAAATGGCGACTACAGTATTCAGAATCCAGGATTCACCCCCGTCTCTTCTAAATCCAGCGAGATGGCTTCAAAGATACTCCAGCAGCTGGATGTGTTGGTTTCATCAAGGGAAAAATCGCCAGCTAAGTTGTCTCCATCCATGCTACGCGGACAAGCTCTTAGAAGCTTAGAAAAAATAGATTCTTCAAAGTTTTTGGAGACTGTTCAGAACAATACTCAAGACAATGCAAGGAACAGTAGCGTGTTAGATGCTGAACGGTTTAGGCCTGAAAAGGAGGACAGGATTGAACAAAATGGTCAAAGCAAAGTAGACATTGATGGTGGCAAGGCAGTTGCTAGCACAACTGTAGAGAAACCCAACCCCTTTGATGCTGGAGTGGTCAATACAGGAATAAAATTTTCTGGTCAAGCCCCTAAGCTAAAAAAGCCAGGTTTCCGTATGAGTGCGAATGAGGTTCGTTTTTGGCCCTTGAATTCCAGTTGTTGCTACTACTGCTGATCTTTGTACTGTCTATTGCACTTATGTCAACATTCTTCTATGTTTTGTCCTTGCTAATCTTTGCAAGATGAATGAGAAAAATCGTTGATGGTACTCGGAAATGGTGTGTAGGTCGGTTCCATTCTTGTTTGCATCTGCATATGAACTGAATAGTTAGAGGTACATCGTATTGAACATCCTAACAATTTAGTGAACAGTCTAACAGTACTCGTGCTTCATGGTTTTGTTGCAGGATTTCCTGGAGTTTGATGATGATGATGACACTGTTGGGAATACTTCTACGGGCTGCGGGACGGGTCATATGAAGCTCAGTTCTGCTTCTGATGGGAGTAAAGCTGATGAAGCTGCAGTGGTGGATAAGACTCCAGTTCTTTCTGGAGCAAATCCCTTGTCAAGTTCTATACTGAGCAAGAAAGACACTGCAACTCAAAATGGGCCAACAAGTGTAGGAAGTAGCAGTACTTTTGCTTTTGCTGCACCTTTATCCACTGAGGTTGTGAAGCATGCCATCCCAAGTAAATCAGCTGATGTTTCTGATAATGCTGCCATTGGCATATTTAGCTCAGGAGTGAAAACTGCCTCGCGAACTGAAGTGAATGATGCCAGCGAGAAATTCCCACTTTTTTCTTCTGTGCCTTCTTTGACAGTTGCAAACAATGGATTCAGCACGAAATTTGGTGCCTCTTCAGGCTCCCAATTGGAGAGCTCACAGAGGTAATTCATCTGCTTACTGTTAGTTTTGTGGTGAAGGCAGTATGGCATGTCATTTGAAATTGAGTTATATGCAGTTTGTTTGATTGGAGTAGCATGATATGCTGTTTAGGTTTGTGTGATCATTAGGTCATTGAATTCACGGTACTTTTAGGTTTATGACAACTTTTCATCATTGATTTTGATCTACGAGGACGTAGCTATTCATTTGTGTGAAAATTGTTAAGGCAAAATATAAGTTCTCGATTGGATTAATAAAGGACTAAAGGTGCATTCTGCAATGTTGATTCGTCTGCGTCTTCTGGAAGTTGTTGTAGAACCTGGTATGCATGGATGTTTCAGCACCGGCATTCGATGGGGTTTATGACGATTGGTATGCCGATAAAATGAGTTTATTACCTTTTTGGCGGTATCTGAACCTTATATTGGAATTTGCTCTACTCGTCTCATGTGAAAATAGCTCCTGACTTACATGATTTTTTATTTGTCTACTATGTGTGCTCTCATTGATTAGGCCTCTCTTCTCTACCTTGTATGGATCGATTCTGTGGAGAGTGAATGAATGATTACTTTCGCGGCTCGCATTTCTATTGAAGGCATACAATGTGTGATTGATGTATAATCAATTCAAAGTCTAACTCTTGAGTATGTTGTTTCAGATGTTCAAATTTCATTTATCATCTTCAGTTATATCCTAACTTTCAAATTTTGCAGGGTCTTACCTGTAGCTGCTGTAGCAGATCCTTCGGCAAAACAACCTGATGGCAATAAATACGCAGACACAAATAAACCTGTTGTGTCTTTCAAGACGAGTGAAACTCAACCTTCATCTGTCTTGGCTTCGTCATCAGCGGCAGGGATGTTCTCGTTTGGGTCAGGGCTACAAAATGGAACAGTCCCAGGTTCGTCAACTGGTCAAACTCTTTCCGATAGCTCCCTCTTGATCGTTCCTAATGGCAGCACCGGCACAGACATATCTGTGAATGCTGTGAACTCTGGTAGTAGTGGCAATTCAGCGTCAGAGGCAGCCCCAATCTTGGGTTCATCTATTTTCAAATTTGGGTCACATCTCACTTCAAGTTCAGTTTCTTTTGCTAATGCTAGTGGTGACATCAATCGAAGCAAAACAGAGACTAGCTTTGGGAGTCTTGCTGGTGATCCTTTTGCTGATTCTAAGCCTGCTGTTGCAAGTACTCGAAGTGGCCTTTTTGGCATTGCCCCTTCCATAGTTGCCGAGAGCACTACAAGCAGCAGCCCTTCTAATGATATTTCAGCTACCTCTGATAAAAGTACCTTAGTTAGTAGTCCATTTGTAAGTACAAGTGCAAGTACCGGAAGCAACCTTGTTGGTGCTACTGCTGCTTCTGTTACAGTTACCAGCAACAGCCCTCTTGGTGGCTCTACTCCTACAGCTACAAACCCAGGAAGCAGCATTTTCGGTACTGCTGCCAGTTCTAGCACTGGAAATAGCCTCTTCAGTGCAGCAGCTCCCAGTACACCCACCGGAAATAGCCGTTTCAGTTTCAGTGCTAACTCAACTTCGCTAGGCCCTGCTAGTCAGGCCCAAGGTCTGAATAATACAGCCAGCACTAAGGTAGCTGCAACTGGCTTTGCCACATCTACCCAATGTACACCTAGTCAGTTCGGTTCTTCCGTGTCTTCTCCTTTTGGGTTGAGTGCAAATATAGCTCCTGCTACTGCTGATGGTAGTTCAGGTTTTGGTTCATCATCGATACCTAATCCGTTCAGTACTGGAACTTCTTCTGGAGTGCCTTCTTCCGCCCCGTCTTCAGAATCAAATAAGTCTGTTAGCACAAATGCAAGCACATCATCTCCGCTTTTTGGTTCGAGCTGGTCAACAACTCCTGTATTTGGTAGTGTGTCCAGTTCACCAGCTTCATCGAGCGGGTTTGTATTTGGAGCGTCATCTTCGAGTGGTGCTTCTACTGCAGGTGCCACTGCATTTGGATCGTCGGCTAATGCTACATCATCTAGTTCCCCATTCTCTTTCAGTGCGCCAGCAGCAAATCCTCCCCCTTCACAACCTGTGTTTGGTAACCCTACTACAACTCCATCCTTTGCATTTGGCTCAACTCCATCATTTGGCTCAACTCAACCATCCGTTAGCAACGATCAAATGGGAATGGAGGACAGCATGGCGGAAGATACGGTCCAGGCAACCACACCATCTATCCCCTTGTTTGGTCAGCAGACTCTGATACCCCCATCGTCAGGCTTCATATTTGGTTCCGCAGTGTCGCCAACCAGTGGAAATACTCTTTTTGGTTCTACTGCTCCTCCGTCTGCAGGAACCCCCCAGTTTGGTTCTACTGCTGTAGGAACCCCCCAGTTTGGGTCTACTGCGGCAGTAAACCCCCAGTTTGGTTCTACTGCTGCAGTAACCCCGCAGTTTGGTTCTGCAGCCGCATCTCCTTCGATCCCGTTTCAATTTGGTGGGCAACCAACTCCACAAGCTGCTGCTCCATTTCAGGCCAGTAGCAGTCTAGAGTATGCAGGCAGCTTCTCATTAGGGACTGGTGACAAGAGCAACCGGAGAATTGTCAAAGTGAGGAAAAGTTCGCGGAAGAAATGATTGATCTCTGATCACTGTCATTGACGGGCAGGCTCTGGGGGTTGCTCAGTTTCATGGCCTGCAATTACGACAGAGCTCCCCATAATTGTTTTGGCATTGGTGTAATAGTAAAGTAATTATGGTGCCTGGAAGTATAGCTATGAGTCAAGAGTTGCTTCCCTCAAGGAAAGAAGATGGCCGATTCCAGTCGGGTTTCAAATGCAGTCGACCCTATTGAGGGACCTGCGTCGTGTTGCTAGTAACTGTGTGAAAGCAGAAGTTCGAAAAGGAGCGAGGGTGAAAAAGAGGGATGAGTTTGTGACAAATTTTGTGACAATACTTAATAGTTGTCTGTGGTGTAAGCTTTAGGTGAAGTTAGGTAATTTTGGTGCATACCAGGCTCAGCTGGGTCCTGTCATCAAGTGTACTTTCTTCGAGATGTAACGTAAGACGATTTGTTCCATAAAAGAAGCGCTTGTTGTTGCCGGTTTACCTGCTGGAAGTTCAGTTGTCAGTGATCCTTCTGTGCTGTGCCAAGTGAATTCTTTGGTCTGTTGGAACGAATTCAGGTTAAAGTTGAAAAATAAGTGTGATTAGATTTCAGGTTTTAGTGGGTAAAGGCATTAGATTCTGAGAGATCACATCTTAATATCTTACTGTTTTGAGTTTGGTGTAGGGTTTATGGTTGGGATTAGAGTGTAGAGGACTCGGGGTTTAAGGTTTAACTGTTTGCTTTAGAGCTTTGTTGGATATTGTTGACTTCAGACCGGCCTGGCTACCCTTCAATTAGGGTTAATTGTAAAACTAGGGGTTGACAACGATCTGGTCCACATCGGATTCAATAGTATTTAATATATATTTTGGATAGAATGTATTTGGATGCGTTTTTTAATTTTGATCCTATAAATTATCTAGGTACGAAAAAAAGTAGATCGAAATTAAATTTGGAACAAACCAAATTAAACTAAATAAATCAAACTAAATAAATCAAACATGCTTTTAATCATTTCCAATCTCAATTCTTTATGGTTATGAGCTGAACCGATCGATGCCTATCCCTAATTTTTTTTTAATTTCTGAGTGATATCAATAGAGGAAAATGGTTAAACTTACAATTCTACCCAGGACCCCTAAAAGACTCTAAAGAACCACCCAAAAAATTAAAAGATTCTAACTCTAAACGAGACAAAAGCAGTGCTTTACGCGCCACTCTATGGGCAGCACTGTTGGCGGATCTAGGTACCGTCCTAAACTCTATACAAACAGACAAAGAGCTAAGGATATGATGACACTCTCGTAACACCGGACCGCCAATCGAGTCTTCTATGACGCCTTGACGAACTTGTTTGACGACTACTTCGGAATCACTTTCGATTATCACGCGGATCAAGGATCCGAATTACCCCATAATTTTATAAATGTAAAAAAATTGAAAAAACTAGAAGTGATTGATCCAATCAAATCTTGTGGTTGACTGACCGACCGGTTTAACAGAAGAAAAAACTTAACCGATTATTATTTGTTGCAGTGATCGACTTGTAATTACCCAATTCGGGAAGAAGACTGTTTCTGAGAGAGGAGATATGTCTGGAATATGGAGGAGGCTGTCGAGAGGCTGTAGAGCTGCGCAGCCATGGCGCACCATCACCTCCCGCTCGTCCTCTTCCTCAGCCAATATCTCGGCTGCCGTCGATTCCATGTTGCTCCGCTCCATCAAGGAGCACTACCTCGACGTCTCCAAGATGAACCCTCCGCCGGTAAAACCTAATCTTAGCGTCATTTATTTCCCATTTTCTTCAGTAACATCTCAACGAACGAACGGACGAGGGTTTTGATTTCCTATAACTTGAGTTGGTTTTTGTTGTCGTCGTCTCAGAAAGTGAGCCCTCCTTCGGGCTTCACAGTGCTGAAAGGGGCGCTGGATGGGAGTAACGGCGCAGTCCTCAGTCGGAGTTACGGCAACGAAGAAATCAATATATCTGTAATGAGGTTGTCCAACATAGTCCCTGGAGGCGGCGGTGGGGCGGACGAAGAAGAGGATGATATCAACCAATTGTTTCTTCATGTGGATGTCTCCAAACCTGACCAGCATAAGTCGCTAAATTTCCTCTGCGGGCTGTATCCAGATGCTCTTGGTATTCACTCTGTTTCACTAAGGCCCAAGCTTGAAGCATCTGGCTTTTTTGAGCTTCCATCCACTTACAATGGCCCTGTTTTTGGGTGAGTTCTCCTCTCTGTATCTATGTGGTTTGCATCTTATGCTTGAGCTGGTTTGATTGGTATAGAGGAGGAACTTGTTGCGAGTAGGAACGAACACCCGGGGATGGGAATGTGGTTGACAACCATAAGAGTGTTGGCTTGATTGTTCTGCAGCTTCCTCCAAAATGCTAAATTGGTTGGTCTTATTAGTGTGTGAGTGAGGTTTATGTGGAAATGCATGGAGTTCTATTCTATGCACTGGGTCTGGAAGCATCTCGAAGCAAGTTTTCTGGGTTCGTAATTAACTTTGAGCGTTATATTTAGATTGTTGTTGTTTCTGGAGACTGACCATGGTAATAGAGTTAGATCATCATCATTCATGTGGTCTGGTGCTGGATCTGTTGAGGCTTTTCATTTTCATTGTGGTCCGTTGTGGTGATCCTAAACCAATATCTAATGATTGCAAATTTGCTTCTAGTACAAGTTCTCCAACTTTCTTTATCATCATCACGGAGGTTGGGTTCTCGATCCTTGTCGAATTAATTATCTTTTCAACTGTTTGCAGGGACCTGGATGAGAGGATGAGAGATGCATTCCATGCCTACATCGACGAGCGAGGGGTGAACGAAGATCTATTTGCTTTTCTTCAAGCCTGGTTGTATGTGAAGGATCACAGGAATCTGCTGCGCTGGTTCAAAACAGTGGGTTCACACATTAATGAAAAATCGGTTGCAGAAGATGCATAGATATGGAATTAGCATGTAGCAGGTTTAGTTAAAACATAAATGAGTGAGTGGTTTATGTACTGTTTACTGCTTCCAGATTGTCTCTTTTTGTAAACTGCTCCTATTGTATACGACAGAGATTGTCCTTCTAGTAGGCCTATCATCAGAACTGGTGTTTCAACTCAAGATTCTGCTCTGATCTTCTACACAAGTTCAACTGAGATGCTGCTTAATTTCAGAACACGAATTGGTCGAATACTGTACCCATGACTGTGGAAAAAATGGTCGTATACTGAAGCGACAGATTAATGTGAGGTTCATCCAGAGTTCAGTAATACACATTTTAGAAATTCTGTAAATTGCATCCATCTACCCAGACTATTTTCTTTTTGTCAAACAAACCTCAAAATTGAAGACTACCAAGTAATCTTGTGATTTTGTCTATGAGGCAGTCTTCAATTTTGTTTATGAGGCATGAAGAGACTAATGGGTTAGACTTTAGAGTAAAGTGCAACATTTTTCATGGAAATAATGTAAACTTAGACAACCAACAATGCCAACAACTAGTTTAATTAGATTAGGTAAGATGTTAGGCGAATATCCAACGATCCGCCAAAACAAGTATTCTTGTTCCAATAGTTAACGCTATAATACGATTTAATGAACTTGTTGAAGAACTTTTATTGTGTTATTACCATTGTGATGTTAATTTCCCAGAATCAACCAAGACTTTTAAACTCATATCAAATAATAGGTTAAATATTACAATGTACATGTCTTCTAGACGAGCAGACTAGTCATTATTATATTTTTCTGGTCAATCAAAGTAGTTAACTTACTTTATTGAAAGCGTTGTACATTCTTTATTCAAAATCAACGGATGAATAAGCAAGCAGTCTATAAGTATCCACAGAACAGTTGCAGAAACGTGTATAGGCAGAGAGAGAGAGAGAGAGAGAGTGGGTGCGAGAGATCATGATAAGAGAAATTGCAGCAGTGGTTTTGATCGTGCTACTCTCATGGGCTTACAACTCCACCTACCCTCCACCACCCAAGATTTGTGGGAGAGACCCAGATGGCCCTCCAGTCACAGCTCCAAGGATTAAGCTCAGAGATGGAAGGCATTTGGCTTACAAAACCCATGGCGTCCCCCAATCCAGTGCCAAGTTCAACCTCATAACCCTCCATGGCACTTCCTCTTCCCTGCACGACATTCCTGGTTCCCCAGTAAGACCCTTTTCTTCATTTCCTCTGAAACCCCCAAGATTTTTCGCTATTATGTATGCAGATAATAAGCAACAACTGAAACTTTTTGATTCGTAGCAAGTATGGGAGGAGCTCGGGCTGCATATGGTTTCCTTTGACAGGCCCGGTTACGGAGAGAGCGATCCGGACCCTAAGCGGACACCCAAGAGCTTGGCTATGGATGTGGAGGAGCTCGCTGATCAGTTGGAACTTGGCTCCAAGTTCTATTTGATTGGCTTTTCCATGGGCGGTCAGGCTGTTTGGGGCTGCCTCAAATACATTCCTCACAGGTAGGTGCCTATTGGTTGACTTTTGGCTCTGAACAGAACTGAATCGACTGAATCAATAGCAGAGGGGAAGATCAATGGGTAGCTTAGCTTTTTCCCCGTTTTGGAATGGTGGGTTTGGATTAATTCTTCTTCTTTTGGTCTGTTTGGGTGTTAAAAACACTAACAGGTTAGCAGGTGTGGCAATGGTTGCACCGGTTGTGAACTACTGGTGGCCAGGCTTCCCAGCCAACCTATCTAAGCAAGCTTACAACCTCCAGCTCCCTGAAGATCAATGGGCGTTACGAGTTACTCACCATACTCGATGTCTCACCTACTGGTGGAACTCTCAGAAATGGTTTCCTGGATCAGCTGTTCTAGCTGGGAATCCTCGAGTTCTTTCTCCCCAGGACTTGAAAATAGCATCCATGGCTTGGGAAGATGTAACTAAACTCAGGGTACTTGTTGAAACACCCCTCTCCATCCTTTTAACACTACACTTGCTACTGGTGAACACTCACTGCTGATCACCATGGAAGACATTCATCCGTTCTTGAGTTGAGCTGATAATTTTGTTTGTTTTTCTGCAGGGATATGCAACTCAGCAAGGCAAATTTGAATCGTTACACAGGGACCTGATGGTTGGATTCGGGAGCTGGGAGTTCGACCCCATGGATTTGGAGAATCCATTTCCAGAGAGTGGTGGTCTTGAAGGAGGAGGGTCTGTCCATGTTTGGCAGGGTGACGAGGATGGAATGGTTCCGGTGCTGTTGCAGCGTTACATCGCGACTAGACTTCCATGGATCCAATATCATGAGGTGCCTGGTGCTGGCCACTTGTTCCCCTATCTGCCTAGCTATGCCGATGCTATTTTAAGGTCTCTGTTACTTGGGAAGAACAATTGAAGCCCTGTTTGCTGCCTCTTCTTTTCGTTGTTTCTGTTCCAATTGGGAACAAAACAAGCAACATTCTTTCTTCACTTTGTATGGAATGTTTCTGTTACAGTCGCATACTCTTTATTAGGTGTTATTCCAACTAATTTTCGTCTTTGGCTGCTGCCACAATTATTACAGACTGTTATTTTGATCAAATATATATGGCTCCAGAAGCCAGAGAAATCCCATTAGCTCAACATGAGACTACATTAACAGCTTGCTGCTACCTAAAACATGGTGGTGGTAATGAAAGAACAAGCTATGACCACTGGACTGCAAGCTGCACCAATCGTCAACTAACAGTCACAGTGTCTTGGTGGCTTCTGTTTAGTAAGCTGCAAAAAGAAAACTGCTCGACTCCAGAGTTGGCTGTCGTTTCGAGATGCTAATGCCCGCTACAGGGTTGTCGCTACTGTTGGTAGTGGTTGTTAACCTGGACGCATTGCAGCTCAGCATGGATTCTACATTCTGGAAACACCATCATCATTTTCATATTCAACCACGCCCTTCTTTATTTGTCTCTGCAGCACAAATATCATGTTATTGCTTATAGTTGATTCTGAGCATAACAAAAAAACCAACACAAGCTCGTTCAAAGCAGTACTTGGATCCAACGCTCTTCAAATCATGCATCATATCCGAGTAAAGGCATGTAGCAACTACCGTTTCCAATGTGGCCACTACCCTGTGAACGATAATTAGAAAAATAGTTAGTTGGATTGATGCTCGCCTTTTGATGAGATGTCAGAGCTACGAACGCTAAGTAAGCCTTTTGAATTTTGATGCATCAAACACATGAAATCATCTGCAAGTGCCAGTTTGAAAGTTAGAAAGTTTGCAAAAAGCAAAAGCATATAATAAGTGCTGTGGACTTAGAATTAGCACCAGGCAGTCTGAATTCCTACCACGGATTGGTCATCAACTTTGTACTAGACCAGAATCACTGATATTCTGCTCAAATAATGCAAGCAAGAAGCATTCCCATGGACTAGAATGGGCACGCCAAATCTCCTGCTCATGATTTGCTTAAAGGATCAAACACCAAGAGTAACCAAGGAACTGCAAGTATTCATCTTGTGATCTCTGTAAAACGAAATTAATAGGGTAAACACTACTTTAAAAAATTAGTCAAGAAAACAAAAAACAAAAAACAAAAAAAAAAATCAACCAGACTAGCAAGTCCTACCTGTACATGATGAGCTTGAAGGGATTTCGAATGGACAAGTCCTCTGACTTGTCCACCTCGTTCACTTCTCTGATTGTGCAATTCAACATTACTATAATAATCAGAGTCTATCAATGTTGAACTAAAAAGGGGAAAACAACCAAATTAAAGAGATAAGTCAGCTAGGAAGAATGTAAATACTTTTAAATTGAATTAACATTCAGAAAGCAGTTTCAGGCAGAGAGGACTCACTGCCCATCATTTCAGCAATGCATCCTTGTAAGAGAACAGGAGAAGAAAAAAAGCATACCGAGATACATAATAATTTATACTCTAAGCTTTCTGACAGACGGTCAAGCTGATAAGCTTCATTAATTGGCTACTTAATGCTAGAGCAACAGAGACAGAGTGATGCAATTCATGATTAAGGTCGTTAGCGTCAACAATTAATAGTTCACATTTTTAAATCCACAAGCAGATCATAATTGGAGATCTAAAATAAATATTTATGTTGTTACCTTGGTTTACCAGATTGACTGACAATTCATGTTCAGCCGTTGTTCTATTATCCTACACAATTTCATTGTCTAATTTAACAACCAAAATTTAAAATCGTTTGAGCGTCTTCCTTCTCAATGTTGCTCAAAGTATAAAAGAAAATACATAAAAACCTAGAACAAATTTACCTCATTAAAGAAGGGGAGAGCTCTTGTGCAAGCGATAATCCTGAAGTGATGACGATAACAAACAAACATTAGACTGTATTAGCTGAAAGACACAAGTTTTGAGCAATAAAACTTGATGTTGACACAAATAGCAATTAAACCTGTTAGCTGCTCTTAGTTAAAGCAAGTCGCTTTCCCTTGAAGCCGAACGTTAATCTGCAAGGTGAGAATGGCCACAAGGAACTGTTCAACTGCATCTTCCGCTCGTTGAAAGCCTCCCATACTTCATCCTAGCTCGAAGCAACTACTCACGGGACCGACATTTCAAGTCTTTTAAGATACCATGATTCCACGCAGACTTGAAAATGTTATCAGGCCGTAATTGACTATCTAACATTTTGTCACGAAGAACTGTAGCACCAGCTACATCTCCAACATAAAAGTATCCACATAAAAGAGCCGTGTATGTCACAGTGTCAGGCTGCATCCCTCTATCAATCATCTCTTGGAAAAGTTTTACAGCATCCTTGAACTTATTTGCTTTGCAGCGCTCGTCTATCAAAACAGTATAAGTAACAACATCAGGCTTTATATCCATTCCCTTTAGTTCATTCAAAAGTAGAGAATGTTCCGCATTATTGCTGCTGATTCCTATAGCCCTCCTCCTGGACCTTATTTTCAAGGCCCCATCAAGCAAAACTGTGTAAGTGATAACATCTGGTTCAAGCCCTTTACTCTTCATATCATACAGAAGATTACAGGCCTCTCTCTCGCAATTGACCCTGCAATAACCATTTATCATCATTGTGTATGTCATCATATCCACACTTAGCCCTCTGCCGACAAGAAGGTCAAACACATATTGGGCCTTTTCCATTTCTCCAGCACGAGAAAGCATGCCTATAGCTTTGCTGCATATGATATTAGAATATTCAGCACCTAGAGCTAACACTGTCTCAACTAGCTGAATAGATTTCTCAATATCATATTCCATACTGGAAAGCAGTTTCAAGCAAGAACGTTTCTTCAGTGTATATCCTTTTTCAGTCAGAGAAATAAATAAGTCAAAGGCCTTTTCTATGCTTCGTGCCGAGCAGTAACCATTAACCATGGCATTAAAGATGTCCAAGTTCTGGTCTTTCAAGTTAGAAAAAAAAGCTTCAGCATCCTCCTCCAGTGCATAGCCCTTCAATGATGACACTGAATGTGTCATTGTTAGGGTCAATACCATGGTCCTTCATGTACAGTAACAAATTGCTGACTTCTAGTGTCAGACCTAATCTGGAGAAACCAGAAGCGAGTACATTATAAGTGACAATATCAGGGATAATCCCATTTTCTTTCATTTCTTGGAATACGTTTAGGGCCTCGTAAGGTTTTCCTTCATCAAAATAACCACCAACTACAGTTGTATAGTTAACAACATCAGGAACAATGCGCTTATTTTTCATCTCGGCAAGCAATTCAACTACCGCATTCATGTTCCCTAACTTGCAGCAGACATTCATCACTATATTGTAGCAAACCTTATCAAGGTAGATACCCATCCTCTTACATGTCTCGAACAAATTTAGAAGGTTAGAACCCTTGCCTACTTGAGACCAGCCCTGAAGAATCGAGCTGACTATCACGCAATTTGTTTTCACACCTTCTGACAACATGTCGTCATGAAGAGCTACAGCATCAAGTAAATTCCCATCACTGCATAACCCACAAATCAAAGCACCATAAGCATACACATCAGGAACAAAGCCCTGCCTTTTCATCTCACCTAGTACATCCGAAGCCTCTTTAAGTTTCATCTGATTACAAAACCCTCGAATCACAACTGTATAAGCAAACTCATCTACTGGAAGCTTAGCTCCTATTAGAAGTTGAAGTGCTTTATAACCTGAATCCGGGCCGTTATGAGCACACAACCCTTCAATATAAGTTGAGTAGGCAAACGCATTCGGAGTCATCCCAAGATCTTCCATTGTCTGGAAAATAGACAATGCCTGGTCCAAGCAACCTTTCCTACAGAATGCTTTAACAACAATGGAGCAAGTATACTCATTAGGTTGTAATCCAAAACAATCCAACTGCATATAAATAGCCACAGCAGCATCAATCTCCCTAGACTCAATCAAGCTGTTCATGAGAAAATTACACGTTAAAATGCTCGGCTTAACCCCTAACTGCTGAACTCTGACAAGAACATCGATCGCCTCATCAAACATTTCATCTACTGCATGAATTTTTACCAATGCATCGGAAACTTTCGAAATGATCTTCGTACAATCAACATCACAACCATCAAATAAAGCTTCCAGCAAATCCGAAACAGAGAATTCCCGCACCGTCTCCTTGTTGATGAGTTCAGAAAGCATAGAATTCAATTTCCTGTCCAAGTTCCAGAAACACAATATCCTAATCATAGCAGCAGAAGTGTAGACATCATGAACAAAACCGCCTCGTTTCAGTTGGTGGAAGAAAGAAAGTGCAAGGAAAGGCTCCTTCCTCAAATCATGCAAATGATGGAGAACTCGACCACAATCCAGCTGCCCCGAACTGCTCCGATCATCCTTTTGTTGATGGGTATCAACTCTTGTTGGCTCCTCTGACCAGGTTGGAATCCGCCGGGAAAGCGCAGGAGCAGCGTAGCAGTAGCAGTAGCATCGCCTCAGCCTCACTTGTTTGAGGAAAGTGTATGACAGTGAAAACTTAGCCGGCGATAGCCACATGGAACGCTACGACCTTTCTAGTGTCTCAAGCATTCAACCTCGGAGCATCTTTCAGCGGCGGCGGCCGGAGAAACTCAGCGGCGAGAGAGAGAGAAGGCAAGCTGAAACGGAAATGTACATCGTTCAACCCTAATGTTTTGAAATTTGCTTAACATTTTAATTCTTTTAGCCGCTAAACGACATCGTTTGACATCATGTACTTAGTTTTTTTTTTTTCCTTTTCCTTTTCGTTTTTATTTTTTCCTTCTCCGAAGGAGAGGCTGTGCCTGCTGTGTGTGTAGGTATTGTAAATCCGTAGGCCAAAGCAGCGATTGAAACACTCGCAGGGTTTCAGCAACTCGCCCGAGCGGGAAAATATTGCCGGAAGTTAGGGTTTTCGCCACTCGGCATTGGTCGGATTCGATTTGGACATCCTCCGATTCGGTTGCTCTGCTTACTTTCTTCTTCGAGCTTCGTGTAGGTTTCAGCAACAACACCGTGCGTCAAGATGAGGATTATGATAAAGGGAGGTGTTTGGAAAAACACCGAGGATGAGATCCTCAAGGCGGCGGTTATGAAGTATGGGAAGAATCAGTGGGCTCGTATCTCTTCGCTTCTCGTTCGGAAATCTGCCAAGCAGTGTAAGGCTCGCTGGTATGAGTGGCTGGACCCGTCGATCAAAAAGGTAACGCCCTTCTCCACTTCTCGTCTTCTTTCCCTGTTGCAGTTGGGCTGGAATATTGAGATTTTTTATGGGTGATAGTTTAAAACAGATAGGAACTCGGGTACTGATGATATTGTTAGATGCCTTACGTTACTACATAGCTCTGAGTGTGACGCGAATTTGTGAAAATTGCTGTGTGTGAGGCTGATGCTAACTTGATTTGGTTATTGCAGACTGAGTGGACTAGAGAAGAGGATGAGAAACTGCTCCATCTTGCTAAGCTCATGCCCACTCAATGGAGAACAATTGCACCCATTGTGGGCCGTACTCCATCCCAGTGTCTTGAAAGATATGAGAAGCTCCTTGATGCTGCCTGTGTTAAGGATGATAACTATGAGCCTAATGATGACCCTCGAAAGCTGCGCCCGGGGGAAATTGACCCGAATCCTGAATCTAAGCCAGCACGTCCTGACCCTGTTGATATGGATGAGGATGAGAAGGAAATGCTTTCTGAAGCAAGGGCTCGGTTAGCCAACACAAGGGGAAAGAAGGCCAAAAGGAAGGCTAGAGAGAAGCAGCTTGAAGAGGCTAGGAGGCTTGCTTCCTTGCAGAAAAGAAGGGAACTTAAAGCTGCTGGTATTGATATTAGGCAAAGAAGGAGAAAAAGGAAGGGGATTGACTATAATGCTGAAATTCCTTTTGAGAAGAGGCCTCCTCCTGGCTTCTATGATGTTGCTGATGAAGATACTGCAGTGGAACAACCAATGTTCCCTACTACCATCGAAGAACTTGAAGGGAAACGAAGGGTTGATGTGGAAGCACAGTTGAGAAAGCAGGACATAGCAAAGAACAAAATTGCTCAGAGGCAGGATGCTCCAGCTGCCATCCTGCAAGCTAACAAGCTAAATGATCCTGAATCAGTTAGGAGGAGATCAAAGTTGATGCTACCTGCGCCTCAGATTTCTGATCATGAATTGGAGGAAATTGCAAAAATGGGCTATGCTAGTGATCTCATTGCTGAGAGTGAGGAACTAGCAGCGGGGAGTGGTGCAACACGTGCACTTCTTGCGAACTATTCCCAGACACCTCATCAAGGAATGACGCCGTTACGCACCCCGCAGAGAACTCCTGCGGGTAAAGGGGATGCCATCATGATGGAGGCAGAAAACCTTGCTCGGTTGAGAGAGTCACAGACCCCATTATTGGGTGGAGATAACCCTGAGTTGCATCCCTCAGATTTCTCTGGGGTGACTCCTAAGAAACGGGAAATTCAAACTCCAAATCCTTTATTGACTCCTTCTATGACCCCCTCAATGACTCCTTCGATGACTCCAGGAAGAGCTAGTGTTACTCCTAGAGTTGGCATGACACCTTCACGTGATGGATACGCTTTTGGTATGACTCCAAAGGGGACACCCATTAGGGATGAACTACATATAAACGAAGACATTGATATGCCTGATAGTGCTAAGCTTGAGAGGAGAAAGCAAGCTGATCTGAGGGAGAATTTGCGAGCTGGTCTTAGTAATTTGCCACAGCCCAGGAACGAATACCAGATTGTTGTACAACCGCCTCCAGAAGAGTTTGAGGAACCAGAAGAGAAGATTGAAGAGGATATGTCTGATAGGATGGCCAGAGAAAAGGCTGAGGAGGAAGCACAGCTGCAGGCATTGCTTCGGAAGAGATCAAAGGTACTGCAGAGGGAGCTCCCAAGGCCCCCTGCTGCTTCTTTGGAATTGATTAGAAGTTCTCTGCTGAGAGCTGATGGAGACAAGAGTTCGTTTGTTCCTCCGACGGTGATTGAACAAGCTGATGAGCTGATAAGAAAAGAGCTTTTGAAATTATTGGAGCATGACAATGCAAAGTACCCACTTGATGAGAAACCAAATAAGGAGAAAAAGAAAGGTACCAAGCGTTCAGCAAATGGACCCGCTACACCTATCCCTGTCATAGAGGATTTTGAGGAAGATGAGCTAACAGAGGTACGCATTTCATTTTGTATACATGAATAGTTGGTCTTTGTATTACCAATCCTGTGACTAGGGTTGGTAGATGTACTTATTTGTTTCTGCTGGTAACTTTTCTACACCGAGATCGGTGATTGTATGGTGATATTCACTGTTGTGTATAATTTTTTTTTTTTACCTTTTTCTGGCGGTATAGACACTTATGTAGAGGGAGCGAAAAATTTAATGCTTCATATTGCAATGCTTCATATCATGCTACTGCATTCTGTATTTATGTAGTGCATTCATCCCTCCATCAAACCCAGTGTGTGACTAATTGGGTTTCATGTAGGTGTTTTGACTGGATTTCTTGAGTAACATGTTTGATGATCATGCTATTGCAGGCTGACACTTTGATAAGAGAAGAGTCTCAGCATGTACGTGTTGCAATGGGGCATGAGGGCGAGTCTCTTGAAGAATTTGTTGAAGCACACAAGACTTGCCTGAATGATTTGATGTACTTTCCTACTCGGAGTGCTTATGGTCTTTCTAGTGTCGCTGGTAATATGGAGAAATTGGCTGCCTTGCAGTTTGAATTTGAGAATGTCAAGACAAGGTTGGAGGCTGAAAGGGAGAAGGCATTACGCCATGAAAAGAAAGTGAATGTTCTGACGCAAGGTTATCAGGTATGAGGCATTCAGACCTTATTGCTTCCAGCAGTGTTCATCTTTTGATCTGCACTGGAAAACACCATTTTATCTCTTCCTTGTTGTTGGTTGCCTGTCTTTCCTACTGCTTACCTGGTTCAACAGTTATGATGGTTTTCTGATATCATGCTGGCTTGCTGATGTGGTTTTGCTTTACTTAAAATGTACCTGTGGTTTTGTTGCACAACATGCACTTATTTGTGTTGAGAACTTTGTGTATGCTTTGACCAAGTTCTAGACGACTTGGAGAAATAAGAAAATAGAGGAAGAAGAACTTTGCCTTTTAGACTACTGTTCCGTCATTAACAATGTTTCCCCCTTCGGTAACTGCTCGAAGTTTACAGGTAGCACATGATTCTGTTTGTGAATATCCATGTCTTCCTTTCTCTTGTACTTGGTTGTTCGCATATTGCCTTAAGCCTGATAAACTGCTTGTCACCCATTGTTTGTTTTATATCTGGGCATGGATGACTGGCAATCATATTGGGTTTTGTTGCGTGTGTTTGGTGCAATCAAATTGAGATTCTGCAGTTCTACTCTTGTTTGTGCACTAAAAATGTTTGGTATTTTTCAATGATCAGATACGTGCTGAAAGGCAGCTTATGCCACCAATCGAGTCAATCTTAAAGCAAATAGACACTGCTGGAACGGAATTGGAATGTTTCCAAGCATTACAAAAGCAAGAGCAGTTAGCTGCATCACACAGGATTAATAGTCTGTGGGAGGAGGTACAGAAGCAAAAAGAACTGGAAAAAATTCTTCAAAGGCAGTATGGAGATCTTGTCACTGAGTTGGAGAGGATGCAGCTGCTTGTCAAACATTACAGAGAACAAGCCAAACAAGAAGAGATTGCTGCCAAGGAACGTTCGATTGAATTGTCTGCTACTGTTCAAGATGATGCCATGGTAGATGCCGAGACCTCCGAGCAGCCAATGTCAACAAATGGTGCTGTGCCCGTCAGTTCTCTATCTCACAATGAAGTTGCACCACATCCAGAGACTGATCAAGCTGGAGAACATGTCACCACAGATGCAGAACTAGTTGCCAGCACCGGGGTTGATGATGGTGCAGTGAGGTCTGAGGATGATGTAAAGCAGGGTTCAATTTCTGCAGACCAACAAACGGTCCTCTTGGCCGAAACAAATCCAGGTAGTGGCGACAATGCTGATGCCATTGGGCATGTGGTCCAAGGCCAAGTCCCGAGTGCCGAAATTGATGAACACAAGGCAGAAAGGGATGAAAATGTTGCAAAGGCGGATGTGGAGGATGTTACCATGTCTGAACAAGCAGCGACGAGGACGGAGGAAGAAAGAGAGTCCACGGATACTATTGAGAAGGAAGAGTGAAGCTTGAAATTGCATCAGACTGGCATCCTTGTTTCTTCACTAGTGAAAACAATCATATGAGATTGGAACTGTAGAACCTCAAAGAGTGACTCCTTGAGGATCTGGGCACCAATTGTGATGGAACTTTGTTCTGTTTTGGATACCCTACATTGCATGAGAACAGATGGACGAGCAAAAGATGGTGTGGTGAGATAGCTGTTTTGGTTAGTTGATGAACTTAGCTACTTGTTTGGGAAGCTCTCCAAAGGTGCATAGAGACAACAATGCGTTTGTCCCTATTTCTCCACGAGTTTGAAAGACCTTGTTAGCACTCTTGTGATATAAACGGATTGAGAACATATTGTGCCCTAGGCCTTGTTTGGGCGGCGCACTCACGCATCAGACTTGTTTATTTGATAGACTAATAGTTCCGTTTTAAAATTTGCTCGGTCTGGCCAGGAATCAAATGCGATTTAAATAGTGTCGTGTCTATTCCTGCTTGTATAGACTATAGTGCTCATTTCGTGATTGATGAAAAGAAGAAAATAAAGTGGGATTGAAAAATACTGAAAAAATTGGACGAAAATGCTTCAGAAAAGTAACACATAAGGAGAAGAAGAAAATTGAAAGTATATCGAAAGTGATTAAGCCTCCACGTATATTTTTAAATCTTAGCCAGTTTTACTTATTGTACTAATTACTTATAATATTTTCCTGATCACTTTTAACAACAAAAATTCATTATGTGTGGAGTTATAATTTGTAATTTTTGAACTCATAGTTCTATTTATATTTATTTTTTATAGATGAAGTATTTTTTGGCCATGTCATGCTTATACTCAATGGGATCGCAAAAATATTAGGTCCGACAATACCTGCTTATAAACAGTGTCATGCATGTACTTGTGTTTGTACTCTCATTTTTTTTTTACGCTGGATGGTCGTTTCGTTAATAACGAAACAAGACGTGCAGAGTTTACAACACTGAAATGACGAAAAAACCAACAAAAATAGGGTTGAAACAAAAAAAGGCGACCAAATCATCGCCAATCCGAGCCCTCGACTGGATCTAACCTCAACATAGCCATCCTTGTCCACAAGCCCCCTAAATTTTCATCCAATACAACCAGGGTCCAAGCATCACCGAATCATCCCCATTTATAAATGAGCATGTGGAGCTAGATGGAGGACGAGACGGGGAGCAAGCGAGACGAACTCGGGCCCCTCAAACACTTCTAGAAAGAAACATCCACACATATTTGGATGAGGAGGGGCGCAAAAGCATCTCCTCGAGGAGATCAGAAAGAACCTCATCACAAAGAGGGAGGAAGAGCTTAAAGGGAAAGACAATAGCAGGGGGAGAGGAAAAGGAAAGTAAAAAGAGAGGTTAAGGGCTACCGCCGGTTCCAAAGTGGAGGCTAACGGCAGCCCATCATAGGTCTGGGTTTGAAATCAAATGTTAAGAGAGAAAATGGGAAAGGTAGAGAGAGTGATAGCCTATTTGTGTTTGTACTCGTGAAGTTTAGGTCATACAAAACATATGAAGTATTTATTCTCTTTTCAGGCTAGCCGATATACTACGTGCCCATTCTCATGCATTCCCTAATCATAACGTGTCGTGCTAATTCATATACGGGTCGATCAGGTGCTCATGTACAATTGAGAAACATAAAACATCAATTGCACTATCCATTAAAATGTAGCATTTCATAATATAATCTTAAATGGATTACGATTGTATAATATTTTATAATCTCATATTCTTTTAATCACATGGTATTTTCTTCGTTTTATATACATTATCAATATATAAAATGTATCATTAGGTTTTCAATTCATAATTAAATATCTTAATTAATTATATTCTTTTAATCACGTGGTATCTTCTTCGTTTTATATACATTATCAATATATAAAATGTATCAGTAGATTCTCAATTCATAATTAAATATCTTAATTAATTTAAACATGTTTCTCAATTCACTCCTTATCGACAAACAAGAATGACCATTCGCGTGAGTATATCCATCCAATTAAAAGCCAACCACCATATGTTTAGGTGGTCATTTCTACTTAACCTATTAAACTTGAATGAACGATGGATGCCTCATTCATTTACCAAAGAAACCACCCAATATAATGTCATTGATTTACATTATGCAATCACAGATTTGTCATTTTTACCCAAAATATCAAGTGGGATTGATCTATGGCTTATACAAAGTTTGTTGCTTGCAAATGAGATGTTTTTGCATTAAATTATGTTTAATGATTAGTTGGAATTCAAAAGTAGGTTTATTGCTCCAAGAATTATGTTTGAACAAGTTTGGACGACCTAATTAGAATCTAACCATACACTAGAAAAGAACATAACGGATTTGTTAAGCAAATTGGTCGAACTTTGATGATCCATATATAAAACAAACATTGTTTAGGGACTGCAGAATGAACACCATAACTTGAGGGACCATGCGGGATATAAACTCTTGCATTTACTGACGCATTAATTATTATTTTAATTATATTCCACCATAAAGTGTAAAGCTCTTCTTCATCTTCCTTCCAGTCCACAGTCTCTCTCACAGTGATGCTGCCATTCTCCGCTCCCCTTTTTCTTCTTCAACCCTCATCTCCACCACATCCACCGTCTTCCCTCCGCCGCCGTCTCTCCATCTCCAATTCGTAGCATTTTCCTTCCTCTTCGCCGGAAGTTATGTCGTCTTCTTCTCCAACCGTCTACTCCATCTCCCTTCTACTATCCCTCGCACTCATCTTCATCTTCGCTCCCGAAATCCTCCCTTCCCAAAACCCTTTCTCCTCCCCTCACGACGATCTTGACGATCTCGCCCTCTTCAATAAAGCCCTCCGCTCTGTCCACGGCGACGGCCGCGGCGGCCACCGCCGCCTCCGAATCTCCCGCCTCGCCACCAAAAACCCCACCCCCAAGATCGCCTTCCTCTTCCTCACGAACTCCAACCTCACCTTCGCCCCTCTCTGGGACCTCTTCTTCCGCGGCCACTCCCACCTCTACAACATCTACGTCCACGCCGATCCCTTCTCCGCCGTTGAAATCCCGTCCCCCTTCGAATCGCACCTCATACCCAGCAAGAGGACCGAGAGGGCGTCCCCTACCTTAATCGCCGCCGAGCGGCGGCTCCTCGCCCGGGCCATTCTCGACGACCCGTTCAACCTCTATTTCGCCCTCGTCTCCCAGCACTGCATCCCTATCCACTCTTTCCCCTTCTTCTACCGCTCGCTTCTAGGGGATAACCCGATTAGGGCTTTCGGCTCCCAGCCCCGTCACCGGAGCTTCATCGAGATCCTCTCCGACGACCCCAATCTCCCCGAGCGGTACGCCGCCCGTGGGGAGAACGCGATGATGCCGGAAGTGCCCTTCGACGAGTTCCGGGTCGGGTCGCAGTTCTTCGTGCTCGCCAAGCGCCACGCGCTGCTTGTGCTGTCTGACAGGAAGCTGTGGAGGAAGTTCCGGCTCCAGTGCCTGAACCTGGACTCCTGTTACCCGGAGGAGCACTACTTCCCGACGCTTCTGTCCATGGCGGATCCCAAAGGGTGCAGCAAGTTCACTCTGACGAATGTGAACTGGACGGGGAGCTGGGATGGACACCCGTACACCTACGAGGCACCGGAGATCTCGGTGGGCTTGATACGGAGGTTGAGGCAGTCCAATTCGAGCTATCCCTACATTTTTGCCAGGAAATTTTCGCCGGATTGCCTGCCGCCGTTAATGGATATTGCCGATGACGTTATTTTCCGGGACTGAGTGAACGGCAGCAACCGAGCAGCAGCAAAAGGGGAAAGTAAGTAAAACTAAACCAAATTTTCTTATTTGTTTTTTCCCTGATAAATTCTTTAATCTCTATAAAGCCAGTAAAATAATGAAATTCAAGTCATTATATTGAGTAGTAGTTAATTAGATAACAAATGCTCGTCAATGAGGCGTTTTTGGGTGCTAAAATCCAGGGAGAGACTGTTCAAATGCGATTTGAAGGCTCTTTATAATTTCTTATTTTCTTTCATGGGGCGTGATTAATTAGTTTTGATGAATTGCATTGTTAGAGTGTTTAAGAGTAAAATATTAAATCTTTACAAAATGTTGGGTCTTCCCCTTGACATTGAATGAAATTAAACACATGAAAGGGAATAGTTTTGCTTGTTTGATTCCCTTTTTGGCAATGTACCAAGTGGTTATGGTTTGTATATGCGATGAATGACGAATAGGAATGAAACCAAAAGAAGCTAAATGAAAGGGTTAATGGAAAAGACATAGTAGTGAAAACAATTATAGTTTATCTTCCAAATGCCATCAGACTTGTAAGTCGCCATACCTTAGTAAGGGACGACCTTGTGCTCGGGTGTTCTAGTCCTAACGACTCCCCTACATAACTCTTAAGCTGAACTCAGACATGCTGTATATTATTCGTTATCGTTTGTATATAACTTTAGACACCACTGGTGTGTGTCTCAGTAGTTGGGAAATCGGGTGATAGATTAGTCAACTAACAGAACATATTAGTATTATCCATTGCATCTGAGAGAGCGCAATTTCATCTGGTTCTTGCAACCGGGGTTGGCTGGTCTGATGACGAATGATTTGAGGGTCGAAGCAAATCCTAGGAATATGAAGGAAACACTCTTACAATATCTGAAATTGAGTTTCACTTTCATCCTTGAGCTCTGTTACTTTGATATTTACGGATGTCTGAAATTCTGAATGACTAACACTACAGTTCAAGCAACCTATATAATAATGGTATAAGAATCGAAGGCTCTACTCAAAGAATATATATTGTTGGCCTTTCTTTGGCGTGTTATCTTTCTTTATCTTCTTTATACTTTATAGAGCAAAAGAAGAGGGGAGAGAGAGATAGTGATGGATATGGTGATCTCTCTGAGTTTGACTAACAAACAATACATTATATAAACATAAGTGTAAGATTCCCCTAACTTTGCTTTTGGCAAGAGGGAGGCCTCATTCTTTCGGTGCTTAATTATGTCTGAGATCATATGGTTTGTGGCGCTTCTGTATCTTTTCCCCCTTAATGCATCATATCATAAGAAGGCTACCAAAAGTGGTTTGGCGTCATAATCACGTGATGAAAGGATTATTTGATCTTGATTGATCTAATCTGATCTCTATGTTATTAATTTATCTCTCTTGTTACTTGTGATGTAGGGAGTCGCAGCCATTATAGTTAGCAGGTAGGTTGGTGTTGGCGGCAACAGAGCAGAGTATGAGAGTTGAGAAAGGAATCTCTGCTCTCTTGGTCTGGCGTTTTCCTTTTGTTATTTTGCTTACTACTACTTTCTGCTACTAGTAGTTTGGAGGTTGCCGTGGAGGAGAAGCAGACAGCGGAGAAAGGAGAGCAGCGTTTTGGATTCTGTAAAGGGGAATCCCAGAAGAGGCTCCTCCCCTTCTCTATCCCTCTCCTCCAGCCAATGTAGAATAGAATTATGAATGAGGACTTTAAAGAAAGTTCACATTCTATTCTGTATATTAGAGAAAAGAAAATGGAAAGCTAAAAAAAAGAATTGCAGAGTGGAGAAAACTAGTTTGTGAATGATGATGTTGTATATAATGCCCACCAGCTAAAAAGGCAAAGGGGGTTGCAACTTGTGTTGTTTGTTGGTAATGGGAGCAATGGAGAATGCCTTATTCTCATTACTATGTCTTCCTTTGTGGGGTTCTGTATGGGGATGTCAATTAAGTTTTTGTACAGATGAATTGGAACATGCACCTCTCAGAAGATTGAAGGTCTTGTTTTGTTTTGCTATCTCAGAGTCAGAAATGATGAAGCTTTATCTGTATGTTCATGTTCATTCTCAGTATTATTATGTCTTCCTTTGTGGGGTTCTGTAAGTTGATGGCTATCAAGTTTTTGTACAGATGAACTGGAACATGCACCTCTCAGAAGATTGAAGGTCTTGTTTTGTTTTGCCATCTCAGAAATTATGAAGCTTTATGTTTATCAGTTCATGTTCATGTTTATAGGAAATGCAGTAGCAGATCCTTGACCCAAAACACAGCATGTACTGTATATCCAAAGGGCAGAGAGATTCATTCACTCTATTTAAATCTCCGGACAAAGTTGTTAACAGGTGTGAATTTTACAGGGTGGGAATGCGGTGTTGATTGATATGGACGGGAATTATACATATCCGACGGCGGCGGCACGTTGATGACAAAAACCACTAGCTAAATTCCGATGGAGGACGTTGGTTCACTTCGATTCGATTCAATTCAATTGAAGGGGATAAGAACATCGCCGATGTTCTTGTGCCACGGATCCGCCAAGTGGGTCGCCAAGTTCTCCAGCGGGCCAGTCCCCGGGTACGCCGACTGCTGCACGCAGAACCCGACGAACGCCAGCAACGCCAGCCGGCCGTTCTTGATCTCCTTGAGCTTGTACTCCTCGAACTTCTTCGGGTCCTTGGAGAAGCCGAGCGGGTCGAACGCGCCGCCGGGGTACTTCTTCTTCTCCGGGTCCTTCTCCATGCTCCGCTGGTGCTCCACGAACGCGATTGACAGGAACTCGATCACCAGTATGGTCGGCAGGGTTCCCCACGGAACCGGCTGGCCCAAGTAGCTGGCCTGACCGCCCGGCACCGCCGCCCACGACTGGGCCTGCACCCAGTTCCCCAGGCCCAACGCCTCCGGCACCAGAATCCCTGGGACGGCGAGCATGGCCCACCTGCAGTGGATCAGCTCCGACTCCTTGAACCGCTCCAGGTTCTCCGGGACCGTACCCAGGCCTAGCGGGTCGAACCCGAAGTCACTGCATAAATCAATTTTATCCACAATCAATCAAAATTCAGAGGTAATTGTAATTCAAATTCAAATCTTTCTGGTTGGGTTTTGGGTTTCAGTTTCAATTACCCGGGGGCAGAGCCGTCGAGGTGGGCGGGCCGGGGCTGGCCGGGCATCCATTCGGCGGACATGACGACCCGGCCGGAAGAGGCGATGGCCGGGAGGGGGACAGAGGAGGCGAATTTGGACCTGGAGGAAGAGAGGAGAGACGGGAAGGCGATGGCGAGGCCGCCGCTGCTCATCGCGGAGTTTGCCGCCATTGTTCCCGGTCGAAATGAAGGATTGAAAGAATGAGAAAGGGAACAGAGAGAATGAATGTCCTTTGAGTGGCTGATACAAAGGGGTCGTGAGAGTTTATGAATGAGAATGGGGTAGAAGATGGGATGGACAAGGCAGAAGAATCTGAAGATGGATTCGCATTGGCTTGAGAAAGCTTCCAGGGGATACATTATTGGGCCACGTCGGATTTCCCATATCTCCGCTTCGCTTCGGATTGCGTACGTGGCGTTCCCCGTTCTTATTTGTGGTCGAGCTTCGTTGTCTGTCACCGTTGCTGCACCCTCCACTCGGATAAAATAAAAAATCTAGCTCTCCCTGTGAGTGTGACGATAGAGAATCCTCGATGCGGATAAACTGGGACAACATAGAAAATGTAGGTGATCATTTTGTTGAAATTTAAAATTAAGTGACCGATTTGTTAGTCATTCCAATGTAAGTGACCTTTAATGCAATTATGCTATTAACCGGAAAATATTGGGCAATGTTCTTGGAAAGTACTTGACTTTTGATCCCTCCTCCACGCGTTTCCTTCTTTCTTTTTCCTTTCTGCGCACCGAAGGAAAACAAATTAAATTATCACCGCAACCTCCGTCTTTCTTCCTCAGCTCTGCCCGCCATTGCTGATTCAGTTCGGCTTTCACTTCTCCCAACTAGTTTGGAAAATTCAATTCATACAACTCTGATAGCAGCAGCTAGGATAAAAGATGCAGAGAATCTTCGGCGCTAAGAAGAACAAGGATCCTCCTCCTTCCATCTCCGATGCCTCCGATAAGGTTCTCTCTCGCTTTCACCTGCTCGCTGTTTCGATGATGTTTTGTTATGGGTTTATGTTTTGGTGTCCAGAATTGAATTGCGTTGAACTTGCGAGCTGCAATTCGAGTTTAGCCCTGTGTTGAAGAATTTAGAAGTCTTGCTCCGATAGTTCAGATGGATTTAGGGTTCATGGAATCTGTTATTTCAATGTGACTGATTCAGTCTTGAAATTCGATTATTGTGTGGTGATCTATCCTCCATCTCCTGTGCGGCAAAATGCCGCTTCTATGGAGTAAAGGCCTGGACTTTGTGGGTGAATGTGAAGAATTTTCGTTTCTTTAAATTGGAATGGAAGGATCTCATCGAGAGGTTTCTCTACGAAAGTGGTTTTGGCATAAATACCCGATCTTTATGATGGATTGTCATGTTTGCTTGCATAATCATTGTGGAATTGGGAGTTAACCTGGACAGCGTTTCCTCTCTCAGATTACTAAAAGGGGCGACACTGTGGAAGAGAAGATAAAAAAGCTGGACGTTGAGCTCAGCAAATACAAAGAGCAGATTAAGAAAACACGACCTGGACCTGCTCAGGAGGCCATTAAAGCACGTGCCATGAGGGTTCTTAAACAGAAGCGCATGTAAGACCTACTGCTGTTACTTTTCTTTTCTTATGCTCCTATTGACCAGTCTATGTAGAGCAAGGCAGCAGTGTTGGCATTTGAGCTTGATACTGAGTTCAGCATTTCTGTTTCCATGGGTTTGAGAATCGCACCATCTGCTATCGAACTTCTTATTCGACATCAATGTTTTATGACTTCGCATGGCTGTACTGTTTGCTTCAATGATGCTTATTTATCACATGTACAAATGTCTTGGACAGGTATGAGGGCCAGCGTGACATGCTCTACAACCAGACTTTTAACCTGGATCAAGTTGCTTTTGCTGCTGAGGGTATTAAAGATGCTCAACAAACTGTATGGCTCGGTTCCCATGAAAGATTATGAGATTTAAAAAATTATGGGTTGATTTTCAATGCGCTTATAGCACTCTGAGATTATGTTAAGGCTTGCAACTCCTCTTGAAGGACTATTTACTTAAAATAGTGACTCACTCTGTTTTGTATCATGTGCATCTTTTGGTTTCTTCTCTTCAGATGTCAGCTCTGAAGTCTGCCAACAAAGAGTTGAAAGGGATGATGAAAACTGTTAAGATTCAAGATATAGATGTATGTTGCCTAAATTCTTCCGTTGCTCTTATTATTGTACTGGTTATTAGATATTCTGTTAGCATAACTGGCTCATCTCTTTCTATGTAGAACTTGCAAGATGAGATGATGGACCTGATGGATGTTAGTAATGAAATCCAAGAAACTCTGGGTAGAAGTTATAACGTGCCTGATGACATTGATGAGGATGAACTCATGGGTGGTAAGCCAAATGTTTTGAGCTGTTGGACAGTACTAAGTTCTACCTTTCTGTCTTCTCTGAACTACTTTTAGGTCACTCTATAAAATGTTAATCCTTGCTATGTCCTCTGATTCAGTATGTTTTCGAGATTCAGGCAGACTAGTATAAACAGACTACCATAAGCAAACTAGTAAGCATATGGGGTGGGTCGTCTAGTGCATAGAGAATAAGTCAGAGACTTGATACTGAGCAAATTTTTTTCTTCTTCGTTTTGACTTGTTCTTTTATCGCAGAACTTGATGCTCTGGAGGCAGACATGGGATTTGAAACCGAAGGTGATGGTGTGCCATCGTATTTGCAGCCTGACAAGGAACCAGATCTGGATTCAGAACTCAACCTGCCTACGGCACCTATGGGACATGCTGCTAGACCCCAGGTGATAATATATGAGGTCTTATAGCTTCTTCTAATCCCTTCCTGAGCATCGCATAAGCAGTGTTTGGATGGAGATGGGTGCTTGACAGTCGGTTGGTAATCCCTTGCATGCATATAATAGCATTGGCTCACTGGTTTGCAAGTCCATTTGCATTAGCTTCTGTATCTACTTTGGAAGGAGTCAGCCAAGCTCTGGAGTTGTTTGACACTGATGGTTTTGTGGATCTGAACTAACCAAATAATTCGTGCATTCCATGAGGCTGCTTGCTGAATCTCCTTTCTTTGTGTGTGTACTTTTCCTACCAATAATTCCTGCATTCCATTTGTTTGGCAGGCTGAGGATGAATTTTCACTACCAGCTGTTCCACGGGCATCCCTTCGTGGCTAATGCAGTAGTAGTCTGTACTTACTACCCTTGTGCATAATCAAATTGGAGAGAGAATCGGCCTTGGAAGGGAAGGTTATTATTATCATAAAACACAATGTGCAGAATAACATATATCATTCTTAACTGGGTGTGTTTGGTGGTGATTGAGAGGGATGGCTTATGTTTGGCAGACTGCTCTACCATGGACATCTGAGTCGCAGTTATATGTAATGTTCTGTGATTGTGAATGGCATTGACATACACGGGCGTAATTGTCATCTTTTATACTTGTAATATTACTACTCTTTTTCTTTTATCAATGAGATAACATTGTTCACTTTCATGTTGAACTAAATCTAAATACAAAGAGTCGTAGTTTCAATCTGGAACCCTTCAGTTATATAAAAGAGAAAAAAAGGGGTATACAATACACGATGTATACTTTTGAGAAATGTAGAGACTATGATTCAGTAGATGTGTTGTGTGCATCATCACGCGGACGGAGGCAATCAACGGTTCTGTTAAATTTGCTTCTGGTTTCATGAAGTTCACCATCTGCAAGCCGCCGATGGCCGATGCTATCGGACTCTCCGGCCTGAGATATGGAGGAAGGTGGGATGTTGAGCACCATCTTCAGTTTCACAGAGATGGGAAATCGGAAATCGAGACGGTGGGCGGAGAGGAGGCACGTGGCATTGCTGCATGCTCTGCAGAGCGGCAGGCGAGGCGAGCGGAGGTGTCCTGTAATGTAAGCATACCAGTATCAGAGAAGAGAACATTTATGAAACTTTTTTAAGCGTTGGATCAGAATGAGAATTGCGAGAAAATGCAGGTACTCTGATGGTATATTTGGTTTGGGGATCTAGGGATTTGGATTTTGTCAACACGTAGCTGAGAGAGAGGGGGTAAAACTCGAAGTAAGCAAAGACGGAAACCAATTCAGCAGATCATCCTTCCAAGTTCCAAATTAGTCCACCCGAAGTCACGGTCAGTAGCCGAACTGTTTTCTGCAAATCTCATCAACCAGGATATGGCGAATGAGCTGGACGGCTTCCACTTCGAGCAGAACCACGGCAAGGCGAGAGTAAGGGTCGCCAGAGTCTGGCGGGCCGATGGCGGCGGCGGTCACTCCATGGTGGAATGGAGCGTCAACATCACCCTTTTTTCCGACTGCATCAACGCTTACGTTCGTGACGACAACTCCGACATCGTCGCCACCGACACCATGAAAAACACCGTAATTGACTTCACACCCGCTACTCGATTTACCCTTTTGTTTCACCTCCGATTCGGGATCGTTGAGATGAATTGAAATCCCGTTTCTGTTTCCCCCTTCACCACTAGGGATGCATTCACTCATATGTTTGATATTCCTAGATTTGGAGCTAGGGATTTTGTTTCAGTTCTTATCTGGATATCTGATGGTTCAATCAAACAGTAGCCCTTGTGTAGTTGAAGATAAAATGTATGCCATTTGGGAAATTCAGTTGACTTGGGAAGTGGCAAGAGTTCATTTATGTAGTCAGCAGCTTGGCTAATCCTGTTTGCTGTGTCTTGTTCACTTTCCTATTCCCTGCGTTGTGGAAATGGTGTGTAGGTGTATGTGAAAGCGAAAGAGTGTTCCCAACAGCTTTCAGCAGAGGAGTTCGCAATTTTGCTTGCGAAGCACTTCACAGCGTTCTACCCGCAGGTAAAAAGTTTTAAGAGATTTCGGCCTTAACTTTGTTAAGTACCCATTTGACTTGTGTACCTGGTAGTTTGTTTCTTCTTGATTTCTGTTGGAGATTCGTTGTAACCAATGTGGAAGGAGAAGTACAGTTTGGAGGTGAAATTTTGTTTGAGAAGGCGTGGAAATAGTTTGGGGTTATTTTCTGGGTGGGTTCCTTTTGGGTTTTGTAGTGGACAGTAGTCACATTCAGCATGAGGTTAGAACAAGATTTTGAATGTGGTCCATCCTCTTCAATAGTTTTGTGTTGAGGTTCTGGCACTGCTGAATCAAGTTTGCACTGAAAAATTGGTTCTTGGGTCTGAACTGAAAAATTGTCTCAAGTATTTGACAGGTGACTTTTATTTATGCCCCCGTGGGACATGTTTCTGGTCCTACTAATGTTAATGGGTTGGCCATTTTCAAATTGTGATGCAGCAGCTGTTGTCATTATCTTTCCAGTTCTTATCTTATGAATCATGCCCCGTTTTCTGATCAATAACTAGTTTGTATTGCAAAATTTGTTAGGTAACATCAGCAATTGTCAAGATAGTGGAGAAGCCATGGGAGCGCATCAACTTAAATGGGCAACCACATGAACATGGTATAGTACTGAAGTTTGTTGAGTAGAATAGTGTGCGAATTTCTAAATTCTTTTTTGTGAACCAGCTAAGTTTATGGTGGTCTGCTATCCTTCCATTGCATCTTGTTGTCTTAAACAAATATTTACATGCTTGTTGCAAACTAGCGAAATATGCACACCTTATATTTGTCAGCATGCTGGTTAAAAGAGCTGCTAATATGCTGTTATGTTGTCAAAGGTTTTAAACTTGGAAATGAGAAACATACAACAGAGGCCGTAGTCAAGAAGTCTGGTGGGTTGAAGTTGACTTCTGGAATTGCAGGACTGTCTGTACTGAAAACTACCCAGGTATTGTTTTGTGCTTTTCACTCTTTTCAGCTGTTGCAATTGAGCCCTGGAATCCGTGCAATCACAATGCAACCGTAAACTGAAAACACACTATTCAGTACCATTCAACCGAAGCATATGCATGTAGGATTTGTTTGACCTTAGCAATTATGTCTATTAGATCCAATTTCATGGGGTAGGTAGTCCCAAATTCCTCTCTTCCAGGTTGAACAAACGAGGGCTTCTTTAGCCTTCCTTAGCTTGCTCCTGCTTTGATTCTCTACATGTGTCCATTCGTTTCCATCAGTTATGCAATCTTTGTGTTGTTGATTGCTTGATTTTATGTGACTGAAAGAACAGTCAGGTTTTGAAGGGTTTGTCAGGGACCAGTATACTGCTCTTCCTGAAACCCGTGAGAGGATGCTGGCCACTGAAGTCACTGCCATATGGAGGTGAATTTTGAGATTGTTAACTGTGGTATGTTTGCTTTTATTCGTTGGAAGCTTCTTCTTAGTTCTTTCTGGATCAAATGTGGATGCAGATATTCGTACGACTCCATCTCCAAAGTCCCTCAGAAACCCCTTTACTTCAATGAGAGATATTTGGATGTGAAGAATGTAGTTCTCAGCACGTTTTTTGGTCCTCCCAAGGGCGGAGTATATAGTGCTTCCGTTCAAAGCACTCTTTTCCAAATAGAGAAGGCCGTACTGATAAGGTTCTCTCTACTCTCCAATGCTTTTACTGGTTTCAGTTAGGAAGTTCAGTGATATGGTACCCTAAAGTTTCCCTGAGAATCATTTTGTGTTTTTCTGGTCGTATGCAGATTCCCTGACATATCATCTGTCCAACTGAAAATGCCAAACATCCACTTCTTACCCGTCAATATTTCAACCAAGGACAACACGATTGTGAAGGTAAAGATCCTCTTCCTCTTAAAAGCTATTTCTGATGCTTCAGAAATAGGCTGTTGCACTTGGTTGGTCGTGTTGGAACTTGTTGGAACTTCTTTCCCCCGTGGATTGATTATAGAGAAAAATTCATGGACTTGAATTCTTCACCAATATGTGGCTCCCATCTGTACTTTCTTCCTGGAATTTTGACCGTGGAATCGTGGTATCTGCAGCCTACAGCTTTCCTTGTTAGGATGATGATCATAAACTTTATTTATGGCAGTTTAACGATGACGTGTTTCTGCCAACTGACGAGCCTCATGGATCAATAGAAGCAACTCTCAGTCGCTTCTGGGCAAGAATGTAGAACAAGGAGAAGAAGAAGATACAGCAAGAGGGATCATGTTGTGAGTTTCTGACTACTTTTGCTTTCACGCCATGTAATAAGCTGCAATGCAGGACCAAATGTAAATTACAGTGTGCATTAGACAATAATAATGTGGCAGAAACCGGACACATTACTATTACATGGCGAGTCTCCCTCCCTCCCTCCGTCCCTCGGTTAACTCTCTTCTCTCATACTGATTGATAATCTAGAAAACAAAAGGGATGATACACTTGACATGAGGAGGGAAATCATCGAACTTGGAGAGGTACCACTCTCTAGTTGCTTTGCTCCTTCCCATCAGGTAGAGACTTGTCCCGACCGCGACACAGAAGGAATAGATGGTCTGTGAGATGAGGGCGATACCGTAGAAACCCAGGATCTCAAACAGATAGTGAGGGCAAATCACCAGCTCAAACATCCCACCCTTGGGGATCTTGTACTCTTTCTTCTTGCCGCCGTCGTTCGATCTCAGCTTGGAGAGCAAGTAATGGTGGTAGTAATTGCCTGCGATCCCAATGATGAAGAGCACCACCCCATACAGTTTCAAATCCACCGCCGGCTCTGGGAGCAGGGCCTCCTGCGTCAAAAACTGCGTGTAGATTGTGAGGGCTGTAATGGTGAAGTAGCTTAGACTGATCGGAATCGCTGTTCCTGCGGCTACTGTACCACTGAACTTGTGTACGAACAGTGTCTGCAGTCAAGGGATGGAAATCATCAACTTTCCGATCCTAATAATTGGACTAGAATTGAACTGGAAACGGGAGTTACCTACGTACCTCGAGTACCCTTTTGAAGAAATGTAAAGCGAGGGCGGACTCAACGAGGAGGAGCCTAGAAGATGAAGCCTCGACTCCGCCATGGCCATGATGGAGAAAGAGCAGGGAGGCCAAGGCGGCGAGGAAGGCCGGTGTGTAGGCCACAAGCATCCCGGTTCTGCTGGGGATGGAGGACCAGGACGAATTCGCCGTCGAAGTAGAAGCGGACGGTTGGTCGGAGAACTTGGAGTACTTCATGTGCTTGCCTCGGAGCTCCGACACACCGGCGTTCCCCAGTGACACTACTCCCACCACCGACATCGCCGCGACCAGCAGCGACGGCGGCGGTTGGAACATTACCGCTCTCACCGAACTCATCACCCCCTCCATCTCTATCCCGAATTCCGATTCTGATTCCTTCCGGTTTCGATTTTCTTCCCAATTATGAAACCACGGCACTACTGGTCGCTCTGCATTTTCCACCTCTTTCTGCTTTTTATTTTCTCCGCTTTTCCCTGTTCTCCACCACGGGCTTTGTTTTTGGGCTGTCTAGTAAAGCAGTCGTTTGGAAGCCCAATTATGGGGAAATTTGACATTATGGACCGCGAACAAAGGCCCATCAGAATGCGGCCCAAGTAATATCATGGTCCAGTCGCCACTCGTTTGAACCAAGGCCAAACTGTAGTGGTCTTTTTTACAGGAAAGAGAGGACGAAACGGATACCGGGAAAGCAAAAACGGGTGAAAATCGCGGAGGGCCGCCGGCGCTGTTACCGGAGGAGAAGCTGCCGAATCAAATCTGATTGAAGTCTCGGAGTCGAGGAACTGGAATAGAGACAGATAGCTACCTCCGGAATCTGAAATCGGGCTTTGCGGCTGCTACTGGATCGTGGCACTTCAGATGACAAAGTTATAATTGCCTGCATTGTGAAGTCTACTGAAACTTGGAAAACTTTCTGAAACAGAGAGAAATGGAGTCCAAGCGAAGCTCCAAATTGAATATCGCAATCATTCACCCTGACCTCGGAATAGGTAAAGCAATAATATTACTGTTTAAGCCCTTTCCATCTGCTGTCCTTTCGTTTGATGATTTTGAGGGATTGTTATCAGTTATCACCCTCGTCATTCAGTAGGTAAAAGACTAGGTTTTCCTTCAAGCTTATTTTTTTCTTTTCTTCCTATACTGGCCAGTGCATTATGCTTCAATTTGAAGTTTCATGGTATTTGATGTTGAACTTGTTTCTTCGGCCCATCATTGTCTTGTAGGTGGAGCTGAGAGGTTGGTTGTCGATGCTGCTGTTGAACTTGCATCCCAAGGCCACAAGGTTCATGTTTTTACAGCTCACCATGACAGGAACAGATGCTTCGAGGAAACTGTAGCAGGTAATTAATTGTGATCATGGATTTCAGTACCATCTGGCTTCGACTTCCCTTGTTGTTCTGTTCTCCTTCCTGAAGTGGGATTACGTTGATAGACCAATAAGTGGTCAAAGCTCTTTTGCAGTTTACTGCCTCTTTTGCTTTGTTTGTTTTGGTGGGAAGGCTTCTTTGGTTTTGCCTTGACAAGAAAGGAGAAGTTGCTCGATTTCTGATTTTTCTTTGTGTTTGGAAGATTGGGGTATTGTGTTCAGCCTATGGCTTGATGTTGATGTAATGCTTGTCAATTGGCTTTACAGGCACCTTTCCAGTTACTGTCTATGGTTCCTTTCTTCCCCGTCATATATTCTACCGGTTTCATGCTTTATGTGCATACTTGAGGTGCCTCTTCGTCGCTCTTGGAATGCTGTTCCTTTGGCCATCTTTCGATGTTGTAGTGGCGGATCAAGTTTCTGTTGTTATACCTTTGTTGAAACTCAAAAGAGCAACAAAGGTATGTATCGCCTATCGGTTACCCAGTGAAACCGTTAGCTTCATCTCAGAGATCCCTAGTATGTAGCTTTTCATGTATGTTCTTGTTATACCCAGGTGGTGTTTTATTGTCATTTTCCAGACCTCTTGCTGGCTCAACACACAACGGCACTCCGAAGACTATATAGAAAACCTATTGACTTCTTGGAAGAAATTACTACTGGTGTGTGTCTGCAATTTTACTTTTTCTGTTCCTGTTCCAACTCATTCATGCCATGGATTCTCCTTCCTTGATCTTCTGTGTTAAATCATTGACAAACCATTCTCCATTTGGATTGCAGGAATGGCAGAAGTGATACTAGTCAATAGCAAATTCACTGCATCGACTTTTGCTCGGACATTTAAGCATCTTCATGCACGGGGAATTCAGCCTGCTGTTTTATATCCAGCTGTCAATGTGGAACAGTTTGAAGAACCTCATTCTTTCAAGTAACTGACGTGCTTGTCTATCTTTCGAGTATTTCCAGGAGTTCAATATTTCACTTCATAAAGTTTTCTCCTAAACATTTATATGGCTTGATGTTCATTTGCATTGATGTGAAATAGGTTGAATTTTCTATCCATCAACCGTTTTGAAAGGAAGAAGAACATAGAATTAGCCATTTCTGCTTTTGCCAAGCTCCAAAGCCTTGGGGATGCTTCCTTGACTGTTGCAGGTAAGTCTGTCCATATTTGTTTCTCAATTGATGAACTTGCCTTCTTTTGGCAGTAGAACGTGAATTATTATCGTAGACAATCTGTTGTACATGGTAGGGAATTGAGGAATTCTGTTATAAACCATCACAGGCGGATATGACGAGCGATTGAGAGAGAATGTTGAATACTTGGAGGAGCTTAGAAGACTAGCAGAAAGAGAAGGAGTGTCTGACCGTGTTAACTTTGTGACATCTTGTTCCACCAACGAAAGAAATAACCTTCTCTCAGACTGTCTCTGTGTAATCTATACACCAAAGGTTGGATTCAATCCAGACGTTGATGACATATTGTTTCTCCACTTCTCTGTTTTCTGGTTCTAATATTTTGGTGATAATGAGCAGGATGAACACTTCGGCATTGTCCCAATTGAGGCGATGGCAGCTCATAAACCTGTCATTGCATGCAACAGTGGAGGCCCAGTCGAGTCCATCAACGATGGAGTTACAGGATTTCTCTGTGATCCAACTCCGCAGGCGTTTTCGCAAGCCATGGCCAAATTCCTCGAGGATCCAGAGCTCGCAAAGTATGGGACAGGACGCCAGGCAACACGTGACAGATTCATTCTCTACTCGGATTTTTGGGCAGCGCCTGAATCAATACGTTACCAGCATTGCTGGCACTAAGCAAGATTGAACTTCAACTTTTTTTGCATACTTGGATGAGCTTAATACCAACAGCATGATTTTGCAATTTTGTTCTCAGCCCGGCGCCCATGGTGGTGGTGTTCTTGAACTCCATACTTCCAATTCTAGTTCGAATTTATAAAACAAAAAATACAACCTTTATTTATTGTTCATAACTCGACATTGACTGAAAAGAAAAACAGAAGGAAGACACATAACCAGGTTGTTGATGATGTGGCGAGGTTTGCAGTTGAGTAATTATTAGGTGAGATGTGAGATTATCATGTAATTTCACTCATACAAGAACTAAAAATCCCACTAATCTCTCTCAGTGTTACTAAACATGTTTGTACACTCTCTTCACCCATATGAGGCAGAAAACGCAAGTTTGGGTACCAAAATTCCATGTTATACAAGGGTTTTAAGTGTTTTACTCATTCAACTTGCAAATGTCCACAAACTTCTGAACAGCATTGTGGTATTGGGTTCCCTGCAATTGCAACCAGCACCACTTTATCATCATTGTTTCAGCTCAAACATTTGAGGACAACATGAAAAATAGAAACAACAAAGGACAGACGAAGAAGAAGCAGAAGTACCTCCCAGTACAGTTGGTTGCACTCCATGCACTGCCAAAATTCCAGATTTTTGTTAAACAAACAGTTGGGTATCTTTTGGAAACCTTTTGCTGCTTCAACTGCCTCTTCTGTTGTTAGCGGCTTCTGAATAAACTTCCCATTGCACTTGGTGCATCTTGACATCAGCTGATTTTCGTTGATCTTTAGGTTAAAGGTCTCGATCACCTGCATTTTGCTTCAGCTTTCAGATCACAGATTGTAACACCAAAGCCACAACGAGAATCATGAAGAACCACCCATTTGGATGATTCCTGTCCAACAAACCTAATCACTAAAAGGAATTACATTTATTTCTGGACAATTGTGGTGGAGACACTGTTGCTGATGTTCCAATTTGATACTCCGATTTATCAGAAGATTAGTTCCTCTCACTGCAAATCATGCATATGTTTACCAAGATGCTAAAATCTTGTCGTACTAAATTGGACTGTGGAAACAGATTTGAAGGTCTCTAAGTGTTGATATTCTAGAAATATATACTGATTCAAACCTCGGTAACTCGACTAAAGATTCCAGCAAACTCCTCTGTTTGGTCTCCGCAGTCATCTCAAACCTCTCAATATCAACTAGTTTTAATAAATTTAGCAATAGTTCCAAACAATTCCAGTGGACAATAAGTTGCATAGGGAACTGTCTTTTACCTCCAGTAGTTGTTCATTCTTAAGAAGACTCTTCACTCTGTAAATCTGGTTCTTTATCAAATGCTGATGCCTTAATAGTTTTGCATCCCGAGTCAAAACCACTCTCTTTTCTCTGTATGCTTGATCTATTAATTCCCTGAAATTGGTAAGGAAACATTATGATACTTCAATCCAGAACGGTAAGGAGACATACAAGGAATATGCACTCATGTAAAAAGGAGGTACACAGTAAAATTACCTTGGATCTGGTTTTCTAGAACAAGGGATTGCAGCATCTATTCCCACACAACGAAGATGTTTAGCCAAACCCTCAACCTATACAAAACAGTGACATTTGGGCAGAAAAAATAAACATGTGAAATTCACAGACTTGAAGTGGGTATATCTTCAAGTACAAAAATGTAATATGAGATCTATATGATCACTGAAAACTTGAAAACAAGTAATATTACTTGTTGAAAGATTAGCTAAAAACAATAAGCAAAGCCACAAATGAAACTGTTGTTTGTACCATAACATCACAAAGGAACTTGGGGCAGCCATCACCACCCTCGGACAATTCCCATGGCGTGCTCCCTTCCCAGCTACAAATATTATCATCTATCCACTTTTCTCTAGTAACTTGAGCGATCATGGAAGGTTTTCTCTTTCCTCTTTTCTTAGAGGATCTTGGTTTCCTATCAGATTCTCTCAACAGGATTTTTTCACCATATTTTCTGACTATTTTGACGAACGACTCACCCATGGGCATGGTATATATAGATCTTGTCCTGGAAAGTACTCCCTCTCCCCAAGCTATCCTTTGGAAATGTTTAGAAGAAACAGTCGCCCTAACTATTGCCAAAGCTTCATGAGTTGTAATCCTCAGATGTTTATTACATCTTTCATCTAGCTCAAGAAATGCTTTCAACCCAATATGCGGAGTATCCAGCACATTTACAACTCGAGAAGAACTTCCTGCAATGAAGCAAACTACTTTTAGATACAATTAACAACTAAGGATTTTCGGCATACTTACAAGTATTATCAAGGATAACAAACCTTCTTCTGCAACTTTTTCCTTGAAAATAGCAAAAATTTGAAGCAAACAATGTGCATCTGTAGCAGCATAGGTTTTCTGTTCCTCAGTAAGAGGTCGGGAGGACCAATCACTACATTGAAGTTCCTAATACAGGATAGATGTCATTAACAAATCATTCATGTGCATTGTCCAGAAGAATAAAGTATCAAACCCTTAATGTTGTAAATTGTAGAAATGTTGACGTCAAACCCCTTAAAAAGAAGGAATTTAGAAAATTAAGACAAAGAGTAATGGATCTAGGATATAAGAGCAAAAGTACCACATTATTAGCATATCTTGGAAAATTCTATTGACTTGGAAATTTTGTGTACTTGCAGTATTTGTAGTAATAATTAGCAAAGCTGATACATTAATCTTCTTACACGAGTACGTGACAATATTCACATCCAACATGAAAGTAATACTCAGTCCAAAATATGCTGAAGAGACACCCATATGCAATGTCAAATGGATTTGTTTTCTGAGGAAACTTTAGAAGAAAATAGGTTTCAATAGAATACCTTAGAAAGGGCAATCCCCAGTATTTCTTTGCATATAGTTGCCAAACTCTTCGTTTCCTTTGGCACCTTTCTTCCTTGTTGCTTTGGCTGTAGATAATGATAAACACTGAAGATATCCAAATATGGCTCCACCTGTTCACCATGACCCAATGTTCAGCAACGGAAACAAATACTAACGTTAAAAAACGCTAGAGAAACAAGTCTATGATCCCTGGAGTCATCCCTAGATAAAAATATAAATGGTGCCAAATTGGCTGAGAAATGTGTGATCCAGCTGCAACTATGAGGAGCATGATTTCATGGACAATAACAAAAGTTCAGGCCTTATTATTTCAAATACATTAAAACTATCCTTCTGCGGAAATATAACCATCGATCACTGTGATTACAAGACCGAACCCAAGCAACCCATTTCCAGTATAAATTGTAGAACGATACTTTGACTAAACAAAAGTAGGGAATATTGGCAGCTGGAGACTATACTGCATTCCTTCAAATTAGTGACTACCCTCAAAAATCAAGAGGACCCATTACCATAAGCAAGTTGTCTGAAATGAAAAAGGCCCTATTATAGCGAAATCAAGATCAATTGGTGAAGAAACAAACACTAACCCCATCCCTTTCTTCTCTTCAACAACTGTCAGCTAAACGTTAATCAAAGAGCTTCTCTAAAGGTGCTAGACAGGTTTAGGCTTTCAGCTACACGATTCATTATTATCTCCTGGCTGATGTGTTTCAATAACTCAGTGACCACAAACTAGCATTACCAATTTACCACAAAGCACATACTAACCAGAAATTTCATAGTAGGAAAAGATGCAGTCTTTTTGTATTGTTTACCTTGTCAAACCCAGGATCACAACCATGGGAGCAGAAGGTTGAGGATAAGTACGCCAAATCTTGCTTGAATCTAAATCCTACTTTCAATATATCCGGAGAAATAAATACTTCTCTCAGCAATTCCCAAATGGAAGGCAGGAGAATCGAGTCAAGGTCAAGCAGGAAAACCTCCACCCAGTCGTCCTCCTCCTCTTCCTGCTCCTCCACCGAGTCAGAGCGAAGTTCAGGTCTGAGTTGACAAGCGAGTTGGAGGAGCGACACATTTGGGAAGACGGATTGTTGAGTTTTGAGGGGTTTCCACTCGGCATCGAGACCGATTACAGAAGAACGGGCCAGGACCCAATTCAGGCGGGCGAATTCGGATGACTCGTTTGACGCGACAATGTGAGTTGCAGGGAGTCGGTTCTTGGGTTCCATTTCAATTGAAAAGCGGTCAGTCTCTTCCATGTTCCCGCTCCAAAACGACTTCCAGGGTCACCGCTCGTGGAACTTGGAAAGCTAACCCCTTGATTTTCTTGCCCTTCTCGTCGTTCGTCCAATTGAATCACCTTTCAGTCTACTTATTAGAAGCGCAGCTCTCTTCAGCTCCTGGGTCAAGGCTCTTAATCATGCTCTCTCTCTTCTATGATTGTAAATCCCTTATCGCATTGAAGCTCCCCGGAGACAAATATTATCCCTTCTGTTAGCTCCATTGCATGCGGATAAATGAAACATAAAGCTCCATCGGTTTTGACTTTAGGGACTCAATGAATGAATAAGAGAACCATATTATGAACTAACACAACAGGAAAGAAGGAAGAAGCGACAGCGAAAGGGTAAGAGAGGTAAGCAAGCATAGAAATTTTTAAAAATAGGGTTGAAATTTTTAAAAATAGGGTTTACATGCCAAATTTACAAGATCACCATACAATTTCTCTGTTTTATAAGAAATCATCACATTACTTAAGTAAAATGCGGTTGGATTCTTTTTTGGATGAAATATATATTCTTTTTTGGATGAAATATATACCGTTGGAGTTAGAGATGACAACATATTTGATGTGCCAGTTTTCCTATATACTATCCGAATTATGGTTTTAAAATTGTATCCATCCTCATAATCTAAAACATTTTTTTTTATGAATGAGCAAAATTTTATTTCATCAAAAAAGTATCTGCATTTACATTCAAACCCTACTTGAATCTAGCACTAATCAAACATAGTAGAACAAATTACCACAAAGCTATTTTCCAGCTAATGGAAAGATAAATAGAAAGTACATCAATAAAAACTACTCAGGAATCTTCCCAAAGTAACACCACAATGAAGCCTTCTTACAAAGTTGAAAGAAACTAACTCAAGAGACAATAGTAGGGCCTTACACGCTACTCCATGGGCAGCCATGTTTGCTGTTCGAGGAGGAGGAACCCTGTTGAATTCTATACAGATAGACATAGCGACAAAAAGCCGAAGATAATCACGAGGCAAGAGCCCTCCTAAAAAATCCATCATAACTCCTTGGCAAAACTGCTAAATAACCACTTCATAATCACCTTCCACGATTACCCAAACAAAAACTTGAAGATAATAAGCGAAATGACATCTCTAGCGGCAAGCATAATCACCTTCCACTTCATAATGATTCATTCGGTCCTTCCAGCCACTTAGGGTGGTTGTTCATGGAACCCAAATCCTTAGCCTTCTCGGTACTGATTGCTCTATGTAAGCTTGGGGTAACACCAACTGAGTGTTAATTGATACTCTCATATGTTGAAGAAGTCATTGGAATATACTCATACTCATTTATTTGGCTTGGGTTGGATTTTTACTCTATTGATTTGTGTTTCTACTCATACCCATAATCAAATTATAATTGGTATCTAAACTTAATAGATAAGAGATACTCTCGTAAGATTGGACGAAGATAAGCTTTGTATGTATGTTAGAGGACATTAGGCAAATCTGACGAAACATCGAGCGAAAATACGCTTCCCTTAGCTACTGGTGACTAGTGAGCATTGCCAACTAGCATGGAATATTTCCTTCATAACTTAACTTATTGAACATATACACAACTAAAGAAATGTGATAGCCACACTTTACATTGCGAACAAGTCCATTAGAAATATCATCATTAGTGTTAAACTTGTAGATCACATGATGAAATCTTTCAAGTAGCACACAACTAAAAACCAAACTTATATTACACTTATAAAAACAATTATTCCTGCACTTTCTGAATTTTGTCCAATGTATTGACTGGATCTTGCGAGATTAACCAGGTTAGTACTGAATTCCTGAGAATTGACACCTGCTTCCATAGAAGCTCGTACCTGTTGTTCAGGATTTTCATACACTGATAATTCTCAGTAATATAATAGTCCAAATATGCCTCACCGCACATGCTTCATTCCATTCTTTAAACCTCAAACCTCGTTCATCCTTTGTCAGAGCTATCATTTGTTCAACTCATCTTTGAGCAGAGCTTTTCAGCAAATACGATTAACCCTCAGTTAATTTCACTCACACTGATTGATCATCCAGAAAACAAAGGGGATGAGAGCCTTGACATGAGGAGGGAAATAATCAAACTTAGAGAGGTACCACTCTCTTGTGGCTTTGCTCCTTCCCATCAGGTAGAGACTTGTCCCGACCGCGACGCAGAAGGAATAGAGCGTCTGAGAGATGAGGGCGATACCATAGAAGCCCAGAATCTCAAACAGATAATGAGGGCAAATCACCAGCTCAAACATCCCACCCTTGGGGATCTTGTACTCTTTCTTCTTGCCATCGTCGCCGGAGGATCTCAGCTTGGAGAGTAAGTAATGGTGATAGAAATTGCCAGCAATCCCGATGAGAAAGAGAACCACCCCGTAGAGCCTCAAATCCATGGCTGGCTCTGGGAGCAGGGCCTCCTGCGTCAAAATCTGGGTGTAGATTGTGAGCGCCGTAACGCTGAAGTAGCTTACGCTTATCGGAATCGCGGTGCCTGCGGCCATGGTGCCACTGTACTTGTGTACGAACAGCGTCTGCAATCAAGCAATTTCGACCACAAAACCATCAAAATTCCATTCGAAGAAAAGGGCTGGAGCTGGATTGAATTGGGACTGGTAGAAAGTACGTACCTCGAAAACCCTTTTGAAGAAATGTACGGCGAGGGCGGATTCGACCAGGAAGAGCCTAGAAGACGAAGCTCCGTCACCGCCATGGTGGAGGAGGAGCAGGGAGGACAAGGCGGCGAGGAATGCCGGAGTGTAGGCCACAAGCATCCCGGTTCTGCTGGGGAGGGAGGACCAGGACGGCGACGGCGAGGTAGAAGCGGATGGTTGGGCGGCGAACTTGGAATACTTCATGTGGTTGCCTCGGAGCTCCGACAAGCCGGCGTTTCCCAGGGAGACTACACCCACCACCGACATCGCGGAGACCAACAACGACGGCGGCGGTTGGAATATTACCCCTCTCACAAAACTCATCACTCCCTCCATTTCTATCCCAATTCCGGTTTCGATTTTCTTCTCAATTTGGAAACCACGGCACTACTCCTCGATCTGCTTCTCCTCTTCTCTTCTGGTTCTCATTTTCTCTGTTTTTCCTGTTCTTCAGGGGATTTGTTTTGGGCCATTTGTTTATGATGCACCAAGGGACTATTTAAGGGAGTATTTTGTTCTTCAATTACTATGTTAGGTTAATACAAATTTGTGTTTTGGTACAATCAAGTGTCACGTTGGAAATACAACAGGGGAAAAAATAATTTATCATATGAGAATTTATCTAGCTTCATTAGTTTAGGGTTTCTTGTAAAAGTATTCGTGAAAAAAAAAACTGCAATATAGATGTTGATATGACGTGAATCGAATTATTTTCCATCGAGCGAAAGTCACGGGTGTCTCTGTTCTGTGTTTATAAACGTTTGAGTTTCCGTTCTATGTCTAGTCAGTAAGCTTATTCAACGGAGAGAAAAAAAAATTTACGCTCTTTCAACCGTGAAATATTAACACAAGTTGTGTTAGCGAATAACGAATCACGTACATCTTAGCGTTCTTTATTTTCTTGCTATCATCGTCTTTCTTGTATTGTCAATTATGTCGATCCATCGTTGACACAAGATCTGTGGTGAACAATATATACTATTAATGTGTACAATACATATGTGTGTGTGAAAGTGAAATGAGCAATGGGTGGAGTTGGAATTTCCGTTACCACATAATTGTCGCTCCTTGCCGTGTAGTTGGAAACAACAAGCAGATGCAATAATACACTTGGACCACACATATGATCAGTCGAAAGAAAGTAACCCGTTTACACTTCTCTCATTTGTGCGGCACGGAATCGTGTACGTGTACCAAAATCACATATGAATCAATTATAATTTGATTCAATCTTGATTACATGAATTTCATAAATACTATTTTTTTTAATCATATTGACATTTAAACCGAAACAAAGTGAATTGCATTGTTGGTCGGATCCTTATCCTAAAATGTCTTTTACTACTGAGAAAACAAAGTGAAAACCCGCCGGTAGGCCTCTCTCCTTGTATATCATTCATTCGTGAAGATAAAATCATCCAACGACAAAGAAATATTAAATATGGGCCAAGGAAGAAAGGAAAGTGGAGAACAGAGCAGAGCAGAGCAGAACATCCCAAATGGACAAGTAGAAGAAAAATGTCATGCCTATACCCTCCTCTATACATTCCCCAAAATGAAGCCAAAAACAAAATGGAAAAGTAGTAGAAGAACACTGAAAGGGAAAACCCAAACACCCCCTTTCATTATGTACTAAGAATACAATATGTAAAAACTAAACAAGAAGAGAGAGCAGCTTCAACGGTTCATATCTTTCATTCTTCTTCAACTCACCCAACAGAAGGGTGCAAGAGCGACCTCCAAAAATACCAGAGCCAGTAAGCCAAGCCAGCCACCATCTCTTTCCTAGTGCTAAAGGCCCCTCTTTATCCAACTTTCTCATCTCTTCTCTCTCTCTCTCTCTGCTCTCTGCTCTCCTACCAAAGAAGAATTACACATCTAACCAGGCAACTACCATAACCACCACCAGAATTACTCTCATTTGGCTTCCACCCGAGTGTTTTTACCCTCTTTTCTTCCCTATTCTTCAATACACCATGAAACAACCCGGCCATCCCCATCGCCATCATGGTTTCCTAATTATATATTTTTACAGGCTTCTCAAAGGTGTGACGGTTCTGCAAAATCAGTGCCACAATCTGTAAGTTAAGCTTTCACAGAACGAAAGGGTGCGGCCAAAGTGATTATGCCAAGAAAGCAGAAAATTCTTTTATTCGAGCTAAAAGGGATGAACAAGTCTGTTATGTAAAACGTTTTGTCAATGAGAAATGAAAATGATGAGATGGTAGAAAGAAAGTTGAGTTTGGAAAACGACGAGAAAGTTGGAAATCAACTTTTTAATCATTTACAGGTTTTAGGGTGGGTAATATTTTTAAGGAATCGACGAGAAAGAATTATGTTGGTTTGAGAACGCAAACTCAACTTTTTTTTAAGCTTAAAACAAACACACCCTAAGTAGGGAGGGATATTAGAATACCTAACAACTATAATTTGACCATAATAGACACATTGCTCACCTGATTAGCTGCGTATGACCTTTTAGGAGCACTATCAGCATGCTCCAGTCCCAGATACTGCTCCCAAGCACCATATACGTCCCTTCTCTGCATTTATTAATAGAAAAAAAAGGTGAAAAAAGGTTACCATCAGTCCACCATTTACAAAATTACTGCTCGGTACATTATGCTTGTGGAAAAAAACTAACCTGAAATCGACCCGACACCACATCAGAGTCCTGAAGGTACTCCGGTCGGCCCAGTGACAGAAAAGCAAACTTCCACTGCCATATAAAATCAACCCAAAATATGTTACCACATGTGAGTAAGTAGCATTCTTCGGTATGTTGAACAGCATAACAAACTAATTTACATCGAGGTCATAACCAATCTTGTCCCATATATTTTTGCTCTCCTTCACATACCTTTGAAAACTCATCATCAGGGACCTGCAATTTTTGCTGTATGCGAACTTTTACTTCAGCTAGAGTCTCCCCCTCACGAATTACAAGGAAAAATGGTTCCCCGAAGTTTTGAACTTGCTATGATATCATAAGGAAAATTCACATTAGAGATTACCAGTAGAAAAGCAAGGTAAATGCATTGTGATTCTGCCAAGTCAAGAAACAAGAGCCAGGAGGTAGTACTTAATCTCAGAGAAAAAAGAAAACAGTCGATACATTACAGATTCAGGAATACACCAATTACCTGGTTTTGAGCCGTGTCCTTCATGAAATGGTACACATGAATCAAGCGGTCTTGAGGACCAATCTGTTTCTCCTCTTCGGGAATCTGATGCATTAGTCATACATCATTACCGCAAAGATAACCATAACAGAAAGACAGTAGAAGGAATTGCTATTATCAAACAGGAAACGAATCATAGATCTTGGTAGGCAGATTTATTTCCCAGTGCAGACAGGCAGAATACTAATCCTCAACCAAGTTTCTAGTGAACAATGCCTTGACAATCAAATTGAACTTGCAAAGTACTTAAACCAAACTAATCCTCCATTCTCATTATACAGCAAACGTTGATATAATTATCCTCCGAATATATACAGCAATCATAACTACCGGAATGAAAAAGAGAAAACAGATGGCAATCAATAACCACAAACAGTATTCAGATACCATTTTAGGTCCTTGTCTCTTCAAAAGGCCCCATCAAGAACACCATAGCAAACAAAAAGAATCATGATAGGTTGGATGCTAGTATGCTACAAGCCAGTTTGATTCCAAATATCCTGCCATACCCAGAAAGGTTTCTTATACCTCCAGTTGCTCCACAGTAATACCGAGCTGTTCTCGCCAAAGTTATCCCAAGACATTTAAGAGACTCATAATCCTCAAATATATAAGAATTATTATGTGCCTAGAGCAGCACCACCAAACAGATTCTAACAAGAATCGCCTTGTTCCATAACAAGTTTCCCAGTCAGGAAAACGTTGCCTAATCTATGTTTTGTCTTGGGCTATACTAAACTACATATTGGAACCTGTGTGGCTCTGCTCCTATATATATCTGGTTGTTTCCTTCAAATCAAAGCTGAAACTCAGCTTGGTTGACCACAGGAGAACTGTAGCTACCTAGCTTGTTTCCACTATCGATCTGAGTCAGAGGTTCTCAGTCGGTCATTTCTCCAACTGCACAAACCAGCTTAGGATAGTGAAAGCAATTGTCTAGGTTTTACAGCTTTCTTCCGTAGCGCAGAAGAAAAAAATCGACTTGATTCTTGGAAAGGAATATTAATTGATATTGAAGAAATATATTTACAATGAGACTAGCAAGTAACTTAAGATTAGCACACTAGGAAGTTCCATTCATAAGCCAGTTTGACATATTTTAAGCCTAAATGGATTCACGCCAAGTATTTGATCATGAGCACAAGAGCATGCAAGCACCCACAAACAAAGAGAGCAAGATATACCTCCTCTGCACGGAGCGTCCAGTATTGGTCATTGATATTTTCGATTTTCTCACTGGGTGGAAAGATCTGGAAATGCAGAATGGTTTATTAAATTCATCGAAGTCTATATATTGTAGATGATCAAGGTAAAAGACACGATAAACAAAACAAAACAAACACAGATTTCCAATGGCCTAACTACCCCATGGAGTAAAAGTGTGGCATCCAAAACAACAGCAAATAAGAAACACCTATATAAAAGGCAAATGAGAAATGGTACCTTGTAGATCTTGTGGTAGAACACCTCAAGCAATCTAAGTTCAGCATTGGGGTGAGACAATTCAACCTACACAGATTCGAGGAACACCAGATCGTTATGCTCAGTCATTCCCTATTACCTCAAAGCCCCAGAATGTAGCGAGAAGGAACCAAAGAAACATTTCTGGCAAAGTTGATACCTTTGTCTTGAGGTCATTGATGACATCACCTACCGTACTCTGCTTTGGCAGTCTAATGGTATGAATTACAACCTGAGGTGGAAGAAATTCTAAAAAATCAACCCACTATAATACAAATCACAGACCCAAACACAGAGCAAAATGGAAACTTTAAGACCTCTTCCTTGGTTGCATGATGAAAGGCAACTTTCAAAGTTTTCAGACCTTGCAGCTCCGGAAGAGGGATATCAAGCACTTCATAGTATAGAATGTCGGATGTCTGAAAGGGAAAACCTCATTTCAGTAACAGAGCATAAATACAAAGGAGTATCAGATCAGAAACTTAACTGTTGAATATGAGGATACCTGGTTGTAATGGACCAGCATATCAGACAAATGATCTACTCCTCGGTACTTTATGGGTTGAGGTTTAGGTTGCTGTGAATAACAATTATGAGAGGTAAGCCTTATTTTGGAAGGGTCATCCAAACCAAGATGATGGGCTACTCTTTCAACCACATCATCATAAGTGTGATTCTTTGACCTGAAAAGTAGAAATAGCAAAGGTAGATTATATAAAATGTACGAAGTTTGATCAAATAGTTCACATCACAGAATGCACTCACAGTTCCAACGAGAATTCGTCTTCTTTCGGTTTCTCCAATGATCGAAAACGTACCACCTGGATATACGATATACCCCAACATGTAAATCTACAATACTATGAGATATTTGAAGTTCACATAGCATCTCACAAGTAGATAGGTATCCCTACTCTACAAGCATGCACTTTAGTTCATCAGACATTCCGGAACAAGAGAAAAATACCAATTAACAGGTCCTATAGAAGACTGATGCACCTAAGCCCTGCAGAAATGACGGCTTGAGGCAGCAGCAAATTCTAGCAGGGAAAGAGCTCCAGAGCAATTAACTGAATAAAATCTGATCCCCTACAGGGATTCACAGAATATTGAAAATCTAAAACTAAAACCAACCAATAAAGTTTCAGTTCTATCCAGTGTAAAACTAACTGAAAGATAAGGATAAACAGGTGGGAAATGAAAAACAATTTAACTTTCAAAGGAAAAACTAGTAAAATCATTAGATGAAGTAAAACTGGATGTTCTAGAACAGTGTGTGTCAAAGGATCAGCATACCTGTCGATTATGCACATATTCAAGAAAAGAGGGCACATCCGGGTAGCGGCACTGTTCCCCGCTTCCAAGAGGGGGCTTCTGAAAGCAGACTATGTCCCCGTCTTCTAGCTGGACAGAGAGCAAATAGAAATAAAAACGAAAGAAAATAGATATATGGAGACTCTGGCAAATAAAAAATAAGCAAAAGAGCACCAACTTGCATACCTGGCTAGAGCGAAATGCTATCTTCTTGTCAATGGGTTCACACATAACTTGAGGTTCAAACTTTATTTCCTATACACAACACCAGTAAGGTAAATACTACAGCTAAGCAGTAGAAGTAGATGATTATCATTCAACAAAATTTTGACTAACCTCATAAAGTTCAATCTCTTGGTCAGGAGCATAGCCTGCCATTTCACTTAGCTTTGTCAAAATCTCCATGGGCTTACTACTTCCCTTTACAAACAGCCTCCCAATATACCTGAATCAGAAAGACCTGAACATAAGAAGCCATATCATAATCCTATTTACAGAAGATAATCGAAAAGGAAAGTACCTCAGTTCTTCCTTCAGTGGGTCGTAAAGTTTAAAGAACAGCAGAATATCCTCCTTTGTTCTATCGAGAGGAGCAATAGGTCGCAGATCCTAGATTACAACAAATAACTAAGATCATTATAATCTTACGTAACTCAACAGAGACAATATGATCAGAAAGAAAAAATAATGCGCCAGATAACAATACCGGTCCAAGTTCCACTTCCAGAAACAATTTTAGCTCTGCATTATTTGCTTTGTTAGATACTTCCCTCAATTGCCCAACCTACAAGTCATTCCTATTAGGAAAACAATACAACCGCAAAAACTTGTTGAATAAACACGCAAAGCACAGGGATATCACATAGTTCATACTGAGATATTTTACTCAAAAAAGTTCATTCAATATCTGCTTACAGACTGTGATTCTTCTTGAGGTGTTAATGGCCGATTTGGACGGTATGTATGGTTCTGTCTCTTTGCCCACAGCCAGAAACGTTGAAATTGAATTGGTACACCAAACTCTTTTGCAACTTCTTCCTACATAATAAAATCAACAATCACCAAGTCAATCACACAGTTACGACCACAACTTAAAAGATAATAGTTCTGTGAAATAGACATGCAAACTAACTAACCATAACAATCTACTTAAGATTGTGGTGATTTTTTCTATCATTAATTAAATGCAGGCACACGTGATGGAGATGCACATAAACAGGGAATAAACAACAACAAAAGTCGCAAACCTTGAGAACACAAGTCACTGTCAGTACTCAATAGAGTGGTAGAACAAGATGTAGTCGCTATTAAAAAGAATAGATGGCAAGGACAGAGGACAAAAAAGGATTTTACAGATTCCTCGAATTGGACGGCAACACTTTTTATCTACCCCGCAGATGTGAACTTACTATTCAATCAGAAAGAAGCAGGAGATAATTCAGTCAAAAACACTCTGGGATATAACTAGCTTCGACCCTGTCTCAGGTAGGCAGGAGAATTCAACATGTAACCTGAATTTTTTCAGTTATACTCCTGTCTCCCGGGTTACTAATGCATCATATAAAAGAATATACAAACACGTTTTAGATGCAAGTACACGCAAGTTCAGAGATTACGACAGCACCTTGAAAAGGGTAAAGGGCATCTGCTTCTGGATGCGAAAACTGCGAACTTTGTCATGATCCACAAGATCAAAATAAATATCCTTCCCAATTTGTTCAAGAAGATCCTCACTCCTTGCAACCTATGAAAAGAAAAGAACAACTCAAGAAAAAAGTCATATATTGGCCAGTGCTTTAAAGAAAAAAACTTAATTTACAAGAAAACAGAGGAAGGCATGCAAGCTTGCAGGTCAGTGCAGCAATGTTTGCAGAAAGTGAAAGCAGAAAACCTTTATGATAGTATACAAATGGGCCTCGGATTTTTCCTTTCTCTTTTGCTCCTTTTCTTCTTGTTCTTTCTTCAACCTTATCTGAATCACAATAAATGGACGTCATATACAAAGACATACAAAGTACAGCAAAATGACTTCTGAGGATTGATTGCAAAAATGTACAGCCTTACCCTCAGGTGTTCTGCAATGTCCTTCTCATCCACGTTACAGATTATCTTTTCCTTGTCACTTTCGCGTATATACACAAGCATATAAGCATTTGAATATTTTGTGAACTTAAAAGGAGAATTGTTGAAGCCAGGATTTGTCTGCGGTAACTGTTGCACAGAAAGCCAGCAAAATGACTGGCTATCCAAAGCCAAAGGGAAAACGGAAAACAAAATAAAGTGAAAACGATAACTATAGCATATAGGTCTGACCTCTTCCTCACCGCCATACTGCTCCTCTAATGCTCTTTTTATATCCTCCTTGGTTACCCGCTCATCATCAAACTTAAACCTGCACGCCAGAAAATTTCTCATGTTGACAGTCTGTTGGGGAGTTCGAAGCATCTCTGAACTCCCTTTTTTTTTCCTGAAAATATTATAGAAAAAATACCCACAATATACGACACACCAGAAGACAATGTAGTGACGAAGCACACTGCATAAACTTCCTAATGTAATGGTCGCAGAGAAAGATTCAGCCGAGTCAAAGAAACTGCACATTATGGCCTCAGTCCAAAACCACAGCTCCGCTTTAATGAGAGCAGGGAACAACAACATTTAAAGTGCCCCTCTGGTTAAAGTTGAAACTAAAGAAGGCACTCCATAGGTGCCTCTAGTTTGTATATAGCAGAAGAGAAGAATGATAGATACTAAGATAAGATCTGCAATGCAGATGGAGAATATCCAAAACCAATTGCAGAGTACTAGGAACAAGGGGGTGAGCTCGTAGTGATTGGTGAAAACACACAAAAACCAATTGTATGTGTTTGTATTTATTGATATAACTAAACAATTCAATAAATCAGCGATTCTATACCATTGATCAGAAAGCGTTGGTCTGATATAAGCATAATAGTGTCCACCATGCACACCACCACTGTGAACCAATACACTGCAGAGAGAAAATATAAGAAGATTGATAAGAAACAGTAAACCATATGCCAAGAAATTAATCTGTATATGGAAATTTACAAACTAAACAGTTATTTAAGAAAGACCAAAATCACGGACCAACCACTGTGAAAATAAGATGCTCAAATTCTCACGCCTACTGGAATTGACTGCATTCTAGAAGAAAAGAACGCCCGTAAAACAAACACACAAATGTAGACAGCAGAGCATGTCTAGTAGTAAAAAGAATTCAGCGTCTCCCCTTAGACTATGACTTCACAGGGAAAATGTAAACCAGAGTGTATTTTGCTTTTACGTGCTAGAGGTGGATACAAGATAGCCAAGCAACAAAAAATTTATTGAATGTGCTAACCGCAAATCAAAAGATACCCCAACCAAGCAACACAACTGAAGGATCTATTAACCTACATACTAAAAGAAAAAACACATTACAACAAGACATATAACCAAGGAGGATTTAAAAGTTGTAGTATATATGAACATGAATTAGCAACCGTGGCATATAGCCACGGGTGACACAGCTAGTGGTTTACTTTGAAGCAAGTGTCCACCCAACTGCCAGGGCTATATTTGAAACGTATGGACATACCCACAATTTATTTCCCGCTCCAAATACCACCCTCCCCAAGAAAAAGAAAAATCATTCGCTAACTTCTTTTGTTTACAATGACTGAGCACGAATCATGAATACTTGAAAGCTCATGCAGTGCAGTCTCATATAGTGACTTGTCACTAGTGGATGATTAAAAGCCACCATAAAGTGTGAATGGGAAACATGGAACAGCTCAAACCTGTGCAGAGTATAAAGGTTCCGGACGCTTCGGTCCGCATCTGGCGATAAATATTTTCCATTTTCTCTATCAAGATCAAGTTGCAAAGGGAACTCATAACGATCATTTATCTGCAGCACATTAAGACTTACATTAGCGTCAACCACAGTTTTACCCAATAAGACACGAGAACAAGGATGTGAAAACAATAGCTGTGCAAAACTATCCACAGCTCACCTTCACCATCGTATCTCGCATAAAATCATACTCAAATCTTTTCAACTGAAGTTGGAGAACAGGAGGAAAGTCAATAAATAGGACTCCCTTCTTTGCATCCTGCAACGATTTAGGGTAAACAAAGAAACCAAGAAATAAACTCAATCACAGAGATTAAGGAATTACTTCCCAAAAAATAAATATTTACTTCCAAGCAAAACAACAAGAAATGAACTTGGAAATGAAATAATATGTTATAAGGTTTTTATTGGTTCCAAACGGGCTGTTAGGTTTTGCAGTACTGGTATTACTCAGTTCACATTAAACAGATAACTTGCTAATCCAAGCTTCATAAGAATTTCCCACTTTTATGGTCCAGATGTTCCCTTCACCACAACTGCTTTAGTTCAAACCACCAATTCCTCAAACCCAGTTTTGAGCTTAAAAAGACCAGCTGACACTTGCCAGTAAGGCAGCAGCACTTCGTAATCATATATATCCTATGTTTAAGGCATCATGCATATGTTCTCACTTTACTGGAACCAGCGGTCAAATAGTACTGGACCAGCCATCCTAGTGTTAAACTATCGTGCTAAAAGCTGCTGTAGGCATAGTAGATGTTTTTATGGATTCAAGCCTAACAATCAGCAATATATCATTTCAGAGTATCAAATTTTATGTCAAAAATTTCAATATGTAAGTTTTTGAAACACCAAAAATTATCGGACGAACTCAAATTAAACTCCAGCAGAACCATTCTTTGATTAGCCATAGAAGGACTCTTCTCCAACTCGCATCTAATGACATTCGATTTCCATATGCTCTCTTTCCTAAAGGTCAGTCCCTCTCAAATCACTAAGGGGTTGGTTTCAAAGTCATTTCTAATCAGCAAGAATGCTGGACGAAGAATCTTGAGGAAACAGCCAGCTGAACAGTGGATGACACTCACCCACCATGGGAGAATGGGGATCAGACAGTTCTGTATAATCGATAGTCTGACATCTTAGATTCCTATAGAGGATTCCACAAACTAAGAAAATCACAACTAAAGCACGCACATAAAGTTAAAATCTTTTAACTAAGCTCTTCTCACAAAATCCATATGAAAACCCTTTCCCGCTCGGTAAGAAGATAGCCTACTGTCCTACGGGAGTGGAAGAGAATTCCCTAAGACCCAGAGCCGACAGAAAGAAGCAAGCATCTGACTTATGCTCTAAATCATCATCATTTTTGGCTAAGGCGTATATATCTATATCATAGCCCCCATCTTTGGCAAATAGGTAAGCTGTTAGGTCAATATCATTTAGAAGAGAAAAGAGAAGAAAGAAGACCGTTCTCGCCTAAGAGGTTTACACGGGCTAAGCCGAGGGAATCACCATTAAAGAAGCTGTTTGTGGAGATCTATAGGCTGTGTGTTGGGACAGTTTGCTTTTTCAAGCAAAAATACGGGGAAAATGAAAGAATGGCACAAGGGAGTATCCCGCCGGTCCCGCTATGAAGAGGAGTCGTAGTGTCTTCGTTCCACCCCAAAAAGGTAATAAATTACCCGGCGCAGTGTTGAGTTAGTATTTTAACGACCTGAGGCTCAGGGAAAAAAATTCTTTGGGCGGATCCTGATAAAAGAGAGTGTAGCTGCGATGCCCAGTAGCTGCCCGACTAAAGCTCTTATGAAGAAGTTTTCCATACGCATCTTACCTGCAGGCCATGTTGTTCTGCATGATATTTATTATCACCTTCAAGACTCTCCACTTCAACGTACTTGTCAAAAGATGCATATACATCTCGACAACCTTTGACATCAAGCTGAAGATCTGAAGTTACACGGAAGTAATCAAATGATTTAGCATGGGACAAGTCTACTAATAATGAGTTCAAAATATCAGGATTTTTACCATAAAATGATTCCTTCCTAGTGGACTTGTAATCCACATTGATGCACTCTATATAATTCATATGGTGCCCTTCAAACAACTGTTGTATTGTTCCCTCTACAACAGTTCCCTGAACAAAAAAAAAAAAAAAAAAAACAAAGACTAGGTCTGTTAACATTCGAGTGAGACAACAATGAGCATGACGAGCCAAAGCTTTTCATTCCCCTCGTCATACCTTCATTTTATCTTCAAGCTTTTCACTAAGGACCCTATTAAGTTCTTGCACATCATGCTGCATGAAAGAATCGTAAGTGTCCCACCCAAAAGATTTCGTCAGCTCTTTTGTTGCTACACTTGTTTCACTGTACTGAAGTTTATAAAACAAACTCTGCAGAGCGAGAGGGATGCTTCCTGATGGCATGTCATTCTCAGTCGTGGGCATGTGATACACAGCCTGAAATTACATTCCAGCCATAAGGCTTTGATATATTTCATATTTATTCATAGCGAAAATAAGCAAGTTTCACATGTTCAGAAACTGAAGGTATAAACAAACCTTTCTGAAGTAAGGAATATGGTAGAGTGTCTGAAGAAGAGAATTCATGTAGCATGTGGCTCCTTGGTTCTTAAGTCCAACATAGCCAGTCTCCTTTTTAGAATCATGGGACCAATAATCCATAATTTTACGGACAGCGACATCTGCCTCTACTATGCATGTATCATTAACAAGATAACCTCTGCCAGGGTCATATAACTCCCCAAGGGGCATGAATGAAGTAAATCCCCAGTCACTCTCACGTGCATTGAACTGGTGTTGTGTCTCTGCAGGAATAAAAGTTTCCAAAGTTTCAGTTTATATAACAACCAATGGTAATATTCAAAAATCATGTTTTCAAACTAAGTATTTTTCCACCCATCATTTTATCTCACACCAAAGGACCAGCATATCATTGAAGTATTGTAACTATATACAAGACACCATCAACGAGGAATAGTGTTCTGGATAGGGAGAGGAAAGGGTAAGGCAACAGATCTTTATGTGAAAAGGAAGCAGGGTAAGCAGAGAATCACAGATGCAACATAGGACATGGTCTTACCTACAAACTACTTTTTCCTGACTCAAAATTTAATATGAGAAATGAGCAGGCAATAGGGTAGATGAAGGAACGGGTTCATGTTGCAGAAGGTAGACACTTACCATACATATGTATATATACATATGCAAATATGTCTTTGCCATAAGAAAAAGACACAAACACACTCTACATAACAAATCACTAATAAAATAATGTTTCTGTTATAACAAACCACTTCAGCATTAGAAAGAACCAATAGCTGGTTTTCTGAAAACATCCTCTGAAGAACAATCGGACGGATTGCTGACATCAAATACTGTTGCCCTTCTCATCAGAAATGAAAATATGTGCATCTCAATCATCCAAGAACCCTATTAATGATTTTCCACATGCCTGTGTGCCTTGATACTGAGCCAAATATCTATTATAAATTTTTACTTCTATCTCGTTCAAACTTGTTTGACCAAGACTTGTCAACAAGTGTCATAATCACAATATTTAAGAACAGCCCTAAAATGGATAGAAAATGGTTTACATCATTGAGCTGCTCTCATATAAGTTCACGGTCTTTCCCACATCAACATTCCTTGAAACTGAAGTTAACTTCAACACACGTAACTGTCGACAGCTTGAGAGGCTCTAGTGCTTGTAAGAATACCTCCACTCTTTCAGTATCCCCCACTAAAAACCAATAGACGACTTCATCCACCAAGTTAATTTCAGAAAATAACTCTGCATTGCCACATAACCAAGCATATGCTATCACCAAGAGAACTTTGTCTAGGACAAAGCTCCATCACCGAAAACTCCAGGCCCTCAAGCAATCTAATCTAATTCAAGAAATATAAACCTTTGCATCAACATCCACCAGCTAGAAGGATAGACCATTTAACACTCATCTGCAAACCTCAGAAACGCTCCACATATATTGCAACACGGGAGAAAAAAGGAAGTCAAAACAGAGACTAATCCCACATTACTTCTCTCTACCATCCCGCAAAAGAAATCCACCTTGAAAGTATCCATGGCTTCCATCTGGTTTGTATGCAACAAAGACTAGAGACATCAGAAGCTGCTGTCTTTCAAGTATAACTTTACGTTGCACTTGCTCTAAGTCACACAGCATCTACTTTCCTAAACCATACACTCTATTTAAAGAGTAGTTCAACAATGAGACAGATTCCAGGCATGCGTACTAGGAAGGAACCAGGCGCACTAATATCATCGAATGAGACAAGAACTAAAGCTCAAGACAACAATTAAAAGTATTCAAGACAATACATGGTCACCGCCAAAATGAATGGATGGACAGCTACCTTTCCGAACGGAGCCCTTTTGGTGAATTTGATTTACAACAGTCAGGCTGAACTGGGCATAACGACTCCAGCCATATGGCAGAGTTCCGGAGTCTGCAACATCTAGGTACATGGACAGATGATCCACATTGTTACCCTTGGGAAAAATCAGTATTCGCCTACATAAGCAATTTAGTTCATAAGGCTAGAGAGCAAAAAACATATAAACAACAAGCGGAAAGATTATGTAAAGCCAACAAATAAAAGAGGGTTTGGCGTACCATTTATAGCCTCCAACAACAAAAACATCGGAATAGAACTTCTTGGTGTTGAGCCTCGAAAAGTTGTCAATTGTCCAGGTAAACCTTGCTGATGGTGGATCATCAACTGACTGAGCATCAGCTGTAGTTGCTGGTTCAGCTGGCGCTACTGAGGATGGTGAAGAGAAATTAAAAAAAAAAATGAATGAGATATGGCATTGATTTTTTGGAGCAGGCTGACAAAAGCACCGAGGAAGTAAATGCTCTTGCATGCTTTGTACAAGCTAACTTAACTGATGAAATTCTAATTTCGTTCAACCAGTTAGGTGCAATGCAAATGTGCATACTCTCCCAAAGCAAATAATGGCTAAAACACTCACTAAAATCACTACTGAAGTGTCTCACTAATAATAAACATTAAAAATTTAGGATCTTCCTTAATAAAGAGGCAGCAGAAAACAAAATCATTCCTCCAACACAAGCTCTCCACAAAGCCATCAGAAAATAAAACGGAACTACCCAACATTATCCTCATTAAACCCCGTATCCGAACCAGTTTGACCACCTGAGATCTCAAACTCTGAATCCGATAGCAAAGTTAGTAAGGAAGAAGTAAAGGATGGCAGAACACGGAAATCAGAGCAATCAAACACAACAGTCGCAGCTCAACTGACTCTATACAGAAAAGAGGTACGTAACAATCCCGGGACGCACCTTCCATGGGTTGGGGACCTTCCGTGACGTCGGTGTGGGGGACCAGCATCTCGTCGTCCTCTTGCTGCTACAAAAATTTTGACATTGAAGAGCAGAGTTAATACAAGAACACGGATCTGCCGATGAGAGAAAACCCTAGCAGCAAAGCCATTCGGTGCGACAGCGAAAGTGAGCGAATTCTGGTGATTGAAGTAACGAAAATCGTCGAATGAAAAAGCCTAACCATTCAGAAATCTAAATTGGATTGAATTGGAACTAAACCAAAGCTAAATGCCAGAGAGAGAGAGAGACAGGGTGGGGAAAGTTGGAAGAGAAGACACCGGCAGTAAAGCATATTGGGAGAGGCGACAGTAGAAGGGAGGAGTTTCAGAGGTAGGAATTACATCCAACGGCGGAGGAGTCATCAGAGTCATAGCTGGCGAGGGGAAGGCGGCCGCCGATCGACGTAAGTAGAAGACGTGGACGCCACCGAGCGCGGGAGACAGAACCAGAAAGAGAGAGAGAAGAGAGCTCTGAAGCGAAGACGATGGATGTGAAGCGAGCCAAGAACCGAAAGTCGAAAACGAAGCGGAGACAGGGGCTTTGTTCGAGGAGGGGCAGTTTGGGGATTTCGTTAAGGTAAGCTGGGGAGGGCTCACCTGGCCGGGAGAAATGTGCGAGACACGAAATACCGCAGGCTTGTAATTAACTGAAGATTTGCTCGTATTTACGGAACATGCCATTCGTCGAGCAACAAGCAAGAACTGGAAGAAAAGTCGCAAGTTTCTAGATTTTATACAAATAGTCTAATTTGGATTCCATTTAAAAAACAAAGTAATAAGTTTAGAATGAAAGTTGAAATAAACACCATTTTTTTTTGCCATAGTGAAATAAACACCATCTTGACTTCAGTATAATTTCCAAAATGTGAATCATAAATTAGTAGAATTTAAAATCACAAGGATTGAGGAATTTTTAGATTTATCTGTTTATTGTATTTATTTACACATCTAATTCGTTCACTTCATGAATTTAGATGATGGATTTGGGTCTCATTCAATTTAACGTGGACTTTGCAAAAAACCATTGTTTGCTAGAAATTTGTTGAGGGTAAAATTCGTGGAGTCCATGAAAATTGAAGGTGCAAACTAGTTCGTAGATTAAAGTAACGACGACAGGATACATGTTTGAAGGAAAATAAAAAGTATGAGAACAAAAGTCAGAATAAATGATAGAATGCACTCGAGTTTAGGCATAAACTAGTTTTTAACATGGTAACAGAGTCTTTTGTGACATAAATGTTTTTTTGTTCGAATCCTGACAACACCCATTTGTTGAGCAGATGGTATTCCGACATGTACAAATTTCAAACTCAAACACATAAGTATGCTTTTGCTCTAGAGGGGGTCATGTTAGTAACAACATAATAAGATCCATTAATCAAACATAGCTCAAGTATTCGGATTATTGAGATTAGCTAGTTCTTAACATGTGATCGAAACCTTATATATCCGAGAGGTTCTCTTCGAATTTCGATGACCCCCCACTTAGTTTACAACACGGCCTTTTAATGCATGTGCAGACTTCGAATCCTTCCAAATATTGTCTTTGAACGAATGACCTGAACAAATATCGAATAAACTCCTCGAAATATTGTCTGTCTTCGAAATTTGTTAAATTTATTTGTTCTCATCGCCAATTTCTCTCCTACCGTACCGGAGGAATTATTATTACATCATCATTTCTTCTTCCATTTCATTGAAACGGCTCAATAAGTCCAGTCCTCAGGCAAGCACAGCCCCAGGGGAAGCAGCTCATCAGGGAAGTAGTCGTCGTCTTTCTTCTCCCTCGTATTAGACGTCTCGCCTCCATTCATAATCAAATGCTTCTTACCCACTCTGGCAGCACCAACGACAACAGCCCGACAAATGGTTGATGTTGGTGACGGTGGTGGTATGGGAATGCGAGGAATGAAGACTCCAGTCCCTGCCTGTATCCTCGCCGGAGTCAGATTCTCGGCGTACCGGAAGCGCTGTCAAAGAAGAACAACATCGGTTTTCACGATGAGTTTTCGTGTCTGCGTAGAATTTGTAAATGATTTTCGTCGTAAATGGTGATATGATGAGGGAAACTTTACCCAATGTTGGATCGGTAAAAAGGGACCAGACCGATGTTGAATGCCGCCGGAGAAGACAAAGCTACCGGTAGGGCGAGGTGGGCGACATGTGTAATCGAGCATTGGTACTATTTTTCCACACAAGACCTATACATATACAAAGGTTAGTACAAGAGTCACAATGTGTAAAACACAGGGCTAATTCAATTATGTGTGTGTTTATTTTGAATTGGGGTAGGTGAAAAGAGAACGACTCAAAGGAGTAAAAGAGCGTCACGTGGGAAAACATATCAGGGTCGAGTGACAAGCGCGTGTCGCGTGATGTATATAAACAAAACGCTTGAAAAGGAAGAGCAAGATTTATTATGGTAGAAGAGCGCTAGCATGCATTTCAACGATTATGTGTATCTGGGACATGGGAACGACAACAGGCAGGCCGCGAGCAAGACAGTATTGACAAATCTGTGAATGGACATATCATTTTGTTTAGGGGGTCTGAACGTAGGGTTTTTCGTTGCCAAAATGAAGATTCATGTCTTGTCATACATGCGACTCGATAAAACACTTAAACCAGCACATGTGAAACTAGAGCAAGGGTGAAACATATCAAACCAAATTTATCATCCCCTAATTCAACTCTTGAAATCAATCTTGAAAAAACTTTGACATATTGACGCACTCTAAAATATAAGGCCCCTCGTACATCAACAAAACTAGAGGCGCGCGGATGAAAGACTTGTTTTTTCCTAATAAAATATTCATCTCCCTACTTAGTATTTCTTTCCGCTCCACTTATCCGTTACGAAAAATATTTGACCGTCACATACGATGAAACACACATAAAAGGCAAATGATTAAAAGTTGTTTCAACATCTAATACCAAGAAGAATTGGTATTCAATCGAAAGAAGAGATGGGTGATGAAACCTGGTCTTTTGGTGGAGTATTCCGACCATGAAGTCTCCCAATTACCGGAGTTCTCCAGACCTTAGAGGGAATCAAGGGATTCTTGAAAGTGATGGATTTTGGCAGTGGCTTAGGGTGATTTGAGGGAGGTGAAATTTCGACCATAACATCAGAAGGAATCATACACTCTAGATCCTTCGAATCTAGGGTGAAGTCTTCCATTAAGGACACTACCAAGCTAACCAGAAAGAGTGACACTTCTACCACCATGGATGAAACACAAACCAGTGAAGAAACTGGGGGTTGGATGAGAAAGAAGTGGAGAATAGCACCCCTTTTTATAGAGTTCTAGTAATTGGCTGGGATTCTCATTTACATGGTATGTATGCATGTTTATTACTTCTCACAATTGTGATTTTTTGTTGTGGTATCATTGAATGCAGTTGGTTCAATGTACTCCCAGGTAAGCAAAGGATTTTTTGGGAAAAAAGTTGATTAGCTTGCTAATATGATTGGTGGGTTGCGGGGGGGAAAATATGTTATGTGCGTGAATGGTGTGAGCGTGGGTTTTTCTTTTTGTCAAACGATGTGTCATGAAACGTCACTCTTGTTCAAAATAAAGATTTCTGGGAAGCATTGCATGGAGAGTATAATTGAGTGTAGTGGAAAGGAAAATAGGTTGGTGTAGTCAAATCTTTGACTGTCGTAATAGCAAATACTTTTAAAAAGTGCATAAAACGTCTAAACGTATTTAGAATTTTGACAAATATGATCTTTCCCATTAAAATCATGCTCTTTGTTTAATGCATTTGTTTAATGACATTATGATTTATGTAACGGTGCTCAATTTGAGTTGAGGTGGACTAGACAACCTGTCTCCATGGGAGTCTCATTTTGGTCTCTTATTGTCAAGGGCACTAAGGCCACATTGTCAAGTTAACAAGAGCCTTTTTGGTATTGTCAAGAGAATAAGATATAGGAGTTACACGATTAATCAAAAAATGATGCGTTCTTTTCTTTGTCGAGCTTCGAATCCTTGTGACACAAGGATTAGAGGTAATAGAGGGTAGACCCAAGAAGGATTCATGTTCCTAATAGCCCAAACCCCCAAATGCAGGTAAACAAAATTGTAGATTTCGCTAAATTCACCTGTTGCTCACTCAATTCTTCATATACACGCATGAGACACATAAATGTCGTTCATAATTGCCGAGAACCTCATAAAAACAAGTAGGAATCATATGAAAAAAACAGCCAGACACCAATGATCTAAATACAGACGCATTTCAAAAAGGCCATACTAGAGACTGCGATATCATCCTAAAAAACCTTCATTACAGATGGCAAATCGAAGGGGAGAAAGAGGATCCCTGGTGAATCCTTCAACGCATTTCTTAGCTCGTAATTTTTTTTAGTTCCCTGGTAAATTTGCATGGCCACACTCCTTCGCCGGAGAATGGTTAATACTTAATAACATAGGCAATTGAATTCTTACCTCTAACCAGTCAATATCAACAACAGGTTGCCCCCATGAACAATTGAACCTAATGGCCATTTTAAAATTAAGTCCCACTAGGAAAAAAGAACATTGAAATTGGAATCCATCTATGTCCCCTTAGTTCATTGGAAGCTGATCAACCCTCTTGAACCAAGTCCTCGCCAACTTCCCAGTGAAGCCATAATCCCCAAACAACACATCAGCAACTCCTTGACCTTCAGAGCCAGGAAGAAATGCTATCGCCAGAGCATCCATTACTGGCAGGAATGGCCCTAGCACTAGGTGCCGTCCTGAGATAAGAATCACGATACATTTGATCCCGCTGGCACACTGTTTCCTGATGATATCCTGGCTCGGATGAGAAATGGTCAGGTTCAGATTGTCACCTTTGGTGTCTGCGTATGGCCTCTTCCCCACCACTGCAATTGCAAAGTCTGCATCTTCGTTGGCCTTGAGGAACTCGGGGTTGGCTTTCTCATGGAACGCAAATTGTGTGCTTGGATCCACCGTCTTGTTAATCGCTGCAAGAATGGTAGTTCCAGCAGACAATCGGCATGTGTTACAACTTCAGTTTCCATTCTCATCGTCTTCGTCTGCACTAAATGGTTGGATGTTGGGTTGCAAATCAATAGAGCAGAGAGTGATGATGGTGAAGGCATCTCCTGAAGTCCTGTCATTGCCAGAGTATCCCTGCCATTCAACAGTCCAGCCGCAGCATTGATATCCCAAATTGTTAGCATGGGATCTCACAACAATAATCTGAATGGCCTTCTTAGGTAGGGGCAAGATGGGTTGATTCTCCGCCTAGCCCATTTTCAAGACCACAAGAGATTTCCTCACAGCTACTCTGGTCAATTCCCAGCGCTCCTAAATTAGGACGTTTCAGTTCAGGCAACCTGTTAGAATAATGGTTCTGGCAGAACTCAATTACGAGAAATGTAAGGGAGACAAGAATCAAAAGCGCTACTCATCTGTTTCCCAATCATATCCACCGCACTGTCGTCATGATTTGGGTTATCAAAGAGGCATAACAAGAATTTGACACTCAGGATTCTGGTCACAGCATCTTCAATGCGACTCATTGGAATGACTTTATCATTAACTCATTGTGTCAGGTTCCAAATGGATGCTGCAAAAATGTCAGGAATATGATCTGGTGAAAAAGAAAAAACAAACATTTAACTGTTGGATATGCTTACTCTTCCGCTTCCGCAGGTACAATTTGGGCAATTAGCATAGTAACTACTATGAATGCCTGGACGGAGTAAGTGTAATTGCCACAAGGTGGATTAGTGATCTTGTTAATCCGAATTACGAAACCCTGCAACCCATTAGTTGCTGCACCCATTAATTAATGACGAAAAGCCGCATAAAACTGTCATAGTAGTTGCTGTTGTATTCTGTACCTAGAACTTCTCCATGAGAAGGACGATCGGTTTTGATTGGCATGCATCTTTACCCCATTGATGCCTGAATAAGATATTACAACTGTGGCAACACCTTTCTGGATCGCCAGATCCTAAGAGGGCATGAGGATAGCCATCAAATCTTTCATGTGGATGATGGTGTTGTTTTCATTGATGTCCCGGTTTTTTATTGGCATGCATCTTTACCCCATTGATGCCTGAATAAGATATCATAACTGTGGCAACACCTTTCTGGATCACCAGATCGTAAGAGGGCATGAGGATAGCCATCAAATCTTTCATGTGGATGATGGTGTTGTTTTCATTGATGTCCTTCACCGTGCTTCCATCACCAATATAATGTTTGGCACAACCTGTCACCAATCTTCTTGACAAGAGCAGTATCCCTGGCTCAACAAATGCAGATACTGTGAAAATAATACTGATGATTACGAACCACTGAAACGACGTTTGCGTAGTTAGGAGAACATTTCACTTGCCTGATAACCCCAAGATTGACATTATGAGGGAAAATGGTGGCATTAAAATCATTGTTGTCTCCATGAACAGCATCGATCCCACAAATCAAAGGTATCCCCAGTCGAAGTTACAGAGCAAATGCAGATACTGTGAAAATAATACTGATGAATGATGATTACGAGCCACTGAAACGACGTTTGCATAGTTAGGAGAACATTTCACTTGCCTGATAACCCCAAGATTGACATTATGAGGGAAAATGGTGGCATTAAAATCATTGTTGTCACCATGAACAGCATCGATCCCATAAATCATAGGTATCCCCAGTCGAGTTTACAGAGATCCTTTCTGAAACTTGTTGATCATGTCCACCCAGTGCTCTGCAGATGCATCTTTAACAGGCAAGAGTCCTTCCACCAGTCAACAAGCTCCCTGAATTATCATTATTGTATAATTTGCCATATAAGAGTAACTTACAATATGAAAAATTCAGGGCGGTGGCACATGCATATACATAGAGACATACCAATGTAGTACTTCTCCATGATCTCAGCAGTGACAACTGGTACCTCAATCAGAGTCATCTGACCAATCTTTTCTTCAAGAGTCATTCACCCAAGATCAGTAATTCTATCTTCAACAGGCACCTTAGGATCTTTGTATTTCACATTAACATCCACGGCCCTAGTAACCTTGCTGCCTGCCTCACATGTCCAGCAGAACAAAAGGAAAAGACTCAAAGTGCACAGTCTCATAGTGTTCACCATCTCCAGTGCTATTTTTAGCAGAGTTTCATTTGCACGACAAGAGATCTAGACATGCAACTGAATAAAACCTATTTTGACTGATATAATAACTGACTGAAAGAGAATGGGAAGAGATAGCAAATGTAAACAACCTAAATGGGCAACATTTATGCATATTCACAAGGAGAGATCAAGTAGAGAAATCAAATATGAATCTTTCCCACGTAGAAAATGAATTGTGGTCGAACTGAAGGAGTGAATCCTCAAACATTGGACTAAGCTGAACTTACAAATCAGAATCAATATATTGATCTATTGTAGAACATTGCGGTTACATACATATATCATATTACTTAAGGACCCACTAAGCCCATCAAATGGCATATTTCATTTCCATAAATCTTCGATATACAATGTTGTATGCCAGCTGTATCTTGAATCGAACTTACATCTCTGCAAACTTTAATATTTATAGGAGTGCTACACTTAGTCTCGCAGCATATGCAGGCTACAACCATAACACTCCATGCTTGAACGAAATGATGAAATGATAAAAACGAGAAAGTAAAAGAAAAAGAACAAAACATTCAGGATAAAGTAAAAGCAACAGAAGGAACTAACTGATTACCCGAAAAAAGAAAACAAACAAACTGATGAAACTGCCAGTGTCTACTATTAACCAATCCTTTAACTTTGCATCACCTACCCAAAGGGTCCGAACCAAATGGGTTCTTTTTCCAAAAGAGAAAAAAGGAAAGAAACTAACTCTGGGATGTTACCTTCTTTCCCCCCCGCATGTTGGGGAAAACTACAGCATCCCTTTACAATTTATAGAACCCATTACGCAAAGAATAACCAATCCCAACAAATCTTCTCCAGAAAGTTGTACCAGGAAAAGAAAACAGTTCTATCTATCTAATGACTTCCCTAAACATCTCATCAGTGGATAATACCAGAGGAAACTTAACTAAAAAACGAGTAGTGTGCAAATGTGCCTTATAATGCTATAGTAGCCACTGTTCTTAAGTGTTGCATCAAGCATAACTAGTGTAATTCACCCTTGTGACATGGCTCAGCCAAGTGAAGCTAATTCACCAACCCCTCTTATGAACAAAGATTATCCGACTTCCAATTCTAGTTCAAAATCTCAGCAATTCCTAATCCCTATTAACAGTTATCCTCTCAAAACTAATCTTGCATACCAGAATTATACTGCACTGCATACAAACTAAACCATGTGCAAAGATAAAATCTCTGCAACGAAAGAGAAGATTTTCACCGATGAAATGACAACGGAAGAAAACTGGAGGAATAAATCATACGTCATGCACGGTTGAAGAGAAGATAGCCAAACAGACCTGGATGCTGGAAACCTCTGTGCTAGATTGGCTGAAGTAGCGTCCTACTTGTTGCTACTGCTGCTGTGACGATGACAAAAAATAATGGAAACTCGAAGTCGGATAAACATGTCGATGATAAAGAAGCACATCTGTTGATTGGTGAAATCCGTTGTGATTAAAATTAGTAACTGAAGAAGAGCAGAAACCAGTGGTTCTGCAGGTAAACAGAGAGGCCAAAAGTGCAACAGGGTTCACGCTTTGTGGAAACTTGCATTCATATTTCTATAGAACTGAGCAGAGACATTGACAAGCAACACGGACAATTACAAACCCTTGGTCTGCCTCTCTCTATATATCTCTCTCTGATCAGTCGCAACTGGCACCCTTATGCGAGCACAGGAAACACCAGATTTTCTAACCTAGAAGCTTGGATAAAGAACAATCTCCCAAAACCGGAAGCTCAAAACAAACAGAGTCAGGAAAAAACAAGAATGCACATGACCTAACAACGCCTATAAAATATTTGGGAGCTGAGAATCCAATCTTTGCTGCAACTCCTTGATCTTCATCGAAAGCTCTGACTTCTGCTCTTTGTAATTCTGCAACAAGTATTCCTTCCCTTCTAACACTTCCTTCAATTCCCCTACTTCCCTCCTAAGCATCTCGACCTTCTCCACATCCATCCTCCCTTTCTCTGGAAACTCAAAGGTACTTTCACCATCTGAATACCCATTAGCATGCCCATTTCTTACCTCAGGTGGCCATACAGTGACAACTGACGGTTTTCCATCACCGTTTGCATGTTTCAAACAATGATCGGCAATGGCTTTTCTCAGCCTCTGGATTTCTCTCTCCGAATCTAACAAATCCTTGTTAGCAACATCAAGTTGAGACTGCAAATTATTAGAAAATCCCAATTGAGCATTGACTGAATTCTGTAACTCCACAATCTGATCCTGCATCTCAATTATCATGTCATCCCTTCTTTTTAGTTGCTGTCTCAGCTTTTGTATCACTTCGCGCTTGCTAAATATGTCCGAACCAGACTCAGACACACATGGCGAGTCAGAGCAGTTTGAATGGTGAAATGGCTTTGGCGGTAACTCGAGACGTTCAAGAGATGAAACCCACATAATCCCATTCTCTCTTGAGTATTCTGGGGCATTGACTGTGACCAAAGGGAGTGCACCATCAGTTTCAGACAGCGTGTGATCATTGGGAGGGTATTTTACATCTGTGATACCTTCATTCCCTGCCTCGAACACAAACCACGAGACAAAGGAGGAATGAAAATATTTCAAATAAACGCACAGGTGTCAAAGCATATCAGTGATCCACATAGACGAAATAGGAAGACGTTTCTGAATATTCCTCAAAAGATATATATCATGAGTAGCAGTAACAAATATTTTGATGCGACACAGCATGGAATATTTTGGGTTACTTCCTCAATACGATACCAGATACCATAAATTGAAAAATGAAAAAAAGTTATCCATACCGGAAGCAGAATTGAAATAACTATCATCATCATGTGTAAAGGAGTAGACATTCGGATGCATATGGCAAGCTGACGATCTCCTTCTGTCAGACAATTTCTCATTTCCTGAATTGCAGAAATTCAAGGTTAAGCGGTCACAACAGAGGGAACAAATTTATAACATGCATTAACAAGAGCACGGTAGACCATTACTAGCATTTGTTTCTCTCCTAGAATCAAGAGTCTGCTTCAGCTTAGAGCCAAGGCGGATTGTCAAAGTACTCAACAAGGCACCACCTGCAATGAGAATCCAATTTGGTCCTCCACCTTCAAACCTTTGCTCCCTCTGACTCCTAGAAACCCCATTTGATCTTGGTCTCATTTTAATAATAAGTTAAGCTGCAAGGTAACTTTTCCAATCATCCAAATAAGACCTACATAAAAAAAGGGGGCTTTCAGACTTCATTACCCAAGCAGGATACTTTCCAAAAAACCCAAGCAAGAGATGATTGTTGATTTGTTTCCGTGCATATAGAACTTTTATTACAACAGGCTGAACCAGTAAACTTAGTATCGAGCATTGTGGCCATCAGTAAATGAAGAACACTGCCAAAAGCCTTTCCAGGACCAACCTTTCCAACAGCTTCCCCAAACATGAAAACCGAAAATGGACACTCGCCCAGAAAAAATATGGACGATATCAGTTGAAACGGTGACATTAGACCTTACTGAAACATCTGAATCGCAATAATCATTTTCAACGAGTGCGAACTCCTAAAGAAACGAACCAAGAGCTGCTTAATTTTGTACCCCATTAGGCGATTAATCAAACAAACAACCCAGGTTCTGCCAAATACAAATGGGGCAGGTTCTCCGGCGACTGATTTCTACTGACAGCCGGAAACACATAGGATTACGGCAAGGAGGGAAATGAGTTTCGGTACCTTACACCTCCGACATTGAAAGACGGCAGTGACGGCGGACTAGGCTTTGACTACTTCTGCGGCAGTGAAGGCAGTTGAAGATCGGGCGAGAACAAGGAAATGGAATGGGATGGAATGAGTCTGAAGCGCGAGTGAGACGACTTTCCAGGGCGACGGAGAGAGAGCGATGGCAGCCTGGCAGGGCGAAATTCCAGCGAGACTACGACGAATTGACGAAAAGGATGAAAGATGCCGGCTGATGGCTTGGTTTTGGGAAGGCGGCGGCGCTGTGATGGCGACGTCACCGCCGGCGAGTGGAGGATGGCGACGGCGAGGGAAGGCGGGGCCAGGGAGGATGGGGAAGTGTTCGTGGCGAAAGAGTGGCTGAGTAATAAATGGAGAAGCTGCCGCAATTTGAGAAACGAACTAGGTTTTCTATTTTCTTTTCCTCCTATTTCTAATTTTCGGAAATTCCTTTCTCATTTTTTGCTTGGGAAAGGTTGCAAAAAGAAGACAAAACAAATAGGATAATGAGTAATGACTACTTTCAAAAAAAAATTCAATTTTTTTTATTAGTCAAATCTATCGAAATACTAAGAATTAGCCAAATGTTAACTTTACGTCAGCGATTTTGTTAGTAATATTGACTTGGCAACATGATACTGACTTGGAAGAGACACATAAAGGTCACCATTTCAAAATTTTCGTATTTTAATTAAGAAAAAGTTACAAAATTATTAACAATAACGTAAAAATGACTAATATTTTGATGCATTACGAAAGATTTGGCTAATTAAAATCTTTTAATAGGTTTGGATAATATAAAAGAATCTGAAAAAGGTTTGGACGGAGAGTGACCAAACTTAAAACATTTAATTAATCTTAGTGACCATGAATGCAATTAAATATTTATAGTGACTAAACATGAACATTTTTAGTAAACCAACGTTGCAATTTACCCTAGCATAAACCCTGCGTTTTGGTCAGGTAGTATTTTATACCCCTACTATTACAAGTTAACAAACATATTTATCTATTATATTTTTGCACAAACGTGCACATATGTTATGAGAATGTAACGAACGTACCCTTCCATATAACAATCCGTTAACGAATCGTTAAAGGGGATGGAAAATGTCCAAATTGCCCCACTTATTAAATTAAGTTTTTCTCTTTTTCAACCAAATTAAAGAAAGAAAAATAAGTGGAAGGAGAAGAAAAATAAATGGTGATATCTATTTTTTATCCAAATCTTTTTCATATTCTTTTATATTATTCAAATCTATCGAAATATTAAGAATTAGTCAAATGTTAACTTCCAGTTAGCAATTTTGTTAGTGATATTGACTTGGCAACATGATACTGACTTATAAGAGACACATGAAAGTCAACATTCCAAAATTTTAGTATTCTAACTGAGAAAAGAGTTACAAAATTATTAACGATAACGTAAAAATTGCTAATATTTTGATGCATTATGAAAGATTTGGCTAATTAATAGCATTTTAATAGGTTTCGATAATATAAAAGAATCTGGAAAGGATTTGAATAAAAAATAGACAATACCCAAAAATAATTTTTGAAGTTATGTATGAAAAATAAGGGTAAATACTATTTTTTAGCCAAAATTTTTCCCCATTCCGAAATATTAGCCAGTAATTAGAGACAAGGGCGGCTGGAGTCGGAGGGAGAAGGATAGTCTAGGAGACCGCCACCAATTCTACCTCCAATTATGCCTTGCGGCGATCGAGATTCGAGTTCTTTGCCGCCCGTCGATGTGAGATTCGAGTTCTTGGTCGAGCCCCAAGTTTGCTTATGCATTGCTTGATATCTGATTCGAGATCTTCCTCTCTCTCTCTCTTTGTCTTCTTCTATTCCCCTCTCCTGATTCCTTTCTTTTTCCCTCTAGATTATGATCTTCTAATGCTCCCCCATCTTCCCTCTTCTTCTTCGTATATAACCCACCCCATTGCCAAGAAAGGAAAAAAATTGAAATGAGATGGATTTTCCCAATCAAATGAAGCAGGGAAGGGGGTTTAGGCGGAGTGGGCGGCGAGAAGTTGAAGGGTCGGGTTAAGTTAGTGTAATTGAGATATTAGTAAAGGTTAGGCGTAGAAGTTCCGACGTTGTATTGGACGGCGGCGAGATCGGTTTTGTGGCAAGGCAAATCGGAGTGACGGGAGAGGATGAATAGGGTTTGTGAAGATGATTTGTTTGGTTAATTTGTATAATTATTAATTGGAATATTTTTGAGGTCGGGTGGATCAAGAAAGAAAGGTTGGGTGACTCGCTCCTACTGTCACTCTAGAAAATGGCCATGTGTAACCACCTCTTAAAGCGTAGTATAGCGGGTTTGGGTTTTAATGTCAACCCGGGTCCTAGATGTGATGACTACTCCGTGAGTTCTTATTATTTAGCAGTGAAACTTTAGAGAAGGTCCAAACAAGCAAAGCAGCAAAGCAAGTAAAAAGGTTGTTTTCAAGTCGAGAGAGGTCACCCAGATATGGTTCCCCCTAGACTGCAGTTAAGCCGGATTGTAATTCACCAAGTTCAAGTTCAAAGATAGTTATACCGCGGGAGGTTCTTAAACAGTCTGAAGTCTCGACTAAAGGTCTCCAGACCCTCTCAATCTGAGTCTCCAGCAGGCGACTAACCTCCACCGGAGTAAACAGATTGAGGCCCTAACGAACCAAACCTCCACTACCGAAGTGAATTCGGTACAATAGTGAATTGACTTCTCGACTAAAGTCGTCAATTCACTACCTTCAATCAAGGGTGCTCTATCAACCTAGGCAGATATTCTCTTTCTAGGTTAAAGCAGACTCAACAGGAATTTGATCAGGATTCATGTCATTCAATAAATCAAACCTCAATTGAATATAATCATATCATAGAATCTGTACTTGGGTTCATACAATCAGACCTAACATACAAATCTAGGGTTCTTCATACCCAGGTGAATAAGAAAGTTACTCCATAGAGAGAGATGGAAAATCTAGCTCAGATGCGGAAACCATACTGTTAAGGATGAGAATCTGCTTCTGACACTCAATCAGGTCTTCTCCAAGCTCAAGCTGGGCTCCAATGGTGATGGAGATCGATCTATGACACTTACAGAGTCAGGTTCGTCACTTTCTCTCTCTAGGTATTGCTTTTTCTCTCTAAAACTCGGAACCCCCTGTCTTTTGCCCTTTTTCCCTTAAAAAGCTGTCTGTCGCGATCCCTGGTCTGAATACCTGGTCGGGTATTTTGGGTGGTGACCTGGTATATTCAAAACGCTGCGTCTGAAGACAGGGGAAAATCCCTGGTCAATGCCAAGAATCCCCGACCGGGGATTTCCGCTCTGTGCCCAAGCCCCCTTCTGCTGCTCAGAGACGCCCGAAGCAACAAATCCCCGGTCTGCTCCAAATAATACATGGTCGGGCATTTCTGCTCATGGCCGGGTATTTTGCTCCTCCAGCACACTTCACCCCAAACGTGCTTCGTTCGACCCGAAACTCGTTTCTTCGTCTCAATGCCAACGCTAAGCCCTGAAATATGACATAAACACACAACCTATCATGAAATCGGCTTAAAACACGAGAATCAACATCTCAAACGGCTCAAGAATAGAGGTAAAACCATGTGTAATCAATGATGAGCATTGTCCTTCTTGACTAGAGTACATACAATAACAGAACACCTCTTTTACCAATGTTGGAAAAGAAAAAGTATGAAAGATCCAACTAAACATTGGATGGTAGGAACCAGACGGGATATGGAGAAATGAATGAAGGGTTACTGTGAACTGATCTAGCATCGTATAGTGGTTGGACACTGCCGGTGGAGAGGCTGAAAATCCCCATGTCAGAACCTCCTAGCACCTTCTTGTAATGGTAATCAAGCATATCATCCGTGAAATAGATAGAATTCGGGACGATCTCCGGGTGATCTCGAGTAGAGACGCAAGTTGAAGTGCTGAAGCCGAGGAAAAGAGCATATTCACCAATGCTTCCAATCTCCTCCCATTCCTTTGTATCCTCCTTCAGCTTGAAAACTTTGTACCCAATCGTGTAATGGACCTTGCTATCTAAATTCACCCCGGGGTCGATGCTGTGTTCATCGTCCGAGTCTTCATCGAGCCAAACTATATCAGCTTCATCATCCTCCGCGACATCATCAGCTGGAATAATATCAGCATCACCATCATCATCATCATCCTCCGGGAAACTTATATATCTAGCCACCATCATCAATCCGTCTCCCGTTGGACTCACCGATAAGTAGGCATTCTGAAATTCGCCCCTAAGTTCACGGTCAATGAACCAGTGGAGTCGTGGATGCCCCGGGATGGAAACATCGCAAGTTAAAACCCTGAACCTGCCATCCAAAGCGTAGAATTGACCCCTCCAGAACACAACATCTCTAAACCCAATTCGCTTCGGCCCTGGGCTAGGGCTAGGAACCAACGTCCATGCTTCGTCGTTCCTAGGTCTGCAAAACGCTAGCCTAAGACCGTCAAGAGAGCGTATAACCATCACAACGAAGTCCTTCTCCGCACAAGGATCGGCAGAGAGAGCCATCTTGTTTATGAATGTAGACTCAAAGAACTTCTTTCCCTGCGCTATCTTGCGGCCAGAATCACTGAGACGCAAGAATTCATGACCGATTTTCTCGGGGCGGTACTTCAACACATCAGGAAACCTTGTGATGGGGGGCAGCTGGATCTGTTCTCTGGTGAGAGGGTTCAATAAGAACATAAACGGTGTCCTCTGGAGAGTGAACACCCAGCCGAAAGCAGAGCCGCGGCAGGTCGTTTTGTCTAGGCCTTGGTGCAACTCGATGTGACGAAATGTATGCTCGGCCACATCGAAAAACCGCCTACAGCTATCGCTAGCTTTGCATCCCTCCTCCGACGGCGAACTGTTAACGGCGTCGTCGCTGCAATACGGAAGCATCAGCCACGGCAAGGATTGCCTAAATTTTCTACAATCCAAGCTTCGTCTCCATGGCTTGCAAACGGCACGAAATAGGATAACATCCTTCAACTTGACCAACCGTTGATTGACCATACACAGAAGCTCCTCCGGCAGTTCAGACCAATTGTTCAATTCTGCCATCGGCCTTTTCTTAGTATTCCGGCCGGAAGGATTAATCTGGACAAGGCAGTAAGCCTCCTGGTGCTATTTATTTATTAATTTCTAAATCAAAGATTGAATTTTTATAGAGTCCCGACTGGAATCCAAAACTAAATTGGAATCGGCGAATCTTTTCCTTACCCTAGTCGGATCGGATTTACTACTCTACAACAGAGAAAGGCCAGAAACAGAGAGAGAGACAGATCTAATTGATAAACAAACTAAACAGAGGCTTACCCTATTCCTGGTAAACGCCCAAGTCTCACCACTGCGGGATCTGAGCCCGCCGCCGGCGACGACACCAAAACTCATAGACCCCAACCATAAATCCGTAGCCGGGTCAGAACTCATGGAACCTGCCTGCCCGGAGCTCTGGTTTTCGACTCATATATTCTGTTTTTTTTTTCTCTCCCTTGTTTGTGCGGCGGAAAGTAGAAACTCATCGAACCTTTGCTTTTGTTCCGATGGGTACTGACAATTAGGATCCAAATCCATGAATCCAATCCAATCCATCCACCAAATTATCCATTTAATCCAATCCATTTAAATCCAATCCATTTGATCCAAATCCAATTGGATTGGTGGATTCATGGATCAATCCATGGATCCAAATGGCAAATTACGATTTGGTACCTATATTTTTTATATTTTACATTTTGGTACCTAAAATTTATATTTTTATACGAAAAATATCATTGGAAAATTACATTTTGGTACCTAAAATTTTTCAGAATGACATTTTACTACCTAAACTTTTCAAAATTTACATTTTGGTCCAAGCCTTGAATGTCATTTGGATTCATGGATCAATCCACCAATCCATTTGATCCAATCCATGAATCCACCAATCCATTGGATCCAATCCATTTGATCCACCAATCCACCAATCCAATCCACGAATCCGATCCAATTGCCACCTCTAGGTACATTGCTAAGTTTGGTCAAACGGGATTCTCATCACTAAAAATATGTGATTCTATTGGGTAACTAAATTTAATAAAACAGTCCAATCTTGGTCACTATATTATGCGTTATCTTCCGTCAGTCTTCATTAAAGCAATCAGAATTGGCGTGACGGGTTGGTTAATTAGGCGATTTTGTTTGCCACATTAGCACATAACGGACTCCATTATCGGAGATCGACAAAAATTAACGGAGAGTGATCAAACTTTGACTGATTTACTAAATCTAGTGACCACGAATGATATTAAATATTATTAATGACCAAAAATGAATTTTTTTTAGTATTCTTAGTTACTAAATTTTGGGTAGACCCATTTCCAATGACATAATAAGAAAATATACAATGATAAATGCTAGGCTACTAGAATGCTAATTTGACATTTCATTTTTTTCAAAGTGCGTTTTGCTCTACTAAAGAGTGTTAGAATGTCAAAGTTCAAACTTATTTTTTTAATTAGGAAAAATTTACTCGCGTAGCCATAATTATCGACTTTGTAACAGTAATAGTAATTTTTTTGAGAAATACACAAAATGTTCAGATTTTAGAAACATGTTTGACAAATGTAGCCATTTTCGTTAAAAAATTTAACATGATTAAGATTCCGTTAGCACTACAACAAATTCGGCCTATTATGACGAAGCAAGTTTGTCATATTAGATACTGATTTTGTCATATTAGGTATAATATGACAAAAGGTGTTGTCACAAATGTTTGTCATTTTATCGCCGTCAAGATAAGTCAAATGTGACAAAAATTTAAAATAAGGTTGTCACATTTGCTTTCAGTATAGCTGAGGTTTTGGGTAATCTATTGTGACAAACAGAGATGTTATGACGACATATTTTGTCATTACGATTGTCATAATCTGGTGATTTGGGGAGAATTGTTCGTCACATTACATGACTATATTTTGTCATAACTGTATATTGTGACAACTGCATCTGTCACAAGTGTTTATTGTGACAACATTATTTTGTCATAGCTGAATATTTTAATTAATATATTTTGTGTTTCAAAAATTTCATAATTCGAAATTGTTTTCTGCATTGGAACCTGATAATGGAAAGATTACCAAAAACCCTAAACATTACAACCATTTCCATAGCAGTCTAACCTGCCACTCTCGTACAACAATTAACAAGAGCAGTGGCAAATTACATTACAGCCTCTAATCTATTGAACACAGACAAATAAGGGCAAGACTAGGTCGAGGATGTTGGGATTGGCTTCCTGGTCGCTGTCATCGAGGATTTAGATCTTGAATCTCGCTCTAGCTCGTTGTCTGTGGTCTGGAGGAGGGACTAGAGGAATGGCCGATTTTACCCACCACTGTTACTGGCCAGTATTGTCGCCAACGATTCCTTTTCCAACTTTCCTCTCCTCGTATGAAACCTCCACCAAAAAACCCAGAACGCAAAATAAGATGATTAGAATCCTAAAACACCCCCAAAACAAGTATCGGAAAAAAATACATGCATTAACCTTACCTCTGTAGCCAGCATCATCGGCGTCAGTCTGTTCCGTCGGCCTCGTGTTCCTTTCTTCTTCCTTCTCGTCATAACCAGAACAGAGAAAAGGCGAAGCTAGATCTAGAGAGGGGAAAGGGGATTTTGATTTTTGTTTATCGCAAAGAGGCAGCGACAGATTGAGAAAGCTAGGGTTTCAGATTTCGTTTTTTCCCCCCTTCTTCTTTGTTTTGTTTGATCTTCCAAGTAGAGAGAACGATAAGGAGAGGTGAGGTTGATTGACCTTCAATGTACTGACATCGTCATTGCCATCTCTGTCGGCGTTCATCGCCGTCGTGCCCTTCGATGCCGCCGCCCTTTCGTCTCTCTTCATTTTCATATTTGACATAAGAGAAGGGAGGGAGATTAGGTTAGATTGAGAAATCAAAGAGGCAGATTGAATCGTTTTTTTAGAAGAGATGGAGAGGGGGGAAGTATCTTTGCTCGATCTGAAAAGGGGATGGAAAGAATAGATTGAAGAGGAGGAGAGAAGGAAAGAATAGATAGAAGTTTGCTTTGTTTTCTAGAGAAAATGAAGAATGAATCGAGAGAAGTGAGAAGCCGAGCGGCAGAGATGTTAAAAGGAAAATGGTTAGGGTTTTTTTGGCTAGAGTTTAAGAGATGCTTATATACCTCTGGTCGTATAAAGCACGTATTATACTTGTATAACACATTTAACATTCGTATTTCATGAATTAAATTATATCTTAAATATTATTTAGATATTTATTTATTTTTAAATAATTGAATATATACTTTTTATGTTAACATGTACAGACCAAAGCCGAAACAACTATATTATGACGAACATGCCCTTTTGTCAGCTCGTCGTGGGACTATTGATATCTATTATAACATAATACTTTGTCATTTAAACAATTCAGGAAGACATAATATGACAAACGCTACTCTGACGATATAATTTGTCACTTTTGTGTCTCTTACATCCCTATATGGGAAGCCTATTTTGACAAACTTAACTATGACACAAAATATTTGTCACATTACTCACTTTAAATGACGAAATATTCTGACAACAGGAAATTGTCACTGTTGAGTCTTTTACATCCCGATATGGGATGCCTATTTTGACAAAATTAATTGCGACACGAAATATTTGTCACATTACTCAGTTTAAATGACGACTTATTCTGACCAATTTTATTTTTGTCACATTAGGCAAACCAAATATGACATATATCATTTTAGTCATATCATCGTACATATTGTGACAAACAGAAAATGACAAAATATAATTTTTGCCCTAATAGGCCGAATTTGTTGTAGTGTAGTTACATCAACAGGATGATGACGAGGATGCCACATCATACTTAAATTGTGAGACTAAATTTTTTGTCTGATGATGTGAAAAGAAATAACTCTCGATTTATTATTCCTGTTATTCTTTTTTTTTTGAAAGAATGTTCACATTTTTTTTTATGAATGATGAGTTCACTTCTTTTGTGTAAAGAATTAATTATTTATAAGAAAGGATAAGACCTATTTTAGTAAAGTGAACCGAATGAGAATCGACTATCGAGGAATTGTTGATTGGAAGAGGAAAAATAACTAAGAACCTTTTTTTGTATAATTGTCCCCTATGATCGAGCATTTTAGCATTCTTTTGAATAATATGCTATCACCGGCAAACCATGGTAAATCGTGATTTATGTAATCTACTGGCGATGGTATGCCTTAACCATTACCTCTAATAAATGACTGTTACGTTCTTTCATTTGATCGTAAAGCGTAACTAGCGTGCGTATATGATTTTTATTCATTAGTTAGGCATCCAAATCATTTTGTACAATATTATTCACACATGCATGCAGCAACACGTACAATAGACATCTTTAGTTTATGTTTACAGGAGGAGGAAAGTTAATTGTCACGTTGATGATGAAAGAGAGAATGATTAATTAGCTAGGCGGAGTCTCTCAAAGATCTATAACGATAGACAACGAAGGCCCCAACTGCCACAACCGCTATAACCGCCAGTCCAACGTTGACCATCGTTTGTCTGTTATCTTCGTCTTTTATAAACTCGTCAACCCGCTCCAAAATCCCCAACCCTCTGGCTTTTTTTCTCGCAGCAGCAATATTGGCCGCCGCCGACGACGACGTCGTAGCTTCCTTCATTCTCTCCTTGACGACGTCATCCTTGATAGCCGACAACAAGGCATTACCGTCGTGATCCTCAGGCGACTCTTTCCTCTTCTTGCTGCTTCCGCGGCTTGTTATTAATGCTGCTGCTACCCCCTGGCGACGATGATCATCGTCGTCGTGGACAGCAGTACTTAACCTTGCCGTCTCCGCTGCTGCCTCGGCGGCCAGAGAAGAAGAAGAAGCTTCTTTTACTGGTGGGAGATTATCAACAACTGCTGCTGCCTTGGTCGTTGGAGTACTATCGCCTCCTTTCCCTTCATCTTCATCTCCTCTTTCTTTTCCTTGTTCTTCGCCCGTTATTTCTTTCTCCGGTGTCTGCTGCGGGACCGCCGCCACGTCATCACTCTCATTTTTGTCATCATTGTTTTTCTTACCGCCATCGTTGTTATTTTCTTCATTCGTTGGCGTGGCTGTGGGTGGTGGAGGAGGAGGAGGGGGTGGTGCGTCTTCATTATTAAGAACTGCAGCTTGATGATGAGGCGGAGGAGGAGGAGGGGCGGCGGCGGTGGTGGCGGGGGTTTCTGGTAGTCGGGGAATGGTGACGATGAGGACTCCATCTTGGAACTTGCCCTGTATCCTGAAGGCGTCGCAGTTCTGAGGGACGGGGAACGTGACGTTGAAACGACGACGACGACTCGTCTTGGTGTCGGAGTCGTCGGACAGTGGGCGCTCGCCGCTGACTCGTAAGGTTCTGGTGGATTGGACATATATCACCTTGAGCTGCTCCTTCTTGAATTCTGCGCCAACGTACAATTAGCCCATTATATATCCAAGTACCACAATCCGAAATACAAGGGAAGGAACCCTTGTATATTATTAGTATCCATCTAGCACAATTAGTAGGAAGTCTTTTGGGGAGGACGCCCAAGAGTAAAACCGTGCGGGTTTGGCCCAAAGCGGACAATATCGTACTAATTGAGCGGTCCGATTTGTGACAGGATATGTTTAATTATCGCATGTAAATTAATATATCTAGCTAATAGATTACCAGGAAGATGGAGAAGCAAAAGCTGAGCCTTGTGCTGCTGCTGTTGTGGTTGTGGTAGCTCTTCTTCTTCTTTCCATTCTGATTTTGGTTCGAAATCCTCGTACTGAATTATGGTGCTGGGGGCTGTCTCTTTTGCAGCAGCAGCTCCTCCTATCCCAAATCTTCTCCTCATCATGCTTGCTGATGATGTGATATTATGAAACGTATCTATGTGTGCGTGACAGGATGTGGCTCGATCCATTGCTGTTATATACTAAGATCGAGCTGCATGCGCGCATATGAACGAACGTACGGGAACGGCGGGTTTAATTTCTTGGTGGAGAAACTATCCTTTTGTGGAGAAACTATCCTTTGGACTTGGTATAGCGTATTGGATTATATAATCAATTCAACAGCCTGGTAGCTAGCGTATAGTTCAAAAATATTCTTTGTTTGCCCTTCACTTTAAGCTGCCGCCCTTTGCCTACAATACAATATTTGCTTCTTCCTTCCAACGGTAACCCTTTGTTGGGGGTTGGGTTTTCTTCCCAGAATTTCAAAAGCTAGCAGAAAGTGTTGAAAGAATCGCAAGCTATCGAAACATGGAATTGCCACACACACTGATTTACGTGGTTTATCTGTTTCGACGAATTATTTAAAAATAGCCAAACTCTACTTAAATATATGGCATACACACACGATAACTATGAATAATATTATTTATAGATGAATCCCTTATATATTTCAATATTCCCTTTAAATCAATGGGCTAACTGGACATCAACAAAATGTATAGGATTAGTTTTCGAACCCCTTCCTCAAGGTTTTGGGATCACAAAAAAAAAAATCTCTCGTCCTCACATTGCAAAGAGGTCATATGTGTCGCGAGCCTGCTTTTCTCGATGGAAGCCTACAAAAAAGGACCAAAACACAATAAATCTATCCATTATTAAAGCAAGTTCATACAAGAAGGACCTCATTGTCACTTCATCCCTCTTCTTTCCGTCAAGCACTAAATCTCAATTTCTTCTTCACTTATTACTGGCTTCTAAAGTTAGTGTGACGTTTCATAATAGAAAAAATGTTAAAAAGAGTTTTGATCGAAATTCTGGAATGATAAAAGGTTAAATACAAGAGTACCTGATGAGCCCAAACATGAAACAACATACAGACAAGCCCACCCACGCGCAAAGGAATCATTGTGAACTTACAAGAGAGAGCGGAACTATATAAAAAAACGAAAAACCTCCAAATGCAAGCCCAAATTACATAAAAGCCCAATCCACTAATAATCCCACAACAACCTACAGCCAACAAAACCACCCACCCTTGCATCCCACACTGTCGCCGCTAAACACCGCCGGAGATGTCGCCATCGCCATCGTCCTTATTTTGGGCACACGCCGCCATTCCCTTGTTTTGCTTCTCTCTACAATAGCTAGCGCTCATTCATCAGCATTCAGCATGTTCTGTTACACTTTGGTAAAGTAAATGTTGAAGAATGAAGGGGGTGAATGAAATCAATCAGACGCTCTTGTCCTAATGTACGGCTGCCAGTTTTCTGGGTTTTGTTTATAGTTGGCTAGTTGCTGCTTTTCTGGTTAACTTTGTCCTGTACTGGAGGTGGTGGGGGGACTCCATCCCTTCCTTTTTATGTTGTTTGTTTGTTTGTTATGGCGGAGGCCCGTGACTTCCCGACTTCTGATCTCTAGTTGGTGAGGTATATATATTTGTTGTATGAATGAATGCAAGGAGGGGAAATTCTGTCACCTTCTGCACCATCATATTATAATAATGAACCAAGTAACCAACCCTACAGGTGGAACATGTATGCACGTCCCTCCAAACTGTATAGTCAGGTACTGATTCACGGACGGGACTTAGGAGTGTGTGAATACTATCCATAGACTGTGGCCACATCTACCATGCAAGCGCAAGGAAGCAAAAGTGACCAACCAAAGACTCGTGTTCACGTGCTACAGCCTCACTTGTCTTCCTTGCTTCCCTTCTCCTCCCTCCCCCTTTTCACCGTTACAAGGCAGCTGAGATTATGATGTTGATGATTAACTGAGAAGTGAAATACCCAATCAGCAGAGTCATCACAATCTTGTGCAGCTGCTGCAGAAGAGAAGAGAAGTGGCGATGGGGAGAAGGTTAAACCCTGTACTTACGAACCCATTCCATGATCTGTTCTTCTTGCTACTGATAATGGTTTCTTCACTATCTCTTCTCCCACATTCATTAGCACAGCTCCAGCCCTCTCAGCTCCAATCCCTTCTCACAATCCAGCAGCTTCTCAACTACTACCCTTCCTCTCTAACCACCAATGCCTCAGACATCTGCACCTTTGACCCAGCCCCTGCATCATCTCTCACCCTACAGTGCTATGAAGGCAACATTACCCAGCTCCACTTCATTGGCAACATCAGTGATGAGGGTGGTGGAGTTCCAGCTTCTCCATTATTACTGCCTCAAGATTTCTCAAGTTCCTCTTTCTTCGACTCCCTTGCTGGAATCTCTACATTGAAGGTCTTGTCCATGGTCTCTCTTGGCCTCTGGGGCCCTCTCCCTCCAACCATTGGCCAGCTCTCTTCACTTGAGATACTCAACCTCAGCTCAAACTCCCTTTCTGGAGTCCTGCCAATGGAACTCTCATCTCTCAAGAATCTCCAGACGCTCATCCTTGACCACAACTACTTCACTGGTGCAGTTCCTGGCTGGCTCACTTCACTCACAGCTCTGGCTGTCTTGAGCCTGGACAACAACTCTTTCGGTGGGTTCCTCCCAGACACTATGGCAAGCCTTCAGAATCTTAGGATTCTCTCGCTGCCAAACAATCGCTTGTCTGGTGGAGTCCCTGATCTTCACAACCTGACAAACCTTCAAGTTCTGGACTTGGGAGGCAACAGCCTTGGACCTCAGTTCCCCAACATCTCCAACAGGTTGGTCTGTCTTGTCCTTAGAAACAACAGCTTTCATTCTGGGATTCCTGCGGAGTTTCTGGCTTCATCCAACCAGCTTCAGAAGCTGGACATTTCCTTCAATGGGTTTGAAGGGCCAATCTCAGCACCATTGCTGCTCTCACTCCCTTCAATCAGCTATCGGGATGTTTCCAACAACAAGCTCACAGGGATGCTCTCTCAGAACATGTCCTGCAATGGACAGCTCAGTTACGTCGACTTGTCCTCAAATCGTTTGAGTGGTGAACTACCTGCTTGCCTGAAAGCTGTTGGTTCTAGTACCAGAGTTGTGGTGTATGCAGACAACTGCTTTTCGGGTAAAGAGCAACACCAGCATCCTTCATATATATGTCACAATGAAGCACTTGCAGTGAAAGTCTACCCACGGGATAAGGCGAAGCAAACGAAAGTTGGTAGCAAGGTGGTAGTTGTTGCATCAGGTGCCATGGGAGGGACTATTGGAGGGATTGCCATTATCAGCCTGGTTTTCCTGTTTGTGAGGAAAGCTAATCATAAGAATGCTGAAAAAGTGGCCCAAACAAGGCTCATCATGGAGAATGTATCGACTGTGAACACAGTGAAGCTTCTTTCTGATGCACGTAAGATCACTAAGTTTCTATCTTTTTGTCCCCTCTTTTTAGTCCAAGTGGTTTCAGAAGAATAGGCAGACATTAATCAATCATCCAATGGTTATCTTTTGCAGGATACATATCACAAACAATGAAGATGGGAGCCGGTCTTCCAGCCTACAGAACCTTTGCCTTGGAGGAGCTTAAGGAGGCAACAAACGACTTCAACGCCTCGAATTTACTAATTGAAGATACACACAGACAAGTTTATAGAGGAAAGCTAACCGATGGAAGTGATGTTGCTATCAAGTGCTTGACACTGATGAAGAAGCAAAACCAGCAGACGTTTACACAGCAGATTGAGTTGGCCTCCAAGCTTAGACACGGCCATTTGGTTAGTGCTCTTGGGCACTGCTCTGATTGTTGCCAAGAAGATTCTCCAAGCATCAGCAAGATGTTTCTAATATTTGAGTTTGTTCCTAATGGTTCTCTAAGAGACCACATCTCTGGTAAAGAGGGACTCCTTTCAGATCCATATATCTTTCCTCCTCAACCTTATATCGATCAGGTTTCGAGGTAAATTAGATCGTTCTTGGTTTTTGGTATCGCAGGAGCTCCAGAGAAGAAGCTGACATGGGTGCAACGGATAGGGGCGGCCATTGGAGTTGCTAGAGGGGTTCAGTTCCTACACACAGGAATTGTGCCTGGGATGTTTTCAATCAATCTGAAAATCACAGATGTTCTGATGGACCACAATTATCATGTCAAAATCAGTAGCTTCAACCTGCCAACATTTGATGGGAGGAAAGGAACAGTGAGTCTTCACTTCACCAGTGTCCTTCCTTTTCTCTTTCAGAAAGATAATTCAAAATTCTCAGACTTATGCTTCCAGAATGAGCTATTTTCAGATGGCTGTAGCAGCTTTTTCATCAGGACAAAAGCAGAAGTTACAGAACAGGTGGGTAGGAGATACTTCTCCAGCGACCTTGGGATTTACTGGTAATGATGTTCTTTGGATTTGTTTTATGAGTTGAGTGCAAACGTAGGCTGACTCTTACTCCTGTAGGCAAGAAGGCGGCGACAGTAAAGATGTTGAAGACCTGGGAGTAATTTTACTTGAGATAATAGTTGGAAGGCCCATCATGTACAGGAATGAAGTCAGTGTATTAAAGGACCTGGTCAGTATCTGTTTTTCTTCCAGGAGCAATTTCTAGCCTCATGAGTTCTATTAAACAAGCCACCTTAGACAAATTGGTGATGATTCTTGTATGCAACTAATTACAATGATGATGGTCCGTGACTGCCAACTGGCGCAGGTTAGCACAGCAGCTGATGATACAGCTCGCAGGAGTATTGTTGATCCTGAAGTTCAGAAGGAATGCTCAGACGAGTCATTGAGAACAATGGTAGAGCTATGCACAAGATGCCTTTCCGACGAATCGTCAATGAGACCATCCATTGGAGATGTACTCTGGAACTTGCAGTTTGCAGCACAAATTCAAGAATCAGGGAAGGGTGACTGCTGCCTCCAGATACATCAAGATTCAACTGCCTCTAGTTCTTCCCAGGCCTAACAATGCACAGGGATTTGTATATGTTCAAATTTATTCTTATTCTAGATTTAGTTATGCCTCCAAGAATATAGCAACTATTACAGGATTTGTGGGAGATGGTACTTGGTAGGTTGATTATGAGCAGTGAATGGATATCGTATAACTAAGTAAATCCAGGAGAGAAATTAAGGCCATTATCAAACGTTAACAAACAGCTGTCTGTGGAAAGAATTGGGATCCTGAGATTTAGGCGGTCGCCACCTATCATAGAGACATAGACACAGAACCATCATGGTTCGCCTTAGCTTGCTAAATCAAGGAGCTGAAATCATTGAATCAATCAAGCAAATCAAAGCAAACCTCACAGGCCAATAGTAGAACACTTTGAGTTGTAGTGAAATATCTGCTGTGGTATAAAAGTTGTGTATAACTCTATCAATTCCTGCTTTGTAAACAACACTAATTTACAATAGACAAGTGTGAAGATACAGCAATGAAGACAATGTAACACCTACAATGAACTCTCAACACCTATCCTTTGGATAGCCAACAATGGGAAATCCCTGGAAACCGAGACTCTGACCAAGCCCTAAAGAATAAAGGTAATTTTTACAAAAATAAAGATACAGGAGAATCTGAAGGGGAATGATATATTACCATGTCATCATCACCTCCTTGGAGGACCCAAGATAGCATCCATTTCTACTTCTACAGATCCAACACCTCCCCTTAAAGGTTTGAATTTCTCCGCCTCCTTTGCAATTTGGATGTCACAAGGTGTGCAGTATTGATACAGTACTTTTACAACAAAGCGTGGAATTAGTGAGGCTACAACCACACCAAGCAAGCAAAGCCAAAACAATCCAGTCTTTGCAGTTTCAAAAATGGCCCTGCAAGTTACGAAAGAGCTTCCACCATTAGTGTCTATGATCCAAAGGAGATCATATAATTAGCATGGGGTTGAATATATGAATTCAAACATAAAGAGAAAGAAGGTGCAATACCAGTAACCAGGTAATGTAGGTATGGCATCAATGACCATTATAGATATGAAAGTTGCCAAAATGGATCCCCATATTGCTGCATGCATGAGCCAATTCCACCGGGTGATGTCCATTGCCAGATGAAGATTGACCAAAATGACGACTGCCAGTGTCCACAGATCCCCTATACTTGCTGCATCAATGGTGCTAATCCGATAAGCAAAGAAAGGGCCAAAGAAAATGACCACACTTTGCCACAGAGTGTCCATCATAGTCAGCCAGAACAACTTTGAGTTGTAATTTTCTCGTCTTTGCCCAGCTCCGTACAGCTGAGGATACTTGAGTAGGGTTTTCCGACTCAAGTCCTTGTCAAGAATACCGACAATGACAGTTGGCACTGCTGTGTAAATTACTGAATACAACACACTGTTCCACTCGTTAATAGCAGTCGTCAAAGTGAAAGCAGTAAAGAGCACATACCTGCAAACAAAGAACATCAGTGACATTAAGTGCCAAGAACTATATAGCATGCAGGTTTGAACCCCTATATCTTACTTTCAACACCCTATGGAGTTCACATCCTAATGTGAGATTGTCACATTAGTATACTGTAAACAACTAGAAGGACTCGTCTAATTAATATATGTTGGCAAGGAGATAAATTTGTTGCCGTATCTTTAATAAGTGCACTACATATGACCAGATTTTGTTCTTAAATGTTCAGTTTAAGCTTTGACAGCTGAGAATATTAGGCAATTCATTCGGTACCCTTCTACATAAGATGAGCAATTCAGTAGGAGTATCTCCATACCTTTAGGATAGTAGATAGCAGCTACAGCATAAAGGTCTTCAGTAAAATTATGCAGTAAAACAGCATAAATTATAATATTGCTTATATATGAACCTGAACCAATTACTGGGGTTTTTTCATTTTAGAAAATTAGGTAAATGCCAAGGCCAGCCGTCATCAAACTCAGACAACTATACTAAGTCGCTACGGAGAAAACAACAGAAAATTCCTCACACATTTTTGACTTACCAAAACAAGACAAGAACAAAAATTGCATTCCTGTAGAAGTTATAAATTATCATGTAACCCATTCGCTGGTAATTCCAATGTCCATGGACCAGCAGAAGTGGAACTAAGAATCTGAACTGTCCCATGGCAAAATCAGATGCCATTACAGCTTGCCGACCCTCCTGCCCACTGATTCCAACTCCTACATCAGCCATTTGGATCATAGAAACATCATTTGCACCTGTTACAACCCACCAACAACTTCCCATATCAGCTCAAATAAGCAACCACGCCATTATCATATATGGCACAGAGTATTGCCTTCTGAAAGCATTTTACCAAAGACTCACCGTCCCCAATGGAAAGGGTCATGTCAGCTGTCCTATTCTTCACAAGGGAAACAATTCCAGCTTTTTGTAATGGAGCCACCCGACAACAAAGGACCACGGAACAGTTGCTGGATAATTCAAAGAGCTGCAGCAAACAAGTAAACAAATTAGCTACAGTTAAGAAGATAAACATATATTGTTGAAAAGGGAAAGATTCATGTGAATTATAATGTCAATACCTGCTCCTCGAGTTCACTGTCAAGGATATAAACAAGACTAGCTCCATCAATGATCAAAGCAACCAAGCTTCCAGAAGATGCAGAAATGTCTTCATTATCAGTTGTCCCAGACACATTGCTGAGCTTTTTACATACAAGCAAGGCATCTGATAAACTCTTTCTACATGACTCCTTGGAGTTGCTGTTGATAATAATCTGTGTCATTTTGTTTGTCAGGAGCTTTGAAGAATAGCCAATCGATATGGCAGTTTCTTGTTTATCCCCCGTTAAAACCCAAACTTTAATTGCTGCAGTCCTCAGTGCTTCAATAGCTTCTGGGACACCTTCTTGAAGTTTATCTTCAATAGCAGAAGCACCCAGCAAGCTAAGATGGTTTTCAACATTGCTGGCAACCTTCCGAAGTAAAGCAGCGCGGCCAATCAAAGCAGTACTAGCAGCCTCAAAGGAAGAGTGCCACTGCTCAAATTCTGAATCTCTTAATTCCCGCATCCCAACGACAAGTGTTCTCAGGCCAAGGGAGGAGTATGAATGAAGATGGCCTTCAGTTGCACGGATTATGCCCACAGTTGAAGTTTTATCGATGACAGTGAACATGGATGTATCAGCACCCTTTACAAAAATTTTGACAGACTTATCAGGGAAGCCTAATATGACAGACATCCTCTTCCTGTCACTGTCAAACTCATGCAAACCCAAGACATTGAACCTGCAATAACGGTAATGAGAAATAAGAGGAATGGAAAAAAAAAAACAGTCTACATAGAAATTCTTAGACAGAAATGTGTTGGAAACGCAGAAAAGGGTATACAATCCAGGTATTATGCACATACATGGATGGGCAGAGCAAACACCGGAAATACACTGAAGGATTCAAGTACCAATTGCCATGTTCAGCATAACATTTAAAGTGATCAGAATGTGCACAGTAATATTTTCACTTCATCTTAACCCAGCCATAACCTAGTGAAGATCACAAGATTCATGAAAGAGAACATTTTGCAGACAGCATGGGAGAACATATTTGGGAGAGTTAAGGGGAAAACTAAGATAGGAGACATCAATTAAATCAATACAAAGAAAAAGTACCTTTGCCTTTCACCCAGAATATCAATAACTATATGGCCGGAAGTTCGCTCTATAAGCATAAAACCATATGCAGCAGCAGCATACGCCAGAGCTTGTTCATCAGGAGATTCCCCTTGGTAATCCATTAACTTAACTTCGGGATCAGGTGTGTCAACAACAAGAGGCACAATTGTATTACAAGCTGCTAATGCAAGGAAAAAATCACGGATATGTTTAAAATCCTCTGACATCTTTCCACGTCTTAACGCTTGTTGAAGCTGAGGATCAACTTTCACCCTCATTTTTGGACTCACAGTTGCCCCGCCAACTGCACAAGACACCAAGGAAATCAGACATACAAGAAAGATTTGGCATAAATTTTTATAAATACTGGCAGCGATAAATAAAAAAAAAATACCTTGAACAGAGTGCCCTCCTTGCCCATCACCTGAGGTAGCCTCCCTACCGCTATAATCTACTCCCCATATACTTGCACACTGAAACTCCATCTTGTTCTCTGTGAGTGTCCCAGTTTTGTCCGAGAACACATACTTTATCTGCCCTAAATCTTCATTTATATTCAGAGCCCGGCACTGAAACCTTGAATTCGATGCCTCATCATACATCTGGGCATCTCGGATCATGAAATAAGCCTGACCAACCCGAACAAGCTCCATCGAGATGTACAGCGAAATAGGAATCATGATCTGGAACACAATTACTGCCATTAGGAATGTGAAGAATATCTCCATTCCCCATCCATAATAGTTATAGTTATCTGGCTCCTCTTCATTGTAATCCTTTCTCCTGTAAAAGGGCATAGTGTCTAACTCATCCCTGTGCCGCCTCAACCATACAGCAGCGCATACTGATGCAACTGTACACAAGGCAACAAGAAACAGAGAGAGTATGATAATTTCCAAGTTCATGCGTGTCTCAAGCCTGCTTCTCTTTGAAGGGGCTCCTGAGTTATTCAGCATAGCTTTGGTCTCAGCCCCACAATACACAGCAACCCCAAGAATCGAAGCTGTATTCTTCAGGTCACAGCCTCGAAGGATAATGTTGGAAGGTCCAAGTGAGAGGCGCTTCCCATCAATCTCCATATTTCCATGGAATCCATAGATGTTCCTATTAGGTTTCTCACACTTGATCAACCCAGAAAACCTTCCATTCTCAGGATTCTTTGAGAGGGTCTCTTGCTTTGCATACCGCGTCTTCAAATTTGACTCTCCGTCCAAGTTGATGGTCTGCACATAAGCAACCCCTGTAGGGTCACTGGTTGAGAGCAAGACCATATCACAAGGAAGAGTATCATTAGCTTCCACCTTGATAATTTCACCAACCTGAATATCCTTCCATCTCTTTTGTTGGAATTGACCATCCACTAAAACCCATGCCAATCTGTTGTTCTCAATCTTATCTGCCCTATGCCTTCTCCAATCCTCATAAGCATCCTTAACTGCTGTAACTAGTAGCACAAATGCAAGTGGCAAAATGGAAGCTCCCCGCCCGAAAACAGCGAGCTGAGGCAACTGATTGAGGATAGCTATAATAAGGAAATAAATGTATGCAACTCGATGGAACTGTTCAAACAAATTTCTAGGCAAGAAAGAAATCACAGAGTATTTTGCAGTCCTAATTGAGTTCCTAGCAAACTCGAATTTATCATTCGTGCTTACAGGATCGTCAATATAGACAAACCTAGCATCTTCTTCATTGATCTCCTTCTGAGACATACTAAACACCTCTGAATCAGCCCTCCTGGATCCATACAACACAGGCTTAGCACCTAAATCACTGAAAGCAACTTCCCTAGTAGAACCCGCTCGAGAAGTCCGAGAAGCACTTCTCCTAGAGTTGGAACTCAGGGAGATTTCACTGTTCACGGAGCGGTCAAACTGGATTGGGGAAGGCGAATCCATCGATGAAATCGAAACCAACTGGAGGGTTTATCGAAAAGTTGGATCTTTTCTTTCCGGCGGATCAGGACCAACTAGAGAGACTGAAGGATCTCATAATCAAATGAGGCCTCACATAGGCCATGATCCGGAGAAGAAGATCAAATGGCTGTTGAGAAACACAGCCAGCTGAAAAGGAAGAAGGGTTTAAGAAACGCCCAGATGACAAATTGAACCAAAAACACAGAACTTGACCTGAACCCAAGTCGCAGATTCCAAAACGAACAGGCAGGAAAGCAAGGCTGCCGGAGAAAAAGAAAAACCCAGAAGCCAGCAACAGCCCAGCAACAGAAATCAGGCGGCCGGCAATCAAACCCCAGCTAGTGCTGCAGCTCCAAGTTGCCGGGAAGAAAGGGCTAATGGATGAACAAAAGGTCAAAGGAGAATCGGTAGAAGAGAGGAGAGAAACCGAAGCAGAAGAACAAGAAAGTTGGCTTTGTTGATCAAGGAGGAGAAGAATGAGGAAGATGGAATTGCAGAGAAAGTCAAAGGAGAAGACAAATGCATTGTTATAGCGAGGGAGGTGCGGAGAGAGAGGACGGCTGGCTGGCTGGGAGACTATTCCAAAGACGAGTTTTTCACAACCGAAACATCCATAGACGAGAAGAGTCATAGATGGGTGGCGACAACAGCATCTCCAGGCAAAGGCAACACTCCTCCTGAATATAATATATAGAAAATTCCAGCTTTTGTTTGTGACTCGGGGGAGTGGGTGGCTCGTCTTTCCTTCTGGAAATTCAAATTCAACATCTTCCTCCTGCCCCCTCTGCAACTGCTCTGCGTTATTAGCAATTACTAATTACCCGTGTTTGTGTTTGTGTTTGTGTTTGTGTTTGCAATGGTCATTGAGACATTGACTCATTGGTAAGCAAGGATTAAAAGCATAAGCCAGGTTAAAGTACTCTGTTAAATAATAGGCCACGCACCTTCATAAGGGGAAAAGAATTAAGTATCTAGCTAATCCTTCATTGGTATTTTTCTTTTTTTCAAAGTGGATGTACTTTATAAAATGAGACATATTGATCTAATTTACAAAAAAAATATGGACGTGTTTCATCCCTAAACCACTTTCCTTATTATTATTACCCCAAAAAAATGAATTAGAGATGGTCGCGCCAGCTAGTGACGGAGGCAGGATTCGAAACTGTCTCTGTACGCGCATAATATTTGAAAATTAATAGAATTGCATATTGATTTTCGAAACACATTCTTGTTTATCTACTTAATGTGTATGAGTTTGATGACACACCACACTTTGTATTCAATCTAATATGAAATTATTAAGGTTTCTTTTCTTAACATGCAACTAATTATGTGCTTTCTGTGAAGTTCTTAATTTTTTGTGCTTCTCTAATTTTCATGACGAGATTCAGTCTCCTCCTAGTATAAAATTATCGTTGTACAACCACACAAATTTTTTGGCATTCTAAGCAATTAGTTTATATGATCAAATTAATATGACTAGTTTGTTCAACGTCCTCTTGGATAAAGAAAGGTAGAACAAAAGTAAAAGTCTTGCCCCATTTTCTTTTCTCCCTTTCTTTCGTGTTCTAGATAGGCTGAATCGCAAAATGGCTCTCGTTTTCCTTCTCTTTTTTCTTTCCTTATCAGATAAGGAATGGAAAGTGTTTCTTTAAATTGCAGACGTTGAAAGGAAAATGGAAGAAGAAAGTTATTTTTATTTTAGTGGGCTGTTTGTTGTTTGTTATTTGCTGCAGATGAGATGGGTGACGACTTTTCTTGTTCTTTCTTCTGCTGGTGTAGTTTTCATTCTATCTTGAAAACAATAATAGTAGTCTGGTTAAGTATTTCTTTTCTTGGTCGAAATTCCATAGAGAATAATTTTGACTTGAACTTTTACGTCACGGTTTTTAATTGTCTCATTGACGAGCATTTTATACAAAGGGATTAACTAATCATACGGAGACATGAAGTCGCCCATAACACTTCACATGGTTCTCCTGATTTTGTCAATTACAAAGGTTAAAGGTGATTTTATTGAATCGACATGTCATTATGATAGGCGATCTGATACACTTATCACATTTGTCGGCTTCTTTTATTTCAACAAAGTTGTCGATCTCTTGTCTCGTTCGACTGGTTATATTATTGCTGGAAATTAGCTGTAAATCAATTATTCCTTGACGAGGATCCGCTTCATACATACTTAGTCTTGTTTACAATTTGCTTGATACTCTTGGTAGCCAGGTGCCCTTTGTTAGATCATGATGTCACAGACAAATAATAGATGTAAAATGGTTGGAAATTATTAAAAATAGCGATTCATGTAGATTTTTCCTTTATCCTTTGCTTCTTTGGTCATAGCAGATATTACTTACGGAATACTAGATAGTCTCTCGACACACAACAAGGAGAGATAACTCAGAGAAATGATCTCCTTATCTTCTTCCGTCCCTAATGTGGCTTGAAAAAAATTATATTTCATGTCAATTCACTATAACAAAATATAAGACGATGTAGATGCAACCCCTAAATCGTACTATCCCACTGCTAAATGAACCTATCATTTTTTTTTCCATTACTATGTTTTTCCACATGAACCATTAGACATGATCGTATGCTTTTACAGTTACATATTCGAGTAACTGATCATGGATCAAAAACAGAATCACGGACAATACAAAGGAGAGATGCGATCCTAGTTTTATTTCCCAAAATTGATCCCAAAACGATTAATAGCAAATGCGATACTTTTTTTTTTTTTTTTTTGGTACAGAAGCAAGGCGATACTCGCTGTTAATAGTTTCTTCGTTTTTTCCAATTTGGAAGGATAAATTGATTCATTTTAATGGAGTCTCTCTTCAAATAGAATGTGGAGGGAGGTAATTTCGAAGAAGAGAATATGAAGAGAACAAACAGAGGGGACAAACAACACAACTAATGAGAGAGTCGCCCGCAAGGCGCAAATGGGTTTCTTTTTCCCGTTCCCGTCGCCGGCCAGAAGCAGAGCGGCGGAGGTGGCGAAATTTTGGAGAAGGATATTTACTTACGTGTGTGTATATGAGTTCGATGAAGGCAAAGTTGGAGCGGAGACGCAACATCATAGATATCGGCGATGATCCGATCGGCCGGATCGCAGAACTGAGATGAGATGCCATTCTCCAAAACGGCAAAAACGATGCATCGGCGGCATGGCCCCGCATGGGACGGCTAAAGGGATCTTCCATTTTTTTACAACTTATTTTCAACAGAGTTGGAGAGCATTTTGAAAATTTTTATATATCTTCATTCAACGTTTTCTTGTTCCACCTATTTCAAATTTGGATGCAATTCGATAAGAAATAAGAATAGAATTTCATTTTCAGGTCAGGGTTTGATTGTATCGGGTTGGGTTAATGGGTTGGCCATATGACATGGCAATTTCAGTGACGTGGCGGGTAGATTTTCACCATTTTTGATCTAAATGGTGTTGATTAGGCGCTCCCGTTAGTCATGTCAGCACAATAACGGACTCATCTAACGGAGTTGGACGGAGACTAACGGAGAGTGACTAAATGTGACATGTTTTAGTATTTTGAGTGACCAAAATTTATATTAATTTTTTCTAGTGACTAAACATGACACATTTTAGTAATTCTGGTGACCAAATGTGGTATTTACTCATTTTTATCTTTACATTGATAGGAAGTCCATCTTAAGAGTCAAATGTGAGATTTCAGAGCCACGATATCTGTAAATCAAATCCTCTTTGCGTGTTCAAAGATTTGGAATGTTGAGAAATTGTGCTAGTTTAACGCCCATTAATAGAGTACTCAGATGGTTATCATGATCTTAACCAAATCGGTTAAACCTAAATTCTGATAGTCATTAAACAAAACAAAGTAACTTAACCACACCAACCAAATTAACCAAACCAATTATTAAATAGTTTGGTTAATTGATTTAAACAATGTAATATAACTTTACATGGAATTAGATCACTCCGTATATTCATCGAGAACTCTACAATTAGTGCTAAAAAACATGTTCCAAACCCATTTGTGAATATGAGTGTAGCAAGAACATCTCTTACCATACCACTTAAGACAGGAAATATAGGGCTATTCACCTTCCATCAGTTTTCAAAAGATGTCAAAAGTCTTATGTCTGATGCCTTTCTTAATCTCAATCCTTACTGGTCGGCTACGTAACCTTCTGCCCTATATCGTCATCTTTACTCAATTATGCTCATTTTGCCTTAAACCCTAACCACTCTGTTTTCTGGGGTTTAACGGCTTTCTCATTCGGGTATCCTCTTTGTCTACTTCGTTTCATTTATTCTGCTATTTATCTCAAATTTCCGCTTCTGGGTTGCAATTTGATCGTTCAATGTCTGCTTTCTGCTCTAAAAGTTAGCTCCTTTATTTCTTACTGTCACCGTTCTTTTGGTTGGGTGAAGGCTAATTTGCTGAGATACTGAACCAAAAATGGTGAGGCCGTTTGGGGTGAAGGGGCAGAAGAGGAAGAGGAAAGAGAAATATGACAGAGATGAAGAAGAAGGGGATGAAGATGCTGCAGAGCCCACGGTTCAGGCAGCTTCGAAGAAAGCTGCTGTAGAGGAGAAGGACGAGAAGGAAATGGAGGTAAAGGAAGCTGGGACTGCAGCTGACGAAATGGCTGGCATCCCAATCGTTCAGATCGATCTACAGACTAAAAAACCTGGGGTCATTTTCGTGCGTCTCTTTGGAAGTTGCCAAAGTTGGTAAGGTAAGGTGTTTTCTCTTGCTGACTTGAGGTTGAAATGCTTCCCCTGATGTTCATCTATCACATTCATTTCGTAGTTTTATGCTCTTCGTTATTCATTATGATTACGAAAATCCTGCGAAGTGTTTAAGGCGATGTTCTAATATTTGATTATGTTCTAAAATTTTCTTGGACTTTTGGATATTCTAATAGGCCTTTTTTGGTAAAGTGATTAGGGTGTTAGTGTTAGGGTTTAGGAATTTTTTTTTAGGGTTAAAGGTTTAATTATTAGTCTTGTGGTCGTTTGCAATGAATGGATATTAGTTTACGTGGTTCGGATATTAGATTTTGGTTGAATTGATATTAGTTCGTGCTTTCGAATATTTGTTTGGGAAGTTTGGATATTCTAATGGGCACTTTTGGTAACTATTTCGATGTGATCCTTTGTTTATTTAAGCATCTAGCACTTTTGGTAACTATTCGGATTAGTCTACAACTATCATATAATAGTAAGTATGTGGTAGATATTAGTCTGTCATAGTGATAATATCTATTTTGGGATAACATGATATTCTTCTGAGACAGAAGGATATTAGACTGGGTGGTGTGGATATTTGTCTGGGTAGTGTGGATATTCGTTTTAGTTTTAGTATTTAGGGTTCATTAGTTCATGTTTTCGGATATTTTTTTGGAACGTTTGGATATTCTAATGGGACACTTTTGGTAACTATTCCGATGTGATCCTTTGTTTATTTAAGCATATGAAATAATAATAGTTTTTATGGTTTAGAGTTTAGTGATTAGGGTGTTAGTGTTAGAGTTTTTGTGGAACCTTAGAATATTCTCGGCTTGGGCAAACAATAATAGTTTTATTTTTTAGTGTTTAGTGATTAGGATTTTAGAGTTTAGAGTTTTGGGTTTAGGGTTTAGGGTTAGGGTACAAATAGAAGATATTAGTTGGTGTGTTGTGGATACTTGTCTTTCCTGGCTGTAATACTTTTTACTAACCACAATATATTTATTTAAAATATTTTGATATTTGTCCGGGTTGTGTGGATATTTATTTGAACCTGAGGAAATATTCCCTTAGTTCATGTGTTTGGATATTTGTGTGGAACCTTTGAATATTCTCGGCTTGGGCAAACAATAATAGTTTTATTTTTTAGTGTTTAGTGATAAGGGTTTTAGAGTTTAGAGTTTAGGGTTTAGGGTTTAGGGTTTAGGGTTAGGGTACAAATGTAAGATATTAGTTAGTGTGTTGTGGATACTTGTCTTTCCTAGTGTTAATACTTTTTACTGACCACGGGATATTTATTTAAAATATTTTGATATTTGTCCGAGTTGTGTGGATATTTATTGGAACCTAAGGAAATATTCCCTTAGTTCATGTGTTTGGATATTTGTGTGGAACCTTTGAATATTCTCGGCTTGGGCAAACAATAATAGTTTTATTTTTTAGTGTTTAGTGATTAGGGTTTTAGAGTTTAGAGTTTATGGTTTAGGGTACAAATGTAAGATATTAGTTAGTGTGTTCTGGATACTTGTCGTTCCTAGTTGTAATACTTTTTACTAACCACATGATTTTTATTTAAAATATTGTGATATTTGTCCGGGTTGTGTGGATATTTATTTGAACCTGAGAAAATATTCCTTTAGTTCATGTGTTTGGATATTTGTGTCAATATTAGATATTAGTTTTGCAATGAATGGATATTAGAAGGGTGTCTATGTGGACGTGTATGACAAGGTTTGTGGCTTTTACATGGATTGGTTTGTGTTGATGTTCCTTGATGTCCTTGTTGAGTTGTTTTTCATTTCCAATTCAGATTCGTTGAATTTATACCATCAGAAATTGATTAAACCAATTTAGTGTTTAGAGCTTAGGGTTAGTGTATCAAGTTTAGAGTTCGAGTTTTGGTTTAGTGTTTAGGGTTCGGGTTTATGGTTTAGGGTCAGAGTTTCAAGTTTGGAGTTTTGGTTTAGTGTTTAGGGTGGTTCGATATTTGTCTACAGTGATAGGATATTATTATGGATAGGAGGATATTAGTTTGTGATGTGTGGATATTTGTCTGAGTAGTCGGATATTAGTTTGCGGGGGTAAGATATTAGTCAGTGTGTGGTGGATATTTGTCTATGATGGTGAGGATACTAATTATGGTAATGACTGGATAATAGTCTGAGATGAAGGGATACTAGTCTGGGTGGTGTATATATTTGTGATGGTGAGCGGATATTAGTCTGGGATAGTCGGATATTAGTCTGGGTGGTTTGAATTTTTGTTCTGTATGGATTTTTATCTACATTGGTTTTCAAGTATGAAGAAATAGTGTGTATATATATAATTTTTTGATGAAAATTTGAAAGTAAGGTCTTTTTCAACCTATGATAATTGCTAATTAAGAGACTATGGGTGGATATGTGGTCACATATTATTCTGTGATAGTGAGAATATTAATTTTGGGATGATTAGATATTAGTATGAGACGGTGAGATATTAGTGCGACAGTCGGATATTAGTTTGAGTGATTTGGATATTTGTTTTGTGGAGATGTGTTTTCGACGAGCAAATAATATTCCGGAATAAAAAACTCGAATTCTTAATAAAAAGAGTCGTTTGATAGACAAATCGCGATAAAACTAGTATTTAATGTCATTATAACTTGGCAATCCAAGAATTTCAAATTCGAAAAAGCACAACCACATAAGAAATGAGAAAGCAATAGTTCAACTGTTGTCTTGCTGACGCTTGATAATTTTTTTGAGCGCGTCGTCCCGAGCCCTCCACATTTGGATCATGCTCTCAACCATTGACTCCATTGCCGCAAGCTACATATGTTGTAAAATATTTAGTTTACTATATGCAACCATGTCACTTAAGAAGCAAAGACAACATCTATGTACCTGATTTAGGTCAAGGTTGTCAAAATCTTTGTTTTCCCAGCATGATGCGTCTGGATTGAGCCAGTGATGTGTCTCAGCCTCCCCTTCTCTTGGAGGAGCTGACATCGAACACCTTTTGGATGTTGTCATCTTGGACAATTCCTGGAAATAGCTAATATCATTGAACTAATATCCATACAGGGCATAAAAATATCCGGACCTAGCACACAAATATCTATGCATCACATAACCAATATCCTGACAATCAACCACCAAACAATATCCACATTAAACTAAATGGTATCCCATGCCAGCTAAACAATTTTTCAGGTAAAAAAATATCAAATTAACGAGCAAAATCCAGAAACAATTCCTGAAAAGAGCTAATATCATTGAACTAATATCCATACAGGGCATAAAAATATCCAGACCTAGCATACAAATATCTATGCATCACATAACCAATATCCGGACAATCAACCACCAAACAATATCCACATTAAACTAAATGGTATCCCATGCCAGCTAAACAATTTTCCAGGTAAAAAAATATCAAATTAACGAGCAAAATCCAGAAACCCCAAACAATATCGACATCAAAAAACGAATCCCCCAAATCAAAAGAAATCCAAATCGAAAGAAATTCCATCCACAAAAAAATCCCAGATCCCCCAAATCGAAAGAAATCCAAATCCCCCAAATCAAAAGAATCCCAGATCCCCCAAATCGAATCTCAAATCCCCCGACAAGATTCCCAGATCCCTAACAATGAATCTCATATCCAACAAACAAAGCAAAAAAAAAAACTCAGATCCAGTCGAATCTATGAAACCCTAAATCAAATATATGTAATCCAGCCACGGAAAATCCCAGATCCCCCAAATCGAAATAAATCCAAATCTCCCAAATCAAAAGAATCCCAGATCCCCCAAATCGAATCTCAAATCCCCCGACAAGAATCCCAGATCCCTAACAATGAATCTCAGATCCAAAAAACGAAGCAAAAAAAAAAAACTCAGATCCAGTCGAATCTATGAAACCCTAAACTAAATATATGTAATCCAACCACAGAAAATCCCAGATCCCCCAAATCGAAAGAAATCCAAATCTTCCAAATCAAAAGAATCCCAGATCCCCCAGATCGAATCTCAAATCCTCCGACAAGAATCCCAGATCCCTAACAATGAATCCAGATCCAAAAAACGAAGCAAAAAAAAAAAAACTCAGATCCAGTCGAATCTATGAAACCCTAAATCAAATATATGTAATCCAACCACAGAAAATCCCAGATCCCCCAAATCGAAAGAAATCCAAAACCCCCAAATCAAAAGAATCCCAGATCCCCCAAATCGAATCTCAAATCCCCCGACAAGAATCCCAGATCCCTAACAATGAATCTCAGATCCAAAACATCTACATCAAAGGAAGATGCTTACCTCAAAAACTTTCTTCTCTTCGCAGCTGGTGTAGTCGTCTTCCTCACGCTACTAGCGTCGATGTCTTCCTTCTTGCTCGGCCGACTTCGTCTTTCTTCAAGCACCGCCGTCTTCTTCCTGCCCGTAGCCCTCGTCGCCGGCGCCGTGTTTCTCACACCCGCCGTTGTTGAGAGGTATTTTGAATTATTTGGGAGAGAGAGAGAGAGGAAGAAGAAGAAGAACAGAAGAGAGCAGTCGACAGTTTTGGAGAGTGGGAGAGAAAGGAAAATGAAATGATGGAGAGAGAAAAGAAAATTAAACATAAATGAAAAGGTTGGGTTTTTTTGAATTGTAAAAAAAAAAAAAAAGGAAGAGGCTTGGTTCAGCCGAGCCACAAGCTGCTCTTCTCCCCCTCCACCGTCCGATCGTGGCTCGCCTACGTGACCTCAAATCCGACCGTGTTAGTATATACTAACAGCTTATGCTGTTAGCAGAATAACCATATTGCATCTATCACATTCATTTCGTAGTTTTATGCTCTTCGTTATTCATTATGATTACGAAAATCCTGCGAAGTGTTTAAGGCGATGTTCTAATATTTGATTATGTTCAGGTTTTAGGTTTGATTTCTTGTAAGACTCAGTAATGAGTGCTGTCTTTTATGATGCAGACTTACCAGATATTGAATTCGGATGACCATGCTAATTTCCTCAAGAAAAATAACAAAAATCCTGCTGATTACCGCCCCGACATTGTTTATAAGGTAACTCAACTTTGACTTACAGGGTTTCCCCTTTCGGGTAAGGGTTGTGAAAATTAGATGCAGTAGAATGTATTCCAAGATAATAATATCGCTTTCTTAGTTTTCTATAGGAAGAATCATTCAAGGGATTGAACTATTTCCGTGATGGGAAGTTGAAACGTGTTGTTCGACTGACTAGCCCTAAGAAAATGTTGTGTGTGTAAGCAAACTGACTCTAAAGGTTTTGATTTTTTCATTAATGCAACTCCTTGTGTTTGCTCAACAGGCTCTCCTGTCAATCTTAGACAGCCCGCTGAACAAGGCTGGGAGGTTGCGGGCTGTATATGTGAAAACTGATAAAGCCATAAAGGTGTTCTTTTCGAAGTCAAACCGAATGTGCGTATACCAAGGACGTACAAGCGTTTTGCTGGCATTATGTGTAAGTTCAACTCAACTCATCCACCTATTGCTCTGGGATCTTGGAAGTATCCTGTTTATCTCTTTTGCCTTGCCCTGCTTGACTATTGACTGCTGCTGCCTTCTGTTGTGTGTAGTGCAATTGCTTCAGAAGCTCAGTATATCTGCTGCTGGCAAAAGGGAGAAGCTTTTGCGTGTGATTAAGAATCCGGTAACCCAGTATCTACCAGTGAGCTCCCGCAAGATAGGTCAGTTTAGCTTCTCTGGGTGTATGTTTGCTTGCCCACCGCTCCATACACGAAGATTAAATGTTACTTGTTCCCTTTTTGAATCAGGGTTTTCATACAGCTCCGATAAGTTGGTGGAAATGAGCAAGTATGTGGGGACAGTGAGCAGCGATGCTGATCTTGTGTTTGTGGTATGAATATGATGCCTAAGAAAAAGAGAAGCTTTCTTTTTCTATTAGCCGTCTTTGTATGCTTGGTATTGCAACTAAGTTTGTGGTAAATATGTTTCAGGTTGGTGCAATGTCTCATGGGAAAATCGACTGTGATTACATTGAAGATTTTATAGCCAGTATGTGGCTTATTTCTTTCTTTGCTCTATTATATGTTTTAGCAGATGACAAATTCGGTTCTGTAGACACCCTCAAATATAATGACTGTGTTTTTATTGTTCGTGATACAGTTTCTGGGTACCCCTTGAGCGCTGCGTGGTGTATCGCAAGGATCTGTGAGGCTCTTTCGAACAAATTGGGTGTCGTGTAAAACAAATTACACAACCCTGTGCTGTCTCATGCCTTTACTGCACATTCAGACAATCTGCACGGGCAGTTTCGTCGAGTGTATTTGAGCTATGTAATTGAACTAATATATCGTTTTCCATAAATGTTTGGTCGTGTATTTGAGTGTAATTAAAACAGTAACTTTAATCTCAAATACAACGCCAATCACACATACATGGAGAGATTCTTTCCATGCCAACTGTGCAAAGCATCACTCTGATCATGTTGGGTAATCATACAGTGGACTGAGCATTTAGATTCTTAACTCAGAAAAGAGGGAAAGGATTATTGAAGATAAGAACAGGAAGCAAAAGCAAAGCACAAGAATGTGATTCTTGTCAATTTAAACAGAGTGGAGCGATGGGTGCAAAAATAACCATCCACTTCATGTTTTGTTTTGTTTTTGTTTTTTAATCAAGCATGGAGAAAATCATGATGATGGTCTCTGGATTTGTCATGAAGGATCTATCTTCTTCAGTTCCCCATGCAGAGTTATTGGGAGTGCTGGTCATCATCACTTCCATCTCCATTGTTCTTGCCTACCATTATTGCACCACAAAACCCAGAAGTGTTGATTCAAATCTCTTTATTTATCCCATCAATTTTCTACTGTTTGTTGTTGCTCAAGCTGATGTTTGCTTGTCAATTGCTATGCTGTTTTGTGTCTCCAGGGTGCCTACACCCTGAGAAATTTCAGGAGTTCAAGCTGGTTAAGAAAACAGCAGTGAACCACAATGTTGCCAGATTCCGATTTGCTCTTCCTACCCCGAAATCCGTCTTGGGTCTTCCTGTTGGGAATCACATCATTTGCAGGTGGAAAGCTTGTGATATCCCTGTATATGTCGTTCCTTGAGCCATGTATTAAACATATACTACTTCCGCCTCTGTGAACCAGGGGAAGGGATGCTGAAGGTCAAGAAGTTACTAAGCCATACACCCCAATCACTCTGGATTCAGATTTCGGCTACTTTGAACTTGTAGTGAAAGTACGTTTCTTCAAAAGCAATAAGAAACCCCTTTTGTCCCCTCTTTCAATCGTGTTTCCTGAAGAGATTTGTGTGCTGCTAATGGACTCAGATGTACCCACATGGAAGGATGTCTCACCATTTCAGGGAAATGCATGAAGGCGACTATATGGCAGTGAAGGGACCTACGGTCAGTCAGTAGTTCTGTTTGCACATTTTCATGAATGGATATGCTTAGGAATGGAATCATTCCAAAAACAATTACTTTACGCTATCACAGGGTCGTTTCACCTACAAACCGGGCCAAGTTAGAGCTTTGGGGATGATTGCTGGAGGATCTGGCATTACCCCTATGTTCCAGGTCCATGTTCAAGCAGCTGCTAATACATTTCTTCAAGTCCAATCATAAAGTTTAGCTTTCATTTGTTCATCCCTTGAACTGCTTTCCCTTTTCAATGTTGCAGGTGACTCGGGCCATATTAGAGAACCCGAAAGACAAAACAAATCTGTCTCTTATCTATGCCAACACAACATTTCAGGACATCCTGTTGAAGGTAACCCCTGCTCCTTTTTCAAGGATAGATAATCATCGTATAATTCCCAGAACAGTGTTATTTCCGTTCAACGCTGCAATTTTCCTTGTGGACTCTGTAGGAAGAACTGGATGGTTTTGCTAGGAAATTTCCCAGTCGTTTCAATGTGTACTATGTGCTGAGTCAGGTAGGTCACCTGCTCAAAAATCACCATTTTCCGACTTCCCCTGCATCAATCGATCCACCGTTACTAATCCTGTAAACTTAACTGGTGCAGCCACCGGCTGAGGGATGGAGCGGCGGTGTTGGTCGCATAACCAAGGATATGATACGAAATCATTGCCCAGCTCCAGCTTCTGACATTCAGGTCAGTTTCCATCAAGTATACAGAGATTCGAATACAACTATACAATTCATTCCTTCACGTGATCATCAATTATATACAGGTCCTAAGGTGTGGGCCATCAGGGATGAACAAGGCAATGGCTGCTCATCTGAATGAGCTTGGATACACAGCAGATATGCAGTTTAAGTTCTAGAACTGATTTCTTATTTTCTCAGTGCTATGTATACAAAATCATTTCATTCTATTCAGCTTACAGAATAACACATTTGAATATCTTCAAAAAATTCACTGGGCGTCAAATGCTAACATTGTGCATGGTAAAAGGTTGCTCTGAGTATGAGCTTTGAAGAGTGGAAGTGTTTCTGTTTCCTTGTTAATGGGGAGCAGACATTGGCTTACGTGCACATAAGTTTCTCATATGATATTCCGGTCACTGATCTGGCAGAGCATTCTGGAGATGGCTACCATATCCCGATAATTCAGATGGTTACAATAATTACAACTAGGCAGAACACAAACTCACTACCTCTTCAGTTATGGACTTCCATTTCTACAAAAATGCTAGAATATCTGCTGCAATGTGGAAGTGTCTCCAGATGCATGGACTGAATGACAAAGCTGCCAATCTATGTAACGGTGGTTAACCACTGGTGGCTCCAGCATTGTGGAAGAGGCTTTAATTCGAATGCCATGGGAAAACTCTTAGATTTTCACGTACAAGTCCCATCTCCTGAATGGCTGGCCATTCCAATCCCGGATGACCAGTGTTGTCAGTTGACAACACTCCACATCTCTTCAAATCAACAAGATTCAACCAAGTTAGGCCAAAGAGAAAATCGAAACACTAACGGATGCATAAGCAACAACCACATTAGCAACGTTAGTTTGTTTTGAAGTTATGACATCAAAGAATGCACAACATATGAGATCATACCCACATAAATTAGGTCAGCGAAATTGATCACCTAAATCAGAGAATATCATACAACTGACTCCTCATAACAGAAAAAGAGAGGAAGCCAAAAGCAAGAGTATCAAGGTGTTTAGTAGAAACTAGTAAGGTATGCTACCTGCAAGATTCTTTATGCTGTTAAATTTTCCTCGCTTTCCTGCTTCCTGTTTTTCCCCTGCCTTTTCCTACAGCAAATGGAAGAACTGATTAGTAAACAACATGCCACAAAATCAAAGATCCATAACCAAAAGGAAGAGCTAAATTCACCAAAGGAAGACCATGATCACAGAAATAATAGACACGTACACGACATGGCTAAGTATGGCACCACCAGTATACTAGTTTATGACTACTTTCACTGCTAAAATAATGTTCATGGGTCCATTAGAAACTCCCTATCATATCCATAACGGCAAACATTCCAGTCAATGTTCCTCGGATGTTTTCGTAACATATGACAACTTAACACCGAGAGAAGTTCCACACAACTAACTGGACGCAGATCAATAACCACTATCAGCATAGTATAATATGTAACTCATTTAACTTCCGGTTCACCCCTTTCTCCTCACTGCTTGGTCTCCCTAACCACATACAAAAGCCTGACCTGAGAAACAAATAGTTGACTGCCCAAAAACGACCAGATCAGAAAATAATAGCCTATGAACAAAACAGGAATCAACTCTGTATCCAATGATCTCGAAAGAACTTTGTGGTCAATCTCACTGAAATTTATAGTCTTGATGCTGTGAAGTGTGAACAGAGCATGTAAGAAGATCCATATGTATAGATGGGCGTGGTTCACATGTCACATTGAAGCAATCGTCAAAACAGAATTTTAGTATACAAAGCAGCAGAGCATGACTATAAGACAGTGAGCCTTCAGAAGTAGGAAATTCCAGTTAATTAAAAGTGCAGAAACTTACTCCTCGTATGATGTGATTAGTGATTTGGGCCTTTCATAACCATCTTCATTTTTCCGAGGTTTTGGTCTGCTAGCAGTCTGCCTAGTTTCTGGTTTCCAGTTTGCCTTGATAAGAGATTGACCCAACAAATCAGCAATGTCTGTTGCCATAGCTTCAGCCTTCTTCCCATGTGGGAAACGTTCGTAGTCAAATTGATGAGACAACCATAGGTACATCGACAGAACTTGATGTTTGGTCTCCAGGTCCAGGAGCTCAGAGTCATTCCTAGCAGAACCTTTTGGCATCCCCATTGCTATACTAGCAGGTACTTTCTGACCGTAGTCAGAAGCAAACCTTAGAAGATGGTACATTGATTTTGGGTCCCTAATATTAGAAGGAGCAAAACAAAAGTTGAAGCGATCTTGCAGAGATAAACCCTTAACTTTCTCCAACATATTTGCTACCTTCTTTATGTGATCATGCTTACACAAGAAGTACATTCCATCAAGACGGCAACTTTCAGCAAACTTTGCCAGAATCTTGGGGAAATTAAGATCAGGAAGTTGCGCTGCGAATGATTCAACCTGCTCAAAGAAAGGAAATAGTCCCACTTTCTTAATTTCGTCAAAAGGTTGCTTTAAGCACTCAATAAGGTACGCAAGATCATCTAGATGCAAGGTTGTGGTGAGTCCAACTGGGAAGCGACTTCCTCTTCTACCAGCTCTCCCTGCAATCTGCTTGACCTGGGTTGCTGGAACAGGTACAACCTTGTCGCCATTGTATTTGGAGAGATTGTAAAAGACAACTCTTCTGATATTTAGATTCAAACCCATTCCTACTGCATCACTTGCAACCAATACATCAAACTCATTGTCCTGATCATTGAATAAGTTAGCTTGCTGTCTGCGAGTCTCGGGAGGCAATGCACCATAAATAACACAACATTGATGCTTAGTGTTTTTCTCAATTGCTAACTTCACCTCAAATATTTCTCTCCTTGAAAATGCAACAACACAGTCCCCAGACTTGACATTTTTCAGATCTCCCAACAAAGTTTTGGCTTCAACCTCCAACTTCTTGAACCGCTCGCAATGGTGTACTTCCAATTCATCTCCAGTTTCTGCACAAATCTTTCTCACGATGTCAAGCACACTTGGATCGCCACATAGATGAATTTCATCAGCCTTCACCCCCAGCAAAGCTCTTGTCCAGGCAAAGCCTCTGGTTGCGTCTGCCATCATCTGGATCTCATCAATAACCGCTACATCATACATCTCATCAATAGACACCATTTCTATAGTACAAGAAACATGGTTCGCAAAAGGAACCTTTTTCTTCTCTTGCCCAGTGAGAAGACTACAATAAACCCCAAGGGAATTCATCTTATCAAACACCTCCATAGCCAAAAGCCTTAATGGACCGCAATAAATACCCTTCTTTGCTTCCTTGAATCGCTGCAACGCCTCGTAAGTCTTGCCACTGTTAGTCGGCCCACAATGGTATACTACCTTACGTTTCATTGCCCTAGCAAAAGGAAACCAAGTGTCCGGCTTTGTAAGATCTGCTTTCGAAATCATAGCCCTGAAGCTCTTTATCTCATCAGCGAACTCTTCTAGACAGTACTCAGCAAATATGGGGAAAAGGAACCTAACAGCATTATCACAGGGACCAAGCGACACCAGATAAAGCCCAAGCTCAGCAGAACACTTACCCAAGACAAACTTCCTAAACTTCTGAACAGCTGTAGGAAAAAACGACATGCCAATATAAAATGCAAGGGCCTGGTTAGCTGCCCAACCTGAATTTGCAAAGTAAGAGAACACATCCTGGATTGCTTGCCAGTCAGACCGTCTCATCTTATCATTCTTCTCGGCCATCTTAAGCTCCCTGTACAATTCTATCGGATCACATAACGCCATATTCCTCTTGACAACAGTTTTTTCGCTGGCATGAGCATCATCAATGTCATCCCGGCGAACATCACTGCCATCAACATCATCAAACCCCTGGCTTATCATATCGCCTGCCCCAAAACCAGCATTCACATCAACGTCTGCACTGGTGCTCGCATCGTTGTTCTCACCATCCCCATCCTGGCCAGACGTTGAAAATGATCTCACACCAATTCGATTAAAGCTGCTAACTTTGGAGCACTTCGATGGAGCCCCCGAAATAATTAGCTGCAGCTCGATCAAGCTAGTAAAGATTTGACGAGAAGGAAAGCCAAACGAGGGGTAAAAGTAGCGACCTGTTGATGATGCCTTGTTGTCGAATTGCCTCAAAGAATGCAAATTTGAAACAGCGAGGTAACCCCTGGTCCTGGAACCGGCGGTTTTCGACTTACAGAGCCGGAAAAGAGATGAAACACAACCCCGCGCCATAGTTCTTCTTCTTCTTCGAAATTCACGAACAGGGAACTAAACAATAAGCATGCGCGCGAAGCTTAAGATACCAGACAACGATCTCGGAATGCAATTGACTTCCGTGAGAAACCGAATAGAATGTAGGGTGATGGATGGACGGGCGGTCAATACCCGTCAACCAACTGGAGCAGGATGCGGGATTACCGGGTTATAAATCTCAGGGCCTTTCCTTTCCCACTTCGCCTTATTTTTGTTCTCAGTGGCAACGGGTGGAGGGACGGAGAGATCCTGCGAATGGCAACAGTGAGTAAGCACTGTGGAGGGTCGGAGTTGGGAGTAGCCAAGTCGCCGTCGATGGATGTCTAGGGTTTTAGAGAGGTTTTACATGAATGAAACCGGCGAAAAGAGGTTTTACGGAAACGGCTATGCATACCATCATTTTCCACCCAATGAGAAAAATGGGGTTAAAACACATTTGGTCACTGAGATTACTAAATCGGGACATATTTAGTCATTAGAAAAAAGTTAATATCAAATTTGATCATTATAATTACTAAAACGAGACACATTTAGTCACTCGTCGTTAGTTGCCGACTTGCCGCCCAACTCCATTTAATAGAGTCTGTTATATGCTGACGTGGCTAACGTGAGCGTCTAGTCAGCGCCTTTTTGGGCCGGAAATTGTCAAACCCGACCCAGCACGTCACTAAACCAGCCATATCATAACCCCAATCCAACCCATGAACCAAACTCGAACCCGGCCCTGAACCGAACCCGACCCACTTAACAAAAGCAAACCCGCCTCACTTCTCCTTCCTCTCGTTCCTCATCTCCCCACCTGCACCTCTCACAAGCTTCCACCACCACAATCTCCCGCCGCAAAATGGAAACAGAGCCTCTCCACCCAACAGCTGTCGGCAACTACCAAGACGAAGAGAACACGTCGACTTTCTCGGGCTGCAATTGCTTCAGCTCCCCATTCTCTAAATGGGGGAACAAAATCGTCAACGACGAAAGCAACAATTACCTTCTAATACAAAACAGGGGGAGGCGAAAACCAGCAGCGGCAGAAGTTCAATTGATGGAGGTTTGAGAAATTCAATTACAACGTCGAGAGCTACGTCCTCAACTTCGATTGCGGGTTGGACGAGGAGGAGTATGACTACGTTAATGGGTTTCCAAGAACTCTGTTCTCTCGTCGAGATTAGGATTTTCAAGAACTCAGGGAATAAGTGATGGGTGAGGGATCATAGGTTCGATCAAGAATGGGGTTTCTCGGATCTGGTTGGTTTCCATGGCGGCAGCAGGGGAGAAGTAGGGGATAAGTGGTGGGTGAGGGATTGGAGGTCCGATCGAGAATGGGGTTCCTCGAATCTGGTTGGTTTCCATGGTGGTAGCGGGGGAGAAGCAGAGGATAAGTGGTGGGTGAGGAATCGGAGGTCGACGGCGGTGGTTGGCGCTTCTGGGTTTGGAGAAGAGCTCGTGGAGGATGTAGAGAGGCTCTGTTCTCTTCGTCTTGGTAGCTGCCGGCGGCGACTGTTGGGTGGAGAGGCTCTGTTTCCATTTTGCGGCGGGAGATTGTGGTGGTGGAAGCTTGTGAGAGGTGGAGGTGGGGAGATGAAGAACGAGAGGAAGGAGAAGTGAGGCGGGTTTGCTTTTGTTAAATGGGTCGGGTTTGGTTCAGGGTCGGGTTGGGTTGGGGTTATGATATGACTGGTTTAGTGACGTGGCAGATCGGGTTTGATCATTTCCGGCCCAAAAAGGCGCTGATTAGGCGCTCACGTTAGCCACGTCAACACATAACAGACTCAGTTAACGGAGTTGGACGGCAACTAACAACGAGTGATTAAATGTGTCCCGTTTTAGTCATTATAGTGACCAAATTTGATATTAACCTTTTCTAGTGACTAAACATGTCCTGATTAGTAATCTCAGTGACCAAATGTGTCTTTAACTCGAGAAAAATGGGATGTCAAGAATCTACCTAAATAACGGTTTGACCCAACGGGTGAAATTACATGGTATGCATGTGAGCCGGTTCGGTTCGGATCAACCCAGTCTAAAAAGCAAAAATTCCTCCAGCCCATGAATGGCCGAGTCCAATGAACTTCCACAGCCTGGGCCTTCGTTTTGTGAGATATTGGGCCGTCACGCTATCCAGCAGACCAATCCCGTGGGCTTTCATCTCTATCTCAGAAGTCACTAGTCATAAACATAAAGGAACCCTTCTCTTCTCTCCCATTTCCCAAACCCTAGCAGAAACGTTTTGAGTCTCTCGTCTGCAGCGCCGTGCAGTCCTCTCTCGACTCTCGCCATCTTTCTCAGCTCCTATCAATGTAAGTCTCTCGTCGTCCCCGGTCCGATCGACAGTATCGTTTTTCGTTATAGGGTTTTCCTTTGTTGAGAGTCCTACTCCCTCGCCGTCCACTCACTCGCTGTTTCGTTCGTCATTTGATCGTTTTTTCTCTCTTTTTGATCTGCTTGTAGCTAGAAACAATGTCGTTCGGAGAGGTGGCATGCAGTTACGCTGTGATGATTCTCCACGATGATGGCATCCCCATCACGGTACGCATCTCTTGGAACCCTTATCGAATTTCAATTTTGTCCCGGTAGATTTTTGTTTTAGAAGGATGAATTGTGTTGTGTTGTGGTTTTCGCCCACTTTGCTGAATGAATGTTTGGTTGGTTAGGCGGAGAAAATTAGCACATTGGTTAAGGCAGCGAATGTGAACGTTGAGTCTTACTGGCCAAGTCTGTTCGCCAAGTTGGCCGAGAAGAGGAACGTTGACGATCTGATAATGAACGTTGGAGCTGGTGGCGGCGGTGCTGTTGCCGTTGCTGCTCCTGCTGGTGGAGCTGCTGCACCTGCTGCTGCTGCCCCTGCAGCTGAGGAGAAGAAGGTGAGTTGCTTAATTCCTCTCTTACGCTTTTGTTGTTCGTATTGGCTGCTTTGAATTGTAGACAGTGGGGCAGCGTTCTTGATTTTAGTTTCACTCAGTTTGGTATTTAAGTAATGGCGCGATGAAACTTTATTTGCAGGAGGAGGCCAAAGAAGAGAGCGATGACGACATGGGTTTCTCCCTCTTTGATTAGAAAGAAGAAAGCGCGATTATACATCTGCTGCCATGGTTGTGTACTTGTGTTTCTGTTATCTCCCAAGTTTTGATTTAAGTGTAGTTATTAATGTCCTTTTCGGAGGAGGGTTGAGGTATTGTTCTTGTTGCCTCACAAGTTATATGTTCTGGAATTGAGATCCTTTGGAAAGTTACTTCTGCTTTTGGTGTTTTAGGGATAATACGAAATGCCTGAGACTTGTTTCCCATTTGTGTCCCTTTACTCATGTGTATGATTTTGGCTTCTGCCCCCATTGTCTTTGGGCTCGCCCATGAATGGTTTACTGGGCAAGATTTCTGACCTAAAGGAGAAACACTGTTGGTGTCGATAAAACAGAATCGACCAGCCAATGGTTGTTTTGTGTTAAATCGTCTCGTCGGAGTTCTTCTGTCGCTCTTAACACTTCTTGATAACTTGGGAGGTTATCACTGTTCCATATTGTTGAGGAAAGGCTGTCTAGAGGAGGAAGGCTGTGACTGAAACGGCTGCTCAGCCGCACAGGGCTTACCCGGGCTTTGCTCATGAACTGCCCATTGCTTTGATGAGTACTGTACGGTTAATATTGGGGTCGTGGAGATTCGAATACATGACTTTTCGGTTTTAGGCTTTGATACTATGTCAAGAACCAGTTGATCCCAATAACTCGAATTGTTGGGAGAAAGTTATACTGGATCATATACCACTCTCTTAAGTAAGTCCTAGTAAAAGAAGATAGAAAAAATAGGGGTTAAAAAATAAGATGAAAAAAATATAATAATTTACACATCACCCAAATGCCCAAACCTGCTTGGCGCGCAATAGACGAAAGTTGCCCCAATCCAAAAAAAATCCCTCCCCCCCTTTGCCTTCTTCCCATCCACTTCTCTCTTCCTCAGTTTCTATTCAGCTTTCCGACCACCAAAACCCTAAAACCCTACACAAAACCTCAGTTCCTTCCTGTATCCCACATCTACACTCGCAGTTCCTTTATCTTCAATGGCATGACCCCTTCCCCATCTTCTTTCACTGTTCCTTTCCTCGATTCCATGGCTCTTTCCTCCACCCTCCGCTTCTCTTCTTCTCTCTTCCGGCACCACCTTCCTCTCTCCCCCACGCGATTCGCTTTCCTCCGCTACCATTTCCCCGGTCATTTCCGTCCCATCTCTGCATTCCCCTCTGCCGGGACCCGCTTCAACCCCATCCAAGCGCGTCGCAGGGACGATGCCGACGGCCAGAATGGGAGTCTGCTGGCGAAGGATTCCGACGATAGTGGCAGAGATGGGCGCGTGGTTCCTACCGAGCTTCACAAAGAGGCCACTGAGGCCTACATGTCCTATGCCATGTCGGTTTTGCTCGGCAGGGCTTTGCCGGATGTCAGGGACGGGTTGAAGCCTGTCCACCGGAGGATATTGTGAGTAATGTTTTTAGGTTTATTTACTGTTCTGCTCTGCTTTCCGTCTCTCCCAACTAGTGGCGGGGTTAAGGAATTGGAATTGAGAGTGCGGAGAAAAGGCGGAGTAACACTTATGCGGGGTTAACTTTATTGAGCTCTATCATAATTGTTCTAAACTCCGGCTGCAGATTCGCCATGCATGAACTGGGTCTCTCATCGAAGAAGCCGTTCAAGAAGTGTGCTAGAGTTGTTGGTGAGGTGAGAAAGCTGTTTTCCACCCTCCTTAAGCGATGAACGAGTCATGCATTCCATTTCCGATTCAGCAGGCTGCATATACGGAATCAGGACGTAAGCTTTTGGTTCGTTTATTGCAGGTGCTTGGTAAGTTCCACCCGCATGGAGATAGTGCCGTCTATGATGCATTAGTGAGAATGGCCCAGGTAAGCTCCTACATGCTGAATCTATTATTTTCATGTGCCTTTCAATTCTTCGCTGCATGCCCTTTTTGTCAGGAAATGTTTCAAAATTTTAGTGGGATATGGTAACCCCAATGCCAATCCATATTATAATGCTATTCTAGTTACAAGTTCTATTATGTATGGGATGAATCACTTGTTGCTCTTGAGAAGATGAACTGTGACTGGAAGTCCCAAAGCTTGATTTACCCGTTTAATTTGTTCCTCATGGTGAGCTGATGTAAAAGCAGTTTCTGACGACAAAGTTTGCTATCATCTTGGCATGGCCTTGGTATCTCACAGAATGTCCACCAAATAGTATACATTAACTGAGAGAACCCTCAACTTGTTTTCATTCATTCTCTAAGTTTCAGCTGGCAATGCTTTACACCCTTTTCGAGTGAGTGATTACTATGAATTATATTGCTTATATTATCATTTGGAAATCCTCTTTCCACTGTATCCAGGATTTCTCGTTAAGGTGTCCACTCATCCAAGGCCATGGGAATTTCGGTTCCATTGATGCGGATCCAGCTGCTGCTATGCGTTATACAGAATGCAGGCTGCAAGTATGTCAAAGCTTCACTTCCTTGACAGTAGACTTAATGTCTAACCAAAAATTTTCGGTTCAATTATGTTAGCAGGTGGCAAAATTATTTTCTCTTGACTATATTTCTATAATGCTATCCTAAGTTGCTACAGATAGGATAAATAATATCTTGCCTCATGGGCTGTCTGATTAGTTGGATAATTCATCCTTTTAGATGATAATATCCATATATGGGACTGCAACCGCTGGAAATATGAAAAGGGTCTTTGAACTGTTAGGTAAACCTGGCAATAAGAATGATTTGATACTTAATTGAGGTCCTTTTACACTCCATCAATGAATTGCTGCCAAAATGGGTGAACATTATTTTTGAGGAGTCAGAACTGTCCATTAATAGCAATCTGAATCTCTGGACTCTAGCTCGGTAGCTATCTTTTCCTGATACAGAGTTTGTGAAAGATGAGAAAAACTAGTTCTTTCAACTACTGGAAGCATTTTTATCCCGCACGGTTGTAAGTTCTGCATATTCCATTGTAGGCACTGACGGAAGCAGTTTTGCTGGCTGATCTGGAACAAGATACGGTAAGAATTAGCTTGCTATTTACAGATGTTTGTATGTATTATGCCTAGGTTCTCAGAAAATTTCTGACCTACTCCGTTTATAAAACATATTTGCAGGTTAATTTTGTGCCCAATTTTGATAATTCCCAAAAGGAACCATCACTTTTGCCAGCTCGTCTTCCAACTCTGTTGTTGAATGGTTCTTCTGGAATTGCGGTAACCTAGATATATTTATGTTTCTAGTGTAGTGGTTTCTCAGAGGCCTCTGCTTGGTATTGAATATTAGCTTTGCACATTTGCTAGGTTGGCATGGCAACCAATATTCCTCCCCATAACCTTGGAGAGGTGGTGGATGTCCTATGCGCATTAATTCACAACCCAGAAGCCACTGTAAGCACTAAGTAGATGCATTATTATTATTATTATTATTATTATTATTTGGAAAATATCTATTCTTATAGGGAGCATTGGACTAGCCATAGTGTGTTGAGTTCCAATAACCTTTATCTCTTCAGTGGGTCAGTATGGAATCTCTTTTGTCATGCTTAATCTACTGATGGTTAACCTGCAAAATCCTTGGTTATATGTTTTAGTGGAGTTGCATGTAGTTGATGGATAATTACTGAACTTTGAGTTGTTGGGTCGGGGCATGAAGTTCCTTTTCCAGGACAATGACATCTTCCTGGAAGGTTGTTTGTAGGATGGCTACTTCCTGGAAGGTTGTTCTTTGTGTCGGGAGATGGGAACCTTGGTTATAACTTGGGTACTTTTTGAACAAGTTTCTGGATTGAAACAGCCAGATATCCTCATTGTTGAGAGGAGATAAGAGGGAAAAACCAATGTTGAGATGCTACTTCCTTGTTTGGTTTTGTATGTTTTTATATAGCTGGGAGATAGGAATGTGATCCCTTCATCTTAAAATTGCTGAGAATACATAAGATTGTGTCAGTTTGGTTGCTTATTTGGAACTGTGATTAGAGTGAGCTTGATGCTTTTCAGGCTGTTTAGTCTGGTTGTATATGCTGGTTAGCTGGAGGCTATATATAGCTGTTAGAAAAGAGAATTGTAGAGGAGAATATTTTGTTTGTAGAGAAAGGTCTTCATTAAATTGTTGCTATTTTCTCTCCAATTTCAGCATATAAAATAGATTGCCTTCCTGTTCATTCAGCTTACCATCTGTGTTTCATTGACAGTTGCAAGAACTCTTGGAATACATGCCAGGACCTGATTTTCCTACTGGAGGTCTAATTATGGGAAATGTAGGGTATGGAGAGTTCTTATTCTGACTTTGTGCTTTCAAGCATTGATTTAAAGCATCGCTCTTGCTTTTTTTTTTTACTTTGCTGCAAGTGAGATCTCCTAGATATTTTTCTATTGTATGCATGAAATTTTTATTCCTACTATGATATTTTCTAAGAGTAGTTTAGCAAATCTTGTTTGATATCATTGGGGAATGAGTATAACTGAGGATCACGGTACCACTATAAGATGTGTATAATATTAAAGGGTCCTGATATATGGCTCTCTGGTGAAGGATCTTGGACGCTTATCGAACTGGACGTGGGAGAATTGTAGTCAGGGGTAAGACAGAGGTGGAACTTGACTCCAAAACAAAGCGGTCTTCTATTATCATAAAAGAGGTAAACATTACAGTTCTTTTGGATTTTTATTTTTATTTTACCGTTATTATTGGGTCTGCCTGTTCTGTTCCTCGCTGATTATTGGTTTCCACCCAAACAGATTCCATATCAAACAAACAAAGCTTCCCTTGTCCAAAAGATAGCTGAACTGGTGGAGAACAAGGTACTTTCTTGTTGTCTATAAGGAGTGTGCCACAGGAAACCCCAAAGTTAAGAGTGTATTAATTTATTTTATTCATCGTCGTCTATTTGTTCTGTTGTGAGGCTAAGAAAGATGCAGAGAAGGGTAATATGAAAGAGATCTGAGGCTCTTATTAGGATGTTTACTTATTATAGATTGACCTGTGATAAACTTGTGATTTATGAAGGTCAGAAACTTGATGTTATTTGTATTTTTTTATTCCTTTTCTTTGTCATTGACATTTACAGAGTATAGAGGGCGTTACTGATATCCGTGATGAAAGTGATCGTACTGGTATGCGCATTGTAATCGAGGTATAATAAATATTTGTGAAGAGTGTACAAGGATAAAAGTGTTTCACTTTACTCGCAAACTATTATAGTGAGACTTAAATTACTTCCTTGCAAATTGCAGCTGAAACGTGGAGCAGAACCAGCGCTTGTCTTGAATAATCTTTATCGTCTAACTCAGCTTCAATCTAGTTTTAGTTGCAACATGGTTAGGTGAGTAGTTCATTGTCTTCAACTGGTCAAACCCATTAATAATGTAAAGGATTGTTTGAGATTCGAGACTGCACTTCATTGTTTTTATAAAATGTAATCAGCTAATGACCATTTCATGTGTCCTCTAAAGTGAAACGGAGGTTGTGGATTGACCAAACTTAGCTGGGGCCGATTGCATTTTATTCTTGTAGAGATTGTGTACCCATGAAACAGGATATGAAAAATTGCTGTTATATTTTTTAACTTCTCAATGTTTCTTAGGGCACACTTATTGTATGCAGGAGAAAGAGATCTTTAGTTATGTGTATGAGCATGTTTTAATTGATGGAAAGAGCATGATGAGTTTAATATTAGTTGCTTTACATGGGGGCTGTTCCACCAGGATTTTTGTGGGGGTACATATTTTTTTCTAACATAGTTGCTCAATATACTCATGATTGGTGGTCTGACACAGTATTCTGGATGGACAACCTAAACAGATGGGACTGAAAGAATTGCTTCAGGTGATTACTCTTACATGGTTTCATCAGAGAACTGCATCTTCTTTACATGCAACACAATTATCCATCACTCCTTCCATTTGTTTTATATGGACAGCACCTGTCACTCTGTTTTATGTATTGCCAGTTTCAGAAAATTACGTGGGCATAAACTTACTCTTGTTTTGTTCTTGCCAGGCATTTTTAGACTTTAGATGCTCTGTTGTTGAGCGACGTGCCCGGTTCAAACTTTCACAAGCTCAGGAGAGGAGACATATCGTTGAGGTATGCTAAGTGATTGCGTTGTTAGTTTAGTTAAACCATGGTATTGTCACGGAATATACTACTAAATACATCTCCAATATTCTCCATTAGCCAACCCGAGATGTTTACCATCCTTGTCATGTGCTTGTGTTTGATCTTGTTTCTATATATGGAAGAGCTATTTTCAGGAAATATATTAAACTGATTTCCTTTTATTATTCGCTGCACACTTATACGCAACCTGGAATTGATGGGCTTACAGTGTCGTTTCTTCTCAGGGTATCGTGGTGGGCCTTGATAATTTGGATCACATAATTCAAATCATTAAGGAATCTTCCAGCAATTCAGCTGCATCTAGTAGTCTAATGAATGGTATGCCATGTTTTGTTTTTAAGATAGGAACTGATTTGACTTTTATTTCCTACCGTTCCTTACTTACAGCCATTGAGTTTCTGATTTTTAGTGAGTTGTATATGCAGTTCCATTTTTTATGTTTGATATAGAGAAAAAATGACAACTTGTCTGTGAGTTTTGATTAAGTTCCCATATGATTGTTTGCTCTCTTTCTCGGTTAAGACTCATAGGGTGAAGGGAGGAGAAAAGGTTTTAGCATATTATTTAGACTGGGTTATGGTCTTACTGTAGTGAAATGTTTTCTGGAGCTTTTGACTATCTCAAGTTTTAGTACATAGTTTATTCAAGGATCTTCTTTTCTGTTTAATCTTTCTTTGATTACTCTGAGTCTTGCGATGTTTACTTGTACATTATTTCAACTTTCGGTTCATGCTACAGATAAGACTAGTTATTAATTAAATCCTGAAAAATTGGGGAGTAAATAGACGGTAGAATTTGATCAGAACTTGGATAAGTTAAAGAGACGTACATGACTGTGCTGACCTGATATATTGGCATATCATGCACAGTTGATCCGCATGAATAGCAGACATTGCCAAAGTTGAAGTAGTTGAGGCTTTCATTTGCTTTTGTGAATTTTAAATGACTAGAAGTGTCAATAATTTGTTCATACGTATGTCTCAGATGGTATAATGTTGTTATCAGAAAGAATTTGTATGTTGTCATAATTATCTTCTATTTCTGAATGAGATTGTCATTTTGATGTGTCTCACTTGGATTACTTGATCATGTTTAATCTTTTCCAAGAGTTCTGGGTAGTTGATCTTTTTCTTTCTTTCTTTTTGTTTGTTTGTTTTATTCTTACAGAATTCAATATTTCAAGTAAGCAAGCTGAAGCTATATTAGATATAAGCCTCAGAAGGCTCACCCATCTCGAGGTGCATAACTGATGCTTTGGATGCTTATATTTGTCTCGAAAGCAGATATTTTGGTGATAAGCCATCTGAAGGCAACTCACACCTTTTTGTGCAGAGAAGTAAATATGTAGATGAAAAGAAATCTCTTATGGAACAAATCTCAAAACTAGAGGAGCTACTATCAAGCAAGGGGAAAATGTTACAGGTACATACTCCCTTTTCAGTTTCGTTGATAGTTTCTGGTAAATAAGTATTAGTGAACCTCCTAAACCATCTGTTGTAATATGCCCCAGCTCATAGAACAAGAAGCTGTTGAGCTCAAGCACAAGTTTTCAAACCCAAGGCGCTCTATGTTGGAATATTCCGATGACGGGCAGCTTGAAGATATAGATGCTATTCCAAATGAAGAAATTCTGTTGGTTTGTGAATTGTTACCCTAAGAATCCTTAAATTTCTTAATTTCTTATGCTCTTTTGAATGAACTTATTTACTTCATGGTGTCACGTGTGTATTGTTGATTGGTTTCAACAGAATGGACTTCTATGCTGAAGTATTCTTGTTTGTGTGACTTTCAGGCTATCAGCGAAAAGGGTTATGTTAAGCGGATGAGGCCCAACACCTTCAATCTGCAGAAACGTGGAACCATTGGCAAATCTGTTGGGAAATTGAGGGTCAATGATGCAATGTCAGATTTTGTGGTCTGTCGATCACATGATCACATTCTTTATTTTAGGTAATTACTCTATGTTTTTTATCATGCTTTATATGAATATATCCAGTAGAGGCTAAACAAAACTTGTCTCTGGTGACAAGCGTAAGTTCCGCTGCCTAGTTTATGCTCTATATTATTCACACATTGGTTTTCCGTTTGTCATATTTTATCAACCCATTTACTGCACTCAACAACTAGATGTTCTCATCATACATTCAGTAAATCAGGATTACCTCTTGTGACGATTCTTTGACTTTAGTTTTCGATTGCTTGTATGTGCTTATTTCTTAGTTTTTGTATTATGTCGATGTTTACCGGCACATTGTCCAGTTGATAAATTTATTGATTTATATGTATTATGTCAACGTTTCTATAATGATAATGGCAGATGAATTGCTAATCATTGCTGGTAGACCTGACATTTCCCATTTGATAATGGGTTGGTCTAGGCATTTTTATCATGATATTTCATTGGGCCTTAAGTGTAACCTTACTTTTGCAGTGACAAAGGTATAGTCTACTCATCACGTGCTTACAAAATTCCTGAATGCACCAGGAGTGCTGCTGGTACTCCTCTGGTTCAGGTAATTTAGGAGTCTTGTGCTTTGCTCACTGTTAATATTTTCTGATGTCTGACTCTACTAATTATCTCATTGGAGACAGATATTATCATTATCTGATGGCGAGAGAATAACGTCCATAATTCCTGTGAGCGAATTCCCCGAGGATCAGTATCTACTGATGCTTACAGTCAACGGGTACATCAAGAAAGTATCTCTGAATGTCTTCTCAGCCATACGCTCAACTGGAATAATAGCAATTCAATTGGTTTGTATCTTTTGTGCTCCATTTTCTGTATCTCTGCAGTTGCTTACATATTATATAAGCAAGCTGAAACTGGTAATTTGTCAGGTTCCTGGTGATGAGCTGAGGTGGGTGCGCTGTTGCACAAATGACGATCTTGTTGCTATGGCTTCACAAAATGGATATGTTATCCTAAGTTCCTGTGACAAAGTATGTAGGTCGTTCTCTTTGCTGCATATTCCATGTTTGTGAAACTTCCTTACACGATCTTTAAGCTTTATGGGGTCATTAAATTGATTGTAGAAATTATAATTCTTGTATCGATTTCGTGGCCACGACCGACTTGCTGCTCATTTTGTCGGGTTATCTCTTGCCTGAATTTGTGTTAAGCTTGACGCAACACTTTTTTGTAAATATGCTTTTTAGTGTATTGTTCAGCCTCTGCATTCACTAACCTGTGCTATGCACCATTTCGGCAAATCAGATCCGGGCACTAAGCAGGAATACTAGAGGGGGAGTGGCCATGAGACTAAAAGAAGGCGATAAGATGGCAAGTGTGGACATCATACCAGCTGCGATGAGGGAAGACTTGGAAAGGGCGTTAGAAGATCCAGCCAACAAGTAAGTCCTTTATTTAATGCCTTGGGTAAATTTTTTTATCAGGCTCAGTGCTAGCAACTTTGTTCTACGCGAAATTAAAACTCCCTATATGTTTCTTATTCGGAGGACTAACCTTAGTGTCTTTATTCACATGCCATGGTTGATTGAGAATATAAGTGATCTATTTAGCAATTTAGACAGCCATGTGTATTTCTACTCTGCTTGTTTGTATCACTGCAAGACTGTTTTCAAACAGATTGTCAGCTTAGCAGTGAGGGTGAAGCGTTTGTTTCTGTTCTAGTTGTAGTTTGCTAATTGTTCTCTGTTGGCAGTAAGGGCAGTGGTCCATGGCTGTTGTTCATCTCTGAGAGTGGCCATGGGAAGAGGGTTCCTCTAAGCAGCTTCAACATACTGCCTCTAAACAGAGTTGGTTTAATTGGCTCTAAGGTGATCCCTGCTGCCTTTTCTTTGCTCTCAAGTTATATTTCACTTCATTCAGAAATATGCATATGATACTGTTAGTTATCTTCTGAAAACACAACTCATCCTGCCCTGAACTAATGTCAGTTTTCCGAGGAGGAAGGACATTTGGCAGCAGTGTTTGTGGTTGGTTTCTCACAAGCAGGTATGTTGTTGATTCAGAGGTCAATGCTCAGGGACAGCATGTTCTTGGGAATTGTCCGTCTATGGTATCCCATCTGAGCAGCGTGCTGAAATCTATGCCTTCTTTTCCTTTTCCCATTTCTGTTTGTACAGAGGATGGTGAAAGTGATGAACAAGTAGTTCTAGTTAGTCAAAGTGGTACCGTGAATAGAATCAAAGTCCGCGACATTTCTATACAGTCACGCTATGCAAGGTAAGTTGTGTGTGGATTGAGTATTGTATCTGCCTCAACATCATTGTCCGGTTCAAATACCAGTCTCTACCTGGCAATGTTGTTGCCGCTCAGTGGCTTTTCTGCAGGTGCTGATCTCACTCTGATTTTTCTAGGGGAGTGATTTTGATGAGACTGGAGTATGCCGGAAAGATTCAATCAGCGTCGCTAATATCTGCTACGGAGGCTGAAGCAGATGATGAACAAACAGCAACAGCAGAAGATGAAGCAGCATCTGGTGTTTTGGTGGCTTCCCAGTGATCCTATTTTGGACATGTGGTAACGAACTTGTACAGCGGCCCTTTTGTGTAAGTTGTCATTTGTATTTGTCCGGATACAAACTCTCCACTGATATCATCATTTTAGTGCTATATGGTGATGTAAGATGGCCTATGGTTTTGCTAAATAGTGAAAGAAGGGACTATGTATAATTAAGTGGTCATTTTGGCCGTTGAGGGCTTGGTAGCAATTAGGGGTCGGGATGGGTTGGATTTTGTCAAACTCTGGGTTTGGAAAATTTAAATTCAACCTAACGCGTTGGCTGTCGACGAGTTCATGGATACTCATGGGTTAGCACAATAACTTCCTATCAAAATAAATGTCTTAATATCAATCTTCTCGTGCAAATTATTGATACAAAAAACACTAATCTAGAACATACAAGCAAACACAAATTATCCATATAAATGGTTTAACATTAAAATAAACATTGATAAACAACATTAATTAATTGAAAGCTCCTCGACAATTAGGCTTCATTCTTCATTTCATAATATCAACTTCATCCTACACAATTAGGAAGAAAAAATTAGACGGGTACGAGTTGAACGGGTAAACCCAAACTCAACCCAACCAGCAAAATAGTAGAACAAGTTTAAACTCACACTCGGTCCATAATCTGTCAACACGGGTATTAATCGCTTTGACCGGGTTGGATTGGGTAGGGTATTCGTGGTCGTGGATAGGTTATGTTGACATCCCTAGTAACAATGACTGGGTGAGTCTAGTTTGGAGGGATAAAATACACAACAACTATTTATTGGTATTTTCATATTATATCGATCTCAATCACGCAATCCCTAAATCTTAAATGAGACTTGAAATTCAATTAATCTTAGTCTCAAGTAATTATGTGTCTACCCGACGATACTAAATATAAAATTTCGATACGACAAGTCAGTATATCTGAAATACTTGTACCAAAATTCCAGCACTACATATAACTATATAAGTGATTTATGAGGAATGACAGTTCCAAGTTCCAACTATATGGTATCATAGTTAATATCAAAAGTATATATTGGATCTAAGACGGGATGTAATTAAGGAGAGTTAGTATTTAACTATTTATCTATGAATGTTTAGTAATTTTATCATTACTACGTTTGTAGTATAAAAAATTTAAAAAATTATGACTACGTTTAGCTATAGGGATATGTAGGCAAAAAAAAAAAAAAAACATGTTTTTGGGGAAAGCGGAAAAGGGAATAGATGAATAGACGACTTGGGATCTTTATATTCTTTTTCTTATAGTGAAGAAAGACAAAAAGAAGAAAATAGTGCCAACTAAAAGGAAGCAACGTTAACGTTAGCCAGCTATAGCAAGGAAATACCTTTCAATCAATCAATAATTCAATTCCGGAATTCAACAACGTAATACTGCTGCACCCACCATTGCAGCCGACGAACCGGGCGGCCACAGAGCAAAGATCCAAACCCACTTCTTCTTCTTCCTTGTACCCAACCCCAATCTCATTCCCAAATTCCCCCGTCTCAGCAAGTTGTTCTAGCTGAATTCCCAAATTGGGTAGCTCAAGCTCCGTCTACACCCAACAATGGCGGTCTCTGCTTTCAAATCCACTTCCAGACGCGGACCCACTCGTCCTTCCCCCACTTCCTCATCCCTTTCCGATAAGGAGTCCAAGTCCGCCGGCAATGCCAAAACCGCGCCTCCCCCGCCGCCTGCTCTCCGCCGTTCTAGAAGCGTCAGCGCCGTCGCAAGAAACCCCCGCGGCGTTGACACTTCCTCCTCCACTTCCACTTCCACTTCCCCCTACTCTTCCTCTGCTTCTGATTTCCTGATAACCAGGGAGAATCCGCTCTACTGGTCGGACAAGGAAAAACCCAAAGACGCTGCTGCGGAACAAGATTTCCCAATTCTGGCTTCTTCTAAGTCACTCAAGGAACCCACTCCCAAGCCAAGGGCTCCTCCTGAATCTGATACTCGGAGGGGAAGGTCCATTTCCAGAACCGCAGATGCTATGAAGACATCAGCTCCTGCCAATGGCAAGCTGATTCCGAGGCAGAGAAGCCCCTCTAGGGTGGATATAGGCCGCCGCAACCGCGCTCGCTCTGTTTCCCGGGCCCCTACTTCCCGGAGCTATGGCTCTTTGAATTCTGAGGTCTGGAACCTGTACAATGATATCTGGGTTTACGTTCTCTTCATTGTTGGTTCTTTTCTTTGTTTTTTCGGTTCTGGGTGGAATTGAATTCCCTTCATTCACAGAGCGATGTTGAAGTGAGAAGAAGCTTGCCAACAGTGCGCAGAAATGGGAATGATGCAAGTGGAATGGGGAGTGGTGGGAGAAGCAATGGTTCTGAAAGAAGAAGTGCTGACTGGCAGATTCAGTCGGATGGTTCTGCTACAACCGTGGTATCTTCTTAGCATTTTTAGTTTTTCTTCTGTTCTTGTTCAGACATGTACTATGAAATTGAACTCATGGATTTCTTAAATATGTTCTCTCCTGTGTTTCCATTTGTAGCCTCCTTCGCCGTCTTATAGTTGGGAAGATGCAGCGTTAGGAGGCTCAAGTTCAGATGCTGAAGAGAGAACTATCAAGGCTGTATGTGAACAAATGAAGGTGAGGTGTGGACAGTGTTATCATCCTTGATATTGGATTATGGAAGCTTTATCGAATGGTGCTTTATCGATGTTTTTTCCCCCCTTTTGTTTCTTGCAGGCCTTCCAAGTGGATAATTTGGAAGGTGATGCCTCTGGTCGTATATATGAAACTGTTCGATCTGAAGTCAGACGTGCTATTGCTGACATCCAAGGTGACCTTGCAACTGTAAGTCACTTTGCTGAGAGGAGGCATGACTGCATCCTAATTTTGTAGTGTATTTCTGCAGTGAAATGTCTTTAATTGTCAAAAACAGACTTTTATTGAACTATATTCCTGAATATGAACTTGCATTTGAAACTATTCTTTATCACTGTAATAGTCAGTGGGACTGAGCTTAACTCATGAATGTTTGTTTACTGGATAAGGGGTGATTAATTCTATTTACTGTTTAAGGGTGATGAATCAAAACACGTGAACAAGCAGGCATACTGTATCATTGACCTGTTTATTTCGGAGTTCAGGCCATTGGAAGGAATGCTGTTGCTACTGCCGGAGTTGCTGATGTGACTGATCTTCCTCCTGACTTGGTCAATCCCAGTGCTGTTGAATTAGTTCTGGACATTAGAAGAGAGTACGCCACAAAACTAGAACAGGTTAGTCCCCTTTGTTGACTGATGTGATTCAAACAGGTTTTGCTACAATGCTACAAAGATTCAAACATGAGCCTATTTGCTTGTCTAAGCTTAATCTGAACTGGAATCCTCTTATCATTATTAGTTGCAACGTAGAGGCACAAACTAAAATGAAGGTTACTGTTTTACAAGATTTGGTTTTAGTTTGGAATAACAAGCAGTTGTCAAGAGCATGCTTATTACTGTAATATTGTGTGATTTGGGGTGGATATTCTTCTTGAAATCTTCCCAACTACTTGTTTTCCTTGAGCATGTTATCGCTTCAGGAGATAATGAATTGCTTAGTTTCTTCCCTGGATGTATGTATAGACATGTTATAGATTAATCATTAAAAATAAATATTTATTTCTAATTCCTATATTACGTGATGGAAATCTGCCATTTCATTTTAGTAAAATAGTTGAACAGTAGTTAGCAACACTTTTTCTGGTCTTAAATAATAAACTGACTTATAATCTATAAATCAAAGTTTCATATTTACTCTGTAGTGTTGCATGAAAATTGACATAGTAAATCTTCTTTGCTTTTGAACAGAAAGCGTGTTTATTTATGCAGTTACACTAGTGTATAGTGTCTTTCTACCTTCTTACCTTTCATACTTTTGACTGAGACTTCATAAGCGAGATGCTCGTATTAAATTTGGCAGTCCCATGAAAGGGCTATGAAACTTCGGGCAGATCTAGCTGTTGAGGAGCACCGTGGTTCAGAGCTGAGCAGAATTTTGAAGGAAGTACTCCCAGACCCTAAATCTTCTAATGAACGCAAGCCTCGAGTAGGAAGAAAAGTAAGTTGTCTTTTCAGCGAAATAAAGTTTTCTCATATGTTACCTCTGTTTTGCTATGCATCTCTGCATATGAAATCATGTTTGTTGCTCAACAGAGGTCTGGTTACACATTGCAAAAGGCAAATAAGAAAACGGCAGTGGTCTGTGTGTATCTTTTGTCTTGAGACTTTCTTTTCTCGTAACTTTACCTTTTCAGCTTCTAAATTAATTAGTGGATTTAAAACAATTAGATTGGATGAAGCTTATGTTGTGACTTTCTGTGTTGCACCTTTTCGCTTCTACAAACATCACTGGTTTAATTATTTGTGTTCTCTTGTTTGTTGCCAACAGTCCAGTATTGAGAGAAGGAAGATGTCAAAACGGTTAACTGAAGAAGCTATGGCCTACTTCGACGAATGTGTCTCACTCTCGACTTTCGACAGCTCTGACTTTTCTTCTCAAGATGACCCGCCAATGAGATTCGTTGGCACTCATGTTGCTGATCGTTCTCCTTTTTCCCCAGCAACCCCTAGCATGACAGCAGACAGTGAACTTCTTAAACGTGAATCCAATAACATTAAGGTTTGTCGCTTTCATAGACTTTATCCGCGTTGTATGATTTGAGGGGATCTCTTTACAAACATGTCCCCCCTCGAGAAAATATCCCGTCCAAATATAAGAATTTAAATTACCTGAGCTTGTATGAATCGGCAACAAGTTCATGAAAATGCTAAAGAGCATAGGCGATGAATAATCAAGGTTTTTGCTGCACTTACAAATGAAGAATCTCTGATTGATTAATTGTGATGTTGGTGTTCAGGAACCAGCAAGTATGAGGAGAGCATCAGGGCTATCAGCCACCAGCAGCGACGAGCTTGCTGCAGCCGGTGAAGCTAGCATAAGCAGCTCCCAGACAGAATCAGCTCGGAGTTTTCAGTTTTCCTTCTCACGCAAGTCGGATAACAAGTTAGATATTCAGCAAGACGTTGGAAAATACACCAAACACTTTGGGAAGGACATAGAAAGAGCCGACTCCCAGAGTTCAGTTTCAAACTCCTATGGGTATGATAGCGAGGAATACAACCAACGGTCCTCGCAGCAAAGCATGCTATTCGACAGTGTTTTCTTCAGAAGCAGAATCGAGTCCGGTAGCATGCTGTTGTGCGGCGGTGGTCTTGGGGTCTTGTTCTGACCAATGCCCTCTGCGATTGTTATACCTCCGGTTGGCTTTCAGGAGGCTGCAGAATCTGTGGAGGAGTCACCTTGTCTGTTATCTCTCCCTCATTCTTAGTATATTTTTATGACACACATGATTGAAATTGATTGAGCGAGTAAAGAAAGATACAGAAGGCTTTGCTGCAGCAGGATGTAGCAGTATTGTAGATGCTGTTGCTAAAGAGCATCCCTCAACTAAGTGTGAAGATGGAGTTGCTGAAATTGGTGGCTTGTTTGGAAGCGTTGGCAGGAGAAGTTTTGCTTATCAGGTTGTACAAAATTTTAGTTGTTTTCAAAAGAAAAAGAGCGGTTTAATCATTTACAGAGCAGTGAGTATATCTTGTTGTCTAAGACTGGAAGATTATGGCATTCTCCATAGATGTTGGTTGGTAGGGTTTAACCTCTGTTTGTAGAGATCGGAATTCTGGCTCTAAAATCTAAATTTGGAAATTTGGAACTGAATCCTCTTCTTGGAATTGACGCCTCCCTCTGTATTCTGTATTTATACTGCTCTTCTTAGGGGCAAGGCTAGCTCTGGCTCGAGTAATGCAGCTGGGCTTTGGGCCCATTTAAATGACGGGCTGGCCCATACTTAATCAAGGCAGGCCCGATTCCCCAACAATTACAAAAGGACAAACTCCTCTATTCAGGTGCAACGTACAGGCTAATAAAGTATTGTAAGCTGTAACTAATTATCCTCCCCCGAACGACGTCGTCAAGGAAGAGCTCAGCATGGAAGAAACGGAGGAGCAGTCGGTTATTGTCGCTTCAGTTCCGTCGTCATTATTGGATCATAATAATACGAGAAGCAGCAGCGACAACGTTTGAAAGCCAAACTATACTGATAGTTTAAACGAAGAAAAAAAAAAAAAACATCTATCAAAAAGCAGAATTAAATTACAATTTCAACCTGGAATACCGATTACATATTTTTCCGGTACAATTTCTTACCACGATTTCTCACTAACTACAGACATTTTATTACCCTCTGCTTGCAGTTAGTGGTTTACAGTAGTATTCCATTTGGAACCCTTCTCCCTTTGCTATTTTCAGGTGATTGTGAGTTGTGACGACCTCAAACACAAAGATATAATAATAATAATAAACCCCTCCTCCTGTGGAAAAACATGAAGCTTCCCCCGGAGTTGTGGCTGGGGACCTACGACGCTCCCGAGGGAGCCGCGCTGGCATACGATCGAGCCGCTTACCGGATCCGCGGCTCCAAGGCCAAGCTCAATTTCCCGCACCTGGGTCGGCGGAGGGAGTGACGACGGAGATTTCTCGGTTTTGATGATGGGCTCCTGGACGGTCAACAGCCAGACATTCGTTGATTAATTAATTAAGCCATATATATATTTTCTTCACGGTTTAAGGCTGTTGTTAGAAGCAGATGATGGAACGTACGTATATATATTGATGCACTGTTGTTAGACGCAGATGCTGCCATCACCAATTCACCATCGTTGCTGTGTACGAAGGAGAGAATAAAGCAAGTGGTAGATCCACGCTTAGCAAGGTGGTGAGTGGAGGCTGGGGAATTAGTTGTTGTAGTGTAACAATAGAGTGAGGGAATTTGGCCGACGAGGTGTTTCCATGTGGAGGTAGGTTAGGATTTTCGTTGGTGGAGTCATATTTGGAGAGCATTAGGATTAACGATTTTGAGATTGGCTTGTATTTCCTGTTGACACCGTGAGAGTAAACCGAAAATAAGGAGAAGCGCGATGAGTGCAAACTAGGTGAAAGAAGCTATTGATGGAAGAAATTGGAGCGCACTCTCTCCAACTTGTCTTTCCGTAGAAGCTTTATGATCTTCTTAATCCAAGATTTGTGCATACATTTCAATCACAGAGTCAATGATGTTATTTGTCCCTTTCAATTTGTGGGTTCACGATAAAGGAAAACTAAGAGTAAGAGAATTGAGGCGGGAGAATATTGTTTGTTCGATGTTCAAGAATTTGCTAAGGAGCAACGTGCTCGCTTTCAGGAGAGAAACATAGATACTAATAGTCTAATACTCAGTTAGCTCTCGGTTAATCATTAATCGACCATTTATTTATTGGTTACCCAAGAAGTCACTTCAATTAGTTTAATGATGTAATGTAAGTCACTAGCTAACATATCCTTCACAATCGGGCTTGCTAGGCCTTATGCATGCCTTGCGGAGTCGGTTCACTTTAAGCTGATGAGTCCAGTGGGCCGACAGTTGTCGGTGCGATTGATGGGCTCGGTTAGAGGCCTTGGAGACCCTGACTTTGACCCCGAAGAGGAAGATGTCAGGCCCATTTAAAGTGATGGGCCGGCCCAATCTCAATCCAGGGGGCCCTAATTCTCCCAACAATTACCACTGCTATAATTTTTCACCATCACTCAAACGAAAGTAAAAGCAACTTTTACAGGAAATTTATATTTTCGGTGATCTCAACTATCAAACAATACATTGGTTATTGAGAGGGTGACTTTGAGGTTGTTGTTCGTCGACTTCAAAAGGATGTTTGCTCTGATGCTTTGATTTCTTGTGTTACTAATTGGGTTGCGGCATAGAACGATACGTAAAAAACCCTCTCGTTTTTTTCAGAATTTGTATTGCTTTGCATTTGTAGCGTGATTGTCGTAGGTTTTTGGACTGTTGAACGTAATGGAGGTGGAGAAATGTGAATCTGGGTGCATTGCATTTGGTGATGCGAGCATTGAGGGAGGAGTAAGAAATGGACAAGTGAAAATAAGAAGTTGGCAAAAGTTGGTCAGCCGCAGCAGCAACACTAAAAAAGTACAAATTCACCAAAAGCAAAGGAAAAAAAAAATGCAAGAAAGAAAGAGAGGCGGTGGTGGTGATTGGCAGCATGGCTATGGCTGCACCCTTTTGCCAAGTGTTTGGGCCGTTTTAACTCCTTTTTTTCTTTTCTTTTTTGGCTGCTTCTTTAATTCTTTTCTTTTTCCCCATTTAAGTGAATATATGAAAATTTGAGGTAAAAATTTGAGTCTCATGTGATATCATATTGTGTCGATGGTTTAATTAAAAAAAAAAATATTAGAATATGATTTTTAGTAATAAGAAATAATTAGATCATTAGTTAATTTATAATTTTCGCACAAATAATTTACCAATGACATCTTCTAATACAACTTCCGGTATGATTTCACCATACTTGTAAAAATACCCAATTTCTCAGCCTTTTCTGGCGTGGGTGGTGGTGGTGGGTGAAATTCCTAACTCATCCTCGTGGTTAATCCAACGCAAACCCCTCTTCTCTGTAATGTATCTCTCTCTGTACAACTCTCGTGGATTCTGTTCCTTTTTAGAACGTGGATTCTCTTCTCTGGTTTCTGTTGGTTTTTTTTTTAAATTATGATTTTGATTTAGCTGGGTTCTTGCTTGCCTTGCACCTCCCTTAATTAAACCTCTGCGGGATCCAGTCCAACCATTTTTATACCAAAAAGAAAACAAAAAACCAGGGGGAGGAGGAGGAATTGTCAAAGTAATATTTATGAGGGAGGAGGAGGTGGCTTTGGCTTCAACCTTGAGTACTGCTCTCTGTCTGCTCCCATCACTTGCCATATTCCTTGCCCTTGGGTATATGTCAGTTTCTTCTTCCCCTTTCTTCCTTCCCTCTCCTTGTTTTGGTAAACTACTTCTGCTGCTCAACCTCTCCTTAAAACCCCCCTTTTTTTCCCCATAATTCCCAACCCACAAACCAAATCTTCCATTGCTGACAAGGGGAAACGAATTCAGATCATACCATACTATGACAATGGCGTCGACAAAGATGAAGAAGAGGCAGAGGCTATCCCCTTCTTCCTCTACATCCTCTCTTTCTTCTATTTCGTCCACTTCTTCCTCGTCGACTGTAACAGCTGCAGCAGCAGCCGCTTCTTCTTCCCCGTGCTCCCCATCTTCTTCTACTTCTACATCTTGCTCCTCCTCATCCCCGTGTTGTTCCTGTAATGCTGCAATCAACAATCATACTCCACCTCCCGTCGCCGAATCGCATGAATTGGAAGTGGAAGTGGAAGCCTTACCCAAATCGAAACGCCGGAAAAGAACCCGCTCCACTAAATCCAATGCCGCTGCTGCTGATCGTCGAGTTAAAAAGGAAAGTAAAAACAATGGGGAGGAGGAGGAGGAGGAGGAGAAGAGCATTGGTACTGGAGGAGGAAGCAGCCTTCCCCTGCCTCCCCACCCTCCAGGGAGAAGAAGCTCTGCTTTCAGGGGAGTCACAAGGTAATTGAATTCATCAGCCTTGGACTAAATTCCCCAATTTCAAACAGAACTGATTGCCCAATTTCTCCGCACCATTGATTTTGGGTTTGCATGTATGGGATTCTTGTTCCACTATGGATGGGAGGGAGGTTTGACCCTGTAATGTATGGTGTTTGGATTGTGAACCAGGCATAGATGGACAGGGAGATTTGAAGCTCATCTGTGGGATAAGAGCTCCTGGAACAACATGCACAACAAGAAGGGTCGCCAAGGTCAGTATGGCTATTGCCTAGCTTAAGCTTCTTCTTCTTCTTCTTCTTCTTCTTCTTCCTCCTGCTTTTTCAACCCTTTTCAGGGGTTTTGGGTTTTGAATCGGTAATTGGGATTAACTAATTGGAAGGAGATCTGGTCGCTAATCCTTCTATTATTTTATCATTATAATTGTCTTTTCACCTCTTCATAAAGCTAAACAGAACAGAAAGGAGAGGGGGTTAATTACCTTATTTAATTATTCAGTAATTACGATTCTAACTTGTATATTGTTTTCTGATTCCCTTTCTTTTGCATCCATCCGACTGTGAAAATGGGCAACATTCATGTACTCTGTGTTTCCTTGCTGCAGTTTATTTGGGTAAGTGCCAGTAAATATAATAGTACTAATTATCCCCTTTCCATTTCCCTCGCTCGCTCCCTGCTGTTTTCTAAAATTAAATCCGTTATTTTACTTATAGTAATAATTTATTTATTTATATTACCGGCAGGGGCATACGACGATGAGGAAGCAGCTGCCCGTACCTACGATCTTGCAGCCTTGAAGTACTGGGGTCCCGGAACCACCTTGAATTTCCCGGTAATATTCAACTCTCTCTCTCTCTCTTCGATTAATTATTATCTTAATTTAAGATAAAAAAAATGGGAAAATAATTACAATAATAATAATAATAATGATGGTGGGAGCAGGTGGAAGGGTATGAGAAGGAGATGGAGGAGATGGGGAAGGTGACCAAAGAAGAGTATCTGGCGTCACTCCGGCGCCGGAGCTCCGGTTTCTCCCGAGGAGTGTCCAAGTACCGGGGAGTGGCGAGGCACCACCACAACGGCCGGTGGGAAGCACGAATCGGCCGGGTCTTAGGCAACAAGTACCTCTACCTTGGCACTTTCAGTACGTAAACCCTAAAACACTCCTCTTTTTTTATATTTTTTTGCATAATAACAAAAAAAAAAAAAAAAAAAGTTCGTCGTTTCTTTGCCGTTTCATTCTGGCACCACGCCCGTTTTTTTGTTGTTTTTTTCTTTTCTCTCTTCCTGGTTTCGTGTGTTTGGGGGGATGGAGGTTTGAACTTTGAAGTCAAAATAAGGGGAGCGAACGTGGCAACCATTCCTGCATGCCCTTTCTCTTCAGCTATAAACTCTAACAATTAATTACGTGGCATCTTAATTATATAAATTAAAAATAATAGGCTGGTAGCTAAGCTAGTAGGATCTCCTCCAACTAATCACCAGATTTGGCTCTCTCCCTCGTTTTCTAGTCTACAGATTTCCCGCTTCCTCGGGTCATTCTATTATAATAATAAAGAAACAAACATAAATTATTACAAAAGCATCATTTAGGCTTCGTAGTCCAAACTTAATTAAGGTGGTGATCGTGCAAACGGACTAACCTAGATTGTAATAACACGAGATTGAGGAGATTTCTCTTCTTCCTTCTTTGTCAAAGATTTTTGTAACGTCTTAAATATCGTTTAAAGTACGAGAGGGATTCATGGATAAATGGGTGAAGAAGTGGTGCATAAATGGGTGACATTTTGAAAAGTTATTATGATAATACCTAGAAACAAAAATCTATGTGTACGCACAAAATGAACAACATCATCATAATTATAAAAGAATTGAAATCTTATTATAGATTTTATCTTTAATAATCATGGAAGAGAAAAAGGAAAAATAAATCAACACGTCGGATTTTTAATTATAATTTTCTTTCCTTCGGTTTGCCACCTGAAAATGCGGCAGATCCACGAGGGATTCCAACAAACAAAAAGTGGTGTGTGTTTGCCTGATTGTGCCTTTGAGCTTTATTATCCTACTCACGCACACGACATTTTTCCTCCTTATCTTTTTTCCCAATCCATCATCAGATCCAAATCCACAAAAATTAATCCACCACACCTTCTCACGATCTCTTTTTTCTTTCCTGAGGAGGGGTCACGTGAGAATAATCCCTATTTTCATTTCCTTTTTATTCCCCACCTCCTTGCTTCATTTTGGTTTGTCACATTCTGGGTGATTCGCTATAATAATACCCAACAATTCTTCTTCCCCTCTGGTTTTCTTTGTTGGGCCCGGGCCCGGGCCCATGTAGTAGTTCATCAATGAAACAGGATTGGAGTATTTTATAGGAAGAGATCTAGCAGCTGGGAAATTGACTAATTAATGGCCTCTCTCTATTAGTTGGGGTAGATTTAAGTTAGTTGGTTTCTGTTTGATGTAGGTTTGGGCAAAACAGTGCAATTTTGTACCTCTTCTTCATCAACAGTTGTTCCCCAAAACGTAATGAGCCTGCCTATTCCTTTGGGCTTAGCTAATTTTGAGGTGCTGTTTTTCTTCTCCCATTAAAGTCAGTGGAGAGAGACAGAGAGAACTGTCCCCATTTTGACCAAATTGAAAACAAAATTCAATTTTCCTTTTGGTGTTTGGGCTAGACATCTTTCAAAACTCTACCCTGGCCGAATCGAGCCAGGGCTATCCAAATGCCGGGTTAGGGTTACGACGTCCCAACACGCCGATAACAACTGGGTCGTGTACTCTTCAATCCGTGATCGTTTACCAAATGCTCGATTAGAATCGACCGTCGCGCGATATCACTTGTTGTCTTTTGTAAGCATGCTCCATCCATTGTACTATTTATTCCGGTAGTCTATGATGAAAAGACATTTTGTTGCCGTCAGCATCCAACATCCACCACCCACTTGGTGGCTGGCTGCTGAATAATATTGCAGAGTAATAATTAGGTCAATTTGGGAGTAGAGAATTTGTTTAATTTGTTTCGTGAAAGATGGTTGAAAAGGTACAACTGCCCTCTCTTACCCTTTTTTGTTCAGTTCTACTTACCCTTTAAGCCATACACAAGACTCACACGAACTTGTGGATCTAATTATTATTATCACTAACGTGCCTGCCTCACCTCTTTCGCCTACCAATTAAGTACTTATCTACCTACTCTAATCTTCACAATTTAACATTTTTGTCTTAATTATACATAGTTAATTATAATAAAAACGGTAATTAGAGATCTGGTGGCAGAGTGGAGTGGCAACTAGTAGCAGCAGCAGAGCTCACGTGACTTCTTATCACACCCGTCTTTTACATTAGCTACCGATCTTAGCATGCAGTGATATTAGTATTAACAATTAATTCTGTTTAAAATAATAAATCTCTTCCTAATTACTTTTTTTGTGTGTGTGTGTGTGTGTGTGTGTGGTGTAGACACTCAGGAAGAAGCGGCAGAGGCATATGACTTGGCTGCACTGGAGTACAGAGGAGCAAACGCCGTCACCAACTTTGACGTCGCCAATTACGTCGACCGCCTGAAAGCCAAAGGACTCAACGTCGACCAATTCATCCACCCGTCTCCTCCGCCCCCAGCGCCAGAATTAGAGGTTGACGCCGTCGATGCAGTACGACCACCCCCTGCTTCACCGTCTCCGCCGCCTCCCCTGCCTTCGTTAGACGAAGAAGAAACAGAGGCTGGGGCAGAGGTGGCGGCGATGATGATGATGATGCCACCACCGCCGCCCCGCGGCGGCGACAGTGACAGCATGATAGCAATAGAGGAGCTGTTGGATTTCGAGCACGACGACGGGATGAGCGGCGGGTGGAGTATGTGCTTGGATTACCCGGAGAACGCGGCGGTGGCGACGGCGGGTTGCGCAGGGCTGCCGGAGCTGTTCGGCGATGCGGGAGGGTTCCAACTGGACGACATTGACTACTTGGTGTTCGACGCGGAATTTCTGGACGGTGATGGTGGCGGCAGAGACGTAAACGACAAGAAGCCCTTGTCGGATGATGATGGGTCAACCACAACGTCGGTTTCTTGTAACTAGGAAATTAAGATGGTTGTTATTGGGTTTGAATGTGCGCTGTGTGTGTGCGGGGAGAATGGGGTTCTCTTTTGTCGGGAATTTATTTGGTTAGTTTGGAGCCTTTTGATGAGTTAATTTTCTACCTTTTGGTTGCTTGTTTGTGGGGAGAATTGGAATTGGAAGGTAGAAATTTGTTGAAGGTTTGTTTTCATCTTGTTTGGTTGTGGCCTGTGTTGGATCTCCAGTGTCATAAACCATTTGGTCGTATCAACTCGAGGAGAGTCGAACACACGACCACTTGGTCAAACCAAATCTGATACCACGACATATAAATCAGTTGTTGGGAGAAGTTTCCGATGGATCTTATAGCATTCTCTAATAACTTGTTGGATGGTGATTGAACCCAGACTTAGTGAGTACCCGATTCGATCAAATTGGGTAAAATTCAGTGTTGATAGATTTGAATTGGGTGGAGATTCGGGTTTGCGAGAATTTGGTCTGCTTTTCATCCAGACCAGCACCCAATAAGTAAAACGAATACAAATTCATACTTAAATTTCGTGGAATTAGGTTACCATCCATGATGCATGACAGCAAAGAATGAAGATTAGGAAACAATTATCTTCTTCCATACTATCTTTCCCGTCTATTGTTGGGCTTTTCCTTATTCCGGTCTTTCTTACTCAATTCTTATTACAGTGGGCTAGGCTGGTCTAGGATCCATCTGGGCCAGGGCAAGAGCCACATTATGATAAAGCCCAACGCAGATGGTTCTTTTGGGACTAGGTTCTTATTGTTGGTCAATGGTCATTTTTATCATTCTAAAGTAAAAGTGTTTGGATATGGAAAAAATGTAGTGTTTGGATCTTCTAACATTGTGACATAGATTAGTTGTTCTGGTCATTATAGATTAGTTATATGGGTTGAACTGTGTATTATCAAATAATTTATTATGGGTGTGTTTGTGGGTTGAATTTAGTAAATGTGAGTCAAAATCCTTGAATTTTGAAATATATAAATTGGAAGTATTGAAACAAAAAAGGTGTAAAAAACAAATGATGTAAATTTCACCAATTATATATATTTTGAATCGTAGATCACTTGATCTCTCAAGTTTTATTTTTTATACAATATGATAAGGTTGGTCAAAATCAGAAGAAAATAATTCAAATATAAGAAGCCAAAGTATTAAAATTAAACTGTGGTAAAGCAAAATATGTAGATTTCACATTGAATTGTATATGATATGAAATTAGGAAGTAATATAGTAACTAAAGCTGCTCAATCAGCTGAGGTAAGTCCACATCTAAAAATTACAAACGGATTAGATTGATGCGAATGACTCATATTCCTCTATTCCAGTCATTTGAAACACCCTGCATCCACAGCAACCTTATGTGCCTTGGTAACATAATGCAAGTTGCTGGATATCAAGTTCTGGTTAGGGCACTCTCTGTCATTCCAAAAGCTGGGAGCTTTCTATTTTTGGCGTAGAGATGAGAGGACAACATCCTGGAGAGAGCTGTCGACCTGCATAGCATCCTTAAACTCTTCGAAAGTCACTTCGCCGTCGTTGTTGGCATCCATCCTGTCAAATATCTCGTCCAACTTCCCAGGTTCTGTAATGTCTGCTGGCAGGCATTCCTCCGGCAAGGCCTGCACAGACACAAATTTGGGTAGGTTGTTCCATATCAGAAAGACTAGAGCTTGAAAGAATCAATCAACAATAATGTGACATAAGGGAATGGTGGGTGAAGGATGTACACGAAGCATGGAGGCTACTTCTTCCTTTGTAATGCTCCCAGACCTATCTGTGTCGTACATCTGCAGAGGTAAAATGACCCTGATGAGTGGCTAGAGTGATGAAGCCACAAGTTGAGAAAATGAAATGGAGAGACTCAGCTCGATCAGTTCACCTGGAAGCATAAACGGAGGGCATCATCTCCTGTGGAGTTCTTCAGGCTTGAGAACCCACAGAGGATCTCCCTCATGTCAACCGTCCCATCTCGGTTGTTGTCAAACATATCGAAGATTCGAGGCGCCAGAGGGACTAATGACGACATCTTCATTGCCTTGAGCACCTCCTCAAACTCTGATAGAGTTGCATTGTCACCCTTCGCACATCTGAGGGCAGTATCAGGAAAAGAAGAGATGGTTTCAAGGTCTAGGCAAGCATTTTCACTGGAAAGAAGCAGCCAATCCGAACAATACAAGGATATCTGGAATTCTCAAGGAAGTGGGTAAAAAAGGGCTTACAGTTTCTTGAACTGTGCTCTAAGGTTCTCTAGCTCGCTCTCACTAAGATCATGAGATCCCAGCAGAGATCTAAGCTTCTTGGTCCTCAGGAAAATTGTGCTGCTCCACACACTAGCTATGGCTGCAGCGCGGAGCTTTCTTCGTGCATTGAACCTCTTCAGCCTTGTGACTATCTCCGGGTCCATTTGTTCCTCTCTGGCTGAGTCTCCTGTCACCCATGGATGATTAAGAACCTGTTTGTGGCATATTCAAAATCACACAATTGGAAGAAAAGCAAATTGCATTTCAGTACTTCATATCAACATAATAACTATCTCGAAATCAGAAAAAAAAAAAAAACAATCTAGTTCTGTTTGTGTTAGGGTTACATCTTGAGCACTTGGTCTTCTGTTTGGATCAACTTGCAGAAGGTCAGTGATCAATTGCTTTGCAGATGATGTGATCTGCTTCCAACTCCGCTCGTCAAAACGGAAATCACCCTGCAAACATCCCCAAAAGGCCAAACACAGTAACACACCCCATTATTTCTCAGTAACTAATTCATCTCTCAGAGACATTTCATCGAACACATACCGCAAGTATCATCTGCTGCTTCTGCCTGTTTGACTGCGCAATGAAAGGCGGATACCTGCCAACAACAAAAAAACCCATTTCGATTCTTCAAAATCCCACAACAATAGAGAAGAAAAGAAGATAAATTTCTCCGAGAAATTGCGAAGCAGTTATTCTTTCCCCCAACTTTACCCTGACAGCAAAATGTACAAGATGACTCCCAAAGACCACATATCACTCTTGGAAGAGATCTTCCCCTGGGTGAGCGCCTCGGGCGAGACATAATCAATGGAACCAAACAACCCAACCACAGGATCAGTGAATTCCTCCACAGAGCTCAACCCAAAATCCATTATCTTAAGCGCAGAATCATCCTTCTCATTCAGGAACAAGCAGTTCTCAGGCTTCAAGTCCCTGTGCACAATATTCGCACTGTGAAGCGCATCCAAACCTCCAGCAATCTGCCTGACAACGGTTGCCGCCTCCCGCTCCGAGTACCTGTCGTGCCTCCCCACAATCCGATCAAAGAGCTCGCCACCGGAGCAGAGCTCCAGAACAAGATGAACCCCGTTCTGATCCTCGTACACATCGTAAAGGTCAATCACGTTTGGATGAGGGGAGACTTTCTCCACAACTTTCCTCATGACCAGGATCTCGTTCGTGAGCAGAGCATCAGAAACCGAAGCCTGGTGCTTCCACGGCGGGAGGGCTGCCGCCGCCGGCCCTGGAACTGAAGGGGTCAAAAGCCTCTTTAGGGTTTTGATGGCGACATGGCTTGCCCCTGTTTTTTCTCCATTACTACTGCAGGTTCTCCTGATGCCTCTCCTCACCACGGAGAATCCTCCCCTGCCTAGGACTTCTGCTATCTCGTACTCATCCACTATCCTCTTCGTCTCCTTCCCCATATGGGAAGAAGCAAAATTCAAACCCAAAAACTGGAGAACACCCAAATTGCAAGAAGCTGGAAGAATCAATTATTGACTGAGATGGAATAATGGCTTTGAGGGGAGCAGCAGAAGTCAGAGGATGGTGAGTGGTGGTGTTAGGTATAAGTGTTGCAGGTGATGAGCCTGGCTGGAACAATAAACAAAGCTTGAATGGAGATGATAACTAATTGACATCAGCTTGAAAGCTGAGTTTGCAGTTGTCTTCATCAGATCAAGTTATAAACTAATCAGTGCTGGAGAATAAAGAGAGAAATGGTGGGTGGGATGAAGGTATGCGAGGAAGGAGACATGAGAAGAGGTCAACCAATGGCTTTTCTAGAGGGGCTCGTTGTTTACGGTGAACAAACATTGCCTTGTCCTTTTCGATGTCCTTTTCTTAACAGTTGCTTCCCTTTCTAGTTCGAGGTGCTGTAGCATCATTGAGCCTTTCTTGATTCTGTTTCTCCTTGTTTATGCTGAGCATCTGTGCGGCAGCTCAGTTGTTTTTTCTAAGGTTTTTAGCTCTTGGAGAGACTTGGTTACGGGAGGTTAAAACTTAAGACAGACGAATGCTTTTTCCAGAGAATTTTTTTTTTTTTTTTTTTGCTCTTGGAGGGACATAGGTGGATATAGGCATATAGCTTTTATTGTGATCCACTAGTTTGATCAGTTCTTCCTTTCCCAGGGAGGTTTTTGCCTCTGAATGTAGCTGATTAGCTTTTACTTCATGCATCATTTAGCCGTTTATTCTGGTTAATAGTGGTTCAATGATTGATAGGAAACCAGATGAGATGATATACAATACTTATGGTAAAATGTAATGTAACTGAAGAACCAATTAGTTGAATTAGGATTAAGCAATTCACTTATGTTGTCGAAGTCATTAGCCATCAAATTTTGAATATGCAAAAGGCATATGTTTTTACGGAGCATGGGTAGTAGGTTACAGTTGATGACCAAAACGATACACAAATCAATGGACCTCACCTAGGTATCCAAAATTGAACCTTAGCATCATAATTCATTTCCTACCCAAGTTTCATTGGAAATGGATCAGGTCAGTAACCTTATGATTAGTAACCATGAGACATTAATATCCCTCTCTCTCCTAGAAAGGTTTTTATCTTTTTCCTTTTAATTTTAATGGACGATTTCCTCTTTAATATTTAATTGAACCTTAGCATCATAATTCATTGAACCTTAGCATCATACCACGCCATATACCACCAGCGGGCCGGGCCGGGCGTTTTTACTTCGGAAATAATGGGCTAACTGACTGGTACTCAACTATGTAAATCATATCATGGGCTATACAACTGGCCCAATATCCATCAATAGTGGTACAAGATAATTTGTTGACTAGGGTTTATTATTTCATTGGTGGAAGAAGAAAAAAAAGCTCGTTGACTATTTACTAATTCTAAAATGGAAATCTAGCTTAATCACATCACGTATTCTAACAGCACTAATTCTACCCTAATAAAACAGGAAGATTAAGCCCTTAAATTCTATCTTAGATTTTCTTTGATCCAATCGTCATTCTCCTTTCCTCCACCCGCACACTAAACATAGATTAACATTATATACGTCCCACGTTGCCGTCTCGCCGAGCTTCAACATGACGAGCACCACTCCTTCACTACCCTAACTGCACTGCACGATATGATGACCGCGTAACCAAATATCATAATAAACTCGCACCAGTCCAATCAACAATGGCGTCCGTCCCATTATATAACCCGCCCGCCACCTCAATCCCCGGCAAACAACCCACTCCACACTTCCCGGCCCATACTCGACAAGCCCACCTCCAATGGCGTCGTCCTTCCTCGAACCTTACGGCAAGATAGACGACGCCGATCAGGCTCGCCTCGACGCCCGCCGCAAAACCCGCAAGCGCGTCCTCGTCATCGCCCTCTCCTCCCTCCTCCTCCTCACAATCATCCTCGCCTCCGTCCTCGGCACCCGCTCCAACAACTCCAACCACCATGACATCCAAAACGACGCCGCGGCCATGAAGTCGGTGGCCGCCGTCTGCGGCGTCACCCTCTACAAGGACTCCTGCTACCAAACCCTCTCCTCCGCCGCCAAGTCCGGCCACCTCCACCCTGAAGACCTCTTCAAGCTCTCCGTCCAGGTCGCCATCGGCGCCGTCGAGAAAGCCTCCGACTACTTCTCCAAAACGTCGAAGAATTACGACAACGCCACCGCCGCCGCGGTGGCCGACTGCGTCGAGCTCCTCGACCTCGCGGCCGACCATCTCAACGACACGTACTCCTCCTCCTCCTCGGGACCCACCAACGTGGCCGACGTGGTGGATGACGTCAGGACGTGGCTCAGCTCGGCTGCCACGTACCAGGACACGTGTCTCGACGGGCTCCGGGAAACCGGGGTGGTGGACGGTGACGTGGCGGGGATGAGGAACGCGACGGAGCTGACGAGCAACAGCCTGGCGATCGTGACGTGGATGGGGAAGGTGGCGGGGTCGTTGGGCCGGAGGAGGAGGCTGTTGGGCCACGGGCCCGAGTGGGTGTATGGCCGGGCTGGGTACTATAGGGAGCTGCTGGCGGAGAAGGGGGAGGATTTGAAGAAGAATGCGGATGCCGTTGTGGGGAATGGCGGGAAGTATAAGACGATCGAGAAGGCGCTGAAGGCGGTGCCGAAGAAGAGCAAGGAGAGATTTGTTATCTACGTGAAGAAGGGGGTTTATAAGGAGAATGTGAAGGTGGAGAAGACGATGTGGAACGTCGTAATGGTCGGCGACGGGATGGACGCCACCGTCGTCACCGGCGGCCTCAATGTGGTCGACGGCACTCCCACCTTCGGTACCGCCACTTTCGGTAATCAATCATATTCAATAAATGATATATATATATAAGAATAATATTTCATGTTTCTGAAGAGTAAAAATTAGTCATCTATTAAATTTTTATATATATATTTTTTGTTATCTTCTTTGTTTTGTAGCTGTTTTCGGGAAGGGCTTCATGGCTCGAGACATGGGCTTCAAGAACACGGCCGGCCCAACCAAGCACCAGGCCGTGGCCCTGATGTCCAACGCCGACCAGTCCATATTCTACCGGTGCAGCTTCGACGCGTACCAGGACACCCTCTACGCCCACGCCAACCGCCAGTTCTACCGCGAGTGCAACATCACGGGAACCGTCGACTTCATCTTCGGCAACTCCGCCGCCGTCATCCAAAACTCCAACATCCTCCCGCGTGTCCCCATGCCGGGTCAGATAAACACCATCACCGCCCAGGGGAAAACCGACCCGAACCAGAACACGGGGATCGCCATCCAGAACTGCAGAATCCTCCCTTACAAGGGCGACGCCAAGGGGGTTTCAGCGGTGAAGAATTACTTGGGCCGGCCCTGGAAGGCTTATTCGACGACCGCGTTTGTTGGGTCGGAGATTGGTGGGCTTATTGATCCGCAAGGGTGGCTGGCGTGGACGGGGACAACGGCGCCGCCGACGATTTACTATGCGGAGTACGGCAACTTTGGGGCCGGGGCGGATACGAAGAAGAGAGTGAAGTGGAAGGGAGTGAAGTTTATGAACAAGAAGGAAGCGGAGAGGTTTTCGGTGAAGGCGTTTATACAGGGAGATAAGTGGATTCCAGCTTCTGGGGCTACCTATAACTAAAAAAAGAAAAACTTCACCGGCAGGCTTCCTTGAGAACATACACTAATACAATTTTTTTGGCAAAAGGGTTCACAAAGTTGCATTCTTTTATCAATTTCACTCGCTATCTTCTGCCTTTTGATTATTTTTTTTTGCCCCCCTTTCATTTTTGCACTTTTTTTAAAATGGTAAATGACACACACCTTTATTGGTGATCTTGCATTGAGAATATTGTATCAATCTGTATAAGAAAGATCACTACAGGAAAAGTGAGTTTTCGCAACACGTAAAATATGTTGCATGAAGTGTTGAAAGTGTTACATATGTAATATGCAACACTTATAGTAGTGTCCTCTATAGGTGGTGTTGCATAAAGTAATAGGTAACACTTTTTTCACTTTATGCAACACAAAAACTATGTGTTGCGTATGTGTACCACTTATGCAACACCGTTTTTGGCAACATCTCAACAAATTTATGCAACACTTTTAGCAAGTATATGCAACGTGCATATAATTTATTATTGACAGGTTTTTTCGTCGCATAAGACTAACACAATCGTGACAACTTTCTCTAGTAACAAATATTATACATTTGTGTGTGAATGTTGTGGTGAGTGAAGCTAGCTTTTGTAACAAGTTTGTGCGGACACCAACTTATATTAAATGTGACAGGTTGAATTTATCACAAATACATAGTTTTTGTGACAAAATTATAGTCACATATGCAACACCATTGGTGACACTTTTTTTTCATAAGCATTACACCTTTAGCAACCTTTTTGTTGTCACGAAAGTATATTTTTGTTACGGTGAATTTTATCACATAAAAGCAACACCAATAACGAATTTGTATTGGAAAGAATAATATATAAAAACAAGGATTAATTTGTCGCCAAAAAGTATTAGATTTTTCGTGGTAACATTAAACTCCATTAGAGCTCCAACTGATAAGCCTATCTACTCTTACACATATGTGTTAAAACTACGAATATACAATTATCTTATTCTTAAGCTATTCAAAATCATATATGAATCTTGAAAGCCTTGCTTCCTCGGCTGGCTTTGCCTTCTCCATCGTCTTCCATCTTGGGGTGATTTTTATCTTTTTTTTATTGAATGCCATACCCTTTGAAACAACCATCATTGACCAAAGAAGAAAGCTCTCAATTGAATTAGATATGGAGAAACGAACCTGCAGATTATAGTGAATAAAAGAATCAATCCATTAATCAACTCATACTGCAGTTATAAAGTCAAAGAGGAAGCGATATAAGTGTACCTGTAATAGGAATTAAACTCCAGCTACGTACAATGGGGGTTCTTAACGGAGATCTGACCATCTGGCGCTGGTTCGGTTGGTTAGAGAGGAAGCCCTAAGCAGACAGGAGAACAACATAAGACTCCGAGTATGGGGAAAGATCGATCACGGTGGCCAAGGGTTTATAGAAGTTTGATTTTATTTTTGGTGGAAAGAAGTTTGATTTGATACAACAACTAATTGATTCCTTTTTTACCTATTATTATATTTAAAAGTGATCTACGAAATCCTCATAAGCAATAACAAATGATAAACGAATAAATGAGTAACAAAAAGAAGGTAACCATCAAAGAAGATAATTTACTATCGTTACCATAATTTGTAAGAAAAGATTATTAAATTGATTCTTTACGCAAAATTTTTGTTAAGAAGATAATTTCATTACTTACGTCTTCTTTCATTAAAAATTGTTTTTTTTAAATAGTATTGTGTGTGACTACTTAAAGCCTCACAAAAGCACATTAAACATGTGTGACGGAAAATTAAGGTTTTATAAGAAATTAGTCCCTCACTAATGAAATTCATGTGTTTATAAATTAATGTAAATGAACATAAAATGGAGCATTGTTTATGAACTTCAATTGGTTAACTTTTAAAGTAACACTTTTTAGTATAACAGGATAACTAATTTGTCGAACATTATGATTTGAACCACTGGTATATGTGGTGTGGAAATTTCATTGATAGTTAATTTGTTGTTAACGAACATTATGTGGGTCGTCAATATGATAGTTATATTCGATGACAATATGTTAGTTATTAATAATAACTATTAAATTTATACAATAAGTAATAAAATTATAAAATGTTGCCTAAATTGTAAGAATAGACAACATAATTTATTTTATTGCTCAAGTGTTGCATATTGTTAGGTATATGTAACAAAAAAAAATAGTGTTGGTAATTTGTGTTGTATAAGATATATATTATGCGACACATAACTTAAGTGTTGCATATGTATATTTTATGTAACACTTTTAAAAAGTGTTGCACAACAAGTGTTGCATAAACCCACTTTTCCCGTAGTGGATATTGGAGTCGATATTTTAAATGTAACATATATATACAATGGTGGAATTAATGAAAATACACAAAATATACGTACTGCTATATCATTGAGTTTATGTCTAGCTAGCTACTATGATCGATGAAGTCACTAGCTAGTCACTCTAGCTAGTTAATTACTTCTCTCATCATCTGCCTAACTGCCACACACTTGGATAAATATACATATTGAAAAAAGAAAACCTACTAATACCCATTTACTGTGCATGCAGAGACATTTTACTGCACATATAGACTCATATGTACTGTTACGACTGGGATGGGGCTCTGGTGTGGGTAGGTGCACGTGGGGGCTCTTTCGATCGGAATGGGATTTCTAACGTTTAGTTCAGTTTTGAAGTTAGTTACCTTCTGGTCGGGTGCCATCTATGTGTCCCTCACGCGCGTAGATCACTCGGCGGATTGTTTTCGCCTCGAGTTCTGCGTCCCTCACCGACTACTTACCCTTTCAGAGATTGCGCGGAGGCGACCTTCTTTTTCTACTGATTTGACTTGACACTTGTGAGAAAAGGTTAAGAGTGGGGCTTCAATTAGAGGATTGCAGAGCCTGCCGAGGGAAGAAAGCTTGAGGAGATGGGGGTGGCTCACAAAAAGAGAGAGGAGCAGGGATATTTTTCGTTCTTGCTTGGTGGATTAAACGCCACGTTCTCCATTCATTGTGATCCACTCATTTCACCCAACTCATCTGGCCTTATCAGTTTGCTTGGAGGGTAGCTACTGCAAAACTGGAAATTAATCCACATAAACCTCTTTCTCTTTCTCTTCTCTCTCTCCCTTCCTATTCTTCCCTTCTCTCAACTCATCGGTGCGACCAGAGGACCCTTTCCTTCTCTCCTCTTTCTTGTCGCACTCCGGCGACTATGATTGCCGCAAGAGTCTCCACAAATCACAGGTCTCTCTCCCCTCCATCCTTTCAAAGAGGAACCTGAGTAACGCTCGCTGGCCATAAATGCCTATCATGATTGTTAGACTGGTTTGTGTAAGTTAGTTTGGGATCAGGTTAATCAATGCCGGGCTTTGTGGTTTTTGTTCAGATTTATCCTGCCAAGGTGAAGAAGTTGCTATAGCCAGCCAAAGAGAGCAATGCGCGCCTGCCTTCGTTTTCGAAGAAAATGAATGCGTTGAAACCCAGCAGTGGCCGTCCTTCCCTTCTTTATATGTACAACATTCATTCTCTTTGGTGTCGGATCATTAATTTGTTCTCCTTCCATCTCTTTTGCTTCTTTCGTTTCAGGGTGTGGATATACGTTCGTGATCGTGAGTAACCACAACTAACGGCGATGAGAACCACAACGGGCAGAGTCGACAGAGTAGTACCAACGACCGACTCTCACAGTAGCTCCTCCATCTCCCACTTTTTTTAGTTTCCACTCAATTTCCTCTTTATGATCCGTGACTTTTGAGGTGGACCCTATGTTTCGGAAGTTGATAATGGATGTGGGCCTTCAGCTCCAGATCTTCTTCTCTCCTTTATCCTGATGCTAATCTTCAAATCTCCTATGCGATTCTCTGCTCCCGATCTCAATGCAAATCCATTCATCTGTTGTTATATATGTTCTGTGTGTCTCTAACTTTGAGAGTTTTTTGTTGCGCCATTGTTGGGCAATGAAGCGCTTGAATTAATTTAATTAAGTCGTTGGGTTCCCAATTGGGGTTTGGAGCTACCGAGTTAACCAAGTTTCAGATCATATAAGCCGTTTTTAGTTCCAGGTAAGCTGACATATTGATGATGCCTTCCATTCAGTACTTTAGAGATAATTTCCATACTTAATTTAAGAGTTGGAATGTGTCCACAGTAGGTTGTCATCGGGGACTTGGTTTCAATTCGGCTTAATGGTATTGTTCCTCTCTTGTTGGTATATTCGTTGTCATTTATCTGCTCAAGTGGTCAATTATGGAAATTTAATCGCAGATCCATTCGCCTGTGTGGTCACAGTTTACTTTTGCAAAATATGCGGTTTCATGATTTAGTTGCTTTCTCTATGATTTCTATGCAATAAGCCCGCTTCCAGAACCATGATGGTAAGCTCTTGAAATAAGTTAAGTTTCCTTCATGTATGTTGCTTCTGAGATCATACAATCAGAAATTCCTTTGTATCTGCTGAGTTTTTGTCTTAGATATTGCTAACTATCTCCTCTATCCACTCTTTTTACTTCTCTTTTACTACCCTTTCTTATGGTTTCAGCAACCTTTTGCAGCGCCAGTAGATTGAAAATTTGGAGGCTCTCTGCGACACTTCCTTCCTTTCCTTCTCCTCTCCACAGGCATAGCCGTTGATGTTGCACAGTCTAATGAGAATTTTCATTTGTGGTGTTCATTCTTGGTAGGCATCTGTATGCCTAAAATATTTATTGGTCGTCGCCCTTAGCATGAGTACATTCTTATTTGTTATGTAAATCCTGTCGTTAGAAAGCAGGTACTAATAGTATGGCCTGTGTAATAGTTTGGTTTTGGCAGAGATTGTACCTGCTTATAGACTGCTGCTGATAATTAACTGCGTTCCTCATTTTAAATTTCAGTTAAACTCTTTGTAATTTGGTATGGTGTGGCCAGCTCAACTTTATACAATCGATTATTTGGCACCTTCATAACTGCCTTGCTAGAACATTGCTTGGATACTTCTATAATTCTCATATGTGCTCATGAAAGAAAAAAAAAAGGTGTTCGGCCTTCTCCCCGAACTCTATTGAAAATGTAAGAATTAATTCATGGTGTGACTTCATTCTAAATTACACTTGAATGTACGTTCAAATTGAAGAGTCTCAATGCATTCAAAAAGCGCGATTCTACCTAAAAGTGGTTGGGTAACCTCTAATGTAAAATCATAGGCTTTTAAGTTTTAAAATGTAGATTTTGACTACATTTGTAAGGGAAAATCACGATTACGTAGAAGCATTTTGGTGACTCAAAAAAGTAAAAGCGTAAGCTTTTAAGTTTTAAAATACGATTTTGACTGTATTGGTCTCTCTATGTTGTCGTGCTCACGGGGTGTGGCCCCTTCCCTACAACTTAAAGTCCCAAAATTTCAAATCAAAGTGACCATTGTAAATTATGTGATTTCGTTGTTCTGTTCTGCACGTTCTTTCCATTTCATGGTCAAAATTGTTGGATTTTGTTATATGTTTCCTTTTCCAGAACAAAATAAGGAGTTGAGAGATTGAATCAACACAAGGGTTTCGTAGCTAACATTCAATGTATTTTTTTCTTCCCAAATCTAACATTACCATATTTAGTTGGTGCTGATTTGTTATGCATGCCAAGAGTTTAACTCTGGCCATAAGGATACTAAAACAAATAAAGTGGAAACATTAGATGGGGACCACACAAACCCTAAAATATATTGTTATGACAATTATAGAATGTGAGAATTTCACGCATTTATCGTAAGTCCCAGCGCGGAGCGCGGGCAATGGAAACTAGTATACATATAAAGGAGCTAACTTTATAGTAGACTGCCACGCATGACAAATTTAACGGAGTGTAACGGCCGGTGACTAACGGTGAAACGATTTGTAAAGTGAGTGACAAATAAGAAAGAAGAGTAATTCAGGTGGCAAATTTTAAAAAATTTGTTTAATTCGAGTGACCGAACAAATGTATAATTTAGCCCATATAAAAGGTATATACACACCAATCACTGAGAGAGACATGAAAATATATTGACACATGCATAAAGAGTTACTCCTCCAATGGATTCTCCTCGTGTATCCTTGTTCTACCTCATCATCATCACCACTCTCCTCGTTCCGATCTCCGCCGTCTCCTCCCAACATCCGCCACCGGAAGTTAGGCAGATGATTGAGACTGGTTTCGGCGGTGGTCCTCCGACTTGGCGCGGATTCCGCAAGCCGCTTCAAAATAAATCTTAGCAAGGTAAGTAAGGTAACCACCACCGTATAACACTATAACGTAAAAATTCCCGAGTTAACCTCTTCTCATACTCGATTGTATGTTCTATCTTGTACGTGCTTGAGAGTTGAGACCAAAATTTCCAAACCACACATAACCATGATATGATTTTCATATTATCATGCTATAGTTTTTTTTTTTTTTCCATCCATCACGATATAGTATGAAATGATAAAGAATCCTTAGATAAATAAAAATTTTCCCGCTAAAATATATCAAAATAAAAATTATTTTATACAACATTACCGCCCGGTATAATTTTTTACGTTCATAAATTTTTTTAATTTAAGTTAAAACGAATATAATCATAGAGCAAGTTGACTTATATTGTACGTAGCTACCATCAACATATGCAAGTACGCTCTGATTGCCTTGGCCTGGTCAAAACTATCCACGGGCACCAGAAGGTTTGGCCATGGCGAGCAGCAACATGGCTAGGCAGCATCAAGAAAACCCTTGAGGAGCACCCTTTGGTCAAGGTCAACCATATCAAAAGGAGTTTTAACTCGAGAGCTAACTGGGTCGCTCGGTCAAGAGCAAAACACTTGTTGCCCCTTCACTGGGTTCAGGTCCTCGATGTTTGTTCCCATTGTTGTAATTCTCTGGCTTCTGCCGCAAGTAATGAAAAGCAATGCCTCTTGTAAAAAAAACATATGCAAGTACGGTCAACCTAGTGAAGGATATATCAAGAGTCAACCAAATTACGCCACCCACAAGGTTGCGGTGCCGAACTTCCTACATCGCTTTTTTTTATTTTTACAAACGATTAAACTTTCATTCATAAGCGAGCGATTGTAGTACAAGCTTTGCCTATTTCGTCTTCAATGCCTAGCTAATTTCCGATACGTTCTTGTCCATGTTTTGGTTTAAATTATTTGTCCGGCCTAAGTACTATCTATTTTACTATAGATCGATAGTGGCCACAGACCTTAGTCATTTATCTTTGCATTCATTCATGATAATTACTTCTTTCATGAGTAACATGCATAGACCTTTTCTCTTGATAATGAAGATACATTTTAACTGTTATATATAATGTGCAAGAACATCAATCTTGTATTTCAAATAAAAGGAATAGAAACATGTAAGGATGTTGTTAGTACCTTTGAATCTTAAAATTTTAAGATTTACTGAAATTTATAAAATCGAAAGCTATTTAATCCATATAAAGAATCTGCACTTTGATTTATGAGATTTCTTTCACTAAATGCATGTCAACAACACATGCATCCAACTAAGTCAGCATGCATGTTTATGAAAATCATATCTCCACCTGTTTTCGATCAGCGACAATATGATATAATATATATATATACAATCTCCACTTGATTTGTTAGTGCCCCATCGATCATTAACTCATTTTATTTCTCTAATATGGATCTTTCATAAACACGTTTAGATTAGTGGGTTACCTATTAACTTTGTCTCTGCACATTCAAAGTCATGATGCTGGACAACAGACACAACATACATACAGCTAAATCATATTCTCTGCTCTAACCTGTTTTCGGCCTTCAAACTTAAAACAATAGAACGTGATGCCAACTCTTTCATTCCCATAACAATATTTCAATTGAACGCCTTCATCTCAGCCTAGCCTTTCTTTTTCTCCACCCGCAACAGCAAAGCCTATATCCATGGCTCCCACAACGGGACCAAACCAAAGCTTATACAACACATTCCATGAATCGCACTCAAGTTTCCTTGGGAATGAAACTCTTCACAATTGTATGTATACAAATCTGCCCAAATGAAATTTCTAGGACCCAGAAGGCTTTGCTCTGAAGAAAACACTATCAACACCCACCACCACCACCCACTTCCTATCTATACAGTTAGGCAAGAAGAAACCCACAAAACTAAAAGGAAATGCTCTATTCTTTCTTTCTCCTCTGGGAACGGTTTTCTTTGTAACATATGCAAATGAGGTGTGTAAACAAAGACTAAAACTTGTATCTCTATTATATCTTTCTCCAATTTCCACAAGTTTCTGGTTAGCAGGAATTCAGCAAACACATAGCTTTTCCATTTTTCAAATGTGATACGCGGATGATGCCCTCCTCGAAGCACCTTCCACGGTCTCTACATCAACCAAGAACGTCGCACATACCGGTCTGTGATCCGAGAACCGGTACTCCTTTCTCACGTACGACATCTGTTGCATCCCATTCCCATGCCAGAGTATTCTGTCACACCTGCAGATGTGAATTTCCAATGTAAGCTTAACGAGCACAATCATCTCAATATAAGAGTGTGACAAAGTGCATTGGTGAAGTTGAGACAGAGGGAATGGTTACCAAGCTGGAGTTCTTCTCTTGTTTTTGGAGTCTACAGTTTCTCCAGAATAAATGTCTGAGTTCCAGGAGTATTTGTAAGTCGGTGCGAAGTAGATTTTCCCCTCTTTCCATCCCTTGAACACTTTACCTTTTTCCCTCTCAATCTTCAGCTGTCATGATTTGTTTTCCATCCATGGATGTAAGATGATGTATGCAAAATAGAAATGAAAAGGATTTAGATTAGTTTCCAAGGCACCCCTGATTGTACCTGATCTTTGTCAAAGAGTGCATTCCAGTCATTCCGTTCCAGGAGCTTTCGAGTTTCCGAATAATTGAGAGCTATTCTGTAGTTGAGGTCACCGAGCCATATGATCCGGCTGTGAGGACATCATTCCAAGAAAAGTTAGTCTCATAACTAACCAACTACAGAACAGAACAGAAAACTATCATGATTTTCTAGAGGAGGCTTTTTGCTGGTGTTGCTTACTCGTGTTGGATGATTCTCTCGGGTAAGTTGCTATAGGGTGATTTGCAAGTCCTGGGGAATTGAGTGTTTTTTAGTATCTCGATCACATCCAAATTCCTCCTTAGCTCATCTCCTTCTTTCTCCCCTGATGCCAAGTGACTGCAGATGAAGCAAAAGGTCGTCTGATGGAAAGACATGCTCACGGATATGCAGCCCTGCAATTTTCAACCGCCACAAACTTCACTGTTACAGATCCATTGTGGAAAGAAATTCAAAAGGAACCAAAAAGAACAAACACCATATTTATCTATCTATATGTATTCCTACCTTGTTACCAAGGCAACCCATGATTCCACGACTAATGTAAGAAACTTTCAAGTGACTAACATATTGAACAAGCTCTTTCTTCATCCAAACAGTGAGAAAAATCCCAACCATTTGCTTCCCCACAATAAGGCTGTATCTCAAGTGATTGTCACCATTAGCAACAATATCCGAAGATCCACAGCCATTGAGTCCATCCTCCTCCTCTTCTGATGACAATCCGTCATCCCCCAGGTTCGTCTGAGGGCACCAAAGGCAGGAGTCTTTGTTGTTCTTCCTGTCCATCACATGACTGCAGTTGCAGGTCTTGAGGCGGCGTACACTCTCGGTCCTGAAGCTCTTGCAGACCTTCCTCAGAGAAGGCCTCTGAAATGGAAGCGGGTTTCCAAGAGATGCAAAGGGCTTTGACGCTTTTGAACCTACAGTGTATGATCTGTTCAGAGACTGGTTGATAAGGGCAAGCCACTTTGCAGCAGGCTCACTGTCCTCTGCCACAAGAACATTCCCAGCATTTAATGGAACAATTTCCTGAAAGCTAACAGTTGAAAAGGAAAAAGAAAGAGCAATCAGAAACATGCTGCTGAATCAAGATTAAAGATGCCAAATCCTGGATTAAGATGAATGGATGATCAACTCACTCACCCTAAGACATATATGTCTGCCTGGTTGTGAACTTGGAGAATATCATCCAGATTTAGCCCGCTGTGGGGAGATTTCCCTCCCACATTCCATGTTGCCACAAAAATTCTGGCCATGATTTCAGACTTTGTTAGTAACAACTTCATCAAACAACCTTTGAGTACAACTGTACAAGAGAAGTTCATGTAGTATGATCCATTCTTACCTAAATGGTTCTTCTGCTGTCTGCTGATTAGGCATCCGTGAAGTCAAATGGTTTGAAAAAAGAGCCTCAAGCGCTGAACCGGTCCGCCTTTCTGATGACGAAACAGGAGGACGATTGAGCAATGAAAATTTAGGCCAGAAAACACTCAAGAATTGGAAGATTGTTCTTAGTGGTTTCCCGAGGAATCCAACAAAACCATGGACTGGACCAACTTTTCTAGAGCAGAAAACAGGCATTTTGAAGACTCTGAAAGTAAGAAACAGAAGAGAAAACACAGCATCTGATGGGCCCTCAAAGAATGTTATGCCATTGAAGAAGCTTCCTTTACTTGCATCTTATTACATTCCTTCAAAAGTTCATTCAAAGCATATATTCTCTACCCACCGCCCCACATGCTCTCTTATCCTCTCTCGCAAGTCTCAACCAAACCCCTAAAAGATGAACAAAGGGAAGAAATTATACCCAAATCCAAGAACTTGATCCTTCCAAGTTCCAATTTTGGGTAACTTCACTATATACTACAGAATGCAAACCAAAGGACCCACCCGAGATAATTCGAGTATCTAGAGTAACCCAGATGTAAAAGAAGACATTTTATGACAATGGTGGGTGGAATATTGGCATGTGATGTGTCACAAAACAAGATAAGAGAGAATCAACAGGGCACCAAAATCAGATCCATGATTGCAGAACTGATGACTCAGTTAGGCTGAATTGATTGATCAACGAACGATAAACCATACAATTAACTCAATACTCACCAGGGGAAGAATTGAATGGGTCTCCACTCGATCTCGTCACGATCACCTCCCTGGACGAGAATATCTTCTGCAGGAAAGACTGCCAATTCCCCAAATCATCATTAGATAGAAAACTAAAAAAAAAAAAAAAAAAACAATGACTAATAACAATGGTAATGCATTGCTCTGTTCATACCCGCTTTCTGTGGTCTTGGTTGGTCATTCTCATATCTTGAAGAACAATGCAATGCTCTCTCATTCAGTCAAATCAATTACAAAGGAGTAGACTCCACTCGGAACCAAGCACGAAAAAGAAGAAGAAGAAAAAAAACTAAAATCTGAAAGGTAGAGTTTTCTTCAATTGAAACTGTTCCATCAACAACTCCTCCGCGCCTATTGAGATTGTCGAAAAATCGTTTAATCCTATAGACAGAAAAAAGAAGAAGAACATAAACAAATCAAATAAATAAAAGTAAAGCAACGATCACGCTAACTCCCAAATGCAAAGAAAGAAACTGACTTTCGCGTTGTTTCTTTTCCCAGATGACCCTGACTTGACTGAATTAAAGCCCAGAAAAAAAAAGAGGGCAATTTAGCAAAAAAAGCAGAAAGAGATCCAATTACCAGAAATGAGAAAAGGGAAGCGGCGGAAAAGGGTTTTGTTGTCGTAGGTGATGATGATGCTACTGCGGCGGAGAAAGAGAGAAAATGGGGACTACCCATGAAAGCAGTCGTTGCCAGCAGCAATGGGTAGGAGAGAAAGTGAGGAAATTTCCTCGAGAAAGTCAACTTTGTCAAGAAATATCGTCCCAAGCAGCCCTATTAACAACATGTGACATTTTTTCTCAAAGGTGGAAACGAGCAGAGCATAACAGGGTCGAGGGGGACAAGAAAATGGAGCACAAAAAAGAACGGAAAAGGAAATAATAAGGGGGTTCTGAATATTCGGGCGATGGAAGTGAGGAAGTATCTTGGGAAGGAAACTGGGTGATAAGCACAGAGGAAAGGAACAAATGGAGGGAAAATGGGGAAAGAAAGAGAAGAAAAGGAAGCAACTTGGACCATCTTTTTGAGGTTTTCGTTAACATTTGATTGGACCAGCACGTAGGGGTTCCCGCAAAGCTGTCTTTGATGATTATAAAATGGTAAGACAAACGAGAGAAGAGGTTTGTTTATTTGGATTCCTCGGGGATGAAACAGGGGAACAGTCAACAGTGGGAATCGATCTCTCAAATGGGTGGTCGAACTCTTTGTTTTTTCGTTTTCTGGATCTGGAAGTGGAAGGGCGGGCCAATGAAACAGGGAGTGAATTTGGGAGGTTGAGAGAAATAGCAACGGCAAAAACCGGAAAATTCTAATGTAACGTTGGGTTCGAATCTAAAAGTTAATCAATTCCTTAGAAAAAAGGGGGACAGGATACGGTGACAACCCCCTTCAGATTCACAACCAAGGGTATTTTGGGTATGAAAAAAATAAATATATTAATTACCTTTTTGTATTAATTATATTGGGAATTTAATACCCATATTAAATACAATTTTTTTCTGAAATTTAAATCTTATACATTAGTATCTCTATCTATCTCTCTCTCTCTTCCTTTCTCCAGCAGCCACTCCGCATCGACTGACAAACTTTTTCTCCGGCGAATTCTCTCCGGCAGACTCCCTCCGGCAACCTGAAAAAATGTACCAATGCTTTAAAAAGTGTACCAATCTATTAGTCTACTGGTAATTAATATACCAGTGCTAGTGGTACGCTACCAGTACGTTAAAAAATGTACTAGTACTAGCGGTACCAGTAAAAAATGTACCAATACTAGTGGTACGCTACCAGTACAACGCTACCAGTAGAGAATAACACAACGCTACTAGCACTGGTAGCGCTACCACTAGCATTGGTAGCGGTACCAGTAGAGAATAACACAAAAAAACAGATAATAGTGGTATTAGATGATAGTGGTACCAGATGATAGTGGTACCAGTGAGTAGTGGTAGGGGAGCCACTGGTACGTACCAGTGAGTAGTGGTATCGTACCAATAGAAATTGGTACCACTAGCATTGGCAGTCTTCTCCTCGAGATTCTTCGCACCCCCGGCGGTGGCCTTGGCGTCGAGGAGGTCGTTGAAGCCGACGCCGGAGGCAGAGAGCTTGGTGTAGAGACGATCTGGACGTCGATATGGACGTTGCTGATGAGAACGCGGACGGAGCCGATCTGGACGTCGCGGAGCCAGGCGGCGGCGTAGATCTCGATCATGATGGCGGGTACAGCAGGCTGTGAACGGTGGGCACGGGAGAGGAAGAGGGAGGGGAGGACAGCGGCGCGGCGGCAGGGGAGGCAGAGGCGGCGACGGTGGTGGAGCTCTTGACGGCTAGGGTTTTTTTGTTAGAGATATGTGAGAGGGGAAGAGGAGGGAGACGCAGGAGAATGGGGGAGGGTCTGTTTTTTTTTTTTTTTTGGGTAATAAAAAGTATTTATATGGAAAATGGAAAGGATCTCATGTGGTAAATTTTCCATTCCGAATTTGCCCTTGGTTTAATCTTAACCATTAATTTAAAAAAAGAAGAAAAAGACAGGAGAGAGAACGTAGCTGATGGCCACAAAGGTGGTTGTGAATCTGACAACCCCCAAGGGGTTGTCACCGTATCCTATCCCGAAAAAAGGTCTCACACTCACATCTTATTGAAAGTTTGAAACCAAAGTAAAAGATATTAATTTGACGAAAAATAACTCAAACAAGTCCAATCAAGGTTGTCAATCTGTTGGTTGACCCGTTTTGACTCCGACTCAGTGCAAGAAACGGGAGCCAGCCACACACCAGCGGATCGACCCGCATCAATATTCTCATGTTGCATGTCACACGGCTTTGTTTTTCCATTTGGTTTGTGAAGTGCTTCTCTTCCCGGTTTTCTTTTTTCCACCTAATCCTATCTTTATAATTATAAGTTGAACATTTGAATATTGATGTTCAATGAGTGTGTATGAATTTTCGTTGTATATTGAAATCCAATTCGATAACGAATTGTTATTTTGGTGCAATGTTTTATGTTATTGGATCATTAACCCTCAACTCACTTGCCCACCCGGGTCAGCGGGCTAAACCCCGAGCAGACAACCTTGAGTCCAACTCAACCGCTCTTGTCAATTAACGCCACTCAATCCTCGCGGTCAACTCAACGTGACCTCACCGAAAACTCGGCGAGAGCTTGAGGGAGAGCTCAACAGACTGTCAATTGCGATTTGTAACGCATCGTCGCCACACCCACACCGATCGAGCCCTCTGCGCCGGCACGCAACCACAATGTTACATCATATCACTATAAAATTGTTACCCTAGCTTCAGGTAAAAAGGTGATAAATCCAATGCTCAAACTATTAAATTTCTTTTTTCTGATTAAACTATTATACTTCTGCTATGAATAGCGAAAATATTCAAATCCATTTTCTTCATATTTTCCTTTGAGTTCATATTCGTTTTACCGAAAACCACCCGCTAACTTCACTGGTTGTCGCCACAATACACACCCTGCAAGAACACTTGTCTTTGAGCTGCTGAATACTCCTCGAACGAAATGTTCACACTTCACAGTCGCTGCTTTGCCCGGCAAACAAGATCGTCTTCATCAACCCCAAGCATGTAAAGAGCAAAGGGGTAGAAGCCGAGATTATAAAAGTGCAACAGAGCAAGCACCAAACTTTAACTGACCAAGCTGGGAAACCACGCGTGGAATACCTACTTTGATAACTTGTTCCCAAGAGAAAATGCTTCCTTTGTCTCTCTCCTTTTCCATTCTTAAATTGAAATTCACAAGAACGCGAATAAGATGGGTTATCACTTATACCGTGCAATCCGATTACGGTGCTCACATAACATCCATAATGTGATCACAACTTGCACGTCGGCACAAGAAACTCGCAATGCCTAAAATTTGACACTAACATAACATAGTGGTAATATACGCCAGGCTGAGAACAAATCATGAACCTAAGCACACAAACAAATGTACACCCTCTACATAAGGAGCTACAGAAGTTCTGAACAGAATCATACAAAGTACAGGAGCAGCTAAAAGAACTGTCAACTAATGTCAATTCTGCAATGGCATCATCGAGGCAGAGTCAGGTTCGTAGCCATGTACCCGGAAGCGGTATATGCATGTGTGCGCGTGGCTCCCATGGTTCGATGTGAAGTCCACCCTGACAGTGTCAATCACATGTGAGGCTGCCGAATCAACAACACTGATGGTCTGAGCATTGCTCTTTTCCAGATCGTACGTGAACTCGGTGAGTAGAAACATCTTCTCCGGATCTGCAGGTGAAGTAGCATCGGACCCTCTGAACCAGCCAGAAACACGACAGTCCTTCGGGGCACTTGACCGATCATATGCAACACTCTATCCAAGGAAAACAACAAAACAGTAAGGAATTGATAAGAGACCTGAACAAGCAGAGGCTAAAGCAATAATAGAATGTTCTAAGGATATCAACAACATGCTAACAACCAAAAAAAAAAAAAACACATGACGTGGCGCCGGAAGAAGCACCAGCCATATGAACAGCAATCTCTATATATAAATAGCTTCATCTCTGGCTAGGAAGCTGTTACTACAAATTTTAAATCCTACACAAACTAGCTCCTGGCTTATATACACCCAAGTATGAGTTTAACCTCAATGTTCTCATAAATTGCACGGTCAACTAACAGGCCCTATCTGATGTTCAAGCAAGCAACCAAGAATGAGTTTAACTTCAATGTTCTCATAAATTGCACGGTCAACTAGCAGTAGGGCTGAAAATTTTCCTGACCCATCCCTGTCCCATCCCTGACACTGTTTGACCCGTTCCAGAAGGGACAAGATGTATAACTGACCCGTCCCTGTCTCCTTCTTGACCCTGTCTGACCCTCAAGGGATGGGACGGGTCAGGTCAATGGGTCGACCCTAATCTACACACTACTTTGTTTACAAATTACATTTTGGTACCCAAAATTATTTTTTTCTTACAATTGAGTACCTAAAAATTATTTTTTTACAAATAAGTCCTAAAATTTTGATGGTAAAATTACATTTTGGTACCCAATTTTTTTTATTTTGCAATTTAGTACCTAAACTTTTAAATTTTTTACAAAAAGGTCCAATATGGTATGAGATATTTGTTGTTGCTAAGGGTCACAGGGTCAAAAGGTGACCCGACCCTTCCAACCCTTATACGGTCAAAAGCAGTCTCGTCCCTAAACTGACCCTATAGACAAACTGACCCGTCCCGACCCTCAGAGACGGGACTGGTCGGAACGGGCCGATGGGTTTTTAGGGTCACACTTACACCCCTAACTAACAGGCCCTATCTGATGTTCAAGCAAGCAACCAAATAACAGGGAAACACATAGGCACCTCCCTGCTATGTAACTGACTTGTAACAAACTCTTCTACTGCTATAACCTCTCCATAATAGTTAGAGAGAACAATTAGTTCATTCGTGCTGGCTGGATTAGGTGTTTCAATAGAACTCCTAGTGTCCTAATAGCAGAAGACCAATCGAGAGACGCTCATTAAACATCAGTACAAGACATGCACAATCCATTTTGATTGCCTAGAGTATGGACTTTGAAGCATTGAAGTCATGACAATGTGGGTTCAGGACCGTACAAGGGGAAGGGTTGCTGCCCAAACTGCAAGCCCTCCATTCAAACTTCCCAATCAAAAGGTATCAGTCTGACAAACCACATTAGAAACGGAGACCAAATAGCATAACGAAAAAAGCTTACAGGTAATATAGAGGAAAACCAAATTAAGAGCCACACATAATATGATTAGAAGTACGCTTGCCACTTCCAGACATTAAAAATTGCCACCTTAAACAAATGCAAACTAGAGGGTCATTCTTGGTTATAGATGTGCCCTAACCACTATCTGAGAAACATGCACAATCCTAGATGAGCTCACATTATTAAAATATGAAGTTGCAGGCATAAACCAATCAAGGTTGCCTATGATGAATGCTATATAGAGGAAACTCAAAAACTAACATAATATACCCAGAAGGATTACTAGAGAAGTATATACTCAAAATGGACTTAAGTTTCTGTTTGACGAATCTTGGTCAAGGTTACTTATGAATTATGATGGCTGATATATAGAGGAAACTCCGAAACTAATATAATATATCCATAAGGATTATAAAGAAGTATATACTCAAGATGTTGCATTCTCATTTCTCGTAAGGTAATGGATCAGTTCCCCTCCCCAAGTTCATCAAGCAGGAGGCTCCTATCCTTCTATTGCTTTAATGTTTAATCAAACAGAAATCCAATTCAAACTAGGCACTAATAAGAGCATCTAAGAAGGTGTGCATCAGTCTGTCTATACAGGAGTTGCACCGGTTCTGACAAACAAACGCGCAAACAGCAAAGGTCGACTAGCATAGCAACCTAGTTTCGGAGAAAAGGTGAACGATTCTGACATTCACTTTAATGTTTGGAAAATAAACCATAGGTTCAGACCTAGAATGGACGAGGAACTGTATTCTCTAGTTTCTATGCTAACTTGGCCAATTTTAATTACATTAACACAAACTTAAACTATGTCACGCAATCAACATTGCAAGGCAGACCGGAGTCTGAGAGTATTACCTTGGCAACATGCTCCAACGTAACAGCCTCAGGAACAATAGCTGCACGGAGACTAATCTCCACAAATCCACTGGCTCCTTTAAGAGGAAAGCACTGCCCAGGCTCTCCAAAACTCGGCCTCAGCATCTTATATGCATCAGGATGAACCCCACTCAAGCCAGAAGCACCTGAGAACCATCCGCTAAGGGGCCTCCTCTTACCAAACGGCTCAGAGTGCTTCAGCACAGAAGCGCCACCCTCCGCAAGGGCATAATCCACTTTGCCAAGTCCATCCGCAGCATGCTTCTCGATTTCTTTCTCCACTATGTCCTTCGCATAAGCCCTAATGACATCCAAATTGTAAGAGTCTTCACCGACCTGGAAATCCTTTGTCTTCTTCAATTCCTCGTAGAACTTCAAAAAATCATCCTTGGACAACCAATCCGCTGCCTTCAACTCTGCAATTGATTTCTCCAACTCTTCACTCTTCGTTTCCAAATTCTTCAATGCAGCGTCCATACTCGAGCCAGTATCATCAAACTTCTTATTCACTTCATGCCTCAAACCTCCGACCTCGTTATCGATCTTTTTATCTACAACCTCCACCTGAACCTGAATCATTTTCGCCGTGGTTTTCAAAAACGACTCCACTTCCGCAATACGGCCCTCAATCTCCGCCAAACCCGTCGGCGTTGCAGCCGAAGTGCTCTCCGATGTCGCTAACCTCCTAATCAACTGCACCAGCCCTAGCAAGACGAGCAGAAGCACGAAATTCTTGGTCAAAATACTCACAACCGTCACCCACCGCGGTTTCTCGGGCTTGGCCGCCACTTTCCGCCCCCTGCGCGGGGAAACCGTCGAGTTAACCGCGTTTCCCTTCCTAAGCAGTACCGGATCTTTAGAAGTCCTCTCGAGAATCGGCTCGCCGCGGATGGAATTATGACTCAGATCCTTGCTGTGCGCGGGGGCGGCGACCTTCACCTTATCATTCCCGTCGCCGCCTCCATTGGCTTGCGCCTCATGGGGCAACAACTCGATGGTGTTGGACTTCTTCTCGCCGGCCAAAACCGGCCTCCGGCGGGACGCCGCTGGGTTCGCCGTGATAGACACGGTCGAAGCGGACATAGCTACCTATCAACGGAGCAGAGGCGGCACTCTGAATGTGTAACCGCGAAGCAGGAAATGGGAGGGAAAGGAGGGACCGAAACCCTAGAATTCAAAAACTGAGAGGAGTAAAGGAACAGAAACAAAGGGAGGGGAGAAATTGACGAACTGATATGGATTTTTCGGGCGGAGCGGATTTGGAGGGAGGTGTCTCGGAGAAGGAAAAAAGAGGTTCGCGGTGGATCGGATCGAAGGATTTACAAAGAAAAAAAAAATTACGAGGAAAGAGATGAGCAAGAAAAGAAAAAATTCAAACCGACGCGATATTTGGAGCGCTCGTCTTGTCTGTTTGATTTCTTTTGAATGGGGAATCAATTCACAGAGAGCCCGATAAAAAATCATAGAGAGAGAGTAGGCTCCGGTCCGCAGTGGGAAAGTTTTGGGCCAGAGTTTTCAGCAGGTTGGATTGGGCTTGAACACAGTAAAAGTTATCTTGGGTCGACACTGCCGCGCTTGTCACTTGTGGTTTGGCCAGCATTTTGTCAAACATATTCTTTGCCGTATAATTTTAATACTAGCCTAGGCCCCGGTCATTGGTCGGAGGAAGATGAGGTCTGAAATTTGATAATGTAATGGGTGTATAGCTTATTGTTGTATAGTTTTTTTTGGGAAACACGTGATAAAAATAGTGAATTTTAGTAGGAAAGAGACATGAATGATGCAACGAATCAAAAATCAGCCTTATGAACCAAAATAAAGTACATGTTACCTTGTGAAACAATATTGTTTCTGGTAATATGATGAGGTGGAGTAAGTTTTATAGAAACAAAATTCAAGAAAATCGAATAAAAAATCGCATATATCGTCGGTTTTCGGGAAATGAGCATCTCACAATCGTTGCTAGCTTTTACTCGGCACCTTGGCCGATTAATTTGCTTTATAAAACTTTCATCTTGTCATCATTGTGCTTTCTGGTTTTTTGCCAAGCCATGATAAAATCTAAAGAAATCAAGAATGAACAACACGATTTGGGATAGGAACCACCGTTCTTGTATCCCTAGAAAATGGTGGTAAACACGAACTCACCTGCCAAACTGGTTTGGATTGAGATTTTATCGGGTATTAGAGAACCATGTGATTACAAATTAGACTTGATCAAAACGGACCAAAACTTGAAATTCAGCCTGTTGACCGACCCGTGCCAAACTCTAATTATTCTTTACTTTTAAACTTTCTATTTGAAAATAAAAAATAAAGAAAGAAAAGAGATGCCTGCAATTCGCCATTTGCACATCACTGATTCGGGAATAAAACTATACAATTTCGAAAGGAAACTGAAAATGTTTAGGATCATTTTCATGTTAAAAATAACCAAATAGATCTTTCTGTTTAGTTTTTTACTAACAAATACCAAACGATTCCCTATAATATACACTATAATTTAATCATTATGATATCAAATAATTACATAATATATATTTGAAATGAGAAAAATTGGAATAATTGGGTTGTCGAGGTTGAACCATTGAATAACTTTAAAATATATTATATTTTGGTCACTAAGATATGAAATAATAGCATAATATATATTATGTTAGAGAAAATAGCTTGTTTTAGAATGACAACCCCATGATGTTTATTTGTTTTACCTGATGGGCAAATCCTGTGTTGGTCAGACCCATTCAACTCTTTTATTTTATGATTAGCAGTTAGCCCATTAGAATCCATGCATTAGTTTATTGTTAAATTTTTTTCTTTTTAGCAATAAAAAGGAGTATTGTTTTTGCCTTTTCATGTATATTTTACCACCACGGAGAAATAAAAGGACTTAAAGAAAAAAACTGACACTCTTGAACCCATTTAAATCCGCATGTGTATGGTAAGTTGGCCCGTTCCACAGAGGAAAAAGAAAAAAATTGACACTCCCTATTCTACCTTTCCTACAAACGCTCATGGAGCAGGGAATTTGAAATGGGGGAAGAGTTTTTTTCTCTCAACGATTATATGTTTTAATTTAAAAAGATACAACAAATGTACTTAGTGTGATTGATTATGATCTTTGCTTTTCTTTAAAGTGGTCATGGTTCGAATCCTAGTAAGTGTCTTTTTAATGAATTAAAAAAACGTAATTGTGATGACCAAAACATCCTTCCTACTTTCTCATTTGCCTTTTATTTATTGTGTAGATTATAATACAAATTTCGTTATTAAGGCTTTGAGAGACATCAAACACAGGACCTTACACATTTCGGGACAACCTATCTGTGGTGACACCGCTAAACTGTCTTACCATTGACAGGTGCTACTTCAAGGATCATCACTGTCACTATGGATTGAACTCTAGATCTTATCAGAAATGCTCCACTAATTAGGCTAGCCTTATATCGCCATTGTCGTTTTATATATAAAAATGGTATTCATGGCAGAAAGAGAAGGGGAAAAAAATACAAAGCCTACACTAAGAAAGGTGAAACAATGCAAGGGTGCTCTAAGTCCGGTATCATTACAGAGTGCCATATGGGATGAAACTAGCTAGCTGGCTAGAAAATAACAAAGTTTCCATATACATTTCTAAAACATAATTCCCAAATTACAGCATAATATTGTATTATATATGCTTAACAACCTGAGATTTTATTTTTCTTAATCCATCGCACTATGCATACACTACTATTACAAACTGACAAGAATGAGTCCGGGTTTTATTCATGTACAAAATTATGGTTGATCTAAAATGCAGGCTGCAAATTAATCACTAATTAGCAGTTTAGCACGAGGAATTTTACAATGCTATATAGCATTGGTGCTATAGGTTTTTGCCTTTATGGTACAACTTGAAATTGTACCTTTAATGTTACGGTACAACTTCAGATTGTACCTATACTTTTTGTACAAATTCTTTTATGGTACAACTTAAACTTGTACCTTATGTGATGGAACAACTTCAAGTTGTAAAGTTGTACCATAACATAATGCTACAAATTCCTTTATGGTACAACCTAAACTTATACATTTAATGTTATGGTACAACTTCAAGTTGTACATTAAAGCACCAATGCTATATAGTATAGTAGAAGTGCTCGTTTAGCACTACTTCTGTCTTGGTTGCATTAATCGTGTTGTTGTAAGGTTATGTCAAGAGACTACATATATAATATCGTGTTTATGTTATCCAGTTTTATAGTAACTCGAATTATTCTGACAAATTCGTTGTCGTCAATCGTCACAAATAATAGATTTAAATCCTTTTTAATTGTAAAACCTGCAATATGTATAAAAAACACAAAAATTAAGTGAACATACTCTAATTTTATGTCTACATAAACACTATAAGGACTGTAGCCAAATTCGAGTATAATCTTTGTAATTCCGTGTTACCAATATATGTTTAAATTAATCTTTATTTTAGTAAGTTTGAAGTTTTTTACTCTTTTGCCCTTTTTCTGGAGGACAACTGTATTCAAAATTAACGCATTTATCCAATGTCATATTTGCATCCTTACAAAAACATTATTACAAGACCCGTACATAGGCAAACTCGAGCACAATCTCTCAATTCAAAGTTACCAACACATATTTGAAATAACATTTTTTTTTTACTGCAATGAGTATGAGTGTTTACTTGTTTACCCTAATTTCCCCATTGCAGGATCTATCATTTTCGTTCTTTTCATATAAGATTTTGGTACATATGATACCATGATGAATTGTAAATTAAAACAAAAGGTAGATGTGGAAACAACCATGTGTTATTTTTCATAGCATAACACCAAAAAGACAAGACATGGTTTAATGATATTTCAACACTTTTTTATCTACTTTCAGAAATTAAAATTTTCCTTCTATTTTCTTGCTTATTCTTCTATTAGATTTATTGTTTTCTTAATTTTTTTTTTGTTCTCCTCTTCTCCTCTCTTCCCTGTGTTGCGATTGAGTGAATACATAAACAACAAACAGCTGACTTCTTTTTTTCCTTCACCTGAATCCAGGCAGTCTCTGCGACCCCACATAAAGGAGGAAAAAAGAGGGGAGAAAAGAATAGAAACAGAAAAAAAATACTCCAATTCGAAATCATTTTTCTCGCTATTGCTTTGCCCAGCGTTTCAGATTCTCTCAGATCACATAAGGGTAACTTCTCTTCTTCTTCTTTTTCTAATCACACACCTTCGGTTTCGCTTCTCCCAACCTCACTCTAATTTGGGTTTGCAACTTTGCATTGGAGGGAAGGGAGAAAGGGGTTAGTGTGAAGTGATCTTTCTTGTCAAACTTTGGGATTTCCTCCCACTTCCGATTGTTGCAGTGTTTGAGGGCATTGATTCACTTCCCCGCTGTTCCATGCAAAGTTCCCGTGTGATTTCTAATTATGTGGGTACTCCCCTGTATGATGTGATTGAGGGACTGAGTTCATGGGCGAATTTGGGGTATTGGGTTTTCAAGCGCTTCATTTGTCAATAGAGACTGTCGGCTTTTAGCTGTTTTCGGGTTTGCATGTTACATTTTCCAGTTCTGCACCCTTGTGGTAGTCACTTCACTTCTACCAATTTCCACACTCTGTTTCTGGTTATTCTGATCAATTGCATAATCTTTGTTACTGTGTTTGTGTGGGCAACTGATGCATGAATTTGTTTAACATTTGTTTTGTTCCTCGTGTCTTATTCAGTCTACGTTTGGGGTTTCCCAAATGTGTTGGTTGGTCGGATTTATTTATTGGGGAGCCTATCTGTGTCTTCGTTTTGTTTTCTTCTTTATGTATGGTCTTAGGCGAGGTTTAGGTGAATCCTCAACAAAACTTGTATCTGCAAGCCGATGGTGATTCCACTGGTCCTGATCACCTGATTTCTCGTTTAATCGGCTTTCTTCCTCCTTTTCCCCTGCCTACCTTTAGTTGTTGATTAAATCTGTCTAAGATTCTTTTGATTATCAAGGCTGGGATTATGACTTTTTTATTCTGGAATGTCTAAGTTTTGCCTGTAATGAGATTGAATCTAATGATCCTGTTTGGTTAGATGGAATCGCTAGTGTAGCATGTTGAATTGGATCACTCGGTTGTGACTTCTTAGTTGGGGTTTTCAGGTTCTGGTTGTGTTTGTGACTTGAATTTGGCGAGGAGCAGCTTGGAGAAGAGGTTTGGGTTCACCAAAAGGGTTATGCAGAGTTATGCATGGTTGGCATGGAATGTGAAAATTGTTGAATGGATATATAGACAATGGCTTCTCATGGTGAAGCTAGGACTAATGGCAATCAGTCTCACTTCCAGCCACTGGAGCGGCAGAACTCATTGTACAACCTCACTTTGGATGAGGTCCAAAATCAGTTGGGTGACCTGGGGAAACCCTTGAGTAGTATGAATTTGGATGAACTTCTAAAAAATGTGTGGACAGCTGAGGCCAACCAGTCTACGGGTACAGAGACTGAAGGCACGCAGTTGTCCAGTCAAACTTCCATGCAACGACAGGCAAGCTTGTCACTCACTGTAGCTTTGAGTAAGAAGACAGTTGATGAAGTTTGGAGAGACATTCAGCAAAACAAGGCCAATGGAGAAAGGAAGTCTAAGGATAGACAACCCACTTTGGGAGAGATGACATTGGAGGATTTTCTGGTTAAAGCAGGGATAGTAGCCGAAACACATATGGATAATAACCGAGAGGTTGTTGTTGTTGACCCAAATGTAGCGTCGTTGTTTCCCCAGCAAGGTCAATGGTTGCAGTTTCAGCATGCACAATTCCAACATCCACAGCCAAATATGATGGGGATGTTCATGCCAGGTCAGCCTTTACCCCAGGCGCTCCACATGGGGACTGGTTCTGTGATGGATGTTGCGTATCCAGAGAACCCAATTCCAATACCTCCGCCTCTAATGGGGACACTGTCGGATTCACAGATGCCCGCAAGGAAAAGAGGTGCACCAGATGAAGTTGTTGAGAAGAATGTTGAAAGGAGACAGAAGAGGATGATAAAAAATCGAGAATCGGCTGCTCGTTCAAGAGCTCGGAAACAGGTCTAATTTTGCTTGGCTGAATTGTTGAAGAGATTTTATGCCTCTTTATGCCATTATATCCCTTTTTATCTTCAATTTAGATTCTCTCATTTTTTTATAATTAAATTGGCAATTCCAGGCCTACACAAATGAGCTAGAGAATAAAGTATCTGGCCTCGAAGAGGAAAATGAAAGACTGAGGAAACTAAAGGTCAGATTTCATTCAAGTTCTATCTTGCTTCATCTTGATTATCATTAATGATAGTGATTTGTCGAACAGTTGTTGTTGTGCTTGTCAATTTGTTACATGGCCAATATGTTAATGAAGATTTCTGATACTATCACTTTTGTATTATTTCCCCCTTCCGCTGCATCGAAGTTGATGACAATAGTTGAGTTTACAAGAAATCTCAAGTGGAGGCATCCTATGATATTGACATTGTAGATTTGTAGATAACATGCAACTACGTTTTTGGATGAGTGAGTATCACTTATATTTCAATATCATATCTGAAAATTAGTGGTTAACTCATGAGCAGAATGAGGGGATTTTGAGTGGGTGATATGTCTTTTTGTTTGCTTCAGAAATATGCGAACTCGAGAATCCGTGACTGGTTTTTTTTGGCTTTGTGTAGGTGTGGTTGTAGAACCATAATCTCCTCTTATTGACTTTAATTCATCTTTTAGGTCCAATCTCGTCTTGTCAGTACTCACTATGCATTCAAGTTTATGTCTTCCTTATGAAGGGCATACATTCAGGCATAACTTGTTGAGTTCATGGTAACCCAATGTCTGTTTTGTGAAACCGCTTGCAGAAAACTTAAATCAACTTAATAACATTGTGGCAAACAAATATCCCAACTGGTGCACCTTCACCTTTAATGTTTCAACTGTACAAACAATTATATTTACAATCAAACAAAAAATGAAAAGAACTTGATTCCATGAATAATGGTCATATCATGGAGTCTTTTAGATTTGATGTGGATCAATTCCTTAATTAATAGCTGTAGGAAGATCACTCCTACTAGTTATTAACTTCCTTCCAGCACACTATATTTCCTTGGGACTCTTGACCTTAATGTCCTTATCCATTTCCCTAGTATTAGCTCTAAGCCCGTAAGGGTAATTGAAACTGGCCACAATGGAAGATGTTTAGATTCATGATTGGGTTCTGATTGTGAAAGTAATACTATGATCTAAGTACTAAGAAGGATACTGTTCGAGCCATCTTCCCTTTCACTGTAGAGAATTGTCATTAAAAAACAAATCCTTTTAGGTTCCTAGTCAAGTAGGATTTTTTTGTGTGTGCAGCAATCAGCACTGCGAATATCCTGATTTTTTCTGAAGAATGAAGCTGTGGAATTGTCAATAGTTTGGTAAGTGACAGGAAATCAAATGTTTTTTTTTTCTCTGTTGATTACTTCAGGCTACTAATATTGCATTCAACATTGTGTTTGTCTCATTGATTGTCCACAAGGTCTACACAAATGAACAACTAAGAAGGATCCAAGTTCTGTAGTCGTGCAATAGATTGCTTTCATCTAGATATTGGAGCAACAGTTGTATAGCTCCAGCTAAGGAGATACTAATGGCTTTAGGTGGTTTGCTCTGTTAGGAATGAACAAAAGTAGCTTGGAAATGTTGTTTTTTGTTGTGAGATGATAATTTGGCCGAGTATAAGTGCTTGAAGTCTGAGTTCTTGTTGTTGGATGATAGTTTGTTGCAGTTCTGACCACTGATAACATCCTAAGCATGGCAGGACGTTGCTGCTCTTATTTAGTTATTGCAACAACAACAACGATAACTTGGGTTTAGGAATTGTTAGAAGGACATCACCTAGTCAGTGGAGTATTGATTTGCTTACATGCAACCTTGATTGTGTTCCCTTTACTACCCTGTACTTGTTAGTCTGCAACATGCCTCATGCAGTCATGCTTCACATTTGTTCAACACATAAATGTGTTGTGGATGCATATGGTTTTTTCTGTCACGATTTCTCAGTGATTTGCAATAGAAAGAAATCTCAGTACATTAAGCTGTTGAAATGTGGAATGTTGCAGGAGCGGGAGAATATGTTGCCGAGTGCACCGACACTTGAACCAAGATATCAGCTGCGGAGAACTTCGTCATCCCCATTCTAACTAATGTTCCATGCATAACTCTTCTCCATACATGTGATGGAATTTGTTGGAGGCATTGTGCTTGTAATTGAAATGACTAGAAAAACAAAGGGAAAATAGAAGAAAAAGGAGACAGAAGTTGAGTAAGGGCAATGTTCTCGTTGGGTATCTTTTTCCCCTTTATTTTTATAGCCTTTTAGATGCAGCTATTGTTTCTTGCTTCTTAATCTCATGAGGGGTGTTTTCTTTTTTTATTACTTTTTTTTACCATTTCTAATCTTTGTATCTTTGTGCAAAGTCGGGGGAGGTTAGAAATTTTAAGTTGTAGAGATACAGTTTGTAGTTTGTTGCTTCAATGAGTGTCTTGGGAGAAGAAGAAAGAGGTCCATATTTTTATATGCAGTTTTCCGATTGTTTACTTATTAGAACTTGTTGCTGGTACATTGGAAGAAGCCAAGAACACTTACTTTAATAGCTCAAACATCACAGGCGAGGAATACGCTAAACAATGCAAAGCCAAAATAGCCCAAACAGCAGCTAACAAGGACCCCTCCTGCTATTTTTCTAAGCCTGATAACTTCATTTGCTGGATTGGGTTGGAGGTGGCTGAATTTGTATATCTTCTGATTTGTGTCTCTTTGAAAAGTAGAAACAAACGAGAATGGCAAAACGGAAGATACCGGTCAAACTAACATATCAGACATAGGGGAAAGAGAGGAACTTAGGGTATATGTTAATGGTGACTTTCAAGTGACTGCAATTTGGAAAAAAGATAGATCGTATATGGAAAGCGGCTGATTGCTTTTGCAAATTTGTAGACATCTTTCGTAAAACGATCGATCGGACGACACACTTACTATAGGAATCAACTATGACAAATGAAGAGAACAATTGACTGCTTATATGTTGCGCTCTACTTGATGATGTATAGGTCCATGTTCAGAAAGAAATTGGTTGATTGCATCATGGAGTGGTCGACCGATTAGGGCTAAAGATCTATCTATACCAGAAGCTAACATTATGGAGAGTGCTTTAAAGTCTGAACAACTAGCGTGGTCAACCCGTTGATCTTCAAGTATTGCATCATCTACATTTGATATTCCGATGTCTTTTCTTCTTTACCAAACTCCATAGCCACGATAATTCATTTACAAGACTTTTAGAGCGATAAACTAAAAATGCAGATGACTATTAATAGAGGTTTATGTTGATATATTAACAGGGTTTAAGTAGTAGCTATGTCCTTAATTAGGACTGACACTTTTTTAGTGGTGGAATCTTCAATAAGATAATGGCCAATCGCCAATCATTTCATGGTGACGGTCGACTGTTATTTGCCTTTGTAAGGCGCCCACATTGGAATTTGATTATAACTTGTATAATGACATGAAAATTGCATCTAATGCAATTATGAATCATTTTTTATTATTTAAGTATTTAGTTTTATAATTGTATTAAAATAATCAATTATAATTGCGATTAAATTACATTGACATTGCACAATAAAATTAAAATAAGTTGGATTACATAAAATGTGAGGTGACAATAAAAACAACATATGTAATTGTTCTCGTTATTGTATTGATCTGAATAGTATAATAGTATAATTGTGTCATTTGATCGGCTAATTTATAAAAAAAATCAATCTATAAAATCGATCGACCATTTTATTCAAATTACAATCACTTGTAAGTCGTGGAACAATTAGAATTATTAAGGCACAAGATTTTTAACTGTTGCTTAGAAAAAATCGGGTTAGCTTTTAAATTCGGGTTATTGTTCATAAACACTCTTTTCTTTTAATTGTCTGCGGCCGTGTGTAGCTAAACCACATATGAGCTGTATGGCGGTTGTCCTTCAATACCATTACCATTCCTAATCCATTAGTCATGGACCAAACACTGACACGATCAAGATTGAGATGGGAGGAATGATGAAATCAATTAGTCATGGACGAAACAATAACACGATCAAGATTGAGATTAACGGGGAGGAATGATGAAATCAATTATTAGAATTGTATGGAATAGGTTTCAATACAAAGCTCTTCCTATTTGCAGTACTAAAAAACATGATCTAATAGTTGTAATTTTTGAAAAAAGAGATCTAATAATCCATATCATATTTTTTGGCTCTGACCGGATTTTTTGGAGTAGTGTGTGGATTTTCAGGTGGGCTGTCAAAGCACTTTTCAAATTTTCTCCGAAAATTCAATGGACCATTGTTCATTCATTTTAAATTGGATTTTTTTCCTCACAGAAATATAAGATTCTATGTGTTTTACAACATGATATTCATTTTGATAAAATTTTGTAACTTAACATTTTCAGGTCGTAATACCATTGTCATATCATCACTGACTGTGGTATGATATCATAGTGGTATGATGTTGATATGAATATGATATTGGTATGATGTCGATATTATAGTGATGTGATGTTAATATAAGATCTTATTTCGGACAAAATAATTTGATGACCTGATTTTTTACTATACCAGACACTACAAAATATTTATGTAACATTATTCTATAACAATTACATAACTTCATACATTAGGTAAATCTTAGAGAGTAATAATTATTTCTTATATATCAGTCAAACAAAAAGTACAATATAAGTTTAATGACTAAGTCAATATACAAACGTTATGGAGATAATAATTTCTTATGTATCAATTAAAAAAGCATATCACATAAGTCTTCATGATATTAGTTTGAATGAAAATTCCTAAATTAGTTACCAAATTTCTTACAATCTCATCAATTGCTTTACACAAAGGTTTTTTAAGGTCAAATGTGATACCTTTTATAACATAATTCACCTATTATTAACTTAAATTCTTTATTATTGCCTACTACATTCAACATCTCATCAATTTGCATTACACGAATTAAAGCTTATGTAAGATAAGTTAATATTATATAGTAGTTTAATCAAATGTGAGATATGTAACTTGGTTTTCTTATTAGACCACACACTATGAAAGATTATGTAAGACCATTCTATAACACCATTTTATTATTAGACCACACATTATGAAAGATTACGTAACACCATTCTATAACAATTCTTTAAATTCACTATATATGTAAAACTTATGAATATTGAAGGGATAATTATTACTTATGTATCAATCAAACACATATTTTACAGTGGATGAAATTTATACAAAAATAAATAATTAGCTTATAACCGCCACGAAGCGCGGGCCAAAAAGCTAGTACATATTATTAGCCAAATAAGGAAAAATCAAAAGTGAAAACAGCGAGCTAATTGGCGGCACTTCTAAGAAGCTTCCTTTTGTCTTTGGCCATAGTGCACATCTGACTTCTCCTACACCCCGTCCTGACCCTTTCAGTTAATTATTTTCCTGCGATACTGGAAGTTTGCCCACTTCTCCCTTATTGTTAGTGCTTTTCCATCCCTCCAACTATCCCATTTTCTCTCCCGATAATCGCAAAGCTTGATCTCACAACGTCAATCCCCACAGAATCAGAAGAACCGCCAAGTTGAAGCAATCCTGATTAGCCTCCCCGTCAGCGCTGCAAATCGCAGGTACTGATTTGGAGTCGGGAAGTCCCGATTCCCCTTCCTCCTCTTCTCCTTTCACCTTGATCTGTTCGCTCATCTTTGGAAAAAGCTTTAAAGCTTGCAACTTTATGATGTTTGTTGAACTTTTCTGAACTGGGTTCTGGTGGGCTTTTTTGCTTTTGGTTTCTGGATCGATAAGTTCGGTTCTCTGCTGAAAGCCTTCCCCTTTGTTGTGTTTCTGTTGGCGTGTAGATATGGGACCTGTGGATGAGAAAGTGGAAGTAGCAATTGAATCTGGTGATGACGAGATGGAGATCTTGTTCAGTGGCGCCGCTTCCTCACCAACAAGGAGGAAAGCAGTAAACTTTGATTTGGAGAGTGAGACATTGCCACTGAGTTCATCCAATCACTCCCATATTAATACTTCTTCTAATCATTTGGCCAACTCCTGGATTGTCAAGCGGATGGAGAGGAGCCCTTTCAGGACATTTTACATTGTTTTGATCAGAGCCAAGATCAATGTCTTGCTCCCTTTTGGTCCCCTAGCAATTTTGCTCCATTACTTCACTGGAAAGCATGTATGTATTTGATCTGGAGTTGTGTTGGTTTTTGTCATTTGATTTTCAAGAACGCTGTGGTTGATTTGCAAGTTCACTAACAATGGTGATTTCTTGATTGTCATCTTCCAGGTTTGGGTTTTCTTCTTTAGTTTAGTTGGGATTATACCTCTGGCTGAGCGGTTGGGTTATGCCACTGAGTAAGTGTCTATATGTCATTTTTCTTTCCTGTTTTAGGCTCGAAGTTGTGAGAAGTTTACTGGTAATTGTTTTGCAGGCAACTTGCATTCTACACTGGACCAACAGGTACGGTTGGTGCTGAATATTCCTACTTGGATGGCATAATAATTTATACCTAGTTGGATTGTTAACTTGGATGCTTTACTATGCAAGTCAGATATGGTTGACGTAGTTGTTGACTTCATTCATCATAATATTTCAAAGTATATGTGGACAACTAGTCTTCGAATCCATATTCAGAGCATCAGATCTGAACTTTCTTTCTGTGGTATGTGGTCAGAAGAATGTGGGATTGTGAATTGCATCGTATGTAAATATTCATGATTCTTAAGTTCTGGGGAGAAGAAAGGAACAGAGTTCAAAGGTGATCATATATGATGGGAATCTTTCTGAGAGCCTACTAAACGTGTGGAAACTATTCTTCACTTATAGCAGCATAAAAGGCTCTTATGTGGCAAGAGCTTTAGGTTCTCTTTAATTTATGTACTTCTATGCATTTTATATTCTACAACTAAAATTTTGAGTCATTACAAATTATTTTATCCATCTTACGAGACTTTTGCATTGGTACGTTAGCGTCAATATGGTTAAAAGCGTGATTCAAGCGGAAAGATCGGTAGTAACTGAAAGCTTGAACTTTTAAGCAATATGTAAAATTGATAAAGATCTTCTAACTAAAGCTTGTATTCTTGGGGACATAAACACTACAGAATTCAAGTTACTATCTCTGTACATATTTAAAAGGTTGGCAGTCACACATAAATTAATTTGACAATCCCTTAAACTAGACTGAATCCTAACTCTTATAGGAAGTTCATAAATATAGAGTACGAGTGGAGGTTACACAATAACATAAAATCATAACTCATGGAAGAGCTTAAGATCCAAATTCGTGAAATCAAAGCGCAAAAAGGGTCTAAATCATGACAAACAACAGTAGTGGATTGAGGCAAGGTGAAGGAGGTAGGGGTTAAGGTTTGGTTGGCAGTCGGCAGCTGTAATGGAGGACGAAGGGGCCGAGACAAAGTGATGGCGTTAGGGAGTGAAGGCCGAAGAGAGAGGATTTTTTTCGTGTTTTTTTTTTTTTCATTTCTTTTAAGAAAGAAAAGACCGTTTTACTTGTGATTTGAGCCATCTGTGGTGTTATGCTACCTTAGCAAACAAGGATGCTTTGATCTATTGATGCATAATGAGTTCTACTAGGAACTGAAAATTTTGGTATATGTGACCTGAGGATTTGGCTCTTGTGTCACTGGGCCTCATTTAAAATGGGTTGTTTGCATGACAATATAATTTTTTCTTCATCTTGCCAGTGATTGATTGGTTGCAGTATGATTTTAGATTTAACGACGTCGCAGTAGGTTGCAATTCTGCTGTTATTTTAATGTTTCTTGTTATCTTTCCAGCTGGTGGTCTTCTGAATGCAACCTTTGGAAATGCCACTGAAATGATTATATCCATCTATGCTCTAAAGAGTGGAATGGTACGAGTTGTTCAGCAATCTTTGTTGGGCTCCATCTTATCTAATATGCTCTTGGTGCTTGGATTTTCCTTCTTCACTGGTGGGATTGTACATTGTAAGAAGGTTCAGGTTTTCAATAAGGTATTTTCGGGCACATTAAATAATCTTTCCATGACAGTCTGAATGCCTCAGCGGTTATGAAATGTGAAAATGGTAATTATCTTGGAACAGGCAGCTGCCGTAGTGAATTCTGGACTATTATTAATGGCTGTAATGGGGATAATGTTCCCAGCAGTGCTTCACTTCACGCGCACTGAAATCCATTTTGGGAAGTCAGAAATGGCGCTTTCAAGATTTAGTAGCTGCATTATGCTAGTTGCTTATGGAAGCTACCTCTTCTTCCAACTTAAGAGTCAGCATAATCTGTACAGCCCTATTGACGAGGTACATTGTCTATGCCGTCTTCTTGCTCTTCCTGCTTCTGCTGTCTTCAAGTGGGTACTATTTTCAAGAATGCGCTCTTAAAATTTTAAATTCCTAATTTTTTTGGGAAGGAACTTAATAAATGGAGTAATGCAAAATTTTTGGATACAAAAAGATAATTTCTCTGTAAAGCAACCTTAGCAGCCTTGTTGGGCAGTGTTTCGAGCCTTGACAATACTCCAAATTGTAATCCTTCCCAAATTCTACAGGTAGTGAATAATGATGAAGAAGGTGCCGATGATGAAGAAGCACCTGAAATTACACAGTGGGAGTCAATTTGTTGGCTTGCAGTTTTGACTTTGTGGATCTCTGTGCTGTCTGGATACCTTGTTGATGCCATCCAGGTAACCCCTTTCTTATCCCAATCCAAGTAACAAGTTAGAATTTGTGTGAACTCTGCATTTTAGAGAACATTGTTACTTTATCCCATTGATACGTGTCTTTCAGGGAGCATCCGAGTCACTGAATATGCCTATGGCTTTCATAAGTGTGATCCTGCTTCCCATTGTGGGAAATGCAGCTGAGCATGCAAGTGCTATTATGTTTGCTATGAAGGACAAGCTTGTAAGTAGGAATGATGATGTTCAACAATAATGGATCTTTTGGTTCTCCTAGTTCATTCTTGCTAATGCTGACATACTTATCTGGGTTGCTCTATGGACAATATCTTTCCAGGACATCAGCCTTGGAGTTGCTATTGGGTCCTCTACGCAGATTTCAATGTTTGTGGTAATTAGCTCTTTCTGTTTGTATTTATCTGTTGCAGTTGTCGAGTGGGTAGTGAAAGCTAACTTTAGCGTTGGTGACTTTCTGTCTTCCTTATGCTCATTGTAATTCTGATTTTTGTTGCTTAAGTAACCGTCATTCTGTTGGGACTTGTAGATCCCATTCTGTGTCGTCCTTGGGTGGATAATGGGCCAACCGATGGACTTGAATTTTCAACTGTTTGAGACTGCTACCCTCTTCATCACTGTTCTAGTGGTGGCATTCATGTTACAGGTTCGTGGCTCAGTCTGTTTACTATTCTTCTACTCTGAACAGTTATCATTTTGGCTTCGGGGAGATTTATGCTAGAAGGCTCTCGTGTTGTTGCCTTGAAGTATTTCATATTTGCGCTTGCTAATATTGAGATGTCTTTCATCTTCTTCACTTTGCTCACCACGTTTTATTGTTGCTGGATTCAGGAAGGAACCTCTAACTACTTTAAAGGCCTTATGCTCATCCTGTGTTATCTTATAGTCGCGGCAAGTTTCTTCGTGCATGTTGATCGTTCAAGTGGTAAGTTGTCTGGGAAGTTTGTCACTCATGCTATAAGGGGCAGTGATCATTCAGTTATGGGTCCTCTTCAGAATTCAAAGATAACTTGGTAACGGTTGTATCATCAACTATATGTGTGATCGTTTTCTACAGATGATGACTAGGGAGTCGGTCACGCTTGGTCCGAGGGAGCTAACAGTCGAGAAGAGTGGAGGGCAGATTTTGTTACACATTGGAAAGGAGCATTCCTCCTGACAAAGCTGGAATTTGGTTTCTTGGACCAACACTGGTGCCAGAGGCTATCCTGCACCAGAAGCCCAGTAATCCTGCTGATCTGAATACCAGATTAGTGCTGCATTCTTCTTTGTCGGCTTGGTTGTAATCGAGTTCGATGTATTGGCTGCCTGTCCTGAAAGTTCCGCTTCACCAAAACCCGGCTGCTGCACCTGTGACAAAAACAAAAAGCGCGAGTACGTAGTACCTTAACCCCCAATATTGTAACTTTTCTGAACATGTCAATCTCATAGGTCTCTCTGATGCTGGTTATGAAACATTATTCCCTGAGAAATGATCGGTGGGAACTGAAAATTGTGACACTTTAGATCACGCTGAGTAAGTTAGGATTGTAATCCCTGTAAAGAACAAAAGATGAACATTTTTTTGGTTTCTTCTGCCCTTATCGAGACACCAGCAACCTCACCTCAAATGGCAGCCCCATCCATCAGCTCGTCGAGCAATACTCCGTCAGCTACTAGCTTTGGGCGGGATTATTGGTGAATCGAGCACGAAGAAAATTCTTGACCTATTTGATAATTCTCAAGTATTTTCGATCAAAATTAGACTATTCATATTTATGAGAGCCCCTACAAATACACCTGCAAATGCGACAAATAATAAGAGAAAGGTCTGTATGACTTTGGCGTGGCTAAAATTCTATCAAGGATATTTGGTGGAGCTAGTTTCTTTAAGCTTTTCTGAGGCCATAGATCGACTAGTGAAGTTAGCACACTTGGTGTCACTAGTATTACAAAAACTTTGTGGAATCTTTGTATACTTTTCATGCAGATCTTCGTGAGGAAAAGTATTACTTACGTCTAATTGATGCAGAAGCCAATCCTTGGTAACTATAACAACAAGAAGATAATGAACTATAACAAGTCACCATATCCCTCACTTTATTTGATATTTCTGGCAAAACACATAATTAGCAACAACGATACAAGCACTCTTTATTAACGGTTTGTCGATCATTAGCAACCGAATCAGATGTTGAAAACATCGATAAGATCGAACGAACACAAGCGAAAGCACACAAAGAAACAGTAACAATAATAAGATACTTGTATATGGCGAAGTCGATGATCGATCGATCAATCAAGCGGCTTTAACAAGGCTAGCATCAGCCTCCTTGACAAGGAGGGTGATGAAGTTCATGTACTTGGTAGGAGGCGGCACATTTGGATTCAACTTCTCATATTCAATCGTCAGTTTTGCCAACCCCTGCTGCTTCCCGTCGCCATTGCCGTCCCCCTTGGCGACAAATTGATAGATCACATTGTACACTTTGTAGAGCTTCATCACATCCCCCTCCAGCCCGTTCAGCTTCACAATTCTTTTAGCATCGTCGTACTCCACTCTCTCCTTGAACACCTCCAGCTTCCCCTCTGTTTTTTTCACGTACAGAACGAAAACAGAGTATATAAAAAAAAAACAGAGTATAAACACTGTAGCAACGATCGCGATCACATTGTAACAATGGAAAACGTACCACAAGTGTAGATCCAGAATTTAACGGTGCCATGAGCGTCCCAATCGCCCTCGTGGACTTGCACCGCCTGAACATGAGTCGGTGTGTGGCTTGGCAGGTCGTGAACCGAGTTCTTAACCATGTCGTAGAACTTCGCCGGCGAGCAGTGCAGCTCCACCTCCGCCTCAAGCTTCCCACTGATCATCTCCGCCGCTGTGGCCGCCATGGATTTCTGTCTATCTATTGGTAATCCCCAGCAAGAAGAGTATAGGCAAGCTTGGCTTGGCTTATAGTGTATAGTGCAACTATGGAGCTTGGCCTGAATTTATAGAGCTGGGTACCTGGCTACCTGCAGGTCTACCAAATGAGGGAAGCAATACTATTGCTATGATATGATTGCACATGCACATCCCAACCATTCTTTGTTGAGTTTGGTGAAAGAATTAAAGATGAAAATATAAAAGAAGAAGGGGACGGAGAAGAGAAGGGACATGAAGATAAAGAGAGCTACTCTGACAAACAAAAAGATGATTTGATCAGTGACAATCACTTGTTTAGTCAGAATTTACCTTAAGGTGTCTCCGATGTAAGGAATTATATAAGTTAATTTTCCGCATTTTTCTATAATACGATTTATTTTCATATTCTAAAACATTTATAAATTCATTTATTATCCAAACTATAATGAGAGTGATCGTAATATATCAATTGAAAATAAATTAATTCATATCTTCGTTACTCTTTTAAAATTGAAGTGTGTTTTCACGTAATTCATAGTGAAAAATAGTCTTTCAAAACTTTTATTGATAGATAGTAACAATCCTAATTTTACTAGTCGATACGTCATATGCCAATGGAAAAAGTAAATGAATCTATATAAACAAAAAAAGTAGGTCAGAAAATTAACCACAATTCAATGATACATAAACTCTTTAATAATAATAAAATATTTTGTTTTGAATTTTAGGGTCCCAAGTCTTCGATGATCAAGCACCAAGAAAATTCTTGATTTATTGGATAAATCTCGAGTATTTCCATTCAAATTAAACCACCACAAATACACTCGGAGTACGATGAATAAAAAGAGTAAACTCCGTATGACTTTGAAGTTTGAAGAGATTAAAATTTCAACAGATTGTTGAATTCTTTTGAAACCAGTTACCTTAAACTTTTACGAGACCATAGATAAACTTGTGAAGTTAACACACTTGCTATCACTGGCATAATGAAAACTCTGCTGAATCTTTTATACTTTTCATGAAGATCTTCGTGAAGAAAAGGATTAGATAGTCTAATTAATTGATGCAAAAGCCAGTCCTTGATAGCCCATAACATGATAATGAACTACAACTAGTTTGGCCAGAGAAGCAATTGTGTCATGGTAATCAATCCCCTCACTCCGTGAATCCATTGTCCAGGAATCATGCTTTAGCAACAACGATACAAACACTCTGTATTAACGATTTGCATATACTTTTGCAACATCGATTATTAGCAAACTTAGTCGATACATCCGATTTGAAATCGAAAACACACACAAAGAGAGAGAGAGAGTAATGAATATGGCGAAGTTGATCTATGACGGAGATGGATGGATCAATCAAGCGGCTTTGACAAGGCTAGCATCAGCCTCCTTGACATGGAGGGTGACGAAGTTCATGTACTTGGTAGGAGGCGGCACATCTGGTTTCAGCTTCTCGTATTCAATCGTCAGTTTGGCCACCCCCTGCGGCTTCCCCTCGCCATTGTCGTCCTCCTTGGCCACAAATTCATAGATTACGTTGTAAACTTTGTACAGCTTCATCACATCCCCCTCCAGCCCATTCAGCTTCACCGTTTTCTTGGCATCGTCGTACTCCACTCTCTCCTTGAACACCTCCAGCTTCCCCTCTGTTTTTCCCCGTACAGAATGAAAAACAGGGGATAAAAAAAAACAGAGTATGAAAAAAACAGAGTATCAAGCGTCATAAAAATACTCATATATGTGTGTAATTACCGCAGGTGTAGATCCAGAATTTGACGGTGTCATGACAATCCCAATCGCCCTCGTGGACATGCACCGCCTTAATATGAGTCGGGGTGCGGTCTGGGACGTGGTGAGCTGTGTTCCTGAACATGTCATAGAACTTCGCCGGCGAGCAATGGAGCTCCACCTCTGCCTCTAGCTTCCCGCTCATGGCTGTGGCGTCCACTGTCGTCGTCATAGATACCCAATTACTTTCCAGAAACAAGAATATAGAGGCAAGCTTGAGTTAATCTCGTATGGGAATACAATTCACTATGAAGCTTGGCTTAGGCCTGAATTTATAGAGCTGGGTACCTGTAGCAATCCTGTAATCTACCTAGTGAAAGGATCGCCCACCTACATGAATTATGATCAAAAGAAATTTAATTTCTTGGGGCCAAATTGAAAAAGAAAAGACATTTACCTGCGTGATTGTGATTTGGTGGGTGGGACTCAACAACGATGGTTTGCAGGCTCTGTTTTCCCGCCATTTCTGCAGTTGTTGAATGCAGAGCATTAATTTTGCGGAGCCCTCTTCCAGAATTCGACGTCCAAAATATCTATCCATGTTATCTTCTTTGATATGGTTGAATTATTTTGCTTGCACAGTTGCACAGAGGCGTCCCCATTCCCTTCCACTCAGCCAGCTTCTGAGTTTGTTGAAGAAATGTTTTCTTTGTGATCTCTCAACCCCAGTTTGTTGAAGAAATGAAAGAGGCAGAAGAGAGTAAGTCATTTTTATATTTTGTAATAGAAAAATGGATTTCACAAGCCAGCCTCTCTATCAGTTTTAAACACTTGTCTTGTAAAAATTGAAGGGACTATATTTTGTTTGTGTAAATTCAAATTTTATTTTTCAAAAAATTAAATAAATTGTTCTTTTATAACATGATATCTATTTTTAATATATTTTGACATAAAAATTGTTTATATGTTACGTTCTTTGCCATGATATACAATGGTGCCACAAAAAAAATTATATCACGGTAGTAGAAAGCATGTCACTCAGTAGTATCCTCGTTCAAAACACATTTTCTCCAAATGTATTGAAAACGAATATAATTCTTGATTCGAACACAATTAATTATCTGGGCTAATATTTTTTTTGTACTGGATTCGAATAGATAAAATTACTTAAGTTCCGACGAATGTCCTCCCTCTCAGACCTTCTTGCGTCACCGTTCCCGACGAAAAGCTTTCTTCTAATTTCCTGCGTCAGGAAAACTATATAGACATTCGTCACTCTCTCTTCTCCTCTTCCTTTTATCATCTCCTCCTTCCTCCTCTGAATCGCTTTGATTGCTTGCCACAACTTATCGAGACACCAGCAACCTCACCTCAAATGGCAACCCCATCCATCAACTCATCGAGCAATACTCCATCAGCTAATAGCTTTGGGCGGGATTATTGGTGAATCGAGCAAGAAGAAAATTCTTGACCTATTTGATAATTCTCAAGTATTTTCAATCAAAATTAGACTATTCACATTTATGAGAGCCCCTACAAATACACCTGCAAATGCGACGAATAAAAAGAGAAAGGTATGTATGACTTTGGCGTCACTAAAATTCTACCAAGGATATTTGGTGGAGCTAGTTTCCTTAAGCTTTTCTGAGGCCATAGATTGACTAGTGAAGTTAGCACACTTGGTGTCACTAGTATTACAAAAACTTTGTGGAATCTTTGTATACTTTTCATGCAGATCTTAGTGAGGAAAAGTATTACTTACGTCTAATTGATGCAGAAGCCAATCCTTGGTAACCATAACAACAAGAAGATAATGAATTATAACAAGTTTATACTTCACCGTATCCCTCACTTTATTTGATATTTCTGGCAAAACACATAATTAGCAACAACGATACAAGCACTCTTTATTAACGGTTTGTCGATTATTAGCAACCGAACCAGATATTGAAAACATCGATCAGATCGAACGAACACAAGCGAAAGCATACAAAGAAACAGTAATGATGATAAGATGCTTGTATATGGCGAAGTCGACGATGAATCGATCGATCAATCAAGCGGCTTTAACAAGGCTAGCATCAGCCTCCTTGACAAGGAGGGTGATGAAGTTCATGTACTTGGTAGGAGGCGGCACATCTGGATTCAACTTCTCATATTCAATAGTCAGTTTGGCCACCCCTTGCTGCTTCCCCTCGCCATTGTTGTCATCCTCCTTGGCCACAAAATGATAGATCACATTGTACAGTTTGTAGAGCTTCATCACATCCCCCTCCAGCCCATTCAGCTTCACTGTTTTTTTTGCATCGTCGTACTCCACTCTCTCCTTGAACACCTCCAGCTTCCCCTCTGTTTTTTTTACGTACAGAACGAAAACAGGGTATGAAAAAACAGAGTGTTAAGTTTTAATAAAAATACTCATATGTGTGTGTAATTACCGCAGGCGTAGATCCAGAATTTGACGGTGTCATGACAATCCCAATCTCCCTCGTGGACTTGCACTGCCTTAATATGAGTCGGGGAGTGGTCTGGGATGCGGTGAGCTGTTTTCCTGAACACGTCGTAGAACTTCGCCGGCGAGCAATGCAGCTCCACCTCTGCCTCTAGCTTCCCACTCATGGGTTCTTCCGCTGTGGTCGCCATAGATAGAGGCAAGCAAGCTTGGGTTATTTCTTATGGGTATACAGCTAATTGTGTAGCTTGGCCTGAATTTATAGAGCTGGGCAGCTTGCAGGATCGCCCAACCACATGAATCATGATTGATTGGGGGCCATTAAAAGAAAGCTATCATATTTGGGATGGGCAGAATTAAATAGAAAAAGGACATAGAAGTGTGATTGTGATTTGCCGCCATTTCTGGAGTTGTTGAATGCAGAGCATTGATTTTGCTGAGCTCTATTCCATAATCTGACGTCCAGATATATTATATGTTATCTTATTTGATTTGGTTGAACCAAGTACAATAAATTTCCTTGCGCTACGCGTCTCCCTTCCCTTCCACTCAGCCAGCTTGTTACAGAAATAAAAGAGGAAGATATGAGAGGAAGAGAACCGAGAAGGGAGAGGAAGAGATGATATCAAATTTTTTTATATTTTGTTACAGAAAATTGGACTACCCATTCCAAACCAGCCTCTTCCATGATCATTTAATCAAAAAATCGATTGCATACCACATCGATTATAAAAGATTTAATGAGGTTAGCTGAATATTTTAACATAAAATGTGCTAATGGCTGCGATAGTCGGACGAACGCCATTTTTAAAGAAGTATTGCATCTGTTGGCGATGCACACTGGGTTTAATGTGCGATTTGTAAGTCGGAGTAGCAATAAGGTAGCCTATTTGGTGTCTCGAGAGACACTCTCTTTGTACCCGAGTACGTGTCATTTTTATTTTATTTTATAGCCTGGTTAAATTCCATGATGTACTGATCTATTTCTCAATCAATATAGATTATTATCTTTTGTAAAGGAAAAAACATTAAATGTGCTAACTGAGCCTTATTGGATTGACTTTTTGGGCATAAGTAGCCAAATTTTCTCTTCCGAACCTAGATGGCTGACTGCCCCCATTGCTTTGATAGTCGATGTCAGCTTCGACGAGACAAACTTGGTATCAAATTACCAAGCCTCCCTAAATCTAAGTATTGAAATATGGAATAGGGTGTCAAGCCGATGAAACAAGCTTGCTAACAACAAGATACCAAGCCGACAGGGCGGTAAACTACAAGCTTATTGAGACTCCAGAAAACTAATTTGCTTGAGGGATTTGGTGATCCATCATGGACTTGGACAAAAGTTCATTGTTTGTCTTATGGACCTGATATGACTGAATATGTGCGACCTATGGATTTTTGCGGTCCAAATCTGTGAGCCACCTGGACTTACAAGTTCTACCTATGCATGTTGGATTTGGTCATGGACTTCAATCCATGACAGATTTTTACACCTTTATCTTCATATATTTCATTATTGTCATGTTTATCCTTATATTTTATTACTTGTTGAAAACTTTTGATTATTGGTTTGACATTTTCGAATACTTTTCGACACTTTTGATGAAATTTTGTAGACTAATATTCATATAGTTCATACTAATATTCATATCTACTTCAAATGTTGGAAAGAAGATATGTGACACAAAGCGAACTAATATTTATATCTCACTGACTAATATTAATTACTCGGTCCGCTAATGTGCTAAAAATTTTCTTATATTTGTAGTTGAGTTGTGATATATAGGAATTATTAGTTCACAAAGTAGTTGTAAAGAGTATTTTTTTGTAGGTGTTGAATTTATTTTTAAGGAAAATTTAGATTATAATAGAATATAATTAATTAAGATTAACACGATAATTTGTGTTTCATATCCACAAATCTAATTAAGCAAAAAAAATCCATAATCAAATCCAACAATCAAACAATAGACTTGTTCAAATCTAAACAACTGTAAGTATAGAGATAATGTTGGAAGGGGGCCAACTCGATGAGGAGGTGACAAGGTGGCTAGTAGGCCGCCAAGGTACCAACTTGACAAGCTCTAAAAAATGTCCGGAGACTACCTGAGGTGGTCACGCAATGGGGTACCATTCCTTCATGGACAATCCATAGATTCTGAATACTAAGTATGGAACATCGAGGGTGGAGACTTGTTGCCAGGGTACCGACATGGACAATCCCTAAAATTTGAAGACTAAGTATAGAACCTCGATGGTGAAGACTTGTCATCTAGTGTATCAACTTGATGAGAACTTGGTGTCGAGCCCCTTAAGAGGCCGCATGGAGACTAACTAAGGTGGTAAGACCGACTTAGTGGCAAGCTAATGGGGTACCAATTCCGGATCGGACTTGCTAGCAAGCTGGTAAGAGTGGCTTATCGACTATGACAATTCTGTTCGGAATTCGGAAGAAAAATATGGATAGTTCGGAAACCAGGGTTCTTTCAACTGAACTGAATTTTCGACCGAAAAACCGAAATACTATAATTGCAAGCTCCAAATAGTGGATTTTTATGTTTGTAGTTGTTTTTAGACTTAAATATTTGAAATGTTTTATGACTTATGTGTTGAAAAGTTTGATTTTATCATTGATGATGCATATAATTGATATTTATTGTTTATATTAGGGGTGAAAAATCATTTAAAATTGAGAAAATATAAGTAGCTTCACAAATTCGGTTTTGTGTGAAAAACCGAACCAAACCGAATTATAATTCGGTTTAAACCGACCAAACTGAATTATAATTCGGTTTGAATTCGGTTTGAGGTTTGGGAGAAATCGGGGACCCGATATTCATAATTTCGGACGGTAAACCGAACCGACCGAATGCCCATCCCTACCATTGAGGTGGCCAGCAAGATAGGGCAACAAAAAAGCTAAGTATAGAGCCATTGATGACATTAGGGTGTGATCAAGACTTCGTCCTAGCAACCCAGTGTCATGAACTATAACTAGTTTTGCTAGAGAAGCAATGGTGTTATGGTAATCAACCCCCTCAACTTTGAGAATTCGTTGTCCATCAGCCATGCTTTTAACATTATCCTTAGGTTTATAATTCACCTTTTCACCCACTTTATTTAGCATTTATAGCATATACACCTTAACAACAATAACACAAGCACTCTTTCTTAATGGTTTGCATATACTTTTGAAACATTGATTATTAGCTAACATAGCCGATACATCCAATCCGAAAATGGAAAACATCGATCCAATCGAACGAGCACACCAAGAAAGAGCAACGAATAACGAAGATAAGATGCATGCATATGGCGAAGTCGATGATGAATCGGTCGATCAATATTCAATCAAGCAGCTTTGGCAAGGCTAGCATCAGCCTCCTTGACAAGGAGGGTGACGAAGTTCATATACTTGGTAGGAAGCGGCACATCTGGTTTCAGCTTCTCGTATTCAATCGTCAGTTTGGCCACCCCCTGCTGCTTCCCCTCGCCATTGTCGTCCTCCTTGGCTACAAATTCAAAGATTACGTTGTACACTTTGTACAGCTTCATCACATCCCCCTCCAGCCCATTCAGCTTCATTGTTCTCTTGGCATCGTCGTACTCCACTCTCTCCTTGAACACCTCCAGCTTCCCCTCTGTTTTTTCACATACAGAATGAAAAACAGGGTATAAAAAAAACAGAGTATAAAAAAGCAGAGTATCAAGAGTTATTACCGCAGGTGTAGATCCAGAATTTGACGGTGTCATGACAATCCCAATCGCCCTCGTGGACTTGCACCGCCTGAATATGAGTCGGGGAGTGGTTTGGCATGTGGTGAGCTGTGTTCCTGAACACGTCGTAGAACTTCGCCGGCGAGCAATGGAGCTCCACCTCTGCCTCCAGCTTCCCACTCATGGGTTCGCCCGCTGTCTTCGCCGCCATAGATACCCAATTACTCCCCAGAAAGAAGAATGTAGAGGCAAGCTTGGGTTATCTCGTATGGGGAATACAACTAACTATGAAGCTTGGCCTGAATTTATAGAGCTGGATACCTGCAGGTAATCCTATCGCCCAACCACATGAATCATGATTGATTGCAGCCTTGCATGCAATTAAAAGAAAGCTATCCTGGCGGAATGTGGCCAAATTTGGAAAGCTAAAAAGGACATGTCAGTGTGATTGTGATTTGGTGAGTGGGATTCAACAAGCGTGTGTACGATGCTTTAAAGGCTCTCTGCTTTCCGCCATTTCTGCAGTTGTTGAACGCAGAGCATTAATTTTGCGGAGCCGTCTTCCATACCTCGACGTCCAACATACATGATACGTTATCTTCTTTGATTTGGTTGAATTATTTTGCTTGCACTACGCGTCCCCCTTCTTTTCCACTCACCCAGCTTCTCAGTTTGTTGAAGAAATATGAAAGAGGAAGAAGAGAGGATATCATTTTTTTTTTGTTTATATTTTGTAACAGAAAAATGGATATCACAAGCTAGCCTCTCTCGAGAAAACACTTCTTCTATAAAAATTTAACGGACTACATTTCGTTCGATTTAATTCAAAATTTGTTTTCCACAAAAATTATATTAATAATTACCCTTTATAAATAGCATCATATCCAGTTGTCTATACCTTCTATATATTTTAAATAAAACTAGTTAATTTTAAACGTTCTGATGATAATATCATGATCCAAAAATTCATTTCTCGTTGAATATAATTCTTGGCTCGATCACAATTAATTATCTGGTCTAAGATTTTTGGGGTTAATTGCATGGTTGGTCACTGAGATTACAAAAAAAATTCATATATGATTACTGAAAATATTTAATTCCATGAAATGTCACTAATTTTAGTGAAAACGTTCACGTTTAGTCACTCTCCGTTAGTCGCTGTCCATCTCCGTTAGCAGAGTCCGTTAAGTGCTGACGTGGCAGACAAAATCGTCTAATCAACCCTATTCAACCAAATATAGTGAGACCCGACCCGCCACGTCACTAAGACCGCCATGTCATCTAGACCAACCTAACCCTCTAACCAGACCCGACCTGGAACCAACCGACACAAATTAAATCCCTAAATGACTAAATCTAAAACATATCCACATGGTTAAATTTTGGGTCTCATTTTTTCTTATAGTGGGGGGTTGAATGCTCGAGTGGGTAACTAATACGAATTAGGAAGTGAAATGGTGATCATCTATGTAACTCAACTGGCATAGACCAATAGGTCTCAAATCCAGCTTCTTCAGAGCCTCATGTTTCTTGAAGATATCCTGGATGAAGAAGAGATCTCCCATTTATGGGTGTCGGTTCGGGTCGGGTTCAGTTACCCGAAAAAACCGAAAACCGAAAACCGAAAACAACTAAAACTGAACCCGAACTTGATAAGGACTTGCAGGTTTCGGTTACCCGAAACCCGAAAATTCCTTATCGGGTTCAGGTTCGGTTAAAGCAAAACCGAAACCCGAACGCCTAAGAATACGGGCTGAGTTCTATTCATTGGAGGTTTTTAGACGAAACCCGAAAAACCGATAAGCAAAATCAAACCCGAAACCGAAAAACCCGAAACCCGAAACGAACCCGAAAATGCACATACACCTCCATCAAGAACCGGTACTCCCACCCATGCATCATGTTGTTGGACCAAATCAAACCACTTCTTCAACCAAGTCGAATGGTTCACACTCGGCTAACTAAAGCTCGATTGCACAAAACCAACCACAGACACGAATTCAGATTTTGAAATTCATGTTCCCGTTTTCGAGATCAAAAGAAACCCCAAGCAAAGTTCTATGGTTTACCACAAAGATACAGGCTTCTCAAAAGAAAGTGATGCATTGATGAAACACAGTAGTGGTTTGGTTGGTTCTCTCCAATCTGCCACAATTTTCTTCACCGGCTTAAAAGCTGGAGTCCTCCGTTGCAGGACGCCTCAAGAAATACTGCAAGCTGTTAGCAAGAACCTGGCCAACGATTCACGTCATAAAGTTTGAACAGCACATTCTATATCAGAATATCGATAGGGGCAGAAGAGAAGTCAGCAGCTATATACAAAACAGTTAGCTAGCAGGAAGACTCTGAGTGGTTCATTTACCTGTTGACGAGGCTTGGGGACAGCTTTACCATCGTAGCTGATATGAAACTTCGATCTGGCCAACAAACCCTGTGCAACAAAACAATGATCGCCCATGAACATCATTTTAACACTTAAAAAACGAAGACAACGAAAAGACCGTCCTAAGATGATCATTATCACTAGACACATGTACCTCGGTGTCAAACTCTCCTGATTCAACTGCAATATTGGTGTCACTGATGACCTTCACAAGGTCCACCAATAAACCAGGGCGATCAGCTGTTTCCACACTCAATAAGCTGGCGCAAGAAAAAGGAGTGAGATGGTGTTATTTCTCAGCATTATTGTTCACATGCCAACCGGTAATCCTTCACTCGTTCAACATTACTTAGTAATTTTATTATCCTCCATTTAAGCTTTAACAAGGCACAAGGGTGGAAAATTCGAATGTTTTTACTGGTTCCAAGATCAGAACTTCAAAATAAAATTGGATGTCACGGTGCATTAACTATGTTTTACTGAGTTATATTCTTGCCCTTAATAATGATAAGGTATAAGTGTGCCTTGGTTAAGTAGTTACAAAGGCTAACATAACCAGAAATTGAAGACTTTATTATTGCTGATGCTGAAGCAACAGCCAAAATGCATGGCCACCATTTGCTCTAACTTAACAAAGAATGACAATTCACAGTACCATTCTTAGAGCAGAGAAGCACATACATAAGTTAAGCCTGTGTTATCACAATATAATCACTGTTCTACACAGAAATTACCCGACAGGCTCAGAAAACTTAGTCACATGACGAAGATATTAAAATTGGCCGGGTAAACTCATTACCTTCGATTGAGACTTTCATCCGAGATGGTTATATGGGTTGCGATGTCCACATCTACCTGAGAGTTGCAACACAGTTCTCAGCTCATCTTCATTTGTATATGTTAGCAAGTCTAGTTACATCCCTCGAGTAACAAATTAGAAATACAGGTGGTGATCAGTAACTGCTTATCACAAAACTCAGATAATGAAAAGAGCGTCACAGAGAAGGAATAATAGCCAGAAAATTTACAATGTAATCTTCAAAAAAGGGGGGAAAACCAATTAGAAAACCTGCTGATTTGGTGGTTGTGCACCGAAGAAGACTCCCATCGCTAACTTACTACTTGATTCCTGGAACAGAAATGAGGGTATTCAAATTAGATGAAACAAAGCACATTGGCTACAAGAGATACAAAGTTAATCAGAAGATGTTGTATCACATACTGGGTGATACTTAAGTAGATTGTTAATTATTGTCAAACGAATTGCCTCAAGGAGCTCTGGATCTTCAACCTTCCTACCACTATCACTGCAAAACCAAAAAGGTATTATGCAAATAGAAGTCGCGCTGTGCATAATTCAGCAGTGTCAAATTAAACAACTAGAAAAAGGAAAGCCAAGAGTAAAACATATATTCGCCAAGTTGACACACAATTCAAATAAACGGATCTTCCTGTCACACAAAAGCCAATATCTCAAATATTCTAGTACTCATTTCTCTAGCAAGTCTCGAACTCGGAATAAGCAAAACCGCATTTTCTAGGCAATATGGCTGAAAAGTTCCAATGCACAAGAAAGTGCACAGGACACTATATCCGTGTCTATACCCAGACCACTGTAAATATTTCCATTTGAAACCATGGAACTGGTAGCAGCTGATTCCAAATTTGGCTTGCTAGAGGCGCAAAATGAACAAGGAGATTTAATAACTCTGAACTTGTGTACCATCATGGCATAACCACAGACATATTTGCCGAGACCTCTAACTCCCCCTTCTACATAAAAAACATACAATCTTGTAACCCAACATAGCAGATTCTACTAGTTTCTCATAGCTCCTCCTTTATCAAACTTGAAATGAAAACCAGAGACAAGTTTAGAGCTCCTAATCCTAGGAATATCGAACAAAATTCTGAGACTTAAAGCTCCTGTTTCTTTGATTTAATAGTGAATCAAACCATCTGCTTTTGAAAACTCAACTAAGCCTTCTCATTCCAGCTTATTTCTTCGTCACTTCATTATGATATGAAGAAAAGCTTGTTGGAATTCGAATTTAGATAATTAAGATGGATGATGGAAAGCTTCACAACAAAATAATTATAAGCTTGGGCACCTGTTATGCCTCCAAAGTCTTACTAGCCAACAGATATTACTTGGAGTTCAGCAATACATAGAAACACCAAACTACCTTAGCTTTACACCTTGAAGTTAGCAGTCATTATAAGAAGTAAATAAATTACAGAGCGAGAAATACAAGAAAAGGTAAATGCAGCTAGCAACTTACGCTTTCGTGATGGCAAATCTGTTATGCTTCCCAGAAGAATCCAAGAAGACATTACCCTTCACCACATTTAGTCCAAGGTTTTTCAGTGCTGTCATCTATCAAACCAAAAGACACGCATTAGGCACATCACCGGGAAGGAAAGAGCAGATGAGCATTGTCGTCACCAGAAGTAAGCAGTACTCACAGTATCCACAAGTGCTCCAAGGCGATCACCAAAGGTGATCTCGACAACAGTTGCATCTGGATCAGAGTCCAGGTCGATTATCACCTTGGGAGTCGGCACTCCATCCATATCTCTGTAACTCCCATCCTGTTCAAAAATCATTCACATCCAAACCCCCAACTCGATGAACGCATTACTTCACACCCAATCCCCCAGGTCTAAAAACTAAGAACAAGAAAGACAAAATAAGATAAGCACTACTCTCAGACCTCAACAGCAGTGGTTTCTGATGCTCGGGGAACAATTATGCTCTTAGAAAACGTCAATCTGCAACCAAGTTGATGCATATGAATCGGCAGAAAACAGTCAGCATAGAATGAACAAAATAGTGGACATCCCATCGATATCTTAAGTTTGCAAAAAACAACAAAATATTTCCATTTCTATTGGCTTACTGACTTCAACCGGTCTACAGGAATCAGAGATCATTAAGCAATCATTCAAGCGAGTAAGATTTTCAAATTTTAACTCCAAACCCCAATTATCAAAAAGATAAACCGCCCTGAAATAGAGTATTACAGGCTTATGAGTTCATGATCAAGACCAAAACGGCAAGGAGACATCCTCAAACCCTCACACCTATTCCGTTTAGTAGCAATCAGCAGGATTCATCCAACAATCGAAGAAGGTTGAGATAAAAAAAAAGTGGATTGCGGCGCCTGTAAGCCGCAGAGAACGAACCTAGCAACTGAATTAGTCGATGGAAGAGGCGATCGAGTGGCGCCAAAGCTAATGAAGGAAGCAGAAGGAAGAGCTGCCACGGGTTTGCCGTTTGTGATCGCCGCATAGGGAAGACGGAAGTTGATGGCATGGGCGATAGATGCTGCGGCAGCCATTTTCGATGATGACGACAGCTATCTGCTTCCTATCTTCCCCACCACCAGCGGTTGAAAAAGTATCAATCACTCTCCACTCTCCACTCTCCCTTCTCCCACCAAGACGCGCCAAATAACACTACAGCCGAACCGACATATCCCAAAGTCCAAACCAAGCTACCGCAAAAATATGTCACATTCGTGATTCGTCGCTCTCCTTTTCTGGCTCCTTCGTTTCATTTTTGAAATTCAGAAAATTCAGAACAGCACCAAACCAGGACAGAATTAATTGTAAATAAATGACATAGAGATAATAATGATAATAAATGCAAGGGTTTTACCTGGTAAAATCGAGCGTAACGGCTCAGCACCGGATTCGGCAGCCCATGGGCTAACACAGGCCCAGCACTAATGAATATGCTTTTTTTTTTTTTGGCTAAGGTAGAATGTATTAGATAGGGAATTACAGAGAGTTAAACAAAAGATAGTGGAAATCAGCCAAATGCTGATTAGCCGATGCAAGAGCTGTTTTTGCCACGCAATGGGCAGCCCTGTTAGTTCTACGGGGAGAAAAAACAAAACGAACAAACCATATATATCCGTCCGAATCCGACCTAATCGGGTAGGGACGCATGGTAACTTGAATCCGAAAATTTTTTAGTGGATATGGATAAAATCTGAACTCAAATATTGTGGATAATGAGTGGGCATGAGTTGAGTTTCTCACTATCCAACCCGAATTAGTCTGATTATACAAATGCATATGTATTTTGTCTAGAAATAAAATAATCATTATTTTTCCATAACATATTTATTTAGCATACAAATATAATATATTCATAAAATTGTGTTGTTTTAATTAATTTTCTTCATTCTTGTGATTTACTATAGTACTTTCGCTCTTATATAATGTGAATATACGTGTGAATGTTAACATATGGATTAGTAGTTATAAAGAGAAATTATTACACATAGATAATCGTGTTCCGTGGATACCCGAAACCCGAACTAGTATAAACATGGTTTGATGTTCTACCCGATTCTTATGTGGGTATAAATATGGGTGTAACCCGAACTACTTTGGGTAGAGTAACGATTATGCACTATCCGTCTCCGACCCGACTCGTTGCCATCCCTAGCTCCACATGAATACGAATACTTTAGGGTCATTTGGATGCAGTATAATAAGGAGGAAATTGAGCTAAATTCTCAAACAATGCAGATAATTAGACTAAATTACTTTATTTGGATAGACCAAAAATACATGGTAATTGATTAATGATAAAAAAGCATGGTAATTGAGCCATGAAAATTTGGGCCACTTTTCCACTTACGCGGGAATTGAAAATACGGTCACTCCCCCCGAAATTAACATTCCAACGTTAAACACTTTTTGTCCTTATAATAATGGGTTAATTGTATGGTTGGTCACTGAGTTCATAAAAAACGTTCATGTTTGGTCACTCCAAATATTTAAGTCCATTAGCGGTCACTCGAACTAGTAAAACGGTCCACGTTTAGTCACTCTCCGTTAGTCTCGTCAATTTTCGTTAACACCGTCAATCAATTGCTGACATGACTAACAGAAGTGCTGACTCACCCGTTTTAACCCGCCACATCACCAAACCCGACCCGCCACATCATCTCTCCAACCCAACCCTTCGCAATCCTTCTTCTTCCTCCTCCTGACTTGGTCTTCTTTCATACATTCGTACAAGTAGCATATCATTACAAATTTCACGTTCCTACATACGACCAACCAAATAATGTGCAAACTTTTTTCCACAAATTTTAATGTCCACTCCCAACTAATTAGAGATTTATATGCTCCTCCAGAGCGAAACCAAAAGAACAAAGTTAGTTGTATCTAGTTACTTGTGATCATCGATCGACATGTAGAAAGAAACCGGCCCCTACTACGCAATAGCAAAGTATCAGTACCAATCCTTTCATGTAACTTGATCTCCCTTCCTGCATCATCAACAATAGATTAGGTTACTTGTGATGGAAGTAAAAAAAGTAAGTTGTACCATATCCTTGCATATATATCAATCAATCTACATGAAAGTTATTACTTGTGATGGAAGTAAGCAGGAAGGATGAACAGTATACAATACCTGCAGTGAATATGCAGTGATCAGCATACTGATGAAAAGGGTAGCCGTCTCGAAGAGTTGAAAGTTCAAGTCCATCGGCTGCTTCACAATCCACCCAACTACCACATAGAAAGGGATCTACAAACGTTCATTGGCCAGCCACCAATAAGCCAAGGAATTCGAGATACTAAGAGCATGATGACAGAGACAGCTTCATTTTATCTTACCGCAAACATGGCTATCTGAGTGGATGAGCCAATTGCAACCGCGAGGGATATATCCTGCAGATCAGTGCCAAAATGAAGAAATAATGGAATCAAGATTCTCTTTCGATACTTGTACCATGAAGCAGGATAGCAAAAATGCATGTCTTTCGATACTAACCAGCTTGTCTCTGATGGCAAACATGATGGTGGTGGCGTATGCAGCAGAGTTCCCTGCTATTGGAACTAAGATCACGTTGATGAAACTCGTCGGCAAGTGTAACGATTCAGATGCCCCCTGACGATGATCCAGAATCGACGATCAACGTTAACATCATGTTATGCTACTGCACTTGATCAGTTATAAGAGGTAAAAAGCACTAGAAAATATATATGTTACCTGAATGGCATCAACGAGCTGCTCAGACAGTACAGAGACGCAGACGGTTAAAATTGCAAGCCAGGAAATCGCTTCCCACTGACTAGTTTCAGGAACATCTGGAACATCCTCCTGATTCTGTATAAGAAGTCACAGGTTGAGCAAAAGAAATAAGAGAAGGGAAACAAAGAAGCCATTGCATTTCTTTCATACCTGAAGGATGGGATTGTAAAGACTATGATGGCTTTTAAGCTGGAAGAAAAGGTAGGCAGCATATACAAGGAGCATCATGCAGCTGCTGAACCTTGACAATGGCAGCCCTGGTTCTCTGAGCTGAGACTCTGCATCATCAGTTGAGAGAGCTACAAGCTGGACCGTTGTGATCACCATGATTCCAACCAGCAGCACTGCGGAATCCATAATTGCAGCTGCCTGATGGCCGAAGAAACCATTCAGTAGGTGTCCCCTCTAAAGAAACCGGCGGGAATGAAGAACCAGATGATGATTTTTTTTACCTTGTTGAAAACCTGAACCTTGTTTTCACGATGGACAATGCCTCCGACGAAGAAGGCGCATCCAAGGACCATGAGCAGGTTTGACAGAATGGAACCCAGCAAGGACTGTTGGATGACGCTTATCATTCCGCTCTTCAGCGCGAAAATTGATACCATCATTTCTGTTGCATTTCCAAACGTCGCGTTTAACAGACCACCAACTGCAGAAAATGCAAAAGAAGCCAGTCAAACCGAGTCAACCGGCCAACTGGATGGTCAATGGTCGAATCCGGGTTAACAACCTTAAGTTAATTCCTTGGAACACACGATAAAATTGTTATGATACAGGGATTCAGTTTTAGCCATACCTGTTGGTCCCGTGTAGTAAGCAATCTGTCTGCATCAAAATTGAATAATTGGCGGCCAATATATTATCAATTATTGTATGAACAAGTCAACTAATAAGAATATTTCAACAAAGAAATTCAGCAATTTATAATTTGAGTACCCAATAGAAATTAAGCTTACTCAGTTGCATAGCCAAGACGCTCAGCCAGAGGTGTTATTCCTAATAAAGTGAGGCAGAAGACCCATCCCTACCCAGTGGCCAGTACCCATATAAAACCAAATAAAGAAAATTATAAAAAAAAAGGTGAGAAAAATTTAATAACAATGTTTCCTCAGTAAGACGTACGGATAACAGACAATTAGCTAACCGACAAAGAATATATTTATTTATTTTTAAAATTCAAAAGAGCTGGAAGCAAATTAATAACAAGCGCTTACAGTGGGCCGGTGCAGTAACTGACGAATATAGCCAAAGGGCCAAACGGCAGCAGCACCTTGATCCGGCCGCCGAGCAACACCGTGCAGATGCTCTTCCAAACATATTGCGGACGCGGCCAGTACCAACCGCCGGCAGCAAAGGCATCATCATAACGACGAAGATGTTCCTCCCCTTCAACCTGCTCGGAGCTCCTCCTCGCCATCTCCACTATGCTCTGCTCTGTCCAGCTTCCAAATGGCGACTAGCTAGCAAGCAAATTATCATATAATATAAAAAAACAAAAAATTTTGAGAACGAGGAAGAATATAGGAACATAGTACCACGGAGAATAATGCAAAACATATTGATATTTTTACGCATGTTCTTGAGTCAGGTTTTGGAATTGTCTGAGATGGTACCATCGTATTTGGCCCCGCGCATGCCAAATTACAATTCGCTTCTTACAAGTGGTCAAGTGGATGGTTGAACTTTGATAGATACATTCATCAGGCTGGTCGCTATCATGAAATGTTAATCTTATATGGGTAATGATAAAATCTCATGGTGAAGGATTAGCAAGGGTTTTCTAGATCGGGTACTACGAATAAAACGATGTCGATCAGCCTTATTTCCGAAACAGGTTTTGCGAATTTTTATGGTTCGTTTGATTTTGGTGATACTTAAATGCATGCATTGTGATTAATGCATGCATTGTAATATACATGTAATTGAGGAAAATGATGTAATGTACTTTGCATTGTTTGGCTTTGATGATAATTGCAAGTTTGGTCACTCGAATTGCTACAAAATTTCACGTTTGCCACTCAAATTAATTTATTCCATTTATAGTCACTTAAATTAGGTTAACAATCCAAGTTTGGTCACTGGCCGTTAGTCTCCGTTAACTTTTGCTGATGTGGTGGTCAACTCTTATAGTTGACCGTTAAATGAGTGACGTGGCGATTAAAAAATTAATAAAATAATTTAATTTAATTATTTTTTATTTTCCAACTAATTATTATAAAAATAAATAAAAAACCTAATTCCTTTTAATTGTTATTTTCCACCGCCCGTAGCCGTTCCTCTCCCCTCAGGTCGACGACCTCTCCCGGCCGGCCAAACCCCGCGTGGTGGAGGAGAAGTAGGCGGAGGAGGAGGTGGTGGAGCGGTGGCTTCGTTGACGAGGGACTCGATGTTGCCCTCCTGGCGGAAGACGAGGGGGCGAGGGGAGGACGAATTGTCGATGGAGATGCCGGCGGAGTCGTAGCCTCTGTACTCAAGCCGCCGGAGTCCATTGAACAGTACTTGGAGTATGTAACTCCTCTCCTTCTAGAGATTGAAATTCAGATACGCAAATATCCCACACATCGTATTCTCTCTCTTTCCTTTGTCCAGAGGATCGCGGGAAGTGACGCACCAAAATTGGGAATTGGAAGCAAAACAAAAAAAATGTGGAGTTTTCTTTTCTTAATATTTTTCGGGGAGTTTGCGGAATGAAAAAGGAATTAGGAAGGTGGGAGGCGAGGTTGATTTCTTTGACCTTGACTTTTAAACGGAGGTCGGCGGCGGCGGTGGTCGCAGCATTGTTGAACTAACCGTCCGGTGGGTGTCGGCGCCGCCGCTGTGTGTATCGAATTTCCTCCTCCTCCTCCTTGCTGTTTGGTGGCGGCGGAGGGTTTGGGTTCGAGTTTCTGGGCAAATTCCGATACTGACACTTTCCACTTGCGATCGATTCGGTTGGAGCCAGAGAAAATTTCCAGCATCCGGATCGGAGCAGAATCGAGATGAAGGATGACGATTCTCTTCCAAGATCGACAGCGACGGGCAGCTTGTTGAAGAAGGACAATTCTGATTCCTCTCTCTTCGGGAAAGGCAGGTACAAGTTCTGGGCCTTAGCTTCCATTCTTCTCTTGGCATTGTGGTCCATGTTCACCGGAACAGTCACCCTCCGCTGGTCCGCCGGCAACCTCGACCGTCTCTCCGATGACATCGACACGCCTATCCACGACGATCTCGACGTCCTTGTAAAAATTCTCTCCATTTTGGGTTAAACGATTACGCGCCCAACGAAGCCACCGCTCCACCACCTCCTCCTTCGCCACCGCCTACTACTCCTCCACCACGCGGGGCTTGGCCGGCCGGGAGAGGTCGTCGACCTGAGGGGAGAGGAACGGCTACGGGCGGTGGAAAATAACAATTAAAAGGAATTAGGTTTTTATTTTTATTTTTATAATAATTAGGTGGAAAATAAAAAATAATTAAATTAAATTATTTTATTAATTTTTTAATCGCCACTTCACTCATTTAACGGTCAACTATAAGAGTTGACCGCCACATCAGCAAAAGTTAACGGAGACTAACGGCCAGTGACCAAACTTGGACTGTTAACCTAATTTAAGTGACTATAAATGGAATAAATTAATTTGAGTGGCAAACGTGAAATTTTGTAGCAATTCGAGTGACCAAACTTGCAATTAAGCCGTTTTTTTAGTATTCAACAAGTTATATTTTTTTTTTGAAAGATCACTTTTGCCCTTGCTTTTATTAGAACATATAGATATAACTAGGGGTATAATTGGAACAAAAAAGGAACCTAACAATCTCCACAAAACTATCTCAACAATCTCAACAAGTTTTAGTAGAGATAATATCACTCATTTTGAGTGATAGTTTCCATCACATCAAGCAAACAATGCATGTATTATTTGTGCAGAAATTTCAAAAAAACAATGCATCGTGGACCATACATGCATTGTAACTATCTCAACCAAACAATCACCAAAACCAAACAATCACCATACATGCATTGTAACTATCTCAACCAAACAATCACCAAAACCAAACGACCCTGAGAAGGCGTAGTAGTTGCCATCAAAATTGCCGCTGGGATCAGGGCTCTCCTCAATCCCTAAAATAGCATAACCGACTGCAATCTCATAATGGCATTCAGCTTGCTATGCATTGTAACCTATGACCGACTGATCGAAACCAATTTCTAGACGGCCATTCAGTAGTTGAATGGCACGAGTGGCCAGACTAGACTACTGACAGTTTTGAGTCATTTTTGCTCGGGAACCAGCAGCGCCTCCTCGCACATTGTCCATCGTAAGGCCGTAAGTGATGAAATCTAGCTATTCCGGAAGGGCAATTCACTAATTCCAACAACTTCGGAAGGGAAAAGGGAAAGGTTTGAACATTTTCTATATGCTGTCGTCAACATGTACAAAGAAACTAGCCCCAACTATTAAGTAGCAAAACATCAGTATTAATCCTTTAATGCAACTTGATGTCCCTTCCTGCATCATCAACAACATACACAGAGTTACAACCCCATTGATTCGGTCTGCAGATATGCACACCATCTCATAGAGAAGAGATCTCGTTTAACGGTGGATCAAGTTAGTTCGTACCCCCCTTTTTCTTTTCGTATAATTTTGCTTAAACCTATTCAATTGCGATAGCTTAGCCGTGGCAACTGGAAGCACTAAGCAGAGATCGTTACACTTTTAATAAAGTTCACTACAACAACCGAGTATCACATTCTAGTTGTCTACCATATCTATGCGGCATATACCAATTTCTGGATCAAACTCAATGTCAAAAGAAAAAAGGCGCAGTGATTTGAGAAATGTTTTTATTTCTTTGTTTTATCCAAAACGAGATCATCAGTATATATCAGAGCTACTTGTAATGGAAACAAAGAGAACAATATAATACCTGTAGTGTATATGCAACAATCACCACGGTGATCAAAAGGGTAGCCGTCTCAAAGAGTTGGAAGTTCAAGTCCATTGGTTGGTTCACTATCCACCCAACCACCACATAAAAAGGGATCTACAGTTGTCACCAGCAAGCAATGGAAGTTGAAACATTACAATAATTAGGCTCAAAGCTTGTTGATCAACTATTTAGATAGAGATTCCCATGAGGGATAATACTAATACCAGAATGACAGTTTCAAATCTCACCGCAAACATGGCTATCTGAGTGGATGATCCAATCGCAACGCCAAGGGTTATATCCTAGTTCAGAGTGAAACGAAAGAAATCAAATCAAACCAAAAATGAAAACTAAAACAAATTCTACAGGTGCCTCCCTTAGCAAAATATTGCTGGCTAGTATGTACTTGAAACAATTCTGACAGCAGAATTAACCTCTGTAAGACTTACAAGCTTATCTTTGATGGCAAACATTATGGTGGTGGCGTATGCAGCAGAGTTTCCAGCTATTGGAATTAATATTACATTGATGAAACCCATAGGTAAATGTAATGATTCAGATGCTCCCTGGGGATTCAGAACCATGAGCGAAGTTAGTTCGGAAACATTATTACAGCTGATAAGTTATAGAAATGATAAGAAGTATGTTCAAGCAGTTCACTTAAGTCATTACTTCTCAATCACTCTTTGATTAGACAAAATGTAGATTGAAACTGACCAGTTCCCAAAAACCCTTTCTATGCTTTTTACATGGATTAAACAGGTCCAGGGCCAAAAAAGTAAAATCGTTGGGCGGTTTACTAATTATGGTCTTTTAGATTTCCAAAAATCCAGCTCAACATGGAGTACAGAAAGCAGTAAAGCCAAGGACGGGTAGCCGAGTTGGTTGAGGCAATGGGCTCACCTGGGACTTGGTTGCAAGATCTTAAAGACACAATTAAGCAAAGGGAAATGAACCAGAAGAATATATCACTTCTAAACTGTTCAATGACTTCTTTGCTTTTCCTCTCTTCTTTATTTAAAAGCATATGCTTGATCACATGAAAACTTAAGTTTACCAGAGTTTAAGTAAAAGTCAAAATTCAAAGCAATAGGAAAGGTTACCTGAATAGCATCAACAAGATAACCAGACAACACAGAGACCCAGAAAGTTAAAATTGCAAGCCAAGAAATTGCTTCCCACTGAGTAATTTCAGGCACCTCTTCCTCCAGACCTTCATCTGGAACATCCTCCTGCAGCAATAACAGTATATAATGGGACAGATATTTTCAGAATATTACAAGTAATGGGAAGAACAGAGAAGGGAAGCGAGATGGACAAAAAAATCAATTTGCCAAAAAAATATGCAAACTACAGGGGCTCATGGACTACCTGATGAACAGGATTATACAGATAGCTGTGACTTTTAAGCTGGAAGAAAAGGTAAGTAGCATATGCGAGGAGCATCATGCAGCTGCTGAACCTTGAAAGCGACAGCTCTGATTTTCCGAGCTGAACTTCTGTGTTAGTTGAGTGAAGCACACCTGGTATCATGATCCCCATCACTGCCACCAGCAACAATCCAGAATCAACAACTGCAGCTGCCTGTTGGAAGAACCATAAGGAGTTATTATCAACAGTGCGGAAACAGCCATTCTAGTTGTACGAACATACAATCATTTTCAACTGACATTGTAAGTGTTAAAGTTACAAATGATAAAATCAGGCAGTGCATTGTCTTATCCAATTAAGTCAATACGAAAGTGAATTGAGAACAAGCAAGCATGATGGTATATTTACCTTATTGAAAACCTGAACCTTCTTATCACGATGAACAATCCCCCCAATGAAGAAGGCGCATCCAAGTACCATGAGCAAATTTGACAAAATGGAGCCCAACAAAGACTGTTGGACAACCCTTACCATGCCACTCTTCAAAGCATAGATTGATACAATCATTTCCGTTGCATTCCCAAACGTTGCATTTAAAAGACCACCAACTACAGAAGATATAAGAAAAACATAAGTAATTTGGCCAGTCTACTCAAAACGCACAGATAAGGCGAAGGTCAACATGCACAAAAGCAGTAGATAGCAGATAGCACTAATAGAACCTCCCATTCTTAACCCACTTGACACACAACAAAATTATCAATGATAGTGGGGTTTTAATACAACCTCCGTTTCTTAGCACACTTGGTACACCACAAACTGATCAATGATATAGAGTTTAGCAGTACCTGTCGGTCCGGTGTAGTACGCAATCTGCCTGCATCAGAGTAATTGGTGGTGGATTACTGGTATTAGCAAGTGATCCGAGCCTAAATTCAACGGCAAAATCAGCATATTGATGGAATACCCAATTGAATGCTTACTCAGTTGCATAGCCTAGACGCTCAGCCAGAGGTGTTATACCTAATAAACTGAGAAAGAAGACCCATCCCTGCCCATATGGACCAACAAGATAGATGGGGAAGGGGTCAGCTGAACAATCATTAGCTGGCCACGAAGAACTAAAATGTTGAAAGAGGTGAAACAAATTCACGAGTTGCATGCTTACAGGGTCTGCAGTGTAGTAATTGATGAATATAGCCAAAGGGCCAAATGGCAACAACACCTTGATCCGGGCTCTTAGTAACACAGTGCAGACACTCTTCAAAACTAATCGCGGCCACAAACTGTAGACTAAGGTATCATGATGATCCTGTTCAAGATGATCGAAGCTCCTCCCCATCTCCACACTGCTACTTCCTGATTCCAACGAGCTGGGAACAACCTTCCCTCCCTCTTCGACGTTCACCATCTCCTCGACCAGCCTCGCATCCTTCACAAAATCATCAGAAGCCATAAATAGAAACAAAGTGGGAGAAACAGAGTAAGAGGTGGTGTGAATGATGCGGCGAATAAATTCAAAGTACGAGCAGTATCAATGTAGCAAAGCAAATCTAAGTCGCGATGACTGACCGTCATGATCGGCGTTCCAAAATTCAAGTTCCCGAACGAAAGCCTTGTTCAAGCGGCCGCCGATTCTGATTACCACATCATCTGTATCACTTCCGCTTTCGAAGTCAAAATGCAAGCCGACGGTCAACGGTCCATGAGCCGCATTCCGAAATTCAAGTTGTCGAACCAAAACCTAGATAGAAAGAGGCCTCCGGTTATGTTCTCTCATCTCTGTTTGACTGTTTCATTTCCGCCGGAGAAGACGTAATGCAAGCCGTCGACGGAAGGGGAGAAGTTTTGGGGCAGTGGACGTCCGGAGAAGCACTCAGACGCAGTGATTTGCGGTGGCGAAACAGAGGAAGGCGGAGAAAACATTGAGCCCGAAGTAATTTTTGTCCGCAGTGAGTCGAGCACGGGATTTGGCGAATTTGCCGTCCCGTTGGCCGCGCAATTGATTGGGGGAATAAAGAAAACTCTCTCTTACACTCCTTCGGCCTATTGTCGCAGCGACGTGGGTGTTAGGTTGTTGACTTTACGAACTGGGTAACACGGGAACGGGATCCATAGAAGCAGGCAGGATGGGCCGGGCCGGGCCGGCCCAAGTCAGTGTTGTCTCGGCCCATTTGCTGTAATTCAGATCGACTCTCTTCCGAGAGCTGCGGGGCGTTTTGCCGCTTTCCATTCTCCCCATTTCCCACGCATTTCGGCCCCACCACTTCCAGTCACAGGCTAGAGTAGAGAGCACACGTAGCGAGAGCTGCAAGATACAAGCCAAAGTTAAGGAGGCAGACCACCAGAGCCAGGCGTTCACCTTTTCGTACTCCAGTTTCTCTCTTATTCGTCGTCTTCTTCCTCAACAGACTGCTCTCTCCGCCATTGCTAGTGGCTGCTTCGCTGTTTTCCTGGTAACTGCATCTCAGCTACGAACTTCCGATTCTGCGTTCTCTTGCCTACCTTCGTCTGTGTGTTTTTCTCTTCCAAACAATCTTTCGCTCTCACTCTCGACGAACTCGGGTGTTTGTTTCCCGAGAAAAGAATCGACGTCCGTACCAGAGCTAGCGTTCTTGAACATTTGTACGGACGGTTGTTCTTCGACATTCTGGTGCTTTCGGAATGCAGATAGTTATTAGTTCCGTTTCCCCCCCCCCCCCCCCCCCCCCCCCCCCCCCTCGTTTTCTGCTCTCTGCTTCGCTTCTTGAATGTGATCGGGAGTAACTTCAATGGCGGTTTGCTCCATTGTGCCGAGCCCCTTGCCTTGCCGCTTAACCTGCTTCGCTTTCTTTCCTGTCGCTGGATACGGCGAGAAATGAGTAGAAACCATTTCCTTTACTGTCCCAATTTTCTGATCTTGCGAGCGCTTGTTTCTGCGAATCTTGATTTTCTTCTTCGACTGCCTACAACGAGACTATTCCATGCTTAGAATGTCCATTGGCAACGTACATCCTTGAGTAGCTAGCTTTTTTTTTCTTTTCTTTCTATTTCTGTTTGCTCCTTGCACTGTTTCGCTGTTTGTTTACTCCGTCGTCACGCCAGTTAATTTTGCTGCAGGCAAGTTGCTCGTGAGCGAAGATGTCTAGGGTTTCAAGGTTTCAGTTGTTGGGGATACTGTGGCTTTTCGCATGGATGGTGGGAACAGAGGCTGACTCCCCGAAATACAAAGATCCGAAGCAACCAGTGGGAGTTCGGATCAAGGACCTATTGAGTCGAATGACACTAGAGGAAAAGATTGGTCAGATAGCCCAACTTGACAGATTATCAGCTACCCCTGAGATAATGCGGACCTACTCCATTGGTATGCTTAGCCATTTTTGCGGTTACTTTATGTCCTGGCAATAATTTTTGAGTTATTCCAATGGTAGGACTTGGTACCTAGATTACTGGAGTGTGGCAGTGCGTCAGGTTGTAGCATTGTACGTGTGAATGTCAATGACTGCTTTCGCACTTTGCTCATGCAATTTGATATCTAATGCCAAAAGTAGCATTTCATCTGAACCTTATTTCACATTCCGTTTTGGATTATGCGTTGTTGTAGTACAGTCATTGTAATCATTTCGAAGCTGCCATACAAGTAAATATGAATGGACTTATCGTTCTGGTTCCTGCAGGTAGTGTCTTGAGTGGTGGGGGGAGTGCACCACTTCCTGATGCTTCAGCTAAGGATTGGATTGATATGATAAATGGGTTTCAGAAAGGATCTATGTCCAGTCGTTTAGGGATTCCCATGATTTATGGTATCGATGCTGTTCACGGACACAACAATGTGTATAATGCCACCATATTCCCTCATAATGTAGGGCTTGGAGCCACCAGGCAAGTATGAATCTCAAGGTTTCAGGAATTATATAGTAATCTTCTGGCTGCTGTTCTGCACGGTGTAGCTTCCTATTATTTTATTTTTTTTACAGTTTCTCCATTTTATGTAATACTTAAGTCATGCTTCTGTGCTCAGTCTGTTCTAAATGTGTACTAGTCTGAAAAGGAGAAGTTTAGATAAATTCTAACTTCATATGGTAGGCTCAGCAGTAAGGTCTTGATGACATTCATGAGGGTTTTCTTCATTAGGGACCCAGACTTGGTGAAGAGAATTGGTGCTGCAACTGCTCTTGAAGCTAGAGCCACAGGAATTCCTTACGTTTTTGCTCCATGCATAGCGGTAAATAAAGTGCTGTTAAATGCTATTTTTGGATGATTCATATTTTCTTACTGCACAGATTGGAGATGGGAAAATAAGGTCATAAGGTTATACTTCTCATTCTCTTCTGCTGGCGTGCCTTCGGCAGGTTTGTAGAGACCCAAGGTGGGGTCGGTGTTATGAGAGCTACAGCGAGGATCCCAAAGTTGTTAGAGAAATGACTGAAATCATACCTGGGTTACAAGGAGATATGCCTTCTAATTCTCGGAAAGGAGTTCCTTATGTCATTCCGAAGTGAGTAGAAGAAAAACTTTAAAATCATTAGTGTTTCTGTCCATGCAATACTACTACCGATACTGAGGATGGTTCATTCGTTTTCTTAAAAAAGCATTGTGTGATATGGTTTGTTACTAAAGCATTCGAAATACACTTGAATTGCATTAATTGTTACTGTATCCCATTAAGCTCTACTCTAACATGGATGTTCCTATGCTGTAGGAATAAAGTTGCAGCTTGCGCTAAGCATTTTGTGGGAGATGGCGGAACAACCAAGGGCATCAATGAAAACAATACTGTAATAGACAGGCATGGACTGTTGAGCATTCACATGCCTGCCTATGATGACTCTGTGATCAAAGGCGTATCAACTGTCATGGTATCTTACTCCAGCTGGAATGGGGAAAAGATGCATGCTAACCGCGAGCTAGTAATGGGCTTCCTCAAGGGTACCCTTAAGTTTAAGGTTAACCTCTAATCCTAGTGATATTTTTGCTAGTAGTAGTTGCATGTCTTGATTACTTTGCTTGGGCTTCCTTTCTATCTATCCTACTTTCGAGGACCATCCAACATTTACTGATTCTTTCATTGTTTTATTGTTTATAGATATTTGAACATGGTTACATGTCATTAGATTCTCATTATTTCTTTAGCCACCATATCATTTCTGGCATGCATCTGCAATTCTTGTCATTTTACTGGTGATATGGAGCTTTCATCTACAGACCACTCTGATTGATTTACCATAGATGCTAATGTGGCATGCCTTTGGGCAGCTAGCTTGGTGATATCCAATATTCACGTTTCATCTTACTGTATGTCACAGGCTAGGCCTGCATGACTAATATGATATCATGGCTCTGAATTTATTATGCTCTTTCTAACTGTACTTTCCCTTCCTGGATAATTTCTAGGGGTTTGTTATCTCAGATTGGCAAGGTATAGACAAGATTACCTCAAACCCGCACGCAAACTACACATACTCTGTGCAAGCAGGGATTCTAGCTGGCATTGATATGGTTAGTTCTTTCGATTGTAGAAACATCACTTGAGATTGATTCCCAGGGAAATGTTTTCAGTTATCTTTTCATCAATTAATAGCAGGTGGAACGTGGAAGTGAATGATTTGCTAATGATGGTTCTTTGTACCCAGGTCATGGTTCCGTACAACCATACAGAGTTCATTGATGATCTTACTCTCTTGGTAAAGAAAAATGTCATTCCAATGGATCGCATTGATGATGCTGTTGGAAGGATTTTGCTGGTTAAGTTCAATCTGGGACTATTTGAAAACCCTATGGCTGACCTGAGCTTTGTCAATGAACTTGGAAACCAGGTTGGTGAATCACATGAACACTTGGACCCCCTAGAAATGGGATCAACTGTATCACAAATCATTTTATTTTCAGTGCCTGTATCCTGAACGGTTGAATTTTGCTCAATTTTCTTCTATCATTGAACCTTTTTCCCCCTCTACTCCTTTGACTGAATTCCTACATTTCCAGATTATTACTTTGAACGAGAATATGTTACCGGATGAACTTTTGGGTACCTTATGCAGGCACATCGTGACTTGGCAAGGGAAGCTGTGAGGAAATCACTTGTGCTGTTGAAGAATGGGAAAAATGGGACTCAACCATTGCTACCCCTTCCCAAGAAGGCTTCAAGAATTCTAGTTGCGGGCACCCATGCCGATAATTTGGGCTATCAATGTGGTGGATGGACGATTAATTGGCAAGGATTTAGTGGGAACAATGATACAAGAGGTAATATTTTTTTTCCTGAGTTTTGAATGTTTTATGAGAAGTATCTACTGGCTATTTCATTTCTTCGTACAAATGGGTGCACATTGTCTACGCAATCATGCAAAACCACCTGTGGGCCTTAATGAAGGATTATATCGTTCATGAAGTGTATGCATGAAGAGTTATCTACCAAATGAGTTGGTGTATATTTAGCAATCCTCGCCATAAGATTGATCAGTGTGATCATTGTCTTTAGTAGCTGTGATGCCAAGGAAGAACCTAGGCTCTCTTGCTTGTCTGTTTATCAATAAAGGTTCAGATTGACACGTTCTCGTGTAGAAGTAGTTAGTTATTTGTATTCATATCAAGCCTTGTTAAATTATGAGTGGGTAAATGGTAACTCTGGCGGTCCAAAATAGGTTAACTATTTACTAATTTCAGGAACGACGATCCTTGCTGCCATAAGTGCCACGGTTGATCCAAAAACAGATGTTGTCTTCCAAGAGGACCCGACCAAGCAATTTGTGGAGGAGAGCAACTTCAGTTACGCACTTGTAGTTGTTGGTGAGCCACCGTATGCTGAGACTGCAGGAGACAGCAGTGATCTGACAATGAAGTTCCCAGGTCCAAGTATCATCAGCAATGTATGCGGGGGATCTGTGAAGTGTGTGGTTGTGGTCATATCAGGGAGGCCCATTGTACTTGAGCCATACGTGAACTCAATTGACGCCCTGGTGGCAGCTTGGTTACCTGGCAGCGAAGGGCAGGGAGTGGCAGATGTGCTGTTTGGGGACTTTGGATTCAGTGGGAAGCTTCCAAGGACTTGGTTCAAGAGTGTTGATCAACTGCCAATGAACCTTGGAGATGCGCATTATGATCCACTCTTCCCCTTCGACTATGGGCTCAAGACAGAGGCGTTGAATGGCTCGGTCGCAAGGTAGGTAAATGTTCCATCGCTGCATGCCTGCCTCATCTACTAACGGGTTAGTGCCAAAGTAGCTTACTTGATGTTCATTTTGTGCTTCTACTCTGCCTCTTTATTGCAGGTCAACATCAGATGGTGCTGATCGTCGGCCATGCGCATTTGCTCTACTGATTTCCCTAGCTGTCTACTTCTGGCTATCAAAAGTGTAGCAGCGTCCTAGGGCGATGAAGGCAGATGAAGCCTCAGTGTAAGTAGTGTAGTTGTTAAGGAAAGCTCAGAGGATGGCATGAACCCTAGGTTGTTGGTTACATTTTTCTGCAGAAACTGAAGCAAGTACTCTCCAACCATTTGGCATAGCTAGTAGTAGTTGGAGTGTTGCACTCAATTAATCAAATGCTTACAGTAAGTAAAAACCTATTCCCTTTCCGTAGTGGGAAATAACAAGATCGCTCGTCGGATCGCGTTCTTCCCCTGTCACTCCTCTCTGCTGAGTTTATTTGATTGCTGTACATTACATTTGCAACCAAGATATGGACTTCTGGGCAAAGACGCCAGAATCGGCATTCGCTAAAATGGCTGCGTAATTTGCAGTGTTTCCGTGAAATTCCAAGCTGCTTTCATTTCACTAGGAATCAAATTCTTGCTTTCAAGGCTGATCATGAGGAAAAGACCTTAGCATTTCCCAAGCGTCTATTTGATTCAATCCATCACATCCATTCCTTGGGTAATGAAAAGCCAGAAGATTTGCATCGATTCTTGATTGGATGCAATTGAAGTATTTGTCCTTCGCTTTGACTACACTAAAAGTATGCTCCGATCTGCAGGCTAGGAAGCCTCTTCCGATGGCCGGCCGCATGCATATAAATATTGATCATTCCACTCGTGCACAAGATTCCCATCCACGGAAACTAAACCAAAACAATGGATGATGTTTTCCACATGTCATCGGACGGTCATTTCGTCCGCACATGGCCGGCTTCTTCCACCGACGTCTACGTCCACGACTACGCCGGCAACATATACGACCCCGACTTCATCCGATTCCGGCCGCTGGCGCGGCGTCGGGATCAAAATTGGCCCCTCCGCAGACGCACGATTCAGAGCCCTCGAGGTCCACGGGGTCATAATCAAGGGCAGCCGGTTGACCCAACTGTACAACGACATGACCCTCGCCGCATCCGGCGGCCAGAAGTTATACCTCGCGGCTAATCGGAACGGAATCTGTTACCTCTCCGTCAACGGCCCCTACGTCACGCGGCTGCGGGTCAACGACTACTTCAAATGGGCCAAGTACGGCGTCAAGCCGCAGATCAGCCCGTCGACGATCTGGAACAAGTGCGATTTGAGCAGCGGGGCCATTTTGGTGGACATAGGGCAGTTGTTGAAGAACAAGGAGAAAGAGATGCAGGAGATCGTCAAGGAGAAGGAGAAGGAAGTGTTGGTCATGCTGAAGATGGTGGAGAGGAACAAGGAGGTGGAGTCTCTGTGGGAGAAAACCATGGAAGACAAGGATAAGCAGCTGGCTGTGCTGGTAGAGAAGAACAGAGAAGTGGAATCCATGTGGGAGAAATCCGCGCGAGAGAAGGATAAGCAGCTGGACAAGCTCATGGATGCCATGCGTGCCTTGATTTACGAGATCTAAAATTAATTAATCACCACAATATTGGTGGTGTTTGGACGGTAAATTAATTATAAAATTTGGTTAATTTCTTTCAATAAAGAGTGGACGGTCAAGCGGCCACAAGATACCATGTACATAAATAAATTACTACTAACTATGGAATTGGAATAAAATTTGGGGAAACAATTATCCAAATTTCGATAGTAGTTTGTTGAAGAAAAAATGTTAACCTATTTAACACGGTTGTTATTAGTAAACATGTTCTCCATTAGAGTACAATTCATTGTTATTGAATTTTATACACAAGCCTAATAATAAAAACATTAGTCCTTATTCTCAATTTCAAAACCTAACGATTAAACCCCAATTATAGGCTATGCCTTATCCCCACCATTCTATAATATCCATTTGTTTTCTTTCTACAAATCGTACTATTGCTCAATTGTAGCAGAACTATGTGAGCTGGGAATGCGTTAGCGTGATTACTCAAAAATGAATAATCATGGTGGCTACCAATATCTATACCATTCATTACTTTTATTTTAACCTATTTTCAAATGTACGGTAAAGATTAAAGTAAAGATAATTCTGTAAACAAAAAATTATATATATTATTATCAAAACCCTACTAACTACACCCCTCTCAAACGCCACCGCCTCCATCCCCACGATCCCCTCCCCTCCCGCAGTCCCTCCTACTTGCCGCCGTTGGCCAAAAGTCCCCCCTCTCTCTCAACCTCCTTCCCCGCCCTCCCAACCTCTCCCTCCCTTTCCCCCCGGACCGTCCACCACTCCTCCTCACCCCATCCCATGACCCTCTCTCTCTCCCTGACAGCAGGGAAGAGTCGATGGACAAGCGACCTAGGCGAGTACGAGATCGTGGAGGACGTCAAAGCAATCGGTAGCGCTGAACATCCTTTTATCTCCGACCCTCTCGTCTCAATGGTATTGTTTTTGTCGCATTGTTATTGATTTTGTTGCATTGATATTGTGTCGCAATTATATTGATTATCATATAATGGTATTAATTTGCATGTATTGGTATTGATTAAATTTGCAATGGTAGATTTATATTGTTAGATTGTTTATATTGGTAGTTTGCGTGTAATGATATAGATTTATTTCTGCAATGGTATTGATATTTTTCAAAGGGGTAGTGATTGTCTAATGGATTGGTAGTGATTTTGTGTTTTTATTTTTTTATTTTGTATAAAGATTGAGAAAAATAAGAAAAGGATACTGACTGGAGATTACAGAAGTGAGAGAAAGAGAGAGAAGTATAATTAATAAATTATTGTAACTATCTAAAATGTAATTTATTAAAAAAAATAATTAATACAATTTATTTTTCATACCCAATTTACCCTTAGTAACCATGGTGATTATCACCGTAACCTGTCGCATGTGAGCTGTCTTGTAAAGCAATCCAAGATGGTAATTCAAAAGGCAGCAGAGGGAAATTTGCAAGATCACTTTTCCAACTCACCAATTTCACAAACAATTTGTTCATTATTCACTAAAAATGGCTGCATTATCATTGGCATTGCATTGCGTCCATATCTGAGGAATAGGATCAGGACGGCTGCAATTTAGGCAAATGCCTGTATTCATGGTATGGATAGTGTAGTTCATATTAGGGAGTCTTTGAGAGTATAGAGCAGCAGCTAGGTCATTGTACTGTTGCTGTTAGCCCCCGAGGCAGGGCTAAGAAAGGCTTGAAAGTGAACAACACCCCGATCGCCTCCACCACGTTCAGCACGAAGAACACCATTTGGTTGCCTGCACACACAATCAATCCCATTCCGTCCACAGACTAGTTCAATCATCGCATTGCCAACCAAAAAATGTCACAACCAAACGGAAGAAACTTATGCAGCCATCATCAACGACGAACAGCAAAAGTAAACCAATCACGATTTACCTGGAAGGAAGGCTGCATCCTGACGTGTTTCAGCCCAAGAAAACCTGCACACACACACACACACACGACATGAACCTAGTACATCCACCCCCAACTTGTGGCTTAGATTTACGTATCCAGATGTTTGTGTGTATGTTGTTACACTCGCCAACTTACAGAGAACCCCCACCAGCTGGACCAGCTGCTTTAAACAGTGACATTGCTGTCATTGCTATCCCATTCGCAGCTCCTCTCTGGTGCTGCTCCTGTTTCATTCATTCACCTATCATTCAAGCCCAGAAAAAGAAACAAACAAAAAAGAAGGGAAACCAACAAGAAACCAAATTTACCACTGCACTGTTTTGCAGCATGAACAAGCAGGTGACAATTGACACCTAGTCGTACGTGCCGGAAAGAAGAACAAAGGTTCCCGTTAGTCAAGTCAAGAAGTAACACCATCCTGCTATTGTTAAATGTTATACCAAGAAGCTATGCTGAATCTTACTGTTGTTCAACTTACAGAAAGGAGATTCTTCAAGACTGATGCGCAATTTAACAGCACACTGAGGCTGAAGCCTGACAACTTTGAGAGAAAAGGGTAACTTGCCAACAACGGAATGGATAATGCCTGCGATGCCCATTTCATCACCACCATAAGTTATTTCCCAAACCCACCACAAAAAGAAACAAAATGGATACAGTCCTTTCAGTCTGACCATGGAAGATGCATATGAACAAGAAATTGCATGAGAGGAGTTGAAATTCTTACCCCAGCAATACGGCACACCATTACAGGTCCGAGAAGCCTCTCCGCATATGGATATAGAGCAAGTTGGAACACAAGCAGTCCAAAACCTACATTGGTTTAAACATCAACATTATGTCATCAGCATAGAGATTCTTTAACCATGTTATGCAAGTAGCTAAAGCCTCAGATATTGTTACTATTTTTAGTTTTCTTTTCAATATTAAGCAGGAGGTAAGGTTGAGAAATGAAGATACCTACCTGAGACTGCCAGAACTTCGCCAACATTCTCTGTCGAGTATCCAAGTCCGCCAAGCTTTATGGGGCTCACTGCCCATAATGAAAATATCTACACAACACAAAGCAGCAGGTCAAGCAACCTTTTGTTCCATACCATGCTAGTGAGACCTGCTGTATGATTATTCATCCTAAAAGGAAAGAAACAATGAGGTCTGTAAATATAAAATATTCCTTCTCTGAATACCAACGACCTCTTGAATCCTTCTCTACAGATCGAGATAATGGAAATAAGACATATGCAGTAGCAAGAGATGATATACCTCTGTGTAAGCCATATCATGAAGTGAGAAGATGCAGTACACCATGATAGATGACATAAGAGGCCAATTTCTAAGGAGGCTTGCTGCTTGCTTCTTCTGTTCAATAACCCTTACTGGGTTTCTGTCGTCTTCCTTGGACCCATCGTCACCAGATGCAGTCTCCAAAGCACCGAAAGAATCGTCACATGCTGCCCTCTTTTCCTTATGGGTATGCAATGTTTCCTGTGCACTTAACCAAAATGATACTGGTTTCTAAGTTGTTTCATGCCACAAAAAAAAAAAAAATTTGATATATATCAGACTTTCTACAGAGAAGCTTGTGTTAATGTTAAACCCTCGCATCTCCTCAAACTAAAAAACTCAAAAAGGACAGTAGAAAGTTAATTCTCAATAGCTGCATAAATTCTTGATTGAGACAATCGGGATGACTTATGAGACAAGAATCAACTTCCAGAAATCAAATGAAAATGGACAGTTAAAGTGAGCTGTAAAGATATCATTATAAAAAAAAAAAAAGTGAGCTGTAAAGATATTCACCGGGAGCCAACAAGAAGCAATCGTTACTCCAACAGCAAGAAGTGATATAGCCAAGGAAGGCAAGAAGTAGGGAAATCTGCATTGCACAGAGGACTTTTAAACCACCATTAAAAGCCATAGAAGAACACGTTATGCCAATGGAGCTCAAAATGAAAGCCCAGCAGTTCACCAACCTCCCAAATAAAGAATCCTTTGAAAACAGAGCCGGATATTTTTCAGCTGGCTGCAACAAGTACAAGGGTAACTTTTTATTCTTAACGATCAAGTAATGGAAGTTCATTACTATGGCAGTTCACCAACCTCCCAAGTATATGGAAGTTCACCAACCTACAGTGCACGTGTTATTGTTGATATAGTCTATGGTTGCCAACACAGAAATTATTATATTGTGTTCGTACCTGGGCCAGGAAACCTCCTAAAGCTGGACCAATAATCAATCCTATACCCCATGCCGTGGTAATCTGGTATAGTTAAATTCTGTTTAGTATTTTCTTTCTAACCAGAGAAAATGTAACGATCCACACAGCTAGCTCACCGTCGACAAACCCAAGGCTTGATGTTCATTTCTGAAAATTTCACTTGCATATGCCTGGAATCCATTGAATTTTGGCAGTGAGACGGTGTTGAACTTTCAATTTTGTATGCATGTCTTGTTGTGCAGTAAACGAACATGGAAGTAAATGGGAAAGACCAACTATACCTTTATTGGACCAAGTAAACCATTCAAAAAGCCGAGCATGAATCTTGAGATAACAGCCATCCAAAAGTTCAAACTGAGCCCGAAGATAGTGTTGAAAATAACCCTGACAGAGAGAAATGCACGACATATCTCAGAGATAGATGCTAAAGCAAAGGTCAATGCAGATATTAAAAAAAACTAGTTGTGATCACTAACACTGATGAAGTCCCCAAGAGTATAACAGGCTTTCTACCATAGCGATCGGCCACAATTCCCCAGAAGAAAGAAGTCAAAGCTCTACCAAACATAAACGAGGATCCTTCAAAACATCCAGAAGGAGATGTTTTAGATTGCTTCGGCAGGATCCGTTCAAATAACGTAGCAACAGGTGAGAAAAATGATCTTATTGTATTGCAAACAAACTCACCAACATAGCCAGCATAGTAACCGATGTCTTCTTCTTTTTCTGTAATTTTGAAGTCCCTTATCTGAAAATGTCGACTAACTATAAATATAATCCATTTGCTGTAAGAAGAAAGAACATATAACTTCATGGCCAGCTCTGTAACTAAGTGGCTGTAACTCTGACTTAACAGTGACTTCTTTTCTTGCTTTACTCCGCTTACGGGATTAAAACAACAATAATTCTTATACAACTCACACTCCCTTACCATATTAACATTTTGTATTGCAAGACAACATTACAGACAATCATAATCTGTATGCTCACCATGAAATAGAGATAGGGAAAGAGAGATGATATCGGGAGCGCTGCAGAGAAAGAGAACATTTCAGTACATGTGAAAGAAAGATGAAACCGGAGACGGAAATTAACCAAACATCTCGCACACCACATTCAAATCTACCAATGCCCCTTTGCAATTTTCCTCAACCGAGACCAAAAGAGAATACAAAATATAATGTTTACATATCATTTAATCACTGATCTCCTTCTTAAGTCAAAGAATAGGGTCCATCAGACATCTCGTTGTTGTCCTGACCAGACCACATATCTAACTGCAACCTTAAGACAACATCTTCAAACTTTCTTATAGAAGGAGAGCTAAATTCATATAATATACCGCTCGCTTTAATCAACTTATATCAACTGTCAAATCCCTGATAACCCCATATTGCACCATTCCTCTATTTGTTCAACAACATGCATGAAGTATAATACTGTTAAACCATAGTCATGAATGTAGAGGAGACATTTCAAACAAGGCACAAGCATAACTGGATTACTTGGATCTCTCCCTATTGCACCAGCGTGATCCCTAGCTTACCTGCCATGCACATTTCAGAGAGGCAGTACAGAGTTGTTCTGTAAACCAAGAAACATCTCTGACGTTTATGCTACCAACATGTTACGGGATGACTTGTTTGGATGGGGGAAAAACGTCGAGTAACAACGACAAGGAAGGTCCTGCCTTACCTGAACAAAGGACAACAGTCCAAATTGAAAGGAACTCTCGGATGGGCAATCCTCTCTTCAACTCTTTGAGTTCATCAACCTTGCAACCTGGACAATTCTCATAGTACTGCTTCTTCAACAGTGGCACTGTATACTCTTCTTCTGCTCCTGCTGCTGCTGCCATCCCTTTTCTTCCTTATTAGTAGAGAATATCAGCCTCTCTCAGCTATGGAACAAGCTCCACCGTTTTTCTTTGCACCCAACAACCCAATCTCCTCCACAACTATGATAGTAGCACATATATGCTTCCCACACAACTAAGAAATATGAAAGGAATCAAGAAGGTTAGAGGACAACAATAGAGAATCTGATGCACTGACAATTTTGCAGATTTGATGAGTGGAATATGCCAAGTGGCTAATGGAAACTGATCACAGGGAACAGATGAAATTCCCTGTGTTGTCTTATCAAAATAAATGCAAGAACTATAGATATCTGTAATGCAATATGGAGGTTGGAAGGAAGGAACTGATGATCACAGTGAAGTATTACTATTAGATGAAGGTAGCCAGCTTGAACAACTGATCAATTGTTATCAGTCTCTTTCACATCACTGGTTTCCAGTTGATGACAAAGATTGTGATGGCAATAGAAGCAGAGAGCAGAAGGAGATGCTGCTAAGACTTAAACACATGAGAAAAGGAAAGAATACTTGTTAGGCCATTGTCATCATACCATCCCCGCCCATTAATCATCACTTCACGTGATACAAACATGGAGAAACCAAGTTGATGAGAAAGTTACAAACTTACCCCAAGTCCAATAATAAACTTACCCCAAGTCCAATAATACTGCTACAATGCCAGATAACTTGGAAAGACTGCAAGATAGAAATGAGACCAGTGAAGAAAAGTGGAACCGAGTATCAACTAGGACTCTTCTTCTTCTACCAAGTTCTTAGTTTGTGGAGGGAGGAAGAGCTAGCTTGCTCGATTTTATAACAAAGAATTCAGGCATTGGTCAAATTGTAACATACCCAACACCTCTATAAACAGATTGAAAGGACTCTTTCTTTCTTTCTTTCTTTCTTTCTGTGAGGCAATAATTCAAACAGGTTAAGCACATATTATTGATTCACGTGGGCGGTAAAACCCCACCAATCAAAGACCAGAGCTTTTCCCTGGCCTGACCAGATCATTGAGGGGTAAACCACTAACCAAATCTTTTGCATTCCTTTGGAAGTTGTTGTTCAGTTTCACGTTTCCACTCCCCTTTAGATCATTAGGGCTTTAGCCCAGTTATACGAATAATCAATTGTTCACAAACCTGATCAGCAGCAAATGTAAAATCCAACAACACCTACCACGAAGAACAGAGGAGGGCGCAAATAAATTAATGAAAATGACGCAAACTGTAGATTGAAGTTGCTTAACAATTCTATATCAAGAGAAATGAAGATAACTAATAAATAAATGAGATCGGTTGGGGGATGGGTGGAAAAGGAATGAATGTTGAATGATCACCACCACCTGGCCACCTGGGCCTGGTTTGTCGGAGGGAAAACATGGACCTTTCAGGGTAGGGAAATTGATTGTCGGCGGGGCCGTGGGTCGCCGTCGCCGGAGAGGAAGGCGAAGATGGCTGGATTCCAATCTTGTGAGTACTGGAAGCGGGGGTTGTTTTAGGGTTAGATTGGAACGAGCTGCCGACGCGATGTGGAGCGTGGACAATTGATCGCAGGGCAGCCGTGCTGCACATGGAAGGCGGGACGGCATGCAGAGCTGCAGACTGCAGTACGTAAACTCGATCAACTTTCCAGGGTATAGTTCCTGCTCTTTGATCATTTCAGTGATGGAGTTAGCTCGACGTCAGGAGTATATAAACTCGATCAACTTTGAAATATATGTAAAATTTGTATTAAATTTTGAAAATATAATAATTGATAAGATTTTAGTATCTACTGAACTACCCATTGTTATAAAAACTGAACAGGATTAATCGTTGGACCAGTAAACCCGTCAAATCAATTATGATAGTGGTTTGATTCACTATTTAGATGGTTATTGATGGATCAAACGAGTTTTTCTGGTTCAACATAAAATCAGATAAACCATCACGATTTTAACTTGTCCACTGGTTCACTATTTTAACAAAAAAAAAAAGTTTAAAAAAAATACTTTAACATAAACTAAGACCATCAAACCATAAATATTAATTTTATATATGCTTCCTAGGGATGACAATTTTACCCATACTCATGAGTATTTTACTATCCAACTCAAATGGGTTGGGTATGATATCCAAATAGATGGATATGGGTAAAACTTGATGGGTTTGTACCCCATACCCATTTACTTGGGTTGGGTTGGGTCTTTAACAAATGGATTTGGGTTTGTACCCATGCCCAAATGCAAATTACAGTTTGGTACCTAAACTTAATAGATATACATATTTAGTACCTAAATTAATTTTTTTTGCATATAAGTCCCTAAAATATCGATAGAAAATTACGTTTTGGTACCTAAATTTTTTTGGTCTTAAATTTTGGTACCTAAAATTTTCAAGTTTTACAAATAGGTCCAATTTTTGTATGTGTAGTTAAAACACACTCAAATAAATGGATATCCATATCCAACCCATACCAATTTAGATTATAAAAACAATATTCATACCCATACCCAACCTATCTACAAATGCCCAAACCCATATGCACTTCACCCATACCCAACCCATTATCAATGGGTCTACTTGGGTTTGGGTATAATTAACCATGGGTGGGTAATTGTCATCCCTAATTGCTTCCTCTTCTCATTCCCACCTTGTTGTGGACTTTACGTTGTCAAGTACCGACTAACACCGTAATCTTTAATTTGTATAAAAATATATGATTTCTTTTGTGAAATGGTTTGAATGATTTATTAGATATTTTGGTGATGATATGAATTTGAAATTGTTTATGGTCAACGATAATTTCATTCTTAAATTAGTGTAATATACAAATCTTATATGTTATATATCATGAACGGTTCTATCAACGGTTCACCAACAATTTTATAACAATTAACCACTGGACTCTAAACCACTAACTTTTTCGGTTTAGCCTCCGGTCCGGTTCTGAAACAAGATAAATACCACAGTACAAACCAGTTCTCTCATTTAAGCTTGAGTCCCAACATGATAGCTCTACCTTCCGCTATCTCACGCTTCCACTTTTCTTCTTACCGTGTAGCCAAAACAACAATTTCGGGTGCGCCTATGGTGACATGCATGTTACTGTAACTTGCACTTTTCGGTCGACCTCAATTAGGATTAGGTCGACCTAATATGTTGTTTCAGTGTAAAACTGTTTCATGGTGCCTACTTTGGAGATTCATATCTTACAATTGGCTTGATGGAAATTGTAGATTAATGGCTTGTTTTGAAGCTGGAGTGTCCCTCTACACATTAGAGTGCTTGAGAGCTCGATAGGAAGTCTAGAAGACCATTTTTGAACCTGATCAAAAGGCTATGCCAAAACTGGGAAACTGCCTGAAAATGGCCAAGTCTGGGAAAGTGTTTGTGAAGCCTACTTTGGAGCTCAATTAGAGAAGCATGGATGAGATTCGAGTCCAGGGGCCTCTACCACATGAAAGTAGGTATGTTTGTCTACACTCAAGGAATTGGATGAAATATTGAATATCTGGAAGGCTTCAAACAAAAGGCTCGAAGTTGCTACGAAGCAAGGTTGTCAAACCGCGGGCTGACCCGGACCCGGTCGAGCTAGTGGGTCAAGGGTTAATGGGTTACCCGCTGGCTGATCCGGACCCGGCGGGTGCGTGCGGCCCGTTTTTCTCACCGGACCAGGGTCAAAGTGGGTCGACCTGCGGGTCGACCCGCGGATTGACAGCCTTGCTACGAAGTAAGCTGCCTTATAGCAAAACACTGAAACGACAAATTAGGTCGACCTAATCCTATATGAAGTCGACCTAAAAGGACAAGTTACGGTGACATGTAGCAAAGTCCAACAATTTCGTTGTTCCAACCCCGATTGATATTAGCTAAAACCCGAAACGCATGTAAATGATTTTTTCCCCCCGATAGAATCGAAACGAACAATGTTAGTGGTCAAGAAAAGGATTGCGATGTTATAGTGATATATAACCTTTTTCTTATTAAGATATTGTCCATTTTGGTTCTATATTTCTACAGTTTTTTAGACTTTTTATAAAATCACTCACTTTCGTACTACTCCACACTTGAGCATATCTAATTTCAGAAATTACAAGAACTCAGTTCATATCACCCAAAAAAGCGTACATTTAAAATTGGTCCTAATAAATCATTGATATCGAAATAAGATTTACCTGATTATCTCAAAATTCCAAAATATTAATTATAGCTCTCAAATTGTATGAACTGGGGGGAAGAGTGGAACCTCGACACATGTATGGGTCGTTTGGAAGTTGCGATTGTTAAATAGATGTATTGTTGAGAATGCATGTACAATATTATACATGTATTGTCGAATTTGATGCATTGTAAAATACAACTTTTGGTATGTGATTGTGTATGCCGCATCAACTAAAAGCTGAGACAAAACAATCTCAACTCAACTATCTCATCAATCACAACTAAAAGTTGAGATATAACAATCACTCAAAATGAGTGATTGTTTCTGTCACATCATAGAAACAATCCATGTATTGTTTCTGCTAAAAAACAAAAACAAAAAATAATGCATTGTAAACAATACATGCATAATGACAATCTTAACAAAACAATCGCAACTTCCAAACGAACCCGTAAAGGATATACGTCTTTTGTTGTTTGTTTCTTCAATGGGCTCTTTCGTTGTCCAGTTGGACTGCTCGTAAGTTATTGTGGGCCTTTTTCTTTGGGCCCATGGGCTTACACTTAAATCACCCAAACGCGCGGGTCTTCTCCGAGGGGAAATGCATTTGCATACTACTGCATGCCATATGGTGATGAATTCGATAAACCAAGCAAGCAAATTGATTTTCTTTGACCACAAAGATCAAACTGCTGGCCACCAATATATCGAATCATCACAAGCCTCCCCCAAAGGAGAGTAACTTTCTTCACTCCTACCCTATCGACCTTACATACAACCTAATTAATAATAATACACAAAAGGTTGTGCTGTCTTGTGCTCTACTGGCTATATTTCACTTCAGCTTTACCATCAGATCGAGGCTATAGGTTCTTGTTGACTACTACGACTACCGGCGTTGTGCTAAGAAAGGCTTGAACGTCAATAACACCCCAATTGCTTCCACCACATTCAGTATGAAGAAAACCATTTGATTCCCTGCATCAACAATTTCCCTCCTAATCATTCAGTTTGCTACACGTTATTAACAGTGACAAGATACTTTTGGCTCCAGAAATTCGTACCGGGCAAGAAAGCAGCATCCTGACGTGATTCTCCCCAAGAAAATCTGCACCAGATTAACCCAAAGTGCAGTCAGAAAAAGAAAAATCATATCTACGTAGTAGAAGACGCTGCTGGGACTTACAGAGCACCCCCGCCAGCAGGGCCAAAAGCTTTGAAAAGAGACATTGCTGTCATAGCAATTCCATTAGCAGCTCCTCTCTGGTGTTGCTCCTGAATATTGTTCAACAAACAATGGAGTCATAAGCTAACTTCGCGAAACTGTCAAAACCAAACAACTCTTTAATGAACAAATGAAGCAAAAAATTTACCACTGCTTTGTTTTGTAGAATAGATAAGCCAGTAGCAATGGACACCTAATAATGGAGAAAAGAAACGGCCAAATGTTATGATCTAAAGATTAAAGAACATGATTCTGTTTTGATAATTTGATATTGAAGTAGCAGCAGCGTCTGTACAACTATATTTGCAAAACTTACAGCTAGAAGATTCTTCAATATAGATGCACAATTCAACAGAAGATGCAGAGTAAAACCCTTAAATCTTGCCAAGAAAGGGTAACTTGCCAATAACGGAATTGACAAAGCCTGTATGAGAAACAATCAACACATAACAAGACAATGGGTGTAACTAGAAAAGGTACGAAAGATTAAAAAAACGTATGGTGCATGAGAAAATGAGGAAGCAAAATTGTTATAGAGATATGGATGTTTACCCCAGCAAGACGGGAAACCATTACGGGTCCAAGTAGCCTCTCCATGTATGGATATAGAGAAAGTTGGACCACAAGAAGTCCAAGACCTACAATTGTTCAAAATTTTCTTGATCAGTGACCTTGCTCAAAGTCGTATTGCTAGTATCATGCAGGCAAGCTCTAAGGTTGCGAGTTACCTGAGACAGATAGAGTTTCACCCACATCAGCTGTTGAGTACCCAAGTCCACCCAACTTTCGGGGGCTGACCGCCCATAATGAAAATATCTGCAGAAGATCAATTTAAAATTACTAAATTTTCCATCGATATATGAGTAAAGGGTGAAGCTTTTAACCATCATTACAAAATCATAGCTTAATCCAAAGAAACATAAACATAGATTGTCCAGGAAGTGGGGAAGGATATTGTTTCTTCAACAACATTGGCATGCATCACCTAGGTCATAAATTCTTTACCACTGCCTCAATGCGTAGTGGGTTAAGACAACATATACCTCTGAGTAGGCCATATCATGGAGCGAGAAGACACAGTAAACGATGATAGCTGACATCAGAGGCCAATTCCTCAGAAGGCTTTGCGCAACAGCTGGTCTCTTTCCATCATCACCAGATGCAGCAGTTTCTAAAGCATCATAAGAGTCATCTACTGAAGTCCTCTCCTCCTTGTGGACATGCAATGTTTCCTGTGACAACAAAATCATACAAATGATTATGGGAACATGGTTGTACATTGAAATAATTGTATTTAAACTCACTTTTTTCCATGTATGGATTAGAGGGGAACAGGGAATCAAGTTGAAACGAAAGATAAAACTAGAAAACAAAAAAAGTGAAAAGATAGCAGCAGGATGCAAAACAAGAACACTGAACTTAGTCAAACCAGGAACGGAACTACATTTAAGGATACAGGAACGTAACCATGAATTGGGCACACCAAAGTCACTGTTTCTTATTGCTTGCCAATGAGACTAAACACCCGTAAAATCATGCAAATATAGAGGAGAAAACTTTAACTTCAAACTTATAATATGACAACGATTTGCAATAAAAACAAGAGCAATCCACAAAAGTGCATCTTTATTCAAATGAAATGTCAATTTCAGCAGCAGATAGATATTCAATCTTGAGATAGTTACAACAAAAATTACTTCTAGCAAGTGGAAGGTCAGTGGGTGTATGTCAGTTGATACAACATTATAAGTAGTAAGCTAGGTAATCCAAGACCTATATTAAGAGCAATAAGAGAAAACACTAAATAGAAGAGGTTGTGATCGATATAATCTTTTACCGGAATCCATAATGATGCAATGGTTACTCCAAGTGTGATAATTGATATAGCGACGCAGGGTAATAAGTAGGGAAATCTGCATTACGTGAACATGTTATACCAATTGAGAATGTGGATCAGCCCAAATTGTACAAAGGAAAGCAAAAATAAGTAATGGACGTTGACATACCTCCCAAACAAAGAGTCCTGGGAAAATACATTTGGGTATTTTTCTGCTGGCTGTAGCAAGTATAAGGAGAATGTTATGCTTCACCAAATAATCAAAAATTCATGCTAAGGTCTTAATCTTAGCTTAAATATAAAACATGTAAAGCATCTTACGATGTGATTCAAAAGCATTGTCATCGAAAATCTTTCATCCCACTTCCACTTGTACAAGGAAAGAGTAGGTTGCCCACTCAGGCTTTTGTTTCATGAATAGTAAGGAATTTTAGGCTCTCTCACTTGCAGGAAACTCATGCATGCATATTTCCATTAGCTCATTCTATCAGGGTATCGGTCTACTACTTTCTTGGATAAAACCAAGTATTGGCCTAACAAAACATCAACTCTGCCTACCAAGTAAATTTGAAAAATTATGTATATCCACAAAGTTGGGCAGTAGAAAATAACTGTTACTTTACTCCAACACGTTTAGAATCAAACGATGTATCTTGTACATTGGATCGTAAAAGCACATAATATAGTTAAATACCTGGGCCAGAAAACCTCCAAGAGCAGGGCCAATGATCAATCCAATACCCCAGGCTGTGCTAACCTGGAAGTTGAATCTTCTACTTAGATTTGTGCTATGAATATGTCAACAACTCAATTGAAGAGTATCAGCTACGCTCACCGTGGACAAACCCAGGGCTTGTTGATCTTCTCTGAAAATTTCACTTGCATAGGCCTGTTCACAAAGGAATTCCATTGAATTTGTCAATTGTGAATGTCAACATTAGTTTGCATGTTTGTGTGTAGGAAGATTAAGCAAGTGAAAATAACAAAAAACAGCATGAAGGAACAATTAAACAAGCTAGTGATATCAGTACTAATCGCCAAGCCATGGGAATAATGATAATGACAGAGAGTAATATTGGTGAATGTTTATGAAGAGATTCAGAGATAAAACTAATTACCTTTATTGTTCCAATTAAACCATTTAGACAACCAAGAAGAGCCCTCATAGTAACCGCCATCCAGAAGTTTACACTGAGGCCAAAGAGAATGTTCAAAACAACCCTGAGAAAGAACATCAACTCTGTTAAGTGCATACAAGCATAATCAACCTGCTGGCACAACCTAATGAAACTTAAACAAAGGTCATAACAACTGACATTGCAGAAGTCCCTAGCAATATAACAGGCTTTCTGCCATAGCGATCAGCCACGACACCCCAGATGACAGATGTCACAGCTCTGGCAAGCATAAACGAGGAACCTACAAAAATATCGAGGAGATTACTCAGACTGTCTTGCAAGGACAACAAGTATACACAAAAGCACAAATGTTATCATACAAACTCACCAACATATCCTGCATAATAACCAATATCTTCTTCTCGAGTTGCGATATTAAAGTCCCTAACCTGAAATTTTTTAAAAACAGAATTGATATATGTAATATACTAATATGTTAACCACAATCATCTAAGTTGATGTATAGCTACGTGTATAAGAATTCAAAGTTGAACAACATTGATCGAAAATGAAACGCCCATCCTTCCACTTTCTCGACAAATAAAAAAAAAACTCTAACGGACTATTTTCCCTTGTCTACCTGTTCAGTAGTAAACCAATCATTTATCTTTTCAATGATTTATATTGGAAGGAATACGTAAGCTTATAGTTCACTGGTTAATGGCTAGAGATGACAATATGACGGGTTTCCATACCCCATCCTCATCACCACTTTCAAATCTAAAATTCATGCCTTCCACATTCCAGTATGCATTGAATTTTTTTGCACCCATCCCCTTACAAGCCAGTTTACAGATACCCACAAAGCATTTCTATCAAAACTCAATCCCTAAAATTAGTAGTTGAAACCAACTGATATTGAATTTCAAATATAATACATTAATTGCAAAATGCACAATCTTTTTAGTGTATACCATAGTCAATCAAAATAGGGATTCCCCATGTTAACTGAGTAGGGACGGTTTGGTTACCAACGCTTCGAAGAAAATTTTCAATTTTTCATTACTATGGATGAGAATAATAAGCCCAAGAATAGCAGAGTTATTCATTCGATGTGCACAATACAACTGTTCAAACTGCACTGCCTCAAAATGGAGATTTTGTATGCAAAGCTACAAGAATAAAATAATAAAAATATAACCATGCTTACCATAAAATAAAGATATGGAAAGAGAGATGATATTGGCAGAGCTGCAAAAGTATAAAGCACAGGTCAATAGATGTTGGAATAAAATAGGAAAATGCATGAACATGATGCTAAAACCAACGCTGAAACTTCTTAAACATGTGCCTGCTATGTCAAATTGTTTAAAGTTTAAAACATATACAGATCCAATCAAGAAGATCACGTGAGTTTCGTCTTGTTCACTGCCACTGCCCACTAGTGACCAGAACAAGTCAATTCCAGTACTCACGCATTTGAATCGCACATCCATCAACTTTCCTGTGATACATCATCCTCCACTAGAGCAATGGGATTAAGTAAAAGATTAATCATGTAAACATCATTATCTTCTTTGTTATATTAGAGGGTATTCAGATACAACCATTTCCTACCTACCAGGTTCAAACAGCCTACGCTGTTGAAACTGTCAGAATCTATTTAACTTTTAACCCCGTTCCTCATTCTCTCCAGTCTTCATCCGATAGCAATAAAACCTATAAATTCTCTATCTACTTGATACTAAAAACGTCAATAGTAAGATGTTGATATTTCACCAACCAACCACAGTGAGGGGAAATTATTTTCCAGTTACTTCGACCACAACAAAAATGATAGATCTCTCGTGTGTAATGTTGTTGTTCTTTTCAAATAGAAATGGTTCTGCAGCTAGAAGGCTTACTTGTAGAAAGGACAAGAATCCATATGGAGATGAGCTCTCTAACAGGCCACCCGGTTTTCGCCTCTTTAAGTTGATCGACTTTACAACCAGGACAGTTCTCGTAGTATTGCTTCTTCAACAGTGGAACTTTAGACTCATGTGCCATAGCTTCTTCTAAGCTTATTGTTGCGAAGGAAGATCAGCATTCACGCCTGTAAATTTCCGCTTTGGTTAGATAATAATCCATTCTTCAAATATATGAAAATCCATAACCATGGAGCCAACATGAACAAGGAAATCACACATTCTCTTTTTCTCATTCACAGAATGACAGAAGCTTATCTCAACTCGGAATTGAAATGAATAAAAAATGTCATTTGCCATTGGAGCCATAGCTGAAACCAGTTTTTGCATGTATGGGATCTACACTCCTCCAATAAGAAACGAAATGCAAATCATAAAATTATATAAGGACGACGGATAGCTGAAATTTTATAAGTCGTTCAACAACGCAGGAAACTAAAGACCACTAGCCTGGATTATGAACATGGAGTTCAAGCCTGTAAAACTAGCACTCTGCAAGACCAACATTTATCCACTGACTAATGTTGGAACTGAACTTCCAACAACATATCAACACCCCTGAAACTCAAGTATTTTCAACAACACTCTTCCACATTGCGAACCTCCTAAGGTACCATCAAGCAGCCAATTAAGGTAAAATAAACCCAAGAAACCACCTTGAGACCCAAAAGGATCTGACCCAGAAGAACTTTCATCAACCACAGCAAGAGAGGCCAAAATAAGATCCTACCTTGCCACCAGAAATTAACCACAGCTACAGGATCTACCAATGTGAAGTCTGGGAACAGAGGTTTTTAGCTTCTTCAAATTTCTGGTAAAAGGACAGAGACAGAGATGAAGACATATAAGAGCGAGCAGAGTCAGGAGCCACACTGCTATAGCTAAGCAGAGAAATATATCCACAAGCAAAAGGCATCTTTAAGAAGTCGTAAGACAAACAGACAAAGCATGCAAACCGTGTGAGACAAGAAACGGATGCTACTTACTCGTTCAAATTCAACTAATCCTGGGAAGGACGATTACCCCACAAAATCTATGGCTCGCACTAAGGAACGTGCGAAGACATTAGCGATCGTGAAATGTGTGAGAAGAGCAAACAAAAATGTAACAGTGAAGTGCGAATAAATAAAGTATCAGATTCGATGAGACTACGATAGTTTTTAACGACCGAAAATCTCCTGTTGCTCATTGTTCGTTTACTTTTTCGTGACTACTCGTCTCTACCCTTCCTAGAAGCAATTAAGAACTACCAAATTTGGAAAACCCCAATTTTGGGAAACCACCCAAAAAGCATATAAGTGGTTGTGGTTTTACCTCAATAAGAACCAGAAAAGGAGAGGGCATGGTGCTTCAGCAAAACAACGTCACCACCATGGTCTCTGGCTCTCTATTGAACCAGGAAGATGCGGGTTCCTCCTTCAATAGCTTGGCAATGAAGGCAGAGAACCACAACGGTGCACGCCAAGCAACAAACAGTCTCGCAACGAATCCCAGGGCGACTTGAACTCGGACACTGCTAGTTCTATTTGTTGGCCCGCCTACATATGGTGAGGAAGAGGCCAACAATTCAGCTGGCGGTGGAAATAAAAAAAAAAAAAAAACTTAAATGCAGTTGGGGAGATGGATAGCAGATAGATCCAATCAATTGCAATCAATTGGTTTCTCATTTCCTCTGCTATAATAGGGAATATGGTTCTCCTTTTCAAAATCATCCTTCACCATTCCATCATTCTCCATTTCCTTTGCTCTGCTTCTGTTCGTATTTCTTTTGTGGGTTTTTGGTAGTGAAACGTTTTCACTACCACGGGTAGATAGGAGATTTCATTGTGAGTGAAATAGTGAGGTTGTTTGGGAAACACCGTGTGTTCTATTTCTTGTATCGAGAAAATCTCTGCAAACTACCATTGTTATAGTAAAGAAATACTCTGGAGCTGCTGTTCCCGTGGACTGGCCCATAATCAGGGTATACCACGTAAATCCTCGGTGTCATTTATTATTATCTATGCTTGTTGTTATTTTGAGAATAGTCGTAGTATATTGCATTATTAAATTATCGAAGTAAATTTATTTAAGTAAGTTGGTTACCGTAATTCTGGAGGCTCTGCCACCAGGTCCAACTTACCTGTAAACTTTTTACAAGCGTGTGATTTTTTAGTGCAATATATTTACCCCAACACTATTTTCTATATATCACAAGGTCACATATGGGGGAAATTAAAAAAATGGGGAAGAAACGATTTAAAAAATGTTATGGAAAGGAGAGAAGAGAGTAAGACGCACCCGGCAGCCACCAGTGACAAACGAATGCAACCAAATCTTTGGGGAAACTAGGAACGTGAGCGCCCACTAGCGGACCACTGTCAAATCGAGATCCTCTCTGGATCTGGGAATGAAATTTGAACCATATTCAAATTAGCAGGCGGCCTCGGAGAAACAGGAACACTTGATCGGACGGTTCCGATGAATCAAGCGATTTCCGGGGAGTTGGAGGCACGGCAAGACGAGAAACAACGAGTTCCACCTGTTCAAAATATAGGCGACGGCGCGACGGGAGGAGCCGGCGGCGCGGTTTAGTCGTAGAAATGCGAGGGTTTCGGATTTTGACGGAGGTTATTTATGAGCGGATTGAGCGGGGAACCAGGGTTAAGAGTTTTGCTGGAAAATTGTTTCGACTAGTCATCAAATGCCGACGATAGAGGCAAAGGCGAAGGCAGCCTGCTCTCCGACGAATCTCCGGTGAGTCTCAGCAGAAGAAACTGATGGGAAATTTGTGCATTGCGGTTTGCCGCCTCTTTCTTGGCTTTGCTTGCGGAAGAGGTTGATTTTGGTGGTAGCCCGCCTCGATACACAAAAATGACGTTTGCTTCGCCGCGTCTGGACAGGCGGACATTCCTTGCGATTGGGAAACGTTGGGCCCAAATGGCTGCTATAGTCATGGAACATGGGCCTGGATTTTGCTAGTCCTGGGGGAAATACCATCTCGATGGATGAAAGCAAGAAAGAACTATCCAGAATCCAATACATGTCTGGGCCTAATGGGCCTGGATTTTGATAGTGGTTCAGAATCAGATCAAGAGACGTTTAGTGTCAGTCAGTGCATCAATGACACTGAGGCCTATATGAGTCCAAAACTTAGGTCAATTCTTAAAAAAAGTTTGTGTAATTAATGCATTATACGTTCTTTAACTCTTCAACTATAGTATTTTTCGTTGATGTAATTAATGCCTATATAAGTCCCAACCAACTAATGCATTACTTGGGACTTGGGAGGAATGCAATACCGCTTAAACTTAAAAAGTTTATATAAATTAATAATTATACGTTCTTGTTTACCACTAAAAAATCACTCAATATCACATTGATTATTTTCAAGGAGTGGTAGTGATTTATAAGGCCAACTTAACCATATTAATTAAATTGGTTTAGGTTGGGCCTAAATAATGGTATTTTGGGCTTCATACCATGTCAAGCGTTGACACCCTTCAACATCAACCACCCAAGTGGGCACCCCATCATACTTAGCCAAATTTTCGATCTACCATTCGCCTACCTACCTTGCGGGTAGACCCACAGCACAAGGGGGGTCATGCATGACATCGTCTAAGGGAGTCTCGTACAAGGGGGGTCAAGCATGACATCATCCCAGGGGGGTCAAGAATGATGTCATGCAAAGGGGTCATCGCGCTAGACCGTGATGGGAAAGAAGGCAAAAATTTGGCTAAGTGTTGTGACCCATAGCACAAGAGGGGTCAGACGTGACATCATCCCAGGGGGGTCATGCATGACACCGTCCAAGGGGGTCAAGCATGATGCTGAGGTAAAAATTGGCTAAGTATGGAGATCCAACCGTCCAAGGGGGGTCATGCATGACTTCGTCCAGGGGGTCTCGTCCAAGGGGGTCTCGTCAAGGCAGTCAAGCATGACACCATGTAAGGAGGGTCAAGCATGATACCATCCAATGGGGTCTAGCCGCCTACCAGGTATCAAAGCAAGTGGCAAGGGGAGAAGGGCTACGCAAGTCACTAGACCGTGATGGGAAAGAAGGTGAAAATTGGCTAAGTATTGAGACCCATAACGCAAGGGGGGTCAAGCATCACATCATCCCAGAGGGTCCTTGCACTAGGGTGTCAAGCATAATAACCAGACATGGCCATAGCAAGAGGGTACCAAGCCGACAAGGTAGGGCTTGGTACCAAGACATGAAAAGCATGAATTTGGCTAAGTATGAAGCCAACGGGGTCGGCAAGATAGGCTTGGCAGCCAAGCAAGGCGATAGGGTATCGTGGCTAGCCGAGGGGGCCACCCGACTAGGTACCAAATAGCCATGTATGGCCCATATGGGGCCATATGGAGACAAAGTCCCAAGGCGGGCTTGGTAGCACCCTAACGGGGTACCAAGCCACCAGGGTTGGCTTGGTATCAAGCAGCCGAGGTTGCGATCAAGACTTCATCATGGAAGCTAAGGCAAATAACCTCAACCCCATCCAGCTATGACAGGGCGACAAGGCTCAACACCAACCCGACCCAGCATCGAGGCCATCAAGCACCCACCAACCCCAAGACAGGACAAGGGCCTCCAAGGCGATGGATACCAACCAGTCAACAAGACGGGGGCCTCCAAGGCGATGGATACCAACCAGTCAACAAGACGGGTCAAGGAGCTCAAAGGCAATGGAGGTGAAGACCAAGACAACGGTTACCAATTGGCAACCAAGGCAACGAAAAGGGGTCCCTAAGGCGGTTGGAACTACAAGACGGCTAGCAGTCACCAAGGCGGTTACCAAGGCAGTTACTCCTAGTGGCTATAAATAGGAGAAGCGAAGACGGGAAAAGGGGTCCACAACCAAACATTTGACAACACATGTCAAAATTTATCTTTTCTCTGCAACGTAGCTTGTTCCCAAAATTTATCCTTTTGGAGCTCTCACTGAACCTCCATAGGAGTAGAGTAACGTAGCTTGTTCCCAAAAAACCATCAAAAACATCAAACGCCCTCGTTCGAACATTGTTCGGAGAGGAGTGAACCGTGTTGATTGTCGTTGTTCAAGAAGTCAAAGGTGCATTCATTGTGTTCAAACACAAGTTTTTCCTCGCCGGAAAACAGTTCTTAACTCTTCAACTATAGTGTATTTTTTTTACATCATGAGCTTATTATAAACTTTTCAGAAACTCGATAGACGCATCATAATTCTTAAAAAGGGACTTTAAGATGCTTTTAAGAGCTTCTAATGATCAGGTTTATGGAGTAGGTTGGCAGCCATTAGGCTAATCGGACCATTTTTTTCATGTGAAAATAAACTATACTAATCATGTGGTTGGAGTTCGAAATTAATATTCTTCCCACAGATGATGATGACGACAGAGGTGGTTCTAGTTCTGGAGCATGTTGTTAGTGGTAATGAATAGACTATATCGATGGTGGTGACGACGATGATTATATTCGAATGTAAATTTCGACGCTAATGTCTTGTTGCAGTCTTAAATTAGCTATCGACAACCATTGGGGTAATTTGATGACGATCATTTAGTTATTGACGATTGTTTATGTCGTTATGGTTCATGCTGGTATATAATTTCAACCCGTCTTTCCATGTTGTTTTTTTATGGGTTGGCCTTTAGTTTAAAAAATATTTTTAGATTTGCTCATGTGTACACAACTACAAATACTGTCATTTTTTATGGGTCGTCGCCGTTCGCTCTCTCACTCCTCCGGCAGCTCTTCTTCATCCACTGACTATTGTTTCCGATGTCGGAGCAGTGGGAACGAACGCGAAAACAATGCTGACCCTGCTTCCATATTTTACAAAGTCAAAAAGAGAGAATCGCACCCAAGAATTAAGAACAGAGACCCGACCAGCTCATTTACTGCCTGTCCCTCCATCCTCTGTCATCTACTGCCCAATTGCCGCCCCCTTTCCCTCCCTTCCATTTCCTCGAACTTTCTTCCACTTTCCTTCTCCCTTTCTTCCATTCCCCAACTATATAACCAACAATTCCCCCCATCATTCCTCCTCAAACACCCACCGCCCAATTCTGAATTCCCAATCCCAAACCATCTCATCTCGTATTTTCCCAATTCCAAAAAATGGCGCCGAAAGCCGGAGGGGAGTTCGAAGATCTGCTGCCGGTGATGGCCGACAAGTTAGGCGGGGAAGGTTTGATTAAGGAGCTCTGCAATGGGTTCCAGCTGCTGATGGACAAGGACAAAGGGGTGATCACGACGGAGAGCTTGAGACGAAACGCCGCCGTTCTGGGTCTCCAGGACCTGTCGGACGGGGAGATCGCCGGGATGGTGAAGGAAGGGGATATGGACGGCGACGGCGCGTTGAATCAGATGGAGTTTTGCGTCCTCATGTTCAGATTGAGCCCCGAGTTGATGAGTGATTCCAGGGCTTGGCTCGAGGAAGCCATCGAAGAGGAATTCAGAGACGCTGCTGGATTTTGACCCCAAATTTTTTTTTTTTCTCACGCTAATTCAGTCCACACTGGTCTGGTCCATTTATTTTTCTTTGGGTATTGAAATTGTGATTCGGAATTCTCTGTGGCTGTTGTTGGAACTTGGAAATATACACTGATTGTTTGGATATTGAAAGCAAATTCGTTCAAACTACATCCAAATTCTTTCCAATGATGTCTTATTATTTAGTAATCTCTTGCCACGCCACACACTGCCTTTTTTCTCCAGTTTATGAGTGATCAAAGATCCAGGCTATGTTTGGATTTTGCTAAGATGAAACTATAATCGAATTTAACGGGAAAAAAAGAAGAGATTAAGGTGGAAATTTGTTGAGAAGGTGTGAAGTCAATGATGGGTAGCCTTTACTATTGAGTTTCCAAGAACATTCATGGGTGTTTCTCAAATATGGACAGCTACCCAACTCAACTCTAGTGGAGGAAGTTAGCCCACCGCCCCGCGGTCAATATCCCGAAGTCTAATGTTGATCATGTATAATAAATCGGTATATGAAAATACAAAAATTGACAATAAGAACGAGTTTAGCATAATTTCTAAATCAAACGGTTGAAAAACGCATAACAATGATCCTTCTATTTGCCCCTACTAGAAGATAGCTAGATTCGTGATCGAAATAAAGCTGGAGACAAAGAAGGGAAACCGAATGTTCATCCCAAAAAAGGATGGGGAACCGAAGGAAGCTTCATTGAAGATATGGTGAGCTGTGATACATCGATAAACAAGGATGTTACGTGCGAAATTGTCTTCTTGTCCAAGTCCCAATCCCTCCCTGGTTCCCGGAATGTAGTAAACTAGTAATGGATCCAATAAACAAATTACAACACAGAAGGTGGATGGAAGGCAAGAGTGTAATGTGTAAACTATTATACAATTCCAAGCGCCTTCATCACCCCCTACAAATAATGTTGTCAAAATCTGGACAAAATATCGACCCGAATTAGTGAGAGATAACTAAAAAAAATTGAACAACTAAAATCGTTTTGAAAAATCATTCACTTGCAATTTATAGGGAAAAAATATTGTGAGATATCGAGTTTAGGGATGGTAAAAATATCTGTAACCGTGGATATATGTTCGAATCCGACCTAATCGAGTAGGGTAAAACCCGAAAATGAAGGATTTTTTGTGGGTACAGGTAAAATCCGAACCCGAGTGTTGCGGGTAATGGGGGGACATGATTTTCTTACAATCCAACCCAAACCCACCTAATTATACAGATACACATGTATTTTGGCTATAAATAATAATTATTTTTCTCTAAAGTATTTTATATTTAGCATACAAATATAATATATTCATGAAATTGTGTTTGTTTTAATAAATTTTCTTCATTCTAGTGATTTATTGTCGTACTTCTCTTCTTATATAATGTGAGCATACTTGTAAATGTTAACATATTGGTTGTAATTATAAAGAGAAAATATTACCCATGGACAATCGTGGATACCCGAAACTTGAACGAGTATGAGTATTGTTTTGATTTTTTACCCTTTTCTTATATGGGTATGGGTAAAACCCGAACTACTTTGGGCAGGATAATGGATATGCACAATTGTCCACTGACCTGACTTGTTGCAATCCCTACCCGAGCATACTTGTGAGTATTAACATATTGGTCATAATTATAAAGAGAAAATATTAACCATAGATAATCGAGAATACCCGAAACCCAAACGAGTATAGGTATGATTTTGTACCATTTTCTTATATGGGTATGAATAAAACCCGAACTACTTTGAGCAGGATAATGAATATTAGGGCTGGAGGTTCGGTTAGCGGTTTCCGGTTAACCGACCGATTAAACCGATAACCGGCGGTTACCTATTAACCGAGTAACCGAAAAAATAGGTGGCGGGCGGTGTTCGGTAGGCATATTGGCTGTGGCGGTTAACCGGCTAACCGACGGCTAACCGACACAGCCAATTCCCCTTGACACAAAATGGCGCCGCCCCTCCACTCTTCAACATTTCAGACTTTCAACGACCCCTAACCCTAATACCCCTTCTTCCGCCCTTCGACTTCGTCCTTCTCCTTCCTTCCCCAACCCCAATTCGCCTTCCCTTCGTCTGTACAACACCGGTGACGAATTCAATCCCTCCTGCTAAAGCATCGAATCGCGCCAAAACTGATCCCGAAGAATCCCAACCAGACGGCGCCGACGGCACGCTCGAGAACAGCAGCAGCGATGTACTGTCCAAGGGCTTATCGTCGATTCTCTCAAACGTGATAAGGGACTTCGTCCTCCTCCCCCTGCTCGGCTGCTCCGCCATCTCCTCCTCGGCCAGCTTCCCGACTGGCCGCCACCCGCAAGCCACACAGTCCCCCGCCGGCCGTCGTTGTTCCTCCGCCACTAGAGAAGGGAAGGCGGTTACAACCGACACTGTCTGGGCTTGTGCGGTTTCCTCGACTAACCGACCAACTAACCGGTAACCAACCGGTCGATTGTCGGTTAACCGAGGAAGGTGGTCGGTCGGTTGGCGGTATGGTTTCTTTGCGTCGCGGTTAACCGGTAACCGACCGTTCGGTTACCGGTTATAACCGAACCTCCAGCCCTAATGAATATGCACAATCGTCCACCGACCTAACCCGTTGCAATCCCTACCCGAGTTCACTTCATGGAAAAGGATTGAATTTTTTTCCCCGGTAATTAAGGATGTACTTTTTACCATACAGAAAATTCCCCAAAACCGGTCAATTTGACTGGTTAACCATCTGAATGGGCTCAATAAAATAAAATAAAACATCTGATCCGGGCCGGGCTGGGGTTCACAACAATGCTACAAAGTCCAAACTTAGAAATTTTGAAGGCCGAACATAGAGTCCCTCGTTAGGTATAGCGGTAAGAGAAAAGGGCCCATAGCCCATGATACTACACAAGGTACAGTTCCTTCCTGGTAGCTGCATCCAGCCTAGTCATCATCACATCAATAACTCGAACAAAACAGATCGCAAAAGCTTTAATCTCAGAATGAGGCACAGCACAGAACATTTTAGTTAGTGACTTATTTGTCTCATGTTCTTCAACCTAAAATTCTCACCCTCTTCAGAAGGGGAAATAAACCAGAAGCAGAAGCACACATCTACCCAGCAAAAAAATTGCATGCATGATTGACTACCACCAACATTGAGGCCGGCGCCGGTATCTATAAATGACCAAATTGTAGCATCATCACATGAGTTGACAGTTACCATTTACAGCCATATACGTAAGAACAGATGTAGTTCCACATCAACTACCATTGCACACACGGCATGAATCTAAATGACCTATAATCCTAACAAAATCCAAACAAAATCCAATCTAAATGACCAAATTGCAGCAGATGAAACTAACCATTTAAACACAGGGCAAAGGCAAATCCTCCACACTACACACTTAAGGTTTGAGTAATGTTATGAACCCACTGAGGACATATAGATTATCAAACATCATGGTCAGGATATAGATGCAGACTGGATCTAACAATTTTGCTCCTACAAGAGTTCAAGAATAGAATCAGACTAGCCACACGAACGATAACAGAAGCAATTGAGTACAAAGATCACTCTTCAGAAGAGGGAAACTAGAATTAGATCCATGTATGTACTCTAATACTGATAAGAATGACCCAAAAGTAGTAGAGCAGCTGTTATTTGAATCTCCCCTTAAATATGCCATCCTAAACGTGTAACTAAAATGGTAACACTTACTATCCAAAATTTGCCAGAAATAACCCCATGAAACAGAAAGGCACAATGAAACTCGAAACAGAAAGCATACATAACTAGCAAAAGCATAATTCAGGTGGCAATCATAGCAGAAAGTTCAGTTTCCTTTTTACTTTTCATGGTAAACATACATTGTAATCATGAACTGATTTGATTCTGATTCAAAGTCGATCCATCTAACACAACATTAAAGCTCGACCATTCATTTCCAACCATGTCCTCCTAAAAATCAAATCCGACCCACCATATCAAAAATTACAGAATAGGAGTAAAAATGGCAATTGGAAAGAAAAATTTCCCTGATAATACGAGCAAGACGAAGGTAAACCCCAAAATGATCAAGAAGGATAACCGGTATCAAGAAAAGTTGGGTTGGTGAAGCCAATACTAGGATGAGAGCGGGCGTGGAGGAGGCAGTAATTGATGCAGGTTCTGGCTCCCATCTCTTTGGCCTCCATTGCCCCTCGCAATGAAAGGATGATTCAACAACTGCACTGCCGTCCACCTCCTCCCTGGTTCCCTCTGCAAACAACAAGCAATGAAATCCCTGAACTCCCTGGAAGCAGTAACGGGAGCCTCCGGCGGCTGCGACATACAAATAGCACACATCAAGCTTGCCCAGTCGCCTCCCCTGCCCACCGCAAATGGGAACCTCCCCAAGTAGAACTCCAATATGCTCACCCCCAAGCTCCATATGTCCCCAGCGTAACCGTCGTACTGGCCGTGATTCAAGTCCGTGTTGATCCTCTCCGGACTCATGTAAGCAATGGTTCCCACGGAGGAGTTGCAAGGGTCCATGGTCTGGGCCAGCACCCTGCTCACCCCGAAATCGGCAATCTTGACGTGCTTGTTGGAATTGATCAGCAGATTGGAAGGCTTGATGTCGCGGTGGACGATCTTCCGACGGTGGAGGTAAGCAATTCCGCTCAAGATTTGGCGCGCGACGTGCGCCAAATCGTCCTCTTTAGCGATGTGAGCCCCCTCGAGCGCTCCGCCGTCCATGAACTCGAGCAGGACCTGGATCTCGCCGTTGTGATCGTACATATCGTGGCACCTGACGACGTTGGAGTGGCTGACGTCTCGGAGAATCTGGATCTCCCTGCAGATCTGGTTCCGGACGGAGTCCTCGTGGTTCCCGTAGATCACCTTGAGCGCGAAAACCCTCCCGCTGAGCCTGTGAATCACCTTGTAGACGGTTCCCCCGCTGCCGCTCCCAATCCGGTTGATCCGGTCGAGCTCGGAGAAACCGATTACCTGGTGCGTCGTCGCCTGCTGCTGCTGCTGCTGGCTGCTGGTGGACGTCGCGGAGGCGGTAAGCGGCGGGAGAGGGAGCGGGACGGCGATCTTGGACTCCCGAAGCGGGAGAGGCAGGCTTAGGTTAGGACGCCTGCGAGCTTTCTGATTAGACATAGATGGAACAGCCGCAACGGTGGCGGCGGTACCTGGTGGAGGCTGAATCGGTCTCATGACTCCGGCGGCAGAGCAAATTCTTCTTCTCCTTTCTTTACTCCCGATTTCTTTCGTCGGCTATCTGAGAGATATCCGCTTCTTTGTCTTCTTGCTTGTCGTTATTTCTTCTGTGCTCGGGGAAGAGCGATGGCGGTGGAGGAAAAGGTAAAAGCAAATCGGAATCACTGGTGGAGGGAATATAATGCAGGCGGCGGCGGCAGCGGCAGCTTCGCGTGGATTTCCCGATCAAACAAACTCCATGAAAAGGAGGAAGCAAAGAAGAGAAAAGCCTTTGGTTTCTGGGTTGGACGGATTCTGATTTTTTCCTCTTTTGAGAGAGAGAGAAGATTCTGGGAAGAGAGAAATGAAGGGAGAAAAAAATATAAAAGGCAAGAAAAGAAAACGAAAGGGAGAGGCGGAGAGGACTTCCCCTTTTTTAATATTATTCTTCCTTTAGTTATTTTTATTTAATTAGTCTCTTTATTAAGCGGGGTGGGTGATGTGGAAAATGTAGATTGAAGGAGGGTCACGGTCAGAAAATGTGGAAATCGCAAAATAAAAATCCTTTTCTTTATGCGTTTATCGGATTCATTATCAGAAGTATTCAGAACACAAAAACATGAATACATATAAATATTTAATACTTAAAAATGATTTCGTAATTATTAATTCATTAAGATCGACAATAAATTGACTACAAAGTTATTTTCACGATAACTTTCAATTGAAACATCGTAGTAGTGTGGATTTGTAGGATAATATTTTTGTGAACAACAACTTTGCACTAAAAAATTAATCACTAACAACTTAAGTAATCGCACTCATCAACTATGGAGAAAAAAAAATCACTCATCAACTCAACTATAATGATTGTTCAATGTTATAGACCTTTACTTTTCCGTTGAATTTACAAAGTAATCTTAATCGTTAATAAATTGATCGTCTTCCTCTTTTAACGATGTCGTTATTAGATGTTAAAATTATAGGGTAGTAGATAAAGCCGAAGCTGGGCAAACTAGGAATTACTCTTTTATTGTTTCCAAAACCTTAATCAACTTGGGAAGACCTAGATTAAATCTTAACCTTGGAGTTAATTTCTCATTTAAGTACATACACAACTTTGGACCATGGGGAAATTTTAGGTGTATTCTAAAATGGAAACTAGCTTAATACCTTCTAATCCATGATGTGTTTAGGTCGAATTCATTAAATTGTTTCAGAATTAAGGTTGACTTGAGCCAAAATACGATCAACAAAGCATTTATTAGAAAACATTAAAATCCATCTAACTGCATATGAAATCTGGAGAGTTGAGTCAGTCAGAATTAAGGACACAACTATGGTCATGCAAGCAAATAGTAAAGCTGAAGAAGCAAAGAGACGCCATAGGGCTGAGTCAATAGTTGAGTCAGTCAGAGACCAAATCGCGTACAGGTTACAGAGACTAAGTATGGATGTAAATAATGTATGCAGAAGAATTCCAACAAACACTGCAAACCCTACGAAAGAACAGCATCACCAGTTCACCACCTTGAATTCTTAAAGACTGTTTCTGACTGATGAAATGATCGCCAAAGCCAACTTCTCGTCTTCCATGCACCAACTGCAGCAAAGATATGTGCAGGTCGTTGCGTGATCCCCCGGAACATCAGATGATCGACGAGTGCAGCTCTGATTCGGGCACACAGACAGTTGAAACGAACCCACTTGGAGAAAATCTCCCATATTATGGACATCGGTTTGGGGAAACAAATGTGACAGTTCCAAGGCTAGCACCTTGAGCCAAGAGCGGTTACCAGAAAGCCCGAGCCTACCTGTTGCCTTCGTTAAGTTATCGCTTCTAATTGGAAAGCAATGGCCATACAGAAAAACCTGGGACTTTCCTTCTCCCGACCCGATCAGTTCCAGCTCCTCCTTGTGTACGCCTCTCGCCTTGCTTCTATCCATAAATAAGATAGCTTCACTAACTCTTTCTTCGCTTACCATCAGCGGCGAGGTGAGGTCTGTTGATAAAACTGCACCCGATGTGGAACATCTTGACAAGCTGAAATTGGGACTCTGGCAACTCTTGGCAAATGAATCTGTGGTTTGAGCTTTCACATGGACGGCGGAAGGAATCTTCACCACCCCACCATTTGGTGGATCAAAGCACTTGATTCCCATTCCAGACTCTATCTTCTTTTTCAGAATGGACATACGGGGCTTCTCACCATGCACTAGCATCACGTGCTTGGGAGACAGAAACTTCAGGAGATCCATAATTCCTTTGGAATCAGTATGTGCACTGAAAGACAAATTAACGTTCTGGGAACACAAACACAAATTGAGGAATACTGTATGTTCAGAACATCCGCAAGAGTACTGCAATGTAGCTTCTCGGAAAAGAAAACTGAATAGATACTAGGAACCAACATACCTTACAACGGATTTCTATTTGGCTATTATTGTCCGCATAGAGTTTAGTTAGTTTACCGGACGCAAGCTTGTGTCCTATTGTTCCAGCTACACAGTGCCTGAAAAATATGGACAAATATTGCCTCATTAAAAGATAGCTACTATAAATAAACAACAATTCTTCAAGGTTCATCTTAAGTCTACGGCTTTATAGTTTATACATTATGTCATAAGGAGGCTTCAGATATCCGAACAATCATCAGATAACATTTTAAGACCAAAACATGCACACAATTGCCTCACCCACCTGTTGCAAGAGAAGCTAACCCTCTCTGTGTGGACGAAAGAATGATGAATTTTTAAAAAAAAATTCAACTCAAGAGAATAGTCTTCTCTCACATGTCCAATCAATATAAATAATACATGATGATAGATTGTTACCCAGGCAGCATCACAAGATTCACCTTGGAAGGAGCCCACTGCTTGAAGACCTCCAGTGAAAGGCCGCCAGAGAGCATTCCAGGCGAGGCAAAGAGAACACAAGACCCAGGAGCATTTATCTGTGACCGATCAAAACTGACAACTAAAGCCAGAACAATGTAGAAATCAGAGAAATAAAGAAGTTATAGATGTTCAAACAATTAGCAGCATAGTCTTATTGATTTTGGATCCAAATAATGACACAAGTATTTGTAAATGAACCAGAACCAGAAACAGAACATATTATCCACAAACTTGTACAGTTTGAGTACATCACATTTGATCCAGAGAATACCACAATTAACATTCCTAAACCAACAGAAGTTATCAACCGAAAAATGCAAACTGCGGGTAGTACCATGTTTGAAATTAAATGCATTCTGCAGTGCAATTGTATCTTTGATCTTCTGATTGGTCCAGCTCATAAGGGTCTTGTAGTATATATTAGCTTGCCTGGTCAAACCTGAAAGAAGTATATAGTTCAATCAGAACAATGTAAAACTGCAGGGCAAACGAAATAGCATTATGAAAAGCTTTTGCCATACGGATGATAGGCTATTCAAGGGTATGTCGAAAACTCAGAATCGGGTAGGAAGAATGGGTTGAGTGTTAAAAGAACAGCAGGCTATTGAAAGCGAGATGTGTTTCAAGCTTGGAAAAATAAAAAGATAAAAAGAAGAAATTATGAAACATGAATGCTTTTCAGGAAACGAAGAGCACAATATCTACCTGATGAGAAATATATAGGAACCTTCAGATTCATACGTTCCCAGTAGTCTTCCAGCAAAATGAACAGCTCCTAATTAAAGGTATTATATCCAACGAATGAGAGTACAATAAGGAATTGAATTGCATGGAAACATAGAATAAAAAACCCACTTTATAACTGTATCTGTTAGAGAGAACCATAAATTCAGCTCAATGCTAGATACAACATCGAAGGTATCTGATGGTTATGGAAATAATCAGCCAAGCTCAGTCAATGCATTCTCAATTTCTCATGGCCTTGTACCTGAGCTCTTCCAAGTGCAAATGTCGGAATCAGGACCTTTCCTCCAGCAACAACACAGTCATGAACCTACATGAGCAATTTCAGTTGGTACTTTTTCAAGGGAGGCAAACTTGGATTAATTTGGACACTGGAACTCTTCAAGAGTTATAAACATGCAGTAAAGCGTCAGTTACATATAAAAGGCAGAACACATACTACATTTAATCATGCAAGATGCACAAAATTTTGGCGTCACGGGACATTGATGGCTTTCTTTCCTGGCAATGATGCATTGCTTCTAGACACGGAAAAAGATTTCAGTAAAATCTCAAGTTCTATAAAAGCCAGTAGTTGGAAGGGTTTTCCTTTAGTTCAACAAAACAGTTGTGGATCAATAAGCCTATTTCTTAAGGGATTGATAAGCGTTTGCTCTCTATCAAAAACAATTATAGTCAGCGCAGAACCTCTATGCTATGAAACATGGACTGCACTGATCTCTTCTTAATCCATGAATAACCCTGTAGTGATCAATCAACCAATTCCCGTCTCTATGTAGAGCAATTCGAACCGCTATAGTATAATGAAGCACAACATTCCAGAGCCAGATTTTTCCCAAGCTCCAAATTTCCACAATTTATATGTGTATCCACTATTCCTAGAAATTTATCTGTCTAACGTCATGATGTTTTCAATCATAATAAAGAGCAAGTGTAGATAGTACCAATTTTTTTGCTAATGGTGATAGTGTAGTAGTACCAATCAACCATTCTATCTTGGCAAGCATGTCAATGAAGGATACAACATCTTGATCAGTGAAATGGAAGAAGTCGTGGATCATAAGAAATATGATAGAGTTGTTACTTATACATACAGCTTTCAGAAACTTTCTCTCACTAGCATGTTTTGAATCACGTACAGTCGTTGCATAGGTAGACCTGTTAAGCACATATCAAATCTGATCAAAAGGAGCGATTTCAATTGAGATCTGGAAGAGCTGGTTTCCTTTATTATAATAAAAGTACAATAGTCCACCGCTAGAAATGAATACGTTGCCCAGCATTTAAACAGAGACACTACATTGCATAAAGACCGCTTACTCTGTTATAACAAGGTCTAGTTCGAGTGGATCAATTTGTGCAGCCCCAAGATGTCTATCTGGAGTCATATTGTAGTCACCTGTGTAGACCATAGATGCATCTCCTACCTTTGCATAAACCATTGCAGCTCCAAGAACCTTGAGGGAATAAGAGGTATTAACATAACACAAAAGTTTACAAACTGAATGTAACACATCTACCTAAGGGTAAATTTTAATCTTACGTGTCCTGCATAGTACGCACGAATTTGAAGATCCTTGCCAACTTGTATATTCTGTTTCAGATCAATTGGGGTGACTGCATAAGGGAAATTAGGAAAAATTAAATACATTTGGCAGTCTGACACAAATTGAAACTCCGGAGAGTACAGCTCGTATGATATATTCATGAAAACTCAGGCAATAAATGTCAAACTTCATATTGTAGTAAGTTAAAATGAATTCACAAATTAAGGAAAAATATGCCTTTACAAGTTTTGGCAATGAGTTGCTAGTTGCAGTAAGACATCTCAAACGAGAAATAATTTTATCTATAGCACAACACAGTACTTGGTTGATGCTCCCCAACCCATTTGCTAATAACTGTTTCTTGCAGAAGCAGTGGACTGTCATGGAAATCATAGCAGAATTCCAAGAATGGTTGGACATTCATATCGGTTCTGGAACATCCAAACACCTATGCATGTAGACTAGTTCAGCAGCTAGGCTTTTCAAATCCTCTAGTTTGCTTGGAGCATGATGGTGCGTCGCACGCACAAAGAAGCAAAAAGCACCTCATAGAATCCTATTCATTAAGACAATTAACAATGTCATCACCATTGCCCTTTGCCAACCGAACTATGTCAGAACTGATTGACGGTTCAGAACTCAATGTCAACTATCCAGTAGACATGCATTTACTGACAGAAACCAGAGTTCTATAGAACAGAACCACGCAAAGCTCAAAATGACAAAGGACTCATACCTTTCTTCATGCACGCAGTAATATCGTCGGCGGTAAACTTCTCTTCCACACCCCTACCAACCGATATCCTTAGAAAATCCACCAACATCAAAGGAGCCAACGCCTTTGTCGGGTACTACAGAGGTAAAAACATACTGCTAAGCACAAGAATTCGAACATAAGAAGAATCTGAAATTATTGTGAAAACTATCCTTCTCTTCCCAATCCCACAAAAGAATATAATCGACAAAGTAACTTTAACTTTCTGATGAGAAAATTACCGTCATGTAAATGGGACCACTATAACCAATAACTTCAGTGAAGTAAGGAAGCGCGCCAATATGATCCAGATGACTGCAATAAGAATCCAGCATCACACAAGAAATCAAAAGAATCACTATAGCAAAACAAGTAGGAGAAGGGCAAACAGAGACCTTGAGCCACACTTACAAGTGAGTGATAACGACACAATCTAGGGAGCCATTAATGAGAGAAAAATCAGGGTAACGCTCTTCGTCACTGTGACCCAGGTGCATCCCACAATCAAACATGATCCGCTTCCCATTGATTGTTACTACCACGCAGCTCTTCCCAATTTCCTGCCCGGCACCTGCAACCGGACAGCGTGAGAAAATCATTAAGGTCGGTAACTGGAGTCTGGAGACCAGAAAACAGACCAAGTAAACGTACCAAGAACTAAGCATTCGATGCCCATGGCAGCCGGACTCTGTCTGGACTCAAGCAGGAGAAGAAAAGAAGGACCGGCCTGCGGAAGCCACCGTAGGACGAGCAGAAGATTCCCTAAGAAACGAAGCCACCGGCCGGCAGCCGGCGGTTGAGGAGGGAGATCGTCGGAGCTGGACCGTCAATGATTGCGAGAGGTCGAGGTCGGTGTCGGGATAAGAGAAACCCTGGGTCATTGATACCCAAAAAGGTAAAAAACCTGTATCCGCCCATAAACCCTTTCTTTGGTCAGGTGGGTCGGTTCTGATTGTGCGGGTGGTTTGCATAATCTACCCAAATAGTGGATATCAATAGCTACACGTGGCAGACTAAAACAAAGGCCGGGTCTTGCTCTCACCGTACACCTTAGCGCACTGGATAGCGGCCCAACGGAAGCGATTAGGCCGTGGGCCCGGGCTGCTGCTAACTGAATTTCCCACCAAAAATACAAAACCAAAACCTCTCTCTGCAATGCTCCACCTTTTCCCCAGAAAGAAGAACAGAGAGTTCAAGTTGGAAAATCTCTCCATTTCCCTCCGGGAAAATTCTCTCTCCCCCAAGAAAATCGAAAGAGGGGAAGGAATCAGTTAATGCGCGGATCATGAAGCAACGACGGCTCCGATTTTTTCTGCGGTTCTGGACTGCGCTGCTGCTCTTCTTACTTGTTGCGTCTGTTTCTCAGGCGAGGCCCCGCCGTGGACGAGGTCAGCTTAGTTTCTTGCTCCGATCCTCCCTAATCTCGAAATAGATTCAGTTCCTCTGGTTCGTGGCTTCATCGATTCATTTTGCTTGTTGCTGGATTAGGAAATCTGCTTCTAGGTTTGAAGAACTCGTTTTGTTTCTTTCTTCGTTTTTCTCTTCGATCGCTTTCCTGGAAGCCAAACAGAACGGCAATTCCTTTGATGTTCTACTTGAATCAGCTTCGCCAAATCGTTTTTCCACTGCTTCTATTTTCTCGGGAAGCTAACAGGACTGGTCCATGGTTAATGCTCTGGATTATAGGGTGTGATATTTTGATCTTCATGATCGCTCTATATTTGCCTGCTTAGTTACTGTGAAAATGCCTGAAAGAGAGAATTCGCACTTGAACTAAATTGCATGATCAGGAGCTGTACAATTAAGTTACAACTAATTAATTGGTTCTGATTTGGTTCGTCGATTGATGTTTGTGCAGAACCTAGTTATCTCAAGTTCGTAGCAAATGCCACTGCCTTCCCATCAGAAGAAAACTATGACTACGTTATCGTTGGGGGAGGTACTGCTGGTTGTCCTTTGGCGGCTACGTTATCGCAATCCTACAAGGTTCTTCTCCTCGAACGCGGTGGAGTTCCCTACGGCAGACCAAGTTTGATGACGCAAGAAGGCTTCTTGACCACACTCACAAACGTCGACTCATTTGACTCTGCTTCCCAATCCTTCATCTCGGAAGAAGGTGTCCCTAACGCAAGAGGGCGGGTTCTTGGGGGAAGCAGCACGATAAACGCCGGCTTCTACAGCAGAGCAGACCCAGATTTCTATAAGTATTCCGGAGCCAATTGGGACCTAAGAGTGGTGAATGAGTCCTACGAATGGGTTGAGAGGGCTATAGTCTTTAGACCGGAGCTTAGAAACTGGCAATCAGCAGTTAGAGATGGGCTGTTGGAGGCTGGGGTCGATCCTTACAATGGTTTCAGTTTGGATCATGAGGTGGGGACTAAGATTGGAGGCTCTACCTTCGATGGCAGAGGGAGGAGGCATAGCGCTGCTGACCTTCTCAACTATGCGAATGCCAGCAACATAAATGTGGCCGTTTATGCAAGCGTGGAGAGGGTGCTGCTAGCATACAGCGGCCCGCGTGGAAGCTCGAGGTCTGCAATTTCAGCCATCGGTGTGGTGTATCGAGATCGGGTGGGGCAGTATCATCACGCCATGGTGCGTGAGAATGGGGAAGTGATTCTCTCAGCTGGTGCCATTGGGACTCCTCAGCTGCTGTTGTTGAGTGGGATTGGCCCAAGGCCTTACCTTTCTTACTGGGGGATTCCTGTGGCCTACCATCTTCCATACGTGGGGCAGTATCTCTATGACAATCCTCGGAATGGGATCTCATTCGTGCCCCCAGTGCCACTGGAACACTCGCTGATACAAGTGGTTGGCATCACCGAGCTTGGAGCATATGTTGAGGCAGCCTCCAACGTCATCCCATTTGTATCCCCTGCGCGTTCTGTCTTCATCAGGGCACCCTCTGCGCCGCTGTACCTGACGGTGACCACTCTCATGGAGAAAATCGTCGGGCCACAATCTGTTGGGTATCTGAGGCTGTCGTCGACAGATGTAAGGGTGAACCCACTTGTGCGTTTCAACTACTTTTCAAGCCCTATTGACATGGAGAGGTGTGTGAACGGGACCCGCAAGATTGGGGATGTGCTGAGAACCCGTGCCATGGCGGACTTCAGGTTTCGTGACTGGTACGGTGTTAGGAATTTCAGGTTTGTCGGGCCCGCACTGCCCGTTGATCAGTCTGATTTCGAGCAGATGGCTGATTTCTGTCGACGAACTGTGAGCACCATATGGCATTACCACGGCGGGTGCGTGGTGGGGAAAGTGGTGGATGCTGACTACCGTGTCTACGGCATCCGGTCACTGAGGATCGTTGATGGCTCAACCTTGACAATCTCGCCAGGCACCAATCCACAGGCCACTCTTATGATGCTTGGCAGGTGAGCTATAGCTTCGCTATTCAATCAGTTCCCATCTCATTTGAGAAACAAACTGCAGGCTTTTCTGCTAACAATTTTTTTTTTTTTTGGCAGATATGTCGGCCTCAAGTTAATCAAAGAGCGAGAAGTACCATCTGAGGTGAAGTCTGACTCTGGTGACCTGTAGTGTAACTGACCTTGAAGAAGAGATACAGCAGCTAGCAGGTACTTCGTTCATCTGAAGGTGTTCTGTTTTTACTTAGGATATTGAGAATTGTATAAAGTTCTAGCATGCCTGTAGAATGAAACTATTGGTGGTATACACGCAATGAAGCAACTCATGTGTCGTTCACTGCAAAATGGAGAGATTGGTAGAGGAATATGACTGATGAAGTTGTACTTGGGATGATGATGATGGTCCATCTCTCTTTGGAACTGCCATTAGGGTTTCTTCTTTTCTTGGTAAGAAGCTTGTTTGATTGAGTTTGACTTCCCAGCAAACTACATGGCTAGTTGTTTCTGTATATGATGAGTTTGATTACAGCAACTATGTTGAACCATAACTTTTTACCACAGCCTGCAGTAAGTTTTCATATCAGTCATCTAACTTATTTTCATCCCTGTTTTTTTTTTTTTTTTTTTACTACTCGGTGAGATACCCTCTGAGTAAATGGGGTGGAAAATGGGAATTGGAGTAGATGCATAACTCATCATATAGGACAAAAGATAGCGACGGTGGTAGGATTTGGATACCTACCGACAAGATTGGTTTAATGTGATGGGAGGGATTTGGTGGCTGCCCTGCCTGGCTTGTTCGATCCTGTACCTAGTTCTAGTCCTCATTCATTTCTCACATGGATGAATTATTCCAGTTCTTGTTTAACGTTATTCTTTCCAATAATTATGCTCTGGTTCTCTGTTTCTTTTATTAAAAAAAAAAACTACATTTAGATCACTTAAAATAAGGCTACATTTATATGAAAGATGTGTGCCTACACTTTCTTAAAGCTTTTTGCTCTTTGTTGTCCAACCTTTTTTCCAAGTGTGTGAAGAGTATAAACCACCCATTTGTATAATGATGAGTTAAGTGCTACTGCTAAATGCTAATGTGGCCCCATGGGTCGACCACCCACCAGGCAGGGATGGCAATTTCGACCTGACCCGTTCCACCCGACTTGTTTGGCCTGTTTTGGAGCGGGCTGGGTAGAGTAGTCGAATTAAATCCTAAAATCCTACACTTTTACGATTTTACTTACCTATTCCGATTCTGATTTCACTATAAAATCTATGGACCTTAAAATCCTACACTATTCACGATTTAAATCCTTAAAATCTTTAAAATCTTACGATTTTACTATTCAAATCTTTGAGTCAATTTTACTTATTTTCCCCAAAATTTGCAAAATTACTCCTCTTTTTCTTCCCCTCCACCAACGTCATCTAGTTCTCTCACACTAACCACCATCGACTATAATCAATTCACATTAACATATTAATCATCATCGATTCACCACCTCTTAACATTAACCTTGAAAAATTATCATTGTAAGTTATTCAACGAATTTTTTTTTATCATTGTAAGTGTTTTGTGATTTTGTGTTATTCATGATTTTCCTTACTAATATTATTTCTTCTTCATTTTTCATATGAACCTTAAAATCCTACGATTTTACGATTCGATTTTACAATTCCGATTTTATCCCCATTTTCGATTTTACGTCAAAACCCGATTTTGACTGCTTTGGTCACTACTATGGGTACTCTCATCGACCTGACTTGCCCTGAATCGCTCCATTCTCGACCCGTTCTTGTCTAAATTACATGTAATCTTAGTCAAATTACTTAGGATTTTTCTTTATTACACCATAATTTAGCTATAATTGTAGATTAGTGAAAACCTTAATTTCTCTAATAATTTAACTACATTTATCATAATATTGTTTTTTCTGTCTTATAATAAAATTAACGAATATTTCTAATGTTTTTCAAATGAATTGCATACCTATTTGGTCGACCTGTCCCGACCATATTCTAATATTTTTCAAATAAATTGCATACCTATTGGGTCGACCTATCCCGCCCTGTGACCCGTAATAAATCACCCGACCTGTCACGGGACGGGTCTGGGTACCAAAAAATCCGCCACAGACCTGCCCATTACCATTCCTAACGGCGGGTGCTATATGTAACAGGTATTAAGAAGGATTTGTTTATCTAGGTGATAGTCTACCTTTTCCCTTTTTATCACAATAATTATTCATTTGTAATATTATAGCATGTATCTTTTGTCTATTAAATTTATTAACTAATGTCTTATTTGTTTGTTGTTAGGTACAACTTATCAAATTATACCTATAATCACAAATATTATATATGACAATAATTCTAAAAAGATATAAAAAAAATTATGATTCAAGGGACTCAAATACAAATTCCTCACATCGAATATACTAGATAAGGATTTCGTATGCCAATCTACTTCTCTTGTTAGTGGAACTTTCACTAACGAGATATGTTTAAAATGTGGCATTGCAATAATTGCCAACTAAAATGAAAATTACCTACACTAGTCTTTTCTTGTATGAGAAATTATTTAAATCTAGCACCTCATTTTTAATGCACAGCAGATTAAGATGCTTTTATCTTGATATATTTTTAATGCATCCTAGATTAAGATGCTCTTCTTGAATGCTTCAACTTTTTGGGTCAAATTTTTTTTTTTTTGCCTCCCATAATTTTTATTAGAAGTTATTTTTTATGAGATCGAAAGTTGAATTTTAAAAGCACCACAACAAACCCCCGACACTATTAGATAAAAATTAACCTAGTTGTTGTTTGTTGGAGAAGTTGTCTCAACTTTTTCTTTACCTCATTACTTGGTAATGTTTGCACAAAACTCTATACACAAGGCTCGAATCTTAGGGGTCGTTTGGAAGTTGTGATTTCAAATGGTGTATTGAGCTAATTCATGTATTTGTGAGATTAAGTCATTTTTTTAGGTTATATTGAACTAGAATACATGCATTCACTTTTTGGAGGCCCCACCACAATCACTCAAAATTGAGGGATTGTGAATCTCTACTTTTTGTTGAGATTGTTCACAATCACTCAAATTAACTTTTATGCCTTTACAACAAAAACACAATCTAAACCTCCAAACAAAGTATTTGTCTAATACATCAATTGATTCAACACATCAAATGATAATACACTAATTGACCCAATACATCAATTTGAAGAATCACAACTTCCAAACAACCCCTTAGTTAAATGATAACAAATGGTTTAGAGTGGAGTGATGATCCGTAAGTGCAACTTATTCATGTGATTTGATGTGATAAACAAGTTGATAACTTGAGCTAAGATGCTAGCTTGCGCGAGATTGATAATTATTATATCTTATATCTTGGCGGGAGAGAGAATATAGACCACCCTTTTATTGAATTTTCCAAAATGAATTTGATTGTAGAAAAATGTCTAGAATTCAGTATCATTGGTCCTCAATTTCGCCTTTAAAGAGAGATGCTTCAGTGAGACGAGGTCATGATCTTGTTGCTAGTTAAAACTGATAAGTTAGTTTCGACTCGCAAAATCAATTATGTTAATACAGAGAGACACAAATGGGTGCATGAAGATATTGTCCTCCGAACTGCAACTAGGTGGCGGTGTTAATCATGTAGTGTTTATTGCTTAGCCATAGGTAAGGATTTTGAACAAAGCATAGTAGGTTGAAGGATTGATAATTGAGTTTTTTTCGTCATTGGTTTGCCTAAAATACTTATCGAAAAATTGATTTAAGCAATAAAAAATGCATATAATTTGATATTTGAAGGTAAACACGTATATTCAACTTACTCCACTACTCTTCTCTCCTCTTTTTGACTTGCCATAAATTTGTTTCGTTCATGGTAAATCCATTTTCACTTTAAGAAAGAAAATGAAAAAAAAAAAACCAAAATGAACCATTGATCTATTTTAAGCTCCACAAAGCCAAACAACAAACAAATCCACAGTCTCCGCTTCTCCGTCCTTTCTCTTCCCGTCGCCAATAAATATTCCCCCAAACACTCTGCTGCGCAATTCAACAAACAGCTTGTAAACATGGCGTCTTCCTCCACCACCAACTCCATTCTCTCTCCCTCTTTCCTCTCTGGCCTCGCCAATTCCACCTCCACCGACTCCCCCCGCCCGCCGTCGCTCCTCTCCTTCCTCCCCAACTCCTCCTCCTCATCCACCGCCGTCTCAATCAAACTCTCCGACCGCCGCCCCCGCAACAACCGCCGCTCCCTCCCCGTCACCAACGCTGCCATTAAGACCACTTCCTCCCCTTCCTCCACAGCGGCGCCGACAGAGACCCCCGGCGCCACCCACGACGCCTCCAGGCCCACAATCCTCGTCTCCGAGAAACTTGGGAGCGCCGGATTGGATCTCCTCCGCGGGTTCGGGAACGTGGACTGCTCGTACGACCTCTCCCCGGAGGATCTCTGCCGCAAGATCTCGTCCTGCGACGCCCTGATCGTGCGGAGCGGGACCAAGGTGACGCGGGAGGTGTTCGAGGCGGCGAAGGGGAGGCTGAAGGTTGTGGGGAGGGCCGGCGTCGGAATTGACAACGTGGATCTCCAGGCCGCCACCGAATTCGGCTGCCTGGTGGTGAATGCCCCCACCGCCAACACCGTCGCCGCCGCGGAGCACGGGATCGCGCTTCTCGCCGCCATGGCGCGGAACGTCGCCCAGGCGGACGCCTCCGTCAAATCTGGTACTTTCGAAACGTTTTCTTCCCCCCTACTCTCTGTGTTTAATTAGGAAAATGTATTGAGACAAGTCAAAATTGAAATTTAATGACCAGGTGAAAAATATTTCTACCGTATTAATTAACTGCCTGACTTCTATGTACGTGGAAAATAGAGGACGTTGCTGTCTTTCCTTCATTTACTTTTTTTTCCCCCTAGTCTATGTCAAACTATTATAATCTTGAAATATAGCAATGTTTCAAGTACTCATAGTGTGATATGTTTGTATAGACCATAAATCGAACTTAGAATACGACTCTATACTCTAATATCTATTGTTAGGTTCGGTTTTTTTAAATTCAAAGTACAAACAAATACATTCAGCAGACAAATTACTTGAAAAATGTAGGATATACAAATAAAATGTATCGGTGTAGAATATTTAACCACATAAACGCTGAATAATAGGGTATCAATAATAAAATCCCGATTGTGTCAATTTTGTTTTTTCCCCACTTGAAGGTGATTTGGTTTTGGATCCAAAATTTCCACTCTTTTTATTATTATTATTATTATTATTATTCAACGATCAGCGGGTCCTAAGATTTGATAATGAGCCCAGACGATATGGAATCTTGTGTCGTTGTATTAAGCATATTTCAAAGGTGCAGTGCATGTGACTTGATTGCCTTTACCGACTCCACTGTCCCCATTAGTCATTAGTGAAATGGGGCCAATTACACACCACACATGTCGCACATCAATTGAACTTGCCAAGAACTTTCATTCTACGACCTTGTCACGTTAAGTGACAAAACACCTAATTTTGGGTTATTCATATTATATTTGCGTTATTCACGTCATATTTGCGTTTTCATGTAAGAGAGTTGATTCACGCCACCTGATGTTTATTCACGCATATTGTTAATTATTCACGCCGTTGTAGAATAAATTTTTAAACTTTGAAATATATCAAAATGAATGTCATTTTGTAGATTATGATCAATGCAACATATTTGTACAAATTAAATGATAATTCAAATTTAATTCCATAAAATATAGTCAATACAAATTATTAGGGAAAAAAGTATGAATTTTCATTTACGTTAAAAACTTACACTCTTACATAAATCACCATAGTAAAACGTGAATGAGCACAAAATGACGTGAGTGAGTATAAAATGGCGTGAATGAACTGGTATCATGTGTTCTCTCATCATTTGGCATACATACAATAACGTCAGATTATTGAATAACATAGGATACTTATTAATATAAGTCAGTTACTGACATATACGGTCCAAAGCTGTGGGAAATTTTCACTCAAATTATGCACTAAGTAGGAGTTGGTTCAATTATTTCCACTTAATTATCATCAGTACACTCTAGAAACTGGGTTGGGTTGGGTTGGTGAACGGTGGTGGATCAATTATTTGTTCCGTCTCCACCGAGGGTCCCAGCCGCCGAACTAATTGGAACGGCTGATTTTATCACAGTAGTTAAAGAGATTAATGCCACGTTAAAGAAATAATTGCGGTCCTTTCTTATAAAAAAAATCAGTGCGCTCAATAATCATTCACAAAGATTTTAGCTATTATTATTTTGTTAAAAAAATAAAATTTTTTTTCTTTTTTCCATTCTAATTATTCGGTGCAGGAAAATGGGAGCGGACTAAGTACGTGGGCGTGTCCATGGTGGGAAAGACGCTGGCCGTGATGGGATTCGGGAAAGTCGGGTCGGAAGTTGCCCGGCGGGCAAAAGGCCTGGGAATGCACGTCATCTCCCACGACCCCTACGCCCCCGCCGACCGGGCACGTGCCATGGGCGTGGAGCTCGTCTCCTTCGACCAGGCCATCTCCACCGCCGACTTCATCTCCCTCCACATGCCCCTCACCCCGACCACCAGGAAGATCCTCAACGACGATACCTTCGCCAAGATGAAGCCCGGCGTCCGCATCGTCAACGTCGCCCGCGGCGGCGTCATCGACGAGGACGCCCTCGTCCGGGCCCTCGACTCCGGCAAGGTCGCCCAGGCCGCCCTCGACGTCTTCTCCCAGGAGCCGCCGCCCAAAGACAGCAAGCTGGTCCAGCACGAGCGGGTACGTATTTTCCTTTCAATGGAAATCGTTTCGTAGCATTTTCCGTGTCCAAAAAGGCATAATTCCGACTACATTTAGACGTTAGATAATGATAAGCAGGGGGTGTGAAATGGATTGAATTAATGGATTAGAGGATTGAATTCGTGGATCCATGAAGAAAATAGATTGATGGATTGATTAATGGATTTTAAATAACATCCAAGTCTTGGATGATTATGTAAATTTTGAAAATTTTAGGTACTAAAAATGTCATAATGAAAAAATTTAGGTACCAAAATATAATTTTCAATGATAATTATTTGTCAAAAATAAATTTTAGGTAAAAAAATGTAAAATATAATATGTATACACTCTACAGTGTAATTTGTCAACGATTCATGAACTCAATCATCCATGAATCCACTATCCAAATTGAATTTGAATTAAATGAATTGAATTTAAATGGATTGAATTAGCGGAATATTTAAATGAATAAATTTGATTGGATTCGTAGTTTCGTGAACCCAATTCACATCGTAATTCTGATTTATCAAACAGGTCATCGCCACCCCGCATCTGGGAGCCAGCACGAAGGAGGCACAAGAAGGTGTAGCCATCGAGATCGCGGAGGCAGTAGTCGGAGCACTAAACGGCGAGCTCTCAGCCACCGCCGTCAACGCTCCCATGGTCCCACCGGAGGTCCTCTCCGCGCTCGCCCCCTTCGTGACCCTGGCCGAGAAGCTGGGACGGCTCGCCGTCCAGCTCGCGTCGGGAGGGGAAGGAATAAAATCCGTCAAAGTAGTCTACCGCTCCGCACGGGACCCCGACGACCTCGACACGAGACTCCTCCGCGCCATGATCACGAAAGGGATCATCGAGCCCATCTCCGACGGCTCGTACGTCAACCTGGTCAACGCAGACTTCATCGCGAAGCAGAAGGGTTTGAGGATCAGCGAGGAGAGGATCGTGGTCGACGCGTCGCCGGAGATGCCCGTGCACTCGATCGAGGTGCTGATGTCGAACGTGGATTCGAAATTCGGGAGCGCGGTGGCGGGGGAGGGAGGGGATGTGGTGGTGGAAGGGAGGGTGAAATACGGGGTGCCGCATCTGACGAAGGTCGGTGGGTTCGAGGTGGATGTGAGCTTGGAAGGGAATTTGATACTGTGCAGGCAAGTGGATCGGCCCGGGATGATTGGGGAGGTTGGGAATATACTCGGGGAGGATAATGTGAATGTGAATTTCATGAGTGTGGGGAGGATGGCGAGGAAGAAGCAGGCGATCATGGCGATTGGAGTGGATGAGGAGCCGCAGGAGCAGACTTTGTCTAAGATTGGGAAGGTTTCTGCTGTGGAGGAGTTCGTTTTCCTCAAGTTGTAGTAGCTAGGGTCTTTGGTTTGGAGATATTGTGATTTGAGCAGTTCGGGTTTGTGTTTGATTTTCTGTCTTTTTTGTTTTGTTTTGGGTGGTGAGAGAGGGATACATGGAAGAGAAAATAAATGGTTGACGATGATGGGTTAGATTTGGGCGTTGGCTTCGAATTTTAGGGGTTCTTCTTGTTGCTGTTCATCTGTTTTGGTTGAAGTTGGGTTTAGAGTGTAATTTTCATGATTAATGTTGTTAAGTTTATTATGCATTACCGAAATCGGCCAAATTAAAGCGCATTGATCAACAAATGTTGAACCAACGAAAAGTACCATTTTCATCACGATATAGACAATTCTTTGATACTGAACAACATAGACAATATCATGAAGGGATCAAAATCATAAACTAACCATGTTTGAAAGCAAAGAAGCATACCCTTGTAGATTTGGCAACAGATCATCACAAAAACTAGTAAAAGCCAACCAGGTCCACGTGGCCTCCCACCTTTGTTGTTGACACTATTTATACTTCATCAGCCCGAAGCACTTCCGACTGCCACTAGAGTAGAGGTGCCAAAGCAGCAATTTCATTTCCTATGAAGCTGTTGTGGAAGAGCGACGGCGGTAAATCATAATCTGTTATTAACCATGAAAATATCATGGCCCGGATCTGCAATTACACAATTCAACCAACAGTTTTGACAATGAGGAGAGCATTGGTTTGCTGAAAATATTAAATTGTTGACAAAAGTTGGAAGTGCATTCCATTTTGATATTACTGCCTGCAGGAAATCTCTCTGTTCAGGGTCAGGTTTGTTGCTCATTCCTCTTTGACACAGAAATTGATATTTCTGGAAATCGGGATTGAAGAACTACAAATGGTAGCTCTCTGGTACAGAGGGCCGATCTTCTTGAGGGCTGCAAATACTGGCCGGGAAAGAATAAAACTCCATTTCTTTATTTCGTTTTTCTTTTTTCCTGCTACAGTCTGCTTTGTTTGATTGATTCGTTTCTCTTTGAGCAGTTGGACAACGACTAAATTGAAAGAATAAAACTATTGCCTTGATGTGTGTCTGTGTTTTTTTCTTTTTCTTTTGGTCTTCTGCATCACATACGATCATCGTCCATTTGTAGTGTAGTAGTAGGTACAACAATCTGTTGTTTGCTCTATGCAGAGGTAAAAATCAACAGAAGATGCTCCGAGGAACCTCAGTTTCAGCAGGTTCCGGCTTTCTTTTTTGTATTGCTTGAATTTGGCGGCTGGCATCTTTGCACAATTGGAGTGAAGAGTCAACCCATCAATATTAACGGTTCATTCGACGAGAAAAGGAAGGAAGGAAGAGACCAGAAACAAAAGAGCAAGCAAGAATCAGATTTCCACGGCTGTCAGCAAGCAAAGTACATTATGGAAGATTTATGCAAACACTTACACAACAACAGTAAACGGCAAATGGTATCAAATCCTTTGGTAGGGTTTCAGACGAATCCTCTTCCCATGAGAATAAACAATTACCTGATAGCCAGTGACGTCCCACCTCTCAGGCCGCGGGCTTCTTTACTAACTAACTAACCAGTAGTAGGCTTTGCATTGGAGAACAAACAAATTGTTTTAGAAACTGCTAGACGATTTTAACGATATGAAATGATTGAACCATGATTTTAGTACAAAATAGTGAAATACCATACCACTTACTTTTCCTCATATAACCTCCAATACGATTTTCACAGAGAAACCCGACCAACCAGTTGTCATCCAATGTCCACCCACGCTTAAGTTCTACCCCATTGGGTTCCACTGTCAACCACAATATATGCTGCTCTCGGGCCGCCAATTTCCGGAAGCTTGCTTTTCAGAGTTTTACAGCACGAATTATACCGCAGATCACAGCCATAGCGAAGCTGATCCGTTCTTTTTCTTCACCTCCTGCAGAAACCCATGTTGGAGGCATAACAGTTTTCACCTAACATTTTTCACATGCATGCTATAATGGCAACGAATGTCCAATCTTTACTTTTGTGTGAAGAGTGCTCCCTGAATCTGATGCCTTCCCCTGATTCCTCCTCCAGTCCCCTGTTTTCTTTCCCCACTCTGCTTTCTCTTCTGTTTTGCTTCAATGGTGGGGTTTTCCAATCTTCCATAAACCTCTGCCAACCATAAGTATAAGTAAACAACCCCCTTCCTCTACCATATTCGCCAGCCAATTATCTTCTGAATTGGGTTCCTTCCTCCATTTGACTTTCCCAAATCACCTCTGTTTTATTTTATCAATGGCGAACCAGCAACCTGCTCGCCCCTGGTTTCGGGCAGCTTCTCTCGCTCGACCTGCCCAGCCACCGCCTCAGCCCACTGCTCCGGCGGCTGAGGTCACCGCTCCACCGCAGCCCCGTCCCTTCCGCACTCTAAGCACGGTGGCTCCTCCCGCTGCGAACCCACCTCCAGCAACCCGCCCGACTGGTCCGCCTGCATTGCAGCCAACTGCGGCGGCAGCGCAATCTGCAAGACCAACCAACGGCGGCGACTCTGTTCAGGCTTCCCCAGCTGTTCGCACCGATGGCATTGCTGCTTCTTCCCTCCCGTCCTCTCCCAAACCTGCAATTACGCCCGCTCCTACTTCTTCTCTTCCATCTTCCCCTGTCCGTAAACCGGCAGCTGTTTCCTCCTCTGTCCCTGGCTCTCCGGTTCAGGCCCGAAAGATCTTTTCAGTCACTAATTCTCCGGTGAGAAACCCTGTTCCAACCGTATCTTCGGTTCCGAATTCTCCCAAACTAGGACCGGCAGCGGCACCACCGGCGACCAAATCTGTCCCGGAGCCGCCTCCGAGATCCGTCAATCCGGCGGCCGAAACCCCACCTCAATCACCCAAGAGAAACCCCACTGCTCCACCTCCATCGCCTCTGACCCTGCCGCCGTCTCAATTGAAACCAGCACCCGAACCCCACTTTTCCCCCGAGGCAGAGCAGAAGACCGTGGTGCTCCAGAAGACGACGGAGAACCACTCTGCCACGAAGAAGTTCTGGTCCGGCTGGAGCGGATCTGAGGGCGGCGCCGGGAATCCTCTGATGGGTCTTCGACCAAAGGAAGAGAACCAGAAGGCGAAGAAGAATCCGTCCGATTTCGAAGACAAGGGGACCAAGATCATCACCATAGCCGGAGAAAACAGGGGAGCCCTGATGGAACTGTTCCGTTCTCCCCGGAAATCGGGGAATCCGTTGTTTCCGGGGAACCCTCGTTACCTCCACAGGAGCCCCGGAACCAGCTCCGGCAGCAGCAGCGGGGAAGACGGAGAGGGGAAGAAGAACAAGGCCGGGAGGAGAGGCGGATCGGGAACAGGGAAAGGAGCGAAGCCGATGAGCGCAGTCATGAACAGTAACGTCCAGGGGATCAACAACTCGATCATGTTCAATTCCTCCTGCAGCCACAACGATCCAGGCGTCCACGTGTCGCTCTCCAGAAATCCCTCCGACGGCGGCGGTGGATTGCATCACGGGAAGGACCACCGCAGCAATGGATATGAAAGCTAGAAACAAAGCTGGGATGTCATTCTCTTCATCTTCTTACTTCGCCCTTTCCTTTTCGTGTGTTTGAATTCTCAGTATTCCATAATAACCTACAAATTGACGCGGGAATAAACGGAATTGGCCTTCTGCTGCGATGTTCCATTCCTTTCTTCGATCATTCGCTTTCTGTCTACAGCTTTACTTCAAATGGAAATGTAATCGGCTGGTCCCGAACCCTAGTTTTTGCTTTGTTTTGCATAAGTTTTGGTGTTCTGTATCGCAAATTGCAGCTATGTTTCCTAGTGGACTATATTCTATAGATAATTGAAATGCTTATTTTTATAAGTTAAACGTGCAATCAACAAAGAAAAAATATAAACGACACAAGATTATGTAGTTTTTTTGGTAAACACAAGATTATGCAGTTTACTAACACATACTGTGCCGATTATTTTTGTAAGAAGAGTAGAACATATTGTATCAATATGAGTAGAGAGTACAGATTACAGATCTATATAAGAACGGATTATTAACCTACCTACTTCGCACAATCAAGTCCTAAGTAATATCACATGTTATGATATTCGAGCAATCAATGAATCAAAGAAAATAAACAACCCTTGAGCATATGCGTAGAATGATGTGACATTCCTTTTTTTATATGATGTGACAAGAAACCTCGCTCTTTTACTGCCTAACTTATTTTCTTGTTGTTTCGAAGCGACATTTTAACCCTCAACTTACTATCCGTCACCTAATGGTTACAAACCTGGATGACGGTTGGTTAAGACCACAAATTCAGATATTGGCACAGCAGAGACTTATCAGACAACTCAACCCAAAACAAATTTACAGAGCACACTAGAACAAACGAGAAAAAAGAAAGAAAGAATCGGTCTAACCAGGGTAGGGGAGAAATATAGGATTCTACCCGCGATTATGAAATTTACAGGAGGGGGAATCTGTAAAGACTTTGAAGGAAAATTAGGTACTCCCATGGGATCTCACAGATGAAATCGATTGTGCAGACACAGAGGCCGTCGGACTGTTGAGTTCTCGATCTCCATCTATGGCTTTCGGTTTCCCACTTAATCTTTCCATGGCTTCATGACATACCTCGGTGAACCATTCGTCTTCCGGTAGTACCCTGGAAACAAATTTCGCGACAGGAGAAAAACGTTCAGTCTTTGAGAAGGCCAAAACATTGCCAACAAGAAGAATGAAACTGATTATCTGGACTAGGGTTGAGTTTCCTATTGTTGAATCAAAAGAATGCATCAATTTGGCCCCGTTTGTGATCAATACTCTAGGAGAGTGTACAGAAAATTTTACCTGTCAGGATCCATCCCAGTACTGGAAAATGCTTGCACAGCCTTGTTAATGATCTCATTGAGAACCCGGTTCAAGTTTCGTGACAGGTAACGTCCTTGGGCGGCAAAGCACGAGACGAACTTCATATCAAGATAGAACTGGGCAGATAAATCATCATCATGAAATACAGCAGCATGTTAGAACTTGGAACAGAATACAGAACACTTTTTCGACTATAAGGTTGTTGGTTTCATACCTGCTGTAAGCCCATAGGACCAAGCGGTCTCGGGCCTTCCTCAATGTCATCCCAAAAGCTTTGATCTTCTGATAGCCATAATATGACAGTTTCAGTCAGTCTCATCAACAGTAAAGTTGCGAATCTTTCTCTCCCCGCAAACATGTCTGCTGTTAAACTAGCCATCCTGTTCAGCTTTACAAAAAGTTCCTGCAATTTTTACCCAAGTGAACAGTGTTAAGAGTCGGGGTCTCATTTCCCCCCCCCCCCCCCCCCCCCCCCCTTTTATTTTGAGATATGGGGAGTCCTCTCCTAATGGGAATGGCCATATATACTTAGAGAATATTCTGAAGCTTTTATATCAGTCTGGATGATTTAGATTGTCGAGAACAATCTGAAGCTGTTATATGCACAGTAATAGTTCTTTTGATTCCATAATTTACATACCTGGAATATTGGGGAGGGAAGCGATGCTAACTCCTCCACGTTATTGTCCACGTTGATGTACATATCAGCTGTCAGATAGCTATCACCCTCTTCCGTGAAAATTAGATCAAGTGCATGCTGCCGGCAGAAAGTATCTTTCAACCTATCAACAGCAGCAACAAGGCGCTTCCTCCATTCTCTTTGTTCAGGGTGACGATTTGGTTTATCAGCTGGTCTCCTTCTTCTGTCATCCTTATAACTAGGATGACTGAGAGGATAAAGTTTCATTGCTGCCCGAGGCAGCAATTCTTCTGCCAACAATGATGCATTAGCTAGCAATGCCATCTGCTGGTCTTCAGTTTCAGCCAATCGGACAATTTTATTAATAGAACCTTCAAAATTTGCTTCTTCTTCCATAGAGCCCGGCAATGCCTTTATAAGCATGTTAATATATGAGTTGAATACTTGGAAAACACAATCCAGCGTTTGACCTCCCAACATACTAAGAAGGGGAGCAACATCCTCAAAGAAGTCCTGATATAGAAACAGAAGCAACATATCAGGAATGAAAATACAAACTTTGATTGTAGGCATTGAATCAAATAACAAGACTTAAAGGGTGTCATACAGAACTGAAAGACAACATCCCAAACAAAGTCAATAAAGAAAATGAGAATGATGATTTACGAGGGCCCTTTTAGAAAAAAAAAAGACCAAATATGTATCTCAGTCCTACAGCTAGTTTGAGATATAAGAGGGAAATTAACATTTGATATGATCAGAAAATAAATAGCGAAGTATCTAAACTTACTTTGGGTGACATGATATACAAAGCTATGAATACAAAACCAAGTACAGTAATTAAGAAACAGGGAAACAGAGTTGCACATGCATAAAGCAGTCATACGCTGATAAGTGTGCAGCAGAGAGAGCTATTTGGAACCCTATCAGTAGAAGATTGATTACCTGGACCATTAAGTTGAACCGATGGGCACTGCTGGTCAGTTTATGTTGGGAAGCGACTGAATTACCAAGAGATGTAACAGAGTACCTTCCAGACTGCCGAGTTCCAGTTGGCGAGTGAGTAAGTACCCAATCATCAGCAGCAGCCATAGCAGCAGTGCTCTCTTCAATTCGTTTCAGATTAGCATCCACTGCTTGTTCAACACTAGGCCTAAAGAGTTTCAAGAGGACTGGACAAATTGCCAGGCCACGCGCTTCTAATAAAGAGCAATGGCCCAAAGCTATCTGTACACACTCTGCAGCAGCTCGTAAACCACCTGCAGCTGCCGACGATGCTAAAGCATGTCTCTTAATAAGAACAGCAAATGACTCTGTTTGCTTTGTAGCCCACATCACAAGCTCAGAAGTGTATGCTGGCTCTTTACCGAAAATGGCCAAAGAATCAGTAGCAGCTTGAGCAATAGCTGAGAAAACTATCTGGGAGAGTGCAGCAGTATATGCTCCTCCATAAGACGTGCTTGATGGCCGGAGGCTTTGCATGTTATACTGGTACCTCTGAAAATGTGCACCGAGTAACAAACTGTGAGCACGAGGCCCATCCCCAAGGCTTTTCAGAGCCCCTACTGCTGCACGGAGTTCAGTGCCTCGGGTTGAAGGTTGGCACGCTGCTTCAGCAAGCTGATCAGCTAACTTTTGCTTCCGTTTCATAATTGCAGTCTCCAACGACCTGAGAACTTCAGGACTCAATGTTGTTGTCTCTTTTGCTTCAGAAACTATGCGATCACCGTCTTCAAAGGCCGCAAGAGCTTCATCCACTCTCCTTTCAGCTAACAAGACATCAAGGAGATCAGGGAATTCAATGGACCATTTCTCCAAATCAGAAGGTTCTCTGTCTTCACTGTACAATAAACTATTTACAGAGGATTCTTCTGAACTCTTATCAGAAAGTTGATCAATTTGAACTCCCTCTGCTAAACTGTGAATTAAAGTAGCCTGGGTGGAAAGCAGGCTTCTGATAGATGAAAGCTCTCCCTCCAAATCTGATATCTCTTTCGATGTACTGCAAACGGAAAATGACAGAGTTTGCTTCAAACCACAACATTATAGAAACAACTCTTTGAGATGCCCACCATTATGGAGAAAATACAGAACATGATTGTCGAAGAAATCAATACAATGAAAATAAGTAAAAATAAAGTGTTCTATAATCCGACATGGAACATGATATATCCCTTCACGGATTCTATTGTGATAGCATGAGTTCAAAACTGACCACTGTCTAGGCGACTTTTCTGAAAGGACTCACCGTATAAAAGAGGTATAATTTGCATAAACACTTTTCCGCATTTCTTCAGCCGAAGCTTTCTTCAAATCCAAAAGATACGAGCACAATTGCCTTATTTCCTGGGGAACAAGAGCACATGTTCATAATGAAGTCACAATAGTGCTGTGTCTTGAAAGTCAAAATACATTATCAATTTATGATTGCTCAAGAAGAAAACACCACAGAATGATAGAACATTCTCATATTTATGTACCACCAACCCAATAGAAAAGTCCCTAACCAAGAACTAGCCGTGAAGCTGTAGCCTGTAGGGATTAATCTTACTCACATTAAAACAGCACATTCTTATGCAACAAGGCATCTAAATTACAGGTCTAACTGTTCAAAGTAGCAGCTAGCTCGGTGGTGTTAGTCAAAACAAAAGGAAAACCGGAGGTCAGGCATAGGATTCAGACATGCCCGTCGAGCAAACAAGAAAAAATAAATTGTCATTCAAGCACTGGTGCGCCAAGTACAAAATCCAAGAATCAAAGCAAATCCAGTTCGATTCAATTCAACTCTGTCACAGCTATTACAGAAGCGATCACGAGGCCGAGCCTGAAGAGAACCTTCTTCTGCTTGTTCACTAGAGTGCCAATTAGGACCGCGCAGTCAGTCGTCCAACTGCCGCAATATCCAGCTTAACAAGAACTACAAGTTCAAGGGACGAACCACACGAATAAGCTAGCGAAGCGGAGACTAACCTTCTCGTTGAGAGAGCATTTGGACTGAACATAAGCATCTGCATCGAACTTATCGGACTTGAAGGCGCTGAGTCCTTCCTCCGTCTTGACGGCTCCGTTCTCCTTCACCGGAGCCGCCCTGGACCGAGCGGTCTTCACCGAAGACATTTTTCCTACCACTGCAGCTCAGAGATCAGATCGACGCAACCAGCGGTAGAAGGACGGCGATGCGAGGGGAAAAGGAAGTAGATCCAATTATTAGGCGACAAAATTGCGGCACAGCGCCATGGATGAACTTCGGAAGCAAAGCTGAACGAGGAGATGAATGAAGAAAGGAGAAAAAAATGAAAGGAGTTGGTGGTTGGTAGAAGCCAGATAGACGAAGGGAGAAAATTCTGTTTGTGAGGGAAAAAACACAGCGCAGACCTCTCTCCCCTCACCGATTGCTTCGGCTGGATGCTGTGTGAGTTTTTCTTTTTTTCTTTTTTTCCTGTTTGGTAGCCGCTGTGAAATTGCGGGGACTTGCCTTTCTATTTCGTTTGACTGTATTTGACGGTAACGTATAAAAATCTGATTTTATTGCTAGAGTTCTGAATTCTTGGGAACATTTTACTTGTTTTTAGGGTGTCCATTCGGGTTCGGTTTTTCGGGTTTATCGAAACCGACCCGATTATATACATTTTAGGAGTTTTTGGATTTGGGTTCGTTTCGGGTTTCGGATTTTTCGGTTTCGGGTTTGGTTTTGCTTATTGGTTTTTCGGGTTTCATCTAAAAACCTCCAATGAATAGAACTCAGCCCGTATTCTTAGACGTTCGGGTTTTCGAATTTCGATTTGGCTTTAATCGAACCCGAACACGATAAGGAATTTTCGGATTTCAGGTAATCGAAACCCGCACGTCCTTATCGGGTTCGGGTTCGGTTTTAGTGGTTTTCGGTTTCGGATTTTTTCGGGTTTTGGTTCGAGTAACCAAATAGCGAAGAGCCAAAACCAAATAGGAATCCCTGTTGGTAAATATCAAACAATTTGTAAAAAAAAAAAAAAACCCTCCATTCATAGTTTTCTAGCATCCTTGCCAGCTTAAGCAATTAGGCACGTCGACATTGTTAACAACTTGGTAAATGTTACAGCAACAGAAAACAGCGCTGACAATTCCTGCAGCATGACATCCCATTCAATTCGACAACAATCCAGGAGTAGAGTACAATCAATCCCCTTGACATTTATTACCACCTTTCTCAAACCCCTGAAAATTTTGTCTCACAGTCAAGACAAGCCATACTGAAAAAAACAGAAAATAGAAATCTCTGATAATCTAAGATATTCCTCCTTGCACGCACAACGCTTCGCCATAGCTCAAACATCTGGGTCGTCGGACCGGGTTGCTGCGACCAAACCAACAAACAATTTTGTAAAGCCGACATCAGGAAATATTAGAATCAGATTAGTCCCAACACCGAGTCGAAGGCACAAGTCCAATAGAACAAAGTTCTCAAGTGGAAGTAAACCGCAGCACAATGACAGCAGAAAGGCACCGCCAGTGTAGATCAGTCAACTTAACAAATATTAGCACTCTACTACTATGTGCATATTCACACAAATGCAGACTTCGTATCAGAGGGAAGTACAAGTACCTAACTTCTCTTCTCGTACCAATAACCCAATGAAAAAAATCATGTTGCCCTTCTCGAAAGGCATATTGATAAATTACTGCCTAAACATCTTACTATACTTTCGGTAATACATAAGGTTCAAAAAGTGCAGCATTAGAAGATTGTTAGCAACCTCAAATCATCAAACCAGAAAGCAAAGCCTGAAATGGAACTGAAACATCACAATCAAAAAGAATTCTTGATAAGGTTCCAAGCTACAGCATAGAGGACCTCTTGACAGTGCAGTATTTACAACAGATATGCATATTGGCAAGAAGAGCCAGGGGTAAGTTCATTCTCACATTCAATTATCTGGAGAGTAAAGGAAACATGTGCTATAAGCCTCTAAAATCAAGTAGAAAACGATAATAGCCTCCTGCCGATGCCAGAGCAACTCAGCCAAACAACTCACATCCTGCCCTGCACTCAAATCACTGACTGACGACACTCAAACATGCATTAAAAGGCCATTTATATGTTACTAATTTGTATAATTCAGGCCTGCACCATGAAAAGAAACTTCATAGCGCCTTTCAAAACATCCTGAAGTGACCATCAACCGAGCAGGCACTATCATACACAACGTCACAAAATCAAATATCATGAAAGCTTGCTCGGAAGGAACACAGCACTCAGACAATCAGACTGAAATACAAAACATTTAGAACAAGTTAAGTCTAAATTGGTTGCAGTTTCAACCATCAACTATACAGAAGAGCTACAGTGGACGTGCCTATATCAGTTTCATATCCTGGTCAAAACGACAGCATCAATCGCTAAAACCAAAACATGAATCTATTATGAATTCCAATTTTCCAGAATTATTCCACTTGTGCCACACTACACGCATAAATTCACAAACCCAGATGACTGGGAGCAAACAAAACCTAAATTCATAGCGCAGCCGCTAAATCCATCTCAACCAAACACGGAGAACCCACTAAAACAGAGATCGACAAGGCCAAGAAAGACCCACACCGACGCAAGAAACACCCACCAGATCTAGGCGAATGAGCAATGGAATACATAACGTGAAATACGTAAAAACCGATCATATGTGGGTTCAGAGCAGGAAGCTTACTGGGCTTCTCGGGCTTTCCTTCGGACCACTTGGTAACGGTGAAATGGACCTTCTCCCGAGCTAGGGCATCGCTCTTGTGAGGCTCCTTGAGGCAGTTCCTGACTATGTTAGCGCAGATGTTCGAGTATGAGATGTAAGTCATCCCTGCAGACCTCCAGAAGGGTACTGCTGCAGTCGACGCCATTGATGGTGATTTCGCAAGTTTCGGGGGATGTCTTCGTTTCCTCTGTCTCCTCTCCGCCTTGTTCTTCGGCTTTCTGTATTTGCAGTCTATGCCAGCGCAACGCAAGGGTTGTGGGTGGCCAAGTAAACGGTAAGTCATTTTCCTCTTTTATTTTCTACATTTATTTTCTTTTTGGATTGACCTTTCCTCGCTATTGGGCTTTCAGCCCAGCTTTGGACTTGGACTGTCCAAAAAATAATGGATTTGGTGATGGACAAATTCCATTGTTTGTTTGGGTAGTTTGGATTGAGTTTATTGACAATGTGGTATTTGTAGGTTCAAATAACTCATTTTTTCATTTTGTGGTATTTCAGAGGTATTTGAGATTAATAGATGGTATTTTAATTTTAATTGTGTTGTTTGCATGAAAGAGTTAATTGTGTGTGGTATTTCATAAAACAAACCAAAAATACTTCATTGCCCTTCTTGCATTGCCCTTCTTCCTGGAATTAATTTTTTTATCATCAATCGATCACAACCACTACCCAGTCTCTAGTAGGATGGCAATGGGTCGGGTTGGGTCGGGTTTTGCCAAACCCAAACCCATGGGTTTATCCGTGAAAAAAACCCGGGGTAAAACCCACTGGGTTTGAAAAACTCAAACCCAACCCAACCCGCTGGGTATCCGCAGGTTCATGGGTACCCACGGGTTTTGTCGTAAAAAATTTACAACCTATCAAAATTAAAGTCAAATATCAATCTCTTCATACAAGTTATCCATATTTAAAACACCATTCTAGAAAATTCAAGCAAATCACAAATTAACTATACAAAATTTTCAACACCAATCTAGAAAACTCAAGAAAATTGAAGCAAATCACAAATTATCCATAAATAACATGATTAATTGAAAGCTTCTTCCTTTCAATTAAGTTTCTTCACTCTCCACTAGATAACATCAACTTCATTCTACACAATTTGAAAGAAAAAATTAGACATGTCTCCACAAACATAAATAAGATTAGTTGTTTAAAATATTAAATATACCGAAAATTTTATTATATCGGTGTAGTCGGGTACCCATGGGTCGGGTTTACCTAAACCCAAACCCAACCCAACCCGGTGAATAGTGAACGGGTTTAAACCCAAACCCGGCCCAAAACCCGTCAACACGGATTTTACCCGCGTTGACCGGGTTAGGTCGGGTGGGTACCCGTGGGTTCGGGTTTTGTTGCCATCCCTAGTCTCTAGTGAGGAAGAGTCGAAGAGATACCAGTTTGATCCTACAACACCAAAGTTCAATTAATGAAAGGAAGAATTCGCATGCACTATAAAGGAATGGTCAGAGGGTGGAATCTATTAGGGATTGGACAAAATAGAGCAAAATTGAAGGGAAAGATTGCATGAACAATTTCATTGATTGCGTTAAGAGGGGAAGCCGGCGAATTGGCTAACAAAGAAAGGGAAAGAAATAATCGAGTCCATACCAGCCTCCTGCAAATTACCTTGTCACCGCTAAGCTCTTCCCAAACACTTACCAACCCATCTCCCGCAAAATTACCAGATAATAAATCAGTATACAAGTCTCCCCACCGTCGCCGCTGCCGTTAGAGAAGGAACGAGAAGAGTGAGAGGAATCGATCGAGGCGGACTGCAAGAGGAGGAACGAGAAGAGGGAAGGAATCGCAGGATGGTTCTCCTTGCCGTTGACGCTGCCAGAGAAGGAGTCAACGCCGCCGCGATCGAGGTGAACTGCAAGAGGAGGAACGAGAAGGAGAGGAATCGCAGGACAGTTCTTCCTACTGTCGCCGTCGCCAGATAAGCCTTTCTTTGCCACCGCCATAGAAGGAATCGCCACCGCCAGAGAAACCTTTGCTCACCGCCGCAACCTAGGCTTCAGCCTACTCAAACTGATCTGCATAAAGAATGGAATTCAAAGGTTGCAGAAGAAACCTCCGCCGCGCAATGGATTTTGATTTGGGGCTGAAGAATCAAAGAAGAGGAGAAGAAGCGTAAAAGAGAAAGAAGGAAAAGGGACAAGAGAAGAGATGAGAGAGGAGAGAGATTGGGGGCAGAATAGGGTGCTTTTAACGCAAAACGCGTTATTGAGAAATAACTGGGTACCCCCTATTATTTTCAATAACTCGCTTTTGAGTGATTTCGGAATAACTCATGCCCAAATACCACATCCAATTTTTGTTATGCCAAACAAGTTATTTGATACCGAATAACTCACAAGGAGTTATTGAGCACTTCTACTATGCTATAAAGTATTGGTGCTTTAATGTACAACTTAAAGTTGTACCATAATGTTAAATGTATAAGTTCAGGTTGTACCATAAAGGAATTTGTGCTCTTATCTTATGGTACAACTTTATAACTTCAACTTGTACCATCAAATGAAAGTACAAGTTTAAGTTGTACCATAAAACAATTTGACAAAAGAGTATAGGTACAATATGAAGTTGTACCATAACGTTAAAGATACAACTTCAAGTTGTACCATAAAAAGAAAAACCTATAGCATCAATGCTATATAGCATTGTAAAATTCCTCTGAGTTATTTGGTACCAAATAACTCGTAGCAATAACTCATCCAAACGACCCCCGAAGTATTTAGGGGTAACAAATTCGTGGAATATTTTATGTGGGAACTGATTATGGATTTTCACTTTATGATTAATTTGTCTTTCTTATTTCTTTTTGGGTTAATTGCATGGGTGGTCATTGTGATTACAAAAAACGTTCAAATTTAGTCACTTGAAATATTTAAATCCATTCGTAGTCACTAAAATTAGTAAAACAGTCCAAGTTTGGTCACTCTCCGTTAGTCTCCGTCAGCGACGTCAACTTTTTGATGACGTGGCTAACAGAAAAGTCTAGTCACCAAATTTAACCCCAAAAATTAAAAAATATTATCTGCCACATCAGGTAATTCAGCCCAACCAATGACTCAAACCCTAACCTAACTTATTGACCCGCCATCAACAATCCATCTTTGCACCTCTTCCTCTAGCTCCGCCGCATCCTCAATCTCTATTCTTCTTCCTCCGCTGCTTTTAAACCCAGTTCTCAAAAATCCCCTCTTTCAATTGGAACCAAATCGAGCCCAAGAGACATGTAGATGAAGCGGCCAACGCGATGAGTCTATACTTTACAGATCTGATTGGGGTAGATGATTGGCTCGCCAGAGAAGATGAAGCGGCCAACAGATCTGAATGAGGCAGATGATTGGCTCGCTAGATCCTCTGCTTCTTTTCGATAATGAAGGGGTAAGAAGAGGGGCTAGGCGGCTGGAGTCGGAGGGAGAAGAATAGTGTTGGGGAGAGGATCTTAAGCGACGGGTGGGAGAAGAAATTGAAAGGCAGTTACCCTATTTTGGAGGTGGTGGTCAATTTCATCACAATGACTTCTTCCTTCATCTATGAGTCTCTCCTTCACAACCCCTCTATTGGGATTTCATCCACCCCAAAAATTACCTCTGATTTTCATCTATTCCACCTGGGAGAAACAAGAAATTTGATTAATTGGGTATTTGGGTGGATATACAGAGGTAGAGAGGCTGTCAGTGATGGCGAATAGAAATAGAGAAGTGTTGTTTAGCCCGAGCTCCAAGGATACAGGAATTCACCGACATCCCCGCACCGCCCTTCTCCGTCGCGTCCCCTTACTCCCGCCTCGACCTCTTCGCCTCCTCCACCCTTCGGTCTGCCGTCGGATCGACTACATCTTTGATTATGATATTCTAGACGCTTGGCTGGTCGGTTCTGTCCAACTTGAGGAAATGCGACTGATTCAATCACCATTCAGACCTGGTTGTCGAAGGGAATGCAAGAAAAATGAAGAACTAGAGTTCAGATCTGTAAAGGAAACAGGGATAAACCCTTCTTTTGTTTGAGTGGTTGGTTCCTGGATGGGTGGGTCGCTTTGGTTCAAGGATTTGGTTGGGTTGGGATGGAAAAAATGACATGGCGGGTCGGATTTCACTATTTTTGGGTTAAATTAGACTGACTAGGTGATTCTGTCTGCCTTGTCAGCACATAACGGTCTTGGTTAACGGAGACTAACGGAGAGTGACCAAACATGGACGGTTTTACTAATTTTAGTGACCATTAATGGATTTAAATATTTCGAGTGACCAAACATGAACGTTTTTTATAATCACAGTGACCAATCATGCAATTAACCCTTTCTTTTTTCTTCTCATACCAATGAGGACAATATAGGTCAATTTTACTTTATACACACAAATCTAATTGATCAAAATTATCATAAAATCTATGAAACAAACAATGTTATTTTTCAAGTCCATAATAAACCCAAAACCTTCATATATCCATGATTTTACAAAACTTAAGTCTTAGTAAAATCTTCATTCTTAAAATCCACGAAGCAAACGACCTATAAGCTTTTCTTTAGCACATTGTCACCATTGCTTTCCTTCATTTTCGGCTCACAAATTTCATTAAAGTATGTAGTTTGCTCTATGTTTTGAGTATGTTTTTAAACTGAAAAAATAGATACAAAACTCAGAACGGTAAAATCTACAAAATTTTGTGTTTTATCATTCCTGATATGATCATAGTGGGAGATATGATTCATATCAATGTCAATGGACAAGACACCAATTTTGTAGCTTTTGCATTCCTGGAGTTTCGTGTCATAATCCATATATTTTCAGACATATTATTTGCTCATATAGACTCTAGGTTTAGCGATAAATATTGTCGTTCCTATTGTCAACATTACTGATATAACGGAAAAAAATATATTACAGATATAAATTTTGTTGAATGATTATTAAATTTGCAACTCGAAGTTTCCAATAGGCTATCGCTCAACACTCAAATCAAAGTTCGTAAAAATCAGCACGTGAAAGCAAATTAAATTATCATATCACTAGTTAGAACGATCATCCCAAAAATTAAATTATTATTGTCGATCTTATAGAAAGTTATTGTATAAATATTTCCCAACTTATTTGACACATAAGTTACATTTTCTACATAGAACAAGTGTGACACGAAGCCCCACTGCACTCTTCCCCCTCAACTGCTGAAGCAGGAGAGTTCTGAGTAAGTGCTTATTTATCAGTTTATTTATATACTGAAGTTCAAAGTCTGTACAGAATACATCCTGCTTTTACCTCTTACATCCACCATGAAAGCATATTCATATGCATACCTGGTGAAACTCTGAGAAGAAGATTCTTCTCAGTACAAGTTTCATCATTCACAAACACACCAAACTTTATATATACATATATAATAACATATATATTGACTGGGAATCTCCCTGGAAACCATCAACCAAAGCACATGCATATGACCTTGTGGAAGCAAGAGGCACTGGCATACTTCTCCCTCAGAACAGCCTTGCAGGCTGCTACACAAGGAGAGATCGTGCATGGATTCATGTCGATTCCAAACACTGCCTCGCCTGTGATTGCATTGGCAGCCATGAAAACCAGGAAAACCAGCAGAATGTTCTCCACCACTGACATGAAGTTTCCTCTTCCACCACTGCCCTTCTTCATCTTGTTGAGGAAAATTTTGAGATGGGTTTGGGGTGAAGCTGTGGACTTCATTATATAGGAGTTGCAGAAGGAATGTTTTCTCAGAGTTACAAGCAAAGCATTTAGTAGCAGTAGGAGAGTGTTCAATTCTTGTCCCTTATTCCAGATGGTTGCTGCTTTTCAGGCTTTCTTAGTTAGGAAAAGAGAGATGGAGGAAGGGGGCAACAAGGAGGAGATATATTAGTGTGGTTTGCTTGGATCAGAAGGGAACTGTTTGTAATGCATGCATCTGCATTTTCTTGTTTGCTTGGGTTTAGGTTTTAATGAGCCTAACAGAAACATCTAGTTGAGAAAGAAAATGGGGAATCAAAACATCTTTGTCTGATGTTGATATGGAACAATTTTGAAACTATGATTCGATGGGTCATAGGATGTTTCTTTTTCTTTCACAAAGAGAGGGCCTGCTAACTTGCTGTTGCAGACATTTTTCTCAAAATGATGTGATAAGATGGATCTATAAATCAGGCTAGTTTCTTACACTTCAGCAGCAAGGAAGCAAATATACTGCCACTGTTTATTTGTTGTTCTGCAAAAACTACATAAGAAAATTGCAAAATCAGGATTTTACTAACAATGAGAAAACAATATTCCCTCTTTATGTATTCCAATCCTAAATATTTTTTACATACATAAACAAAAACTAGGTTTCTCAATCTAACAGTCTATCACCAATATTCTTCATAACCAGTACACAATACATTAGGGTATCACAAAAAGCTTCATCAAACTAGGAGTCAAACTATCCCAACTCCTAGAACATTTTTGCCTACTCCTCCATGCCAAGATCACCCCACCTCACTTTGTATCTTGCTGCCAGGTAGTGAGCCCCAACAGGGCCCCGGCTTCCATATGGATAGTACTCCGGTATGGTCCTCTTCTCTTCCAGTTCCTTCAGAACTGGCGTGAAAAGCGACCAAGCAGCATCAAGTTCATCGCTTCTAATAAACAGTCGCCTTTCCCCTTCGATGGCGTCCAGAAGAAGCCTCTCGTATGCATCTGGAATCTCCTTCGAGTACCTAAAACGAGCACAACAACAAGCTCAGTCTTGAATCTAGATGTTCAAGTGTGCCTCTCTAACAATGAAATGCAGACTCCACTTCAAGCATAAATGGAATTAAAGTTCTAAACTCTTTTACCTTGTCGAATAGAGAAGATTCAGATTGCTACGGTCTAGTCTCATCCCAAGTCCAGGTACCTTGTTATTGATCTTCAGATAGATCGCTTCATCTGGCTGCACTCTAATCACAAGCTCGTTCGTGGCTTGATCAAGATCCGTTCCAATATTTCGGTTGTACAAGTTGCCAGGCACATGTCTGAACTGTACCCTAATTTCAGCACTGAGTACGAAGAACAAGCATTGGAAACATTGAGAAACTCTGTGCCTTTTTTATAACCAAAACGAATAAGAAAACCATGTACTTTCTATCTTACCTTCTATTATGTAATGCCTTTCCAGCTTTCATCAGAAAAGGAACTCCATCCCATCTTGCATTATCAATGAAAAGGGCAGCTGCAGCAAACGTTGGAGTCACACTGTCTTTTGGCACCGTCTTGTCATCGGTATATCCAGGATGAGTAACTCCTCCTCTCGTATGACTCTTGTATTGCCCAATCACCACATCTTCGAGCCTCAAAGTCCTCATCGATCTCAGAACTTTGACCTGAGTACAATATCGACGATTTAGCATTCCTTCAACAGTAGAAGATGGCCAAAAAAGATTGACAGAGATGGATGAAGTGGCTATAATGTTAGTTATTCAAAACTTCATATGAAAAGTTTGTTAAAAATCAAAGTTCAATAACCAATTCGCTCACAATTGGGGTTCTATGGGACCGTGACCATTATTCACAATTACTATCCAACATACTTCATTCTTCAAAAAAATACCTTCTCATTTCTGATGTCCTCAGCATCCAAGCTAACAGGAGTCTCCATGGCAAAGAGCGCGAGTATCTGAAGCAAATGGTTCTGCATTATGTCTCTTATTATCCCATAATTGTCGAAGTACCTAACATAGAAACAAAACAACCGAAGACCATTAGCCATATATATGCAGCCAGATGAACTCTAATGTAAACATCGATGTTAAAACTTTACCCTCCGCGCCCTTCGGTTCCAAAATCTTCTGAGAATATCAACTGAACATTTCTTATATACTGTCTTGACCACAATGGTTCAAATATGAGATTAGAGAACCGGAGAACCGATAGGTTTTCCACAAGTTCCTTCCCCAGATAGTGGTCTATCCTGAATATTTGATCCTCAGTTAGGTATTGCTTGAGGGCTTTGGTCAAAGCAGCTGATGATTCCGAGTCTCGACCAAAGGGCTTCTCTACAATGACCCTAGTCCACCCACTGGCTGCAGAAGCTGAGGAGCTAGCACATTTTACTGCATCAATGAATATGTTTGGGGGAATCGACAGATAAAACAGGCGGTTTGACTCTCGACCACCCTGCAAATATAGATCACCTTAGGTCAACCAAAGACCAAAGTAAAGCACTTGTTGCAGCATTAGGTCTTCGAGATCATTGCTGACACCTTTTCAATACACACTTCATTACCTCATGTTCTTTGAGCTTTTTGTCTAGGGCTTCAAAATGTTCTTGGGAATCGTATTGACCTGAATGATAGAAGCACCTCTTAAGAAATTGATCCATCTTTTCTCCACAATTCTCCCTGGAAAGTCACAAAATGGAAAGGTCTAGACTCTAGGAGAGAGCAATTTACATCACTCTCAATCCGAAAGAAACAACAACAAAAAAAAAAACAAAAAAAACTGAAGTCACCTCTGGTCAATTCTGCAAGTTAGGGTTTTGCTAACCATGTTCCTAAGCTCAGCATCGGTCATCTTGCTACGAGCATAACCAAACACCGTAAAATGCTGCAATAAAAAACACAAAAATGCACAAACTTGATTATTAGCCAATGGACGGACCGCCCAATCTGCTATAGAGGGGAATTGCAGAAAGTATGTTGAACCTTTGGAAGGCAACCCTCATAGTAAAGGGCGAAAAGTGCAGGAAAGATCTTCTTTTTAGCTAGATCCCCAGAAGCTCCAACCACAGTAATACTAACAGAAGACTCATTCTCATTAACATCAAAACCAGCTGCCTCTTTCAATTCCTCAGTAGAGATGCTCGAAGAAGAAAGCAACCCATCTTCCAATTTCTGGATAGCTGCTTCCTTTTTCTGTGCTGGGTTTACAGGAGTTACCACAGCACCTATGATCGAATCAAATTCAAAACATTATGGTAATTAGATCCCTTAATCAGACCCAAAACAATGTCCCAAACAACCAAACATTTGGGCAATGAGAATAGGGATCAAAGATAGAACTTCAACCATGCTTGGAACCAATCACCCAGCAACATATATGGCAAATTGCAATTAGAGTTAAAAACAGAACAACTGAAATGTCATTGGGTCTAATTACCTCTAGTCAAGTAATTAAAACTTCAGGAACAACATAACAATTGGAAGGAGAACCAGTTCGTCTCCATAACATGCTAGTTTATTGGGAGAGATCAACTCCATCCAAATTCCAAATAATACTTTGAAACCCTCTAAGACCCAAATCAATATCCCAAAAAGCAAAATATTCGGGCAATGAGAATATGAATCAAAGATTGAAACTTTGACCAGGCTTGGACCAATTCACACAACAACCCATTCCCTGGTAAGAACTTAAGAACAATTAATTGAAAAGCAATCAAGGAATGTACCATCTTCCATTAAGACGACATTAGGCCGAGAATTGCCCTGAGACTGCTGCAGGCAGAATACGGCTGGAGGAGACTTCCTGGGAACTGGAGAAGACAAGCTGAGAAGCCGATGAGTATTTTGTCGGCCGTTCGACGAGGACGGCGGGAAGGAATTAGTGGAATAGGAACGCCATTGAGCTGAAGATAAAGTTGCCATCTTTACTAGTTGAACTTTTCCTCAATCAATCAATTTAATCAGCTTCGCGCTTTTATCGAATGTCTTTCCTTGTTCTGCAGAAGTGGGGAAAAGCTGCAGTCTTTAATGGTGAAGCATCATCGGGGACATCGAGGCGTAGTGGGTGAGAAAATGAAACAGAAAATAAAAAGCTGCCAGAAACGACAAATTTTGGCAAGCAAATGTTTTAAAAACCTATAATCATAAAATGAAAATGTAAATTTCAGAAGGCAAACCTTGGCCCTTGCTAAAATACAGTATCCCACTCCGTCGCTCCGAATTCTGCTCTTTTGCTCGCCCCTTCTTCATCGTCAATAATGATGGCGGCTGCCACTCTCAGTCTCACCAACTATCAGCTTCAAAGCCACCCGTTACTTCCACAGCCGTTGTCAAAGTCGAACACCCTCCTCTCCTCTCAGCCGCCGCATCCCTCGTCGTCTTTCTACTTACCAACGGCCAAAGGTTCGCTTCACTTTCCCTCAACTTGATTCTTTCCTTCTTCTCATTTCTTCCAACGTTAATACCGGCGCTCAACTCTCATATTATAATCTTGATTGAAGACGTGAAGAAGTTGGATGGCAGAAGGAAGGCGGTAGAAGGTCTTTCTTGCCGGGCAGCCGTTAGAGCCGCAGGCGGATGGCGAAGGCCTGATGTGTCGCCGTGGGATGATAAGCCGTACGAGATTCTTCCCACTGGGAAGAGGGCTTACTTAGACGAGCAAGACGTGGTGGCGTTTCTCGACCCTCCCATGGAGTTGATCCCTCTTGACCCGGCTTCTTACAACCCAGCTGCCTACCTCTGGTGATTTTCTGTTTCCACCACACATTTGCATTTCTCTCTTGTAAGTTGTAATTGTAAAAAAAAAATCATTTCCTGCAGAAGCAGATTGACTATTGAAGTAGTACCCATTGGAGTTCAAGTTCTAGAATATCTGGGATGTTATGTAATTGAGTTTTACAGCGATGCTAGGCTACTAACAGTTGAGGTGCGGTTACTTGATTCTAGGGCTGATTTGAGAAGCATTTGTTTCACTAGCTTGTTTGTGATCTTGATGGATTTTTGTAGTCTGCCTGCCTGGTAAACTGAACAGCATGACTATGAAGCTTTTATCTCCGCTTACTTCGAATGTTCACGTCTCCAGGAAGAAAATCGATGATGTACCTGAAGAGAGGCGCCATCGATTGATCCACCTGTTGGATCCTAGGTATTTTTCTCTTTATCTCACTTTTCATGTTGTATGGACCATGGTTGATGTCTCTCTGAGGTATTATGTGCTGAAAACCTGAAAGAGTTTCTGTCATGAGTATATGCTGTTACCTGTTGGAGCTTTCGTGTGATATGATTCTTGTGATTTATGGAGAGCTTGTCGTTTCATGTGGTAGAAACTCAGCAGCTTTGACATTTGATCATTCTTATGAAACAGACTCATATCAAGAGCTTGGGAAATAGCAGGGACGCGTTACGAGGATTCTAAGCTAACTAAGTTGATGGCATCCAACTTATTATCCTGTAAAGATGGAGAGAGATCACTTGAGTTCTATCATTGCCGAAGTGGTGGAGGTATTCCAGCCTGTACATTGCCTATAATAGTTGTGTGTACTGCTGCAGTTGTTAATTTTAGGACATATTAGGGAATCAAGGAAATTTGTCTTAATTTGTTATTCGCCACTGCCGGAGAAGACAGCTTGCAAGATCACACATTTATTCTTTGAGCTTTGTCATGTCGATTGGTAAAATAGCATGGAGATAACTGAGGCAGTTATACTTGTTTAATCAAATTTTCAGATAAAATTAAGGATCGTGGGAATGTGGCCTCATCCATTAAACTCTCTTACTGTCAGTTGGTTGTTCGTATTATCTTTTATATCTTAAGGAGAGTCAAAGCTATCAGCTAATTTCGTTTCCTCCATATGCTGATCTAAGTCACTGTTACTAGGTCCTTCGCCGATTGGTTGGATGAAATTCTTCAAGAAGGTTCGTTTAAGAACCCTTTTTGCTTTAAGATATTAAAACCCCCTGATTGCCATTTATGCTGATCATTTCTGGTTTGCTTGATTCATATGCAGGCTATATTTCGCAGCAATAGTGGGAAGGTTTATGGGCGATTTATTGGTACGTCTAGCTGAGTTGTTTTTCCCCCTTAATTTCCAACAAGATTTTATTGTTGCTGTGGGGTATACCGAAGTGTGCCTATGTGGATATCTCCATCTCTTAATACAGAATGGTCCTGACATCCCATGTTTTCACCTATTTCTACTTAATCCTTGCCTGTACTCCGATACATTTATTTAAGATTTGAGTACTTCGGTACCACCAGCTAACCAAAATTGGTAACACAGCTGGAGGAGTTGTGGGTCAAATTGCAAACTCCATCAGTCCACTCTACTTTTTGACAACTGAAGATAGAGAAGTGATGGCAACAGAGCAGCCTTGTGATTTAGCGTATGAATTTGGTGATGGTCATTTGAATCTCGACAACTGTCCAGTTAGCTTCCCAAAACCAGGTAAGAAGAGTTTTCAGGTATCCTCTAAACCGCCATTGTGATGTATGGGGGGTTCCCTGATCGACCTAGGATGGATGGATTTTTGTTCAAACTTGCAGGGAAGCATCCCTATCCATTCAACGACCAGGTTATGGTGTATGTTCGTCACATAGGACCAGGAGTGTCCGTCGGCCAAGCATGGCAGGAAGGGAAGGAATTGCAACAAGTGCCCCGGAAGCTGTGTGGTGAGATTCTGATGGTGAAAGACTATTCTGCTGCATAGTCCCGGTGAGGAACAACATCTTCAATCTCAACTCTCAACCTTAATGTTTCTGCCACTGCGTCCCATGAGTTGGCTTGTAGATCAAAGATGAAGAAGTTTTTGAGCCATCTGAACAAGGGTATTCGCCAGGCTGACCGGCCTAGAGAATCCGGTAACAATGATCTCTTGTGAAGTAACAAAACAAGAATCTATGAGACCGTTGCCGGTTCTGAAGGATTTGGCTCTTGATTGGTGTCCAGTTTAGAAGTTGTCTAACTGAAACACATAGTAGGAGTATAGGTTTCAAATTCAGTTGTTTACTTATGTTCATCCACCTCCATGTAATATTCAAAATAGGACAGCCTAATCATATGGCGCAATTATATTCTATGACTATAATGTTGGTAGGAGAAAACAAGCCTCAACAAATTAATTGGAAAAGCTGGCCTGTGAATTGTAACGTTAGAACTATGGATCAGTTCTAAGTTCTAACAAATAACTTGTTTTTCGTTTTTGTCTTGCCATATTTGCACGATTGGTTGTAGTCAATCACGTCGAGATTGTGCTACAGATATGGCTGCCTCTTCGAAACATGTTACTAGTCAAAGGTAAGAGAGTAAAATTTGTGCTGATGAGAATGGTAGTATGAATGCAGGAACAAGGCAAAAGAAGTAGGAAACGAAAACCTGTCAACCACTTACAGTATGTGAAAGGAAGAAAATGAAACTGAAACAGGGTTACAAATGGGGATATAGTGCTGTTGCTTATTCCATTCAAGATGCATCTATAGAATCACAGTTTTCAGTCAGTGGATTCGACGAACTTGCTCAGTTCCTCCAGTTTCTTCATCCTCAAGCTTTCACTTCTCGCTAGCAGCTGGAATTGGAAAGATCATCAGGAACAGACAACAAGGTAATGAAAGCAGAACTGAACGCAATATGTATACATACATCCTTTAATGTCGCAACCAAAGCAGACTTCTCTTTGCTCTTCTCATTGAAAGCTTCCAGTACTTCTTTGTATTCCTTCTCCTGTGACCCAAATAAACAGAGATTTTCAATACCTGCTACACCAATCCCATAAGAATGTGACAATGGCAATGGGGTTAAGAACTTGGACCTTCTTCTGGGAGCTCTGAGCTAAGCCCTTGACCTCTCTATTCGCCAAATCGACCTTCTTGCGCAGCATTGCCACCTCTTTCTTCATTGGGTCTTCCATCACTTGGATCTCCTGCTTGCTCACCATGAATTGTTAGAATAAAACTGCAGCACAATCAAGGAGCAATTTTATATGGTTCCACTATTACTGGTTGCACTTACCTCCCAGATATGGACAAGCTTTTTGGTCTCCTCTTCAACGCGTCCTAGCTCGAGCTCCACCCTCCCCTTCACCGCCATTTTCCTCTTCTCGATCTCTTCTTCCTTGGCCTGGAGCGCAGCCAGCATCGCCACCCTCGAGGCCTCATCGTCTAGCCCCTCGTCTTTATGATGCTGATGATTTCTGATCTCGCCATTCTCTTGTTCCACTGACATTGTTCTCTCGCTGCTGCTGCTACCAATGCTGCTGTTGTTGATCATCCTGGTGCGTTCGCTTTCTTTGACATCGATCTCTCTCTGTTTCTTTATATTGATGACCGGAGCTTGAAACCCAAGCCAGAGTTTTTTGCGCCAGAAGGAGAAAACCCAACTCAGCATTTGGTTCTTGCCGTTGCTTCAAAGCTCGATATGGTTCTGCTGATCTGCTGCGTCCCTCCAAACTAGCTTTTGCTTTCTGTGCACTACAACGAACTCTCTCTGCTCACCACCCAGAAGGAAGAGAAGAGGTGACAAGTTGTGTCTGGATTGGAGGATGCTTTCTCTTGAAAGCATTGTAAAGAAAGCAAATGGAGGTCCAGACCAGACAGCTATCTTTCCCTTTAATCCTCCTTGTTTATTGTGGAAAAAAAAGGAGGGATTCAACGGTTTAAACTTTAAACTACAATCATGATGTTTTCCCACTTTATCAGTGGCTGCACTTGACATCACGTACTGGCATAACTAAAGAAAGTGACCACTTTAGCTTTCTTTGGATCATAGCTATGGATTCCTACGAATTACAAAAGGTATAGTAATGTATTGAGTACCCAGATTCAGTACACTTCCAAATTCATTCTAATTAAAGTATACAGCATCAGAACTTCTTCTATCACGACCCTGCAACGACTACTTTGCAAGCATTGCAGGTAATGAATAAGTCTATCGGTGTCGTAGGTCGAAATATGACATTGAGCATATTTAGGGAGGCAAATTTTGTAGCAAATTATTTTCTGTCGCATGGTCATTCTATGCCAATGGAAGAGCACGTTATTATAACACATTGCAACTCTCTTGACTATTAGTATTTTATAATTTGATCGGGATGGAAATAACCCGTTTGGTTAATGAATAAAGGTTGTGGGTTAGTGATGGAGGATTAGGGTTGTGAGATGGAAGTTGACTTGTAATTTCTTGATTTCTCTTTCTTTGAACTTGATGGAAGAAGACGACAAACTATTATGAGGATCAGAACGGTATGAAGGAAGGAGTATATTCACGATTGGTGATAGGAAAACGGAGGGGTAGTCGGGGAAGATGGGGTCAAAAAGGTATTTTAATCTTTTTATTAATGAAATACTATGATATTGGACAATCAATCCAACAATAATTGTGTTGGGATATGGATTAATATGCCTACACGACTATAAACGGGCCCAAACCCACCGCAAGGCGTTCTGGGCCCAAGCCCACTCAAGGAAGCCCAAACCCTATATAAGGAGGCCTAACTCTCCAAACTAAGTATCTTCTCTTTTCCCTTCCTTACTTTCCCCTAAGTTATCTCTCTCTACTTTATCTCTTTACATACCATACACTCTCCTATATCGTACTAACTTGGGCGTTGGAGCGTAGATCCAGGGGGCCGCCCCCGCCTCACAGGTTCTTCCACTCCCGAGGAGATCAGACGAGGGAGTTCAGATCGGAGCCCCATAACCGCCTAGTACATTCTAGGCACAAACAAATTGTAACCCATTACCACTTTACAAACGGAATAGTGAATACTATATGAATGTTACATTCTAAAATACAACATTTTGTTTCAAAATACTACTAATAAATCAAAATTTTGCGGTAAGAAAGAAAATTATGAAGCTTTCATTTTTGGGTTAATATTTTCGTATGGCCTGAACTTTGACCAAAATAAACATCCTGGCCAATCTTTTCGATCTATAACATCCTGGCCCGAACTATATACCAAAATAAACAATTTGGCCAGATCCGACTTTTGACCGTTAACTTGGACGGTCAAACGCGTTGACCGTTAGTCAACGCGTTGGCCAAATTATTTATTTTGGTGTATAGTTCGAGCCAGGATGTTATAGATCAAAAAGATTGATCAGAATGTTTATTTCGATCAAAGTTCAGACCATACGAAAATATTAACCATTACCAAAAACTTTTTTCCTTCTTGGTTGAAGTTTCAATCCGATCCTATTATCGACATTCAACGCCAGCGTAGCGACTAGCTACTAGTGAGCGTCTTCCTCCCGTTCCTGTCTCTCTCTCTCTCTCTCCGTCCATCTCCGAGCTAGACGAGATGATTCTCCAGAGCCAAGCTCGAGTGAGCTCTCACTCTCCGATGTTCTCACTCGTTTCCCAGCGGCCCACTACCCGTTCCCAATTCCTCTTCCCCAACCAGCGCCACCCACTTCGCCACCGCTCCTTAAATTGCTCCATTTCCGCTAAAGCCGCCATCTCTTCAGAGCCTGCCACCGTCGTCCTGGGTACTCCGCAACACAAGCCCTTCCCAGCCGAGGTCTCCAGAACCATCGTGGAGTTGTCCTCCGTCGCCACACTCTCGACCCTCACCCAACAAGGTTGCCCTCTGAGCGTCAGCGTTCGTTTCGCTGTGGATGATGAAGATGGGACTCCGGTTATCTGCCTGGCCGATTCCCACAGAATCGTCTCTCATGACAAGAGGTCTAGCCTCAACATTCGGGTACTTGGGTTTGGAGAATTTCTTCCTCAGTTTCCATTTTGTATTTTGGAAACCATCTTAGGTGACTGAAGGGTTTGTTGATTTGGTTTGGATCAGCTGGAGCAGAGCGGAATGCGGACCTCTCAGTGCACAATTCAGGGTAGTCTAGAGAAGCCCGAGGATGCAAAGCGGTTAAAGGTAAAAACATTTGAGATTCTATTGTGGTTAGTTCCATTAAGAGGCTATAAAATTTGGAATTCCCTCTGTATTTGCGAAGGAGAATTAGAATTGTGCTTCTGATGACTTACACTTCTAGATTCAAGGTGGATTTCTCAGTATGGCATTGTCTTGAGTGAGACTTTTAGCTTCAGTCTCATTGCCTCAATACTTAGCTAAGAAGAATGTGCTAAAAGCCTTGTTATGGTTCAGTGATCGTTCCTCACCACTTCCAACTTCCTATTTGTTGCATTTTGCCCTTTTACCATAACTTAGGTATCAAATGCACTTCCATTTGCACTTTTCTAGTTGCCGATAGTTTTTTTTCCCCCCGCATGGCAGACTCAGATCGAATGCCTACTATATAATATGCTGATGGATGTTATCCCTACAGTGATGATTTCCATTTGGTTTTAAATCTTGTAGAGGCTCCTATCCACATGGAGGAAAAGATTTGGAGAAGAAGTTAAGGAAGACAGTGTATACATTGTTGATGTTGAAAGAGTACTTCAGATGGAAGACTTCATGGAGGTATGCTTGCTCCATCTGATGTCCGAGTTGCCATTGTGCACTTGTTTTAATTTCTTACATGGCTTAATAAGCATATCCATTCTCGCGATCGAGTGTGCACTTCTCCGATTTGGGAAGCAGCAACAAGTAATCTGATGTTACTGTACTTTAGATTTGATGTCTGGAACTATTTCAGGATGGCCTATGGGTCTCCTCATCAGACTACAAAAATGCCCTTCCTGATCCTCTCCGGAACTCGGCAGAAGAATTCGTCAAAGAGATAAATGCCAAAAACATGGAAGATGTCTACAGATTTTGCAATGTATATGTTGATCATGATTTCCAGGTTTCCAACTAACTTCTAGCTTCATTCTCCTTCGTCTTTATTTATGTGTTTGTTTTAATGCCATGTTTAGTATATACCAGGTATGGAGGGTTACAAGTTCGACCTACTGTGCAGGGAGATACAACTTTTTCACCTAGTTTACAATATGATATTTTGATTGGTTTTAAGTTATTTGAATTTGAGATAATTTCTCTTACTATTTGGTGAACTATTGTAACCTAGAAATCCTCTATCTTCTCGTCGGTAACTGGCTTCTGCTTTGAACATATATGGCGAGCGAGGAATAGAAACTTGGTTTACCCTGGTTTGTTTTATACATAATTTTTTAGCATATCATATCTGTGTGTGAATTGCTCTGCGACGAGTTAGAAAGTATGGTCTGATACGTATAAAGAACAGACAGCCATACTACCCCATATTACCATAGACTGCGGGCATGGCTGTGCAAGAAGTGAAGGTTCTTATTTATTTAGTCAATCATGGCAGAAAAAAGTCTACTTAACCGCCTGTAGTGTTCGTTCTATTTCCCTTGTGTCTGCCAGTTGTCCTCATGAATTCTCACTTCCTGTTTCAGGTTTCTGAAGCGAAGATGATATGGGTTGATAGGCTGGGTTTTGATGTGCAACTGACCTCTACCGAGAAGGATGCTTTTAATGTCCGAATCCCTTTCCCAAGAGAAGTGACAGATGAGAAAGGAGCAAAGTCATCCTTCAATGGCATGTCCCAACTGGCATGGGAAGTGGAGAAAAATTATCAAGCTCCAGCTTTTGACAAGGTGAAGCATTTGAAGCAGATTACTTCGAGAAGATCGTAAGAAATTAATTTACCGTGGTCCTTTTAGCATTCCATGTAGAGATGAGGCATATGTAAAACTGCTTTTTTTACTGAGCTATCCACCAGATTTCATTGTTTGGTGCTTCGCTGCGGGCTTCTTTGTTCAGAACCTTGTATTGTCAATATGAAAAATGAGGTTGTATAACTTTTGTTCCTTCCCTAAGGTACCGTTAGATGTATGTACTGGACTCCTTAACTTATGCATTACAGAACTTCAGCATTCTTCAACTTCCAAGATTGACTGGTATTTTTCTCTTTCAGAGTATGTGGCTTAACGTTACGTAAAATGCAGTTATATGCATTTTGGTTGTTGGATATACAAATGAAATTGTCAGAGAATGTTAAATCGAATGTGTCAGGTAGCCATCAACGTCAGTCTGAAATTATCTGTCATCATATCTTTGATCTTGCCAATCCAATATGTGTGTGCTGTGTCTATACCTTCTTCTGGAACAAAGAGCTCAGAATGGTTTCCAGACCCTGTGCTGTGTATCTCACATGCTTTTTGGAGCTAGAAATTTCCTCCACCAGAAGTTTATAGCTCTATAAATAGCTTCTGTAGACAGGTACCAGAGATTGAATCAAGAGGTTGCAGATTCTCAGCTTCAAGTTTTGATCAGCGACAACCCAAGCGGACTGCTTCTGGTACAGGTAATCAAACGCCTCATTGAATGTTTTGAACCCTCTTTTAATAGAATCCCAGTTGGATACCTTTGCAGAGGAAGAATAAACTTGGCCGCCGTCTGGGCGAAGAGTGGCAACCACCTTCCCCCAGCTTTCTCTCAAGTAAAGAGACATGAAATGGTCCTTGTACTGTTCATGAGCCGTGATCCGGGAATCTCCCATCGAATCTCCAAACTTTGTGCCTCTGAGATTGCTAAGGCTTCCCGAAGGATACTCAAAGACTTCCCGACATTCGAAAGTGTAAGGCTCATTGGAAATCGAATTGTGCTCCAGGGCTTGTAGCATGTCCAGCAGCCATTGAATTTTTTTTTTTTTTTTTGTTTGTATGAAATTCCAGAAGCCATTGAATTGCTAGCCCGCAGTTGTTGGCTAGAAAATCCAGCGCTTCCTCCAGCTGCTTCGGTTACGAAAGATAAGCATAAAGATCAGAACTTGGATCTGCTGAGACCCAAGACTTCTGGAGCTCCTGATTTGAACCATGAACTTTCAGCACAGCTTCTGCAGGATCGACATGGTCTGCACAATCGCCGCAAATGTGCATTTCTGAGCTGGGGAAGGCCTCACTGCAGCGTCCAAAGGAGATAAGCTCTGTCCAATGCGATCCACTTTTTTTCCCCCCAGTTTTATGCAATGCTGCAGCAAGAGCTTTTGATTTCTCTAAGCTTGGCTTCGATGCCCTCCTGGCAGAAAGGACAGTATTCCTAAAGCTGTCTATTTCGGCCATTGCCATAACTAGGAAGGATTTTCTTTTGGTTTTTTGTTTTTGTTTATTTGTTGTTAAGTAAGAGGCATATAAGTAGATATTGCCACATTCCCAAGCTTTCCAAAAGAATCCATGATCGTCCCTTGCTTTGTTTTCCTAACTTGTACGCCTCAATTCCATTAGGCCTGCAAAAGAAAGCTATTTTCCACGAGGCTGCTCCATAATTGCCCTGGAGACACCCACTGACACACTCCTTGTTCCACTCCTTGGAATTTTTGGAGCACAAACCCTCTTTCTTCAACCACAAAATTCATGGATTGAATTCTCCTTCCTTATGTGAGGAGATTTCAGATCCACTCAATGATAGTAGTGGGACGGGGCAGTTCACAACGAGTAACATAAAATGTCATAATCCAAAACAATCCAAATAACTCGAAGAGGTGAGTTTCATGACCATCTTCTTGAAGACGACATGTAAGTCGTTTTGTTTGATGTTGCTACCCGATTGTTCTCGGAACCAACCAAAACTAGATGGGGGACCTTCACAATGTCATCAACCCGCTCTAGGGTTGATTGTTCTATCGTACATGGGTTGAGGTTATAATTTAAAAGGAAAACTACGTGAAATGCAAAAACAAAATTTTGTGAGGGATGGATGGAACATAAGAGAATATACAACCAAACAAAGTCCCTTTACAAATTCCATTTCCCATGAACTTTGGTTACCATAAGCCCAGTCAAACGTCATCGAGAAGTTGTCACGGTACGACACAAGTGATAAGACGTGTGTTGTCATAGCTTTTTTTTATGTTTAATTTCCCAAAATCTATCATTATGTCGAAGATCTCTTGATTGTCAATTTGTCATCAACAATATTGTAAATTCGAATTATCCACTTTCACAAATATATTAACATTTTTTAAATTAAAGTAGCATTATGGGTATAATATATCAAATTCTGGCCGACATGTAATAATAGAACTCATGATTCATGAATAAGGTTTTGGTTCAAAGTTTTCTTTTTAAGGCAGTGCCATTAGACATCTAAGTACAACATACTTTTCATATTTCATAATTTCAAAGAAAAAATATAGACATTGAAGCTTAGTAGGTGAGACATTTTTTTCTCCAATGTCCCCCGAATGGACTACCAAGGTGGCAGATTGGTCAAACGGAAAACCTACTATTAATGCCTCGTTTAGTACTTGCGATTGTTAGAATTGATATATTGGATAAATGCATACATTATACATTATTGTCTTGGTTATATGGTTCTATTTTAAGATTACAATTTTTTGTAGTTGTGATTGTATTTTTAAAAATATAGTTCGAAAACCATTCCTTTTAGATACAAAAGTCAATCACATATAAAAGTTGATAAGGGCATAAAAGAGGAGAAAAGTCAAAATACAATCTCACCAAATAGTTGAGATTCTAAATCATTCGTTTTGAATGATTTCAAATGTCACATCAACAATCAAATACATGCTTTTTTAATAATAATCAAATATATGTATTGTGTTTAATTTTGCAACAAAAAAAAGATGCATTCTCTGCAATATTTGCATTCATTAAATACATTTATTTAGATACGCATCCACCAAGCGACCTCTAAGTTATTTTTGTAGTTAGGCCAATCCTTTGGTTATTTTTAAAATTTTCATATTTACCTAGTTGAACATACAACTAAGTAATGGTTTATTCTACATACGGTCTATGATCCAAAATCCAAAAGGAGGAATTGGAGCACATATAATGGACCAACAAAATAAGTTATGGTCCAGACCCACATCTGTGAGCTCTAGTCCGGTCCAGACAATATAGACGACATCAATTAAAAAAAAATAGTTTGTTTGTACACACACCATCTCTAGTGCACTTGGGTTCTCGATCGAGTGCACTTCTCTGGGCCGAGGACACTTGGGTTCTCGGTCGAGTGCACTTGAGTGAGCGAGGGTGATCAAAAGGGATGACAACACACATTGAAAAGTATGATTTCATAAACTTTATTTGGTCCATACTAGATCAATAAACCAAAACATTCCACAATACAAACGGTAAACCAGATCATACCTATTTTCCCAGCTCGACATACCTGCTAAAATTGACACCTACTAGAAAAATGAAATTATTCTAATATAGTTGGGGGTTTTTTTTTACACAAGATGATTAACATTGAATAAGGTTTGGGTAAACTGAACCTCAAACTGCTAATCCAACTAAACCTAATTTCCATGTTGAAATGTGATTGGACAATCCAGGTGAGGACTGGTCACCCTAGTTTGACTGACACCTCTCCTAATTTATTTCTCTTCTCTTTCTCCCCTTGGATCGCGCTCTACTACCATTTTTCCCTTGATTACGCTAATCACCTTATTTCTTCCTTTCTTTTTGTTTCTTTTCGTCCTTTTCTAGTTTTCTTATCATCTTGACTTATAATAAAGGTATAATAGGATGATATATTTATTTAGGAAAGGAGACATAATACTTAGATTAATCTCGTTGATGAAAAGTGAGCCATAGGTGGAGCATCTTTCTAGGGGGGAAAAAAGATTAGGTAGGAATTGGAACTAGGACCTTCTAAATTGGATACTATACCCAAATATTTTATATACCTTTATATGACATAAATTTTCTGAATTGCTATTTGTCGCCCTAAAATTTAAATTTTATCCCCCTAAAATGCATCAAATTGACAATCTTACCCCTCATACCCCATTCCTTTTGCTGACGCAGCCGCCGCATCTTCTTGGCAGACTTCCTCTTCATTGAAAAGCTTGGCTCCATTTGTGGCAGAGGCCCAGAACCGTCGCCGTCGATTGCACCATCGCCACCACCTAGGTCGAAAACCACCGCGGCCGCTACATCAATACGGCAGTCGTCGTTCCAGTGTCGGTACGACCCGCTCAGCTACTCGCTTAACTTCGGTTAGAGCCTGCTCAACGACGACGAGGAGTACCTCTAGTTCTGCGCCTTCTCCTCATGATTCGTCGCCAATCCCAGCAGAAACTCCATCGTCGCCGCAACGTAACTGGACTGAAACAGGGCATCGTTAACTTGATATGAAATGTTGCTCTGTCTCTTGTAAATGTCACAAAATCGATCCCTGAGTTCTGGCATTATGTGGAGATGACTGCAACTATAGTTATGAAATGATGGAGTGGGAAGCAGCATGTTCTGTTCTCTTTTTTCTCCTTTCTGTTATTTATAAATTCCACTTTCATGTGTTGTTCATAATCTTCTTGAGTAATGTCTAAGTAAGAAAGCTTCAGTCTTCTGATGAGGGATGGCATTCTGTTTTTTGCCGTATTCATAACATGTTGAAAGAAATTCTGGAGAAAGCTTTAGTTTTTTCATTTGGGTTGCTCTGTTATTTGCTATGGGTATTAAGGTAAAATTAATTTATTTAGGGCGACGAATAGCAACCCCCTAAATTTTGACGTTCGACACAACACTAGTTCGAAGTACTAAATTGACAATTTTGTTCAAACATTTTAATCATTAGGATCAGTATAACATAATCTCGTAATTGAACTGTTATACTTGAGAAAGAAAAAAATTCAGACCACGTGTTACTAAAGTGACTACCACGTCAACATCATTTATCTGTGTCATTAATCACCAGCTGGAGGCTAACGATTAGTTATCTAAAAAGTTTATAAACACGACGTGGCATATGGCATTGCCAAAATCAAATCCTGTTATTCAAAGTCAACGAACTCCAGTTTGGACCATGAGAAGTTGATACACTGAGATGACCAAACATAATAAACTTTCATGTACTGATTTGAAACAATATAAAGTTTATATGATGGAGTAACCAAAACTAAAAAAAGGTGAAGGGTTCAAATGGATTTTGTTACCTTATTTTAACTTCATGTCCGAGCCTCCATGTATTTAATTATTTGCCAAAGAGCTTCACGTGCCACCTTAATTTCATGCCATCAAGAAGGTAACTAACTAACTATAAAAATTTCAAAGTATAGAAAGAAAAAGGTAAGAACCTAAATAAAAGTTAAAAAAAAAAAGGACTTCTACTCGCTCACTCATCACTCACTCCATTACAAAATAAATGCGAGAAAGAAGGTGAGAGGCAAAAGTGTCGGTGGCTCTCTTCACAGACAACAGTGGGCTCTCCCTCCCTCTCTCTCTCTCTCTATCTCTGTCTGTGTGAATTGCTGTTGAGCTTTCGACTTCAGCTGCTTGTCTCTATCCATTTATTTCTGCACCTCTCCTCCCCCCGACTGCTCACACAAACACCTACTACTGCTCAACTATTCCCTCGAAGCCTTTTCTCCAAAACATTCAATCATTTCCTCTGTTTTCATCCCCAAACGAGAAGCGTAAATAGAGGGGGGCAGGAAGGGGAAACGGGAAAATGGGAGTGGATTTGAGGCAAGTTGTTGCTGGGATACTCACCATCACCATGTTCGTCATGCTTGGGGATATGCTCAAGAGGGATTACATTGGCAATTCGGAGGTATATCGACGCTTTTCCCACCCTCTTGCCCTGTTTTCTTTCCCTCTGTTTTCCCCCTAGCTGCGTTCTTTCTGTTTGATATTTCGGATCCTTGATTTCCCCCTTTGCATTTGAGACCCATTCTTCGATTTCGTTGTTCGTCTCTCTCTTATTGAGAGACTTTGAGACGTTTGGATGATTTGTTTCATATGGGTTATCGTTTGTTCTTCGGAAAGTGCTCGTCTTTCCTGCATATTGTGAAAGGAGCGTTAGATCTACAGGATTTGTCTTCTTTGTGGGACTTTATCTCTTTGTTTTTTCAGAAAATGATGGGTCTCTGAATTGACCGTCTAATTCGAATCTCTGTTTTTTTTTTAATTTTCGCTTTCTGTGTGCTTAATCCTCGCGGTAAATTTCATTTACTGTTCCATCTATCTTTTATTTACCTGCTGATTTACTGATGCCGTCGACGTACACATCCGAGCAGGAAAGGTTTCCCGGCGAAGCCAGAGATGTTGAATTTGATAGCGGGAAGGTAATGGAGAAGTTTGCAATGAAGACTAACGGTCCGTGGATGGAAGAGAGCGAAGAGCTTACACCTTGTTGGAAGAAGAAGTCTGATTTCGGTATGTCAACTTGGGCTCATCAGAACAAAACACAGGTTTTCCCATTATGATTCTGATTGGGGTTCTGTTTCACAGATTTGGTTGAGGACTACAAAGGTTTTGTCACGTTCTCGTTAACCAATGGACCGGAGTATCACGTCTCACAGGTATCATAAAGTGGCTTGATTTATTGGGTTATGCAGTTATAACGTCTCGATGGTGATGATTGTCAGTTGTAAATTGCTTGGTTTGTTTACAATTTCAGCTTTTACACTTTGCTCTGTGCATTAGAAAGCATTCCTCTTGGGTTTCTTTCCTGCCTTGGACTTTGTATAGTTAGTATGTTATGTTAATGAATACTTGCTCTAGTTTCTCTCCTACTTTGGCTCTGACTTTCTGATAACCAGCTTCTGCAATATGGTTGACGGCTGATGCGTAATGTGAGTAACTCTTTGCTGCGTCGTGAGTTGCTCTGCAGCATTAGAGTTGCATCTTGTTGCGCAGCTTCATATCCTCCTGAGATGGGCATGAATTGTATTGGATATGGATACATGGCATACCATCTTGCTTTCTGAAGATAGTTTATTCATAAAACGATCTCCTTTCTAAATCTCTTCATCTCCATGCGGGGAATGGTTTATGCAGATTAGTGATGCAGTGGTGATAGCTAGATATCTACAGGCAACTCTTGTACTTCCTGACATTAGAGGAGACCGACCAGGCGATGAGAGGTTCGTTGGCCGTTTTCCCCCCACTCAGATGGTTATTTATTAATTTGTTTCAGGATCAAATAGATTGTTAAACATTTCTGGGCTTTCTTATTGTCACATCCTACAAAGTGGGAACTGGAAACTAAACCAAGTCTGTTGGAATTTAGCACATTGTTGTTCAGTTGTGCAATTTTAGTACCTTGGTGACCTGCCGGTCTGTACTTAAGGAATGAAGAAGCAGTACAAGGAAGGTCTAGTAATTTTGATACCTACCAACAGATTTTCTTTGATCCTTAATCGATTCACAATGAGGAAGCAATTTTTACTAACTAGAACAGTCTGTGATCATTGCGCGCTTCTGGACACTGTGTCATGCACCTATTGCAATCAGTCAGGTCCCTTTGTCCCCTGTTTTTCATGGAACCATTCTTCATGAAATGCTGGTCCAGATGAGGAGTCATATTTTATGGCTTCATTCGATACATAGTTTTTATCTTTGTGCAGAATATGATGGATATGACTGAACTTTTCAGGAAGTTTGAAGAAATCTATGATGTTGGGAAATTCATCAATGGTTTGGATGGGGTAGTGAAAGTCGCCAGAGAGCTTCCAGTTTCTGTATCCCTTCGAGATTTCGAAGTTATCAGGGTACCCAATCGAGTTACAGAGGAATACATTGCAGAGAAAATTGAACCAGTCTTTAGAAGGAAGGGTAACATTAGAGTGGCAAGTTACTTTCCCACTCTAAATATGAGGAAGACCGCACAGAAGAGCGGCAGTGATTCACTCGCATGTTTGGCCATGTTTGACACTTTGGAGTTGAAGCCCGAGGTTAATGAGGTGGTTGAGGATATGGTCACAAGGTTGAAAACTTTGAGTCGGCATTCTGATGGTCGGTTTATAGCAGTAGACTTGAGAGTTGACATGTTGGAAAAGAAGGGCTGTCATGCCAGTGCAACAAAGAGCTGTTACAATGCACATGAAATTGCTCTATTCTTGAGGAAGGTTGGATTTGGAAGTGATACAGTGATCTATCTCACTCAGTCAAGGTGGGATGAAAGTCTCGATGTATTGAAGGACATCTTCCCTAAAACTTACACAAAGGTGAGTCATCATTGTCTGTCTTCTGCTTACAGCACATTAGTCATTAGCCACAAAAGAAACCCCTTAAAATAATCTTGTACATTGTTATCTAATACCAAAATGCCACTTCCTAACATTTTAACATCCTGCAAACTTGCAGGAAAGCATAATTCCAGCTGAGAAGAAGTCCAAGTTCTTGGGATCAGAAGACTCAGAGTTTGAGAAGGTGATTGACTTCGACCTGTGTTCCAGAAGTGATGTCTTTGTACCGGCCATCTCCGGCCTGTTCTACGCGAATGTAGCCGGTAAGAGAATAGCCACCGGTAAAACACAAATACTAGTACCAGCTGAGATTCCCGGTACATCATCGCCAATCACCAGTCATTTCTCTCCATACATCTCAAAGAGGAACCACATGGCATATACATGTTTTTGCTAGTATTTCGAAGTGAGAAGGCAGAAAGGCGAAATGGGGGGTTGCAGAAGTCTCCCAAATAATACTCTTATATTCATTATATTGCAGAAGGTTTAGAAGCTTCATTATGTACAATATAAGAAACTGGGAAATCAAAGTTCCTCCCATGAAACATAATTGTTTCTGCTTTTGACTTATTTTTTGGGCTTTTGAATTGGTTTTGTTACTTCAGAACAGAGTGGTCTTGTTTTGAATAGGATTCAAATAGCTATCATTTTGTGAGGTAGGTATAGATATTTTGAAGAATTTGTTTGATGTCTCTGTTGTAAACCTTAAGGATCATAGTTCATGATGAAATCAGTGGTATTTCCTACCTATCTCCATTTGCTTCGTTTCCTTGTTGGATGATGGTTTTGCAAGAGTGTGTGATGCTTGTTTTCTATGGTAACCCCGGTGGATTTCAGGAAATGACATGAATTCTGATTAATTTATGGTTAACATAGTCTTACGGGTATGACATTGTTAACGGTAAATGGGTGGATGGGTTGCACCTGACTTTTTATGAAGGTGACGTGTGGGAAACACATTAATTGCAGTATTTTATTAATTCGTATTATTGTCGGTTTTTATGATTCGGAGTATTATTTGGAGTATTCGGGAATAAACAGGGAGTTGATTGCTATGTTTAATTAGTTGGGGTAGTAGATAGAGATTAGGGGATTATATAATCTGTGTTGGGTGCATTATTTTTATTAAGCAAAGAGTAATAAAATCCCTAAACCTAAAACCCTTCTTCTTCTCTCTAAGCGCTGACCCCCTCTTTCCCTCTTCTCCCAAATTGGCGGCAGCAGCAGCCAAATCCTCCCCCCCCCCCCCCCCACCCCCATTTCTTAAAATTCCCAACTTCCCAATCCCTAGTTAGATCAATCCCTAATTGATCTAGCTAATTTCCCAATCCCTAATCACGTGAGAAACCTTGTTTCTCACATGACGATTGTTATACTTTCCTAAATTCAGCGTGTGTACCGGTCGCCAAATATAGCTAAGAGAAAGGTGAACTTTTTGTTTGGCGGCTATGTGAACTCAGAGAACTCAGCAAGACTTGGCATTTGGAACCTTTAAGATGAAAGTTAAACAACAGTGAAAGATCCATTTCTGTAAGCCTGTAGGGCCTCGATGCTAGTTGGAACAAAGACAAAAGAACAACCCTAAAGGATGACCGCCGTTATATTATGCCTGGATGGAATTCAAAGTCAAAATATATACAAGGCAGTCCCAGAAAATGGGGAATATATGATGTAGGATGATGTCCAAATCGGAGATCTTGACATTTGTGTTTATGTTCCCCATGAATCACGATTGTTCATCAGGGAACCGGCTTCCATGATTGTTGCCCTAATATGTGGTCGCCAAGAATCCAAATGGGGACGATTTGCAACGAGAATTAATTAGTAAACAAAAGCAAACGAAAATAATGACGTGAAATTTATGTCACATCTTAGTAGATGGCAACAGGTCGGGCGGATAGTGCATATCCGTTATTCTATCGAAAATAGTTCGATTTTACTCATACCTACATAAGAAACGAATAGAAAATCAACATCATGCTCATACCCGTTCGGGTTTCGCGCATCCACGGTTATTCATGGGTGATGATTTCTCTTTATAACTCCAACCAATACGATAATATTCACATGTATTCTCACATTACATAAGAGGAAAAGTACGACAATAATGAAAAAAATAATAATTAAAACAACACAATTTCATGAAAAATATTGTATTCATATGCTAAACATAAAATATGTTAGAGAAAAATAATAATTATTTCTAGAAAAAATACATATGTATTTGTATAATCGGGCGGGTTCGGGTTGAATAGTGAGAAAATAACATTACCCACAATATTCGGGTTCGAACTTTACCCATAATCACTAAAATTCTTCCGGGTTCGAGTTTTACCCTACCCAATTAAGTCGGATTCAGGCGAATATCCACGCTTACAGATTTTTTTTGCCATCCCTACATCTTAAATATAAATTGACTTAAATCTCCCAAAAACATAAAAATGATTAAATTTTAACCAAACACTCATAAAATAAAATGAATAATAATAGAATAAGTCAAATTAGTGTACAAATAAAAAAAAAGTAACACAAAATCGTAGAAGAAAATAAATATATGATATAAATTTCCAGCCACGAAAATAATGAGACTTTGCAATTATCCTCAATAACTATAATTTTGAGAAGAATATTCATTTACGATGCACACCCACCCACAATGAGATAAGTGGGTTGATTGCTGGTGAATTTTTTTGGTTCAAGCACCCAATATGTCTTGCGCCTTTCAATAAAATGTTTCGGCCTAATTCAATACTAGTTTTGTACCCGGCCTGTTGGCCGGGTGGATTTTATTTAAATATATAAAAATTATGTTGACTCGTATATGTTCAAATTATTTTGGTTATAATTAATTGATTTTTTTTTTTTGACAATAGGCATCATTCATTTCATTCCAAACCCAACCAAGGGGAGCACAACGATTACAATAATGGAGCGACAAGGTTGGCAATGAAAATCCATTCCGGAGGAAGGAGATCAAGGCGAGAGTTCCTAGCGATCCAATCAGCCACCTTATTAAATCGACGAGGAACAAACTCAACCGTGATCCAAGGAGAAACACAGAGAATGGAAACCACACGAGCAAGGGATGCCCGACACTGCCAGGGCCACAGGCTCGGATCTTGTCTCAACGCATTAGTCAACCTCTGACAGTCAGAGCGAACACACGTTGGTACAGGGTCCTGGGCCGCCCAGATAACTGCATTAAGAATCGCAAACGCTTCCGCTTGAAGCGGGGAAGAACAAAAGAACCGCTCAGCCTTCCCATCGATAACCTGACCGTGGGAGTTTGCAATAGCAATCCCATAAGCCGCCACCTGTGCATCAGAAACAAAGGAACCATCACAATGCACAACCTTACAGAAAGGACCAGGCGGTGATAAGGTCGACGATCGAGAACTCTCAGGCTGAGAAGGCAATCCAGCAGGACATGAGTAGAAATTGGCTGAGGATCCGATCCTAGCTTCTTGGACATTCAAAACATCACGTTCGGCTAAAATTGCCACAGAGGACGGAGAGAACGCCTGACTCTCAAATACCCACCCATTTCGAGCAATCCAAATGTTCCAAAGGGAACACACAATCTTGGTAATCTGGCCAACGGAAACCCTGTCTTTTAGTCCAAAGAACCAATCCACAAAGCAAGAGTCAGCCACAGGAAGCACATTAAGCAGCCCAAGCTGAGTCCAAGTCTCAAGCGCCTTGGGGCAATGAAAGAAGCAATGCATAATCGTTTCCTCCTGGTTCTCACAGAGTGGGCACAGCGGGTTAGGAGCACACTTGCGGTTGAACAACCTCACTCGTGTTGCAATTGCATTTTTACCACATTTCCAAATGAAAAAGCGAAGCTTAGGAGGCAGCTTGAGACCCCACAACCACTTCCAATCATCTCGGCTAGGTCTAGAAGAGGAAAACAAGTCATTACCCAAAGTGGACTCTCGAGTCTCTCGAAACATCCGATAGGCAGACTTAACACTGTAACCACCTGACTCTGTAAGACGCCAAATCCAGCTGTCCTTAGCAGTACATGGACCGACCGGAACACGGGCAATAGCATGAGCAATCTCATCAGGCACCAGATTACGAATGGCCTCCATTCTCCAACTTCGAGAATCACGGTCAATCCAATCACTAACTTTGGATGGTTCCAACCCCAAGTGAGACAGATTGTAACATGGAATAGAAGGAAGCCAAGGGTCACAATGGAACCACGAATCCTCACCAGACATAATACCTCTTAACAAACCACTCTTCATCTGCTCCTTAGCCTCACACAACCCATTCCAAACCCAGGAGCTCTTTCTCCCCTTCGTTGCCGAGAACAACTCCTCATTTGGAAAGTAAAGCCCCTTCAGGAGCTTAGCCCACAAGGCATCGGGGTTATCAAAAAGTCTCCAAACCTGTTTTCCAATGCGCGCCAGGTTAAAGAGATGAAAGTTCTTGAAGCCCAAACCTCCTTCTTCTTTCGGTTTTCCAACTCCCTCGCATTGCACCAATGGATAGCTCGTTTCCTCATTGAACCCGACCAGAAAAACCGTTTCAAGATTGAGTCCATTTTATTCGTTAGGTTCAAAGGCAGCAAGAAAACACTCATGATGTAGGTTGGTAAAGCTTGAATAACTGCTTTCAGCAGTACTTCTTTCCCTCCGGGAGACAATAAAAGGCTCTTCCAGGATTCACCTTTCTTTTCCATTCGTTCCAACAAGAACCTGAAAGTTTCTTTTTTTTATCCACCCCACTCAGTTGGAACCCCCAAGTATTTGTCGTGACAAATAGTTGGCGGAAACCCAAACTTACTGCTCACCAGACCACGGATAGCTTGGGGGGTATTCTTGCTAAAGAAGATTGACGACTTAGACGCATTGATTTCCTGCCCCGTAGTGTTACCATACATGTTAATGATATCCAGAATCCTATCCGCTTCCAAAACACTTGCCTTACCAAAGATGACAGTGTCATCCGCAAACAGACAGTGGAAAATTCTTGGGCAGTTCTGATTGAGCTTGATTCCTCGGATTTCACCTTTCTCGATACCCTTTTCAATTAGGAGAGACAGGGCATTGGACATAAGGATAAACAAGAACGGGGAAATGGGATCACCTTGTCTGATACCTCTGGACGGCAAGAAAGGTTCGGTAGGACTTCCATTCAGAAGGATAGAAAACTTGACTGTCCTGATACATGCACGAATCCAACCCCTCCATTTTTCCGAAAACCCGTAAGCCAGCAAAATAGAATCAAGTCCATCCCAATCCACTAAATCGTAGGCTTTCCTCATATCCAACTTCACCATCATATCCCAGTCACCAATTCGACGATTTTTGAAATTATGAAGCATTTCATGAACAATAATGACATTGTCCTAGATAAGCCTCCCACCTGTAAAAGCTGCCTGCATCTCTGAGACTAATCCCGGGAGCCACTTCTTCATTCGACTCGCCAGGATCTTGGAAATAATCTTATATCTGAAGTTACAGCAACTAATAGGGCGGAATTGGGAAATCGTCTCCGGAGCAAGAACCTTGGGGATAAGGGCAATATGAGTATCATTCCATCCCTGTGGCATAATCGACGATCTAAAGAAATCAATAACTTCACTGCAGAAATCTGGTCCAATTTTGCTCCAGAACTTACGATAAAAGGAGCCCGCAAATCCGTCAGGACCTGGTGATTTTGTAGGACCAAGGTCGAACACCGCAGCTCGAATCTCCTCAACAGTCGGCTCTTTATCCAGCTCAAAATTCATTTCATTGGACACTAGCCTAGGGAAATCTTGAAGGGCATCATCATTAAGGCCAGCTTTCTTAGTAAACAATGTTTGATAGAATCCCACAACATGATTAGAAAGATCATCCTGCTGACTGATATTGTTGTATAACACATTATTTGATAATGTTGACTCGTATATGGTCATAATTTGTGGCTAAATGGGTCAAGGTATGTTGATAACCTGCAGAAAATTAGAGAAAGAATTGGAAGTTGTTGGCGGGAAAGTGAAGACGAAAGTCAACATACGTGACATTAGGAACATTCGTAAGTGTGGTTTTCGTTTGAACATCAAGTGTAAGCGTGTCGTCTTTCCCTCATAATCTTGGACAATGAAGCTTTCAAAGTTGAGAAGATATCAGCAGGATCGAACAACATTTTAACTCCAATTTTTGTCTGAATTCATCAAATCTTGATGTTGTTCCATAACCTTCCAAGTTATGAGGAAGTCCTTTGTGGAAGAGTGCCTTGGAAGTCATGAGCAGATGTAGCAGATGTTGAAGCTGGGGGTTCTCTGTTATAAAGCGGTCAAATATAGTGGTTAGGGGAAGAAACTCCCTGCTTGAGGAACCAACGTGGGAAGATAATGAAAGCTAAACCAACTTAAGAACCAAAACCTGGTTGTGGTTGATTGTGTACCGTACCTTCTGCAAGGGTTACAGCTGCAAATCTTCTTTTCTTTTGCTGGGCAAGTTGGTCCAAGACCAGTGCTCTCTTTCCTTTGCGATCCATTGTAAGGACAGAGATAGATATCCTTAACGACGCCTCCCACCTACAAACAGACATTGGCTAATATGGTTACTACTTTGCTGATAAATTGAAGAAATAAAAGTAATAGAACGTAAAGTTCCATTAAGGTGACAAAGGAAAAATGAACTTGATTCCAGTTGGGACATGGAGCGAACTTGGCGGGAGCATTGTATGGAAGGGTCCCAAAGCAACACAGACAGGCAAGTTTGGTGGCCTATTTCAATATTCTATGAATTGGTAACCCAAACTCGGCTACTATTCTGGCGCATTGAGATGGCGAGAAAGTCAAATGAACGTCAATACAGGTGCAACATGGAGCAAAATTAGCATGTAGCATTGTATAGAAGGATACTAAAGCAAGACATGCAAGCTTGGTGGCCGCTGCAAATATCCTGTGAAATGGTAATCAAAACTCAGTTGGTACTCTTATGCATTGCTGTTAGAAACCAAACATGGAAAATAAGGCAGGGTAGTCTAATGCATTCAAGTGGGTGCTGTAACTTTTTTCTATAAACCAAACAGAAAGGTTGCATCTGGTTCGCCCAATTCTTCTGTTTTGGAAACTCATGCTGAACAATAGATTGTAGGCGGCCTTCAAGGGCGGAAAAACATGTGCAACAAATTGTAAATTATTGGTCAAAGAGGTGTGGTAACAATTCTTCATACCTGAAGTTGCAGGGTCAGGGCTGATTAATCTTGCGGTCCAAACCAGGGAAAGCGGATACACACGTTGGATGGGGTGTTACTCCTATGATTAGTAGCCTCGTTGACAGAAACCTATTGACGGGCGTAAAAGAAAGAAGACTCTACATCGACTGGGGTGTACGAAGTCGGACGGAATTGGCGGTCTCCCGTTTGGATAAGGCCGCAGTCACTGGGGTGGTGGCCAGAATCAGAGATACCAATGAACGGGCACAGGCGGACTAAGTGGTAGGAAATTGGGAGCCGGACGATTAGGGTTGAATGATGGATGCGTACGACCAGTAGGAAGGAGTAGTTGTGGATTTGTGGGAGACTCCTGGGTTGTATTGGGTGGAAAATTTTGAAGGCGGGGGAAGGTTGTATTTGGTAGAGGAAGGACTTTTAAAGTGATGACGTGGATGAGTGGGATTTCACGGAGGCTTACGTGGAGGGGGTTGGATTCTAAAAGATTTTTTAAGATTTAAGATAAGATGGGCTTAATAGTTTGCCGGCGTGCCAGTCCAATCCGCATATCATGTTTCGGCCCAATCGTAGAAACTCAAAACTCAAAAAGCCGGATTTTCCCCGGGAAATGAAAATTGCCAAATTTGGTTTCCCGCGAATTTCCCACTTCTAATCTGCTTTACCAGTTAATTGACCATCTCATCGTCGGATGTTCCCGAAGGAGGGAAGAAGCACACGTATAATCGCGGTCTACCTCTTCTTCCATCCGTCTACATATTAGCCGACTTCTGTTGTTCTGCCCATCTCCTCGCCAACTCCGCAAGCAATTCATCGTCGTTATTACCGCAAACCTAAATCGCCTTCGCGCCGGAAAACCTAGTAGCAGTAAGCGCGATTCTTGCTAGGGTTTAGTTACCGGGATACAACAATCTGACGGCGAGGTACTGATAATCTGAGTGAAATCCATTGGGAGTATTGATGGCGAAAGACGATGGGAAATTAAGCGTTGCGAAGAGAGCATACAAGACCGCGCAAGCGGAGGGGAATCGACAAGAGGAAGCGCGATGGGCGAACGTGATAGGTGACATACTGAAGAACAGAGGAGAGTACGTTGAGGCGCTCAGATGGTTACGGAAGGATTACGACATCTCTGTTAGATACTTGCCGGAGAAGGATCTGTTGGCTACTTGCCAGTCTATCGGGGAGCTATACCTCCGCCTAGAGAACTTCTCTGATGCGTTGGTTTACCAGGTTCGGCTGTCTTTTCGAAATTGCTTATAGAATTGAGGACATTAACTCTGATTAGGTTTTGAATGCCTGATGGATTGGGGTTATGGCAATTTGTCTGCATTTCTGCTTTTGGCGTTCTCCAAAAGTAAGGAAATGGGTGGGTGTTTGTAGTTAAGGAATTGTTGCTGGTATTGGTAGGTAATTCTTCATCTATGGTTCATCGACAGGGAATCTGCAATTAGTTTGCGAAGTTTGCTGAACCCTAAGTATATATTTGAGTGAACTCGAAATCTCACACAATGAATGTAGGAAAGGGTACATGTATGCACCACCGCTTCCACTTGCATAGGCAATTGTTAGAAAAGTAGGCATTGAATATGTGAATTTGAATTGAACAATACCGAGGCTCCACACTGGACTATATTAAGTTAATGAGTATCTTCTTGTTGAAAGATTGTGAAGCCATGTCAGCATAGGTGGCTGTATTTATCATGGATCTACCTTCTATTCCTGCAGAAAAGGCACTTTGAGCTTGCAACTGGCGCAAAAGACCTTGCCGAGCAGCAAAGAGCAAGCACCCAACTTGGTCGCTCATACCATGAAATGTTCTTAAGGTCCGAGAATGACTACTATGCAGTTCGGAATGCTAAAAAGTACTTCAAACTAGCGATGAAGCTAGCTGAGACTCTGAAGGGAAATCCACCAACTAATAATTCTTCTTTCATCAAGGAGTACATAGATGCACATAACAACATTGGAATGCTTGAAATTGATCTGGAGAACTTGGAAGCAGCAAAAGATATCCTTGACAAGGGACTAAAGATCTGCGATGAAGAAGAGGTGAATGAAAAGGATGATGCTCGAACTCGGCTCCATCATAATCTTGGGATTGTTTATACGGAGCTAAGAAGGTGGGATAAAGCCCGGGACCATATTGAGAAAGATATTCTAATATGTCAAGCACTTGGTCAGGCCCAAGGGGAGGCAAAGGGCTTCATCAATCTAGGAGAACTGCACTATAGGGTTCAAAAGTATGATGATGCAATTCTTTGCTACCAGAAGGCTCTTGAATTAGCAAAATCCATGGAAGACGAAGATGCTTTGGTGAAACAAATTGAACAGAACATCACAATTGTGAGAGAAGCAATCAAGGTAATGGATGAGCTGAAGACAGAAGAGCAGAATCTTAAGAAGTTAATCAGGGATATGATCTCTGTTAGAGGCACAGCACATGAGAGGAAGTCTTTGCTGAAGCTTAGTTCATTACTGGATCATCTTATTGAGAAGTCCAGAATGATCTTTGCATGGACGAAGGTAATGTTCTGTCACCATATGCCTGGTCTATCTATTAATATGTTAGAAAACCATTTCGTTAGCAGTGGTTTCAAGCAATTAGGTCTTGCGGTTTTTGGATGGACTCATTAGACTAATGCTGCAAATTTGTTATTGCACAACACTGGTCTCGTCAATAAGATATTAAGACTCAAATTCCCTCCAACTTGAATTCCCTTTCTAGATAGACATTTAAAAATAGTAACACTTACATAACTATTTTAGTAGTTGTTATTAATTGCATTAGGCGGGAACAAGGATACTTTGGATTTCTTATATGCATATACACCTTTAGTTCCTTGGCTTCAGGTTTCATCAATCCTTTTTTATCTGTACAATTGATGCAAATATGCATTGTAAATGAGTGGCTTGCTTTATTGAAAATTTTCTTTTGCCGTTTCCTTTATCGGGAGTAGGGATGGGCTTCAAATCATGTTATCTGCATAGTAAGGTTGTTTTTCAGATTGCATTATGCATTTATGTGCTTTCTTTATGGGAACTGACTCATGTTCCTATTAGATTGACCCATAGCTGGTGTCCTCTGAATGGCTGTGTGTGTCATGCAGCTATGTCAAGGAACAATCTTTGTCTCTGGGATTCGTTTAGTCTCTGTCAAACTAATCCAATTTTCCTCTATTGTATGCAATTTTGTTGTATACAGCATCGTGAATTTGCGAAACAGAAGAAGCGAGTGGCAACTCAACTCTGCGACAAAGAAAAGCTTAGTGATGCTTTTCTGGTTTTAGGAGAGTCATACCAGAAGATTAGAGACTTCAACAAGGCGAATAAATGGTACTCAAAGAGTTTGGAGGGGTATAAATTGATTGGCAATTTGGAGGTTTGTTTACTGGTTGGACAGTCTACTCTTAGGAATCGTTACTCTTTTTCCATATCACTCAAAGCTACATTCATTGGCAGTTATATCAAATATCTTGACATTGGAGGAGTAATGATGATTTTTAGAAGAGTACCTCTACTGCATCAAATTTATGTTCTCTTCTGTGCTGCAAAAACTTATTCTTGATATCTGTTCATTTCAGGGTCAAGCATTAGCTAAAATAGATATTGGTGGTGTTCACGACTGTCATGGTGATTGGTCAAGTGCACTGGCTGCATTTGAAGAAGGCTACAGGTACCTTTTTGTTATGTTTATTAGAAGCTTATAATTTCAAAATCAGGCTTAGCTTTATGCATGGTATGTTGAACTGCATACCAACAATGTGATATTCTTTGAATCTATCCTCCTACCATGCTGCTCTTTGACTCATTTATTGCTATTGCACAGGTATGGTGCTATTTCATTTATATGCAGCCAAGTAGGGATAATTTGCAGAGATAATGATCATTATTATCTGTTCAAAAAGTGATTTTGACCTATAAAAAACAACATTATTTCTATATCAATTGTATATGTCTTCCTTGTTTTTCTTCACCCTCTTACTTGAATCTTAAATGCTGTTAATCATGAGTTCAAGACGTAGTACACTCATTACTTTTCCTTGCTTTCCAAAGTGTTTCTTCTAGTTTGATAATTAATGCTTGGATCCATCCGGTTTAATTGGCCAGTTTCTCCTGCTGCTTGAATCTGTCAAAGTTAGTGGCCACCATGTTAAGATCATTTAGTGGTCACTATGTTTTGATCATTTAGTGGTCACCATACTATGGCTTCTATTTTGAGAACGGGTCTTATGCTGAATGAACAGTATCAATTGGCCATTCAGTTAGTGGTGTTGACTATGAAACTAAATGTGAGCATCAGAAATATTGTATGTCGTTCTAGCATTGGTCCTTTACTAACCTGAGCATCGAAGGTCCTGGTTTTCTTCAATACGAGCTATAGTTCCTGATCACCATTTTATATGGTGGATTTTATTTTTAGTGAATCTGCTTGACATGCTGTTAAAGGTGAATCTGCTTGACATGTTGCTTTCTTTGATAGTTATGTGTAGTTTATCTCATTATGTTCGTGTTGACAGGATAGCCGTGGAAGCTAATCTCCCTTCTGTTCAGCTTGATGCCCTTGAGAATATGCATTATATGCAAATGATGAGATTTGAGAATGCTGAAGAGGCAAGGTAAATTTGGATCCTCAGTTATACTTGATTGCTATGGGTAGTGTACGAGCAGTTACCTTGAGAGAACTTGGAATATCAATATCAAAATTGAAAAATTAACTGAACTTAATATATGAACAGCTGATGAGGAGAGTGAAAACCTTTCTTTATAATTTAAAACTTACCACAATATCGCTTGTTGTACGTAAATAAATCTATTAAATAGGAGGTTGCAACTTGAAATTGACCACCTGAAGCAGTTGAAAGATAGGGAGGCTGAGAAGAAACATAGCGATCGCTGCTCTGAGACTGACACAGAAGAAGGCGATTGTTCATCAGACAGTTTATCCTCTAAGCCATGCTCTCCAAATGCTGGTGAAGCCTTTCCTAGAAGATCCCTATCTTCGGCCTCTGTGGACGAGTTGAAGGATGACGTAACTCTGATTACTCTACTTAAGTCCACTAAGCAACTGTCTCGGAAAAAACATACGAATGCGAAAAGGCTTCATGGTTCTAATGACCTTATCGAAGCTTCTCCAAGAAGTTTTGCTAAAACAGCAAGCAGTCAACAGACAGTTGGGCGCAAACGTGTTCGGGTGGTCCTTTCTGATGATGAAGAAGTAACAAATGAGAAGGGGGCTTGCTTGGGGAGAAAGTTGCAAACAGCTCCAGTTGAAGATGTTGCTACATCTGATGAAAGTGGGTTTGTAAGGTTATGTTATTTGAGCTCTGGGTCTCTCTTCATTGGTGCTAACCTCTATACTTATTATTGTAGGCGGGAGAAAAGGCGTTGCAGTTTGTTCTTGGTTTGAAACTCGAGTAAGAATTTGAATCAATGTTCACATCCGTGCACTATCTGTGCTTTGAAGCTTAACTGCCTTCTACTGTGGCCTTTGGCAGGATTTGTCAATGGATGCTTCCAAGTATGCCACCGATTCATCCAACCAAGTTAAAGTTGAAGACAGTGCTTTTCCTTACAGATCTCCGAATCCTAAAATGATGATTTGTGCTAATCAAGTTTTGAGATCTGTTAGTGGGGATGAAATAATTCTTGGATCTGATTCTGCGACTAGTGGTTCTATTTGTGGGCTTGGTGCTTCTGACAAGCTCCCGCATGAACAAGATGCTGCCTATATCAACATGCATGGTTCTGGCAGTAACAATAAAGTGAGTTATGCAATTAGTGCTGTGAGTCTAGAGGCACAAAATATTTTGTTTTATGCTTCTGGATTAGTCTTGTGATTGTGAAGGTTGTTGCATATATTATTGGTGGTATCATTAAAACTGATCATTATGCTACTGCTCAGCATTCTCTTTTATGGAGTTCGAGAACTGAATTTGATGTTCCAGAATGTTAGATTGTCGATGCTTATATCAAATAGTTCACCAAAATGCATGCTCTTTTTACGTAGCTTTTATGGTTTGTTGTTGAGGTCTGGTAATGGATGCAAGTGATTCTTCAGAAAGTTCTGCTCATTTGGATGCTTTGAAACTCACTTTTCTTGAGTTTAGCGGCTTAACTGCTTAAGACTTTTCCATTTGCAGTGCATCATGAAATTCAGTAACCATCTTTCTACTGTCTGCAGCGAACTATAACATTCAAGATTGACAATGACCTGATAAATTTCGAGGCTGGCTCAAGCTTTGCTCTCGGTGAATTAAGCATTGAATCTTTGAGTATCGAAGTGGCGTGCTTATACTATTTACAACTTCCTTCAGAGAAGAGATGCAAAGGTTGGTCCAACTTCTGCCTTTCATAGCTTGTGGTTCTGAAAGTTGTAAGCATAAACTTTTTGCATTTTGCTTCTGTAAATCCTTGTCATCATGAAGCTATGCAAGATTATGACCCAGCTACTAATAGTTGATTTTTTCGCCCAGTGTAGATTAAAAAAAGGGGTTTTTGTCCATCTTCTTTCAAATTCTGTTATCTATGCTCTGCACCCACTCCATGTGTTGGCTGAGTCAGTCCCTCTTGCTTCGTCTTTCAGGATGCAATTTGTTGCAACACAAAGCGTAAATTTGCAGAATTTGTTGCGAAGATGTTTATCTTTGCTTGAATGTGGTGCGTAGACCTGCCGACTTGCATATCTTTCAAGTCGTGGTCCTGCTCCACACAGAATCATAAAGTTATTGCAGTAGTAAAGACGTACATATTTGCATATATGTGAATGTGTTTTTGTCTGTTTTCCTTTTTATTTTTTCTTTTGAACTCTTCTCTTTTATATCATTATGTTTCATGTAACTTATTTATGAGTTGTAACTAATTCACAGACTGTCTTATTAGGCTTGTTGCCCATCATTCAACACTTTCACTATAGTGGGAACATTCTGAAATCATTGGATGAACTCGAATCTCTCAGCAATGATGCAGGAAACGTCTTCATTGAAGTTTCTGTTGATGGTATGGTGGAAAATTATTGTCAAATTTTGCAGTTTGAGTATGATTTGTAATTCTTTTGCGCTTAATATTATATTTTTTGAGGTCAGTACTCAATTCACTGTTTCAAGTCTATTGTTGTCGTGAATATTCAATACACAGTTTCAAATATATGGAAACTCAACAATATAGGGATAGCCAATCCCAGCTGTTATTCAGATGATAATATCACATTATTGTACAAGTGACTGGACGATATAGAACTCTTCCATATCTAGGCAGAAGAGAACCTATTAATTGTGAATATAGCCAGCAGCTGAAATAGTATCTTGTTGTCTATGTTAGGTGGGTTCTCAAAGAACACAGTGGATAGTTAAGGGAAAAACTATTTAGTAGCGTTCTGGATAATGACCTACAAAGTCTGCAGAGGCTTTAAGGTACTGGCATACTGCAGATTTTGAAGACAATATTCTAGAACACTCTCTTGGGGAAGTCCTTTGGGTTCTATTTCGGTTTGTCTTATGACTAATTGGACCTACTGAAAATATGGTAGTCAGCCATCTCTCATTGTGGCCTGTACTAGTGATGTCTTGGAAATGGCTTATGTTCTGGTTGTTCCTGGTTAATCCCTAATGGCTTTTTCCCCCTTTCAAACCAGGATGGGTTCAGAAGCGGCTGATGAAACTGTACATTGACTGCTGTGATGAATTATCCGAGTCACCCAATATAAATTTGCTTAAGAAGCTGTACATTTCAGAGGTATGTGTTGGTCCCGTAGGCGCTGGTTGGTCGTGAATAGCTTATCTCATTCATCCTAAGTTTTGACAATGCTTAATTCCTTATCTCACTCTAGTTGAATGGTGCCTAATCTCAAATTATTTCATATTATACTGTTACAGGTGGAGGACGAAGTTACTGCTTCAGAATGTGGGCTGCAAGATATATCTATAGCTCCGTTATTAAAAGCCCTGCACACACACAAGACAGTAGTCATGTTGGATCTTTCTCATAACTTACTAGGTACATAACTTCTCCATTTTTTATAGTGTCTCCCATCTGTGGCTTGCTGAAATATATCAATGAGGGAAAGGTCATTGGCATCCTGGAAACCTTTCTCTATCAATCTATTTTGCAATATCTTATGTGAGGGTGTGGTGTGTGTTTTTTTCTTTCAGGAAATGGAACGATGGAGAAACTTCAACAATTTTTCACATCAAGCCAAAAGTATGGTGATCTAACTTTAGACCTGCACTGCAACCGATTTGGACCTACTGCATTGTTTCAGGTTATTAACCCGTAGCACAATAAGTTCTGTTCATGCATGTGAAGCTTCAATCTTTTCAACTCAATCCCTTAGTTTAGATGACTGAATTCTTCTGTTAAAATGTACTCTCTTACTGTTTGGTTTTGCTTGCATTTTTGTGGCGTCCTAGCTCTCTCTTTTGAGGGTTTATCATCCTAGTTTCACTGAGATATATTTAACTTTCATTTACGAAGTCTTTTGTTTGATTTTCCAAGTGATTGATTCTAACAGATCCTTCCAATTTCTCATTTTCAGATCTGTGAATGTCCTGTCTTCTTTTCTCGGCTTGAGGTGCTCAATATCTCTGGTAATCGACTCACAGATGCATGTGGATCATACCTGTCAACTATATTGGGAAAATGCAAAGGTAACGAGAAATATATGCTTACTGTTTTATAATGTTAATCCATCTATTAGAGCAAGCAATGGACTAATGTAAATGCCAGCTTGTAGATGCTTAATGCAGATGAAGGTGGTTTGTTAAGTTTTTCTTGTTTCATTTGAAGTGCTTTCTAGTCTTATGCCTTCCATTTAAGATTTTACCACTAGGAAGTTTTTCAAGCCCCTGCTTCTTTGTTCCACTGACCCAAAAGTGTTGTATTGCAGCTCTTTACAGTTTGAATATAGAACGCTGCTCCATCACATCTAGAACGATTCAAAAACTTGTTGATGCAATACATTGTGATTCAGTCTTGGCACAACTTTCCATAGGTGCGTTTCTGTGAAATCAGTGATAACTGATCTTAAAATTCTGCTTCTCTCTCTCTTGTGTCATTATCTAATGACTGATCACAAAAGCAGGACATAATCCCTTATCAGGAGCTTCCATCACCAATCTATTAAGAAGACTTTTCACCTTAAATAGGTTTGCAATGTTGCTATTTGATATATCTACGTACATGCTACCAAGTCATTCAGAATTACAAGACATGCAGCTTTGACTTCTAAAAGAATAACATTTTCTTTTAAAAAACCTTTGTAGCTTTGCAGAGCTGGATATGAGTGGTCTGAAACTAAACAAGGAAGTCATCGACAACCTGTGTGAACTTGCAAAGCATTCTTGTTTGACGAGTTTAAGTGTTGGGAGCACCGGCATGGGAAATGTGGGTCTCCTTAAGATCCTAACTTTGTTGTTGTCATTGGCATTTTTGTTTTGTTTCATTTAGGCCAGCTTTTCCTGCTTGTCATGATGCAAACTCTTATGATAACTGCAGGAAGGGGCTCTGCAGTTGACTGATTCATTCCCCTCCAGATCTCGAGAATCTTTGAAACTGGACCTATCGTGCTGCACACTGACATCCACATATGTTCACAACCTTGCATTGAATTTCAGCCTTGCTTGCTGTATTATGGAGCTGAATCTCCAAGGAAATTATATTATGCCTGCGGTTTGTCCCTTTATCACCCTATCTATCAAGTCCTGTGTTTACCATTTTTTTGTTTTTTTCAGCCAGTGAACTCAACTTGAAAATTGAAATCTTTACACAGGGAGGAAATGCATTACTATCACTTCTGAAGCAGCCTGGGTGTTGCCTTAGACTTCTGGTCCTTAACAAATGTCAGCTGGGATTTCCCCTTGTTCTTCAGTTGATCCAAACCCTTGCAGGTTTTTCCAGAGTCCATGCTATGAACTCCCCATACTTTCTTTAGTTTCATTTAGCATGTACACGACCATGACTCGTGACCTTTCCTACAGAGAATGATCAACTGGAGGAGCTCCATGTTGCTGAGAATGACGATCTGCAGAAAAATGAAATCTCAGCCTCAAATAAATCATCGACAGACGAAAGGTTACGTGATCACCAAGTAAACGCGGAATGTGATGATGGCCTTGTAGTTGCCGACAGTGAGGACTCAACCAGAGTCGAAGCTACAGCAAGAGCTGCCGCATCTCGTTTGGAGCTCAACGACACTTGCACAAGCTCCTGCAGGGAGATGGCGAATGAGAATGAGAGCAACAACAACAACCTCCTGTCATCATCAAATGAATATGGCATCATGGTCAAGCAGCTCTCGGAAGCCATTGCTGCAGCCAAGGCATTGCAGCTGTTGGATTTGAGCAGGAACGGGCTGTCGACGCAAGATGTGGAAGCACTGTACGGTTCATGGTCGTCGAGAGTAGCGAAAGGTTCTTCATCTCAGAAGCACGTGAAGGACCAAGTTGTCCATTTCTCAGCTGGAACAAAGAAGTGTTGCAGGAAGCCTTGCTGCAGAAGGGAGTGAATTTTTGGATCCGTGCATGCATATATGTTTTTTTGGACGAGATTAACTTATGAAGGTAAGCTGTGGAATGGTATAATCGTAATTCCATTCTAGTTAAGCTAAAACGACAATGAGCTAGCTAGTTTACAAAAGTGGGATGTTTTCTTCATTCCCTTTCTCCTCCCTGCACTGCACATTTGTCAACTCCTCTACCGCTTCCATTTTCCACTGGCCAGATCCTTCCTATTTTCTGCTCCTTTCGCTATGGGCGACTTTGGCCAGCCGCAGAGAAGTCTTTCGATTGGTCTACTTCTCTAATGTTGTTACACCTCCCAAAAGAATGAACATATGTCTTTGCACAAAACAAGCAAGAAACAACCGAAAATGTAGCAACTCTTCGTTCAAATTTGCTAAGGGGAATGAACACACAACATTTTGTCCTCCATGGCACCAATTCAACTGCCATTTTGTGTTCACACCTGAGCTTACATTACTGTTGGTTTGTTATAAATTCGTAACTACTCTATTACGAAGGTTGAAAAAAGCGTTGGACATAATACCAGTGTTGGAACCTTGTCTTAGCCTAAATCGTCTAGGTATTGTCTAAACCTGACTAGATGATGAAAACAAAAATAACAATTTGTACCACATAATAAATGAAGTAACAATTTCAACACTTACCCTTTTCAGCTTAAAGATTAATAATTTATTTAACACATAACAACAAAAAACAGCTCACAGGTTCATAAAAGCATAACTTAATGGCTCACAATGCTCTTGAACTAAGGTTGAGATAGAAGATCAGCGACAAATCCAAAACAAGTAGGTATTGTCTGGTATACTAGCTCTAAAACCATAGAAGAGCTGAACCATAATCCAAGGAGACCTCCCCCTCGATCCGTGCATCGTAGAAGATCGAGTTTGTAGACGTTGTTAATGCCTAGGTTTTTATTGATAAAAACATATTTTCTACTGAACACAACATTCATCGTCTTATCAACTAGATTTTTGTTAATAAAAAACACTAATTTTCTATCTAAAAACAATCTACTTACAATCTACATTCATATTTAAATAAAATACAATATTCCAAACAACGAATCAAACAAATAATATAAACATTCAATTTTTAAATTCATGAAATAATCACAAATTATAATTTTGTTAATTAAATGTATAAAAACAACGTTATATTAACATGTTGGTCATACTTGTGATATTCTAATCAATTTCATTATCGAAACCAGTTATAACAGGTTCAACCAACCTACAATCTACCGACTTCACAAATTACAACCATGAGTTTAGGTCGACCGTCGACGTGCAAAAGAAATGAAAAGAAGGGTTGTTGTCGACGTGAGATCGTGGGATTAGTAATTAGTTGGATTGGACTTCCTAAAGTATTTTTTAGATGAAGGAGCTGTCGACAACCTTTGTGAGCAAAATTATATTTTCCCGAACGGATCTCCCTAACCGTTGCTCCGGAAACCAGATGACATCTCTCTTTCCATGCTATAGTTACACTCACAAACCAGACAAAATGATCAATATGGCAGTCTTGCACCTGATGAAATTAATTGCAGAATGCCAATCCACTGTGAGGCCATCGAAGATCAATGAAGCGGAAGGTCTCAGTGTTGACCTGGTTGGAAAACTGATTCAAAGAAGGGAATTTGATTCTATACCAGCAACGCACATAACAGTAACACAAATCTGCAGAGGCCGATCAACCCAACGAATTTTTTTTGTTCCCGATTAGTAATTCGGTCAAAATAAACCAGACTTGTGCAAAAGACTGAATCTTGCAACTGAATCGTTATACTTACCTCTCAAAGAAGCCATCTCAAGGCACAAGGAGTATGATAATTACAAAGGAGAAATTTCTCCAGCCCACAAATCGAAATATAGAAAGTAGGGATGAAAATCGAAAGAAACAATCCCACGGCTAAAAGCAAGGTCGATAGCCGCTCGCCGTCAAGAAGGTTGCGAACTGGATGCGGATCCGCCGGTCGAGTACGTTTTGTTGTAATCCTCCAGCTCTTCGTAATAAACGTCCCATACGCATCTCACGCACCCGCTGCCGCAACAATCTCCCGACTCAGGCTTCTCCGGTGGCGGCGGAGGAGGAATCGCCTTCTCCTTCGTCTGCTCTTGTTCCTCCTTGTCGTCAATTGACCCTCCCCGTTTCGCTTCAGTCGGTGTCGTCGTGGCTGCCATTTGGGGATGGCCGGATGAAACGGCGACGCTACGGCGGTGGACGGTGTTGAAAGACGAGAGTACCGCTTTGCGGCTGGGATTTCTCATCCAATCAAGTAGTAGCCGATTTATCGCCCGTTTCCTTCTAACGGAAAACCCCTATTTTTTATTCCAAATTATAATACTATTTTGGGCCTATTAAAAAAACGCGTGAACAGTCACGAGAACAAACTTTATGGTGGGCTTGGGGCCCACCAAGGCTCCTTTCTATTGGTTACTTACTGCACACACTACACGCAGCAGAACGACCGGTCACGCAACGCGACAATGAACCGGCAACCGTCCCTTTCTGTTTTCTTTTCCTTTTTAATTCCTTTTCTATCCCGGGAAAAGGCAAATCGATTCCCCGTTTCCCCAAACAGACCCTTAATTATCAGAAAGTGGAGACTGGTAAGTGAAAAGCATGTTGGCGGGGAAGCTTCATCGAAACTTCCTTCCCACCTTCCTTCCGCATTATCCTCCTCGATAACCAAAATTCGTAGCCCAACAATAAAAATAAAAAACCCGAGAAAATCGATCGATTCCAGTCGCGTTTTCTTCTTCACTCCGATCAGATCGCTCTTTACCTTCTCCGCCGTGCGAAACCACCGCCAGCTGGCCCGTTTATATACCGCCAGCTCCCGCGAGAGCTTTAAAGCGAGCTGCTGTTACAATACGCGGCCGAAACACGGAAAGCCACGGCCGGACCCCGATATAATAGAAAACAGATTTCTATTTCTAGCTTCCGAGAACGAAGGTAGCATTCCTCCGCCATTGATCAGCTATCTCTCTCTCGTAAGTCCGCTGAGCTGTATCAGCTTCCGCTTTTTTTCGTTTCAAAAGTAGCTTTCTCGTTCCGGCCGGTTGCGTTAGTCGCCATTTCTCATTTTATATTAGCTTGCAGAAAAAAATTATCGTAGCAATTGGCAGTATCTTCATCGAGGAGCGAGGTGTCGTCTTACTATAATCGAGCGACGAAGAGAGGCGAAGTGTCAATTCAATAATTCATCAGTGGTTCTGAATTTCGTCGGGGAGGAGATAAGAGTACCGAAGAAGATTCTCTGAGTTTGTCTTCCTTGGTTTGGTTTCTGTGGGAGAGCAAAATATGAGTATCACCTCTTCGAAAGGATTATTATCGTCGACGACGGCGACGACTCCGACAATGTCGGAGCGCGACCTAGAGTCCGGCATCACTTCCGACGCTGCCGCGGCCGGGAAGGGATTCGACGAGGAGGAGGAGGAGGAGGAGGAGAAGAAGAAGGTGGTGGATGAGGAGGAAGACGGTGTCGAGGATGAATCTGATCCTTTTGATATCGCTCAGACCAAGAATGCTTCTCACAACACTCTCAGAAGATGGAGGGTACGCAATTAATTATACTGAATTAGTTAATTAATTACGCTTAAGCACTCAGTGCTACGATCGATTAGTTAATTATATTTCATGCTCAATCGCGCCTAATTTGCTCATAAAATCTCAGTTTCCAACGAATGCAGTTTCGTTTGTGATATTATGATATTAATAAATGAAATCTAGATGATCACTGTGCATTTGCATGAGATCGGTACGTATAGTCAATTAGTTTGGGAGATGAATTCATCCAGTTCTTAGGGATCGATATACGAGTGCATGCAAAGTTAATCTGTGAATCGAGTTGTTTCCTTATCGATTGGACTGAAGATGTTTGGTCTTACTGGTCTTTTCTTGGCAGCAAGCAGCACTGGTTTTGAATGCTTCTCGCCGGTTTCGGTACACTTTGGACTTGAAGAAGGAAGAGGAGAAAGAACAAAGAAGGCGGACGATTAGAGCTCATGCACAAGTTATAAGAGTAATGAACAGCTTACTTGAGACTTAATTTCACTACATGCATTTCAGTGAATAATCCTCTCAAGGTTAATATTCGTGGCTCTGAGATTTTCTTTTCTGTTGTTGTTCTTGTCTTTTTCTCATTTGCCAGGCAGCGTTGCTTTTCAAGTTGGCTGGAGAAAGACAAATAGGTATTTCACTCTCTGGATACTTTTCTGGATGTATCTTCATATCGTTAGTTGATTCTCTTAGTTGATATCTGGGAATATTCTACTGTGCCAAGTTTGGAGCACCTTCCCTCTCTTTTATGTTGATGTAACCCTAGCTTTCCCCGATTCTTTCTCACTCGTATCAAAATCCCTTAGACTTAATAGTTTGTCGAGCTTTACCATCTTTCATCCTGCAGTACAAATTGACAAATCACAAAAGTTGTCCTCTATATGAGCTAAAGGAAAGCAGCAAAAATGTTGAATAAGGTACCATGGTGTAATAGTAGACACCTGATTCCCCATTTTGCATAACAGGTTTTTTCCCTCTTAGTTGCTAACTAAAGAAATGCTTGATATGATTATGAGCATTAAGAGTTTGGGGGCCTTAGTCTGATGGCAGTGTCCGCAGCCTATTTGCATACTTCTGTAGTCGGTTTCCCATTTTGTTGGTTTCTTTGTTGAATTAGTTTCTATTGTCAAGTGTCAGGTTCCTCAGTTGCACCTCCAACCCCTATTGGTGATTTCGATATTGCGGTTGAACAGCTATCAACAATGAACAGGGATCATAATGTTGAAGCTCTACATCAATATGGGGGAGTAAGTTTACTAGAATGCTGCATTTATTTCATATATGATTAGTTTTCAAAGCTTGGCTGGTTGATTTGTGATTGCTTATCAATCAGGTAAGAGGTTTAGAACGTATGTTGAAAACAAACTTGGAGACGGGAGTTAGTCCAGATGAGGCTGACATATCGAATCGGAAGAATGTTTTTGGAGCAAATACGTACCCTCGGAGAAAAGGAAGAAGCTTCTTGGTGAATCTTTTGCGCTAAATTCTGTTCTCAGCCTAGTGAGGTACTGGCAACAGAAATAACGATTGCCTTGTTTTGCAGAGATTCCTATGGGAAGCTTGGCAAGATCTAACTCTTATCATCTTGATGGTAGCTGCCATATTGTCTTTGGCATTGGGAATAAAGACAGAGGTACATGTTGTTAATCACTGCAATAATTTTGATTGACACATTCATTTTGCATCTCGTGCTCCCTTTTGCATGTCACCCTGTAAGTTCTTACATAAAACTGTTTATGAAATAAATCAAAGTGCTGATGGTACAAGAATCAAGCTATCCTGTTCTAATCAAAGTTCACAGTATGTTGATGCCTTTTATTTGCCCTAATGAAGTTAATGTGTACCATGCTGCTTCGTTATTTCCAGGCACTTTCTCCTTTGCTTGTAGGGTGATGTTTTGTCTTACTTGATTACCTGCATAGTGCCACTGCTCATTGCGCTTTCCCTTTCAGTTACACTTTGCCGTTCTAAGTTTTGCCTGTCATTTGTAGGGTATCAAAGAAGGATGGTATGATGGTGCGAGCATATATATTGCGGTTATCCTCGTTATAGTTGTTACAGGTACCTTGGTTGAAATTATGATTTTCATATTTGTCTAATGTATTTTCCACCGTGTTCCCTTTTCAAGCGTAGTCCTCCTTTCTGCTCTTGTTGTCTAGGCCTAATCTCTTGGGCTTGAAAGCTGAGTTTGATATACTGCCTAACTGTTTCTGACAAGATTCTATAGTTACTTCTTTGATGAGTTCTCCTTTTTTTTCTTCTGCTTTTGTTTTAAGTTTTCTGGGTGTTTTTTGTTTTTGATTTCCTAAAATATTATTGCATAAAGGGATAAGATCGGTTTTTGCTCATCCCATCATTTGCCCACATATCTTCCTAAGATGCGCAGTGATATTGATCCTTTTTTTGATTTCATCTCTTTTTTTGTTTTATAGCTGTTAGCGATTACCGCCAGTCTCTTCAGTTCCAAAATTTGAACGATGAAAAGAGAAATATACAGTTAGAGGTATGTACTTATAGTAGTTAGTAAAATGTGAAGTTGCTTAGACCTCTCCACTGTTGTATTTTTGTTTACGAGTTTAACCTTGCACAGGTCATGAGGGGTGGGAGAGCAGTTAAAACTTCAATTTTTGATATAGTTGTTGGCGATATTGTACCTCTTCGAATAGGTGATCAGGTAAGTTTTTCTTGTTAAAGAGTCATCTTTTACCTATGCTTATAAATTTTCATTCTCCCAATTTAATCAATACCGACTTGTTCCACATAGGTGCCAGCTGATGGAGTCTTAATCAGCGGCCATTCTCTTGCCTTGGACGAATCTAGCATGACTGGTGAAAGCAAAATCGTGAGTTGTCTGGACTAGTGATATTATCTATCTGGTTGTAAAGTTGTCGATGGAGTTCGTTCTTATGCTTTATCCTGTTACAGGTTCACAAGGACCAAAAGGCACCCTTCTTGATGTCTGGTTGTAAAGTTGCTGATGGAGTTGGTACCATGCTGGTAGGGAACATTGTGCTTCTTCCATTTTGTTTGCTCTGCATCTTTGTCTTTATTCGATGTCTGCTTACTTGGTCAGTATCCTTATGGAAAAATCATGAGCATGAGTTCTCAAGTCAACTATGGATTCAGAATCACGAGAACATATAGTCACTTTAATTACTGATAAGGACTAAAGAAAAGCTAAGAAGAACTCTCTGAAAATTTTGCTGGTTTAACCCAGATAACAAACTTATTGCTCATTGGTCTTTGTTGGAGATGCGAAAATTTTCCCAAATGATTGCATTGATTCTACAATCTAAAATTTTCATGTTTACTCTTGTGTGCACTTGAAGTTGCTAGCAGGGTGTGCAGCTTTTCCTTGCAGTTCCAGCTAATGACTCCCAGTGTATACTTAGGCCTGAACAAATAGCATCTTTTAAAGAATGAGCGATTCTGGTTTCTATTTTCCTGCATATCTTCCCAGCATGATCGTCTTTCGCTTTTTGACTCTTGTTGTTATCCTGATTATGTGTCTGAATCTTTCCTCTCCATTTGGATTCCAACTATCTATGCCAGCTTGAGACTCATCTCGTACTAACAATTTATAGGTCACTGGAGTTGGAATCAATACGGAGTGGGGACTTCTGATGGCAAGTATCTCAGAGGATACGGGTGAAGAGACTCCATTGCAGGTTTTCTATCAGTTGTTCTTGCTTCAATGAACTAGCAGTACAAGATCTTGGAACCTTTAGATTAATATATTGATCTAATGATGATAGGTGCGATTGAATGGAGTTGCAACTTTTATAGGAATTGTTGGTCTTGCAGTAGCTGTCTTAGTGCTTGTTGTTCTTCTGGCTCGGTAAGTTAAGCTATCATGTAGTACAGTCTTCAATTTTGTCTTGTGTTGATCCTGCTGATGTAGTATTCTGAATCAAAATCCTCAGATACTTCACTGGACATACAAAATATGCGGATGGATCAGTCCAGTTTGTTGCAGGCCACACCAAATTCAGTACAGCTTTAGATGGAGTGGTCAAAATTATCACCATAGCAGTATGTTCAAATCCTTCATTTTTTCTATATTTGTTCTCTTTGGAATACGGTTTTTGACTAACCCCAGTAAAATCCAGGTCACTATTGTAGTGGTTGCTGTACCTGAGGGACTTCCCTTGGCTGTTACCTTGACGTAAGTCGATGTCTGCTAAGTGCTGCATTAGTGATTACCTATTGCTGATGCTCTTTTTCCCGCTTACTCATTTGCTCTTATCTTTATTTCACTTTTTCCGGTGTTCTGTTGCATTCAGCCTGGCATATTCTATGCGAAAGATGATGGCAGATAAAGCCTTGGCAAGTATCAGTTTCCACATGTAATTTGCTTTTGTTTCCAAAAACTGTATTTTTGTGTGACTTCTAATTATATGGTCTACAGGTTCGTAGGCTCTCGGCATGTGAAACTATGGGTTCAGCAACAACAATCTGCAGTGACAAAACTGGAACGTTGACCTTGAATGAGGTTTGTACTATCTTGAAGTTGGTATACATTTGTTAGAGAAACAAGACTTACCAAATTGCAAGAAAATGCAAAAAAAAGAAGAAAGAAAGAGCGTTCCTGAAGAGAGACATCTATTAAAATACACGGGGCATATAATATTGAAAAACTGAGATCTAACTCCAAGCTGTGACCCCTGGGCTTTGCTGTCTATTAATTAAAATTAAGATACTCGATCACACAAAATGGTTTTTGTCTTCTAATTATGCATTGCCAATTCAACAATTGCAGATGACCGTGGTTGATGCTTGTGTTGGGAAAGGTAGAACAAGTGTCCCTTCAGAATTACATTCAGAAGCTAGGTCATTGTTGTGCGAGGGCGTTGCTCACAATACCACAGGCAATGTTTTTGTTCCTAAGGTGAGTTTATCTTTCTGAATTAGGTCCCCATATCTCCACTACCCTGCACGTTTAACCTCACCGAAAGTACTTTAAAAGGCAGCTGCACTTTCTTATTCTTTGTGAATATTACCTCTCATTGGAGTTCTTTTGTAATTACTGCTTGGTAACTGCTTTTGTTTAATGTATGACGTAAATAAATAACATGGTCCCTTTTTTGTATGCTTCTTCTTTGAAATCGTAGTCGCCTTTTGGATACCTATACCCAAAACCATTCGTGGCATTACTAGTACATTTTTTTTGGTAGAACTATTACATTTTTAGTTCTGTTTTTTTTTTTTTTTTTTTTTTTTTTTTTTTTTGCCATGCATTTTTCTAGTTCTGCTTGCTGGTGCTCTATGATATACAGATAATTAGTCTAGACTTCCCCATGAATATTTCAGTAAAGATTTAACCGTATTCATACACTTTGACAGACTGGTGAGGATGTAGAAGTTACTGGATCACCCACTGAAAAGGCTATCCTTTCATGGGCAGTCAAGGTAGTCTTAATACATCATTAAGTTCTTTGATTATTGTTCATCTTTTTTGTATCCCCCTTATGCTTATGCTCGCGTTGGATTTATTCCTTTCAGTTAGGAATGAAGTTTGATGCAATCAGATCGGAGTCTAAGGTTCTCCATGTTTTCCCTTTTAACTCTGAGAAAAAGCGAGGTGGTGTAGCCGTGAAGACGGTAATTTCTCTGTTCTGACTTCTACTATGACTTCGTTTGGAAATGCTCCACTACCCCAACTGATTATCATATATCTACACAGACGTGTTAAATTATTTTTTCACCTGCTAAATGTTCGAACTGATTTGGATGTTTACTAATGAGTTATGAGTAAGAATATGGAGAAGTTATGCATCATTACACAAGTACTAACGACGTTCCATATTTGCTTCCCTGCACATGGAAATGTGTTAATTTCTCTGCTAACATGAATAGCTTATTTGTGTATGTCGAACTACATTATGCTGTTGATTTACTTGTTTACCTTGACTCGTGGCAGACTGATAACAGCGTCCACATACATTGGAAGGGAGCAGCTGAAATAGTTCTTGCTTCATGCAGTGGATATCTAGACTTAAATGGTTGCGTACAGTCCATTGATAATGATAAGGTACTTCCTTGGAGATTATATGTCAGTTAAGATGTTCCCAGAGAAATAAACTAAGGAACTCAAGTCTCAACTTATTGGCATTTGCATCTGAGTGCTTGATCATTCTTATTAATGCGCTTTCAAATCAGTGGCACACTACGTGAACTTTTGTCTAAGAGATAGTAGGGACAAATTCTCACATTTGCCATAGATGATCAGGTTGTTGAATAAAGAAACTAAGAGGCAATTTAGCTTGACCACTTCAGAATATTGATGTTAAACGCTTGAGATTTGTGATGTGTGCTGTGGTTCCATCAACATTGTTTTCTCACCTGTTCTAAAGGCATGCTTTGCATACAGATGTTAAAAGGGAGTTGATGTGCTGAATTACAAAGTACTAACTGCAGTCTATCCCTTGTCAATTCTTTTTTGTTTTTGTTTCTGCGGCCATTCTGCCATCATTCCTTGTTTGATTCTCAAACACAATTAACTGTTGATCTTCAAACATTCTGTTATCTGTTTTCTCTTAGTTTACTGGCTATGTTGGTGAAGTTGACATATGCTGCAAATGTAATTTTCAATCTCTATGGATTGTCATGGCAAACATGTTGTGACCTTGGGAAATTACACTGATATGATTATTTGACTACTCCAACACAGGAATATTTCAGGTCGGCCATTGATGACATGGCAGCACACAGCTTGCGTTGTGTTGCCATTGCTTACAGGTCATATGAATTGGAAAAAGTTCCCACTGATGATGAGGCCTTGGCAAAATGGGTTCTTCCTGAAGACAGCCTAGTTTTGCTTGCAATTGTTGGCATCAAGGTTTCTTATCTTGAAACAGCTCTATCAATATTTTTTCAGCTATTTCCATTCTCTTCCATTGTCATAGTGACCATCTTGCTCCATGAAAAGTGGGTGTAGACCCTCTTCCTCACCAACCGACACAATCTCGCACACTTGGAAGTTATTTAACTAAAATGTTGGTTGTACTGGTACCCAACTGATGTGAGTTCCCTGTGCAGGATCCTTGCCGTCCAGGTGTTAAAGATGCAGTCAGAATATGTACTAGTGCTGGTGTAAAGGTTAGCTTGTTTTTGTATTGTTTGAAATCATAATTGCATATAACTCAGCCAGTGATAATATTTAAGTACCTAACTTCTTATTGGATAATTATGCTGCCCAGTCTTTTCTTTTCCTTCTAAATGAACAAACACTGGTTCCCATTGGTAATATGCCTATTCATCTGTAGGTTCGGATGGTCACAGGGGACAATATTCAAACAGCTAGAGCAATAGCTTTAGAGTGTGGCATTTTAGGCTCCACCGCTGAGGCTAGCGAGCCAAATGTCATAGAAGGCAAGGTGTTTCGTGCATACTCGGAGAAAGAAAGAGAGCAGATTGCTCACAAAATAACGGTATGTAGCTTACTAGGTGGATCTTAATGGTAGATTAAGCATGGATTGATAATTTATCTGTTGCAAGTTTCAGTTATTGGTAAGATCCAGTAATAATTGCTCATGTGCATTTTCATGGTACTTTAGGTGATGGGAAGATCATCTCCTAATGACAAGCTTTTACTTGTTCAAGCCTTGCGCAAGAGAGGCGAAGTTGTGGCTGTGACTGGTGATGGCACGAACGATGCTCCTGCACTCCACGAGGTTCGTTGTCTGTTTTGGAAATCCAATTTCAGGCAGATATAGGCTGCGAGTTTCCACATACTATGCAAATCGAATCTTACCATTGTCACATTAAGGGTATCTGCTATGCTTGAGATAATTAGACAAAAATACATAATTCCTCTGGAAATGCGTGTATTGCTTCCTTCAGCTTTTGTTTTGTTAGTTTTTTATTTTTTCTTTCTGCTAGATTTTCCTTTTCTTCCTTCCCTATTCTCATTTAGGGTTAATTGTACTTTTATTTTGTCCAATTTCAGGCAGATATAGGCTTGTCAATGGGCATTCAAGGGACAGAAGTAGCGAAAGAAAGCTCAGACATCATAATACTCGATGACAATTTTGCTTCAGTTGTAAAGGTTGGTTGGAAATGCCATTCATCTTAAGTAATGAAGTTGGATCAATGCCTTCCTAATTTGGGTGCCTACCTCTATCTTGCATCCATTTGTTCCCTTGTTTCCCACATTCTATCTTTTTCTGGATATCATGTAGGTTGTACGTTGGGGCCGTTCTGTCTATGCGAATATCCAGAAGTTCATCCAATTCCAACTCACTGTTAATGTCGCAGCTTTAGTGATTAATGTTGTGGCTGCCATCTCTTCTGGTGATGTACCCTTAAATGCAGTGCAGGTATTTCTTCCATGTCTCTATTATGTATAGTTGTATATCTGCAACTCAATAGTACGAGGAGGGTGGCCAGTTTGCATGAATTGGATAGTTGACTTGTAATAATGAGCAGTTTCTAAATTCTTGCTTGATTACGTGCTTCAGCTTTTATGGGTTAATCTTATAATGGATACACTTGGAGCACTGGCATTGGCAACCGAACCACCAACGGACCATCTTATGCACAGAACACCTGTTGGACGAAGGTTGGTATCTATCTTTTTATGGGTTCATCTTATATGTTAGTACACCTTTGCTGTGAATTTGTTTATATCGTTTTTAAACCATTTTATTAAGTTAATAGCTTTCAGAACCTAGGCTATATTTGTTGTCAATCGATAATGAAGATGGCACCTGACTGTAATGATCTTTGAATTTGTAGGGAACCCCTGATTACAAACATCATGTGGAGGAACTTACTGATACAGGTGAGCAAAAAAATTGTGATGCCTCAGTTGTTTTGTTGTGCTCCAAGTTCTCCTGCGAAGATGAAATATCAGTAGATGAGCATTAGCATCTGGATTCCTACTGACTTTATTCATGATCTTTTAGGCGTCGTACCAAGTTGTGGTGCTTCTTGTGCTCAACTTCTCTGGGATCTCCATTCTCGGGCTGGAACATGATACCGAGGAACATGCTACAGTTGTGAAGAATACCATGATTTTCAATGCTTTCGTGCTGTGCCAGGTAATTTAAACTTTGACAAATCAGGGTTGCAGCTATTAAGAAGCCTGATAGCCTAACCCTTTTCTTTGTTACGTGACAGATATTCAATGAATTCAACGCACGAAAACCTGATGAAATCAATGTCTTTGATGGGGTAACCAAGAACAAATTGTTTATGGGCATAGTTGGATTTACTTTCGTTCTCCAGGTAATTAGAGAGTTCCTTGTTCTGTTAACTAAATTCATATTGTCTTCTTCCCCTAAATTGAATTGGCTATATCGCTGTACAGATAATCCTGATCGAGGTCTCTGGGAAGTTCACAAAGACAGTGAGGCTAAGTTGGAAGCTATGGCTCGTGTCAATGGCCATTGGCTTCGTCAGGTATAACTACCGGAACACAACCATCAAATGCTCGTTCCCTTTCCCGGATTCAGATTTTTAAGAAACTAATTCTCTCTTTTTTCCATCATATTTGCTTCTGCAGTTGGCCTCTTGCTGCAGTTGGAAAGCTAATCCCTGTTCCTGAAACTCCAGCCTCTGAATACTTCGTTAAGCCGTTGAGAAAGTTGAGAAATCGCGGCCCCAGCAGCAGCAGTAGTCAGGATCAGTAAATGAATCCACTGTCTTGATTGATGGAGTAGCTTTTACGAGTGCATAATCGTGAAAAAGAGTAGATATTAACAGTAAATGTATATCCTTTAAATGTAAAGCTCTAATGATCAGCTCAAAGTGTAAAGGAATTTATCGTTTTTCGGTGATCTCTGTATCTGCATTTGCTCCGTTTAGGCTTCAGTAGTATTTTAGACTGTAGTAGAATATTGAAATGGCAGTTTTAGTTGCCCACTACTATATCTGCCAGCAGGCCTTCCCACGCTTGAGTTGCCTTGCGTGGCGTACAAGTTACTCCTTTGGGCTAAAATGTGTCTAGAGAACTACTTCTCAACGTCGCGTACGACCAAAGAAATTGTATTTACTCCTAGTATTTACTTACAGGGTGGTGTATTCGGTGCACTCACTTTTTTGGGTGCACTCAGTTTACCCGCCTCATAATTGTCATTATGAGCATGAGATTCATGTCAAAATGGTATTATGAACAAGAAGCACATGAATTTGAAAAAAATTAATTCAAAATTTACCTTCATTCGAAGGATTTAGGGTTAGGGTTTAGGTTTACAATTTGGGATTTTGGGTTGGAATTCAAAATTGAAGGTTAAGGGGTTAGGGTAATAGATTGATTTGTCATGATTCTATGTCATATCATCATATTAGATTGACAGTACTATTAAAGTTCAAAATTGGGTAAATGCCACATTTGGTAACTGAGATTACTAAATCGTGTCATGTTTAGTCACTAGAAAAATTTAATATCAATTTTGGTCACTTAAATTACTGAAACGTGTCAGCTTGAGTCATTCTCCTGTTAGCCTCCGTCCAACTCTGGTCACTCGAATTATTGAAATATGTCACATTTAGTCACTCGAATTACTAAAACATGTCTCATTTAGTCACTCTACTGTTAGTTTCCGTCCAACTCCATTAATGGATTTGGACGAAAACAATCGAGAGAGTGACTAAATGTAACCTGTTTCAGTAATTCGAGTGACCAAAATCGATATTAAATTTTTCTACTGACTAAACATGTCACGATTTAGTAATCTCAGTGACCAAATGTGGCATTTACCCGTTCAAAATTTGATGTATTATGCACACTTTTAGAGTTGGGTGCACTCAGTGAGTGCGCTGAAGTAGCCACCTTCCTTACAGCCAGGGTTCTAGTAAATATAGATTCAGCCCCTGATGATTCTGCTCATCCTAATCCTTCCAACGTACCCAACAAAACTAAGTAAACGACCCAACATCTTGTTCTGAAACATGTCGTTCAAGGAAAAGAACTCCCGAAACCTTCTGAAACTGTCGTTCTAGAACCAGAGCCTGCTGTCGTTGTCTGCCTCGGAAACCTCCATTGTCCAGGTCATCGGAACCGGAACTTGGAGGGTGGCGCGGTCCGAAAGCTACCTGCTGTGCTTTCTTGCAAAACTTCTGGGAATCAACTGCCCGGGCACAAAGGAATACGAAGAAGAAGACATAAAAAGAAGCAAAGGAAGAATGGAGAAGGAAGAAGCACCCTTCACTTTCAGGTCTCCGGCCGGCAACAGTTGATGGCCAACCCGCCTCCGGTGCGGGTAGTGAGCTCTTCTACTCTGAAACTTCGCCTGCAAGTTTGAAGGGGCGGGGCAGGAGTTGGGGTGATTTCCTGGTTTTTCAGCAAGAGGATGAATAGGGAACTGACACGTGGTTCTTTGGGAGTGGCCAGAGAGAGCGAGAGCGCGTGCAACTCCGGACTCCGGGCTTGTATGTATTTTCGGACCTCAAACAATGGAGTTTTTCTTATTGAAGTCCCTGTACAATTTTATATTCCCTCTTCAGCCCCTTCAATGACAATTAGTTTGCTAAACTGGCCCTTTCCATCCATTGACCGTCGTTAGTCGACGTACTCGAAATTGCACGAAATCGAGGAAGGGTCCGAACATGCAATCAGTAATACAAATGGACAAATCATTACTATGTCGCAGTTGGCCTTCCCTATCCTTCTTTCTTCAATGTGAGGCAAATTCTCTCTTGGTTTTCCATAATCCAAGTTCAGAACGCCATTTCAACAAGACAAATAACTTATTCATAAAGACCGAACGTTCTTGAGAAGATAAATAATTACAAGTTTCACGTGATGCATGATCACTAGCTAGATAGATCAAAGGTTTTCTTACAAAGATGGGCAACAAAGTCGTCTGAACAACGGATAGTAATAAGAGTGGACAAAGTCAACATAAAGGCTTACTCTGAATAACAGGATGACGATCAGTCGTTGAGACGACAACTTGAATACCTCCATGTAATTCTAATCCTTAAAATGTCTTCCCTACCTAAAGGCTCATACTTAAACAGGTTTTTCCACATATCCTCATGCCCAAAACCAAAAAAAAAAAAAAAAAAAACAAGGTAGCACAACTATAAGTACGAAGACACTACACGATTCTCATTGTGGTTGTATACAAATAGTTATTGAACTTGAACAGAATTTGGTTGCAGCTAGGAGCCACAAAGGGAATCCAATTAATTACCCTAGGCTAGCTGCAAGAGATACACATGGGGAGGTAAAAAGCCGCAATGACGCCAGGCTCTTTGGTGCATTCAGTCACCGATGAACTTGCGCTTCTTTGTTGTGTTCATGTATGGTCGAATCACCCACTCCGTCTGTGCTTCGGTCTGCTCCATTGTCCCTAGCTTTATCTGTCGGCCACCAAAGCGCCATATTAGATTGCAGTTATGGTTACATGTCAAATACCGACCAACATTCACTCCTAAAAGAGCTTTGAACAGGAGTATCATTCTCCGGCCAAACATGGAGGGGAGATGAGGTAATAGTCTATCAGCTCGTCCAAGGACAGACAACTTCTCTAAGGGGGACAGGTCAGTTCCCAATGTGTATACCTAGCTCATAATATTTGAAATTCCAACGCATCAGGCAGGAACCACAAGACCCAAGTTGATTCTGTAAGCAAGAGTTACCTGATAAAGCCGCATTTCAAAACGAGGACCAATCTCCCTAAGCTCGACGGACTTTGGACCGCCACGTTTTTCATAAACATGATGCCTGTACATATATCAATCATCAAGAGCAAATGTTAGGAGAAAATGAAAAACTCATGCATGAGTTGACAGACCTAATAACAGAAACACAAATATGAGTGTTCCCAGTACATCTAACATGAACCAAACATTACAACATGAAATGATGATATACAGTCAAGTGAGCAGCAAATCATTCTCAAGGCGACATAATGAAAAAACTAAACAGCAGTGAAGGATAATATTAGCATTTTTTAATGATGTGATATTATAAGCATTTTTAAGAATTAAAGGGACCAATAATTCTGATAGTTAAACTTACCTGAACGATATATAGTCTGATTGATTTGCAAAAGTGAGTATCCGCTTTGTATCTGGCTTTGGCACTGGGAAGAGATGCTTCAATATGTTTGCTGTCCTTTCACCAAGCTGTCAATGACAAAAAAAAGAAAGAAAATCAAGCCCATCTACACTGGCCACGGTAATTGATTGAACATGGGGTGGCTATAATGGCATAAGGAAGTCCTCCAATTGCGATGCTCTAATCACATATCATTATTAACAAAGATGATGCAATAAGCATAAAACCAAAATTGTGAATCCCATTGTTTCGAGAAGAGGGTGGATCGTGATATATCGCTTCCCTACTCATTTCTCTTCTTTCTTCTTGATATTTTGCAAACATACGGATTCTATTTGGTGGTGATAAGGTCATCTTCGGTAAACGTGACTGGTAGAAGTTATCAGGATACAGTCAAGCTTCATCATTAAGTTTTCAATCAGAAGAAAGCTCAACAATCCATGGGCTTCTATTCATGCACAAGAAAATGTCCCTTAGTTTCCTTCCCATGAAAGGAACATCGTCACACTGGCAACTTGAAAGTTAAATGAACAATCCATAATCCATGTATAGCCAGATACAGCAAACGCAACAAATCAAACCAGCCTGATAAGTAACAGAGAAGGAATATACAGTACCTTGGTATTGAAATTGTCTAGAATCAAGTGTGGATAAGCCTCAGACATTGTTCCAATTGCTTTCTTATCCTTGATATCATGTCTTGTAACCTGGGATTGGACTCTTAACAAGTATTAGAACCACCCAATACGACCCATGACAAGGTATTATCATCAGAATAAGTACAAAACACTTACCACATTGAGCAAACCAAAATAAGCAGTTGGCCCAAAAGGTAGATGGCTTATTATCATGCCATCGGGTACACCACGATGCTCATGAACCAAAATGACATCTGTAAAATCATGAGAACGGCAACTCTCGATAATTTCAGAAATAACCTGCACAAATTAAAAGTTATCACTTTCATAAGATAAATGATTAGCCAAAAATGAGAAACGAATTAATAGAGACAAGATTTGTTCCCTGCGACAGTTGCTTGTTCGGGACAATACTGATTCCTATAGCATTCAGCTAAGATGTAGGCTCCAAATTGAGTCCACACCACTAAAATGGGACTATATTCTAGGTTCAAACAAATTTTTAATTCCTAAGAAGAGAATTTTTTATTCCTAAAAAGAGATTCTGCCTAATTTCCAACAGTTTCTCCCCCACAAAGGAATTTGCCAACAAAGGTGGTTAGAATAGTCAAAACAGACCTGGCCACCACGATTTATCCGCTCCGCATTTGGGAAAACGATCTTCAATTCCTGCAGGAAAAGAACCACTGCCAGCAATGAAAACCGAGGCACACACAAGGGGGTAAAGAGTATGATGAGTCAAGGAGTTGCACCACTAACCTTCACAAACTGTACAAGAGGTGCACTTGGATCACGGGAAGTAGTCAGCAGAATTTTAGGATCTTTCTCAGTTGCAGTCGCGTACTCATCATCAATATAACTCCTTGGGACTAAATTTCAGAAAAAGATGCATTAGACCGTCTCTTTACGTTCAAACTAAATAAACCCTAATCAGGATTCAGGAAGAACACACGACTCGCAAGAATTCAGCATCATTTCTAAGCATTACACTCGCAGGACCAACCGAAAAACTATTTAGCTACTAGCCCGGCTAATAATAATATCACCAGCATGTTTTCTTCAACCAACTCCAAACCAGCAAGCACATACCGGGACTATTAAATAGGAAGCTTACCGGCGGTTTTATCGTCTTCGAGATCGATTTCAGCGCGGAGCTCCGCTTCCACATTTCTGAGCTCGGTAGGAATCGGTTTTCCCTCTACAGAAACAGCAGACACAAATTGGAAAACAGTTGACACCACAGAACACGAAAAATCGGGTAGAGAGAAGAAAGAAAGAAAGGCAAGTGGTAGTTACCTTGAAGAGCTTCTGAAATCTTGCGCTTGTTCTCATAACGGAGCCGCTCTTTCCCCTCTAAGCTCTTCCGGTACAGATACTCCCTCCTCAACCGAACGTTGCGACGAAGCATCGCTGCTTATACACTCAACAAACAAGCAATGCTTCTCTCTCTCTCCCTCTGGTGCCCGTTAGTGAAAGAAGCGAGGAGGGTTTTCGATTTTTAGGGTTTTTCTGTCTGGGAAGAACGTTAGTGAAAGAAGCGAGTTTTCATGACTCCGCAGGACCTTGCTACTTTGTTTGACGCCTTCGCGAATTTACCTTCTTTTTTTAAGTGGGCTGAATAGAATGTGCAAGGCAGATCAGGCCCAACTAATTTGGGCTGTGGGATTGTGGAAGCAGGCCCAATTCATTTTTTTACCACTTCTGAAATTCAGCACGGAATTGTGACAAAATCTTCATCCAAACGTTTCATTTTGCATAACTGGATTTGCTATCGTCAATTTGAGAACAAAAACATAGCCAAATTTCTAGAGGGTATATTTGTCCAATTCGAAATTTTTTCTCCCTGTCTCCTTGTTTTCTAGCTCTGGTTGAATACCCTTAATCATGGGTTTAAAACCTATTAAATCCAAATGAATTGAGTTTAAACATGCGTTCTCTAGTACCTATCCATTAAGTTGGGTTATAATATATATCCTACCCAATTAGATGGAAAGAAACTATTGTGGTAAACATGTCTTTTTGTTTTATAAGCGGTACATTGGCACTTATCAAACATTTTTAACATCATAATTACAAGGACATATTTACGAGCATGGGATGATCATATATAAAAAGAAAGAAGAGAGTTGCGGATGACGAAGTGAGATTTTTTAGAAAAAAATTTGAGATTGTGCTATTGATTCTTAATCCAATTGACGAGTTTTATTATTCAGAATCGAATGAAGAAATATTGCATGCATTCACACATGCCCAGTGACGGAGCCACACACAAACTTGGGGGTGCGTTGCAGCCCCCTTGGAGGTGCATGAAAAAAATCCCAACAAGAAAAGTAAATAGGAAGATTTGAATCATTCGCTTGTTAATAATGTATAGCCTTCCATACCATCTCCATCAAATAGGTTTGGTGATCAAAATACATATTCTCTTTAACTTTAAATAGTGATTTGTCGTAACCTTAATAACTAAAATGTTTTCATTGTTCCAGAAGAACGATTTTCAAAATCGATTACTGATGAGTAGTTGAACAATGCATTGGTGACATATATTACACAAAATTTGTGTTGCTAGTTTGGACAAATAATTTGTTCTACAATGATTTAATTTCAGAATATCAATCTCATCGTGGTTCGTTGTAAGCAGTGCGCGCCAAACTATTATTTTGTAATAATATTATACAATTCTTGAGTATTGAGTTGATGACTTTTTATTTCGTGCAGAGTTGACTTTTTATTATGTAGTTTACATTTTCTTATGAAAAAACACCCCTTTAATTAATTCTCTGGCCACTGCATATACGCATTACTAAAATCACGACACGCCCGATTCATCATAAATAACCTCTTGGGGGTGGTTTGGATTAGAGAATGTGTAAATGAGGGATTTGGATTAAAATCTCTCAATTAAAAACCCAGGTATTTTAAACGTGGGATTTGATCCAAATAACATGTTTGGGAATAGATGAAGGATTTTAATTAAAAATTACAGTTACAATTATACCCATCCCTAATCTCTAAGGAAAAATAAGAAAGGAAGAACAAAAGGAGGGGCAGAGTTTGGAAAAGAATGAGAAAAAATGAGTGATTGTGAAATAGCTGATCCCCATCAGCTATTTTAAAAACTCTCATATGAGAGATTTAGAATTTACTCATGCACACAATCTCTCACCTTTCCAAACGCAGAATTGTTTTAAAATCCTGCACAACGAGAAATTGTTTTAAAATCACTCATAAATCCCTCATCACATTCCCTAATCCAAACCACCCATTCAATTCATTAGATTCAGCTCTTTATTCATTGTTACACATTCATATATATATATATATTTGCAATCGTTTGCTACGACTGACAAGCTTATTAAAGGGCCTTTGGTGGCGGTGGTTCCTCATAATGCAGACCGACGCCGGCTAAGTCAAGGGCCTTCGGCGGCGGTGGTTCCTCGTAATGCAGACCGGCGCCGGCTAATTCAAGGGCCTTCGGAGGCGGCGGTTCCTCGTAATGCAGACCGGCGCCGGCTAATTCAAGGGCCTTCGGCGGCGGCGGTTCCTCGTAATGCAGACCGGCGCCGGCTAATTCAAGGGCCTTCGGCGGCGGTGGTTCCTCGTAATTTAGACCGGCGCCGGCTAATTCAAGGGGTTTCGGCGGTGGTGGTTCCTCGTAATGCAGACCGGCGCCGGCGGTCGCCGACTTTTCGAGCTGCAGAGCGACATCTCTGGCGGCAGTAGCGAAACGTTGTTGATCCAGTATGGTCGCCGAGAAGAGCAGAGCCAGCAGAAGAAGCGTGTTGTTTCCTTCCGCCATCAGGGAGCGTAGAAAAGACTGCAAAATGATGATTAAGATTAATTTCTTTGATTAATCAATAATATATCATTTGTGACAACATATAGAAGATTGAACAAATTACCAGTAATTACCTCACTCTGTCTTTTGCTGTAAAGGATGAGAAGTGAATAAAATGAGAGATAGGGGTGTGGTATTTATATAGCCAAATGGTAAAAAGGCCAAATGGGAATTCTCAAAAGGGAATTTTGGGAATATTATAAAAAAATAAAAAATTATTTTGATAATTTTTCCTTGTATGAAATATTCCATTATCTCCAGATGGACGTTGCCATTTCTGTTCGATTTGTTTCCAAAATTGTCTATTACAAAAAAAAAAATTTATTACTTTCCCAAATTGTTGATAACTTGCCCTCTTTGCATTCTCTATCCATTTTCAAATTTTCACACAAAAATATCTCTGTCCGTACACAAATTATAACAAAAAAAAATTACAATATTAAAGAAGAAGAAGTTAATATATAAGCATAAGTGCATTATAACTAATTTAATTTTTATCGAGTCCTTTCTACAATAAATATATTGAGTTTTTATATTTTGATATATATATTAATTATCGAACGAGAGTAAAAAATGTGATCAATCATGTCTATGCATAAATACTTCGTTCCATATTCTTTTAATTTTGTACCTTTCGCGCAAATAATTTTGTACCTTCCGATATCAATCATGCCTCAAACACTTCTACTATGCTATAAAGCATTGGTGATTTAATATACAATTTGAAGTTGTAGCATAACGTTCAATTAGATAAATGGCCCGCGCTTTGCGGCGGGGTTTAAAAAATAAAAAATGTTTGACTCAATTATCTTTTAAGAGTAGTTTTATCTTAATTCGAGTTCGCTGTATCTAAAAATTGAAGTACAATTTTAAATTTGTTAACCATTAATGATATGAAATAATTTTTTATTAAATAAGTGTGTTTTTATGTTTTTATGTTTGAGCGTGTTTTTATCTTACTTATCGAGTATTCTCGCCTTGGCACCATGTTGTGCTCGATAAGTATACACGCTCAAACATAAAAACACTCTTAAAAATTTCATGAGTCCTCATTGTTCATAGCCACCACGAATTCATGCACTCCCTGCTGCCTATTCTCAGCATAAATCCCAATTTCACTTATCAATCATAATGCATTGATTTGGAGGCCGGAGATCAATTTATATATCAAGAGTTTATCATCAATTATCTTATCTAAAGTAATCTACTCTACAAATAATTATAGTTTGTTAATCAAGATTTTATCAATTTAATTTAGGGGAGAATATATAATAATCTAATGACATGCATATTGCACCGTAGGAAGGCATCAGCATTGCAGAAGAAAGTACTACAGAAAGAAATTAAGCTGTAAATATCGCAACGCCATGAACGGGAGCTAAGCTAATCAAAGCACAAATCCGTTATCTATTTGGTAATTTGATAGGGTGCACAGTTCGGAGAACGTTGCTGGCTCGACGGCAGCTGATTGTCATGATCGTAGCTGGAGGTAGGGCTGCCTATTTGGTCCGGGTTTTTGATTTTACTCAAAACCGGATCGTATAATCTGGACCGGGACCGGATAGCAAACAATTGAATCGAATCCAATCCAATCCAATATTTGGGCCTAGATTTGAGGTAAAAAATTGTTTGGGACCGGACCGAAAACCGGAAAAAGACCGGATAAGAGAGCCCAACACCTAAAATTTAACCTTCTAACCATTTCAGGCCTTAGGCCACTCAAATCCCCCCTCATGCCACTCAAATCGCCACAAACTCAGTCTAAAATCAAGACTGAATTGGGATCGAACCGGTTCAAGACCGGACCAAACCAAGACTGGACTATATCCAATCCAATCTTTGGTCCTTATGTTCTCGAAAAACCGGACCGAGACCAGATCAATTAGGGCCAATTTAATCACAGAACCAAGCCTTTATTCATCGTTACACCTGCATTTATATTAATTACCTCTATCCCACTCTATCTTTTGCTGTGAAGAGTGAGAAACAAGGTTGTCAAACCGGTTTATGCCAGTGTGTCGGTTTAGCAAGTGGAATGGTTCGATCGGTGGCACATACCGGTTTGTGCCGGTTCATGCCGGTCAATATTACAAATAAAATTATAAATCCTCATATTTAAACATGACGGTTAGCGTCAATACCTAAATATTTATACTTGAATCCAACAAATAACATCAATATTTAAGTTTTATACTCATAAAATAAATAGTGAAATAATTTTTATCAATTAAATTCGCTAAAATAAGGTCATTTTATTTAGAGATTCGTATATCGATCATGCCGGTCATACCGGTAGTGTCACGCCGGTTTTATGACCGGTATTGGTTGAACCTGATACAACCGGTGGCACGCCAACCGGCGTGACAACCATGGTGAGAAGTGAATGAAATGAGGGAGAGGGTTTTGGTATTTATAGTCAAATGAAGAAGGGCAAAATGGGATTTGTCAAAAGAGGACTTTCGGATATGTCCAGTAACTTTCAATTATCAAGGGATGAAAGTTACTGGGTAGTCATGCTATTTCATTCCTTAATGAGATTTAATATGCCCAGTAACTTTCAATTATCTGGGATGAGATAGCATGACTACCCCTAAAAGGATTGGAAAAATGACACCCCCTATTAATTATAGACTTTTAAGGTAATTGATTTGTGTTGCATTTAATAATTTATCTAAATTAAAAACTCATATTAATTACTTTCCCTTTTTAGTGCAATGGTAGTTCTACCACTACAATGATATCAGTGTACAGATGCAATTATAACTTTCAATTAATGAGATTTAATATGGCCAGTAACTTTCAATTACCTGGGATGAGATAGCATGACTACCCCTAAAAGGGTTGGAAAAATGACACCCCCTATTAATTATAGACTTTTAAGCTAATTGATTTGTGTTGCATTTAATAATTTATCTAAATTAAAAACTCATATTAATTACTTTCCTTTTTCAGTGCAATGGTAGTTCTACCACTACTAGGGGTGGGCACGTGGATGCTTAATCCGCAGATTGATATTGATCCACCCGCAAATAACCCGACCCACATGCAATGGGTGATTGATGTGGGTGGATTGTGGATTGTTAAATCTCCCACCCGCACTTATGTGGGTGGGTGGTGGGTGGATTGCGGGTCACCCGTATGACCCGCATCCTATTTTTACATGGAAAAATGTTGTTTCTTATAGTATCGAATATTCATCATATTTTTGAACTGCACTACAGTCTGACCATATACTGCAAAAGGTGAAGAATAAAGAATAGTTTTGACTACTATTATTGGTTATTGTGTTGTGCAATATCCATTGGAAATAGATATTGGTATGCAAATTATTGTTAATATCCATTAAATATTGGGATACAAACTATAAATTATTAATTGTATCAAAACCACAAATTATTGATACAATCTTGCTAATTTGCTATGAACTTATTATAAATGTTAGTCAATATTTTTTAATGGCTAGTTGGAGAATTGCTTTTGCGGGTTAACCCGCGACCCAACCGCATCCATCCGCCACCCATCCAACCCAACCCGCATAAGTATGTGGGTGGATTGTGGGTCACATATATTCCAACCCGGTAGTAAGCGGGTGGGTCAATTTTAGATCAAAATACACCCAACCCGCCCATTGCCCACCCCTAACCACTACAATGATATCAGTGTACAGATGCAAATGTAGTTGTATTAGTGCAATGATACTTCAAAAAAAGGAATGTAATTAATATGACTTTAGTGTACAAGTGCAATGATAATTGTATGATATCAGTGCAATGGTAGTTAAAAAAAAGGAATGCAATTGATATGAGTTTTTAATTCTCAGAGATTATTAAATGCAACACGAATTTAATACCATAATTAACTATAATTAATAGGGGGTGTCATTTTTCCAACCCCATAGAGGGGTTAACATGTCTACTGATAAAAGGGTTGGAAAAATGACACCCTCTAATAATTATAGGTTCTTAAGGTAATTAATTTGTGTTGCATTTAATAATATGTATGAATTAAAAACACATATTAAATACTTTCCTTTTTTCAGTGCACTAATAGTTGTATCAGTGCAATGGTATTAGTGTACATGTGCAATGGTAGATGTATCAATGCAATGGTAGTTCCAAAAAAGGAACGTAATTAATATGTGTTCAGTATACATGTGCAATGGTAGTTGTATCAGTGCAATGATAGTTAAAAAAGGAATGTAATTAAAATGAAGTTTTAATTTCCAATGATTATTAAATGCAATACGAAATTAATACAAAAATAACTATAATTAATAGGAGTATCATTTTTCTAACCCCTTAGAAGTGTTAGCATGCTAACCGATCCCCAATTACCCCTAACCAACCACTATCCAAATAAAAAAACACTACAAATGAATTAAAGTAGCTAAATTAGCCCGACCACTATTCACATGACCTCACGCAAGAACTTCATGTTAAACTTCATTAGTAGGCTTTGTTCTGACCAAATCAATTATGGTATGTTCGTTGTCCAAGTTTAAAGGTCATTACATATAGAAATTTACACACACACAATGACTTACTACCTAACTGTATGCTAAGTATCTTTTCAAAAAAAAAACTATTTGTTAAGTATCATTAGATTTGGTTCAGTCGAGATTGGATGACCATCATTACTTGATTTCGTTATAGATTTTTCTAATTTGTGTCCAAAAATTAGAAAAAATTATTCTATAAAAAACTATATTTGTATAACAAAGGTTAACGGTTATTGAAAAGCTTATTTCGTGTTCTAATATCACCAACCTTCATTTAAATTAAAATATTTTTTAATTCTAATTTACATATACATTTTTAGATAAACCATAGCGAAGCGCGGACCAATTATCTAGTACTAACATATTACCGCTACCGTATGTCAACTCTTAGCTCCCTTTCTTTCTCCTCTCTTTACTACGCATATCTAAACACTATTTAGTGACAGATAGATAATCATATGTAGGGATGACAATTTCGATTTGACCTGATTTACCCGACCTGTTTGGCCTGTTTTGAGGCGGGTCAGACCCGCCTCGTAGGCGGGGCGGGGCGGGCATGTGTACCTCTTATCAACCCGACCTGACTCGCCCCATTCTTGATCTGTTCTTGCCTAAATTACATATGATCTTAGTCAAATTACTTTAAAAATTTCTCTTATTAGTTATTACATTATATGTTAGTTATAATAAAGTTGTAAATAAGTGAAAATTTCAATTTCTTCAATAATTTAACTACAGTTTATCATGTTATGGTTTCTTTCTTAGTTTTTTTTAATGAAAATAACGAATATTTCTAATGTTTTTCACTTAAATTACATACTCATTGGCTCGACCTGCCCCGACCCGCGCCCCGTGATAAATTACCCGATTTGAACCCGACCTGCCATGAGGCAGGTATGGTTATCGAGATACCCGCCCCGAACTTGCCATTCCGCATCCAGTACCATTTTAAAGTTGCCCAACTTCTTTGGAGCAATCGAGAGAATCATATGTTATCCGCCCATCTTCCATCACAATCAATCCCACTACTGGCCGGAATCAGTTCCCTTCCCCCTGTTTCTCAACATGCATGCTCCCCAGATTCTCCGCCGGCCAACAGCGAATCCTATACATCGTCGTCATCAGTTTTCGAATATCAATACTTCATTCACTCTGACGTTATATCGAGCTTTATACGATCGGATCCTTCATGCTGTCACCGTATATATTTCGTCCGGATTCCCTCCCGCCCACCTTTGCCGCACTATAAATATCCCAACACCATTAACGGGAGCTAATCAACGCACAAATCAAATCCGTTAGCTATTTGGTGGTTTGATATATAGGACGTTCACAATGGAGAACGTTGCAGCAGGCTCGACGACAGCTGATGATCATGATCGAGGCAGCAGCTGGTGGTGTTGCTTCTCTCGACGTATCAATCAGGTGATCACCAGCAGAGACGTGACGGCAGCCAATCCCCACGGCGGCGGCGGCGGGCGTAAGATGGTGAGCACTAAAACTAGTGTGGAACGAGGTGGTGGGTGCGATGTGTGTGTGGAGAACGATGATGTGTGCCAGTGTGATCATCAAAGTGGCGACGATGGCCAACACCGTCTACATGAGCAGCCCAATGGCTCTTTTGCTCATGCTGTGATCAATATGATTGGAATGCTCATAGGTACCATTCCTGTGTCTAACTTTAATCTCAATAACTCGAGTTGTTTGGAGAGGTTATGTATGCATTTTAATTACTTTATTAATGCACCCTGTCAAATGAAAGGCAACTCATGAACTTGAAGTTTGCACAGGCCGACCACCATGTCATGTGATTTAAGACTGTACACGTGACTCAAAGACAAATCAGCTCTGATATCATATCATAAACCAACTAGTACCAATAACTCGAATTGTTAGAATAGATACATGCATGTATGTTCATCGCAATATAGTCAAAATCGCTTTTTAAAACTTAATAACTTACGCTTTTACACTTCTAGTTCACCAAAACTTTCTACTTAGAATCATACTTTTCATTACATGTGTAGTCAAAATCTATGCAAAGCTTACAATTTTAGTACTTTTTACGCATCTAGAGGTCACCAAAATACTTTTACATAGAATTCAAATTTTGACTGCACTGGTTAACCTCTACTTTACACGTTTCGCGTCTTATTAACACATACATACATGCAGGACTAGGACAACTATCAACTCCATACGCCCTGGAAAACGGCGGTTGGGCGTCGATATTCCTCCTCCTAGCCCTCGGACTCATCTGTACCTACACCTCCCACCTCCTCGGAAAATGCCTCCACAAGTCCCCCAAGTCCCTGAGCTATGTTGACATCGGCCACCACGCCTTCGGATCCAAGGGCAAACTCCTAGCCTCCACCTTCATCTACCTCGAGATTTTCATGGCGCTCGTCTCCTACACCATCTCCCTCCACGACAACCTCGCCACCGTCTTTACTGGGACCCACATCCCGGCCACCGGTGTCATGTCTACCTCACAACTTCTCACCCTGGTTGCTGTCCTGGTAGCTCTACCCAGCTTGTGGATAAGAAACTTGTCTTCCATCTCGTTCTTATCCTCTGGCGGAATACTGATGTCTGGTGTCATCTTTAGTTGTGTTGTCTTCACGGCGGCGTTCGGAGGCGTGAAGCCTGATAACAACATATCGGTGATTAGGGCAAGGAATATTCCTTCGATTTCAGGGTTGTACGTCTTTAGTTACGGTGGTCACATTGTCTTCCCTGACTTGTACAAGTCCATGAAAGATCCTTCCAAGTTCACCAAGGTATCAATAGTCAGTTTTGCAGCTGTCACCGGACTTTATACGTCCATGGCCTTCTTGGGAGCCAAGATGTTCGGGCCAGGAGTGAGCTCGCAAATCACCCTTAGCCTCCCGCCACGCCTCATCTTCACGAGAGTGGCCTTATGGGCCACCGTGATCACCCCCATGACCAAGTACGCTCTCGAGTTCGCGCCCTTTGCCATCCAGGTCGAGCGCACGTTGCCGTGCTGGATGTCACCACAGACCAAAACAATCGTCCGCGGCACGGTGGGCTCAGTGTTGCTGCTCGTGATCCTCACTCTTGCCCTTTTGGTGCCCTACTTCGAGCATGTGCTCGGCCTCACGGGGTCCCTTGTGAGCACTAGTATCTGTGTCGTATTTCCATGTGCATTCTACTTGAAGATCTCTCGTGGGGAACTGGGACGAACTGTGTTAGTTTTGAACTGGGCCCTAATCGGGGTTGGGTGTGTTCTTGGAGCTAGCGGGACGATTTCTTCGTCCAAGTTATTGATAAACAGTCTTCGAAGAGCTCATCATCTTCACTCCTCTTGAGGCGCATACGAAATTATTTGTATACGTTCATATACATATGAATGATCATGCATATAACAACTATGATGAAGTCGTTTATTATAGTCTTAATCCAAAGTATTGAGTTTGAGAATGTGTTAGTGGACTAACTTGTCTAAGAGTCATAATAACCATCTATAATAACCATCTATAGAAGGTAGAGCTTCTCCTCATATTTAACGCACACAAATCAACTCGTTGTTTATTCCATAGTTCATACCATACCAAAATCGTAAGAAGACACAACTACACCGTATAATTTGAAAACAAACTCTCGCAATAAAATAAACTCAAAATTCTTAACCCATCGAAATCCTATAAACAAGAAATTCGTCTCCACATTACCAAGTAAATGGTATCTTATTCAATCAGAATCTCCTTTCCGGCTCCCACTATAATCAAAAGGTCGACCATGATCCTCATAATTTAACTCGAGTTCCTTGGATGATGCGCACTAGCCGTACTTTAACCTAGGTAACGTGGAAGACCCAGAAACCTCCAACGAAGCTTCGTATGAGCAAAGCCGGGAGGGAATCAGGAGCCAAATTTGCATCATCCTTCATCTTTTGTACAATCAACATCTGGGTTACAGCAGACTTAGCTCTCAAGAAACTTTGCATCGGTAAAAACGAATTTTCTCGACCCCTGGCCCTGGACTGGACTGGACTGATTGGACTCTGCCCCCTGTTCTGTAACTCTGTTCTATATAAATACCAACAAACATGAATCCTCCAACTCCTGAAAAAGCCAAAGATTCAGAGAGAGAGAGAGAGATAGGCAGATGGAAACTATAATGGAAGAAGTGGTGATTGTAGGCGCCGGAATAGCAGGCCTGGCGACGGCTCTGGCGCTGCAGCGAGTTGGGATCCGAGCTCTGGTTCTTGAAAAAGCAGAGTGTCTGAGAACCACCGGATCCGCGTTGAATCTCTTCCCCAATGCCTGGATTGCTCTCGACGCCTTGGGAGTCTCTCACAAGCTCACTCCCCTTTACCGTCCTCTGACCACCGGCTCCATCACCGATGTTGCCACCGGCGCCGTCCGGCAAATCTCCCTCACCGGAGCTTTCTTGTAAGAGACCTTTTGTTCCCCCCAAGTTTTCTAACCATTAATTCTTGCTGTATGCTTTTTCCCCCAAATGAGGTTGAACGATCATATGATGGGTTGACGAATTTGGAATGCACAGGGGAAAGAGGGAAGGACCCAGACCAGTTCACCGCAAAAAGCTGCTGGAGGCTCTGGCCGAGGAGCTCCCGCCTGGCTCGATTCGATTCTCGTCTCAACTCGATTCCATCGAAACCCGAACAGAAAAAGACGCAGTTGTGCATTTGAAAGACGGAACCACCATCAAGTCTAAGGTTTAATTTCTTCCTCTGTTCCCTTTTTTATTTTATTTTTCTTAGCTAGCCTCCCCTGTTTATCATGTCCTCTGTTTCTCCAAATCCTTACAGCCAGCCAACTAATAATAACCTTTTTTCTATTGTGATTGCAGGTTCTAATAGGGTGCGATGGATTGCATTCAGTGGTTGCAGAATGGCTAGGACTCTGGGCTCCGATTCACTCAGGCCGATCCGCGGCTCGTGGGTTATCGGTTTTCCCACAAGGCCATGGACTGGGAAGCTCTGTTCAGCAGTTTCTGGATGTAGGCAAAAGGGCCGGCGTTGTTCCCTTGAATGATAATGAAGTGTACTGGTTCATCACTTGCCAAGGTCGGTTTTGATTCTACATATTTCACCTATTCTATTCACCACTTGCCATTTCGATCTAATGTCATCAATTCATCAGGAGACCACAAGACATACGACCCAATCACGATCCAAAAGGAAGTAGTCGAGCACCACGCCTCGAACTTCCCTTCAATCTACCTCGACGTGGTCCGCCATTCGGACCTGTCGTCGCTGTCGTGGGCGCCACTGATGCTGAGGAATCCGTGGAACATCATAGTCGGCAACGTGAGCAGAGGGAATGTCACGGTGGCAGGGGATGCGATGCACCCGATGACGCCCGATCTCGGGCAAGGCGGGTGCTGTGCGCTGGAGGATGCGGTGGTTCTTGGGAGGCACATCGGGAACTCGTTCATGGCCAACGGTGGGAAGTCGCTGGTGGCGGAGGAGATGGGCCGAGTGTTGGGTGCGTACGTGAAGGAGCGGAAATGGCGAGCGGCGGGGATGGTGACGGGGTCGTATGTGTCGGGTTGGGTGCAGCAGAGCAGCGGCGGGAGGAATTGGTGGAGGCAGCTGCTCAGGGTTGTGTTCTATGCTTACTTGTTTGTTATGCTTGGTAGACATATCAAGTACGATTGCGGTAAGCTCCCGATTGCCAAGGTTGATGACGCCAAATTGGACTAGGCATGGACTGATTGATTTGGTTGTGGTTGAGATGTATGTATGTATGTAACATTTTCAGTTTTTATCAGTGTTATCAAAATCGAACCGGATTAGCATGGATGGGATTAGGTGCTAACTCTTATAGGGGTTAGCACCGTGATAACTAGCAAAAAACGCTACTAAAAATAACGAAATCACTACGGATTATTATCTAAATCACTACTAATTCAAACTAGTAGTAGTTTTTCCCTTGATTAGGACGGTGCTAACTATTGTACAATTAGCACCGTAGCCGTTCCCAGATTAGCAAGATGTTTAAGATTTATCGAATAACCGGTGCTATATAACCGGTCATAACATACTAGAGTATTAAGGTTTAAAATAAGAATGGTTTCATAGTACATTTGAATATAAATACTAGTATTTAAATTTGGAATTTTATATCATATATATATATGACTTGTATAATTGTATTTAGTTGGATCAATGGTAGTTTACAAAAGATTGTTATGAATTTGAATAGATTTTTCGGGAATATAATATAATAGTCTCTTTCTCTCTAAATCAAAGCAATAGAAGCTTTTTGATTGATTCAAGGCGCCATCTTTTTTAAATTTTATAAGTTTTTTTTTATAATGATGAAAATGCATTTAAGGAAGAAAAACAGAGTTCTCGCTTAAAATGGCATATGCTTTAATCGATGAGGAGCATCAACCTGGGCCAGCCAACCATGTCTGGCGTGCATTTGGAAGACCCCGGCAATCCAACGTATTAGAGCTTTCCTTTGGTTGGTGGGACACAATGGACTATTGACGAATGCGGAAAGAGCGAGGCGCCATCTGACCAGCCAGTGCTCTTGCCCGGTTTGTGGGGATGGAGTCGAAACCACTTTGCACGTACTCCGCGACTGTCCTTTTGCGAGGGAGGTTTGGTCCTCTTTTCTTGTGAATGAACCGAATGATAAGTTCTTCCAACAAGAGTTGATGAATTGGCTACTCTATTACCTATAAGGGAAGAGTGAGAATCTCGATGCGACGTTGTTCTCGGCAGTTTGCTGGCTGCTATGGAGGAACCGAAATGAACTGGTGTTTGAGAAAAGAATGGGGGCAGCACCACAAATCCAGAGTGGCGCTCGAAGACTGAAGCATAGTATGGAGGAGGCTTGTTCACGGGGAGGTTCTCTGCTGGGGGATAAGTAACGAGGCACTTGGCAACAGATTGGTTGGCGGAAACCTCAACCTGGGTGGTCGTGCATCAACACAGATGGGTCGGTGGCGTTGGGGCAGCAAAGCTCGGCGGCAGGAGGCGTTATACGTGGGGAGGATGGAAGATTCTTAGGCGCCTTTGCCATGAATCTGGGAGAGGGCTCGGTTACTCGAGCTGAATTGATGGGCATTATTCAGGGTTTGCATTGCGCGTGGGAGCTTGGAGTTAGGAAAGCGGTCCTCCAAACGGATTCAAAGGTGGCGGTGGAGCTTATACGCTCTGCGAGTGCACTTCACCCCCACTACCAGCTTGTGCTTCAAGTGCGAAGATTAAGAGAACGACAATGGGAAACAGAAATTGAACATGTCTATCGGGAGGGTAACATCGCGGCTGACTTCTTGGCGTCAACGGGGCATTCCGTGCCCTTGGGGGTTCACTTGATTTCGATCCCATCTCCTCTTCTTAATTTCTGGTTGTTGTACGACCTGGAGGGGAATCAAAGCCCCAGGTTCATTTCCAGCTGATAGGTTGGGCGGGAAAAAAAAAAAAAAAAAACAGAGTCTTGCACAGAACAAAATCCAAGCCAACTTCACCCTCCGGCCTCAGCCTGGGAAGGGTAAAGTGGTCGAGTGTGCAAAAGCAACGAACTATAAATTTCTACGTAGGTTCAAATCTAGTTTCTCCCACTTTTTTGTTGTAGACTTCATATAAGAGAAAGTTGGCATCAATTAAACGAAAAAAGCATTGGTGAAGAATCCTAATCTTGTTGCAAAGAGGTGTTTTGTACTTTTGGTAAACAGATTTAAATGTAATTTCAGTGTATTTAGAGGTGGTAATTTTCAATCCAATCCACCAATTCAATCCATCAATCCATTATAAATATCCACCTAATTCAATCCATTTAAATCCAATCCATTTGATCAAAATCCAATTGGATTGGTGGACTCATGGATTGATCCATGTATCCAAATGACAAATTACGGTTTGGTACCTATACTTTTTATATTTTAAATTTTGGTACCTAAAATTTTATTTTTTATGCGAAAAATATGATTGGAAATTACATTTTGGTACATAATATTTATCAGGGAATTCCTACAATGCCTTGAAGTAAGGTAACTTGATTTTTTTACTTGTTATAGCAGGTTTCACAGGTTGCATTACGTAAAACACAATAGGCATTACGTAATGATTACGTAACATATGTGTATCTTACGTAACAGTTGTAAAATCTCATTACGGAAGCCTTACGTAATGGAGGGTTCTTTTACGTAATGAATGTATACCTCGCGTTACGTAAAGTGATAAGTCATTATGGAAGTCTTATGTAATACTTCTACTTTAACTGTTACGTAAAAAATAACTGTCATTACGGAAACCTTACGTAATTGAGACTTCTTTTACGTAATGAATATTAACCTTGCGTTACGTAAAGTATTAAGACATTACAGAAGGCTTACGTAACACTTCGGATATTAACTGTTACGTAAGAAATAACTATCATTACGGGAGCCTTACGTAATAGATGTGTTTTTTACGTAATAGTTGTAAAATGTCGTTACGGAAGCCTTACGTAATTGAGGCTTCTTTTACGTAATGAATATTAACCTTGCGTTACGTAAAGCGTGAAGTCATTACGGAAGCCTTACGTAATGCTTTTGATTTAACTGTTACGTAAGAAACAACTATCATTGCGGAAACCGTACGTAATGGATGTGTATTTCACGTAACAGTTGTAAAATGTCATTACGGAAGTCTTACGTAATTGAGGCTTCTTTTACGTAATAAATATTAACATTGCATTACATAAACGGTAAGGTTATTACGGAAGTCTTACATAACACTTATGATTCGATTGTTACATAATTGAAAATTGTCATTACATAAGTGATATTTAAACTTAAATTTAAGTGAAAATATTAATAATGATGTTTGTTTATTATTTAATAAATAATTGAAAATGGATGAAATGGACCAACCTTCCACGATTTTTATTCAAAATATTATGTATTCTTTTTTTGTAAGAGTATTTAAAATATTGTAATTTTTTTGTAACAAAATATTCCAATTCAAATTACAAAGATGATTGCTTGAGCGTTAATTTTTTTTAAAAAAAAAACCTAAAAGCCTCCCATTATCAATCGGCCCAGTCCAATAAGAGTGCAACTTAACAAAGTGCACGGGCAGTCGGCCGTTGGCGCCGGTAGCCCGTTTTTTTTATTTTATTTTTATTTTTTAATCAAAGGTCCAAAATGAATTTAATTTGTTTTAACGGTTTAGATCTATACAAGTTACCTAACTTGAAATTATACTCAAGTTATTGTAGGAGGTCCCTATTTATCATTACGACATTGTAGTGCCTAAACTTTTCACATTTTATATATTGGTCCAAGCTTCCATGGAAAACCTGTCGCAGCTTGTCAACTTCGGAGCTGCGTATAACGATCTGGTGAGACGAATTCCTGAAACCATCGGTCTACTTTCGAGGCTGAACTTGATTGCAGTTGGCGTTAATCAACTTTCTGGTACAATTCCTCTGTCTCTGTACAATGAAGTCTCCAATTTGGAGATTTTGTGCAGTAGAATCAATAAGCACTTTATTATTCATTACATAAAAATACTATTGATTATGTAAACTTACACAATGTTATCTTGTCGCTACACACATAAATTCAAAAAATAAAATTTGATAAAAGAATTAATAAATACTTACATTTTCAAAGTTCCCTTTGACTTCCGCATGGACATATCTTTATCATGATTGATCTTCGTTGAAAAAACGCGCCTAAGAATCTGAAAAGATGAAGAAGCAGCAGCCTCCTGTCTTAGAGACCAGCAACGAAACGAAACGATATGGACATTGCAGTTTCACACACAAAAAACTTTCTTTTCAAATCCATGGCGACTCAAATCAACCCTTTAATCAACTTCACCTTGCTCCTCTCACTCAACCTGTTCTTCTTCACACGGGCTTCCAGCAACAACCACACCGATCGACTCGCGCTGCTAGAAATCAAGGACAGCATAACCAACGACCCAGATGGAGTTTTCAGCTCATGGAACGATTCCCTCCATTTCTGCAGCTGGCCTGGCGTCCAATGCACAAGTGACGATGACAGAGTCACATCCCTGTTGCTGCCAGAGCTTAACCTGGCAGGCACTCTGCCTCCACACATCGGCAACCTCAGCTTCCTCAGGTTCATCAACATCGAGAACAACACCTTCCATGGCGAAATCCCACCACAACTAGGCAACCTGCTTCAACTCCAGCACTTCAACGCCAGCAGGAACTCATTCACTGGCATGATTCCACACAACTTAAGCCGTTGCTCCCAGCTCCGGATCCTGACGCTGGCCTCCAACAAGCTACAAGGAAATATCCCTGCAGAGCTCGGCTCTTTATCAAAGCTGGAGATCCTCAGGATTGGGCAGAACTCGCTCACCGGATCTCTCCCGGCTTCCTTGGGAAACCTGTCGCAGCTTGTCAACTTCGGAGCTGCGTATAACGATCTGGTGGGACGAATTCCTGAAACCCTCGGTCGACTTTCGAGGCTGAACTTGATTGCAGTTGGCGTTAATCAACTTTCTGGTACAATTCCTCTGTCTCTGTACAATGTGTCATCCATCTACATCATGACATTTACTTTCAACAAGCTGGAAGGCAGGTTGCCTGAGAACCTAGGCCTCACTTTGAGGAACATAGGCTACTTTCACGTTTCCAGGAACAATCTAGTCGGGACGATCCCCGAATCGTTCTGCAATGCTTCAAAGCTAGTAGACATCAACATGAACATGAATCATTTCGAGGGCAGGATTCCGAACTGCCTTGGGAGTTCGGGAGGACTTCTGGCGCTAGAGGTTGCTGGTAACAATCTCGGTTACAATTCGACAGGCGATTTCGATTTCCTGACATCGTTGGCAAACAGCAGTCAGCTGGATAGCATAGGTCTGGACATGAACAACCTAGGAGGCGAACTTCCTCGATCTGTTGGAAATCTTTCATCAACCCAGTTTGAGAGGTTGAACATTGCTTCCAACCAGATCAGTGGTGTTATACCTGAAGCGCTGCAGAATCTAGTTGGGCTATCAGAGTTGGAGCTGCAGTCAAACCTTCTTAAAGGCCCACTTCCTTCATTTTTGGGCAAGCTCTGGAATTTACAGCGACTCAGCTTGCAAGGGAATGAATTCTCTGGCCGCATTCCTGACTCCATAGGGAATCTACAACGACTGTTCGACCTCGACCTGTCGTGGAACAGCCTGGAAGGTCTCATTCCAGCTGGTCTTGGAAATTGCATGAGTCTAACTTCCATCGACATTTCCTACAATAATCTCAATGGAGAAATACCTGCAGAGTTAATGAACATATCTTCCTTAGCCAAATTGCTCAACTTGTCCCACAATTCGCTTAGCGGTAAGCTACCTCCTGAGATAGGGAAGCTGGCTAATCTGAATACAATGGATATCTCTCACAATAACCTGTCCGGTGAGATTCCTAGCACGATCGGGAATTGCGAGAGCATGGAGCATCTGTTCATGCAGTCGAATTCCTTCTACAAGGGCGTTCCTTCGTCATTGGCTTCCATGAAAGGCCTCAGGGAACTTGACCTCTCCCACAACAGTTTGACAGGAGAAATCCCACAGAAGTTGCAGGATGTGAAGGTCTTCCAGCATCTGAACCTTTCTTTCAACAACCTCCACGGTGAAGTGCCAAGTGGAGGGATATTTGCAAATGCTACTGCCGTTTCTATAATGGGAAATCCTCTGCTTTGCGGAGGTGTCATGGACCTTCATCTTCCCAAATGCACAACGCGACCAGCATCTTCTTCTAGTCGTCGTTCCCTAAATCGCAGGGTTAAGCTCGCTGTCATAGTGGTTTCTGTATCTCTATCCCTTCTGCTGTTGCTAGTCTTTCTTTTGCTGTACAGGAACAAGAGATGGAAGAAGCAGGAATCCGTTGAGGAACCAACATTGGACCAATTTGTGAGGGTTTCCTACAACGACCTGCACAAAGCAACCAACGGGTTCTCTCCCAACAATGTAGCAGGTTCTGGCGTGTTTGGTACAGTCTATAAAGGGAAGCTTGATCAAGTGGAAACACCGGTAGCGATTAAGGTACTCAACCTGAATCACGATCGAGCTTACAAGAGCTTAGCCGCGGAATGCAATGCATTGAGGAGCATTCGTCACCGAAACCTTGTAAAGGTTGTGTCGTTCTGCTCCAGTACGAACCACAGTGGCAATGATTTCAAAGCTCTAGTGTTTGAGTACATGGAGAATGGAAGTCTAGAGAATTGGCTGCACGAGATGCCACAAGTCGATGGTGTCCATCGATCGAACAACAAGTTGAATCTGGTTCGAAGGTTGAACATTGCAGTAGATGTGGGATCAGCAATGCACTACCTCCACGATCACTGCGAGACGCCAATCGTTCATTGCGATTTGAAGCCTAGCAACGTTCTGCTGGATGCTGACATGGTGGGACGTGTTAGCGATTTCGGCCAGGCAAGACTCGTTTCGTGTGACGGATTATCTCAAAGCAACAACACGAGCACAACAACAGGGGTGAAGGGAACCGTTGGTTATGCTGCTCCAGGTAATTTCCTAGTTTCGTCGCTGAAAGTCCAAAACTGTTGTTTCATGATAGTCTGTTAACGAAACAAAAATTTGTTGGGTATAAACTGCAGAATATGGGATGGGTTCTGCAGTGTCGAAGCAAGGCGATGTGTACAGTTTCGGAATCCTTGTCCTGGAAATGTTCACAGGAAAGAGACCGACCGATGAAATGTTCAGAGATGGTATGAACCTCCGTGGTTATGTCAAGGCCGCGACTGCTTCCGGAGACAACAATGTCATCACCTTGGTGGGAGATTCGTTTCTTTTTTTCTCCATCGACGACGACGAGGACCAAGAAGGCAAGAGGTGTTTAGTGTCATCAGTACTTGAAGTTGGGATAGCTTGCTCAGCTGAATCCCCTGGAGAACGGATGAACATGGCGGATGCCACTAGAAGATTGAAATCCATCAGGGATCTGTATGTAATGTAACAGTACAGATGGACCAGGAAGTTGACGTCGGTTAGGGATGCTTTTATATATAACCTCTAAAATTAGGTACTAAATCTGCAACGAAACTAAAATTTATATGGCACCCGATCAAGGTTGTCAAACCGGTTTGTGCCAGTGTGCCGGTTTAGCAAGTGAAATGGTTCGACCAGTGGTACATACCGGTTTGTGCCGGTTCATGCCGCTTAATATTACAAATAATTTAGTAATTTACAAATACCCATATTTAAGCACGACAATAACATCAACATTTAACTTTTTAACCCATAAAATAAATAATAAATTACTTTTTATCTAATAAATTCACTAATATAAGATCATTTTACTTAGAGATTTGTATATCAATCATGTCTGTAATACCGATGATATCATACTGATTTTATAACCAGTACAAGTTGAACCAGTGACACGCCGGCCGGCGTGACAACCATGCACCCGATACTATTTATTTAGTTTACCCAAATAAAGGAACCAAACCAAAGCGGCCAAGATGAATATTCCGGTCCGGTGAGTTGACCTAAGCAAACTCGGTAATCGGTCGAAAGACCTCTGCCTTCGGAGGGCGGAGGGCGGAGAGCGACATAGTCACCTCTTTCAAACCCTGGAAGTAACAGAGGGAACGTCTTCGATTTCCATGCAAGAAATAGCAAATCCAGAATCGTTTTGCTGAAATTTCAGGTAAGCCGAACATTGATTGTATGAATCTTCTACTTCTCTCGTTCGTCAAATTTAGTCGGATTCTTCTGCATTTATAGTTAGTTTCCTCATCTGATTCGCCGTTAGGGTTTCAGCAATTTTGTTTACGATGTTTGCCCTATTTACCTGATTACGGGGACGAGATCTCCTTGATTATCAAGGATCTGAATTCATCTCAGTTTCGCGTCATGCTTGTCTGCGGAAATCATGGCTGAATCCTTTCATGAGCTGTCAAGATTTTGTTATTATTTTGCCGTCGGCCTTACCCTGAATGCTTCTGCTATATGACTTGTGGTGTGTCGATGCTGAAGATGTCGGCTTTCGAGAATGTGGTTGGTGGGAAGCTGAAGCTGAAGGGCAAGGCTCTGGATGTGAAGGCTGGTGGAACAAAGAAGAAGAAGAAGCATAAGAAAGTGCGGGACGAGGTTTCTCAGGTCATTGAAAGTGAGCTCACAGCAGCATCAGGTTAGAAATATCTCCACTTGTTAGCGTGAGCATTAATTTCGTTTCTACGATTCTGTTTCTGTATTGTGATCTACGATTTTGCTTCAGCAATTCTCTCTTATGGATGGGAGAAGGGAGTGTTGAATGCATAATGCTGTAAATGCCTAGTATGCAGTTGATCTCTTATTTTTACCATGTAGTGCATGGGTGTTAATATGTGGAAGAAACAATAGATCTATTTATGCTGCGCGAGTAACCTTCATATGAGTGGTAAAGGGATTAGGCCAAATAGATGGGCATCAATTCATTGTTGGGCTGCAGATTCCGCATCATGTTCTACTGCTCTTATCCTGATGGGCAGAATGCTTCGTGCTATCTTATTCATATACGTGATCACCTGCTATTGAATGTGGCTCTTGAAACATCGGCAGATTCTGAAAATAGCTTTGTGTGCATCCAAAAGGTCCTTCCAATGGCTTTAAACTGCTTACTTCAACTTTGTTGTCCCTGAACATGGGTCCAAACCGAGTTTGGGGATTTACAGTTGCAATTCAGTGATTGAATTCTTGATGCTAAACATTTTGAGATCACTTGATAGGTAAAGCTGTTGAAGAATCAAGTGATGTCAATGAAGAAGTCGCAGAAGACACCGGCAAATTGAACAACGAAGACAAGTCTGAGTCTTACAAGGACCATTTAACTGCTGCAGAGAAACGATATATAGAGCAGAGAGAGAGGCTGGACCGACACAAGATGGCGAAAGAAGCCAACAAATCACATAGGGACAGGATCCAAGGTTTCAATCAGTATCTGGCTAATATGAGCGAGCACTACGACATTCCTAAAGTCGGGCCTGGCTGAAAGGAACCACACTTGTTCTGGGTCAATCAATGTTCACTGGTATTTTCGGTCAATGTTCTCACCGTGGTGCCAAGGTCATCTGGTGGTTGTGTTAAAACTTAAAACAACCGGTGTTATATTTTCTAGCACTCATCAGTTTCTGTAGAAATGTATTATTATTTGATTTGTTTCTTCTAAATGCATGGATCAATATACTGGAACTCTTTTAGCTTAGAACCCCCACTTATCTGGAAACTACTCGTCCTTTCTCCAAGTTAGTTGTCTTGTCCTTCAAGGCGAAATGGTTGGGGGATGAATGCTATCTTTCACAGCAAGATCGTAGCGTTTGTTTGATGAGCCTCCAAGGCTCCAACTAGTTATTTTGGTAGGTCGTTTGATGAATATAGTGGATCGTGAAATAGATAATGAAGCTCTTTCTCAAAACCAGATGCCTTCTGCCAGGTTGACCATAATGAATCTCTGGAGCACAAAGAAAGACTTATCTAGGAGGGTTAATCTGACTTTAATATAAACTGATGATCCGGTTGAGTTGCAAGATTCCGCTCATTGGATGGATTTCACGCTTTACATAGTCGAATCTAGGCATGAATTACGTATCAAGAGTCCGAATATGCATATTTCGTTATACACTACTTGGTTGCTAGAAAATTGGACTTATTAGTCTCAAACTAGAGTAGAAGCAGATCTTCTGTGTACACTGTACAGTTTCCACGTACGTAGAAGAAAGACTGCCTCCAGTAGTCCCGTTTGATTGTTTGAATACCAATATAAGGTTGGAGAAATCAGAAAACAAAGTTGACGACGTAAAATAGGGATAAAGGCACGACGTTCTACTACAAGCGCCAAGGATCATCTGTTATCCCTTTAATATGTGAAATAACCAGTCCCGATACAACTAGGCACCAAAAACACAGAAGCCCTTATTTGTGGTAAATACACGAAGGTGGAGCGGAGCAGTGGCACTTCTCTGGTCTCTTTGTTGCTGCTCAAAAGGAACTCTCAAAAAATAAACCTTAATAACAATACAGAATACTAGGCTACCATAACTCATCCATCCTTACCCTCACAACTATAAATTTCATAGGCACAACAAAATAATCCCTCCCCCTGGCCCTCTCCCAAAGTGCTGCGGACGAAGCTACCGAGCCCTGACCGCTTTCTCTAGAGACGCTGAAATAAATAGAAACCAAGTCTGCAGAGCATAGCGCTACCACTTGGAGGCTCCAGGCAGATAAGAAGCCAAAACCTCCCAAAGATGCAACTGAATCACCGGGTCTCATCTTCCAGAGCACGGAAACCAGCAGTGAGATCATCGTGCAACTTCTGGAATTTGGCCACCAATGCAGGTTCTCCCTCGGCCGGATCCTCAAACTTCTGAGACCTGCATATGTATCGAGTCGAGTGTATAACTTATTAGAACACTAACTGGTGCAACACTAAACAGCACTGCAGAAAGTTGTCCACGGTTTGTTCCGTAGGTAATCGACTACAGCATTAAAGAAACTTACACTAAGCGGTAGAAAAGATCGCCCAACCGATGCTTGATAAGAGTGTATGAGATCTTCTGACCATCCATACCAGCTCCTTTCTCCACAGACTGCAGGCAGAAATTCCCCACAGAAAAAAAAAATTGATTTGGGGAACAAAACAGTGCTACAGCACTCCAGGAAGTAAGGAATCAAGAAATTATTCTTCGTATATAACTAAGAGGGAAATTCAATGAAATAGTTTACCTGATTGGCCAAGTTGTAGAAGTGAATGATGTTGCGCATCATCCAAACAGATTTGTAGAAAGGACAGAACTTGTCATACCTAGCACACGCACAAAGAAAAAACTCAATTATTAGGGGGAAATGAGAAAAAGATCATAAAAGAGCTGACCAGACTGTTGGACTGATCAACCTTAAGGATAGTACAAGTGAACTTACGGGGTGAATGCATTCTGAGCAAGATAATCTTCCCTCAGCAGCTTAGCAGTCTCTAACGTAATCTTATCTCCTTCAGCCAAAGCATCCTTACCAACAAGCTGCAACAAACAGGATACAAAGAACTCATTCTCAATGAACATAATGTATAATTTAAAGGAAGCAAGAACGGGACTGAAAGCAGTAGCAAAGAGTTGATCCCCAAGCCCCCATCAGCTATAACAAGAGGTCTTTTTTATAAGTATAACAAGAGGATTTTCAACTAAGAATGGAAGCTTATAATCCTAAACACAGGCAAAAGTTCGGGAAGAAACGAGGTTTAAGTTACAGGACATATTTCTTGCTGATGTGGAGGAATCTTTGCTTCTACCTATCTGATTTGGTACACTAGAATAGTTTCGTCTCAGTAACTAATGCAGGACAACTCTTTGCACGACTATGCAAAACATGTGGCCCTCAAACATACCTGCACAATTTCATTCAAGTCATCTTCTCTTTGCAGCACTTCTCTGGCCTTGGTTCTAATGTTGATAAAATCGGAATCAAACTGCTCGTAGAAAGGTTCCAGCGCCTAAACAATGAAGAAATTTTGAATTAACATGCATAAAGATTGTAGAGAAAGATACATGAACCAAAAATAGAGCACCGATTCATACAGAATAACATCCAGAAGATAAAAACATACCGTAGAGTACTTAGAATAGGAAATAAGCCAGTTTACAGAAGGGAAATGTTTCCTCTGTGCAAGTTTCTTGTCCAGACCCCAGAAAACCTGCAAGTAACATTTAATTAGATCTTCACTAGGCGTCAAAAACAACAAAAGTAGAGTGGGAGAGGAGGGCATCAACTGACAAGCAGGATAGGAGAGCTCATTGTTAATTTTCACTGGCATGTATCTTAAAACAAAAAAGAAACCGCTCTAAGTTTCTTGGTAGGCATCCATCCCATGAGGTTTATGTTTGGATAGAGTTTTGGGTAAAACAATCAATTGAGCCAATTATTGACAAGAAATTTCCCTCCAAACCATCCAATTCAACTGACAGGTACTTAGGATTTTATTTCATTGTATAGAACATAAACTTTGTCAAACTAGGAAGAACTGATCTATCATCCTTTTCAAAAGCTCATGCACTGCAAGAAGATCCTAAGCCACGAAAGCCAAAAATATTGATACAAATGATGGTCTGCAATATTTTTCACAGCATATCACAGATTATAATGGTTATGGTTGAAATTAAATTTCACCTGACCACCCTATACTGAAGTTATGAATGAACTTCTAATGTAAGCCGTCAACTAGCTTGAAACTTCAAGCACTGATCGCACCGATTCTCAAACCATTATATGGCCAACAGTGCCGAAAACCCTTCATTTTTACAAATATTTCAATCACACTTTAAATGAGCAACATAAGTATTCATATTCACCTGGACGATACTGAGCGTAGCAGATGTGACAGGATCAGAAAAATCTCCTCCAGGCGGTGAAACAGCACCAACAATTGTGACACTGCCAGTACGCTCCGGCCCACCAAGGCATTTTACCTTACCAGCACGCTCATAAAATGAAGCAAGACGTGCCGCCAAATAAGCAGGATATCCACTATCCGCAGGCATTTCAGCCTATAAAAGAAATAAAGAATAAGTGGTTTAGTTTAGGCAAACGACAAGTTCAACATGAAGGACGTACACTCTCGAAAACAGTAGATAGAAAGTGAACATGAGCTCGGTGCCCACACAGGGCAAGTATAATGATGATCTCAATCCAATTGTTATATGGAAAATAAGAGTTGGATGGGAATTAAATTGGTACAAAATAACAAGTCTATCACTCTAAAGAGATTCATGATATCTAAAGAACCAAAGACAGCTAAAAAGGGACTAACCAATCGTCCAGAAATTTCACGCAGTGCTTCTGCCCATCGTGAAGTAGAATCTGCCATCATACTCACATTGTACCCCATATCTCTGAAGTATTCAGCAATAGTAATTCCTGTCCAAATAAAATATTGATCATTTAGCTAAATTGCTTGGAAGGTACCAATGAAGCACATTCAAGTGGAAACAGTTTCACTTTTTTACAGAACACAGATGACATTTGTGTTTCTTATTTAAAGATTGTAGACCGGCAAATTTCTTAGGGTTCCATGACAATACAATGAAGAGGGGAAAAAGACTGCATTAATCAATTAGCTATTCCTCTCCCTCCGTAAAGAATCAATCAGAACCGTACCTGTATAAATTGAAGCCTCACGAGCAGCGACAGGCATGTTTGAGGTATTGGCAACAAGTGTTGTACGCTTCATCACAGATTCCTCACGGCCATCAGGCAATGTCATAGTCAATTGTGGGAAATCCATAAGCACCTGAGTTTATAGCCATTCTTAGAATACTGGTGCATGTAAGCATACAGATACAGATATTTAGATATATGACACATACCTCAGCCATTTCATTTCCTCTCTCCCCACATCCAACGTACACAACAGTATCAGAATTCGAGTACTGCACAGTAAATGCATTTTGTTATCGTCTGAGTTATGATATAAACTATTAACTAAAGCAAATCACATATAATCAGTCACATGATTTTAACCTTGGAAAGTGCTTGACTAATGACAGTTTTGCCACATCCGAATGCCCCGGGAATGGCACAAGTTCCACCAAGCACAGAAGGAAAAAGAGCATCAAGGACACGCTGGTGCAACATATTCAACAGAATCATGAGGGTTCACATTGTGCAAGTTTAAAGATGAAGAGAAAACAAAATGCACAGTTGGTTACTACCTGCCCAGTGAGGAGAGGGGTATCAGCAGCAAGCTTTGATGCAACAGGTCTTGGTGTACGAACCGGCCAGGTCTATATATAAAAACATACAGCATAACACATAAGATTCATTTCACAAGAGCTGCAAACTAAAACTAACTTGCATCACAAATGAGAAACCTGAAGCATGGTGAACTTCTTCTTTTCACCCTGAAACTCAAGCTCCAACACAGTATCCTGCAACCAAGAGAGCAAATAGACCAAGGTCCATTAGGAAACATAAACATTCAGTAATGAAAAACAGAAATGGCAACCCTAAGTGTGGACTGAAGAAACTTAACCATCGACATTTCCCAGTTATTTCAACGTTAATAAGAAAGAGGGGTTTATTGCATATACAGGTAATAGTCACGGTTGCCCATATATCAGTAGAAACTACCTTCAGTGAATATTGACCAGGAGGTGCAATGTAGGAAATCTTTCCCATGGCATCTGGAGGGAGGGCCACGTGATGCTGCATAAGGCTGTTCTCGAAAACAGTCTGAATTACAAAAAGAACACAGTTACATAATGAGAACCAGCAATTAAAAAGCACAAACTAAAATGAGCAGCTAGAGTCCCCCTGCAGATTGAATCTACAGAGCAGAAGGCTAGTGGTAAAACTCACAGCATATAAGTCTCCACCAGTCAAAAGATCTCCCTCACCTGCCAAAATGAGATAGAGGAAGAGAGCACTCTTAAGAACTAAATGCACAATGTCTTAACAGTAAGCAAGTTTCCAGGTCAAGAAATTACCTAATTTTTTAGGCTGGAATTCCCAAAGCGTGTCTTTGTCAAGAGCAGGGACAGAAACACCACGAGGAATATACACATCCCCAGATCTCTTTGCAATAGTTTTCAGAGGCCTCTGTTTCAATAGAACAGATAAATCACACGATTTCCACCAAAGTTTACATATTGTTATGAGAAAATATGTGAAAAGCCTATATCTGAAAGATCAGAAACTTGAATCTTGACAAAGACGAGGGTATCAGGGATCAAACCTGAATTCCATCGAATATATTCCCCAATATTCCTGGTCCTAGCTCCACAGATAGAGGCTGGAAAACAAACATTACCATTACAATCCAAACTAAAACAACATTGGTGAGGTCAAGCTATAACTGAAACATTACCTTGCGAGTCCTAAGAACAGGGTCATTGACCATCAAACCAGCTGTTTCCTCGTACACTGAAACCAAAGAGCAAACGTTTAGTGCCAAGTGCTCCAAGGCACTCCGAAGATTTTCAGTGGACCAACAAAACTCGAGAAATAATGGGCATAGAAGTTTTCTCGTGACACCACTCTTCCGAAAGAAAAGAAGGAAGCATAATTTGATAAGGTGCATATGATGCAAACAGGACTAAAAGGTAATAGTAAGAAACTGAAAGCCAACAGGGAGATAGAAATAAATTCCGAACCTTGAATTGTAGCTGAATTCCCTTCCAACCGAATGATTTCCCCAATCAGATTGTCATGACCAACACGAACCAGTTCATACATAGCAGCACCAGCCATCCCATCAGCAATGACAACAGGCCCGGATACCTAGGAGAACAAGTATCATGTTAAAAGGAAGGAAAAAATTGAAACAAGGCAATTCAACCAGCTAGTAACTGATACAAAAAAAACAAAATAAATAGAACATCTGCTCAAAGGTGATAGGAGAGTGCCGAGTACAGCAACATAAATCAGTAGCAAAACAAAAAGATACAGAAATTTGACTGTCATAGCAACAGTGGCAACAGAAGTAACATCATCATCGTAGTCACATTTGTCTCCCACACTACAGAGGGAAAGTTGTACTCCAACACCAACCAAAAGTACTCAAACAGCAAAGAAAAAGACACCTTATAGGCTACCATTCAAGAACGGCAATGTAATGCCCAGCAAAGGACTAGCCAAAGTTTTCTTTGTTTATACCTTATAATGCTTCTTTAGAGTATAGCTTTTCACTTTTGGTGAGAGGATCACAAAAGGGGAAAGACGAAAGGGACTTTTAACTTAATTTTGCATCATAACTTCCCTTTTTTTACTTCCAGAGGTTGATTGGCCATGAAAGTGAGCCAGTCAGTCCAAACTACAGCACCTATCCCCAACGCCAAGCTTCTATACGTCACAACAAACAGAAAACAAGTATGCCTAACAGAAACAACCAAAATTTGCGTCGTCAAGAGCTTCTGCTGAATCCATTTTCGATCTCCTTTGCCACCGACTCCACAGAGCACGAGCAAGCGAGTGGACCAGATACCAACAGTTACAGATAACACAATCAACGGATCGGAAAGGTTCAGAACTTGATCCGTGCGATCAAACAATTCCGTCCACAAATAAGATCCAAATGTCCATCCACTCAAACAAGCCACGAAGCATTCGACAAACTCGATCTCAATTGCAATAAAACAATCACGTCGATGCAGCAACAAAATCAAATCGATCTGGACCAATTCACTTCAAATCCAATGCCGACGAGATCAAAAGCAAGAGAAATGAACGAAACAGTACCTTACGGACGTATCCGTACTCACTCTCCTTCTCGGAGTCCTCGAAGGTCGTCAATCTTGCTCCGTATACTGACGGCATCTTCTGCAACAGAGAAAACCGTAAGGGAAATCCGAGAAGACGAAGAAGGCTCCGATCCCGATCGAGCGAAAGCAAAACCTAATGTTCCGATCGAATCAAAAGAAGAACTCACCGCAGGTTATTAGTAGCAAAAAGACGGGTAAATGACGAAGTGGGAGAGGTTGTGGTGGTGAGTGTCCTGTGTCCCGGTGAGATTAAGAAAGAAGAGAACAGAGGAGCGAAAGAGAGAGAGCAATTATTAGTAGAATAGAAGTGCTGCCGTGGAGACTCGGCACGGGATCCCGAGATGAGAGCAATGGAGGCAGGATCGGGTGCATGCCGGTGTACAGGAAGAGGCGGGTGTGATTCTCATTCACTAGCCTTTTGCTTACGTGGCGGATAGCTTCAAACATTTCACAAATCTGTGAATTAAAAACATCGGTCATTGGATGCCCATTGGGCCAAGTCTACCGACGCTCTCTCCATTTTTGCTGGAACCGTCTCTTTTGTGATTAGTCCTCTTCTGCGTCACTTTGTGTAGCCACATCTCGCCCGAGGGATATTTTACTCCCATTTTTTGGCCTTCGTTGGGTTAGTGTCAGACATATAATAATTTGTGATAGGAATGTTTTAAGGGGGACATTAGGACGTCTGAATTCAAATGTGTGATTTATTTTCCAACTAACAATGGAAGTTTACACTTCTCATGTTGTGGATGGTTTATGTCAACTAAACAAAAACAAAATTAAAGTGAAAACATGAGCTAATTTGTTTATATGAGCTAAGAGGTTGGGACCAAATCCGAAAAATGTGAAGATTGTAGCAAACAAATGGAATTGAGAGGGCAGAAATTGGCATTTGGCATCCGAGGGTCGAACATGATAGAGCGAGTATGGTGGAATCCAACATTATTAATAAGATAATGTTATGAGTATACTTGTAGAAAGAGAACGAATTTTCTTTGATGCTAAATAATGCCCAGGTATTAGTTTCACACCAATTCTCGTACTATATTTCATGATCTCCATGTTTGGCCGTGACCATTCTTTTTCTTTGTAAGCACATTCATCTTGTACACGGTAATTTGTAAGTCGTTTAATGTAGTTGAGACGAGAAATTAGAAAATATAGTAATGAACCTAGAATTGCATAAACAAAGGACAAGCAGATGGACCAGACCAAATCCTAAAACAAACCCAATTCGTTTGGGCCGAGTTCCTCAGCCCACACACAAACAAAAAGAAACAGCCAGCGTCGGGCCTGTCCTTAGACCACGCAGGCAGATCACCGATTCCGCCCAAATCTATTAAAAGCCCCCTAAACCTATAACAAGCTAATCAAGCAGAAAAAATAAAATCTACAGCTTGGAACTAACGCCGCCGGGACCGGTAACCGCGACGTAGAAGTTGCCGGTGGTGAGCAAATCGGGAGGCAGCAGCGCGAGGGCGACACCATACCTGGCGGCGTCGTCGGCGGAGTGCGTCCCTCTGCCACGTGTCATGGATGTCTGAGTGAACCCGGGGCAGAAACAGTTGACGCTGATCGTCAACTTCCCTCCCGCCGCGCGGAGCCGCCGTGCCAGAACCCTGGAGTAGGCGTTGAGCGCGAGCTTGGAGACGGCGTAGTCGGTCCAATGCGCCGGCCAGCCTTTTCCTTCCCACGTGCCTTCCTTCACCGCAATCAGAAACTTCCTCACCACTTCCTCCTCGATCTGCTCCTCCGTCAGCGCGTCGCTCTCCAGCATCGCCTTCAGCCTGGGGTTCCCCACTCTCTGCATTGATAAATAAAGTATTTTTAATTAAAGTTTGATTAGTGATGTTAATTGATAACTGATAAGCTAATTGTAGTTATACGTACGGTGAGAGAGCCGAGCCTGGAGCTGAGATTGAGGATGCGGCCGCGAGAAGGAGAGCGGCGGAAGAAAGGGAGGAGGGCTTCGATGAGCAATTTGGGACCGTAGAAATTTGTTCGCATTACCTTCTCTGCGTGCTTTACTGAGTTCTCATTGATCTCGTTGAACGAAACTGCTGCATTGTTCACCTGAATCATCATCAATTCATCATCATTAATTATAATTTATTTACCGCATGGTCTGAATTCTTCAAAATATCTTGTTCTGAAGTTTAAATTTTGTTATAAAGAAAATTTGGGTTACATTAGAAGATTCATTGTTAACAATGTCATGTTTTGGTAGTAAATTGATAATCATTCATTTTGAATTATTGTAGGTGTGCACATAAAAAAGCTAATGCATATATTTTATCTCAAATTTAACACACAAAACAAATTATTTAATTACATGTATTGGCTAAATAAATCACTTGAAATTCCAACCTCCAAATCTCCAAATGACTCTTCATTTTAATCATAATAATTAGAGAGGAAGACTCAAATCTTACCAACTACACTTTTTCTAATTTTATTACAGATATTATATTTAATTTTATATATATTAGTAAAGCTTATCATAACCCTAAATTAATTATAGTTTTTGTGGTTTATTAGTATTCTTTAGCAAGCATGTGTTATCGTATGAACCGATATTAATTTAAAATATTAACAAAAAAAAGGCAGACCGAGTCATTTATACACTACTTCAAGCCGACTTTCTATGTCATTTTTCTCATTTTTAGAAGTCAAATTAAGCTAGCGTTTCTTTCAAATAGGAAAAAAAAGAAAACTCTGCATGATGCTACTTACGAGAATATCTAACAGACCGAAGTCGCGACGGAACTGAGAAACGAAGGCCGCGATGGAGCATGGATCCGAAACGTCGAGCTGACGGAAGTTGACGTGACGGAGACCGAAGCGAGATCTCAGCGTCTCCACGGCTTGCTCCCCTCTCCCGACGTCTCTCGCCGTTAGGATGACGGTCAGCCCTTGCTCCGCCAGCTGTTTCGCCACCGCGAACCCGATCCCCTTGTTCCCGCCGGTGACCACCGCCACCGTCTCCTTCGACCACCATCTGCATGCACTACTAGTGGTATCCAAATGGGTGTGGAAAATGGGATTTAGCTCTTTTACTTCCATATCCAGAAAGAAATGAATATAAGAGAGATGGAGGAGGAGGAGGAGGAGGAGGAGAGATGGTGAATGAATGGTTTGCTTGCCGGTGGATGAATATATTTAAAGGTTTGATGTATTTATATACGACATAGATAGAGGTAGGGTTGGACAAGCGGTTAGCGGTTAACCGACTGGTTATCTACTAATGAAAATCAAGATAATTGAAAATCGGTCGGTATTTGTAGAGATGGACGAGTTACTTTTGGTCTTGGGGACAGCTCGGTTAACGAAAAATTGAGATAATTGAAGTCTTAAAGTCTCTTTTCGATCGGTAGGTTTGGGAGGAAGGTCTGATTAATCAATAACCGGCTTTTTCGGTTTTTTTATTATAACCGAACCGATCGAACTCCACTCCTAGATAGACGAGAAAGGAAGAATGTGAGGGTTGATTATTATAGATTTATTAAAAAGTTGAGAATTGGAATTAAGAATGTTTTGAGTGGGTGGAGAGGTTGCCATGCCCGTGGAGAAAGAAAGCTAAGGGGACCGAAACTGCAGTTTAGCTAGCTAACGCATGCACCAGCAACACCCACATGGAAACCTTTTTTTTTAGTGTTTTATATAGCTAGGTCGAATTTATTAGTGTACTTTGGTTTGCCCAATTCACATTTGGCACAGGATCAATGTGCCTTTTCCACAATGGATTGTGGCCACCGGTGGAAATTCGATTATCAATCTTTATGTCATCTGCAAATACAATTTTTTTTAAACATTAATTAAAATTCGTACAAGTCTAAATATCATGTGCTTAACAAATAGGAGTACTCGGAAATGCATTGTTATAAGAACCGAACCAGATCAACGGTCGGGCCAGAAGAACCGTTAAACCAGTTATGATAGCGATCTGGTTTATTGCTTGAACATTTATTGATGGACCAAACGGTTTTTTACGGTTCAACATAAAATCAGATGAACCAACACGGTTTAACTGGTCCACTGGTTCACTATTTTAACAAAACAAAAAAATGCTTTAACTGGTCCACTGGTCGACTTTACGTTGTCTACTACCGATTAGAACTGTAATTTTTAATTTGAATTAAAAAAATGTGGTTTCTTTTGTGAGATGGTTGGAATGATTTATTAGATATTTTGGTGATGATATGAATTTGAACTTGTTTATTGCCATTGATAATGTCATTCTTAAATCAGCGTAATATACAAGTCTTATATGTTATATATCATGAACGGTTCTATCAACGGTTCACCAACGGTTTTGTAACGGTTAACCGCTGAACCCTAAACCACTAACGTTTCCGGTTCAGCCTTCAGTCCGGTTCTGAAAACATAGTCAGAATTCAAGTATAAGACTTTTCGATTATTGATCACTCTAACATCATATCAAGTTGTTGGAAGTCGTGTAAAAAGTTAATTATAGATCATATACTAGTTTCTTATACTTGGTTATTCCTGGTTAGTAGAGACTCGAAGACAAAGTTTATGGTTCTTCTCAACAATTGATCTAACTATAGTTTATAACAATTAGAAATAATAGTATGCGTTCATGAATTATTCTAATTGCTTGTAATAAAATCAGAGTAGTTCTTTTTAATAAATTAGCCCGATCTTGTAGTAATGCGGAAGGAAAAGAATAATATCACGCCTCAAATTTAAAGGTTTGGGGCCAACAAAATCATTGCAAAGAAAATTTTCAAAGAGGTATTGGAAGAAGCTCGTCCCCTTTCCGCCCTTGCATTTGCATATTGTCTTGAATACAATATATAGAAGTTTCCTGGTTATAAATTTCAACCATCAAGAAAGAAAAAGAAGTCTTTCAATTATGACTTATGATGAAAAGAATATTCTTACCTCCTTATTAAATTTCCGTGAGCTTGTTGTTTGAAGGAAGTTTCGACTTTCGAGTGATTCTGAAAGGTATTTTTGGCGCGATGGTTCATCAAGTTCATCACATTGTGATGGTTGATCCAATAGGCGGGCTACTCTTTCAAGAGTGTCGTTGGTTGATCTTTTTCCTTTATGGATTTGTCGATTTTAGAGCAGCCCTGTTATCCACCAAAGTGAACTGCTCATAAATCGACGCGTAAAACCTTGATATTATCATTTGTAGAGTTAATTTTGTAAACTTTGTAGGTTTCTTCAATAATGTGGTGTATTGGGAGAGTTCATTTGATTGAGGACGTTCATTGTATTGGGAGAGTTAATCTTACAAAAAGATCAATGCCAGGGTTTGAGAACGTTTATAATAAGATTATAATAACATAAAGGCTGCCCATAAGTAAAAAAGTGAGTTGTTCACATATATTAACACACTGATTAGGGGGCTTAAATGGTTTGTTAAATCGAGTTAATGGACGGTTAGGTCGAGCAGCATTTGCAATTAAAATATGCTTTTAATTTCACTATTGAATCCCACGTGAATAGTGAGTGCATGCTGATGATCATCAAGTACGTAATTAGTTAATTAATTAGGCTCCAAAGCCATTAAAAAAAAACTACGCGCAACCAACAAGTTCATAAGACGAATTAGACAAGGTACAATAACCATGCCGGCTAGTAGGCGTCATAAAAAGTAAAATAGAAGTGACGACTATCAAATCACAAACTCAAAAACTTCTGAATCCAAATCTTACGCATTTGACAATCCAATGGCCACCTCGATCGTGTTAGAGGAGCAACAACTATCGAAACTCGCATCCATTAAGCTTCTGAATCGAAATCTACACCAATCCCACCACCCACCCAGTGTTTAGTTCAATTGGGTGAATGTTCAAGTTTTCACTACTTCAGGTATTATGGGTTACGTCAAAAGTAACCCTTACGTGATTGGAAAGTTAACTCTTAGGGGAAAAAAAGTTGTCTGTAAGAAGAAAAGAGATTCTGTGGGGATGTCTGAATTTATATATATAGTTTCCCTTTCTTCTTGACCACTCTTTTCCATTGCCAAAGTCTGGTTTGCAGTGGACCTCTGAGTCACCACCACCAGGTAGCTTTTCTAACAAAGACAATGTGCTAATCTGAGAAAATTTATTAGAATGCAATGATTTCTACTTCCAGTAGTCTGGTAGAATTGGATGAAACAAAGGACAAGAAGGTGGTTTATTATAAGTGAGGAAAAAGGAAGAGAAAACATAAATACAACAGCAAATATATTAGGTGATCTACATATAAGAAATTGTAAAACCAATTTTATACTTGTTTTACATCGCCATTACCATCAAAACCGACCATTTGTTGAGCTACAGTCGCGATGCTCAGCCTTACTGATCTGTCAAACTTGTTCTATGTTCATACCAGAGATTGTCAAAGCTGGTGCACCTGCAGTTTACCTCGTGATGGGACTCTGTCACTGGGGCTCTGTGACTGATTCAGCCTTCGAACTGTCCATTTCCTACTCTCATTCCTCGCACCCACGACGTTTATAAGCAAAGGCCCACTGGTTGTTCAGTTGGAACCTGAAACCGTGAAATCACCTACTAAGCATTTATGCACATCCTCCTCAAGTTGGAATTAGCAATCCCATTCCGACGTGTTACTGCTTAATGCATTTGGCCTGCATCCCTTCTTAACTTTCAGCTTACCCCAGAGTTAGATGAATCAGAACTCCCAGCGCCATGTTTTAGTTTTATGACCCTGTCCGAGTTGTCCTTTAACATATCTGAGTGGAACCTGCTCATCTGTCCTTCCTTAGCACTTAGCAGCAGCTTGCGGCCTGAAACATACAAAAAGAATCAAAAGAATCATAATCCATGTAGAACGTCCTGCATCCCTCACAGCAACAGGCAGGCAGAAATAGTATAAATATGAGCAGAAAACAAAGGGAAGTTGTATTTTCAATATGCAGACTACATAACTACTCCCAAGTAAATGAACAGCTAGTGGTCAGTACTAAGTAGGGCTACCTCATTGTTCATCCCGGCAATTTCCTTTCCAGCTATGCTTAAACACTTCAACCTCCAAATTTGTCATCTATGGACATGACAGCAATTAAAACAGTATCTCTCAGCTACATTTCAACAGTTTCTTTGCATTTCCTTTGGTTAGAAGTTGAGAATTTAGTCTTCGGCAAGATCGAGAAACACTCATCTATACTAAGTAGTACTGAGAAGGGTACAAGCAATTTTTCTGAAGAAGAAACTCCGAAACCAGCAATATCAGTAATGTACAACCGACATCTGTATTTCTACCTAATGTTTATATAAACAAGTGTCGATTAAATTTAGGGGAAGGTGGTTGTTCTATACATCAAGCAACCACAGAAAGAAAAGATTTGGTGCTTAAGCATTACTTAACTGTCCAAGAGCAAATCTAGGCTTGCACATCACAGTAACAGATCAGTTTTTTTCACTCCAGAAGCCACAGGACATTGGTTCTCCACTTCCCCTGTTTCCTTCCGTCCTTCAAATCTTCAAATCTAAGGCACATCTGGCTTCATGGATCTTATTATAGATGGAAACGTTAGGCTTTAATCCTTTACCAATCATACTGTTCAATAACACTTCTGCATGTTGGCATTTCCCATCCTTACACAAGACTGCAATGGTAGAGTTATAACTAGCCACATTTGGAACTAATCCTTTACCCTCCATTTCCTCAAGCAACCTCAAGGCCCTGTAGGAGCTACCTTCATTGCAGTATCCATTAATCATTGTGTTGTATATTACATCACTAGGCTCCAACGGTATTTCTCTCATGGATCTAAATACTTTTGCAGCATCTTTCATGTTCCCACTTTTGCAGAATCCATTTATCAACACTCCGTAAGTGTAGGCGTCAGGAACCAAACCAGCATTCTTCAAAGAGGACAAAAGTTGAAATGCTTTCTCCATATCCCCAGACTTCACATAAGTATTAATTAAGATTGTATATGTCACCGCAGAAGGAGTGAAACCTCTGTCTTCCATCTCCCGGACCAAAGCAGTCACTCTCTCTAAATTACCAGCATTAGAATACCCCTGAATAAGAACATTGTAGGTAACCAACGATGGCGATAGCCCATTCAACTGCATTTCATCTAACCAACTCAAAGCCTTGTCAAACATTCTCGTGCTACAAAATCCACCTATGATATTGTTATATGTGATCAAGTTTGGAACAACACCTGCACCTTTCATTCGACTGACAAGCTTCTCTGCTTCCCAGATTCTCATATCTTTACACATCCCACCAATAAGAATATTGTATGAAACCACGTTAGCCACAATGCCACCTTCACACATTTCTTCAAACATAGCAGAAGCTCTGTCCATTTTCCCTTCATTGCAGTACTCATTAATCAAGCAATTATAGGTATAGAGATTAGGAAGCACTCCACTCAGCTGCATCTTCTCGTACAACTTAAACCCATCTCTTCTGAGTCCTTTCTTAAAGAGTCCATTAATCAAAGCAGTGTAAGTATACTCATTAGCAGCCAAACCCAACTCCCACATTTTATTGAACAGCAATCTTGCCCTTTCAATATCACCCTTCTTACCACAGCCATCAATTAAAGTAGTGTATATAACAACATTTGGAGATAGACCCATCTCCTCCAACTGGGCCAGAACCTTAAAAGCTCTATCTAAATCACCAGACTCGCAACAACCTTTCACCATTATCCCAAAACTGTACACATCAGTTTCAACCCTCCCTTTCACTCCTTGGAAAAAATTCCAGGACCTTTCATAACAGCCTGCCTTAACAAGACAACCCAACAGGTTATTGAATGTCACGGCTCCAGGAGCAAGGCCTCTCTCAAGCATTTGATTGAAGTAGAACAGAGCATTATCTGATAACTGGGAATGAACATGGGCATTGACAATGGACTCATATACAAGGGCACTAACTGATGAGGTTGAATTCAAGCTGGGTTGTGTTAAATACTGGAGGAGAGATGAAACAGAGAAGAAAGGTGAAGAGATTCGATTAGAAAGTACCCGCTGAAGAAGCGACTGCGCATCCGATACCATGTTGGAGTGAAGGAGATGTTGTAGGACTAAGGAAACGGAATGGCTACTGTGATGGACACCCTGAAGAACAGAGGAGTTGAAGACTGAAAGAGCCCAGGAAGGCGGGACTTTCACCATCTTTGGGACTACAAACAAAGCCTGACTGTGTGTCTCCAGCATCGCTCTGCTCATTTGCCTTTTCTTGGCGACTTAGCCGGAGAATGTCAAATGAATTAGGTCGTGCCGGCTGCCGGAGGTTGCTTCCATGGGCGAAGGGAAGAGATGAGTTGAAACTCCTAGGTACAACCGAAAATCAATCAACCCATCAACCCACCGAGGTCCTTTTTGGGATTACACCGTTACAGTACCGGCTAGGTTAAGGGCAAAGAGCCAAAGAGGCTTTTTTACGAGTCTTGGCCTGGAATTTTGGGCTCCATCTCTCTTCCAATTGGTTGGTAGCCTGGTAGCCTGGTACTCAGCTTGGCCGTATTGAAAGTGAGAAACTTTTGAAGTGATGGGGAAATGGCCATTTGCCGGACCTTGCTCAGTTATTCCCAGCTCCATCGCCCTCCTCGGCATCAGATGCTCTCCACCATAGTACCCACTTTGTCATTCTCAAACTACCCTCCTAAGTTGCACGAATTCACCAAATTGCCACCTCTCTATACCTCTTTGAAGCGCTCAACCGGACCATTAGAGCTCAGAACTTTATCAGCATCTTCGTCGTCGTCGTCGTCGTCATCATCATCCATGGAGTCTCCCCCTGAAGGTTACAGAAGAAACGTGGGTATCTGTCTCATCAACCCATCTAAGAAGGTACGGCGTTTCTGCTCTTTAGTTTCCCATCGAGAACTAGAGACCGCATTGGAATCTCCTTTTGCCAATCCTGAAATTTGCAAAATTGTGTAGATATTTGCTGCTTCAAGACTGGACGTACCGGATTCTTGGCAGATGCCGCAGGTGAGTTCCTGATACCCCCCCCCCCCCCCCCCTACTTGTCATCTTCGGTGGTTTAGGGGTTTTCCTTGGGGTGTTAAATTATTTTTTGTTCAACCTTGAGTGTTGTATAGGTAGGGGTGGGCAACGGGACGAGACAGGATACCCGTCCCATTTTAAACGGGTACCCATTTTCATTTGGAGACCAAAGTCCATCCCATATCCCAAACCCATATGGGAAACGGGTACCCATTACCCATACGGGACGGATAACGGGTACCCATACTACCCATAAATATCCAAAGTTTAAACAACATCACATTACATATCTTAATAATAACATGCTCTTGTGGGGAATAATAAGAACACGATATGATCAAAAACATAAATTCAATCTCTATATACACACAAGCATTCATTTCAAAACATGTCCCTAAACCCTGATGACGTTTTAGCTAAAGACAATTACATCCCAAAGGCAAACCCACTGCCATTTTCCCACTGTATCACCAAAGGGTTTTATTACTTCGTGGCCTTAGGGTGCTCCCACACTTTCCTCACTGACTACTTATCCCCAGCATATGAAGTACCCTCAACAGAGCCCTGATTTGGAGGATTTTATTCTTAAGCCCAAGATCCTGGGATACTCACCTGCCAAAACGAAGCATATATTTCTCATAGTATGTTTTCCTTAACTCAATCAATGATGCTAAGCTAGCCGTTATGTGTCTGATTACACAAGCAGTATACCAACTTTTCATGTCTTTAATTTGAACCCTACCCCCTTTTTCTTTAGGCAATGCTTACACCTTCTATAAAACTGTCTTTGTAATTTGAATGGGTACAACGGGTACCCATATTACCCAAACGGGTATTCGCGGGTAACCCGCAGGTACCCATATTAGGACTGTACAATCTCAAGTCCCATCCGTTTAAAATATTACGGGTAATATGGGTACCCGTAACCCTTAAAAAACGGGACGGGTACGAGTATACCCAAATACCCTTTTCCCGTCGCCCACCCCTATGTATAGGTATAGCCTTCTGAATTGTAAGTCGCCATGAATTGAAGTGGTTGGGACTAGGCATTTGTTACTCCATTAGATAACTAGAGAAGACATCATACAAATTCATCCAAGAGGGTAACTTTAGAGAGGAGAGACCAGTCACATACTTTGACAAAACCAGTTGCTCTCAATAACTCGAGTTGTTGGGAGAAGGTTCTGCTGAATCTTATATCACTCTCTAACACGCCCCCTCAAACGAAAGCCAACCCATGGGCTTGAAGTTTGCACAGGCTCACCATACCTTGTGCTTTAATCCACAGTTAATATTGGGGGTCGTGGAGATTCGAACACACGACCACTTGGTCAAACCAGCTCTGATATCATGTCAAGAACCAGTTGCTCCCAATAACTCGAGTTGTTGGGAGAAGATTCTGCTGAATCTTATACCACTCTCTAACATAGAACAAGGATTGTGTTGTCGGTTTACTTCATCTTTAGCAATTACTGGTTTACCCAATCCAAACAAAGTAAAAACTTCACACTCCCAAGGAGGAAAAGCAACCAGCCGTTTAGGTCTAATGAAGAAGCTGCTATCTCATTGAAGTTGAGGCTGAGGTAGTGATTCTTTCTGTAAGTTGTGCAATTTTTGGAAGTGGCATTGAACTAATGCTATTCTATAGTATGGTTTAGTGAAATGTTAACTTTTGTTTGTTGTTAGGTTAAGGATCGTATAGCTGCTAGAAAGGCAATCACTTGTTAGAAAATTGGTGTTTAGGTTTGGAGTTAGATGATTGGGAATCAGACAGGCTGCAACTATTGCTATTTTGCTGGTGAAATTTTAATAGCCAGGCCAGGGGATAATGCAGCGCAAATGCGGAGGGGCAATGTTAGATATTTACTTGATGGTTATTTTATGAAGGAACATTTACTTGAGGCGTATACAGTATACATATGCCAGCATGTCATTTATTCCCAGTGACCATGGTCCCTGCATTGCCCTTTTATCTCATGTGCAGCTAACTTGTGGTAGAACTGTTGACCGTATTTGCTGCTCTCGTGTAGCTCTCATTGCTCCATTGATCTGTTCGAATTATTCTTAACAACTACTTGTGCAGGGTGGCATTGACGAGAATGAAGATCCAAAAGCTGCTGCTCTCAGAGAACTAAAAGAAGAGACTGGAGTCAGCTCCGCAGAGATTCTTGCTGAGGTTTTTCATTTAGACATAATTTTGCTTTCACTACTGTATGCCCCTGGTCAGAAAGCCTGATTCCAATACAAAGGTTGACATATGACAAGGTATTATGATCGTGTTATTGTTGCAGGCACCACATTGGTTGACATATGACTTCCCACCACAAGTTAGGGAAAAGCTTAATCAACAATGGGGAACTGACTGGAAAGGTCAAGCACAAAAATGGTAAGCGCAGGGTTAATAAAACATCTTGCATTGCTTGTTAATTGTGAGTCTCGACAACAACCTCGTTCCGCAACAGGTTTCTGCTCAAGTTCACTGGGAAGGAAGAGGAGGAGATCAATCTGCTGGGTGACGGCAGTGAGAAACCCGAGTTCGGGGAATGGTCATGGATGTCAGCTGAAGAAGTAATCGATCGTGTGAGTGATATGTAGTTCGCGAGTTGTGGAATCGAAACCAGGATTTTGATTCGGTGGTTCTCTTGTTTTATGATTCACAACTTCCCTGGCTGCTGCTGATGTTCATGTCAAAAAAATGCAGGCAGTAGATTTCAAGAAGCCTGTCTACAAGGAAGTGTTCGGAGCCTTCCACCCTCATCTTCAGTAAATACAAGAAGAGGAGCTTTTGGCTTGGCAACTATGTTCGAGATTCATCAGAAACTTGCATACATTTCCTTGTAATGATCTGCACCTCCATTCTCCCGGAGATGGATCATGACGATAAAAAATTGGTGTATGCATCGTGCCTTGAAATCGGTCGACATGTTTAAATAAATTACTTATTACTTGAGACCTTGATTGAACACTATATACCATATTATGTTGCTATAAATTTTTATTGATATTTAATTATTTATACTCTAATTAGGTCGACTTATGAAAGAGTTTGATCGACAGTTATAAATATAAACTACACAAAGTATGGCAAAGGCTAGCGTACGTCAGTCGTACGTTGTACGCCTGTGTTCACACTAGGTTTTTAGTTTTTACGCTTCAATATATTTCGTCGAATCAGAATCATTGATTATTATTTTTTAGATTAAATGAATATTGTGACTTGGGTTACAGAATTAGGGACTAGGGTTCACCCATTTGAGGTTAGGGTATAATATCATGTTCAAAATTTCGGTTAATTCGTACTCTTAATAGTAAAACTCGACGGGCGTACAACGTACGACTGACGTACGCTAGCCTGAACCAGTATCGACCTGATCCAAAAACCGATCAACTATATTTATTCGACAAACTTCAATTCCCCCTAACTTTGAAGTTTTAACAAAGTCACCATAGAGCCTAATCGTTAGTTTAGTGAATGATGAGTAACATAGTATTAGCCGTATATACTTCCCCAACTTCCTTCGGAAAAGAATATACTACAAAACTAGGAGTAGTGACCATTTTGTTACGGATCCACAAATATTAGTGACCATTTTTCTTTCTCTGTGATGTTTACACTGTGTTTGGCAACAAGGGGGTGCAAGTTCGAGGGGGGTACAAGTTGATGGGTAAATTGTTGGGGGTGCAACTTGGTGGAGGGTGTAAGTGGAGGGATAAATTGTTGTTTGGATGAAAAAGTAGGGGGGTGCAAATAGAGTAAAAAGTAAGTAATTATATTATTATAAAATAGATTTATCAATTTATAAAATATTATCACAAACATGAAAATTCAATATATAATAATAAAAATAATAAATAAAAATAATTTTAATAAAAATAATTATTATATAATAATGCTCAAATATAATTATTTATAACAACAATAATAATCATTGGTCGAGCAACCTCGAAACTCGAAATCCAACTCGTAACTGGTCATCCTAAGGGGGTTCTCGTGCCTAACTTTAAATTGAATATGGTCAAACTTAGTCAAACACGTTCGAATCTGTAAGTTTTAACTACTTATTAAAGTAAATCGAGTTAACTAAACTGTTCCTCTCTATCTTTTCAACAAATGCTTCTTATCTCTAATTTTCAATGCAAATTCGGGTCAACTAAGAGATATCGATTTGACGAGGCGAACATTGACAAACTTGCTCTCTGAGTCAAACGGTCAACCCCAAACAACTTCTACACTAATATAGATATAAGAAAAATTAATAATATTAATTATTATGTAATTATAGTCTAATTAAAAATTCATAATTCCCCTCCTCCCCCTTCCCCCTCCCTTCCTTCCTTCCCTTGCACCCCAATTTGGGGGGTAAGCCGAAACAGTGAATTTACGCTCACGTTTTGCACCCCCCTACTGTTACAAAATAACCAAACGGGGGTAAACACCTTGGAACTTGTGTTTACCCCTCCAAACTTGCACCCCCTTCCATTTACACCCCTTCCCAAACATAGTGTTAGTGACAGTTTCGTTACATTTAACTTAGTTTGATGATTATTTAAGTAATTGCCACTGTAATATAGTATATGTCCTTTGCAAAATAAAATATTTTTTTACCCAAAGAAGAAAAGAAAAGAGGGGAATTTTTTTTTTCTTCTAACGAATTGAGTGTGAACTAGGAAACGTTGTGGGAAAGTGGAAACGAGGAATACTAGCAAGGAACGGAAGAAAGGGAAAATGTCAACCAAAAGCAGCCCAAGCCGGAAATTGCAAATTAAAAAACATCAGTCAAAGCCGTCAATCCCAAACACAAACGAAACCCGACAAGAAACAGCACAGAAGGAGAGTTAATCACAATTTACAAACACAATCAGCGGTCCGAGGAAACCAAGCGGGGCTAACAAAGGACAAGACAAATGATGGCAAGTATGTTTTGTAAAAGAACTAAAAAAATATATATAAGATAATGTGATATACATTGTTAATGGTTTGAGTACCACATGTTTTACAAATGGGTAAATAATAGGTTGGCAATTTGGTCCAGGATTGTTTGGTTTTACCCGAAACCGGACCGTATAACCCGGACCGGGACCGGATAGCAAACAATGCAATCTCATATTCGGGCTTAGATTTGAGGTAAAAAACCGGATAAAGACCGGATAAGAGACCCCCAACACCTAAAATCAAGATAAAATTGGGACCGGACCGAATCAATACCAGACTGTATCCAATCCAATCTTTGATCCTTATATTCCCGAAAAGATCGGACTGGGACCGGATCAATTTGGTCCAATTTAACCGGCCGTATAGCCACCCCTAGTAAATAAGATTAAAAACAAGATTCGTCAATCATCAAAGCTACTAATATCATGACGACAAGAAATCCGTTGATCTCAATAACTCAAGTTATATCAAAATGTTCAATTGTGTATGGTACTAGTAGCAATTCCTAATTGAGTGGGCATGAGATAATATTAGCTAATTTATTACCAAACCAACCCTTAAGCGTTTGTTTAATTTGTCTGATAACGACTTCCCTTTTGTTTTCAGCTTGGTTTGATGGTGTCATTTGAGAGAATTGATAAGAAAAGTGCTGGATTGTTTTTTCGTTATAACCAATCGAGAAAAGGTCATTGCTTGCTGCTAAGGGTTAGAAAGCAGAAACGGAAGATATTGTCCCCAGGAAAACAACAACAATCGAGGGGCATAAAATTATTAATTAGTGTAAGTATATAATACAAGACTAGTAAGAGCACTGCTCTTATAGCTAGGCTAAAGAACTAATGAGTGGTTTGCATGAGTCCTTTGGTACTAAACAACTTAATTGAGTTATTTAATATAAAATTATTTATTTTAAAAAAGGATTATTTATATAATGATCGACTAACCAAATTATAAATGACTAATTTTTTACTACTCTTCAATCTTAATTCCTGTTCTTAGGGCTGGGAAACGGTGTGGTCTGGTCATATATATGGTCTATGATTCAGACCGAGAGGCTAAAATATAGACCATAGACCAGACCACAGACTATACGGTTCGGTCTAGACCACGCCTGTGAGTTCTTGTTCGGTCTGGTCTGGTTCAGATGACCACACTCAACGGAAATAAACAATTTCTTTAGTCAACCACACAAAAAATTGAACCAATAATCAAGAAAAATAATTTTTATTTGCCTTAAAACATTAATCGTAACATGCATGAATAAATTTGATACCTTAAATCTTAGTACATAACAAAGATATCAAGTAAAAGCATCCCAACTTGCACCATAACGTTATAAGCATTAACATAATGATATATGGAGACACAATTATCTCTACTCTCTGGTTAAGTGTGGTTCTGAATGAAGGTGGGACGAGATTCACAAAATTAAGGTTGAGACTTGGGTGTCGTTGTGGGAGTTGGGAGAATGGTCGAATGGGATGTTAACACGTATTGACAAGTTGGTTGGTTCCACGGTTTGGTCCGATAAACCGCGGTCTAGACCAGACCAGACCAAGAGATCAAAACATAAAATTATACAGACCATGGACCAGACCAGACCATACTTAACGGTCTACGGTCCGGACCAAATTGTGCGGTACAGTTTGGACCACTGTTTTTCAAACGGTCTGGTCTATTTTCCCAGCCTACTGTTCTATACTCAATATTGATTCTTCAAGTATTATAAATATTACGAAACAATACTTTCAAATTATTTTCCATTAATATTTTAAAATTTATTTATAGTAAATTAGCCTTTTTGGAGATTTGTTTCAATCATATGTTATGTTTAAAACAAGGCATTAGGGTCCTAAATTTCTATTCCTTCGCCCATCAAATGGATCGTCTTCGTCTATATCAAAGCAGCGACTAAACCCATTCAACCAAAGCAGAAAGAACAATAACGAATCATCAATCACACTGCAACGCGACGCCAAGCTAGAGTTTGATCTCTCATCATTGTTCTGGGCTGGATGGGGTTTCCATTAAACAAGCCGCAAGTCGCCGTCGAGGATGCGCCACGACTTCTGCACTGTAACCTGTACCATATGGATTGTCGTTATTGGTAAGCAGAGGATTCGGCCGGCCGACGTCACGCTGGCAGAAGTGGTGTATTGGTTTCTTCTTAATCATTCTCACTCTCAAACACGAATCATCCGGGCAATACGACGAGAGCTCAGCCAACTATATATATATAAACAGTAATCGAAACAGTAAACCAATTTCAATCGATCCCTTCTCTGCCATACCCAGAAATTAATTAATGGAGAATATCAACCACCAGTTCCCGGCGGCAGATTTCACAGACTTCCCACCAGACCTGCAGCTTTTCGACGAGGACTCCTTCCCGGATTTCGGAATCATGGATATGGCGGAGCTTGAATTCCTCTGCGGCTCTCAAGCGGATGAAGAAGAAGACGAAGAGCGAGAGGAGGAGGAAGAAGAAGAATTGAAAAGATTGAGCTACGACAATGATCAGCAGCAGCAGCAACCCTTTAATCCCAGAGCATGGTTCGACATTCTCAAGCACCGCCTCTCCTCCTCCACCACCGCCAAAAGAAACCGCGACTCGGCTACCGCGGCGGCAGACGGCAGCAGGCAATTGTGGACCAACGAAATTATAAAGCTGGCAGGGGCGAGAATCATACAATCGAGATCGTCAATGCAGGGGATTGATGTCCCTTCGATGCTCAACAACCCGTTTCACATTTTCCCCCCTGCTTCCGACGACGGCGGCCTTACGCCGGAAGAAGCCAAGAACGTGGAGTTAATGGAGTACCTCCTCGCCTGCGCCGAGAAAGTCGGGAAACGGAGCTTCGACCGGGCCGCCGGCCTTCTCAACATCTGCGACCGCCTCGCTTCCCAAACCGGCAACCCGGTTCAGCGGGTCGGGTACTACTTCTGCAACGCCCTTCGCCAGAGGATCGAAATCGAACAGACCGGCGGAAGAGGAATAATAGGTGGTGGGGGTTATAAGAAGCCGTTCGATTCCGACACCGCGGTGACGCTGCCGGACAAGAACGCGACGGAGTTCCGAAACAGGGTGCCCTTCTACAACGCGTCCCAGCTCGCCGCCGTCCAGATCATGGTGGAGAACGTCGCCGGGGAGAAACGGATCCACTTGATCGAGCTCCGGACGGGATGCGGCCTGCCGGCGATCGCCCTCATGCAGGCCCTGTCCGTCCGAGCCGACCCGATCGAGCTGCTCCGGATCACCGCCCTGGCCCACGACGCGGCTGAGGAGCAGTTCATGGAAGGGTCGGGCCGTCGGCTGGCGGATTTCGCTCGCGGGATGGGCCTGCCTTTTTCCTTCAACGTGGTCCGGTTCTGCACGTTCCCCTCGGGGGCCCACAAGGACCAGCTGGACCTCGAGCCCAACGAGGCCGCGGTGGTGCTCTCAGAGTTCGCGCTCGGCCCAATGATCGGAAGGCCCAAGCTGCTGGAGGCGATGATGAAGCTGATCCGGGCCGTACGCCCGCGCGTGATGGTGGTGATCGAGACGGAGGCGAACCACAACGCTCCCGATTTCGGCCACCGGTTCGTGGAGGCGCTGTTCACCGTCGGCGGGTACTTTGACAGCCTGGCAACGTGTATGGAAGGGAACGAGGAGGCGAGAGCGGCGGTGGAGTCATGGTATTTGAACGACCGGATTCGAAACGTTTTGGTGGCGGAAGGGGAGGAGAGGATTATTCGGGATGTGAAGATTAGGGTTTGGAGGAAGTACTTTGCACGATTCGGGATGCTGGAGATTCCGGTGAGAGGGCTGGCTTTGCAGCATGCTAATTTGGTGATTCGCCGGTCGCCGTACGCGGCTTCGTGCTTGGTGGCGTTGGATTACAAGAGCTTGATGATTGGGTGGAAGGATGTGCCGTTGCTGTTTGTTTCTGCCTGGAAGTTCATGAAGGCAATACCGCACTAAGCACTAGGAAGTTGTTGTAATTTTAGCTTTAGATTCCCATGCCAAACTGAAACTAGTAATAGACAACGGCGCTGGGTTTTTGTTTTTGTCGTGATTAACATGGTGGCTAGTAGGTTTGCTCCCATGCTTTAATCTTCGTTCTCATATCAGTGATGGACAGAAGTAGTATTGAAAGCAACCACCACAGCCATGAAAGAATCTCTGCATTTGGTCTTTTCCTCATTATCAATATGCTTTTTCCTCGAGGTTATGGGTACTTGTGGAGTTTTGGTCTAAGAACTCTAGTTTTTTTTGCCATTAGATCTCACTCGTGTTATCGAGAAATAAAAAATACAACGTCCAACAAATCAAAGTGACGGAAGCCACGCAACGAAATCGAAACCCACCAACAACGATGGCCTCAATGAAAGGGCTTTCCTTGCCACAAGATGGACAACCCTGTTCCTATTCCGACCCACAAACACACAATCAAAATGCTGAAAGGAGGAACGTAACGCTGAATCTCTTGAAGCAAAACTCCACCAAGAGCATCATGCACCTCCCCAGCCTTCACTTTCTGCAACACTGTTTGCGCATCTCTCATAAAAGTCACCAAAAACCAACCTCTGTCCCTACACCAACTAACTGCGTCCCGCAGAGCCAACAATTTGTAACACCCTTTCTTACATAACATAAAACCATGCATATTTAAAAATATTTGTTTAAACTATATTACAACACCGGACGATTATTTCAAATATATGCACAAAAGAAAACCCCTTTTCTTTTCCCAAAAGCCCTAATATGTACTTGTGGAGATTCGAGTCATCCGCCCACCTCATCGCGGTCAAACTGGAGCTTGCCTTGTCCCCAACTTCTACTTCTGCTTCTCAAAATCTGAGGGGAAAATATTGACGGGAGTGAGACGTCACCTCAATGAGTAAGCCCTATCCTAGTATCAGAACTAATATAACATAACATTAAGCATTAACAATATTAATTTTCACATCTAACATTCAACTCATAATTTTCATGGTACTAAAGTTTTACTTCATCATACGCAATTATACATATCCACACATCCATCACACATAATTTATATATATACAGGTTTGCAATTCATCATCGAAGTTCCATATTATCAGGCTTAGTCATGCACCCCACCAATTCTCTTTACCATTTCTTCCCTACTCCGCCTCCTCCACCTCCTCCTCGATGCCTAGGCCTCTCCCCCTACACCAACCTAAGGCACCGAAAAGTCTCTCCCTTAATGAGGCTTCTCACCTCAAGACTTATCGCTTCCATCACAATGTGGCATCTCACCACACAATACAAGGCTTCTCGCCTCTATATAACATGGTGGCTTCTCACCACCGATACTAGTGTGGTATCTCACCACAATTGCTACCCTGGCTTCTCGCCACCATCCCTACTCCTCTACTCCCCCTTTTGGGTGCCTGACTCACCATCGTATGTTATTTACATTTAACATTCGTTTAATTTACTATTTACCATTACAGCCACCACAATCATCCATGATTATCATCATCATTATCATCAAGGAGGCTCTTCGTGCCTCTCATTCAACATTACCCATCGTAATTATCATTCACACAAGCATCACGGCCTCTACTCACCATCATCACATTTTCCAGTATTCCCATCATATACTGAATCACACTATTAAAATAATTAAGAGACTCACGTAAAATAATTCATCACAAAAACCAATTTCACCACAATAATCATCCACATTTAATTGAAGAATTTTTTTTATTTATTTGGGCCGCTTCATGACCCAAATATCATGCTCATATTAGTTGGGCTACTAAGTTAGGAATTACTCACTTCACGTTTATTCAACTATATCCTTGCCTCTTGATGTTTCCCCTGCTAGCTCCTTTCCTTTAAGAAATAAGATGACCACATTTAATATCATAGCAAACAATTTATCTATTAATTAACCGATAAACATAATCTAAATAATATAATTAACACTAATTGTTATACGTAACCGGTTAATCTCTTTACCACATAACGTACACCCAGCTACTCACTGGATATCACCTTGATTACCCCAAATTCGTGCCTCATATCCCTTTAAATATACATATCTATACCCCATCATTCTCACACCCTGCTCCCTTTCTCAACTAATTAAATTCCCTTTTTAATTAAACCAATACTTACCTACTTTTCAATTCAACACAGCAGGATTCGTATACATATAATTGCAGGCATAAATATAAGTACACCCCCTCTAAAATCAACACATGCTTAAACTCATGGGAAAGCACTCAAGAATCACAATCCCATTAATTATAATAACTCACTCTCAAGTTAACTACCCGTAAAAACCCATGGAAGGTGGTATGTAGAGAAAACTCAGAATCCTCCTACAGTATATTTCTTCTTCCCGGACGAAGTTATCCTCGTACTACTCTAACATGAGATACCCTAGATATGTCCCTAGTGATGATGCATGCTTTTCTTACTCTCCTTCTTCCCCTTGCAGCACCAACCGATAGGATTAAAGGGGGAAATCTCACCTTATGTATGTCTCCAATACCCGATCCACCAAATCCCCCACAGCTAGCGATCTCTTTCTGCCACCGATGGCCACAAGAACTAAGGTAGATGGTAATGAGAAAGGAAGATGATGAAGAGGTTTCTGTCCTTATATTTCTCTTGATGCTTAGAAAAAAGGGATGAGATAAGGGTGGCAGCCAACTCTCTCTCGGGTTTTTTTTCAACTCTATAACTACCCATCTACCTACCACCCCATTAAATTAACTCATAAGGATGGCTATGTGTAAGTTTAAAGGTTGGCTTGGAAACTGGGGCTTTTCCCATTATAATAAACTAGAAACAAGAGCTCACTTCTCTTCGGTGGATGAGAGTCTATTAAGTAAGTTGGTTATAACACAATAGAAGTGTAACCCAATACTTGACTTGGTGGAGGACGGCCCTACTATCTAGAGGGATTTATATCCTTCATTCTTTTCCCCTTTTAACTCTCTTTAATTTGAACTAATTTGGAATGGTTTTGGGTAATATGACCCATCATGCGAATTAAGTTTAACTTTATTTAGTAATAACATTACTTATACCAAAATCATGATTTAAGCACTCAAAATACGAGGATGTTACACAATTCCACCAGAGTTGGATCCTGAAGTCCTTGGTACCGCCGAGCAGCACTAGCTAGTAAGAACTCTAGTTACTTGAAAAAGAATAAAAAAGGTTTTTATCCAGTCCTTGTGTGCAGGGTGGTTGCTCTCCAGTCTCCCCTGACTACCAGGATTCTCAGCTCAGCTCCAAATCCCAATCGCCTCCAATGATTTTCCACATCGCTCACTCCCCAGCTCTCCCTACCTTTAATTGTTCTCTCAAGTCGGCCATCGGCGAACACAGCCGGTGGAAGCCGCCATCCAAACCTCCGACATTGAAGCCATCATCCCTCCCGGCAGCGAGAGACCGAGTGATAGATTTCGGCAAGTACAAAGGTAAGATGCTGGGCGCCCTCCCTTCTGTTAGAGTGTGGTATAAGATCCAGCAAAACCTTCTCCCAACAACTCGAGTTATTGGGATCAACTGGTTCTTGACATGGTATCAGAGCCTCGAACCAAAAGGTCATGTGTTCGAATCTCCACGACCCCCAATATTAACCGTTGTCTTTCAAGCACATGGTATGGTGGGCCTGTGCAAACTTCAAGCCCATGGGTTGGCTTTCGTTTGAGGGGGCGTGTTAGAGTGTGGTATAAGATCCAGCAAAACCTTCTCCCAACAACTCGAGTTATTGAGAGCAACTGGTTCTTGACACCTTCATCCTACCTCAAATGGGTCTCCGGAAACCTCCGCTCCGCTCCGGCGACACCCACCACTGGGCCCATCTCGCCGAGCAGGTGCTGCAGGACTCTGTTTACCAGGACCGGCTCGAGTGGGAATTCGCCAGCCGGGTCTTGGACGCCAACGACGACAGCAGCGTTCCGTCATGTGCCACGGCCGAAAACGGTGCCGTCGCCCTGCTGCTGGAGATCAGCCAGCGGTTCGGCTGGGATAACGACGACAAGTTCGGGTGGAGTCGTGTGAATTTCGAGCTGCTGGGTACGAGCAAGGGCGGCCGGATCCCGAGATTAGGGTTTGGGAAGGAAGAGAAAGAGGGAAACAGGGATGCTGGCGGCGGTTTTGTTGGTGGCCACGGTCGTAACGACGGTGGGGATGGGGAGTTGGAGGGCGAGGATAGGAGGAGGGAGAGACGGGAGAGAATGAGGAGACGGAAAGCGGCGCCGGCGCCGATTGAGGAGGACAGATTGGGGGTTTTGGGGAAGATGGAGGGTAGATCCGTTAACGACCGTCAATTTGGTGGAAAGGGTGAGGATCGAACGGCTGGGATTAAAGGTCGATTTCCTGGACGGGAAAGGCTGTTGAAGAAGGTGCTTGACGAGAGGGACCGGTTATTGTAACAACACCCATTGTGTTGTTATTGTAACAACACTAGTCCCCAACCAATAGGAAGCTAGGGATATGATGACTTTTTATTAGTTGAGTTGACCTAGTGTAAAATCAAAACAGGGGTATAATTGTTATTATGAAAAATATGTTTAAATAATAAAAAAATAAAAAAAATATTTTTTATTTTCTACCCAAAAATTTGGCCGCCGGAATTTTGCAACCGGTCGCCGGGAAATGGTCGCCGATCACCGGAATATGCTTTTGTCACCGGAATATACTATTTTGTGGCCGAAATATGCTTACCGGAGTCGAAATATGCTTACCGGCGTCAGAATATGCTTACCGGCGTCGAAATCTAGTCACCGGGGCCGGAATATGCCTATCGGCGTCGGAATCTGCTCACTGACGGTCACCGGAGTTCGGTCAACGGTCTTTGTTGACCGGTCAACAGTCAACGACCACCGGATGTTATGGTTAGCATTGTGAGATTTATGATTTGGTTTCTCATATTTTTTTATGCCTTTTATGGTTTGTTTTATTGTGTTTGTGGTTTGCATTGAGAAGTTTCTGGTTTGTTTTCAAAAACTTTGTGGTTTGCATTGTGAGGTTTCTGGTTTGTTTTAATATATTTGTGGTTTGCATTATGACGTTTATGGTTTGCTTTTTGTGGTTTGATTTACTGTGTTTGTGGTTTGCATTATGAGGTTTCTGGTGTGCTTTCGCAAATGTTGTGGTTTGCATTGTGGGGTTTCTGGTTAGCATTGTGAGATTTATGGTTTGGTTTCTCATATTTTTTTTATACCTTTTATGGTTTGCTTTATCGTGTTTGTGGTTTGCATTGAGAAGTTTCTGGGTTGCTTTCAAAAACTTTTTGGTTTGCATTGTGAGGTTTCTGGTTTGTTTTAATATATTTGTGGTCTGCATTAGGACGTTCATGGTTTGTTTTTTTGTGGTTTGATTTACTGTGTGTTGTGATTTGCATTAGGAGGTTTCTGGTGTGCTTCGCAAATGTTGTGGTTTGCTTTGTGAGGTTTGTGGTTTGTTTTAGGAGATTTGTGGTATGCATTCGGAGGTTTCTGGTTTGCATTAAGAAATTTCTGGTGTGTTTTCGAAACTTTTGTGGTTTGCTTTGCGAGTTTTCTGGTTTGTTTTAGGAGATTTGTGGTATGCATTAGGAGGTTTCTGGTTTGCTTTACCGTGTTTGTGGTTTGTATTAGGGGGTTTCTGGTGTGCTTTAGCAATATTTCTGGTTTGTTTTACCGTGTTTCTGGTATGTTTTAATTTAGACAATTTATGGTCTGCATTAGGAGATTTCTGGTATGCTTTCGAAATAATTGTGGTATGCTTTGTGTGGTTGGTTATTCTATCCGACGTTCTTACTAGATGAATGGAATTAGTAAAAATAATTAGTAATGTGTATACTTAACGGGTTCGTATACATAAATAATTACGTAGTTCTCTTTTAATTAATTATGTTTTCACACCTAATTAATTCTTGTCTCTCTAATTCGTTTTAAAATAACCAGTTCGCAAGGGAGAATGGAATCAGCTGCAGGGAAATCGATGATGAAGGGAGAGGTGTCCTTTCGAGTGAACTTCTGCACTTCTGCACGATCAGTTTCAGCCTGCAGCTCCACATTGTTCCCTGCCACAGACCCATCAAAATGGCAAACTCGCCTCCAGCTTCCTTACTAATCTTCGCATTGCTCTGCGTAAAACCTTTCCACCTGTTTTCATCCACCAGTATCTCGTACAAATCCTTCGCCCTGCAGCTGAACTTCTCCGTCAAGCTTATCGACTTGAACCCTTTCTCCGTCAACCATCAGCACTAGCAGCCTAGCAGGTGACCATAAAAGTGAATTTTTGTGAAGTGTGTATATAAGTAGTTAATTGTAATTTTGGGCTTAGGGGACATTAATTGATCATAAGTAAGTAAATAAGCGAAGGTCCAGCTATATATATAGCAGCAACAAGCTAGAACCTGCCTGCGGCGGCGAGGAACTGCATCTGTTTGAGGTAAGGGGTGAGGGTTTCCATGAGCTTCTCGCCTTACTTCTCCTCAATCACCGGTTTCCCCTTGGCCAGCATCGCCTCTTTCAATCTCCTCACGATCGGGCTGTCGTCGCTCACCGTAACCCTAATTTCGGGGTCCTCATCCTGTCATCCATGTTCTCGTCGGAGATGTAAGGGAGATCCACAGATCCGTCGACTTTGAGCAAGGACTTACGGTCGGCGTCTTTCGCCTCGCCTTCCCATGAAAGAGCGACGCTGAGCTCGTTTCTGGGGATGATTTGTAAACATAAATCATAATAGCATGGATCTTAGAATTAGATGATTTCACGAATCGATAATAGATCGGGAAAACCTACCTCGATCCACGACGAGAGCGGCGGCGGCGCTGGAGTAGTAATCACCGGAATTGAGTTTCTCCCTCTTGACCCCTTTAGGTTTTAGGTTTAGAGATTTCTGTGATGGCTAAGAAATTCTACGTAATGGGTTGAGAGAGGACCAATCCTAGAGCTTCTTTATATAGACCCACCATCAGGACATATTAGGAATTTACCTTTCATTAACCTAATCAATATAGGATTTATCTTATATTAAATTATTAAGTGATAATTACACTTGGGCCACAATTATTCCCTAGTTACCTACGGGAATTGGGCTTACATTCTCCCACTTGGTCCATGTGTCATTATATATCACAAGATCTAATAATAAACATAAGTGTGCACATCATAAGATAAATCCATAATATTTGGTTCACCATAAAGTCATAATCAAGTATGAAAGCTAGATTAGGATCATGGCGGTTCTATATCAATTTATCGACATAGTCCCTTCCATGTACCACTAAACCAGTCTCATGCTCAATATGACACATAACAAGGTAGTCATAATGGTCCAACAATAATGTCTTCACTAAAGACAAAAATCTTGTTTTGTTCACATAATGCATAATGTATATATACTGGTCATAATAAATAAAACAAGATTCATAACTTTATTCCAGAAACAAAATAAATGAGCTCAAAGTATCAATCCATGAAACATAAAATAACTTTATTCATGACGTCCTATAATCCCCATCCTTTCGACATGTTCAGTAAATGTCTTAGGAGGTAATCCTTTTGTTAATGGATCAGCAATCATAAGCTATGTGCTAATATGCTCGATCGACACCCTTTGTTTCTGAACTTCTTCCTTAACGACAAAGTATTTCACCTCCATATGCTTAGCACCTTTCGAATACTTGTCATTCTTAGAGAAGAATACCGCTGCGGAATTATCATAGTAAATTTTCAGCGGCTTGGCGATAGTGTCGACAATTCCAAGTCCAGAAATAAAATTCCGCAGCCATAAACCATGATTTGTAGCTTCATAACAAGCTATGAATTCAGCTTCCATAGTGGATGTGGCAATAACAGACTGCTTTGCACTCTTCCATGAAATTGCCCCTCCGGCTAGAAGGAACAAATAGCCAAAAGTAGACTTCCTAGTGTCTACACATCCAGCATAATCTGAATCTGAATATCCAATCACCTCAAGGTGATCAGATCTCCTAAAGGTGAGCATGTGGTCTTTTGTTCCTTGCAGATACCTTAGTACCTTCTTTGCAGCTTTCCAATGATCTACTCCTGGATTACTTTGATACCTGCCCAGCATTCCGACAGCAAAACTGATGTCTGGTCTGGTACAAGTTTGTGCATAATTCAAACTTCCAACAATAGATTCATAAGGAATGTGTTCCATTTGCTTGCGTTCCAATTCATTCTTTGGACATTGTTTGAGACTAAATTTATCTCCCTTCTGAATTGGAACGACATTTGCAGAGCATTCAGCCATGTTGTATCTCTCTAGTATCCGATTAATGTATGATTTCTGAGACAATCCCAACAGTCCTTGTGATCTATCACGAAATATTTCTATTCCAATCACATAGGATGCCTCACCCAAATCCTTCATTTCAAAGTTCTTAGAGAGAAACTCCTTGGTTTGATGTAATAAACCAAGATCATTTGTAGCAAGCAAGATATGGTCAACATACAGAACTAAAATTATAAACTTACTCCCACTAATCTTCAGATATATACATCGATCGACGATGTTCTCCTTAAATCCAAAACTTGTAACGGTATCATTGAACTTAATATACCATTGTCGGGAAGCTTGTTTAAGTCCGTATATTTACTTCTTTAATTTACACACCATATGTTCTTTTCCCTCAACCACAAAACCTTCAGGTTGATCCATATAGACTGCTTCATCTAAATTCCCATTCAAAAAGGCGGTTTTCACATCCATCTGATGGAGCTCTAGATTATAATGAGCTACCATTGCCATGACAATCCTTAAGGAGTCTTTCTTAGAGACGGGTGAAAATGTCTCTTTATAGTCAACACCACTTTTCTGAGTGAAACCCCTTGGCAACAAGTCTGGCCCTGTGTCTTTCGATATTGCCATTAGAGTCGTGTTTGGTCTTCCAGACCCATCTATTACCAACTCTTTTACAACCTTCAGGCAAATCAACAAGGTCCCAAACTTCATTTTTGTACATAGATTTCATCTCTTCTTTCGCGGCAGCTAACCATTTATCAGAATGCTCACTTTCCATGGCTTGTGAAAATGAAACTGGATCATGATAGAGTCCTAAATCAGATTCTAACTCGTGAAGATAAACCTCATAATCATCAGAAATTGCAGGCCTTCGATTTCTTGTAGACCTTCTTAATGCGATTTCATGTGGTTCATCTATGTTAGGTTCATTCTCAATAGCAATATTAGGTGGTGCTTGACCGTTCATTTGTTGTTCCTGCAAATCGTTATCATGCTCAACATGTACAGGAGCAACAACTTGAGAAGAGGGTAGAGGTAAAGATATTTGCACTCTAACTTCTTGAATTTCCACATTGCGTGGCTCTAAGCTCCCACTAACTTCACCATTTTCAATGAACCTAGCATTTCCAGTTTCAACAATTCTCGTACTATGGTTAGGGCAATAAAATCGATACCCCTTAGATTTTTCTAGATAACCAATGAAGAAACCACTTATTGTTCGTGAGTCCAGTTTCTTTTCATGTGGATTATATATTCTCACTTCCGCTGGGCAACCCCAAACATGCAGGTGCCTTAAACTGGGTTTCCTTCCCGTCCACAGTTCAAAAGGTGTCTTAGGAACTGCTTTACTAGGAACCCTGTTTAACAAATACACAGCGGTCCTTAAAGCGTGCATCCACAATGATTTGGGTAAAGATGAGTTGCTTAACATACTTCTAACCATATCCATTAAAGTACGATTCCGCCTTTCTGCAACACCATTTTGTTGCGGTGTTCCTGGCATAGTGTATTGAGCACAAATACCACGTCTTTCTAGGAACTTAGCAAATGGACCAGGGCACTGTCCACTTTCATCATATTTTCCATAATATTCTCCACCTCTATCAGATCTGACAATTTTCACCTTTCTTTCTAATTGCCTCTCAACTTCATTGATAAACACCTCAAGGGTATCTACCGACTGAGATTTTTCATGCAGCAAATAGATATATCCATAACGTGAAAAATCATCGATAAAGGTAATGAAATACTTTTCTCCACCAAGTGATGGAACATCAAAAGGCCCACAAATATCAGTGTGTATAATTTCAAGGAGCTGTGAGCTTCTTGTGGCTGCTTTCTTAAGTGTGTGTTTTGTGTGTTTTCCTTTAATACACTCAACACAAATTCCAAGGTCAGTAAAATCCAAATGAGGAAGGATCTCATTCTTCACTAGCCTTTCCATTCTTTCTTTGGATATGTGACCCAAACGTTTATGCCACAAGTAAGCAGAGGATTCATCAAACAAACCACGTTTAATACCAACATTATGATGTAAGGTTAAGAGAGTCTCAGCGAATAGGGTATCAAGCTTTAGTTTGTACAAACCATCAACAAGGGTACCAGAACCCAATAAAACATTCTGTTTGAACAAACTAATAGAACCATTTCCAATGTTCCAAAAATACCCATCCTTATCTAGTTGAGACACCGAAACCAAATTACGAGAAATAGAAGGAGCATAAAGGGTATTGACAAGGTCCAAATGATGACCAGTATCTAAAACCAAACGATAAGTCCCAATAGCTTCAACTGGAACTTTGGCTCGGTTTCCCATGTAGATGAACTTCTCATTTTGCCTTATGGTTTGGGTCGTAAGGAATCCCTGCATCGTTTTGGAAACATGAATGGTACAACCAGTGTCAACCCACCAAGTATTATAAGGAACCTCAGTTAAATTTGATTCGAAACATACTGAAGCACTAGGCTTACCCTTTCTTTCGAACCATGCCTTTCTTTTCAAGCAATATTTCTGATAATGTCCGGCTTTCTTACAGAAGCGGCATATATCCTTACTTGGTTCCTTCTTGTGGATTTTGGCAGATGACTCATTAAGCTTTGATAGTCCTTCCTTGCCCTTCCCATTCTTGTTCCATGGTTTCTTTCCAGCTCCTTTATGACCAACAAGATTGGCAGAGTGATTTCCCGGTTTCTTAAGCCTTGCTTCCTCTTGAATAAGCATGCTTTGTAACTCATGCACATTCCATTTATCCTTTAGAGTATTGTAATGCACATGGAATGTGCCATACTCTGGAGGTAAGGAATTAAGGATGAACGTTACTAGGAAATTTTCATTCACTTCCATTCCCATGGTCTTTAGTCTTGCTGCAATGTTCATCATTTCGACGATATGCTCATGTATGGTACGAGAACCATCAAACTTCATGGTGGTTAGCGTACCCATCAGTGTCCCAGCAAGCGACTTATCAGCAGACTCAGATTGAGAGCTTTCTTTCACGGAATTCATAAATTCCTTAGCACTTTCAGTATCATTGAAAGTTGACTTAATGTTGTTTGCTACAGTCATTCGCATAAACATTAGGCTTAGTCTGTTAGATCTTTCCCAAGCTTTATGGAAAGACTTTTCCTCAGCACTGCTAGCATCAGTAAGAGCAGCAGGTTTCTCACTTAAGAGTGCCAAATCAAGATCCAGAACACCGAGGTGAAACTGAACCTGTTCAGCCCATTCAGAGAAGTTGAGGCCATTAAACTTAACAACAGACGTGGCTTGCGAATGAAGAGAAACAGGAACAGATGCTGCAAACATATATAACATGTACTCACACATTAATGCTTTGGGTAATAAGCATAAACTATAATACAGATTTGGAAACATAAACATAAAACATATATTGGTGCTAACTTTGGGCAAAACAACAATATATATGCGATAAATAATCGTAATTGATGTTCAAAATAATCATATAATTGGTGATAGACATACTCAAATTAGATATACTTGCAATCTTTGGATATACTAAATATATCTAACCAAGCACATCAATCTACCACAATAATGTTCATGAATTATAAAACGAGCAATCAACCTTTGGGCGATTCGTAAATATTTTGTAATCACGAACTTCAACTTTAAAGCATCACATAAACATTAGTAGTTGAACTTGATTCAACTTGATATCTATAAACCTTCTAATTTGGCCACTTTGGTGACTAACAAATTAATCATAACATAGATATCAAAGATAAAATTTAACTCAAGTCAAAGCAATTATTAATTATAATTCTCAAAACACATACGCAAAACTTGTTTCATTAATGGGTTGTTTATTATAATAATTACTCAACTGATCAATCATCAATCCTACTGATCAAATTCCAATTCATTCTTTGCCCCTCGTTGCTATCTATTGGCTTCAAATATATAAATTACCTACTGATCAATTGCACCCACAGAAGCAATTACACCCAGAGAAGCAATTATGTGTTTTGAGAATGGACCAGAAGCTCACATAAACGACAAAGCAAGATTGGCTTGGAAATTGACAACCATGTGCCTCGATCAAAAGGTACAAATAAGAGGAAGAATGCGAATACACAATTGGAAACCCTACAGCCGAATAGACAATTGAGAAAGGAAACCCTAATGGCCTTGAATATAATTTGCATGGCAATGGTTCTCGCATACGCAGCTATTGTGAATATAATGGCCTTGAATATAATTAGCATGCGTACAGATGCAGCGGAAAAATACATAATCGAAAAATATCTATTCATGTAAACCTAATGCTCTGATACCACATGTAAACATAAATCATAATAGCATGGATCTTAGAATTAGATGATTTCACGAATCGATAATAGATCGGGAAAACCTACCTCGATCCATGACGAGAGCGGCGGCAGCGCTGGAGCAGTAATCACCGGAATTGAGTTTCTCCCTCTTGACCCCTTTAGGTTTTAGGTTTAGAGATTTCTGTGATGGCTAAGAAATTCTACGTAATGGGTTGAGAGAGGACCAATCCTAGAGCTTCTTTATATAGACCCACCATCAGGACATATTAGGAATTTACCTTTCATTAACCTAATAAATATAGGATTTATCTTATATTAAATTATTAAGTGATAATTACACTTGGGCCACAATTATTCCCTAGTTACCTACGGGAATTGGGCTTACATGATTTTCCCCTTGTGGATGTTGACGTAGGCCTCGCCCTCGACCTTCTCGATGTTCCTGGTGCGGATGAAGAGGTTTCCTTCGCCATCGAGGAGGGTGAGGTTCGCGAGGAGCTTGGAGAGGAGGTTGCGGGACCACTCGAGGCAGTCGCTCTCCGACCAGGACCTCCCTCGGCACTCGTATCCAGGGATTGATCGGCGCCGGAACATAGAAGGATTACAGGATTTGCGACGCCGGCGGTGGAAGAAAGAAGGAACAGCAGGGAGATGGGGAGGAACGGAAGAAATTGGATACGAGGAGCAGGATTAGGGGTTGAGGATTATTTGTTTAATTTTGATTTGATATTTTTTGTTAATTTACTTATTTACCCTTAATTAATTCTGTTGTTATAATAACAACATCAGGAATGTTGTTATGCTATCCTCACCCTTGACGAGAAGAGATACTTGTAATTTGGGACCCTTTCGGGCATCAAATTGTGATATCCCCAAATCTTGGGTACCAATGTTACATAATATGCCGCCATTCTCTCTCTGTGTTTGGGGTTTGGGCATCAAAATACTAGCAAAGAACGGAAGAAAGGGAAAATGCCAACCAAAAGCCGGAAATGCAAATTAAAAAACATCAGTCAAAGCCGCCAATCCCAAACACAAACGAAACCCGACGAGAAACAGCACAGAAGGAGAGTTTAATCACAATTTACAAACACAATCAGCGGTCCGAGGAAACCAAAGGACAAGACAAATGATGGCGAAAGAAAATCCGAGGAGTGTGGATTGGCAAGTTTGTTTTATAAAAACATAAGATTTGTCAAACTTTAAATATATTAATATCATGTTAAAAATCTGTTCATATCAATAACTTAAATTATAGCAAAATCTGTTCATATCAATAACTTAAATCATATTAATATCGTACTAGTAACTTCTTTTTTATATACCAAACTAGTAACAATTCTAATTGAGTGGACATGAGATAATATTAGCTGATTTATTACCAAACCAACCCTTAAGCGTTTGTTTAATTGTTTGATAACGACTTCCCTTTTGTTTTCATCTTGATTTGATGGTGTCATTTGAGAGAATTGATAAGAAAAGTGCTGGGTTGTTTTTTTGTTATAACCAATCGACAATAGGTCATTGCTTGCTGGTAAGGGTTAGAAAGCAGAAACGAAAGACAACAATAGAGGGGCATAAAATAATAAATTAGTGTAAGTATATAATACAAGACTAGGCTAAAGAACTAATCAGTGGCTTGCACGAGTCCTTTGGTACTAAACAATTTAATAGAGTTATTTGATATAAAATTATTTATTAAAAAAATGGGTTATTTATATAAATAATCGTCTCACCAAGTTATTTATAAATGATTCATTTTTTTACTACTCTTCAATCTTAATCCCTGTTTTATACTCAAAATGTTGACTCTTCAAGTATTATAAATAAAATACGAAACAATACTTTCTTTACAATGAATCGTCTACATCAAACAAGGCAATTAGGCAGCGACCAAACCCATTCAACCAAAGCAGAAAGAACAATAAATAAACTGCCTTCGAATCATCAATCACACTGCAACCCGACACCAAGCTAGAGTTTGATCTCTCATCATTGTTCTGGGCTGGATGGGGTTTCCATTAAACAAGCCGCACGTCGCCGTCGTCCCGTCGAGGATCGATGTGCACGCCATCTGCTGCAACTTGTACCACATGAATTGTCGTCATCGGTAAGCAGAGGATTCGGCCGGCCGACGTCACGCTGGCAGAAGTGGTTAATTGGTTTCTTCTTAATCATTCTCACTCTCAAACACGAATCATCCGGGCAATACGACGAGAGCTCAGCCAACTATATATATATAAACAGTAATCGAAACAGTAAACCAATTTCAATCGATCCCTTCTCTGCCATACCCAGAAATTAATTAATGGAGAATATCAACCACCAGTTCCCGGCGGCAGATTTCACAGACTTTCCACCAGACCTGCAGCTTTTCGACGAGGACTCCTTCCCGGATTTCGGAATCATGGATATGGCGGAGCTTGAATTCCTCTGCGGCTCTCAAGCGGAGGAAGAAGAAGACGAAGAGCGAGAGGAGGAAGAAGAAGAAGAATTGAAAAGATTGAGCTACGACAATGATCAGCAGCAGCAGCAGCAACCCTTTAATCCCAGAGCATGGTTCGACATTCTCAAGCACCGCCTCTCCTCCTCCACCACCGCCAAAAGAAACCGCGACTCGGCTACCGCGGCGGCAGACGGCAGCAGGCAATTGTGGACCAACGAAATCATAAAGCTGGCAGGGGCGAGAATCATACAATCGAGATCGTCAATGCAGGGGATTGATGTCCCTTCGATGCTCAACAACCCGTTTCACATTTTCCCCCCTGCTTCCGACGACGGCGGCCTTACGCCAGAAGAAGCCAAGAACGTGGAGTTAATGGAGTACCTCCTCGCCTGCGCCGAGAAAGTCGGGAAAAGGAGCTTCGACCGGGCCGCCGGCCTTCTCAGCATCTGCGACCGCCTCGCTTCCCAAACCGGCAACCCGGTTCAGCGGGTCGGGTACTACTTCTGCAACGCCCTTCGCCAGAGGATTGAAGGTCAGGAAACTCAAGCCGGCGGAAAATATAGGAAGCCGTTCGATTCCGACACGGCGGTGACGCTACCGGACAAGAACGCTCTGGAGTTCCGAAACAGAGTGCCCTTCTACAACGCGTCCCAGCTCGCCGCCGTCCAGATCATGGTGGAGAACGTCGACGGGGAGAAGCGGATCCACTTGATCGAGCTCCGGATGGGCTCGGGCCTCCCCGCGATCGCCCTGATGCAGGCCCTGTCGGGCCGACCCGACCCGATCGAGCGGCTCCGGATCACCGCCCTGGCGAACGACGCGGCAGAGGAGCAGTTCATGGAAGCGTCGACGGGCCGGCGGCTGGCGGATTTCGCCCGGGGGATGGGCCTGCCGTTCTCCTTCAACGCGGTCCGGTTCTGCACGTTCCCCTCGGGGGCCCACAAGGACCAGCTGGACCTCGAGCCCAACGAGGCCGCGGTGGTGCTGTCCGAGTTCGCGCTCGGCCCAATGATCGGGAGGCCCAAGCGGCTGGAGGCGATGATGAAGCTGATCCGGACCGTCCGCCCGCGCGTGATGGTGGTGATCGAGACGGAGGCGAACCACAACGCCCCCGATTTCGGCCACCGGTTCGTCGAGGCGCTGTTCACCGTCGGCGGGTATTTTGACTGCCTGGCGACGTGTATGGAAGGGAACGAGGAGGCGAGGGCGGCGGTGGAGTCGTGGTATTTGAACGACCGGATTCGAAACGTCTTGGTGGCGGAAGGGGAGGAGAGGATTATTCGGGATGTGAAGATTAGGGTTTGGAGGAAGTACTTTGCCCGGTTCGGGATGCTGGAGATTCCGGTGAGAGGGCTGGCCTTGCAGCATGCAAATTTGGTGATTCGCCGGTCGCCGTACGCGGGCTCGTGCTTGGTGGCGTTGGATTACAAGAGCTTGATGATTGGGTGGAAGGATGTGCCGTTGCTGTTTGTTTCTGCCTGGAAGTTCATGAAGGCAATACCGCACTAAGCATTAGGAAGTTGTTGTAATTTGAGCTTTAGATTCCCATGCCAAACTAGTAATAGACAACCGCGCTGGGTTTTTGTTTTTGTCGTCATTAACATGGTGGCTAGTTAGTACGGGAGTGCAGTCCAAACAGTATCATGACAGTCGCAATTATGTTCCAATGTCGAGCTAATTAAGAACTCCAGTTACTTGAAAGAAGAATAAAAAGGTCATTATCCAGTCCTTGCGTGCAGTGAGGTTGCTCTCCTCTGACTACCAGGAGTTCCAACTCAGCCCCAGATCCCAATCGGCTAGCCATGATTTTCAATGTCGCTCACTCCCCCGCAGTCCCTACCTTCAGTTGCTCCGTTGGCCGGTGGAAGCCGCCATCCAAACCTCCGACATTGAAGGCAGCATCGCTCCCGGCGGCGAGAGACAGAGTGATAGATTTCGGCAAGTACAAAGGCAAGATGCTGGGCGCCCTCCCTTCCTCCTACCTCAAATGGGTCTCCGGAAACCTCCGCTCCGGCGACACCCACCACTGGGCCCATCTCGCCGAGCAGGTGCTGCAGGACCCTGTTTACCAGGACCGGCTCGAGTGGGAATTCGCCAGCCGCGTCTTGGACGCCAACGACGGCAGCAGCGTTCCGTCGTCTGCCTCGGCCGGGACCGGCGCCGTCGCCCAGCTGCTGGAGATCAGCCAGCGGTTCGGCTGGGATAACGACGACAAGGTCGGGTGGAGCCGTGTGAATTTCGAGCTGCTGGGTACGAGCAAGGGCGGCCGGATCCCGAGATTAGGGTTTGGGAAGGAAGAGGAGGGAAACAGGGATGCTGGCGGCGGTGTTGTTGGTGGCCGCGGGGATGGGGAGTTGGAGGGCGAGGATAGGAGGAGGGAGAGACGGGAGAGAATGAGGCGACGGAAAGCGGCGCCGGCGCCGATAGAGGAGGACAGATTGGGGGTTTTGGGGAAGACGGAGGGTAGATCCGTCAACGACCGTCAGTTTGGTGGAAAGGGTGAGGATCGAACGGCTGGGATTAAAGGTCGATTTCCTGGACGGGAAGGGCTGTTGAAGAAGGTGCTTGACGGGAAGAGATACTTATAATTTGGGACCCTTTCGGGCATCAAATTGTGATATCCCCAAATTTTGGGTACCAATTTTACATAATATACTGCCATTCTCTTCTGTGTTTGGGGTTTGGTCATCAAAATATTTACCTTTTTTTTTGTTGAGATTTTGTGTCACACTATGTATTCATGTGAATTGTCAACTAAATAATATTTTTCAAAGATTACATGTGTTGGGTCTAGTATTAACTAGCCTAATACGGCCCAAGCCCAACACAAAGCGTCTCACCTTGAGTCCAACCCCATTTTAGGGTCCAGTACATCGGGAGGCGTCCACCACCGGGAGGCGTTCATTCACCGGAAAGGCGTCCAACGATGGAAGGCGCCCAGTCTACCGGGGGCGTCCATGACAACGGGAGGCGTCCATAGGATGCATCCGGCTCCTATATAAGGAGGCCAGACCCTACAAGCAAGGAGACTTCTTCTCTCCCTTCCCTCATTTTACAACTTATGGTTCTCTCTCTAAACCTTATCTCTCTCTACATTTCTCTCTACACTCTATCATATATCATATTCTAACTTGACCGTCGGAGTGTAGATCCCGGGAGCCACCCCCAACTCTCAACAGGATTCTTCCACTCCCGAAGAGATCAGACAAGGGAGTCCGAATCAAGGTTCCACACTAATCCCCGGTACTAATCGGGGTCAAACAATATGAACATTTAGAACTCCGTCTATAAAAATAAAAATACATGAATTTGACGTGGTTTTCAAATGAGATGAGTGTCTTGATATCTTCACGCTATGGAAGAAGAAAAGGCATCAATGAAAAAATAAAAAATTGAGTAAATATGAATTCAAAATAGGAGATATAATCAGAGATAAGTGGTTAAGGGACCCGATACACCAATTTTATTTAATTTTTGTTTTAGTCAAACTAAATAGTAAAATTGGTATGTTATGGAAAGTATGAATATTTCAAGTTAAAATATATTGACCGGACGGTAACGTGATGGGTTGATCGTTAGTCAATTGTTTGAACGTTTAACATAACAATAAATCAAGGATTGAAATACTGTATCGTAGGTTGTACCGTAAAAGTCAATGTTATGTTTTTTATGCTAAAACTATGGTTTAACTATGATTTAATTTCAACCGTATGATATCGCTAAATATTGGCTACCGATATTGTTTCTGATAAAAAAAAATTGCAGTCGAAGCGCCGTTACACTATCTTTTTTTAATCCTTGCAATAAACTCTTGGGCTAATCTTGGATAAAAAGAAACTCTCTACTGATCAGTAAAAAACTAAAAATTAGGGATAAGCAAAAAATATTAACCCTATATATATATATATATATATATATATATATATATATATATTTTTGGTAGAACCCCTATTTTTTATTAGGAAAACAAGAAAAGACATGCAAAATGAATTTTGGGAATTAGTCGGCAGTCGGTCCAAGGCGTCGGTTTTCCTGTGTCTTGCCTTCCACCCTTGCCCTTTGCCCCTTCCCTTACGCCTTCCCCTTCCCGTCCCTTCCCTTCTCCGTCATTTGACGTGGAGCCAAGCGTCAGCGGAGAACCCTAGAAGAAGGTTCGCAGAAAGCACGAGGAAGAGCAAGAATCATCGTTTCAGAATTCGAATCCGATTGTTGCGCAGATTTGGATAAAGGAAAGAAAGAGAGAGAGAGAGAGAAAGAAGAGATTTGATGGCGAATGCTGAATGGCGAATGCCATTTGAATCTCATCTGGATCCACGTTGACTTCTTCTCAATTCCCTTCAGGTCAGACATCTCTCTCCCGCGGCAATCTTTTGGTTTGCTTTCTGTCCCTCCCTTCATTGAGGCGAGGCAACATTTCAGGGGAAATGATGCTTTCTTGTTGTCCAAGTTGGAGGACTTGATTCAAAGTTTTCTGGCTCCTCTCTGGAGTTCCATTTGCTTGTTTTGTTTATCGAATTGGATGTTAGACTTGTCGTTCCTGTTGTTTGTTGAGTTCCATGCCTGATGGGTTAGCTTGGCTTGTGTTCTTTTGAATGGAAATGGAGATATCATAGCTAAGTCCAGCTCCACTAGTTGGGATTTTCGTAGAAATGAAAGCTTTTTGGCCGTTTTCACAATCATAACTATTCGCCTTGTTTGGCCAATTTGTCAAGTATGGTTTTGGGATGAGCAGATTGTTAGTTGTGATAGGAAGCATCGTTTGCTATGAACTGTTCTCGGACTTCTCAGTCTGCATTAGATACAAGCAACCGCAGGAGTCTCTGACTGCACAAAGTGCATTTCAGGAGCGGTCTTTTTTCCTGCTTGCATCGTTTCCTATGAACCAACCCTCAGAAGTACACTAATACACACCCTATCTTTTTGTGCATATTAGCACTTTAACTAAAAAGGAATTGGTCAGCCCTGCTTACCCCATTATTAAACAAACGCAAAATGGGATAGCTGTAGCAATTACTGTATCCTGCATCTTTGAATCAAAATTACCAATGCCTTCGTTCATCTTTGTTAATCACCAACTATGTTTTTGATCCCATATAACCTCGTTGCTTGTGACTTTGTTAACTGTGTTGCGTCACGCATAAGTGAATTCGGTGATATGCTTAGGCTTGTAATTTCCCAATAATAATTAAACTGATCCCCAAGCGTGCCACTGGTGTGGAAGTCCCCCTATGATATCCATTACAAGACAGTATATGAGAGAAATATTTGAATGAAGAGTCAATAGCTGTCTAGTGTGCTTGCTAGTATGGTTATTGTGTTTATACCCCTAGTATGCATTTTGTTTAATGTTCCTTTCCTATTTTTTTTCAGATTCTGGAGTCACTACTGAGATGTTCAGTTGGAGGTATAGGGTTTGCAATAATGCATGCGATTTAGTACCGATTCAACATTGTCAGCGATGCCATTAGTATCACATGAAGACATTTCAGAAACTGAACCCATCTTGCCCAAGTCTGATATTTCACCACAGGTCGATGGATCATCATCTTCACGTGAGATCACTACATTAGAACGAGACTGTGATGAGTTACAAAGTGTGATCATAGATGAAACTTGCCGTCTGGTCAACCCGGACCAGCCACAATGCCGTATATGCCTTGATTATGAAGGTACACCTATTATGCCATGTTCCTTTTTGTTTTAGAATATTTCTAAAGCCAGTAGAAATGGTGGCTTTTGGACATTTGTTCGGTTTGTGAATCTGATTTATGTTCATCAATGCTAAAACAATTGCTCACAATTTCAGGTGACGACTTAATAGCACCATGTCATTGCAAAGGCACTCAAAAGTATGTTCATAGATCTTGTCTTGATAATTGGAGGTCCACTAAGGTGAATTGTTGTTCTTATGTTCATTCAGGGTTTTACTCTGATGTTTGGTTCGATTCTTTCTGTCCTTGTTTTTGTTACCTATCATTGCAGTTAAAAATTAGAAGAGTGTAGTTTTTCAGAATGTTGAATATTCAATAACTGTAGGCTTCAGCGTCTGGTTATGAGCAACTGAAGCTTTTGATTAATTTCTGCTCCATGTTTGTTTCAGGAGGGCTTTGCTTTCGCCCACTGTTCTGAGTGCCGGGCGTTATTTGTACTGCGTGCAAACGTTCCTCCTGACCGCTGGTGGTTGAGATTAAAATTTCAGTTCCTTGTTGCTCGGGACCATGCGTTCATCTTTATTGTTGTTCAGCTGGTATGTTGATGAGTTTTCTCATCGTTCTTTATCAGACTTGGAATGTGATTTCAAGTACATTAGTTGTACTTCGTTTGCTAATTCGCAAAGAGGATGCTATGAATTGATTATTTGCCTGATTGATCAAAATGTGAATTCATGAAATGCTGATCATCAGAATTGCGTTGCGATTTGCTGAACTGATGTTAATGTTATATGGTGCTCTTTTATGGAATTTAAGTTAATCTAACTTTATTTCAGCTGACAAGGATGTGACAGCAGTGATAGTTTGTAAGGCTCTTATGCTTTTATGTTAAAGGCACATAGAACTCGTATTGTTTGATTCGGAAATTTTTTTATGTTACTTGTAAGTGTTATCCTTGAAATTTCTACCTTTTAACTTGATCGTCTTTTATCTCAAAGTTATTTAGTGGTATGAACCTGTGGCAATACCATAATGATACCTGTTGACATTGTTGGATGTGAGTCTTATGTGTGATACAACGTTGCCAACTGGACTATAATTTCAACTATTTGGACTGTCTGTCTTTTCGAGAGCACATTACTTGATATGCATTCCTACCATATTGTAGCTAAAGTTTTCATGGGTTCAAAGAGTTACATAAGTATTGGGTTGTGCAGATTGTTGCTTTTCTGGGGGTACTGGTGTACAAGTTTTATGGGGAAGAGCTCAGAGAAATGTTTGGATACGAAGAGCATCCTTATGGATTTTATACGATGGCCGGTATGTACCGTAAAGCAATATCTGCTATACATGTGAATTTTTCAATGGAAGATTGTAAGAGTGGGAATGTCTATTCTGGATTATCATTTTTTTTTATCTAGATTGTCTGAATCATCAAATGTGTTTGTGTTGCCCATGATCAGTAACTCTTGTTTTTTTTTTGGTCACCTAATTGCAGTTTTGGCTATTGTCCTGGTGGGCTTGCTCTATGGTTTCTTCATTGCCATAATATGTGGTCAAAGGATCAATGAGCGTCATTACCATGTTCTTGCCAAACAGGAGCTGACAAAGGTATGCCATTTAACTTGTAGTGCCCTTTCGTCATGCTCAATATGTTGTTGTAACCGAATTTCTCTTTTGCCTCTTGCTGCTTGCCTCTGCAAACCTCATTAAACAATGATAGTTTTGACGGTTAAATGAAAAATCATCAGCATGCTACAGCTACACTGAGAGTAAATAGTGAACTGAAAAAGGTAGCGAGCATTTTTAACTGAAAGGTGAACATAGTTGTTCGCAGGTTTGGAATACCTTTTCTGTTTTAGGTCATTAGGTGTCTGCCCAACTGGCAGGCTAGTCCTGCCTCCTCTGAGGTCTGGGAAAGCTCTTTAATGTTAGGTTTAAATGACTATGTCGTAAGTTAAAAATTTTCAAGGATGCATGGGGAACAAGGCAAACCGAGTAGTGAGATGGTTAGGTCCGTTAGAAGGCTGATTGAACTAGCTAGAATTGGTAACGTGGATCTTCATTCTGATTGTAGCAAGGTGTTTTTGTAGTAAAAGGAGTAATAAATGAGTAGTGACAGGTAGGAGATAGTTTACACTTTACTAATTCTGCAAAATTGCAGCCACATGTAATGGTTAAGAATGCTTTCAACCTAGTTAAAGGGGGGTTGCATTGAGCTTCAGTAATTTTTTTTTATATTGCCCATAAAAAAAAAGAGACAGAGAGACTATGTCTGGTTTGTCATCAACACAGTCACAACAACAGAAGGTTTCATTTTCTGGCTTTCCTGACATTGGAGTCGATTATGGTGTGGGAATAAAGGTAGCTACTTATAGTACCCATGCATGCACTAGACTTCACACAAGCATAAAAAACAGAATACTATTATTTTTTACGTCATTTCTTTGCATTCAGCCAAACTGGGGCTTGAAATGGATTTTTGTCTATATGGGGGGCTTACCATGTGATCGGCATTAAGTTTGTTAGCTGGCTGTAGCTTAAAAGAGATTCAGCCTTCCCATTTTTATCTATCCTTATCCTGTTTTCTTGGTATGGCAGAGCAGTTTTGTTCTTCTCCACTTAAGTTGACTCTAGCAATTCTAATGTGGTACTTTTTGCAAAGTCAGGAGTATGTGGTGGAAGACCGAGAGGCTAGCAAGAATGTGCCTGAACTTGATCCCAGCCACATTACAGAACTAAGGATGTTAGGCCTCTTCTAGTTCTAATTTGGAGGCTCCTCTCCTCTAGGTAAGTGCTTTATGACATCTCACGCTGACAGTTGATGCCTCATTCCTCGAAACCTTTCTGCTGCCCGAACTGTTAAAAGACAGAAACAAAGAGATCCATTTGGTTTACGTTCTTCCTCTTTATAGTATGTGCCTTAGAGATCTTTTTTGGCTCACATTCTTCCTCTTTCTAGCCTGTTCCTTATTAATTACTTCGACCATTACCAAATTTCCAGGTTCCTCATGAGGCTAGTGCGGATCTGGTGATATAGCTTTCAAAGTCCACCATCCTCCCTCCGATGCCTTCCTCCTCGTCCTGCATATGGACAATGCACAACAAACAGGATCCAGGTCAGGTCCTGTTGTTGCCTACTGCATATGAAATGAAACAATACGAAACATTCATGTCGGCACACGCATCTCAATCAAAACATGTACAGTATACAACCGAGGCGAGTGGTTTTGTTTATACGAACTCCCCATCCTTTGTTTGCGCGTCCATGACTCGTAAGTACAGTAGAGCTGGATGGATATGTTTTTTGTTTGCCAAAGAACCGATGAGAGATGGCATAGTTGTGTTTGATTGCAAGGAACTTACTCATCCATAAGATATATGATACGATTAGTTGTGAGATTGAAGATTTTTTTCCTATTATAATTTGGACATCCTTTTCTTTTTTTCATTTTTTGTTGTACATAATTTTGCAAGCAGAATTCAGGATCAGGAGATAGGCTGTTGAGCATTTGTTTGTTTGTCAGAAACGGGTCATGTGTCCAACCCAAAAGGGAAAGGGTTACATGTTAATTTTCTTATCCTGTGAATCGCCTTTAGACTACGATTACCCTGCTTATTGCCGCTTTGAAATTGCCACTAGAGCTAATCTTGTATCAGTTCAATTGTAATTATAATGAGAACATTGAATACCAATACTATGCTGCTCCAAGTATCTTCAACATCAGTTCGCAACTCCTGCCATTTGCGCCATTGAAGATGCTCTTAGAAGTTGAAAAGGTTGTGTTCAGTTAAATATGTTCTTTTTTTTAATAGCATTGTGTACTGAGTGAAATATTAAAATGTCCAACTCATTTAAATATGTTGTTAAAATAAGTGAATTGCTAGGATTGACACATGTCAAAATGATTATTAGATTGGGAAACATGTAGATTTAAAATGTCGTTTGTTGACTGATATTTTGTGCACCAATCACAAATAGCAAACCATGACATGAATAATGAATTCCACAAAATAAATCGTGTTGTAAGATCAAAATTATTTTAAAAACCGTACAAAATAAATTGATTCATTTAAACGATTGGATAGAACTCTCTCAAGACAACTAGCCGCAGACACACGAGAAACGATTTTGTGTGATGTATCGGAAGATCCATCATCAGTTACACACGTTTGTGAAAATTATTATAGAAATCGACCGGCCAATCAGACACAAATATGTAAGAAAGTCGTTCGGTTTGTATGTGAGTTTGACTTCATTGTAGATTGATTGCCTGCATAGAGAGTGAATTATGACGACAACGACGAAAGCATAATCCTATCTTTCGACTAACGAGTTGGGTTCAAAACTATTACGAAGCTCAGCTATCTTTAGCTCTACTGTGTCATGGATCCGTCGCTGACTTTGCATGTGCAAGCACACACGTAACACGTTACACACGTAGCACCAGCAGTGCAAGCGCCAAAAACCGCGCCACAGCAACACCGCCAATATTTGCGTTTCTCGGCCAATCCTAAAACAGTCCCACCACTTTTTCTTTATCCAACCCACTCCTCTTCCTATTTAATCCCCAAAATCACCTCGCGTCCAATTTCCTCCTCCTTCTCCCCAGTTCCTTTCTCCACACTTCAGAGAAAAAACCAAACCCCATCCAATCCATCGACGCCAATGGCTCGCTCCTTATCCTCTTCCCGCACTTATCTCGCTGCTGCTGCAGCTGCAGCTTCCAGATCTTCTTCCTCCGCAGCTTCGTCTCCTTCATCCGCCTCGTTCCGCTGCCTCGCCCTCCGCTCCAACTCCAACCTACCCAACAACAACGCCGAGCCCGCGGCCGCCGATGAATCCACCGATCCTCTCCTCAGAAAGCTCGAGGACGCCATCCACCGCATCATCGTCCGCCGCGCCGCCCCCGATTGGCTCCCTTTCCTTCCGGGGACTTCCTACTGGGTCCCTCCGCATAGATCTGACGCCGGCTGCTTGGGGATTGCCCAGCTCGTCGAGAAGCTTGCGAATCCCTTGACCGACGAGGAATCTCGCTCCGTTACCTCCGTCCGCGGCTGGCCTTCCTCGGATTATTTCATCAAAGGTATCGAATTTCTGGGATTTGATTTTGATTTCTTTCCTTCCCTGTCTCCTGATTTTTCTAGGGTTGGGTTAACTCGGTTCATGATTGGGGATCTGTCTTCTAAGATCGAGGATTCGCCTCAGTGGCGATTGCTTCTATTACCCTGATTGCAAATTGAGTTTATTGTGTGCGATTAATTGCAGTATCCATTTTGCGAATCTCTTTGTGTCTCTTTGGTATTCCCCTCCGACATCCAATTGCCTAAAAACCGTACAGCGTCACGAACCGAAGAAACTTAGTCTTCTTTAAATTTGGCAGGAAACTTCGAATGAAATGAAGAGTATCATGTGAATAGGAGCTTTCTAAACCCGAAAGTTCATTATTTTATATTGCCCGAGCTCCGCTGATGGGAATGCAATTTGGGTTTAGCGTTGCAGTTTGTTCGCATCTGTTCAGCATTCATTTAGATGCTCACTTGAAATTGCCGACTGCTCTTTGTCTGCTTCCTCTGATGGTATCAGAAAGGCTTTTCTTCAATCTTCATTATGTTCTTGTTTGGGAGGAAGATGTGCTGTGACTTTTTCTTCAACATTGTCAACGCTCACAGCCGCATTCTTCTTTTCTTGCTTCTTTCAGGTGCCAGCTTCGGACAGTTGCCTGTATATAACACAGCAGATGAATTGGAGAAGGATTCAACTTCAGATGAAGTTAAGACCGAGGAACCGTCCAGTCATGCCCCTGAATCTGAGACGGAGGAAGGATAATTTCTATGATGGGATTTCGCATCTCGGTAAGCAAAATATTCTTCATTAGATCCATCTCCCTCTCTCTCTCTCTCTCTCAAGCCCACACACACACACACTCCAAGAACAGAGTCACACATACAAACAAACGCTACAAATACAATGGGATGCCATATTCGTCTTGTCTGGGGTTTAGCTTTCTCTCTTCAGGTGTGGATTTCATATTTGTGCTTATGCATAGATTTATCTCAATCTACATTTGAAATGAAGTATCTATTAGGTCCTCTGCTCAATCTAGAAGGAATAAGAGCTTCAGTGTTCATGGGTGTATAAAAAGGCGAGTGCTTTTGTTACTCTGAGGGCGTGGTAGATTGTATAGATATGATCTAAGCGTGTAAAGGGACAATGTAGCACTAATCTTATCCTCTTAGGTGAAGCAGGGGCCGCAGGGTGACCAAGGGCTTCTCTGACTATTTATTGCATGCTGCTGTTTTGACAGAGGCTCGTCCGGATTCGGAACTTGAATGTAAATCAGACAATGGAAAGAAGCGGGAAGAAGCTTTTTAAGGTAACAAGGGTGATAAAGAATGAAGAACCAATTGGAGGAGGAGCTGTACAGATGCAAACCCTGTGGAGGTTTAAATAATTTGATCTTCCAGTTGGTGGCTGTGTATTAGTTGGGAATGATAGCCCGCTGTTCCACTGTATCTAGCAAGCTGAAGAAGATCCATCCATTTTTATGGTTTTTCCCCGTTATAATGCTGAGTCTTGAAACCTCCTGTATCTTTGCATGTACATATGTTTTCCCAAGAAGATAATGGTACTGTCGTTTCCCTCTTATACTATCAGGCTATCAGCTTTTGCCCTCTGTTTGGCAAAAGCACCAACTCAAAAGTGTCTCATCTCAACTCTTGAAGCTGTCAAAATGTGCACTATTTGAGGACTGTAACAGATGGATTGCGAGAGAAAGCGAAGCCAGCAAAGTGATTTTTTAGAATGTTTCCGCACAGATTCATATATTTAAACTGGCGATTACAAGAAACGTCTACCCACCAAAGAAGCTGGGTACATCAATACTAGTACCATACTAGACAAACAAGATCACATATGTCACAGTTTGTGTTCTTGCTTGGTTGGAGAAGGGACACGAAAGATGGCCAGAGGTTGAAGAAACTCAATGGGACTTCTTCTGCTCACAATTCTCATCTAGTGACTGATCAACTTGGGAATCAGATTGATCAGTAGCAGCACCTTTGAGTAGGCCTCCAAACAACTGTGCTGGGTCAAAGTGGATCTCCACATCTTCTGCCCTCATTGATTCATCAACCTTTCAATATACCACACATTATCATCAATAGTTACCCTTGATGGAGAGTTAGCAGAACCAATGAACAATATTTACCTTCATGACGCCAATGCCGAAGAAGTGCACCATCTCCTCTGTGGGAGCATGGCCTCTGAAAGGACCCTCAGATAAGCCCCAGTGCCTGAACTTGTAGGTAATCACAGGAGGGCCAGAGTAAACAATGATGACCTCCCACGCAAACCCTCGTGGGAAGGCCGATCGAAACGCGCGTCGTGAGACGATTCGAAGTTCTCCTCTTCGACCCTGTAGTATCGGAACTGCTCGGGAAGAGAGTTGCTTTCGGTATCAAATATGAAAAAATGAGCAAATTTAGTGACCAGTAAAGAATCCAAAAACTCCTCGAGTTCGCCAAATTCAAACACGCACACTTCATACGATAACCTACTAGACGAGACAAGAAAAGTATCGGTTTCGATGATGATTGTTGCGTCACTATATTGTTTCGGGTGCCAACACTGTAAAATTAGACCGTCTCGGTGACCTTGACTGTAAATTACCCTAAATAAACACCCGGTCAACGTTTTCCACACGAGGAATTAAAAAATGGCGTTTGGTTGCTTAATTGAATGTCGCGGCATTTATTTTCCCACTAACCAAACACGCCAGCGAGCTTTCTCGAATCGATCCACGGGATACGGCCCGCCTGACATGATGATGAATTGATGATGGCGACGCAGTGGGCGAGGAGTGGTACAAAGTCAGCTCCTCATCTTCTAGCTTCTTCTTCTTTGCTGCAAGCGGAGGACTCGCTGACTGAACGACCTTATCTCTCTCTCTCTACACACGAAGCTGAAGGAAGTCAAGCACAAGTTCCCCGATGGCCGCCGATCTTGCTGCTGCGGCGACGACCGAGGTTGATTACGAAGAACCGGAGGAGGCGACCGTGATGAAGCTCCTGCGGCGGAGATTGCTGTCTAAGGTTCCGCGCTATCGGAACGGAAATGGATTCCTCGTCAACGGCGGGCAGTCTGTTACTCTAACCTTCCCCGGGACCGACTCTGCTCACAATCCAATTTCGGAAGGAAGCAGCAGCGGTGGCGGTGGCGGTGACGGAGGTGTGGCTGATCCGTTGAACTGTAGTGTTTACTTGGATGAACTCCATGGTAAAACAAACCCTAATCTAATTATGTCCATCTTGGCAGTTTCCTCTGATTTCCTTGTTAAATTTCTATATGTTTCTTCTTCCAATTGCTTTACATGCTTTTGAATACTAGGTAAATGGAAATGCCATCACTGCAACTGGACCTACTTCGTTGGAAGTTCGCGTTCTGGTGGGCTTGGAAACCATCAAAAGTGGCGATGCCGCCACTGCAATTCGGACCCCTCCACCCAAAGCTTGTCGGTTAACCATGGGGCTCCACGTTTCTCATCTGAAATCAAAGGTCTTTAATCTAGGCATCCTTTTCTTTTTAATTCATGATTAGCACTATGAATGCTTATAATATCCATCAAGTGGCGCCATATTTATGGTGCTGATAGTTCAGTCCTTGTACAAAGCAGTTACGTTGAGTCTACTGCAAGAATCACAGACCTAGTGGGATGCAGCTGCTATTTGGCAAGCCGGATTCACAATTCTGATGTGGTTTATATTGCACACTGCAGGTGCCGAATCCATCAATGGAGCTGCTGAAAAGAATGGGTTTTCAGTTAACGGCTTGAGACATCAATCTGAGGGCGTTCTGGAAAATGGAAGGCTCTCTGCTTCAAGTCTAACATCTTTGAATGGCTCGGTGGAAAGAAGAAAGGGAGTTGCAGAATCAGACGTTGAAATGCTGTTAGAGAAGCAAGATACTCATGATCTGTATTGCCCTGACTGTAGTTCCTGTATCACACAACGGGTTGTCCTGAATAGAAGAAAACAGTATACTCCAGACGGGCATCTCATACTGGAGGAAAACAAGCACTTCACTACTCCAAAAGGGAATGCAATTCTGGAGGAAAACGAGCAGTATACCCGCCCCAATGGGCATGCAAAGCTGGAGGAAAACACGTCCAAAGCACCATTCCACCCTCCTGTGCTCGATGCTGAACCCACTCATCCAGCCGATGATCAGGTTCAATATATTGACATTTCTGCATACAATGGTTCCAATCCTGCGGCAGTCGACGACACTGATGGTCAGCAGGATGTTTTCAGATGCTTATCCTGCTTCAGATTTTTCATTCCCGAAGGTAGTGAAACTATCCCCTGCTCGTAGATTTTACTCAAGCAGGCACCTAGACTTGTTTACCAGTTCGTTGCAACTCAATTGCTTCTGTTTTCCAGTCAAATGGACTGTCATAACCGAGTTACTTATTAGCCACTACATCTCTTCACTAGTCAACCACTATATCTGAATCCGTATTGGCTTATACTTGACTTGGTACAAATTGTTTATGTTCCAGCACGAGCTAGTAGTCGCCCACAGCTTGGCAGCCAGAGGGCTACGGCTAAACCGAGAGGCGGGGGAGGTGGAGAGGGCTATGGATGGGAGATTTTGAAGTGTGTAGTGTTTGGTGGCTTGATCGAATCAATTACGAGCCTTGGCGTTGTATCTTCTGCTGCTGGAGCCGGTGCTCCAACTTGTAAGTACTCATGTCTCATTGTAACTGATCCACGCTTGAACACAGATTCATGGAACCATAAAGATCCTAAACCACACATGGTTCACCATTTCTTCCCTTTTCTGTTGCAGTGAACGTTTTAGTTATGGGGCTGGCGAACGTAATTGGCGGGCTCGTCATCATTACTAATAATGCAAGTTTCATCGTCATTGTTTCAATTTATAGTACTTTGTTTCATTAAGCATAACCCAACACACACCCAGATGAATGTACAAGCCTTCTAACAGGTCTCTGTTCTCTCTCCCCCAATTCCTTCTTGCAGTTGCTGGATCTGAAACAGGATCACACCAAAGCTACTACTTCAGATAATAACAACGATGAAGCGGAGGATCGCTACCAAACGACTCTGGGCAAGAGAGAGAACTTTGGAATCCATTTCATGGCGGCCATATTATCATTTCTGGTATGTGGGTTACTCCCTACATTTGCCTACGGGTTCACATTTCAGAGCAAGATAAGCAGCAACGGCAACAAAGACGAGAAGCTGGCGGCAGCAGGAAGCGCTTCTCTTGTTTGCATCATTTTGCTGGCAATTGCAAAGGCTCACACTCAAAAGCAGCATCTGCAGCAGCAGCCCAAGGCTTACGCTGCAACAGTCCTTTACTTCTTCTGCATATGGATGGCGACATCGGGTATATGCTATCTAGTTGGAGACCTAATCAAGAACCTCATCACGCCCGTGTAGTTTCCGTTTACATTATACATGCGCTTTTATCTTTCACCCTTAATGGAACCTAATCAGAGCTCGTCGTCGTCCTCGTAATCACTGACTTTTACTTCTGCTGTCTTGGCGTCTGATATGGTTCTCTTGACCTTCTCCTTTGCTTCGTGCGCGGTTTTAGTCGCCATTCTGGCTGCCGATTTCGCCGTGTTCTCCATTGTTTCTTTGCCTTTCTCTATACTCCTCGCCACCGCCTCTTTCACCCGCTCTCCACTTCCTCCTCCACCGCCTTCTTCCACGCCGTCGATGATCTTGCCCGCTGCTTTCTTCGTAGCACCGCCTGTGAAACTGTCCAATTGAATAGCGAAAAGGTCATTCAGTGATAACAAACTTGAAATCTAACTCTCTAAACACACGACACGAGTTAAGTGGTACTTACAAGTTAAGGCCGGGAGGAAGGAAGTAGGACTGAGCCCAGCCGGCGGCAGCCTTGATTCTGTCCAAGTAACCGCTTGCTGGTGGTGCAGAACTACCATCCCCATCTTCACCGCCACCGGCCGGACTCTTCACATTTGACCTGACCTCTTCTCCGTCAACCGATCTTGATATGAAAAACAGAGCAAGGCAGCATAGCAGAATCAGAAGACTCGACTTGATCGACATTCTCTTCATGTGTGTAACTCTACTTGCTTCTCGTGTCCGAGTTCCAGAAGTAGTTGGCTTGGCTGGGTTGGAAAGGAAGGCCATCCTTTTTATAGGGGGAATGAAAGAGTTCATCTTCAAGGGATAACGACTGGTAGCCAGAGTTACGTGTTACTCTGGCGTGATGACACGTACAGTGCTAGGCTTTGTTGGACATGGCCACGTGTCGTTGTATTACGACTTTGTTCCTTTCTTCTGTCTTTCTTCTATGATTATCTTTGTGGGGGGAGGTTAAAAATTAAGATATGTTGGGGTAGTCTAATTTTGAATACGCGTGGAACGAGTTTACGTAATGGTACGGCCATGATTCCTGGGGAGCCTTCCCGTAATTTCGAAGACCAGGTACAGTGCTGGGCCTTCTTTCAACTTCTTTCCTTATGTTCGGGCCCACTTCTTCCTTTTCCTTCATCAAAAAGGCCCAAAACGGAAGCCCATCCTTATCAGAACAACCAGACAGCCGGCCCTTCTGTTATCAGCTTCATTGTCAAAATAAAGGCACATTTTTTTTCTGGACCCGTTAATTTTGGCCCATAGTTAGATTTTGAGGAATGAGTTTGGGTCAAGGCCCAGTATTGATAACACTCAAATGGTGTGGTGCAACCGGGTCCAAGTTCGGTTTAGCTTTAGGAATTTGCCCCACAAATCCACCCAGGAAGGATTTGCCTGAAATCCTATGTTTGTCAAAAACTCAAAATCCTTGAAACCCACACATCTGGAATTTTTTTCCCCTAGTGATCCAATTTTTTTTTGGCTGATTATTTACCAAAATACATTGAAGTTTAAGTTGGAACTAAAAAAATATGGAGAAATTGAGAATTAACATTGAAGTAGTAAAAGTGCCACCAAATTGCGTTTAGTAACACAATAAAAAAAATATTTACAATTTATTCTTCTAATTCCACATTTTCATTGATCTTATTTAACTTTCAGGTTCTAACTTGGAAGAAAGTGATTATGTGTTATTTGTTTAATGGCCACTAATAGGATTATATACCAAGGATTGAAATACCGTATTGGAGGTCGTACCGGAAAAGTCAACGGTAGGGTATTTTATTCTAAAATCGTGATTTAATCATGATTCAACCGCTAAATACCGCCTACCGGTTTTGCTGCCGGTAGAAGAATTTTCAGGTCGAACCGCCGGTACGGTATAGTATTTTAATCCTTGTTATATACTCATTTTATTTGTTCTTATAAATTTACATTGTTCTTATAAATTTACAAAGGTATTTATGAATGCTAAAATTTATTTATAGATTTATTTTGTATAAAAAAAGTTAAAACCTTTGATAGATTAATGATTCACATTACCAAATAAGGCTTAAATTACAAAATTAGGAGTTACTTACCATAAGCTTCGCCAAGAAGATTAGGTTTCCGCCATTAAAATGAGTAATGGAAACGGAAAATAATTGGTTTGCTGGACGAGACAACTCACCAGCTGTTGCGGCTCTCTCAAGTGACACTCCCACGAACCCACCAGCCAAAAAAAAAAAGTACACGGAAGAAGATAGAAAGAGAAGCACAAAAAAATGGGAACTTTAGAGGGAGAAAGATAGTCCTCCTACTTTAGTGAGAGAAACAGAGGGCGAGGGAGAGAAACAGAGAGACAGTAACCGGTTCATTTTGAGAGAGACAGATATTGGGGGGGAGAGAGAAGGGGACAGTGTGAGAGTGTGTGTGAGATATTTGCCCAGAGCGAGAGGGGGAGGAAGAGAGAGAAAGTACTGCTGCTAGTAACAAAGTCTTGTCCTTTTGATTCACCACCCATGTTATTGTTATTGGTGTTGCTGTTGTCCCCTAATCTTCTTCAGATTTCTTCCTTTGCTCCCTCTTCACTCTATTCGTCTTCTTCGTTTTCGTCTTCTACTTCTTGAGGTATGTACTTAATTCTTGTTTTCTCTTTCACTCTTCTTCTTCTCACTTTCTTTTGTGCCTACACTCTGTTTTAATGGCGGTCGTCATATTTTTGGGTCCAAACTGTGCTTCTCTGGTTAGATCTCTCCCATTTACTTGTTTGTACCCTAAATGGCGACCTGGGTCTGTCTCGTTTTCTGAAGTTTTCTCTCTTTTGGTTCCCTTGGCCCAAAATCCTTGTGCTCGGTTTCCGGTGAAATCTCAAACTAATGGTTAAGGGTTTGATTGCTCATTTTGGGCGCTCTAAGTGCGCTGGATCTTTTTCTTGTTTCTGTTCCTCTGGCACGCTTCTAAGTTCCACTATTGGATGAGATCTTGGAAATTCTAATTCCTAATTTGCTCTAGATCTTGGTTAGTTGTGTATAATGTTGATATGGGTTTCACTTCTCTCAGATGGGACAAGTTCAATTTGAATCTATGGGTAATGGGTATCTCTAAATACTGCTATTTCTAGCTGATTCTTACTTGGGATGCAACCATCAGCTGTCACTTTATCTGCTCCGAGGTTTTGATGAACAGCCTGCCGCTCTGAGTTGTGAATAAATTGCTAGAATGCTGTGATTATAAGAACATTCAAGCTATGGTGTTTAGCTATTGGAGCTCGGTTAGCTAACTCAACGGATCTTGATTCTGTAGTTTGATTTGTTGAAACTTGTATAGTCAAATGCTGAGCTCTCGTGTTTGGCCTCTTTATTTGGGATATAGGACTAGGGAATCTGCTTGAAGTGTGTGGTTGACTTCCTTTGCCGAAGGGAATTCTGGGTGTTCGTTTGTGTCTTATATTATGCAGTCATTTCTATGAGGAAACCACTGAATCGTAAGTGACAATCCTGTTTCCCCTTGTTAGTGCCCATCTGTTAGTTCTTGCTTGCCTTTCGAATGAAGAAGGGGAGAGTTGACAGATAGTAGGCTGATTTATCACACTGTTCTGGGTTGTTCTTATTTCTTGAAATGGGGGTGGATTGCAGATGATTTAGCAACGGTTCTTATGTGTCAAACTTAGCTGGTATTTGAGCTCAACATGACCTGTGTATAACCATCATGGGTTATAATGAGGTGTCTTGGTTCTTTATTTGTTTCCTGTGGTAATTTTGTTGTCATTTCAAGCATTATATGCCCCATGCTTCTGAATTTGGTTTTGGACACTACATCTCATCTTTTTTATTTCTTGGCTTTGAATGTGAGTTGTTTTTTAGCATAGATTTTGTTGCCCGCATGATCTCATACATTTGTCGTGGTACATAACGATCAGTTTGTGGATGATTTCATTCTGCTGCTCACAATGTGGACTCCGAATGGCTCTTATTACTCACCTTATTTAATGCTTTCGTAGCCATTTTTTAAATTACTTTGGTGTGTAGAGATTTTGAGGAAGCTACTGACACTCGTGCGCATCTTGTTGTCTTACTTGGCTTCTTTTTTATGCAATAAACTCCCTTCAGAATTGGGATAGCCGTTATGCCTTTGTGGAACGATTTTGCCTTCAATTAATATCCATGAGATACCTAATGCTTTGAAGTGAAGCCATATATCTACTATCGTGCTATGAGTGTAGGAGAACTTATTAACGTGATAGTGATTGCTTTTTGTTCTTAGGATTGCTTTGATCATTGCATCAAAGGGAGTAGCTGCAGTTGTCTTGTAATTACTTCTGGGTGGTGTCTCTAAGGAAAGCTATATAGATGGGTTCCCGTTTCCCATCTCATCAGCTCAGCAATGGGCTCTACGTATCAGGTCGGCCTGAGCAGCCGAAGGAAAGAGGTCCAACTATGAGTTCTGTGGCAATGCCATATACCGGGGGTGATATCAAGAAGTCAGGAGAATTAGGGAAGATGTTTGATATACCTGTGGATGGCTCAAAGTCTAGGAAGTCTGGACCAATAACTGGGGCACCTTCAAGGACGGGATCGTTTGGAGGTGCTGCTTCACATTCAGGACCAATTATGCCCAATGCAGCTGCTCGGGCAGCCTACACTACATCAGGTGCTGCGTCTTCTGGCGCCATGTCTGGCTCAGCTTCTCTAAAGAAATCAAATTCTGGACCCCTTAACAAACATGGTGAACCTATAAAGAAGTCATCTGGTCCTCAATCTGGTGGAGTGACACCTTCCGGTCGACAGAACTCTGGCCCTATTCCTCCTGTTCTTCCTGCAACTGGCCTCATCACATCTGGGCCTATTTCTTCAGGACCACTAAATTCCTCTGGTGCTCCTCGTAAGGTATCTGGTCCTCTGGAATCTATGGGATCGATCAAGATTCCATCCGGTGTTCACAATCAGGCCGTCACTATTCTCAGCCAAGATGATGAGTTTTCCTTCAAAAAGAACTTCCCCAAACCAATATTTTGGTCGCTGATTCTACTCTTTGTAATGGGTTTCATTGCTGGTGGGTTTATCCTTGGAGCAGTCCATAATCCCATACTTCTCGTCGTTGTTGTGGTTCTTTTCGGTGCTGTTGCTGCATTGTTCATATGGAATAATTGTTTTGGGAGGAAAGCTATCATGGGCTACATTGCCCAGTATCCAGATGCTGAGCTACGAAATGCCAAAAATGGGCAATTTGTGAAGATTTCTGGGGTATGTATACTTGCCTCTCCTCAAGTAGTTCTATTGCCCGTTTACAAACTCGGCTTGCATCTCCTATGCGTTTTAATAGCTTCAGCTTTACCTATTCTTACTTTGGTTTCCATGCGTATGGTTGCAAAGCTTGTGCTTCTGAATTGAAATACAATTCTAACTAGGCCCAGAAATCAGAATGTTCTCTGACTTGGTTACTGTTTGAAGGTGGTTACCTGTGGCAATGTTCCTCTCGAGTCCTCGTTCCAAAGGGTTCCTAGATGTGTGTATACATCAACCAGTTTGTACGAGTATCGAGGATGGGATTCGAAAGCTGCCAATGCTAAACATCGCCGTTTCACTTGGGGGCTCAGGTCTCTTGAAGTGAGTAACTTGATACTTCCAATTCATGCATCTTGCCAATAACATTCATGTGCAAGTGCACTTCTGCTGATGTATGAGGAGACAACTAGTACTCGTTACAGGTTTTGTTCTTGCCGAACAATAGAGATTTGTCATTTTTTAAAAAATGTTTTTTACCTGGGGAATTTATCTTCAACTCAGGGTAGGAGCAACAGTGATTGATACATAAGGTTAAATCATGTGCACATCTTGTATCTGTCTTTTGGTTATTTTCCTAAATGTTCCATTATGCATGCCATTTTAATAAACCCTGTGGTACATATATCACTAAAAGTTTGATAATCTGTGCTGGCAGAGGCGTGCTGTAGACTTCTACATCTCTGACTTCCAGTCGGGATTAAGAGCGTTGGTTAAAACAGGGTTTGGAGCAAGAGTGACACCCTATGTAGATGACTCTCTTGTCATTGACATAAATGCGGGTTCTGAGGATTTGTCTCCCGAGTTTTCAAGATGGTTGGCCGAGAGGAATTTATCGAGCGACGATCGGATGATGCGGTTAAAAGAAGGGTAAGTATTTGTTTGGATGGTTCGATTAGATCGACTGATATGTTTTGATGGTTTGATCTATTTTTCTATTTGTGTAGATACATCAAAGAAGGGAGCACAGTGAGTGTAATGGGAGTTGTTCAAAGGAATGACAATGTGCTTATGATCTTACCACCTCCTGAACCCTTCACGACAGGTTGCCAGTGGGGAAAGTGCATTTGTCCTGCTAGTCTCGAGGGCATTGTGTTGAGATGTGAAGACACCTCCAGGAATGATGTCATACCTGTGTAATAATTTGTTGGTTGGTAGACAGACTCAATGGCAGGCCTTTTCTTCTCCTTTTGTTTTTCCTGCATATTTCTTCCATTAATATTGGTGGTGGTGGTGCGGCAGGCAGGCAGGCAACAAACATGCAGCATTGCTGGTGGTGATGGTGCTGCTGTACCTATGAGTGGTGATGATGATTGTAATGATTATTAGGTGGTGGTGTTTCCTTTTTTGTAATTTTTTGTTTTTATCCCTGAGAAGTTTTACTCGTGTATAGTTTGGTCTTGGTGTTTTTTTTTTTGTTTGTTTAATCTGGTTTCCATTTTTTCAATTTTTCAACTAGGGATCGAAGAAGGCTTTTGGTTATGTGGGGTGGATGTTGATGATTATATTGTAGGAATGTTTGAGCAGAGTTGCCCGGTTATGTGAAATAGAAAGAAGGAAAAAGAAAGACCATCTGTGAGCTATATACCTCTCTATATTGTATATATCTCTCTGTCTCTGTCTCTGTCTCTGTCTGTCACTCAGTAGTCAACAAATGAAATAAAGAAAGCAAGAGCTTCTGGAAAAGCATCTTGCCAGCCAATATCAACTCCATCACGTTTGGTATGCTGGAAATTTTGACAAAGTCGAGTATAATATAGAAGCCTACGGATGACAGTTGGAACTTGCTATCACTATTACATTTACTCCAATATTTTGTTCCATGTCAATTCAGATTAGCATGCTTGCATCAAGGCCTGTATGCACAGTGGCCAAATTCATTCTTTGGATCCAATGACCTTTGGATGAAAATGGTTCGAGAGCCTTGTGTTGTCTGGGACTAACCTGCATCCGATTTCATTCCTTGTTTTTTGATGGGTGTGAATCTGCACTTGTGATTCCAGGTAATAACCGAAATTTGCCTTGCTCCATAACTAGCTCTCCTTCCAATCGTGTGTACATTACATCCTGCCTTCCCAAGTTTTGCCAAGCAAACCTCTCGGCCAAAACAGATGCGATTTCCAGGTCCAGGGTTCCTTCAGGGGAGCTTGGTAAAGATAATGTTTCGCCTTCTGTGTAGTAGAGGACTGAGAATGAGTCCAAACTGGGATTTGAGAAATCCAGTTTCTCCTTCAAATCGTCAGGGAGCTGTGTTTGAATGCAACAGAAAATCAAAGTTCAACACTTTCTACAGAGAGGGTTTAAGAAAATGCAGATACTGACAAGAGAGAGCAAATGCATTACCACCAAAATCTTTGGCTGCAGTAACTTCAGCATACAGTCAACTTTTGGTAGCCTACAACATTGTCAGTACCCAAAATATAATAGGTCAGCTTTATATAGCACATTTGGAAGACGACCAAGCGGGACAAACCCTTCTTTAGCAAGAACTGTCGATTATGTTCCACAAAAAACGTATAACAGCGAAGGAAGGAAGAGTTTCAATTTCCGAACAAGTTCATTTGAGCAACTTTTTAGCATTATTTTAAGCATTTCCAAGTGCTTGCTCCAGAAGTCTACTGAACTCTAGATAATAGATTTCAGAAATTAATCACAGTATGAGAATGGTAATCAAGATTATGAGAGCAAGAAGTGATTCTGCAGAACATCCATGTTCACTACTCAGGTTTTAGATTGCATATAAACATGGGCATGTACAGTGCTCCCTTGAAACTGTGTTGCTTACCTTCTCTCTGGAAGAAATGAGCACTGAAGAACCTTCATTTCCAGCGGTTTGAAAGGGAGAAGGGCAATATCAGGATCAACCCCATCCTGCAAAATAATACTATATATCACCAACCAATATGTTTCCAAACAATTCCACATTCGATGAAGATGGTTTCATGTTGTCCCCTTCTAAGTTCTAAGGTGCTTCAGCATTTTGAAGGATAACTTCACTCAATAAACTATTAATCATAAAGCAAAATCACCTCCAAGATGAGTAGAGAGTTCTCATCACCACTCCAACGCCGAAGCAAATGAACAACAGGACCAAGTCTTAAACTCCAATGTGGAGCAAATATGATGCAGGGTTCCTGCCAAGTGGTTCTGAAGGCAATGTTAGTTTGAGCATAATGCGTTTTTGAATGGTTTAGAGTGTATTTTCAGGATAAGATGCATAGGGGCTGATACAAACAAGGACCGTAGATTTGTAACTTAAAACAATAGCCGACTATATCCTTTCAATGAAAGCTTTTAGGGAGTGACAATTCCAGAGAGGAGTGTAGAAAAAATATCTAAAAAACTTGTTAAACAGAAAAGCATGACATTAACATATTTAAACAAGTCAATGTAATGCTTGAGCTAAACATAAGAAAGACGAAAAACATCTTACAGTAGTTCAGGTGAGTGAATAGCTGAAAATACATGAAGCTTCCTTTTATTCACAAGGTCGACATGGGAGAACATTGGCTCACCAGAAAACATCTGCAAGAACATCCAAAAGGAAGAGGAAACTTTTGAGACCTCGAAGTGAAGTTAAAATTTCGACGAAGGAATAGAAAGTCCAAAGAGGTATGCCTTTTCTTGTCGTGGCTTACTCGCCCATTCTGGTATGACGTTAGTGAATGCTAAAAGTTCAGCAGCCATCGAAGATATAACGTAAATTGGAACCTAGATTATGACGTTAGTAGGATCAAAATCTGTGACAATATTAAAAGAACCTTACATCATTAGTAAGAGAAACATATAATCGAAGGTGGAACAGAATAGTTTCCTCTCTAGATAAAGACATTGAACTTCAAAAGTATTAAGCCAACAAGGTCAACAACCACAGACTTCAAAAGCACAGCAAAGTATAAAGGGCAATTTTCGTCTCCTCTATATTTCCTGTCATCCATGATATCCGAAAGTGGACAGATCCAATTTTCATTACCGAGTAGATGACTAGAATTCCAATATTCTATAAGCCAAATCAAGTTCAGGCCTTATCTCTGACTAGTAACAATTTCAAGGAATATACACAGGAAAAAAATCAACTTACATCTGCTGCCAACGACTCAAGGAGGACCGGTATCATTTCCAATAGCTGCAGAAGAATTCCAAGGCGATTATAAGGTATAACGACTGAACCACCAGCTTGAACAGACTGGAGAATGCATGAGCAAATAAAATCCATTTTCTCTTTTTCTAAAATCTCGTCAGTACTCAGTAAGCTCTCAGTCAATTCTTTCCAATCATCTTTATCAGCACTGCAGTACCTACTAAAAAGCAGCAGGTCCAAGGGAGCTGATTTAAGAGTCTGAATTTGATCAAGAAAACTCTACTATTATAAGATTGACATTGCAAGAAAACTGAAAATATTATAACCTATTCAATCATAGTTAAGCAAGGTGATCCCACCTTAGACTTGATAAATCATTAGATGGAATGGTTGAAGAAGCATCATTGCTTTGAACTTCGTCCATTAAAGGCAGGAACTGCTTATCTGAATATAACACCAGATCTCGTCCCCTCAATGCCCCATAATCAAAGTTCATCGCATGTGCAGAAGCAAATATTGAGCAGGAAAGCCAGGCGATGTTTCTTTTGGGACCATCAATTGTCCAATTACAAGATCCTATCTCTGAACCTGAGCTGAATGGTTGTAAGACCAAAGTTCCGTTGTAACATGCTGTTTCTGCATATTTAAGTGTTTGGACCTTCCGCATACAATCCATCACATCTGCTGAACTGCCCAGCATCATTAAACAAAATTATTAGATGTTTCATAATGCTATATAGAGTTAAAAGGTCAATTAAAGCAACAAACCATGTTTATCAGATGCTGCTACTAACCAAAAAACACTTCCGTCACTTGTTTCCTTTGTCTCAAATGAGTGAAGGATATGAGACCTCAATTAGCCACATCAATATATGAGTAGCACAATAGAGCTCTAACTATCCATATATCATCAAGTGTTTTCAGTGTGTTATCTGTTAATGCTAGCATCTAATATACATTTCCCCCAAACTTTAGAATGGATGCAAAGATTCAGAATCAAAGTCCAACAGAAAAGGCCATCAGTTCTGGCAACTGGAGAAAGAATCACCTGTAAAGTGGCAACCACCCACCCAGCTCAGTCCCATCCTTGCCAACCACTACCTTCTTCAATTCAGGCCGGAGCAACTCAAGCTCTTCCCACCTCATCCAATGAGGACCACCAGACTCCCTGGGACCATAAAAGTACTGATATTCCATATTCATAGCGATAAGATCCTCCATCATAAGCCGCGCCAGCCTTGCTGCTGCATCAGTCGCATAAATCTGATCTCCACAAACATATAAACATATGATCATAAGAAAAATTCTACCTGAGGTCAAAGAAAAGAAAAATACCCTATTTTAACTTGAGTACCTTTGCCGAGAAACCTTCAGCGCGAGTAAGAAATGGTAATCCAAGCATTCCCATGACACTTGATATCAGCACAACATCAATCGAAGAAGGGTCCCAGAGGTGCAAATTCTTTACTGTTTTGTACCAAAGTTCATCATGAATTAAGTCTTTCCCATGAAGTGGTGTTTCAATTTTCTGCCTCTTCTGAATCTCCTGTTCCTTGTCGAAACAATCACGGGCTGAATCGTACGAGGCTTTTCCATCCGATACAAAGTCATTATCAGGAGGAACTGGGGAAAAGACTGAGAGAGCAGAAAGGTCAAGTGGGCAGTCCAGCAATATCCTAAACCCACACACATCTTCTAGGATGTGACAAGGAGGGAACTGGTAGCCGCTACCGCTGCTCAAGCACGTCTGCGCACAAAGAGAGCTCAAAATTAACATGAAGCAAGTTCAATTTAGTTTCAGCAGATGCATAAACCCGGAGGAGATGCTCACCAACTTCATTGAGAGCAACTAACTAACTAACAGTTACACACTGTCCAGAAGCGTAACTGGTCTATCATCTGACGCCTGGGATCACATAAAAGCCGCCTGCTCCTGGAGGGCAAAAGTTAATGGAAGTGAGGATCCCATCAAAAACCCACGGAAACCCTTTTTCCACATAATTCAGACAATCAAACACTCCAAGGTTTTCTACCAAAAAAAAAAACACACCAAGGTCGCAGTTCACTTATATGGAGCAGAATTAAGGATTAACAGTATGTAAAAAAGAAAAGAAGCATTCTTTTCACTGAAAATGTCAGAGAGAAGCATTGAGCAGATGGGTGATTCGCACGTCTTCATATACCCAGAAAGCAGGATAGGGCAGAAACCCAGGTGAGAAACACAGACAGCCGGCGTCAGTTAGTATGTGTATAAGGAAAAGAAGACAAAAGGAAAAACGAAGAGAAGAGAAGAACACTTACTGCAATATCGTCGTCGAACTCGAGGAATGCATAAAGAAGAGCTTTGAGAAGGGAAGGGGGGAAGAGAACCGAGTTCGCAGCAGAAGGCACCGAGCAGGGAGCGGGAGAGCAAAACAAGCCCAAAAAAGTTCACTTGGCAAATTCCACTTTCATCACCAAACTCCTTTAGAGTCATTAGTAATCTAAGCACACTAGTAGGTAAGGCGTCGTAGGCGCGGCGGCCGCGTAGGAGAGTTCGCCGTGCCGGGACGGAATCGGTAGTGGAGTCGTAGGCGCGGCGGCCGCGTAGGAGAGTTCGCCGTGCCGGACTGGAGACTGGACTCTGGTAGGGATGACTGGAGATCGCGATTTGCGAAAGGAGAGGGGCGGCAGCAGTCTTTGGGAGAAAGGAGAGGGGCGGCCGAGTATGGTCTTGGTCGATTAGGGATTTAGGTTTTGTCACTTGCGTGTCCGGGTATCCACGGGTCGGGTTCCCCAAACCCGAACCCGCCCCAACCCGCCCAAGCAGCCACCGGGTTTAAACCCGAACCCGACCCGAACCCGGTCAACACGGATTTTACCCGGTTTGACCGGGTCGGGTCGGGTACCCGCGGGTACGGGTTTCACTGCCATCCCTAGGTGTGTATGAGCAAGAACAGCAGGACAAGAGGGAAAGGGGGAAAAAAAAAAACGAAGAGAAGGCAAATACTGTAAGGAACCTTTCTTCGATTCACGAACACTTTCTTTATTGGTGGAAAGCTTGGCGACATCAACTGATTCAGCTGCAGATTCGTCTCCGTCGCAATTACCCTCTAGTTGTGATCTGGCGAGCATCGACTACTGAGAGCGGAGTAAAGCTACTGAGATGAGATGGTACGGCTACCAGGATCTAAGCAGAAACCGCCGAGATTGGCCGTCGTCTGCGTGGCACTGTTAGGTTTCGGCTTAATCGCCGATTATCTCTGGGCATCGTCCCCGCGTTTCGGGGCTTCAAATTTCTCTGACGCCGGTATCTCCTTAACCAGTCGAATCATTCCCAGGACCAACGGCGACGCATCCGTGGAATCAGAGGGCAACCCTGATGTTAAGCAGGGAGCTGAGAAAGATGAGAGTGGTAAGGAGAAAGGAAGTGAGAAGGACAAGAAGAAGTACGCCAATGTGCCGGAGAGGTTCCTGTCAGCAACATTTGCCGATTTGCCTGCACCGCTGCTAGATTGGAAGAAGATGGCTCCTTCCCCGGTGCCCCGTCTTGATGGAGCTGCTATCCAGATTAAGAATCTTCTTTTTGTCTTTGCTGGATACGGTACCATAGATTATGTGAGGACCCTGTTCTTCCTTTTTTCTTTATGTTCGTTCTATTAGTTCTGATCTGCTTATAGTTGAGGAACTCCTTGTGATTCATATCCGTTTGGTTATGTAGATCCATTAAAAGAACTTGGGAACCCATTATATACTTTAGAACTTGAAAACAGTGTAGGGAAAGGATGAAATATAGTATGGTTGTCTGTAGTTCCTCCTTTAGGGTTTTGCTGCAACTGATGTTAGTTGGCGAAGGGGTTCAATAGGGCTGCCATTAGTCTCGTGAAGCTTGGTGGGAGTAGATAATTACATGTCGTACTTTTTCCTTTGGAGATGTAAGCTGGCAGAGCTTAGTGAAACTAAGTAGAGCATTCAGAGGTGCTCTTTCTTCTGGTACTGAACCTTTGGTTTTGATAATTGGGATCTGCTCCCCAGAACGCCCTCACTTTTATATCACTTTGTGCTTGTTAGAAGTTCAGGCAAAGCAATAATAGTTGAACAGCATACGCCTTGAAGTGCACCTGCTTTTGCAGCTAGTCAAAATTATATATGCTGCTTGTTTACTGCTATCTTATTCCCTTTTCCTAACTTTTTTTATATTAGAGGAATCTTTTCGAGTTTGCTTGCCCCGTTGAGTGATTTTAGCCGGCTGATGCTTCCTTTCAGAGTGTAAGAAATCAATATTGGGTTATAGTAGTAATTTTATTGAATGCTGATTTCTACATTTTCCAATTTTCATGTCGATAGGTACATTCACATGTTGATATTTATAATTTTACTGATAATACATGGGGAGGGAGATTCGACATGCCCAAAGAGATGGCACATTCGCACTTGGGAATGGTAACGGATGGGAGATACATATATGTTGTGACTGGACAATATGGCCCACAATGCAGAGGGCCTACTGCTCATACGTTTGTTCTTGATACCGAGACAAAGCAATGGAGAGACATGCCACCTTTGCCAGTTCCAAGGTATGCGTCTGTGTCAAAATAACTTAGATACGTGAGATTCAGAACCAAATATATTACTCTTGATTGTGCCCAAATGCCTGCAAATTTGAGGAGTATACATTGAAATCGTGTTATGCTGCTTATTCTCATGCATTTTGCTTAACTCAGATACGCACCAGCAACCCAGCTTTGGAGGGGTAGGCTCCATGTGATGGGTGGCAGCAAGGAGAATAGGCACACGCCAGGAGTAGAACATTGGAGTCTTGCTGTTAAGGATGGAAAAGCCTTGGAAACGGAATGGAGGACAGAAATTCCCATACCTCGTGGAGGACCTCATAGGTTTGTGGTCCACTATGATACCTGTTCCTGGTTATTCATGCCTTTATTCTGCAAGCCTGTAGATTGCATCTCCTATTAGGCTCTTATCACAAAAAGCTAAACTGCTAGTTTTATTTTGGTTTTCTCTAGGGCTTGTGTTGTTGTAGATGATCGACTTTATGTCATTGGTGGTCAAGAGGGAGACTTTATGGCCAAACCTGGATCTCCAATATTCAAGTGTTCACGTAGAAATGAGGTAATGCCGCAACACTTCTTTCCTCTTTTTACTCACTCCAGGGGAATGGTGGTTACACGAAGTATTTGTGTGCGATCCAGCCAACCATACTTTTTAAGCAGTATTTGTGGTTCTGCTGAGAAAGATGAAAGTGCATTCTTTATGATATAAAAGGTGACTGGCTCCCTTTACAGAAGACAATCCATGCTTACTTCATATGAACTTGCGAGTCATCTTCAGTTGTTTGCTAATGAGAATGTTTTAGTGGTGAAAGAGCCTTACATCTCCCTCTGAATGGGAAACCGAACATCAGTTTTACAGCTTTCCTTGTCATCATGTTTCTGAAATTAGGATCTCTATGATCTGGTTGAACTGAAATAAGAGTCCATGTGGTGCTTCGGGATGCATGTCCAACTCCATAGATGCATTTTTCTTACTCTATCTTCATATTATGTACTGAATAATTCACATGGTTCCTTGCCTCAGGTAGTGTTCGGTGACGTGTACATGCTCGATGATGAGATGAAGTGGAAAGTGTTGCCTTCAATGCCAAAGCCTGATTCTCACATTGAGTTTGCTTGGGCGCTTGTAAATAACTCCATTGTAATAATTGGAGGGACGACTGAGAAGCATCCTATAACAAAGAAGATGGTCCTTGTTGGCGAGATTTTCCAGTTTAACCTAAATAATCTGGTAAGAACTTTCATAATTCACTTTTGTTTTTAGATGGTCTGATGTCAGAGAGAAATAATTAGATAGCTGAGAATCTAAAGCAAGTTTCTCAACCTTTGACGACCTTTGGTGTCTGCCTGATACTTACCGCAGAAATGGTCAGTGATTGGAAAACTTCCTTTCCGAGTCAAGACCACGCTGGTCGGTTTCTGGGACGGACACATATACTTCACGTCAGGGCAGCGAGACAAAGGACCGGATGATCCTGCACCCAAGAAAGTCATTGGAGAAATGTGGAGAACCAAATTGAAGTTGGAACCCTGAAAGGCAGTTTTGTCTAATTCATTATTTGTATTTTCTGCCATTAAACAGCTCTGTATCATCAATCGTCGTTGTGATCGTTTCTTTCTGTAGAATATTTTTTCCACGGCCTTCTCTTCAGTTTCGTTCACCTCTAAATCTAGAAGGTAGGAACTGAAATCTTTAGAGTTCAACTTCATACCTTAATGTCGATTTGAAGAAATGTGTTTTCAATATCATTTGTTTTCATTCTGAGAAGAACAAGAAGTTACACAATCCTATAATTTTGTTCAGTTTTATCAAGCATGTAGTTCCCATTACAATATTCAGATTTTATGTGCGAGGTTTAAGGTTTCATCTTTTACTTCTACATCAAGAAACAGGGCCTGATGAGATCTTTATTATGTCGATCGGTGCGCAGTGAATAAAAAACACAACCATAGGACAACACAAATGCTGTAGATGGAGCAAGTTGGCGATGCGATCTCATTACTTTTTCTTTCTTATTTCTGATGATTTACAAGGCTACTGAAAAAGTTCCACAACAAAGAGCTCCCCATCAAACCGCAAACCAGCAGCTTCACCAGGCTGAAGCAAACCATCCACCATCCCACCATACAGATACAGATAACGCCCTGATTGATCTCCACAAGCTCTATGGAATGACCTACGGTTTGGTTTATGACCCTTTACATTGATCCTCTTCCACAAACTAGACGATGCCTGCTGCAATCTCCTGGTATTCAACGCCGGCGGTGGCAGCTGTTCTCTGATAGGCAAAACCGCCTCAATGTCCAGAATCAAGAAGTCATCTTTTCTGTGCCTTAGTGAATCTTCTCCTCCGTGGATCAGCAGCCGCCCTCCCAAGATTGGGGTAGCCGAATGACCAACTCGTCTCAGCGACACTCCTTCAGGCACCTTCTGATTCTCATACATGACCTGCACCCACATGAGATCACCACTTTCAGATATTTGCAGGAGCCACAAGTCATCCATGGCCTCATATCCCAGCCCTCTTCCTCCGAAGAGAACCATTTTGGTTCCTCCAATGCAGGACAACGAGTGCCCTGATCGCGGTGGAGGTGCTGGATAAGTCAGTAGCTCGCGCCATGTTCCTGAACAGAAGTCTTCTGCTGGTTCCAAAACCCATGTGTCGCCTAACCTCAGGCCATAAAGCCCTATGCCTCCCTGGATGACCATCTTCCTCTCGAAGCAACAGGCAGCATGAGCACCCCTTGGTGGTGGCGCCCTGGAGGAACCCAGATCAAGATCGAGCAGTCGCCACGACAATGTGATTCCACCACCGCCAACATTATTCTCCGTGGATAGCACTCGCCCAACCCATGTGTCATTGTGACGGACTCCACGGTCATTGATTCCTCCAAAGAGGATGACATAATTCCCAATGGCAACGCATGTATGCCCAAACCTACCACTTGGGATCCCTGTACTGACTTTCTGCCATTTTATCATTGTTTGAGAGTTGCTGCCAACGTATGCTATCCATGTCTCGTCAAGATGGCGTCCTACAAGGAAACCAAAAAACATGGGGAAATGGATTAAAGAGGATCGAGGCATGACCAAAGACAGGGTAAGACATGCATTTCTGTAGTTCAATGGTGTTAATGCTTGAGTGCATTCTTCATTTGGTAAAAGAAAGATGAAGCTTATGTAATCAATATACTTCGGCCAAAGCCAGCGCAGGAGGGTGACCGCAAAGCAAGCGACATTGGGAAGGGATGGATGAGAACTCGGAACCCATAGACTTGGATAAACTAAGCAAAATCCTATTGGCGCCATTGAATTTCAACCAAAAAGAAACTACAACGGAAGTACCATTCCATGATTCCAATCCAAGTGTAGACTTCCGTTGCATCAAAGACTAAAAGCAAAAACCTTTCCCAAAACCCCTCGACCGGGCGTGGAAATGTGACCGTAATTGGTTCATGGGGGCATATCTACAAGCACCTTGCGTGCAGCACTCAAAGATCATGAAATACAACGAAATAAATAATCAAACCCCTCTGATTCACTATTCAAAACTAGAAAGATTCTGCAATCAGCCAAGCGGATGTTCAAATACACTGTATAAACAAACAAAACAAAAAAGAAAGTCCGGGCTACCAACCTCCTTCGCAGCCGCCGCCAAAGAGGACCAAGCAATCAGATATGAAGTTGAGGGAGTGAGAAGCCCTTGGGCTGGGAATCCCACCCAATTCAGCAGCGTCCGGGTCGGGAAGAAGCCTGCGGCAAGACACGGTGTCGAGCCGAGACACCTTTCTGTACATCGCCATCCACGGCTTCGCAGCAACGTTTCTCAAATTGGGGAGGAGGGAAGATCTGAGTGCGTCGACGGAGGAAGCCCCGAATTCCCTGGTGCAGACAGACTCCCAGAGCGTGTCCGAAGTCGCGAGGGACCTGAACCTCTTGCAAGCGGCGGCGAAGGAAAGGATCGATTCGACGGGGAGCAGGAGCAGGACTGTGAAGAGGTGATCTGGGGCCATGTTGGTGATCGGCGAGGATGATGAAGCTGGAGCTGATGATGATGATGATCCATTGTTGTCGGTAGGAGTGGGCTCGGCGAATAAGAAGGAAGAGGAAGAAGAAGAAGAAGCCATGAATCAGGAATGGAGGTTTGGTGGCTTCTTCTGTCCGTGAGAGAATATGATTGTTTGACGACAAAAGGGAGCGTGGGGAGCTGCTGCCTGTACCTGCTGTTGCTGAAGCTTGAGAGTGAGAGCTCTCTCGCTATTTTCCGTTCTTTAGCTTATTTTGAATTATTGGGTGAAAAGAAAACACACAACAATAAATGAAAAAATAACAGATTACCGGACTTTGGCGGTAAAATTTCGCCCAGTTTCTAACTTTGGTTACTTCTCGAGATTTTTCCCGGAAATATGGTCCAATCGGGAGGTCCCGCCATCCAAATTTTATGAATGATTTTGTCAGCTTCGGATTAATTGGACAAAGCAAATTTGCCCTTATCCAAATCATCTTAGAAATTGAAAAAACAAGAAAGTCGGTTCTTCCTATAAGCATATTGGGGAAAAGGTACTTGTTCATGCTCAAATTTGACCATTGATATGAAACAGTAAATGTTCATGCTAGAAAAATATCTGATTCATTAAGTTTGTTGAGTGATTTAGTGAATTATTGTCTTGATCTGAAGTCGTTATTGCACTTATAGGTATGCCGGTTGTGTAGCAGAGTTAACCATTCATGGCATTTTAGATTCATAAGTGCAATGATGACTTTAGAACGAAAAAATTAACAATACAACAAAAAAATAAATTTACTTTATATGCAATTGAATGACCAACATGCAACATAATTTAAGACTCTGAGTAGTAGTTGGTGCAATCTAGAGTACATATATTTACCCACCGAATTCAATCTTGTAGATTCCATTTTGAGAGGAGAGCGAATTGAGGCCTTTTATATCACGAGTAATGTCATTTTTTCCCTGTAGATAGTAAATTTGAGGATAAGTAGTTACAAAGTACCAAATCACCGGATTCGACAATCCACAAATAATAGAGTTGTGGATGAAAGGATATTTTTATAATTTCATGAGGAATTTGTCATGTGATTTAGGATTTTATTATAAAAACCAGGGAACATATGCTAATTGCTAAATGAGTAAATGACACAATTTGTAACACGACAACACTACACGACGACGTACATGATTTTAGAATTCCAAATTTCCAATCCGTGAATCAACTACTCCAGAGCCGTGACTTATTGCAACTAGGAGCGCCAAGTGATCATCCTCTCAAACCTCCTCCTCTCTAAGTCATCAGTCCAAAAGAAAAGCATAACAGTTCTAACGCAAAGGTCCCATTAGATTCCCAAACTTCTAACACAAATTAGAGCCACAGAGCCTTTTGTCCCTTCAGAAGATTAGCAAAAAAAAACAAGGCATGCAAGAGCTTATGCATCATCCATCATGTTGATGAAGCTCCAATGGTGGGGGGGGAAAGTTTCACCCTTCTCTCCATCCTTATTTAGGTTGGAGAGGCTCGACAGTTGTTACTTCTGCAAGTTTTGAACTTTGCCTTTGTTTAATACTTTCCGCACTGCACTCTTGGCCTCTTCCAAATTTTCGACTGCATGGCCTTCTTCAAATGACAACCTCTGGACGTTGAACTGCAACAAGATGCGATGACCAAGACGCATGTATCAGAACAGCTTAACATTCCATCCTGATCGAACAAAGAGAATGATGGATGATGTAAAGGGTAGTGAGGAAGCTGCTGTCTTTTGTTACTTACCTGAGCACCTTGACGGACCCTTATGTCGATTCCTTTGCTGTCTATAGATATGATTGCAGCATCATCTACCTCCATCTCGCTCGATAACAGCTCTTTAAGCCGCTTTGAGAATATCACATTCAGTTCCTGTCACAAGCATTTGCAAACCACGAAACCGTAGCAAAAAGTTTCAGCTTACTCATTCCAGTTGTGAAGTATATGTGCTGACAATAATAGAAAATCAACATTACCTTGAGATTGTGCTCCCCTCCATCGACTGCAATCTTATCCGGCTGAAGCGCCTCATATTCCTTGATATCGACCCATGCAACAGTGCCAAAACCTCCAATGAAGTATATGTCCCTGAAAGAAAAGAGGCCAGGTTACTTGCATTTACAACACGTATTTTGTAGCTACAAGTAACATCAGCAACATCTAAACTGTTCACTCACGTTTGAGCACCAATTAGAGAAATTTTACACAAATGAGTATGCATGACGTAAGGCTACGACCATAATGAAGGGTTGCTAAATTTATGCTTAGGAACGGATGAACTTCCAGTCAGCCACGGCAAACCCCAAGCCCAACCTCAGCAGATGGTTTTGCATGAGTTAGTAAGATGCAGAGTCATTAGAAGATATGGAATGCAGCAGTGAACTTATAGAAAAATTTGTATACAGTTACCCGACAATATGATAGAAACAGACCTTATATTTTGCATTCTGAAGTAGTAGAAATTCCCCCATTGTTGGGAAGGACCTTGCTGATGTTTAGCAATATACTGTTTATGAGCCCACTCCTGAACCAACAATCAGAACTTAGAAAGGACACAACATTTGAACAACTTCAAATGCCAACAATTTACAAATTACTCAAATTGATGGTATTTGAGGAACAACACTTTAACATAGCACTGAAAGAACCTCAATGATAACATATTCTTCAGAGTAAGACAATATACAAATATAACGAACCAATAAGCTCTTCTACTTACATGTTCCAGTCAAAATCAACCATGGATATGGAAAACCATTAGCTTCTAATGAGGAAAGCAGAACAACAACCTAGACTTGGTACAAACAGACATGGACGAGAAGGGGAAAGAAAGAAATAAAGGATGAGTAAGCACCTGTTCATCTTCTGCCAGAGGGTACACATCTCCGAAAATTGTAACTCTTGCATTTGATAAGCTACTCCATCCAGGTATCTGTCAGAGCTAACTATTAACAAAATCGATAATGCAGAAGATACAGAAAAAGGTCACCTAAAATAAAGACAGTCCAACAGCAAACCTGCACAACAAGGGTGCATCTTGGATCTGCTAACAAATTCCTTGTGTGTATAGCCAAGGGTGAAAATGAAAATATTGGATCTGCATATCAAGCACAATCTTTAAAGTAAGGTTTTGATTTATGGCCATTATTAGATCCAACTGAACTTATCTAGCATGGATATTATTTGCACATAAGAAGACAGTTCATGCAAAATATAGTCAATCATTTAAGTTGATGGTTTACCATACACATTAATAAGCTTCTACGGTGGGAGACCTTCAAAGATAATTGGAACAATACTATTGATCATACACACTCCTAAAATACTTCCACAGTACAACAATAATGTTTGGAAGAATCCATTGTGGCAATCAGATACCAAAAAATTATTACTTACGGCCCATCGCATCTGGTGCAAAATCAACCAAGGAACCAAATGGGTAACCTTCACGCCGATGGTGCATCCGAGACATTACGGTACACAGGTGGGCAAATCTGGCCTTAATCACAAAAATAGACCCCAATTTAGAGATAGAGCTTCAAGAAAAAACAATCATATGGAGAGACATCAATAGTGGCAAAACACAACACATCTGTAGTACCTGTTCCATCAGGTTGCGAACTGCCAGGGCTGGTCGAGGTAAGCCATGTGCTGAGGTTGCACTCTGTACACCACCAGATATTGGAGTCCTGAAAAGCCCTGCTCTAGTTCCCCCACTGGTTCCACTCCCATGGGGAACTGTCAATGGTGGCTCCACCTTCAATATGTTCTCTGAATCCTTTTGACTGCTCTCAGCTTGCTTTATGAGTTCCTTCATAACACAAGAGAGGCGATCACTACCAAGCTGTAGTAGCCATTTGATACATCGATTTACTTTATATATCACGGCAAAGAAGATGTTCCTAGTATCAAATAGAAAAGCAGTAGAAGACCTAAAAGCTAACAACAGAAAGCTAAGCAAATCTAGTGTCAAATAAGCAACCTCATGAGTCCAATGTATTGTTTGACTAAAGCAGCCTTTGTAAAGAAAAGCACAAGCTATCTTATGCTTTCTTCGTTTTTTGTTTCTGTTTATCACAACTTGAGTCCTGGTTCTATCATCAAAACTTTTTACCTTTATTCCTTCCAATTTTAGCTTTACACTGCTAGATTAAATCATGAAAGCATTCGCCAGAGAAATTTGGGCAAATCAACATTGTTGACACCATTTTTCGGAATCGAGGTCAAACATGTATACTTTGAGCACTTGCTGAAAAATGACAACAATAACAGATCCTTGTTTGAAATCAGTGGCTAAGAATGCTTCATATCATAAGCAACAAATGCGTAACTGCTTAGCAAAACACCTTCAAATAATTGGGCATCAACAGCATAGCTTGTTAGTTAGCACTTACAAGTTCTCCATGATCCTTAACACCACTAACAGTCTCAAAACTCGATATTTCTAGAAGGACAAGAAACTGAATTCCTATGGGCCGATGGTATTGATATCAGCTCTAGTGTATAGACTAGAATACCCTAGGAACCATACGCGCATACAATGTTGTGTTCGCAACAAGAGTATTTCAACCTGAATTTTGGAGTTCCTGAAAGTGCAACATGGCATCCACTAGTGACCACACATACACTATTGACGCAGCAAGTGTACGTATACAAGGTTCCAATCTAAACTTTCAAGTTCCTGAAACCGCAACATGGCGTATTGCAACAAGTATGGATATGTATATAAACGTTTCAATCTGAATTTTGAAGTTCCTTCCTCAAACGGCAAAATGGAATCTTTGTTCTATCAAGTAAATAGCACTAACCAGAGCAAACCCTCCCCCCATTTTGGCTACTTATCTGAATTACTCCAGTGAAGTTAACTAAAACACTTCCATAGTTGAACCACACAGCAGACCGTACTTGTGTTTTGCGACAAATACTCTGACACCTAACGTTGAAGAAGGCAACAGGTTTGGGAAGAAATGGATACCTGAGACAGGGAGAGGGTGGCATCAGAAACCAATCCAAACTCATCATCACCCAAGTGACTGTGTTCCTCTCCAGCTCCACCAGACAGCTCACGGGCGAGACCCTGAAGGCGCAGTCGAGGGAAACGCGCTGCTTCGACTAGTTTGGTAGACCCCATAATTCCCTTGCTGAGAAGAATCTTGCTGGAAGACGAGTAACAGCAAGCAGAAGAGGAGGAAGAAGGTGATGGGGGGCTGAGCGGTGGGTGTGTTTCTGGGAATCTGAAGACGAACACTGAGCTTGCCATGGACTCCATTGATTAAGCACCAAGCAGAGATTGAAAAGGAGACCGAAAAGGGGTTAAGAGAGACGAAGAGGAGGCAGCACTGCAGCAGAGAGATTTAACAAGGGTTTTTGGAGATTCTTTTCTGGCGAATGTATGGAGTGAAAAGGGGCGTCTTTCTTTCGAAAGAGAAAAGGCTAATATGAGAGATTCGATTCGGGGACCGCTTGCCGTTCGTTCCGTTGTATTGTAGCGCAAAGCAACGGAAAAGAGTTTGCTTTCCTCTTTGCCGCTAATTACTTTTTTTTTTTTTTTTTGGTAGAACGCTAATTACATTTCCAATCTACTCAGAAGTCAATTAGCAAGGCTCTACTCTTTTTTTAGGGTTATAAATAAACCAACTAAGTTAAAAAAGCTTATACCCTCTACTAAAAATGCATTTTTTTCTTCGAATAACGGACAGGGTTCACATTTTATTTAAAGTTGGAAAATGTATAATTAAAGGTTTAAAGTTTTACAAAAATATATTAAAAATTAAATTATTATAATTTTGGAGAACATCAATGTTTGGAGTTAAGACTTTGCAACTTTAATATTCATCTTTGTTTATGAATAATGTATTCTATTTTGTATTTATGGTTTAGTGTGTTACTGTATGTATTATACTTATAATATTCTTGTTTATGAGGCATTGGTTCATTATCGATTTTTAACAGTTTAATACGGTTAATCCAATGAATTGTGAACATCTCGCTTGTTGGTTCATACTTTTGATAGTATTTATATTTTTAAGTACGTCGTTTTTTTATGTATCTCACATTACGCAATCATTAGTGATGTTTTACTCTGGAACTTATTCTTAATGTAAGTATATAAGCAATCAACTGCTCGAATAAGAACAAATATAATTTATGAGATACGTATCACATGAAAATGACATCTAATGTAACACAAAAACTTGTCATACTAATCTCGAGGTTTAATGTTTAAAATCCATGAGTACTCTATCTTTTCGGTAATCTATACACAAATGGAATTTGTATTTCTACGAAATCAAATCAAATTCAATTATTTGGCACAATACTCAAATTCATCATGCAAACCATGCCACCTATATAGTTCATGCATCACAGATATCATCATCTTATCATGGTTGGTGACCTTTCCCTTCCCCTCTTCCTTTTCTCACCAAAACCTAAAGGTTCAAAATCACCCTTTTCTAAAAGGCAAGATGGCTCACATCATCAAGATCATGGCCCTCTCCTTTTCTTTCCTTGTGTTTCAAGCAACCCTAACTAACTCCTTCAATTATCTCCCTCTCTGCATCTTCCTTCAATCCCAAGTCTCACATTCACTTTCCTTCTTCAGTCCCCACACAAACACCATGATTCCCCTTCTCACTCACCAACCATACACCACATTACAAAAACATCTCACCCCTCCCCTGAACTGAACCAAAATCCATTTGATCACCCAGGAAAATGAGAACACCAAGGTTCCCTTCACCATGGAAAATCCTTGCTGCTGCAATGTTCCTGCTACTTCTCACTTCTCGATCGACATGGATCGTATGGCTTCCAAGCAGTCCATCTTCAACTGGTTCCCAAAACATTGTCACCACTAACAACATCAGTACTGCTGTCAACATCATCCCAACCAAAGGACATGGATTCCCTCCAGTTCTAGCCTTCTGGATATTTGGTAGCACCGGAGACACGAACAGGATGTCGAGGCTGCTGAAGGCGATCTACCATCCCAGGAACCAGTACCTGATGGAACTTGATGCAGAGTCCTCAGATGGGGAGCTTGCTGATTTGGCAATGTGGGTTGACTCCCAGTCTGTATTTGGAACCTTTGGTAACGTCAATGTCGTTGGCAAGAAGAGCTTCGGTGTTAACCAGATGGGTGCCTCGGCTCTTGCTGCAATGCTCCATGCTGCTGCTGTGCTGATGAGGTTGAGCCCTCATTGGGATTGGTTTGTCAATTTGAGCCCTGATGACTACCCACTTGTCACTCCTGATGGTACCATATAAACAAAATCCTTCCTCCATTTATGTTTTCTTGCTGGATTTTGGTGTAATACTTTGCCATGGAGTTTTGCAGACTTGCTGCACGCCCTCAACTCCTTGCCAAGAGATCTCAATTTCGTCCATTACACGAATTCCACTGACTGGAAAGAGTAAGCAACATTGCTTCTTCTTGCTGCTGCCATATCCCATAGCCAACCTGAGCTCTCTTTGAGTTGATTAACCTCCATTTACATTAAATTGCTGCAAGTTAGGAAAGACAAGAAGAACCAAATAGTGGTGGATCCAAGCTTACATCTGCAAAAGGGCAGCTACCTTTACTATGCTGTAGAGCAACGAGACGCCCCAGATGCTTTCCATATATTTGGAGGTTCAGTTAATCATATAACAGTGATTAAGGCTTCATAATATTACCTTACCATATTATGCTAAACAAATTTACACAATGCAATGCAGGTTCACCAAGGGTGATTCTGACAAGGAACTTCCTGGAGTATTGTGTGCAAGGTTGGAACAATCTCCCTAGGAAACTGCTAATGTACTTCACCAACACAGCCTACCCACTAGAGTCCTACTTCCACACTGTCCTCTGCAACTCCCCTGACTTCCAAAACGCGACAGTTTTGGACTCCGATTTGAGGTACAACATCATCGTCGATGGGAGTGATCTGCAGTACAAAGACATGTTGGGCAGTGGAGCAGTGTTTGTTCGAGGATTTAGAGGTGGAGATAGGGATGACCGTTTGATTCTAGACAAGGTTGATGACGATGTCTTCAAGGGGCGAAGGTCGTGGCTATGGTGCCTGTCAGAAGGTGGAGGGAGTTCAAAGGGTGATGATGCTGATATGTGTTCATCAAGTTGGGGGAACAGCAGCAGCAGCAGCAGCAGTAGTAGTATCATTGATGTTGTGAAGGCAGGGGCTTATGGGGTAAAGCTTCAGCTTTTGTTGTCCAAACTTGTTTCACAAGGCAGAAATACTACTATGAGTTACTGCAGTCTGCCATCATCAGATGCTTCTTAATAATCATTGTGTTTTGGTTACTTCAATCTGAATTATGTTCAAGTGGTTCAGGTGACTTGAGATTAGAATGATGATTAATCCTCCTAAATCATCTTCCATCTTGTTTCCCGCAAATTTAATTAACTAGTAATTTCCAATTAATTTCCTCTCTTAAATCAAATGCTACGACGGAGAGATATGGCGGCAATGATAACAGTTGGCAAGAACATGGTACCAAAACGGTGGTGGGTACTGGGCCCATTCATAAAGCGTTACAAGCAGAATAATCGACGGCTCAACCACTAAAAGCCTGCGAAAATTCCTGAAAACTCACTGTGAGGGCGAGAAATTGGCTGTGGCTGACTCGAAGCTGGGAAATGCAATCAAGGAGAAATTGGTATGCTTCTGCATTAAGTACTAATCCATCATATGAGTTGTTCTGTTTGGCTTAAACATTATTGTACTTGTTCTTATATATGTATACCAGCTAGCATTTCTTTATCTGATTGGTGATTGGAATTTCAGAAAATCGACTGTGTGCACAACAATGGTGTCATGGAGTTGATGAGAGGCGTGAGGAGCCAGTTGGCAGAACTTATAGGTGGTCTAGGGAGCCAAGATTTAGCACCGATGAGCCTCGGTTTGTCTCATAGCTTGTCTAGATACAAGCTGAAGTTTAGCCCTGACAAGGTACTTTGTCATCTTCGATGCATCTTTTGTCCACCATATCATCCGTGTATATGTAGCAGGGCGCGTAGATTGACCTATGCTTTCTTCTTTACGTTCCAGGTCGATACAATGGTTGTTCATGCTATTGGCGTGCTTGACGATCTTGACAAGGAGCTTAACAGGCTTGCAATGAGCCTCAGGGAAATTTACGGCTGGCATTTTCCAGAGCTCGCTAAGATTGTTAATGACAACGTTGTCTATGCTAAAGCTGTGAAGTTGATGGGTTTCCGTGAGAACGCTGCAAAACTTGATTTCTCCGAGGTATGTACATCTGAATCTTGGCTCCTTGGAGGTATGTACCTCTGAATCTTGACAACACATCAACAACTGCATTTTCTTGATTTTGTAGAAATTACCAGAGGAGGTCGAGGAAGAAGTGAAGGAAGCAGCCAAGATGTCGATGGGGAGTGAAATGGACGAATATGACATGGCAAATATAATGGAGCTCTGCAACAGGACCTTGTCTCTAGCCGAATACAGGCCTCAACTGTACGACTACCTGAAAAGTAGGATGAACGCCGTTGCACCTAATTTGACAGCTCTGGTTGGAGAGCTTGTTGGAGCTCGGCTGATTGCCCATGCAGGTAGCTTGATGAATCTCGCCAAGCAGGCAGGGAGCACTGTCCAGATTCTCGGAGCAGAGAAGGCCCTATTCAGAGCTCTAAAGACGAAGCACGCCACACCTAAATACGGGCTGATCTACCATGCATCCCTCGTTGGCCAAGCGGCACCTAAGCTGAAAGGGAAGATTTCGAGGTCGCTTGCTGCTAAAGCTGCTCTTGCCATTCGATGCGATGCTCTTGGAGATGGCGGCCAAGATAACTCCGTCGGACTAGAGAACCGTCTTAAGGTACATTCTTACGTCATCTTCCATGTAAGTAATTTCAGTTCTGAATCTAGTAAGTACTGATCATATGCGCGCTGATTCCTCAGCTGGAAGCGAGGCTGAGGAGTCTCAAGGGCGCGGAATTGGGACGTTCTGCAGGTTCAGTTAAGGGGAAGCCGAAGATCGAAGTCTATGATAAGGATAGAAAGAAGGGTGCAGCAGCTGGAATGATAATTCGTGCAAAGGTTTGGTTCCTGTATGAACTTGAGCTCTTTGAGTTTTATTACTTGTGTCCTTAAATTATAGCTAATGGCCTCTTTTGGCAGACCTATAATCCTTCTACTGATGCTGTTCTCGAACAAACACCGAAATCAGTTGGAGAGGAGACGGTTGAGTTGAAGAGGAAGATTGATGAGGAAGCTCCTGTTACTGAAGAGAAGAAAGCCCTTTCTTTGGACAAGAAGAAGAAAAAGAGCAAAGATGTGGAAGCTACTGAAGTCACAAATGGAGATGCTGATGGTAATAAGAAGGAGAAGAGGAATAAGAAGAAGAAAGAAGCTGATGCTGTTGAAGATGGTGTGAAGAAGAAGAAGAGTAAGAGGAAGCGGTCTTCTGAGTTGGAGGAGGAAGCAACAGAGAGTCATACTAGCAAGAAGAAAAAGAAGGACTAATTAAATTCATTAGGGAGATTTTTTGTGGTTTGAAATCGCATGATCTGCTTGAATGGATTGTTCATTTTATTTTGTTTGTGGGTGATAAAGGACCTATATTATTAGAATACTAATCAAGGTTAAGAAGGATAAATTATTTCCAGAATTGTGCATAGTAGTTGAAGACAAAATGTGTTACGCTACCTACCAATTATTTTATTTTATTTGATGTGTCAAACTACCTACAATAGTTTTTTTTTTATAGAAATTAAGTTAGAATTTTTTTCTTAACGAAAATGAAGAAATAATGGAGTCAATTGTGCCCTAAATCTCAATGTGGTTGGAGTTAACTAATTAATTAGCAAAAGAGGAGAGATTTATCTGGCCATCTCACTTAATGTGACGATAGAAATTTGGTCGATGAGGCAATATAAAAGTAGTTTCGACTTCTTGGCACAGACAAAATTGAGGAGAACCAAACTAATAAGAGAAACCTATAGGAAATTAGTAATATCATGACCATCTATTTCTAAAAGTTTACTATCCAATCATAATTGTTCTAAATCGCACGCAAATAACTCAAACTAAAATTTCAAACAACTAACCGAATTTACATTTTTTTAATCTAAAAATTTGGCACAATCCACATCTTCTAAAGTACATGGTCGAAAAAGAAAATACGTCATTATACAGCTAAGATAACATTAGCCACACAACTTTGTCATTCTTGTGGAGAATGACTGATTAACGATGCTAAACTACACGAAATTTAAAGAAACATCTAAACAAAAGTTTGTTTTAAACGATGGAATCCTCATTCAGTCGATGGAATTTTGAATACAATTTCATCATTCGAATGGTCGAAACTTGATCCACAACACCCGTAAATTATGATTGACTAATTTTTCTAGATGACTAATCTCGTAAATCTTAATCTCTCACTACATACAATCAAATCTGAATTAATCACCCCTTAATTGATATGTATCATCATCCCCTAATTAACCCACACCCAGCCAGACACGTGTCCAGTCAACACCTCCTGATCAAACAACGGACTCCGCCCAACCTTCCTCCGGCTCCGGTCGCCGCCGTGATCTTCCACGGCCTTTGAACCCCTGCTCAAGCTTCGCCTCCACGCTGACGATCAGCTCCGCCGGGACCCCCGACACGTGTGCCAATCTACGCAGGCTCTGCCGCGACCTGTCCCCGCTCAGCCTCGCTCCAAACCAAAACGCCGCCGCCAAGCTCAGCCGCAGCGGCAGCACTCTCCCGATCCGGCCCGCGCTCAACAATCCCATCGCCTGGACCGCCCTCGGCTCCACCAGATCCGCCTCCACACCCACCTTCCTACACCAATTCGCGAAAACGGCCCCGATCTTCCCCTCGCAGGCTCCAGATCTCGGCGGCGCGTTGTTGCTCCTCGGTCCCTGCCGCTGCTGGTCCACCGTCTCGTCGCAGCGGATGGGGAATTTCGCAGTGGAACTCCCCGATTCGGAAGGGTTGGAGGACGAGCAGCAGGAGATCGAGTCCATCTCTTGCTCCGAAGAAACGCTCTCCACCTCCGACGAGGAGCAGGAGGCGCAGGCGGCGGAGTAGGGAAGGGATCTGGGTCCGAAAACGGAGTTCTGGGTGAGGCAGCGGCAGGTCCGGCACAGCAGGAGGCGGAGGTGGCGGGAGACGAGGAAGTTGGCTTGGTGAACTCTGGCGTCGCAGTTGAAGCAGAGGAAGGCGTCATCGGAGTTGCAGTAAACGTCCGGCGCTCCTGCGCAGAGCTCGCAGATCTTAGCCCGGTCCTCCATTGAATCAAAAGAATTCAGAAACTGAGAGAGGAAGGAAGAATGGGTGGTGATTGTTAGAAGTGCGGGATTAAATAGAAATGGTGGAAAGGAAAAAGGGGGGGGGAAAGAATCTTGTGGTGAGAAATAGAGGGGAAGAGATTTTGGGGAGGGAGGGAATTGAGGAAGAGAGATTCAAGGAGAGAACAGAGAGAGGTTGGATCGGTGGTGGGTTTTTTTGTTTTTCTGGTTGTGGGTGTGAGGCGGGAGAAGGCGGCGGGTGGGTTTCGTGATCGGGAGAAAATGTAGGGGTGAAAATGCAGTATTGGTGGAGGAGGCACCGGCGGTCGACTGGTGGCAGAGGGGACGGTGGCGGCTATAAATAGAACGTTTGGGTTTGGGGAAATTTGTGGTGGTGGGAGTGGAGGAGACTGTGGAAGAAGACTTGAGAGAGCAGAGGTGGACACGCCGCCTTGTTCTGTTGCGTTCCTTCCTTCGTCTTCTTCTACCACCACCACAATTTTTTATACGCTGCTTCAAGGAAGAAACCTCGTTTCTCTCGAAAAGCATCAACTTTTAGTATTGGGTGGAAAATATCATTCTACTACTACATTTTCTACAATTTTAGCATATTGGTCCTGGTACATGTTGCTTCCATTTGCCATTTGGAGTGATGCTACAACACACTATGTTTGACTTGAATTGTTATAATTGGGGGAGAGGGGGTTAAAGTCTGTTCTAATACCTAAATTTGTATAAAATTTTGCGTGTAATGTTGCCTATATTTCAACATTGAGGAGGATTGCATGCAGCTCCTCCAAGATTCAACCTAGCTCCACCACTGCTCATTAGGTTGGCATCATTAAGGATCCGAGTATTCTAGTTCAATATACTATATATGCACGTTTCGTTTTAAAAAATAATGAAAACGTTGAATGATGAGAGGATTTGACAGAGTGTGATCGATAAACAATGTACACATATTTGAGTCCATATTTTGAAGCGAGTATCACTAAAAAAAAAATATTTTCCCCATTTCATAGCAACAAGGACTTAAGAATGCGAGTCTATGAGGGCGTTGTAGGTAATGCGAGGTATGATAATCTCACCAGAATGCTCTTAGATAGGCTAATTGTTGAAGCAAATACAGAGAAATCTAGTCTCGGGAGAGCATGTCCTAGATTTTTCAAGCTAGTCCATGCGACCATCTGCTTTGATAGAAATAGTCGTAATGTTAGCATACATACCACATTTTTTAAATTAGATTTTTGCTCATCTTCATCATTCAAGAATAACAACTAATATTTTAAATGTGATTCTACAACATTTCGTACACACAAAACTCGTCAAACTACTACACCCATGTTTTGTACTCAGAGAGAACGATTGTGCCGTCGGTAACTGAAACAGAATTTAGAGATTACTAACATACATATCTCGTGAAAAATACCACACAAGTACACCCCACGTGTTGGACATAAAATTCTTTAAACAAGACAAAAAAGGCAAGGGGAGCTTGGTGGAGTGGCATGTAACGAAAATAATTCATAGGGAGCAAAAACGGAATAGCCGGGATGCAGGATGATGACTTCGTAAAAAGGGAAAGAAGAAGAAGAAGAAGAAGAAGAAGAATATGGTTCGGTTAGGTGAAGGGTGATAAATATCTTGCCGCTTTCACGTTGGGCTGTGGCTGTAATTTTTTTTTTCTTTTTTTTTACACTGTGAAAGGTGGTGCATTCGTGTTTGGGTTGTTACCCACAAAACCACATCCCAAAATCTCCACCAGATGAATTATTTATTTTAGTAGTTGTGTGGTTGCATTACTTAAAGGAAACGAAAACGTGGTGGTGAACTTGTACCACCCAAAAACAGCCAAATGTCATTCGCTAATGGTGTCTTCTTCGTCACCATCTGGCTTTCCAAATTCCATTTTGGTGCGGTGTGCGTCCCTGCTACACCTTCGCAGCGACATCAGATTCATCATCGGGTGCCAACAACACACAAAACCCCACCACACTCGCAGCGACATCAGACACATAAAAAGATAGGGACAAAGTTGGAAGAATAAAACACACAACAATCTCAACCAAACATTCTCTCAAAAAAACTTGAGATTTAACTATCACTCATTTTGATAGTTTGTGCAGGAAATTCAAAAAAAAGTATTGTAACTATCTCAAATAAACAATCACCAAAATCAAACGAACCCAATACCAATACCATGGACAAAGCACTCTAATAATATAGAGTTTTTCCAAAAGCCAAAAAAGGTAAAGACTTGCTCTAGAGAGTTTAGGAAATGTATAGGTCAAGTGCCATGTAGTTAGAGGTGGCAATTGGATCGGATTCGTGGATTGGATTGGTGGATCCATGGATCAAATGGATTGGTGGATTCATGGATTGAATCAAATGGATTGGTGGATTGATCCATGAATCCAAATGACATCCAAGACATGGACCAAAATGTAAATTTTGAAAAGTTTAGGTACTAAAATGTCATAATGAAAAATTTTAGGTACCAAAATGTAATTTTCCAATGATATTTTCGTATAAAAATATAAATTTTAGGTACCAAAATGTAAAATATAAAAAATATAGGTACCAAATCGTAATTTGCCATTTGGATCCATGAATCCACCAATCCAATTGGATTTGGATCAAATGGATTGGATTTAAATGGATTGGATTAAGTGGATAATTTGGTGGATGGATTGGATTGGATTCATGGATTTTGATCCTAATTGCCACCCCTACCTATAGTTCAGCAGCGCACATAGTTCATTTTGAATTATAGATTGTAAAAACATGGTAAGCACTGTGCTTGAACCATGATTTAATCGTGATTCATAACGTGATTAGGCATTGTGCTTAAACCGTATGGTAAGGTATTGTACTTAAACCATGATTCATACCAATTAAAACAATTTTAACAGTCGGACTGCGATATGATATTGAAAAACATCATTCGACACCATGTTAGTTTTTAATGTCCGAATTTGCAATGTAATGCAGACAGACACCACGTTAGAGACAGAATTGGAGACTTCCAACTTCCACGCAACAGTACAAAAATACCTCAAAACGCCCAGTATTACCGTATCAGTCTACCATCTCAATAGAAATAGCCATCAATAATATACACGTTCCAAATCTTGAAAATGGTATGATGAGTTAACTAGGATAACAACACTCCTAGATAGACAGTATTGGCTCAGTTTTATTTGTGTGTCCATCGTCCTTCCTTCATAAGTCGGAATCCGAATCGGATTTCTTTTCCTCCTTGGGAGGTGCAAAGTTCCTGGTAAGCTGCGATCTCGTCCAGGGATCTAAAGCAGCTCTCTGTGGCAGCTGAGGGACTGCTGGTTTTGATTGTCTGAGTTCGTTTTCTCTGTCAATGAACCTGGTTGATATATGTTCCATCAGCACAAACCACTATCGCAAGGTAATACAAGATCAACTGAAACTAGATATAAACGAATTACGAAACTCGTATTATCAAGACACCATTCTAGAGCCTAGAGTCACATGCATACTGTTCAATAACAATATAAGTGATGAGGAATGGATGATAATTATGAACGTCCTGGACTATCTTAAATGGTACCATCATGTTTCGTAAGGTGCTGTGGGAACTTTGAAAAATCTGGCATTTTCAATCTCATTCGGTTCAAGCTGTGTAAATTCTATGCAACCACACAATGACAAAGGGTATTTCATTCAGTTTCTATTTGAAAAGGTCTGCAAAAGATGGAAACTTGAAAGCTGGCAGAGAAAGAGAGAGAGAGTCTCACTCGATGTAGGCCATTGGTGCAGCATCACCAACTCTTATCCGTGTCCGTAGGAGCCTTGTGTAACCACCTGCCCTGTCCCTGTGATACGCCATGCAATGAATAAGAATACAGTTTCAAGAGATACCGAAAGAGAAACTAAAACGAACTGGTGGAAACATACTTGTATCGATATGCTAGCTCTGTAAATAGTTTGTGAATGACTTCATCTCCTCTCACAAAACCAGCAGCTCGCCTAGCCGCACAAAGGGTACCCTGTAAAAATTCCAAAATATAGAAAATGATCAATAAATGAAGAGCAATAACAAAATATAAGATTAGACTAAGGGTCATCTATTTAGTACTTACCCATAGACCCTTTTTCTCTTAGAAAGAAACAGAGAACATAATGTAGAAATAAAACCACACTTTAAGAATTTATCATAAAGTAATTGCCTATTCTGATGAAGCAGGTAGCATTGTCAAGTTTTTTCCCCTTTTCAAACAATAGTTAAGCAGAAGCTGGAGCTAGTTCAAGGAACGTATAGATCAAAAGCCATGACACAAACACAATGGTTGTTATTCCTCACAACTATGAGGATCGCCACGGTTGACAATGGTCAAGACTCAAGTGCTATATATTTTGCATCATTGTCTCCCATGAACAAAAGACTGGCAAGATGTGATCTCACAGCTGCTAAAATCAGTCATCAAATACTTTGTGAATGTGACCTCGTTCTACAATTTTATATGATTGAGATCTCAAAACTTAAGTTCCATTCTTTCTTTCTCATAGTAAAGCGTAGTCTTTAATGATTTGCTCAAACACCGTTATGGGAAATTTATGCTTTACGCATTATGCAGTAAAAAGTTAGGGCTATACTATAGCAAAAATCTCAGACTCATTAGGGAGCATAAGCATGAAAAATAAACGATCACATCATCATACTACAACGAAATACTTCAAGCAATGGTACATCAGTTGAATAAGATGCTTTGTGTTTCAAACCATCCGATCCCAACAATTCTCAACAAATACTTGAACGATTCGAGATAACATGAAGCTTAACCAGAATTAAGAAACACAAATATCATGTAACTCCTTAGTTAAAGCAATCAACCAAGAGTACATGTGGTTGGCATAAAACAACCAAACTTTTTGACAAGGTAATTCAGTTACTGCACTCTCACCTCTTTGCCAAGCTGCACCATATTATCAGCAAGCCTCCGTATTTCTTTTGCCTAAAGGAGATCAAACAATACACGAAAAAGAGGAAAATTCACTTCTTTAATTGTCCCCGAGTAATGTTCAAGTGAAATCAAAACAAATCAAACAATAATCAACTCAACGCTGCAAAGCACATGTGGAAGTACCTTGGCAACAGTGGTTTCAATACGCTCGTGCTTCACCAATTGTGAAACCATTGTTCTACAGGTACAAACACGAACAAATCAGAAAAGAACAGGCGACAGGAGATACAAAACCCACCCAAAAAACAAAGAGGGGCAAATTCTTCAAGAACCTAAGCATGGCCATACGGTGGCCCGTCGGGCGATTAAGCTTCCTGAACTTCGTCATACTCGAAGAGAATCAATGGCGGAAGCGATGAATCTCAGCTCCCTCTTTTCGCGAAGTCTTCTCAGCTGGTTTCTCAGAGGCTAATGACCATGGAAAGAGGGGAAAAGAGCTCCTCGGAGATGGAGATGCAAATCATAAACCCTACCTGTTTTTTTTCCCACTCTACCAGTGGTTTTTAGACTCTCGGATGGGCCTGTCTTTTCATTTCAGCCCACGCATGTTAAATCTCGTAGCCGAAAGCCCAAAACAAAAAGGGCTCAAATAACATCCCTTCAATACGACAATCGCTTTAAGATCGGGATCGAATAAACCGACCGCTACCGCGTTTCAGCAGAGACCGCCGGCTGTCGTCTCCGTTCTTTCTCTTTTGTCTATCTCTACTCACAGGTTCGGAGAAGGAAGGTAAGCTAAGCTAACAGAGGGATTGATTGATCGTACGGGCAAGCCGTTTTCAGTAAGTAAGCACCAATGGCCAACGGTCAGAGTTCGGACTCTTCCGCGTTGCAAAAGTATGGCATCCCTTTCTATTCCGCTGCTTGGGTTCCGTACAAGGAACTGAAATCCAAGCTCCAATCCGACGATCAAGCTCGATCTGATGACAAGCGTGAAGACTCTAGCGAAGAATCTGCGACTTCCGCTCCGGCGGATCAAGATGGGGATTCCGTTGATAAGGAACCCTCTGCTGCAGAACCGCAGAAGGCCGATGGACCTGCTGCGTCGGAGTATTACGTGGTTTTGGCTGGTGGTGGTGGCGAAGGGCGAAGTGGCATAGCAAATGCTATTGTTGTTGCTCATTTCGATTTCGCTTCCAGTACTCTCTCGCCGCAGCCCGTAAGTTTTAAGGTTATTGTTAGGATAGCAGAGGTTTTGAATTGTGTTTGGGATTTCATTCATGGCGTTGATTTTTATCGTTTTTGAATCGAATCCTTGGTGCTTGTATTTAACTGAATGCATTTGTTTGACCCCTATTCATGTTAGCTTATTTTTGCAGATTGACTTACCAATTCCTGTATCATAAAACGCCCTAAGGATCCTCTCCAACCAGTTAGATAATACGTAGTAGTAGTATTGTTTATGCATTTGTAAAAGATATTATGTTCGTCATTCATACTTCTGCATTCCTCTGTTTCAGGTAGCTAAGCTGGTTCTTGGTTCAGAGTTGCCTTATAGAATGGCTGTTCACCCAAAAGGGGATGGATTAATATGTGCTATGCAAAACAGTTGCAGGTTCAAATTCTTTCCGCTCCTGCTAAATATTATGGGTCCGGGAAGCTCGTAAAATTGTCGTGTTCATTGCTGGCCGAATCATCGTATTGGAATGCTTAGTCAATTCCTGCGTCCTCTCTTTTGATTCAGGTTCTTTGAGTGGGATGAGATCGAGGAGAGTGAAACCCAAAAATTGAATGTCAAAGTTTCGGATAAAGCCCTGGATCGGTTACAAGATATTGGACAACAATTAGCGTTAGCCTATGACACTGACAGCTCCATTCTTGCTGTCGGTGGAGAGGTAGATTCTTGTTTTCTCCTTGTGTTTGGTAGATATTGCATGACAAGGGAGGTATTATTGACACAAGAAATGCTAAACCTTTTTTGCCCATAGTCACCTTGAAGTAATTTAGCTCAGGTTGTGTAGCATTACCCTGTGCTGCTGCAGTCTTCTTCACCATTTCAGTTTCCACTGCGTTAGCAGATTTTATATGTTGTCATAGGCATTCACCTACTCATATGTTCAACTTAATCAATCATATAATTTTCTTGGTTGGTGTTTATTATCGAGTACTGAAGTTCTTTGCCCTTTCTTCATCTACTCCGTTTACTTGGATTGCCAACATGATCTGGACTTAGCCTTAGAGACAGTTGCTTTGACACACTGATTTTGGTGCAGTACAGGAGGGAAACTTGAGGATTTTTAAATGGCCAAGCATGGAAGTGATTCTGAATGAGGCTCAAGCACATTCTTCCGTGAAAGACTTGTGTTTCAGGTTAGCTATAGGACTTCAATCTAGTGAATCTACAAAACATGTATGCATGGTTAGCATTTTAGTCCCTGTAGCTGATAACTTCACTGAACTCTGGTGCAGCCCTGATGGCAAGTTTCTCATCTCCCTCGGTAGTCGTGGTCCTGGGAGGGTATGGGATGTACCTTCAGCAAAAGTTGTAGCTTCGTTGCCAAATGGAAGTGTGAGTAACCAATTAATTTCAACAGATTCCTTTATCTACTCACTCCAATGTTGATCTTTCTTTGCTGTGGTTCCTTAGAAAGTAGACTAGGCAGTTGTCATTTGTTTTCTTCTGCCACTTTAAGGTCATTCCTTCTTCTTTTCTCTTTGTGCAACACATTAAAAATGTTTTGAAATTATTTCCTTGCTTTGTTTTCTGTACTGACAGCCATGAAACATAGAATTTTATTGTTTTCTTGAATATGAGAACCACAAATCCTAAGTCCCTGAATCAGCCCCATATGGAGTCTCTCAAGAACTCATTTGATGCACGGATGCCTTGTTTTCCGCTTTAGTTACAAATTGCCTGATTCTTAACATAGCTACAATAGGTTAACCTTGCTGCCTTTCCAGATCAAAGATGAATGTCATCAATTTTGAATCTCTAAGCTTTTTTCTGCAAGTCAATCCAGTTCTCCATCTTTTGACTGGATGCGGTTTAACTGTTTTCCCCTTGCATCCCATTGCATCCAGGATGAAGTATTCTTCTCTTGTAGATTTGCACAAAGTAGGGATAATTCTCTAATACTGTATATTGCTGCCATAACAGGTAAACTTTGTAAGAACACCCTTTTTGCCCCTTAAGTTCCTAGGAGAAATATTTGCTATTGATCTTTTAGAGCTTATGAAGATGTACTTCATGCAGGTAAAGGTGGAAGTATAGTGACATGGAACACAAGTTCTTGGAAAAGGTTACGCTCTAAGCAAGTGGTTCGGGATTCAATTTCTTCCTTCAATGTCTCGCCTGACGGAATGCTCCTTGCAATGTATGAAATGGGTCAATTTCTCCTTTTCTGACATATTCAGCCTTCCATTATCTCAGAGCGATCTTTTTAGTTTATTAAGTGGCAATAGTAAAAATTCATTTCGTCTTTTGGCATGCTGAACCAATAGTGGTACAACCCAAGGGGACGTGGTAGTTGTAGATTCAACCAAGTTGGGAGTTCAGATGGTGGTTAGGAAAGCTCATCTTGGCTTTGTAACTGCGTTGGCCTTCTCTCATGATTCAAGGTAAGAAGTTTTTACCTTGAACATTTTTTGCCTGCGTCAAGCGCCATGCTGAGCTCATTCACGTCTCTATGTTTCCCTCTGAAACGCCTGTATCCATCGGTTATGCTTGTGCGTCCAACAATCTCTATGATTTAACCTTGGCTTTCGGTAATTTTTAATACAGGGCGTTGGTATCAGCTTCTATGGATTCCAGTGCACGGGTAACAGTGATAAAGAAGAAGAAAAGCGGTATGTAGAGTCAAATTAAACCAAGTAAACTACGCATCCAATTATTTGCTACCACTATGTAAGATGCCAATAATCGAGGGTATGCTAAGAAAGTTAAGAATACAGGGAAACCATCCTCGGCATCAGTTGTGCAGATTGCACTATTTTGAGGAATGGTTTCATGTTCTTGGTTCTTTTCTTTCTGCAGGAGGATCAAGCTGGTGGATCATCATCCTCATCATATTACTTGCAATCCTTATATATTTCCTGAAGGAAGAAGGCCTTCTTCCTGACTTTGATTAGTCGCTCTTTGTTGCCGGTAACGTGAAGAAGGGTTTATACAACAACACATACATTGCAATGTAATATATGCAGAATTCTGTGTCTGTTTCTGTTGGACCTGACTAGGCTGAGTCACAGCCTTTAGAACCCCCAACCCGACTAACTATTTTGGAGCGCCAATAAAGGAAAACAAATGACTTTTTGACGATGTAGATTGATGTATGTTCAGAAACAAGCCTAGTAGAACCCTAAATGTATAACTGCACTATTTATCTATGAGCATATGTTATGTGGCGATTTATGACAAGCTTCTGCTTGACTGTTCCCTTTCAAGTTCCAAACAGAAGGCCATTTGGCATTTTTTATTTTATAATCTGGCCATAGTGTAACATCCGAATATATTCCCGATGAAGATATTGTCTATTTTGGGTCCCTACTCTCACGGATTTCGATTTGGGGTGTATGCTTATTGTACTCCAACTTGAGCACGTTTAACTTCGAAGTTCTCACAATAACTCTTTTATTTCACCCCAAAACGCGTCTTGTCAGTTAAGAACGGTTTCTTACTCATGAACCATGGATCTCTCCCGTGCTTTGTCGATGTTGGATTCGCCTAAAGTGTTACAGTTAGTTTAGGTTACACATGGTATTTTTGTAGGTTGGAGTTTGAAGAGAGCTTTGGAGTTCTGTTCAATCAAATAATATGTGCATAAAATTTTACTATGTTAGTACGACATTGATACGTGGATTGAGATATATTCATGTCAAAATATATATTCTTTGTTCGACACGGCAAAACAATCAGGAAAACACGTTTAAGAAAACCTAAACACATAATAAGCATAATACGATGTTTGTTCATGCTAGTACGATGTTTGTTCGACCGGTATAGTTAGGGAAAACCATTTTTGAAACCTTAATTATTTTGAGACAATGAGCATAGTTAAGGCCTATGAATAAAAATTAAAGGAAATTAAGAGAATAATCATTTTTTAAAATTTACTAAAGTTAAGTGTGTGAGTCCCCAACTTGGGGGCTGACTTTGTACTTTGCAGCTGTAGCATACTTTTTTTTAGTAGAAAGACGAGCGTCAAAGCGTCATAGTTCATATTAATAATATTTCGATTCATGGAGATAGCCATGAAATCGTATACCAACCAATTACCAAGAATCGAATTATGCACATCGAAGAGATGTGTACCAAAATTAGCCAAATGACCCTTACAAGTGAAGTCAAATAATCGGTAGCATAATTGCCCTCTCTATACTCATAGTGAGTAATCCAGATGTCTACGTCGAGAGCTCACTGGTATTGATCCAACATCCCCTTGCTTTTGTCCCAACCAAACCACACAAACAAAAATAAAAGCAAAAATCCGACGCTCAGCTCAACGAGATTGAAAAATTGTGCTATCCAAGCTTGGATTGAAACTTCCCGAGACGAAGACGAAGACGAAGATTGATCAACTCGGATTCAGCTCGCTCTCATCTGGAATCGGGAATCTAGGGTTTGGGAGAGAGGAAGGGAGAGATTGAATGAAAGTAGAGGTGATGTAGACAGACGTGGCGGCGGGGTTGATGAATCTTCGTCTTCGTCTCGGGAAGTTTCAATCCAAGCTTGGATAGCACAATTTTTCAATCTCGTTGAGCTGAGCGTCGGATTTTTGCTTTTATTTTTGTTTGTGTGGTTTGGTTGGGACAAAAGCAAGGGGATGTTGGATCAATACCAGTGAGCTCTCGACGTAGACATCTGGATTACTCACTATGAGGTCCGGTCTCTCTTCATCTACTTCTTCCCTCCTGTCATCTTCCATGTTTGCTGAACGAGAGGACGGACCTCACTCTCCCTCTCCCTTAATCAATCTCTTTGTATGAGTGCAGAAGATGCAAGGTCAATTGAAGGAGATTTTTTATGATGAATTTGGGGATTTTTGGTGGGGGAATTGATTCGAGGAAGGAGAAAGGGTTTTGGTCTGAAATGGCCAATAACCCGATCGATTTTCCAATCTTGTTTTGTTCAATGGGTGAGGGTTTGGTTTTGGTTCGGGTTGGGTGTATGACATGGCGGGTCTAGTGACATGGCGGGTCGGATTTGACCATTTCTGACTCAAAATGGTGCTGATTAGGCGCTCCAGTTAGCCACGTCAGCACATAACGGACTCCCTTAACGGGGTTGGACGGAGACTAACGGAGAGTGACTAAACGTGACCTGTTTCAGTAATTAGAGTGACCAAATTTGATATTAATTTTTTCCAGTGACTAAACATGACACAATTTAGTAATCACAGTGACCAAATGTGGCATTAACCCTATATAATAAATATCCTAAAATGGAATTCCATACGCCCGGCGCAGGTCCAAATCCAAGTCGTGGTTGCCGTGGCGGGTAGCCGTCGGGCGAAAATCTGATAGAGAAACACCGGGGAACTTCCCTTGCTGAGTTTCTCGCCCTGCAATTTCTCTCCCATGGATTCTCCTTCCAATCTCTCCAAATTCCGTATCCTGTGTCCGTCGGCCAGGACCGGCGCCGTTATAGGTAAAGGAGGCTCCAGCGTCCGCCACATTCAGACCGTTACCGGCGCCAAAATCCGCCTCCTCGACAACCCTCACGGCCACCCTCCCTGCGACGAACGCGTCATTCTCATTTCGCATGTTAATAATCCCTTTTCCGGTGCCACCGCCAACAACAGAAACCCTAGGCCAACCGCGGCTGACGAGACTACTGCCGCGAATGAAAACAGTAATAGCAGTTCTTCTCATCCGCCGGACAGTGGCGGCGCCGTTGCTGATGGGAGTTCCGCTGTTGGCGTCAAAAGCAGTGGCGGAGAGTCCGGTGGTGGAGGGGGAGATGAAGGGTGGGGTCCGGTGCAGAAAGCGTTGGTTAGGGTATTTGAGAAGATTGTGAAAGGGGATAGTTTGGAGGAGCTGAGTGAAGAAGTGGTGGTCGTGGGTAGGGTTTTGATTGGGAACGATCAGGCTGCTCATCTGTTCGGTAGAGGGGGGAATGTGCTGGACAAGATTATGGCAGAAAGTGGAGCGCACCAAGTCAGGCTTCTCCCTCGTGAGCAGATACCTCCTTGTGCATCTCTCGGCGATGAACTCATGCTGGTAAACTTCATTGTTTACTCCCACTTGATGAATCGTCTCATCTATCCAAGTTGGTTCTTTAGCTCATGTCATGCCCTTTTCCTCAAGGAGAATGTGGTTTAGAGTATGTGAATTAGACTGCTACACTCGTTGAGTAAGGGCCGTGGAAAAGTTCATTGCGTTCTAAAATTGATTTAGATTGGTCGGTCGATGAGTTTATCAAAATCGGAATCTACATGTTGATTGCTTTGCATTTTTCTTCCATTTGATAATGAAAGATCTGGATTGCCCTTTGCCGTAGTGCATTTACCTTAAGCTAAGGAGGAGAATGATACCAGTTTTACGGTTATAAATTGTAAATATGGGAATGTTGCCACCTCATTCCTCTTCCAGGAGTAATGCCTATAATTGCTCGCGTTTTCCTTCCGACTCATGTCCATATTGTATATGATGTTTACTTCAAATTTATTCTGATGCCTAACGTTGTGGTTATTCAGGTTACCGGAAGCTATTATGCTGTAAGAAGAGCACTTCTAGCATTTTATAGTTGTCTTGAAGATATAAGTAAAGCAGAAGCTGCTAATCCTGGTAGTGCCAAACATTCCGGGCACCATGGGCATGCAGACTTTTCGCAGCGGGGTTATGCTGATTATCATTCTAGGGGTCACTCTCCTAATATAGGAGCTGAAAACTTTGATGGCCGTAACGGGAGGGTTGTGGAGGAGGATGTTGTATTCAAGTTGTTGTGTCAACCGGATAAAGTTGGCAGTTTGATTGGAAAAGGTGGCTCTGTCATAAAAACTTTGCAGAACGACACTGGTGCGTCTATCAAAATTACTGATGTTCTGCCGGAATCACAAGAGCGAATTGTTGTGATATCTGCACGAGAGGCATGGGAACTTAACTCTGATACCTTCTACTCTTAACTTGTTAAGTCTGTATTGAGCTGCAGTATTTATCGTGCCTTTTGGACCAATTTAACTTTGCACGGGATTGGGATTTTTATTCTCCAGTTTTAGGTGACATAGAACTGTTTCATTGATCAGCAATGTTTCTAGCTGTTCCATTGACATATCATTAGACATGCATGTCCTACAGGCATGACAACGTGTTAGTTCTGGGAAAGGGTTCCTTTCGCATTTCTGTTGTGAAGAGCTAAGACATGGTGTTATATCGTTATAGTTCTTGACAACTCCAGTAGTTAGCTGTGCAACCCTGAGAATGTCTATTGGGATCAATTAACTTCAATCATTCTTTTGCTTCCAAATATATTGTATCCTCATCAGTCATCACTCAACCTGAGTGTCCGGCTATGTTTGGCCAATTTCGTCTTGGTTATTGGTCTTATATCCTTTGTAATGGACATCTCTGTTGGATCACTCAATTAACTCCATTAGTTTCTTGTTGTCACCTTGTGAACATGATTATAAAAACTTCAATATATTTATAACTTAGTGTGGCCTCGGATCCTTGCTAGTGTTGATTGCAGCATTAATTCTTGCAGAATTCAGAGCAAAGACGTTCTCCAGCCCAGGATGGCGTTATTCGAGTACAAACCAGAATTGCTGAGATTGGATATGAACATGGTGCTCCAGTTGTTGCTCGTCTTATTGTACACTCTCAGCAGATAGGACGTTTATTGGGTAAAGGAGGTCAGATTATATCTGAGATGAGACACCTTACTGGTGCCCACATACGCATATTTCCTAGGGATCAAGCTGCCAAGCATGGAACACCACATGACGAAATTGTGCAGGTATTCAGAAGGTGATAAATACTGATAATACTGATACTGTTAAATTGGTCGACACTATCTGGATTCCCCTTCAGGTGTCTTTGTAGGTACTAAAAACTGCATACTAAGGAATGAGTGCCTCTTGTTGCTCCTGGTCTATTGTTTGTTATCCATTATATGATTACTTTTCTGTACGAGTGGTGCAATACTAAGGAATGAGTGCCTCTTAGTTCCATGCTGGACCGTGAGGAGTGTATGTTGTTTCTATGTTATCTGTCAGAGATATCTTTGGGTTACTTGATATTTGATAATTACAATTCGTTTTCAGGATATTATTGTGCAGTGTATGGGTCTCTCTAACATAGCACGATGTACTATATAATTCTCCTGAGGGGTTACATGGCCATACTTGTTGGATTCTTCTAAAAGATTTTTAGGGTTTATTTTGTGGAATAAGCTCGATGTTCATGTTAGAACTTAGAACTATGGAGTGTTGGCCGTGCCTGTGAATTTTGTCACAATTCATTGCAAGTTGTGTCAATTTTATTGGTTTTGTCTATTCTGCTGCAACAAAACTTCATAATCTCTTTCGAAGGAAAAGTATTGTTAACAGGCCATTAGCCTGTATAGATATGAGGAACCGGAGAGTCAGAGTTTATTATGTCATGCTGATGCCGGATCTTTCTATACTATCCAAAATTATCTTAAAGTGCTTGATCCTCCACTCAGTCTACCTTCTGCCATGAGGGACCTTTTTGAAGTGTTCTGTTGATTCATTTTCCAGGTTATTGGCAACTTGCAGTGTGTCCAAGATGCTCTCTATCATATAACAGGCAGACTAAGAGATATGATATTTCCTCCAGTGAAATCGTCATTTTCAAACAGTGGTGGTCCGCCACCTTATCAGTCCCAGTTCTCTGATATGCCTCCTCCTCAATTTAGACCAAGACCTCATCCAGCATCAACAGGTCCTTATCCTTCTCCTGCCGCAGGTCCTTATCATAGCGCTGACCATCCTGCTGTTCCCCCACATCATCAAGATCACCACTCGTTTCCTTATGGTGATGAACGACCTGGGCATGGTCCTCCATTTGAAATTTCTCCCAGATCATGGAATAATCAACAGGTTCGATATTCCTTCTGTCAGATTGGAAATAATCTTGATGTTCATCTTCAGATTTTGTCATCGTATTGTTGTTTCTATTTCACAGCCTACTCAGTTGCTCAACTGTTATTAGTGACTCCATTTCTCTCTTTCGCTCTCTTCTCCAGCCATTTAACGGCGGCAATCCACATGGAGGTGCTGATGGGTACGCAGCGAGAAATGGGCCTCCAGCTAGGTGATCCTCGTTTCCCCAGAACAGTTCGTTTCTTTTCGAAGTTGATATTACGGTGCATGTTGCTGTGCCCTGTATGCTTCTCTTTTTCTATCCTAACCATACTCTGGTTTGAATATTTTACAGTGGAGTCCAAGGGCCAGGCGGCCCAGTTGAGATGGTGATTCCTCTGAACTTTCTTAGCCATATACATGGAGAGAACAATAGCAATTTGAATCAGATCAGACAGGTCGGTTTTCTATTGGCTTTATACGTATTGGGGGCACCCATTTGCCGAAGCAATTTATCGTTCTTACATGCGATGATCACACTTTCAGATATCGGGTGCTAGTATAATGATCCAGGAACCAAAGGCAGGAGGAGGTGATGTTGTGGTCGGGATATCCGGGACCTCGCATCAAATCCACACAGCTCAGTGTCTTATCCATGCCTTCGTTATGACCGGCCGCTCTGCTGCAGCTTGACAGATCAGTAATCTTGGTACAACCAAAACACTGGCAGAACCGGATGGTGGAGATGGTGTAGTTAGTTTGTTATCTTTGTTAGACGTTCATCTGTTTGTGGTCTAAGTTAGAAGTAGTTTGTAGGTGAATTATTATACATTAAAAGCTCTGAGGCCTGTGTCAAGATGAGATTCATCGACTTTGTCATCTATTAGGCTAGCTTGGAAGGATTAGTTCTTTATCTTTTTTTTTTTTTTTTTTGTTGCCTTTGCATGTAAATAGTGAAAGGCAGAGGTCGGTAATGGCGTAATGGAGCTGAGTTTACAAACACTAAATGCTCGATAGTGGCTTTGGTTACGTTGTTTCATATCCTTGGTGTATCCGTGTTATCTCAATAACTCAAAACAGTTCAATGTGCGTGTGACGGTTAAAAATGCGGTGAGCGTGGATCGAACACGCGACCTTCAGATCTTCAGTCTGACGCTCTCCCAACTGAGCTATCCCCGCTTGTTGAATTATTCCTACCGCAACCTTTTCTTATTATAACCAGTAGGAAACGGACAAAAAGAGCAATTACCATTATGCCTACGATCTGAAAGCCAAGAAACTAGAGAGAACAGACAAAAAGAGCGGTATGTTAAATCAATAATTGTACTCTTTATTCATTTGTCATGAACCATTACATTACTCTTTATGTTCCACAAGGCTATCTAATCTAGCACTATACAGTGGAACTTATTTAAGGTCCAGAATAACAATGGTATCCAAGTCTCCAAACTAATTATTGATCACCAATGAACCATCACAGTTCCAAATCTAAAACACCACAACTACATACCTAGACAATAGTTACAGCAATCGAACTCCCTAGTCCCTACTGCACATCTCTAAGCCCAGGCAAGCAGAACCCAGCAACTTGATGCATTTTGACAAGCTGAGGACAACCAACCATACCTTCAAAAGAATACCTCAAAACCCATCCACCAGGTGCCTAGATCGCCACATCCAGATAATAACTTGCCTCCATCCAAATAGATATTTGCTCTGAGAAGACTGAAACAGTTTCAAGTTTCAACACAAACATCATTCATTGTCTGAGTGGAATTTCAAGTACCCCCTTGGCTGGCCTCGACCTGCCCAGTCTGCCCCTGCTATGCATGAAATACAGGCAAAAAGAATGGAAATTCAGGCCTTGATCCCGAAGAAAGTTCACTCGAGAATCACAAACCTTTTAAGGAGTGTCTCGCTCACCTCGGGGTTCCTGTTCAAAGCAGAAGTGCTCTGTCCAACCTGGGGTGCGGCCTTCGAGAGGTCCCTTAGCGTTCCCTGTTTGATTAACGATTGCGCCAAGACAACAATTAAGAAAACGACCTTGTACTTTAGTCAAAAATTAAATCCCTGGAACAAATGAGAGAAGGGTAATGCAATTACATGTTGCAACCACCACAAAGATGAAGATTTAATTGGCACTTTTAATAAAGTGAATTAACAACATCCTAGCAAGGCCAGAGTTCTTTTTGCAGCATCCAGACTGATCATTTTAGGAAGATAGCTAACAAAATTTATCAGGAGAGGGACTTGAAGATGTGAAAGGATTTCCCGGGGAGACTAATGGTTAAAGGTTACTAACCTTGTTTGCCCACATAAGCCCACAAGCATTACAAAGAGTCCTGGGGCCTTCAGGTCCACGCCTCATCATTGGAGTAGATTTCTCACTTGTACCACAGTGCCGACAACTGAACGTTTACAAGTCAAGGCATATTTCATAGTCAGCAAATATGAAGTTTAATGATAACAGATAGACAAACAAGATGCAGCTGTGAAAATGGAAATATTCCCGAAGAGAAAGAATCTCACTGCAAGTTTATGTTATATTCTGTGTTTTAGAAGCATGTATGATGAACACCGTGCAAGCGAAAATTATTAAAGTAGGTCGGACACGTAAGCATCAAAATAAAAGTCTCAAGAGTGCAAAATGCAATTGAGAAGATAATAGTGGGATCACCATCTATAATCATATCGTGAATCAATTTCCTAAGAAAGAAACTTCTTAAAAGCTGGGCAAGGGTTTTTTACTTGACATTACTCTATTTGCTAACAGTTACTACATTCAAACAACCCTACTTCTAAATTATTGAATCAGACACAGCAAGCAAACTTAGGTAGATTGCACTAATGTGCTTTTGCTGGTTAACCCCAATGGTCTGTCTGGTGGTAATGTGGGGTTGATAACATCCACCACACCTTGGATTTGAACATTGGGGTCAACATCACCTTTAAAATAAATGATTTGCTGGTTGTTTATATGCATCACAGAAAGGCTAATTATGCATAGGAAACATCCTACTTCACTTAACAGCAATTAGCGAAGTAGAGAGCATACACGGCCTCCTGATGCTTCGAACCATTACTGTCTGATCCACAACTCTCACTGGAACCCCAACTAGTAACTGAATCATCATTATTCCCCTTTGCCGATGTGAATTGGCCTTTATGTCGTTGCATCCTATAAAATGGAACAAGTGAGCACAAGCAGATGCAATATCCTCCATGGTCAAAGGATGAGAGAAAAGAGAAAATTTCCAAAAAAACTCTCTTTCTGCTGCCAAGTTCAAGGTTGAACCAGTAAGATCAAGTTTACCACAATTTCATGAAATACTACCACCATCTGTTCAGATCGAAATTGGGACAGCTTGATTCATTCATGCCAACAAGAAAAATTAACATGCCACCAAATCAGTAATATCATAAGCCACAGCTTACCAATTGTCCCTGTTCTTACAGGTTACTTACCAATGTCAATGAGCTCATTCCAATATGTAACCCGGAACGATAAGAATGCTCAATGGATGTAATTGAATTCAAGATACCTCGTACATACTTAACATCAAGTTCAACTTACTTTCTTCAGGATGTTCATCAATTTTGCTTACTAATGTTAGAATGAAAAGTGTAACATCCTGCCCCAGAAATGCCAACTCCAACATACAAATTCTTGTCACTTGTGCTAATGATACAACAGCCCCCCGACACAAGGTTCTGGCTAGGTTCCAAATCACAGTGAATCTTCAATAAGTTCGATTGGAACTCACCCAGGAGCACGAACCACTCTCTAGTCATGTGATAATAAAACAGATTTTGCTACCCTAAGGTGACATCACACTATTTTATAAAATAGTAGATTACTGATGGAAGACATACCTAAGAGCCACTTCTTTGCGGACGGTATATCGGATTTTCTTATCAAAATTACGTTCCTTGCGTTTTTCACGGAATCTGAGCAGAGAAGCAAATCTCTGTGGTACACTAAACCGTTCCGGGGTAGCAGACATGCCCTGATCAGATGCATAGTTAGGTGAAAATTAGAGTGGATCAGACATGAACTAACCTATCAACATGCTAGGATGACAAAGTTGCACCTTACTACCCTGAGGAGAGGTCATTGGAAGAGCAGAAGCACCTAAAGGTACCTCCCGCCCCCCTAATAATAATAGCACAGCTTGAACCTAGACAATTCAACAAGATCATATGAAACACGTTGGAGGGAAAAGAACTTGGACAATCAGCAAATGTTTACCAACAGTAACCCAAATGAATAGAGAATCAATCACCTTCTCTGGTGAGACAGAATCAAAAACATAAACTTGACCCTGAAACGAAAGAGTGAGCTGATCGCCATTTTCAATACTGTGATCAGCCACTATCATAACCTGAGAATCTGAAAGATTACCCTGATCTACTTCGACTTCTGGCACGGTGTCACTTCCATTACCATTGTTGTCATGGCAATCATTGCCCTCTTCACCATCGTTCATCAAACTGCCATTACTCATCCCATGAACCTCATGATGATGATGATGATGGTAATGCTCATAATGTATATTGAGTTCATTATCTGCACCGCCCATTTGCATTCCAGGATCAGTCTCGTGACTGCCGTCCATGCTACTTCCAAGTTTCAATTACCTGTTACTTCCCACAGAAGTTGGATTTTAGGGGCTGTTCATATATCAACCCACAATCACCTACAATGTTATTGAACAACAGGATCAGGCTTCCTGACTAACAGACAAATGCCACGCGAATCACTCATGAAAATACAGAAACCCAGGTTCTACAACAAAAGCCCATAAAAAATGCACAGCAAGAGAAAGCTATCAACTTTACCCAAAACTATATCAAGGGAAGTCATAATAGAAGCAAGTCAAAGCTAGTAGTACATTGCCCAATGTATCATGGCATCTAGGCCAGTGGTGCAACGCAAGAAAGAAACAGAAAAAGAAAACGCCCACCGTCCTGCTAGGTTGCACAGCTTACGGAATGGAACGGAGATTTTGAATTCCCAACTCATTTGCAATTTTACAAGGAGAATCAGCACCATAACTATCTGATAAACAAATCAACACCAGCATGGGAAACAGACGACAACAACAAAAACAACAGACTTGTTCAAAATCGTTTTAGAGAAGACAAAGTGCAGTTCTGGTTGTACCAGGTGCAGATAATCCAACAACTATTAGGGTTCGATTAGAAATGGTGGGCAGGAACGGATTCGAATCGGAATTGGAAATGAGATTCTGATGAGCCCTGAAACTGACGGATTGTGATGGATGGAGGGACAGGAGGGAGATGAAGATCCGAAGCCGTCGGATTAGGTTTGGACAGGGGCCCTGTACAGCAACCAACGGTGAGGATAGAAGAAGCTGAGATAAAAAAAAAAATCTCTCGACTTGAGAACAGGGGGAGAAAAAATAAGAAAAGGCGCGCCACTGCATTACTGCAGGGAGCTATTTGAGGCTCATTGATATAATGCGTAGTGTTATCCTAAGGACTTCTGTTGATATGTTCTTGATTAGTTATTTTGGCATAACCGAATCACTTGTTTAATAGTTTTCGGTTAACCGACAAAATAATTATGAACCGATTATACGATTATGGTTAACCAAATAGTATAAAACTGTGGATTAACAATAAACACAAACTGGTTTTCAGTTGTCCAATAATAGACGAAACAGTTCTAGTTATAATCGAACCGATTGCCAAGTAGTTTTTTCCCAACCCTAGTGGTCCTGCAGTATTGCATCATATCTTTGTGGGACATGTTATGTAAAGTCTACCGTAGGACCTTAATTTTATCGTTGAAAAGGTTATTGGGGTTGTTTGAATAACAAATTATGCGTGATTAATTTGACTGATTGTCTTGTTTGAGACAATTTGACTAATTGTTTCGTTTGACATCATATAATTTAGATGAAGCAATTTGGCTTAATAAATTTTGAATTAGCTCGGTTTACAATTGTCTAGGGCGTGGACAAATAATTCGAATGAACTCATTTTAAATGACTCCTCTTGTAAAATAAGACAATGGTCAAATTGCCTCGTTTCCAACTCAACCAATTTTTTAGGTTGTATCATATAGATCGAAGTTCAATTTGTTACTTTCTTCGTATGAGGTGGGAACTTTGTTTTTCTTATTAAGGGACATAAATTAGCTTATTTAGCATGTCGAAGTGTTCCTACTTTTTATATGGTTGACGCTCTCATCGTTTCAACATTAAAATAACTTATTGCAAAATCTGAGAGTGGTTATATCAATTATGGTTGCTCTTAAGACAAGACGAGGGAATTGCCTCACTCGATGTCTGATTCTGATATGTTGGAGAAACAACGAGAGTATTGAATATTTGTTCTTCCGATGTCCTTTGGTCATTTAGATGTGGTCTCTAGTGGGTTTAAGTGATTTATGGATTCTGTCCGATTATAAATTATAGTTTATGGTCGACAATTTATACTCTCTGACTCCTGATATCAAATTCTCCAATGTGCCTGCTTATTATGGAGAATCTGGAAATTTTTAAATCAATCGCATTCTCGTTCACTCAACTACATTATCGTTCTTTAGCCCGTAAGTTTTTTTCTTCAAGTAGACGAAGTTTCATCTACCTCCCGTTCTAGTATCTTGTCTCTCCTCCCTCATCGTCAACTCTGGCCAGTCGGATTGCCCCTCCTGATGACTTCCTCAAAATCAACTTTTATGTTGTTGTTTGTAGTGCTGGTTGTGCTTTTGGCTCGTTCGCGGGGTCATATGTGTATGTTCTATTGACTGTTGAGTTTCACAATCTTGGGGTCTCTAATTCCAACGTTGCGGAGCTCCTAGCTGCGAGAGATGTCCTCTTAGTCATTGTTTTTTTTAATACTTCCCCACGTTATTCTCGAAAGTGATTTGAGATGGTGGTTGAAGAAAAATCCAACAAAATGTTGATTAGGGGAACTCAAGGTTGTCAACCCCCAGGCTGACCCAGACCCGGTCGAGCTAGTGGGTCAAGTGTTAATGAGTCACCCGTTTTAGTCCGGTTTGGCCTGGAAATATGGAAATAATCATTATATTGTACTTATTCTGAAAAATTATATCAAATCTCATCTAACATATGAGTTATAACATATAATATTACACCAAAATAATATGTCGTACTTAGATCCAACATATAGTGAAAATTCACACACACACTTATATAACATCACTATTCAAATGTTCAACTTAGGATTCCAAAGATTGAGTTAGGCGAAAAGAAAAATAGATGCATTACGCAAACAAAAAAAAGACACAATTTACCCTCCAACCCGATACTTTATAGCACTCGGCCCGACAGGTACATGCGATCCATTTTTCTCATCAGGCCAGGATCAAAATGGGTTGACCCGCCCGCGGGTTGACAATTTTGGGAAACCAAAAGAGAGATTGAAAAAAAAAAAAGTTGACCCGGTTCACAATTAATTATCTTTCCTAAACCACAATTAGCCCGGAGTCAGGCCAGGCCAAGGCACAACAAGTTTCTTCCATGGCCACTCCTTTCCAATAGTCATATACTCCCCTCCGATACGTTAAAGTCTCCGTCCGTCAATTCTATCGTCTTCGTCTCTCTCTCTCTCCCTTTCTCTGAGATTTGTTGAGGGAGAGACGTAGGTGCGTGTCTTCAGGTCTTGGTCGTAGAATCTTTGCTCCCTCAATTCTCTCCCGATCCCCTGTTTCCTTCCTCCTACCATCCATCTGTTTGCGCACATTTTCCCCATTTCAGCAGCCGGCCATCCTCCTTTCCTTTCTTCCTTTCCGGTGCGGATCGGGAATCATCGCATTGATTTTAGGCGCATCTCTTGAACCAGCACCCGCGCCAGCCATCATCGCGTTGAATTTCGATTGACATCGGTTGATTTTTCGCTTCTGTTCTGTTCTGTTCTGTTCTGTCTGTCTGTCTCTCTCTCTCTCCCCCCTGGGGTTTCATTCCTTCCTCACTTTTTTGGTTCGTCGGTGATCCGATCACCAATCAATGGGGAGGAGCAGCAGGTCGTCGGCATCTTCGTCGTCGTCTTCCTCGAAATGGAGGTATTGCAACCCTGCTTATTACCTGAAGCGCCCCAAGAAATTGGCTCTGCTCTTCCTTGTGTTTGTTTGCGCCAGTTTTCTGGTCTGGGATCGCCAGACTCTCGTCCGGGAACACGAGGTACCCTTATATTGTCCCTTCTTAAGGCGTTTCGAGTCTGTTTGTTTGATTGAAACTTGAGCGGGTTCTTTCTTTCCAGTTTCCCTTTTTGTCTGTACAACGACACCCGCTATATTTTCTATAAAATTCCGATTGTTGCTAAATGTGACATGGTTAGCTGGTATCAATCTGAATGACGGGATAGGGGAATTGGAATGTTAGATGCAGCATTGGGAGAGGGTTTATTACTGTTTGTTTTTTCCCGTCCTCTATTGGGGTGGAGGGGGACCTTTTGGAGAAGGCAAATTGTTGGAGCTTTTTATGGAGGGAAATGTTGGGTGGGGAGGAAGGCTACTTGCTTGAATGTTTTTGTGTGTGGCAATTCCATGGGTTAGTAGATGTTTGGGAGGTCACATGATTTGGAAGCTTGTCTGTAGTCGCAAGTGGCCTTTGTGGCTGTGGGGCATTATCAGTTTAGGTCGATCATGCGTATGGATTATAGGGGCAATGTCAATGAGCATGGCCTTAAACTGTTGCCTGCGGGAAGTGAGGAGGTTTCAGCATCTGATCCGCCACTCAGGTGGCTGGTTTTGTCTAATTGTTTTAGAGTCATAACTGGCTTCACAGAGGGTTCTCTTTTTTTGTTGCCATTGATTGAAGGAAGTTGGGCTCGTCCGGGATGAACGTCATGTTTGTTGTGGGAATGTGTCTAGCTTCCCTCATTCTTCTTTTATCCGATCTATCTAGTAGAGACAGTCGTCAGCTTCCAACTGAATTTACAATGTGGGAAAAGATAATATATTTTGGAGAGAGGTGGTAGAAGAAGGCCATCTAGGTTACCTGTAATTAAATGTCCATCTGTTTATGCTGTAATTGGAACATTCCCCCTATCAGGCCCGCAGTACTCTTCTGCTAATTTGTCTTAAGATTTTCTTCCATCTTATGTTTTTTTGTTCTACTTGCAGGTGGAAGTTGATAAGTTAAGTGTAGAAGTGCACCAATTAAAATTGATGGTAAGTAACGCCTTATCTTCTTGATGCTACTGACTTCTCAACTGACCATTGCATATGAGCAATATTTTCTTTTTGTTGGCGTTTTCCATGTTTCTGCTTTCAGATTCTTCTTTCTTCGTCTTCTTACTTTTTGCTTGTGTGGGCTGCAACGGAATCTTTTTTGCGGCTGTATCCATTGAACTTGGCATTCCCCAACATTGGAGGATCTTTGATGTCATCTTAAAACTTTTTTCTGCCATGTTTTGACATTTAGATGATTTCTAGGTGGTTTTCTTCTGAATTTCTTTTATGGTTTTTTATTGTAATTATTCTTTTGAGGGTCTTCTATGAATAAGATTAGTTTGTTCCTTCAGCTGGAAGAGTTAAAGAGTACTCACGGGGATGAAGTAAGTTCTGTGAGGGGCAAATCCTCCAAAGTCACCTCAAAGGTTATTCCTGACGACCCTGTTGATATCAATAGAAGAGAGAAAGTGAAAGACGCCATGATTCATGCTTGGAGTTCGTATGAAAAATATGCATGGGGCCATGATGAACTTCGGGTATGATTCAAAATTTCTTATGAACTTTTTGAGCTGTGGTCTTAAGTCAATGGTCAATCTTAGTATTTAATTGTGGACTGTCCTTGTCATTCTATTGAATTTAAGTTTGATTAGTGGGAGTTGCAACCTCTGGTTTCAGATGCTATCTGGAATTGTATCATTAGCTTTAGCATTGGTTTGGGTTGAGTCTGGTTTGTGGCATATGCCGGGAGATTATAAGTTCTGGATGTTTCTTGTATTTCAGTTCACTCAGTGTTAACCTTATTTTGTTGTGCAACCTGCAAAAAGCGTGTGAGCTTTTGCTAGTGGAAAGTTTGTGGATTAGTTTTGCTGTAGGTTTGGTTTCCGAGGATGGGAAGGTGCTCTATCGTCATTCTTTCTGTTTGAGTAAGACTTTCTTTAGGAAGTTGCTTTAAATTAAAGGTTCACTTTCGTATGCCATCATGCTAGAGAGGGTTAGAACTAAGTAGATTGATTCACAGCGTATTGGTGAAGGAGCTGATATATTAAACAGGACGGTGTTGGATGCATTGGGTAAGAAGGAAACGAAAGCGATAATTCTTTCTGTTTGGTTGATGTAGAGAACAAATCCTTCTATTCCATCTGTAAAATCTGCAAAGACTCTACGGAGCTTTCAAGCTAGCTGTTTGAGCTCATTATAAAAAATTAGCTCAAGCTGTTTGAGCTTGCTGATTCAATTTCTTAAATGACTTCTGGGGTTGCATTTATAGAGAGGTAACTAGAGAGCCTCAGCTTGTTCATGGTTGGTCAGTCTATCGTAACAATGGAATATGGGATGTTGCGCAAAGGATATTAAACGTTTTCTTGCTAAGAAGACTGCACCCTTCTATTGTATCTTTACCAAATAGGAGTGTGTGAGATCCAAGGTTCAGCCTCTGTATAGGAATGATAAAGTTATTAGTCTAAATGGGCAGACATTTGCTATTAAATTGAGTAGATGAACGCCTTGAGCAGAGGAGTATAGTGTTGTTCTCTGCAATCCCAAATAGAGATAATGTTAGCAAGGGCACTCTGGTGAAAATCAAGACTAACCTTAAAATGATGGTTAAGCAACAGCACACATAATATTGTGGGATTATATTTATTTTGTACAATGAGGTAACTACCTTTTATTTTTATTTTTGTGTGGGGTATATATGTATTGATGAAAATGCTGATTAACAGTACTCTGAGATTGTTTTTATTTATTTATGAGAATCATGTTTCTTTTTATTACTTGATTAAAAAAAGTAGAAGTCTAAAAGGAAAAACAATTGAGGGCAGGCAAGAAACCAAAGCTGATACCCCAACAAGAGAAACCCAACTGAAAAAGGACAAGTCCCCAAGTCACAAGATGTTAGAATGCCTATATTTAAGAAAGTCTTAAGAAAATGTTTTTTCCTGTTTCTTTTCTGCTGGCAAGTTATGTCTGTGGTAGGATCTTGAAGGGGTATTTTGTTGGGCTTGAATTTTTGTTGACCGGCAATTGCTCTATCCTATGTTTGTGGAACTCGGTTACATTATATTCTGAATTCTTTTTCTTTGGGTTGGCAGCCGCAGACGAAGAATGGCGTCGACAGCTTTGGTGGTCTTGGAGCAACATTAATAGATTCTCTTGATACTTTATATATAATGGGTCTGGATGAGCAGTTCCAAAGAGCTAGAGAGTAAGTTAATATTTTTAGTTGCATCCTTTGTTGCCTTTCTCTTTATCATGGATTATGCCATTTTTAGCTTTATAGACTCTTGTTTCAAAAAGGAAAGAAAACAAGAAGAAGAATGAATTTGTCTTTCTTGAGCAATAGCAGTTACCTATGCTTGTGCCTATGTCACAGTGACTTCAATTGTTCCAAAACTTGGTTTACTGTTTAAGGTTCTTTCTGGTTCCAAGGATTTATTCGTCATTTAGAGAGCTTACAAACTGTAACTTTATGGGCATGCTTAAATACTTGAGCCAACTGATTGGAACCTGATGTTCTTGTCGGATATATTACTTGGATTTTTGAAGTTGGATATATTGTGTATGGCTGATATGAATCCAGGCTTCTTGTTTCTATTACAGCTTTAATATCCAGACAGTTGCTTCCTTTGATTTCCTTTCATCTAAAGGCTTTCTTCACCTCATTTAGCCAAGCTTCTTTGCATTTTCCTAATTCTTGTTAGTTTTTTTTTTGTAACAATACTCTACATTTTATTGGTGTTGTGGTTTTGGTTGATAGCATTTGGATTTGAATCTGGTTTCACTTAGTTGTATTTCTTTGTAGGTGGGTTGCAACCTCGTTGGATTTCAACAAGGATTACGATGCTAGTGTGTTTGAGACAACCATAAGGTTACATTATCAGGTTTACTGTGTAGTTAGTTTTATTCGTACAGCTAGTGTGCTGCAGTCTGATTCATGGGTTGAGAGATTAATTGTGCTCTTAAATGTCTGGGATTTGTTGATGAAATTCCAGAGTCGTAGGTGGCCTACTCAGTGCTTATGACCTTTCCGGGGACAAAGTTTTCCTTGAGAAGGCTAAGGATATTGCTGATAGATTGCTGCCTGCATGGGATACACCTACTGGCATACCTTACAACATTATCAACCTGGAACATGGAAATCCTCATAACCCTGGTTGGACTGGTGTAAGTTGATTCACTGTTGTATCTTTAGGCTAGTATAACTTTTCCGGCCCCGCATATTGGCACAAGGCTTTGTGGAGTTGATTTTATGCTGTCCACCATGCTGCCATTGAAGTTGTGTGGTATCCTTTTATTTTGTCTGTTATTTGTTCTTTCTCTTCGACGTTCTTACTGGACACAATAGGTGAATTCCCTCCCTGGTATTTGTTGATCCACTTTACTTGATGATCTTTTGATTTCAATATAGTTGCACATTTAGCCATTTTTGGAGACCATTTTCTTGGTCCTTTTCAAATTTTCTCCATTCTCGATGTGCCATTAGTTCTTTTACTAATGTTCCTCTTGAAAAATGTATTGACTACTTTCAAGTTTTGTGCAGACATTAAAGTTTCTTTTCTTGTTTGCAGGGATCCAGTATTCTTGCAGATTCTGGTACGGAGCAGCTTGAATTTTTTGCTCTCTCTCAAAGGACAGGAGACCAGAAGTATCATCAAAAGGTCCGTGCTCAATACATGCATGTAATAAAGCAAATGGCATGTGTTGTAACGATAAATGTCTCTCCATTAAAGCGCAGTTCTCTTCAGTATTCCTTTTGCGGAATTGCTGCCAAATCTATATCTAGATTCAGAATTGATGCAGGTTTTTCTGATGGCTACACTTTGTATTTTTTCCTTAGTTTCTTTTCCAAAAGGGTCCTGTTTTTCTTGAAAACTCATCTTGCTATTGACGGCTAGCCAACCCCTTGGGGCTATGAAAAGAGCATATTTTCTTGTCAATAGCTTGACGAACAATTAATTAATTTGGTTGGAATTGATGCTTTAGGCTGAAAGGGTTATCCTGGAGCTGAATAAAACTTTTCCTGCTGATGGCCTTCTTCCAATCTATATAAGTCCTGATACGGGAACTGGTTCAATCGCCACAATAACCTTTGGTGCAATGGGTGACAGGTATATATTCTTGACTTTTGGAAAGTTTTCTTATCAGTAATACCTCCATATCTTTTCAACTTTGAAATATTGTTGCAGCTTTTATGAATATCTGCTTAAAGTTTGGATTCAAGGAAATAAAACTGGAGCCGTGAAACTTTACAGGTCAGTAAGAAGGTTTCTCCTATATCCCTCCTTTTGTTTTTAATCCCAGTATGCCGGTATACAGGCTAGTGTAGTACTAACTTCTGCTGAACTCTGCTGCTAACATATGAAACCAGATGCATGCATTCATCTAAGTCCATTTCTCTTTATGGGTATTTAATTTGTTGGGTATTAGCGGAAATGTGGCATGATTTGACATGTATGCATTTGGACCAATCATGTTCCATACTTATTAGTCCATTATTTTCTTTTCATTATTGTAGAGAGGTGATGGCTCCATAATTTGATAAGTAGTCTTACCCATTGGAGTAATGAGTTTGTTTATTGATAAGATGGGGTTCCTACCATGTGTGATGTTGTATGATAGTAATTGCAAATTATCAATCAAGATAATTCAGCTCCTCAAGAACCTGAATTAGCACCTATTGCTTGTTTAATTCAGTTGCACATTTGTAAATTTGAACAAATTCCTATTCAGCTCTCCCCGACAAAATCTTCTCTTTTGCCCGTGGATGACTAGCTAGTTCTGTAGCGACTTCTAAAATATTCTTTTGTGCTTGCTTGCAGAGACATGTGGGAGAAATCAATGAAGGGTCTTGTTAGCTTAATTAGACGAAGTACACCTTCATCTTTTACCTATATTTGTGAGAAAAGTGGTGACTGGTTGACAGATAAGGTAATATGGCCTTTCACGGCTTTTCTTCTCCTCGACCTTTACACTGAATTTGGACAATATTCCGTAACTTTTACATAAACTTACAAAAGAAATTATGCTCTTTTATCTTGCACTTAGAGTTTGTATTCCTTTTTCGTTTATAGTTAATGTGAACCCTGCCATGGCAATCTTTTCTATCAGGAGGATACTTTTAGGGTTAAGCTTAGCTCGCCCCTTAACTGCTTTCGTGGTTATTACAGTAGTATGCAGTTCACGTTATTGATATAAGTTTTCTCTTCTCTATCTATGTTCAGATGGATGAATTAGCTTGCTTTGCTCCAGGAATGCTGGCTTTGGGATCAGCTGGTTATGATGAGCCTGCTGAATCTGAGAGAATTCTCTCGCTTGCCGAGGAGGTATTCTTGCCTTTTCTGGGGAGATTACAATTGTTTTTTGTTTGGCTGGGGTTCGATTATTCTTATCTTCCTGATATGTTTCCGCGAAGTTAACCCTGTGTCTTTATAGTTTCTTTCCTTACAAGGGAAACAAATGGTCATAAAACATATATATGCTGGCACTTAATTTTCTTGGGAAATACCCCCATTGTTTGTGCAAAATGGTGCATAAGAAAGTAATCAGGGTCAACTCTGGATAATTAATGGGGTTTATAGTTTATGGGTTTAAATCCCAGCCCACAAGCTGGCTTCTGACTTATTCTCAATAAACTGAGTCAAAATTATCTTCTTTCCAGTTGCTTGAGAGAGAATTTCTTGTGTTTTGTGACTTCGTCCATTATGAGATTGATTATTCCTTCATGCACTGTGTAGCAGTATTTTGATGAATTTATTTTTCCTTTTGCAGCTTGCGTGGACTTGTTACAATTTTTATCAATCAACACCAACAAAATTGGCAGGAGAAAACTACTTCTTCCGATCTGGACAGGTTGTTCATCTGTTTTCCAAAGGTGTGAAACTAAATGCTGTCGTTTGATTATTTTCTCTTTGGACTTCACATGTTTAGGATATGAGCGTTGGCACGTCATGGAACATCATGAGGCCAGAAACTGTGGAATCACTCTTTTACCTCTGGCGTTTAACGGGCAACAAGACATATCAGGAGTGGGGTTGGAACATATTCCAAGCATTTGAAAAAAACTCACGCGTTGAGGGTGGTTATGTTGGACTGAAGGATGTAAGTACTCTGTCAACCTGTAAAATCTTCGCGTGAATATACCTCAATCTTGTAGGGTTGTGCCATTATGTTATATTTACATTTTTGCACAGTACAAGCCAACTGCATTCCCATCCCTTTTGCAGTCTGCTTTCAGTTTCACTTTATCATGCTAATCTCCATTAAACTTGCCTATCTTGGAGATCCTTAAAATTTCAACTGCAGAGTTCTCGTTGTATGAACTTGAGAATTCATGATTGAAATTTCAAGCTGATGGTGTGGTTATCCCTGCAAGTTTCTGCCACTTAACATTCAAGTGCCGATGTTTCCTTTTCAGGTGAATACTGGCATCAAGGACAACATGATGCAAAGCTTTTTCCTCGCCGAGACACTCAAGTACCTGTACCTTCTTTTCTCGCCTTCTTCTGTCATCTCATTAGACGAATGGGTCTTCAACACAGAAGCTCACCCGTTGAGAATTGTGAAGCATCAAGATGGGCAGAGTAATGGGCAGACGGACAAAATAGCTAGGTCGCGGGGCAGGAAAGAAGGGCAATGGTGATTGCAGTCGGCGGGTTTACATTCTATCTCCACAACTGGCTGCCAAGTCTACAGTTTGGTTGAACCCATTCGATTCCCTTTCGCAGCAGCAGTCATGCTGGTGGATGGGCGGGCGTATCAGTCAGTGAACTAATTAGTTATTACACATTAGGGTTTAGAAATCTAAAAGGGCGACGGGGTTGTGGGATGACAGGGCAAGCTAGCTCACACTAGGGAAGTTTTCCTCCATTTCTAGGCCGTTTAGGTTGAGTTGTTCTATACTTATGGCTAAAGAAAGGGTCGTTGGAAGCTATGAACTTCCATGTAACATGCGATACAGGGAAGTAGTTTTAGTTCCTACTGCTATCATGGTAGTTTTGATAGGACATTGAGTTTTCTCCTTGAAGAGCTTTTGCTAAAATCTTCGTCTGGAAGATGAGACAACTAAAATATTTTTGACACTTCATCATAGAGTGGAAAATGAAATATGTTTGTGCAGACTTGCTTTCTTATGCTCCGTGGTCGGGGTGGATGACATGAATCGACCTGATTCATTCTCGATTCGTTGTGTTTTTATTTTTATAATGTTTCAAAAAATGGTTCTATATGGTAACTTTTGTTGCTTCATATTTGCCTATTGAGTGAGACTAATTTGACTTTCGTAATTGATCATCCTCTTCGAGTTTACGTCACATTTATTTTTTCTCGACTACATTCGGTTAAAAATGGTTCTCGAAATATATTGAAAATGAATATCTTTCATTTGGTGAAAAATGGTTGTAGTGGGATTGTTTTTTTTTTTTTTTTAGCTTGGCGTTGGCAGGACATTTGGGCTTTTGAGCAAAGATTATCTGATTATAAATTGGGCTTTGGATTACAAGATCCGAACCACACTGTTTGATCCAAAAGTTTCACCATGCCGACTTTCCAGTTCACTGTATTTCCTCCGGGCGCTGTAGTGTCGTCACTTCGTAGTTGGTTGGGACTGAGTAGATTGCAGGGAGAGGAGGGGGATATGCTCTTCTTCCCTAGCTGCCCACATTTCCTTTCTTCTTCTTCTTCTCCCCACGGAACGAAAACCAGCGTCGAGGAAGCGACCTCCATGAAAGTTTGCGGAGGAAGCTACACCCCGTGAACTACACTCGGAAGCTGCTTTAATGCAAACATCATATCGCCTTCTCTCCCATCTTCGACGCCCCCACCACAAGCTTACTCCTCTTCCTTTCACTTCTTCTTCCTCTTCCTCCTCAGCTTTTGGACTTCCTTTAGCTCTAGGCCACGGGGGTTCAGTTTTCCAATCACCGAGAAGCTGCTACCGACGCGAATGCGAAGACGAAGCTTGTTTAGAGGAAGACGATTTTGCAAGAAAACCCAAACCCGTCCCTTACTTTGGCTCTTCGTGCAATCAGTCTCGTGGGCTCTCGGCATTGGATTGCTCCCGAGTGTCTGTCCCGTTACCTGGCTCGGTTTCTCTGGGCGGCGATCACAAGCATCGGGATTTCCATAATGGGTTTCTTCGTCGTGGTGGGTTCCGGTCTTCACACTTTCTTTTATTTCATTGATGAACTGGGTACTTAACGAAACTATGTAATTGGTGTTCTTTTACGTTCTGTCTGCAGGATTTTTTACCAGAGCCAAGCAAGTGAAGAAGATTGAAATTAGTGATCAGCACAGGTCTTTGTTAATTTGCCCGCCGTTAGTTGGCTATGATTGCATGAAATTGTTTGAAGGTCTTTTAGGAAATATTTGCTCTATGGTTGGCCATCTTGTGCTAAAATAGAACCCTAGTACCGACTCAACCAGTTGCAAATTTCCTAACAGCTTTAGAGAAGTGTGCTGCTTTAGTATCTTGAGTATTAGGTGCATTCTGTATTGTACAATCCTTACGCCTTGTAGATAGTTGGCACCATTTTGAATGTAAGAACTGTTGTCTCGTCACCATTTCTGCATCTTCTTGAGGTCCTTAAGCAACTTAACTATTAAGAAATTGTTTGGCAGATCAGCATTGGCTCTAGTTTCTTACCTCTATTTAGTCTTCTCTGGCAGTCAACGAGCAGTCACAACAGCACTTTGGTGCAATTTTCTCGTCTTTTCTCTTAAGTTTGGGGTGTGGTTTACGTCTTCCAGTCATGTTATGCTGGCTGAAGTTGTGCACTCAATTGCCGATTTTGCAAATCAGGTGATGCCACCAGTGATCATTTTACTTCCTCGAGTTGATTCTGAATTTTCCTTTCTCTGATGGCATCCAGTGATCATTTGAGTCTTGCGAAATTGCAGGCACTTCTTGCTTATGGTCTGAGCAGCTCAAGGCGTGCACCAGATGCACTTCATCCGTGAGCATCTTAAAATAGCAACTTCTACTTTATCATATGTAACATTTCTGTCGCATGTTGCTTTACATTGACCGATTTAGGGGCAGAGTTTCCTAACATAAACTTGCTTGTTGACATTTGAAATCACCCTTATGTTAGGAATCTAGTGAATGAACATTCTGGATTGTTGGGTAGACATTTCCATATTTCAATAAGCAAGTTGTTCACTGAATTCTCTTGTTCTGTCTCCCTCGTTGTGGCTGTTCTCCTTGTAATTCTTGATGGATGTCGGATCAATGTTGAAAATCCCACCACTATGGTTGCTGAGTTTGCTACAGCAGGACCGTTTCATGTTTATACTAGGCCCATATAATTGATTGCGCACTTGCATCTCTAGGGTGCGTATACTTGCTTAGTCACCTTCCATAACTGGGAAAGGATTCTGATATCTTTAACCCTGTACAGTTATGGCTACTCCAAGGAAAGGTTTGTCTGGTCTTTGATATCTGCTGTTGGTATCTTTTGCCTTGGTTCTGGTGCTACAATTGTCAATGGAGTTCAGAACTTGTGGAGTTCTCAGGTAAGCTGCTCAATTATTGATCCTGCTGATTCATGCGATACTTTCTGGAATTCCTTTCTCGTTTTCACATTTTCTATTAATGATCTCAATCCGTTCTTTGTCAATTCATGAAGCTTTATTGACTTGCATGTTTGCTTCAGCCTCCAGCCCACATTGAATATGCAGCTTTGGTGCTTGGTGGTTCATTTATAATAGAAGGTGCACTTCGTGTCTTTTAGGCTGAGGACCTGTTGCCTGTATTTCATCAATGTTTTCATATGTTCTCTTTTGTGTCTCTGTTGTAGGTGCTTCTCTTCTTGTCGCCATACAAGCTGTCAAGAAAGGTGCATCTGCAGAAGGTATGACGTTCAGAGACTATGTATGGCGTGGTCATGATCCCACAGCTGTTGCAGTGATGACAGAGGTAAGATTGTGATTGATTACATTGTCCAAGTAAAGGCAATAGATAGGGCAGCAATAATAATGATAGCACTAGCTTGGATAACCTAACAGAGTCCCAGCATTGGAATATCTTGTATTCTGCCAATAGAAAATGCTCACAATAGGTGTTCTTGATCTTTCATCCATTTCTGCAATTGGGATGCTACGAGAAGACTGCATTTGACACTTTCGATCATCCTTATGTGTTGTGGTTGGTAGTCGGTATTTTCTTTTACAGGTGATTTTGTCCCCAAATTTGAACCCGCAATGGGTTGGATGTTTCCTTCCCAGTTATTCTGTACTTGTAGGCAGCGTTCATCTTTTAGTGATGCGTGTGATATATCGTCCATTATAAATATCTCTGATCTGCAGGATAATCCTGCAGTGACTGACTGGTTAATCTGTACTTACTAGCTTGTGGTTACATCGCAGTTAGCATGCACTAGTTGGCTGGCATGTAACATTTAATGTCCATGTAGTGAGCTATCGTCCATTAGAACTCTCTCTGAACTGCAGGATGGTGCTGCAGTGACTGGATTGGTTATAGCTGGAGCATCATTGGTTGCCGTCAGTGCCACAGGGAATCCAATTTATGATCCTATTGGTTCAATCATAGTTGGCAACCTTTTGGGAATGGTAAGTAGTCCTACTTTCATGTTTATGCAACTTAATCACTGGTTTCTAAAGCCAGAAGAAGTATTTAACTCGGTTTTATTTGTTTTGAATGATTTTTCATGATGTGGACTGGTAATTTGACTGATTAAGACTTGGGCATTTGGTGCAAAATGATTCTTCAGTTTGAAGTTATGAATGGTGTTAATTTCAAGCCATAAAAAGGGAAATGCTAATGATCTGATTATTGATCTAATGGGAAACAAAGAATAAAATGGATCATGTCAGAGTGTAATTTAAGATTTCGCGGCAATTCAAGCAAGTTTGCTTTTCACAGCTCAACTTCTTGTGCCTTCTTCTCTGAATCTTATTTATATAAATTCTGGCAGTGCAATCCATCTGAAGAAACATGCTACAGCATCTTTTAATTTTCAGTACGTTGATTTTTGTGTCTACTATTGTTGGTTTAGCTGTTTACCAGTTGGGATGGACACTACCTCCTCATGTTTTCGTGTTTCCAAGCACTTGATTTGCGCTTCTGTTGGGTGTTGCAAATGTTAATAGAGAACTTAATTCCTGAGGTGCTAGTACAATGCTTAACTGTTAGGTTATGAAGCTTGTAATCCAAGTGGCAACCAATGCAGGTCGCTATCTTCCTTATTCAAAGGAATAGGCACGCTTTGATCGGCCGAGCAATGGATGACAATGATATGCAGAAGGTTCTTCATTTCTTGAAAAATGACTCGGTATGATCATGTTTAGGTATTAGTACTTCTGACAGTCTTCTTGAACTTGGTAAGCTCTAAGTTTATGGTTTTATGATATAGGTTGTGGATTCTCTTTATGATTGCAAAAGCGAGGTGATTGGACCGGGATTTTTCAGATTTAAGGCAGAAATAGGTGAATTCCTGCCACATACTGTATTCTCATCTGTTTGGTGTTTGTTCTTAATATGTTCCTGCTTGGGGAATAAACGGAAGCTTCAAGCAACCTGTGTGTGATGCATCTTGTTCTTTTGATTTGAGATACTATGGACGTCCAAAAATATACAGATATGATGTTCAAAGATTTTTATTGTTGGCAGATTTTAATGGCGAGGTGGTGGTGCAGAATTATCTCAATAGGATTGGACGGGAAGACTGGGCAAGACAGGTGAATCATCTTTATCAATAGGTGTATTGACTTAGCAGTTGCCTGGACAGAAGTATCGAAATATTAATACATAGCTTATAGATTTCCTCCAGATTCATACAATGCTCATGCGAGGAGAGTTAATATTTTGGTGGTCTGGATTCTTACTGCTAATCCGCTATTCTAGTTTGTCTTTCATTAAATCCAAGTGTATATTGGCTAAACCCTGTTATAATGAACTCATTAAGATTATATCTTATGCAGTTCCGTGACGCTTCAAAGCAAAAGGGTGATACCGCGCTTCTGAAGCTAATGTCGGACTATGGTATGTGTGGTTGTACCAAGGCGAGATGGATTTGTTCCACATATCTGTGCTGCCATTTCTAAGTGGTTATCTTTCTGGTTTCAGGTGAGGAGTTGGTGACAGCGTTAGGAAGCGAAGTTGATAGGCTTGAAAAAGAGATACAAGATCTTGTCCCTGGCATCCGCCATGTTGATATCGAGGCACACAACCCTACCGGCCCCAATCCGTGATTCATTCAGTAAAGTCCACTACTAATTTTCAACTGCTCATTCCATTCTATACGTACATATGCTTCTTGATCATAGATGGCCATCTGCATCAACAAACCCTACATTCTGATTTAGAGGATTTTGTAGTATGTCGTAACGAAACAAACAAGCGTTAGTTAGCCCCATCCATGAAACCTTGTTCTAAGTTTCATTTTCTCAGATGTCATGGTTACTCAAGGCACTGATAGCTTAGCACTAGCATGCATAATCATGCTGTTGAAGTTCAGCCAGTCTAGCGAACTAGCCCTAATATGCATCGAAAAGCTTTGCCCACCAGCCATGGCAACAAGCAGCTTATGATATTGCATGTTTTTCTTTACTGCTGAATCTCACCATTATTACAGACCAAAATTATTTCCATGAGCTCTAATAAATAACCCAACCATACATAATCCAACCCCAATCTCATCAACTCAGACTCCTCAATCCAATTTCACATTCCCAACCTGAGGAAGCTTGCCACAATCATATTGCACAAGCCTTAAAATCCTTCCAAAAATGTACCTATAGAACAAATATCTCACCAGTCCCCTCCATACCTGCGTCCCACCCTGCTGCACCCACCCCGCTGCATACGCACCCGCCACTAGCCCGGCGGCTCGCCATTTCCGCTCCTTAGCATACCCATCTAGAGCCCGAGGCATCCCTTCGGCCGCCAACACTTTCCCATTAGCCAGGAAGGAGTTCCCAATGTGCCTTCCCAACACTACCGCGTCCTCCAGCGCAGCGCCACCACCCTGCGCGAGGTCAGGCGTCATCGGATGCATTGCGTCTCCGGCCACCGTGATGTTCCCTCTGCTCAGGCTTCCTGTCAGGATGTTCCATGGGTACCTCAGCTTCAGCGGTGCCCATGACATCGACGATAGGTCTGCTTGTCGGATGGCATCGAGGAAGACCGCAGGAAAGTCTGCTGCATATTTGGAGAGCACATCTGCTTGGATCGCCTTTGGATCGTATGTGAACTCGGCTCCTAAAATTCAGTACAAGAGTAGGAATTTAGTAAAATCTAATAAGTCCGCAAAGATTTGCGACGGAAATAGATAGTCTGTCTCAGAAAGTGATTGGAAAAATTGGAATTACCTTGGCAAGATAGGAACCAGTAGACTTCTTTATCGTTTAAGGGGACCAAGCCAGCCCTTTTCCCTGAGTCAACAAATTGCTGGACTCTGCTCTCAAATCCGTGGCCTTGAGGGTAAAACGACAGTCCCCGGACTGCGGATCGACCGGAGTGGACCGGAGCGGATAGATCCAGCCATTGTGCCACCACCGAGTGCAACCCATCGCATCCTATCAGAACCTTTCATAGGAAATGATCGGTGCAAAACGATGAGAAATGAAGAACAGAATAAGGAGAAAAAAACAGAGGCTTTCAACTTTGGGTTAGTACTGTGGGCGTTACCTTAGACTTGATTGTGGTTCCATCTTTCAAGTGTACAACAGCCAGAGAATCAGCCCCTGTTTCAATGGAAGCGAGGTGGGAGGAGAAACGAATCGAGTTGGGCGGGAGCTCTCCGGCCAGAGCTTCTAGCAATGCTTTACGGTGGATTGGTCTGGGTCCGTGTCCATTTCCCCTGTTCATTAGTATCATCGTCAGTCCGGAGAACTTTTCATTTCAGAGCCAAGAACAGGGGAAAGCAGAGAGAATATACCCAGATTGTCCGACGAAGTTGATTTCTTGAACAGCTCCGGTGGCGACGTTGGTGACGGAGCCGGAGGTGATAGGAGCGTAAAGGGGAGTGAGCTTGTGGGAGATGCCGAGCGCATCCATTGCGAGCCAGGCGTTGGGAAACAGAGTGAGCGCAGCTCCGGTGGTTCTGAGCTCGTCGGATTTCTCCAGAACCAGAGCTCGGATCCCAACTCTGTTCAGAGCCACCGCCGTCGCTATGCCGGCTATCCCGGCGCCGACTATCACCACGTCTTCCACTGTACTTCCCATCTCTCTGTTTCTCTCCTTGTATGAATGAGATTCAGATATTTGTTAATGTTCTTGTTGAAAGCCTCGAGGGTTTGTTTATATTATATTGCTGCTGATGCTGAAGGGTATAATGTCCTCCATTTGGCCAATGGAGGAACAGTTGGGTCTTGGATCTTAAAGGCGGCTGAAGAAATTCTTGGGAGTCACGTAGTCATCCAAAAATGACCTCATTCGCCGTTGTATGGACCATTTTCATTTCAATTGTTCTCTCGCATGGCGGTGGAAGCTTCCCTCTACTTCGTCTTGCTGACTGATGTGGAAGACGACAAAGAAGAGATAATGCAAAATAATCACAATATACCTACATTAAAAATTCGCAAAATACAAAAGTTTGGTGTGGTTCGCTGCGGTATCCAACAAACTATGGCGACAAAGGCAGCAAAATCAAAAGTAATCAGTATGATCGAAGAATCGATCACAAAGTTCTCACCATGTGTGTTAGGTATAATTCGCTGGTTTATCCAGCGATTTTTCTGGATGGGATCGCTGGAGCTAGTAACAATCAAAGTGAATCACTCCTGTCTCCAGCAAACCAATATGAAGATCGTTGAGCACTACAGCGAACCACACAAAACTCTCGTATGTTGGAAAACTTTAGTATAAGTGTTTTATATGGGGAATTATTTTAGTTAGGATTGTCTTTTTGGAAAAATCTTATATCAAGGTTAAATGTATCAACTTCTGTCAGTTGTCACAACTCACAAACCTAATCTTGCCGGTTGTCAGGGAATACGATGGCATTATAATACTACTCTACGATTCTGAACATAGAAGGCATAAACTATGGAGAACAAATTATCACCAATCAAAATAATCAAAGCCTCGTCAGTAGGTTTTTCTTACAACTCAACCCAAATAGAAAACATTGACTAAACCTTGTTGAAAACAAAATCTTGACCCAGCTCCTCGAATTTACACCTAAAAGGATATACAACGGATTCACAGTTGATCAGTGATGACGACGATGCCCTTTCTTTCCTCCCATTATCTGGGGAGCACAAGGGTCGTAGACATGGAAGCATGCGAACTGGGTCCTCTGTTTCCACTCGACGAAGAAGAAGTTGATTCATAGACGACATCCCTAGCCACGAAGAACCCAGGCTCCGTCGGTTCCGGCAAGTCTCCATCGCCGCCGATCATAACGACCACCGCCGCCATGCTCGGCCGATCGTCTGGTCTCTTCTGCACGCACAGTAGACCGATGTGGACCAGCCTCAGCACCTGTATCTGGTCGCAGGATCCTCTTAGTGTCGCATCTACTAGCTCTGCAGCCCTGCCTTCCTTCTGCAAGCTCCAAGCCTGAATCCCAAAAGGAAAAACAACCGAAATCAGCAAATTCTTCTTCAAGTTCGAATCTTTTCGATGTGGGTATTTGGATATACTAAAGGGTTTAGCAAGTACGTGCTTACATGGCCAAGGAGGTTGAGTTCATGATCACGACGGCGGAATCCCCTGTTTCTTTCCCCGCTCACTATCTCCAACACCATCACTCCAAAGCTGAAAACGTCCGACTTGATGGAGTAAACCCCATCGATTGTATACTCCGGCGACATGTAACCACTGCATCGTTTGATTCATTCATTAGCTCAAGAGAGTTCATGCCAACATTTCTTGATCAAATATGTTCTTTACTTACTAGGTTCCCACAACGTTTCTTGTGTTTCCTTGTGAATCGTTTCCGGCGAAAGTTCTTGCCAACCCGAAATCAGAAATCTTTGGGTTCATCTCGTAGTCCAGTAGTATGTTGCTGGCTTTGAGATCGCGGTGGATTATTCTCAACCTCGAGTCTTGGTGAAGGTATACCAGTCCCCGAGCGATCCCTTTGATGATGTTATATCGCGTAGGCCAATCTAGTACCTGGCTCCGAGTTGTATCTGCAACATGTTAGGATAACGTTCCCATTAGTCAAGAATTCAGCAGTTTTGCTTTGACAGATATGCGTAGATTATGAGTAGTAAAGGGAATGTCAACGAACCGAAAATCAAGAAGTCCAAGCTTCCGTTGGGCATGAACTCATAAACCAGCATTCTTTCGTCGCGTTGAATGCAACATCCTAGAAGTCTCACCAAGTTACGGTGTTGAAGTTTGGCGATGTTGGTTGCTTCGTTCTTGAATTCCTCGGCTCCTTGTAGCGAATCCTTCGATAGCCTCTTCACGGCGACTTCTTGCCCATCTCTCATAATCCCCTGTACACAAAGCAAGGTAAGTCAGATTGCCCTTCTAACAAGTAACACCCATTTTCCCAAGGAAATGAAGAAATGCTGTACTACCTTATAAACAAGTCCAAAACCACCTTGCCCTAGGACATTCTCAGAAGAGAAGTTGTTTGTTGCAGAAGCAATGGTGGCCAGATCAAACAATGGCAACTCCAGCTCGTCTTTCTTTCGACTTGAACTAACGAAACACGGACAGTCTGTACCTGCAAAACTCCATCACCAGTTAGAACTAGTAGACGAATCAATAGTTACACCGAGAAGATCGAGAATTGGTAAGCACATACCATCCTGCTCGCGCTGCTTCTTTCTCTTAGACCAAACAACCAATCCAAGGCTCACCAACAAGACTCCAGCTGATACCGTGCAGGCCAAGACGATCCACACCACTTTCTTCGACTTCTGCACATCCTTCTTCAAGTTGCCACTGCCATCTGGTTCCACAAAATGGGGGAAACAATAAATACGTTGCCAACATCAAAGAACATACAACAATTTTACACATACCCAATTCTGAAGCTGCCATCCTAATATAGAGATCCTGACGATTGGCATACAACACCCTGATATCCAGCAGCTCAGTAAACCATATGAGGCAGCCAGTGCCTCCATCGCTGAGGTCCAAATTCGCGTAAGCGGTACAAGAACAGTTCCTGATGCAAACCTCCCTGCACTCCGCCAAGCTCATCGTTGTGTTAAACCACGACGAGTTTCGCGTCTCGGGCATCTTAATGCCCGAATGCTTCACAAACCCATCTCCAGAGCAATTCAACGGTGTCCTCCGAACACATCCGCTCGTCCAATCCACCATATCCCACTCCCTCTGATTCTTCGGCACAAACCCATCGAGACAACCACAACTCGGCGAGCTCTCGATGTCGCAGTTCCCATAAACTCCACACACTCCGTACCGATCGCAGTTGTCGTTCTGCGCTGTCAGGTAAACCACCCACCCCTGTTTGCTCCCCTGCCATGTGTACCTCTGAATCGCGCCCGTCGGAGTAATGACCATCCTGGAGAGAACAGAGTTGTTGCGGAGATGGTAGATGTAGTAAGTCTCCTCATCGGTGAACACGAAATTGTAAGTGTAGACAGGATTTGGATTCAAATGCGGTGTCCCGCTGAAGCTCTGGCCCGTCCAAGGTCCGGTCCGAAACGTTTCACCCATCGAATTGTGTGTCTCCACGAGCTCAGGGTAGCCCCCGAGCTCCATCCCACAGGTGAAATTCCCCGTGGAAGGATCATCGGGAGACAACCACGACGTGATCCGGCGATTCAGACCCGTAATTAGGTTCCTCCCCAGCTTCATTTCGGGGAGAAATGTGTCGGTTGGATGGTCGAAGCTCTGCCAGATGAAATCGTCGTCGCCCTGAGGTGTTGGTTTCACCACCAGGTTTCCTGTGTTCAGAAGCTGAGCCACGGGGAGGGACGAACCTGAAGATGGAGAAGAAGGTGAAGAAGACGACCAGAGGGTGGTGCCATTGATTCGACTAAGGAGCAGGAGAATTCCGTCGCCGGTCAGCTGGAGAAGGGCGGCGTCTGTTTGGGTGATGGGTTTGTCCCGATTGGCTACCCAAACTACGGTCATGTCAGGAATTTGTCTGTACCAGATTCCCAAGTACCGGTTTTTCGAGCTCCCGGGGGAGAAGAATCCCATGGCGTAGGTGCCGTCGGCGGAAGTCAGCGCCTCGCCGTCGTCTCGGAGAGGCTGAGCAGTGGTTATGGTATCGTTGGAGTTGGAATCCGCCGCCGCGGCGAGGCGGAAACAGAGGCTGGTGAGGAGAGCTGCTGCGAAGGTCGCACACTTCAACTTCATCGTGGGTGTTGATGGTTTCGCCATAGTTGCTCTGTTTTTTGGGGTTGGAAGGTTAAACAGAGACATTAAGAGAAGAAAAACGAATCAGGTCATGTGGGGAGCCATTTTAAAACTTCAAATGGCAAGTTGGCCATTTTTTTTCTTCAATATTCAAATCTTTAACCAGAGATATGGAGGGATGTGATTGCTATTGGCTCCCTTTGTTTTTGTAGCGCCGCCTAACCTTCCTCGGGTGGAAGTTGGATCCTGAATGGACGGAGAAATTCGTGTTCCATGATTACTGCAGGCACCATTGAAGTTGACCACGACCCAGCCAGCTTCCCTACAGTGCTCTGCTCTATTTGCCTGGTCAAGCAAAGCTGTAATGGTGAGAATTTTACGATATGTTTTCAATAAGCTCTTACTTTTACCTTTTGGTAATAAGCTCTGTCACTCATCAGGATTCAGGGGAAGTATCTGAATTTGGTGTGGTTGAAAATGGGGGTATTCAAACAATGGAAGGTGGAGATGTGACTTCTGTTGTGAGGGTGTGGAGCCCCTTGAATCCTTTTGGAAGGATGCTTCTTGCTTAGAATAGTGTGTTTATAGAGAGGTTTCTAGTAAGTGTGTTTATGAGTTGTATTTGTTGAATCATCTATGATTATGAATGAAAGAAATAGGTTCTATGGAACTTACATGAGTTGTTAGGAAGTGTGTGTGACAGAGATTCGAACTCTGGACAATATGGTTTGTAATCACCACCTAACTCGCTCTTTGAATCGATATGAATGAAAGAAAATAGGCATGTGGAACCCTAATCACATATTGCATCTCCCTAGAGGAATATTCACTGTTCTCCTCGAATGAATTGGAACATAAAATCATGGATTAGATAAATACGATCTTTTGATTTTTAGTTAGAAATATATGATGGTTAAGATTGACAAACTTTTTAACCATCTTATACCTCTTTCGTTTTAACACGAATTTTAAAAAAAATTGTACAAACAAAACAGATTAATTGTGATATAGAAAATGAACTACATGTTTGATATACTTCGTGCAAAATAATTCAAACCACATATAGTCGGACACCACAATTTACCACCATCCTATCACATTAGTATATATATATATATATATATGTCCGGACATCACAATTTACCACCATCCTATCACATTAATATATATATATATATACGGTGACTACTTAGGTGCTCTCACAAAAATGAGTGTGTTCAATAAACCCAACTCAAAAACTTGTCTTAAAGTGTCGGATTTTGAATTTTAATTTGTAGAATTAGTGTAATATGATGATATAACATATGATCACAACTAATTAGCGGATTACCCTAAGCCCTAGACCTCCAATTTTGAGTTCTATCCCTAAACCCCAAATTGTAAACCCTAACCCTAGATCTCTAAACTCTAAATCCTTCAAATTAAAGTAAATCTTTAATGGTTTTTGTGCAAATTCATTCGCGTTATTGTTCATCACATCATAAGTAATGATTGACATCATTTTGACATAAATCGCATGTTTAAAATGACGGTTATAAAGCGAGTGCACTGAATACACTAAAAAAGTGAGTGCACTGAAGACGCCACCATATATATATATATATGCACTCACTTTTTGGATGCATTCAATGCACTCATCTCATAATCTGTCATCCTGAGCATGCGATTAATGTGAAAACGATGACAATCATCACTTGACATATGATGGACAAGAAAGCACATGAATTTATACAAAAAAACATTCAAGATTTACTTTAATTTGAATGATACAACGTTTAGGGATTTAGGGTAGGGTTAGGATTTACAATTTGGGGTTTACGATTGGGATTCAAAATTGAAGGTTTAGAACTTATGATAATGCATTGATTGTGATCATATATTATATCATCGTACTAGACTATGTTATGAGTTTAAATTCAAAATTGGATGTCTTATGACTACTTTTAGAGTTGGTACATTGAATGTATCTAAAAAAGTGAGTGCATCGAAGTAATCGCTATATATATTTATATCACCATGATATAGTTTTCCATGCCACCATGGTGTCCCATAGTATACTCCGCAAATGACACATCGACTGGCGTATTTTTTTTATTTCAAAATATACTAAGGTCAATTAATAAGATTTTTTGTACAAACAAATGCCAATTAAAACGGATGAAATATATATTCAATAAAAAACTAATGGAAGAACATTTATACACCTTAGTCCATACATCATTATTATGCACTTATGCACACCATACATAATTATTAGGTTGTACCCTGGATTCGCTCTCCCAATTTATGTGCAATAATTTAGAGGAAATTTGTCATAATTAAAAGAAAATGACAATTATGATAAAAGTACACTAATGATGATGTCAGCATCTCATTAAATCGTGTATGGCTGAGCTCATAGCTAGTTATAGAAAGGTATTTGTTTATCCATGTCCACAATCGGCTTAACCGGGCCGGTCAGAACTATATGATCGGTCAACCATCATGGACAGAAGAAAAAATAATGAATCTAATCACAGTTTCTAAAAAAACAAGTTGCAGTTGGTTCATTAGTTTGGACGGCTAGAAATGAACCGAACGGTTTTAAAAAAACAACTTGTTTGGATGGCTAGAAATGAACCGAACGATTTTTAACAATTTGACATGAAATCAAATGAAGCACTCCAGTTTGAGTGGTTCATTAGTTTACAGTTTTAACCACAAAAATATTAAGGAAAACAAATACTTTAACATAAACTGAAACCATCTAACATGAATTGCTAATTTTATTTCTGCTTCCTCTTTTTCGTTTCTCAGTCTCCTTATCGCCTTTGCTTGGTCACCTACGGATTGTCATCCTAATTACTAACTTGAATTAAAAAAAATTATGATTTCATTTTTTAGATAGTTTTAATCTATTAGGACTTTTGGTGATGGATGATTAGGATTTGAAATTGTTTATTAACCTTGTGTCGTTCAGTGGCGGAGCGAAGAATAGATATGAGGGGGCTGACTTGAATCGTGGTAACTGAGAGGAGAAGGGGCTAAGGCCTTACCGACTAGTATATCTCCTAAATCTATTACTAAATTTGTTACAACTAGTATATCAACCTAGCTCTTCCACTGGCTTCGTTTATTAAGGTTCGAGGTTCCTGTGCACGAACCCAAAGACAAATAGTCCTTATCCCTATCTTGTCAATATATATTTCAGTACCATCAATCAATTACCAAATCTGATCAATCACTCCTTGTGCGCGTGATTAATACCAAATCATATATTCTAATAAAAATAGAACAATCTTTACTACATTAATCATAGAAGTTGTGTCATTTACAAGTTGTACCAAGACAACTTTTCCATACCTAAACGACATAAAATGAGATGCCATTACTTATTTGCAGCACGTCTTATCACGACGCCATCATCCTATGTTAGACTTGCAATATAAAAACCTGCCTTCCAACTCCGGTCAATTCAGACTTCACATAAGAACTTGGTACAGGAATTCAACGAATCCATGCATCAGATTGCCCCCGCTGGGGAAAATTACCTCTTTCAATACTCTGTTCACTGTCAAGCTAGCTTCGTCGTTGTCCTTTCGTCCATGGCGTTTGCATCTCAAGCTCTAACCAAGTTCATCGTCCTCTTATCACTCAGCTGTTTCACCTGGCAAGCTCACGAAGCTACAGCGAACAATGACACCGATCGGCTCGCGCTGCTGGAAATCAAGAAAGGAATAACCCATGACCCAGATGGCGTTTTCAACTCATGGAACGACTCCCTCCATTTCTGCAGCTGGCCTGGCGTCCTCTGCGGCAGGGGAAGTAACAGCAGAGTCACATCCCTTTTCCTGCCAGATCTTAATCTGGCAGGTACTCTGCCTCCACACATCGGCAACCTAAGTTTTCTGACTTCCATCAGCCTCGCCAACAACCGCTTCTATGGCCAAATCCCATCACAGATAGGCAACTTGGTCAGGCTCCAGCAGCTAAACCTCTCAGAAAACACATTCGATGGCGCGATTCCTGTCAATTTGAGCCGCTGCTCGAAGCTCAAGATCCTGTCGCTGCAGATAAACAGGCTTATAGGAACGATACCTGAGGAGCTGGGTTCTTTAGTAAAGCTTGAGTACCTAAGAGTTGGGACCAACAATTTGACGGGAAAGCTCCCAGCTTCGCTGGGAAATCTCTCGCAGCTCGCCAATTTGGGTGCTGCATTTAACAATTTGGCGGGAAGGGTTCCTGATAGCTTTGGGCAGCTTTCCAAGCTGAGGTCGCTTACCATGGGGATAAACCAACTCTCTGGTAAAATTCCTCCCTCCATTTACAACCTCTCATCCCTGCAAAACATGGTGTTTACTTACAACAATCTGGAAGGCAGTTTGCCTGAAAACCTAGGCCACACATTGACCAACATTAACTACTTCGAAATCTCGGGGAACAATCTCGTGGGGACGATCCCAGAATCGTTCTGCAACGCTTCGAAGCTCGTGGACATGAACATGAATAGCAACAATTTTGTTGGCAGGATTCCGAACTGCCTGGGGAATTTTGGGGGTCTACTGTGGTTGGATGTGGGCAACAACAGTCTCGGTCACAATTCGACTGGTGACTTCGATTTCGTGGCTTCGTTGGTGAACTGCAGCCAGCTTCGACGGGTGGGGGTATCACGGAACAACTTCGGGGGATCATTGCCGGATTCTCTGGGGAATTTGTCATCAACCCAGTTCAGTGAGTTGTTGGTTGGAGTCAACCAAATCAGTGCTCTCCCCGACTCGCTGCAGAATCTGATGGGTTTGGCCTATGTGGATCTGTCCTTGAACATGCTGAGTGGCACCATTCCTTCATATTTTGGTAAGATGCAGAATGTTCAAGGACTCATCTTACATGGGAATGACTTCTCGGATGAAATACCGGACTCGTTGGGGAACCTCAGTAGATTGGTCGAGCTCGACTTGTCCACCAACAGGCTTGAAGGAACCCTTCCTGCAAGTCTAGGGAATTGTCAGAGCTTGGCCTTCATTCACGTTGCTGAGAATGGACTCAGTGGAGAGATACCTCCAGAGGTGATGAGCTTGTCCTCGTTAACCACATTGCTGAACCTGTCAGTCAATTTGTTCAGTGGCAAGCTGCCTAAGGAAGTAGGGAAGTTGGTTAATCTGAATGCGCTTGATGTGTCCTACAATAACCTGACAGGCGAAATTCCTAGCTCGATTGGGGAATGCAGTAGCTTGGAGCATCTTTTTATGCAGAGAAATTCCTTTGAAGGAACTATTCCTGCACCATTGGCATCCATGAAAACTCTCCAAGAACTGGATCTTTCCCACAACAAGTTGACAGGAAATATCCCAGCAGAGCTGCAGAATGTCAAGTTTTTCCAATATCTGAATCTTTCGTTCAACGATCTGGAAGGTGAAGTGCCAAGTGGAGGGATATTCTCGAATGCCAGCGCCATTTCGTTGATGGGTAATCCTCAGCTATGCGGTGGTGTCATTCAACTTCAGTTACCAAAGTGCTCAACTGCTAAACCAGCTGCTGCTGCTTCTGCTTCTGGGCGAGTTAAATTGAGAGTCGAAATTGCTTTGCCTGTGTCTGCATTCATTCTTCTCATTTGCTTAGCATTCGTCTTGATCCACAAGTATAAAACATCGAGGAAGAAGCGATCCATCGAAGATGCGATTCCAGACCAATTCATGAGGGTCTCTTATGGAGACCTCCATAAAGCAACAGATGGCTTCTCCTCCGCCAACTTAATCGGTTCTGGTGGGTTTGGCACCGTCTACAAGGGGAAACTGGAGCATATGGAGAACCCAGTAGCCGTTAAGGTACTGGACCTGAAGCACGAGCAAGCTGACAAGAGCTTAGCCGCGGAATGCAACGCATTGAGGAACATTCGTCATCGAAATCTCGTAAAGGTGGTCTCCTTTTGCTCTAGCTTGGACCACAAGGGTAAGGAATTCAAGGCATTGGTGTTTGAGTACATGGAGAACGGAAGCTTGGAGGATTGGCTCTATGGGACTACTTCAATAACATCTGATATAGTGAACCAAGCTACCAACAATCTGAGCCTGATTCAAAGATTGAACATTGCAATAGATGTGGCATCAGCAATGCACTATCTGCACAATCTCTGCGAGACGCCGATCATTCATTGTGATTTGAAGCCTAGTAACGTTCTGCTTGACCGTCACATGGTGGGTCATGTTAGTGACTTCGGTCAGGCAAGATTTCTCTCTAACGGTGAGCCATTTTCTCATAGCACTGCTACTACAAGTGGTGTAAAGGGGACTATCGGCTATGCTGCTCCTGGTAAATTCGAGCCCTTTTTACGTTGATCGATGGTAAATTCAAGCTTCGCACTCTCTTAACAAGAAGTATATGAACTGCAGAATATGGGATGGGCTCGAATGTGTCAGCGCGAGGAGACGTGTACAGTTATGGGATTCTCGTCCTCGAAATGTTTACGAGAAGGCGACCAACGGATGAAATGTTCAGAGAAGGTCTGAATCTCCATAGCTTAACTAAGGCTGCTTCGCCTGGAAACCTTGGATCCATACTAGACCCGGTTCTTCTCTCTGAAGAGGGTGTAACATATGATGATGGTGGAATAGGAAAGGGCAAAGTTACGAGGAAGAAAAGGATAGGTGTTTTGCAGACGGAGAGGGTGCATGGTTGTTTGGTTTCAATACTTGAAGTTGGAGTTGCTTGCTCCTCTGAGTCGCCCGGGCAACGAATGAACATGGCCGCTGCAGCTGCAAAACTGCAATCAATTAGAGACATGCTGCGCAGGTGAACTGGATGGATGAAAGATGTATACATTGCAGACAGGAGCTTGATCATCAAGACGACCAACACAAGTTTGGTCGCGAAATCGGACTTTGAATATAGAGATTCTGGTTTAAATAACCGTGTAATACATTTCGAGAAAGAATAAAGACTATATATTTCATTTTTCAGAGCAGAAAAGATGTATGCATTGCAGACAGAGCTTGATCATCAAGAACTTAGAGATTATTGTTTAAATAATTGCGTAATAAATTTTGGATAAAGAACAAAAGAATACATTTCATTTTTCAGCGCAGAAAGAAAGAAAGATTATAAAAAAAAAAAAGGAGCCAGCCATCAAAATTTCTGGACATGGCTTCCTGAATTTCCTAATTCCATGGGAACAATAAAAAAAAAACTCTGTTCCTGAATTCCACCCATCGATCACCATTTCATATATTGTGAGTTGGGAGCAATCAACCAGCAATCATCAGCCGCGGCGATTTTGATGTTCTCAGCAATTCCGCCCTCCATGCTTTGTTTGTCTTCTCTATGAACTCTTCAACTCTCCTTCTCAGTTCATCATCATCCTCCTCCTCCTCCTCATATTCATCATTGTCATTGTAGTCCTCTTTACCATTTTCTCCACCGCAGCAATCAGCTTCTTTCTCCTCTTCTTCATCTTCTTTCTCCTCTTCTTCTTCATCTTGGTGGGGAGTTGTTGCCAATGCGGCCAACTTCGGTTCCGAGCACGACAACGACCAAGATGCTCTGTTTTCATCATTGAGATGCAGAGCATCATTCTCACCACCAATAACCAGAGTCTCCTCTTGCTGGTGAATAGTCACGTAGGGGTAGAGGTAAGGGGCTCCCACCGTTGACACATGGTGGATTTCGCATGTTGTCGAAGGAGGAGGTATCGAGGAGGCAACGAGGATGGTGACGATGATCAAATTGCAGAAGAAGAAGACCATCACCGAGTTCGAAGCAGCCCCAGTTATCAGCTCCAATGAGAAGAAAGCCACCATTTTTCAGAAAACCCAATTCAGATTTTGAGAGAGAGAGAGTGTGTGTGTTGGGACTTTGGGTGGAGGAATGAAAAAGCTAGCTAGCTGGGTATTTAACATGGAAGGGAGAAGTGAAAAAAGTTGGATCGATCATCGTCCTCTGTTTAAGGTTCCAGAGGAGAGTACGGACAAGAATGGACATATAAGTCCAACGAGAAGCTGTGAACAAAAACAAGGAACAGGCATCACCTGCTTCATCGACAAGCCGCAGAATATTAATCCTTGAATGCACTGCTTGCTGTACGGTAATCATTCTTCGGAGGAGAGACCATCCCCAGCCAGTTTAGGATGCTGACTTCCTCCATTTCTCCCAACCTCTGTTTTTTCCCCCCTCCTTTCGAAACAGGGGAATGATTCCAAGCTCAGAGAACAACCAAAGAATAGCTGTTGATGAACACGTCGCCGCCGTACAATTTAACCGCAGACATAACAACAAAGATCTCCCAGAAACGGCCAAAACAAAGTACTTGGACTAAGAATCAATATAAGAGGCATTCCACCAATTAAACAGCTCTGTTTAGCATCCTACGGATTCGATTTCCGAAGGTGGCATTATCAAAAGAGAGAATGATCAATTCGGCCTTGACAGTCAATGTGAAACTATCAGTAGAGTTGAGTTGACGTTACCTTACAGTGTCAAACTAGTTAGTAAGATGGGATTCAAGAAACTAGTTCGATAGACAGATTTTTTAAAAACCTCTCTTCCAACAGGTAGATCACGCTCATATTCAAATGGGAAGTACTTCTTAGTTCTTACCCATGTTTACAGAGACAACAACTCCACAGCAAACTACCCTGCCCATCAAAGACATGGCTCGCCATTTGGTTATCGTATCATCGATATGCAGAATCGTAGTTTAGCACATTGGTTCTTGTATAGCCTTTACGGAGTATTATGAGACCCATTTGCTTAATATAATAGGTTAAGACGCCCTTAGGTTCAATGTTTACAGGGGGGAAAACATAAAAGGCACTAGTACCATTAGCTGAAGAAGAAATCGAGTTATAAAGATAAACCGCCAAACTTCAAAGTAGCCCACTCTACTTAAATACCCACGTTCGTCTGATAACAAGTCGCTTCATCGTATGGATACTGCTATCACTTGTTGATCTTCCTTATCAGAAGGAACACTCTCTGGTCAAGCTCAAAGTGAGCTACATGAGAAGGATCCCCTTTGAGACACATTAGAAGCCCACCAAATGAAGCATATAATTCCCTGCAACCCAATGCAATGAATCAAAAGTCCCTGTAAGTTCTCAAAGGAAAGACAATTGTAGAATATGAAAGTTCTCAAATATATGCTTACGCTGTAATCGATCTTCCTGAACCTTCCTCCGATAGCTTGTATAGCTTCCCGTGCATGACATATTCATATTTGTCCGCAAGGTTTTTCCTTTTCGCCTGGGAAAATATACCATGTCAAAAAAGAGAGACAATGAGCTTCATGACATGGCAAATCAAAAGGGAAAATTGCAGCAAGTACCCATACAGATAAATTCCAGAAAAACTAATGTATTCTTCTTCTTTTTTATGCTTAGACATGATTGAACTAATTAATTTTAACCTACTAAGGTTATGAAACAGTTAAGACTGGCATGTAAACTTCAGATAATCTGTTCCTAACAACTTTTGGAGGGTTAAAGGTGAAATAACCGAGACTTGCACCAAATGGAAAATTTTACATGACCTTTACTTGAAGTTTGACCAACCAACAAAGTTGAATGCCAACTGGAAGCCAAATGACATGCATAGGACAAAGACATATCACATAACACCAAATGCTTGAACCTAAACCTGGCAGAAGAAATGATCACCACAGATAAAGTGGAGGTGTCTAAGCAATAGAAAATCATTGTTTGTGAAATGTAGCCTCATAGACAAACAGACACTTAACATTAAGAATTCTCTTATGTATCTCCAATACAAGGTAGAGAGAAAAGCTTACTGCATTGTAATAGCCAGTGTCAGGTGTCCCATCGTAATTCAGCGTAGATGCCAATGCCATCGTGAATTTGTCATTCACATCCATCGGATATATTTCGTTGTTGATATCGAGTTGCATGGACATGTCACAGTTTTGGCTACGTGCTACGATCCGACAAGCTACAAAAGAAAAAGAATATTAAAAAAAAACTACCAAGCTAAAAAGGGTGAGAGCATAATGTGGCTTTCACTAGACAGAAGTGCATTCTGAGTTCCCTCAACCCAATCCAAAGTGTCCCAAGACAAAGAGAGAACGATTTCCCCCATAAATTCATAGTGAAGCTCCAATAAGCAAGTTATACATTAAGCGGGACCATTGTCCATAAAATCACATTCCCCTCGAGCAATCTAGACAGTATACACACTACTCTACATTCATTCCATTCTTTAAGTTTGAACCAAGGACAAGGGAAGCTAAAACCCATTGATATATAATGAGATCATACTATGGGGAGTACGAAGATGAGGTGAACGTGAAGTGATCAAATTTGCAAGCGAAAGTGGAAGGAAAATACCTTTATCGAATTTTTTACCATCTGGGTTGATCTCGCCAACAACAAAAATGTCCTCGAAGAGTATTATATTCGACGTCATCCCTGCAAAATATAGCCCGATTTATGGCAAGCACATGATTTAAGAATTATGAAGGAAAAGGCAGCAAGCTGAAGGTTCCATATTCAGAAAAAACTTCCACTGCGACCCAAGGGATATGTTAGCACCTTTCCACCACGAAGCCTCAACTCTCTGACCTACCGTTCATATTCAAGATGTCGTCTTTTCACTTAATAAGCAACTCTCACCTAATGCCAGCTGTGTGATTCTGTAACTAATCTTTTGTCTTCCAAGAGTGTAAAAATCTTTAACATCTATCTCCATTCCCCTCTGCAAGGCAACTATGAGCCATTCAAACAGACACCCCACACCTACACTCGGCAGAAACCCTACCGAAAAGCTCTGAATAACCGCATCTCCAAATTCAAGACACGTATTTTACACGATCGAGAACTAAACCCTAGACTCTAAACAGTGAACGCCAGTTAATTGTTTAGAACCCAGGGGAAGGAAAGCGAAACCTAGAGTCCGTCTCTACTAACAAGACAAACACGCAGCAACAGGATAACAAGAGAATTGGAAACTACATAAACCTCTTGGCTCGCAGAGATTTGATGTACCTTTCGCTGTGTCTTCTGGCTTCTCAGACAAAGGGTTCAAGTCAGCTTTTGCAGTTTCGCTTTAAGAAGGAAACGACCGAGAGCTCCAACGGAAGCAGAAGCGGCCGTACGGCTTGCAGTGGAGCTTCGTGCAGGAAGCGCAGCCAGAGGGGAACACGCGAGGAGGAAGCAGGTGATGAGAGACTGCTAATCTCTCTAAACTTCGAGAATTAGCGACTCGGAACTTGAACGACAACAATGATTTACCCTTTTCTTACACGGGGCGCTCTCCGCTTAACTAAATAGTAAGTAGTAACCGACTGGAATTCAGTCCGGACTTCTGGTTGGACCAGTGCCTGTCCAGTTCGGTTCATGAAATGTAAATTGCATCCTTTGAAATTTTAATTTTTCAAGTTTTTCATTATATTCATTTATGAAATCATAAAAAAAATGTCTGAAATGCAAGCTAAAAGCTGAATTTGTTTAGAAACCATTTCTTTTTTGTGAGTGACAATTAAAGACAAAAACTAAAGAAAACAAATTATTGTGTTTGGGAAACAAAACTTGAAAATAAAAATTGAAACTGGTACTTGGAAAACTACTAAAAGGGTTATGAGATTCGGCTCTCTTCTCACTCATTTAAGATCCATTAAGTCATGCTCGCATTTTTATATTCCACTTACTACAGATTGTGCCATGTTTACTTGTTACTGGAGCTACCTATTTAGGATTGAATGACCATCCTCGACTCACTTCTTCTTTTTTAGAATTGGTTATAGTAACAATACAAATGATTTGATCCATATCGAAGTGGTAACTATAATGCAAACACAGTCGGTCAATAAGCATCATTAACCATTTTGTGAAAACGTTCTTTCGAGAAGTCCATACATTATTATTGGAATTCAACATCTCGCATGTTGCGATTCAATACATCCTTCTTGAAATTCATCATCTTGAATGCTAGTGTTTCATGTGTACATATTATCTTCTTGGAAGGATCAATCATCTAAAGTCGCTTCTTTTTTTTTCCCGATTGATTTTATTTCAGTCTAACCAAAGAACCAATACTAGATTCCCACCCTTTGGTCCAAAGTGCCAACCAGTTCGTAATTGCTTGTGCACAATCGTCATTTCTATGACAGAAAGACTCGACAATAGTAAGTGATCCAATCCACATCTGGTCTGGCTAAGTCATTATAAGAGAATACCATCAGAGTACACATATTGTTTATCTCACCCTTCTGATCAAGAGGACATTAAAACTTCCAACAACAAAAAAACGTCACTTTACAATACATTTTGAAGGAAGGATGGTACCTTTCCTTTGTTCATGGAGGCAGTAAAATCAAGAGGGTTCATTTCTTGGCGAGCAGCTTCTTAGGTAGTTTATCTAGAGGGGTCGACTTGAGGAGGAAAAGCCTCGCCGCTCGCTCTTGGAGAGTGCCTCCGCATTTCAGACCACGGGCTTGCAGTTCCGTCTTCAGCTTCTCCAATCCCAGAACCTGTACATGGTCAGAACACAAAAGAATCATATCAGTAAACAAAGAACAAGGAACCAACAGAATTCTAATCAAACATGTCATTAGGTTGGCGAATGTGTTCGCCCTTTGGCAATTCTATACATGAAATGATTCTCTATTATCCATCATATCCACAAATGACTGCAGATGTACATGTTACTTAACTTAACAAGTGAATCATCTGAAGGCCAAGCATTTGAAAAAGCAACTCAGGACTAAGCACAAGTTCGTAAGCTGTGACAAGGCGACTACAAACAAGAATATACCTCCAAATCAGTAGGTGAAGTGAAATCTTCAAGATTTAGCTGCTTCTCCAAATCAGCATTACTCGTCTCTGCAACTACAATTTCTTCCTCCTTATCTGCTTTTAAGTCTCCAGGACCATTTGTCACACCAATAACTAGGTTGTCTGCTGTAACTTCCACATTCTCGGAACAGGGGATCTCTCGACGTTCCATTGTCATTTCATCAGGTCCAGAAGCTTTAGCAACCTCCAAGCCAGTGACAGTGGGACTATGTGCTGCTACCTCGGAGCAAGTGTCAGGTTCAGCTACCATCTCCATGTCATTGATAGCATCTCTTTGAGAACTTGACTTACTGTTGTGCCCCTCGGCAACCTCTTTCTCTTCCTCCCTACCACTCTCACCAGAAGCAGAAGTAGAACATTCTACGTTTTGCTTCCAATCAGAAACCGAGTCTGAATTAGGATCTGAATTACTCCCGCCATTCAGTATAACAGATTTCTCAGTTCCCTCACCCTCACTGTCATCATCTGAGTCTTCAGAATCACTTACACCCAACATCTTCTTCCCCAACCTAATAAATAAGAAAACACACATCAATCCTTAAAACCCAAACTTTTCCACAGCAGCATTGGGGATAACCAGAACAATAATCAATTTAGAATATAACTGGTAAACATTCAGAATGACCAATATCAGTAACGTCATGAAAAGGGGGGAAACAAAAAACCAAGCCCTAACGTTCTCCTACGAGAACAGAATGGTATCCGCCAATTCCCAGTTCATCGCCAAGTTCTTCAGCAAAAAAAGAGTACCAAAAATCAGAAAGGAAGACATCCAACAACAGCGTTAGAAACCCTAAAGCGCACTTACCAATTCTTCAACTTCTTGGCGTCCTTAATGGGGAACTTCCCCTTTCGTTTCCCACTCCCATTACTAAAAGCCTCTCTCACGGCATCCTCAACCTCTGCCACACACTTATCAGAATCCTCTCTGTATTTAGCCACGTACTTCGCGGCTTCTCCATCCCCGTTCCCCTTCTTCGCATTCTTCTTCGCATTCTTCTTGAGAAAGTCGTCTGCAACTTTCTCCAGCCTCCTCTCCGCCTCTCCCGCTTTCCACTCCTCCAACCTCTTTTCAGCATTCACATGCCGCAGCCTTCTACCGCTCATGTCCCGGCAGGCGTCGAAATTGTTCGTCTTCTTCTGCCCGGCCTTGGTGGCGGCGCCACGAAGAAGCGAGCCGAAGCCTCCCTTCCCGCCACGGAGGCCGATCAAGAGGTGAACGCTGCACTCCGGCGTCGAGACGACGGAATCGTCATCGAGCTGGCGGCCGCCGCTGACAAGCCTCTGGTATCCAACAGGGATTCTGGTGATCTCGAAGATTCGGCGCTTGATTTCGTGAGTGTAGGCTTGCGGCGCTGCGAATCGCAGGGTAGCTGTCTTCCCATCGAGAAGCCTCGCAAAGATCTGGAACGCCGTCCAATCCGCGACTCTGTGGTTTTCCATGGTCGTCGATCGGCGAGTGCCGGAACCCTGTAAATTCGTAACCGTGGGGTAGTTGTTCTTCAGACGGAACGGAACGCCTTGAAGGGAAGCCGGTCAGAAATCGATGGAAAGGAAGATCAAGACCGAGAAGCAGGAGGACTAGGTCAAAGAGGACGAGGCGGTGCGGAGAGGAACCGTGGAAACTGGAAAGCTTCGAATTGGGGATTTTCCGATTTAGATCAATTTACAGAATTCTCCTTCTAGAGAACAAACACTCTTTGATTTTTCTGAACCTTTACACCTGCTGGGCATAAACTTCAAGTGGCTGAAACCCAAACTGGTACATAAACTATTCCTGATCAGAAGCCCAAACAAGTGAATGGGGATCTATTGATCCAGTGCTCTTCTATGGGCCGCAACAATCTAAATGGGCCAAATAGTGGGCTGGAGAATAAAGTTAAAGAGTAGAGATAAGTTAAGTTTTGGCCTAATTAAGTTTAACGAGAATAAAGTTAACTCACTAGAAAATGAATTGAGTTCAAATTCGGCTCATTAACGAGTTCACCAATTTGATTGATCTACTCAAACTAAAAATGAATGGTTGAACTTTAACATAAATTCTAAAATAATAATTTATAAATTAAATACCTTAATATTTGTATACATATATAATACATGTGTCAATATGCTGATAAAAAAGAATGATATCACAAGCTTATATACTATGTTGAATCATGCTTAATTCATAGTTTATAACCGTAATGCAGGGGCGTAGGTAGAGTGTAATAAGGGGTGTCATGGCACCCCCTTAGATTTGGAGAAAGCACAAAATATTAGTAGTACTAGTTAGTTGACGATGATGTTCCAGAGTTATTTCGACGGGCGGCGGTAGTCGGCTGGCTTGGGGAGGGTTCTTGGGAGGTTCTCTTCCTCTTCCTTCCTTTCGGGTTTGGTGGAGATCGTTCCCCTGTTTTTAGTGCTTGGTGGCAGTGGCCAGTGGCGATGTTTGTTGGGCGACCAAGTAGCGGTGGCGGCCTCGGCTACGGCGGCTAGGGTTCCAGAGGGGGGGGGGGGGAGGATGGGTGGCTAGGGAGATGTTCGAAATTGGATCTTATAGCTAACAAGATTAGCAAAGTTTATTTTATCTCATCAGTAAACTAATATGAATTCGATCTCGGGAAATTTATGCAGTTCGAGCAGGAACGAGGACATGTCGTCTCGTCGGTTGAGGTTTATACGAACCAACATGGCGTGTCGACAGAGGAGGCGGTTGATGCATTGAACGAAATGGTGGAGGAAGACTGGAAGGACATAAACGAGGACTGCCTCAACTCTCCGAATTTCATATCTAAGGATGTTCTTTCGATGTTTGTTGGGCTCGCGAGAGTGATGGAAGTTCTTTACAAGGATTTCAATAGCTATACCGTCTCCAACACAGTTATTAAGGATATGATGACGGCTTTGCTCGTCACAGCAATGGACATCTAAATTGCTCTACTTAAGCTTGCTGCAATTTGATTTCATAACTCTTTTTTCTCTAGTTTTTTTTTTAATTTGATTTCCTTAGGCATGCTTGCTTGTTTTTGTTGTCTCTTATTTTCATCATCGTGTCTATAAATAAAGGTTGGTAGTCATTGTAATGTTATTTTCTTTCTTTGAACTTATGGATGAAATGTGCTTGCTAGTTGCTACTATTGGAATTAATTTGATAGAAGGTTTTAGTAATCTTCCTCTGTTTTTGTTTTTGTCTATCGTTTTGTTTATTTTTTTTCCGTTTCATTATACAATAATTTTTAGTAGGGTGATGTCGTTTTTGTGAAGGCAGTTTACTTGTTGTAAAACAATATTTAGTCAATCTAACTACAGATTATCAGATTACGAGCTGACCACGTACAACTACTTGGTTAATTAAGTAGTAGTCCTCAACTAATAAAGTTTTATAAAACTATTTTAGTGTTCTTACTAGCATAGTACTATGATAAGTAAGAGGTGCGTTCGCGTGCTAAGTGCTAACCCATTTTTTGTTGTCATTTTTAACACCTCTCTTAATTACACATCATTGGAGTCATTCTCTTTCCTATTTTTTTTAACAGATGGATGATATTGAGCTAATGACCTTTTTTAATAAAAAATATGAACACATAGGATTACTAACTTATGACTTATGATCAAATGACTTATTAGAGTCATTCTCTTTCCTATTTTTTAATAAAAAAATATGAACACATAAGATTACTAACTTATTGGAGTCATTCTCTTTCCTATATTTTTTTAACAGATGGATGATATTGAGCTAATGAACTTTTTAATAAAAAATATGAACACATAGGATTACTAACTCCTCATAAGTCCACATGTATCTTTCCCAGTGAAAAGCTTCGAATTGGGGATTTCCGATTTAGATGAATTTACAGAATTGTCCTTTTGGAGAAACACACTGTTTTTTTCTGACGTTTTAAACCTGCCGGGCTTTCATTTAAAAAAGCGGATAAAACTGGGCCTGAAACTATTAAATGGGCCAAATAGTGGGCTGGGGAATAATTTTTCTCAGGCGAGCACGTAAACCGGTTGTTTAATTCGACCAGTGATATTTTTTGTGGAGCTCCGCCGGAGAAGAGAGTGAAAATTTCCAATTATTGAGAGAGTTAACGGAAGGAAGACGAAAGACTCAGTTTGCATCCTCTCCAATGAGCGATAAGAGCGGGAGTCTTCAAGTCCAGGTGGATCCCAACCTTCCGCGATGGATGTGCCAGAACTGCCGGCACTCTCTTTGCATCGTCGGAGCTGATTCCTTCGCCGACAAGTTCTTAAACGAGTCCTCTTTCCGCTCCGGTTTGTTTTCTTCGCAATTCTCCTCTTTCGCTCCGTTTGAACTTTCAGTTGATTCTGAACGAGATAGGGTTTGCTTTTTTTTTATTCAATTTCAGCTCATGGTGCTAACAGCGTACTGGGCTCGTCACGCATGGACAATTCTTTTGTCGTATTGCCAAATCAAAAGCCCCAACTGCAGGGAAACCCTCCACGTCCACGAGGTGGAGGCGTTCAGCCTGGGAAGGCTATGGATGAATCCTTTGTCGTCGTGTACAAGTCTGAGCCTGCCTCTGATGGAGGCGGAGGGGGACAGTTGCCTGCTCTAGAAGGAGGATCCAATGGTCAGTTGCATCCCAACAATGCCGGGTTTCATTCTACAATCTCGGTCCTTAAACGGGCATTTGAGATTGCAACAACGCAGACACAGGTGGGTCGTGGGTGTAGTGTAGTGAGTAAGCTCTTTTGAACGCGCACATAAGTTGTCCCATAACTAGATCATAATCTGTGTTTACTGTATCGAGCTTTTGAACTTGTAGGTTGAGCAGCCATTGTGTCTTGAGTGCATGAGAGTGTTATCTGATAAACTTGACAAGGAGGTTGAAGATGTGAATAGGGACATTGAGGCGTATGAAGCATGCCTCCAACGCCTTGAAGGAGAGACCCGAGATGTTCTCAGCGAGGCTGATTTTCTGAAGGAGAAACTAAAGGTTGGTTCTTCATAACTGATAGGGGTTTTTATCTGCATCAAGGAATTTTGTGGCCCTTTGATACACCGTTGCTTAGGCTATTTTTGGTCTGTAACTTGGAGGAATATTTATCATATTTGCTGCTGTGAGTTCCTACTTTTGCTGTTAGCTTAGTTTGTGCAGATTGAGCAGCCACTGTATGCTTCTATTGCATTTGATGTTGATTTTTCATAAACATGCTATGCAGATAAATAACCATTTGGTTTTCTTTTATGATTCCTTAAGATTGAGGAGGAAGAAAGAAAACTTGAAGCTACTATTTCAGAGATCGAGAAACAGAATGCTGAAGTAAATGCTGAACTGGAGGAATTGGAGTTAAAATCTGGCCGCTTTAAAGAACTGGAAGAGAGGTATGTTCTCCTTCGAACTCTATCTTCGAGGATTGGATGTGTGAATTACAGGTTAATGCTGACTCTGTTTCCCTACTGTTCACTTTCAAGGAGTCATAGTTCCAACCCTAGAGCTGCTTAACTGAGATTTGTAAAATATATTCTGTCTATTGGAGGCCTGACCTCACTCTACTGCAGGTACTGGCAGGAGTTCAATAATTTTCAGTTCCAATTAATATCATATCAGGTGTGCTGCTGACTGTTCATTTTTCATATGCTGTACCCTTCTTACACTCATAGTTTTGTACTCTACTGTCATGGAGGCTTTTCTTTTGAAGCGTCTGAGGTTGTTGCCATTGTTTTACGATGAACTATAGCAACCTACATAACTTTGAATGATAATTTTTTGATGGATCACTCTAGGAAGAGAGAGATGCGATTCTAGCAAAGACCGAGGTTTCTCAAGCGCACTTGGAGTTGTTGAAGCAAACCAGTGTGCTGAGTGATGCTTTCCCAATCTATCATGATGGAGACTTTGGAACTATAAACAATTTCCGACTTGGCAGACTTCCTAAAATCCCGGTAAAGTTACTAATACTGCCTTGCAGTCTGCATTGGGGTAGTTCTGTATACCTTCTGTTTTTTTGACGGACTGTTTACCTTCTATTTACATTGCATTAAAAGCATAATAATATTTACAAGAAACTTTGTGGAAACATTGAATAGGTTGAATGGGATGAGATAAATGCTGCCTGGGGCCAAGCTTGTCTACTCCTCCATACAATGTGTCAATACTTCAAGCCAAAATTTCCGTATCCTTTTTTCTCCACAAGTCAACTTGCTGATTGTAATGTGCAGTCGCTTTGTTGATTTCACCAATTGCATACGATACAAAGAACTTCTTAATTATAATAAATATGAAATGAATCTCTGATTGCAGGGAACATGATGGAACTGTGAATTGTTAAATTGAGAACTTTCTATTTAAGTTAATTTTATGAATTGTTAATTAGGTTAGATAAAATTTCCCTTTGTCTAGTAGTTGGCTGCTTGCAGACTTGGGGATGTCCACTTTGACCACTAACTCCTAGTTTTTGTTGTTGCTATTAGTTAGGACTTAGGACTAATGATTCACTTTTGCGAGTGAGTCCGCAGGGAGAAGGAGTCCTTAGTTAAATTTAGATGTTAGTTAGGTGTGGGATTAGCCATGATCCTTAGGTATAGGAATGCCTTCCCCTTCTTTTGTATTTAAGCTGCATTGCTTTTATGAATGAAGGTAGGATGAAAATTAAAAGAAAAGATATGGTGGTTCTCGCCAAGAAAGGAGAACAATGGGGGTCCGTTCTTGCCATTAAAGATAATATTTCCACTCGGAGTTCTGATCCTGTCGGAGCACTTGATCATTGGCTTATGAAGAGCTTCTACTGAATTTCACATCTGAATAAGGAACATGACATAGGACATGCCAGTTCTTAAATAGTTGCTTTCTATTACGTAATCAATCTTGTTATATACCTGCATCTGGTCCTTCCTCTCATAAATGAGTTAGTTATGATTTGAATGGTCAGTGATGGATGAATGTTTGTGGATAGGACATCCTTTACTTGCTGAAATGTTTAGATATCACATAAAAATGATTCCTATGGGGAGCTACCCGCGCATCATGGATAGCAACAACAATTCCTATGACCTGTAAGTACTGAATGCCTGAGATTTAGTACGCACCTTTCTTGTTAGTCTTTTTCTCTTGTACTGAACTCGTCTTCTTAGGTTTGGACCGGTGAACTTATTTTGGAGCACTCGCTATGATAAAGCGATGATACTGTACCTAACATGCCTCAAGGACTTTGCTGATTTTGCATATTTGAAGGACCAAGAGAACAACATCCCACCTGAGAGTAGGTTCAAGTTTCCATACAAGTAAGTCATTCTCTCACTTTTTCCTGCCGTAATTTAATTCACTATAGAAGCCACTTTCCAATCTCTGGTAACTATTCATGTACTTTGCTGTCAGGATTGAGAATGACAAAGTGGAAAGCCATTCCATCGCCCAGAGCTTCAATAAGCCAGAGAACTGGACAAAAGCATGCAAGTACACGCTTTGCAATTTGAAATGGGCTCTCTACTGGTTCATTGGAAACACTAATTTCCAACCTATGACTACACTAATGGTCTCTCCGCGTGTAAATGTACCGGGGGCAGGGTCTTTGTATGCAAAGCAGCAGCAGCGTGGTGGTACAGGCTCGAAACGTGATTCTCGCAGAACATGAAAACCAGACTTACTAATGAGATACTGGGACTGGGAACCCGTGAAAGGGTTTGTAGATAGAAAGTAGGACTGTTAGGTTACTCCAATCCTATTTTAGCTTTGTTATCCCGATTCCTCCCGTAGCAACTACTACTTACTGTTGGAGTTATTCCATGTACCCAGTGGAAAGCACATATCTCCTTTTGTGTGGTATATGCATAGTCAATTGTTCGTGCATCCTGTTTGGTTCGAAGCAGATATCGTGTACATATGTTATTCCTCAATACATTTCTTGAGGTTCGAGGCATATGCAGAGTAGTGTGGGTGTTTTCTCCAACTCCAAGCACAGTGTTCTTCTATGTTTGAGAGTGTTTAATCGGCTAGTCCTTCGTGATATGGTTGCTAGTTGAGTAGAGATTTATAGAGCAGGATTCATCAATTCTGCTCCTGCTCATTTTCCAGGATCCCAGGGGTTTTGATCTCTGAAATCCCCTGCCCGGAGATAATTGCTAAATAAGGTACTTATTATACACCGCTTGAGGTCTGAGGTGAATGCAGTTTGAATATTAAAACAGAAGCAGTTCACAGTTGTATAATAAGTGTCCACGTTCGAGTTCTGAACATATCTGGAAATTTGCTGCTGTGGTTAGCATGCCGGCCATCCACCCGTCTTCTCCGTCGCTATGAGCGGACAGATTTTGCTAGAAAGGTACTTCTGATAGTCTGTAGCTTCCTGGTAACGTCAGCCATTTTCATCCGTTCGTTCGGCGCTTCTGCTGTGCACTTCACTCCCAGTTCAAGCAAGGAGATCAAGCAGTCTTCCACCTTCTTGTCAATTCCGTCATTTTTTCCAGATATCAGCATTGAAGGATCAATCGAGGTTGGAAGTATGGATGGCAATGCGGCCATGACAAAGTTGCGTATATTCATACCATCCTTGAACATTTCATCTGTTGGTCTTTTTCCTGATAGAATTTCCAGCACAAGGATTCCGTAGCTGTACACGTCCCCTTCCTTGGATGCCTCGGAGCCCGTCCCATATTCTGCAAACCAGGTTAGGGTTTTCTGTCAGTGTGCTGAATTAATGTTTTCAATGGCGTGAAAAGGGTTTCTTTTTGAAGGCAAATCGTGGGGATTCATTTTTTTCCCCTTACCTGGTGCTGCATAGCCAACCATCCCGTTTAGCCCAATTGTGCTTGCTGTATTTGTATCAGATGGTGAGAGGATTCTCGCTAGACCGAAATCACTCACATGAGCTACCATGTCATGGTCTAGGAGCACGTTGCTTGGCTTCAAATTGCAATGAACGATTGATGTTCCACTAAGATCATGAAGATAGTGCAATGCAGATGCCACATCTATTGCAATATTGAGTCTTAGGGGAAGACTGAGATGGTGTGATGTGTTGATGCCATCATTACCGCAATGCAGCCATTTATCGAGGCACCCATTCTCCACAAATTCATAAACTAGAGCTCCGAAAGCATTACCTTTGTTGTCTGTGCTAGAGCAGCAAGATAGAATCTTCACGAGATTTCGATGCCGGATATTCCTCATTATTTTGCATTCCACCACTAATCTCTTATATGCTTTCTTTTCTTGCAAGTTGAATACTTTAATAGCTACTGGTGCTTCCATTTGCTCCAGGTTACCTTTGTACACTGTGCCAATACCACCAGACCCGATAACAGTTTCATGACTGTATCCATTGGTCGCATCATGGATGTCTCTGTAAGAAAGCTTCACAAAGTCGTCCACCAGTCGATCTTCTCCTTGATGGATATGCTTGTTTGGTCTTCTCATCTTGCAATATAGTACAAGGCCTATCATTACCACTAAAAGTGCAGATAGAGATGTGCTAACAATGATGGCTATTAGCTTCAACTTTTGAGGCCTTCTATTCTTGGTGGTCTTATTTGGGCATTTAGGCAAAAGGAACTCTGGAGCACCACCACAGAGCATGGGATTGCCTGTCAATGATACAATGCTTGCATTGGCAATTATCCCCTCCGATGGCACTTCACCTCTCAGATTATTGAAAGAAAGATTCAAATACTGTAGGCGGATTTGTAGTAGATCTTCTGGGATTTCTCCATCGAAGTTGTTTCGTGAAAGATCTAATTCCTGAAGCCCTTTCAGAGACGATAAAGCTGGAGGAATAACCGAGTCGAAAGAATTCCCCTGCATATAAAGGTATTCCAGACTTGAGCAACTGGAAATGGTGCTAGGAATTTCCCCTTTCAATTGATTGTTAGAGATATCTAACATATTCACATTTTCCAACTGCCCAATTTCTGCAGGCAGGTTGCCTGTGAGAAGGTTGTTTGACAGGTTCAACAATATGGACAACGAAGAAAGGCTCATCAACTCTGGAGGTATAGCTCTCGTGATTCTGTTTTCTGAAACATCCAAGGCAGTCAATCGAAGGCAGTTCCCAATGCTGGGTGGAATGTTACCTTGGAGTTTGTTCTGTCCTATATACAGTTCAGACAACTTACTGAGATTGCCTATAGAGGATGGAATCTGACCTGAAAGTTGATTTCCATTCAATGTTAGTCTCTGCAGATTAGAAAGCTGGCCAATATAAGGAGGGATGGTGCCTATCAAGTAGTTATAGGAAATCTCCAGATCCGTCAGGTTGAAGAGATTGACCAACCCTGCAGGGATAACTCCAGTGACTTGATTGAAGCCAATAAACAGTTTGGTGAGTGTGGTTGACAGATTTCCCAGAAATTCTGGTAACGGGCCGCCAAAATTGTTGATGCTAATACCCACCCCGTCCAGCTGACTGCAATTTCTCAATGACTCCAGAAATGCAAAGTCGCCCGTCGAATTGCTTCCAAGATTATTGTCAGCCATGTATAGGGAAGTAAGATTCCTAAGTTTCCCGAGACAAGTAGGAACCTTTCCTACAAAGTCATTTCGGTTCATATTCAGTATCTGTAGCTGAGAGACATTGCAGATTGAATCAGGGATGGTTGCGAAGAATTCATTTCTGGAAATGGCGAAATTTACGAGATTGGGCATGGCGAGGTCCATGTCCACCGGCAATCGACCACGCAAGTTGTTCCAAGGAATTGCAATGGTCCTGATGGTTGAGATATTGAAGAAGGATGGAGGGAGTGAACCAAATAGCTGGTTGCTCCCAAGGGTAATTGATCTTAACCTTGGCAGCAGGCCTATGCTTTCTGGAATGCTTCCTGTCAAGTTATTATACGCAGCACCGAAGTTGAGGAGCAACGAGAGGTTCCCCAGGGAAGGCGGGAGCCATCCTGTCAGATTGTTGGTTCCAACTCTGATGAACTCGAGCTTCGACAACGAGCCAATCTCCAGCGGGATGTTCCCGCTAAACTTATTCGCTTCCAACAAGAAGTACTTGAGCTGGGAGCAACGGGTCAGGTTGGTTGGAATCTCGCCTTCAAATGCGTTGTCGGTGAGATTGAGGTGCTCGAGTTGAAGCAAGTTTCCAAGTAGTTGTGGAACCTCACCGTGGAAACTGTTCTCCATGAGGTTGATGTATCTAAGAGAAGTAAGGTTGGCGACGTGCGGAGGCAGAGTACCCACCAGATTTTGGCCATGGAGGTCAAGGGAAATGACACGCTGGCTAGGAAGTGGATCACATGCAACACCAAACCAGTTGCAGAAATGGACGGAATCATTCCAAGATTTCAGAGCTCCATCCGGGTCACTGCTCACCTTACTTTTGAACTCCAGCAGGGCAAGTCGATCCGTCTCATTGTTGCCTGAACCATTTGCCTGCAGTTGGAAGTTCAGGAACAGAAATATGATAATCAAGCTGTGGAGTAGAAAGGAAGTGGTAGCAAGCTTGGGAGTTCTCATTTCAGATTATGAGAAGCAGCCTGCTGCAACGACAGAGAGATTAGCTACCACAGGTAACAGATACCCTTTTTCGAGCTTTAGTGCTTTTTTCCCCCCTTTCCTTCATCCACAGGAAACCATTAATGGGAATGATGCTTTTTGTCAAGGCTTGACTGTTGTAACATTGGGTTGATATTTTCTCTGCGTGCAGTTCTTAGGGTTCAAGCAGACATTCCCATGGATGATAATTGGAGGGGAATAAGTCACGTTACGAAAAGGCCACTAGCGCATTGAAGAGAGCAGTAAACTTCTTCTCAGGGGCCCGGGCCACTCTTCTTCCTGCCTCCACTGGTCCGACTTCTAACGAGAAATGGATGAAAATCTTAGCAGAGAGTTTTTTTAACACAAAGAATCACTCACGATTGCTATGACTTTGACGTTTGTGATACTTATGGTCAAATTTGGCAAAATACATTCGTAGAACCAAAATTTGGAGTCATTTCGTCACAACACGGTTAGTGATGTTGAGTAGATTAACGATTTATGTTGATGTGAATTTTTTTTTTGTCCGAACTCTGCCACGTGTCAACCACATCATATTTGTCAACACATTTGTATAGCTCATTCAACCTAGTTAGTTATAAATAGTTTGTTCATAAAATGAGAATGGTTCATTGTGTTCGAATTTTTGTGATCCTATTATGCTTATACACATGATATTCATATTTGGTGCAAACTTAAAACCTATATAAATTGAACTGGGCTGTCAACTGGGCTGTCCATAGAGTGGCACGTAAAGTCCTGTTGCTGTTTCGGTTAGAGTTAGCTTCTTTTGACTTTGTAGGTTGGTTTGTTAGCGGGGTGGGGAGGGAGTGTGGGTAGTTTTTGTTCTATCTTTCCGATCTTACTCGGACAAAAAAAAAAACTATATAAGTTGACTATCTTTTGAGGGGGCGTGTAGTAAATAGTTTACAATCCAGTTTTTCATATCTCCCAACCACTTTAGTTATTGATATTAAATATTTGTTGTATAAAGAATGTCATTCGAAAGTGAACCGTTAACTATATCATAAATTAATATTTGATATAAGATTCAATATTAGCCGGTTATTGATACTAAATGTTCCCCTATGTCTTCATTATATTGCTTTCTCCTTTTGAAATAGCAAAGCGGAAGGTGTAAAGGCCTTTTTTTTTCTCCACACGCCACCCATTTTGTCAACAGTCGGTTGGCTAGGAATGGAAATATTGCTCTGAATATCTTTTACCCGTTTACTTGTGAGTTGGCGAGTTATTGTCTATCGTTAGCCTCTATGGTTGAATCAGTCGGGAGCCCGAAAGGCAGTGATTTTTCGTCTACCATCAAACATGATGAGTATTCGAACTACATAATACATATTTTTATCAATTAGACCATAATCATATCCAAATCTCTCGGCACTTCTATTGTCATTTGAGAAAAATTCATCTAGTACGTCTCAACTCTCGTGGAATAGGTTGACGTTACACCACCGGTAATTGCAAGGAATGCAAAGCAAGGAGCTAGATGGCATATAGAACCGGCCAAAAACAACATTGATGGACGAAAATCCTGAGGAATCTTGCCGTCTTTTCCCACTTCCGGCGATCACATACGACCATGAAATCTTTAGCCCACCTCGCCGCCGGCTGCTTTCAATAGTGAGGTTGACCTTTGCATCCTAACATAACAATATTATCAATTCATCATTTCCCCCATTCAGCTGTCATTCTCAATTTCTCAGTATTCCCAACTTTTGTGCCGTCGCCTACCTGATACAATGGCTCTATTCCCTTTTGCCGGCTTCCAAACTTATATTTAACAAAGAGTGACGAGGTGCGTTTCGGCAGTGGAATATTTGCCGGACCTCGGTGAGAATGAAATGAAGCTACAAAATTAATTTCTATGCTGCTTCGTTGCAGCAGGCTGCTTCTCAGTTCTCATGATCTGAAATGAGAATTTCCAAGCTTCCCACCACCCCCTTCCCACTTCACAGCTTCATGATCATGTTCCTGTTCCTGTTCCTGAACTTCCCGTTGCAAGCAAATGGTTCAGGAAACAACAATGAGACGGATCGACTTGCGTTGCTGGAGTTCAAAAGTAGGATCAGCAGTGATGAAGATGGAGCTCTGAAATCTTGGAATGATTCAGTCCATTTCTGCAACTGGTTTGGTGTAGCATGTGATCCTCTAGCTAGCCAGAGAGTCGTGTCCCTTGATCTCCATAGCCAAAAACTGGCGGGTACTCTGTCTCCACACGTTGCCAACCTCACTTCTCTTAGATTCATCAACCTCATGGACAACAGTTTCCACGGTGAGGTTCCACAACGACTTGGAAACTTGCTTCAACTCGAGCACCTCAATCTCAGCGGCAACTCATTTGAAGGCGAGATTCCAACCAACCTGACTCGTTGCTCCCGGCTGAAGTACTTGTTGATGGAAGCGAATAACTTTAGGGGGAGCATCCCGATGGAGATTGGCTCGTTGTCGAAGCTCGAGTTCATCAGAGTTGGAACCAACAATCTAACAGGATGGCTCCCGCCTTCCCTGGGGAACCTCTCGTTGCTCCTTAACTTTGGTGCTGCATATAATAATTTGACAGGAAGCATTCCAGAAAGCACAGGCATGCTATCAAGGTTAACTTCAATTACTCTTGGAAGCAATCAGCTCTCTGGTTCAGTCCCTCTATCCTTCTTCAATATCTCATCCATCAAAACCATTGCAATCCCTTGGAACCACTTGCGTGGTCGATTGCCAGTGGACATGGACCTCACCATGCCCAATCTCGTAAATTTCGCCATTTCCAAAAATGAATTCTTCGCAACCATCCCTGATTCAATCTGCAATGTCTCTCGGCTACAAATGGTGAATATGAACCGAAATGACTTTGTAGGGAAGGTTCCTACTTGTCTTGGGAAACTCAGAGGCCTTACTTCGCTAGACATGGCTGAAAATCGTCTTGGAAGCAATTCAACAGATGACTTTGCATTTCTGGAGTCATTGAGCAATTGCAGTCAGCTGCGGCGGGTGGGTATTAGCATCAACAATTTTGGTGGCCCGTTACCAGAATTTCTAGGGAACCTGTCAACCACGCTCACCGCACTATATATTGGGGCCAATCAAGTCACTGGAGTTATCCCTGCAGGGTTGGTGAATCTCTTCAACTTGACGGATCTGGAGCTTTCCGGTAACTACATGACAGGGACCATCCCTCCTTATATTGGGCAGTTTTCTAATCTACAGAGACTATCATTGAATGGAAATCAACTTTCAGGTCAGATTCCATCCTCTATAGGCAATCTCAGTCGGTTATCTGAACTGGATATATCGCAGAACCAACTCCAAGGCAACATTCCACCCAGTATTGGGAACTGTCTTCAACTGAGTACCTTGGATATTTCAGGAAACAGAATAATGGGAGCTGTACCTCCACAATTATTGAGCCTATCTTCATTGTCCATATTGTTGAACCTGTCAAACAACTTGCTCACAGGCAACCTGCCTGTAGAAATTGGGAATTTGGAAAATTTGAATAAGTTGGATATATCTAATAATAATTTGAAAGGGGAAATTCCTAGCACCATTGGCAGTTGCTCAAGTCTGGAATACCTTTATATGCAGGGGAATTCTTTTGAAGCAGTTATTCCTTCAGCTTTATCGTCTCTGAAAGGGCTTCAGGAATTGGATCTTTCACGAAACAACTTAGACGGAGAAATCCCAAAAGATCTGCTAGAAATCCGACTACAGTCTTTGAATCTTTCTTTCAACAATCTGAGAGGTGAAGTGCCATCAAAGGGGATCATTCCCAATGCAAGCTCTGTATCATTGGCAGGCAATCCCATGCTCTGTGGTGGTGTTCCCGAGTTTCGTTTGCCTAAATGTCCAAATAAAACCACAAAGAATAGGAGACCTCCACAGTTGAAGCTAATAGTCATCACTGTTAGTACATCTCTATCTGCACTTCTACTGGTAATGATAGGACTTCTACTAAATTGCAAGAAGAGAAGATCAAACAAGCACATCCATCGAGGAGAAGATCCACCTGTGGACGAGTTTGTGAAGATCTCCTACACAGACATCCATGACGCAACCAATGGATACAGCCATGAAACTTTAATCGGGTCTGGTGGTATTGGCACAGTATACAAAGGAAAACTGGAGCAAATGAAAGCACCAGTAGCTATTAAAGTGTTCAACCTGCAACAAAAGAAAGCGTATAAGAGATTAGCGGTGGAATGCAAGATAATGCGAAATGTCCGGCATCGAAACCTCGTGAAGATCCTATCTTACTGCTCTAGCACAGACAACCAAGGAAATGCATTTGGAGCTCTAGTTTATGAGTTTGTCGACAATGGAAGCCTCGATAAGTGGCTGCATTGCTGTAATGATAACATCAAGACACCACACCATCTCAGTCTTCTCCAAAGACTCAATATAGCAATAGATGTGGCATCTGCAATGCACTATCTTCATGATCTTAGCGGAACGTCAATCGTTCATTGCAGTTTGAAGCCGAGCAATGTGCTCCTAGACCATGACATGGTAGCTCATGTGAGTGATTTTGGTCTAGCGAGAATCCTCTCACCATCTCAAACAAACACAACAAGCACAATTGGGCTAAATGGGATGGTAGGCTATGCGGCACCAGGTAAGGAAAAAACTTGAGTTTCAACAAATTTTCCTCTATAAAGAAACCCTACCACGCGGTGCCATTCAAAACCCATTGATTCAGCACAAGACTGACAGAAATACCCTAACCTGGTTTGCAGAATACGGGACGGCCTCCGCCGCATCAAAGGAAGGGGACGCGTACAGCTATGGAATCCTGCTGCTGGAAACCCTATCAGGGAAAAGACCAACAGATGAAGTGTTCAAGGATGGTGTGAATATACGAGACTCTGTCAAGGCCGCATTGCCATCCAAACTTCCGATGTTAATAGATCCATCAATGCTGATACCTGGAAACACGGACAGAACTTATAAGAAGGTGGAAGAGTGTTTGATTTCCTTGCTTGAACTGGGAGTGAAGTGCTCAGCTGAACCGCCGAACGAACGGCTGAAAATGGCAGAAGTTACCAGAAAGCTACACACTATCAGAAGTACTTTTCTAGCAAACTCTGCATGACCAGAGAAGGCGGGTGGACGCCTCAACCTTGTGAACCCAGTTTAGTCCGCTGGCCCGGTAGAGCAAGTGGGTTAAAAGTTAATGGTCTGATCTCTTATTTCTTTAGCTCAGATATATGAAAAATTCACTATATTGTTTATCCATTTACAGATTATATCAAATTAGTATGGTATAATTAGTATTTGGCGCTACAGAAACATTAACCAAACCATATTTTTAGGGCTACGAAATATCTAACATATAGAAAATAATATAAGATATTACATGAAAATCACAGTTCGTAAAATTAAAATACACTCATATAACATCAATACTCAAATGTTCAACTTAGAATTTCAAATATATAGGATTAGGCGAGGAGAAAAACAGGAAAAATGGTGTGTTTCACAAATCAAAGGGAAAAACAACACTATAACCTTTGAAACCTTGCTGCGAGTTGACCCGCGGGTGTGCGGCACCCATTTTTTTTCATCGAGCAGGGTCAAAATGGGCCAACCCATGGATCAACCCACAAGTTGTCAACCTTGGTCATGTTGAATAAAATAGGATACAAATAACCTTTTCATTTTTTTATAATTTGAGTGTTGTAATGTATTAGTTCAAAATTTCACAAGTAATTTTATATGATTTTGAGATTCGAGAAGAGCTATAAGCCTATAACCTCGCCACAATTTAATTGGTTCTTGCATTCAGTCCTAGCAATTCCTTCTTATTTTATTTAATCAACTCCTACGACATATCACGTAACACTAAACCATCTCAGATAGGCAGGTAAAGATTCCACACCAAGCACAGCCAAATGAAACATTCCATACCCATAATTATCAACTATGGTTTCCTCGTTCAGCTGTCCTTCTCATTTCTCATCAGTCATCATTGCCGGCCACCCAACATTGTAACAAAGAGTGATGAACGAGCGTGGTTTGGAAGTGGAATATTTTTGCCGCCCGCGCTGGGCTTCAAATATGATTTTCACTTCCACATAAATTTTGAAAGCACCAAAGCTCGAAAAGATTGTGTTACCTGTGGTAGCTAATCTCTGCCTCGTCGCAGTAGGCTGGCTGGTTCTCATAATCTCAAATGAGAATTTCCAAGCTTCCTACCACTCCCTTCCTACTTGACAGCTTCATAGTCATGTTCCTGCTCCTAAACTCCACACTGCAAGCAAATGGTTCAGGCAACAATGAGACGGATCGACTTGCACTGCTGGCATTCAAAAGTAAGATCAGCAGCGATCCAGATGGAGCCCTGAAATCATGGAATGATTCCGACCATTTCTGCAACTGGTTTGGTGTTGCATGTGATCCGCTTATTAGCCAGCGAGTAATGTCCCTTGATCTACATGGCCAAAATCTGGTGGGTACACTGTCTCCACACGTCGCAAACATCACTTCTCTTAGATACATCAACCTCATGGACAACAGTTTCCATGGTGAGATTCCACAACTACTTGGAAACTTGCTTCAACTCCAGCACCTCAATCTCAGCGGCAACTCATTTGAAGGCGAGATTCCAACCAACCTGACTCGTTGCTCCCGGCTGAAGTACTTGTTGATGGAAGGGAATAACTTTAGGGGGAGCATCCCGATGGAGATTGGTTCGTTATCAAAGCTTGAGTTTATCAGAGTTGGAACCAACAATCTAACAGGATGGCTCCCGCCTTCCTTGGGGAACCTTTCGTTGCTCCTTAACTTCGGTGCTGCATATAATAACTTGACAGGAAGCATTCCAGAAAGCATAGGCATGCTATCAAGGTTGACTTCAATTACTCTTGGAAGCAATCAGCTCTCTGGTTCAGTCCCTCTATCATTCTTTAATATCTCATCCATCAAAAACATTGCAATTCCTTGGAACCACTTGCGTGGTCGATTGCCAGTGGACATGGACCTCACCATGCCCAATCTCGTAAATTTCGCCATTTCCAAAAATGAATTCTTCGCAACTATCCCTGATTCAATCTGCAATGTCTCTCGGTTACAGAAGGTGAACATGAACCGAAATGACTTTGTAGGGAAGGTTCCTACTTGTCTTGGGAAACTTAGAGGTCTTACTTCGCTAGACATTGCTGAAAATAGTATTGGAAGCAATTCAACAGGCGACTTCGCATTTCTGGAGTCATTGAGCAATTGTAGTCAGCTGCGGCGGGTGGGTATTAGCATCAACAATTTTGGTGGCTCGTTACCAGAATTTCTTGGGAACCTGTCAACCACACTCACCGGTCTGTATGTTGGGGCCAATCAAGTCACTGGAGTTATCCCTGCAGGGTTGGTGAATCTCTTCAACTTGACGGATCTGGAGCTTTCCGGTAACTATATGACAGGGACCATCCCTCCTTATATTGGGCAGTTTTCTAATCTGCACAGACTATCATTAAGTGGAAATCAACTTTCAGGTCAGATTCCATCCTCTATAGGCAATCTCAGTCGGTTGTCTGAACTGTATATATCACAGAACAAACTCCAAGGCAACATTCCACCCAGTATTGGGAACTGTCTTCGATTGAGTACCTTGGATATTTCAGAAAACAGAATTATGGGAGATATACCTCCAGAGTTAATGAGCCTATCTTCATTGTCCATATTGTTGAACATGTCAAACAACTTGCTAACAGGCAACCTGCCTGTAGAAATTGGAAAATTGGAAAATGTGAATCAGTTGGATATCTCTAACAATCATTTGAGAGGGAACATTCCCAGCACCATTGCCAGTTGCTCAAGTCTAGAATACCTTTATATGCAGGGGAATTCGTTCGACTCGGTTATTCCTCGAGCTTTATCTTTTCTGAAAGCGCTTCAGGAATTGGATCTTTCACGAAACAACTTAGAGGGAGAAATCCCAGAAGATCTATTGCAAATCCGCCTACAGTCTTTGAATCTTTCTTTCAACAATCTGAGAGGTAAAGTGCCATCAAAGGGGATCATTCCCAATGCAAGCTCTGTATCATTGGCGGGCAATCCCATGCTTTGTGGTGGTGCTCCAGAGTTCCATTTGCCTAAATGCCCTAATAAGACCACCAAGAATAGAAGGCTGCAAAAGTTGAAGCTAATAGTCACCATTGCTAGTACATCTCTATCTGCACTTTTGGCGGTAACAGCAGGCCTTGTACTAAATTGCAAGATGAGAAGATCAAACAAGCATATCCATCAAGGAGAAGATCCATTGGTAGACGACTTTGTGAAGATTTCATACACAGACATCCATAATGCAACCAATGGATACAGCCATGAAACTTTGATCGGGTCTGGTGGTATTGGCACGGTATACAAAGGTAAACTGGAGCAAATGAAAGCGCCAATAGCTATTAAAGTAATCAACCTGCAGCAAAAGGAAGCATATAAGAGACTAGTGGTGGAATGCAAGATAATGCGATATGTCCGGCATCGAAACCTCGTGAAGATCCTATCGTACTGTTCTAGCACAGACGATCAAGGAAATGCATTTGGAGCTCTAGTTTATGAGTTTCTGGACAATGGGAGCCTCGATAAGTGGCTGCATTGCAGTAATGATAACATCAAGACACCACACCATCTCAGTCTTCTCCAAAGACTCAATATAGCAATAGATGTGGCATCTGCAATGCACTATCTTCATGATCTTAGCGGAACGTCAATCGTTCATTGCAGTTTGAAGCCGAGCAACGTGCTCCTAGACCATGACATGGTAGCTCATGTGAGTGATTTTGGTCTAGCGAGAATCCTCTCACCATCTCAAACAAACACAACAAGCACAATTGGGCTAAACGGGATGGTAGGCTATGCGGCACCAGGTAAGGAAAAAACTTGATTCTACACAAATTTGCCTCTAAAAAAAACCCTACCACGCGGCGCCATCCAAAACTCATTGATTCAGAACAAGACTGACAGAAATCCCTAACCTGGTTTGCAGAATACGGGACGGCCTCAGCCGCATCGAAGGCAGGGGATGTGTACAGCTATGGAATCCTGCTGCTGGAAATCCTATCAGGGAAAAGACCAACAGACGAAATGTTCAAGGAGTGTATGAATATACGCGACTCTGTCAAGGCCGCTTGGCCATCCAACCTTATAATGTTGATAGATCCATCAATGCTGATACCTGGAAACACTGACGGAATTGATAAGAACATGGAAGAGTGTTTGATTTCCTTGCTTGAACTGGGAGTGAAGTGCTCAGCTGAATCGCCGAGCGAAAGGATGAAAATGGCGGAAGTTACCCGGAAGCTACACACTATCAGAAGTACCTTTCTTGCAAACTTTGAATTCCCAGAGAAGGCGGGTGGACGGCTGGGCGTCGAAGCATGTTAACCAGCATGGAATTGTTTATAGAACTCGAAGGCGGACACCGATGATACTCTAAACCGTTTCTGATTACTGTGTTGGATAGGCAGATATAGCTTGTTGTTTTTTCTTTGCGTTTATTATGTTTCTGCGGGTAAATAGTGGGATTATGTAAAGTTTGCGGAGGAAATAGGGGTGTACAATGATTTGGTTAAGGATGGAATTATTGATATCGTATATTATAGTGTTTTCTTATTTCTATGAATTTGATAAATGTATAAGAAAATTGCATCAAACTTAAGATGGCTCATGTGGGGAAAATTTAGCATTTTCCCCTTTTTGTGTAAGGAAGTGGTTAAGTAGCATACATTAACCTCTCTCAATAACTCGAGTTATTGTAACTAGTTTGTTATGACATTATATTAGAGTTGGTTTGCCCTTAAAGTCATGTGTTCAAGTCCTCATGACCTCCAATATTAACTGTCATAATTGGGAGAGTTATACCACTTAAATTAGAATAGAGCATTATTGTCCTAAAATAGTGCATTCGTCCATTTTTTCGTCCGTTGACTAACAAACCTATTAAAAAATATTTGTTTGTAATTTTTAGAGTAATGTCTATTTTTTGTCTAAACCTTTTTCGGATTTTATTTTATTAGCCAAATTTATCGAAATACTAAGAATTATCCAAATGTTAACTTAGCTAGCAATTTTGTTAGTAATATTGACTTGGCAACATGATACTGACTTGGAAGGGACAGATGAAGATTAACCTTCCAAATTTTTAGTATTTTCACTAAGAAAATGTTATAAAATTATTAACGATAACGTAAAAATGGCTAATATTTTGATACATTACGAAAGATTTGGTTAATTAATAACATTTTAATAGGTTTGAATAATATAAAAGAATCTGAAAAAAGTTTGAATAAAAATTAAACATTACCATAATTTTTATCTGTCTCGGTTCAAGATTCCACACCAAGTGTCGGAAATGAAATATTCCATACACATAAAATTATCATCTCATAGGTTCCTCGTTCTGCTGTCCTTCTCATTTCTCATCATTGACAATTTCGGTGCCGATCGCCAACCGAATATTAAGGCTTCGTCCGCTTCTTTGCCGGCCACCCAACATAGTAAGTCTGTAACAAAGAGTGATGAGCGAGCCTGTTTTGGAAGTGGAATATTGTTGCCGCCCTCTCTGGGAATAAGGCTACAAATATGATTTTCATTCACACATGAATTCTGAAAGCAGCAAAGCCTCGAAAAGATTATGTGTTACCTGTGGTAGCTGGTTCTCGTAATCTCAAATGAGAATTTGGAAGCTTCCTACCATTCCCTTGTTACTTGACGGCTTCATAGCCGTGTTCCTGCTCCTGAACTCCACACTGCAAGCAAATGGTTCAGGCAACAACAATGAGACAGATCGACTTGCTCTGCTGGAGTTCAAAAGTAGGATCAGCAGTGATCCAGATGGAGCTCTGAAATCTTGGACCGATTCCGACCATTTCTGCAATTGGTTTGGTGTTGCGTGTGATCTGCTTCCTAGCCAGCGAGTCACGTCGCTTGATCTCCATGGCCAAAATCTGGTGGGTACCCTGTCTCCGCACGTCGCCAACCTTACTTCTCTTAGATACATCAACCTCACGGAGAACAGTTTTCGTGGTGAGATTCCACAACCACTTGGAAACTTGCTTCAACTCCAGTGCCTCGACCTCAGATTCAACTCATTTGAAGGCGAGATTCCAACCAACCTGACTCGTTGCAGCCAGCTGAAGTACTTGTTGTTGGAAGCGAATAACTTATGGGGGAGCATCCCGGTAGAGATTGGTTCGTTATCAAAGCTTGAGTTCCTCAGAGTTGGAAACAACAACCTAACAGGATGGCTCCCGCCTTCCTTGGGGAACCTCTCGTTGCTCGTCAACTTTGGTGCTACATATAACAACTTGACTGGAACCATTCCAGAAAGCTTCGGCCTGCTATCAAGGTTAGCTTCAATTAATCTTGGATGCAATCAGCTCTTTGGTTCAGTCCCCCTGTCCTTGTTTAATATTTCATCCATCAAAAGCTTTGCAATTGCGTGGAACCATTTGCGTGGTCGCTTGCCGGAGAGCATGGACCACACCATGCCCAATCTGAAACAATTCGCTATTTCCAGAAATGAATTCTTCGCAACCATCCCTGACTCAATCTGCAATGTCTCTCAGCTAAAACTGGTGAATATGAACCGAAACGACTTTGTAGGGAAGGTTCCTACTTGTCTCGGGAAGCTTACTGGTCTTACTACGCTAGACATGGCTAAAAATAATCTTGGAAGCAATTCAACGGGTGACTTTGCATTTCTAGAGTCATTGAGCAATTGCAGTCAACTGAAGCGAGTGGGTATTAGCAGTAATAATTTTGGCGGCCCATTACCAGAATTTCTGGGGAATCTGTCAACCATGCTCACCGCACTGTATATTGGGGACAATCAAGTCACTGGAGTTATCCCTGCAGGGTTGGTGAATCTCTTCAACCTGGCGGATCTGGAGCTTTCCTATAACTACTTGACAAGCATCATCCCTAATATTGGCCAGATTTCTAATCTGCAGAGACTGTTATTGAATGGTAATCAACTCTCAGGTCAGATTCCATCCTCTATAGGTAATCTCAGTCGGTTGTCTGAACTGCATATATCACAGAACAAACTGCAAGGCAACATTCCACCAAGTATTGGGAATTGTCTTCAATTGAGCACCTTGGATATTTCAGAAAATAGAATCATGGGAGCTATACCTCCAGAGTTAATGAGACTTTCTTCATTGTCCATATTGTTGAACCTGTCAAACAACTTGCTCACAGGCAACCTGCCTGCAGAAATTGGGAAGTTGAAAAATGTGAATAAGTTAGATATCTCTAATAATCAGTTGAAAGGGGAAATTCCTAGCACCATAGGCAGTTGCTCAAGTCTGGAATACCTTTATATGCAGGGGAATTGTTTCGACGCGGTTATTCCTCCAGCTTTGTCGTCTCTGAAAGGGCTTCAGGAATTGGATCTTTCACGAAACAACTTAGAGGGAGAAATCCCAGAAGGTCTCCTACAAATCCGCCTACAGTCTTTGAATCTTTCTTTCAACAATCTGAGAGGTGAAGTGCCATCTAAGGGGGTTATTGCCCATGCATGCATTGTGTCATTGTCCGGCAATCCCATGCTTTGTGGTGGTACTCCAGAGTTCCATTTGCCTAAATGCCCAAATAAAACCACCAAGAATAGAAGGCCTCCAAAGTTGAAGTTAACAGTCATCACTGTTAGTACATCTCTATCTGCACTTGTACTGGTAATGATAGGCCTTCTACTAAGTGGCAAGACAAGAAGATCAAATAAGCATATCCTTCGAGGAGAAGATCCACTGATGGACGACTTTGTGAAGCTTTCCTACGCAGCCATTCATGAGGCAACCAATGGATACAGTCTTGAAACTTTAATCGGGTCTGGTGGTATCAGCACAGTCTACAAAGGAAACCTGGAGCAAATGAGAGCACCAGTAGCCATCAAAGTATTCAACCTGCAACAAAATAAAGCATATAAGAGATTAGTGGTGGAATGCAAGATAATGCGAAATATCCGGCATCGAAATCTCGTGAAGATTCTATCTTACTGTTCTAGCACAGACAACCGAGGCAACGCATTCGGAGCTCTAGTTTATGAATTTGTGGACAATGGGAGCCTCGACAAATGGCTGCATTGCAGTAATGATGGCACCAAGACGACATATCACCATCTCAGTCTTCTCCAAAGACTCAACATTGCAAGAGATGTGGCATCCGCATTGTACTATCTTCACGATCTTAGCGGAATGTCAATCGTTCATTGCAGTTTAAAGCCTAGCAACGTGCTCCTAGACCATGACATGGTAGCTCATGTGAGTGATTTGGGTCTAGGGAGAATCCTCTCATCACCATGTCAAACAAACACAGCAAGCATAATTGGACTAAGCGGGATGGTAGGCTATGCGGCACCAGGTAAGGAAAAAACATGATTCCCCACAAATTTGCCTCCAGAAAAGAAACCCTACCACGGGATTCAAACCTCATTATTTCAGCACAGTGACAGAAATTCCCTAACCTGGTTTGCAGAATATGGGACGGGCTCCACGGCATCGAAGGAAGGGGACGTGTACAGCTACGGAATCCTTCTGCTGGAAATCCTATCTGGGAAAAGACCAACGGACGAAATGTTCAAGGATGGTGTGAATATACGCGACTCTTGCAAGGCCGCATTGCCATCCAAACTTTCAATGCTAATAGATTCATCAATGCTGGTATCTGGAAAAACTTGCGGAATTGACAAGAAGGTGGAAGAGTGTTTGATTTCCTTGCTTGAACTGGGAGTAAAGTGCTCAGCTGAAGCGCCGAAAGAACGGATGAAAATGGCGGAAGTTACCAGAAAGCTCCACACTATCAGAAGTACCTTTCTAGCAACTCTGTCTGCCCAGAAAAAGGCGGGTGGACGGCCGGCCACCAAGGCATGCTAACCACCGCAGGGAATTGTTCAGAACTCGAAGGCGGACGGCGATACTACTCTGAAGTCTGAACTGCTCCTGTTAATGTTTGGATAGGCAAGGTGTACATTGATGTTATGCGTTTCTTTTATTCTTTTTCTTTTCAATACAAAGAGAAAACAATCAAAGGAAGAAAGAAAAAAGAAAAAAAAAACCTTTACCGTTAATCACGTATGTAATATCCCGAATCTTTTCCCGACGAAAATATTGTCCGCTTTGGGCCTCGACCCTCACGGTTTTTGACTTGTAGTGCAATTCAAGGCGACTTCCCATAAGGTCACCCATCCTTGTTGTACTCCACACTGAGCACTTTTAACTTCGGTTCTCACAAGAACTTCTCCATTTCACCCAAAACGTGTCTTGTCAGTTAAGGTCGGTTTCCTACTTATGAACCATGGATCTCTCCCGTACTTTTTCGATAATAAGGTGGAATAATGAAAAAATTAAATATTATTATTTTTTAATTGCTACATCATTTATTTAAAGGTCAACTCTTTAGAGTTGACTGCCATGTCACATAAAGTTAACAGACAGTGACTAAATTTGAACCATTGAACTAATTTGAGTGACTGTGAATGGAATTAAATTAATTTTAGAGGCAAACATAAAACTTGCAATTTACCCATTGATAAGGTGTTAAGGTGTTAGACTCCTAACCAACTCGAATTTTCTGTGCGTAAATTTTTATTCATTTCCTCCTCTCAAATCTCTAATATGTTCTTAATCCAATCTCCCACTTCTCCTAAATCCCTTTCTGATCTATATTTCATTATGTTAATCACGTGTGCGAAGATCATTCATCCATCAACCATCATTTGCACCCATAAAATAAATCAGGAAGAGAAACCGCCCTTGGCGGATTGCAGCCATGAGAAAGTCAAAGTCCTCTCTACTTGACTCATTCCCAAATTGGGTTGTAACTTGTAAAAATCTGAAGGGGCAAACATAACAAGAAATGGCGGATTGCAACTCAAGGGACTAAGTCAAGCAGGAGACAAAAATTAGAAGTTCAGAAATTTTTAACTGAAGAGTTGAATACGAGAGCTTACTACATAAATTTGTTATAAAATATTCCAATTGGCCTTATCTCCAGTACTGACTTCTGATTGATATGGAATGGAATGGAATGGGACTTACACACATTTTATTAAGGCGGGAACAGCAGCCAAGAACTGTAGCTCCTGTAAACCTCACGGCTATATAAACGGCACAAGGCTTTGATGTCCTGCCGTCAAACATCAAGCAATCCTTCTTCCAAGATCAACAAGAATGTCGTTCAGAACTTGTAAACCACTTTCTATGATCTCCAATCTAGTTATGGTTATCAGCCTCTTTCATCTCTCTGCACTCAGAGACCCACAGCAAGCAGTCACGGTTGCTGCTTCAACCAACAACCAGACCGACAGGCTCGCGCTGCTCGAGTTCAGGAACGGCATAACCAGCGATCCGCATGGAGTTTTCCGATCCTGGAACGATTCAGTCCATTTCTGCAGCTGGGTGGGCATTTCCTGCGGCAGACATGGTGATGATGGCTCGCAGAGAGTCACATCTCTGGTGCTGAAGAAACAAGACCTGGTGGGCACTCTGCCTCCGCACATTGGGAACCTCAGCTTCCTCCAGGCCATCAACCTGGAAAACAACACCTTCCACGGGGAGATTCCTCAGGAGATAGGGAACCTACTTCAGCTTCGAGAAATCAACCTCTCGTCCAACTCTTTCGTTGGGGAAATTCCTGACAACCTGACACGCTGTTATGAGCTCCGTATCATGAGGCTGGGATTGAATAATCTGCAAGGGCGGATCCCTCTGGAGATTGGGTCTTTGTCAAAGCTCCGAGTCATGAGGGTTGGAACAAACAACCTGACAGGAGAGATTCCCCATTCGGTGGGGAACCTGACAAATCTGATTGACTTCGGAGCTGCTTATCTCAACCTGGTGGGGCGCATCCCAGAGAGCCTGGGTGCTCTGGAGAACTTGTACTCGATTTCTCTTGGGATAAACCAAATGATCGGTACCATTCCTCGATCATTCTTCAACATCACCACTCTTAGCATCATTGCCCTCCCTTGGAACCAGTTTGAGGGTCGTCTACCCGATGATATAGGCTTCACTTTACCGAAACTCCAGAAGTTTGCTATCTCAAAGAACAAATTTGCCGGTTCCATCCCTAAATCATTGTGCAACGCCACAGAGCTGCAGCTCGTGGACATGAACAAAAATGGTTTCGTCGGTCAAATTCCCGATTGCATAGGGAATCTGCCAGATCTATTCTGGCTGTCAGCTGGGATAAATCATCTCGGCAATTATTCCCCTGACGACTTCGAGTTCTTGAAAGGGTTGCAAAATTGCAGTCAGCTTCAACTTTTGTCCATCACTGCCAACAACTTTGGAGGCACTCTACCTAGCACCATAGCAAACCTCTCCGCCCAGCTTGCCATACTTGACGTTTCAGAAAATAAACTAATAGGATCGGTTCCTGCTGGACTTGAGAAGTTGGTTAACTTGAATGCCCTATATCTGTCATACAACCTCTTTGGAGGTTCCATTCCTCCTTTCTTTAGCAGGTTTCCCTATTTGCAAAGCTTGCATTTAGAAGGAAATCAGCTATCTGGTCCAATTCTTCCCTCCATTGGCAACCTTACTCAGTTGACTGAACTCAACATCTCGAATAACAGATTCGAAGGCGCTATTCCTTTGGGTCTTGGTTCATTGCTTCAGTTGATTTCCTTGGATATTTCAGGAAATACTCTCACTGGATCTATACCTGGCAAGATTTTCAGTCTTCCATCCTTGACAAAATTACTGAACTTGTCACACAACTTATTCACAGGGAACCTGACTCCAGAAATAGGGATGCTGGAGAATCTCAATGCTTTGGATATTTCTCATAATTTCCTGACAGGCAAAATTCCAAGTGCCATTGGTGATTGCAAGAGCTTAGAGTATCTCTATTTACAGAGGAACTCGTTAGCCGGTGCCATCCCTCCATCTTTAGCTTTCTTGAAAAGCCTTCGAAAAGCCGATCTTTCACTCAACAACTTGCAAGGAGAAATCCCGTCGGCTCTTCAAAATAGTAACCTCTTACAGTATCTGAATCTCTCTTTCAATCACCTTGACGGCCAGGTGCCAACGGAAGGAATCTTTTCAAACTCAAGTAGCATATCATTAATGGGGAACAATATGCTTTGCGGTGGTGTGCTCAATCTCCATCTTCCCAAGTGCACGGCTAAACCTTCCACAAAGGCTATCAATCGCCGTACAGTTGTGTTGGTAGTTCTTGTTTTTGTAGGTCTATCCCTTCTGTCCCTATTAACCTTCCGAATTATCACAAACTCATCAAGATCAAAGAAGAAGACACTTGTGGAAGGTCCAACACTAACCAATTTTGTAAGGGTCTCTTACAGAGACCTTCACAGAGCAACTGGTGGATTCTCTTCAGAGTTTTTGATTGGGTCTGGCAGCTTCGGCCTTGTCTACAAAGGGAAATTGGATGGAATCGACCCACCAGTAGCTGTGAAAGTGCTGAAGCTGGAAAACAGGAAGGCTTACAAGAGCTTGGCGGCAGAACTGAATGCATTGAGAAGCATCAGGCACCGGAACCTTGTCGGGGTCATGTCATACTGTTCCAGTTCGGACCACAATGGCGATGAATTCAGAGCTCTAGTTTTCGAATACATGAGGAATGGAAATCTGGAGAACTGGCTGCACACCATGGACGGTTCCCACAAACTCGGTCCCGGTCAAAGGCTCAACATTGCAGTCGATGTGGCATCTGCACTACATTATCTCCATGACCTCTGCGAAACTCCACTTGCGCATTGCGATTTGAAGCCGAGCAATGTGCTTCTGGACGAAGACATGGTTGCCCATTTGAGCGATTTTGGCATTTCCAGGATTCTTTCAGCTGAGGGTACCACATTCTCGGGAACAAGCACCATTGGCATCAAAGGAACAATTGGGTATACTCCTCCAGGTGGGCAAAATTCCTTCACATTTACGTCTTCGTGGATCCATGTGTCAACATAATCAACTGTTCTTTGGATACAGGATACTTACTTTGCACCTTTTTGCAGAGTACGGAATGGGCAGTGCAGCGTCGAAAGAAGGTGATGTGTACAGCTTCGGAATTCTACTGCTGGAATTGTTCTCCGGGAAAAGACCCACCGACCAATTGTTCGAAGACGGTCGAAATCTTCGAGACTATATGACGGCGGGGCTGCCAGATACGGTATTTGCGGTGCTGGATCCAGTGCTCTCTCCCGGTGGAGACATAACTGAGGCGGCGGAGATATGCGGAGGTGAAGCAATCACAGAATTGGTCGAACTGCAACGCAGAGAGATAAACTACAGAGAGGCGAGCTTAATGAGGTCGAGTCAATACCTCAATTGCATGAAGTCGGTCGTCGAAATCGGGATAGCTTGTTCTCTGGAATCGGCGACACAACGGATGAAGACGGCGGACGTCTACCATAGGCTAGAGTGCATTAGAGATGCTTTTACCGCAAATACCATTCGCCGTCGACCCAGAGAATGGCCGGACCGGTCGTAAATTGGGGAAACTCCCGCATGCCTTCACTGGACTTTAATCTGTGCAAACAAGCCCTGGCTCAACAAACAACAAACAACAAACCGTAAGAGTGGTATAGATCGATAATTAATATTTTATTGGGATTTCATTGGTTTTTGACACAATATCAAAATTAATTTAATTAAATGATCATTTATTCAAATCTCCACGACCACCTATATTAAACGTGATTAAACATAAAAATATGACTTTCGTTTAAGGAACGAGTAACAAAGTAGCATTAGATTCATAATTAATTTTCTTTCAACAACTTACCATTTGAGTGATAGACACCAAATGGTTCTAAGAGAAAACAAACAAATACAAATCACATAAATGAAACCATTATGTGTCATTTATCTTCCATAAACCACAAGTACTATTACTACTACCCAGCTCAGGTAGTCGTCGTCGTAACAAACTGACGCCAATACCAGTGCTGATCCCATATCCCCTGCATCGAGTCAAGCGGAATCCCTTTCGTCTCCGGCAAGAAACACACGACGAAGAGCGTCATGGTGGCAATCCAGCCGGCGTAGAACAGGAAGGCGCCGTACTTGAGATGGCAGAGCATGGTCAGGAAAGTCTGCGACAGAACAAAAGTGGTGGCGAAATTCACGGCCAGGCTTATGCTCTGCCCCGTCGTCCGGATCTTGATCGGGAAGATCTCACTGGGGATCAGCCAGCTGAGCGGGCCCCACGACCACCCGAACCCGGCGCCGTAGGTGCACAGCAAGACCAGCACGGCGACGGCCAGTGCTTTGCTCATGTGCTCCGTCCCTGACACTCCCGTCCCGGCGACCAGCACGGCAGCCACCGCTAGCTGCCAAAATAATATCAAACAAATTAAAATGAACTACTTCTTCTTTTTTGTTGGAAAAGGTACTTCCGTCTATTTACTATAAAAAAATCCCCCCATTCCCATGCTCACAAAAAATATTTTTTCAGTGTTCAGCGATTTATGCACTAGCACGCTCGACATAGAAGCTATCTACACCGGATCGCGTAATATCAAAGCGAATCAATCTCAAACCAATTAGATCGCATTCAATTTAAGCGAACCATTCTCGAGCCATCTAGATCGTGATAAATACAAAACAAACCAACCTCGAACCATTTGAATCTCGCCATATCGAAGCGAGCCACTCTCCAACCAATCCCAAGCCTACCACTAACTTAGCTCGAAACTTCAAACAATTTTAATTTTCGCTCTGTTATAAGATAAATCTTCGAAGCTGCAAACAACCAAAGACGGTTAGATTTGCGTTTTTCCCAAAAAAAATCTACCCCCAATAGACCCTTTCTCAAATCCAAAAAGAGGAATTGCTTTTAGATTTAAGGATTTTGAGGGTAACTTTAGATTTAATTTTCACTTCCGTGTGCCGTGATTTATCTTGTTCAGGCTGGTTTGCTTAAGTCTGTCACAATCCACACTCGTTCGCTCTCTACTCAAGCGAACCAGTACATAGTTCTAGGGCTGGGATTCGGTTTTCCGGTTAACGGCTTAACAGATAACCGTATCGGTAACCGCGGTTATCGGTTAAACCGTTAACCGGATGGTAACGGTTTTCGGATGCTGAATTTGGGACGGCGGTATACCGAAACCCGGATGCCAACTAACCGACGGAAAGCTGGTTTTCCGATACCGTATTTGCAAGACGTAGTAGTAATCTGAGATTCTCCTAATTAGCTACAAACTTGTAATTGGTTCTCTATTAGGAAAAGGAATTTGTAATTACATATTAATAATCAGTAATTCCCCTCCCCTCTCTCGCAGTCTCGCTCCCTGCCTGCCTAATCCAGCCGCCAGCCCTCACCATCACGAGTCTCGCCGCCAATTGGATCCCCAATCGGCAATCGATGTTCTCTCCGACGCCGACGCACTCAGACCGACGAACCGCGACGTGGCAGCCCAGCACCGCAACCTCTCCGTCGACCCTGTGCCGCTTCCTCTCCTTAGTCCCCAGCACGCTCGACCACATCGCCGACGCCGGTGCAGCTTCCCCGTCAGTTTCCGTCGACGGTGCACTCTCCGTCAGTTTCAGGTTTGTTGTGATGTTCCCTCGCCGCAGCATCTATTGTTTCCTTTGATTTTGTTTGTTTAATTTAATTCCACCGGCGGTGCATGCACCTTCCCCTGTCGGCTGCCGCATAAGCTATTTTCAATTTTTGAAGGGAACGACATAACGATTCACGAGGTGTGCAGTGTGCTGTGAAGAAGAAGACAACACGTTTTCTCAATTCTAATTAAGTGGGAGATGGGAATTATGGGGGCAGGGCATTGCAATGCATTGCCATTATGCATAACCGGGTCCCCACCATTCGTCATTATCACCATTCACCAGTCCCCAGTCCCTTCACATTCGGTAATCGGGTACCGATTTAATAACCGCAACCGAAGGCATTCGGTAGACGGAATACCGACTCCAATACGGTATCGGCAAACGGCGGGGCTTCAATGCTTCACAGTATACCGGAAATCAGTTATTCGGTAATCGGTTTAACCGGTTACCAACCGTTTACCACCCCTACATAGTTCACTTGAAACTCGAGTGAATCATGCCAAACTCTAATATTTTGAAAAAAAATATTTCGGTAAGAATCGTATTGAGAGTTTTTTTTTTTTTTTTTTTGTCACGATAAGAACAAATATACATGAATGTAACGTACCTTACAAACGAGCATTTGGAAGCCACCAGCCACGAACAAGAACCTCCTCCCGTACCGATCCACCACGGCCGTGGAAACCAGAATCGCCCCGAGATTCACCACTCCCAAAATTGTCGACGCGATCAGCGCCGAGTCCTTCCCGAACCCAACCGACTGAAACAGAACGGGGGCGTAAAAGGCGATTATATTAATCCCCGTCACCTGCTGGAAGAACGGGATTAAGACCGCCATCACCAGGTGGGGCCGGTACGGCCTCTTCAGTATCGTCACGAACGGCTCCTGATTGGCCGCTTTCGCCACGTCGACGGATCTGACCAGCTCGTCCAGCTCGCCCTCCACGTCGGCGCCGGCCCCGCGGATTCGGGCCAGGGACTGCTTGGCCTCCCGCAGCCTGCCGCGCTCCACCAGGCTGCTCGGCGTGTCGGAGATGAGGGCGGCGCCGGCGGTCATGACGGCGGCGGGGACGACGGCGAGGCCCAAGGAGAGGCGCCAGCCCCATGGGTGCTTTGACAGGAAGAAGTTTATGAAGTTGGAAGCTACGACGCCGATGCCGATGAAGAACTGGAAACCTGTGTTGAATGCTCCTCTCCATTTCGCCGGTGCCACCTCCGACAGGTAGAGCGGCGCCGCCTGTAAAAGTCATGCATTTTTTGCTAATTTGGTGGTTGTTCACGTAATTCCGTGCTTATTCACATTAATGAAATTTTAATTTTTTTCTCTTTTTCATATAATAGTTTCTATTCACCATATTTTATGAAAATAAAATTTTGATCTTCAAATTTCTTGTAAAAATGTGTTGCATTGAATAATAATCACTATTTGCGTGAATAATCACCCGATAAACACGAAATAAATTTATGTGGCTATTTATGTACCACCAAATTTCCCCCCACAAAGTATATGTCTAATATTTTGTTACGTACTTGGTTAGTGAAGCCAACTCCGATACCGAGCAAGATGCGTCCCAGGATGAGCATGGCGACGTTGACCGCCCCGCCATTGACAGCGCCGCCGGCGAGGAAAGTGAGGCCGCCGAGCACCATCGTGTTCTTGCGGCCGAGGGCGGCGGTGACGCGGCTGGCTACAAGTGATGCGGCTAATCCTGCAATGTAAAGCGAGGAAGTGAATGCCGTCAGGAGTTGGCTGTCGTATTGACAGTATATGTTGGTCTCCGCCGCTGCCGCCTTCCGCAAAACTGACGGGAAGAACTTCTTCAGGAATGACTCCATTGTTGTGACGCCACCTGTCAATTCGGCACCACAAGGAAAAAATATTGTTTTTTTTTTGCTAGAGAATAAAGTTAAATATTAAATTCAATTGTTTATTTTAGTTAAAATACCAATGTTAACAAATCATAAATATGCATATCTTACCGATTATTTGAATTATAAATTTTATTTTCTTTAATGAATAGGTATGCATTCTGGTTGTGAACACATTCATGACTTGCATTATTAGCTATCTACTACTACATGTGGTAGACTATTTTTGCTTGTATGCATTTATTATTTGCTTGATTAGCTAGAAAAAAAGATAGAACTACTGCCGATTGGAGCTATCTAAGAATCTAATTAAATTTAGTCCGATTAAACATAGTAAAGAAACGCTCGTTTATGCTATATGTTACATTGCATGTTACAATATTAATTTTTTTTCTTACCCCGTTGCTAATGACATATTATACCAGTCATTATGATTTATGAGTCAGAACTAAACCGAACACCGTTACGGTCCAGATCATAAATTAATTAGTCTACACAAACATATTAGCGAATTTTTGTAAATTTATTAATTAAAAATGGTTGCTTTCTTTTCTCTAAAGGACACTAAACATACTAGCCAATTGGTGCAAAGAGATAGAAACTTCTTTATATTTTGCTCTGTTTCGTTCACATTACAATGAAATGAACAGACATAATCAACACTGAATTCACAAAAAGTCACAAAAATTACCTGAAATCCCAATGTCATATCCAAAAATGAGGCCGCTGGAGGCGGCAACGACGCACGTGACCACAACGGAGCTTGTTATCTTGCCGCCGAAGTCCTTCACCGGCCCTCCGCTTCCCACCAAAACTCCCACCGGAGCCATTTTCTCCCAACCCAGTGACAGAAAGAGAGAGAGAGATAAAAGTGTTTGGTGAGAGTAAATTATTGGAGGAGACGAATATGGCAGCCGATGCTGGCTAAGTCATCGTCGTGCCCACTTCAAAAAAAAAAAAAAAAAAACTTCTTTTGGTCTCTTCTGGAGCTGACGACTGATTGGTGGAAAGGAGGGAAGGATGGAGGCAGGGAGGGGTTAAGTAGAGGGGAATGGGGGGACGTTGCAACTTGCAAGTCTGCATAATTTTGGCTGGTTGTCAAAAGGATGTGACTTACGGTACAAATATTTGCACCGGAACAAACCTACCACTCCATAGCTACCGCCCGTCGCCCTCCGTTCAACGGAGTTATTGCGCAAGTTTTTTCCATGGAGTGGTTTCACGGGTTTGGTTGGGCGCGGGCGGGTACACTGTAAAGTTCTGCCCCTTTAAAATTCGAGCGCCGCCCTTTCTTCTTCTTCGAGACTGATGGCTAGCCGCCGTGAGTTCAGATAAGTGGAAATCAACGATGGAAGCCCAGGAGACTTCCAAGCATATTCTGTCGCCGCGCATTCCTCCTCCTCGATGCATCTTACCGTATTGTAGCAGCCGGAAGCTTTCGGGGGCTCATAAATCATAATATAATGGGGAAATCGAAACCCTATCGCCGTCAATTTGATTTTTTCACCATCAGGGAAGGGGGGAATTCGAAGCTCTTTACTGCCCACCATCCATTTCGTGCCTTCACTTCCGAGGGTTCTGAGGAGGAATAGGAATTCGGTTTCAGAAGGGCTTAACCACTTCGCTTTTGCTTTCAGAAGAGCTTACAAATGAAGGAGCGTGGTTGACTGGTTGTGTAGTAGACGTCCTAGAGCCGGAACCCTAGCCCTCTTTCTAAAAGCGCCAGGCGTGTCATCATCTTGCTCAATAACCTAAACGAAGAATTCCCCTGGCTTTCCCCGTGTTTGATGAGGTAATCCCCTGAATCTCATTTGCATATGCATATGAAGAGATCATGTAGTTTCAGAATTTGTACAATTCCTGCATAATCGAATGTGGAGTGTTGAATTCCGTATCCTGATTGATTGATTGATTGATTGATTATGGTATGAAGCTATCTGCTTTGGTCTTCTTTGTCGAATTGGTCTGACTGTCTTGATTCCTGAGTGAGAAAGTTGGTCTTGAAATCTCGAAAATTACTCAATGACTTTTGGTGTCATTATCTCTTCAGATGATTAGTTAAGATATACTTGAAGCAGACGTCAACGTTCTGTGCTTGCAACTCAACCTATCTCCGATGGTAGAAGTTCCATATCGCTGTTGCCACTCTCGAAACTTAATCGCTCCTAAGCGTGCCTTTCATTCTTACAGCAATAATAGGGGGATGATTGCAAGTGAGAATGATTGATGCAAAATAAATTGCATTTTCCACATAAAATCCGAGGTGGAAGTACGAGCTCCTAGAGGTTCATACAAGTAACTTACTTGGTTTACTGCTTTCACTCTCTCTGTGTCTTTTGTAGTCTTATGTTCGTGTTGTTACATGTAACTGCTTTTTCCTATTTTCAGAATATCCTCTCCGGAGACTCATAATAATAATAAGTGCACTTTTCTTTTATCTTAAGGAGATTAGGGTACTTCATTGGTTGAAAATCTATACTACACTTGAATCAGAGAGCTCTATCAATCTTTTTAAGTGATGTCTTCTAACCTCTGATAGTATTTGACTCCGCCGATCTCTTTATGTGATGTCTGTCAGCAACGAAACTGTATAATGATTGATGGCATTCTTGAGAGGTTCAGTTGTGCACTTAGGAAGATGGAGACTCAATATACCACTGCAAAGCATACTACAGTCGGCACCTGGCCATCAAGTTGGTTAATGTTTTCAAGATCGTCCGGGATTTCTCGTTGCAAGTTGGTGAGTGAAAGATCAACTTCTCAAACGCTTTTCAAGGAAGCTACAGTTGGAAGGATGACACTCTTGAACAAGTTTACTCTGCAAATAGAGATACTGCAAGCTCTTGCAATTCCCAATGCTACTTGGAATTATCCCTCTCAGCTGCTTAGATTCTCCAACTTCAGTAAGTGAGTCGTACTAGTTTATTATTACAATACATATTTGTTTTTCTTTCACAGACAGTGCTTGTTTGCTCACATATTAGATCAGTGAAGGCCCGAATGCCCAAACTTACTACCTCTCCTGCCGCTCTCTCGGTCGACGCCGAGTGTTATTCGTGACAAAAGCATCCCTAATGCACTCTAGCCTCTGAGAAACATCCGCCATCTTCATCCGCTCTGGCGCTGATTCCAGAGAACAAGCTATCCCGATCTCGACAACTGAAACCATGCAATCGTGGTATTGAATCGACCTCATTAAGCTCGCCTCTCTAAAGTTACTCTCTCTGCGTTGCAGTTCGACTACTTCTATGATCTCGTTGCCTCCGTCTGGCTCCGCTGCCTCAGTCATGTCTCCACCGAGGAAGAGCACTGGATCTACTACTCTGGATATCGTATCGGGCAGCCCTGCTATCATGAAGTCTCGAAGATTCCGACTGTCCCCGAACAAGTGGTCCGTGGGTCTTTTCCCAGAAAACAACTCCAGAAGTAGAATTCCAAAGCTGTACACATCGCCTTCTTTCGAAGCTGCACTGCCCATTCCATACTCTGCGAAAAGGTTCAACCACAATCAGTAAGCATCCAAAATACATATGATTTCACGAACTTATAGATGTACGAAAGACTGGAAATGTTCAGAATTTTGTTCACCTGGAGGAGTATAACCAATTGTTCCTTTGATACCAATGGTGCTTGTTCCAGATAACGTTGTATCCTCGGTTGAAAGAATTCTGGAAATGCCGAAATCACTCAAATGGGCTACCATGTCTTCGTCAAGAAGCACATTACTCGGCTTCAAATCACAGTGAGCGATTGGAGTTTCACAGAGGTCGTGAAGATAATGCAGTGCAGATGCCACATCTACCGCAATGCTAAGCCTTTGGGCAAGGCTCAGTTTGGGGTAGCCGTCCATGGGGTGCAGCCACTTATCCAAATTTCCGTTCTTCATGTATTCGAAGACGAGAGCTCTGAATTCGTCACCATTGTGGTCCAAACTGGAGCAGTATGACAATACCCCGACAAGATTCCGGTGTCTAATGCTTCTCAATGCATTTAATTCTGTTGCCAAGCTCTTGTAAGCATCCCTTTTTTCCAGCTTCAGCACTTTCACAGCTACAGGGGGGACGGTTTCATCCAGATTCCCTCTGTAGACCATGCCAAAGCTGCCCGACCCAATTAAGGACTCTGAGGAGAATCCACCAGTTGCTCTGTGAAGGTCTCTGTAAGAGACCCTTATAAAATTGGGTAGTCTTGGATCTTCCACAGATGGCTTCTTCTTTGATTTAGCTGACATGGAGATCATTCGAAAGGTTAACAAAGAGAGGAGAGATAGACCCACAAAAACAAGAATTACTACCAACAAAACAGTACGACGATTGATGGCGTTTGTGGAAGGTTTAGCTGGGCACTTGGGGAGATGGAGATCCAACACACCACCACAAAGCATGTTATTCCCCATTAATGATATGCTACTTGAATTTGAAAAGATTCCTTTCGTTGGCACCGGTCCTTCAAGATGATTGAAAGATAGATTCAGATACTTTGAAATGTTACTGTTTTGCAGTGCCGATGGGATTTCTCCTTGCAAGTTGTTGAGTGAAAGATCGACCACTCGAAGGCTTTTCAAGGAAGCTAAAGATGGAGGGATGCCACCGTCTAGCGAGTTCCTCTGCAAATAGAGAAGCTCTAAGCTCTGGCAATCACCAATGGTGCTTGGAATATTCCCTGTCAGGAAATTATGAGAAATATCCAATGCGTTGAGATTCTCCAACTTGCCTACTTCTGGACTCAGGTTCCCTGTGAATAAGTTGTGTGACAGGTTCAGTAATTTTGTCAAGGACGGAAGAGTGAAAATCTTGCCAGGTATAGATCCAGTGAGAGTATTTCCAGAAATATCCAAGGAAATCAACTGGAGTAATGAACCAAGACCCAAAGGAATAACACCTTCGAATCTGTTATTCGAGATGTTAAGTTCAGTCAACTGAGTGAGGTTGCCAATGGAGGGAAGAATTTGACCTGATAACTGATTTGCTTCTAAGTGCAAGCTTTGCAAATTGGGAAACCTGCTAAAGAAAGAAGGAATGGAACCTCCAAAGAGGTTATATGACAGAACTATGGCATTCAAGTTAACCAGCTTCTCAAGTCCAGCAGGAACCAATCCTACTAGTTTATTTTCCGAAACGTCAAGTAAGGCAAGCTGAGCTGAGAGGTTAGCTATGGTGCTAGGTAGAGTGCCTCCAAAGTGGTTATGAGGGATTGAAAAATGTTGAAGCTGACTGCAATTTTGCAACCCTTCCAAGAACTCAAAGTCGCCAGGCGAATAACTGCCGAGATGATTTATCCCAACTGACAGCCAGTATAGATAGGGCAGATTCCCAACGCAATTGGGAATTTGACCCACGAAGCCATTCTCGTTCATGTCGAGACCCATTAGCTGTGTGGCATTACACAAGGATTTAGGGATGGCGCCATCCAATTTGTTCTTTGAAATAGCAAGAAACTGGAGGTTCGGTAAAGTGAAGCCTATATCATCGGGTAGACGACCCTCAAACTGGTTCCAAGGGAGGGCAATGATGCTGAGAGTGGTGATGTTGAAGAAAGATCGAGGAATGGTCCCGATCATTTGGTTCATCCCAAGAGAAATCGAGTTCAGGCTCTCCAGGGCGCCCAAGCTTTCCGGGATGCGCCCGACCAAGTTGAGATAAGCAGATCCGAAGTCAATCAGCTTTGTCAGATTCCCCACCGAATCGGGAATCTCTCCTGTCAGGTTGTTTGTTCCAACCCTCATGACTCGGAGCTCTGACAAAGACCCAATCTCCAGAGGGATCCTCCCCTGTAGATTATTAGCCTCCAAATACAACATCCTGAGCTGTGAGCACCGGGTCAGGTTGTGTTGAATTTTGCCAACTAAAGAATTCCAGGTGAGATTCAGAGCCTGAAGCTGAAGTAGGTTCCCAATTTCGTGAGGAATCTCCCCAGTGAAAGTGTTGTTTACCAGGTGAATGCCCTGCAGGAAGCTGAGGTTCCCTATGTGTGGAGACAGAGTGCCCACCAGGTTTTGTTTGTGGAGGTCCAAAGATGTGACTCTTTGTAATCCAGCTCGGTTGCTGCAGGAAACGCCAACCCAGTAGCAGAAATGGACGGAGTCGTTCCAGGAGCGGAAGACTCCATTTGGGTCGCTGGTTATGGCCTTCCTGAACTCGAGCAACGCGAGCCTTTCGGTCTCGTTGTTGGTCGAGGCGTTTACATTTGCTCTCTGCAGGTAACTGCTGAGTGCAGAGAGATGAAAGAAGCTGACGAGTATGAGTAGATTGGAGATTTTGGAAAGTAGTTTGCGAGTGGTTGACATTGTTCTTGGGAGAAGGATTGATGTTATGTTGGGTGGCAGGAGATCAAAGCCTTTTTTGTGAGATTTATAGGCTGTTATTAGACTGCTGACTCGCAGTTGCCATGCGCGCTTTCTTGTGATAAAAGAATGACAGCAGCTCTAGGCGGCATTTTGTTATTATTCTATCTCTAAATTGGTAAAGTCCAAATGTGATTCTCAATTGCGTCATATTCCAAGTCTCCTCAGGATGATGGTTCAGAAATGAGAAATGTGTAACAACTAATATTTAAGTTTGAGAAATAGAAATGGAATTATTTGTAATGACGGTGCTGGATTGTGACATTGAGGCAAGAGTGGATTTTCCAAATATCACATTTGCTACCTATCGTTAAACGGTAAAAGCGATGTATCAATCTGTTGGCATTTAAGAAAAATTATGTATTAATTTTTCGAATGTCCTTATAAATTAAAACTAACCTTAACTGTAAGCTCAGTAATCTTTTTTTATAACATAGTAATCAAACAAGTCCGAGAGTGGACAATAACCACGGGCAGTTGTCGACCAATAGTCGAACTACCGATGGAAGAATTTGTTTAGTCACAAGATGGTAAGCTCTGTTAAAACTTCCAGGAGCAAAATAACAAGAACAAAAATCGAAATTCTGAGCAAATCGCCCAACATCTTCTAAAACAAATTGTGCAAGATCATGGTCCAGGTCCCGTCAACACCCGCTGCACCACCAATTAAGAATCACCGTACAATTTCACAGATAAAAAATTGATGGTTAGGCACCATTTCATGGCATCACGTAGAGCATTTAGTTCCATGGAAAAGGATTTGAATACAATCGTAAAAATTTCCAAATGCAATAAACGTAGTAATCTTTGAGAAAGCAATAATTTTGTATTGGATAGTTAAGTTAATTAGTTAAATGGATTGAATGAATGGCTCGTGCCTACGTTTGGCATTTCCTCAATACGAATACTTGGGCAGAAGATTAGAATTAGCAGGAAATTATAAGCATATATAGGAGTAGGACACCCACAATAACTGTAAAGAAAAAACAAAAAAAGTGATAATATCCATTGGCGTAACGAAGAAAATAGTTCAATGGTGTCTAAACTCTAAAGATAATCAAATGAAATGTTTGTCTCAATATTAAAGCTATTATCTTGATAAAAGAAAGTTCATGATTCAAAACTTGTTAGATTACCGTAAAAAACTGTTATGTTTAATATGTATTTATTTTCAAATGAGGTATATAGTCCCCACAACCCTTCTCCTAGCTCCACCATTGTGATAAGGTCAAAACATATTTGTTGAACCACTAATGTGTTAATCTACCAAGTTTAGAATGACATATGAAAGAAAGAGAAAAGTTAGATAGTGATAGCATGAAAATGAGTTTCTTTGGTGTAAATACTAAATACCAAGCAATGTCAACCTTGACCAAGGTAAAAGTAAGGCTTCAAATTAAATGAATTCAAAACGAAAAAAGGTTTGGTAGAGAGGTGATAATTTTGACTTAACCCATTTTACCGTCTGTTTGATCTGTTTTGATGTAGTTTGACACGAGAAATTTGAAGTTTTGAGTAATTCCCGAGATAATTATGGCCCAGCTCCTTCTTTACTACAAACATGGCCCAACAAATATAGGCCAGCTGGACGGCCCAGCTCCCTCTTTACTACAGCCAGCGCGGGCCTACCAACAATAATAATAATATATATATATATATATATGTATATACGCAAGAGCTTCGGTTCTCTTCCTATGCAGTTAGACCAGCGGGGGAACTTGGAGGAACTGAGGAAGGAGGTCAGCAGCGACATGGACTGAGAATCAACCAGTTAGGGGAGAAATCCCTCTGGCGTCCGAACCTCGAAGCAGTATTGAGTTGAGCTCCTTGCGGGACATCTTCCCTCCGATGGCTACTGCCGGAAGGTACTTCTTTTGAAAACCTAACCCGCCATTCAACTGCCTTGTTCGTCTGGGATGTCTCTAGGGTTAGTTTTTTATCTACTGTGTTGCGCACTTGAATTTGGTGGCTTAACTATGATTCCGCGCGGCAACTGTTAGCATCTTGGCATTGTTCTGCTCCAGCCAGAAATTGAAGTAGCGAGCGTGGTTGGCAGGCATGGTCAATGCTCACTGGTTCGTTCAGTGTGTAGTTGTGTTTCTGTGCAATTTGCTTCAAACGATGTGCATTTGTCTTCGAGGGTTTGAAATGTTGCTCAAAGAAAGCAATTGGTAAGGGTTGTAGGTTTAACAGTGAGCATGGTTTTGTTTCATCAAATTGGGTGCTGTTCCATTCATCGATAGGAGAGCCTCTGTCCCAATGCTGGCTGTTGGATGCAATATACGACGTCAAGGCCGGTAACTTGATTCTTCAAATAACCTGGCATCAATGTCGGAATCTGTATGAGTTGAGTTCTGTGTAGAGTAACTCTTAAGCTGATGGAATGGTAGAGCCATATAATGGCACTAAATGTGCCTACAAGGGAAATGTGACCTTATATAAAACTATGGATTCTTTTCAATCATCATTGCAATAACTTTTGTTGATTCTGCTTATTGCTTTGTCCTTTATCTTCAGAAAGAAAAATCATCACTTTCCTATCTGGCTAATACTTCTTTCCAACCTTGTTACTCTACGAGTCATACTTGTGCTCCTCACTTTTAGCTGTGTGGATTTGTGCTGTTTATGCATTCTTCGTGCCGTGTCTGATTTCAGAGAAAACGACTGTCACCTTACATGAGAAGGTCATGCTTGCAGCATTAACTTATCTTCTTAGAAAGAGTGGCTTTACTGTTTGGTAGAAACAATCTGTCTCGTGCAAAATGTGAAGGAAACTTTGCTTGGGAGAGTTGGGGGGAGCAATGATTCTTCTTTGAAAAGTATAAATGGTGGCACCTTGATCATACCATTAAAAGGAACAGTATAGATGGTAAGGAAGTTGTGACTGTAAATCAAAACAAGGGACTGATTAGTAATTTCCTCTTGTGGACGGTTACTTTTCTGCTATGTAGCTCTGGCAATGTCCAGCCGCTGTTCCCATCACAGTTCTCTCTCTTGACTCTTGAGGATTATCAGATCTCAAAAGATTTGACATCTTAGTCCCCAATCCCTTTGCCAAAGAAACATGACGAAAGCAGGAGCTTTCGCTAGTGATTTCGGGGTTTTGAGGTTCAGTGACACAGTACTGTAGCTGATCTTTTGTACAGGCTTCTTTTAATTCTATATTGCCCTGTTCAATTCAAATATTGGTGTAGGTTTCAATTGTTTTATTCTTTGTGTCTTTGATCAGGAAGCCTACATGTTCTTGATATGCCCACCTATCTGCTGGGCACTACTCTCCCATGAGATTTGAAAAATTATGAGTTATGGTTAACAATTTCTGTTTAAAGGTCTAGCAAGAGCTTGTATCTCATTTTCCTTCTAATGTATGTGATTTTCATATTTTTCCTTCTGTTAATATCCGTATGAGCATTCAGTTCAGCTAATGATTACGAGGTTTACGCTATGTCTTTCTGATGCAAATTGTTCGAAGATAATAAACGGGGTTTTCTCACAATAAACCTCACCTTTCATTATTCCCTTTGCATGAATGATAATATCTTGCATACAGCCCTATAGCTCAATAAGGACTTTAGACTTCTTCTGTTTTCTCATGTAGCTCTTCGTTTCTCATGTTGGCATGCAGTTTATGCATACTTGATCAATCCTGTACTTTCTCGATTTCACGACATTACATCTGATAAGCTGATGTAACTCCAGGTCTTCTGGCAAGCGTACTCACAACCAGCCCGAGCCAATTGATCCTGGGCATGTCTTCAATGTGCCTCCTCTGAATGCTATACCCCTGAATTATTTTAACCCGTTTGTAGCAAATGATAATGCTAATGCTGCTTGTGCTGATAACAATGTTGATGCTGGTGCTGATGACCCCCCGGTCGAACCTGCAAACACAGAAGACCCATCCATGGTCTTCTTTCCCAATGGAACAACTGAGGCAGAGTTTGCAAACATCTTGAACAGAAACAGAGGAGCTATTGCCCTCTCCAGGGCTGCAGATTTGCAGAGGATTGGTTCAGGTATTGGGCAAATGAACATTGGGGAGAGTGACGGGTTCTACATAATCCGTGTCTCCCTGCCTGGAGTGTCCGGAAATGATAGTAAGCGTCACGCTCTTCTGTTTCATTTGTACCTTATCTCATTGCTAGACTTTGCAGCGTGATGATTGGAAACGCCTGTAGTAGTTGTCACGTATTGCTTCCTGATGCGTTGAATCTTGGCGAACAGGGAGCTTCAGTTGTGTTGTAGATCCAACTGGGATGGTGGAGATACAAGGGGTGAGCACCACTGGGGAGCAGGTTGTTGAAAAACCACCTCAAGTCTTCTTCATGGAGACTCGAAACCTCTGCCCACCAGGACCCTTCAGCATCAAGTTCAGGCTTCCCGGTCCAGTTCTTCCCGACCAACTCAGAAGCTCTTTTGTGGATGGCATGTTTGAGGGGATTGTGAGGAGAAATTGCTGAAAACAAAGTTTGGCTCCCTGTTGGAATCGGATGTGCTTTTTCTTCTTCCTTTGGTGGAACAGTGAACTCAGAACTAGCTGACTGGTTCTCTAGTAGGCTGTAACATACAGTTGGCCAGGCTCATCTTCACCTTTGCTATTACAATCCCTTCAATCTCCAGGTTTGATTCTTGGTAAGTTTTCCCAGTTTATATCTAGAGACGGAGTAATCGAAGATTATATCCCCATATATGACCGTCTCTTCTTTGCCTGCACAGATATTCCACTTCGCCATCAATATGCACACAACTTTCCAACCTCGATCCATACCCTTGTCCCATACGCCATCAAAGAAGCAGAGTATAATCCAACGGAGACACAGACACGCGAACAGTGTCCATAAATAGACAGAGGCGCATCAATCTCATCTCATATCTTCCAGTACGTCAAAGGGAAATCATGGTAGCAGTTCTGCTTCTGGTCTTAGTTGGATTAGTTGCTGTTATGATTATGTGTGGCAGCTGTAACGCTGAGGAACATCTGTGCAACACGATAGTCGACGCCGCTGTCACCATGTGCGTCAAGCAGGTTGCCGGCGACTTGAACGGCGAGAACAACGACGACCGTGTCAGCAGGTCCAAAGAGCGGAAGACGGCAGAGTGCACCGTCAATTCCACCACTTCCGTCAGCGGCGGGGCGATGTGTGAGTCGAACTCCTTGCCGAGGTGCAGACAGTGCTTGACGGGTGCGACTGACAGGGTGATCAATCTTTGCCCGGACCGGATCGGCGGTCAGATTAACTTCACTCTCTGCTCCTTTAGGTTCGAGCTCCATCCATGGTCTTAAGATCAAACCAATGAATCAAATTATCTACTCATTTGGTGTCAGCTGCTTGCGGATTGGAATCTGTTGTAGTGAAAGGCCATCCATGTTCGTCGAGATTATCTTTAGATGGTATTGTCTGTAGGTCTATGATTATTAAAACTCGTTTCTGTATCTTCTTTAGAGTTTTGAATAATCTGAGGGAGTATAAAATTTTTGAGTGTTTTTCTTTCTCTAATAGAAGAATTTTGGGTGTTTCAGTTTCTCTCTATGGTTATATATGTTAGAAATGAAAATGTCCTGCCTGCTCCTGGATCCAAAGTGTCTTGCTTGGCTGTATAAACTCCGAAACATGAGTCCTTACTCCTGAGTAGTAGGAGGCCCACAAGACTGAAATCAAATATGTGGGCCGGTTTGCCCATTTCCAGTTTTACCACGACCGTAGTCTGGCCCAATGGATATGAGGCATATGCTTATAGGCATCAATCGGGCAGGTTCGGGCTAAGTTCAATCGGGTTGCGGGTTGCGGTTCATTGGGTTTTGGGTTGGGAAGATCAGGTTTCGTGTTGTTCGGATCAACGCATCGAGTAACTTACTCCTTACTCGTTACCAACTTACACATTTTATTATACTTTTTTTTGGTGGGACACGTTTTATTATACTAATTTAATATATTTTTTCTCAATTTTAAACCAATTTCTTTCTACCTCGTATATATACTTAATTAAAAAAACTAGTCAAAATGTTGAATCAATTTGTATGACTTGCAAACTTGTTATGTAATTAATCGCAACTGGTAAAGTACACTAGCTAATAGTAATTGGATTAAAGTATCTCGTTTAGTATAACCATGCAAATCTGGTATTTGACGTGTGGTATTTGGCAAAAGCAGTGTGGTAAAAAGATTTATTTCGAAACAACTCATTGCCCAAATAACTTCAGTAAATTGTCGCCAAACGAATTATTTGTAAAATTGTTCGAATTACCCTAAAAATTGAACCATTAAAAATTAACTGTAAAATTATTGTGACTTCAATCATAACTTAATCAATAGCATATATCCTATACACTTAACCTTACCCTCAATCGACAATATTAAGTTAGTATATGTTGTTGATCATATACACTAAACCATCAATACATTATACACTAACCACATACCTTATACCCTAACCATATATCCTTATGAGTTGTGATTTTGCTAGTATAGTTAATTTAAAGTGAAATTAATACTTTAATTTTAAAAACATATATAAAAAATTATATTTAATATACTCTAATCATATATCCTATACCCTAATCGCGTGCAATAATTGTGGAAGCATAAAACAAGTAGACAAATTTAGTGAATTTTTCTAAAACAAATTATTGTTGTAATTAATAGTTAATTTAGTTATTAGACCATAAATAATTATATATATGGTTATATATATAAAAGAATAATTTAATTAGTCATCCCCTCCATATAAAAATTAAAAATTCATATTTCAAAAGTTAAAATTTTGAAAAACCAAAAAGTTGAAAACACCAAATTTGTTTCCTTTTTTCTTTTCATAAATAAAATTCTCCTCCTCCTTTCTCCTTCCATAAATTAAAAACACTCAAATTTTCCTCCTTTTTCTCTTCCATAAGATTGAAAAAATCAAATTTCCCTCATCTTTCTCTTTCATAAAATTGAAGAACAAAATTTACCTCTTTCTTCCTTCCTTCCACAAAAAGTGGAACACTCAACATTTTCCTTTTTATTTTTCTTCCATGATCAAAAGAACCAAACTTTCCCACTTCTTTTATCTTCCCACAAATCAAAACCAACAAAACTCCCTATTGTTTCTTTTCTAAAAAATTCAAAGAACCAAATTTTCCTATTTCTTCTCTTCCAAAAAGTTGACACACCAAAATTTTCCTCCTCATTTAAAAATATCAAATTATCCAATATATTACTTTACTTTATTTATATTTAATTGATAACTTTATTGAGTATTTAAATTACCCAAAAATTAAATTTATATATTAGATCAATATTTTCCATGATATCCATTGTTAATTTTTCATTATTAATATTGACATTGTGTTGATTTTATATTTTATATTTACTTTTTAAATTTTGTTAAAGAACTTAGTGTTCAAGTGACCTTCATGTTTCATTTTTTTGTAATTTTCTTAAAATACATAATATCAAGTGAGTTTCATATTTTTTAAATTCTCTATACGAAATATGAAAAAATAATTTTACCTAAGTTTAGAATGAAAAACTTTATTTTGAAAAACTATGTATTATATCATATAATAATTATTTAAGTGGAATAGGCGAAGTTCGGGTTGAGTCGATCGGGTTACAGGTTAGTCGAGTTCGGATTAATCGAGTTACGGGTCAGTCGGGCGGGTTACGGGTTGTTGACTTTTAGTCAACGGGTTGTGGATTGAGTTGATCGGACGGGTTAGTCAGGTCGGGTTCTGTTTTGACACCAATATGCTACTCGGTTCAGGCCTATCTTTACGACAACCAAAAGAAAGAGGAAGAGGAAAGGTGAAAGAAAATAGTTCTTCTCCGGTTGGCTTCCCCGGGAAGAGGAGCAACTGGGAGAAAGGAGGACAAAGGCGAGATTAACATGAAAATCAATCGGCGATGAAGTTTCTCCGGCGTCCGAACTCCGTTGTAGTATTGAGTTTAGGTTTTTGGGAGATATTTCGCTTTGAAGGCTTGCGGATTTTTTTTTAATAGCGAAGGCTTGCAGATTGATAAATAACCATAAGTGTGAGAGTTAATTTGGTTCCCTTAAAACAATTGGATTGAATTGTTTCGTCTTGCAACACGAATTGGGAATACAACAATTGGAGGGTGAGACAATTAAATTTACGTCGTTTTACATCAACTTGAATTGACAGAGAAGGGACAAGTATTTTGAAATGAATCATCAATTGTGAAACGAGACCATTTTGACATAATCAGGTCAAATTGCCGTAACAATTCGAATTATTGGGATCAAACAACTTATGACGTAGTATCCGAGTTCGTCTGACCAAGTGATCGTGTGCTTGAATCTCTCACTACCCCATATTAGCAGGGGCGGATACATGGGACTTTAGGGGTGTCCCAGGACACCCCTAAAATTTAGGAAAACGATTATTCAACCCCCGGTAGTAGTTTTATATGAATAAAACAAAATATAATTAGTAATCTGGGACACCACTAAAATTTGAAAAAACGATTATCGTATCCATGTAGTTTGCATATGATTAAAAAACATAAGTGGTAGTCTGTGTTATTCAAAACTAGAACACTACTATTATTAAACGTATTCTCCACTAGGTTGCAACTCATTTGTTGTTCCTTTTTAAACACTATGTAATAGTAAAAATGATTCCTTATCCTAAACTATTTCGAAAACCTAACAATTAAACTAATTATGGGTTACTCTTAATTTGATTTAATTTAATTTCGTGGTTACAAGAGAAGTGTAGAAATAGTCTTTTCAACTTTGAATTACATAAAAAAACAAGGTTAGAAATCAAATATGCGATCATTTCGTTAATTTTTCTAGTATGATATACAGATTTGTTGAGCAGTGTAGACATCGTGTCTATTTTATAGTTTTTTTTATAATTTGAAAATACGTCATGATTTTTTTTAAAAAAAATTTGTTCTAATCGAATATTTTCTTATTTATTAATTATTTAATTAAATTATTTATTTATATTTATATTTAATTTTTGGATGAGCGACACCCTATAAAAAATTTATGGGTCCGCCACTACATATTAGTTATACTTTTAAGCACCAGATACGCCGACCTTCGTTGTTTTGTTGCCGGAGCCGGTGACCATTGGAGTCGCTTTCTTGAAGTTACGTAGCATTCTTTTTCTTGGGTGTGCAGCCGGCTGATTACTCGAGGCATGCAGTTCTCTTCCCACGGTTTCTTCTTCTATGTTCTGGTCGGCGATGTCAACGAAACGGCCAAAACGCTTTCTTGTTATCGAAGAAGCAATGGAAGTAATGATTCATAATGAGACAATACAATGCCAAAAGCTAGTATCGTAATGATTCATAATCTATGCAAGCACTGCTAGGAGATCACATGACTAATTTTAAACGCAGCAGAATTTGTAGCAATAATTTATGCGTTAAGCCAGAGATAATATCATTAGTTTTGGATCTGGAGGTATTAGATTCTAATCACTTTAGTAGTGTCAAAACACATATTCAGAGGTTGAAGGGATTTTTTTGGGGGCAAGATGTCCAAATATTTTGGGATCATTTGAGGTAGTCTAATCCTCTGACATGGGGTGGTAGTATATTGGTTGCTTCATAAATTTTCAGATTAGATTTTAGTATTTTACATACATGAGCTGTAAATCCTTTGCATGTTGCCTAATTAACAAGCAAGGTTGTTGTTACTTGTTCGTGTTCACTCGTTTTGATCGATTTATAAAGGAAATGTCGATGACGTTATTGGACGGAATTATTTCAATAGTCGAACATCTGGAACTTTAGGGGACAGTTGGCAAGGGTTAATACTACCCTTCATGATCGCCGAACTATGGTCAATGTAACAAATCTTTTCATGAATTTCAAAATCTACCAAGAGATTACTTACCAGCTCGATTGATGAGTTATTTTTAGCTCAAATAGCTCATAACTCGTTTGACAAACAACTAATAAACGATATTTTGGGTGAGTTATTTAAATTGACTCATAAATACCTTATTCTCAAATACCACATACGAGCCTCTAATCGTAATAAAATGGTACACCCATCACCCTCGCACACATACCATCCCTTCTCACTCCCCTTTTCTATAGTTCATTTTCCATCAATGACTATTTCTAGGGATGACAATCCAACCCATAATCTCGAACATGAGTATTACCCGATGCAAAATGTAGCAGGTAGGTATGGCAGGAGTCTGACCATTACCGAACCTAGGTTGTGTCCATACCTGCCATGCTCCTACAGACATATGATTTAGGTAATATGTGTACTAACTTGTCATCACTTAATACTTTTTTTTTTTTTGTTTTACGATGAATTTAAACTCGAGGCCTTCAGGTTGAAGACCACTAGATCAAATCCTTATTCGCAATATTATAATGGTTTCTCTGTATATGACATAAATTCACTTGTGGATTCTTATATGTTCTTATTGCAAAGCTGTAGCCTTGTATAAGTACTTTGAATAACATACTCAACCCAAATAATATGGGTGCATGTATTAGGATGATAGGGTACATGTTTAAGGTATAATCCACCCTGATCCGTGCCATTATCATCCCTGCCACTTACTTACGTGCAAGGTTGATTCCACTCTCTTTCACCCCAAACCACCCTTATCTCTCTATTCCTACGGGGTCGTTTGGAGAACAGGATTCAGGACGTAGATTCACTGAATCCATAGATTTTGTAGAAAGTTCTGTTTTTTTGTTGCTTTTTTACTGTGGATTCTAGCTTTAGAGATTTCAAATCTCTAAAATCTGCGAATATCAAATCTATCATAATCAGAGAGATTCTATATCTTGATTCGTGAGATTTTTTTTCTACTAGTTTTTCTCTTACTTTTATTTATTTATCACATGAAATATATTTATCAACAATTTTTTTTAATATTTATTGAACCACTCTAATATTTTTATTTAGGATAAACATTTTATTTAATATAAAATTAAAATTTTAATTGAATGTTAACAATCACAGTTACCAAACAATAAACATTTTAAAATCTGTTTTCAACAATCTAGAGAGTTAGAATCGTTAGATTGTTGACAATTTGTAGATTTAAACTCATATTCTCCAAACGACCCCGTATTTTATTACTTAGATTTGAATGTAAAGTGATCTCAATCATAACAAGGGTTATTTTTTGCAACTACATGGAGAGTGAGAAAGAGCCATGGAGAGAGTGAGAGGGAAACATATGAACAATGTGCAGATTATGTTATCAACAAATCACCATTTGGTTCCAATCATACAAATACTATGTGACCAATATTATACATTTCGAGCCTTAGTGATAATTATGTTATCAACAAATCATAATTTACAGCAGAAAATAAACACAGACAATAACAATGCGCATTGTGCAGATTCCACACCATTCGGCCATGCGGCCATGCCATAATTAGCTGTTTTGTAAAATACAAGTGGAAGAAGAAGAAAGAAAGCGGAGGCCTTTCTCGCCAAGTCAAGCAAAAAGCCAAACTCACTACTCACTCGTCAGTCGCCACTCTCCGGCTTTAAAACGGGCGCATCCTCCACCAACTGCTCATCTCCACTACTCCCTGCTTCTCCCATCTCCCTTCTTGCTCTGATTACCGTTCCTTCATAATTTGTTGCTGAAGAGTGGGTTTCCCCCAACTGGAATAGCAGGGATTTGGTTTCAGATTGAAGATGGTGGAAGCAGCAACGAAAACTGTTCACTCCCCTCTCGTCACTTACGTCTCCGTCGTCTCCCTCCTCACCCTCTGCCCGCCTTTCGTTATTCTGCTGTAAAGTGACTCTCCTCTTTCGTATTACCCTTTGATCTGGATTTCTCTACATGGGTTCTCCCGGAAACCATTGCCCCGCATCTTGGCATATTTATATGGGTATTGGGGATCTTCCCGGATCTTCAAACATCGTTTTTGGGAACTGAAGATTGTTACTTTCCATTAGATATAGTGTAGAGAACGAGTAAATCCACTTGAGATTTCGACCACTAGGGCAATCTATCGCTTGTCTCCCTTTCTCTCCACTTTGTTTTCTGAATTAGTCTCTTGGGCGCTGGATACCACAATTCATTATCGTTGTTCCACATTGCATGCTGGTGTTATTTTGTTGCTTTTTGTTTCCTTGTCATGGAATCCGGCGTTCCTTAGATCCTCATAGGAATTACAGTTCCTAGCTGTTGTTTTGTTTTGTTTTGTTTTGGCTCTCTGGCTTGTTGATTAATGTTGTTAGCGGTTTCTTTTTGACGTTTTCTTCTTGTTCTGCTCGTTCTTAACTAAATGGCCGAATTCAGGATCCCTTGCCTCTCTTTATTTGGAAAATTGTTGTAATATTGACAAATTATGGAGAGCAGTGTCCAACTAGGCATGGTCGAAGTTGTATCACGTAATAATTATTCTTGGATACATCACCGTTCACACGTAGCCATAGCAGCTGATGAAGCAATGCTGTAGATCATCAGATGTGCATCTTATGGAATTTTTAATATTTTTAATTCATTGCTGTTATTGCTTTTCTTGAAGAATAGGTCGTGTTGATCTGATATATGTTGAATATACTGTAAGTTTGGAGTTCGATATAAAGAGTGAACTGTTTTTTGCACCACCTACTGCAGATGGTATACGATGGTGCATGCTGATGGTTCAGTATCCCAAACATGGGATTATCTCATTGGAAATGGGTTGAAGGGACTCATTGATATATGGCCAAAACCTACTGCTACTGCCTGGAAACTGATTGGTTGTTATGGTGCATTTGAGGCTGCTCTTCAGCTTCTTTTACCTGGTAAAACAGTTGAAGGACCGATTTCTCCTAAAGGGAACCGGCCTGTTTACAAGGTATCCGCTGCTTATGGTTTGTTTCAGTTTGATTATCGAAACTGCCTTGGTAAACTGATAGGACGGGACTAGTTGAGAACCTTGTGCCATTTTGGGAATAGTGAATTGTTATATTTCCTTACTCAGTTTAGTATTCTTACTACTATTCTTTCCTTCTGGTGTTTATTTCAGGCAAATGGCGTGCTCGCATATGCAGTCACGATTGCTACATATATTGGCATATGGTGGTATGTAGTCTGCCTGTAAAGATCTATGTCATTATTCATTTGAGAATTGAAATGAGCTATTCCTTATACAGTTGTAGTGATCTTATGTAATTAGTAAAACTGTGTTGGTCTCAACTGGCACCGTGGTTTTTGAAGGTAAAGAGTCACTGTTCTGTTTTATCACGAGATCAAGAATTAATAATCTAATTGACCAACCAGGTCATATGTGGCTTAATCCAATTGATCCATGTGGTTCTTGTTGCCGTTTCTTTTTATAAGTTCAGTTGTAATGCTATATTACAAATTCCTTTGCCAGATCCATGTTCCTTCTTAGTTTCCATTGATATTTTGGCGTTGAAAGTGTCTGCTGTGTCTAGGATATTGCTATGTAGCGGGATGAAATTGATTCATTACAGATGCATAATTTTCTTAACATCTTCTCTCATACTAATTATTACTCTTAGCATGATTCTGTGATTCAGGATATTCTGATCTTAAACCTCCTTTGTGTGTTCCCCTCCTTTCTCAAGGGCCACCCTTATCCTTGATTTTATCGGTTATCTTCAATAGTGCTTGATTCTGAAGGATACTGGTGATTTAATGTGTGATTTCAGGTTTGGGATATTCAACCCCTCGATTGTTTATGATCATTTGGGAGAAATTTTCTCAGCACTCATTTTTGGAAGCTTTCTCTTCTGTGTTTTCCTGTATATTAAAGTAAGGGTGCTTCTATTGAGAACCTAAATCATATTTATGTTGTCTTTTGGTTTAGTGCTTACCCAACTGTTCTTATTTCAGGGTCATGTGGCACCATCATCTACAGATTCTGGCTCCCTTGGGAACATAATTATTGATTTCTACTGGGTGAGTTCTCTATGGTTGAACAAGGAGAAAGCAACTCTATCCTGATTATAGAGGTGGCAAATGGATTAAATTTGTGAATTGGTAGATTGGATTGATGGATTCGTGGATTATAGATCCAAGTGGCATCTAAAGTTTGGACCATCAAGTAAATTTTGATAAGTTTATGTTCTAAAATGTCAATATAGAAAATTATGTACCAAAGCGTAATTTTTGAAGAATTTTTTCATTTAAAATTTTAAGTTTAGGTATCATATTGTAAAATGTATAGGTATTGCACTGTAATTTTTCACCAATCCACGTAACCAATCCATTTGGATTTTGGATTAAATGGATTGGATTCAAATTGTCACTTCTAATCCTAATACTGCTTAGTGATAGATTCTTAACGGATGAAAAAATGGCTTATGATAATCTGGGTTGAAATCTATGTTCATTTGTAATATATCTTTTCATTCCTTTTGTAGGGTATGGAGCTATATCCTCGAATTGGTAAGAACTTCGACATCAAAGTTTTCACAAACTGCAGATTCGGGATGATGTCTTGGGCAGTTCTTGCATTGACCTACTGCTTTAAGCAGGTGAATGAGTTTTAATGAATGAGACAAATAATTTCACTAATGTACAGAATTTGAGTTGAAATTTTATGACTTTATGCATCTGAGAATATAAGACACTTACGAATTCCATTGATTCCAAGAGTTATTGAGCTAATAACAGTTCTGTCTTGCTGATTATGGGAAACAGTAATTTTACTTTTTCCTATCTTTGGGGAGTAGCTGATGTACTAGCAATTCTAAGAATCATCTTATGATTGTAATAGCTAGGATATATTTGCTATCCTTATCCTTTTGGTGTCAATACAGACTCTCAACATGAATTTCTTCCTATGTATTTGACCAGTATGAGCTGTATGGAAAAGTAGCTGATTCCTTGCTGGTAAATACGATACTGATGCTCGTGTATATCACAAAGTTTTTCTGGTGGGAGGCTGGTTACTGGAACACAATGGACATCGCCCATGACAGAGGTAAACATGTGACAGCTGATATGTGGTTATTGAGAATGTATTTTCACTTTGATTAAATTTTCTTTTGTTACTGGCAGCTGGTTTTTATATCTGCTGGGGATGCTTAGTGTGGGTCCCCTCTATATATACTTCTCCTGGCATGTACCTAGTCAACCATCCTGTGGACCTTGGATCTCAGGTATACTTCTCCTTCATAATGTGTAGTTCGTGAAAGTGATTTAGGTATTCTATACCTCATCGTAGTCACTTCTCTTAGGTTAATCTTCACCGTTTGTTAAAATGGTGGTGAAGTTGGATGGGAAATTCCTGGGTTGGGCCAATTTTGGACTGGATTGATTCGGTTATAGTCAATATCTGGGGCAATCAGGTTATATCTTGATCAAGTTGGTGGGTTAATCGGATTGTTATTGCTTACAAATCAATCTAAGTTACGAGCTAATCAACTCATGGATTAATCAGGTTACTGATCGTTAGAAATTTCACTAAACCTGAATTATGAGCAGTCTTGATTTGGCTGTATTGAGTAGGCTGTGTCAGTTTTTGGCAGCTCTAGTAAAACATAAATAAATCAAAATGCCAAGATGTGATTTAGTTTGTATGTGCGGAGAGCCATGTAGTTGGATGTATTTCCCTATATTCATTGTCCTTTACTGAACTTAATTTGTTTGTCTTTCAATTTTGTTGTCCTTGTACTAGAACTAGAACTAGAGCACAGAATGCATTATTATTATGATTTTTTAATCATTTTAATAGTGCTATATTGTCTTTACCAGTTAGTCACAAGATAATCTAAAAAAACCCCATATATTTTATAATTCATCAAAAGAAAATTTAATCTGTTATTAGGTTAAAGCAAATAATGTTTGGTCAATTGAAGTTTGTATGAAAAAGAGTTTACTTCCCGTAGAAAATATTTATAAGATCTACATTTCTACTGTGCATGTTTTGGTGGTTGAGTAAGCTCTTTTTCTATGCGTTAATTAGCTTGTCTTTAAGGAAATTATATATCCTTTTTTCTAGTCTTCTGTGCATGTTTTGGTGGTTGAGATTTACGGTACTGTAGATTTGGTTTTAGATAGTTTGTCATATGGGATTCAATGATGCTGTTCTGAGGGGCAGTCATGATGTTAGTTTTATACTTGGGATATCCAACTTTCTGCATGATTGTTAGATTAAAACTATATCCTTGTAATGCTTAGCCAAAATGTGTTCAAGGGCAAGTGACTTTGAATTGATCAGCTGGACGAGTCCGTTCTTTGTTTCTGGATTGTTGGGTGTAGGACCTTATATTTCACTACTGCTGACACTTTATTATACACTTAATTGTTTACAGCTTGCACTTTTTATATTGGCTGCTGGAGTTCTTTGCGTATATGTCAACTATGATTGTGATAGGCAAAGGCAGGAATTCCGTAGGACAAATGGGAAGTGTTTAATTTGGGGAAAGCCTCCATCGAAGGTCATCTCATTCCCATTCATTCCTAAGTTCGTTTCTGGTTCCGCTGTCTCTCCTTGGATAATGAAAACATGGGATAACAAGTTTTGTTTACTGCTAACAGATTGTGGCTTCCTATACTACCACAACTGGGGAGACTAAATCAAGCCTTCTCTTAACATCAGGATGGTAATTCCAGACTTCACTAGCTTCTCTGCTTTCTGTTGGTTTCTACGCTTAGGGTGCTCTTGACTGTTGTCATTATGGAACGATTATACAGCTTATGGATTCAGTTTCATCAGGGTTATACATTCGCTAGGTTCTTGGTCAATAATTAATTGCTTGACTGTTTGTCTTCCAGGTGGGGCTTAGCCCGCCATTTTCATTATGTTCCTGAAATATTGGCTTCCTTCTTCTGGTCTCTCCCTGCACTTTTCAATCATGTAAGCACTCACTCAGCCTTGCTTATACTTACCTACTTTTGCAAAATTATGATTTCCCTGTAACCGAATTGCCTTTGATGACGCAGTTTATCCCCTACTTCTATGTGATATTTCTCACCATCCTTCTTGTGGACCGTGCTACACGAGATGATGATCGCTGCCGTTCAAAGTGAGCAGTGTTCTGGACTTGTTCATTCTAGCTAAAGCGTGTTATCCTTTTCGTCAAGAAGAAGGCTGACGAATGAAATCTGATGTCCTTGTTGCAGGTATGGGAAATACTGGAAGATGTACTGCAATAAGGTTCCTTACCGCATTATTCCTGGAATCTACTGAAGTTACATCTCCAATGAACCTGACTGGTAACTGAATGGTGCCTTGAAGTACTCTTTGCTGTTAGTCACTGGCCGTTTGTTAGCCATCTAATGTTCTAATTTACCGAATGTAACACAAACTCTGTCTGTTCTATTTGGGCGACCTAAAAGTTTTGGCCTTTAGGTATGCAGTATCTGTGTAATTTGTAACGCTTATGCTTAAATTTGATTTTGCATCTTTTCTTCCATGTGGGTAGCAAATGTTACAGTGAATCGTCCCTCTGGACGCCTCGGTGTTCATTTTAATTTATCTTCTTGATGAGCGGCTACAGCACTGAGTTGTGTGATGCTACCCTGTCGTATATGGTGCGACATAATAGATGTAGTTACGCACATTTCTTATCATGCCAACGATGAAAGTATAGTACATGAAGATGATGCAGAGAAATGTCGAAACTCGACCAATTCCTTGTACATGAAGATGATGCAGAGAAATTATCGATACTTGACCAATTCCTTACAAACAGATTACAGATTTGAAAGTCATGTGAAGTTGATACCAAATGTCCCAGTAATCGAATAGTCGAACTGGATGGAAAGGAACTGCAAGTTGCAGATGCTGTGCAGTAGGAAGTAGCTTGAGAATCCAATGTGCTGTTATGAGAATCTAAAACTGGAGAATATAATAAGATATGCTATTATTTTAAAAAAAAAACTAATTAATTTATTCATTTGATTTATGGAAAATAATTAAATTAAACTAGAATCCTATTAACACTTTGGTCTTGGTTAACCCACTCGGTCTGACAAATCAATCCGTTGCCCAGCCGGTCTATCCAGTTCAATAGAATAAGAGAAGTCGAGAAGCTATTCTCCTTTCTCTCGCTCGCTCTCTATCTCTATCCTCTTATCTGCATCGCTGTATGTAACACTCTCCCTCTGCCCAGCTTTCATTCTGGCGCTTAAACTAACAAAACCCATGAATTGAAACTTCACTCGCAATTCCATTTCTGGGTTTTACGATTTTGGTTCTACATCATATCACACTTTCTGCTTTTCTGTTGTTTCTTCTCTTTCAGATATTACCAGTATCAGCTTGGTCCCTCACTCTCGTTCGTCCACTGGGTACGTCTATGATTTTCCATTTTCGTCCCTTCTCCTTTCTCTTTTGTGACTCTCCGTCGCTCTCTTGCTTTGACACGCTTCTTAGTGGCTTTCTGGGGATCCCGCATTCCTTTCGTTTTGCTTTGTTTCATTTGGGCCTTACAGTTTTCGTTTCTTGAGGATAAGTAGAAGATGCTGAGAATTGCAAGAAAATTTGGCCGTGTTTAAGTGGGAATCAGCTGCTGGGAGGGTAGGAAAGATGGTGAAGTTATCTTTGTGGATAGGAAGAAGAGAGAGTCTAAATGGAGTTGATTACCCAGTTCTAGATTGAAGCTCCACCTGTAGCCTGTAGGCCATAGATGTGTTGGTTGTAATACAGTAGCAATTTTTATAGAGTTAATGAATTGGTGATGTAAGCTGATTGTGCTACATCTGTGTAATTTGTGACTTCTCTTCCTGAAACCCCCTGCAAGGTTTTTGTTCGTGAAGTTACCTCTCTCTAGAGATTAGATGGGTCCATAGACTCTTTCTGTTTTTCTCTACTGGGTAGAATTAGCTTGACTAACTGATCAGGTATACTGGGATAAATGTCATGTAACTGTCCGGGTACATGATTTAACCTGTGGATTCAATTTTCAACCAGAACCATTGAAATTGTCATGGTTTGGTATCTAGTTTGAAGGATGACAAGATACATTTCTTGGTTGGTTTTTCCCTCCTGATTTCTTTCAATTTAAAGAATCCTTATACTTCGAGGATATGCAGGTAAAAAAGAAGAGAGCACAAAGGTGAGGCCAAACAATGGCTCTCATTCTAACCAATGGTGCTACTCCACTTTGGTCACCATCATGCTGTTGTTCATCTTCAACAACATCTAAGGCAATTACTAAGTTGTGTATGTATCTCTCGATTCCCTTGCTTCCCACTTACAATTAGATTTGAAGAATGCAAAACTCATGCGGCGCTAAATTTTCAGCTACTTGCCATGCTAATGGGTTATATCTATAGTTCTAGTCCAGTTAACCTAATGAGAAGCTGTCTGTTGGATTTCTTTAGCAAAGCCTCAATAGATTTGTTCTTCTGTATTTTGATAAGGTCCCTATTTGTTAATGCATCTCTTGCTGCTTTCTGCTATTACTGGTCTTCCTTGTTTGGCTCCCTTCTCCCCCTCTGCTTGATAACTATCCTTTCTGTTAGTAGGCAATCATGTATCTGCCATCTTGTCATTTTGTTTTGAAACTGATATTGATTGTGGGTGTTGAACTTTCAGTCCCCAGACTGCACTTGAAGCCCGTTAATCTGCTGTCGAAACCTCTTGATGGACTTAGCTCTGCAACTGGCCTCACTTCAGTGCGGAATATTGGGTTGATACCAAGGGCAGTATCTGACATCGATGATCCTAGTCCGGCCAGTGTGGAGCCATCAAGTGGGAGTGAGGACGAAGAGAGTTTGTCAATTGATAAACTCCCTTTGGAGTCTAAGCTGCAGCTGAAGCTCGAGCAGAAGATGAAAATGAAACTGGCCAAGAAGATCCGTCTGAGGAGAAAGAGGCTCGTGAGGAAGCGGAGGCTGAGGAAGAAAGGACGATGGCCCCCATCCAAAATGAACAAGTTGAAGAATGTCTGAGACCTATTACCATGTCCCCTTGTTTAGCAGGTGATGCGAGGATATTCTGAGTACAGATTTTGAATACTATTGTTGCCCACCATGAATCCTTCCTTATTGCTGTCAACTGTGTAGCTGTTTCCTAGTGAAATACTCTGCCTTAAACCAGCTTCACTCTGCTGCCCACTGCACATTCCTTTTGTTTAGTTATCGACCTCAACTATATGTTGAATCATTCTTTAAAGACTTCCTCTATTTGATCGAAGAAGCCCACAAGTTAGAAGCCTAAACGAAAAGGTATGGTGGGTGAGAAGGAAGTATTGATGGGTTGGACCGTGGAGTGGATGGTTTTGGCCTTTGGGCAGGCCGAGGGGCATTTGTCCTTTTTTATTTGTTTCCCCCATAGCTTTGCTTTCTCTCTCGGTTTCCTGGTTTGTCCGGAACAGAAGTCTAGAGAGAAGGAGCGTCTGACAATATTCTCTGTACCCTCTCTCACTCACTCTGCATCACTGTTGCCCTCGTGTCCCGAGTCTCCACTCTCTCAGTCTCTCTCGCTCCTTCCTTCTACAGTATTGCTTTGCTTCCCCCAATCTGCAAATTTTCTTATTAATAAGATAACAAACCTCCCAACAGAGTGAGCCAGACAAATTCATTCTTTATTTTTATTTTTATTTTTGAAAAGTGATTTCATTCGTTCATTCCCCAAAGAGCAAAGTTACAGCAAAGCAGTAACAACATTTAGTACATGGAGCCACTCAGGATGAAGGCCATTAAGTCTACAGTTACGTGCAACCCAATCGGCACATTTGTTGTTCTGACGGCTCGTGAAAGAAACACTAATCCCCGTCGAAAGATGCAAGATTCTGGAAATGGAGGACAGAGCTGCGTAACATCGCCAAGGCCAATCAGCAGGCTCACCGTTTAGAGCGTCCACCCGAATTTTGCCATCGGACATGATAACTGAGGGAGACGGGTTTTCAAGTGCACAATGGCAAACTTCAAGAATTGCATGTGCCTCTGCTTCAATTGGGGAAGAACAAGAGATCCTTCCAGCCTTTCCATCACAAATCTGTCCATTGGAGTTAGTAATAACTACTCCAAAAGCCGCCTCCTGTGTCATATGATCAAAAGAACCATCACAGAAAATCCTTTTCTGAGGATACAATGGCGGTGGGCATGATTGTGGTGGAATGTTTCTAGGTTGTGTGAAGGAAGGAACGGGAGGAGGATTGTAACAAGGCTCAGCTGCATCTCTGAAGGCACAAATGGCGGTCAAAAATGGGGCTGGGACGACCCTTCTGAAGATGAACTCATTACGAGCTTTCCAAATATTCCACAAGCAGAAGATCTTCTTTCGACACAAATCAAGGTTATCCTCCTTCCTCAGGGAGAAAATCCATTGGGTGAGGTTAGGAGGAGGACCGAGGGACGGGAACATCTTGTGCCAGGTGGCAGCAGCATGTGGGCACAAGAAGAGGCAGTGAAGAGCATTTTCCTCAGGCCCACTGCAAAGCTGACAGGAAGGGCTTGGAGCACAATGTCGACGGTGGAGGTTAAGCTTCGTAGCAAGAGCATTTCGTAAGCATCTCCACATGAAGAAGCGGATCTTGGGTGGGAGCTTCAAGGACCAAAGCCATTTCCAGACAAATTCATTCATTACCCTCTTTTTTCCCACTTTGCTTCCTCCTCTGTTTTCTGGTTTGGCCGTTTCTACTCTCAGCTTGAATTTTAAGTGACAGGGTTGCTTGAGCTTTTCTAACTCTCTTGCCTTCTTCATTTTAATTTGTGAATCAACTCTCTTTTTTCCCGAAGCTGGAGTTATGAGCGGCAAAAAAAAGACAGGAAAGAGAGATCGGTAATTGGTGGGTTTGTTTGGCTTGGCGGGAGGCATGGATGGGGATTTTAATGTTGGTTTTTAACGTTTTCCAGAATCTAATCAATTAATTAGAGAGTATAATGATCGTCCAACGGCGTTGAAAAACTGAAGTAGAAAGTGGCAACACGAAATGTCATGAGACTATGAGTCTATGACTCCTCTCTCACATTTATAACGTTCTCTTCTTCCCCGACACTACTCTCTCTTTTTCAAAACAGTACCACCTCTCTCTCTCTCTCTCTCTCTCTGCTCTTCTTTCTTCATGAGTAAACCCTACTGACAAAACAAGAAAAGAAAGCTAGTTCTTGTTCTTCTCCTCCTTCTCACTAACAAGGATTGTCCAAAAACAAGAAACAGAGGAAGAACACAAGAAGCAGCACCGCCATTTGATGACTTTCTTTTGCTGAACTTGATATTGGCCCGCCTTCTTCTTTTTGGTGGTGAAAAAGTTGTCTGCTTTTAGCCTCTTTGTGGGTTTGTTTCAGACTTTCTTCATTGATCAAGTATCTTCTTCCTCCCTGTGACAATGCTGCTTACTCATGGGTGATTCTTGGGTAGTGGGAACCAATCCTCTTTCAAATGGGTAGAAAAGCAAAGCAAGTTTCAGTCTTTCTCTTGTTAGAGCTAGCTGCTACCTGATTTGCCTCTTATTGTGGGTTTTCTGTACAAGTACAACCAGTTGTTGATCTCTGAGAGTTTGTTTGGTTGTTTAGATTTTTGTGCATTTTCCTTTCATTGAGATCTTCTCGGACTTTCCCCCTCTGCTTTGACCATCTTTGACTCCTGCAAGAGTCGAAGACTTTGATTTTGAAAAGAAGAAAGAAAGAAGTGGCAAGGGGAAGGAAGAGAAAGAAAGAAAAAGAAAGTGGTCCCATTGCGCTGTGGAAGATGGATCTGTTCAAAGTGAGGAAGTTTAGAAGAGCCCACAAGCCAGAGCCGGAGAAGGAATCAGAAGGCAAGCCTGTTCCTAGCCCTGAAGAGCCAAAGAAAGACATCAATGGTGGCGGTGGTGGTGAGGATTTGAGTAAAACCAACAACAAATCGGTGGATGTGGTAGCGGAAGCCGAGGATGACGAGGACGATGACTTCATAACCAATGAGGTGAAGAGAAGGTTAAAAGAGTTGAGGAGGAACAGCTTTATGGTGTTGATCCCTGAAGAAGAGTCTTTAGCTGAACAAGAAGAAGAAGAAGAAGATGATGACGGTGGTGGAGAAGCAGGGGAGGCAATCTGTGGGGAATGGAGGGATGTTGAAGCTGAAGGACGGCAATGGTGGGGTGGGTTTGATGTTGTTTATGATAAGTACTGTGACAGAATGCTCTTCTTTGACCGATTGAGCCTTCTCCAGCTCAATGAAAATGGTAAACACCAACCCTTTTGCATGTTTAATTCCTGCTTGATGTTGGATGGTAATGGTATCAGTTAGTATGAATTTAGAGAACTGCAGATAGCATCAGTTACTATGGAGTGGCATTCATTTTATCTTACTAGTGCTGGTAAACTGTTTCCATTACAGGCTGCTGCCAAATGCCAACTACACCGTCTCCAAAATCATCATCGAAGAAGTTACCATCCCCCTTCCGTTGCCTATCATTGAAGAAATTCGACTACCATGAAGCTGAAACGGAGCATCTACAGCAGCCACAGAACGACCCGTACCAAGATCTCGAAACTGCATATGTAGGTCAGATGTGCCTGACTTGGGAGGCACTTCACTGCCAGTACACTCAACTCAGTCAGAGGATTTCGTGCCAACCCGAAAACCCCACTTCCTACAACCACAGTGCTCAGCAGTTTCAGCAGTTCCAAGTTCTGTTGCAACGGTTTATCGAGAACGAGCCCTTTGAGCAAGGTCTCCGAGCAGAAGTGTTTGCACGTTCAAGGAGGGTTTTGCCTAGACTGCTCCAAGCTCCAAATGTGAAAGGCAAGTCCCATTTTTCTTATCTTGAGCTACAATCAGAGAAGAACTATGAGATGTGTTAATGTTCAAAAGGCTTGATTTTTAGTGGTGGAACTGACTCTTCTGGAAAAACCCTTCAGGTTCAGATGGGAAAGATGCACAAGAGCTGGAGCTGGATTCGGATTCTGTGGTACATGCGCAAGATGTCATTCGAGTTATTGAGAGTTCGATTCTAACATTCCACCTTTTTGTGAAGATGGACAAGAAGAAGTCAAACACTGGCATCGCATTGTTTGGAAATCAGAATCAGATTGCAACCCCGCTTCAAATGATCCAGTCTTTGATTGACAAGGTACTCTCACTATGCCACCGGTATCCTTCCACGCCAACCCTTTTGAACCAATCAATCAATACCCAAAGTGGCCAGTGAAACAAACCTGTTTTGTTATAGTTAGCTCCATCTTTTTTGCTTAGTATGAATCATGATTTCGACATGCATTGTTTCTTGCTTCCGGTGGTTGCAGAAGAAGATGAGACTGAAGGAACTATGCAGGAAGAGTAAAGGATGGAAGAAGAAAACATGGCCTCAATCGTACGAGGATGTTCAGCTGTTGTTTGGCCTCGTTGACATCAAAATCGTATCCAGGGTGCTTAGGATGATCAGGATCAGCAAAGAACAGTTGATTTGGTGCGAGGATAAGATGAAGAAACTGAATTTAGCAGGTAGTAAGCTGCAGAGAGATCCATCTCCAATCCTTTTCCCATGTTAGTACTAGCTTACTATGTTAAGTGCCACATTGAGGAAATGTAGTGTAGGCCAGGAGAACGGGGTTTCGTTTTGGAATGGTTAGCTGCTAAGCTGCGGTTGAAGGCTGCAAATCTTTCATGTAATGTGAAACCCTAAATAGAAGACGCATCAAGCATGTGTTGGATAGGAAGTGCATTGTTCAATCATGGGTGAGCCCAATTCATCGTGACTTGATGTTACTTATCAGAAGAAAGGCCCATTCTCTTCCCTCCCAACTTGAGCCCAATTCCTTGTACACATGTCCAGCGTCCACCTTACTTGATCTCCAAAAGTCAAAACCCTAGCTGATGATTAGTATTTTCTCTTCATTTTCTCGCAAGAGGTATATTCGTCTCTTCAAATAACATGAAGGAATAGATTGATTTGCTCTAGTATGTACCCATATGTGATTTATCCGACTTGACGTGCGCTTAATGTGGAGGGAGTATGTCCGCCTCACTCCTCCCTTCCCTATTGACATCACTACAAATGATTTTGCACATGATGTCATATGAGATTAGATAATGTATTATGTTACGGACTTACGGGGATCTGCAAACTTGATGAATTAGTTATGTGAGTTAGGGCATTTTTGTGTCCGTTTTTTCACAAAAGTTTTTTTATGCACTGAGGGAGCAAATATATCCATACTCGAGAATCTTGGTCATCTGAGAGATTTTGACAGCGAGGGCTCGTTGATGACGGCACATTGGCCTCTGACTACCTCATCCATCTTGGGTCCGGTCTCATCTCTCCTACGCTCACAAAAAACAACCCAACATTGAGCTATAGTGTTGAAACCAAGTATCGCGCCATTGTCTACACTCTATTCATGCAACTTGAGAGCCACATACTTCAGCTCCAATCTACCAATGCTTCAGTTTCACATGAAAACTTATGAAGCTTGGTTACCATTTTGTCTGGCAACCGACCAACTCTGAGCTCGTCGTGTCTGGATACTCCATAAGCTTGCAATCTCTTTGACTGAACATTTTCAAAAATTTGATATGCTCTTCTTCGATTTAAAAGTGAAGATATTAACACTACATCCATCTTTCGAGCACACATCAATCTAAGATGAGAATAACTTGTATATATCTTACTCAGCATTTGGTGGGTTTCATAAAGAAAAAACTTGGAAGAGCAATATACAATTAGTAATTATAGATCATTCTCTCGCCAAACCCTAAATAAAGCAAAGTCAAAGGTCAGAAAGAAGAATCTATTGGTCACCACATTTCTAGTAACTCCAATTATTGGGACATGTACGCTTTTGATTGAGTGCATGAAAGAGAAGGGTGAACTTCTCAGTTCTCATCTCAAAATACAAGAAAAAGGTTTTAACTTCTCATTATTAAGCCGTCTGTGTCAGAGAACAGAGTAATTAAGAATTCTCACCTCACCTCCATGAAGCTATTTCAAGCTCCATTTTTACTTGTTAAATATTTGGTAGTTATCCCAAAAGGAGGAAAAAGAGATTGAACAAGAAAACTCCAAAACACTGCCATGAAAATTCGGTCACAGGGACGGGAGCAGAGGCAGAGAGCGGCTGATGTCAGCGACAGCACGATGGCCACGTGTCGACTCATCCTGCTCTCTTGGTCCTAACGTACACGTGTCCGGGAGTGGCCTTCTGTTCCCAAGCAATGAAGGCTTCTTCAGCTAAGAACCAGAAGGACCAAAACATCCCCGCCACCAGTACCAAGAAGTGGTTAGTTTCGTCATTCAGCAAATCTCGCCAAAAGGATTTTTATACTTTGCAGATATGTTAATTTAATTATCAAGTTGGAACATTAATTAATAATTGATAAAGATTAGGAATTTGGAACTAAACGGAAGCAAAAGTCTCAAACTTGAAGTCCGGGCTAACTGTTGGAGGAGGAGAGGGTTCTCTAGCTATAGCAAAGCCAAAACATTTTTTTTGGTTTTGTAATTTACTAAGCTCCAAAAGCTCTCGTTTTGGTTCTCTCTTCTTCACGGAGTTTGGAGATTCTGTGTTTCTTTCAAGAACCCTCAAAGGCTTCTGGTGGTCTCTCCTTCTTCAGCTCCTGTTTTTCTTCTTCTGGGTTTCGTTTGTGGCTGGTGAGTGAGTCCAAGCATCCTACTTTCATGGTGTATTTGTTTATCTTCCTGTTCTTGTAATTTCTGGTTCTTTACTAGTTTTTGGTGTAAAAGAGGTGCCTTTTTTCTTCTTCTTCCTGTTCCCTTTCAGTTTGGTGGGTTGTAGCCTTGTGGGTTTGCTTTGATTTTGGGAAGCAGTAAGTTGTTTGTGTGGATTCTGGGGTTTAACTTTTTCTTTTTTTTGGGTGAAGTTCTGAGATTTTGGGGTAGGTCGAGCACAAGAATTTTACATGATCAGTTGTTAGAAGACTCGGTCATTTGCTGATATTTGGATTCTGATCACTGTCGAATGCCAAAGAGTCATATTTGACATGATGTGTATTTTAAGCAATATTGATGCATTGCTGTGGTTTTTCTCTTTCTTTGGCTTAACTTGTGTCGTACTCGCTAACCTGCACTCTGCAGCGAGGCACACAGATTGATGGCTTTCACTATTTTCTGGGTTAGGGGTTTATGATGAAATGGAAAGATGAAAATGGATGGCACTTACTTTGATTCGTTACAAGGATCGCCATCAGGTCCTGCTTGTAATACGTGCATTTAGCTCCTTCACGTGCTGCATTCCTCAATATTGTTCAGGGCCTTACCATTGTTATTCTTTTCTTCACCTTCTTTCTGTTCTTACTTTCTCATAGCTCATTATTTACTTTTCCGTTCGTTTTTGTGTGTTGACATACCTGATTCTCTAGAGGTGTAGAGTCGTGTTGAATTGTCATCTGCAACCTATGTAACCTAAAATCATGCTGTTACTATAGCAGGACGATTCAAACATCATCTGGAAGCTGTGCATGAATTGCTGATTAAGAAGTCTAGGAAATTTCAAAACCTTTGTTATCTGTTGCTGGTTCAATATAAGTACTTGTCTAAGGCCTTGCATTTGATGAAGCCTTCAATCAGATCTATTATTGTGCATGTTGCTCATCATGGCATTTGGTTAACGGTTAAATGTTGGAATGTCAGTTGGTTTGGTGGTTTGAAGATATCCAAGTTACCACTACAATTGAGTTAATTGACTTGGTGTCATGGATGCAGTGGTAAATCAATATGGCTTAGAATCATTGGGACAACAAAAGGATACATTTGGAGATCAGGAAAAGGGGAATCTTAGAGAGTTGAATATGGCAACTGAGAGCCCTGTGAGAATGGTGGAGGGATGTGGAGCTAGAAAGTGGTCATCGTCAAAGGATGCTGCTATTTATGGATCGCCTTTAAAGTCTTTGGCTGCAGAAGAATTGGGATTGCTTCTCAAAGGGCATAGGATCCATGGTGATCAAACTGAAAGTGTTCCCAGTCGAAGTGGCAGTGCACCACCAAGTATGGAAGGGTCATTTGCAGCTATAGGGAATCTCTTAGCTCAACAGAACCTGAGCATGACCTCTAGCTTGGAAAGTTTACACAATGCTATTGAGAATTGCGAGTCTGAAGAACAACTGCGCTCTGATCCTGCTTACTTTGCTTACTATTGTTCTAATGTCAACTTGAATCCAAGACTTCCGCCGCCACTGTTATCTCGAGAAAACCGGCGTTTGGTGCGCCATATTGGTGGTTTGGGCAGCAACTGGAGAGGTGCTTCTGTAGATGACAGTGGCGATGTCTCCTTACACTTATCTGGAGGCTCCCTATCGACTCATAAGGAGGAGCCTGAAGATGAAAGGTCACTCAGGGAAGCATCTGAAAATTCCTTGGACAATGGCACTCTGCTTGTCTCGGAGCACAGTGCATCTTTTGCAGCTGGTCGTCATAAAAGTTTGGTTGATCTGATACAGGTACATAATATCTTCATTCTCTACGTGACATGTAATAAATTATGTTGGATAGGCATAATGCAACAGGATTATTAGATCTTAGTGGGATGGCCCAAAGGTAGTTGATGACTGATGGAAAAATAATTGTGCCTTTCGACAATGCTTTTAACTTCAGTTAATAACTTGATTTTTCCATTTGAAAAGGATGAATGGAATTCTTTTTTGGGGCCATTCAGTGAGGCAGAAGTCTGCAGCTTTCTTGTGTGGATCATACTTACCCGAGGATTATGTGCATCTCCATTCCTTTTCCATTTTCACGAGTCTGGTTATGCATCATATTTGGTCTTGCTCTATTGTATTGGATAAAGTTAACATTTTACTTTCTCGTTGACACCTTTTAGAGGTCTGGTAAGCATTGTAGGTTCTTCTATACATGCTAGTTGAATATATATGTTACTAAGGACAACCAACGTGGATTCTTTGTTTTGCAAGCATAGAAGGTTATCAATGAAATCCTTAATAATCTTTTCGAAATATTGGTGATGCGATTTGGGAATTATATATTTGCAAAATTGTCGTATTTGACGTATCTTCAATCACGAAAGGATCATGACATGGCTAGGGAGTTGCCATATTGAAAGGTTACTTTTTCTTATGCGTATGGGAGGAACATTTTCCAAATGGCTGCATACATGTTCCACAGCCTGTTGGAGGTGCAAATGTGTCAACAATGGTGCAGTCACCTTTCAGTGCAATCTCGTGTATTGCTATGTAACCCTGCATCTGAGAGTTGCATTGATGTCTGTCCTCCCTAACTTTATCATGTGGTTCACCATAGTATAGAATCTGATTTTGAACAGCTGTGCCACATTTAGGCCTGACAGTATTATTTCCCTTCATTCTTGGAGTGTATCTCTCCGAACTCTTCATGATGTTGTTCTCACATTGTTTGCCTACATTGGTTCTTTGTAGGAAGACTTTCCTCGGACACCGTCCCCTGTGTATAGTCATACTCGATCCCCAGGTCATGGAACTGATGAAGCTGTTGAACACGACGTAGATGCAAATACAGCGAATGTCTCTTCTATTAGTTTGTCGGATGTACCCGAAAAAGATGGCGGTTCTGATGGAGCTTCTGATGCATATGAAGTTGACCTTCATGCCCTCAGTTTATCATCAGGCAATGACACCCCAACATCCTCTTTGCAAAGAAATCCACCCAAGAAAAGGGATGAATTTGCGACAAAGGAAGTGAACCAGGTAGGTGATTCGCCAAATATAGGTTCCATCCAGTCTGGTGTTGTCAAAGTGGAAGCTAGGATGAGAAACAGACAAGAAGATCATCAATCTTATGGTAGGAATGCGTCTCAGCAGCATCCATCTGTTCACCGTGCCATTCCTCACCAGGCTCATGGGTTCCAAGCTCTCATGGTTTCACAAGCTATAAACCATTCCCACAGTCCTGTCGATAACTTATCGCATGGCCACCCTAATTTCCCATCTATAGGCTTACAATCATCAGTCAACTCCTCTGTACTCAATCCTCCTTTATATGCAAATGCTGATGCTTACATGACTGCTGGGAATCCTTTCTATCCAAACTTCCAACCATCTGGCTTGTACTCTCCGCATTATGGTATGGGAGGGTATGCACTGGGATCAGCATTCGTTCCCCCATTTATGACCAACTATCCTTCTCATGGTCCAATTCCTATTCCATTCGGTGCTGCTTCAGCCCCAGGGACTGATGGTAGGACTGTTGCACCCTTAGCTGGGGAAAGCATTACACATATTGGTGGATCGCATCATCCGGGGAAGTTTTATGAACCTCATGGATTAATGCTTCAACCACCCCTTGTAGATCCACTTCATATGCAATATTTTCAACATCAGTTTGGAGATCCATATGGTGCTACTGTTCAGCATGACCACCTGGCATCAAGTGGAACTAGTGCTGCTCAACTTGATACATTTACTCCAAGGAAAGATCAGTCTATTCCTACATATTTTGGCGACAGAAAACTCCAGGCTCCAACTTATGGAAATCCAAGCATTCCAAGCCCTGGAAAAGTAGGACTAAATAATAATAGCTACTATGGGGGGCCTGTAGGTACGGGTGTAATGACCCAATTTCCTGCCTCGCCTCTTCCCAGTCCTGTTCTATCTCCTTCAGTAGCAACAGTGAATCATTTTGGTCGACGGACCGACACAAGATATCCCCAGGCCTCTGGCAGAAATTCAGGACTCTACTCTGGGGGCCAAGGCCAGAGGGGGATTAATAGTTTTGATGACCAGAAAAGGCATTACTTCCTTGAAGAGCTTAAATCTAGCAATGCACGCAAATTTGAACTCTCCGATATAGCAGGCCATATTGTTGAATTCAGGTTCCATCCTTTACTTATTCCTTTGTCTTGCTTCTTCATAGCTAGAATGCAATTGGTTCCCCCCCAACACACACACACACACAATTCTGATTAGGTGCGATTCACTTGGTTTTTGAGTCATTATGCCAGCTTAAATGTGGCCTAGAGCTGGTTGACTTTATATTTATTCTGGTTATGTTGATTGTACCACCATCCTCGCCATTTGAAATGAATACTCCGGAATCGATCGGTTTCTTGACCATATGTCTGGTTTCAGTGTTGATCAACATGGTAGCCGATTTATCCAGCAAAAGCTAGAACATTGCGGCGCTGAGGAAAAAAGTTCCGTCTTTAAGGAAGTGGTGCCTCATGCTTCAAAATTAATGACTGATGTCTTTGGGAACTATGTCATACAAAAGGTACATTTAGTGATTTCTTTTCGTCAAAGGTCTTGCCTCTTCATTTCATTATTTTTCAATTTGTATCTCCGTGGGATGTTCAATATGCTCCTTGCATTACAGTTTTTCGAGCATGGAAGTTCCGAACAGAGAAAAGAGCTTGCAGATAAGCTTGCTGGACAGGTGTTGCAGTTGAGTCTTCAGATGTATGGTTGCCGTGTGATACAGAAGGTAATATAAGGGTGTAAGGTATCTTTTGTGTCACGTAACTGTGTGTTTTTCAGTATAAAAAAAAAATCTTGATGTGTGCATAGCTTAGTGTTCATTTGCTTCCTGGAGGTTTCTTTGTGTTCTTGAGCTAGTAGGTATGTGTCTTTTGTAATGGTTCCCGATCTTTGGTTTTTCGAATTTAGCAAATTACTGGGGTTCTTCTGTGTCGAAGATGAATTGGTTGTATGGTAAAGTTTTGTTGGTCAAAGGTGCCCTTCTTAAATTATTGGGTAGTAGTGTTTAAGCTTTCTCACCGTCATACTTTATCCTTATTGCTGCTCTGGAGAAATTCTATTTAGCATATATGTGTTTGTGGAGTTGGGGAAAGATGCTAAAAGTTGGACTAATTGTAAAATAATTACTACTGTTAGGCCCTTGAGGTGATCGAGTTTGACCAGAAAACCGAACTCGTGCAAGAGCTTGATGGTCATGTGATGAGATGCGTACGTGATCAGAACGGGAATCATGTCATCCAGAAGTGCATAGAATGTCTTCCGTCGGAAAGTATTGAGTTCATTATTTCTGCTTTTAGAGGCCAAGTTGCCACACTGTCCACCCATCCTTACGGATGTCGTGTCATCCAGGTAAGTTCATAATTTGTTGGTCATGTTGGCATGTATTCTAGCTTTTGGCTTTAACGGTGTTCTGCTATTTCTGTGGGGTTATGGTGTGTAGAGAGTTTTGGAACATTGTTCAGAAGGACAGCAAAGTCAATGTATTGTGGACGAAATTTTGGAATCTGCTTTCCATCTTGCTCAAGACCAATATGGCAACTATGTAACCCAGGTATCGGTTTGTGCTTGTATTGTGCTGCTAAACTGTCTGTCTGTGTGGTAGATGAAGATATACCCTTATAAGCTTTTGTGTCTCAAATTCTTACCTGCTCAACAAGTTTCCTCTTGGAAAGTGGATATTGGCAGGCAGGGCAAAATTTTGAGTAGGGTAGCTTAGCTCATGATATAGTGCCATGTGATTTCCTGATTTAGCTTACAGCAACATGGCCTAGCAGGCAAAAAATACTACTGTTTGGTCCAATGTCAGAGGGTGAACGAATTATAGTCCCTACTTGATCCTAAGAGAAGATTGTTGATAGTGCCATCATATTATACTTCACAAAGTTGGATGCTTCTATGATGCTTACGTTGCTATTTCATGCTTTGAGATTGGTGGTTGTAATTTCATGCTTGCATTAGGTGTCTGTTGACTGATTAAATCGACATATCTGGGATGCTTACGTTGCTATTTCATGCTTTGAGATTGGTGAACGAATTATAGTCCCTACTTGATCCTAAGAGAAGATTGTTGATAGTGCCATCATATTATACTTCGCAAAGTTGGATGCTTCTATGATGCTTACGTTGCTATTTCATGCTTTGAGATTGGTGGTTGTAATTTCATGCTTGCATTAGGTGTCTGTTGACTGATTAAATCGACATATCTGGGATGCACAAACTTTTTGCAAGGGCTTATAGATGGAGAGACTAATTTGTCATATTGCTGTCGTATCTTATCTTTCACTGTGCTCGGCAAAGTCAGTTTGCTGTGTTAAATCAGTTATTTTTGTGCAGCATGTTCTGGAGAGGGGGGAGGCGCGTGAAAGGAGTGAAATTATCAGCAAGTTGACTGGGAAGGTGATCCAGATGAGTCAACATAAATACGCATCAAATGTTGTGGAGAAGTGTCTCGAACACGGTGATGTTGCTGAACGTGACCTCTTGATAGAGGAGATTATAAGGAAACCTGAAGATAGTGACAGCTTGCTGGTAAGTTCAAGGTGTTCATTCTTTTATGATGGGAGTAGTTTGTTACAAGTATGGGACAAATACAGTCGGTTTTTGTGTGTGTGTGTGTGTGTGGGTGGGTGGGGTGGGATGCTATGGTGCTTCTACCCTATTGATTCGTCCGAATTGGTAACAATTCGGCCTAGTGTCTGACATGACTATGACACATTCTCCCCACCCCGGGATATCTAGTCATTTGAACCTTCCTATACTGAGACAGTAAGTTGGTAGCAAAAGATCATAGGGCCCTCCTCTTAGAAAGATCATGTTTATCACATTTGCTAGTAATATGAAGTTCCTTTCATCGTGCGTGCTGCTATGTAAAGTGCAGTGCTGCTAGGCCTTGAACAGCAGTTGGATTGAATCTTTGTGTGGAAGGGGGGAAAGAAAGAAGTTTTTTGGTTTTGGTGCAACCGAATTTGTGGCACTGATAATTGGTATTCAGTCTTGTACAGTGCAACGATGTGCCTCTGTCCTTTCTAAAATGTAACTGCCATAATTTTCCATTGCAGACAATGATGAAGGATCAATTTGCAAATTATGTTATCCAGAAGATTCTTGAGATTGGCAGCGATCGGCAGAAGGAAGTACTGCTCAATCACATTAGCCTCCATATTAATGCTCTGAAGAAATACACGTACGGGAAGCACATAGTTGCTCGGTATGAGCAGCTCTGTGGCGAAGGTTCGTCTATGCGTATTTCTTACTCTCATTTTTCCAGTTATCGTCCATTTGGTTTGTTGCAATAAAGCTGCCAGAAGGAGAACTGGTAGCTGGATTACCTCTCCTCACTTGTGGAATGTTGAGCTCCTTCCATTCGAAAGATGGAATCCTTGTAGCGTTTATGGCTCGAGTTACTGACCCCAAAACCACATATGCAGAGAGTGAAGCCTCCGAGCCTTGAAGTCGGTTACACACTGTGCTTGGCGCTCCTCGACAGCCATGGAGCGCGCGGTGTCGTGCTTGTGGGCGATAGCAGCCAAAGCCAGTTGAAGAAATGTCGAAAGGCATGAGAAAAGGAAGGGTAGATGAATTGAATGGGTATTGATTCTTATGCACAAGAATTGATTGAAGCTGGGGAAAGATGGGGAAAATGGGCCTTTGGTGAAAAATTTGGAGACGGTGAAAGTATATATTAGTAATGCAGTGTTTGTGATGGGTGTGAAAGTAAAAAAAAAAATATGGTACGTGTACATGAATGTAATGTATAGGAAAGATGGAGGAAGGAAGATTATATGTACACGGTGATTGATGATAGGGATAGTCTTGCACTGTTGGTCTTTGCAGCAGAAATTGTGGATCAGTGAGTGGAATTCTTGTGTTTGGTTCTGCTTTCTGTCTTGGTTGGTCTTTGCTTTATACATCCTTCTGTTTTTGGTACTCAAGAGAGGAAAAGCGAGACGGATCTATTTTCGAGACTGGATTGGTGTTCACTGTTCAGTCTACCGGGTAGAAGATTGAGAAGAATGCTCTTTGGAGCCTATAAAATTCCATGTCTTTCTTGGTTGGACTAATCCAACCGACGGCGATGAAATGAAAAGTGTTTCTTACGAAAAGTTTTCAATAATATTTCGTTACTAATGATATCACTAATTATATTCCAGACAAATTTTGGCCATGGGAGATGAGCAAAATTCGATGGTGATGAATAATCACCAATCACAATAAAATATTTGTGTTATTTAATAAAGAAGAAAATATAATATTTCACATTTTTGTAATAGTAGTGAAACGACTTGTGTTCGTGTGTACTTCTTCTGAACGTGCATGTTTACTATGAGTTCGCTTTAATCGTGCTTGTTTATTACATATTCTTCACAATTGTTACCAAATTAAGAGTTTTGTCGCAATTTCCAAATAATTGTTAAACTGTTATAAAATGTTATCATTTACCTTCGAAAAAACACTTGATTTTCCTCAATTATGCTCTTTTATATTTTAGTAGCAAGTCCCGTCTTGTCTCTCTCGTGATATGCTTATGCTCTAACAGAATCCTAGCTGATTCTCTTTCGTCTCAACGACTGTGCATCATGTAACTACGTTTGTCAAGGATTGTTCTGTAACCCTGTGTTTTTTTAGGGGGAAAAAAAAGTCGTTCTCCAATGATTGAATCTTTGCGAGTGCCTCTAGGAGAACACCCATCTGATGACTTGGAGGATCGAACCTGGGAGCTGTCACTAGGATCCCATTGTGCCTCTAGGAACACCCATCTGATGGCTTAGAGGATCGAACATGGGAGCTGCCACTAGGATCCCATTGTGCCTCTAGGAACACCCATCTGATGACTTGGAGGATCGAACCTAGGAGCTGCCCCTCCCAAATCGTCACTTTTCTCCGTACTCACACCAGTTGGGCTATGTGACCTTTGATTTTTTTTTTCCTTTTCAAAATATTGAAATAGTAGCTTTGTTGCCCCAAATTCTTTCTTTATTTCTTTTCCATTCAAAATGGTCGCACGTTGCTTTTATTAATGGAAGTCTTGGAAGACAAAGTATAGAAGCTTTGCCCATAATTTTTTTCGTAGCTTTTATTATGAAAAAGAAACTTATAATTATAGACTGATAGTTGGGGAATGTATGTTCAAGATCATTATATAGTAAAATCACATTTGAGTTTGGGGTACGATTTTTTAGAATTGTTTGTGCGATTTTCACATTTAGCTAACGGCATAGCACAAATAGCATATCGAAAGTTTCATAATATAAATGATACATTGGCTAAGGTTGCTATATTTAGTTGTATTAGTCTTTAAAAATGAAAATGGTAATGATTGGTCATTCATGATATTCATTTCAAACGTATAATTAAATTATTTTACTACAACATAACCAATAAAATAACATGTACATCACACTTTTCAATATAATCCAGTATTATACTTTGTCACATGAATTTTATAATTGCCGAAGAAAACAACGTATCTATCACACTTACCTATATACTTTTCCCCTCCCTCCATCCCTTTCACTTTCCCCCCATAAAATAACATTTTCTCTCCAATTCCCTTCCCCTCCAAATTTTCCCTCCCTCCTTTTCTTCCCCTACTTCGGAAACAGGGGGTAAGCATCATGGCTTAAATTCATTATTATGGTGTGTCAACGGTCAACCAGCCGAGCCGAGTCTGTTCCATTTTAAATAATTAAACCCAGACTTTGTTAATTATTATGTAATTATTGTTATTCTACACGCCGCCCGGACGGGGACGATCCATTATTCAACTAGCCAAACGGAAAACGATAAGGAAGAAAAGAATGGGACGAACGAGCAGTTTGCAAGAGCCAAAGGTTCCGCTGACCGCCTGAAACATTCAGAAACCTTGAGAAAGGAAGAAATCTAACCTGCTGCGGGGAGCGGCGGCGACAATTGGATTACCGGAGGCGAGAGAACCGAACAAGGAAGGATAACGGAAAAACTTTGATGTCAAATTGAGTTGTATCGGAGACGGGAAAGATGGAGACTAACGGCGCCGGCGGCGGTGGAGGAAGCAGCAGCAGCAAGAGGAGCGAAATAGGAAAGCCAATTATAGGAATGGTTTGCGGTACGCTGGTGTACTACCACTGTGCTCATCGGAATTCCAGCCTTCTCTCCCTCCTCTCCGACGTCTTCATCGTCCTCCTCTGCTCCCTCGCCATTCTCGGCCTTCTCTTCCGCCAATTGAACATCTCGTATGCAGCCGGGCCCCCTGCTTTCCCTAACTTTCAGTTTCCTTGGCCTTTCGTTTCTTTGTGTGTGGATGACTGAAGGAAAGATAGAACTCGGTTAGGAATTTCCTCTGTAGTCTGTTCAACCAACCGGGATTGATGTTTTCGCTGAAATCTTCTTGCTGATCGCTCGTCTGTCATTTGATTGTGTATATAAATTGTGATATATGCTGCAAAATGTTGGCGTTGTAGGATTCCTGTAGATCCACTGGAGTGGCAGATCTCTCAAGACACTGCTAATAGTATTGTTGCATGGTTTGCTAACACCATAGGAGCAGCTGAATCTGTGTTGAGGGTTGCAGCAACTGGACATGACAAGAGGTTATTCTTTAAGGTAAAGTTCTAACTGCTTCAACTCACCAGTCATTCTGCTAGGATTCTGCTCGTTTTACAGCTTGAATTGAATCTCAAAGCTAGCAAATCTGTTAAGTATGATTGTATGAAGTATTCTCCAACTGATGGCCTGCTATGACATACCGTGATAGTAAGGTTATACCATCGTGCCTTGATGCTATCAATAGGAGAGTTTGTTCTGTCTGTGAATCAATTTTATAGCATTTCCACCAATGCATACTCGGCTTACAGCCTATGGGCCTCATATTTTGTCTTCCGGTAGTGCCTTCTAGGTTTTGTGTTACACAATGGTGTAGTAATAGAAAGCTTTATAGTTTGTGTGATACTCGAATAGATTATATCAGAGCAATATTGGAACTCCTGTTGACAGGCAGAATTCTCAATCTGTAACTTTTGGAAGTAGTAGACAGAGCAATATTGGAAGTCCAGATTGACAGACAGTAAAATTTGTGAAATTTTATTGAGTGCATTATCGATTTCGTCATAGTTGGCGGTCTATGGGGTAATATCAGATAGCCACTTTGATAATCCATTCAAGACGGATTATCTGTTTCAGTGTCACTTGCATTGGAGTTTCAAGTTTTGTAGGAAGATCTGCCATTTGAGATGGTTACTTTCTTCTTGTGCTATTTTTTAGAGCTCTTTCATTTATGTTTGTATTCTTATTCTATCAATGAAATAACTGGTGGTGGACTTGAATTTACACTTGAAACTGACATAGTTGAATTCAAGAGCACTATGTCGGCTTGCAATCTGATTGTGTTCTTGAAAGGCAAGGAAATCACTCCTTTGGCTTTGATTAGGACTGATAAGTTCAACTTATTGCCTTTCTTTCCAATAAGTTCGTAGGATTTAAAGCTGGTTTACATATCGGAATTGATAATGAGGCACGAAGAAGTACATCAAGGTTGTGAGTTGCTTGTCTATGGTTGGAAGTTTACGAACGTACAATTTCGGAACTTGAGATTTGAGGCTCTCGTTGGTTTTCCCTACTGCAGAGACAAAGTTCCAATTTTGTGATAGATCTGTTGGATGGACCCCTGAACCTCAAATTGATCATAACTGAATGTAATTCAGTACTTCATCTTGTTCATGTCTTGGGTATAGGAATGAGAATATTATTTACGTAGAGAAAGAACTATGGCTGCAATTTCGTCAGACTTGAGGTCCACCTTAGTGCAACAGCAATCACTCCTGCTTTTGTTTCTTGGTTTTTGCAGATATGATGCATTATGAAGAATCCTAATACTTGCTATTCCTTCCTCAGGTTGTAATCTGTCTCTACATACTATCGGCATTGGGACGATTGGTTTCAGGGGTCACTGTTGCATATGCTGGTAAAATTTAATTGGCATTGCACGCCACAAGAATTTTATGCTTATGTTGTCACCCTGCTGATACTGCAAAATCATTGCCATAATCGTACTTGATTTCTAAACTAACAATACCTACTTTCTTCTGGCTAACAGCATTGTGTATGTTCTGCCTGTACATTCTGGCCGACACCTCAGAAAAATGCAGCAGTTGTCTCTCTTGGCTGTTGGGCCGTAGCAACAGCACCTCTGCAGAACCAGATAGCTAGCAAGCCAAGTTGAACCAGGTTTTGTTTGGCCGAAGTAACAGCACAATTCCAGAATCAGATAGCTAGCGAGCTAAGCTCAAATCAATTTGCGGACCACAAATCTCGTGTGTTCTTCAGCAGCTTTTCTCCATCTAACTACTTGAAGGGCGTTGGTTGTTTTTTCTGTACATACAAGACAGCTCATTCATTGTTAGAGCTTTGCATGAACTCCTCTGTTCAACTTCCATTCAATCAAATGTGCATAAAATTCAATATGTGCGTTTTCAGACGAGTAGCTCTCGTGCCATCTGAAAAATACAAGTATGAACTAGGAGCAAAATCGGGATGGTAGACTGATTATATAAAGACAAGTGTGGGGATGGTACATGAAAAAAGATGATTGGCACCAAAATTTTGAAGCCTCAAGGCCTCGCCTACAGATTACAATGGTCAGAAAGATGTAAAATGGGCAAGGAATCAAATTATTGCCCAGAGCCTTCTTATACGCCCCAGAAGACTCTCACTCTGGATCTCTGACATAAATGGCAGCACTGCAAAATGCTGAGCCGCCGCCACCACCTTCTACATTTCAGAAGGGGATAAAATTAGGCGGGGAGCTTCACCTGTAGGATGTCAAGCAACCTGCTTTTCGCCAAGGAGTATATCTTTCCAAGCTTCGTAAAACACCCAAGTGATGCCAGAGTTGGGCATGACTTTCAAACAACTTGCACCCCAGCCTCTGTATAGTCCCAATAGCCCCTCCTCCCGGAGTACTTCCGAGAGCGCTGCTGCCATGTGCGGTGGGCATTTACCGTTCAAAGCTCCCACCATCAGCCGTTTCCTGGCGACCTCCAATGGAAAGCTGATGGTGCTAGCCGTCAACCCTGAAAAGGATCGTAAAAATTGTACATCTTAATCCAAACAGCCAGCCAAGGAGAAGACACATGCATATTGCTACAAACACCATTTCAATCCGACATTTATTTATATCAGTATACTATTGCAAGTATGTGGCAAAGAGGCTGTTCCCGACCTGCAAGAGCTCCAATGGCGAGCATCTCTGGACGACTTAACGACTTTTTATTCTTTGACTTGCAATATGATCTCTTCACGGTATCGTACATGAAATAGTAGCATGTACTATATGGAAGCATGCCAATCAGTGTAGGTTTAAGGCCAGCATAAAAGGCACCAATGCCTCCATCCTTGTAAATTCTACCAATCGCTACGGTTAAGCTAGGGTATAAGTCAGGGCTTACAGTCAGTCGATCCTGTAAGGGAAATGCAACAGAAACTGTCAGGAACAATAGACAGTAGTAGGTTGAGGCGCTTAGCTTGGTTTATTAAATTTAAGAACAAGCTACTGTACATCAGCATAAAAATTATTTAAGGCAGGCAGCTTCAAATATCAAAACGTAGTAACAACATAGAGCAAGAACATGAAGTAAAATATAACACAAACAGGTAATTTTGGTTGCTTCAGGTCAAAGTATGATGTTACTATATACGTTTAGTAGGGTTTAGATTCGAACAAGATAATATGTTCAAAATACCTTCAAAACCTCAAGAGGATGGCATACAAGAGTGCCAGCAATGCCAGCAACAGCACCAGCAGCAGCAACAGGGTGAATGAAGTTAAGAGAAAAGTTCAAACTGATGGGACCGATTTTCACTCTTGGACATTCAGACTGTTTACTTTTCTCTTGTGCTGAAGTTATTGTCCGCTTGACACACTCAAATGTACCAAGCTCGATTGCCTGTGTGGGGACAATACGAAGCATATTGATAGCATTGCCAGCCCACAGCCCTTGCCAGCCTTGTTGTTCAACAACTTCAATGAAACTTCCAGGAATGTTTTTAGATCCAACACCGACAACCATCCTTGTTCTGCAAAGAATAAAAATAGCTGGTGGCTCAGCTCAGCAAGTAATCTCACTCTTAGCTAAAGCAAGAATAATACCTCAGAACCTCAAAGGTCTAGACAGAGACTTAACTCAAGTAATCGCCCCATATTCTACGCTTTAATAAAATGACCAGATCTCAGCCTTTTCTTATGCATGGAAAGTGTTGTCAATGTGTTCTCCTGACAGAATAGGTTGACACATTTCCCAAAAAGGGAAGATACAGAAGGAAAAGGAATGAAGAGATTAAAACAAACTGCAGCAGAGAAAATGACAGCTTCTGCATTGGCATTATCCTCAAGTATCCAACCCAACTATCTCCATTGGTATCCAATCATTAGAAATTTCACGAGGTAACAGAAAGCAACGAAGTAGAGTTTGGGAGATATATGCAAAGTGAGGAAAAGAGCTACTAGGAGACCATCAACCCCGTAGCATAGATCTTGATATCTAGTATTCCTACAGTAGGGTATTCCCCAAGTAAGTTAAATGAAATTATATGCATCATAACAATTCTAAAGCAATGAAACCTTGGAAATCAACCTAGGTTGTATCACGTGTGTAAGATAAACGAACCAAAAAGGACAACAATCTATAGACAACATGACTGTCTAGAGTCAACCTCCTTCAAAGACGCCTGGTAGTTGTTGCCTATCCGAATAATGCTCACACATGCATACAGAACAGAAGAGTGAAGAAAAAACCTGATGGTCTCCAAAGGAGCAAGTACAGCTTTAGACATAGCCCCGGCTAATGCACCACTAAGGAACTCCCCAACTCCTCTAGTCTTCGTGATATCCTAAAATGAAATTAAAAAGAAGAGGACCCAGCTATTAAGATGAGCAGCAGAATATGAATTGAACCCCAGCTCCCAGTGCATCAAGGCTGAAGCCTATAAACTCCTGGGTGGGTGGGAACAAGAAAAGGTAAAGAATCTACTTTAGCATCAAAACCTAAAGTTTGAGCAAGTTCAATCCAGATCCCTCTAAGTTCTCTTCATGACATTAATAAACAATTTCAGACTGTTTAGTGCCTAGAATCTGGCAAGATACTCCACCAGTTTGTTCCTTTTCAACTAAACTTTGACAGAGAGAATCGGAGAAAGTGATCAACAAACCAAAAAACATCTCGCCATATCATTGGCCACGGAATCAGCAATCTGTGTAAGTGAAGAAAGAAGCTCACTCACTCGGATTGCAAGGCCGATGTTGGGGAGCCGAACGGGGAACTCGAAACGAGGAAGCGAAAGAGACGAAGGAGGTGGAGGAGAGGGAGAAGGAAGTGCTGAAAGGGTGTCGTCGAATTTCTCAACAAGCTCAAGGTCCTTGGGGAGCAACACGGTCATGGCGCCAACGTCTCCGAAGACGACGCCTTCTCCCAAGACTGTTGTCCCTTTTTTGGTCGCCGCCGCCATCTGCTGCGATTGCAATTCAAAATCCATCATTACTCTGGCCAAACAAACTCCCGTCTCTTTCCTCAGGAAAAAAACAGAGAACAAACAACAAATTTTTGTATGGAAAACGATCTCGAGCTTCTTTTTTTGGCGTCCTGTTTATGATCTGAGGAAAAAAAAAACAGAAGAAGAAGCGAAAGGAGAGATGAGGATGCCTGAGCAATAGTAGAAGTGGCGCGAGGGTGACAGTGCGACGGCGACTCCCGGGACATTGATGGTCGGAGTTCGGGGGAGCGGGGACGAACTGACGACGGACGGAAATTCGCAAAATCCAGAAAAAATATTTTGCTTTCGCTGTTTGTTTTTTCAAAACTTTTTCAACTTTTTATTATCCCTCTCCTGCTCCTCCTCCTTCTCTGTCGGGCAATCTTTTTTTTTTTTATTGTTATTTTCCGCTCCGTTTCCTTTTCGCGGATGCTTTCTGAGTTCTGTTTGTTCGGGGGTTTATTAGGGTTTTGGAGTCGTGAGGTGACGAAATTTGGAACCTGGACGGGAATGGAAATGTGGACCCGCACGCCGCTCTGATTCTTGAACAGCGTTAATTTGGTATAAAAAATTTGATTGCCATAATGCCGGGACTAGATACCGTGACAACCCCCTTGGGGTTGTCAATTTCGCTTCCCCTTTAGTAGCCGTCCATCCCTCTTCCTCACCATGTGACGGTTGATGATGGCCAAGGAAAAAAAGATAGTGCCCACACTGGATTCGTCTGCCCACTAATTGTTGACGTCAGCCGGGTTTTGAAAAGGGAAAGAATTTGGTGGGGGAGAGAAATCAGCCACCCTCCCCGCAGAACGATTCGTCTCCCCCAAACCATTTTCCTCCGTCTTCTCCCAAAAACCTTCCCTTCCACCATCTCCGATCAATTTTCTCGGCGTTTCCTGCCATCGTCTCACCCGGTCTCGTGTTGAGTGCAAAGTCTTGGTGTTTGTCTGCCCTAAAATCATTTCCCCCTCCATCGTCTCCCAAAAAACCCAGCAACCGTCACCGCCATCGTCCCTTCTTGCTGTCGTGCAAACCATCACAGGCGAGGTATAATCATGCAATCCTTTCTTTCTTGTGTGGCTTGTTTGATTTGGTTTTTGTATAATCGAGTGGTACTTTGAATTGGTAGCGTTGCTATCACTACAGAGGCAACACTATTGGTAGCAGTTTTAGTGGTAGTGGTGGCAATTGTACTCATTTTAATTGTAGCATGGTAGTGGTAGTTTAATTGAATGGTAGCACTGGTACTAGCAGTAGTGGTAGTTTACTAGGAGGGTACCACTCACTTTTTCCAGTTGTAGTGGTAGCACTAATATTTGTGTACCAGTGAATTTTGGTCTGGCAGTAGTGGGTTTAAAATAATTAATTGTTATTGGTAGTGGACTAGTGGTAGTCGAAGTTGTTGTTACTAGTAGTGGTAGTTGAAGTTGGTATTAGTCCTTAGTGGTAGTTTTTGTGGCACTGTTGAATGGTTTCTAGTGGTAGCATAGTAAGTTTTAATTAAATTTGTATAACAATGTAGTTTTTTTTTTGTATTAGGAATGGCGAGAACTACACATTGACAACCAAAAAAACAACTTGCAACAAAAAAACCTACTAGCTATGAATCTCGGCAGGTTATCATCTGTGAAGGAGAGTCATCATATTCTAGTCCAGGCCCTATTAAAGACGGCCACATGAGGTGCTAACGGAGAGTCCCTATGAGAAGAAGAAGAAGAAGAAGAAGAAGAAGAAGCAAGAAGTAGATGCAAGTTCAAGCCAATTTGGGAGAAGTGCAGCCAGAATTCAAACATTGAAATTCTGGAATCTAGCATTTCGAAAGAGAGGAAGGCTATACTGAAGAAGCTTAAGGAATATGATAATTGGTTATGTACGTTTTGGAGTATGAACAAAGCTTGAGGCGTATGATAATTGTCTATTTCTTTTTTAATGTAAACCAATTATATTGGACAAAGTAATGGCAGTTTGCAGTAGTACATTTGGTTTTGTGTTCCATTGGCATTTTCTCATTACATCCAACACTAGTTTTCCCCATAAGTATTATGTGACTAGCAGTCGTGCTTGTACAACTACTAGTACTGGTATATGTAGCAGTAATTATTAGTGGTACATATACAAGTAACTAATGGTGGCACATGTGCAAGAAACTAGTAGTGGTACATGGACAAGTAACTAGTAGTGGTACTTATACCAGTAACTAGGAGCGGTACTTGTATCTTTACTAGTTACTAGTATATAGTGGTACTTGTACCAATAACTAGGAGCGGTATTTGTACCATTATTAGTTACTAGTATATGTACCAGTCACTAGCAGTGGCACATGAACCAGTAGGCAGTAATTACTAGCAATGGTACTCGTACGAGTAAGTTTGTTTGCTAAAGCTACTGATATACACGAGGCACTCACCGTGGATATACACAGGTGTTACAGCAGTAGTAGAATCATTGCTTCGTGTAGGTTTCCAAGTATGAACAATTTTTTTGGGTATCTGTTGTCTTTAATTTGATCTAAGACAAAATACTGTTGCCTACATTGGCACAATTGGGTTGGTTTTGAGTGTGAAAATTTAGTACATTCCCCCTAGTTATTTTAACTACATAACCCCTTTATTGGTACCATTTTAGTTGTACTGGTACGAAATTAATGTTACTGGTACCAAGACAATGGTATCGATATCAAAATCATGTTGTTAGTAATCATTGCTCCGTCTGGTACGAATTCTGTTGCATTTGCACCATTTTACTAGTGGTATAAATATTGTTTTGGAAAAAATGTACCTGTAGTTATGGTTCAAGTAGCTAGTAGTATTATTGTAGTGGTAGGCTCCTAGTGGTAGTCACCTAGTGGTACTCACTTAGTGGTAGACACGTGGTCATCTTGTGGTACTCCCTTAGTGGTAGTCATTTAGTCGTAGTTAGTGGTACTTCCCTAGTGGTATCGGGATACCGGTAAAATGTTAAATAGTTCGTTTTGCTAATGCATTTGTTCTTTAAATACAGGTTTGGTATCAGCCATCATTCCATGAGACAGTTGAACGGGAATCACTTGTGTTTCCAGAACCAGGATGAATTTACACGTTTCTACAAGAGTTTTGGTCATGGAAGAGGTTTCTCGTCTAGAGTCGTTGGAGGAAGTAAAGAAGAAAAGGTCATACTTCCCCGAACCATTCGTTTTCTAGTTTGGAGGTTCGTGCACCAAACAAGGGTACAAAAAGCAGCAGGCTTGACCCGAAAAATGCAGAAGAGGTCGTGGACTCAGAGTCTCCAAAGGTCATGAACAAACAAGGGTACATAAAAGGCAGCAGGCTTGACCCGAAAAATGCAGAAAAGGTCGCGAACAAAAAGAAGGGAAAAAGCAAAACCTAAACATTGTTTTTCATTTATCTCTTTAGATGTTTCAATTCAAATTTGGTTCATGATACAATCAAACATGTCCCTTGTGGAAGATATTACGTTATTCGGATGAGATTTTGTTGTCTAACATTAGATAACCATTTTAAAGTGTTCTCTTGTGAAGGTACACGTACCAGTAACTATTAATGATATAAGTACAACCACTAGTTACTGGTACAGATACCACTAGTAATTACTGGTAATGGAAATATTAAGTATAGTACTAGTACTACTAGTTTCTGGTGCTGATACCACTAGTCATTTCTGGTACTTACCAATACTAGTTACTATTACACGTACTAGTGGTACTTAGCAGTACTAATTACTCGTACATGTACCACTATTAGTCCATGTGTAATTAGAAAAGCAAGAAAAGTACTGTTGTAACAAAAATACAAAACCATATTAAGTGATTCACCAACATTAGGGGTTTTCTTCAACAAAAATGGTTCACATTAAAAAATGCTCAACAAATGCTTCACAAGAGAGCTAAAAGCCAACAAATGCTCAAACTTTGTTCATACTCCAAAACGTATATAAACCAATAGCATACTCCACGCACTCTGAAAAAGAACTACTGCTTCCCGAACTGCTTGCGCTTGTTCCTACTTTCGGTTTCTTCTTCTTCTAGCAGGGACACTTCATTAACTCATCTCGTGGCCGTTTCTTACTAGGACCTGAATCAGAGTCAGATGAATCCCTTTCACGGATGACTACTTGCCGAGATTCATAGGTTGCAGGATGTTTTACAGCAGGTTCTTTTTTTGCCAGTTGCTCTTTTGTCATCGACACATAGCATGGAGTCTTTGTTCTCGCCATTCCAGGTACACAGATAACAAAACTACATTGTTAGACATATTTATTAAAACTTACAATACCAACCCTATGAAACATTCAAAAAAGATAGTATCAGGAATGCCTATGATACGTGTACAACTAGTGTTAGTGGTACAAGTATCACTAGTGGTACACGTATCACTAGTTGTACTTGTACATTTATCATTAGTGTTACCGGTACACTAATCCCTAGTGGTACTGGTACAAGTACCACTAGTGTTACTGATACACGTATCACTAGTAGTACATGTACCACTACAAAACATTCTACCACTACTACTAGAACTGGTACCAATACCACTACCACACCAATTCAAAGTACCACTGCATTATTCAAACAACACAGAAGCTACTAAAGAAAGGAATGGCTGGTATAAAGAAACCTCACCTGGTATGTTTTCAACCGCCGTATAAAGTGTCGACGGAGGAAGGATGTCCGGCGATGCAATGAAAGAACGTAGAAAATGAATTGTTATGATTTGGATTAAATCACGGTTGGCCGCTGGGAAAGGACGATCGAAGAGGAGGGAAGGCTGCTGGAAAACGACCAGTTCAAGCTAGTCAATAGAACTTCAATTGAGCAAAATTTTAAACGACCAGAATCAAGAAGAAAGGAATGGAGGAAATAGACCCGAATTACCTTTACTCTCAACGACCAAGTCTTCGAACCCAGTGGGGAAATGAGCGAGATGATGCAGGGGAAAGGAAACCGACGACAATGTTTATCGGCGACGATGCAAGGGTTTTCTTTTTGGGTTATGGGAGCTGATGGAGGCTGGCCAGGCGAACGGTTTTTTTGCGAGGAAAGTGGCGGATTAGCCTCCGAAAATCTTTCCCCTTTCAAAACTGAATTTCGCGTGACACCATAGGAGGAGTGGGGGAACGGATCCAGTGGAGCACCTATCCATTTTGCCCTTGATAATTATCGACCGCCAGATCGTGAGGAAGGGAGATGGGTGGCTGGGAAGGGGGAAGCGAGATTGACAACCCCTTTAGGGGGTTGTCACGCTATCCAATCCCCCATCATATTAGCATTAATAATGTACTAGCATTAACCCTGCCCTTTGGGTAGGTGATTTTTTAATTTATGTGTATATGTGTAATATAAAAGCAATAATTTTTTTAAAACCACACAGTTAGTTTCCATCACAAAAATAAAGGTATAGAGGCACCAGAAGGTCCGTCTATCTTGATGAAGTTCTTCGGGGGAAGTTTGGTGGGCATATAGTGTCGTCTTGTGGTGGGAAGCTCGATCAATCTATAAGGAAGAATCGTACATGAATTGATGGCCAATCCTCCACCCAAATAGTAAGGATTATTTAACAAATGTTAGTGAGTGAAACAAATATAGATACAAAATATCTCTATTTATGATATATCGAGATTTTAGAATTTGTAATCTCTAAACCTACAATGCACGTATAAAATGGAGAAAGAAACCATATTCGTTAAATCTCTAAATTCTATGAATCTATACTTCGGATTTCATTCTCCAAATGACCTCTTGATTAATTTACCATTAATATTTTAAAACATATTTTCGATTAAAAATATTAAAAAATATTATGATTATTATTTAGATGACTTGCATTATTATTATTGGGGATAAGTAATCATCATAAATCATTATAATTTACTTCGTCATCTCTTTCCTCCCATATCTCCATCCAAAATAAATTGATCAAAAAGAAAAAAGAGAAAAACCTGTACAATGAGGAGTCTAGGGGACGGTTTAAAGGGGTAAGAAACATAAGCATTTAGTCTGAACAAAAAAAAATTGACAGAGAGGCAAAAGCGAATGATAAAAAAAACAAAAAAAAAACACTTAGATTACCGAAAATCGCGGTAAGGCTTTTGAGGCTGACGTGGAGAGGGTCCTAATCTTAATCCTCTTTAATATATTTTAAGATTTAAGATTAGAGATCATATTAGAAATTCAAAGGTAAAAGTCCTTGTGTTGCACTCTTAAGAAGAAAGAAATTATTAAATTCCAAATGTATTGTGTGAATATTTCTATTTCAATTGTGTTATATGAGTATTATTGACCAAAAAATTTGTTGTATTATCAAGTGCAAAGAAGATACAAGTATATGGGTCTGGATCAGGACACCAACGATGAGTATTGACTCGTGTATAATATTTTTCATTTTTTTCCCCAATGGAAGTGGCCTTGTCCTCCAAACCACCTTCATAGACAAAAAAATCGCAGTGCAAATGTCTCTATGTCGCCGACCAAAATTTATAAAAGACTCTAATAAATGAAGGCATGAGGCTCCCACGAGATAACTTCAACGCAAAGGCTCCATTTTCCTTCATCCTCGACACTTCTGCGAGCCGCACAAAAGCTTCAGTTCCTCCCCTCATTGCAAATCTACACACCGCTCCGATTCTCAGTTTTATCTACCACTCTCACATTCATTCTTCTCAATTGAGATTCCTTCTCTCTCTTACTTACTAATCGCATTAGTTACCCCTTATTAATCCTCATGTAACCACTCTTTCCTTTCTTTTTTTCATGTTTGTTAACATTTTTCAACCACATAAGTTTAATTGGCATCGAGAAGTATCGAATTGGCTAGTATCTCGAAGGAAGGATCATGGCAACGATAGTTTTAAGTGGAGTGTATTTGTTAAAATAAAATATCATTAAAAAAAGTTGAAATTTGAAATTAGGGTAAAATTAGATCCACAATTAAACAACCCTCAAACATCAAACTCACAAAATGTTTTTGACGTGTCAAAATGAAAGAAGAAGAAGAAGAAGAAGGAAACCGAAATGGCCAAAGAGGCAAAAACATTGAATCGTTCTGAATCGTGATTCGTCCGTCCTCTACCTCTGACTTTTCGTCCTCGCGTTATCAATTGAAAGACAAAACCCAGCTCCGTTCTACATCCGCTCGCCGTCGCCATAACCGCATCTCAACAGCCATTCACCTCCCTCGGCCGCGATCACGAGCCAGCTGCCCGTCTCTCGAATTTTGACCCTCGCCGCCACCACCGGCCACCACCCTAGGCGTTCCTCCGCTTAAAAACCGCCGGTCGAGCAACCGTTCCGTCCATCCCGCTTCCCTCCATCACAAGCCAGAACTTTGAGTCTGATCCTCCCACTAGTAAGGTAAGTTCGCTTTGAGTTTCCCAGTTCTCTGTTGAGATTGGAATTGGGACGACGGCGGTTGTCTTCATTTTAGGCGATAGCCCAATTTTTCGCGCGTTTGAATGGTGGGTTCGTTACATGAAATCGATTGATTGAACAAAAAATCGGAAGAACTTGTATCTTATGGTTGAAACTCTATGGGAATGGGGATGTAAAAGTTGGGTGCTGAATACTCCTTCGTTTCGACGAGTGAATGGGGGAGCAGATAATTTTCATTTTAATGTTTATAGATGGGTCTTATGTTTCCATTTTGATGTTTCAATGGCAATCGCTCTCTAATTTAATGTTAGCTAGTTAATCACTGAAGCTGATTGAACTACAGGGTGCACCCTATATCTGCCAGCAGGAGGGTATAATTTGCTTGAGCTGATTTCAAGGTTATATCACTTGCGAGAGATGGACAATGACAATGATTTCACCTTCTGCAAGGCAAGTGAAATGTTCTATGTAGAATCGTCTCATTCACTTAATTGCATAGATAGTCGATAGTATTGAGTTCTATGCATTGTTGGGGTGGGAATCTTTCCTTGTTTTGGGACTTAGGATTGTGTTTTTTTTTTCAAAAATCAGGTAGCTTCATCTGCTGATGGAGATGATGCCAAGGCAAAGACTCTGGCGTCAGAGATAGGCGGAATAACAATTGAAGATGACAAGTCGACAAGAATAAGTGACGATAAGGGTAGTAGTGTTGTCTGGAAAGATGGTGTCGCCTCTAAGGAGGAGAAAACTGCTGGAACATTGTCTTTTACTGTCGTTGATAAATCAACACCACAGCAGTCTAGTGATTCATTGCCGCAGGTAGCATCTAGAAATGGTGACACTTCTGCTAAGAGTACGCAAAGACAGACTCCTGCTAGGAAGCCTGCAGCCCGAGCCAAGGTCCCTTTTGAGATAGGGCATAGCCAAATGGATTGGCTTAACCTAACTCGAACTAACCCCGATCTTGCAGGTATGAGGATTGATTTGTTGTTGGATCATTGTTATTTTGATGATATGTTACAAATGCATGCAATCAAAATAGTATGTGTTTATGTCTCTTTGAGAGTTTGAGTCTTGTGTTGCTAGGATTAAACGGACAATCAAACAAGAGATTGATTTCCATAGATGAAGTTAAACAACACCGGGCAGAAGGTTCAATGTGGACTGTGCTGAAAGGTCGTGTGTACAATTTGTCCCCATACATGAAGTTTCATCCGGGAGGTAAGCAGATGGAGATTTCATATTAAAATATCTACCGCAATCTTTAATTTTCCTCACTGTTTTCCCTTTTCTTGTTTGAATTCGTAGTATTGCACTCTTAAGCTCCATTCTTATATCTATCAACTCAATTGCAGGTGTTGATATGTTGATGAAGGCAGTTGGCAAGGACTGTACATCACTATTCAGTATCCTTTTCCAGTTTATACTCATTTTAGTTTCATTAATTTGTCCAAAATTACAGATGAAAGAGAGTTGGTTTTGCATGTTCAATTTGCAATCCTTATTGCTTCATTACCAGACAAATACCACGCTTGGGTGAACGCAGAATTCTTGATGGAGAAATGTCTGGTTGGGATTTTAGATGACAGTAAGTGAAGATCAAATTGTTCCATTTGTTTCGACTTCTAGCTTTTCTTCTCATTTACTTCACCCCATTATACGTTGTATGCATGAAATAAGCTTAATTGTTGTAACTTAGCTTCCAAATATGCGCCAGAAGATGCAAAATGTTGTGACAGAGAGTTGGATTAGCATCTCTTTCTGTAGTACCTTTATCATCTCAAGTCTCAACATTGCTGAAGAATGGAGCACTAGTCCCAGAGAATATTACATATGTTGTTCATAGGCTATCAGGCCTCAGCGATACATTGTCGCTCTGCTTAGATTGCTTTTTCGTGTCAATCCTCTTTCTTATTTTTCTGGTATCTAGTAACGTACTAACGTTCAAGATTTCTTGGCGATGTTAGTTGAATTGCCGTGATATGTACAAACTTACTAGGGGTCATCTGGGGTTGCCCGCTAGATTTTTATCGATGGATTTTCTGTGATGGATTGGGTTCAAAATGTACTGTGAAGGGATTGTTTCAAATTACACTAATGTAAAAACTCTCAATTACACTCATAAAAACGACCTTATATTACGTGAAATATTAAAATATATATATTCAATATCTTTTTCGGATGTGTTCGAGGGATTTTCTTTCGACTTGTACACTATCACCACAAAATTCATCAATCAAATAAATAGTTGACAACAATGTGGTTTTTGGATTATTAAAGATAAGAAGGCTTTGGCAAGACTTATAAGTTACATACAATACATTGGTATAGAGGGACAAAAACAGCTACAAGAGCATTGGTAGAACTAACATTATAGCCTATTTATCATCGATCATCATATTTCTTAACCTGCTTCTTTACACTAGATAGATGGGCGAGTTGCGAGCGAGTCACTACCTGCTCTCCTCTTCCTTCATGCTCGCAAATTAATAATTTGACTGCGTTGTATCGATTTGAACAAAAATAAAATTCTATTTAATTACTTGTACCTTTTTAGTTTGCAAAAATCGATTTTTGTGGCCGCACCAAATATTTGGTAAATCTTTCATATTCTCATAAAAATGTTTACCTTTGTCATTGTGCCATTTGGTAAAGGTTCTATATAATTTTCCTGACCAATTGTGGGTTGTAATTGTATCATGTATGGTATGGTTGGTTTTATGGTTTATATATATTCTCCTTCGAGACATGAGCCTACGACGCCGTTTGAATCTGTATGGCGAGTAACCACCACTGACACGGCAACCGCGCCTCTTTTCTGCTTCCCTCCAACCCTTTGGCGCTCTCAATTAGGTTTGATTTACTCCGACCTTTATCATTTTAAACTCGGCTGCGGCTCACTTCGTCGCTCTTTTCTCCGGCGCTCTCACCAACCGGGCCCTCAATCCGGCGCCGGCCCGTTCTTATCTCCGAGATCCCCTGATATCCCCAGTTATCTTTGCTTCTCCCAAGTGAATTGCTACTAGTCATCGGATAGTCCAAAACCCTAGTCGTCGATTATTTCTTCAGTTCCTTTTTCGACTGAACCGAAGAACAATGTCCAAGAAGTTCACCTCCCGGAGAGAGCTCCTTGAAAAATGGAGAGGCATCGAGGAAGAGGAGGAACAGGCTAGCGACGGAGATCCTTCGATTCTCCACCGTCTTCACCGCCAGAAAGAAGAATGGTCTCTTCCACTCCACTCTCCTTTTGCTTCTTTTTTCTTGTTGGGCATTTCTTTCTCGGGTGACGTTTTGTTTTTGAACTATGATGGGGATCACTGTGACAGTCAATTTCAAGTACATATTCATTTTCCGACTTTCTTGAATTTGTCTCTCAATTCGGAATTACTGCAGTGGCAGCTCTCAATGTCACCAATTGCTCCATCTTACCATTCCTCCATTTGAAATGGGTTTCCAGCTAGAAGTCGCTTTGTCTTCTTAATGTTTGTTGTTTTGTGTTAATTGGGTCACAGGTTCAAGAATGCCTTCACTTTCTTAATTGAGTTGCCCAAGGAAAGCCATATATGGTGCGGATTTTGGGATTTGATGGGGCCTCTTCTAGAGACATTTTACAATTACTTCAAAGATGAGCGCCAGGATTCTCCTCTTAAGTTGCTGTGGAAGAGGATCTCTGACGAAATGCAGCAATGCATCCAGTGCATATCCCAGCACCATCAAGCTCAAGAGACGTACAGTATGGAATATGAGTCGAGTTCCATAGGCCCCCTTCTCGATGTCCTACGGAGTCTAGATGAGGAGAGGTTGACTCTGCATTTAAGACAGATAAATTCGAGATTGAAGAAACAAGAGTATGATCCTGGACGGGATAATGCTGAAGTTGTTAGTCTCATGTATGAGGTAAAGATTACTATTTTAAAAATAATTTTGTAAAAGTCTCTCGTGTTAGTCAGTGAACGTGGAAGTCAGATGACTGGCTTATTTCCTCCCTGTTCCCCCTTTTTATATCGATGTTGTCTGATCTTCAATGTGTTTCCTTGTAACCCGGGTCTGTGTGCTTCAGGTCTTGATGTTTCCAGTCCTTCTGGATGATCAGTCCTTATCTACGGAGTTTGAGCTGTTTATTGAATCAGTTGACAACATGCATGAACTTGCTTTGGCTGGACATCAGCAGTTCCCGGTATTATTTTAGTCCTGGTTTGTGCATGGTTTATGTCTTTAACTTGTATTTATTCTGCAAATACCTCCTTTTCAACCCTATTTCCTCTCTAATCCACTGCGCATGATCTGGCAGGGTGTTTATGCATTGCTTTTTTGTAACAGAAGAGTGCGAACTGTTGGTAGACGCTTGGCACGATCGATGGAGAAACTGAAGTAATGTTCTCTTCTTCTTATATACATCACTAAATTTTTGTTGCATATCAGAATGGTTGAATGCCATCTTTGAAGCGGTCTATAGTTATTGGTTGCCTGTGAACTTCTGTTTGCCTTTGCCTGCCTGATCTGAGCCCAAGGTTTGGTAGGTCTATGGTAATTGTTTCCCTGTGAACTTCTGTTTGCCTTTGCCAGCCTGATCTGAGCCCAAGATTTGGTATGTTACTCAGGAGGAAGTTTGGTTCCCTGTCAACTGCCATTGTACATCGAGACTTAGAGTCTGCTGCAACATTAGCTAAATTAATTAGGTGATGAAATGGAATATTCATTTACTTTCTGAAACCCAGTCGGCTGGACTGAATTTCCTGATATCTATACTTCTGCCTCATATTTAGATATTGGATGACGCTACCTGTCTCAAGAAGTAAAATGATGTTGTTTTTGAAACAGAGATTGCAGATGTTTAGCATCTACGACAATATATTTGGTCTCTTGCTGTTGTGAATACTTTCTGGCGTGTCTTGAAATATATTCATGGTCTATCATCGTCAAGTTCCACAAATATTTGTTCAAAACCATCATACAAATGGTAGATTCATAGTGAAACGATCAAATTACTCCTCAGTTATGAATTATCCATCTTTCGGTTCTCATATGAAACATATTTTCATTTTCGCTGACTTTAAACTTTATTGTTTCTATAATATCAATCTACTTATTTACGACCTACCCATTCAAATTCCCACTTACTAGGCACAACCCATGTATTTTGTTTTGTTAAAAGGTGGGTTGACTAGAAGCGATGTTTCCATCTGTTGTATAGCTCTTCTATTCATCAATGAATGACCCTCTCCTGCAAGGGCATTCATTGGTGTCGTGTGGGAAATTTTTGCTCGCTTTATGCAGACGTGATCTAGGCATGTTATCTCCTACTTCCACTCAGGCATCAGGGCTTGTATCCTATATTTGTGTAGGAGTTCAACAGATTTGGAACCGTTGCAACCTTTGCTTAACAAATTCATTGGGTTCTTGGAGTCTGAAGTACTACCATCAGCTTCTAGGACCTCAAGACCAAGAGCGCAGCTTGATCGCCTGTCCATATGGTTGGGAATTACATCATTGTAAGTGATGCCAAGATCTTAGTTTTTAATGTCCCTCCACCCTCCCTCGCTTCCATTTTACTTCCATACCTCGGCATTCTTGTTGAATATACATTCTGTTTTCTGAAGGCTTGAGTTCTTGGAACCTCCAGCCTTTGAAGAGGGGGTAATGGAGCGGTATCCCATCTTCTTTGATGTAGTGCTCAACCATATCAGTGGTGATTCTGCTGATTTTTCTCATGCGGTTAACTGTTTAAAAGAATTGTTCAAGATGCTAGGTGAGTACACTTCTTCAAAGTCTTTACATCTTCAACCTATTAGGTTCGGTTGGAGTGACATCTTCTATTCATATTTGTGGCATTTAAGGCTGTAAGCTTTGGCTGAGATCTACATTGTCTCCAAGTGTGCTGCGGAACACATTATTGGGCCAGTGTTTCCATACCCGAAATGAGAAGATGCATAAAGATATTTTTGATCTTTTCCCACCTTTTCTGCAGGCATGTCATCAATCTCTTGACCTTCTATTTAGGTTGATTTCCTTCATTCCCTTGTATTCTACCCAAGGCATTTTTCATAACTTGACATTGTTAATATTGCCAAATCTGACATTCATAAGGACATATCTTCAATTTTGATCTAGTCGCTTGAGGCGTTGCAAGATGGAGAACATGAAAAGCAACGCAGACATTTTCTCTTTTTTCTCCTTCATCAAGTTTCGGTGAGCAACAACTTCAACATGTTTGCAAGGAAAATGGCATGCAAGGTATTTTCTCTCGTTTTTGTTTTTCGTGAGAGACATTATTACTCTTTGCACATCAATTTGCATGACAATGAGCTAATTTTGCCTTATGACTGATGCTATTTACTGTAAGATTGCTTTTGCAGATAGCGCTTCTTATCATACACAGAGGTTACACAATGAACCCGCCATGTCCTCCTTTTGAATGTGCTCATATGTGGTATGTAGTATTCAACCCCTTAGACTGAGATCGTCAGGTTATAAATCATTGATTGGCTTCTCCTGTGCTCACTGAAAATCGATGACTATGTACAGGGGTCCTTCACTTGTGTCTTGTTTGAAGGATTCCTCTCTTCATAGTTCCCTTCGACAGCCTGCATTTGACCTTGTTGAAATCATTATAGTATCTGATGCTGCGGCACTGCAAGCGTCGCTGGTGAAAGACTATGCGAAACTTGGTGTGGATAGGGGGAAATGTGACATTATGAATGATGAAGACTATGAGGATGGGCTACCTGTCAATTTGAGTCTTGAAGAAAAGGACAAAAGTTGTTGGAGTGGGTTCAGTGCACAGAATAAAATTACACGCGAGGAGTGTAGAGGGTGGATGTGTGTTCCCATGTTGTGGGTTGATGTCCTAGTTGATATGGATCCGTCAATTTTTCCAGTGTCATTTTCCAAGGCTGTTTTCTGGGCCCGTTCTCATTTAATTTTGGTGGAACCTGAGAGTAGCGCACAAATGGCACTTCCAATTAAAACTTGGTTACAGTCTTCAGTCACAGAAATCTCTGCTTCATTTGGGTGGAAGGTTCCAGCTGGCTCTGATGATGGTGGCGAAGGGAAAGAGTCCAAAAACTCTGTCAGAGTGTCCTTGATGCATCTTCCTTTAATACGAGCATTATGCAGGTTTTGATCACTTTGTCTCCTTGATTACTTTGTGTCATTCTATCTTTCCTGTCATTGTTTCTAAGTATTACTTCTCCATATCATCCTTTGTTAAAATTACACCTTGTTTCTCTGAGGCCGTTCGATTATTTTTTAAGCTCTAAGTACATTTTATGCTTGCACCTTTAATTCTGGTTGATGATCACAATCATGTTGCTGAATTCTTCTGTAGGTCTTGTGAACACTTTATAGCTCAGGTGGGGCAGGGGGAGCTTCGAAAGCAGTGGACGTGGGAACCAAGAATGGCAGAGAGTTTGATCCTTTCACTTCTTGATGCCAATGATGTAAGAACATTAACTTGATTCCGTCTCCTCCTACTTATTGTTTTGTTGCCACTTTATCTGGTTTGATTATCATTGTTTAAAGCATTGCTTGTGACCTCTTTCTTTCTTGGTTCAGAATGTGAGGCAATTTGGTAAGTGCATGTTAGAGCAGATATCGAACACTCGTGGTCTGTCCTCTAGCTTGAAGTTCCTTTGCTCCAGCAATTCATCTTTAGCAGCTGTTCTTTTGGGTTTTAGGCATGCGTGCCAAGTGGTGAGTGCTACACTGATGAGTCTTTCTTTTGAAGCCTTAGGGTTTGCTACTGATGTGTGGTAGGATTTCGAAAAAATTGGGCGTCTTTTCCGATATATTGTATTAGTTGATGCAGCAAGAAATAATCGGAAAAAGACTCGGAAGACTCGTGTAGAGAACTGGTTTTTTATTCTCTGGTTTGCGATTTAGTATTTGTGTGATCCTGAATTTGGTAGTTAGCCTCTTCTTTTTAAGGTACTTGTATTAGTCGTATAAATAATTTCTAACATGGGGGCTATTCCTATATCACTTCCAATTTATGGATGATTCAGTTTCAGGATTCATTATGAGTAATGGATTATTTTTTGTGGATTTGTCAATTAATTCCTAGGCAAGCTTCTTTATAATGTACTATGTGGGCTTAAGTTTGCTTCACCTTCTGGAGAACAGTTCCTCTTCCTAACTCCCTTTCTATCGGTTATGCTGTAGTGGAGTTCACATGCACAACTTGCTGCCTCACCTGATCTTCTGTATAGTTTCCAATTTAAATTCACTGAATTATTGCTTAGAATAACGTGTCACTACTATCTGTTTCCATAAGGCATAGAAGTACTTGGTTGGTTACGTGGTCTGCATCTCATCTCTCATGCATGTTTCTTCTTTACATTTCTTTTTTACAGGTTCTGCATGATTCTGTGATATCGAGGTTCCATACTCTGCAGCATTTTTTCTTTGTGCTTTGCAAACTTATTAAAGAGGGTGATTTACCGAATCCGGATCTATCAGAAAAGGCATCTGAGAACCTTGACGCTAAGAAGTATTCTTCTCAAGGCGGGTTTCTGACACAGCCGTTTGTCAGTCCTGTGGTTGTAAACGTGGATGAACATTCATCAAAAGCTGACTTGAAATCTTTGGAGAACTTCTGTACCAGATTGTCTGAAATTGCATGGCCGTTGATTCGGAAATGCTTGGTAGCAGGAAAGGATTTTTTAGATTACAGTCTGTGTCAGGTATGTGATAGATTCTAATTAACAATGGTAATGATTAACTCTCGTCAACTCTCTTGTCTCTTGTGTGTTTATTTGTTAAATAAGTGATAGCTATTATCATTATCTTTAATTTGCATCAAAGGGCACTGCAGCTTATCAGTGCCAATTAAAGCATCTTCTTTACCAACCCTTTTGTGCCACCTAATAAACCATAGTTCAGTAGCAGTTACATCTGGAAAGACTAAAATAAACTAGTTGAAGATGGACAAATGACAAGGATATGCGGACTGGTGGTTTGATATCAACATGAGTAAAATGCGTGCTCTTTGGTTGTTGTTTGTGTTTCCTCTGGTATATCTGTGACCATAGTTATGACCTCTAGCTCTCGATTCCCTAACCTTTGTTCTTCTACTGCATCTTTTATTTCCTTCCACCCTCTTTTTTCATCTTGTGTTTTTTTTTTTTTTTTTAATTTTCACTAGCTTTTCTCGTCCTATTTTTATTTGTTTTTTATGCTTTGAACCATATGGCATTAGGATTGCAGTAGCAAAAGGAACAATAAGCATTCAAGGCCTCTCAATGTTCTTTGGCTTGCTAACTGTGCTCTGTTTTGGAAACTTTTTGCTGCCCGGAGTCGTTAAAATCCAAATTTTCTGTGCAAGTTGGTCAGGATTCAGACTTTGGGGAGATGTTGAAGCTTGACATTTGATGCTAAAAAGTTAGATTCCTAAATGCAGAATGTAGATGGTTAAGCAGCAGCATTTATTTTCTTAGAGATGTTTTCTCCATATTAGTTCTGGTTTCTTCAGTGCAGCATTCCAGATGTTTTTTTTTTCAGTGAGTAAATGTTACTGAATTTATCACGCATAATTCATTTATACATTTATGGCTTGCTGGTTTTCTAAATTCTAAGTGGAATGATAGTAGATCACAGGCTTGTACATTCGTTGTTGAATCCATTTGAACTTTAGTTAGAGGTGTTGCATGCCAATATTGGATTGGATGTGATTGGAACTGAAGAACCAAATTCTTCTCTTGTTCTCCTAACAAATAGGAAAATGCACGCAAAATGATCTAATTGGAACTAATTGTTTCCAGTCAATAGAATAAATATCTTTGACCCACTACAGTGTAACTCCAGGGCATTCTGTTATCCTGTGCCTACCAAAGTGATCTATGAAGTTTATTTATGTGCTGTTGATTGCGTTGCTCAAATTCCCATTTAACTGGTTGAGCGCAGACCATAGGAAAAATTATCATCGAATTGGACTCAGGACCATGATTTTTTCCCATAAAATGATCTTTACTCCTTTTCTATGCTCATATTTCTGGACTGACATTCGTCTGTTTGTTCCAGATGACCTTTGTTCGTGTATTGGAGATACTCCCTCTCGTTGTTGGTAGACTCTGCACATCTTTCAGTAAGCATAGTTGGGATTCCAGAAAGGTTGTGGAAAGTGTATTTGACATTCTATGGCTTAGCAATCTGATCGACTGGGGAAAGTCATCGCTTAAAGTTGTAGTTGTTTATTGGAAACGTGCTGTAGCTTCAGTACTCAGTGTGGTCAAGTTGTCTTGCAGCAATGCCTCTGCTGAGGCTGTCAGAACTATAGAAAATCTTATATCAAGTGGTAAGCTTTTTGTACGTCGAGTGATAATTTTGGCTGATTTAATTTCTTGCTGGTAATTTCTTATGCTCATTCTTTTGCTGAGTATTCTCCTTTTGTATCTTGATGATATATAGATAGCATTGACAGCGAACTTCTATCAGAGCAAGTTTCTCGTCTCTCTGTTTCATTATGTGGAATAGTTCCTCCTGACTCTGGGAGAGCAAATTTCCGGTCAAAAGCTTCATCTACTGAGGGTTTTTCTTCATTTAAAAGATATCCATCCTCAGATGTAGAAACTGTTGTTGATGAGGATCATCATGCACAAGTTATTGATTCAAAATCATCACCAGATAGGGAGGACAAGATGAACGTGATTGTTCTTTCTGATGAAGAAGAAGAACGTGAAGACTTGAAATCAAAGGTGAAGCCATCTACCATTGACTCAGATAGTTCCATGTTGGTTGGTGAGGTTTTGCCTGCTATCGCTGATCGTCACATTGAAGTTGGAAAACAGTTCTCAGCTGCGGCCACAGAAAACTCCGTGATGTTTAAAGATTCATCACTTGATATCCAAGAAAAGGATAGTTCATACCTATCCAATCGCAATTTTCAGAAGCAGGGTTCCAATAAAATAAGTTCTAAATTTCCTGCTCCTGTAAAATCATCAGAAACAGGGGAAACAAAGGGAGTCAAATCAGGAATTACATCCCAACTTCTAGATGGTATACAAAGCTCTTCAGCTGAAGCAGTTAATTCCAGAAGTTCGATTCATGCTTCCGATAGTAAGCTTTCGGAAAGGAGCAATGCAATGCTCAAAGAAATAGTGAATGATGCTGTTGACGATCTTTGGAACCCAGTAGTTAACTCCGCGAGGCAGCAGAAGTTGTACCTTCCAAAACTGAGTGTTCCTGGCCCCAAAAGGCAAGTTATTCAACTGAAAACTCATCTTGATAGTAGACTTGGGAGTTCACATAGACTGGACGCTGGGTTTAAAAGATTCAAGCCTCCTAGACTTGATGAATGGTATAGATCCATTCTGGCTATCGATTACTTTGCTATTGTGGGATTAGGCTCTACAAGTGAAGGTGAAAATTCAACAGGTAGTAAATTAAAGAAAGTACCTGTTTGTTTTGAGTCCCCTGAGCAATACATCGACATTTTTCGGCCACTGATATTAGAGGAGTTTAAAGCACAGTTGCACAGCTCTTTTATGGAAGTGTCCTCATGGGAGGACATGTACTATGGCACAATATCTGTCTTGTCGGTCGAAAGGGTTGATGATTTCCATCTTGTTCGCTTTGTCCACGAGGACAATGATTCCACATCTTCGAAGAGCTTTGCTGAGAATGATCTTGTTTTGTTAACCAAAGAGGCTCCTGAAAGTGGTTCACATGATATTCATATGGTTGGAAAGGTAATTCTGTTACAGTTTCTGCACCTTTGTGTTATGTATATTTGTGGACGCTGAATGTTATGAATGTATGCTTCTGATATTATTTTCCTGGAACTGTAAGAGAAGAATTATGCTGACTGCTTGAGTTTTTCTTTTTCTTTCTGAAGTTCCTATAACTTCGAAGCTTCACATAAAATTTAGGTTCTATTTGTTGACTGCATTTGAATTTGTTTGACTAACCTGGACTCATGTCAGGTTGAGAGACGTGAAAGGGACTATAAGAGGAGATCAAGTATACTCCTCATTAGGTATTATTTGCTAAATGGATCTGCACGTTTAAATCAAGCCAGGAGGCAGCTTATGGAACGTAGCAAATGGCATGCAAGCAGAATCATGAGCATCACTCCCCAAGTCAGGGAATTTCAAGCATTATCATCAATAAATGACATTCCCATTCTCCCTGTAATTTTGAAACCTATTGTCCATTCTTCGAGTCACATTGAACCAATGGAGTTAACTTTGGGCAAGCTTTCCTCACCCTTAGTGCAACTGCTGAAGCTATCATTCAATGATAGCCAAATCCAAGCTATTAGTGATGCTATTAGATTACCTCACTCCAGGAAAGATTTTGAGTTGTCTCTAATCCAGGGTCCTCCAGGTTGTTTCTGCTCTTAATTTCTTTTGTTCAGAATGGTTTTTGGCTTTTTAATAAATCATTGCTAACATGATGTTACTTGTAAAATAGGAACTGGGAAGACCCGAACTATTGTGGCCATTGTCAGTGGTTTACTGTCTTCAGTTAATAAACCAAGCCAATCCAATTGTTCTTTGCATGGCAAAAATAAACAAACTGGCGGTCCAAGTGACATCTCAAGACCAAAGGTTAGACAGTCTGTTGCAGTTACAAGGGCATGGCAGGATGCAGCCTTGGCTAGACAATTGAATGAGGATGTTGAAAGACATGTAAAGCCAATGGATAGTTGTATGAAGAGAAGGGTGCTCATCTGTGCCCAGTCAAATGCTGCGGTTGACGAGTTGGTGTCAAGGATTGCAAGTGATGGCCTTTATGGCAATGATGGGACGATGTACAAGCCAGATCTTGTCAGGGTAGGGAATGCAAAAACAGTTCACTCAACATCACTTCCATTTTTCATTGACACGTTGGTGGATCAACGTCTTGCTGAAGAGAAGAGGCATCTGAATGATGCTAAAAGTGATGCGAGGATTAACTCATCTATAGAATTGCGCTCTAATCTGGAGAAGTTGGTAGAAAACATTAGATTCTTCGAGGCTAAGCGTGCCAACTTAAAGGAGGGCAATTCACAAGACACGGAAGATGAAAAGCTTGAAGGTGATGATGCAAATGAAATATCGCGTGTTGAACTGGAGGTGAAACTACGCAAGTTATACGAGCAGAAAAAACAAATGATTAGAGATCTGAGTGCAGCTCAAGCACAGGAGAGGAAAGTGAACGAGGAAATTAAAGGACTGAGACATAAGCTGCGGAAGACTATATTAAAGGAAGCTGAAATAGTTGTTACCACTCTGAGTGGCTGTGGTGGGGACCTTCATACTGTATGCTCTGAATCTATTTCAAGTTACAAGTTTGGGAGCCCATCTGAGCAAACCCTATTTGATGCTGTTGTAATTGATGAAGCTGCTCAAGTAAACTTTCTCTTCTTTTGTAGTTCAGTACACAAGCTAGCATCTATTAGATCAGCAGTCTTTAATTCAATAGTTTGAGCTTTGAAATCTAATTCTGCAGGCTTTAGAACCTGCAACATTGATTCCTCTCCAGCTTCTGAAATCCAAAGGAACAAAGTGCATCATGGTAAGTGCTATTCTATGTTATGTTTGTGCTTCAATTTCTGGGTTAATTCTTTAATTTCAAAACTTCTTTCTCAGGTTGGTGACCCGAAACAACTTCCTGCAACTGTTCTCTCAAGTGTTGCTAGCAAGTATCTTTATGAATGCAGCATGTTTGAACGTTTGCAAAGAGCTGGTCATCCTGTAACCATGCTTACTAAACAGGTGTAGAAGCATTATTACCTTGAAACTTTTGATTGGTATTTTTCCTTATGTGGTTCTTTCTTTTGACTCGCGCATATTAGAAATCTAACCTTTTGAAAAAGGAATAAAGGAATCCTCCGGGGGTTGAGACTAGCATTCTAATTTTTTTTTTTTTTAAGCTTTAGAAAGAAAGAAAAAGTGTTTAGAGTTTATTTCAATCACTGTTGCTTCCAGAAAGCTGAAAAGTAGTCGAGACTAACATAGCCTTGGTGGTTATTCCATATTAGATGTGAACCAGTGTTTCCTAGTACTTCCGGCTGCTATTCTACATATGTTATATGATAACTTAAACCTGACTTGTCTTTTGTTTGGTTCTGTTGTGTGGTTGGTGAAAGAATTGCTCTCTTTTGTCATTTATTTTTACTGCTAGAGATCTTATATTTACAAACTTTCTGTTTTGACAGTACCGGATGCACCCTGACATTTGCCGGTTCCCTTCTTTGCACTTTTATGAGGGCAAGTTGCTAAATGGTGAGAAAATGTCAGAGAAATCAGCACCCTTCCATGAGACTGAGGGCCTTGGCCCTTACGTCTTCTATGATATTGTTGATGGCCAAGAGCTTCGAGGGAAAAGTCCTGGTTCAATGTCTCTTTATAATGAACGTGAAGCTGAAGCTGCAGTTCAACTTCTGAAGTTTTTCAAGAAGAGGTACTTTTTTCCCCACCCAGGTGGTTTTTTATTTTAATATTTGGGATCCATCATGAATACTGAATAGTTGTGTTAAGAAATTATGAAGATGTGTGTGTTTGTTTCACTTTTTTATTTTTAAGTTAAAACTACCATGGGCGAAGTGACAGTTTCTGTCGTCTTATGGTCAATGATGCCATGGTCTGTAGGTACCCGTCTGAGATTGCTGGTGTTCGAATTGGTGTGGTTACTCCATACAAGCATCAACTTTCGATTTTGCGTTCTCGGTTATCTAGTGCTCTGGGATCATCTTTTGCAGCTAATATGGAATTTAATACAGTTGACGGGTTTCAAGGTCGGGAAGTTGATATTCTGATACTTTCAACTGTTCGAGCTAGTACCTCGAATTCTACTGCAAAAGGTTCCAATTCCAGCAGCATCGGATTTGTTGCGGATGTAAGAAGGATGAATGTCGCTTTGACAAGAGCCAAGCTCTCACTTTGGATTTTGGGGAATGCTAGGACCCTACAAAGTAACCCTACCTGGGCAGCTCTAGTAAGGGATGCTAGAGATAGAAACTTGGTTATGTCTTGTAAGAAGCCATATGATTCTATGTTTAAAAGAAGTTTAGCTATGGATTGTTCTACATCAGAGAAATCTGGCAGTGGATCAAGACATGCAAAGAATGCTGATAATTTTGGTGGTAGCAGAAACCCTGAGAAACAGAACCAAAACAAGTTGCATCCAACCTCGAGCAAGCCTAACTGCAGAATTACAGACTCTGATGATCAAGTGAAAGTTGCTCAAGATTGTGATGGTATTTGTCCTGAGAAGAGTGACAAGAAAAGCAGAAGGCACAGAGGTAGCGATGGACAAGATTTTGCAATGATGAAAGACAGTCATGATATGAGGCATTCAAAGAGCCCAGCTGCAGGTAAAGCTGTGGCGGATGTTGAAAGTGAGGGCATCAAGAGGAGTAAGAAGGGTAGTAATTGGAATTCTCGTACCGAAAAGGGGAAAACTGATTCCTTAAACGTGGATGGCAATATGGATAGTTCAGAAAAAGAAGGCAGTGATGGCCGTGAAAGGTCAAAAGTTCACGTATCCAAAGGCGCAAAGGAGTTGCGTGCTCATGAAAACAAGATGAACACAGATGTTTCAACTTCTGAAGGCAAATCAAGAGGTAAGCAGGAAAAACCTGTCGAGGTTCGGCAGCAGGTGGATGCTGGTAAAGACATTATAACAAAACGAAAACAACAGCGCGAAGCTGTAGATGCAATTCTTTTCTCATCTCTGATTCCTTCTAAGAAGTCAAAAGCATCAGCGCCCAGTAACCCTTCCAAAAGGGCCGCCTCTCCAACTTCAACTGATGCCAGGGCACTGAGACCAGCGAAAACCAAAAAGGGTAAACATCTCTTCTCCCTGCATTTGCATCTTGTTTTGCTTACCCTGCGAGTACTACCATGGTTGGTCTAGGCTAACAGTTGGGGAATTGTATAGATAGGGTCAGCATCATCTGCTTAAGAAGTTAGTGGAGTCATCATGTTCAGCACTGTAATGCTGATGAAAATTCCCCTCATCTTTGTTGTTAACCATTAGAATCTCCTGCTCTACACTCTACAGGTGCACGATGAGATGCCGAGTCCTTGTATATAATTCACCACTGCAGTGAATAAAATTTCGCAAGACGTGGAAGTGTAACAGTAAGTTTAGGTCAAATGTTTAGGGCAACAGCTTTCTGAAAGCTCGGAATTAGGTCTTGTTTTGGTACGGGAAACTCAGAGGTGGTCTAAGCAGGTGTTGTGGACAGTATTGTAGGTTATAACACCTCCATTTGTAAATCACTACTATAGAGATCCAATTTTTACCCAATTCTCTCCCTCTAGGGATAGACAAAACAAAAGTCATGTGGTGGGCATATGACATCCACATGAAGGAAGAAAGGGAAGAAAGGATCTCTCATATTAATTGGGGATTAACCCCAGATTTTGCCATGTGATCCGTAATGTTATTTTATTTTATTGGAGTCATTTAAATTCATATTTTATCTATAGTTGGTGGCTTTGGGATCTCTAATTATTCGAGTAGTTAAAAGTCAAAACCTTTGTTCAAAATGTGCCTTTACACTAGCGGCAAAATGTCTCTCTTAGTGGTATGGGCGTGCTAGTGGTGTGCAATTGGTTGGTTCTTATTGGACAACACTTGGATCTGATCATACTGAATTGGATATAATTTGGTTCGTCGTTGATCTCATAAATTTTATAAATGGTTAAGAAAAATGAATCGAACTGATAGTTGGATCGGAGCAAATCGGATCGAATGCATTGGGCTCGGTTTTTTTTAATCCTAAGATGTCTTTCACTTTTGGTTTTGGACCATGGTTCTCATGAGTATGGTCCGGTTTTTGGTCCGGACTGAACCATTGCACACCCTACAGGGGATTCCATAGCGAGTTAAGAATCTAGATCGTGATAGTGGAGTACAATGATATTTAGGTGTAATTAGGCGGAGCTAGATATAGTCCATATTAGAATTAAAAAAATAAACATCATCTATAAACTTAAACTTTCCCCTCAAAATTTCAAAAGCTCAATAAGTTTATGAGCTATTGAGACATAATTCTATGAACAAAAATAAGTTATTAATCATTTGAAAAAAATTGAAATCTTGTAAAATAACTATTTCATTCATAATTTATTACCATTACTATTTTAGGTTAAATAGCCTAATTTCAAAGATAGAGGTGATTAAATATGTGATTTAGCTGAAATAAGTGTATGCCTTATATAATTTTATAATGACGTCTCCTTCAAACCAAATAGCATGATTGGATCCGTTGCAGACGTGGGCGGGTCCCACGTAGGATATCGTCGTTGTTCGTTCTACGGTTGATGGAAGTTGATTTCTCCCGCCCTTTTAATTTCCCATGCCATTTATACAAAAACACTAAATGTGGGCAACCATACCATATAATTTTAATTTTATTTATAATGTCAATGGTTGCTGAAAAGTATATATTTCACACTTCTGAACCCATGTTATATATTTTTATTTTGACGAAAGAAGTGAATTCATTTGGTTTATCTCGATATTGTTTGTATTAGTTACACACCATTCTTTTTAATTTTAATTGCATCGCTTAAGTGAGCCGCACATATTGTTCGGTTTATGATACATAAAAAAACGTTCCAGAAACTGTGTCGGTAAAAATAAAAATGAGAAAGTCAATTCCATTTTTTTCTAGAATACATTTTTTTAAATACGTACTCGCCTTAAACCTATAGAGATTACAATATTTTAACGAATATGTGACGAGAGGTACAATTCCAAATAACACTTAAATACATGTAAAAGAAATGCATGCATACTATAGAACAATTAACAAATATCAATATTTCACTGTGTATCAAATAGGCCTGCAGCCAGCCACCTAAATTGGTTGAAGTTGTTTGGTTTTGCAGGCGATGGAGAACAGCAGGTGCAGGTGCAGGTGCAGAGAGCAGTTATTGAAAATTGTTCAGAAAATCTTTGACAATGATTGGTGTAGTTATTTGATTTGCCCTCTCCATCTCTTCTCTTCTCTTCTCTTCTCTTCTTTGCCTGCATGCGTCTGATCAGGTCTGCCAATTCAGTTTAGTTCAGTTCAGTGTATGTATTCAACAAATTAGGGTTTCTGCATGCGGCGCTGCTCCCATTCTCTGATCATTTATACCCATTCCTCATCGATCACTCTCCTGATCGAATAATGCATTCTTAATTATGTATTTAACTATTTCTGTTAGTTTCTTTCTAATCTACTTTTAATGAAGATCTTTGTTCTATTGCGCGCTGTAGATTGACTATGATTTCTGTCTTTGCTTAACGCGGTGGATTGTAAAACAATATCGGAGGTTTTATCGGATAAGTCAATGGTAGTGTATATTTTGAGATTAATTTGTGTGTGGATTAATCATTTTATAGAGGTAGTAAAATCTTATTCCAGATTGAACTCTAATAGTTGATTTTTCAGATTGGACAAACGATACGGGTATGGTTTAGCAAATACCGGTTAATACCATGTATGTAGCTGCTCTCAAGGAGTAAAATTTTCTAAACAATACAAGCAAAGAAAAACAGTGATAGATGGACACGATTTACAAAATGTTTAGCAATTATAAACGTTAGTATGCTACCACTCAAGGAATTCGGTACGCCACTAAACGCACAGCTCTAGTAAATTTCCGAGGAACGCAATGAATGTGTTCCAAATATGTTTTAGAAGTCCAACATATACATATTTCAAATGTAGAAATCGAATTAACGTTTTAAATTGAGAAGATTTTTTTGTATATATAGTTCATTTGGTTCTAAATAATTGGCATATGCATTAATCAACTTTGGCTACTGATTAAGAGTATGATTTTTTTTTTTTTTTTTTGTGTTCATTACTTTGACTGTCGACCAATGATAGTCACCATTGAGATTCACTTTAGCTGCAATTATTAAATAAAAATAAGCTCCTAGATCAATGGAAACCGTGTTCTTACTGGGAATGGCTACGGTGCTAATTGTACAATAGTTAGCACCGTCCTAACCAAGGGAAAAACTACTACTAATTTGAATTAGTTGTGATTTAGTTTAGATGTTGTATTGATTTTATAATAATTCGTAAAGATTTCGTTATTTTTAGTAGCGTTTTTTGCTAGTTATTACGGTGCTAACCCCACCTAATCCCATCCCGTTCTTACTCCTCCAAGTATGTAGAAAGAACCCAACCGTCCATAAACTATAAAAGGGTTCGTTAGTGGAATGTAATACTTTGGCACCTTTTCTTAATTCACTAAATTAAGTCAATTGGTTTTTTAATTAGAAAAGATAATCAAGCATTAATTTATTAAAACTTATTATAAAAATTGTCGATAACAAAATTTTATCCAGAAATCCTTCCTTTTCTGAATTCCATGGGCTACAACGTAACTAAACCACCCCTAAAACAAAACGGTGGTTTTGGAATCTAAAAGTCAAACAAGATGCAAAGAAAGATATATGTGTTCCTTAAGGTAACATTATGATAGAACTAACCTGATTTATACATAAGAATATTTGTATTTTATTAAACTCATACCAAGATTCAAGTAGTACATCTGATCGAGCTGGGGAAACGAGGACGAAAAGTGGTCATCCCAACTTCAACTTGCCGGTTTAAAGATTACAATAATAACATCAAAACATTATTATATAAATAATAATAAGCACTATGTAGGTTTAATTCAAACTTCTTATTTAATTTTATGAGAGTCCCACATGGAGTTCCCATCTTATACGGTGTCCCCATAATTAACAAAAAAGATAAAAGTAAATCATGCAATGCAACAATAACATAACGTGATATGAAAACATTCATCACGTACACTCTGAATTTAAACATCAAGGTCAATAATCTAAAAAATAAAATAGTAGTACAATTTGCATTTATATGTGGTGAAACCTTGGAAAGTGTCATGATCAGAATTATTAACTCACAAATTTCGTAAATCTAAACTTCTACAACGAATATGAATGCAACGGAGAGATCAATCAACCGATAAAAGAAAAAATGATTAGAATTTAGATTTTGCTAATTACTCTTCTTGGCAAGCAAAGTGCGATTCCTCTGCTAATGTTTATATTTTAAGAAACTATTATTTGACAGTTGAGGAGGCAGTTATAGTTGCATATAAAATTAAAGGCCAAATTGTCCATCTATTCTAAAATAGTAAGTATTATTGTAGGGGGGGAAAATTGATTTGTATATAATAACTGGCAGCATACATGTATTATTATGATCTTACAGCTCAATAAATAATAGTAAAATGCTATTAGACAATAATTCAAACATGGTTTTTCTCCGCTAGTTTTTATTTTTGCCTTCGTAGAGAGTGATTTATTATGTTAATCCTATTTATTTTTATCGTATTCCTCCAAGTACAACCAAATATATAGAATGATAAGATTTATAGAAATACCTCAGAGTACACCAACCTTTAATTTATCAGATACTTTAAAACTCCTTATTTATATATAAGCTTAGTTTGGCCCTGCGGTAGATTTTGCAGAAGCAGAGCTTTTAGATAAGTATTTTTCAAAATAAGCAGTTGAGTGTTTGGCGGTAAAACTATTAGCAGTGTTTTTTAATAAGAGGGGTTGTGTAAAATGACTATAAAGGACTTATAACATAAAATATGAATACAAATTCTAAACAATAAAAAGTAGTCAAAATGGATCTTGTTAGATTTATTTTATGTTAATTAATATGATTTTATAATATATTTTATTTTTAAAATGATATAAATGAAGGAAAAATATTTTTTTTGAAATAAAATTAAAATATGGTAAGAATAATATTGTATTTTCAAAACACTTTTTCGCAGAAAGCTCCAAATTGGAGCTTCTGCTTTTATGTTATACAAAAGCGCTTTTCGGCTTTTCAAAAAGCCGAGATTTTACAAGTGTTTGGCCCTGCTTCAGCTTTTAAATCCGAAAAACACTTTTAAAAACCGGGCCAAACATAGGGATAGAGCTCTATGTTACCAGACTAATTAGATATGAAGGTACCACATATTTTTAGTAAAAAAAATTATTTATAAACTTTGAATTATTCAGATTTTGAGCATAATATTATACCCCGAATCTTAACGAGTAAAACTTAGATCCTAATTCTCTAGATGCATCATATAATTAGGACCTATAATTTACGGCCTTAAGAATTAGGGTTAGTACTATGCCCAAAATCACATTAAACACAAAAGTCCAAATTAGCATATATTTTTAATAACAGTATATGATACCGCAGATCTACAATGAACACAATTGAAACAAACATCTACATATATATATATATATATACTATTTGTTTCCGCTCCAACAATCAATACTTCATTTAATTGGTTTTCAATCATTAGTGCCACAATAATAAACAATAATTGGTTTTCAAATCTCTATATATACGCCTGCAAATTAAACAAGAAAAATATAGCAAATAAAAAAGAGAGAAAAAATAATTTAAATAGTGTCCATATAAACGAAGCATCTTCATCATCAACCTCCTCATTATCTCCGATCCCCTTGTCCTCATAATATTCTTCGTCAATAATAATAGCCGCCATGGATTCTTCCAGCAATTACAGTAGTAATAGCCATAATAATAATAATAATACCAAGAAACCAAGCAGCAAGATCAGCGACATCGTCAGCCTCCAACGAATCCTCAAGAAGTGGAAAAGCATCGCCACCACCACCACCACCTCTCCCTCCACCCCCACCTCCGCCGCCGCCACAAGCAAGAGCATGAAGTTCATCAGACGAACATTCTCATTCAACGACGTCGCGTCAGCCGCCACGTCCTCATCCTCCTCCTCAAACGGCGCCGTTCCCAAGGGCTCCGTCGCCGTCTGCGTGGGGAAAGAGCTGAAGCGATACGTGGTCCCCACCGAGCACCTGGGCCACCACGCGTTCCGCGTTTTGCTCCGCGAGGCCGAGGAGGAGTTCGGGTTCCAGCAGGAAGGCGTGCTCCGGATCCCATGCGACGTCGGATCGTTCGAGGCCATCCTCAAGGTCGTCCAGGGCAAAACGACGCCGTACTCGTCGTCGGACCACCACCACTTGTACGATGATGACATGATGATGATGATGTCGGACGGGGAGGAGGATTACGAGGAGCAGTACTGCCACCAGTTCGGGTTCCCGGCGTCGCCGGCCACCGGGAGCGGAGGGTGCTGCTCGCCGTCGTCGTCGTCGTCGGCGAATTCGGATCAGTACCACGGCCACCAGCAGCAGCATCATCACCACCCGCAAATGTGCAGATGATGATTAATGATTGAATAATGTTCGTAAATATAGAACTATGTGGACTGAATGAGTACATACTACGTACGTACTCAAAGTAGAGCACAATAATATTTTCCTTCCTGTTAATTAGCTACAGATTCGGGTATGCGATTAATTTTTCCGAATTGACACACTGATTTGGATAATATTTATAAGAATTTTGATGATGAAAGTAATCGTTTCGATGTTAGTACAATACTACAGTCTCGATCAGTTTTCCGTTGGTTCGTTGGTTGGTTGGTTGTTCCAAACATCATCAATCACGGATTTGTTGTAAATGACTTAGTTGAAATGGTTTAAGTCACTGTTTGTGTGCAGCAAAAAAGTTTAGTGGTTGTTCAAGTATGTAGTTGACCGACCATAAGAAGGCCTTGCTTCGGATCTAGTTTTCCACAAGGCAAAAGATGGTTTATGTCACATGAGTTTGTTTGACCAAAAGTAAACTACATTTCTTCCCATGTTATGTTAACATATATAGTATACTAGCCTATAGCCCGGCCCATTGGCCGCATTTGTTTAAGGAAATGGAGTTACAATATCTATAATGATAGTGTCAAGAAATGAGTCTTGTTTTATATTATCATAAGATTGTTGCAATTTTTCAATTCGTTGAAGACGAACAATTAATTTGAATGAACATTCATAATAAGTTAGAAATACATTTGAAGATTAGCTAATCACGATAAAAATACTTACATAAAATCTTACTAATCACAAATCTAATCTAGTTGAGTATTACGACAAATAACATGCAAGTCCAAAATAAGAAAACTCAAGACATTGTCTCATTGTTCATGACATGGTACTCAATTCAACAAAGGCAAAAATAATTTCACCAACACAAGTTCACAATAACCAAATGCATCGTTCCAGGGACCGACTGTGACCATGACTTCAAATGTCTGTTCTCCAAGCATGTTCAGAAGGGCCATATAGTCAGCATTGACAACATCTGCATGACTGAATACAGATCCAACAATCGTTCGTAACTGTGATGACGGGAAGATGATGTCAACACCAATGAATTTGTCCTCAATTGTGAGGTGGACGAAATGGATTCTGGATGCAGGGGACCAGGACGTCGTCAAATTCGTTACACGTCCAGATAACAAAAAAGAGGTGCCCTGATGTAAACATAGAAACGAATATTGTCAAAGCAAATCGATAAAATGCAGCATGCCACAAAAGGCGTACGATTAAAAAGAAATTTATTTGTTTAGTTACCTGATTTTCGACATCCACTTGCAACATAATGAGATCGATGGTGTCGGCACGCTCACAAATTTCAAGAGCATCATCATATTGCAGATTAGCAATAAAACCATGGGGAAGCCTATATATTGGACTGTAAGTTTTGGCAGTAAGTAGTGAAAAAGAATCGAAATTACATGATGTAGTATTTGTTGGATGCATGAGCAGTACTTACTGATTGAATTGAGGCAGGCCCGCCATATTGAATGCAATTCGCACGGTCAATGGAACCGAAGTGTTTTGTATGGGAAGTAGTAAACGGAAATTGTAACATGAGAGAAAGTGACATCTCCATTATATAAAGGAGAGAAAGTGATTCTACACACGTGATTTACTTGGCCGCATGCAGTGGAGTACGTGTGTGTGTGGAAAGTGGGATAGTGGGGGAGTGGAGAAGGATTTGTGGCCTCGTGGGGGAGTGGAGAAGGTTGGCCATTTAGAGTTCAAGAGGCGGCTGTGTCACGGAACTCACGACCCACCTTCTTTTTTTTTTTTTTTTGAGGGGAACGACCCACCTTCTTAAAATCAAACATGCACCTTCCTTTTATTTTGTTGCAATTAAAAATTCAAAAACAAAAGAAGGTAAGTACATAATAAAATATAAAGAGAAGAAAAATCAGTTCACTTTTCCCAAAAAAGACCTAGCAGCCGCCCAAATTATGCTTTTTCAGTTTTAATAATTCTCACTTTATTCTTTTATCTCTAATAAGTGAAACAATAATTGTAAAAAAAAATAATTGTTAAGTCTACCAAGTAAGTCAACACCGGTTTATGATCGGTTTTTAATATCGATTAACCACCGGTTATTTGATAAACCTTGAACCTTTTACTAATCCGGATCGATGTCCGGTTCCGTTTTAACAACATTGCTAATTGCAACTGTGTCAACAATTCTTGTCCAAAATTGCCTCTCAAAGTTGCTAATTATTATTTGATGCGCCAACCCGGCCGGCCCGGCCCACACCACCACTAATTAACATGAAATGAAAATCATAATGAATGTATTTAATAAAGAAATAATGGCTTGGAATGCGGCAGCCTTCACCTCATAGAAGATCCAAAAAAATCGGATACTGGGCAGTAGAGGAGGTGGGGGAGTGGGGGAGTGGAGAAGGATCCGCCCAAGGTAGTGTAGTTGGCCTTTTTTTTTATGGGAATAGGTTGGCCATTTACTTTCAACAAATCCGGCTGGGCATTCCCTCTCTAACTATATTTTATTTAACTGAACCATGCTTGGGTTGTTTTGTGGGCTGGGTTGTGGTGTTTGGTGTGTTTGGGTTTTTTCTGGGTTGGGTTACCGTGGGTGTTGGGGTGGGCTTTGGAGTTTTTCTCTTGTGTTTTTTTTTTCTGATTTATGTATTTGTGGGTGAGCTTTCATTTTGTGTTTTGGGTGGGCTCAACTTTACGATTTGTTTAGACTTCTATCTTTCAAGAATCATGGTCCAACTCTTTATATTTTCCGATTTCATAATGAAATCAGGTTTCTTAAAAAAAACAAAACTGAACCATGCTTAAAGTATCACTAATTAATTAATCTCGAGTCACTACTGAATGAATTTAAATCATTTTATATAGCTTAATTTATAAAATAATTAATGTAGGTAAATGAGAAGAAAATCTCGCAAATCAAGTGTGATAATAGTTAAATTCTCCATAAGCAAAGTGATATATAATGATAAACTAATTAGCAGACACATTTACCTATATTACTAATTAGCAAATGAGTAAAACCATATATTACCTATATTACTAATTAGCAGACACATTTATATATAAAATGATAAACTAATTAGCAAATGAGTAAAACCATATATTACTCATTGAATAGATGAACTAATTAGCAAAATTAAAACACAGAGAACACACCTCTCTCAAATGCTTCTTCCTCTTCAGCAGATAAAACACAACGTTGGTATTGATCTTCAGGATGAATAAAAACTGCTCGACGTTTCCCTAAACAAATGAGATTCAAGGGAAAATATTAATGCCAATTTGCATTGAAACAAGTTCGTGCTAAACCATGACACTCACATGGTACAGACGATCGATAAATCTGTGGTTCGGCAGATGGGATGACATTTGCACTATCCATATTTAATTCTCTAATAACCTGACCCAATCGGAAATAGAGGTTGTGGTAAATGTGCACCCGTTCCAGTCAACTTTGCAGCTGTCATTCATATAAATTAATTAATTGTTACAACAGAAGTTGAACTCCTCACCAATCATAAGTTTGTGCGAGTTAATGACACATACAACAGACCACACAAACATAACAGTCGAATAAATCCAAAATGCTCCAACCAAGTTGAACGCAGCCTATAAATTTAAACAAAAAAACTAAATCCACGTTCTGCATTTTCACGTTCTGCAACACAACAAATTCACGTTCTGGGGCATCAAATGCTACTGAATTATAAGTTCGAATAAATCCTGGACTCCAGTAAGCATACACAATTTCAAGCATTTACAGTGACGATTCAGCTCATCATGTTATCATTCATAGCTATGCAGAAATGTGTGTCTGACATACCATCGCAAAATCGGAATTCAAACAATGTACACTAAAGATGATCAAACCAAAATTCACTCGAACTCAAAGGAAACTACAGCAAAGCACAAAAACGGAGAAGTAACAGGTGCGCCGTGAGTAAGTAAATTGTAATGGCAGGAAATTCCACGCAGGAAATTCCACGGAGAAGTAACAGCTGCGACAGTTGAAGTTGAAAACCAAAACCGGCTGTGGTTCTTCCCCTAAGACTTGGCGTACACAGAAACACATACAGTACTGACTTATTAGAGGAAATAGGCAATTAAACCCGCAACATGTGAAGTGGTATCCTTTGAGACAACTATTGAGCTACCCAGTCTTTTATCGATTTCTAGGTATTGCACAATCACAATTGTGAGGTCAATAAAGAAGAAGTAATTGAAATGGTTGCGTAGGTATTCAACAATTTGAAAGAATGCAAACTCATAATTACATGAAACCCTCGAAATGACTTACACAAAGGGAAACCAATTGTCCGTTGATAGGCATTAATTGTAGTCATGTGATGTCTCAAAAGTCAGAACCACTCTCTAGCCCGTTCACTTTTAGCTTTCTAATTCCCAGAGTTTGATTAATTGGGGGAAAAAAATCTTGGCGAGAAGGTTTTCTATTTTTGGTAATACATTCATCATCTTACCTGGTTCCTGTCCATCTGAACCTGCTCCATTATAGCAAACACACGTTCGATCCCCAGGCTGACTCCAACAGCAGGGACTTGCTTGGTGCCAAACATGCCGATAAGGTTGTCATAACGCCGAACAGCCGCAATCGAACCAACCTGAAAGGATCAATACATTAGAGCAGACCTATTGACAAACAAAATCCCAGATCAAAGTTGGAGTAACAGAACGACAATGATAATAACGCACTTGTGTAGTTCCTTTGAAGACAAAAACTGAACTCCTCGGCCATCAGAAGTTTGTGGTAGGTAATGACACGAAATGCATAAACAGAAAAGAACAGATCAATATATCCATCGTTTCTAGAAAGACAAAAAAAAAAAAAAAATCCTTGATGGACCAAACTGCATCTATCCTCACACAAAAAGTAAATGGAAAACTAATAGTGTTTAAGCCGATTCTTCGAGTTTCCGTATTCGACAAAATCTTGGATAGCAGTACGGGAGGACGAAGGCATACCTATAGACAATCCATTGGTAGAGGAGGAATCAGTGTGGGAAGGTAATTGCAGGCGGTGGGAAGGACTGAGGAACACCGAGATCTTCAGCTGGGTAGCAGAGGAAGCGTGCAGGTGAAGCGGAGGAGGAGACGACGCTGACTCGGGCAACTATGTTCTTCGCCGCGAATTGGGTGGGTAACCGATGGGGTATTAGCGGGCCGTAACTTCAGGTGCCCAACATTAAAGACAGAGCACGGAATAGCAACAAATCAAGAGTAACGATGAGTACAGAAAGAGCCATTCTTATCAGTGTTTAAAGAACATGCAGCAAGCAACGGAGAAATACTCTCAATCCAACCATGGTTGCAGCAGAACTTGAAGGACGCACGCAAAAACAGCATTGGGAAATCGTTGTCAAGCAAAGTAGTTGGGTTATCTTGTAATTATCCTGTAGAAATCAGAACAGAATAGCGATTCCAAAGTGACCGATTCTCTAAATGGGTTGCAATGGGGATGAATCTTTGCAACCGAATCCCTGAAAAAAGAACCCAGAACCCGAATCCCTAAAACTTAAAAGCAGCGACAACAACAAACAGAAATCTGAAAGAGGAAGAATAACTTACGGCAAAACCAATACCGATCTAACGCTTAGAGAACGGAAATCAAAGGTAAATGCAAGCAGATAAAAGAACCAGATGATTGAGTCAAGGTTTGGTTTTCTGAAGGCCAAGAAACTTATTCGAATGAGGTGAAAGAGTGGAAGGAAGGGAAATCGGAAATAAAAAATACAAATTAATACAAATTAAATGAGAACGTGGGCCTGGAAGGAGAAAAAAGTGGGTAGTGGACAGTTTTTTGGTTCTGAAATCAGGCGGGACTCCTTTTTTTTCCGCTTAACACTCTGCCACATCATCTTCCTAAAATCACTTTATGGGCAGGAAATTTTGAATGGGGGGTGCAGTTTTACTTTTCAGCTATAAATTATACTGTTGACTAAATAGTTCAGGTAAACTACTACATTTCTTCGTCTGAAGGAAATTGTGGCTTATTTATTAGAGGTTAGAGTATAATATCATATTCAAATTAATTTAGGTTAATTCAAGATTTAGATTGAGTACACTGGTAACACCCATGTATATTCATAAGATCAATTTAATAATTAGAGACAATATTAATCAATTATTTTGATTCGTGAAAATTCATCCAATTAACTAGATGCAACATATTAGTGTGACTCTAAAGAGTTGATCGAGTGGTAATAATTAGGGCTGTTAATGAGCCGAGTCGAGCCGAGCTTTGTCATAGTTCGGGCTCGGCTCGTTAATATATTTCCAGGCTCGAGCTCGGCTCGTGTTCGTCACGAGCTTTAATATGCAAGCTCGAGCTCGGCTCGTTTATGAAAATGAAAGCTCGAGCTCGACTTGAGCTCGGCTCGTCAAATAAGCTTAACGAGCCCAAATTCGAGTTCAGCTCATAAAATGTTCATGATAGCTCAAGATTGACCTAGAACTGTGCACAAAATTACATTCTAACCTGTAACAAAGTCTAGCAAAGTAAAACACAATATTTATCCCAATTTCAATATATAAAATCCATGAATACTAATCTTTTTTTTATGTCAAACCATTAAATGAGCTTGTTCGCGAGCTTTCGAGCTGAACATGGTATGGCTCGAGTTCGGCTCGTTTAGTTAACGAGCTTGTTCGCGAGCCGGCTCGATTAAAACGAATCGAGTGTCGAACTAGTTTTTCTCGAGTCACACACCAAGCCGTTCATGAGTGGCTTGGTTCATTAACAGCCCTAGTAATAATGGGATGGGAACATCCATCACATCCTATATTCGAACTTTAAAATTAACACCAATGAAGAAGAAAAAAAAGCATATTAGTGTTTAGAGTTAAGAGAATTAGGACGTAGAGTGTATTATTTAGGATTTACAATATAGTACCATATTTCAAATCGATTAATTTTTTATGACTTTTTTCAAATTGATTAATTTAATGTATTTAAGTATATAACATTTTGCGGTAATTGAAATTAATCGGAGTACATAAAGCCATCATATATATATATTGAGCTACCTCAACTTGGTCAATTAAAAATCTAACTGTAATAACTAATTAGTACCCTCCTGTCCCATATGCATGTCAGTGAAGCAAAAGATTTCTGACTTTGTTTTCTGTTGTTTTGTTGCACTACCAATTAATTAATATATGTTTTCATGTATAATTATTGGTGGTTTCTCTGGCATTAAATCAGTAGAAATAATAACTACTCCAACTTGTCCTGATCGCAGCAGGAGTTGATGGATCGATCTCCTGCTGCATGGTAGCTAGCTGCTCGCTGATTCGTGGTCAGTGCAATTTGGATTGTGCAGTTGAAACCCATGTGCATCCGCAAATGCAAGCTTCTAGCTGTTAATTTCTCAGTGTCAACTACTCTGATCTTGTGCATCGATCGCAGAGATTTGCTAATCTGATGTGCGACGATGATCGATAATCCGTATAATTCACCACCACCAGCAGCAGTTTCTCGAACCAAGTAGGACACAACACAATATTATATATGTATATAGATCGTGACTCTTTACTAGCTAGCTAGCTAGCTCAAATACTTCTAATCGTTTGCTAGCTATTGACCAACGTAACTACTCTTTCGTAGTTAAGCTTCAAACGTGTAATGATTAGGGTTATCGGTTCCCGAAAACAGATAAGTCTCTCAACGGTTTTGTTTCCGTATGAAAAAAAACGAGAAAAACTTATAAGTCTCCCAACGGTTTGGTGGGACAATAGATCTTATATAAGTTTCTTATCGGTTCTTAAAGGTTATTACTTTCTTAGCTGAAACCAAAATCATTTACATTATATATCAATTTGTAACTGTTAAGGGAAACCAATAAGAGCGCGTAAACGACTCAGTTTCGATTAAACCAAAAATTCGAAATCGAATCTGCAGCCCTAGTAACAGTTATCTAAGTTAGAAATATTGATCATTTTTTGTATACCTTGAACTCCCCGATGTGCATAGTATCATGTCCCGCACGTAACACCTTAGGCAAAACCCACATTGACAAAGCACGGGAGAGATCCGTGGTTTATAAGTAAGAAACCGACCTTAACTGACAAAACACGTTTTGGAGTGAAATGGAGGAGTTCTTGTGAGAACTCTGAAGTTAAACGTGCTCAGTGTGGAGTGCAACAAGGATGGGTGATCTTATGGGAAGTCACCTTGAATTGCACCCCAAGGCAAAAACCATGAGGGGCGAGGCCCAAAGCGGACAATATCTTCGTCGGGAAAAGGTTTGGGATGTTACAAGTGGTATCAGAGCCCCTCTTGAACGATGGTGGAGCAAACCTCAACGAGGGCATTGAGTCCCGAGTGGTGGGGGGGGGGGGGTATGTAACACCTTAGGCAAATACCACATCGACAAAACACGGGAGAGATTCATGGTTCATAAGTAGGAAACCGATCCTAACTGACAAGATGCGTTCTGGGGTGAAATGCAAGAGTTCTTATGAGAACTCCGAAGTTAAATGTGCTCAGTGTGGAGTACAACAAGGATGAGTGACCTTATGAGAAGTCACATTGAATTGCACCCCAAGGCAAAAACCGTGAAGGGAGAGGCCCAAAACTGACAATATCTTAGCCAAATACCACATTGACAAAGCACGGGAGAGATCCATGGTTAATAAGTAAGAAACCGATATCCTAACTGACAAGACGTGTTTTGGGGTGAAATGGAGGAGTTCTTGTGAGAACTCCGAAGTTAAATGTGCTCAGTGTGGAGTACAACAAGGATGGGTGACCTTATGGGAAGTCACCTTGAATTGCACCCTAAGGCAAAAACCGTGAGGGGCGAGGCCCAAAGCAAACAATATCTTCGCCGGGAAAAAGGTTCAGGATGTTACACAATATGTTCGTTGAAGATTTTTGGATAATAATTGAAACCATTTCATGCGAGACTCATTCATCACATCTTATGTTCAAATATTGAGACCAACGATAATCTTGTGAGGTACGAGATAATACATATTCCATTTAGAACAAAACAGGACATTGATGTTGCGTTTAAAACAAGCATATCAATGTCCAGTTTCGAAAAAAAAATGGTATATGATGTTACATTGGTCAAGCCATCGATGGTATGGCTACATATGTATATTGTAGCTTTGGAGATGAGATGTTAACTAAAAAAACACGCCACCACCACCATCCCCCATTCAAATAAAAAACAACGACACACATTCATCAATTGATTAATGATTCCAAACCTTAGAGCTTGATCTTCTCCTCCTTTTCCCCTTGGCAATCATCTTGTGCATTCTCAAACACCTCATCAATATCTCTTTAAACTCTTCCTCCTCGCACGGGAAATGAAGCCCTCCAACGGTCTCGAACCCGACTTCCTCCGCCACCTTATCCATCAACACCACAAACTCAGGCATCGACAAACAAGTCATGGGGATCACGAACCTTCTTTGCTCTGGGCTCACGTATACTGCTATGAATCCTTTCGGGACCAACGATGACGAAGATCGTCCACCTGCTTCGTCGTCTGACAATCGTGAACCCCTGGCTAACAGAGACTCGTTAGCCTGGTGATTCCTGATTGTGTTGGACCCGGCCACGACCATGCAATGCTGGGGTGCCATGCACAACCATAACCGCAGAAAATCCTTTGGCTTCAAGTGATGAAACCCGTCTTGCATTGCTTTGGTTCCCATCATCATGATCTACACACACCCTCGATCGACTAATTCTTCTTGCAAATAAGAATTCAATTGATGGAATGTGCTCGAAAATTAATAACTGGAAATGAAATCAAACAAAAAGACACTGTTATAGATTGAAAAAACTCTTTTTTTTTTGTTTTCCTCTAAAAACTTATATGCATAATACAAATGAGTATTGTAACTTTTATTCGAAAATTGACACAAGATCATTCGAAAAGATCGAAAATGGGGTGATCTTTTGATCGGAGATTGTAAAATGAAAAAGAGGGTATTGGGAGTTCTCCAGCCCCCTCCTCCTCTCCACAGAAGCTGTAGAGAGGAAGAAACCCTAATTTTGTGTCACCCTTTGCAACATGCTCTTAAGAAATCATCATTCTCCCTATGTATAGCAATCACCAATTCCACCATTCGACTAATGGAGGAAACTATTAAAGGAGAATGTATATATGCCATCCGATTCCAAGTTAGAGGATGTTGGCTGCATTGTATATTTAATCTATAGTCTATATGTAGATCGATCAAATTCATGAATTTTGAAAATTTAATTATTTATTTTTTTAAGTTAATTATTGAAACGTATTATACAAGATTTACGTGTTTAGTACGCGGCTCATCAAATGAATAGAAAAATGTGAAATAATTTTACAATAATAAAATACATGCATACAATTACCGGAAAAAAATACATGCATTCAGCCAAAGCCCAAAGGTAACATAGCCTAGCGGTGAAACCGTTGGTCTGGTTGGCTCAGGATGTGAGAGGTCCTGAGTTCGCTCCCCAGCGGCGCCGTTTGTGTGTTCCCGGAGTCATCCCTGAGTGCCGAGGACGATATCTCCCGATGTTGTGTCTTGTACAAGTGTTCTCCAGATTTAGTAAATCACGCTGTCACAAAGTGACATGTGGGGTTGAGATTCCTGGGTTATAAAAAAAAATATATACATGCATTATTTAGTTTTGAGTTGTTTGAGGATATTAAAAAAATTCACCCAAAGAACCCCGTTACCTGCAGCTTCTCCTGCAATGTGTGTGGAGTGAAGAAAACGAAAAGCTTGTGGGCTCTAGACAATTAGGAGCCCATTAAAACTAGCAGCCCATCAACGAATGAAGCCTACTAATCCCATATATTAGCCAAGCCTAGATGCGCCGAAGAAGCCCAAACCCAAATCACAAGGAACCGACCCCATAGCGGCTCTGAGTTGGTTAATTCCTTTAGTGCTTCTCTTCTCCGTATAGATTCCGCAATCGATATTTCTCACAAACCCTAACTCTGATAAATCTTTCTCGCTTCTCTGTTCCCGTTGTTGTTCTCGCAGTGAGATCTTCACACCAGTTCTGGTAGAAGACCCTAATTCAATCAGTTGTTTTCTCTGAGTTGCTGCCATGGATCCGGAGATAGCCAAGACGCAGGAGGAGCGGAAGAAAATGGAGCAGGAGCTCGCCTCCCTGACTTCTCTCACTTACGACAAGGACCTCTACGGTGGAACGGACAGGGACGCCTATGCCACTTCGATCCCCGTTAACGATGACGACGACAACGATATCGGCGACAATGAAGCCCCTCGCCGGCTTCCTTCCTACACCGCCCCGAAGTCACTTCTCAAGGAGATGCCTCGCGGGGGAGACGACGAGGACGACGGCGGGTTCAAGAAGCCATCGAGGATTATCGACCGCGAGGATGATTACCGACGGAGGAGATTGAACAGGCCGCTTTCTCCGGACAGGCACGATGCTTTTGCTTCGGGGGAGAAGACGCCGGATCCCTCGGTGAGGACATACGCGGAAGTGATGAGGGAGGAGAAACTGAAGAGGGATAAAGAAGAGACGCTGAAAGAAATTGCTAAGATTAAGAAGATGGGGGAAGAAGCCGCCAAGGAAGGGAAGGCTGCTGAAGTCGTGAAGGAACCAGCAGCTGCCGCTCCTCCGAAGCGGAGGAACAGATGGGACATGTCACAGGATGAAGGTGGTGATGGTGCTGCGGCTAAGAAGGCCAAGACAAGCTCTGACTGGGATTTACCCGACGCCACGCCGGGAATAGGAAGGTGGGATGCTACTCCCACGCCTGGTAGAGTTGGTGACGCGACTCCTTCGGCCGGGAGGAGGAATAGGTGGGATGAAACGCCGACTCCCGGTAGGGTTGCTGATTCTGATGCAACTCCTGGGGGTGGTGTTACTCCTGGTGCTACACCTGCTGGTGTTACTTGGGATGCCACCCCCAAAGGGCTCGCCACACCGACGCCTAAAAGGCAGAGATCACGTTGGGATGAAACGCCTGCAACTATGGGAAGTGCGACCCCTATGGCTGGAGCTACACCTGCTGCTGCCCTTACCCCTGGTGTTACTCCTGTTGGCGGGGTTGACTTGGCCACCCCAACTCCAAGTCTTATTCAACGTGGTGCTATTACCCCGGAGCAGTATAATCTTCTGAGATGGGAGAAGGATATTGAGGAGAGGAATAGACCTTTGACTGATGAGGAACTCGATTCTATGTTTCCGCAGGAAGGGTACAAGATTTTGGAGCCACCAGCATCTTATGTTCCCATTAGGACTCCTGCCAGGAAGTTGCTAGCTACACCCACTCCTATGGGGACTCCTCTTTATTCTATACCTGAAGAGAATAGGGGGCAACAATATGATGTGCCGAAGGAAGTTCCTGGTGGGTTGCCATTTATGAAGCCAGAGGATTATCAGTACTTTGGATCTCTTTTGAATGAAGATGAGGACGAAGAGTTGTCACCTGATGAACAAAAAGAGCGAAAGATTATGAAATTGTTGTTGAAGGTTAAGAATGGAACACCACCACAGCGGAAGACCGCTTTGAGGCAGTTGACAGATAAGGCAAGAGAGTTGGGTGCTGGCCCGCTGTTCAATAGGATTTTGCCTTTGCTTATGCAGCCCACATTGGAGGATCAGGAGAGGCATCTTCTGGTCAAGGTAATTGATAGAGTTTTGTATAAGCTGGATGAGTTGGTTAGGCCTTATGTGCACAAGATTCTTGTTGTCATCGAGCCATTGCTGATTGATGAAGACTATTATGCCCGTGTTGAAGGAAGGGAGATCATTTCTAATTTGAGCAAAGCTGCTGGTTTGGCAACTATGATTGCTGCTATGCGTCCTGATATTGATAACATTGATGAGTATGTTAGGAATACCACTGCCAGGGCTTTCAGTGTTGTGGCTTCTGCTCTTGGGATTCCTGCACTCCTGCCGTTTCTGAAGGCTGTTTGTCAGAGTAAGAAGTCCTGGCAAGCTCGTCACACTGGAATCAAAATTGTGCAGCAGATTGCTATTCTGATTGGGTGTGCTGTACTCCCACATTTGAGGTCCTTGGTTGAAATTATAGAGCATGGACTTAATGATGAGAACCAGAAAGTGAGGACCATCACTGCATTGTCTTTGGCCGCTCTTGCTGAGGCTGCTGCTCCATATGGTATTGAAAGTTTTGACTCTGTTCTGAAACCCTTGTGGAAAGGAATCAGGTCCCACCGTGGTAAGGTCTTAGCTGCATTCTTGAAGGCAATCGGTTTCATTATTCCTCTGATGGATGCCATGTATGCATCATACTACACCAAGGAAGTGATGTACATCCTCATACGCGAGTTTCAGTCTCCAGATGAAGAAATGAAGAAGATTGTTCTGAAAGTGGTGAAGCAATGTGTGAGCACTGAGGGTGTGGAACCGGATTACATCCGCTCTGATATCCTCCCAGAATTCTTCAAGAACTTTTGGGTTAGAAGGATGGCATTGGATAGAAGAAACTATAAGCAGCTTGTGGAAACAACTGTGGAGATTGCAAACAAGGTTGGTGTTAAAGATATTGTGGGGAGAATTGTTGAGGATCTTAAAGACGAGAGTGAGCCTTATCGACGTATGGTTATGGAAACCATCGAGAAAGTGGTAACAAACTTGGGTTCTTCTGATATTGATGCTAGGCTGGAAGAGCTTTTGATAGATGGTATTTTATATGCTTTCCAAGAGCAGACGAGTGATGATGCCAATGTGATGCTTAATGGGTTTGGAGCAGTTGTCAATTCTCTCGGGCAGAGGGTCAAACCTTATCTTCCTCAAATTTGTGGTACCATAAAGTGGCGGTTGAACAACAAAAGTGCTAAAGTAAGACAGCAAGCAGCTGATCTTATTTCTAGAATTGCTGTGGTAATGAAGCAGTGCCATGAGGAGCAACTCATGGGCCATCTCGGTGTCGTTCTTTATGAGTATTTGGGAGAAGAGTACCCTGAAGTTCTAGGGTCAATCCTAGGAGCACTCAAGGCGATAGTTAATGTCATTGGTATGACCAAAATGACACCCCCAATCAAGGACTTGCTTCCTAGGCTGACACCCATCCTGAAGAACAGACATGAGAAAGTCCAGGAGAACTGTATTGATCTGGTCGGACGCATAGCAGATCGTGGGGCTGAATTTGTTCCAGCTAGAGAATGGATGAGGATATGTTTCGAGCTGCTCGAGATGCTCAAGGCACACAAGAAAGGAATTCGGCGTGCCACTGTCAACACTTTTGGATATATTGCCAAGGCCATTGGTCCACAGGATGTCCTTGCAACTCTGCTGAACAATCTCAAGGTCCAGGAGCGCCAAAATCGTGTCTGCACAACTGTTGCCATTGCTATAGTCGCAGAGACATGCTCTCCCTTCACTGTTCTACCTGCTTTAATGAACGAGTACCGAGTTCCCGAGCTGAATGTCCAGAATGGTGTTTTGAAGTCCCTCTCTTTTCTGTTTGAGTACATTGGTGAGATGGGGAAAGACTATATCTATGCTGTGACACCTTTGCTTGAGGATGCACTTATGGACAGGGACTTGGTTCACCGGCAGACTGCAGCTTCGGCTGTGAAGCATATGGCACTGGGTGTTGCTGGGCTGGGTTGCGAGGATGCTCTGGTCCACCTGCTCAACTATGTGTGGCCGAACATATTTGAGACATCTCCCCACGTGATTAATGCTGTGACAGAGGCCATAGAAGGGATGAGGGTGGCTCTGGGTGCTGCTGTCGTGTTGAACTATTGTCTTCAGGGGTTGTTTCATCCGGCTCGGAAGGTCAGGGAAGTTTACTGGAAGATATACAACTCTCTCTACATAGGAGCGCAGGATGCGCTTGTGGCTGCTTACCCTATTATGGACGATGAGGAGAACAACGTGTACAGCAGGCCAGAGTTGATGATGTTCGTGTAGATAGACAAGGTTAGGCAATATTTGCGTTGTACTATTATAAAACTCCATAATCTTGTTTCGTTTCTGTGTTCGGTTGGTTACTGATGCTCTTCTGGTGTTTGCTTTTGTACTTGTTTTGCAGGGGGGGCAGTCTGGATTCGGTTTCTACGATGGTTTGGACCGGTCTATTGATACGATGGTTGCTTTCTACTTGTTTTGCAGGACTCTCTCTGAAATCGGCGGTTTGCTACGTGATGTGTTGAGAATTCAGAACCATGGCCAACTAGCCCCCCTTTTCTGAGTTCCTCTTGGTGTCTAGTTATGGTCCCAATTGTATACGGGGCATCTGCTGCACTATCATTATGTCAATTAGCAGGCATTTTGTTCTTTACTTCCTTTCTCTTGGCTCGTAGAGCGCCTGCTTGCTATGTACTTTATATAATGCAAGCTTTAGAAACGATTCAGGACGTGTTTTACGAACCCTCGTTGCTGTTTTTGCAGAAGTGCAGGTCTTTCCTATTAAGGATGTGCATGTTAAAACCATATACGTCTATCCATAGCGCAAAATCATGCCTGCAACCAACGTATAGTTTCGAGTTCGACAACGTTGGTTCTATAAGCCACCGAACTCGAAACTATGCGTTTTTGTTGATACGGAATTGTAGAATAACGAACAAGGAAACATGCCGATTTATAGAAAATTTTTTTGCAATTTGCTTCGTGGTTAGATCCGATTATCCTGTCAAAAAGTTGTGGATTAATCTTGGTTTATACTAATTATAAAAAATCCTTCGTGGTTTATACTAATTACGAATGCAAGATTTCAAGTTGACAAGGTACAATTTAGCTACACGAAAAAATTTATTCATCCAATAGTGTGTCTTATTCATTTGTGATTTCCTCCCTAAACAAAGCATAAAAAAAAAAAGCTCAATTCCGCCTACTACCCGAAAGAAGAAAAAAAAAAGGTAAGCTTCAATCTCCTCAGCTACATTTTGCTTCCTTTACACTGTCCCCTTGTTTACGACGAAGAAGACGAAGTGGGAGGCTTGGTGACGCTCCCAACAGCGCTCCAAATTTGGCCAATCCCTTCCAACACATTGGGCAACACCTTCTCCACCCCTCGCAACGCCACACCCGAAGCGATTCCGACGCCGAAAGCTCCAAGGTAGCCGGGCTTGGAATCCAGCTTCATGTCCACCACCGACACCCTGCTGTTCACCACGTCAATCTTCCGCGACGCTTCCACCGCGGCCTTGTCCTTCTTCGCCTTGCTGCTGTTGGCGGAGACCACCCTGAACAGCACGTTCTGCAGGTCTTCGATTACCTTCATCGCAGCCTCGTGCGAACTCATCCCCTGCGTCTCGTAGTGGGATATCAGCTCCTGCGGCGTCGGCGGCTTCTTCCTCGCCGCCGCCGGCTTGCTCTCGCCGCTGCTTCCGTCTTTCGGTCGGGCGGCATTTGGGGTTGCCGGTTGTTGCATTGTGCTCCTCGCTTGGATTCGACAAACTGTGATCGAGATGAAAGCAGCAGACGGCCCAGAGCTTGAATCTGCGTGGATAGATAGATAGATAGATAGATAGATAGATAGAAACCCTAGAAATTGGGAAATTTTGAGCAGAGTGAAGTGAGAGGACACTCAGGCCGGTCAGATAAGGTGCGGCGGACAGAAGAGAATTAGGAAAGAGGGGTTAGGTATAGAATTTTATTTGGCCTTTCGGAGATGTCTGGTTGGAAAGAGAATTAATAATGGAATTCTTCTACTGGGCTTGGGCCTGTCCAAGGGCTTATTCTACCGGGCTTGGACTTGCATAAGGATCTGTCCATGGGCTTTGCCCTGCTTGGTTTTCGGTTTTGTTTGTTCTTTTCCAGTCACAGGTCTGGTTTCATCAATGTGCAACTGCAAAACAGACTTAGTAATGCTGTTTATTCTGCTGAACCACTGCCGGATTCGGTTCCTAGAACAGAGATTAGAGGCACAGCGCGCACATCCAGCCATGCCGTAGTAAGGATGAAAGTCCTGTGCCAGAGTAAGTATGAAATCGGCACGAAAATGTATCATCCAAGCTAAACATATATTATCAAGTTAGCACATACCACGAACAAACAAACAGAAGCACAAACGATACACATCTCCTAACCTCATCTCTTTATTCGTTGTTTCCCCGAAAACAGGAGAAACTAACAGTCAGATCATCCGTCAGTCCTACCCAGGTTTGCTCCCCCTACATTTACATCCAATCAAAAATCAAACTACCTCTGTATTTGCAAGACAGTAATTCCCCCTCCTCTACAACTCTTTGCTCCACAGAAAGATGGGAGCCATGACCAGAGTGATCGTCGCCAACATTTTTATGAGGACATGAAGCGATGGCCCTGCCGTATCTTTGAAAGGATCTCCGACGCTGCAATGCCAAGGCACAACGAGGAAACCAGAGCGTTTAGGGTTGGTTTGCATACAGGAGGATCGAAAGAGAGGCAAATGAATGAAGACCTTGGATTAAAACAGCTTACGTGTCCCCTGTGACTGCGGCTTTGTGACAATCACTCCCTTTGCCTCCAAGAACTCCTGTCTCGATGTACTTCTTAGCATTGTCCCACGCTCCACCAGCTGTGTTGAGGAAGAGAGCCATGAGAATACCGGACACAGTTGCAAACATCAGCATTGCAGCCACGACTTTAGCTCCCAAAAGTGGTTGTCCTGTGCAATACCCCAGGATCCGGAACACAATACCTGAAAATACAAACAAATGTTCAACCCCCCTTTTCGTCGATAATTCCATCATGGTGGTCGCCAAGTGAAGATTCAAGTTGAATACTTACCAACTACCATGGGAGATATAATAGCCAAAACACCAGGTTTTATCATTTCTCTCAAAGATGCAGATGCCACGATTGCGACACAGCGACCATAATCTGGCTTCTCCTTGTACTCCTGTTGTCCATGTCAAAAAGATTGGGCACATCAAGTAAGAAAAGAACACATTACAAGTCACTGACATGCGTCGAGGGAAGGTATCCTCACAATGATTCCTGGCCTCTCAATAAATTGCCTTCTGACTTCATTAACAACCTCCTGGGCTGTTTTACCAACCGCTGAGCAAGCCCATGCACTGAACAAGAAAATTAGCATTGACCCTAGCAACCCTCCAACAAAAACTTCTGGAATGGCAATGTCAACCTGACAGTCAATCCAAAATTATAAGATAACATCCGACTCAACAATAAGATGAAATTACTTTGAACATTAGTTGTTACCTGAGTCAAAGGTTCTTGGGCGAAAGTAGAAACCTCATCCATATATGCACTAAACAAAAGGAAAGAAGCAAGTGCAGCTGATCCAATGGCAAATCCTTTTGTTGTGGCTTTTGTAGTATTTCCAACAGCATCTAGGACATCAGTGATCTCTCGAACACTTTCTGGCTGCCAAAGATAGATGATAAAAACTCGTAAATACCAGGTAGCAAGGAAGAAAGCACCTAAACTCAAGACCCCTGCTACTTACTACAGATCCCATAATCAATAAAGAAAAGATATAGAAATTTCACCTGCTGACTCATCTCCACAACTCCACCAGCATTATCAGCTATAGGGCCAAACATGTCCATGGTTAGAACATATCCAGCAGTGCTTAGCATTCCCATCGTTGCCACAGCTGTACCGAACAATCCACCAATAGGTTTCCCTGATTCATCCACCAAACCTGAGTTCTGACCAAGCCAAAAGGCTGAAACAATGGCTACACTGATGATAAGAACAGGAAGTGCTGTTGATTCAAGGCCCAAACTAACTCCTGCAATTTTGTTAGTTCCATGACCTGTGGAACTAGCAAGAGCTAATGAGCGTACAGGCTCATATTTGTAGTCAGTATAGTACTTGCTGATCCAGACAAAAGCGTAGGCAGTGATAATGCCAACCAACCCACACAAGGCAAAGCTAAACCAGGCTGAAGGTGCTTGTTCTGTATAAAGCATCCAACGGGTTGACTGCAAAAAATTCATGTAAAAAAATCATGATACCTCAAAACAAGATAAATACCATCAGAATATACAGACTTCAGATTGGAATCACGTATAATGTAATACCAATGGTTCACAATTTACATGAAGAGAATTCCGGCAATAAATCTAGAAGAAACATTACCGCACCAAATGTAAGGACAGCCAAAACTATCGTAATAGAGTATCCTTTCTGAAGGACTGCCATCGGATCTTCCATAGGAGACTTCACACTGCCTTTCCGTGTACCCCTAATTGAGAGTACGCCAATTGAAGATATAACCAGATCAAATGAATGAACAACGAGCGGAAATAAGATGAAGCCGGATGCATCTGCATGAATAATGGTCAGGAATAAGGCTAACAAATAAGAAATGAACTAGCAGGCAGGTCAAGGTTTCAGGTGAAAAAAATGCATGTTTTTTCCATTGAATAAGATCTTGTAAGATACCCGTACAGGATGAGTAAATAATTGTGGTAGCTTATAATGTCACTAGCCATTTCAGATCATATGAAACAGTTGGCAATTCATGACTAAAGTGAGATAACCATAACTCTGGCAGCATAGGTACTTGCCTTCTATTTTGCAGCGTTTAGACATTGTCCCGCCAAGTATCATGGCACTAATTATTTCAGCTGCTATACTTTCAAACAGATCGGCACCGCGAGCAGCACAATCGCCAACATTATCTCCAACCTGACAACATTGATTCATTCAATTATCACTGGTGAGATATCTAGAATGTCACAAATAAATAGCAGAAAGAACCACCACAAGCTAAGAATAAAATGGCCATGATAACTAAAAAGTATTTCACTTGCCAAGTTTAACCACCACAAGCTAAGAACAGCAACTTAAAGGCTTTAGGACTTGTTCTTACGCAATAAAGTCCTTGATTATGATGAAAAATAAAGGTGCAAGCATTCTTTGCGCCAGACACAGTACCATCTTGGAGTTCAGATAAAATCTACTCCATTCAGTACATCAATTCCCAACAACAAAACACCAATTGACCTCGGCACAATGATTTCTGGTTCACATTTGATTTTACCATAGTTTATACTGCAAGTGCAAGTTATTAACTGCGTGCAGACACCATTTCTATTTGAAACTTAGCTGAGAAGCACCCAATCCACACTACAATGTATGACCTCCATTTGAAGCAAGTGGAACTGAAATCCAATGCATAAATAGGAAGGCAAAAAAGGAGGGGGGAGAAACTAGCCCCATCAGATGGTCACCCTTTTTCCTCAACAACAAACAAGAACATAATGCAACTGCATTTTCCTTATCTTATTGCAGTTCAATCATCTATTACTCGTCTCAATTCTAACAGCCCTTTTCAAGTCCACACCATTATACCTTCTTAAAGTGAAGAAACAATTGCAGTATCGCAAGCATACTGAAATCTCAAGAGCAAACAATTTCAAGTAAGGCAGCCTCAAGAGAACTTAATACCAGATCTGCAATGACTGCAGGGTTTCTAGGATCATCTTCAGGAATTCCACGCTCCACTTTTCCGACAAGGTCAGCCCCAACGTCAGCAGCCTTTGTGTATATTCCGCCACCTAATTGGGCAAAGAGAGCAACAAAGGAGGCTCCAAAACCATATCCAACAAGCAGAAGAGGTACTGAAAGGGAAAAAAAAGAAAATCAGTAATTCACAAGTAACTAGGATCATAAGAAATAGAAAAAAGTAAATTGCTCGTGGATGAGATGGCAGTCAATGGGGATCTTAATAGAGAAGACGGCACACACATGAATATAAATAACCTGTTGGCAGATGCATGCTTTCAGAATCATACAGCCTAGAGATCCAGCAATAAGGGCATGAGGAAAAACGAGTAGCAGGACTCCAAAGATGATACAGAATAAGCTGTTGTTATACAAAAGGCCGAAGATATCCAGTCGACTAATGGCCAAACCAATTCTCTCGGCATTTCCACGATGAACTAAATCCAACCACATTGGTATTAAGTTCATGAGGAACTGAAAACTAATTCAGGTTGATGCATATTAATAGTCTCCAAAGAAGTTGCAGGAAAAGAAGTAGTTACTAACATTCTGTGACCTTCATTGATCCAGGAGAATCCACTCCCAACCAGACATAGAATGTGGCATAAAGGATAGCTATTCTTCCAACAACCACCATGGCAGAAAAACCACCAGAGCGAACAGCTATCTGCACATTTGATGCAGAGTAGGCTATTTGAACTTGTTAGATATAAAAGAGATGTAAAACAGACTAGGTAAAGACGGGCAGTAATGGGACCACCTGCAGTGCCTCCCTCGCTGACCGCCTTGCAGCACTAGAGACCCTAACATTTGCACGAACCGACACCCACATTCCAACGTAACCGGCAGCACCTGAACAAAGAGAGCCTAAAAGGAAGGAAGTGACAGTGACGAATGCAGTTACCGACCTGCAATAATCAAGCAAAACCAAGAAAATTTGTCACCATGGGTGAGACACAGAGAGATAGCATTATCAACAATATATTAGCAGAGGCACTCACCTCCCTACACCCGAAGCTTCCTATTCAGGAGTTGTACTACGGAACAAGTATATGCAAAGGATCAGTAGTGCAAGTAACATTGCCATCTTTGATATAGTTCCATACTGCGTCCTGAAGAAACCTTCAGTGCCATCACGAATGGCATCTGATATCTAGAAAGTACGATGATAAGGCTCAGGATGTTTGAAAAGTTAAATTCGTAATGCCTCCGCCAGGTGCAACTAATTTTCTCTAGAAAAATGAAAACTCAGCAGAAAATAACAAAACATATATTGAACTATCCACAATTAGAGAGTGATCAGCATAATAAACAATTTGCAGTTATACAAGCATAAAAGATAAAATAACCACAAGGTTAATTGCAACACAATCCATGCCCCAGCAAAGAACAAGACTTAGTGTACTAATTGGAATAATAGAGGTTATGAAATATGAAGAAAGCAATAAACCAAAAGTGTCAACCTACCTGAGCCATTTCAGGAGGTCCTTCATCCTTTGCGAGTACCCACTTAGTAAGATATATTGACAAAAGGAAGCTGATGATACAAACTGTGAAAACAAACACAATGATTCCGGAAGTGCTTGCTCCAATGTAAAAAATCATCCCCAAAGACAATAACAAAAGTATAAATAGAACACGAACATTAATCCCCATAAGAATCCGAAAGATCTGCAGGGGGGGAAACAAAGAGAATAAAGATATAACATCAGCACAAAGTGATAGCTCAAACAGATTAATTACTGACAATGCATCTTCCTAAGACATAGGATATTAACAAATAAAGCAATTAACCAATATGATATGTCTGTTGTCAGTCTGATGAAATGGAAGTTCAGGAATTAAACATATCAGCGGGTTGCAGGAACTATTGACCATCCAGAGCGGAAGTGATGAAATTAAATAGGATAAATATTGGTTACAAAACCTATGTCAGAGCTTGGTCTATGAAGACCACAATAGAACTTTTAGTTGGTGTAACTTGAAAATACTCTCAGCATATTGCCATTACCATATTTCACATGAAATTTCTTCATAGATTGCATACACACAATTGCTAGTCATATCTCACATGAAATCCAGTACCTTAACCCAGCCATAACGCACTAACTACTAACTAGTAGAAGCTTAACTAAAGTGAGTCGTACAAAATAAGGACAAATCTAGGACTATATAGAGAAGAAATCCACTTCAGACAAAAAGTAATGCAATTCGGAAACCAACAACTGGCCATAAAAAATAGAATATGCTGCTACTAGAATATTGGTAAATTGGATCCTGAATCACACATCTATATATGTATTTGAAGAAAAGCCCACCAGACCACCACATCTTCGCAAAATAAGGTGCAAAGTAAGAATGAGGATATTTATTTTAAAATGAGAAAAGAAAAACATGGAAGCAGTGATTGAATTCCTTACCAGTGGAGTATAAGCTTTGTTACGCATATTGGGGAAAGTCCTTGGCCTGTTTTGGTACGAACCCAGGCTCCCACCCTCAACATCCTCCCCCATCATCATTGTGCTGGAGGAATTCACTCTTTGAGCTACAGTAAAATAGCTCTCAGCTGTTTGGGGCAAATCGCCCCCTGATGCAGGTCGCTGAATTTTGGATTAATTTTATTTCTCAAGTAATTTTTATAGGAAGAGTAATTTTCTGGAAATGCTGCTGTTTGGGTTACACTATAGCCGTGAGTGTGACAAGCAGATCCATATGGCTGAAAGATCTCAGGGACTCATTCTAACTCCTGAAAGGGAAAAACTCAGTAAAAATAGATAAAGAGATGCAAATGGAGCTGTACAATCTCATCGATGCATATGCTCATACGAGAGAATCAATTATAAAGTACAACAACAGGAAGCAAGATTCTTGAACTATGCCAACCAGACGTCCTATATAGATACTTAAGACACCAAACAAACAAAGAACTAGAAACTCTTGGTGCGCTTATAATGATAATATACCCAGGCTAAGAAGAACCAACAAAACTTACATTCTCCGAAAATTCACAATGCAATGACAAGGCAAATTCTCAGAGCAGCATACTCCCAACATCAGTACATTTCCAAAATTCATAGAACCTTTATTCGATCAACATTCCAACAAGCCTTGCACCTAGCCAGACAATTGTTTCCCCTCTAAAGATGTACTGATAACCGCTCCAAGTTACTCAGCTCGGACTATAAACTTCATATCCTATTCCCAGCAAGAAAATCAGTGACAAGGCAAAGGTCTGAGCTAGCGCGGGAGCATTTTAAACCCTAAGATCTCCACGAATCGAAGCCTGATTACATTCACCTAACTCATTTCAAAGCACAGAAACCAACAAATATCCGTAAATCGACGACGCACTCGCTTTCGCATGCATACTCAGATACATAACGGTAGGGAAGAGAAAGCATGAGCTAGCACTGAACGATAACGGTAGAAGAAGGTAGGCTACCTTTCAGGAAAATGCAGAGAGGAGCGGATTACATAACTAAAAAACCGCCGATCACCGAACGATTATAAGAAGTACAAATGGTAGCAAAGCACTCCGATCGTCGACTATGGTCGGCCGGCCCCTGCTTCTCTTTCTGTCTACAAAAAATTTGCAGTCGTTTCTCGCTCGTAGAGAAAGAAACAAACGGAAATGGTAAATTTGCCGTCGGGGTCAGGGGTTTGTTTGAGTCGTGTGTTTTACGTTTTTGTTTCACGTTTCTCGTTTGGATAAATTTACCTAGTTAGCTTATTCCATTCCAGTGCGTCCATGTCTGCCTGACGCCGTGTCAGCTTCACGAATAAGACGATGCCACATAATGATCGTGGGTTCTACCTGTATCATGACGTGGAATACCGGACGCTTAGCTTAAATGCTTAATAAAGTTACTGAATTATTATCAATTACCGGGAAAAAAAAGTTACTGAATTATCAAGTCTTTTAATGCTGGTTACTGATCTATGTTACAATTCTTAATCAAAATCCTAGCATTAGTTTTCGTTCAAGTTGTTTGTTGTTGCCGTGTAGATCATCTTTGTAACTCGATTCACACCAATTATCTAATCCGTCTAAAATTTTGTCGAGATGATCAAAATATCCCTCCATTCATTTTATAATATAAAAATAATTACGATTGTCATTGTTCTGTTAAATTGAAATTTCAACCTTCTCAACTCTCGCCTTCTTATATTGGCGATAAACATTTTTTATGGGTGCCTCAACTCAATATGAGTGGGAGAATAGAAGAATAGGATGTTAAGAGCATTGAAATTAAAAAAAAATCTGGATACAAATTCTGGTGTCACAACCACTCCACCAATTTCATGTTGACATATTATATGCAAATCTAAATTAGAAGCAAACAGTATGTGCTTTTGTCTTGCCAACATTGTCTTTAAGCAGAGACTTGAATCGACAAGTATAATCCAATCGCTTTGAACAATGTCGTGTATGATATAGATGGCAGAGCTCTCATCCTCTCGACACTCTCTTCAATATGAAAAAAGTCTCTAAGATAAGTGTGGAAGATTTTCAATCATCCCCTATCATTTGGTTCTAATCTTTTTGAAGATTTAGCAAAACATTTTATCCAATTTCCATGATCATTTGAGGATGTTGGAAGAACAAATTTCGAATTGCATCACAATCGTCTACAAAGGGTCCTAAGTTCCTTGAGTGGATTAACATTGCATCCAATTAGTAGGGTCCTAATTTCATTTATGTCACTATTGTCTATTGTCACCTTTTTATCAAGTGCAAGTAGAGTAGGGCACAAGTTCAACATTGCATCCATATACACTAAAAACTTGAATTCCATTTGGGTGTGCCATTACATACAATTATAGAAAAGAAAGAAGGAAAATGAATACAGACATCGAAATTGACATACATAAAGTTAAGCTACAAATAAATTCGCGTGTATACGTGAAAGTTACTAACTATTACGACAAGTTTGGATAGGTGAATTTTTACATTTGGTATCAGTTGTTTGAATGTTAAGTGAATATTGTGATTGGATTACAATATTTGGTATATTTTTTTTACAAATTTCGAATACATATCAAAAGTCAGTGACTTGAAATTCACCATCCAATGAAAGGGAGACCTACCTGTAAACTTTCAAAAGTAAAGGTGATGTAACATCCGACCAACAATATTGAAGTACTACAATGTTACTTTTCATCGATCTTTTGGTTCTATATGTAACTTTCATTTAAGTTTATGTACTACCTAGTAAGACCTACTAAATTCATCAACCAAAAGATGGAGAGCAGAGAAGAGCTAACTGTTCCAGCCATCACCTGTTCCTACTTGCTTCCACCTTCCCATTGCATCAAAACCCAAATTGCAGGGGCAACCAAAACGCAACAGCCAACAGGAATAAATCAAGATATACAGAGCTTGTAAAGCTGTAGTAATGAAAAATGCATACATATTCATCGTCGAAACCACAAGATCACGATCAAGCAGTACACATTACAGCACTAAAACTTCCCCGTAGGTTCAGATCCTGAAGAAGACAGAAAAAAAGCACCAAACAAAGAAGGAACATGATAATACGATACGAACGATCAACAACACAAATCACAGCATGCAATCCGCGTTGGAAGGAAGCCTCCTGAGGAAATTATGCAGCAGCGACGGCACAGCAGCAACCCTCATCCTCGGCGGCCGAATCGCATAGCTCCCTCCAAACACCACCAAGTACCTCACCGGACAAATGTACACCACCGTGCAACACACCAAACACGCCACCAAGAACAGAATCGTCGCCCTCGGATCCCTCCAGCCAAACAACGAATGCACCCTCTCCATCTGCGTCGCCACATCCCCAACCATCAGTATCACCCTGCCACCAATCCCTCTCATCCTGTCATACCTGTTCCTCACCACCTCCCCTTGCCTCGACGTGGGGAACGTGTCGAATTCCTCGTCTAGCACATCGAACCCTGCATCCTCCGCGTGTGACATCCTTATGTCCATGTGCGGAGGGTGCCTGGGCCGACGAGGATACCCGGAAACGCATGCCAAAAAAAGAGTCATAAACACACACGGCAGGATGAGTCCGGGGAAATGAACCAGGATCAAGAACAGGAAGTAGAAAGAAAGTGTGACCGATGGATTGTTCCATCCTTTAATCCAATCGAACGCTCTGTAAATCCGCGACAGGAAACTGAAGCAGGCCATGAACCTGTGCAGGTTGGCCTTCCCCTTTCTGAGGCTCCACAAATTGACCACGGAATCCAGCACGTACTCCACCACGTCCTTGTTCAGCGGCGGGTCCGCCCTGCCTAGCCTCGACGACAGGATGTAGGCAGCCTGGTGCCTCAGCCCGTCCATCTGGTAAAACGACAGCGGATTGATGTAGTGCATTCTAGGGAACAATGGCTGCGTGTAGGTTTGCAGCAGGTTGGCTACAGAGTTGCAATTGAACTTGACGGCCAAGTGAAGCTCCCCTGTTTTCCTCACCCCGTTAGGTTGTAGCACGATTAGAGGGTAGGACAGCGTGTAGATCCGATTCGTTTCCAGCGTGGAGAGCCGGATTCGAACCTTCCCGATTCTTGAATCGGAAGGAGCAGTGGTCTTGTTCTTGTTCTTGTTATTGTCGTTGGTGTTTCCTAGTTGGGAGTTGTCGAGCACCGCGATGGTGATCACGGTGCAGGGATCGTACACGTCCCACGAGTACTGCTCGTTCCAATTGGGCGCGAAGCTGTCTAGAACAGTACTTGTCCTGACCCACTTCGGCCCGTATTTCGCCACGCAGTAAGCGTCCGTGGACGCCCTCCCGCCTTCCTTGGACTTCATCGGCACCAATCCTTGTGCTTTCAGGATTCCAAGCTCTAAAGTCCCGATCTTTTCGGGCCACAGCTTGGGGGAAGTGGCCCTGAGATCGCTGCAGTAGTTGGTCGGTTCGTCGAAGACGTGGTACACCCCGTCGAGGAAAACCCTCAAGTGAAGCCTCCCGCAGAGCTTGACTGCTCCCTTCTTCTCATCATTTCCGGCCTCTACTCTCTCTATGTTGATCCATTTCTCTCCCATGGCAGGAACCGGCAGAATCCTCCTCTCCAGCCTATCGAGATCGAGCACCGAACGACCGATGTTGAACCCGGTCGCTCGGTCCTCGACAATGAGGATCAAGGGATCGTCGAACGGCTCTGCCGCGACGAATACGAGCTCTTCGGAAGGGTTTAGGGTAGTAGTGGTGGTAGTAGGATTCCTGACAGGGGAAATGATCCTGCTCTTCAGGACCATTTGCCCTAAAACCGCTTTAACGTGGATTTCGGGACGTATTCTGTTGTTAATGTCGGGAATTGACAAATCCTGAGCGCCAATCAGTTGGATTCTGAGGTACCACAGTCTAGGGGAATGATACACCTTGGCGCGCGTGTGGGCGACGCTGTCGCCGTCGCCGGAGTGCCAGGCGACGGAGAAGGCGTCGTCGGATTGGTTTCCAATCCAGACGGCGGCCATCAGCTCTCCGGCTACTCGCTGCCCGTTGCCGTCCTCCAATCTGTACCACTGTGGAGCCAGGGGGCTGTCGGGCGGGAACCGGGTCGGGATGTCGCCGGTTTCGAAGCAGACCCGACCCGTGATTTTCCCCTGGCTGGTGGCGTCTTTAACGAGGATTTCCAGGAGGTTCCCCTGAAGCCGGCCGGCGTCTTTGGCGAAGGCGAAGACCTGGTTCCATTCCGGGTTGTGGGTCGGGTCCACGAGCACCCGGGTCGCTGCTCGGTGGCAGCCGATTCTGAGCTCGACGAAGGGGCGGTGGAGGAAGCAGTTTTCTGGGTCTTCGACCGGATTGAGGTTGGCTCTGACGATCCTGACGTAGAGGAAGTGGCGCTGCTCGACTAAGGTGAGCTTGTCGTTGCTGATTGTGGTTAGGGACTTGCGGCCGCCGATATCAGGGGAAGTTTCTTTCAGGGAGAAATCCATCGTATCCTCCTTTGGCTTCTCCTTTGGAGGCATTTCTGCTTGAAATTCCGATTGATAGGATACCCAAAACAAATCTGGTGAGGAGCTCTGTTTTCTTAGTTTCAGGGGAGACGATGGTTTGAACTCCAGGCAGCTGAGTTGTAAGGAAGTAACTATTCAGCACCGCCATTTGTACTGGGAATTAATTAGTTTAGCAAACAGGGAGCAAAATCAGGGAATTGGAATTCAAATATTGTTCGGTTGAAGAAATTTATGTCCCATATTCGACCGTTCTTGTAATCATTTTTGAACTGCAGATTGATATCTCGAATTCCCCTGTTCTTGTTCTGAAACCGTGGCTCTGAATTCTGATGAACCGGTGCATAAATGCTCCACGAAGCAATTTCCGGATTGGTGCATTATTACCGTAGTAAATTTTGGATACGCCAAACCGATTTCTTTTTGAGCTATGTTCACAACATTTGGGATGACATTGATGACAAACATTCAAGCATTTTCAAAAATATTACATTTTTTTTTTTTTTTTTGAGAAAGGGGAGGCAAGACGCCAAAGATTACAAAGCAAAGGGTTCAAAGGTACAGCCTATAATAGCAGCAGGCAAGGGACAGGAGAAACAACCTCTGCTTATAGAACAAACTATTGACATTCATTCTGAGTTTGCACAACCATTCTGGGAAAGCTCACTCCCAAAGTGTCTTCAAGAAGGATTTGCTGAAGCTGACTAGGCGGATTCATTAATTCGTGCGTACCAAAGGGATAGACGAGACTGTGCTTCGAGAGCCAGTCCGCGGCTCTATTCCCCTCCCTGTACGTATGAACTAATTGCACCACCCAGTTCTGAGCCATCAATCTGCGAATAGCCGTCAAAATGGTGGAATGAGGATGAACTGGATCGTCACGCCTCCTTATTAACTCAATAGCTAGCTGCGAGTCGGTTTCCAGAATGAGAAACTGAGTGTTCTGCTTCCAAGCCGTTATCAACCCTTGATGAATTCCCCAAAGTTCGGCCATAATAGCAGAACCAGTGCCAATTTTGCAGCAAAATCCTCCTAGCCAATCCCCATCACTGTCTCTGAGAATTCCGCCTGCAGTAGCCATACCTGTGCTTCCTTGTGCCGCACCATCTGTGTTCATCTTACTCGATCCCCTCGGAGGAGCACCCCAGCACACAAGACGATCAGTTCGGGTAGGCTTGCTGTTGGAATCAAGCTGCAGGGAGGCCCTCTCCCAGGTCTGCAGCCATCATGTAGCCTTGCTCTTAACATAATTGATGAAGGAAGAATCCGCCAGCTTCTTGCCCTGAAAAATGTATTCAGTACGATATTTTCAAACATACCAGCATACTAGCGAGAAGAGGCTGGGCCAATCCTCCTGTCTCTCCCCGCTGTCTCTCTTTTTGAGATTCATATGGAACCAGGAAGCATGGTTTGTTGTGAAGAAAGTGTTCTGCTCCTGAAGCGGGACAAGACCTTCCCAAATCCTCCTAACCGGAGTGCAATCTCTGAGGCAATGCAGGTTTGTTTCTGCAGTATGTTTGCAAATGGGACATTTGTCATCCATGGTTAAATGTCGCATTTTGCGGCGACTGTTGGTGGATAACTTCTCATTGGCTGCAAGCCAAACGAAGAACCGAACTCTTTCAGGGCAATGCAGCTTCCATATCTGTTTCCAGAAGGTCGAGTCTTGATGCGCAGCTTCTGGACAGCAAACCTGGAAAGCGGATTTGGCGCTAAATAATCCATTTGCAGTGTGTTTCCAGAACATGGTGTCATCATTGCTGGTTAATGGATCAAGGAGTATTGACCGGATCTTGTTGGTGGCTTCAGGTGGAAGGAAACCTTCGAATTCTTCAAGTCTCCATCCGCCTTCCTCCTCCCAATAATCAGCTACCGATTTGCTTCTGACTTCCATAGGCACCTCCATAGTAGTAATCTCCAGGAGTGGTACCTGCATTGCCCAAATATCAGTCCAAAATTTCGTTAGTCTTCCATTTTTGACATTGATAGCAGCTCCCTTGCGCAGGAGGTCAACAGTTTGTGCAAAACTGTTCCAGGCGAAGGAACCTCCCTTTTTTTTCCTGAGAAGTTGCAGTCCTTGTCTCTGTCCCCCGTATTTGTTCCTCATCACTTGAGCCCATAGAGCCGGATCTCCCGTAGCTAGCTTCCAAGCACCTTTAGCTAGCATTGCTTGGTTAGCAAGCTTTGTCGGTCTGATCCCAACGCCCCCTTGGTCTTTAGGAAGAGTGAGTTGATCCCAGCCAACGGGGTGGAATTTCGTTCGACCTTCCTCTTCTCCCCAAATGAACCGGCGGTTTATCCTGTCAATATTATTGCAAACAGAAGTAGGTAACCGTTCTGTGAACATAGGATAAATAGCCATGGAGGAAGAGATCAATTTCACCAGGGTAATCCGAGCAGCTGTTGATAAATGATTAGTCTTCCAGGTTGCCAACTTGTTTTGAATTTTTAGGAGAAGTTGATGGTATCTTTCTTTGGTGATCTTGCCATTGATGGCAGAAATTCCCAGGTAGCGGCCAAGATCGTTGGTGAGGTTTATTCCTTCCCTCAAGCTCAATCTCTGGGCCTTATCTCTGTGCACGTTGGGAGAAACAAACATAGCTGTTTTGTGAAGGTTAACTTTTTGGCCAGAGCTTAAGCAAAAATCCTCCAAGCATGACCAAATAACATCAATCTGTCCACCCTCCGCTTCTGCAAACAAAATCAAGTCATCAGCAAAAAATAAGTGCGAGAGCTTTGGCCCATCCTTTGAAAGAGGGATAGGCTTCCAAAGCTTTTCCTCTACTGCTTGTTCAATACGATGAGCTAATCTCTCCATACAAAGCACAAATAAGGAGGAAAGAGGGTCTCCCTGACGAACTCCTCTTGAGGGCCTGATCACAGAGGTGAGCTCTCCATTCCAGTTGATTCTCATCTGATTCCTTTCTACGCATGTCATAATTCTGTTAATCCATGTACTAGGCAGTCCGATCTCGCCCAGAGTGTCCCGCAAGAAGCCCCAATGTAGACGATCATACGCTTTTTCAAGGTCTATTTTGATAACAATGCCTCCTCGCTTTCCCTTTCTCTTTCTGAGTGAGTGTAATGTTTCTTGCAGCAAGAGGATGTTATCGTTAGTCTGCCTCTCTCTGATAGACCCACTTTGAGTGGGAGCTACTAACTTCGGCATCAGCGGCTTAAGTCTATTGGCCATAGCCTTGGTGATAGCTTTAAGAGCTACATTGTTAAGGCTAATAGGTCTGAAGTGTGCCGGAGTTTCAGGCTGATCAATCTTAGGGATGAGCACAACTGTCGAGTCCGTTAAGTCTTCCGGGATTCTGCCTGTTTCGAAGAAGTTCGAAGCCATCACAGTAAGATTTCTTCCCACCAAAGGCCAAAATTTTTTATAAAACACTGCCTGGAATCCATCCGGACCGGGAGCAGACATAGGTTTCATCTCAAATATGGCCTTATGGAAGTCTGAAATAATAAAAGGTCTAAGAAGCCCCATTAACTCTTCTTGCTGCAGGCGGGGAAATTTACCCTTCGGCATCAAATCCTCATAATCCCCTCCCTCCTGCGTGTACAAATGAGTGTAAAATTGAAGTACCATGTTCTTGAGGCTCTCTTGACTGTCTATCCATTCTCCATTTTCATTCCGCAAAGATAGGATCTTATTCCTTCTACGCCTTCTTGTAGCTTGTTGATGAAAGAAAGAAGTATTCTGTTCCCCCAGTTTCACCCATTTTTCATTGGCCCGCTGAAACCAGAATACTTCTTCTTGGGCGAGGATTAGATCCAATTCCTTTTCTAATTTAACCTGCAGCTTCAGCAAACCAGTGCATAAATGCTCCACGAAGCAATTTCTGGATTGGTGCATTATTACCGTAGTAAATTTTGGATACGCCAAACCGATTTCTTTTTGAGCTATGTTCACAACATTTGGGATGACATTGATGACAAACATTCAAGCATTTTCAAAAATATTACATATAGTGCAGAATATTATGATTTGATGAGAAAAATATTCATTTCATAGATCGAAATTGACCGACGAAATTGCTATCACACTTCGCTCACCACTTTGATAATGACTGATGTCCGTTCAAGTGCCTAGCATCATTGTGGTAATTTGCCTATTACAACCATGTTCAATCTTTCATCGATTGCCAATGGAATGAAGTCATCAAGTATATTCCGTTAACTTTGAAGTAAAATAGAACCGATTGTAGGGCAAAAAGGAAAATAAAAGGCAGATTTTTACATCACACAGCAATCCATATAAATCTTAAACCAATGCTAGGAAAATGAGTCATATTTCCATAAGAAAAACTTTGGTCCCCTAAGTTCTCCACAACTCACTAACAGAGATACAGACTATGTTCGTTAAGGTTCTACATGTCGGAGAAGAAGGCGGCACTTGTATTGCCACTGCTACTACCATTTTGCACATTTTTCCTCTTGGTCCCTGCAAAGTTCAGGAGCATCATCAACAACATTTTCTAACAGAAGGAATGCAGATACCACGCACGCAGTTCAAGTTTGTAAAGACCGTGCATACCTTTCTTGGACTTCGGAGGATTCATATCCACATCCATCCCCTCACCATCATCATCTTCGGACGCATCACATTGATCCTCTCGAGTATTATTAGCAGCGTCATCACTTTGCAATAACTCGTCCATATCCCAGAACTGAGATGAAAGCAAAAGAGAAAAAATGAATTGGAGGTCAGGACGCATAGATATGCAGATCAGCATGTTCGACTATCAGAATCACCAGTGGGGTAGGAAGAGAGAGAGAGAGAGAGAGAGAGAGAGAGAGAGAGAGAGATAGGACCTTCAGCATATGATCGTGCGAAATACTGCCAAGGAACTTTCTGTCGTGAGAAAACCCTGCACTCACCCACAAAACAATTTGAGCCTAGATGAGCATTGATTTTGCGCAACAGTATCTCTGTAGATAAAGTGTCGTGTAAAGAGATACTGCAAGGAGCTATTTGATTGTGAAAGAGAAAGAAAATGTACCAAGTCGCTCAATAGGGTACTCCGAGTGCTCAGCAAGTGGCTGGATGACTCTATTGGGCAATATACCAACCACACTGAAGAGGCATAATAGAACCGTAATCAAGTGAGCAAATGAGGATATTTATAATCAGAAAGCACAAATGTAGGGACATCGTGTATAACTTGCAGGAAGTCACCTGATAAGCCCATTCTCGCATCCAGCAATGACTCTATCTTCATCCAGCTAAAAAGAAGAAGAGTATCTCAGAACTTAAGCGCAATTGCCTTATGATGCAAGTAACGTATCAAAGATGTAAGCTCAGATATTCACCTTCAATAAACAATCAATGGAATTTGGAGCTAGACCAACAAAGCGATCACTGGAATTAAAACATTGGTCTCATTCAGTAATGAGTAAATTGCAGCCCCCAATAACACAAAAAAGACTAGCAGTAATTGACGTCCAAAAGCTTCTGATTTTAGTCCAGCCAAAACTACTTACCTGCAATCCTTGAAGAAACCCCATGAATATAATAATAGCGTCCCATCTTGTGAACCACAAATAACCTTCCGACCATTCTGCACACCAATTGTTCCAAGTTAGCACATACCAACTAATTCAAAGCTCAATACTCGTTACAGTTCTCCAACCAAGGGGATATTTTCCTATAACTCATGGGGCTCTTCAATTATTCAAATGGGGAAGGTAATCATGGAGAATGTAGTATGTGTTACGTCACATAGAAAGATATAACTCCTATAGGAAAAAATTCATTAGCATTGTGAGACATAATCTGTTATTGGATGTAGCAACATGTTCAAATGATAACAGACATCCGAGGTTAAAGGTACCTTCATGATAACCACAGATAACAGCTCTTCTTCTGAGAATTCAGAGCGGGTTTGGACCTAATGGAAACAACAACAAAAGGTAAAAGATAAGAGCTTCCAAGATTTTGGGACACCATATGCCATCAGATAGGAGAAATGCTTGCCTTGTTACTTCTAAGGTTGCAAACAGAAAGAGTCCCGTCTCCGCTACAAAAATGCAAGAAAAAAGTTAATCAGAATGAGAGGACATTACCACAGGGATGAAAAAAACCAATCCGAACCGAACTTAAGAAAGCAACTCTTGGCTATTGCAGAGAGTGCAGAACTATGGTTCTTCTCAAAAACCACTACAATATCAGAGTAAAAAATGAGCCACAATATTAAACAAATGAATAACATATTACAATACCTCATAGTAAGTAGTAACTATGAAAAGTTACAAGGAAACAATAATAGAAGACATGATCTAGCTTTCCAGTGAAACGGAACAGAAGAAATGAATAGAACCTTGTTCCCAGCAGTTTCCCTGAATCAGGTACATAAGTCATATCTGAAACATAGTCCTCGTGAGCAGTAAAAGAGTTGCAGCAAGTGCGTTGCCGAGTGTCCCATACCTAAAAATCAAGAACAAGGATGAAAGTCAAATCAAGGACCAGAATTTGAAAGAAAAAAAAAATCTACAACATTTTGAAAAAAAAAACTGAACCCCATAGCTTAGTCCTATACATCTCTACGGTCACTAAATCAGAGAAGTCGGTCTTGATCTAAAAAAGACAAACAAATGTGTGATCTAAGAGAGAGACACAAGATGCTAACCTTCATGCAGCCTTGGTCATCTCCAGTTGCAATAGTTGATTCTGTGACGTTGATCAAACTATAGATGGCATCCCTACACCAAGTAAACAAAATTAAGGAAATAAGAAAATGCAAATACGAACTCAGAATGGAATAAAATGAAAGTTTAGCTCTTTAGAAGATAAAATGAGCACACAAATATCCATTCCAGACATTCTGAAGAGCGTTCAAAAACAAAAAGAAGAATAGATAATCAGAGTAGTACTCATGAGCATCTTCTAGACGAGCAATTGCAGTTCCAGTTTCTATATCTGTCGCCAAGATAGATCGGTCCTTAGACCCAGTAATGATTGCTGAAATGACATAACAAGTTTCAATTCAGAGAACTAAAAGTACCAAGATTCACAAGTGAAGGCAGAAAAAACAAAGTAGGAGCGTGGTGGATAATGAAACATGCTTGATTACCCACCCTGTCCACCATTGATGAATCGAACAGCTCTACAAGATTCAGTGTGCGCCTTCACTTCAAGCAACTTCTGTGAAGTGGAGTCAGCACCATAACGATATCTGCATCAACCATGAAAAACACACATGACTAAAAGGTCACAATTTTAGAATTGCAAAGTCATAACCAGAGCAAACGAATAGAGGCCAAGAAAACTAACAGGTGAAGGTCTCCAGTGATTAGGGCAGCAGCGACCAAGTGATCGGAGGGATGGAAGGCCATATTAAACGGCATTTCTCCTAAATCGATTTCCATGTCGGACTCTGCAATGTGTTCCTTTCTCCAACTCCAACTGACAAGCCCGCTATTCAGTAGCCTTGGAAGACTGCACAGTGCTGAAGCAGATACGTTAAGAACAAGCTATCAGGACAGAAATACAGGTCAGTTCAGAAGGAAAGTAAGACATAGGTGGGCAATAACAATTAACAACAAGCAGGAAACTTTATTATTTCAAGCAACTTCAGTGTATCTCCACAGCGATTGGGTGTCTGTATACTACTAAAAGATGCTTTAGAATTTCCATGGGAATCCAATTATCCAGTCTCCATTTCACCCACTAGTTTTATGTCAAACTAACACTGTCGAATAGAATCAAGAAACGAGTCAAAAGACCGAGTCAAATACATTGCTACTAATTCAGCTCAGCTCTGAAGAAGATGCAGAATGACAAGTCACAAGTAAAACAAAACTCAAAGTAGCAACTGCTTCACTGTTAAATTCGCAGTAGCTTCATGTGCTTTGAGCTCTGATCGGAATTGACTGGATTGAGGATTATAAAATTCAGGATTCCAGAAACAAGGAAATAAGCTGTATTACCAGACACAACAAGATTTTCTTTTTTCTCAGAGAAAACAACAGACCAACGAAGAAATTATTACACAAGGGAAACAGAGGATATCATATTTATACAAAATGATTCTATCTTCATTCAACTCTCAGTGTCTCAAAATTTACTAACAGAATAACGTTGCTCGATCACTAACCTTACAAGCAGGCAAACTGAAGTTCATGCACCAAATCCACAGCTATGACAAGCAAATTGCGGACACAGTAATTACGGCCGCCGTTAATTCCCCTCCCTGCTGCTGCAACTGCAATAGCGAGTACTGGCGGCCGAGGACGAAATTCGACAGACAGAGAGAAAGGACGCGCTCTCTCTTGGAATTTTGCTTTCACGGTGCGGCGAGGGAAGATGGGGCGGGAGGAATCTGTGGAAAGGAATAGGGTTTATAAAATCTGAAATTAGGAGGAACAAGGGTTTAGAGAAAAGGGCAAAAGGCGTGTGGGAGAAAGAAAAATACTAACAATTCAAGCAGGGGTTAGACTTCGGATTCGAACTCACGAACTCACGACCTAACCTTGACTATTCTCATTTTTTTTAGGAAGTGTTTAGTAATTTGCTAAATTAATCTAGGGATCGTTTGGATTGGATGGATCTATGCAATGGATCAATTGAAAAGAATTGCCTCAAAATGAGACAATTGAAATAAATTGTCTCGTTTGGCAATAAAAAGCAGAATGGAGCAATTTGGGACAAGTCAATTGGAATTGATCCGTTAGGGGGTCAATCTCAAATACCTGGGTAGGGGGCAGGTAAAGAAATTAATTGATAAAGAATTTCTTAGAGCATAGTGACATATGAATAATTGATAAACTTCGACCAAAAAATGAAATTGATAAAACATTGATAGGCCATGTAAAAATTGCACTAAATAAATACAAACAGTTCGATACAAAAAAAAGAATACAAAAATTTTGCATGTCAAATCACAAAAAATAAAAAGAAGGGATATTTGTCGACAATAAATCGAACCAACGATAAAATGTCTTGTTTTACAATGATACGGATAACCCTTTATACCTACACGGAACATAATAAAATGATGCCGCGAACTACAAAGAAGCTAAACTTTCTCTCAATAGAGCACCACCTAAATGCATTCCAATGAATCCTTCAAGCTTACGAGCCACAACCAGTTGTTTATTTGGTAGCCACAATATGCATTTCTCGAATCCACTGAAAACATGGCCAACCCGATATAATCCAAACACACAGAGCAATCTAGGTTGCACAGACTGATTGAATATGAATATAAACTAGAGCACTAACTAAAAAACAAACCGGGATTAAGTTCAAATGTGGACAATAATGAGACCATAGAAATAATAATCAAATCGACCAAGCAATTAAAGACTGATCAAGCAACTGGTTATCATTCTAATGCCCCTGTTTTGTACAACAACCATGAGGTTCTGTTTCTAACTTCCCATTTCCAACCATGAAGACTACAGATATACCTATTACCTATATCGATGTCAGTCGTCACTACTTGAGCCGCCGCCTCTTGAAACTCCCAACACCCTTCTTCCCAGCTGGTTTCTTCATCTTCTTCCCTTTGATCAATTGAACCCGCCGCCTGGAACCCCTCAACCTTCTCCTCGACGACAATGATGCAGATGCAGCAGCAGATACATCCTTAGCAGCAGCACCAGTCCTCACTCCAATGCCACGACCATTCCTGTGAGACAAGCTCTTCCTCCTCCTGGAAGCAGCAACACCACTCCTCCTCCACTCATCTTCCCTCGTCCTTACCGACTTCCGCTTTCTACCACCGCCCAAATGGCCGCCACGGCCAGCAGAGCTTGACAATGACCACGACGAAGTCGTGGAGGTACTGTCAACATCATATCCACCACCACCACCACCACCTCTCTCAATGTCCTGAAACCGTCTCCTCATCTTCCTCCGCCTCCGGTTCGTGTGTCGGACGCGCATCAGCTTGTGCCATAGGCAGCAGGTGCAGTCGTGGAGGGCGTAGCAGTAAGTGGCGAACCCGGCCCAGCACATCTTGCAGAGGCTCTTGATCACGCACTGGCAGATTCCGATCTTGAACAGCAAGTAGAGGAACACCAGGACTGCAAGATTAACAACATTAAGAAAGAACGAACAACATATTATAGTAGTAGTAAAGCAAGAAGCTTCGATGATGGTGATGTTTGAGTTATACTTATGTAGCAGAGGGCTAAGATGAGCACGAATTTGAGCAAGTTGGAGATGCATAAGTGGTCGATGAAACATCCCACGTCCCACGGCCCTGCACAGATGTCACTGCAAATACAGTTACCAGTTCCCATCAATTGTTAGCACGGATTCTCTCGAATCAAAAGCACCGTTTAAATGAATAGATATGGAGAGGAAGGGAACTGTACTGAACTCGCAGGATCCACCAAAAAGAGATTTGAGAGGAGCTGTAACAAGATTGCCAAGAAAAGCTCCAACTCCGCTTGCTGCGTGACTCAAACCTGCTCCCATTTGCTATCCCAGCCAACCAACTTTTCTTGTCTCCCTAAACCACCATTTCCGAGTCCATCACTGATTCATTCATTCATTCATTCATTATGGTTCCATGCAAACCCGCTTTGATTTGATTTCTTCAAATACCCTAACTAGATCTAGAAGACGAAGCGGCGGTGCGACGGCCAATCTGGACTTCAGGGCTTCGTTGTTGGGGTCGAAGTCGAGCCTTTCTTGTACGCGACAATAACGTCTGGGTCAAGACGAGATGAGAGGTGCCGATCGGCTGGAGTGATTGAAGGGCGTGGTTGGTGGGAGTGAGGGCGATGGCGCGAAGAAGTGATTGATGGTGGTAGTGTAATCGCCGGCGGATAACGCCACTTTTCCCTTTGCTTTGGCTTTGTCTGTTATGGATTATGGAAAATTCATTGAAACGATTGGAGAAAGGATTTGCAGAATTGAAGTAGAATTTGGGGAAATGTTGAAGGAAGAAGGTAAGATCTCCTGCATTTTGCTTGATCGACGTCAGATTGTGGTGGTTATCTTTTTTTTTCTTAATGCACGGCGGGGGTTTTTTGTTTTTTGTTTTTTTGGGTTATGCACGGCGGTTATCTCTTTCGTTTACTTTGGAATATATTTACATTAAAAAATCTGCTCATTTTGGATGAATCCCCTAATTCTTCTTCTTTCGCCCCACGGTAGTTTTTTTCAAATGATCAGAAACAAATTAAAATTTCTGATTATTGTTTCTAAGAAGTGGTACTTCACTACTGTGTATGGGACCCCGGCTCTTATTCAGCGTCGGTCGCTATGGGCATCTCTCAAGGATATTGCGGAAGCCATGACGGAATCTTGGCTTGTAACTGGGGATTTTAACTCGATTCTTCATGCCACGGAGAAATCAGGTGGAGCTCCGTTTGACGGTGTTCGGTCGAAAGAACCGGGTTTCCGAAATAGCTACTTTTCCTTTCTGAATTCCAAACCGAAGAACATTTATTCGGTTTTGGTTCAATTTCGATTCGGTTCGACTCGATTCGGCTTGATTTTACCGAACCGGATACCCACTCCTAATGAAGAGAGTCTTTTAACAAAGTGAAGACAGAAAGAGAATATAAGCCCTTTTTTGGGCTGACGTGGATAGGCTAGATTTTGAGAAAGGCTTACGTGGACGGAGAGAGAAACAACTTTCGCTTTTATAGTGGCAAGCCAATTGAAAGGGAAGGGGACACCGGGAGAATGGACGGCAGGGATGGAGAGGGCAGAGGAAGAATGTAAAGGAAAAAGGAAGAAAAACTGAAGCCTATTGTCAAAGGAAAAAAAAAAAAAAAAAGGAAACTGAAGCCACTTCGAACTCAATACCAACTTTTTCTATGAAACGAACATCTTTGAAAGAATGCATGGCCGTGATGGTAGTAGACTAGTGAAGATGGCACTGATAAAAGTGTGTTCTCGAGTGATTACGACGTTGTAATTTTTTAAAATGTAAAGATTTATAAATCTGGATGGCATGATCTAGATGACATTCCACCCAAAACGAGAAATTAAAGCAGTGAAGCAATAATGTTGACATCTAGTAACCAGTCCACAAGTAATGAATTCATCCGAGCCTGACGAGTGAGTTTAGTGGTCGAACTCGAGGCACAAACTCGACCCTAATCCATGGTGCTGAATTAGAGGTACTTTCGTGACAGAAGCAGAAGCCTATTAGCCATTTTGTTTCTTCTGACGAAGTGAAAGCTATTTCCATATGTCCAAACCAACCAGGAGTGGAACTCGGGAAAATGGAGTTGTTGCCACAGTAGAGAATGTAATCAGTTACGAAGCAATGAACTGAAGATCTCAGCTAACCCCGATCAGCATTGAAATGACCAGAGAGACTAAGAAGGCTAGCCATTCTTCTAGATCAAAATTTGTCCGTATGTACATATTCCCTAATCTGCACTCGGAGAATCCTTAACAGGCATCCTTTCTACAGAATGGACGAACACCGAGTTGAATTCCTCGTCATTTTTAGCAAGCATGTCTTTCAAGCTACATTCTATGTTCCTTCGTTTCAGCACCAAGAACCTGGGTTTTATTTTCTTCTCCAATGAATGGCTGAAGTACCGCGGGTATTCAACCACGTCTCTCACTGGTTTCTCCATGGTCTGAACTAGGAACTCGTATTTGGGTCTCAGAACCTTATCAATGCTGTATCCCAGAAGCGGAGAGAACCTTCGGACCATGAACGCCACGTCTCTCTTAGATATTCCAATCTCCATCAAGTACTTCATCCTGCCACCACAGTCCCAAAGTTTTCATTACAACATTCCACAAGGGCAACCCAAAAAAAAAAAAAGAACTGTCAGATGCAATCTTGGATATATCAGTGCAGAAGAGAGTATGATGGATTACCGAGGGAGTAAAGTTGAGTTGAAATCAGATACAAGGACCTCCGGGTACTTTTTTATGACTCGAGGAAGATGCTCTTCGTGAATGCCAATAGAAGCCAGAGATTTGATTTTTTTCCTCAGAGTGTTGTCAATGCTTGCAGCAAAAATCTCTGGACACCGACTGAGAAGCATTCCGACATCATCCTGGGTGAATCCAAGGTCCTTCAAAAATGTAACTACCTACAAGTTGAAGCAAATTAACTAAGTGACATAAACCGTGAATCAAGTGGTTGATCTGTGATGCCAATGAAGATGAATCAAATTCAACCAGCAAAGAGTAATCATCAATTTGATAAGCTTAAATAGCTTAATCATAATTCCAAGGTCCATAAAAAATGATATTACCTACAAGCTTAATCAACTCATACACACTTTGATGTTCATAATGATGAAGCAAAATATATCAGAGAACAGTAATACCAAATTTGAGTAGCTTTTTTCTTCTTCTATTTTTTATTTTTACCATAGAAGTTTGAGATGCTTTAATACATCACAAGTTTGAAGAAGGAAATTTGGACTGGACTCTGTAAAACAAGCACATAATGCAGCAGAGTGCTTGCATCTATGGGAAAAGAGGCATGCATATTGATAGAGTATATAAAGTTTAAAAAAGGGCAATGGAAACGTTTAAGTCATCCACCAAAAGAAGAAATTTGTCCCATAAAGAGCAATGCTTTAAGGGCATATTGTTTCCAAGACCACCAAGGTTTGATATACGCATGTAGTATTTTTACTTTAAAAAAGCAGCCTGGAAAAGGGATGCAGAGCTTTTGAAAGTGAAAAAACAACAGAAGCATAAAACATAATAGTTGACACAAAGTATAAGGCTTCATAAGTAGCAATCTAACTTACTTGGACAAACTCACTAGGTTTCCTTAGTAGTAGTTGAGGACTGGTTGCGATAACTTGACCCAACTTCTTGTCTCTAACACCCAAATCACCAAACTGTTCCACCATGACCTTCAGCTTTCCAGGTGAACATCCCAAGATGTGAGGCCAGCTTTGAATTGCTCTCTCCACACTCCCTCGCGGAACCTAACGATACATAACATCTGCTTAGGTGTCAGACTGTCTATAACAGCTTTAGCAATGGGAAGGGTTCGCACTATAGGGATTGACTAAATTCAGTGCACATATAATAAATCAAGTTAAGATATAGGAACAAAGAACAGAACGAACAACTCAGTAAGGAACTCAGAAAATAAAGCTGGTAAGTGATGATACTACTTATATTAGTATTATGGGCAACATAAAAAGCACATGACTCTTGTCTGACAACATACCTTCTCCAAATCAAAGAAGGAAAGGATCTCCCGGTAATTTTCTATCATGCCTGAAGAAAGAACCCATGGACATTTTACCAGTACTTTACCAATGCTCTTATCGACAGTTTCCACCTGAGAAGCAGAAAATGAATGAAACTCAAATTGCAGTGCAAGATGAAAGGCCACTAATATTCACGTGGAGACAAAATTAACAAACACACAAATATCCTTGATCAATTTGTGTTTGCTTTTCTAAGGAAACAAACATAAACCATAGCCTTTTCAATGAAACAGACAATATGATGCCCTTCTCCTTGAAACAAACATCTGGAAATGAAATCGATTTTATGGTACAGAATACTTACATTTCTAAAAGCTTTAACTCTGCTTCTAATGCCCTTGGCACCCCAAAGGATAGTTGGTGGGAACAGTAAGAATATGTTTCCCATACGGTTCGAGGAAATTCCAATACTTTCTAGAAATTGCACCATAGGCTTTAGGTGTGAATCTATTGGCAATGAGAGAATGCGAGGAAATGATTCAACCAAATACCGGAAAGAGGCATCTGAGAAACCCAACATATCCAGACCTCCACGCCTTGCTTCAATCTACTGCCACCAAAAAATTAGAAGATTTCAATGGAGAGATTCATGATTATGATGCATCGTGAAATAAGAACTAAGGAGAAGATGCCTTCAGCTTGAACTAAAGCAATTGCTATTGTCATTTCAGTAACAGTGTCAGACCTCACAGGCAGACATATACAAAGGCACAAACAAGAACAGCAGGAATGTACCTTTTCAAAGAAGGACAAAGTTTGCTGCAAATCTTCATCGATGGGAATTGATAAGTGCATCATCATTCGTCGAGCTTTCTTCCCGAAAAGTATCCTATCATCACCATTAGTAAAGAAAATATCCTTCATATACTTAACCTGAAAGCCAAATGCCAAAAGTCAACACAGGCCGTGAATTTCTAAATTGATAGAGAGACAGAGAGAAAAGAATAACATGAGCTAAAGAAAAGTACATAGTTTCGACCGACATTAAATCAAACCTTATCAATTAACCCAGGAAGTGATTCTTTCGATAGGTACCGAGCAACATTCATTGCAGAGGACAAATTCAAGCCAATACTCTCCAAGAAGGCAACCTTCCCATTATCACCTTTCACCTTGGCCATATGAACGACCTTCTCCCTGAAACCTTTCAACTCCCCAAACTCCTCTCCCCCAGCATCACCACTCTTCCACGCACTCCATTCCTCCAAATCCCTCACACTATCCACCAACATATTAGCATACTTGGGGGCGTTGGAAGCAATGAACACAGAATCCTCAGGGGAAACACCAAACTCTTGTAGAAACAAAGAAAGTGCTTCCCGGGTTTCTTTAAGTTGCTCCAAATGTTGTTCTTCTTCTTCCTGGTGGGCAGGCGTGGATGACGGTGAAGATGGGTTGCTAGGGTTTTGACATTGGGGCGGGAAATGGTTCCTCAGGATTAAACGTGAACGATGAAGATGGGACGGAGGGTATTTGTAGGGATAAAGGAGTTGACGTTGCAGGAGAGGCCAGTATCGAGGGTTAATTAGAGGTTGGAATTGGTAAGCTGGGAAGGAGAGGGATTTGGCCATTATATTCATATAAAAACAGTGTCAAGAGCGAGCCCCAATCATCTCAGAGACGACCTCCAACTCATGACTCTAAAAGGCCATAACATCCTTCAGAACCAACTCCATGAACTAGCCTCGTTGAATTTACAGAAAACTCACAAAACTCAACCCGCCGCTGTCAGTAATGAAAAACAGAAAACTGTTGAAGTTAGAGACAAAGACGAAGCTAACCAGCGAGCGAGCGCACTAAAATGGAAATGGAACTATGAAGGCCACTCGCGTCCAGTGTCTGAACTTATTCGAAGAAATGAATACAGTCTACTGAGAGATACCTGGAGTGAGTAAGTTGCAGAAAATCAAGAAGCAGAGGATGATGATAAAAGGCCGGAAGTACCTGTTATGCGCACGGCTGGCGTCTGAAACTGAGAGCCGGAGCTTCCGGAGAGCAAGAAACGGGCCACTTAGACAAGGAGGAAAAGAGAGAAGAGGAGAGTGTGGAGATGGAGCTCAACCAGGAATTAGGGGTTTAAAGACAAGTTGCAGAGGGGGAGAACGAAGAAAAGAATTCGGAGGAGTGAAGTGGCTCCTTCCCTCTCAGTTCACTTCGTCCACTTTACCTTGTTTCGGGCCGGGCCTGAAAATTTCATATTGTTAGAAAGAAAAATGCAAGGGAAATTGGGCTGAAGCCCGCTCGGTATAAACAACAATTAAACAAAAATAATAAAAATAGAGACATACGCCGTCTGTGGGAATCGAACCCACGACCACGTGGTTAAAAGCCACGCGCTCTACCGGCTGAGCTAAGACGGCTAGTTGATAATTTTCACATCCGGTTCTACTAATTAAAATAAGGTGCATTGGAATTTACTGTAGCAGTCTATCCTGGTAACGGTTTAACGGGTGGGTCAGTCGATAGGTCGCCACACTGGTATGGCATTGTACCAAAACTCTGGTGTGCATCTGACATGGTTGTTACACTGGTAGAATGCAAGCTAACTGAATCTTATATATTGAATCTGATGTAACCAATCTCGGTCATGAAATCTGTCGAAACGTCGTACTTATGACAGTCATGTCCAATTTTCGACCTCTAAAAACAAGAAAGTAGTTATCATATGGTTATATTGTTGGAGGGTTTGCAATGATGCACCCCCTAGATGAGAGAAAACACAAGGTGCAACGCACGAATTTTCAAATCGTTCTAATTTAACAGGATTCCAATGTATGAATGTCTTTCTGCAACCAACAAACAGAGGTCTAAACATGATTCTACACACGTGCATTTTCATCCGTCCAATCAAAACGCATTCAGATGTGACATTATCAACTCTCTCAACACCAGGAAATCTCTTTCGTTCAGAAAAGTTGGGGGAAAAACTCAAAAACAACCTAGGGCTCTCTCCTCATTATCAAACATCCAACCTTCCTACCATCACCACCCCATCACAAGGGTTCACTGTCCCATTCATCCATCATAGTCACCTTCATGGAACCTGTTTTCTGCATAAAAGATGGCCACCACTTGATTCCCACCAAATTTCCTGCCGTTCATACCAGCTCGAGCTTTCGTTGCACCATCAATGTCTGCATACTCCAGGAAGACCTGCAAAATCGCAGAAAATTGTAAATCCAGCTTTAGGAGGGACACATCTTCCAGAGAACTTCTCAAAGAGGAATAAGGGACGCCCACACTTACCTTGCCAACTCCAGGCGAAGGAGCACCATCAGGACTTGGCCTGGGGATGACTACATTCAGCAAATTACCTGTGTATTATTTTGTCAACACACATATAGCCGGTCGTCAGTTTTCAGGAAAAAGAAACAAAAGGAATAAAACAAATCTCAAGTGAATAATAATTTGGAGGTATTATCAAGTCTTCAGTCTGTATGTTAAGGCCTGATTCTTTATAGCAGAATGTGGGACTACAAATGGCTGTAAAAAAACAGACATACAAAACAAAGAGAGCAACCAAATTAAGTACACTGAGCTCCAGCTTTCGGAGGAAAACAAAAGCTAGTTGAAGAAATTTACCAAATTTCCCGCCTTCTATTCTCATGTCCTCCAAGATGTCTTCATACTCTTGATCATCTTTCAGCTCATCCTCCGTGACAACTTGTGTTAAGCAGACAACTTTAGTAGGTGCCGGCTGCAGCATGAGTCTCTGCAAGATGGAAGGTTCCAATAAGCAACCCTTCCAAACACAGCAAACTGTAACATACATCTTAAGAGAGCAAAATAAAGCTTAAGAAAAGAAACAAAGTAAGAGAAAACAATGTCTGAAGTTTTAAATATTAACCTGCAAAGCAATCTGCTGTTTGGCGTGCATTAGTATACTCTCTTGCTCAGGTTTAGGCTGATTCGCACCCTGGTTGGCGCGCCTAACAGTTAGTGTTTTATCGCCCATCTTAATTCCATTCAGAGCAGCACATGCAATGTCTGTCACTGAAACATCTTGATACACACAAAATGCATAACCCTTTGAGTTTCCAGTTTCTCTATCTTTTACCAAATCAAATCCCCGGAGCGACCCAAAAGACTCCAACAACTCCCTAACTTGGGCCTCCGTGAAGTAATAGGGAAGTCCTCCCACAAATATGCGGTCTGGACCCTCAAGTCCACCAGCAGAACCTGGGGTTAGACCCACTGCACCCAAGTTCAGGTTGGCATTTGGTTGACTAGGGCCAAGCGTTGCTGCTAGAGATGGATTGTAATCAGTTGGCCTCCTCACCTTCACAGGAGCTCCCTAAAAGGAAATACACAAAAAAAACTTTCAAAATACACTACATACGAATAGTTACTACCCCAACTGAAAGCAATTAAGACATGAACAACTCACCTCAAACATAATACCATCCAGAGCCATTGCATTACTGGCCTCTTCAACAGATCTCATCTCCACAAAGGCAAACTTCTTGTCGTGGTTTATATACACGTTTACAACAGCATCACCTAAAACGGAAAAAGTAAAACAACTAAGACCAGGAAGTTAATCAATAGAGCACATCTAACTGCACCATTATAAAGAGTTCTGCCATACCTGGGCCAGCTGTGTTTCCTCCAATGGCTGCCATGACTTGATTAAAATATGTAGCAACAGACTGCAGTAAAACACAGTATGTCATTCACAAATTATATGCAACAACCAGAAGGAAAGCAGACAAAAGTGTTCATACCTGCTCATTAGCTGAAGGAGGAAGCCCTCCAACGTATACACGCCGTGCATGCCTGGTAGCCTGATACCAAGTAGCACGTTAAGATTAACAATGCAAACGATGGGGATTAAGTAATTATTTGGACAAATGGGGCCCCACAAACCTGCTGTGTCATTGCCTGAACTGGCATTACAGGAAGTGTTCCAAATGTCTGCACGTGAACACGTCAGGAAAGTAATGCACCTTGAGAGTAAAAAAAAGAGCAATGTCACAGAGTATCATAAGCAGCATACCTGACCCGCTGTAAGCGGAAACATGTTGGGAAACATTCCAGCAAGGGCAGGATTGGCCCCTGGAATCTGGCCTGTATAAGAATAAGAAATTGAATAAAATGAGAAAACTTGGATGACAATGGCTACCATACATTGTGTTTGAGATCCTGCAAATGACTAAGGCTACAAAATACTCTAGTATAACCAGTAAGTCATAAATGCATCGTTTATTCAAGTTCTGGAGGATATATACGCAAGCTACCAAAACACGCATTAGTCGCCAGTTGAAGACGAACAAGAACCATCAAACTGGTGCAGTGGTTCCTCCTTCAACATAAAAGCTACAGTAGTCGGCTCACACCCATTGTCAACACAGTGGGACAAGTAGCCCAACACTGCCTTCGTACAACAAGAGACAAGACACAAGAAAAAAACAAACAAACACCAAACACAAGAAAAAAACCAAAAAAATCTCAGTTCCAGAATTATTACACCAAGTAAGCATTAGTAATAATAGAGCCCATTTAAAACCACAGGTTTAAAGAGCTACACGTACAAATAGGGGGAATCTTACCAAGTGAGAGCAAGAAATTGCATACGCACTTTCCACACTATATCAAACCAAAACAGAAGTAGCAGTTAAGAAACCATGACAATTTTCAGTTCGCCCAAAGGTAATATACCTGCAGCAGTAGGGATAGGCAGCATTGCAGGCGCTGCAGGAGCCATATCAAAACCACTACGTCTTTTGCTGCAATAAGGAACAGTTAGTACAGATCAACAGCTAAAAACTGTAATAGGTCACCACTTTTCATATCCAAAAATCTTTTGATCTTTATTTTATTGGACGTTTTCTCATACCTCTTAGAACGTGATCGAGAGCGTGACCTTGACCGGTGTTCGGATCTACCCTTTGAAGGAGATCGACCCCTGGAATGAGAACGCGAGCTGCGTATGCGTCTCTCTTCTCTGTCCCTATCATGATCTCTATGCCTGTAGTAGGCATAAACAATTTATTATACGAATTAACAGTATAATAATAAAAACTAACATTTGGAACAGAAACCACGACTATCTTTCTTATACCTATCATAATCCCGGCTTCGAGGGCGGTCATCATCGCCATCTCTATCTCTACCTCGCTCCCTTCGTTCACTGCGATCCCTGTGTCGATCTCTGTCTCTATCTCTATCACGGTGATGACGGTCATGATCCCTATCTCGGTCCTTCTCCCTATCTCTGTCTCTGCTTTTCTCTCTATCCCTGTCCCTTTCACGGTCTCGGTCCCTCTCTTTGCCGCGCCTTCTTTCTCTTTCCTTTTCCCTACTCTTTGATGATTCTCTTTCGACATCTCGAGATTCATGCTGCGGCCCATAAACACAATGCATAAGCATAAGATTGCAGAAAGAAACTTTGAGAGATAAAGCAACCACTGGTCAAAATTTACTGCAAACAGAACAGTAGTCTAGTTGGCATCCAAATTAACATTATTATATGATCAATAATACTCACCTTTATCTGTGGGGAATTTAATAATTTGTGATAGTTTAGCGACTTAGAGACAAGGATACCTGAACTACACCAAACAAACAGTAGTTGCAATGCGAACCAAGTTTAACCATCAACCCAGTTCAAGAATTCATTCACTGGAATATCTTCTAACCCTAAACTTCCCCCTACCAATGTCCCTGAAGGTCTTCAAAGAAAGCAAGAGAGGATATTACAATTTCGGTTTTGAAGAATCAATCTCTTATCTCTTAATTAAAGAACACAGTTAAAAATCCAATATAAACTTTAGCCAAATCGAGATAGAAAATAGCCATGAAATTGAACAGAAAGATTCTCGAATCAACACAGAGAATATAGACATGATCATGAAGAACCAAAACCCACTTCCATTAAAACAAATTATTCTCAACCTGTTGGAACAATAATTTACGGTATAGATTCGCAAAAAATCATTACTAACGACCCACCGAAACCTAGTTTCCCATTCCACCATAAAGAAAACCCTAATTTAGTCGCTACGCGCTGCGGACATGATCAACAGCGGTCTTCAATCGAACAAACAACATCCACCCAAACCTCTCACGGAAAGCCCTAATCTCAAATCACCTAGACGTATGGCAGCAAAAGAGTGCGAGTACCTGAGATCTGGAATCGCCGCAGTCATCCGCGGCGTCGTGGCCACTGCCTCGCGCCTGAGGGGAAGTGACTCCAGCTGCGGCGTCATCAGCTGCCGCGTAGTGGCCGTCGCCGCCGTTGCTGTTGATATTGTTGTTAAAATCGTCGGCTTCGTACCTGGCTCCTTCGTAGTCCGTCATGATTTTGAAGATGAGAAATCTATGGCAGCCTGATCACTAAATGCTACAATCTCTGGCTCCTGCACTTCGTCGCCGCCTCCGCGTACCGGCGATGGCCTTGAGGGAAAGACGATCGCGCTTCTAAGTTGAGAAGAGTTATTGTGGTGGTGCCGCAGCCGCTCCTCCGTCCAAACTCCAATCCTTTCTGTTATACGGCAGCGTGAGGAAATGAGATTAGACTATATGAGATGGTCAATTACTCGCGTGACCTAGGGGCTAGGGTCTTCGACACCCGACCCGTCTCTTAGCCCGAATTTCCGGAGCTCCACCCTCCAAGAGATGTAAAACTGTAAAAGTAAGTGTAATTAGCATGAATTTTTTTTTTTTACAAAGGGATCTTTATTCCCCTTTGAATAATTGGTTACAGAGAGAAAATAAAAACTTCACTTCAAAACAAGATCAAGGAAACAATGGAATCCAGGATGATACCAAACCATGCAAAGAAAATACAACCAGTGAAATAAAGATTGTAATAGTAATTAGCATGAATGGTCACAAACTTTTGTATACACATTAGTAATAAATCTTTAATTTGTAACAATATAATAATAAAAGATTGTAATAGGAATAAAATAGTTACAAATTAAATAATGTGATTATTTCATACAAGTTCAAATTTTTCTTATCATGTCTTTACAAATTAAACTTTTGGTGATTGTTCTGTACGACTTTCAAATACTTGAACGATCAATCACAATTTGCTTCAGTCGAGTTATGATGATTTTGTTAATTTATGTGAATGATATGATCGCAACAAAGGATGTAAGTGAGGGGAATTCAATGTCTCACAAATGAGTTACAGGCTGTTTTTAGTTGAGAAAACTCGACCTACTTTTTTATTTTTATTGAAATTGAAAGGTAAAAAATGGGCATTCTTATTCGGCAAAACAAGTATATCGATGAACACATGACCTGACATCTCATATGTTGTTCAAGTGGTTAGTGTCATATACTTGACGAACACACGATGCGACCTCAAAATGGTCACAAACTTTTAATCTGTAACGACTCGATAGCGAACCTTTGCATTTCATACAAAGCAGTCACAAATTAAACAAAAGTGACCATTTTATACAATTTCAAACTTTTGTTACCGTATCGTCACAAATTAAAGGGTTGTAACCGTTTTGTACTAAGTACAAAGTTTTCTGACCGTCTATGTTAATTACCCGTAAAAGCAAAACACTAATTGTGCTAAAGAAATAAGATAATATCACTTGATACTAATGTAAGTTAATAATATTAAGAATTACGAAAAAGTGTGCTAGTTTATAGGTAATACCAGAGAATATTTGTGTTGCATCTATTCTTAATTAGAGGCAGATTGTCGAGATTGCAACAACCCATGGTATAAGAAAACGAGTTTCACAAATCAGGTGATCTCATATTTGGTATTGGAGTGAGATTGTTGAGCAGTTGAGTATTGACAATAATGTTGTTGTGGAGAAACTGAGCCCTTTCATTTTTCCCCACATTCCATGCGTACCAATAAAAAAGTTATATTCCATATAGCTCGATGACATTAGAGCTAGCAATGTGGGAGGCCTGGAAAATTTTGCAAAACCTTGTAGTTTTCATTGAAATTCTTCATTTTACATAACGAATGCGAGACATTACATGTAAATAAAGCGAAAAAAGCTATCCATCTAGAGAGTTGAACTTTAGTCAATAGATCTTCTTTTCACAAGGACTTTCTTCAATATTGTACAAACCCCACATTTTTATGTACATGAAGAGGCAAACCCCGTGTGTCAAGATAGCTAGTCAGACTAAATGAAATTATGTACGCAACATATGGTTTGATCACTTGCTTCATGCATCTTCAACGGTGATCCTTTCCTCCCATTTCATGGATCATCTTCTCTTGCATAGAAAGAAAAAAATAAGAGTACCAAACGGATTGAGGAAAAAAAGGTGGCTAATTAATAAACTAAAAAGAAACATGGTTTCATTACTTCATTTTATGATGATACCTGCGTCTTCTTCTGCTTCGACTTGATCAGACGATGCAGCCGATGGGTTCTTTGACGAGAACCCAGAACTCAAGACTTGAGGATCACTCATCACATCCTGCAGTGTTACGCGATCACAAAGCAAGCACCAAGTTGCAATTTACCAATATAAGAAGACTACGCCAAATCAAATCTATTGCATCTAATTTACACTAGACTTAATTAAATTTACCTGTGCTGAGGCTATTGAAGCCATGTTATAATTAGGTGGAGAAGGGTAATTAGCGCCACTCATGAAAAACATGTAACCCATCTTTTCCTCGGCAAACTCCCTCAGGTTATTGAGCACGGGCAACACAACCTTGCCCAGATCGGGCCGATCCTTCCGCCTCAGCTCCGCACACTGAAGCGCGTACTTAGCGAACATCAAAGTCTCCTCCATCGGCCAGTCCTTCACCTCCTTGTCCAGAACCGAGCCCAGCGCGTCGTTCTCGAGCGCCGTCTCGACCAGATGGGACAGCCCCATGGGAGGTCGAGCGGTTATGAGCTGGAGCAGAATTATCCCCAACGAGTACACGTCGGACTTCACCCCTAGCATCCCGGTCTGCTGGTACTCCGGGTCGATGTAGCAGAACGTCCCCGCGGCCGAAGTCATGTGGTACTGCGTCACGTTCTCGACCATCGCCGGGACGAGCCTGGCCAGGCCCACGTCACTGATCTTGCTGACGTAGTTGATGTCCAGTAAGATATTGTCCGGTTTGAGGTCGCGGTGAACCAGCGGCTCGGGTTTCGTCTGGTGGAGGAAGAGCAGCCCCGTGGCGATCTCGGCCGCGATTTTGAACCTCAGCTGCCAGGAGAGCGGCGGGGTGTTGTTCCTTTTTCGGAACAGGCAGTCGTCCAAGCTACCTCTAGCCATGTGCTCGTAGACCAGGATCCCGTACTCGGGACATGCGCCGAGAAGAAGCACCATGTTTGGATGTCGGATCATGCTCAAGACCTCGACCTCTCTCTGGAACTGCGATCTGCCTTGGACGGCGTCGGGGCGGAGGACTTTGACGGCGACCGGGGTGTGGTCGAGGTAGCACTTGAAAACTGGGCCGTAACCGCCTTCGCCGATCTTTTTGGACTCGTGGAAGTTGTCGGTGGCCCTTTCGATGTCTTCGATCGAGTATCGTCGGTATCGGATGTCGGATTTGGCTAGGGAGGTCATTGCTTTCTTCAGCTCGTCTGCTTCTTTGAGGGTTCGCAGTTCTACGGACATTCTCTTGTGGGCTTCCATTTCCGCTACTTTCTGAGCTGCCTCAGCCGACTCCATTGCTGCTTTGCACCGGGCTCTCTCTTGCTCTACGGTTGTTAGGGCTGCTTCTTCGGAGGTTTTTGCTTCTTCCAATTTTTGTTCTTCTTCGTTTCTCCATCGTTGCATCTCCACGGCCTATATGCATGTAGACGAGGGGGAAAACGATAGAATAAATATACATATGATGGGGAAAGCCAAGGTTGTCGACCCGCGGGTCGACCCGCGAGTTGACCAACTTTGACCGTGATCTAGTGAGAAAAACGGGTCGCACGCACCCGCAAAATCGATCGCTACAAGGTACTGGGATGGAGGTCAAATTGTGTCATTTCGCGAAATGTGCATATTTACCGATTTTTCTTTTCGCCTAACTCAATCTTTGGAATCGTTAGTTGAACATTTGAATATTGATGTTATATAAGTGTGTGTGAATTTTCACTATATCTTGGATCTAAATACGACATGTTAATTTGGTGTAATGTTATATGGTATTACTCATATGTTAGATGAGATTTGATATAATTTATCAGGATAAGTACAATATAATGACTCTTTCTATATTTCCGGGCTAAGACGGGCTAAAACGGGTGACCCGTTAATCCTTAACCCACTAACTCGGCCGGGTCCGGATAAACCCACGGGTTGACAACATTGGGTAAAACTATGAAATGAAAAAAAAAACAATTTGGTGTTTTACCCTTTGTTTAGCTGCAACAGCTTCTTTGCAGGCTGTATTGTAAAGTTCCATGGTTTGCTTCAACTCCAACCTTAGTCTCTTCATCTCAGCTTCCATTTCATCTTGCTGTATCAGTAAAAAAAGACAGGTTGTTGGCATGATGTTACGAAACACACACTTTTATTTCACACACATGCATGCATGTCTGAAAACGAAATTGGTTAATTACCACGATTTGAGATGATGAAACCGAGGATGTTCGAGCACTGTCTTGGGAAACAAAGGAGAACTCTTGCATGGAAGTCAAGTCAACAAACTTGTTTGTAGAAAGAATGGAGCCGAAGGTGCTGCTGTTGTCTGAGCTAGTAGAGATTCTAGGGTTGGAGAAGGATGAAGATTCAAAGGGATCTAAAGCAACTGAAGAAGCTCTGTCGGTGCTTGGTCTCCCAGAGGAGCAAATAAACGACATGTCGGGAGTACTACTTTCTGTTTCCAACATTTCTGCAAATGATCTTGCATTCATTGCTCGTCCTCCTCTCGTTAATGGCGACCTTTGTACGTAACGTATATTCATATATATGTTAATTAGTCATAAGAAAAATAATAATTAAAGGATATAAATTATCTTTTGATCTAAAATCAATCTTCACCTGAAAGATTCATCGACAGAGATTCGAGGTTTTACTTGTGTCCGTTCTGGAGATAGGCAAATCAATGTTAAGCCATCGAGTTAGAATTTTTTTTTTTTTTTTGTTTCTTATGAATTGTTGATCACAATCACGAAACGTTTGTACCTCGTAGACTTGTGCTTCTGGAGGATGATATTTCAGATGCATGATCGTCATCATGAGCATAAGTGTTATTATTGTTTTGTTGTTGTATTTCATCTAGTAAAGGAGATACATATGGTGCTGGACGAGACGCATGGGATATTGTAGATGTCTTGCTCGTTTTTGAAATCACATAAACTGTGCAAAAGTCTGGAGCTCCTTTCACTACAACACTGGGTACATCTGGCTTGAATTTCCTGTATGTTCATACAACCCGGTATGGTTTAGAAGAATAAAAATTAAATAATACCTCTTACTTGACAATCATTTAATATTTATTTTTTTCATGTGTCTATTGCTTGGAAGCTATTCATGCATGCTAACCTCAGTATTCCATGGCGAGTCGGGGCACCTAAAACCAATCTCTCTATCGCAGCATAGGAAACATATTCTGTCAACGCTTTCACGATATCATTGTCTTCAAGTATAACATCGTAACATTGTACCTGAGCAATATTTATCGTAACGATTTTTGTATGATCATAAATATATATTATCATGAAATCTCAAATAACAAAAAAAAAATGACGATGATACATACGTCTTTACGTGTACAATAACAATGAAATGTAAGGAAGAGGTCCTTGGTCAATCTCTCGAGATGTGACCTTCCTGTTGCCAATGGCTCCGAATGCAATCCTTGACCTGCATTCAAAAAAAACATACAAACAACATTACACATTGATCATAATGCATAATGTATGATTTTCATTAAATTCGAGTTTCTCTATTGAGAGGGGGAAGAAGAAAAAAAGAAGGATTACGAACTTGCACTAATGGAGGAGGCTCTTTGAAAAACATGGATGAGAATGAGGGGTTGGCCTTTGTTGTGAAGCTTCTCAATTGCCCATTTCAAAGCAATTTGACTTGTTTTATCATTGTCAATGGCGACGGCTACCAATCCATTTCCTCCTCCATTTCCCCCTCTCTTCGTGGAATTTCCTTTCCCAAGCCACATTTCTTTTTCTCTCTTCTTTTTACCACCCTCTCTTTGAAAAGTGAATAAAAAAAATATTAAGGGTTAGAGAAAAAGAAGAGTGAAAACACAAAAAGGCCTCTCTTCCTTTGACGATCACCTAGAAGAAGACAATGATGGTTTGTTTTGTCCCTTTGATTCCCTAAGGAGAAAATATGGAAAGGGGAAAAAAAAAAGAATTAAAGCCTTAGCTCTATCTCTATATTTAGGCCTTCAAACGTACTTGATGGAAACCTCAAACCTAGCTACTTTTTTTAAATCACTCATTTTTTGCACAACAAAACATCACCATCCAAACTACTTGCACGCCCACAGATTAATAATATATATTAGGTTTAATAACATTTTGTGCTCTTATATTATGTGAAAGTTAACAAAACGTATCTCCATATTAATTCATAAAAATATTTTATGACATGCTATGAAAAATTATCTAACATACATTTATTTGTAGCATATTTTTACTAACAATGGAGTTGTTGTACCCAAGGCGTGCATGTCACAAGTTCATCGTCCATTCCTCCATGGAGTTTAACTGTTAAACTCAATGGAGTGCAATCTGACAGTTTCTTTATTAACAAACAAAGACTATAAATACATATGACTTGCTTCGGCCAGTTGCTTCAGCAACTTCTCACACACCATGATCTCTACATCCCTACAAACCAGCTATCACTACTCGTGCAGCCAACTGACCAAACTCAACCTAGACTTAACATGACTCTAGACAGAATATAGGGACTAAAACTAAAAAGATCAACACACCACAGTACGACACAGTTTTCACAGCTGAACATTCAGCCACTTCACAATACGACACAGTTTCACACTCAGACATTCAAACATACTTCAGCTTCGCGCCAAGACTTCTTCTTCAGCTTTAACATCCTCCCCTTGAACTGAAACATCTCGGATGATTCAGTTCAACTCTAACTCAGCACCATCATAGACTCCAAGCCGATTTCGCAGAAGCACAAAAGCATCCAACTTGAGTGGCTTGGTCATAATGTCCGCAACCTGATCATTTGTTCCACAATGTTGCAGTTCAACTACCCCTTCCTTTGCAAGTTCTCTCAGAAAATGAAATCTAACATCAATGTGTTTACTTCGGCCATGTAACACTGGATTCTTCGAGAGTTTGATTGCAGAGCTGTTGTCACACATGATTCTTGTTGCTCCTCTTACACAGCTCTTCCAATTCATTTGTTCCAACACTCTTCGAAGCCAAACACACTGAGAAGCATAGTAGGAAGCAGCTACAAACTCAGCTTCTGTAGTTGAAAGGGTGACAACTGGCTGTTTCTTTGAAGACCATGAAATGGCACCACCTGCAAGGAAAAATACATAACCAGAAGTACTTTCCTGTCATCTAGGTCCCCTGCATAGTCACTATCTGTGTAACCCAACAATTGATCTTCCTCTTCAAATCTTTTGTACCAAATTCCATACCCTGTTGTCCCTTTCAAGTACCTTAAAATCCTCTTAACTGCCAGAAGATGCTGCCTTGTAGGAGACTCCATAAACCTGCTCAGTAAGCACACTGAGTACATGATGTCAGGTCGAGTTGCAGTCACATAGAGCAGACTCCCTATCAGCTGCTTATATTCTGTAGCATTCACAGGAAAACCATCTCCAGCTTTGGTGAACTTTGATCCAGCAGTCATAGGATTATGAACATGATTGCATTCTGCCAATTTGAACTTTTCAAGCACATCATTCACATACTTCTGCTGAGAAATAAAGATCCCTGATGCAGCCTGTGTTACCTCAACTCCCAAGAAGTACTTCATCTTGCCAAGGTCTGTCATCTCAAACTCAGACTTCATGGATTGCTTAAAGCTCTCAAGCAACTCTGAACTTGTACTGGCATACATCAAATCATCAACATAGAGTGAAACCAACAGCACTTGATCACCAGACTTCTTGACAAACAAGGTATGCTCATATTCACACCTCTGAAACCCATTCTGCAGAAAGTATGCCTCTATCCTGCTGTACCAGGCTCTAGGTGCCTGTTTCAAACCATACAGGGCTTTCTGCAGCTTATACACTTTACTTTCCTCCCCAGTAACCACAAATCCTGGTGGTTGCTCAATATACACCTCTTCAGTGAGCTCTCCATGCAGGAAAGCACTTTTAACATCTAACTGAAACACTGTTAAACCATGATGAGCTGCTAGAGCTAAGAAAGTCCTGATAGTATCCCACCTGGCCACTGGAGAAAATACTTCTGTGTAATCCACTCCATACTGCTGAGCATACCCCTTGGCAACAAGTCTTGCCTTAAACTTGTCTATAGAACCATCTTCCCTCAATTTTGTTCTAAAGACCCACTTGACCCCAATTGGAATCACTCCTGCTGGTTTGTCCACCAGTATCCAAGTGTTGTTTTTGATGATGCTTTGTATCTCAGCTTTCATTGCTGCCCTCCAATTCTCATCTAAGACTGCCTGCTCAAAAGTTTGGGGATCATCTGAGACTGCCACCATTGCTAGCCATTCAGTATCAGTAAATGTGCAGTCATAAATGTTAAGATAACTTGGAGGTTTCTTGTTTCGAGGAAGTCTTCCTCCACTGGTGACAGCCCTGAGGCAGTAGCCTGTACTTCTTCTTCTACTACTACTTCTTCCTCTTCATTTTGCAGAACTGGAATTGAGGCAGAACTTGTAGGTTCTGTTGCTGTTCCATGGCCTGTATTGACAGTTTCTGCATCACCACTTGCTTCTCCCTCAGCTTCTCCTTCTTCATCTGACTCAAACCAGAGCTCCTCACTACCATCCCAAATTAGTCTAGATGACTCAACCTGATCTTCTGATGTGCTTGGCCATCCCTTCTCTTCATCAAATACTACATCCCTACTGATAATTACTTTCTTTGTAGCTGTGTTATAGAGCTTATAGGCTTTGGACTCTTTAGAAATTCCAAGGAACTGACATTTAACACTTTTATCATCTAATTTCCTTCTCTGGTTATCATGTATATGTGCATACACTGCACATCCAAAGATTCTCAAATGTTCCACAGATGGAGCAGTTCCTGTCCACAGTTCTTGGGGAGTTTTACCTTCATTTGCTGAAGTTGGACTTCTGTTGAGCACATGAGTAGCCCATTCCACAGCTTCAGGCCAAAAAGGAGCAGGCAATGTAGTTAAACTATAGTTTTTATGTATAAGCGAAATGATGGTTACAAACTTAAGCGTAAAAGCGGAGCGTAAGAACGTAAGTTTATATGAACCATTGAAATTGTAAAAAAGCAACTTAAAAGACTAATAGGATCCACACACAGAAAATTGGAAAAGATTTTGAACTAGAGTACATTCTAACTCAGAACAAGTTCATAAACATAGAAAAAGAGTTGAATCGTACGCTAATATGAATCATAACTCTGAAATATTCATATTATGGACATCACAAGCCCCCCAAAAAAATTGATCATGATTTATGCTACATTTGGGCAGCAACGTCCACATTTCCATCCAAATCATATCATCTTAATTACCGCCATCATCATAGTTGTTATTGTTACTAACATCATGCTCCTCATAAATACATCAATCATCATTCATGTTAAAAGAATCATTTTGAAGCCAGCGGCATGATCAATTTAGTTTTTTCATCCACAAAAAACCATTTGACCATCGCACGACGTGCCAAATCGCTCCATAAACATTATCATTAAAAGCTCTTATAAGCGTCCTAAAAGCTAGCTTTTAAGGATTTTTTTATGCACATATTGTGGTTTTAAAGAGTTTATATTAAGCTTATGGTGTCAAAAGATTTTTCAAAGAAAATTACTATATTGGAGGAGGTAAGAACTTAAAAGCGTAAGCTTTTAGGCTTAAACTATAGCTTTTAACTACATTGGGAGCAGGCACCTTGGTATCTTTTATAGCACCTAACCATATTCATTATGGTTCTGTTCTTTCTCTCGGCAATTCCATTTTGCTGAGGAGTTAAGGCAGCAGTAAGTTGCCTTCTAATTCCAGCTTCTTCACAAACCTGTCTAAACTCAGTCCACATAAATTCTCCTCCCCTATCTGTTCTAAGGCATGTAACAAACTTGCCAGTTTCCTTCTCCACTTGAATTTTGAACTTTTTAAACCAGGAAAGTGCTTCTGACTTTGCTGCTAAAAAATAAACCCACAGTTTTCTGCTGTAATCATCTGTAAGAGTAAGTATATACCTCTTGCCTCCATTTGAGGCTGGAGTGATTGGCCCACACAAGTCAGCATGGAGTAGCTGAAGAGGTTGAGTAGCTCTCCATGCCCCTTTCCTTGAAAATTTGGTTCTGCTTTGTTTGCCAAGCATACATACACCACAGACTCCTAGCTCACCAGTTAACCTTGGCAGCCCCTGAACCAGACCCCTTTGATGCAACATCAGTAGCCTTTTTCCACTCAGATGCCCATATCTTCTATGCCAGAGATTCAAAGTGGAGTTCTTATCAGCATCAGCCTGTAAACACAACTGATCAGCTGTTTGTTTGTTTTTTGAGTATTCAGCATGCAAGACAAACATTCTATTTGTCTTCATAGTTGTTTGCAGTAGAAGCCCTTTGGTCTCTTGAAAGATCTTGCAAATGCCATTTCTAATCTCAAAGCCAAGCTCCTTCTCTTGTAGTTGACCTACACTCAGCAGATTGGTGTTTAAGCAAGGGACATAGAACACATTCTGTATCACCAGAGAAGTCTGATCCACCAGCAGCTTGATACTTCCCTTTCCTTGAACTTCAAGCTTACTGCCATTTCCCAACTTCACAGTATTTTTAAAGCCAGTATCAAGCTTAATAAACCACTTTTGATCACCAGTCATATGATTACTACATCCTGAATCCAAAAACCACCAACCCTCATGTTGTTTTCCTTGTCCTGCCTCCCGAGAAGCCATCAAACTATGACTGTCTACTTCTCTAGGTGTTTCAGCATTCTCATCTTCAGTAATGGCCATTAATAACACATCCTCCCTCATATCTGGATGAGAGGGCTGTTGGGAGGAACTGGAGTAATGCTGAGAAGAACTGGAGTAGTGAGCTTGATTTTGGTAGTTTTGATAATTACCTTGCTGCTGATAGTTCCACTTAGGACATTCCCTGATGAAATGACCCCTTCTATGACATTTGAAACATTCAACCATGTCTTTACTCCAGGCTCGACCCCTTCCTCGACCTCTTCCTTGATAGCCACCTCTACCTAGTCCTCTTCCTCCTCTTCCACCAAAGTCATGACTGACTTTTAAGGCTTGATCATCTTCAGTTGGTTGTTTTGTGAGTTTTTGCTCATGAACAAGCAAAGAACTCTGCAGAGAATCAACAGACAGAGTCTCAATATCTTTTGACTCTTCAATAGAACACACTATGTAATTGAACCTCTCTGTGAGAGTTCTCAAGATCTTCTCAACTATCTTTTCATCTGTCATCATTTCACCACAGTTCCTCATCCCATTGGCTACCACCATGACTCTTCCAAAGTAGTCATTTACAGACTCACCTTCCTTCATCTCGAGAAGTTCAAAGTTTCTTCTCAAGGCCTGCAACTGAGACTTCTGTACCCTTGCATTGCCTTGACACTTGGTCTTCATGGACATCCACAGATCTCTTGAAGTTGTCTTGTTTGTAATCGTTTTCAGTATACTTTTGTCGATAGAACTAAAGAGATAGTTCTTCGCCTTCAGATCCTTCAAACGATTCTCATCCAAGATCTTCTGTTGAGAGGCTGAAATCACCTCTCCCTCTGCTGGTTCCTTGAATCCATCTCTCACAACTGTCCAATACTCCTTGGATCTCAACAAATTTTCCATGATCAAACTCCAATGCTCATAGTCTCCATCGAACTTGGGAATCCCCACTTGAGCAAAACCAGTGTTATCACCCATGGTGACTCTCACCAAACCCAGTTCCAACTTTTCTCACTAGTCTCTCGTGTTTCCCAGACCCAGAATTGAATTCTGCTGTTTCTCACTCAAATTTCTCGGTTACAGCTTGCCACAGTGCTCTAATACCACTATGTTAAACTCAATGGAGTGCAATCTGACAGTTTCTTTATTAACAAACAAAGACTATAAATACATATGACTTGCTTCGGCCAGTTGCTTCAGCAATTTCTCACACACCATGATCTCTACATCCCTACAAACCAGCTATCACTACTCGTGCAGCCAACTGACCAAACTCAACCTGGACTTAACATGACTCTAGACAGAATATAGGGACTAAAACTAAAAAGATCAACACACCACAGTACGACACAGTTTTCACAACTGAACATTCAGCCACTTCACAATACGACACAGTTTCACACTCAGACATTCAAACATACTTCAGCTTCGCGCCAAGACTTCTTCTTCAGCTTTAACATTAACTCCCTCGACAAGTCGACATTATATAAACTGCATCTTGTTTTACTCCTTCCATGAATATTGTGCTTACGAATCTTAGCTCCTTGTAAACCTTCATATAATTTGAACCAAGCAGTATAAAATTTCTAGTAGTTGTAAGGAGCAATTTTTCATCTTCACCTTTGGAGCAATCCGACAGCTGCTAAGAGTATTTTGTGAGAGGAGATGATGTGTGTTCACAAGGGTTGTGCTCCATATGCGACGAACTCTTCACCATTGGTAATCATGCAAGGATATATATAATTCGAGGGGTGGCCAATCGGTTCAGTTAGTGGTTAATCGACCAGTTACAATTGAAACCAGCCGGTTATCCACTAATCGAAAATCGGTCGGTACGTATTCGGAGGGATGGACGAGATGCTTTTAATCTTGTGGGCAGATCAGTTAACCGAAAATCGAGATAACCGAAACCTAAATCCCTATTTCGGTCAGTAGTCGCGGTAGGATTGGGAGGTGGTTCTGTTAACCGATAACCGACCCTTCGGTTTTCGATTATAACCGAACCGATCGACCAACCAACCCTCCACCCCTTGGAGATATGCCGTACTATTCGTGGTGATTAGGAAGTAGCTAGCATCTCAACCCCAAAAGACACAAAACAGATATATAGGATGTAAAAACACATATATGATGATGAGAAAGGAAGAAAATCCAATCCAAATGGGTATATTTTTTTCTGTGCTTTCTTCTCTCTTTTACAAGTTTTTGCCCTCCTAATTAAAACCCCTCCCAAAGTTCCAGATTTTCTATTGACTAAATCCCCCCCACCCCACCATCTTCTTGTTCCCTTTGACCCCATTTCGCTATAATTAAAAACACATCTTCTTATCCCTCAAGCCATTAACATGCATGATTGCCTTCATTAATTACTCTTCTTCACCAACATTGCCCATATTTTTCAACAAGGATAGTAACATCAATAAGCCCCCAACAATACAATTCTCTCTCTCGATTTCTAGACACCAGTATCTACATACTGCTCAATCCTCTCAACCGCCTCCTTGACATCAACCCGCCTCTCCAAATCCTCCTCGCAGCAGCTCAACGCCAGCTGCAGGAGGTGGATCATCTGGCTCTTGCTGTCCTTGTTCGTCCCGGCCATGTCCCTGTCGAAAACCTCCCCCATCTTCTTCTCCTTCACCATGTCGTTCACCCACGTCCCGAGGTCGGCCTTGCCGTCGTAGCCCTGAGTCAGGTAGTTCTCGGGGAACTTCCCCGTCAGGATCTCCAGCACCACGATCCCCAGGCTCCACACGTCGGTCTTGTTCGACGTCTTGCCGTGCTGCGCGTACTCCGGGGACTTGTAGGCGATCATGAGCTTGTGGGCGTGGTCGGCGTTGACCACGGGGCGGAGGGCGTAGTCGGTCAGCATGGGCTCGAAGGCGTCGGAGAGGAGGACGTTGGAGGATTTCAGGTGGCCGTGCGGCAGGGTGAGAGGGAGCTCTTCGTAGAGGTAGGCTAACCCTTTTGCGATTCCTCGGATGATTTTGACTCGCGTCGCCCAGTCCAGGCCTTGCCCCGACGAGTGTTTTCCTACATGTATGTACATATTGTGATACGAACACATGAAAGATAACGTACATCAGTAATTAAAATAAAAAAATATTTGAACTAGTTAATTAGTGTGTAGTTCATCAAGGTCAGATTTCGCATCACAACAACGGTCAGATGTGTGTGTGACGATAATTTTGTAACTGATCATATGCATTTTCGAGATTGATCGTCTATTGGTTCAGAATTATGAGATGCACGATCCAGTGGTGTCCATATATAAGCGTGACAAGACAAAAACATTTAGTTTATGAATAAAATTTTATCAAAGGATTTTTTTTCCCGGTGATGTGACAATTTGGTTAGTGCGTTGACAATTAGTCTAGGGTTAAGATTTTTTTTTTTCTAAAATAGTTGAATCACGTGTCCTGCAATTCATAGCCATAAGATGCATGTACATGGTGATAGTGTGATACACGTTTTAAAAAACAACGCATCGGCGTGCATAATATAAGTGAGAATCAACGAGATACTCGCGATCCAACAACATCAAGTAAGCAGTGGCATGTATTTGGATCATGAATGCATACCATGAAGGTTATTTTTGCTATTAAATTATGAAACAAACAAAAAAAAGTAATGTAATTAAGAAGGTTATTTTTGTGACATGCACATACATACCATGAAGGTGGCTAGCCAAGCTCCCATGCTCCACAAACTTGGACACCAAAAGCTTCTCCTCCTTCCTATAATAATAAGCCTCGACGGGCAACAAATTGGGATGCTTCAACCTCCCAACCCTCCTCATATGCTCATGAAACTCCTCCCGACCAACGTTGTTCATGTGCCGGTACCTCTTCACCACCATCGCCTGCCCGACCACTCCGGCCTTGTACGACGCCCCGAACGTCCCGCTCCCCAGCACCTCCGCCGACGCCCGCAACAAGTCCTGCAAATCGAACCTCTCCACGTCATCCCGGAGGAACAGCAGCCGGTTGCTGTTATTGTTCGCCTGCTGCTCCGCCCTCTTGGCGGAGGCAGTGCTGAGGTGGGAGGCCTCCCGCTGGACGAACCTGACGGCCGGCGGGGTTGTGAGGGTGACTTTGGTGGCGGTGACGGAGGAGGGGTTTCGGGTGAGTGGGTTGTCGGAGTTGCGGCGGCGGCGGTGGTGGAGGAGGATGAGGCAGAGGATGGTGGCGATGAGGATGATGACGAGGATGAGGAGGCCGATGATGATCTCGAGGGTTAGGTTTGTGAGCTTGGCCTCGGCGGCGGGGAGGAAGGAGAAGGGCGGCGGCGGCGGTGGGAGGGACGGCGGTGGGGCGGCGCATGGCTGGAGTGGGGCCCCGCACAGACCTTTGTTGCCTGAAATTGTATCCAAGAGTAAATCGTAATCATCTTACCCAAAGTGAATTCTTGAGATCGTAATTAAAGATGATAACAAAACTCGAATTAATGAGTCTCTACTAGTTAAACGCAATGTTGAATTAACAGGATGAAACTCGAAGTTAACGAGTTTCAAACTGGCCGAGAACAAAATCCCATTTTTTGGTTCAATAGTTGAGCTAGTGATAAAAGAACTTTTCTTTGTATGTAGTTGTTAGCTCCAAAGAGCAATTGTAACCAAAATGTGGTGGTCACGTATTTTCATCTCACTTCAGTTAACCCTAGGTAAATCATTCAAATTAGAAGGACAGACAACAAATTCCGAATCAATCGGTCTCCAGTTAAATCCAAATTTAAATAAACAACTCAAAACTCAGATGTTAACGAGTTTCGGATTGTGTAAGGATAAAATCCATTTTTGTTCAAAGATTTTTATTAGATAGTTGTAGACTCCAAAATTCGGTATACAATTTTTTTCTAATCCTTGGTAAACCCTTGACGTTTAATACTAGCAATTCATTACCTCGAGATAACAATTCATCAGTTCCAAATTAAAAAAAAAATGTAGCTTTACGTGTAATATATACCTGAGAAGGAGTTAGGGTTCATGTGGCTAAGACTCTTAGGAATTGGACCTTCCAGCTCATTATTCGCCACATTCACCGCCCGCAGAAACTTCTGCTGGAAATCCGGAATCCTCCCCTCAAACTGATTCCCGTCAAGCCTCACCATCGTCAGCTTCGGCAGCACCGCGATCGACGCCGGTATCCTCCCGGTAAAGTCATTGTTCGCCAGGTGCAACGTCTTCAGCGACCCCATCCCGTCGAACGCCCCCGCCGGGATCTCGCCGGAGAAATAGTTGTTCGACAGGAACAGCGTCTTGAGCTTGCCGAGCTTTTTCACCTCGGGGAGCGGGCCGTCGAGACGGTTGTCCATCAGGCTGAGCGTCCGGATGTTGTTGATGGCCGCCAGGGCGTCGACGTCGACGACGCCGGAGAGCTGCATGTGCTCGAGTTGTAGGCCCCATACGGCGCCGGCCGAGCAGAGGACGCCGGCCCAGTTGGACCGGTCGTTGTTGCATGGGTCCACGGCCGGGTCCCACGTGCCGAGGGCGTCGTTGTCGCCTAGGCCGGCTTTGAATTTGAGGAGGGCGTCGGACTGCAGGGAGGCTGCCGTCGCTAGAAATGTCGTCGCTAAAGATAAGAGGAATAATAACGCCGTCGTTTTGATCGCGCGCGCATGCCCGGCTACGTGCGCGCCCATTGGCCGGACGACGATGGGGCTATTTTGTGGGGAGGAACAGGCCTGAGGATGATGATAATGATCAAAACACCTTTATTTGAAGTTATTTCGAAGGTTGAAGATTTTTTTATTTTTGGGGTTTTTTTATGGTTTGTTTCGAGGATGAAGATCTTTTTTTTTGTGTGTGCTATTTTCTTTAATTTTTCTGGGTTTTGGGTGGTTTTTCTTCCCCCCTTTGGGTGTGTTCGTACGATGGTGTTGGGGGGAGAAATCCAGGAACAAGGGAGGGAGGGAGGAAGGGAAGATTGGACAAAGAAATGCCAAGAATAGTAAACGTAGTGGGATTGAATCATAAAAAGGGTTCAATGGCGATTCATTTGGGAGGGGGAAACAAAGAGGAGTTTAAGGTTCGTTTCATTGTTGGCTGTCTTTTCTGTTTTCGTTTATGGGACTGCCATGCATACAGACGACTAATCGTAGGCTATTTGGGAATGTGAACCGTATCGATTTAATTATGAAGGAACAAACGGATTATCGTTTTGAAAACTAGCTTATAACCCGGCCCGTTGGCCGGAATGTTTATATTTGATTTTTTTATACTTTTTATGTTACGTTAAAGTCTATCAACCCGTTTAATTTTATTGACAATCTTTCAATTGAGATGAACCATAAAGAAAGAATATATAGGTCGAACATTCAGAGAAATATCATCATCATTTGAGAAAATAAAATATAAAAATGTATAAAACATCTCATTTTCATAATGATAATTAAGCCCAGTTAATATGTTATTAGTTAGTTGATTGTTAAGAAAGATAGAGTATAAAAGCTCACTGGAATTCCCACACAACCCATAGATAGTTTGAAACTGAATCCAAAACCTCACAATCCTACGTAAATGGTTCAATGCTCTCATCTTGGGGGCAATATGCCACTAATAAAAAAGAAATGGAGGGTTGTAGGTTCGAGTCAACTATATACTAACAACTCAGCTAAGAGAGGACCATCAAAACTTGAGAGCAAACGACAAAATTGGATTACCTCCAATATACTAATAGACTCGATCAAAGTAATATAACGCAAAATTAGATAGTCCTTATCTATCAGTTCTAGCAGGCTGAATAAAGAATCGACCTACTTCATTAAATCAATCAATAATTACTCGTTTTAAGATAGAAATAGGTTGTGGTAGTTGCAAAAACCATAAACCTAATGATCCAATAGCCACCACTCTCCATTGAAAGACCAAATTTTTATCTACTCTATCTTCAATCTCAAGAAGCATATGTTTCAACCAAACATTCACTTTCTAATCCTCCTTCTGCAACTCCATTTCTGCTACTTTGATGGACCTTCTCTCTGCGGCCCTCAATTTCTCTTCCAATTGGGGTTCTTGTCAACTCGCTCTTCAACTCCTCAATCCCCTTCCTGTGTTTTGCCAACTCATCTTCCTCAGGGGCAGTTCTAATAAGTTTGCTAAAACCAAAACTCATCTCCAATTCCATAAATATGCTCATCTCCCCCCTTGCATGCCTTCACCTGCTTCAGCACACTTCCATGTCCTTCAATATCCTCTCCATTTTCATTAATATCCTCATCATCTCTCACTTCTCTCTCTTCAACTGCTCCAGTTTTGCTTCCGCGTCTTTCAACACCCTCCTCAATTCGATCACGACCCTCAGTAACTCCCTCTTCTCTGCCTTAACTTGCTACAGTTGAATTTTTCTTCCCCCCACCACTCTCATTCTCAAACTCAATCCTAACTCTTCTACTCCAAGTTCAACACCCCAAACTCCTAGAATGTTGCACGAAAGCTCAATTTCTAACTAATTCTAAAACAATATCAAAATTTGATTAGTGAGTTGGACCATAAGAATAAAAATTAATGAGGAAAATTATGGTTGCGGAGAACATTAGTTATCACAAAATCAAATATGAGTGAAAATATTGTAATTGAAAAGAAACCTTTTTTCTTAATTTTGATCTTATTTTATTATTTCAATAGCTAAGCAAAGAACAAAAATAAAGTATCAGAAACAAACAACAAAAAAGTAGACAGGGCTCTAGGAAAGTACAACTGCCATGTTCTACACAAACATCTCTTTTGCTTACAAACAAATATAGTACCCAAACCATCGTTCAAATTCATTTTCTATATTTTATAAAAATCATTCATAAACAACCAACTTAGATAAATCGGGAAGGAAATAATAGCCTACCAGTTCAAGTCGATGAACCTTATATGAAGATAGAAACTCATTGAAGTTGAAACCTAATAACAGAAAGAGGAGAAATGACGCAGGAGATCCCCCGAGCTTTAAACGTCGTATCAGGCAATAAGATCAAAAGAAATAGATATTCTGCATGTTGTGCTCATGAGACAACGTGAAATAAAAGTCGTTTTGTTATTAATCAGAAAGATAAAACCATGAGACATAGAGAAGAAATGAATGACTTACATGTGCAAAGCGATTAACCTTGGCCGGAAACCGAAAACCTATTAAAGGTCAATGCCTGGTATAGGAAGATGAGTAAAGGCGAAAGGTATAACTGATCAAACATTGCCTTCAGCAATAGAAGCAACAAAATAGTTCTTCTGGTAGTACATCGAGGAGAGACAGAACCATTGGGTGATGCCAATGCAGAGGAATCGAGCGAGATAATCAAGGCCAGGCCATAACTACTTGATTGAACTCCATTCTATTCGCCATGGATTGATATGAGAGTTGAAATCTTCTACTTGCCCAGCCTAAATTCCCAAGAATAAAACTACAGTGCCAAGAGATACCCGAATGTTGATTTTCAAATGCTCCTTATACTGGGAAGTGAAAGCACGCAAACTATTGCACGATGGAGGGAATTTCGAAGAAAATTAGAAAGAGATAAGAACAAAGATAAAAAGGCACAAAATTTAAATTTATATTGAAAAATGCAAGGACACAACACGTAATAAAGGAAATAGTTTCTTCCATGTTAGCCAATTACCAATATACCTTTAGAGAAACATTAAAGAGAGCATGAATTCTAAAAATTGATAAAATTAAATGAAACTCTACTATGAAAATTGAAGTATTAAGCACCATGAAAATACATATGGTAGACTTAGTGCCCTTGTTAATCATGATGAAAAAGTTCTCTGCTTTTCACAGTTTCAATACATGTATGTTTTGTATTAAAAAAGGAACAACAAATACACTTAGTATAATTGGTTATGATTGCTATCTTTGTTTGAAGAGACCCAGGTTTGAGTCTTGATATTGATATTTTTTATGAAATAAATAATTAATTGTAAAGACAAAAATATCCTTCCTACTTTCACTCTCATTGGAGGAAATTTGAAATGGAGAAAAGTTTACAAAACTCTATTATATATTAATGGATGATGGAAATAGAAACAATTCGTAGGGTGTTTTTATGTTTTTATGTTGTTTAGAAGTACTTTAGGATTCTGAATATTATGATTAAGGTAAAGGTGACAAATGGATCGTATTTATTGATAATTGAATTCACGGATTCCAGTGGCATCTAAAATTTGGATCGTTCTGAAAATTTTGTACAATTTTGGTGCTACATTATGATCTTTTTTTTTTTAAATTAGGTGCTAAAATGTAATTTTGAAGCATATCATATCATTCTTGTATGAGTGTATCTTAGTCAACCCGTGGGTTGATCCGGACCCGGTCGAGCTAGTGGGTCAATGGTTAATGGGTCACCCGGTTTAGCTCGGAAATATGGAAATAGTCATTATATTGTACTTATCCTGATAAATTACATCGAATTTCATCTAACATATGAGTTATAACATATAATATTACACCAAAATAACATGTCGTACTTAGATCCAACATATAGTGAAAATTCACACACACTTATATAACATCAATATTCAAATTAGGATTCCAAAGGTTGAGTTAGGCGAAAAGAAAAATCGGAAAATAGGCGCATTTCGCAAACCAAAGAAAAAATTGACACAATTTGACCTCCAACCCTGTACCTTGTAGTGGTCGACCCGACGGGTGCGTGCAACTTGTTTTTCTCACCGGGCCAGGGTCAAAGTGGGTCGACCAGCGGGTTGACAACCTTGATCTTAGTGCAACATTCAACATTGTTCCTTATTTAGACACACAATTGCAGAACAGATGAAATTCTTAACATCAACACACTTCAATGAGAGGTAATAACCCATGAAATAAATTTATTCCATGCTATACATGAAAAAGAGGAATTGTTATACAATCTGTAACATCCAATGGAGTTCCACAAGTATATATTTCATTTGTGGATCTCCAAAACACTGCAAGTCTACAACATTACTACAATCCCCATAGTAATTTTATATCCCAATTTGCGTCTAATTTGTAACAAACAGACCAAATGTCAAAAAGCAAACTGAGTTCTCTGCAGAATTCACTCAACTTTCCATCCAGCAAATCAAGACAGGATGAATGAAGCATCCTTGCTCTTGGAAGGCAGAGAGCAGTTTCACTGCACCTTTATTCTGCTTTCTGCAATAAAATTGAGCTCCACTGGGGTGGTCTATCTATTTCCTGTTCCTCGAGAATTGAGTTCCGAATTCCTTCTGTAGCCATTCCCTGGAATTGGTTTTTGACGCCAGTACGACATCATCCAGAAACCTCCTCTGCGGAAATTCTTCAGGTACAAGGCTACGGTATGTCTCAAATTGCTCCGCAGCTTCAGTTTTCCTCTCCAGCAGGCTGTATATGATTCCCTGCTTCCCGGTTGATATTCAGTAATCAGCAGCAAGTAAATAGTCTAAGTAAAACTAGATGGTGACAAACTATTTGGGACATGTCCTGAACATATAGCAAAAGGGCAGCAAGGTATAACTGTCTGCTAGTCATGCTGTATTGTTATTGAGACATGCAACCAGGTACAAGATAACAAGCACAGCCACAGAGGAATAAACCAGGACAAACTCATATGCTTGCAGTAAAACACGCGATTATAAGCAGCAAGATAGAAAAGGCTTACCTGGCAAAGATAAGGCCGAAAATCTCGAGGATTCTCATTGATCAGGTCTTGGAATTTAGTTAAACCCTCTTCCAGATTCCCCTGCGACCATGCAAGACATTCAGAATCACAGTTTTAAGTACTTCAAGGTTTACTTCAGTTGGAATGCTTCTCAATTAGACTTTCTGCCCCTCCGTGCAGTAGAAAGTGAAGAGCACAACTAAGAGGGGCCAGGGGGAATCAGGTAAGTCGAAATCAAAATAATTATAAGAGTTAGTCAAGAAGGAGTGCTGTTAGGATTCACCATTACAACATGCATTTGCGCAATCAAAATTCTAATGTTCCTCTCCTCGGTCACTCTTTTCTCCTGACGGGAAACTTCTAGAGCCTTATTCAGCATGCCAAAGATGGCCAGACCTTCATGGTTTTTATGCATCACCATCGCCAGACCCTGTTCACATTGGATCCATCATCAGTACTTTCAATCATAAGCAGCACAAATGTGGCCCATAAACAAGATATTGTATCAGCATAATAAGTTAATAACTCAACTAAGTGAGATTTCTATCCTAAATTAACTGAAGAGAAAGATAAAGGAACAAGAAAAGAGACTTCTATGTCAATACAATTCTGTGAAAGGTGTTGCATAGCCTTTTTATAATATTAACAGGTAAATACACATCTGTAATATTGATATCTATTGCTGAGACTTACAACAAGTTAGCAAATTCTAAAGGCCTTACGAAAGATGACAAATTACATTCAACAAGCACACCGCAAACTTCATCACCAACCATCAGCAAATAGTAAATAATTGGTTCAACAATGAAACAATCTTTAGCTAACAAATATACAGACACGAGAAGACATCCCATTCTCCAGAACCTACATAGCAAAACAAAACCTGTCTGTATCCAACAATAGAGCATTCAAATCAGTAAAGAACATCACTTAGCTAGTGAAACTGAATCTTTATCAGTCATTATTCAGACTATTCTCAGAAACGTATATAATGGTGAAGTTTTGCAAAGATAAATACTTCTTTTGGTGAAATTATCAGATTCTACCGGCAAAATGGATAAACAGAAACCCTTGAGAGAACTAAAACATAATTAAGAATCCATCTCCCATCTACAGGTTTTCTTTGTTTATCATACTCTTTCGTCCGTGTTGGCAAAAAACCGATTTAAACAATTGATCATGCAAAACTTGCATAACCACAATCCATATCTGAAACACGGTTGTATGCTAGTGCAATATGGTTCTTCTCAACTGAAATACTCACCTGTGGAACTCAAGGTTTCTCCCTCGAATCCCTTGGTCATAGCAACTTTTCTAATTGTTACTGCTCCTATAGCCATGACTGTTTAAATAGCAGACAGCTACTAACCAGTGGAAGCTAAAGTAAACAAGCAAAAACATTACAACCAACAAAGCTCTGCAAAGAACCACCTGATGGCACTATGAAGCTAAGTTTAGGAGAACAAAGTAATGTGGCACTATGCAATCATACGGATGCTGGAACTGGACACCACATATAGGGCAGCACATGACATGTATGCCTGCTGCTCTTTTCTGCACAATTTCAGCTATAATAGGATCCAGCAGAACACAGACTTCACCCAAAATTTCGAGGAAAGTGTAAACAAGAAACTACATAGTCAAGAATCATACGTGCAAAGCTCTAAGCAAAAGAGGTCTCTCCTCAAGTATTTCCTTAAACAACCTCTTAGCCTTGCACAATTGCCCCATCATTTCAAAACAAAGTGCCTCCAAGAGCCTCCACTCCACTTCATCCGGCTCAATGTCGATCAATCGTTTAACATACTGCGCAGCCTCCTTATTCTTGCCTCTTCTCATCTTCCCATACACAATCGCCTTTAAGGCAGCCACATTCCTCGGATCCGTCTCCACAAGCTTCTCGTGCATCTCCACGCCCTCATTCACCTCCATTTGAGTACCATTCGCCTCCTCTTCTGTAACGTCATCGGAATCAGCCACTTCAGCAGGTAGAGCTAAACTAATTCGTGGAGAAGAAACCCCCAAAGAACCCACGAAAACAAATGCACCAACGAGGAAAACTAGACATTTCCTAGGCAAGGATGCTGTCGACAAACGCTTCGTTTCGGGGAAACTGGAAGCGGGTACGCCAGGAATCAGGGAAAGCTTGATTATTGATGAATTTCGCGAGGTACCGTAGGAGTTGCGATGTGGGTTTGTGCTCACCGCCGGCGACGTCAGTGAAGTGCAGAAGCTCGGGTTGAAGGACATCAAACTGGGAATCTGCAATTGAGGGTGGCACCTACACCAGAGTGGACTGATTGAACCCATTTCTGAACTGGAATCCAAGTTCCTAACAAGAAACTTCCGGCAGTATGCTTTGGCCTGGTTGCGGGGCCGGCAAGCCGCCACAAGCCCACAACCTACGAATTCGTGTTTTGCTATTTTGGCTCGCTATTGGAAAAGAGAGTTACTATTCGTCGCCCTAAATTTTTAAATTTCGTCGCCCTAAACCATACAATTTTACAAAACAACCCTTCATTTAATTTTATGGTTCAACCACCTAGAATTAATGCTCCAACCATCTAACCCAACCCATTTAACTCTTTCTTCCAACACAAAACAGAAATATCAAACCAAAAGTTAAAACCAAACCACACAACACAAAATCCAACTACAATCTTCTACATTGATAAATTTTCGCCGGATTCCGACGAGTTTGCCGGAGGTAGAGAAGTAGTCGGTCTCGATCGTCATAACATGCAGGGACTCGGACTAAAGGTAAGATTTCGTTTGCAATTTTTTTTTTCTTCTGGAAAACAAGTCGAGCATGTTGAAAATCTGCCTCGACCGGTGGTCAAACATGTTGAAACCCTGCGTCAGTCATGGAACGGACGCGTTGTCAACCTGCCCGTTCCATCCTCCAGGAATGCTCGCAACATGCTCGTCCTCCTGTCTCGGCATGTTTTCAACATGCTCGACCCACGGTTCTTTCTTGTTTTTAGCATGCCCGTCCCTTGGTCTGGTCTAGTTTTGAACATGCTCGAGTTCATTTTGTGATATCATGGACCTTTTTTAATGAAAATTCACATAAATTATAATATTTATGTTCATTAAGTTTCGTTGTTAATTGTGTTTATTAGGAAGGAGGATAAAAATCTTGTGCCACCATCATTTACTAACAAGGAAACTATTATGGATGATTCGGTAAGTAGTTATTTTTTATAATTTAATTATCGTAACATAATTGTTGCACAAGTAAATGTTTTTACCTTTTATTTATTGTATGGTGGATCCGGAGTTAATGAGGGTGACAATGTTGATTGCACATCATTGTTTCTAAGTGATGTTTATGATGCCCATGATCAAGCTTGTAAAGCGGCAAAGGAGATTGCCATGAGTAATAGTTTTTCCTTGATAGTGGCATCAGTCAAGAGAAACGTTGGAGAAGGCAATCCGCGGATCTATATGGATTGCAACCATGGTAGTAGGAGCAACTCATATACGTCTGATCCCGCAAAGACAACACGGAGCAAATCTACAACAGGCAAGTTAGATTGTCGTTTCCGAGTGGTGGTGCAATCCGTAAAAATAGATGGCAATTGTAAGTGGAGAATTCATGGGATTAAGTCGAGGGGATTTCACAGTCACAGATTGGAGGTTTACACTGAGGGAAGCAGGCAAAAGAATGCTCTTTCGCAGGTGGAAAAAATGAATATTAAGGAGTTGGAGGCAACACATACTCAGGCGAAAGATATCAGAAGTTTGCTCAATATGAAGTACGATGCTCATCACAACATGACTCAGATTTATAATGAGACAGCAAAAATTAGGCGTGAGAGATTGGGTGGGTTGAAACCTATGCGGTGGACATTGATAGAAGCTCAACGTCTTGGCTACTTTATTGAGTGTGAATTTGATGATCAACGTCGTGTTACTAGACTCTTCCTATGCCATCCTGAGTCGATTCAGATGTTGTTGGCATGGTATTTTATTGTTTTGATAGACTCGACGTACAAGACTAACAAGTATAAGCAGCCACTGGTTCAGTTGATTGGTGTTAGTCCGGTGAAGAAGAACTTCAACATTGGGTTCGCATTGATTTACTGGGGCTCATTGGGTCCGACTAGTTCTCGACAATGTCGATGGGGTGACACCAATGCCATATTTTAGTCCACAATGGACTCATTTTTGGAATATGAGCACAATTCCGCATTGAGATGAGTTATACCAACAGGAGCAGGAATTGTATGCCATGTGTGGATTTAGGTGCAATTATCAAGGATTGACATTTTGTGTTAAAATGTATGTGGTTTTAGGTGGAATTAATCAATGATTTTGTGTTCAAATTTATGTGGATTTAGTTGAAATTAATCAATTGTGTTCACAATTATTGTTGCTGAAAAAATAGACTAGGCGGGTTGAAAACCTGCCTGCACCACGGACCAAACATTTTACCTACCCATCTTCACCGTGGGTTGAGTATGTTGCACACCCACCTGACGGATGGTGCAGGAATATACCCTTCCAGCACAGGCCGTGGACAAAGCATGTTGTGAACCCGCCTTCCTGGAGGTGAGGGCATATATCCTACCCGCCCTCCCGGAGGTTGAGCCATATTCCCTACCCGCCCGATGGTGCAAGTAATTTTGTGTGATCATTAAAAGTTGTTGTTTGTTGTGTTTTTGTTAGATATATAAGTAGTGGTTAAAAATTTTAATTAGTAAATAAACACTCAAACATAACACATCCAAATGTACCTCAAGTAGGGCTGGTAATCGGTCGGTAACCGGTTAAACCGGTTACCGTTTGACCGGTTACCGGTATACCGGAAATCCTTTGGCGGCTGCCGTTTACTGTAGCCGGATCCAATTCGGTAAACCGCTTACCGATTGTAACGGTACGGTATTTTTGCCGGTTTCCCGTGTTACCGACTGCCTTTGCGCGGCATGATTGTCCCCTGCTGACAAAAACAATTACAATTACAAAAGTAAAAAGCTAAACTCCTCACCTCCCATTTTACTCTCCAACGGTGGCCTGCTGCTTTCTAAGTAGATTGCAACTGCTCCTCTCTTCCCTTAAACACAGACACACAAAAAAAAATTCAATATAACATCATCAGCTCTAATCGTTCCAACTCGGCCAAATCACAAATCACACTTCATTGATTCTAACCTGAACTCCGACGAGGTGCCGGGCGGCTTGGTCGAGCGAGAAAGCTCCAACGGCGACGGGGATGAGGAGGGTTGGGTCGACGGAGATGGGGTCCAACGGCAATGGGGGCAGAGGGCGTTCAGTTGTTGGGTCGTGCCTCAAGAGTTGAGCGTTCAGCAACGAGCCAGCGACGGAGATGGCGAAGGTTGGAAGCTTGGGTTAGTTTGGCGGCGTTTGGATTCGTCGATTTCGACTTTCTTTTTTGCGGCGTGAGTCGTGAGGAAAGCAGAGGCAAGAGAAGGAAATAAATCCACTTTTAATATGTTTATTTACTCCTATTCCTAATTAGAAAAGGCTAGGGTTGGGGATTTCTGGGGCGGCAGCACCTTTCAGATTCCGGTATCGGATAACCGGCCAGCCGTCGGTAAGGTGCAACCCCGGTCCCGGTATTACCGTTGCCCATCTGACCCTTCCGCATACCGTTGTTCACGGTTAACGGTTTAACCGGTAACCGCCGGTTACCGGTACGGTATCCGGTTAAACCGTTAACCATATAACCAATTACCAGCCCTAACCTCAAGAAATATTCAACATCAATCTTAAGAAATATTCAACATCAATCTTAAGAAATATCCAACATCAAAACATAAAATATCCAACATCCAAATGTGATGCCTGGTATCGGCTGGGAAACATGGCTATGAGGGGGAGGATCCACTGCAGCTTGACGACGCGAAAGCTTCTCCTGACGCTCCTCCTGACGTTTTTTCCGCTCAGATACTGTAACGTTGCGTCCGAGAACCCTCGATTTTTCCTTGCCCCTTCTTTCGCTCATTGTTGCCTGCTATCAAGAAAATAAAATTATTTATTTTCAGAATTGTAATTGACAACCATACATCTTTTAACTATACATAATAATTATTTACAACCATAAAATTTATGAATTCCAATACAAATTATATTGTCAAATACTAATTATATTAATCATCACAAACCCTCGTACTAATTCTTACCCTTTCTTTCGCTTATTTTACCAACTATCAAGAAAATAAAATTAATTCTTCTTAGTATTGCAATTAACAATCCTATATTCATTAACTATTTATAATCATTATTAACAATCAACAACTTTTTCAATTCAAACACTACTTATATTGTCAAATGTTAATTAACATCCTCTCATCACACAACAACGCAACAAACAGATTCTTTTCTTCCTTCCCATTATAAAATGTCATATATTGATTATAATTTACCATTCAAATTTATATATTATTAATTAAAATGAACATTCTAATCATTAACATTTGCATTTTAATTGAAAAAAATCAAAACGGGTCGGGCGGGTCGGAAAACGGGTCGGACCAGGGTTCGGGCGGGTCGGAAAACGGGTCGGAGCAGGATCAGGGCGGGTCGGAAAACGGGTCGGACCAGGGTCAGGGCGGATCGGAGACCGGATCGGACCAGGGTCGGGGCAGGTGGGCTACCTGGCTCCGCCGGATCCGCGCAGGCGCCCTGCCTGCGTCTACCCCCGGCCAAATCGATCGCCCTACCTGCCTCTAGCCACTGGCGACGGTTTTCAACCCGTATAGTCGGCGCAACTCAACCAAAAGAGAAGGGAGGGAGAGAGAGATTTACCTCCGGCGGGTCTGAGCAGCGTTGCGGCAGCGGGTCTGCGGTGGCGGCAGCGGGTTGAAAAGAGAAGGGTTGCGGCAGCGGGTCTTGGTGGCGGCAGCGGGTTGGAGGCTTCTCCTCGGCGACAGTCACATGCGGAGGTGAGTTTGGTTGACGGCGATAGTTTAGGGCGGCGGCGGAGCTCTGGGCGGCGGCTCTGGTTGACGGCGGGTCTTGGTGGTAGATGGCGATAGTTTAGGGCGGCGGCGGGTCTTGGTGGTTGAGATTGTGTTTTGTTGATTTGGGGGAGAACAGGGTAAGGGAACGGCAGGGAAGGGTTGGGTGGGTGCATTTAGGGTTTAGGTTAAATGAGGGGTAAAATCGTCCATGTATGTAAGTTTAGGGCTATAAATTCAAAAACTTAGGGCTACAAATAAGAATTCAGTTGGAAAAAGCTATGCAAAGTGTATAATTCTAATCAGTCACTATGGATTTTCAATGTATCATTTGTTATGTATTTTAATTTTAAAATTTTATAAATATATCTTATGATCTACATAGCAATATTCTTCTTGACATTCTAATAGACAAATATTCTTTTTGACATGTTTTAAGGAAAAAAATTCGTTGAATATTACGAATGTGATAAGATAATATTATCATACGTTTAACTCATTCTTACTCGTGTAGGAAACACACATCTTATTACAATGGAAATATATAATACAAAGGAATGTAATTTTCTTATGATAATATATCGAAAAGAATCTTATTATGTAAAACAAAATTATTATATTTTTTAAGGGTTAATTGCAAGATTGGTCACTGGGATTACAAAAAACGTTCATGTTTAGTCACTGAAAATATTTAATTCCAATCTTGATCACTCAGATTAGTAAATGGTTCAAGTTTGGTCACTTTTCGTTAGTCTCCATCCAACTCTGTTAACAAAATCCGTTATCTGCTGATGTGGCAAACGAAATTGCTTAGTCAGCCTAATTTAATCCAAAAATAATGAAACATGACCTGCCACGTCACTCAACCCACCTTGTCATCTTGGCCCAACCCAACCCCCTCTTCCCTTCTTCTCCAATCCTTAGCCCTCTTTGTGAAAAATCGCCGACCAATGTTCTGATTTCCCCACCAGTCTCTTCAATCCCTCCCACTCTCCTCCTCTACTTCCTAGCCCTCCAGCCCATCCATTATCTTTATCACCCTTGGCTGCAGAACTGGGTCACCATCAAAACTCCTCACTCCCTTGCTATCCTACAATTAGACTCCCCCTTTTCCTTCGGTAGTGCATGCTGGCATCTGTGCAATTGGAGATCTAAACTCTCAAGGAAGGTGAAGTGATGTAGAAGGGAGCGATGACCCATCCTTCCACCTTCGTCTCTTCCCTGCCGGCGATGAGGACGAGGACGACGAGGTGATAGTGGTTGAAGAACCTCCTCTTCCTCGTGCTGCTCGGAGATTTGCCCCCTGCCCCCAATCCATTGATTGCCCACCACTCCCGACCTAGACATTGTTTCCCCTCCTGTACCCCAGATTCCTCCCCTGCCTACCAACTGGAAATTCTGTATTCTTCTTCATCTATTTTATCTAAATGGAAAAAATCCCTAGCCCTAACAAATGACGGATCTGCTTCTCCCAAACTTGTTTTCTTCTAGAAGAGAGAAGGCGACAACGAGGAGGGAGTTGAAGGTGGTGCTCTATCGTTGCTCAATCAGATTGGAGAGGAGAGTGGGATCAACGGTGAGGGAAGAATTGGGAGCTGAGTAGATTCTCCAGCTGCCATTGACGGAGGAGAAGGTGGAAACAAAGGACGAATCAAGGTAGATTAGCGGCAGCCACCGGCGGAGATGGTGCCGCTCGCGGTGGTGATGTTTCTATCGAAGGAAGAAGAATAGGAGAGGGATGAGAAGAGGGAAACCGATGGATTGGATGAGGGCGGCGACGATAGGCGATAGCTTCTTCCGATCCTCTTCTCCATCGACAGGCTAGGGATTTTGCAGTTTGGTCAAACTTGGGTTTAATTTGGGGTCGGTCGGGTCACTAGATTTTTATGATTTGGCAGGTTTTTATGATGTGTCAGAGTTGGAATTTATTTTGTTTTTGTTAAAAATAGGTGATTAGGTGAGTCTGTTAGCCACGTCAGCATGTAACTGACGGTGTTAACGGAGATTGACGGAAGGTAATAGAGAGTGATCAAATTTGAACCATTTAACTAATCTGAGTGATCAAGATTGGAATTAAATATTTTCAGTGACTAAACATGAACGTTTTTTGTAATCTCAGTGACCAATCTTGCAATTAACCCTATTTTTTAAATATATAAAAACCTGCTAAGAGATGGGTATCCCTAGTGACCTACATTAATCGTGACAAAAGAAGACAAGTGTCTCAACTCTTCACACTCTAAGGACGCAGTATGAAAGACTGAAAGTCATATATAAATATCTCTCAATAATTTGAGTTATTCAAATAAATGTCATTAAATAAGATTTAAAATGTGATGATTATAAGAGAATGTATCATATATACACATTCAAAATCAAAGTTGTAGGTATAAAGTACATCCCATATTTTACATTAGGGGTGTACATGGGTCGGGTGGTTCGGGTTTAGTCATTTTAATCACCCGACCCATGCACTACGGTTTGGGAAATATCAAACCCAAACCCACCCAAAAAAATTTAAACCCTACGGGTTGTTTCTGATTGGGTTTTGTCGGGTTGGCGATATTTTTAAGTAAAACCCAACCCAACATAAAATATATAATTATTCTACATCATAAAAATATTTTATAACTAATTAAAATTTCAAACGAATGAACCAAGGTGAAAGGTATGAAAATTCATAAATGTTGTTTAAATTTTAATAAAATGTTATTTACTTCAACATATGTCTTGTTTTTTTCACGATATTTGTTGGAATAGGCTAAAAATGTTATAAGCAAAAGCATCTATCATATGTTATTCTATTAAAATTGTACACAAGAAAAAAGATTACGTGAATCATAACTATATTCAATTTATGTCTAAACTTTAAGTCGAAGAATGCATTAGATTAGGGAGACCATGAGAGAAAAACATGGTGAAATATCTTAATTTTCTCATAAGTATATGACTATATACTACATAAATATTTTTTTAGATCCGAACTCATACTAATAGTTGGAACACGGGTTGGGTCGGGTTGTGTAATCCAAAATCCAAACCCAACCCAAAAGAGGCGGGTTGTACAAAAGAAAACTCTCACCCAACCCAAAACCTTCGTTTTAGCGATAAATACGGGTGGGTTGGATCGGCTTGGACGGGTGGGTCGGTTTGCGGGTGTGTTTGTTCACCCCTATTTTACATACCATCTCTTCTGCACGAAGATATCCGACTCAAAACATTCAACTTTTATCTTTATTTCATAACTTCTGTTTCAAGTAGTTGTTTGTAGTCTGGATAATTCGTGCTTTGTGGTGGAATGAGATTTAAGATACACACATTATTCTGAATCTCTCTAATCCCAATGCTATGTCTCTCAACAATTCGAGAACGGGATGCGTAGAACAGGAACGAGGTGCAGATTGTGCTTCTTCCTAGCCGTAATACCAAATATCTCGCTCATGTCCATCTCCTCATGCGTCATTCCTTCTGGAAACTTCCAGTCAAAGTGGTACAACATTTGAGCCAACGCCAGATCTATGTTCGCCGTAGCAAACGATATTCCAGGACAGATCCTCCTCCCTCCTCCAAACGGGATCAATTCAAAATTCGTACCCCTAAAATCCACGACCGAACCCTCGAACCGCTCCGGCCTGAAGCAATCCGGGTCGACCCATGTTTCTGGATCTCTCCCTATCGCATATGCATTGATAAGGATCTTAGCCTTCGTCGGTATGTGATATCCTCCAACCTCACATGCCTCGACGGACTCTCGAGGAAGCAAAGGACCCGGAGGGTGCATCCTCAACGTTTCTTTGACGACCGACCTCAGGTAACTCAGGTCGTGGTTGTGGAGGTCACTCTCTTCGATTCTCGTCTTCCCATTGAATGCTCGTCGTAGCTCCACCTGCGCCTTCTCCATCACTCTTGGGTTCTTCATCAGTTCGGCCATCGCCCACTCCATCGTCGTCGCCGATGTCTCGCTGCCTGCTGAAAATATATCCTAATCGATTGTACATACAGATACATAATTAGTAAAATATAGCATGTGTAACTTACGTATAAAATATATCTACGAGCTAATTTTTTTTTCTCTTTAAACTAATGACACTATAATATTACTTCAAAATATTAAATATTTTATATAGGTTTTATACGTTTTTAGAACGAGAGTCATAGTTTGTATACCATAGTGACGGCTTTGAGGTGATTGGTGGTAAGCTTCAACTCGGTCTCATCAGAATCCTGCAGCTTGATCAAAACATCCAACAGATCTTCCTCACGACCACCGGGTCCCGACCCATCGACAACCCGACCCGGCCCAAGATGCTGTTTCACTATATCCTCCAGGATCCGGTCGATCCCGACGTGGATCCGCTCCAGCGCGGCCTGTATCCCGGTGACGTGGCGGAGGAACCGAAACGAAGGAAACAAATCAGGCAAATTGAACCCGCCGCCGACCTGGATCACCTGGTGGAGGAGCGACAGGAACTCGCCGCCGTCCCGACACCTCATCCCGAACGCCGACCGCGACGTTACGTTGTTGGTCGCCAGGAATATCCTCTCGCTCAGGTTTATCGCCACGGCGTCGTTTTGGGTTGTGTTGGAAACGGCGTCGTTTGATATCGAAACGACGAGGTCCCAGACTTCCTGCTCGCGGATGGAGCGGAAGGAGGCCACGCGCTTGGCGGAGAGTAGCTCGGAGACGCAGATCTTGCGGAGCTGGCGCCAGTAGTCGCCGTAAGGGGCGAAGACGAGGCTGGAGTGGTCGTACGACATGATCTCGACGGCGAGGACCTCGGGCCGTTGTGGGAAGCTGAGCTCTTTTGTGCGGAGGACTTCCTTGGCGGCGTCAGGGGAGGAGATGACGACGGCGAGGCACTGGCCCAGCTGGAGGCGCATGATGGGCCCGTATTTTTGGGCCAGGTTGGTGATGGACCGGTGGGGGAGTGTTGGGCCCGCGAGCTGGTGGAGGTTGCCGATTAGGGGGAGCGTCGGTGGGCCCGGGGGCAGGTTTTGGCGGCGGGAGCCGCGGCGGAGGAGGAAGGGAATGGAGACGAGGAGGAGGAGGAGAAAGGCGGGGAGCGACTCCGGGAAGCCGGCGGGAATGGAGAGCCAATTTGCCATTAGAGTTCGTGTGTGTTGTTTGTTTGTTTTTTGGTGGTGTTGAATGTTGAGCCGAGCTACATATATGGAGTCCATTTTTCTAAGTAAAAAGGTGTAGCAAGTGTGATTTTTGGCGGGTAAGTAACGTGAGCATTACGCTTTTCTTTCCTCTATTAATTTAAAGGGTTACATTTTCGATTTGTTTCATAAATAATTTATACCATAAAGTTAAAGTACATGTTCAGTTTGTAACATAAATAATATAGATACAAATTAAATTGAATTTTTACCATATCAATTCAAACGTAGAAATTCAATTTGAATTTGTACATACAATAATTTATAGGTGCCAACCAAACCAAAAATTATAATTCAACCTAATGGTCCAGGGAACTGCATTTCTAGTCCGTATTGTAATAAGTAATGACTCTCTAATTTCCTTTCCACCTATAACTGCAATAATATATAATAGAAATATAAGCTCCAATTGCATCAATTCTATCGTACATATATTTACTAGACAGACTGACTCAATAAAGTACAAACAATTAACGTGCGTGTTTTGACGGTCCCAATAGATAGATTAATTAAACAATATACATACCTAATTAATTAACCCCCTCAGATTTTATTACTGATAATTACTAATAAGTATAATATTTCACTTATAGTAATAATAATAATAATATATCTTGTCTCACCAAAAAAAAAAAAAAAAACTTGGGCTGGGTAGCTAGTAGGTGAGAGAGGAGGAAGGCAAAGGAACTCGCTTCCTGTACTCGGCTAGAGCCCACAGTGGATAAATGTTCCTGTAAGCTGCATAGTGCAACATACAGTTCTTCATGAACACTCCTGTGATCTCCTGCATCAATATTAATTTTCCAAATTGTTCATTGTTTTTATAAACTTCAAATGTCCAGAAAGCGTTGAAAAACAAAATTATGGGTTAGTTAGTTAGTTAGTTTAATTACCTGTTGTGGGAAATCTCCATCTTCCATTTGAGAATTTATCAACAACTTGGCTGCACGATGCAATGGTGTAGCATCCCTATCCATCTGTTTTTATCAAAATTCAAAAGTTCGTATTATATCGTGGAGTCGCGAATTCACGAAAAATTAAACGGAAGTTTCAGAGCAAGTAAACTATGGTTTTGATAATGACATACTCTGTTTCGAAAAATTGCAATAACTCCACGAAATTAAAGTAAGACCAAATTTTGCCAAATATCAACCAGCCTCATAAATAACGATGTAGGCATTGTCAACATGCATTAAAGAAGAAGAAGAAAAAAAATCTCTAGTCTCTTCTCTCTTATTTCGGTTAAATATTTATCATCAAACAAGAAGTGATTGATGACATTAGGTAATTGAATTAAGGCAGGGGAAGAAAAAAATGGTCAGTTAGATGAGCATATTAAATTGACGAAATTATGTGGAAGAACGATATAGATTTCGTCTAATTTCAGTGGGAGTTCCTCTAACTCGTACATGCCAAAGGGATAGACGACGATATAGATTTCGTAACGAACAGTAAACCGCTCAGTTTTACGTACTAACCTGGCCAGCATAAATGAGACCCATTGTAGCCCAACCTGTATGCACCAAATTCGATCGATTCCCTTCAAGAGGAACATATCTCTGCATCACCAAAATCAAAACACCAATTAATTACATGAAAACCCCCAAAATAAAAAAAAAATTAAGGAGAAATTAATTAAGGAGATTAGTTATTTTTTTAAGATTAATTACTTTTTCAGGACAGGAGAGGTAGCTCTCTCCCCACCCTCCATCCTCTCTCTGTATCCTGAGCAGGAACTCAACCCCACGCCGCACGGCGGCGGAGTTGCCGTACGTCTTGCCGGCGGCCGCCAGCCCTCCCAGCGCAAACCACGTCCCGTAAGTGAAGCAGACTCCCCAGTTGCCGTACCACCCGCCCTCCGACGTCTGAATGCTTTCCAGGTACCTCACCGCACCTCTGATGAAGCACTCGATCTCGTCCTCTCTGTGGCCGGGGTACAGCTTCTTGAACAGAACCAGAGCCTGGATCGCCGACGACGTGCACTCCACGTACTCGTGCTCGATCACGATGTCCTCGAAGAACTCCGTCGGATTCAGAACCTGCCATGCCATCACGGTTTAGTTTAGTTAATCGAAAACTCGAATTTCTTACGACATTGAGCTTTCGACAAGCTGTAACAGGTTTAACATGTCACATATGTTTCGTTACGTAATATTTACGTAATCCACATTAATTTTACATAACAGTTGTAGGATAGTTTGTATCAATTTCGACCAAAAGCTGAGAGCTAGAGATAGTAACCTCTAACCAATCCTGCGCTCCCGCCGGTTCCCAAGCGGCCAATCCTCCGTTTTTACTCTACAACACAAATCCACATCGGTGTGTTAAAGAGGTTAATCCGAACGAACTATCGAACTTAAAGTGTGGTGGATGTTTACCAGATTACGGTGATTGTACCTGAAGAGAAAGGAGGACGTTGACCGAGTCAAACAAGCGGGCGGGTTCCATGGCCTCCCCAACTTTTTCAGGTGGCATCAATGAGAGGAGGAGGCAGCATTTCAAGCCTTCAGCGGTGCAATCAGAGACCTGCCAGCCATGATCCTGATCGGAGAAAGTCCAGGAGCCTTTGGAGATGTGCCTGTACATGGCCTTGAAGTCGCCCTGAGGATTTTCCTTGACTTGGGATTTCTTGATGAAATCGTGCCCTCTCTTCAGCACGTCCCCAATTTCCTCGTTCATGTTGCAGGCCAGTAATGCCTGCATCGCGAAGCCGGTGTCCCACTGCTGGCTCCCGAAACTCTGTCATTATCAGAGCAGGGCATGGTTAAGATGGTTTATATTGAAACAGGGGATTTGAAGATTCGATCATTTTGCGATGGTGTAACATAGATAGATAGATACCTGCATTTTCATTCCATCTTCTGCTACCCATAGGTAATCCGGAATCCTGGCGAGGTGCTTCTTGAAGTAATCGCCATCTGGGTCCTCAACCCAGCAAGCCAGCATACATAGGATCTGATCATATTGCAAATGTTCCAACATACGAAACTTAAATAATGTTACGTTACCAGGTTTCATAAGTCGCATTAAGGCATTATATAATGGTTATGTGATTTATGTTTATCTTACGTAATAGTTAAAAAGATCATTACAGACGCCCTATGCAATAGACTATCCTTTAATGTAATGAATGTTAAACTTATGTTAGGTAAACTACTAAGACATTACAACAGCCTTACGCAACGCTTCCGATTTAAATGTTATGTAAAAAATAACGGTCATTTTCGTAAACTTTACGTAATGGATGTTTGTTTTATGTAGCGATTGTAAAGTGTCATTACGGTATCCTTATGGCAATGGATAGTCATGAAAATCAACTTAATGCTACATAAAGTGTTAAGTCTGTGTAAAAGCCTTACAAATGCTTCTTATTCAACTGTTATGTAAGAAACAAATTGTCTGTTCCATAACATTTACATAATAATGAATGTTTATTTTCTGTAACAATTGTAAAAGGCTGATCAATAAGCAATAATAATCAGTAGGGCCAAACAATTAGCACTATTTTGATAATCTAACTTGAAATTATGCCCAAGGAAGAGGTTACGTATTGTATTGCATTCAGCTTAACTATATTATGGTAGCTTGGTAGTAAATTCATTACCTTCTCAACACAGCCAATGGTGATGTAGCGACTGGCTTCATCTTCATAGTGAATGTGCTTCATGGTGACCTGAAGCGCCCAATCCCTGACCAGCTTGTTGAATGGCCAGCGCGTCAAAAGGGGCTCCATGGACAAGTAAAGCGTATCCCAGATCAGATCCTGGATCAAAGGATGAGGGTAGTAGAGATCCTCCTGAGCACAGAGATGTCGAGTCTTCTTCCAGTTGATCCTGTCATAAGCCTCGAGGTGAAGCTCCTCCCTCAGCTCCTCGACCAGCGGAGTGATCGGCCCCACGAATCTCTTCCCGTAGAGATACGACATCGGCATGTACACCATGCGACAGTAGCACCACATCTTGGCAGGGTGCATCGGCAGGAACGATGGCAGGAGCCAGAACTCGGGAGGCATCGGGTTGCTCCCCGACCAATCGTACACTCCGAGAATCTGCGCAAAGGCACAATTTCGCGGAATAATTTATGTTTAGGGTTCTGTTTTTCATGTGTTTGTTATGGACTTATGGTCACGGGATGATGAGTTGCACGACGACAGACAACTCGTGACGCGGAAATTAACTGGGAAGTACGTACAGAGAGCCAGGTCTTGCCCCAGGAGGGTATGTAAGTGACGCCGCCGTGGTCGAGGATCCAGTTGCGAGCTCTGGCGCAGGCGTTGTCGAGGCCGCCGTCGGGGCCCTCGCCGAGGATGCGCATGCAGATGTAGCTCAGAGCTGTGCAGAACATGGTGCTGTGGCCTTCTATGTGCAAGCCCCACCCGCCGTCTTCATTCTGCATAAACACACACACACAGCGCAGAGAAAGCGGCATTTTTAGCTCGAGTTATGGCAAGAATGAAGTTGGAAAGGTACTGCCTGGACTCTACAAATGAATTGATCTGTTTGCTATACTTGAAAAAACAAAAAAAAGTTTATATATTATCCTCTGGGAAAACTTGACACGTTGATGACGTATCTAATTCAACATGTATGTAGTTGAGCTTTTTAAGTACAATTTCGTCTATTTTTACCTGGTGACAGTAGATGTAGCGAAGGATCTCGACACGATGGGGTGCCGAGAAAACAGAGTCGAGATGGCCGGTGATGTAAGTGCACATGACCAGCGGCGGCAGGAAGAAGAGCGGGCCGGCGTTCTCGGCCGGCCAGTGGCCGTCGCTTGCCTGCAGCGCTGAAAAGAAGCTTACTGCTCTCTTCAATGCGCCTGTGGCCTTCTCGTACGTGATTTCTTCCCCTTCTTCAATTCTCACCGGTGGGACTGTCTGCTTGAATTTCTTCTCTCTTAGAAACTGCATCAAACAGAGAAGAATTAAATTAAGATGGTACGTTTTAACCACAAAAATAAAAATAATAAGATGGTACGTCCATTTTAATGAAGAAGGCCACCCAACTGGTCATGGATCGATCTTGTCAAAAACATTAGGAAATAGCACTAGCTAATACACAGCTACGTTTCAGGAGCACGAATCCACCAGCTTTATGATGTTACTGTACCACCTGAGTAAGTACGGTTTATGGGTAGGAGTGTGCAATGGTTTGGTCCGTGTCGGACTATATCGGAGTAAATTAGTATTTGGATTGGAACATACGGAATTGAATGTAATGAATTTTTTATTTTTGGTCACATGAATTTTAGAAATACTAATAAAATGGACCGAATTGATATTTAGATTTTAAATCGAACCGAATCAGATTGAAAGTAACAGTGGTTGATCCTTAAGTTTGAGCCGGTTCGGACTAATTTAAATTAACTTGTAAAGTAATATTATGAATACTCTATATTTATCTTTTATTTGATCTTTGGTGTAAAGAATAACTATAAAAGTCAGTGAATTCATAGGCTTTTCTCCGATTATTTAATGCCTTTGATAGCAACAGAACAGAAAGAAAAAAAAATGGAGATGAGTAGTGGTGTGTTATAATGTTTCTGCCACTTTGCAGCCGATAATAACACAACAGCTGCATTTGTGGTACTGTGGTTGCTGACATGGACCATATTAAGTTGAGAAGTGTGTGTTTGTTGGTTGTACCAAAAGATAGGGGATATTACGGTTGACAACAATTTTGACCTAGTACTACTAGCGGAGGCAGGATTTCAAACTAGCGTTGTCCTTTATTCAGAATATATATAATATTTTATAAATATAATTAAAATTAATAATATCTATATAATTCATTCACAGAGAAACAAAAAACTGATTAATACAATTATTGTTTCATAAATAACCAGGACGAGTTTTCATATTATGAAATAAATGTAAAATATATTCATTGTTTACATCATAATATCGTGATAATACCTAACGAGTTGTTGTGAAATGATAGTGTCATGAATGAAACCAATAATTTAATTATTTATTGTCAATTAATGAACAAGTAATGAGTACTATAAATATATGTGGGGTTATTTTTTTCCCTCCCCAAACACCCCTGCCTCCGCCTATGACCATCGATCTTGGGGCTAGTGATGGTAATGGTACAAGGGTGAGTACATAAATACGCATGCTTATTTGTGGATTAAGTCGGATAATATCTATGTGGATATAGATTGAAAATGGCCGATTCATTTTTATATATTGTTTGAAAAATCTATTATTTAAAAATAAAATAAAAGAAAAATAGTTCATAATTGAAAAAAAGAGATAATAAATAAATCGTTGAGTTCAATTAATTGAAAATAGACAAAATAGTTCAGAAAGATGCAGATAAAAAGATAAAGACAAGGACGGGACAAGATGAAAGTAGTACTTATAGCCCGCCTCATGATACTATGTGTCGGACACTCTCTATATCAAGGTGAATCAGATCAAATAATACCCGATGGAACTCGCTCAAATTTCCATACTTGCCGCTAACTCCTCACTTTCCCAAGCTGTGCCTTCTTAACATGGACCACATGATTTTGCTGTGGAGGGGAGAGAAGTGGCTATATATACTGGGGCTCGAAGCCGCGCTAATTAACACTTACTGGTTGTTTGCTCATGTCGTAGGACTAAGAGTGTGCGTTTAAGAGCAAACATTTACGCCATGTTTCCTTCTTTCATGAGTCGATTAATTTTAGACAATATGTTGATGACGTAACAATCAATTCGTTGATATTTTCATCTAAAACTCCTTCCTATTTTCAAACAAAAACATTATGTGAATCGTCAAGATTTCTAGATATTCATTATGAAGAACATCCAACCACGCCTCACTTATATTTTGAAAGTATTCGAAATGACTATTGATGTAGGGTCCTATATTCATGCAAAGAACATTTTTTTTTGTTCGGATATATATGGTACCCCGGGTGAAATCCGGGGTACCGCATACATCGATTATGAAAACTCTATCTAGAGCTCGAATTAACAGGATTTTTGTGTATGATATTATACCCTAACTCTTAATGAGTGAACCGTAGGTCATAATTATCTAAATCATAATCTATAAATCCTAAGATGGTGCATTCCTTTTTGTGCTTATATTTGGATGAATCATAACCGTCGATTATTGTTTCTAATTAAATTGATCTTGGAGTATAAGATTGGGAGAGTTAACACCTAGATTTTGATCTTTAAGTGTTAGAGTATAGTATCATGTCCGAAAGATCGGTCAATTCAAGGTCTAGATAGTGTTTTCATACTCAAGGTATGCGGTACCCCGGATTTCACCCAGGGTACCGTAAAACTCGCCATATATATATATATATATTAATGAATCAAGTGGAAATAATCCCACATGATCCTCGAAAAGTTAGGTTTCGGAAGGCAGAAATAAAGGCGGCAAACACACACCAAGAAACTCATAATTAACACGATCATGCACGTGGTATATTATCGTTTCGACCATTGCCTAATTTTTGGAACCCAAAACCAATGCACATGTGACATGTACCATAACCAAAAATGGCGGCGACAAAAACAAGCTGGAAAATAGGAAAAAATTAACTAATTATAGTCGACGAACAGAACACGATCTTTTTATTTTTTTTACCTGCATCCGCCAGAGCAAGTCGGCGCTGGGCTTCACCTGAAACCGATCCCTGTAAAACCTCCGGCGTGCTTCCTCCACCTCCGCCCTCTCCTCCGCCGTCCCGCCCTCCTCCTCGTACTCCCACACCTGCCTCCCCACGAACTCGTTCGTGCTGAACAAGTACTTGTCGCCGGTCGCGCCTCCCGCCGCTATCTTCAGCCTCCACATGGCGGCGGCGGTGAATAATTAGTCAACCACCGGCGGTTGCTGCGTCCGTCCTGCCTCCCTCACTCTCTCTCCCTCTAGTTCCCTTTCTGTTGCATAAAGATTGACCTTGGATTAATATGATACATAATATATAGGTCAAGATACGTAGATTATAATACAATAAAAGTCAGCCGGGACGAAGAAGTCAACTGAATATGGACGACGTAATACCGTGGTGGCGAGATTCGACGTTGTCAATTATTGATATGAAGCACGGAGATTCCGACAAGTGGAAGGGGCGAACCTGCGGTGAGATTAAGGAACAGTGGGGGAATTAGCTAGTTAGAGTTTTTTAAGGAGGGAGGAAAGCAGATTTTTGTTTCTATCTTTTGGATTTTGGAGGCAGAAGATTCTCGAGGAGAGGTGAAGACAAGTATATAATGGGCGATTGGGAGGAGAGAGGGGAATATTAATGGAAGCTGCCGTACGTATGTGAATGTGGTGCACATCCACCGTTCTCCTTTGTTTATATATTACTTTACTATCCATCCATCCACCGTTTCTGTTCTTGTTGTTCACTGAATTTAATTCTTTTCTTCTCTCTTTGGTTTCGTCGATGGGTTCGGTATATGCAATAACTATATGTATGTGTGCCCCAGTACTGCTGTAGATTTGTAGGTTGGATTAGAAAATTGGGTAATCTATTTAACCTTTTTTCTTATACGTGTATTTGAGTTAAAGCCATCTCATGAGTTTGACGTTAGTACAGATTTGCGGCATATATCGTGTGTGTTTTAAGATAACTGTTAATATCGAGAGGGTTGTGAGGATTTGAATGTGTGACCTCACGCGATCAAATCAGCTCTGATGGCCATAAACGAACTGGCTGCCAAAAAAAAAAAAACTTGAGTTGTTGGGAGAGGTATGCTATTTATGGATATCTTAATCATTTCCTCACAGACATCTCCAAACGATAGTCAGCTCATGAGATTGAAAGTAGTACAAGCTCATCATCATCATGCGTGCGCGATGTGATTTAAGACATCTGTTAATATTGTGGTGGGGGTCGTGAGGATTTGAACACATGAGCTCGAGATAAAAGCAGTGTTTTGATACAGGTCTCATAATTAAACCAACTAATACCGCGATAACTCGGATTGTTGAGAGATGTTGGTTTTCATTTATGAATTTTGACCGGCTTTAGCTTTCGCTTGTGAGCTTTATCAAGGAGTGGTTAGATATTGTTATTAGGAACTTAATGCATGGTTGAATTTTTTTGGGTTCAATGAATGACTTGTGGTTGTGGTAAGTTTAATTATGAAGTTTAGATGGAGGAATACGAGAGGTAGTTGTTACTTGTTAGAGGGGTTTCGTTTCCAGAATTGATAGCTTGGATCAGCTTTATTCACTGCATAAGAAAAACCAGTACTTACTACTTACTTAGGGTTACCGGTTACCCCAGATATACAGACTCTGTTGGTTTATCAAGTCCATCAAAATAGTAGTTTGCCGGGGTTTAACCGCCTGTTTGGTACCAAATGAATTGAGAATTCATTTTATTGTAAGATGAATTACCACGTAGAATTCATTGTCAAATGAAATCTTTTGTTTGGTATGTGATATTCAAATCTTTAGAAATAAAAAGAATTGTCGTGTGGAATTCATTGTCAAATGAATTTATGTGTTTGGTATGACATATGTATAAGTAATTTAGTTAAAAAAATAGGATAATTATATCATTCTATTATTTTTAATTAATAATTATGGAATTTATTTGGAAATTTCACCTCAATTCCCCATAATTGCTATAACTAGTTCCAATTCAATAGAATTCAAAATTTAGAATTGAAAATGAAATCTTTTAAATACCAAACACAAAAAAGTTTCATTTCAAAATGAATTTCTCAAAACTTATGAAAATCATTTATAAAACTGCAAAGAATTAGGAATTCATAACTCATCGTGTTCAGTTCATATACCAATCATCAGGCTCAACCATCGCAAGAAAGCAATCAATAGGAGGACATTTGGGAAGCCGGCCGCCAAGTGACCACCAAGGATTTACACATCCCAAATCCGTGCACCCCACAAATTTCGCATCCATCAACAAAAAATAGGTTCGTGTTAAATCCATCAAATTTGGAATTTGAGTACCAAATCCATTACCCAAATCCAACAAGCAAACGATCTCTAAGGGGTCGTTTGGAAGTTGAGATTCTTTAAATAGGTGTATTTGATGAATACATCTATTGTCAATACAAAGATTGTAAGAATTAGATGATTGGAAGAATGTCTTGTTTGGTTGTAGCCATTTAAAATTTTTAAAGAAAAGAAAAATCACTTTATGAGCTAAAAGTGAAACAAATTATAACCAACAATCTCAAAGGAAGAATCTCACCTTTTTGTTGAGATTTAAAATGAGTGATTGTGGGTGATATGAGATTTAAGGGCCCACCTCAAATGCATGTGTTGAATAAAGTTTTGAAACAAAAAAACGATGGATTCTCTAGAATACATGAATTCAAAGAATCATTCATCTAGAATCATAACTTCCAAACAACTCCTAAATTTTCAAATCTGTGAGGCCTGCGAATTTGAGCTCTTAAAGTTGTGGGCCCACGGAATTGTTGTCCATGATACATTAAACAAACTATGGAGTACTTTTGACAAAATCGATGATAGATCCAAATCCATCACTAAATCCATCAAGCAAGCAACCCATTGCTTATTGAATTGTTGAATTGGTATATTGTGAATTTGTGATTAATGTACCGATAAATTGAAATTTCAACCTGCATGCTTTAAGTTCAGAGCTAATAGTATTATCTTCAAACCAAATTATTTTTTATTATAAAAGTGTCATTTGCAATCCTTGTTTTTAATGCAAACAATAACTTTTTAAGATAAACATAAACAATAAGAAAGAGAACAATCACAGCTAACAACAATACAATCATTCAAGAATTAGGGGCCGTTCGCTAATGCTTTGCGAATTTGAAAAATGAATGATTTGGTAGAACTTAGGTGTTGAAAAACCATGGATATATACGAGTTTTGGGATCATTATGGACTTGAAAAACACCCTTGTTTGTTTCATATATTTCACCATGGATTTTGTTAATTAGATTTGTATATTTTACGTTAAATGGACTTTATTGCCCTCATATGTATGAAAAAAGAAAGGAAATAAAAGGGGTGCATTGGTCATAAACCAAGCACTTCTAAGTCCATGATCATTTACCACCCTCAAAGTCCATGAGGTCCACTGACTTGTTAACTCAAAATACATGAAGCAACCAAAGAATTTTGGATCCAAATCCATCACTAAATTGCAAGAGTGCTATCACTTTTCTACAACGTAGTGAGCTTTTTTAAATCCAAAACTTGTAGTTTATCGTTTGCCTTAACACGTTGGATGCTTTCATGCGTAGCAATTGCTTTGTTTGTAGTAGTCTTTCTCAAGGTTAGTAGTGTTTCTCTACTTTTGTGAAGGTACGTAGTAGTGTTTTACAGTCAATAGTTTGGGTTCTTGTTTTGTTGTAACATTTTTAGTGAAATATAGTAGTGTTTTCCAAAGGCAGTAGTGTTTTCAGTGAATTTGCAATGTATGGTCTTGCTTATTGCTATGTTGGTTTGATGTCATAGGAGTTTTGTTGAACCTAGTAATGTTTTCTTGAATCAGTAGTGTTTTAAACGATGGAAATGGTTTTTTTCCCCCTTTTTTGCAGCTCTGGCTTCGTAAAATCATGAGGAGGCTTGTGCATGCTAGGATATTTCATATGGAGTGATCTTGTATTTGTGTAGTAAATATTTCACAAATAGATCTTTGGTACTAATTAATTAATTGCATGTATACGTTCTCCTATCGTCATTTTTGCATAAACAATACCGATTTATCACTTTGTAATAATAGTTATTTTACATTTTGCAGTATTGGTTCGTATTACCTATCCGTAGAGATTTATTTGTAAATAACTAGTATTTCTGTAAAACACTATACAATTCGTCAAAATCACTAAATGGTATCATCAATACTACTAATATCTATCTCAATGGGTATTAACTATCACAATATCACTACTACAAATTAAATCACGATTGTGAAAATTCAATAAACTACTACTACTGCGGTATATCTATCATAAAGAAGAGCAAGAGCCTAAAAAAAAAGAGGCTGGAACGTGGGAGGGGTTAACGGAGTCAAATTGTAATCATCCCTAAAAATTTGCATCTCCGCATGTCAATCCCTCTAAAATCCACTTTTTTAACCACACGAATTAGCATCAGATCTAATTCTAAAATAGGAGCGTGAGCGTCTTAGATGCTAGTTAATATGATGTTTCCTCTCTATAAAGTTAGAATTGCTATAGAGTATAGACATTCTTCCTGAAATTGAAAATAAAGCTTTGGTGAATTCAAATTAAACTACTTAAAACACGAGAAAAAAATAATTAAATTTTGTGATGATGAGCTCCAAAAAGAGAGTCAATAGCTGAGCTAGCGATGATCTCTCTGACCACCATATCCCAAACTTAGCAGATTTTGTTGCTGCTGCCACCCGCTTCTCCGATCTTTTATCAACCAACAACTGTAGCTTTTTAACCAAGAACACACAAACTTACTGTTCACTACGAGCACTTATAATATAAAAACCCTCCTCCACGCCTTAATTTGGCGAACCCAGAAAAGAGTCACTGTACTGTGTTGTTGGGGGATAAAAAAAAAATTCCCTAGAAATACAGCAGCAGATCGGGAAAGGGGAAAGCTTCCTTATTACCGGATTGTGCAAGGAGCCGCCGCCATCAGCAAGCGTCAGGTGAAAATCTCTAAAAGCTCTCTTCTTTGTTTCTGTTCAAAGGGATCCTGTGAATCGGCGGTGATTTTTTTTTTCTTCTTCCCGGCGGTGATTTTTTTCTTTCTTTCTATGTTGTGATTCTTAATATTTACTCCATCGGAATCATATATGAAACTTCTGTTCTAGTTTTATTATTATCGTCCAGCTGAATTGAATTGTTCTATCAAACCAAAATCAATAAAACAAATAACCCTTAAAATTCCTGTCGAACTTTTGCACATTCTTCATTAGTCACCGACGATCTTCTGTGTTATTAATAATATGTTTTTGTGCAGTGCCTTGATCAAGATTTGAGCTAAATGGGTCCTATTTACGAATAAACTTAACAACATTGTATCCAGTTTGTTAGTTTCTTTCAATATATGTTGAATTGCATAGTGATTTATCAAATTATTGGTTATTCGGTTGTGTAACTTATCCCGACCTCTATTAGAAATTTTACCAAAACAACACAAATATGACGAACCGAAATATCTAGGGAGGAAACTTTTTGTAATTTAAATTTATTTATTTGCTTGTTTTATCATGAAAGAACTTAATTTCTTAGTTGTTAATAGGAAAAATGATAATTTTAAATCAGAGTGATTATAATGAAATCTAATGCCTTAATTAAAAAAGGGCGAAGAAATTTTTATTGTAAAATTGCGGGTTGAAAGAAGGAAAAGAGTGAGAGAAGGGTTTGGAGCCCAGGCCCAAATTTAGTCATAATCTTCAGGCCCACTAATAAACAAACTGTTGTGGATCACAGGGAGCTGGCAGGAAAGAAAGATAGTGCGAGAAACGGGCTTCAGATGGATAGTTGGCCCACCATAATCTTTTTGCAATTTCCTATGTGTTGTTTTTCTGTTGGCTGGCTGCATTTACCGGCGGTGATCCTCGGCTCCACCACCATTCCCCTTCCACATCAATCCCATAGCTCTCCCGCCCAATTCAGTCAGCGAACCTCAGAAATCAGAATACTAATAATTCTTCCAATCTCTTAATGCCGTTCATCTTCCAGCTAAAATCTGTCGCCTCCAACTTCATAAGGCCGGCGATGGTCCGCCACACCACTGCTAGTCTCGTGTCAACCAGAAGCCTCGAGCCATATGTAAGGAGAGAGTTGAGTTATGATGCGACGGCCAAAGTATGCTGGCCGTCAACCGGTTGGCGAATTTACCGCAAATTGGCAGTTATTAGGGCGAGAAGATGATGCTTGGAGTGAAATGTTTCAATGGTTGGGATTAGCTAGGGTTTTCAGAGGCTCGGAACGTGTTTTTGTTGTTGTTCTTGTTGCAGTAGAGAAGGTTTGCTGAATTGGAATGTTAATTTTTTGCGATTAGCTGCCGCAGCAGCTTCTTGTTCAATAGTGTACTAGGCACACACAGAAAAATAGCCCGCCCAACTCTTTGTCTTTTCGAAGAAGGAAGGTCTAAGATCTTCTGGTTAATTTGATGTTAGCTTAACTAGTTTTCTCACCTTGAACAAGTTGCTCGCTTTCTTGATTCTTCATTATGCCATTCCAGAGAAGTAGAAGGCGGAGAGACGTCTGCATTGCTCGTCATCTCTGGCCAGGTTTGTCTCTTAGAATTCATCATAACCGTTCAATATTTCTGCATTTTGGTCCTGCTATTAGGTTGTTTCCTAATTTCTTTGACCCTCTTGACGACTTAATGTCATTCACATGAAATTGGGTTTCTTGAAGGGTGAAGAATGTTTATATGGTTTGCATGTTAGTCTGTTCGTTTCCTTAACCTAGTCTTTGTATCGATTCGCATTGTGAAGCTGAGAAGCAATTCAACTTCCGTTCCAGCAATTCGAATGCGTTTAATGTGTGGGGAAGGATAGTTTTTTCATCTCTTTCTTTTTGCGCGCTTGATGCCATGAGTAATCAGAGTAATTTAATCCTCTATTGTCAAACATGAAGCTTCATTCAAATTCTGTGTCAGGTTTTTTGCTTCCTTCAAGTGCGTCATGTATGCCTAATTGCCTGCCCTTTTATTAATCCGCTGTGGCTCTTTTGACATATGAGTATGATAATTTGTTGCGATCTATCTTCTCAAAATAATTTGTAGGGTGTATTGTATTATGCGCCAAAATGTAGTTCTAGTGATGGTAACTTTAGGTTCTGGACTCTGTAGACTTATTTGCTTTTTTTCTGTGAATTAATTATCCTGATCAGCAGTATTTCCTTGCTCTTGATTTGTTGAAACTTGTCTTCTAATTCTTCCTACAGATGGCAGATCAGCGTGCAGGTTACAGTGTGGATGAAGCTCTCCTTGCCTTGGGGTTTGGAAAGTTCCAAACCCTTATCTTTCTTTATGCTGGCATGGGCTGGCTCACAGAAGCAATGGAGATGATGATTCTCTCATTTATAGGCCCAGCTGTCAAATCCGTATGGAATCTATCTGCCAATCAAGAGACCTTAATAAGTGTGGTGGTATTTGCTGGCATGCTAATTGGTGCATATTCATGGGGTGCAGTTTCAGACAAATTGGGAAGAAGGTAAGGACTCCGCTACCGTTGTAACAGTACAACTTGTTACGTAAAATTGCTAGCTCAAGTTCGCTTCTCTGCTTGCTTAGAGCTGTCACTTAAACTTAAAAGACAAACCAGGGTATTCTCCTTTAGTTAGTCGATGGTGATGGTTCGTGACACCATAGTTCCCTTCTCTTGACAGGAATTGACTTTATGAAGAAAAAGAAGGGTGAAATTGATCTATAGTACCAACTTCATGTAGCAACTGCAGCTCTCTTTTCATCAACTATCTTATTGTATATGGAGCTTGTTCATGTAATATTGTTCCCATCGTTGGTGCCCTCTCTGCACCCTTTACTCTGCAAGCACCCTGCTCTTTAGATAGTATGCATTTTGATTTTGTTCTTTTTGTTGTTTTATAAATTTTGGCAGGAATGGATTTTTGTTCACAGCATTAGTTACTTCTGCAGCTGGTATTTTTAGTGCCTTTGCGTGGAACTATACTGTGCTGATAATTGCTCGTGGTTTGGTTGGCCTTGGACTGGGAGGTGGGCCTGTACTCTTTTCCTGGTTCTTGGAGTTTGTACCTGCAACAAATAGAGGCCTGTGGATGATCATTTTCTATGTATTCTGGACCATTGGTACAATTATTGAAGTTGCTATAGCATGGGTAGGCTCATCACACCTTATCTCACGTCTGTTACTTAGTCTAAATTTCTCTTGTTTAATCAGAAAGAGTCCGACACTTCCACCTGTGTTGTTTTATTTTATTTCAGTTTATTATGCCACGGTGGGGTTGGAGGTGGCTGGTTGGTGTTTCTGCTGTGCCTTCCTTTACTCTCCTTGTGTTGTACCCTCTGACACCAGAGTCTCCAAGGTACCTATGCTTGAAAGGTAGAAAAGGTGATGCCATTAGAGTCATGGAGAAAATGGCGAAACTAAACAAGAAAGAACTGCCTCCCGGTGTGCTTCTAACTGATCATGAAGTAGAACGGCAAGGACAAGTTGTTACACCAGAGCTGGGTGAACCTGATTCTTCGCCATCTACTCCTAGGTGGGAAGATGCTGACATTGGTGCCATGAAGACTCTAATGATGCTGCTTTCTAGAAAATTGGTTCGCTCGACAGTACTCTTGTGGCTCATATTCTTTGCGAATGCATTCTCCTACTATGGCCTTGTTCTGCTCACTACCCAATTGAACCGTCCTGATCGTTGCAACTCCCATGCACCTCAGTCCGGAGACAGTTCAGACGACAGCGTTGACTATAAAAATGTTTTCATTACTACTTTAGCAGGTGCGTTTGACACACATATTTCTTATCTTTGGTTTCAGTAGTAGTATATCCAACCCTAAGTTGCTGAGTGAGTTTATATATCTTTAATTGTCAGAATGTCCGGGGCTCGTCGTAGCAGCTGTTGTAATAGATAGAATCGGACGCAAAATTTCCATGGCCAGTCTGTTCTTCATTTGTATTGCTTTCGTTCTGCCATTGGTTGTCCATCAATCTCCACTTGTAACCACGATTCTTCTCTTTGGAGCAAGAATCTGCATCACAGGAACTTTTGCAGTCGCTTTTGTGATTGCTCCGGAGGTAAATATATCCTACTTCTATAATTTATGTATACAATGCCTTTTCTGTAACCATTTATAGCTAAACCACCACGACAGTCATGACCTTGTTACATGGATGATATGAGTTCAATCGCAGAAATGATCTTGCATTATTACTTTCATTTGCATCCCATGTTTTCAATGTCATTTGTCAGTTCTTTTCATTGAAATGCTACTTGTCCATCATTCTGAATTCTCGAATGGTTTGTAGGATTGGTTTGTTGCACAATGCAAGTCTGCTGGTACATTTTTTTGAAGATGTTATTTTTTGTAGAGAACAGCTCTGGCCTCTGGCCTCTGGCAGTAGATACATTGATCTCATTCTTGCACTAGTATATAGGCAAAAAGGCACATTGGTTTGGGGGACTCAGTCACTCTTTGGGTTATTGCTGTCTACATCTGTGACGCATTATGTTAAACTTGGTCATGCCAAAGTTTCGCTTTACTTTCATAATTGCACAATCAATATATGTCCGTGCCCCTGATTTAGGGTTGAGCACAACTGTAACCTTTTTGTTTTTCTTCTGCCTTATTGCATATGAAGCTATACCCAACTTCGGTGAGATCAACTGGTTTCGGACTTGCAAGCGCCGTTGGAAGAATTGGTGGGATTGTATGCCCTTATGTGGCAGTAAAATTGATGGAAGCATGCCATCAACGTGAAGCACTACTGCTGTTTGCTGGTGTGGTTGCGATAGGACTAGTTGCGACGGTGTTGATTCCATATGATACCAAGGGCTGCGAATTGACAGAGAGCATAGCGAGCACAAAACACGACAAACCCCACGAAGATGCCTGAAACAGACTACAACCTCGGCTTCCTTTCTGCAGCAGTGATGGAATTTCAGGCAGGGCATCAATACAAGCTCGGCTTCCTTTCTGCAGCAGTGATGGAATTTCAGGCAGGGCATCAATGTTTCTTCCCCCCCCCTCGGTTTTGTGGATAATCAAGTGTCTAGTTTCTAGAATCCATTGTTGTTATGTTTTTCCAGTTTGAACTAGTTATTAGATTGTTAGATGCAAAGAACATGCAGTTTGCTTCTTTGTGTTTAGAATGGACTCAGTTTTTGTGCAGAAGCTCTTCTACTCCCAAACAGACTTTCAAAGTGATGAACGCATCCAGAGTTGAAACTTCAAATTGAAAGAGAATAGGCCCAAAGGTGGGTTCCAGTTATGGCGGATTCAATCATTTTTCCTTGTGATGAATATGATCCTTACTGGTGTTATTAGAAAGTGGCAGACCCGTAGTCATGGGCTGCACTTAGAAGAGATGATACGTGAACCAATTTCCCAGCTGCTGCTTTTCTATTCATTATCTGTTTGTCTGTCTGTCGAAGTTGATAGGACAGCTCTTTTTACAGTTCTTTGTTGAGTGAAAGCACAAATTGTGGATGGCCAGTCAACAATGGCGTTTGCTTCAATTCTCCAGGATCCAGGGCAAGAAAGTGCGAGTGAGTGAGTGGGTTGTTGTACGCAAATTCCAAAAAGCTTCTTTTCATGTGGGCAGAGAGGTCTTTGTCAAAGCAACATGGTCTAATGTGGTTGTTGGTTGCTCCTCCATTAACCATACAGCCATAGATTTCCTGCTACTAAAGTTCATCGTGAGTCGATTTACACATTGAAGCTTGAAGAGAGAGTTGTGCATGGTTGTGGTTGCTGGGTAGTGAACAATCTAATCATGTACCAAAAAGGAAAATGCTTGTCACCAAGAAAACTCACACTTGGTGAAAGAGCCTAGGAAATAGCATGCATGAACCAAGCAAAGATCATGTGTTCTTTATGTGGTTTTCCACCATAGCTACATGCTATCTCATGAAAATGATATCATAAATTAGTTTTGGAAACTTTTTTTTTTACTTTTTCATAAATGGAAACTCAATTTCACTTGGAAAATCGGTGTGAGTTGCACATGTCGAGTGAGCTATTGCCTTTTTGAGTTACATACATATTGAACAATTTTTTGAATCGATTCATTATACAATTTTAAAATTTCTATTCTATGAAATATGCAGGTAATATGTACAATGAGCATGTGACTTCACTTATGAAAATAAAGCTGATATATTTGTATACCAAACAATATTAAGTGCTAGCTCGAAATATTGTTTACCATGTAAGTCAAAGTCGTTTTCTTGCATGACCTTATTGTTTATTTCTTTTTCTTTCTTTTTATTAACTTCACCATCACAGTCACAGCCCTATCATTTTTCTCTTTTAGTTTGTGTTTCATCTTTTACGTGCCAAATCTTAATTGGTTGGAGAGAGACACATCATAAAAGCTCTATAGATCAATGTGGAAAAATCTATTTTATATTTTTATTGTACACCATAAGTTAAGCCGATAATGTACTTACAAATATTCTATTAATTTAAGTTTCGTCACAGAAAAGACTAAATATATTGGGGCTATATGATTGCGACATCTTACCTCAATTAAGTTGGAAGATTAACTATTCAATGCATAAAAATGTGTTTTGTTTGTCATGGAAAAAAGGCTAAATATATTGAGGCTGTAAGATGGTGCTATGAAGGTTAACTATTCAATGTATACAACTTAATACGTGATTCAATTGAGAAAATTAACTCATATGATATCACAAACGTATTATAGAGAGCATAAACTTATATGTGAATATCTCATGAATAAAAACTATATTGTGTTGTGAACACGACTTGCTTTGCTAATTTGGTCGCCAGTAGGTACCAAGAGAAACCTTTTTGTTTTTGTTTGTTATGAATAGAATATGAATTACGACATAGATTTAAGGGTTAATACCATAGTTTGGCCCGAACTATAGACAAACATTTTACTTTGGCCCGTGGTATCGGAAATTGCTATTCTGGCATAAACTATGTAGCATACTTTCTTATTTGGTCCGGAGGTGGGTTTGACCGTCAAATTAGATGGTCAACCGAGTTGACCGTTAGTCAAGGTCCACCTCACTTGCCACATCAGCTATTAGGGAATAAAAAATTATTATTTTTTGAAATTTTTAGTTTTGTTTACTTTCTAAAATTAAATAAAAATAATTTGGTGAGCTTTTTCAATTATTTTTTTTCGTTTATTATTTTTATTATTAGAAAGTAAAAAAAAATTCAAAATACAAAATTAATTTTTTATTCCCTAATAGCTGATATGGCAAGTGAGGTGGACCTTGACTAACGGTCAACTCGGTTGACCATCTAATTTGACGGTCAAACCCGCCTCCAGGCCAAATAAGAAAGTATGCTACATAGTTTAGGCCAGAATAGCAATTTCCGATACCACGGACCTAAGTAGAATGTTTGTCTATAGTTCGGGCCAAACTAAGGTATTAACCCTAGATTTAAAACCTTGGAAAAAATTGAAATACTATAAATATCATATTAATCTCCACAAATTAGTTTTAAGAAAATCTGGCTGGGGAACCAAGGGAAACTTTACTGTATGACGAAGAATTAAAATAATCATTTTATAAACATCTGAAATCATTTTACGTAAATATTCAAAATTTCAAATAATTAACAACCCCAATATTTCAGCAGAAAAGGGTAAACCCCCTCCCCCCCAAATATTTAAGGATATAAAAAAAAAAACGATAACAGCTACGGAGCAACCGGTAAAAAGAAGAAAATACCAATGATATACGAATTCGGATGCTAAATTTATACACACAAGATCTGACAACACAAAAAAATTTCAATTGGTGATTTATTATTTCGAAATTTACGAGAGAATATGACGGAACGAGAAACATGCTCATACAAACAAACAACTCCCCTTGACGCAACTGCTGAAACGATATTCCGCAACTCATGACACTAATTCTCACTAATAAACTTAATTTCCTCACTAATTACTAATTAGCAAGGTAAATGACTCATCAGTAGCCATCTTCTCCTCCCATTTCACATCCTCCAGCCGGAGATCGGCGTAATAAGTAGCTGCGGAAAACCGGGGGAAACCGTCGCCGTCGATTTTGATTCACGTTTCCCTGTATTATCATTATACGGTTAGCACACTACTCCTCCATTTTCTACTGCAATCGTTTGTTTGTTTCACTCTCTGTTTTCATCTAAGTTTTTATCTTCTTGGTATGGTATCAATGGCTCCGAATTCGTCGTCTGTGCTCTGTACTCTGCGTCTCTACATACATTTTCTTGTATTCGAGGAAATCCAGAACCGAAAAATCGTCCATTGTGTTGATTCCTCGGTTTGAATTGAAAAAAAAAAGTGTTAAACAAATCAATCAATCACGATCCTTCAATTAATTGCATAATATTGCTTTTGGAATCTCCTCTCTTGTTTGTTCGGGATAACCGGTGATACTCATCAAGAGACTTACAAAACGAAAAAAAAGAGTGCAAAAATAAATGATTGTGATATCAAATCATACTAATTAGTTGTATCAGTTACTAATTTATTAAAAATTAACGAGTTTTTTTTTTTCGTACGATATTTATACTTTGAATTAGTAGCCTCGCCGGGGTAACAGAAAACTCCCGTCTCGGGAGGAAAAATGTGGATCCGTTTTTTTTTTTTTTTTTTGGTTAGAGTAGAGTGTTAGGTTGACTATTGGTGGCCATGAATGATTCGTCCTTTTTGTTCCACATGCTCTGTCTCCACTTCCTTTACAAACTAGTTTTTTCTTTCTTTTGTGATTCTTATGAATTAAGCACGAGGTCCATTTCCTCCATACCAGAGATTCGATGATGGAAGGGAAAAAGACTATTGAGAAACAAAGCCTCATAGCCTAATAAGTCTCTAACCCTAAGCCTCATAGCCCTCGCCTCACACACGCCCTACCCTGTCAATCGAGGAGACGGGTACCATTTTTGTATCCGTTTTATATCCGAAGGCTTACCATATGTAACACAAGAGTTCTCCACTGATTCTTTCTTGTCGAGCAGCTTGGCAGTTTCCACCGCCTGTCCAGGGTTGAGCCCTGAGATTTGACGGAAGACTTAAAAAGCCACCTACGGAAGCTTTACGCCCAATCATTCCGGATAAAGCTTGCATCCTCTGGAACCCTCGCTTGTTGAACTACTTTAGAATTCAACTTTCAAGCTGGGATACTTGACTTCCAGCTTTCTATCGCATATTCGGCTGTCAGATCCCTACAAGGGCTCCTGTTGCTATCAACGAGTCAATATGCCCGAACCTGGCTCCAGGATAGAGAACAGATAGGCTCTTCCGTCTGTTGTCACAAAGAAGTTGCACAGTATTATTATGATGGTAGTTTGGCTTTGTTACCTTAATGATCGGTCTAATTGTAATGTGAGGATCTGAACATCCACCAAATTTTCCACTCGCGAACATTGAACGACCAACAATCAACGAAATATAATATGATCCGTCTTTGGTTAGAACTAGACAGGATAGTCCTCTTCGATTTGTCTTCTTCCCTCCAATCCCCATGTAGCAAGATACATAAAAGTCCGCAAACTGACAAACACAAAATGCTGCTGTGTCCAGTGCTACAAAACCAAAAAACCTCACGCAGCTGCCTGGTGGACCAATAATCTGCCGAGCTTTCTTCCCCAAGCGAGGAGCTCATTGCCACCACAGACCCTGCTAGTTTCCTGGTTCTAATTGAAGGAGAAAAAGAAGAAGAGGAGGAAAGAAAGAAAGAAAGAAGTAGGATAAAATCTGAAAGAGATGGCCAAGGTTTGTTTATCTTCTCCTTCTCCATTTATACCCACTTTCTGTTTCATGTCTCTTTTCCATATACTCCTCTTTCTCCACTCCACGTTCTGGTTTTTCTCATTTCATGGGTTTTTGATTCCTCATAAAAGCTTCAACGCGTTACAGGTTTCCAATATTTGTGGCACTGTTATGCGGAAATCTGTTGCGTTAACTTCCCTGTTTTGTTCTCCGTGACAGAGAGAGAAAGAGAGTGCGTTGTGTCATTTTAAAGTTGGCTCTGTGGCTAGATTTTTTTGTTTTTTGTTTGAGAAACGTGATATTTACCCCACGGGATTCAGGGGAAAATACGTACAGACTCCTCTTTCTCTCTACCTTCCTTCATTCCCTCCTTCCCTCCCTCCCTTCTAGCTTCCTTCACCTTCCTCCATCCCACAAATTTATAAATATGGTGGAACAAGCGCCTTTACTTTCCTCCTCTGCAATTTCTTATCCTCGTTATACACTGGTTAGCCTATCTTCTCTCTGGATCGGTTTCCATTTCCTTACCAAGAAGAACAAGGGGTGGTAAACAAAAAAACCCTTCTTGTCACTCACTGTACTCTGGCTGTCTCCTCTGTTTCGGTTTTGGTGTGGTGCAGATGGCTGATCAATCCGCAGGAGGTTACAGTGTGGATGGAGCGATCATATCAATGGGGTTTGGGCTCTTCCAAACCCTAATGTGCGTTTATGCTGGGATGGGTTGGGTTTCTGAGGCCATGGAGATGATGATCCTGTCGTTTATTGGGCCAGCAGTGAAGTCCAAGTGGAATCTCAGTGCTGATCAGGAGACTGTTCTAACCGTTGTGGTCTTCGCTGGGATGCTTGTTGGCTCCTATCTCTGGGGCTTCCTCTCTGACAGATATGGAAGAAGGTCAGAAAAAAAAATCAACATCTTTTACTCTATTTTATTCTGTTTGTTTGGCTTAATTTAGTGGAACTCTACTACCCAGAAGTCAAAGTTGTGGGATTTTGATGGAACAAACACTGTTTGTAAAAAACTAAAAATTAATGGTGTGGTGCAGGAATGGGTTTCTGTTCACTGCAATAGTTACCTCCATAGCCGGTCTCTTCAGTGCGTTTGCTTGGAACTACTATGTGCTAATGATTGCTCGTTGCGTTGTTGGTGTGGGGTTGGGAGGTGTGCCAGTAGTCTTCACCTGGTTCTTGGAGTTCATACCAGCACCAAATAGAGGCCAATGGATGGTTGCTTTCAATCTGTTCTGGACTCTTGGAGCCATTGTTGAAGTTGGTTTAGCATGGGTATGTAACCGTGTCAAAGCACAATTGGTTCATAGTTCCTACCTAGTGCTTCTTTTTCTACCTACTTGTACCTTAATAACCCCGCGGCTTTGAATTCCAGATCGTTATGCCGACACTGGGATGGAAGTGGCTCGTCGGTCTGTCAGCAGTTCCCTCGTTCGTTCTCCTTTTTTTCTACTACTGGACCCCTGAGTCGCCAAGGTACCTGTGCCTCAAGGGGAAGAAAGATGAGGCGCTTAAGATCATGGAGAAAGTGGCCAAATGCAACAACAAGAGCCTGCCTCCTGGTGTTCTGCTCACTGACCATGAGATTGAGCAACAAGGGCAGGTCTATTCTGCCGATTCGGAGCCCCCTTCGTGGGAAGATTCCAACTTGGGGCTCCTCAAGACACTCAGGCTGCTGCTCTCGCGCAAGCTAGCTCGTGCCACAGTGATGTTGTGGATCATATTCTTTGGGAACGCGTTCTCGTACTACGGACTTGTTCTGCTCACCACACAGTTGAACCGCAGCGATCTGTGCAATTCGAATGTGAAGAAATCAGATGACTCTGGTGCTGGTATTGATTACAAGAACGTTTTCATCGCCACTCTTGCAGGTAAGACAGATACCATGTGAGTAGGCATAGACTTAAAAGACTCTTTTTTTCACTTAAAAACATGTTTTCCTTCCATGTTGTACAGAATGCCCGGGCGCCCTTGCTGCCATTCTGCTAGTGGACAGAGTTGGTCGCAAGTATACCATGGCAGGTTTGTTGTTAGTTTGCAGTGCCTTTGTGGTGCCATTGGTTACACATCAGTCTTCCATGGTGACCACGATTCTTCTGTTCGGAGCTCGTATATGCATCACTGGATCTTTTGCAATTGCCTTTGTCCTGGCTCCGGAGGTAAACCAATCTCTTCAATATGATCTGCAGTAGTTCAAGTTCTTACAGTCTCATTAGCCTAACTAACATGGGGGGAGCATTGTGCTTGTGTGTTGTTTGGATGAAGCTGTACCCGACATCAGTGAGGTCAACCGGGTTTGGAATCGCGAGCTCCATGGGAAGGATCGGTGGGATGACTGCCCCATTCGTGGCGGTGAGCTTGACAGAAAGATGTATGCAGCGAGAAGCCGTGCTGCTGTTCGTCGGTATTGTTGTGATCGCAATGATCGCGACCCTGTTGATTCCATACGACACCAAGGGGATGGAGCTGACGGAGAGCATATCCAGCATGAAGAATGAATCAAAGGACTCTGGTGCGCCAGTCAAGCCTCGTCTTGCAGAGGCCTGAAATTAGTACACCTAGGATTTTATACACTGGTTTTTATAGTATAGTACAGGAGATAAGTGCTGCCTTCGCTTGCGGGAGCAGATTGTCATCTAGATTATTAGGAGGATTTGATCTGCCAGACAAATAAAAGAAAGGCATATGATGCAGCAAGCTTGAGGATGGTAGCAGGCAGGCAATAACAATGGAGGTTATAAAGCTTGTTTGATCAGCAAGCTGCTTCTCGACTTGCAGTAGTCAATAGAAGGGATCAGAAGAAAGTTGAAACCTTATGTTTTACTATCAGCAGGAGAAATTTATGTCGCCATGGTTGCCGCTGACAGTCCTGTATTTTGTTAGGCCTGTCAGGGAATCCCTCCCGAGAGGCTGACTGAAAATTTGGATTGATGGCTGTAGTTATTCCATTGTTTTGAGCTATTAATATAAAAAGTTGCAGAACGATTTTACTCTGAAATGATAAGTTGTAACTTGTAAGGATCAAACCTATGAGCTTGTTGTCTCAATTCTTGTACCTTGTCACTTAAGGCATCTCTTGGTGAGTGGAGTATGGAGTTTGGGGCAGATATGTGATTCTTTTATGGCTTAATTGCAAGTTTGGTCACTCGAATTGCTATAAAATTTCATGTTTGCCACTCGAATTAATTTATTCCATTTATAGTCACTCAAATTAGTTGAACAGTCCAAGTTCGGTCACTCTCCGTTAACCTCCGTTAGACTCCGTTAATGACGACCGTTAAGTGATGACGTGGCTAACAGAAAGACACAGTCAGCACATTTTAACATTAAAAAAAAAAACGACCCGACTCGCCAGCTCAGCCTTACCCGCCCTGTCAACCATTTTTTGCCCAACCCGCGAACCAACCGATTCAACGGCCATCCACCCGTCGCCGTCGCCTCCTCATCTTTCATTCATCAGCCATCCACCTGCTGCCCTCGCTCTATTCTTGATACGTCTCCTCTCTCGCTCTTTTCTTCTTCTCTGCCTTAAATTCGCGAGCAAGAGTATCGATCGATCAGGAAGAAGAATTAGAGGCATTGAATCAATCATTCAATCGACGCAACTACTCTCTCCCTCGTCTTCTACTTACTCGCTCAGATCCGGGCGAAGAGTGATATCAGAAATGGCGTCAACGTTCAGCGGCGACGAGACTGCTCCTTTCTTCGGCTTCCTCGGAGCCGCATCCGCCCTCGTCTTCTCCTGTAATTTTCGGAACCTTTCTATTTCCGATTTCCGATTTAGTTACCGTAGATCTATGAGGATTAATCTTGGATCTGCGGTTGCGCTCGTGTAATTTGTTGTTGCAGGCATGGGAGCTGCATATGGCACGGCGGAGCCGGAGAGCGGGGTTGGAGTGGCGTCGATGGGGGTGATGAGGCCCGAGCTGGTGATGAAATCCATTGTTCCAGTGGTTATGGCTGGTGTCGAGCAGGAAGCAGAAATGGGTCGAATCCATCGACCCAATGAACCCTTGCATATCGTCGAACGCGCGAATCGCTTGGCGGGTGAATCCGGTCGGCGATCAGCCGCCGAATGAGGACGGAGAAAGTGGTGAAATTGGGCTGGGAATCTGAATCCTCGTCGTTTTGCTGCCCCATCTGGATGATTAGCTGCCAACAAACGTCGAATTGGTGAACCTTCGCGAGGATATCGATCATGAGGTTGTAAGCGGCGGAGGTGGCCGGAGAAGAAGGGAGGGAGAGAGAGTAGTGGAAGAGGGATAGGGCGATCTTGGAGCTGTGGCGGAGACGGATTAGGGTCTGGTGGAGGAGGGAAGGCGTGAGCGAGATTCCGTTGAGCTGGAGGCAGGATTCCATGGCGTGGAAAGGGTTGTGGTGGTGGAGGAGCATCTGCGAGAGTAGTTCGGCGTCGGCGGATGGTTCGAGTGTGGGGAGCTCGGAGGTGACTGCGGATGCGGAGAAGTTGCGACGCGGAGGAGGAAGGTAGTGGTGGCGAGGGCTCGATCTCTATTTATTTTTCAGGGGGTTGTGTCTCGGGTTTGGGTTTGGGTCAATTAATTGGGTTGGTTCGCGAGTTGGGCAAGAAGGGCTGACATGGCGGGTAAATATGACGTGGCGGGTCGGGTCGTCATTTTTTAGTGTTAAATTATGCTGACTGTGATTTTCTGTTAGCCACGTCATCACTTAACGGTCGTCATTAACGGAGTCTAACGGAAGTTAACGGAGAGTGACCGAACTTGGACTATTCAACTAATTCGAGTGACTATAAATGAAATAAATTAATTCGAGTGGCAAACATGAAATTTTATAGCAATTCGAGTGACCAAACTTGCAATTAAGCCATTCTTTTATTGTTCAATCCAGCAGGAGATGGTGATTGTTTTGTTTTTTCCTATATTGGCCTTTGACTATCATTGGGCTTTGATATCTTAAACTCATTACGGGCTTGTGGCCTATTTATCCGGAACAGCCCAATAACGAATAAAAAAGATCAGGAACAGCCCAACGGCGGTGAGAAGATGACCCGTTTCTGACCCAAGATAGTGTTAGCTCCAAGTTCCAATTATGAGGTTGTTGGAATGAATTATTTGAATGAGTTATTTGGGTTCAAATTGAATTTGTGTTATAAACTTATAATGTTAAATATATAAAGTGGTGAGGCAAGTAATACATTACTCTTTTTTCTTTATGGATAATTCAACTGCCATATTTAAATTAGTGGGTATTTCTTTGTAACATCTCAATCAACATTTTTAATCAAAATATATCCGGTTTGAGATTACCTCGCACGAATTTGTTTCTCAAGGTACTATGGTGACTTCCCAAAATATAATGCAGTACTTCATTCTAAGAAATTTGCCTTACCGAAATTTTTTGTGCCTAAAATGTTATAGTATTAGATATTTTTTTTTTCGAAATCCCAAATTATTAAAGAAAATAAAACAAGAACAAAGGTGTCAGCAAACAAAAATTGCCAATAAAACCATAGCCAAACCTGATTGAAATAGACACACTCGACATTTTAATGAGCTGAATGCAATCGGATTCGGAATTTCGGATCTCTTCGTACCATTTTTTTTGGGTAGGAACTTCGTACCATTTCTACTATTAGCAGCGGCAGGTAAGCTAGAAGCCAAAGCGACAGCGGGAGTGACAGGATCCATGTCCTTCAATGGCTATTTAGCTTAATAATAGCCAGCCCAAGCCTACTTCACTCTCTACCTAGATACTCACTGTACCCTTTGTCTTCCTCCGTCCACTTCACAGATTCTCCCATCGCACCTTTTCGTTATTTGGATTTCGGATTAGATTCCTCTCTATAAATCCCCCCCAATCATGGCGGCAGCCCAATCACCATCACCCGATCTTTCCACCGGTAACAATTTCTTCATCATCTCTCTGTCTCCCGCCCCTTCCTCTTTTAATTCTCTCTTCATCTTGATCGCTAGGTCTTTCGATTTGATCTTCGATCGATCTGTTCTGTTTGTGCTCTGATTTGATGGCCCGAGTTGTTTCATGGATTGGTGGGGATGGATTCAATTCTGATATGCGTCTGTATGATCTCTGTCATGTGATTTGTTGTTTGCTCCAATTGAATGAATGGTTTCTCCAAATCGGGAACGAGAATGACTCTTTTTTGTTGTTTACTGCTAAATTTAGGATCTTTCTGCATCTGGGGATCGTAAAGTTGGAACCTTTGTTTGATCTGGGTTGCTGGGATGCTGTTGAAGGGATAATTGTGTGTTTCTTACCTTTAGTGATCTCAGATCCTGGTGATATGAGATATTCTGAATCTTGTTAAATTGTCTGAACTCGAAAATTCTCATCGACCCCGTTCTTAAACTGGGAAAATTAGTTGGAAAAAGAGATGTAATTGGATAAAAACCATGATATACCATTGAGCATTGTTAGCTGTGTGGAAACCTCTGAAGATGTTAGCCTGGCCTTTAGAGTAGACAAGTTCTTGTTATCTATCCTGCCATTTTCGATACTGACTCTGTAACCTGATCCTCAAAGCCCAGTCTGGTGACTCATAGATGTTGACACCTTACTTCTTGGTGCATTGTTTACTGTTTTTGGTAGAGTTATGTGGGAATTTCATTGTGTTGGTTCTGATATTTTCTTCTCGGTTTGGCATTGCGATCTTGTGAGTTTAGCCAGATCTGGCTGCTTCTTACTTCAAGAGTATTCACATTCTTTAATTTATCATGTTTGCATAATAGGTGTGTTTGCGTGGATTTGTGCGCACATATTCATTGCTTCAAGTTTTGCTATCAACAGTTTTAAGCTTTGGTTGGTCAAATTATATGTACTGCCTGTGTTTGTAAGACTCTTCTGAGTCACTGAGCATATTGATCATGGATGCAGAAGAGAAACTTCTTGAACCAGATAGCATGAAGGAGCGGGTATATTTTATACTCTTCACCTCTCAATGTCTTGATTATTATGGTTCTTTCTTAGACGCAATGTTGTTTGCTTCTTTTACTGGTTAGCGAACAAAATGAGATATCAATTTCTTCTAATTCCTCTCAGGATGCTGCCACTATAGGTCATCCGAGGGACGCGGCTCAGTTTGGATCTTTTGGCTCCATTGGAGATCAAACCGTCTATCCTCCAAATATGTATGCCCCTCAGCCTCAGGCTTTCTATTACAGAGGTTAGTTTCCACCCCTCTCCCTTGAATAGGTTTGACGGTATCCTTGATGGTCACTGACTGCAGGAAACTATGATTTGGCAACTAGTGATAATGGTTTATGCAAATAATTATTTCATTTTGCGTCAATCAGGTTATGAAACTGGTGAATGGGATGAATTTTCTCCTTATGTCAATGCTGAAGGAATGGACATGGGATCTGCAGTGAGTTTGACCTTTCGCCTCATGTGAATTTGGCAACTGTTGGTGCATATTGTATTTACTATATGTTTCTCTAATTTTTTCCTCATCCAATCAGGGCATCTATAATGAGAATCCTGCTCTTGTATTCCATGGTGGATATGGGTATGGGCCACAAGTTCAATATGGGCCATATTCTCCAGTCACACCACCTTTACCTTCTGTAGGTGGAGATACACAGTTGTACCCTCCTCAACAATTCCAGTTTTCAGGCCCCCCTTATTACCAACAGCTTGGTCCTCCTAATATGCCATACATTCCCCCCCACGCACCTGTTTCACAGCCTGAATTCAATACCTTGCCACCAATGGATCATCAAGGTGAGAACATGCTTTCTAGACCAAGGCCTACTTACCCTCATACCTCAGGATCTTTTGGTAGAGGCAACGCTCCTGGCAATCTTGGTGGTCTTGGTTTTCATGAGGTGTTTGATGGATTAAGGTCTGGGGGAATATGGTCAGATTACTCAAAGCCCTCTGATAGGCACAGGCCTTTTACTCCCTACTCGCCTGCAGTATCCCCGCAACCAACCGCTCCTTTCGGGTCATTTGGGAAGAATGTTGGAATGGTTTGTCACCTTCTTTTCTCTACTTTATGTTGATTTTTTTGTTTTAGTTTTCGATATATAAGTGCTAATTAAATGACAATTAACTTGAACAGTTAGCATGTATGCTTAGCTAATTTTTACTAGACAGGATTTGTAAATGGCTTACTGTATTTGTTATATGATTGAATTCATGTTTATCACTAGTTATTGTATTCTTAGATTTTATTCCTGGTGGCATTATATCGATAAATCAAGGAAATCAGTTTATTTTATGTAATCCTGGCTGGAGTTAACAGCTATTTGAACTATTAGCTGCTTCTGCGGGTTAATTTTGGCAAAATGCCCCGGGACAGTACTCAGCAGGAAAAACCAACTACCATGCATTATTTGAAGGTTGTATTTAAGTGACTATCTGTTTTGATCTCCCTGCTATTATAGCCTCTTAATAATTTGTACGTCTATCCCTGATCAAAGATGTGAAGTCATAGCTATTGAGGGCTGTGGTATGAGTTCATCTTAAGCTGTTCTGGATCAAATCTTTGCACTGTGAAATTATATAAATATTATTGCATCTGAAAACCGATTTGGCACTCCTTGAAGTTTTGACATTGATATAGTTTCTCTGCTTGTTCTGGCACTGATTCATTACCTTATGCAGGCACCTCAACAACAAAGATCTTTTTATGGCTTTGGCTCTGGTTCAAGTTCCTTTGGTAGAGGTCATACATATGGTGGTTTTAATCAAGGGCCCAGCTTGGGAAATGCATCCTTTAAGGGTGTGGGGACAAACAATCGTGGTTGGCTTTCCTTAGATAATAGTAGATGGCGTGGAAATAACGGTGTTTCTCTGTGTGGCTGCAATGGCAACCTTGATATCCTTAGTGAGCAAAACCGAGGACCAAGGGCCTCAAAGCCTAAGAATCAAAGCACAACAGAGCAAACTGGTGCTTCAGTCGACATTACCAAATGCAGCAAATCATCTCCAAAGGTCAATGACGACTCATACAACCGACAGGATTTCATTACTGAATATAAGGAGGCAAAATTCTTCATCATCAAATCATACAGTGAAGATAATGTCCACAAGAGCATTAAATATGGCGTTTGGGCTAGCACACCCAATGGAAACAAAAAATTGGATGCTGCTTATGCTGAAGCAAAGAAAGCAGATCCTTGTCCACTTTTCCTCCTATTTTCAGTAAGTATTCCTGCTCGGCGTATACTCTCTACAAAATGTGGAATTGGTTTGGCTTTGTCAATCATGATTATGATTGGATCACCTAATGCAGGTGTTTTTATTTGGGTTTTCCTTGGCTTTCTTACTCATTGACTCTGTGCAGGTTAACGCCAGTGCTCAGTTCTGTGGAGTTGCTGAAATGACTGGACCAGTAGATTTTGATAAGAGCGTGGATTACTGGCAGCAGGATAAATGGAGTGGGCAGTTCCCTGTTAAGTGGCACATTATAAAGGATGTTCCCAATAGTCAATTTCGCCATATAGTTTTGGAGAATAACGATAACAAGCCTGTCACTAATAGTCGGGACACGCAGGAGGTAGGATTCTCTTGCCAAGGAACTTTCATAAGCAACTTGAAATCTAAGCTAGGCCTGATCTTAACTTTAACTTGTGCAACGCTAACTGTCTGAAACATGCCCATTCTACAGGTGAAACTCGATCAGGGCATCGAGATGTTGAACATATTCAAGAACTATGAGACAGAGATGTCCATCTTGGACGACTTTGACTTTTATGAAGGCAGACAGAAAGCACTGCAAGAAAGGAAATTCAGACAGCAGCAAGTGACTCCCATTCCTGACACTGCTGTTCCAGAAAATGAACAGAGAAAGGCAGTGAGCCCTCCCGGTACTTTTATCAAGCAGATGTCCAAGAGCTTTGCTCAGGTGGTGCGCTTAGACGATGATGCCAGCAAACAAAGCTGCAATGCAGGTGAGGCAGCTGTCCCCGTCCCATCAGATGGTTCCATGGGTGCCATGGGGTTCCCACACCTCGAAGAAGTCGTGACGACGGCAGTCTCCACTGCTGCTGAAACTACCGGTGGGTAGGAACATACGTGATGACATCCTCGATATCCCATCCAGACGATCGTTCTGGCATGAGGTGGTTGTTTGGGCAGAGGATTGTCATTAGCGTGGTGCATGAAGCGATGACAGACAGTGTTCTGCAAGTTTGTCATGTCCGATCTTGTGAGAAGGTAGTTTTTGGCTTTGCTGCTCTTATTAGTTTTGTGATGGTGTCTCAGGTTTCCAGTTTGTTTGGTTTCTTTAAGTTTTGGAAGTGTTAGAGCTTGGCATTATGAGTTTCTCCATGTGTAATATAATGCAATTTGAGCATTCAGGTAAAATGGTTTTGCTTTTTCCCCCCCGGACTCACCCCTTTCAATGCACTGCGTTTGCTGTTCTGCTGCTTTTAGATAATGTAGCAAGTGTAGACGAAGGTTTCGAAAGTCTGGTTTTTTTTTAAGAGACATCATCAAGTAATGGATTATATGACACTGCCCGAGAAATTGGTTGAATGGTTATATGGATTTCATGAAAAAATTAAATTTTGTAAGTAAATAAGATTAAAATCTATGCTTAATTAAAAAAAACTTGCTTGAAAATATGGTATATGTAGTTATGTACTTACTTTGTAGTTTGTACCAATTTTTCTGGTAACATCCTCGATAAAGATACACCATCCAAAGGAAAAGTCTGCCTTCTTTTAATATGCGCCTTTCCCATCATTTTCATAGCTCCTTAAACGTATAGGTTACCACAAATATATAGTGAAGGTTTATCATAATTGTTCTCGTTTTTCCGACGAAGATATTGTCCTTTTGGGTTTTAACCCTCATTGTTTTCGACTTGGAGTGCAATTCAATGTGACTTCCCATAAGGTCACTCATCCTTGTTGTACTCCACACTGAGCACGTTTAACTTCGGAGTTCTCACAAAAACTCTTCCATTACACCCCAAAACGCGTCTTGTCAGTTAAGACCGGTTTCCTACTTATGAACCATGGATCTCTCCCGTGTTTTGTTGATGTGGGATTCGCCTAAGGTGTTACAGGAACTTGAAGAAATAAATAAAATGAAACGACATCCACAAGTTTAATTTTGAAATAATTGCAGAGAATCGATTGTCTCCCCCTCGTCCCCATTTTTGGGTGGTGGGAAATAGGGGTGAGAAAATGAATTATAATTGAGAATCCAATCTAATTAAAATTTGAACTTTAAGGATTTTCAATAAATATGATAATTGAACCCGAATATTGTGGATAATAGATGGCCATAGTTTTTATAGTATTCATTGCCAACTCGTTTGATTGCACACATGTATATGTGTATTTAAAATAGTCATTATTTTTCTTAAAATATTTTATACTTATTATACATATATGAAAACTTATATTGTTCAAACTAATTTTGTTCATCCTAGTAATTTATTGTTATAATTGTTCTCTTATGTAATGTCAGTAGTGGTGGAGTTAGAAATCTAAATGAAGGGGAGGAGGGAGGACTCTTTTGATTTGTGGTAATTGGAGAGGGGGTTAAAGTCTTGCCGACTACTCAATTATTCAAATTTTGTTACGAATTTTGCATGTGATTTTAAATAAAGATCTCCTCCTGGCTTTAACCTCGCTCCGCCATGGAATGTCAATATAGGTGTAATTCTTGTGTCGGTTGAAGCTATAAAGAAAAACGATTATCCATTGGATAATCATGAATAGCGAAATCCAATCTTATGTAATATGATTTTAATATTCTACCCGATTTTTGTATAATTATCGATAAAATTCAAACTATTTTAAGTAAAATAACGGAATGAACTATCCACCCACTTCAATCTGTTGCCATCGTTCGGAATGATATATATATATATATATATATATATTTGATGAATGAGATATTTTTTTTAGTATTATCTACAATAGACATTTTGAGCCCAAAAAGAAAAGGATAATCTTACTTTTATTTGGTAAAAAAAAAAAACACAATTAAAGTTTAAGAAAAGAGGTAGAGTTATGAGTTATCAGATTACATTCATCAGCCATCTCAAACACTTGTAGTGATAGTCAATCTTTGAGTTCATCTTTGGGGTTTGACATCTTCCTATTTATACAGAAATTGTATTACCTTATTCGTAGTAGTATGCCGTAGAATATGAGTGTTACTTCCTGCCTTATCCTCCAATATCCCACCACATTCTCAATTCGTTCAATCTTAATTTGTCTAAATATCTAGCAACGTTTCTCTTATTTTTTGAAAATAATTAATTAATTATGCGGGGTTAAACTAAAGAACCCTAACATATTCAACAAAAAAAACCAAACATAACTAGGGTTAAAACTTGAGTGATGCATGCCGAAACAGAGGTCGGAGTAGTGATGGCAATTTCAACTCGCCCCGCGGGTATTACCCGACCTGACCCGCGATAGGGCGGGTATTACCCGACTCGCAGTAGCGTGGGGCGGGGCATGGGTATGAATTTCTGACCTGCCCCGCCCCGCCCCGTTCTAGACTCATTTTATCTCAATTTCTTACAATTTCTATACATATTTCTCCTATTTTGACTTTCTTTCAACTAGTTAGAGTCGCTTTTTCAACTTGTTAGACTCAATTACCCATTCTATTATCACTATTTTTCATTTTTAAAGTGCTTTATCCTTCGTTTTATCGTAAAAAGTAAAATTTACTTGTATTTTTTTCGAATAACATATAAGAGTGGGTCGACCCGCCCCGCCCCGTACCCACGCGGGTTTTACCCGCCCCATCCTGTAGTAACGTGGGATGGGGCATGAGAATTGAGGTACCTGCCCCGCCCCATTGCCATCACCAGGTCGGAGGGGAAATATTATTACCTATCTACCTAGCTCGCCTCCATTGTCCCTTCGGTAAAATGTAAAAACTGTAAATTGCTAAAAGGAGGAGTTCAGTAAACTATGAGAAACAAACCAGATGGTCGTGGACCTGACCATATCCACATTTCCTCATAGGCCGCTCGCTTTCAGTTCCCCCAACTCAATCCCTGGCCGCCTCGGCGCATTCACATCACATGATGGCATGGGTTTAATCCCAAAGCCTATGCCACAAGAAGACGACGAAGACGAAGATGCCGCGCCAATACTAGAAGGAGGAGAAGACGAAGAAGAAGCAGAACCGCTGTGACAGATTGATGGCTGTGGCGATTCTCGAGTATTTCCACCCTCTTCGTAATGGATTCCAATCTTGGCTCCACAGTCCCGGTGCCGATTCCGGGATTTGGTTTCTGGGCTATGGCTGCGGATGGGCTACTCTTCTTTCCCTTCTCCTTATAACCCTTTTCCACTTTTCCAGGCGCCTTCTCTTCTTCCTCTTTGCTTCTTCCTCGCCTCAACCTTCTCCTCTCTCTGCCGCCACTCCTAATCCGCTCTCGCCCTCTGGTTCTAACCCTGAATCCAGGTTGCTATCCTTGTGTTCTTTCTACCCCCACCTTTGCTTTACACTGCTGGGTTTCGTTTTTATCTTCATGTAATCATTTGGGTTCTTCTCATTCCATTGTTTGAATTCCGACTGAGGGTTCCCGTTCAACTTTCTTGTCTACCAACATATCACTTGTTAATTTGTGTAATGGTTGCCATTTCCGCCGCAATATTTCCCTTAGGAATTCTCACATGTGGATATTGCATAACATGAATCTGCGCTTGTTGGTCATAGACTTTAGTACTGCGAAAGAATTGTTCAAAGCGATCGATACCATTTCTTGACATGCTTTGCAAATTCATTTGGCAGATCATCGGAGTTGGTATCAGAAGCAGATTTGAAGTTCTTGGTTAAAAATCTGGATGAGATTGACGAGAGTGAGAGCTGGGAAGCTGTTATAGATAAGAGAAATAATCTTCTACATTATAACGCAAAATGCTGCAAGCCCAAGGTTCAATCTCTTCCCTTGGTTACAATAACCTATCAATGTGATGTCTTATGTTTTCTGCGTTTTATTCATTCGTCTTACCCTGTATATCCGAAGTTCTAACTTGAGCAGTTTGCATACAGGATAACAATCTTCTACATTATGCCCATTACTGTATTTTGAGAAAGTGAAAGAAAAAACCATCCCTCTGGTGCTTCCTGTACATTATGTCTTAGCTTCTTTCTTTTAAAAACTGGAAGAGCGTTCATTGACTACTGTAGTCGTTGTTATATGCAGAATGCTCCTATGAAGTACTTGAGCGTGACGGTTTTCGAGAATTGCACTCCTGAGCTGCTTAGGGACTTCTATATGGATAACAATTACAGAAAGCAATGGGACAAAACTGTAGTGCAACATGAGCAACTCCAAGTAGATCGGTCGAATGGAACTGAAATCGGTCGCACTATTAAGAAGTTCCCACTTTTGACACCTAGGGAGTACATTCTTGCATGGAGACTATGGGAAGGAAAGGATAAAACGTATTACTGCTTTATTAAGGTATCAGCCTACTGTCTTATTTATGAGTCCAAAGTTGAATCCCCTACTTATTTTCCTCTTTGGTGTATGGTGGTGTTTTACATTGAACCAGCCTTTCATTTCCTAATGCGAAATGATTCTCCTTGTATCCCTGCTCCATTTTGTCTTCCGAAGAGTTCTTCCAGTTCTAGATAAGGATGCATAAAAATAAGCTTGTGATAGGGAGTTTTTCTTCATTCATTTTTTCCGAACATAGTGGCCTGATATATCTATGCAAATGTGCTACTAACATGAATGGAAATGAATAACTTCAGTCTAATGAACTAAATGAAGAACCGATAGCAATAGTTATTCTCTGGATGAACAATCACATAAATAGACATTTCTATTAATTAATGATGGAACTTGAGGTTTGAACCTTGGATTCTGGGTACTGGATATTTGGCTGCTGCTAGGTTTGGTGACAATGTAACTTTCTGCTGACATATTTTTTTCATCATGTTCAGGAATGTGAACATCAGTCAGCACCATTACAGAGGAAGTGTGTGCGAGTCAAATACTTTAGATCTGGCTGGAGAATTAGGAAAGGAAAGTTCTTGAATATGGCATTTGCTTATTGATCTCTTGTCAAACAGTTTGGCCTTGAAATGGATCAAGTGAAAGCCAGAGGTCCCTTTCATTGTCAATTTGTAATTTTTGTTGGTCCTGGTTATGATGTTCCAAGCAATTTTTCTTCCTATGATGGTAGATCCTTGTAGCTTAGACCTACAATGATCTCCTTTTGTTTTGTTCCTTCAAGTTAACCACTTCTTTAAGCACTTTTCATCTCAATTATCTTTTATCAACATGAAGATTTCCCTAGTTGCCGCCCTCCAATAATTCAATGGGAAAAGGCTGTGATGCTCTTAGATCTTACTATTTTAGTTTGTAGCTATAGAGTTCTGAATACTAAACTAGTTGCACCATTTTTGTGTACGCAGTACCTGGTAGGGATGCTTGTGAGATCAAAATGTATCACCAAGAAGATGCTGGACTAAATGTAGAGATGGCAAAGTTGGCTTTTGCTAGGGGCATATGGAGTTACGTATGTAAAATGCATGCTGCACTATGCAAATACCCGTCGAGTAGTCAACCAGGAACTGATCCTGCTACTGCACTCTCTCTGGTTCAGAAGGTGAGAGATCCATCACTGCAGCTTAGTTCCCTAGGAGCTGAAAAGTTGGTGCTTAGACTTTCAAATATGTTACATTTACATAATGAAATTTCAGTTAAAGTGACACTTTTCTCTTGGCTCATATCTTCACAACGAGCATTCTTGCTGCAGATTCCTTCTGGAATCGAAATAATGGACAATTTCAAGGGCACTCCTGAGAATCCAACTGCACCTGCTGCTACTCTTGGCATGAGTATGATGGGGAGTAGGAAGAGGAAATTAGAGAGGCGGCAATCAGGGAAAGTGGTGGCAAACGGGCTGCTTCTGGTTGGAGGAGTCATCTGTCTATCCCGTGGTAACTGTAGCCTGGGAGCTAAAGTTGCCATGGGCTACCTCTTGACGAAACTTGGGAAACACAATGCTCGTCAATCAATTGGCGAGAGCTAGTGAGGGATCGTGACAGAGCAATAAAAGAGAGTATGATACATGTACCAGATAGTGGCAGGGTTGTGATTTTGTATTTTTTTGTTTGTTTTTGGGTTAAATTGTTGCTTGATGCCTCTCATTCTTCTGTATAGGCAAGGAAAAATTATACAAGAGATGCTGAAATTCCTTGTTGCTGACAGAAACTGATACTCTGCTGATGCAGCTTCAGAAGTTAGCTTACAATGGAATAAAAGAATTTGTAGAAGTATTGTCCACTTCTCATTATATCTTTGCAACGAGTTCTCATTTGCTAGCTAGAGAGAATAAGTTTTAGGTTTTCAATGGAGTTATCCAACAAGGCCATAACGAGCTACATTGTTTACTAGTTGCTACCATCCATTCTCTCCCAACACAACCCCATATCTCGAAAGGAACACGACGGTTTCTTTAACTAGGAAAGAATGTCATGTTGTTGGACACTGATCTGTTCTCGGTCAACCTCGACTTTTCCAAAGTGGAGTTGTCTCCCTTCAAAACAAGGATGGGAAAAACAGAGGGGCCTGTGGGAGAAGGAGGGAGGTCCAGTCTCCAGTATTGTAACGAAAATAACCTTGTGTGTAGTTACAAGTTCAGTTACGAATGTCAGAAAGTTTCCATTCTAAATAGCAAGTAATTTACAACGTGGACAAATGGTTTTGATGATCCAGTAGTTATAGCTAGCGTTCCTCCAAGCCATTCGCTGACTCTCTGCCTCTCTTTCCTCTCTGGACATTGACCAATTGAGGTCACTGTTTTGGTCCTTCTTCTTTCCTTCCAAATATAGCCGATCACCAGAACATGCATCTCCCCATTTTCTAACCTTGTCTCTCTCTCTCTCTCTCTCTCTCTCTCTCTCTGTTTCCTAACCTTGTTCATTTGTTCACATCACTTCCCTTTCCTCATCTCCTAAAAACAGCCTTCTTTGCTCTGCGAATGATCCACAAAAACAGAAGAAAAGAAATAGTTTCAAGCGCAAGGGGAAAAAAACAGAGCAAGAAACAGGGCAAGCAGGGGACAACATTTACCATCTCATTCATCAAATCACCCTCCTCTTTCTGTCTCTCCTCCACTCGCTGGTTTGAATCAACATTCAGCAACATCCATTGCGGTTGCTGCTGATGGAAACAGAGCTTCCATGAAAAGCGTGCTAGGAGTTTCTTCCTCTTCTGAATTATTTCGTCGAACCTAGGATTGGGTTTTCCTTGTGTGGTTCGGATTATGTGTTGGCGCCGTGTCTCGCATTGATAATCTGTGGGGTACGTTTTTTTCCGTCTGAGAAGAATGTACCCTAGCAGCTGCTCCTCCCTAGGGTTCTTGCTGCTCTTCTCTTTGATCCCTTTCGCCCTTTCCAAGACCAACTCTCAGGACGGTACGTACGCAATTTTTCAGTGCTTCTTCTCGTTGTGTTTTTGTTTCTTTTATCATGGTTTACACGAAAATGAAGGAAATGACGCATGCATTTTGCAGTGGCTGCTCTGAATGTGATGTACACGAGCTTGAATTCTCCGTCGAAGCTGGATGGGTGGAAGGCCAGCGGCGGGGACCCTTGTGGCGATTCCTGGGATGGAATTACATGCTCTGGCTCCAAAGTTACCGAAGTGTACGTATCCCAATAACTCGAATTGCTGCGAGGATCAGGAATGAATGTATCTTACAACGATTGCATGAATTGATCTAAATTTATTGCAGAAGATTATCAGGGATGGGACTGACAGGAACTCTAGGCTACCAGCTCTCGAACTTGAAATCCGTCACCTACTTGTAAACCCGCTTTCTTACATCATTTGAATCGGTTATAATATAATAAGCAAATGAATGTGTGGTTTTTTGCCTTAGTACAGTGATGTGAGCAAGAACAAGCTCCAGAACCAGATTCCCTATCAACTCCCTCCAAATGCAGCTTACATGTAATGATATTATCATGTTCTATATTCAATTCTTTTTTCGGGTAATTAACTAATGTTTCATGAATCTTATAAGTTGTTATCGTTATTGCTACGCACAGAGATCTTTCCAAGAACGCATTCACAGGCAATGTACCTTATTCCATCTCACTGATGGCTGACCTTGAGCATCTGTGAGTGCACCCAAGAAAGAAAAAGAAAAATTAAAATGATTTTTGATCATACATGTATAATTATCTCATTAATTTGATCTTTAATTTTATGGCAGAGATGTTGGCAATAACAAGTTGAATGGGCAGCTCACTGACATGTTTCAGAAACTTCCCAAACTCAAAGTCATGTGAGTAACAATTGATGATACATTGATGAAAAACATTTACAGTCTTGAAACCAACTAAGTAAAGCCTTGTTGGTGCGTGCAGGGATCTATCCAACAACCAATTATCGGGAGATCTGCCGCAAAGTTTGTCATCACTCAAAAGCCTCGCTCAATTGTACGAAAACGTACCCATAATAAGCCGCTTAATTATTTTGTTATCATTGTCACTATCGTCAAATCGTGTTAGTGTTGTTAATTGTGGTGTATGTAGGTTCTTGCAAAACAACAAATTCACAGGGAAAATCACAATGCTGGGGGACCTTCCACTGGACGAGTTGAACCTGGCCAACAACAAGTTCACCGGCTGGATCCCTGCCAAGCTTGAGGATATCAATAACCTAGAGTGAGTAAAAATTGACAAACCCTAGCTAGCTACTCAATTACTTGATTTACACGGTACTTAATTTCTTTGATTTTGGTGTTTGTGTTTGTGTTGGGTGAATTTATATAGTACCGATGGGAACAATTGGTCGAAAGGGCCGGCACCGCCGGGCCAGAAAAAGGCAGCGAATGCCGGGAAAGGCGGCGGAGGAGCTCGGATCTCGACCGGGGTGCTGATTGCTCTGATCGTGTTGGGAGTGGTCGTCATCGCTGCACTTCTCATCATCGTCTTCTTCTCCAGGAGGAAATCCTCTTCCCCTTCTTCTTTCCTGGACGACGAGGAGAAGAGCCACCACCAAAACAACCGCAAGTCCAACAATAATTTCACTCCTCTCACTTCTCAGGAGCTCTCCGGCCACAACCCTCCTCCTCCGGTTCTGCCCCCTCATTTACGCCAAGGCGCCCTCAGAGGTCAGTAAACTTTACGTACCCATGAGCAATGCAGTCAATTTCAGGATTTTCTGGTAAAATCGAAAACTGGGATAAAATGTGAATCGTAAAATCAGACGATTTTTAAGTTCATAGAAAAATAAATACTAAATAATATTCGATAAAGCAATTCTCATGAATAACACAAAACACATATAACACTTGAACTTAAATTGATAGTTTCTCAAGATTAACATTGAAAAGTGATGAATTCAATGATAATTAATGAGTTGATGTGTATTGTTGATGGTCGATGGTGGCTAGTGAGAGAGCACTATATGATGTTAATGGAGGAGATATGGGGGAAAAAGGCGTTATGGTTTGCTAATTTGTGAGAAAAATAAGTTAATCTAATCCGGAGATTTGATAATATTCATTTAACTTGATTTGATTTGGTCCAAATTCAATCAATTCGGTACATATCTTTAAAATCGTTAGATTTTGAACCTTTTAACGATTTAAATCATGAATAATATAGGATTTTAAGATCTATAAAAGATTTTATAGTGAACTCATATCAAAATATCTAAAGAATATAGTAAATTCGCAAGATTTTACGATTTAAATCGAAATTTTGATTTACTCTCCTTGCAGAGTCATTCGAGTCGTCCAACTCGGTGGACGTGAAGACGCCCCAAAAGGCGCCCTCACAAGGCTACAACAAGCAGCCGCCGTCCGACTTGGCCCAGTCCCTCAACGACAACGAGTTCGCCAGCCGCCTCAACTCCAAGAAAGGCGGCGGCGCCAGGGCCGCCGTCCCCTACGCCCTGTCGGACCTGCAGAGCGCAACCGCCAGCTTCGCCGCGGGGCGGCTCCTCGGTGAAGGCTCCCTGGGCCGGGTGTACCGGGCCAAGTACGCCGACAACAAGGTCCTCGCCGTAAAAAAAATCGACTCCTCCTACTTCCACGATTCCAACAAGGACGGCGGCGGCGAGTTCTCGGAGATCGTGGCGAGCATCTCGAAAGTGCACCACCCCAACATCGTGGAGCTGGTCGGGTTCTGTTCGGAGCAAGGCCACAACATGTTGGTGTACGAGTATTATCGGAACGGGTCGTTGCATGATTTTCTTCACAATTCCGGGGATTTCAGCAATCCGCTGACTTGGAATACCCGCGTCCGCATCGCTCTGGGGACTGCTCGGGCCGTCGAGTAATCACTTATTATAACATAATAATACTATATTCCTACCCCTTATACTCTAATGCTTTGGAAATCAAAATTTTGTCTTTTCATGATTTCTCAGGTATCTCCACGAAGCGTGCTCTCCGACGGTGATCCACAAGAACATCAAATCCTCGAACATTTTGCTGGACCTCGATCTGAATCCCCACCTTTGTGACTACGGCTTGGGAACCTTCCATACGGTATGTATTTGTTTTTCATGATCGGATCGGATGCTAAATCAAAAAGTTAGTGGTTTGCAGTTTTATGGTTTACTGTTATAGAAATATTGGTTATCGTTGATAGAATTATATATTCACGCGCAATAACATAAACAATATATATAATAAAGTATCTCACAAAAAAAATTATATTTTTTCTGTATTAAATTCAAGTTAGTAATTAGGATGTCAATCAATAGACCCACATAAAAATAGTAATCCAAATTGGATGGTTTTAATTTACGATTAAAGCATTCTTCTTCTTGATTTTGTCTATGTGGTTTAAAAATGGAGATTCAGCAGCAGCGCGTGAACCAGTCAAGTCGGTTGTTCTTTAGGTTTCACATTCGACCAGTGAAGGAACTGTTTGGTCCATTATTTATTAATTGTCTAAACAAATTGACCGAACTGGTTTGGTGGTTCTACTTGCCCGACTGCTGATCCGATTCCGTTCTTATAACGTATACAAATTCGATATATGCATGCATGCATGTGTCCCTTTTCACGTATATGCCTGTTGATTGACTTTCGGACGATGAATAAACATGGCGGCGGGCGCATGCATTTGACAGAGGACGAGCCAAAACCTAGGAGTAGGGTACAACGCACCGGAGTGCACGACGCCGTCCGCCTACTCGATGAAGAGCGACATCTACAGCTTCGGCGTCGTCATGCTCGAGCTCCTCACCGGCCGGATGCCCTTTGACCAGTAAGAATATTCTTTCTTTAATTGACGACCGACCGATCGAGTTGGTCATCTTCATATATAAATTTAATATACTTACTGAATTATTTTTACGTACTCTCTGAATTTAGCACAAAGCCGAAGTCGGAGCAAGCGCTGGTGCGGTGGGCGACGCCGCAGCTGCACGACATAGACGCGCTGGCGCAGATGGTGGACCCGGCGCTGCGTGGGCTCTACCCTCCCAAGTCACTCTCCAGATTCGCCGACATCATCGCGCTCTGCGTCCAGGCGGAGCCGGAGTTCCGGCCGGCGATGTCGGAGGTGGTGCAGTCGCTGGTGACGCTGGTGCAGCGGTCCAGTATGAACATGAAGGATGATCTCGCTGCTTCTCGCCGCACCGAAGACCTCGATTATTGAATCATTGCGTCAAAGATTCCAACGTAGCTGATTCTATTTTGGATTTTTCCTATACTAGTTGATTATACCGAGTTTCTTGCATTTCCTTTCATAAATTATAGTTGGGGTTGGAATATTGGTAAATTTGATGTAATTTGTTCTTTCATTTTTTTCCCCGTTGTTGTAGAGGTACATTGTCGATTAGAATTTTTCTTGTAGGTTGAATAAAATTTTGTTGGAAAGGAAGTTATTATGTATGGTTGCATTATGAACATTTGATACTTTATCATGTGATTAAAAATGAACTCTGTTGTCATATAGAAAAATCTGTCTTATATCTCAATAACTTCAATTATAAAATTTAATTACATCATTTACTAACTCATTTATTTACATTCCAATTAGAACTTGATCCAATAATACTACTGCTCATCTTGAAACTTGAGGTCGTTCAAATTCCTTAAGCTTAGCCTAACGATAAAAAAAAACATAACTGAATCACGGTTTACAACAAAAAGGTAATGTCTATTTAATTATTACGAATTCTTTTATTTTAGTCAAATCTATTGAAATACTAAAAATTAATCAAACGTTTTGTAACACGTCAAAGTATTAGCCATTTTTTACGTTATCGTTAATAATTTTGTAACATTTTACGTAGTTAAAATACTAAAATTTTGGAGTGTTGATCTTCATGTGTCTTTTACAAATCAGTATCATGTTGTCAAGTCAATATTACTAATAAAATTATTAAATAAATGTTAAAATTTTGACTAATTATTAATAATTCAATACATAGATTCGACAGATAAAAAAATATGGAAACAAATTTGGCTAATAAATAATCATTAAAAAAACCCTACCTTCAAATACCTATATTACAATGTGGATATGGGCTTAAATTTGACGGTCCATTATTAAGCCATGAATTATAGGTGAAGTGGAAGCTCCGAGTCCACAGAACTTGTGTGCAGCTGCACATTACGCCACGACAAGACAACGGCCCAACAACAGAGACCCATCGATGTAACGGCGTCGTATGACGCCTTTGGCAATCGACCTCTCCAATCGCCGTCTTTCTTTTTCGCCATTGTTGGCTCTGATTTGATTGATCTCCGGAGCTGTGTGTGATTCAAATCCCCTCTCCTCCAAAACCTCCCTAAAACCCCTCTCCCGCAGCACAGGGAGAGACAGAGCGAGTTCAGCAAGCTATGTTAGGCAGCCGCGTACTGTCCTCTGTTCTGAAGAGGAATAGACAAAGCGCAATCTGCAATATCGGGCGGAAGCTGCCGCATTTCAGCCGGCAGCATTTCAAGGAACTTCCGACCTCTCCCTCGAGATCCTTCTTCCACGCCTTTCGATCTCTTCCCAAGGTAAGCAAAGTAAATTTCTTCCTAAGACGCTAGCTTTGGGTCTTTTTTTGTTTTGTTTTTGTGCTGTGACTCCAGAGACTGCAATTTCAATTCTTGAATTTGATGGACAATAGGGTCATAACGTGGGTTCGATGAGGAACTCTTCAACCGTGGCATCAGTAGGATTGGAGAGTAAGGAAGGGGTGAAGCTACTGGTTACAGCAGGGCCTCACGCTCGGAAGATGGTGGGGATTTGGCTCTTTGGCTCGGCTGCCTGGGTTTTCAGTATGGTCATACTTGGCGGTGTCACTAGACTCACCCGTTCTGGTCTTTCCATGACCGATTGGAAATTCACCGGTCAGCTCCCTCCTCTTTCCGATGAAGAATGGTCCAAAGAGTTCGAGAAATATAAGCAATCCCCCGAGTACAAACGGTTAGTGGGCACCAACCCAAGTCTATAACCATTGCTGGTTTCGGCATTTAAGAATTGCCAAAATTCTTGTTTACTAGCGGTAGTAGGGAAATGGCGGTGAACAAAGGGATGAGCAATTGAGCATTCATGACTTGTAAATGTTATAGGTCAAGCTTGCATACTTACTTGATTGTTCATTGGCAACCTGTCGCAGTGTGAACAAAGGGATGAGCCTTGATGATTTCAAATTTATTTATTGGATGGAATATGGTCATCGTATGTGGGGGAGGGCACTTGGTTTGATGTTTGCTGTCCCGTTTTCGTATTTCCTGCGTAAAGGATATATAACAGTGCAACTTGGACTAAGACTCTCTGGTCTATTTGCCCTTGGTGCTGGGCAGGGTATGATTGGTTGGTGGATGGTCAAGAGTGGTTTGGAGGTGAGAAACGCTAGCCTCTTTTCCTGATAAGCCTGTCTTTATTGTTTCCATGGATGCCTTAATTGTAAATTTGAAAAGCGCTTTCTGTGCAGGAACCAGCATCTGAATATGCTGAGCCTAGAGTTAGTCCTTACCGTCTAGCAGCGCATCTCACTTCAGCATTTGCTATCTATACCGGCCTTTTCTGGACTGCACTTTCTGTTGTGATGCCTGAACCGCCTGCAGAATCCGTCACTTGGGTCCGGGGAGCAGCTAAAGTTAAGAGACTTGCTCTTCCTGTGGGCCTTATTGTTGGTATCACTGCTGTATCAGGAGCATTTGTAGCTGGCAACGATGCTGTGAGTGACAAATTAGCATCCATTTTGCTCCATATTCTGCTTTTGCTTTGCTGGCTTTGGTATGTGATTAGAAAATGATTGCATATTAAAGCAGTGTTATTTTCCTTCTTACCACTATAGGGACGTGCATTTAACACTTTCCCCAAAATGGGTGAGACCTGGATTCCTGATGGCATATTCGAGATGAAGCCATTAATTCGAAACTTCTTTGAGAACACAGCAACAGTTCAGGTAATCTCCCTTGGTTTCCTTCTATCAATTGACTGCTTAAGCCTTAAGAGCCAGTAAATTGCCCTTGTGCTTAACCAGGAGATGAAAAGCCCTCAAGAGCGATTGTCCAAAGAAAGTATAGGAAGAACAATCCGGTCTTTATGGATAAGTAGTTATAGGTTATGGTAAATAAGGAGTCATGCTGGTCTAGGAGAACATAGAAAGGGGATTTAGTGTGTAGTTACTGATTTGCAGCATGGTTTGTTGCAGCTTGACCATCGCATCCTTGCCACAACAACTTTAGCTTCAATAAGTGCTTTGTGGTGGTTCACAAGGAAGGTAGATCTACACCCTGCAGTGCGAAGTTTGATCGGCAGCACTGTGGGCATGACATTACTCCAGGTATATCTGGCAATCAGGTTACTGTGACATCTGCCGTTCATTCTTGGTGGGTCTTCACTCTTCTGTGGGGTGTGTAATGTGAGATGTTGTTCATTGCTCTTACAGGTAAGCTTGGGTATATCAACGCTCCTGTCGTACGTACCTGTTTCTCTTGGCACTGCGCATCAAGCTGGGGCATTGACGCTTCTAACACTGATGATGCTGCTCAATCATACCGTGCGGAAGCCTTCTTTGCCCCTTCTGAAATCCCTGCCTCAAGTGGCAAAGCCACTATTTTGATACAGCATTTGAAAGAGATTAGAGCAGTGAATATTTAGTTCATTAGGTACACAATATTGTCAAGGGATTTTGGTTGGTCTCTTTTTTATTGCAAATTTGAAGGACGTAGTATCCTGACGTCTATTACAAAATAATACAGATCGAAGCCAAAGCTGATGAACTCGGCTTTTCTTTTTCAGTCTCTTGATCTGTCTTTGACAATTGACGGCCTTGATATTACTATCCTGGGTTGGATCGTTGAATCGGCCAAGCAACTAGCTTGCAGTTTCACCTGTTGAACCAGGCCATTTCTGCTAAAAATTGAACAGAAGCATATGTTTATTGAAGACAATAGACCCAAACTAAAATATCGTGCATAGACAACAGCGTGCCATAGCCGCAAAGAGAAGCCCAATTCTTAAACCATGTACTGAATTGCGCAGTAAGAATTACACCAGACGCCAACTAACAATAATCTCAGAAATGAAACTTGTCAAATTACCGGATTGCATAATCAAAACAATTTTGGGAGAGAACCAAAAATTGTGCAACTCGCTCGTCAGCCTGTATGCATACTAAATTGATAACAATGGCAGTCGGGCCTTCTGCTAAATTTGTTAAGGTTACTGCCTTGGAGCGTTACTCTCAGCTTCAAGCCGTGCACTCTCTAACTTCAACAACTCCAGTTCCTGAATGAGCCTATTCAGCTTCTCGGTATTCTCTTCCTGAATATGAGGTGGTACTTTCTCTTTGTACCCTGTGGTGCTTATGTTCTTCTCTATTTTTTCCCGTTGCCTGCGGAATATGGAACAACAAACCAGGTGGTGAATAAGGTGCCAGTGGCAAAAAGAGGTTGGAATGCCACAAGAGATGCCATGCAAAATTCCGCACTCCATAGGCCATAGATAGTAACATTACTTTCCGAACTCATGAGGTCAAAAATCATATAGTATACCACCTATAATTGAAAGCTCACGCAATATTACGAGTGACTGAAAAGAGCTAACTCACTTCTGTATGTCATCCATTTTACTTCTGATCTTCTCTCGCTCTGCTGCTGTATCAACCTTCCCTTCTTTCTTGAGATACACTTTAAGGTTCTCGTTGACAATCTCAAAAGCACATCCAGCGGGAGGAGCATCTATCCCACTCACTAGGACCTGTGAACCATGTTGCTATTAGAAAAATGGTTGCCGCACGGTGACTTTCTCAAGCAAAGACAGAAATGCATTTTCATTTATTTCATAATACTGGGGAATAGAGGTACAATTTGAACTGCCGACTTCACTCTTAGATTAGGAAAGAAGGTAGCACCCACTTGATGCTATTAGTAATTTGCAGGACAAAAAAGGAAGTTCCAAACTAAAAAGCCAAGCACAAACTCCTACGAAATATGACAATCAAGAATATCTGTCCCGATTCTAGAACAATTATTTCTCCAAACATAGACCATAACTAAAAGCACAATGAAAACTTGAATGAATTCGCAAATGGAATTTAAGATCATACCTTTAAGGATGATAAGCTTCCAAGAGTTATAATCTCCAACTCACGCCCTCTAATAATTTCTGCAACTGCTTCACTTTGGCAAAATGCGAAAGCTGGTAATCTGAAATAAATTGGACTCATTGAGACATAATGCTGTACAGGTCAAACCACAAGATACCAAATAGGCATCCCGCGTCACACATGGTACGGTAAAGGCATTACAAGTAAGGTCGTTTATCATGCTGGTATTTTAGTTTCAGAATCCTCGATCACTGATGTCAGATTACGAACTGATTATCTATGGTCACTTTAATTATACTGTGCTGCACCATCAACACAACACCTTTCTTGGGAAAGTGGTGTTGGATTATGTATCATATTAAGATGAAATATCAGCATTGGTTGATTGAGAAGCAACCGTGCATGTACACATTGACAAGCAGAGTGATATTACTAGCATGAAAGTGCAAGTGAGCAAGCGACACACAGAGAATCGGAGGGTGAATTATCTAAAACAACAAAGTCTTGCCTTTCATTTGTCTGCTTTTCAAGCACCGCAACCCGAAGCGATCTTAGACTTTTCCAAGTTGATCGAGCAAGCTCCATTTCGTTTTCCACCAATATATTGTTCCAAACCTACATACCAAAAAGAATTAAAAAATCCACAATGAAGAAACTGACTCAAGCTTGCGATACTCAGAGATCTACAACAGTTTTCACCACTCTTCGGGTACTTGAATAAAAGTCATCCGAGAATAGTGAATGTAACATAAAGGGATTGAAAATAAGAGTCATCATCATACGAAATCCATCTTCAGACGGTCTGGAAGCATATAACCTTCCTAAACTGCCACAATTGTTTACCTCTACCGGTGATGGGTAGTCTGCTACCATAATAGAGTCTTTCTTTGCATGGCTGCTAGCTGAAGGAAGGCGTTGCCACAATTCTTCAGTAACAAACGGCATAAATGGATGCAGTAGCCGCAAGCCATTGTCCAAGCATACCCACAGAGTGTCCTGTGCCGCACTTCGTTCCACGGAAAATGACGAACTGTTGCCAGCAAAGTAAGGCTTAATTGCTTCAATGAAAACATCACAGAACTCATACTGCCACCATGAAAAGACTTCGCTGGACGCATCAGAGAACTCATATGCATCCATTGCAGTCACAGTTTTTGATATGGCCTTGTTCAGGACTGTGAGAATCCACTTGCAGCGAAAGGGCAAGGTCTCATAAGCTAAAGTTGAAGGCGGGGTGTAATCTGCATCAAGTTTGCCCATTGCAAATCTAACAGCATTCCACAGCTTATTGCACCACTGACGATATCCAACCACTCTTTGGATGTCCAAATTTATCTTATCGGACTGAAATTTCGAAAATGTGAAATAGGATGAGCAATAATAGGTCAAAATAGAGGAAACTTACTTACAAACCAAAGTTAAGCCTATAAAGAACAGAAGCAAGAACCTGAGCAGTATATGAAACAAGCGCAAAGCGTAGTGCATCTGCACCACATTCTGCAATACCATCAGGGAAGTCTTTCTTCTGACCCTCTTTCGCAGTGGCCAGCTCGTTTTGATCCAAGTTCCCCTCTTCAAGTCTCTTGTGAAGCCCCTGAAGGCTAACCCCATTTATTACTTCCAGTGGGTCAACAACATTTCCAAGAGATTTAGACATCTTGCGGCCATGTGCATCACGAATCATTGGATGCAAGTACACCTGCACATAAAACATGAATCCATTAACTAAATTTCAAAGAATATTTTACAGCATGTAGACCCAAGGCCGATGTTTCTACTTTTATTCTGATGAATCGGAATGCAGTCATTGGCTTTATGTAGATAAGTAACCCACCTTAGAGAAAGGCACATCACCTCCTAGTTTCATGCCTAGCATAACCATGCGTGCAACCCAGAAGAACAAAATGTCATGCCCAGTTTCAAGAACTGAAGTAGGATAAAATGCTTTCAAGTCGTCTGTCTCATCAGGCCATCCTAAAACAGACAATGGAAACAATCCAGAGGAGAACCATGTATCCAGCACATCAGGATCTTGATTCATCTTGAACTTCTTCCCAGCAAATCTACTGTTAGCCACTTCCAAAGCTTCATTCTCATTTCTTCCAACCACCCAGTGGTCATTATATGCACCTTGTTCCTTCAAATCATCGTCTTCAAGCGTAACATACCATGCAGGAATTCGATGACCCCACCAAAGCTGCCTTGAGATGCACCAATCGCGAATGTTTTCAAGCCATCTGCAACATTTGCTCACGCAAACGCAGAAACGTAAATAGGTAGCTACAAACTATGCCACAAGAAATTAACACAAACTTGGCATTTGATCAACTTTAGTTTGGAAATGTCCACAACTCGACACAAAAGTACTTAATGTTCAAATCAAACCTGTTTTATATGAACCACATTATTTCAACCAATCAAGTTCCAACCAATTGACGATAGTCAGGTCATCATAGACCACTAGAAAACCAGCTAGTTGACTAACACGTAGAAACCCGGTTCGATAGTGAAATTGGATGGGCTAGGAAGCAGAAAATATTTAACACCAAGGATAGAGCCATTTATTTCAATCAGCTGATTCCCACAAGAAAGGAGAAGAGAACCTTTTCCATTCAGCCAAATATTGTTTCGGGATGAACTGAAGCTTTGGAGTTTCACCCTCTGTTGCAGCGTCAAGGGCCTGCTTAGCTATGCTACCACAGTTAACGAACCATTGAGGCTTTATCATTGGCTCAATAACATCATTGCTTCTTGAACAGAATCCAAGGCGCATCTCATTAATTTTGTCACCTCTGTACAATCCCTACAGAAAGCAACGAAGTTAGTCATAGATACTAGTCGTAACAGAAAAATGAATGAAAATCCAAAACAAAGTGCAGAACAAGAATATGGGTTCATCACAAATAATGCACAGAATCATTGGCAGAGACCCGCTCAAGGTACTAGAAACACAAAGTTCTACCTTACAAGGAGTGAGTTACAGGCCTTTGTGCCAGCATGTGGCATAGCTCTATGTTTTAACACTTAAGAGTTTGTACCAGAAAATAGAACAGACGAAAGTAGAAAATAGATTCCGCTTCAAAGACCAGAAAAGAATTAAACCAAGAGAGAATAAAACAGTCTTGAATTTCTCTACCTTCTCTCTCAAAGCATTAATCACCACCTCACGGGCCTTGAACCGTGGCATCCCAGTGAACTCTGGTCCACCATTGCTGTTGATCTTACCATCGTCCGTAAATATATTTATAAATTCAAGATTATGGGCCTTCCCAACCTTAAAATCATTGGGATCATGGGCTGGAGTAATCTGAGAAGAGAGCAGGACCACAAATAATTATTGAAATATCAATACGTGGGATAATTTGAAAAGAAGATATGGAAAATTACCTTCACAGCACCAGTTCCGAAAGTGGGATCAACAGTTTCTTTATCACATATTATAGGAAGCTTTCTTCCATTAAATGGATGTACTGCAAATTTTCCATGTAGATGGATGTATCTCTTGTCATCAGGATGGATAGCAATAGCAGTGTCACCAAGCATTGTTTCAACCCTGGTAGTGGCAACTACTATTTCACCTAGCTCTCCCTCCAGTGGATAAGCAAATAAGGTCAATACACCAAATTCGGCTTCTTTTTCATAACCTGGTACCTTCAACTTGGTTCTCTCCTTGATGTCCATATAATCTACCTACATATATAAAACACAAGTAACTTTGATGTCAGAATAAGAAAACAAACAAAGAAAGAAAGTAACAGCTTACCTCAATATCAGATATTGCTGTACGCAAGGTGCAATCCCAGTTCACTAGCCGAAGATCCCTGCACAAGAAAGACAATCATTGTTATCTCAACCAAAAGAAAACAAGCGGTCAATTAATTTTTTCTTTCATTTATGTTTCACCAGTTGGTGTTTGCACAATTTCGTATCTTGCAACAAAAGATAGTACATGAAAAGAATCATTAACTGATCTAAAGATATGAATTCCGTATTTCACTTCACGACAATAAGCAGGCATCTTAAAAATTAAACAGATACTCTGAAAACTATATCTGGGGAACTTGATCATTCATTTGGCATCAGATTCATTGTCACACTTAGTGGATGACAGAAGGTTGGAAAAACAGTGCATCTTCTAGACAGAGGCATGACTGTCACGTGTTAAAGTCCTCCAGCATCAATCATTCCATACCTATAGATGAGACCTTCTTCGTATAATCTAACAAACTCCTCTGTTATAGCCCTTGATCTTTTCTCATCCATTGTGAAACACTGTAAAGCAGGAACAAGAAGTAAACATCACAAATCAAGCGAACAGTTACTGGCAGACAAATAGTAACACATCAGACATAGCCAAAGCCGAAGATAGCACTTGAAGCTTTTACCTCACGAGACCAGTCAAGAGAAGCACCCAACCTTCGCAACTGCCTCAGTATTGTACCACCATATTCCTCCTTCCATTTCCAAACCTTTAGAGGGAAAAATAACAAACACGAAAGGAAGATTAACGGTAATTTCCTTACTTTGTTGACCAAATAGTAAAACATCGATGGTTAAACTGACCTCAGCTACAAATTGCTCGCGACCAATATCATGCCTAGTTAGATGGCGTTCACGCATTAACTTCTTCTCTACAACAACCTGCAAAGGTCATTCAGACATTTCTGTTAGTACCCAAGACATAGAACTGGGTGCTTCTCAAGATATATCATGCACAGCGCAACATGTTACTTCATTTCTTTGTCATGATTCCCGGATATAATTGTGCAGAATTCATACAAATAAACAGCACTCCATCAGCTTTGAATACCATTCCCATCACTCTCAAGGTACACAGGATGATTCTTGCACATCAGACACGGCTTTGTGATTCGGACAGGGATTGATACCAACTAAGGACCATGCAGGAAAACAAATAAACCCCTTCAGACAAAAAAAGCACATGCTCCAACTACAAAATTGATTTGGAAGTTTTCTTGGATGGAGGATAAATGGCAACAATGGTGAATGAACAGAAAGAGACATTCAAGGAAGGAAATTTTAGTTATCAGAATTTCGCCCAAATGTAATTATACAATTAGTAACCTGTGTAGCTATCCCAGCATGGTCCACACCGGGCACCCATAAGGCATTAAAGCCAGACATTCTCTTCCAGCGAATGATTAGATCCTGCATATGCCAATCTGGAACTTAGTAACATAAATGATATATAAAAAGATTGAACAAGAAACCAATTTGACAAACGTAAGGCAACCTCTATGGCAGCAGTAAGTGCATGGCCAATGTGTAGGGCCCCAGTCACATTTGGAGGTGGAAGAACCTGCAAAATGTGCACCAACAATTTTAGCCCTGCAGAGTCATTCCGGGTAATTAAAATTAAGGAACAAGGGGGAACAGAGCACTGGAGAATATAACATCTTCTTTTTGTTTTTCTTTTGAACAGTAGAATATAGCGCCTCTAAAACCAGGAAAGAGCCATAAGCAAATGTTATTCAAACTACAGAATAAGGTCAATCACCCAGATTTGAAAAGGGAGCAGAAGGGAAATTGGTGCTGATTGTTGAAGAAAGCAAGAAATTTGAAAAGCAAAAGTCTAGGGCTCACTGATAGTCTTTCTTATCAACCGTACTCTACTCTAGCTTTTGATTACGCCAATTTTACATCCAAGCTTGTGCTTCTAAACTTCAATGCAATTCTATCTCAGCAAGTGGCCAAGGCAGAACTGAAGAGTATCATATCAACTCCAGCCTTGATCATTCCTAACCTAGTAAGTGGCCAGAATTATACTCTAGCTCTGGCTCAGATTATATATTCCTTTTCTTTTTCTTTTTGATGATTCTCCTGGACAAGTTATGACAAAGCCAAAATCCACCCATATAGTTATAGTAGCAACAATTTGGACTACATAACAACCACAGTCAACCAATTTATTTAACCACAGAGAGCTCTAAACACATTTTGACATTTCCATATAGGAGCACAATGAAATCTTTAAGAACGCGATGGCACTGATAAACTGTGATGCTCGTCTCACTTCCTATATCAATTATGAACCATAAGCACACACAATAAAAACATCCTTGGTGTATGTGGATGGCTCAGGGTTACTATATCCAGGAATCCATCTACACATTTTGCCCGAAGACTACTGGCATATCAATAAAACAGCTATCTAAGACCATTAAATTTCTAAAACACGGAATGGTATTTTGTCGTCATTATCCGAAAATGTCAGTAAAGACAATCGAGGAGCAAAGGAACTTACAATGACAAATGGTGGTTTGGTGCTCTTAGCATCCGCCACAAAGTAGCCCTCTTTTTCCCACCAAGGATACCATCTAAAAATTCACAGAAAAGAAGGCGTAAAGGCGCTGAACTCATCAACTCATCAAGTAAAAGAAAACTAGGACCAAGACAGACTTACGATTTCTCAACTGCAGTTGGGTTATACTGTTTTGCCATTTTAGCGGAAAGCTTTTTCTTATCACCGAGATTTGTCTCCGGATCGACAAAATCCTCCGGGTTCTCATCGCCGCCAGCATCTCGCTTTGCAGCCTTCTTAGCAGCACTCTTTTTAGCAGCATCAGGACCTTGTGCCTGATTGTAAAACCATCGGGATACAGATTGGCCCCTCTGTGCTATCAAGCCATGAAACAGAAATTGAGAAAGTAAAAGAGAAGGCAAATTCTCACCTTCAGCTTATCAGCAGCGGCCTTCTTCTCGGCAGCTTTTTGCTTCTTCATTTCTTTTTCCTTAGCCTAACAGTACAAGAGGATAAACAGGAAAACCCACAATATGCGGAAGAAGCAAGCAATCTATTACATTTCACTGAACCGAGGTGGGAAAATTAAGATGAGAAAACGGGAAAGAGAATCAGACCTTTTCTTCTTTCTTCTTCTTGCGCTCGATATCTTCAGGAGTCTCGACCTTCTTTTCAACTCCTGACTGCGGTCATTCCACATCAAACATAATTAAATTGCTTGTTTCAGAAATTGAACTACGGGAGTGCAGAGAAAAAGCAGAAACTAAGGAAGAAGATAGAGCACCATGTTTGCGGCGGAGGCGGAGGCGGGGGAGGAGAATGAACGCAGATGGATGGGCCGGCGAAAAGATGAAGCGGAGGTGGAAGCGAACAAGCTGCTGCGGCAGGTGTTGAAGATGGCGGAGAGGGTGTTGTTGATACGCGCCAGAGCAGCGTGGACTGAGAGTTAAGGTGTAAGAAGGAAATAAAACGCCCACTTAAACCCTATTCTTTCCTTTCCTCTCTTGTAATTCACTTCTCTTTTAAAAAAGTTGGATTTGGTATAGTTTTCCCCTTTTTCATAGTTGGGAAAGGATTCGGGTTTTTTTATAAAAAAGATAATCATGATTCCAAAAACAGTAGATAGTTACATGGTTACGTTTTCGCTGCACTCAATTTTTTTAGTACATTCGATACACTCGCTTCATTATTGTCATTTTGAGTACGCGATTCGTGTCAAAATAATATTAATTATCAAGTATGATACGATGGACAAAAAAATCCATGAATTAGTACAAAAATTATTCAAATTTTACATTAATTTGAAGGAATTATGGTTTATGGATTTAGGGTTAGGGTTAGGATTCATGTTTTGGGGTTTAGGGCAAAAGTTCAAAATTGAAGGTTTAAGGCTTAGAGTAATGCATTAATTAGTTGTGATCTTATGTTATATCATCATATTACATTAATCTTACCAATTAAAATAAAAAATTGATGTCTTAGACTACTTTTAGAGTTGGGTGCATTGAATGCACTCATTTTTGTGAGTGCACCAAAGTAGCCACCTAAACATTCTAGAATTCAGCCAGGTCTAAAAATCAAATAAACGACTCATAGTCGGGTACAAAGAAAGGATCGTTTGAGCCACCAAATGGGCTACTCTGTTGTTACGCCGACCTACAAATCAAAGACTAAACCCCGTATGAGATGGCGAAGTAATGCACAATTTCCTCAAGAATAGCTCCCATCCGACTATCTCGTGTATCCGCCCGAATGATCTTATCAATGATCCCCTTCTCATCTCCTTCGAATCTTATTTTCGTGAAACCATGGTTTCGGCACCATAAAATTGCTTCACGGAGTACAAGTAATTCCACCACCATGGGATCATCAATCAACATGAACTGCACCCCATGAGCAAGGAGGATTTCCCGAGCTTTGTTCATAATAACCATCCCATTTGTCGAATGAGATCCCCTCCTAGTCACTACATCCCACATACAAACAGCAAAATCAGGCCCCTCATGACTCAAGTGCTGCATCGGAGGGATGGTAGACTGGGAAACATGTTCCACCGGCAAGCTTACCCACTCCTCATATTGATGGTTCAGTTGTCGCATTAAGGCAGGGAACCCAAACTGTTTACCCTCAAAGACCATCCAGTTTCGGGACGGCCAAGTTATCCAAAGAACTACGACAACTCTCATGAACAGCGACGGTTGATGAATGATCGACATCAACTTTTTGAGGAAAAGTGGGAAGGTATAACGAGGCAATCATTGCCCAAGATATTTCAATCTCGAGTAGTCCCAAAGAGCCCGTGCTACCGGACAATCAAGGAACAAATGCTCCATGGTTTCTTCATTAGCCCAGCAAATCGGACACCTGGGAAACACAAGAACCTTCTTCTCGATTAAAGCTTCCGTAGTTGGCAGGATGCGGTTAAATATTTGCCAGACAAATACTTTCAACTTGGGCGGGATATTCGCCTCCCATAAACGAATCCAACTGGCTCTATTCATCCAGCTCGTCATGGATCACCAAAAGCACATGTGCTTATCCTAAAGGACTGCAAAATGATAGGTCGATTTAATGGTAAAAATTCCCTTGGTCGTAGCATGCCATATCAGCTAGGGATGGGAACAAAACCCGAACCCACGGGTACCCTAACCGACCCAACCCGGTCAATGCAGGTAATATCCGTGTTGACGGATTTTGAGTTGGGTTCGAGTTTAAACTCGTTCACTATTCACCGGTTTGGGTTTAGGTAAACCCGCACCATGGGTACCCGCCCACACCCATATAATTAATTTTCCCGATATATTTAACATTCTAAATAGGGCTAATACCACTGGGAAACCCGAACTATTAACTTTGTGTCATTTGTGTCCTAAAGTATTCGATATGACATTTGTGTCCTGATGTATGATAGTTGTGTGTCATTTACGTCCTAACAATTTTGTTGGTCGTTATAGATAACGGTTGACCAAACAGTCAACCATAAAATGTTGACTTTTGGTTACATGGCACATATGTGGCAGCCACATATGCGCCACGTCAGCTGCCACATCAGATTGTTATTTTTAAATTAAAATTAACTATTAAAATACAAAATAAAAAATAATCTCTTCTTCCTCATCTCTTCAAAACCCAACAAATGGTGGAAGACGATGGACCTCGTCCCTATCCCTTCTTCCCCATCCTTTATTTTATCAACCTCGCCCTATTCTCTCCGTCGGACTGCCGAAAGAAGTCGGGAAGCCACTTTCCACTCCGTCCGCCTCCCGCCGACGCTTGTCCAGAACAATTTTCACTCCGTTCACGATCTGCTTCAACTCTTGGGGCGGGAGAGATTGAGAAGCTGTGGCGACGAAGAAGGAATTGCGGGTGGGAGATCGATGCAACGACGATGGGTAGTTGCAAAGAAGAAGAATTGGGGGGTGGGAGATCGATGCAGCCGTGGGTGGGAATCCTATTGTACCTTCAACGAGTTAGTACCAGCCGTCGTAGTCGAGCTTCATCCAGTCGTGCTCAGTGGTCACCGCAGGCAGCTATCACAGTTCCTCATCTTCCCTTCAGCTACTGAATCCGCTGCAACCTCAGATTTAATGGTGGGTAAGGGTTTGGTAAGAATTAGGTTTTTGAATTTGGGGTTTTTTTCAATTCCATCATTTTTGTTATCTCTAGAAGAAGAAGAAGAAGAATAGGGGGTGGCTCGTCTGCATTTTCAATCCTCGATCCAAGCTTCCCCTCTGATTCGGCGGCAAAGCCATGGTTTGGCCTGTCGACTCCCTCAAACAAAGACCAGAAGGCTGCCAACAATTCATTCGCATCGACCGTCGCCGGAATTGTTCCCCGGAGATGCAGATCTTCATATATGATTTTTTTATAACTTTTCTTTATTTCTTTTTGTTAGTTTATTCATTTTTACGAGAAAATAAATATAATAAAATAATAAAAATTCCACGTCAGATGCCACATCAGAGCGGTGACTAGACTTTCTGTTAAAAACTAACGGTCAACGCCGGTCAACCATAACGAAAAAACAGTTTGGGACACAATTGTCATATCGAATACTTTAGGACACAAATGACACAAAGTTAATAGTTCGGGTTTCCTAGTGGTATTGGCCCTTCTAAATAACTAATCTTCTTTATGTTTGTGGAGACATGTCTAATTGTTTTCTTTCTAATTGTGTAGAATGAAGTTGATATTATCGAGTGGAGAGTGAAGAATCTTATTTGACAAGGAGGAAGAAGTTTTCAATTAATCATGTTGTTTATGGATAATTTGTGATTTGCTTCAATTTTCTTGAGTTTTCTAGATTGGTGTTGAACAATTTGTATGGTTAATTTGTGATTGCTTGAATTTTCTAGAATAATGTTTTATATATGGACAATTTGTGTTGAGTGATTGATATTTGATTTTTATAGGAACTTGTTGTTGTAAATTTTTTACGACAAAAATCCATGGGTACGTAAGAGAGAGTGATGAGACAGAAACTATCACTCAAAATGAGTGATTCCAACGCTGGGCTCATTAAAATGAATGGGGGCGTAACCCGTTGGGCAACGGGGAAAATTCGTCCATCATTTTCCTGCAAACGATCTTTTATTGTTTTCGCCAACTGCCTCTTTTATTCCCTATGAATTTTTTCCAACGATAATGAAATTGCAAGTGAACACGTTTCTTACCATTTGTTTTTTTTTGTCACACCAGAAAACAGAAAACAAAATGGCAAGTGAACGGGACATAAGAGAGAGTGAGAGGACACATTTAAAAGAGGGGAAAATGAGGTAGTGTGAAATAATTGACCTTCTGCTTTGCTTAGTTGGTATTTTTGGCCCTGTTGAGTCTTGATTTATTTTAGGAGATGTCATTATATTTGATAGATTTTCCCATTTCAATTAAAGGGTCGTTTGAAAGTTGCGATTATTTTGTTGAGATTGTTACTATAATGTATTGTTTAGAATGCATCATTTTTTATTTTTTAGTGGAAACAATACATGGATTACATATGTGATGAGACAGAAACTATCACTCAAAATGAGTGATTGTTATATCACAGCTTTTAATTGTGATAGTTGAGTTGAGATTGTTTTGTCTCAACTTTTAGCTTAAATGACATACACAATGCATCTAATCCGACAATACATATATAATATTATACATGCATTCACAACAAAACATCTATTTAACAATCTCAACTTCCAAACGACCCCTTAAAATCGTGAATCAATAGTATCATTTGGATGATTTTTTTTTTTAATACGATTATGGTAATTTCTGAGATTTAAGGGTATTTGATAATGTCAATATTTTAGTGATTTTTTATTTAAAGTTTGAATCGAAAGATCGTACGTACTGGCGGTTCGACCATAAAACTTCACACCATAGGCTAAATCGATACGTGATGAGCTATACACCCTTGTAGAGGGTTAGGTTGATTCAAAAGAGGTTTTGCAAATTTTTTAGCCCTATTGAAGTTGAAGACAAAGACCCTATTCTCTCGAGTCAGGCATCCAAGTATGGTACTAACTCAACCAATAGGTATAGGTATTAAAGGAGCGAATGGACAAAACCTTAACAGGAAAGGTTCGCATCTGAACCAAGGTTTGAAACCAGAGAGTCAACCGGAACTCATTTTCGTCTTACCCGGTAATGCCACATTAACTATTCTCCAACCCAACCTCAAACTCTTTCTTCCCGACCTATTTGACTCTATGGCCGGAGTTATTTAGATGGTATCCTAAGATTGAGGAGATCGAAATACTCCCCAGAACACACAAAAGAAAGATATGAACTAGGTAAATAGAAATTGAAAAGGGATGTTTCCAATTTATCAAAATCAGAAGCTTTTGCTACATCCATATGATCCACTAAATTAGATCGGTATTGCCTATATAGTGAAAGCAGATCTTGGTCCATGGAGTCCCAAGATGTATGTCGTCCAACCCAACCTCAAACTCTTTCTTCCCGACCTATTTGACTCTCTGGCCGCAGTGATTTAGGTGGTATCCTGAGATTGAAGAGATCGAATTACTCCCCGGAACACACGAAAGAAAGATATGAACTAGGTAAATAGAAATTGAAAAGGCACGTTTCCAATTCATCAAAATCAGAAACTTTTGCTACATCAATATGATCCACTAAAGTAGATCGGCCTTACCAACTCTAGGTCTCGAGAAGAGATTTAGTAAGAACCATAATTACTTATGATTTTAGTATAAAATACTATACTACCAAATTTTTTGATATTATTCTAATCATTTGGTTCAAACAATTCTTTTACGAGGTAAAAAAGTTATAAGGTACATTTTGAACTATCTATTGCAAAAAAGCATAAGTCAGTTAGCGATAATGAGAATATGCGATCTCATTCAACCCAAAAGATACTTTGCAACTTCTATATTATTAAAATAAATGTATATTACTTATACACTCGCTCATTCGTCAACTTAATGAGTAACATATATTTCATGTAATATGATTTTCATACGTTTTTATTAATTGAATTATTTCATGAAAAAAATATTTGTTGCATGAAAATTACTACATTGTTGCTAGACATGTATACGATCTGGGAATAATTTGAGAAGTCCATACACAACATATTGTCCAACTAACTATTAGCGACAATTTAGTATCATGTCCTATATATTTCAAATCAAGCAACTTCAGATTCATTACCAACGGTGTGGTAAAAAAGAATGCTCTCTATTGGAAAATACTTAAATGACATACTAAACTCTACGAGAGACATTTTTTTTCATCTTAAAGGTTGATTATGTATGTATTATGAGAAACAACTCTAATATTCAACTATATGATTTAATTAAGTAATGAATGAAAATTAGTTATATTTATTTCTTTGTTCATTTAATAATTATAAGTAATACTTATATTATATTTTGGTCTAAACACATTATGAATGCTTGGATCACTTTCAAATATGTTCTGTGTATAACTAAGATAGAAAACAATAATTTTATGCATTTCAAATCATCTATTATATATTTATTATTATATATATCATATTTCTCGATAAAATTAATCCGGCCAACGAGTCGGGTCTTGTGCTAGTGTTAATAGAAGACAGAAGGCAGAAGCAGTTCTAATCAGGCGGTCTTGTTTATCCCTCATTGGGCCAGGCCGACTGGCATTCTTAGTGGGCCTTAAAGCCCTATCACTCAACACGTGGCCCAACTCTAATGAACTGATATCTGAAAATAAAAAAAATTGACGGGATAACCGCATGGTTTGCCGGCCATGGGACGCGCCGCCGGTGACAAATAAAATGGTATTTATTAATGCAAACCAAATTCTCTCGCCTCTAATTTGTATACAATTCTTGGCGTTTCCATCTGGAAACTCTGAACTGCAGCAACAAAAAATGGCGTTTTCCGCTTGTCGCATTCCCAAATCCAGCTCTCATCTCCATGTGTATTATTAATCCACTAGTCAATTTGAATTCGGATTGAAGCTCTTAGCTGACAGTAGTCAAAAGATAGCGACAATGGTGTATTCTTTTTTTATTATCGCGCTTCGATACTCGAGGAGTAGCAGTGTGCGTGTAACTGTACACCGTAGATTCCTTTCGTTCTCTCTCTCTCTCCCTGCCATTTTTGAAATTCATTACACAACGAAGTAATTGCTTTGCCTCCCTTTGTTTAGCAGTAGTATTGTAACTGCTCAACTGTTCGCCCAGTCCGCATTCAACTCTCCCTCCACGGTTTCCGATTGTTTCTGTTTCTTTTCTCTGCTGATAAACCCTCGGAAGGGAGCTAGGGAAATCAGTTCTTGTTAATTTGGGGGAGGAAAAAGCCGCAGATTGGGTCAATATCAGGCGCGTCTGATCACTGTTGTCGCTCTCTGATCGCCATTGACGTATTTCTTGTACAAAGTTGGGGGACAAAAAGAAGAGGCGAGGCACCTCGGAGAACTTTCCGCTGCTTCCGTTTTCAGAGCGTACTCTACTCCTGACCTGTGCTAGAAAGCTGTTTGGGTAATGCTGCTGTTTCGCTTCGTAATCAGAGGTCTGCTCTTTTCCTTGCTTCTTTACCTTTTGCATTTTGCCGGCCTTTCTTGGGAATTTTTCACTCAACTGGAAAACCTACTTTTTGTTTATACCTGGCCCCTTCTCTGCATCACGCGCTTGTTTCTTTGCATTGCATTGCATTGCATTGACACATCTCTTTCTGCGGCAGCTGGAATCTCAAATCAGGGATGTCTGGTATTTTGTTCTATTGTGTGTTTTTTGTTTTTGGAGCAACTATTTGTATTTTTGCCATTGGGGACTGAGAGAGAGAGAGAGGTGGTGGTGGTGAAGGAAGGACTGAACTGGTGATGAAGAAGATTCATTAATACAGTGGTGGGGATGAGATGAGATGAGATGAGGGCAACAATAATCGTTCTTCTGTGAGGTGGAAGTGAGGGACCACTGGATTTTGTCCCTTGTTTTTGTGGATTAATCCCACTTCTTCATCATCATTGCCCCATAGATTGCAGAAAAGCTTCATGTAAAAGCCAAAAAAGCTTTGTTTTTTTCAATTTTTCCCCGTTCTCTGTTTCAATACCCACTAGCTT